ACCCCAACCCCAACCCCAACCCCAACCCCAACCCCAACCCCAACCCCAACCCCAACCCCAACCCCCAACCCCAACCCCAACCCCAACCCCAACCCCAACCCCAACCCCAACCCCAACCCCAACCCCAACCCCCAACCCCAACCCCAACCCCAACCCCAACCCCAACCCCAACCCCAACCCCAACCCCAACCCCAACCCCATTTAATTTTATATTTAAATAATTTTAAGAAGTTAAAAATGTATTTTAAATTTATTGTGAAATACCAGTAATGAAGTTTTCGTTTTTTATACTTTTATGATTATTCAATAGAAAGGTAATATTTTAATTACTTATTTTTAATTAAAAGATGGATAAAATTTTTCATTAGTGATTAAATACTTTTTAAAGTCTATATAACTTTTTTATGAAGATATTCTAGATTTTTCAAATATCTATGACTAAAATTTAACATTTTTATTTTATATCTAGGGAAATATTGATAGTAATTATTTGTTTATTAATTTTTTAATTGATGTAAAAATTGACTAATTATTAGATTTTTAAAAGAAATAATTAATTCAAGGAAGAAAGGATTAATTTCAATAGTAAAGAATTTTAAGATAATGATGGAAATTAGAAATACAAATAACTAGATTAATAATAACAATAATAATAATGCGATTCAAAATAGTAGATAGCAAAATTATTAGAATAATAGAGGATCAATTACAGGACTTTGCGAAAGAAGTGTAGCAGACCATTATAATAAAATAGAAAGCAACTTTCTCGAAAAATATCTTAAATATATAGTGATTGACGATTTCATTCCAGATGTGTTTGAGTATAATTTAGAAAAATATTAATAAAATAATAATAAATATGATTTGCATCAATCTATTTTTTAAGTAGCCAATAATTTCCAATTATATACCTTTATTGAGTAATTGAGGGCAGAATTAAAAAAAAATTCAAATGTTTCTTAAAATTAATTGATCATTGAATGCTTTGGATAAGACCATTTAGTGTAGTAAGGAGATTAAGTATTTATTATTTGTAGCATTAAAATTACAAACTCTAAGTTGAAAAAGTTACCTGAAGCAGGAATAGAGCTACTCTAGAAAGCAGTTAAAAATGAAAAGGTTCTATTTAAAGAAAATTAATTGGTTCATATGACAATATTTTATAATGGCGATATCAATTTTGATTTCGATCAGTATCCAGATTAGTATTAACTAGGAGAAAAATTAGTAGAAATAAATAAAGTAAAAGTACGTTTAGTGATGAATTTGTTTTACATATCAAAGGTAGCCTTATTCCAGCACTTTGTAGTAAGAAACAACTACAAAATCGAAACTATAGATGATAAAACAATAACTTTTTATGAATTGACTCGAACTAGTTTTAAATAAAGACAGATCACAAAACTATAGATTGAAAGATAAAAACAAAATCAAAATTAATCTGTCCAAGAAGCTGTTAACAACAAAAAGATATAAGCAAATTCGTCTTCATTACAAAAAGGAGTAATAATTTCACAAAACAATAAAAAGAATAAAAAAATTTAGTAGTTAGCTCAAGAGTTTTTTTAAAAAAATAAGAAATTGCTATCAATGGTTTTACTTTCTGCTGGTGCTATTAGTATTTACATTGCCTTAAAAAAAATTTTGAAAAAAAAATTGACTGACTGACTGATGTAAAAATAAATATCTTTCTTTACTGATGTTTTAATTACTAAATAAATATAAAAATAAAAGCCCTTCTTAATAGCTAAAATATTAAAATATTATAGTATCAAAAACAAAAAACAATAATATGAAATTATTTACATCCTAATAATAACTAAAAAATTATAAAATAAATAATAAATAAATAAAAGATCCTTTCCTTCAATTTGAGACAAATTTTAATTTAAATATTCATTTCTTAGTATTTATATCCTTCATATACTTATAATTTTAACTTGTATATTTTTCTCTTTTATATACTCTTCCCTTAATCATCAAGTTATTTTTTACTATTGTTAGTCATGCGTTTTGTTTATATCCAAATTCATATATTAACATTATTTTATTTAATATATATTTTAAATGTTTACTTTTGATTATCAAGTTTGCTTATACTTTTAAATTAAATTTAAATTATTAGAATTTATTACAAGTAAAATTAAATTTATTCTTTTTCATTAAAAAAATATATGAAGATTTCATTAGTTACATTATATAAGATTGCAAATATTTGAAAATTTTAAGAGTAGTCGATATTAAATTACTTGTAAACATTTTAACTTAATAAACTAAAAAAATAATAAAAAGATTTTTGTGAAAGCAAATAATAGTAAATGGAGAGAGTATGATACAATTGATACTAAATATTTCTTTGGTTATGTAATATAAATTTTGATTCAAACTATGATATACATGCATTTTTTAATTAAATGAGGTATTTTAATTTGAAATCTCTTCAAAAAATTGGATATTGTGGTTATTTTTATAAATTAAAGGTAATTATCTATCTAATCATAATATTTTGATTATTTTTATAAGAAATCAATAAATAAATAAGTTTAGAAATAGCTTCTAAGTAGACTTAATTTACTTGCCATTTTCATTTTTAATAAAGGATTTTTAATGAAAGTAAACAAGTATTTTTGGAGAATTTTGTTTTAACTATTTCTAGCAACACAATTATTGTGTTTATGTAGAGGATAAGGTTAATAAATTAATTTTATAATAAAGCAAAATTGTTCATTTTTAAGATAAAATTAATAATATTCTTTTAAAATATAGTTTGGTAAACTATTTCTTAGTATTTTTATGATATCCCTAAGGCAGATTAAGCTTCTTTTGACAGTGATAGAGCTAATTGGGAGTAGACAGGAGATTATGGCAAATAAGTTTCAGGTTTTCCAGATGTATTTAAAAGAATTTGATTTATAACAAAATATAATTAAAACATATAAATAGAATGGAGTTTATCTCTATCTAGGACAGCTTAAAGTATCAAACTCTGCCATGCTCAGAGTGAATAATATTATTCCTCATACTTAACTATCAATAACTTTTTTGTACTAAGCCTCAGGAGTTCGTAAATCCTTTTTCATACTAGATAAATTAAATTCATTTATGGTTTTTATTTAAATTAAAATTAAGCCTTTACTATTAATTTATTTGTTACCACAGATTCTACCGTTCAAAATTTTAGTTTAACATCTGTTAATGGTAATGACTAAGCTTTCAACATAAATACTGCACAAACTTATCCTCATACAGCAGATCATGTAGAAATCTTAATTACAGGTTCAGGCTATTCTTCTGATGCTTCTGTTGTAAATAATCAATGTAAAGAATTAAAAATGAAGAAATAGTTAAAAGTAAAAAATAAAATAAATAATAATAGTATTTTCATTCAGAAGGTTTGTACTTAAAATAAATGTTTGTCATCCCTCTTGTGCATCTTGTAATGGAAGCTTAATAAATAATGTAAGACAAATATAATAAAGGAATAAATTATATTGATCAATTATGAAATAAAAATATAGTGTTTAAGTTGTTATTCTAATTCGTTTTCATTATAATCTGGTATGTGCTTATGTAGCTCATCATCTTACATGATTATCAACAATCCATGTACATCTATACCTTGTTCTTCATGCGCTCCTTGTCATGCTAACTGTCTTACCTGCTTTCAATCTGGTACTCAAGGCTGTCTTTCTTGCTCTCCAGATAAATATTTTTACAACAACTAATGCTTTATTTAATGTTAACCAGGAACATATTAAGACGAATTAAATAAAATATGTGGCGACTGTTTTCCTGGTTGTGCAACTTGCACTGGGCCTGGTAAATAATTAAAATAAATTATTCAATTTTAAATGATCTATCTTGATATTATAAATTACAATAATTGTAACTTATAAATTTAATTACTCTTATAAAAAACATTTAAAAAGGAAATCAATAATGCCAAAGCTGTACTTAACCAGCGAGTGGCAAAGTATATTTGGATGTAGATTAAGTAAATTAAATGTTTGTAAACAAAATAAATATCTGATTTATATTTCATTTAATAGTGTGTAAATACTTGCCCAATTGGAAAATATCCAGACGATGGTTAATTAAAGTGTATTAACTGTGATTCAACTTGTTATTAATGCGATAGTGGTTCACCTACAAGTTGTACAGATTGTAAAAACCCTTATTTTTATTTGATCGCATCAAAAACATGTGTTAAAATTTGCCCAGATTAATTTTACGCCAACACTGCTAACTAATAATGCAATAATTGCGACTAACATTGCGGAAAGTAATACTCATTTTAAATTTTTAAAAACAAAATTCATAAATTATTTCTTATTATTTAGTTGTGTTAACAGTCCTACAAACTGTACCTCTTGTGGCCCAACTGTAGTTAATAATCAATAATATTTGCAAGGGAATGTATGTGTTTAAGCAGCATAATGTAATACTTCAACTTTTGCAGACAATGTTTCGTTTACTTGTAAACCATGCCATCCTTCTTGCTATAACTGTAGTGGATCATTAATTGATTAGTGCACTTAATGTGACATTTCAAAGAATAAGTAAAAAATGACTTAAGTAGAATAAATACTTGAAAGTCTCTATTTATTTAATTCAGTTTTAAAATTAGAAATAATTTTTATAATCTTTAAGAAAATTTATCTTGGGAAATCTTTTAAAAGTAGGACAAAAATAATTTTAGTCTTCACAATTTATTAATAAACAAACACTTTATTTTTTTAATTATAAATAATCTTTTAAATTAACTTCTTAAAAACAAACATAAAATAATTTAATAAAAATGCCATAAAAATAAAAAGATTTTACTGTATTTTATGAATATAAAAGTTTAAGCTTTATTCTAAATTAATCTTATTTTAATAAAAAAGTTATCTATAGGATGGAAAAACTTGTGTTTAAACTTGCAAACCTGGTACTTATAAAGATAATTCTACACCTGCAAATCCTGTATGTTCTCTGTGCGACGGATCTTGTTTAACATGTTCCACATCTGGCCCTACTAATTGCTTATCTTGTCCTCCTAGCAATTACTTGCAATACATTCCTATATCTGGGCCTACAGGAAAATGCGTTATATAATGTGATAGCCATTATTATCATGATAGTAACTCTATATGTTAGTAATGCCATACTACATGCGGAGAATGTACTGGTAATTTATTAAATTAATGTAAAACATGTACAGGAATGAATAACTTAACAAATTAAAATACTTGCGTGATAACTTGTCCAGATGGATTTTACGGAGAGTAAATATTTTATAAAGAATTAATTATCTTAATATTTTTATTTAATTATTTTAGCTCAAATATATGTAAAAGCTGTAATTTAACTAATTGCAAAACATGTATAACTTCTGATTCTAACTGTACCTCATGTAATAATTCTTTGTATTTGAATGACAATACTTGTGTAGCAAGCTGTCCTCCTGATAGATACACTTCTAACACTGATATGAAATGCTATAAGTGTTTTGCAAATTGTTTGACATGTTCTGGAATAGCATATAATTAATGCATAACATGCTAACCAACTAAAAAATATTTTGCTAAAAAGTAATTTTTCTAAATCAATCAATAAAAATAAATTTCCAAAATTTTTTATTTATTTAGCTCCTTAGATAATTACGGTTAGTGTACTGATGATTGCAGTACATTGTCATTAATACGTTTTGATGGGCCAATATATTAGGACTCTATCCCATAGCAGTTTTTATGTCTAGCAATTTGCCCTCCTTATTACTTTAAGGATACTTCTAATCCTAGTTCTCCAACTTGTACTAGATGTGATTCAACAGTAAAAAATTTTTAAAGAAATATATTTATTAAATTTAAAATGATAAATTAGTGTTTAAATTGCTCTGATACAACAAAAACTGGATGTACTAAATGTTATAGCCCATTATATTTGCTAAATGGCTCGTGTGATTTTTGCCCGAATGGTATGTACGGAACAGTATAGCCATCAGGTGATAGAGTATGCTAGTCTTGTAATACGAAATGTTAAGCATGCTTTGGACCTGCTATTGATAATTGTACTTCGTGTCCAGCAAAACAGTAATTGAATTTTAATTTAATCTTTTATTCCAAAAAAAATTGTTTAACAAACAGATAAAAAAAAATTATTTTAGAAATACTTTAAAAAGAAGTATAATAAAGATATTAAAATTATTAAACAATAACAAACAATATTAAAATAAAAAAAAATTAAGTTTATAAAAAAAATTTATTTTTATTAAAAGGTATTTGACAGCTAGTAATAGCTGTGTTACTGATTGTCCAAGAAATACTTACGCATATAATAACAAATGTATTTAAACTTGCCCAATAGGATTATATGGACAAGATTATCCTAAAAGTATATGCACCAATTGCGATAATAGTTGTGCAGTATGTTTTAATTAAGGAAACAATAATTGTAATAGCTGTAAACCAAGTTTTTTTTTATATGGCACAAGTTGTTTATCAACATGCGTTGATGGAACTTGGCCTAATCCGGTTTCCTCGACAGTGCTTGAGCCAGTATGCAGTCCTTGTGATTCTTCATGTAATAATTTGTATGTTTTGTTAAAGCAATGGTAAAATTATTTTTTTAAAAATAATTAATAGGTTAAACATGCGTAGGGCCATAAACAACAGATTGTACATCTTGCAGAACAGGGAGGTATTTATTTAACAATTAATGTGTTTAGAAGTGTCCTGATAGCTTATTTGGGTAGTAAAAGAATTCTTTGAATAAATGTGTTCCCAGTTGTGACTCTGATTAATTTTAAAATGTCGTGTAAAATAAATATTTTAATTTAGAAAATAAAATTTATATTTTTAATTAATCAAAATAGTTCAAACACTTGTTAAATATGTTCATCCGAATGCAATGGATGTGTAGGTCCTACTTTCAAATTTTGTTTAACTTGTGCTACTGGCTTTATTAGATTTTAAGATATGTGTGTATCATCTTGTCCTGATGGTTTTTGGATGAATAATTAAACTAAAACATGTGACCCCTGTTCCGATTAATGTATTAAATGCTAGTAAGATCAAACCCACGTGTGCCTAAAATGCTAAATTGGTTATTTCTTAGTAAATTATGATTAAATTATAACTTTTATTTTTAAAAGCTAAAATAATTTAAAAATGGAGAAATAAAAATTTATAATTTTATTAATATAGTATGAAGGAGCATGTATTTCTAAGTGTCCAGATTTATTATAGCCAAACATTGAAAAATAAATATGCGAAGCTTGCCCAAATAAAACATACACACTCTACGATTCAAAGAAACAATAAATTTAATGCATAAGTAATTTATTTTTAAAATAGTTAAAAAAATTTTTTTAATATTACTTTACATTTAGATTGCCATTATAGCTGTTCTTCATGTTAAGGCCCTAATCAAAATTAGTGTACTCTATGTGAAGCAACAAGAGGGGAAACAGGTTCACTGCCAGAATAAGGATATTGCTTTTGTTAATCAAACTACATTGATAAGTTAGAAGAAACATGCTATTGTAAGAATCTAATTGATTAAAAATTAATTTTAATTTATATTTTAATTATAAATATAGAAAAAGATTAGGTAATTAATTTTGCTTATGGTAGTTAAACGCTAAGCTTTTTTATTTCTACAATCGCTTCTGGAATTGTAGGAATTTTTGGAAATCCTACTATGCTATTTTCATTTATTGAAGTATGCTAATAATTGTCTTATTTACAGTATATGAATACTACTTATCCTTACAGTTTTGATGATTTTAGTAGGAAATTTTATGGATACAACATAAATAATTTAATTGTAAATCCACTAAGCAAGGTTAATCTTGGTGGCACTTAGTCAAGTCAATCAAGTTAGTCTGGCTAGCGTACTTTGATTTAAGAAATTATAGATATTAGTTAACAAAATCAAAGCAACAATGCTTATCTCAATGACTAAAAAGCAAGCGACAAATTCTATTTCAATGATAAAACTTCTTCATTTTTGTTTAATTCTTTCACAATTTTGATAATAGTTGTATTCTTTTGGTTAGTTGCACTAATTTTTAGATTCTGTAGATATGTTTACAGAAAAGTTCATTACAAAGTAATTAAATGATATTTTGTCAAAATTTAATCTATTTTTAAATTTAATAAAGTCAACTGATGATTAAATTGCAAACAAAAAAAAAAAATTTACTGTAGGAAATAAGATTTCAGCTGCACTTACTGTTGGTTTACCATTCATTATTTTTTAAATCACTTCTTTAGAATTTATTCTATATTCTCTGCTACAATACTAAAATATGAATGACAACACTCTTTTTAACTTTATCTCCTTCTGTGTTTGCATTGTTGGGACAATATACTTTTTGCTTATGGTAATTATATAATTAATAATTCAGTTTTTTGCATATTCTTATTTTTATTTTTGATTTAATAGGTTTACTACATCTACTATGTACTTAATATAATGAAAAAACATAGAAAACAAAATTATTATTCGAAATGGTCTTTCCTATGGCATTAAGTAAGCTTTTAAGAAAGTAAAATGAAAAGAAATTTCTTTTTGCTACTCATTTTAAAGAAATTTTTCATCTGTATTTTTATTGTGTTTCTACAAATTAGATTAGAGTTTTAAGTGTTAGGAATATTTGCTCTAAATGCCTTATAAACAGGCTATATGCTATTTTTAAATCCATACTAAGAAAGATTCTATAGATATGTTTCAACTATAACATATACTTTAATGACTGCTATTTAAGGATGTATACTTATATATAGTCTCACTTTAAACACTAACACTTAAGTTAACAGTATTATAGCTGCTGAAATTCTTATAGCAGTGCTTATGCTATTTTTTTGTGGAGTATGCATAATAGAGTTATTTAGAAATATTCCCATCATATTTAAGATGATAAAGAAAATATTCTAAAATAAGATAGAAAATTAAGCTGACTAGTAATAGAGAATGAAAAAAGTATAAATGAAAGATTACGAGAAAAGCTATAAAAATGAATTAATCTAAAATTCTGTAGTTAATCCTCTCGAAAATGTAGGTAGTGAAGATGAGGAAGTTGTTGAAGAAGAGTTAGGGCCGAAGCATTTGAAAAATTCAGTAAATAGATATATTTGTGTTAATAAATATAAAATATTTTAAATTAAAAGAGCGAAGAAGATGATGAAGACAATGAAGATGATGACGAAAGTGATGATAGCAGTGAAAATAAAAATAAAGGAGATAAAAGCGAAGATGGTGATGACGAAGATGAAGAAGAAAGAAATAAAAAGAAATTTAACAGTTCCGACATCCCTCTAACTTAATTTATGCTTAATTAGAGGAGATCGCTATCAAGAAGTGGCAGCATGCAAGCAGATAGATCAAGTTAGATATTGCAACAATCATCTAGTTTAGGAAATTTTGGATTAAAAAATAATGGAAATAATTATTCAATTAAATTTAGACTTCCTCGTGCAGAAAGTTAGTTAGAGTATTAAATCACAAATTAAAAGTTTACAGAAGTCCAAAAAAATATTAATTAAAACCAATCTTTAAAAGATAATACTAAAACCGAACTATAACCTGAAATAAACACTTTTGAAAGCAAAAAGAAACTGAAAATGAAAGGCATTAAACAAAGTGGAAACTTAATTAACTCTTTAAAAGTTTTATAACAAAGTGATGGATTCTTAAGAAATAACTAAATCTAATAATAATAATAGACACCATAAATTTAAAATTCTTTGAAAAAGCTCCCAAAAGTTAATGAAAAGAAAAATAAAATGCAAGGTCTTTTGAAAGGTTTAAACTTAGGCTAAGATAAGAAGAAATCAAATGAGTATGATGAAACACCTATGTTTTGATTTTTATTTCTATTTGATTAAATAATTCTTTTAGTGGAAATAAATTGTAAACTTTCAAGTAATTAATAATAAGTATTAGTTATATTTTGTATAATTCTCCTCAATGATAAAATATTAAAATGAATTTTTTAAAAAATTTTCACTTTCAATCAACTTTTTATAATTTAGAAATAATTGTAAATCAAACTATAAAAATAAAGTTTGTTTTATTTTATAGAAAGTGGAATAACTGTCCAAAATTTTAATATAAATTAAATTAGTTATATTGATAGATAGATACATTATTTTTAAAACTTCAATTATGTCCGCAAATAAATTTTTTAACGATCTAAATTTTTTTGTATTGACAAAAAATAATTTACAAAGTTATTATAAATTTTCTTTTTAAGGTTTTCAGTTAAGTTTTTGATTGAATGACAGATTGAATATAAGCTTAGAAAAAAAATTAATAATTAAAAAACTTTAGCTATTTTAGTTACTTTAGATATAATTAGCAAGTGAGTGATTGAGTGATTTTAATTAAATGAATAAAAAGTGCATATAACATTCGAATATTTTCAATTTATAATAGTTTAAAGCTGCAATTAAGTAGACTATATACAGAATTTAGTAAACCATTTGCTTAAATTAATATGTTGGCATATTTGTTTAGCTTTTTATCTCTTTTTTGATGATCATTTATTTTAAGAATTTTTTATATTAACTTTTGATGGTATTAAAATTTTTGCTAATTATTTTGAAAAATATATAGCGATAACTTTACTGTCGATGCTGCTCTTTCTGAAATGAAATAAATTTTAACTAATTATGGAGAAATAGGAAAATAAGAAAGGCTTTCTGCTTTATGTGATATGCTTTTAGAATCTAATAATAATCTCAATTCTAAATAAAAGAAAGATTTGTTGAAAGTTTTAGGAATTATTGGAGAGATTTATCAAAAATATGTATTTATTTCATGGAATAAAATATGCAAAGTATTATAAAAAAAGATTTGCGATGATGATGCAAATACTTATCTTGCATTGGCTGAAAATGTAGGGATTTTAGTTTAAAAAGCTTTTTAAATTGACTAAAGTAGCTAAGATTATTAGGAATTTGAAATTAAATAATTTTGGGATCAACTAATGGGGTTATATTTTTCATTAATTTAATGTCCGAATAGCTCGTTAGCTGATAAAAAAAAATCAGTAGCTTCTTCTATGTGTCTTTCTATTTCAATACAAAGTATTCCTCAACTATTAATAATTGATGATAGAATAAATATTTGTTTATAAATTATGAAGCCTATAGAGAAAACAAACATAGCGGCAGAAAATCAATTACTGGACTGTCTGCTAAGTCTGATAGTTGCTTGTGAAGAGTAATTTGAAGATTGTTGTGAGTATTGTGTGCCTTTTGTAATTGATCAGCTTTCAAAAGAATAAAATATTATCACTTAAAATGCTATCAACATGAATATTAACTCTTCTAGCTCAAATTGGTAAAAGAGAAAGATTTGTATTGATATCATCTATACTCTTTCTGTTCTAACTCCTCCATATATATCACTTTACAAAGATCAATGTGTTGAAGTAGTTAGCTCCTTCAAATATGATAAAATAAAAAGTGTTAGAGAAGCAGCCTAAGTAGCTTTGGTATCTCTTCAAGACCTTCCTACTTTAAGAGAGTAAAAGTATGTACAAAATGTCTCTTCTGAAAATTTATCATCAACTCCTAAAGAATAATCTTTAATATCATCCAAGAGGGTAAAAATTAATTTTTTTTATATTGATTTTTTATTATTTATTAAAAATATTTTAATTTTTAAATAGGAGGGACGTGCTTTATATGGAAATCAAAGTCTGAAAAATTTAAAAGGAAACCATATTGAACAGCATATTTTAAATGAATAAAATGGAAATTAGCTTAACGAATTGGTAGAATAAAAAGAAGAAACTTAAAGCAATTCTTCAATGCCATTATTGGAAACTGTAGACATTGACTAAGAGACTATAGAATAAGCATTAGAAAAATTAAAATAAATATAGGATTAAGAATAAAATCTATAAAAATAACATGATAACATAAAAGAGAAAGAAAATCAAAAATAAGAAGATTTTGAAAATCAATAATTAAAGGTTGATAATAAATAATAAAGTAAAATTCCAGGATTAAAGAGACTATCTCCAGGTAGTTAGTACATTTATTACTAAATAAATTTTAAAATATTTTATGTATTAAAAAAGATTATAAAAAGTAACTATAAGTCAAAAAAGAGATGAAATTCGATAAATATAATTCTAGTCCTCCAAATTAATTTAAATAGAAAAAAGATCCTATTGAAAAAAAATTAAATAAAAATTTTTTTGAAAATGCTCCGAAAAATTTGATTGAAATAAAACTTAACGAAGGATAATAAAATCAAGAAGACCACCAAAATAGAAGTAAGTTGGCTATGCATAAAAGTTAATCTCTTTCTTTAATAGATAACAAAGAATTTTAGTAACCAAAAGTTTAAGAACAAAATAGTTAAAAGTTTCAAAACAAAAATTTAGATAAAGATTTAAAATAGATAGATGAAAATATTAAAAAAATTTAATCTGATTTAAAAGTTTATTAAGATTTACTCAGCAGTGGCGATAAAGATTCCAAATAAAGATTGTCAGTATCACCTTAGAATTTAAAAAATTAGTCAAAAAATGGATCAAACTAGAGCTTAGAAGAATTTGATTAAAGAGAGAAGTCTTTACCTAAAAATACTAGTTTCTCTCCTTCAAGAAATTACATGTAAAACAACAATTAAAATAAAAAAAGAAAAAAGATATTTGAAAATACTCCAATTAGTCCAAATGCCTAGCTTATGGCTCGTAAGTTATAATATATGCTGAAAATAATTAATTAAGGTTTAATGAAGATGCTGAATTTTATTTTTCTTAAAAAAAATTTTTATTAAATTTACTACTTAAGATGAATTTTTTTTACAAATGTTGAAAGCATTTATCAAACCTTGCACTCATTTTTTGAAAATTATTAATTTTTATATGGTTTATTAAAAAAGGGAGTTCTATTATAAATAACGGTTTAACATTGTAAAACAACTCAAAAGTATTTAATTAGGTGAATAACACCACACCAAGCAACAGTGACATTTAAATCTAAGATGATTTTGTTAAAAGATCAAGTACTTACTCTCCTGCATAGAGAAGCTTATTAAAGCCTTAATCTATATCCCCAAATTAACAAAATCAGCTAAATATATAATCTTATTATTAAAAGTCTTCTTAAAGGTAGTACAAGCCCATATTTTAGTAGTCCCCGAGCTATCAAAGGAGTGCTTCATATAAGAGATTAAATAATTTCGATTAATAATTAGCTCAAATATCTGAATCAAATTTACAATTCAATATTTCATAGCATTTAAACAATGAACCTACTTTGTACTTAGATAAAATAAGATAGCTCGAAGATGAAAATTAAAAATTGAGAATAAAGTTAAATGAAACTAAAGTTTAAAAAGAATAAATTGAAAAGTAGTTAAATTAGTAAATTATTGAAGTAAATAATAAAATGTAAAATTTGATACAATAGTTAAGCCAAGCACAAACTGAGAAGCAGTCTCTAATGTAAGAACACTTAGAGAAAGAAAATAATCTACAATCAGTTATACACTAGTTGAATGTATAAATTCAAGATCTTTAAATCCGTATTGAATAATTACTATCTCAACAAATAGATCAAGGTACATAAATAAATTAACTTGGTTTGAACTAGTAAAATATTATAAGAACTCAATTCAACAATATGATACCTTTAAATTAGAATAATTCATATATACAGAATGGTATTAATTAATTATACTTACCCAGTTACTAAATAACATAAATACCATCCAGTTTGAATAAATTGTCGCCTCATTAGCATACTTTACAAATGTAAAACTAATAAAGTGAAAAGAAAATATTACTGTTAAACTAAATAACAGAGGCAAACACTATAAAAAAAGTCTATCATAATAACCATGAACCTTAGTAATTCAATCACTCATAATATTTCAGAAGAGCAAATAAAATTTAAGATAAGTAATCATAAATAAGAAGCATATCTCCACTTTAAGGATTAGAATCACATGATTAAAATATTGCTCATATTCATGGCCAGGAACAAACAGCCAAATTTTGTTAAAATAATAAATTTAATTTTGATTAATTCTAAAAGCAAGAATAGTTAACTGAATAAATGCAAAAAAAATAATTAGGAGATTCCTTCAGCTAAGAAAATAAAGGTATGACAAGAAATGATTCATAAACTTTTAAAAGATAAACATTTAAACATGAAATACAGTAATCATTTTCTCCTAAAAATTCTTTCGTACCTTCTTCCAATTATTGGAAAGATTAGAATAATGATGAATTTCCAAAATAGATAAATGAAAATGAAGAAGAAATATCTTTAAAATAATTAAATAAAACTATTTAAAAGGTTGAACAGGCAATAAATGTTAGCAATAATCATATTATTTAGTTCTAATCTAATTAAAATACTAAAAACGAAGAAAAGCCATTTTTTGCTGCAGAAAAAAAACAAAATGGTAGAAAGAGAAGTTTATTGAATGGTGTATTTAAAGAAATAAATACTGCTGAAAAGATTGAGAGCTAATAGAAAATTGAAGAATCATATCAAGCAAGTAAAGAAAAGAAATATGATGAATCATCAATATTTCCATAAATTAATATCTTACTAGATTCCTAAACAAAATTATAAAGTCAACAAATAAACATCTAAAAATAATTTGAAACAGAAAAATTGGAATAGTAAAGTGAGTAGTCTAAGAATTAAAATAAAAGAACCCTAAATCCATATTAAAAATAAGAAACATTTTAATAGAAAGTTGATTATAACATTCAATAATAAAATTAAATAGAGAATATAGATTAAGTTTTCGAATTCCTTCAAGTAAAATATTTTTCATTTATATTTATTTTAAATAAAAACTAAATATTTTACCTAAAAAATACTAAAATTAGGATTAAAAATATAATGAAGCTCTAAGTATAGCCCTTACTTAGTAAGATGATGATTTCCTCATTTAAGTACTTAAGCTTTCAGGTAATATTTTAGTAGAAAAATTTAATTTGAAAAATTCATACAAAGAAAGATAAATGATTATATTTACATAAAATAATTTTATTAAAAATTTGATATAATATTAAAATAGAAATGGAAGACTGCATTAATAAACTAGATGATACTCATAGTGAATATTTATTAACCAAACTTAAGGGTATGCTATATAATAGATAATACTTAGATTAATGCATTCCTTGGATAACTTAAATTGTTAAAAGTAATGTTTCAATATCATAGCTCCTTCTTAATTCGTTAATAGACACCATAAAGATTATTCTTGATTAACAATAAAATCCATATGAACCAAATTAAAGTATTACATAAGAAGAGTAACAGAGTATCCAACAAATCTTATAGATTGCATAGTAGAAAATTTGAAAATCTCTGATAATATGAAGAAGGCTTAGTTTATATTTTGCTTGAGTGCATTTAGTTAATTTATTTATTATTTATATATATATTTTATTCAAAAAAATTATTGAAGTTTACTATAATGTAATTTAATGTTTAAAGAAGTGTATTAATAATTAAAATGGTATATGAATCCTTCAAGCTTTATAAGCATCATTATTAATCTGTAAGCTTTTTATTTGAGTATTTTTATCTAAAAGTTTGAATAAATATATCGAAATCCTCCTTTTTTACAGGTTTATCTTTGTTAGGACTTTCACTGTTTCTATTTTTTTCATAATAGCTATTTACTTAATTTTTTTTTAACTCTTTCGTATTTTATCTATCTTCTTTTAACTCCTATAAGGTATATCCATAAGTGTGAATTATTTTTTCTTTTTTATCAGTTCTTTCTTTTTCAACAGAAGATATCTTTTAAATCCTTCTTCTACTTTAAGATTTAGCAAATGGGCTTTTCCTTCCAGCATTATACTTTGTCTGAGGAGTTAAAAAATTATTGGAAAATGAATTTTCCTGTTTATCTAATTAAATTTATGTTGGCTTTTAGACTTTTCTTTAAGTCAACTGCTTAGTGCTTAAATTTTCTTCTTTTTCTTTATCGTTGCTATTTTATCTTGGCGAAATCTTTAATAGTAAATAAATTAAATTTAACATGAAACTTATTTGTCATAAACAAAATAGTATTTTACTTGTTCTATTTTTATTATGGGCGGTAGCTTTTAATCCTTATGTTTTTTTATTACTTCCCTCTCATAGAAGGTCTCTATTGAGTTGGTTCTATTTATTGTCGTTTAGTTTAAAAATTATCTATACATTTTAGAATCAACAGGACTTCCATCTCTTTTTATCTTTAAATATAATATAAATGAAATTTTTTCTATCTATCTATCTTAAAAATCATATTTTATTTTACCAATCCATTCTTTATGAGACTTTATTTATTGCGAGGATTGTAAAAAAATAATCTTAAATTATCATCTAACAAAGGATCGTAAGTTAGAGTTTCTTTTGCACTAAATTTTTAGCAATCAAGAACAAATGAATTTTCACGCTTTTTAAAATCTATTTTATCTAATTTTAAAGGCTATTGGTCTGCTTTGTTGTACTATTTATTGGTAGAAATGCTCCTAATTTTAGTTTTATGTTTTTATTTTGACTCTATTGTAGATCCGGATTAAGGAGATGAAAATTATTCAGAACTTTACTGTTAAGACATTTTAAATTGAAAGTTTATGATTTGATATTATTTTTGTTTCAAAATTATATATCTTTTTATTGGTTGGTATCTGTGCAAACACTTTTTCGCATATATTTTATTAGAGCTACAATCAAAAAAAGTATTAATTTTTTTAAAATCTGAAAATGAACAGTAAAGTAAATTCAAGCAAATTAATAAATTTAATATTTCATAATTTAAGATCCTTAATGTAACTAACAAAAATAATTAAAATGTTTAAAATAAAAAAAATGATTAAAAAAGTTACAAACACCAATCACACAAAATGTTAGTTTACATTTTAATAATGAATATTATTAGATATTTAATTATATTTATTTATATTTAGATAAAAAGTATTTTATATATTCAAAATAGCTTTTTTCAGTTATTTTTTTTTTATTCAGAAATGTTGAGCTTTTCTTTAGTATCTTTAATTAGTATTTCAACGTCTTCTTAGTTATTATTATTTTAGGAGTTTCCTTGTGTTTATGAATTAAGGTTTGCCTAAGGTTGATTATTTTGCATCAAAAACATTTAATTTCTCAATTATTAAATATTATTGACTCTACTATCATTTTAGCTTTGTGCTAATGGATTCATTTATTGAAGTAGTTCTAATTATTATGATTGTAAATCTTATTAATATTTGTATTATTATCTGAGTTGTTCCAGAAGCATATTTTAAGTATTACTTTATTCTTGTAGAGGATTGTGTTATCTATTTTATTAGGAGTTAACCATATTAAAATTTGAGAATGGATGAAAAGGAAACATAGGGAAGTTAGATTAAGGATATGCACAATGAGGAGGGGGTGGAGGTGGCATGTTAAAGTTCATCCTATTTTTTAAATCATATTAACCTGGAAATTCGCCATTGGAATTTTTCATAAATTTAAAGAATGGATGAAAAGGGTGATGTCTGTGATGGTGATCACGGCGATGGTGGTGATGCTTATATTTTCTTGAATGTGGTGAAGAAGAGCTTGAACTTCTGCTAGATGAGCTAGAGCTAGATTTAGATTTATTATTTTTTCTTCTATCTTTAGATCTATTGCGGCTACGGCTGCTACTACTGCTCTCACTACTACTAGGAGATTTTCCCTTTTTATTGAATTTTCTATGATGACGACGGCCTTTACTTGATTTTTTTCTATCTTTACTTAAAGATTTTTTAATCAAGTAGCGTAAGGCAGACTCGGCATCACTTTTACATTTCTTTAAAGCTTATAGGTTTTTCTTAGGATCAGTAAATCCATTCTATATTAAATATTAATTTCCTTTAGCATAATTATCTAAAGTCTGATCATCATATTCTGTTTCAGAATCTGAGCTTGATGATGAAGATTTTGATCTTTCTTTTTTACCACCACATCTTTTTTTTCTTAGATTACCACATTTTTGCATAATTCCTGTTCCCATAAATAAGCATTTGAATTATTTCTTCCAAAATTTTTTGCCATTTTTATTATTTTCTGTTTTAAGATATTCTTTTATTTTTGCCAAATCTCCTTAGAACATACGAATCACCTTTAAATAGAAGGGAATGAGGAAGATGTATCCTGACAAAAGTAAATCTTCAATTAAAGTTTTGTAATTAGGATACTGGGTTTTGAACATATCTTCCATTTGTTACTTTTCTGATCCTATTGATTAGATTTATTGAATAAATTAGACTGCTTATTCAACATTTCCACCATTGAATTTGAGGATACGGAGTCCCATTTTAGGATGAGGGACTTCAACTCTTTTCATTAATTCTTAGTATTAAGCCTCTAAATTGTGCTTCTTAAGTTTTTTCTAGAGCATAGCTTTTCTGTAAATGATTTTTTCTTTTACTTTTTCTTCGCTTCCATTAGAGTTATAGAGCATTTTGTAAATGATAATAGGAGCAAAAGTTTCCTCTTAGCGTATTTTTTAATATACATCAGACCATCCTTTAGTGTTCACAATTTATTCCACTATTTAATTAACTTCTTGGAGTAAAGTAGTTTATTGTTATGAATTTTCAATTTCAAGTTTGTCCATTTATTTATTTTATTATTCGGTTTTTGTATTTCAATTTATTTGATTATTTATTTTTTTGAATTAATAATTATTACTCAATGTTGATAAATTTTATGAGTTTTTAAAATTATTGATAATTATGATCAGATTTCAAAAGAAATATTTTGGATATTATAATTAATTTCAAAAAAAAAATAAATTAAAAATGCATATAATTTACCTGAATCACTAATTACAAACTGTAAATCATTGTTTTTAAACTTATTACCTTGCATTTTTTTTAAATTCGCAAAGTTTTAGCGAAAATATATTTTTTAGAAATATATAAATGGATTAAAGTTTAAAAATTTAAATAGGGGCATAAAATTGTAGCTTTAAGCTTCTAAATTGTAAGCGTTTTTTAAAAAAGAAATATTAAATAACCTGATTTATAAAAATTTTGAGTAACAAATTTCAAAAGAAAATAATTTAATTTAGAGTAGACATAATTACTTTCTATTACAGCAAATAAGCAAAAGAACAATTTACTATTTAAAAAAATACTCAATAATTTTACAGCTTGAATTTGAAATAGTTTGCTGTAACATATAAAATATTAATTATAAAGGTAAATAATCTAATAAGTTTTAAGTAACTGTAAAGTAAAAGATTTTATTAGACATTTAAAAATTTAAATATTAAAATTATAGCTTTATCTAAGCAATTAAAGAATATGTATTCTATGAAAATAATAAAAAATGTGTTAGACGCAATATAGATTATATTAGACCTAAAGCTAGCTAATTGGTAATACTAAATATTTGTGTGTTTAAAAATAATTTCATAAAATAAAAATTTATCTTAAATTAAATTTAGATAGAACAAAAAAAATTATTAAGAATAGATAGAAAATTTTTCTGCTTTTTTTGAGATATTTTTATTTTAATATGAAATATAATAGTATTCTTTAATTTTTTATCCTTTTTCAAACATTTTATTTTAAATTTCAAATAAATTGGGTTTAAATATGTAAAAAATAAAATATTTATTTTAATTATTTAATATAAATGATTCTAATATTTTAAATGAAATATTTATTTTTATCTAAAAAATCATAATAACTACTTTTATTGTTTAAATTTATAGTCTGATTTTGATTTGAAAATAAATAAGTATTATTTGATTATCAAGGATTATACTTAGTATTATTTTTTAGTTTTCAAATAAAAACTGAATCTATCTTTAATGATGGATTTCTTTAAAAATGACTTATTATTAAATTTTGATTAAAACTATTTCCTAATAATAGAAAGTAAAATTATAAAATATCTTTACATTTTAAATATAATTTAAATGAAACAACACGAATGAAGTGATGATCTTAAAATTTTTAATTAACAACAAATAATTTAATATAGTTTATTTAAGAAGAATAAATGCATTTTAACTAAATTTTCAATCAGTCAGATATTATTTCATTTTTAAATTTTGTTTTTAATAAATATTTGAATTTTATTTTCATAAATAATTTTTGCTAAATGGTTTTTTTTCTTTCGTTTATTATTAATTCATTTTAGATATTTCTGATATCGAATAAAATTGTTTTTGAGATTTATTACTCATTATTGATACATTTTGTGACTATTCTGAAAGTGGCTCCTTTGATCTTTATGATTATTAACTCATTCTTTCTTATGATAAATTATGGGTACTTCTATTATTTTAAACGCCTTAAGATAGATATCTTTGACTACTTTTTTGCATAACTTAAATATTGTTTTCTTTATTTTGATTAGAATTATAATTATTGTCTATTTATACTTTGAATGTTTCCCTTAAATTTTATTCATTTAATATGTAGCTGTAAGGATTTCTGTCAGTCCTTTAGCTCACACCTCCAGATAAAGATCCATCGTTTCTGCTACTTTATTGGTATTATGGTGGTTTTCTGTAATTTGTGTTATTTGACTGATATTACTAATTAGCAGATATTCTTGAAGAGTCAAGGTGATTGTTTGTTGAATAGAATGTTTTTTCATTATTATTTACTCCTAAATTAGCAGTTTCATATTAGCTAACTTATCTTCTTGAGCTATCATGGCTAAGTTGTTGTTATCTTACTTCATCTTAAGATCTGTGTGATTCATATGTTTCAAAAATTTTTCTTCTTCCTTAAGATAATCTTGATCTATTCAATTAACTCTAATCAAGTGGGTTTATTGATAAATTTGACGACATGTTGATTGCTTATTGCTATAGATTAGAATCATTTTAATTCTAAGATAGGTCATTATTACTTCTTCTATTAGTGTTAGACACACTTCTATTTGAATTAATTCTTTGTTAATTAACTACATTCATTAAGCTTCTTAGCGAAAGCTGTTATTATTAAGGTTATTAAAGTGATTGACGAAGCGGAATTTGAATATTTTCAAAAGAATTCCAACTCATTTCAGTCTTAGAAATGCGGCTTATTGAATTTTACAGATTAGTTTATTAAGTATTTTACTGCTATTGCACACTAAATTACCATTCCTATGAGCTATTAACACAAAGGTTTGAATTATTATTTAATTTATTTTTATCTATATAGCTCATATTAGATGTAGAATGGTTTCTGTTATTAGCAAATTCTCTAGCATTAGACTGGTTGTTATTGTTATATGGTAATTATCTGCTCGATGTGTGAGAATTATTGTAACTAAATATTCTTTCTCTCGATTTAGATTATCTCATTTGTTAAGGATAATCTTATTATTCAGAGCTATAAATGCTTTATAAATCTTGTTGAGAATTACTTGAGCTTGAGTTTCTTTGAGGGAATATTTGATGAGTAATACGCTCTAACTTATTATGTAGACTTGATAGATGAGGAGGATTGATGCTTGTTTCATCTTCCAAGTTAAACTTTCCTTGAAAAAAGTTGAGGATTTATTCTTCTTTTTCATTTTTGCTAAATTCAGAAATTTATAATTAGTGTCTAGAAGAATCAATAGTCTTTAATTTATTATTATTAACTTGACTGTTATTGCTGTTGTCTTCTTATTGTGCTATTTGTGCATTACTGTTATTATTTAATGATGAAAATCTGTTGAATTAAGATATAGATTAGAAACCCAATGCTGGCTTTTCTGAAGCTGTTGACTAAAATTTAGATTTATCATTCATACAGAAATTTGGAGATTTGTATGAAGTATTTAGCTATTTCATATGAGACTAATTTTCTACATCTAATAAAATTTAATCACTAATCGATATCTTGTTGATGGCCTAAGGAAATTCTAGAGATCTCTTACTTAACTAAACAGAATTTTACTCTGTACCATTACTTTTATTAGTTTAGTATTTATACTGGTATTCTTCTATTTAAATTTTATCAGATGGATCTTAAGACTAAAAGGAAGAATGCTTTTAATTATTCTATACCTCTGAATTGATGGTAGGAGGGGTTATTTTAATTTATATTTATTAATTTTATAAATTTGAGTGGCTCTCTTATTAATGCTAACTTTCATAATTCTATTCCATTTATTATTATTTCAAAGATTAAACTTTCAAATTTTTATTAGAAAAGTTAGTTTCTGAACAATTACTTTAATATGATTTTATTTATTTTTCATCTTTGGAACTCATTTAAAAATTATTATTATCATCTATTATTCTATTTTATTCAAAGCTGCATTTGATTTTCGAGCTTGCTAGACTTCTTCCTGCAGGAACTCTTTCTTCTGTTTTAATTTATTCATCACACTCAAATTGGTTTATTTAAACTCTCTTATCTTCTTATTCTACCTATTCATATAATTATTATTTTTGACTTTCTGAATCTTAAGAGGTTTTTATGTCTGCTTGTTTAGAGGAATTTTGGAAATCGTTTGCTTATTAACAAGTAGAAGGCTATGAATTAATACATTTTTTATAGGAAGACTATGTTACAGATTTGTAATTTTGACACTAATCTTACATAAAATTCTCAACTTTCACTTCTAGTTAAGATTAATTTGTATTTTATTGTAAGTATGGACTCCTAGATCCTCTCCCTGCTGGAATTCTTTCTTGAGATCTTTACAAGTCAATATTATTTTTTTACTTTCCATTTGAAGATAAAAAAGGTTCTTTTTATTTAGTTCTTGATTGTTAAAGTAAAGAGAAATTGTCTTCGAATTGTTTTTTTTCAATACTTTTTTCTAATTACTATCCATTACTTTAATAGGGAATGTTCTAAATAAAGCTATTAGATTAGTTTTACATGATGTTATCTACTTAAAAATATTTAATGTTAAAAAAAAAATGATACAAAAATAAAATTACTGTTTAGTGAATCAGAAGTTTATTTTAAAAAGTGGTTTGAAGTTTCAAGTTTTATTTTTTCCATTTGCTTTTAAATTTGTAATTTTTGATTTGGAGACACATTTTAAGTTTCTTTTTTTTAAACTGACTCAATAATTGTTTAAAGTTATTAAAGATTCTCGATTTGATCATGATAAATGTTTAATTCTCTGCTTCCACTTCTTGAGGATCTATTAATAGCTTCTTATTAAAGATTCTATACATCATCTTTGTTTAAATTATTAATTAATTCTTCTTATAAAGAGTCTTATTCTTTTGAATTTTCTTATCTTTTAACTTTAGTATTGCTATTTTTATAATCTTAATCAAATAACTTTTAAACAGCTTAATTCAGTTGATTCTGGATTTACATTTAATCTAATAATTTAATTTGATATTTATTATTCAGTTACATCTTAACTTCTTAAATTAATTCAAATTTAATTAAATTAATAATTTTACTTATTTAGAGTGTTGTGCAATATTCCACTAACTTAGAAACTATCTCTACCCACATATCATTATTCTTAGTTCCATCACTTTGAGACACATGCTACTATTGCTAAATATTAGGGATAGAATGAGCTAACATACTTTGATCCTTTATCTAACTTGCTGTGTTTTACTAAATTTCCTTTTATATTTACAAAGTGATGTATTTATGTTCTTATTCAATTTTTTCCTATTATTTGTTCAACGAAACAATTTTCTCAGCTGTGTAAAATTTCAATCTATTTTATTATTTGTTAGATATTTTAAATTTAAAAAACATATTAAATATATGAAATAAATACTTTTCATGCTAGAGACAATTTTATCCTAGAATTTTAATGTTATCTACTACAATTTTTGCAACTCCTTATATTTTTGATATGATAGTTACTTAAGTATCTTCTCCCACAATCTAATATTCCTCTACACCTTTTAAGTTTTCTAAACTAGGTTCACTTAACGAATACAATCCGTGAAGTTCTATTTATAAATATTATTGATATTAGAAACATTTACCAAAGTCCTACTATTAAAAATAAATTTTTACTTTAAATAAATTGTTATTCTTCTTCAGATACTTTTTTTATTTAAGAATCAGAATAAGTCACTGCTTCATCACTTTTGCTTTTTATAAACTTAGAAGATAAAATTTATACTTTGGCATTTAAAATTTTATTTTGATAAATTATAATACCTCATTGAATTTATACAAAAGCTTCATTGTATAATCTATGATTTCAACATATTTTTCCATTTAGGAATAGAGCTGTTCTTTATAAATTTCATAATTTTCATTTATATGTTGTTACTCTTCTAATTATTAGGTGAGCATTTAGACCTTTTACTCAAGGAGAGCTACTTTATCATTTTAGGCTTTGCTACTTTTATAATTAAATGAACTCATTGCTACAAAAAATATCCTAACTTCTTTATTAATTTGATATTTATTTTCAAATAATGTTATTTGAAATTGAGTTTCTTAAATTATTGATAATCAGATAGGAAATTTTATAATAAATACTAAAAAATATGATATGATCGTTTGAAATATGATACTTAATTAATAAATTAGTCTAATTAAGAAGGGATCGTTGTATGAATATTTGAAGTAAAAATGATTTAATTATTTATAACAAAAAGTAATCGTGGTTTAGAAAGTTGATATACCTTTTACTCAAATCATGTTAATTAAAATATAAGATAATAAAAAAAAAAACAAAAAAAAGGATTTAGTTCCTCTTGGTTAATAGCAATTCAATTTAGATTAATTGAAAAGAAAGAAATTTGTATATTTTTGATTTGATTGGCATTAACAGAAACACCAGCAAAAAATTAACTCTAACATTTATTGAAAATATAAACAAAATAAAAATAAATAGGAAATGCTCAACCAAAGCAAAAAGAATTGGAATGCAGAGAGTCCCAAGTTTCTGAAATACTTTTTCAAAGATTGTGTTTTAAATTAGGAAAAAATGAGCAGCTTAGTTGAGTAATAAAAGCGATAAATAGAGGAAGAAAATAATTAAAATAGTTGCAATAAAGTAATAATTACAAATAGTGAATAATCAGTCCAATAAGGTAAATAGGCTTCATAAAAGTAGTCATAGACTAGTAAATAAAATAATGGGATTTCTACTTCCAGTCATTTAGTTAATACAAATTTAGTATAAACAGCGAATAGTTAGGCAACTAATGTTAATAGCTCAAATGGCAGCTAAAATACAAATTTAGTTAATAATCCGTTAGATTTCTCAAAAATATATGGATAAATGTTTAACACTCCTATAATGCCTCATATTCCTTCTGAGTTTCAAACCAAGACTCCTAACTTTGATGTTACTGAATTAATTGAATGCTTGGCTGAGCTAAAACCTGCTTAAATAGTATCTGGAAAGAAAAAAAATAGCAGCAGTCACATTAGCTCTGGAATTAGCTCAAGTGGTGCTGAGTGGAATGTGTTTGAATAGGATGTCCCAAATCTAATTAAGAAGTTTTCTTCTGAAGGATACAAAGCATTGTTAATGCAAGACTATAAACAGGCCTTGATTTGTCTCAAAAAAAGTGAAATACTTATGAACACTTTTGTAAATAAAGCTGAAGGCAAAATTGAGAGCGAAATTCTACTTTTCATTAAGGCAAATTTAGGAATTTGCTTTTACAGAATCGGACTTTTATAAGAAGCATTTAATAATTTTTGTATATGTTTGGCTCATTTAAAAAAATAGAGTGGAAAAGTTTTCTAAACAAATACTTAAAGCTAGCATCCAAGCATCGCTAACACAAATAACGACAAATAAAATGGTGTATCTCAAAAATCTAATAGTAATTAAAATATTATCTCAAATTAGTATAAAAAAAGGTCATATAGTAATCTACCTAGTATTGATTAGGCAGAATACCTTTAAGTTTTGGCTTAAAAATTAAAAAAGAAGAAACTCAAAGGAGATCTTCTCTTATAGACATGTATTGTATTGTCCGAGTAAGGAAAGCACGATGAAGCCCTTGTAATTGCTAATAAAGGAGCTAAGCTTTAGTTAAATTATGTCATTGACACATTGGCTGCTTGCTATCACATTATCTTGCAACTAATTAAAGAAAGAGATTAAAACATATCTTCTAATGATGGCAGTGGTATTTCTAAAGCTTAAGTAAATAGAAGGGGTAATTCTGCTCATCAATCTTCATCTCATCACACTCACTACTTTAATTAATAGCATAAAGATAGCAAAAGTAGTGGAACCAATATGAATTACAATATTTTTGATGGTGATTTTGTTTAGGAACTTTAATCACCGATGCAATCATAATCTCAAGGATTTTTTAAGAATGCTAATCTTAAAGAAAGGATATCATACTAAGAAAAACTTGTGCCTATTTTAAAGGAGGTGATGAAAAGAACTTAAGATCTTCACTTTTAAAATGTTAACCCATCCAAACTGAAAATATTAGATGTTATGAATAAAATAATAAACAGTTCTAATCTAATGAATAATAATGTTATTAGAAATGGAAACCACCAATCTAAGAATAGCTCTTAGATTCAATCTCCTACTGCTTCTGCCCAAATAAATCATCACCTCGAAAAAGAGGATAATAATTAAATTGATGTTAATTAAATATTAGAAGTAAGTTTATACGAAAGACCTGATTTGGAATTTCTCTTTAAGACAATTACAAGCAGTTAACACTGGATTCTAAAAACAAATATATTAAGTCTTTTGCAGCTTAAAGCAGTTGCTCTCGAAGAAACCTAAATTTGTAAAACTTCTATAGACCATGAAATCTCAATCGATGCTATTTTAAGCAAACTCTCCCATCTATGTGTGTCTTTCTATTGCATTTCTACTGAAACAAGATTTATCAACGATTAGAAAAAGAATAAATAAAAGGAAATTTCTCAGCTTTAGCTGCAAAGTGGAAATAATTAGTCTGCTTAAAATCAGTAGAAGTATGCCAAATTCCTTCAGAATCTGAATTATGAAGTATCTGAAAGTGAAAATTGGCTCTCGAGAAGTCTAGAAATAGCTTACGTATTTCTACCTCATGATATGCCCCTTGTTGGGTAAATTGTGAGTGTCCATAATAAGTTTCATAATGTGAATAAAATTGTTATTAAAGAAGATGAGAATGAGCACGATGATGAAGAAGACGATCAAGAGGAAGATTTCTAGTAAGAGTAAAGTTATGAAGAAGATTATTCTAATCCTACATCAAAAAAAACAAACTCATAAGTTAAAAATCATACTTACTATCACTCCGAATATACCTCACCTCTTGTAACTCTTCCGGGTGGATCTAAATCTAATTTTTTCATTCCTCTTGTGAGAAAAATCAAGCCAAAAATCACAAAGCAGCCCAATCCTAAAGACGAAATAGAAGAAGAAATTTCTAAACTTTATAGTATATACTAAATTAATGTCTAGCCTCAAGCTCCTGAACCAATCAGTGATAGCACATCTGCTTAAATTTGCATAAGTGCACCTTAATCAGAAAGAACTAATTTAAAAAAATAAAAGTAATCCTCTGAGTAAGTATCACAATCATAAAATTACTCCTTGCAATAGGTTTTCGAATAGTAAATTGTAAACCAAAAAGCATTGAAAGAAAAATAATTCTAAAATATGCACAATATTGCAAATTAAGCTAATAAAAAGTAAACTGTAGAAGAAATTTAAGTAGGATTCAAACCAAACTAATAATTAAAGAAATAAGAAGATTAAAAGTTAATGTAAAAAGAATAAAATTAAAATTCAAGCAAAATCTAATCACAAAATCTCGCAACTCAGCAAATTAAGAGGCCTCAAGATATTTAAAATGATATTTAACAAAGTAATATTGCTATTAAAAAAAGTAACCCTTCTATATAAAACAAATAACAATAAATATTGTAGCAACTTTCAAGCACAACTCCAGCTCAAATATCTAACTCTCAATAAGTACAGCTTTAAAACTAATAATAGATATTAAACCATAAAATACAATAGCATCAACAATTAGAACAATCAGCTCAGATTGTTTAAAATTTGTAGAGGTTATCTAAAACAACAGATTTCTAGCCTTAGTTTATAAAACAAGTAAACAATGATGAACAAGAAAATCAATAATTTTAGCAAGATGATTTTAATTTTGAGGAATTTTAAATAATTAATTAAAATCCTTAAATATTTTTACAAAATAATAAGCAATATAATTAAATCAATACAAACTCTTCTTCCTTTAATTAGCAATAATAGTAAAAAAATAATTTATCCTCTGGAGGATTAGGCGACTCAAAATATGATTAAATAAGAAAATCTCAAGAAAGAAAACTCCAAGATAAGTATTATCAGCAATACTAATAATTGATTATACAGCGCAATCAAACTAATGAAAAAAGATAGTAATCTTAAGAGTAGAAACAAAGAAGTCAAAGTAATGGTAATCCTAATTCCCAAGCAACTTAGAATTAAATAAACAACTAGAAACAATATCAATAAGCTTTTAACAATACAAACATCTTATTATTTAATTCTAGCAATGCTACTTAGATTTAAAACAACCAACCTGGCTCTTTATCAAGCTCTGGTTAAAAAAAGAAAAAGAGAGTGCTTTCTCTTGCTTAAGAAAATTCTTTATCACTTTCTCATTAATCACTGCAAGCAAATTAAAATAACTTTCTTTAACAACATAATTAATAATTTAATTAACAACAATAGCTAGATTTTTCATATTTAAACTAAAATAACTATCACACTCCTAGCAATTCTAACCAAATTAAAATAGATTTTAATAGATTGCCAAATAATATGATATTAGATTAGTAAACACAGTAGAATTAATTATAAACTTAGTAACATTAATAAAATAGCTAATAGAAATAATTGAAAAAGATATTGTCTAAGCCATTATCAGCAGAAAGAAAATACAGAACTATTGATAATTCTTTAAATAATATTAAGAGTTTGTAAAATAGCAGCCATTTTATCAACAATGTAAATGTATTGCTTGATTAAATGAATTATCCATAAAGTGCTAAAAATTCAGCAACCGTAAATTCAACCACTAATTAATCCTCGGCGAGATAGCAGATACAATAGTTAAGTTAAACATTTGAGGTGAAAAGAAAACCTTCATCTTCAAACGCTAGTGCTCCTAAAACAACTCGAAATAATAGTGTGAGTAAGACAGCTAAACACACAAAAAACAGCAGTAATCATCCATCAACTGCTGCTACTACATCTTCAACTATTAACAATAGCTCTTTAATGAATTAAGCTTCAAATAATTAAAAACCTTAGAATACTAGCTAAATTAATGAAAAGTAAATATAAAAGTCCATGAAAAATAACTACATATAAGATCATATCTTAAATGAGATATTCGATATAAACAACATAATAAAGCCTTCTCACAATAGGGGATAATCTATGTAAATCTAAACAAACTCAGTAGTATCTCCTTAGAGCAACCAATTCTAGTAAGATAATTAATAAGTTTAATTCAGCTAAAATATTTCTTCTCATCTCTTACAGTAGCAACTCATCAATCAACTTACTTAAAGTAATAATAATACAAACAGCAATAACAACAATGGAAAGAGACTTAACTCTAAAGAAAATGTTTAGCGCTCAAACAGCTCAAATTAATCAGGCTAAAGAAAGAATAAGAAAAATTTAGACATTTAAGTGAATTAACATGCAATCTAATTTAATAACAATCCTCTCTTGAATGAAGATGCATAAGGAGCTTCAAAATCAAGCAGAAATAGTAGTAATCCAACAAATTTCCTTTAAGATAACTATATAAACCTATTTAAAGGTAGCTAATCTACAAAATCTTCATAAAACCAAACTAATATTTTTATGAACTAACCTTAACAATTAAACAATAAATACTCAGCCTAGACAACTAAAAATGCATAAAAAGAATAAAATACCATTAATTCCTCTATAAATGCCTAAATTAATGTCAGCTTGCTATCTAAAAATTAAACACCAAAGCAATAAAATAATCCTTCCTCCTAACCAGGAAACTCATAAAGTATAAATGATAAAAAACTTCATATGCTAAGAAAATTTAGATCTACAGTGGGAAAAGTTCCAGAAGATCTACTAAAAAAGAAATGATTTTATATAAGATTTGAAGAAACTTGTGATGTGGGGGTATCTGGATAAATTATACAAAAAACCTCATAGAAAGATGATTAAAAGGTTTGCAAAATTTAAATATTGAAATGAAGTTATTTAAAAATAAATAAGAATTTTTGAATTAAATAAATAAAAAATTAATAATTAATCTTTATTTTATAAATAAGAAATTTTTTTAATTTTATAATAAATAAACAAATCATATATTATTTACCTTAACTCTTTATAAATAAATAAATATATTTTATTTTTGTAAACATCTTTTCTTTCATATAAATTTTATATATTTATTTTATCATTTGCTCTATTAATTACTCAATAACTCATATTCATACTTATTCAACTCATATTAAATTCAATTTCTTTAATTATTTCAATAAATATATTAATTTTTTAAAGAAAATTTAATATATCTTTACTTATACAGAAAAATAATATTTAACTTTACATTATAATAAAATTTAAGCATAAACTATGAGATAGGAATCTGAATCTTTTACTGAAATGAAGTCATTGAGATAAGACAACAATTCTGAAATTTAGCAAATAAGACCAACATTTTTAAACTATATGAAATTATGGTTTTTTAACCCATTTATTATTGGATTAAGTGTTGGAATTGGACATTTCTTATCTTTTTGGCTCTGTAAATAGCTTCTTAAAATAGATAAAGTAAAAAGTATTGTATATTGATATCGATTCATAGCATTTAATAAGTGTTATGCTGTTGAATTACATATTTTTATAGTGTACAACTTAAATTTTAAGAAGAAAAAAATGTCATTTAATTTTATCAATTAATTGTCAGTATGATGAAAATAAAAATATTTAAAAAGCTTTTTAATTGGGTCCAACACAAAATAAAATTATTTGCAAGCGTTAACTTAATAAAAAATAATTTCTAGGAAGCATGGCGTTTGTTCATTTTAATAAAAATATTTAAAATAGAATATTCTATTTTCAATTTTTTTTTTAAAAAAACAAACAAAATAAATCTTAAAAGAATCAATCAATCAATATCTTCTTTCTATTTTACAAAAAAAGAAAAATTAATTTTAAAGGCAAGCTAATAAAATAAATTATTTGAATTTAAGTTTACTAAAAATATTTAAAATCAATCTTTAATTTGCAATTATAGCTATCATAAAATATGGAAAAAATATACATAAAAATAAAATATTAAAACTAAATGTTTTATTAAATAAAAACTAAATCTTTTTCAAAATAATAAGATAAAAAAAGATTCAATATGATTTAATTAATATTTTAAATTTCTTAGTTTGTTAATTCAAAAAAATAGTTTTTAGACTCAACAAAAATAACTCAAAAGTATTAAAATATTTATTTTAGCCAATCATTCGATATCAGAAAATACTGCAATTTGAGCAAGTACGATCTGTTGCTGAGGAGTTTTTTTCTTTTTAATTTATTGGAATTTCCTATTGATTATTTTCTATTTATAATTTTTATAATTGCTGATAATATGAAAGTCTATCTATTGCCTACTATCTTCTTACTTCTACAAATACATCTTTGTTTATTTTAGGTTGAGAAAAATCTGTTTATAAATTTTATTTTTAGTCATATCCATATCTATTTTATGATTAAAACGATCTCTTAAAACTACTTGCTCTCTTTATTTAAAAATCATCCATTTCATCCAAGATTTAATCTTAAGAACCATTTGATTCTATAGGAAAGCGATTTTGGTATTCAGTTCTTCTTTAATATTTTTAATTATTCATCATCATCAGAGCTATTACACTATTATTCATTAATTCTTATTTATTTTCTTAATCGTGATGAGATAATGAAATAGAATCTAAAATATCATCTTAATAGTCATCAGGTTATATTCTCCTTAAATCGTCCAATATAGCTGGAGCTTCAGACTGCCTATGATACGTATTCCCACCAAGCTTTGAAACAATTGACTACTAAGAACCTCTATTTTTAATACTAGATTTTGGTAATATAGAGCCACTAGATAAACCTTATTATTAAATATAAGAAGATGAAGGAACATTAATAGAACTTTTATAATCTTAATTTTAAAGCTAATCTTATTCATCACTCATGTTTATCTTACTCTGAATGCCTTACTTCTTAAGCTTTTTTATTTCATCTTTTTTCATGTATTACACTTTTTCGAGCAACCCCTGTAAAAATAAACAAAAAAATATTTTCCAAAAAAAATAATTAATTTTAATTCTTGTTTTTACTTCCATCATAAAGCAAGCATTTAAAATATCTCCTCCTCTATTCTAATTATTTTAGAACTAAATATTCTACATACTTTTTCTATCTATTAAAATTTGAAAAAAAATTGCTTAGTTTAATCTCAAAATCTCAAATTAAAAAATATATTGATAAATACCTGACTGAAGAAAATTACCCATTTACTGCATTTTAATACTACTTTATCTGTCTTACTATCTAAATTTGGATGTTTATAGCTCTTTACTGTTTTATACATCATCCTGACTGTCATGCTCTTCCTCCTCTTCTTCAACATTCTACTACTCATTACTTTTTTTTTGTAGAGCTTATTATTGAAATTTAGATCCTTTATAATTGCTACTTTGCTTAAAAGTTAAGATTTGCTAACTACTATCTTGCAAAGACCATTTAATAGCACCTCTTGAATTTAAAAAGTCTGATTTAATTTGATCAGATATTTTAAAACCAAATCCAGAAAACTATTTTGATAAATGAGGTTAACAGATATTTATTTTAGATGAAAAATATTTTTTAAAATGAAATTTTCATACAATTTTCATGATGTAGAATTTGATTTTATATTAAGCTTCATACATCAACTCTTCAAAGATTTAAGTAGGAATTTAATACTGCTAAAGGTTATTTTAAGATCCTATATTTTTGGTAATGTTTTACCTACTCTAAATAATATAAGTTATCAGAAGATTTTAAAATAATGAATAAATAAGTAAACTACTCTTTTGTCTAAGTTTTAAAATTTAGATTTTAGAAATTCTTCAACGACAAATTCATAATCTAAATCTAATTCATTTTATTTCTAATTTTATTCGAAAAATTTGAGCGAACTCCTTTCTATTTTGTTTTACTTAAGTATATACTTTGAATTGCAACTATTCCATAATATGATTTCCTTTGAATAAATATATGAATTAGTTTAATAAATATTTTATTTTTAATTTACTTCTTTAAAATTAAACGTATCTGGACTTTTGTTTTCATTTTATGCATCTATTACAATATTCTGACAACATTTGTGGAAGGCTATTCTCATACTAACAAAATCAACAAGCTTATACATCTTTACTTTTCTAAATTCTATTTTTGTCTGCATATCAACTTTCATAAATTTCTCGATATCTGAAAGCACTCTTGAGATGGTTTCAAGTTAAATATCACGATTTGCATTTTTATAAGTTTATAGTGTTTACTCCATATGTCTATAAGATACTTATTTTGAATTTCTGTCTAATTTATTCATATAATCTAACCCTGTAACTCTTTTTAGTGCATAAGAAAGAGTCATCATTCCAGTAATCTGTGTTTTTAATCCTTTGATATTATCAATACCTCTTATTTCCTATATTTTATAATTCAAGAATAAAAATTTACTCTCAATTCAATCACTAAAATTATTTCATACATCCCAGTAGAAGATTCTATTTTAAATTCTCTTTCTAGTATACTAAAAGAAAAATCCTAGCAACACTCCAAAAAATTTCTATTTTATAGTTTTTTTACAATTAAAATACTTGCTAAAAAGCCAATCAATTCACCTTCATATCAAGAGATTTATTTTCTAACTTTTTTGAACCCTTACTAACATACAGCTTAAAAAATTCATCTTTAAGATCTTAAGAAAGTTAATTAGCTTATTGTTTTTGTAATATTTTCAAAGATAAGGTATTAGTTCCATTGTTGCTCCCCTCCAATAACTATTCAATTAAATATTCAACTTTTTCTTTACCCATTTGTTCCTCTAATGCCATATAACTATTTGTTTTTGATTTTTATTCAAAAAATTATAATTCGTATAATAATTTTATTACTTTAAAATTTTCTCTATTTCTGGCTTTTCTAATTTAAAATTTTAATCTTCATCAAAAATGCCATAGAATCTCATGAAGAATGTGTGGATTTCATCGAATGATGCTATAAGTATGAAAGCAATTATTTCTCTATTTTAATGATAATATTCTTATTAATTAAATTTCTACTAAAAATAAAATGGTAAAAAATTTTATTACTCTTCAAAATCCTTAAAATAATCTTTGTTTAAATCAATAGCATTATCATTATCTGCTGAAGATGATATTTTTTTGATTAATTGAAACTTTTAATTCTTAATTTCGGGATCTTTTTCATATTTATATACTTCATACATCACTTTTATGAAAGACTTATAATTATCCTCTAGCACTTGTGTAATCTCAGTTAAATTATTACCAGAACTACTATTGCTAACCTCATTAATTAATTATGGCTGTTATTCCCTTTATTTAATGGAACTGCTTTAATATTTATATGGGTTTAAAACTTTTGGAGTTCCAAAAGACATTTCAATTATATATATATATTATTCTTGCCTGATATTACTTATTCTAAGTTATAGTTAAAATCCAAATTATTATTTTTGAAATACAATTAAATATTAATTTTCATTTAATTACTTGTAAGTTTTTACCAATATGTTAAAAACGAATTTAACCAGCTATTTCTTAACTAAAACAAAAAATTAAATAAGTAATTATACATCTAAAAATATTTAAAAAATAATTAAAATATTTTAAAGTAAATTTTCAATTGTGGCAAATATCAAATTCTTCTTTTAAGCCATTTATATTTTAGTTTATTCATCAAACCTATAAAAATGACTTATTATCTATTAAACTTAAGTATTTGAGATATCAGTGAGTATCACCATTTATTTTAAAAAATTATAAATAGGACAAAAGACACCACTAATTATATTGAAATATTTAGAATGCTATTATTTAATAATTAATAAATTTTTTAATAAAAATTAGATATTTTATTATTTTTTGTTTAGAAACATTGAATAAATTCTATAATAAATATTCAAATTTTTTTAATTTATTTTTTTTATTAATACAGCAATATAATTCATTCTAATTATTTATTTTATTTACAATTTTACAAAATTAATTTGCGTTCTTACAATTTTTTAATAAATATTCACCAAACTTGTAAAATTGCTTGCTAATTCAATAAACTTAAGTAACTGAGATATGAGTAAGTATCTGCATTTATTTTTTAAACAATAAACAGTTAATTAAAACAAAATTCTTTTAGAAAACTAGTTTTTAAAAATTGATCTTTTTTATTTATTTTTAAGATATATGTGATTAGATTTATGATAATTATAAATATTTTTTTAATTTAATTTTTGATAATTAGACACTTTTTTCATTTTAATTTTTCTATTTTAGAAAAATCTTTATTTATTCTTTTAAACAATTAATTAATATTTTTATTTAAAGCTATCATTAAACATTTAAAAATTTTAAATAATTAAAGCTAAATATTTGAATTATTAATTCAAACTAACATTTAAATTAAATGGAATTATCAATAATATTTTTTTAAAAATTAATATTTACTTTTATTAGAAAATGAGATATTTATTGATTTTTTTAATTATAAAAAGTGTAATTAAAACTATGAAAATATTAAATTTTTAATATTATTTTCGATTATTAGATAGACACTATATTTCATTTATCTAATTTTTGTTTTTAAAAAAATAAAATTAAATATTCTCAAAGATTATTTAATATTTATCCAATAAAAAATATAACTATACACTATAATCCCTTTTGATAAATCTTAATTATTAAAGTAATTTTTCTTATAAAATCAAAATTTATTTTTTATGAAAACCATTACAATAGCGTTAATAAAGATCTTTAAGAATAGAACATTTATATTATATATTATTGAAAATTTTTAATATTTGTTAGTTTTGATAAATTATTTATTTTTTATTTAAATTCAAGCTTATTTGTTAGAAATGGAAAATTATTGTTATTTATTTATTAAATTTCTAGAATTTTTAAATATTTAAAAATGCTCTATTTGGTAGTTGCTACAAACTATCTATTGTTTCTAGATATTAATTATACTTAGACACAATAAAAAACTCTAAAATAATTATATATTTTTTAATTTTTAAGAGATGATAGTCACTTTTATTTAAAAAAGTATATTATATTATTGTTTGAAATGCTCCATGAAAATTAAATATAAAATATGAAATAAACAAATAAAATAATAAACAATCACTAAATTTAATAAAAATGATTAAAAAAAATAATAAAATCAATTATACTAAATATTAGCTGATTGAAAAACCTTAAAAAATATATCCCTATCATGATAAAGATGGTTATGAGTACTACATAGATAATCTTGGTGTTTTGATTCATAATAACAAAGTAATTTCTGATGAGTATCTGTAAAGTAAATTCGGAAAAATCGAATTAGATCTTTACTGTGACTAAAACTCGACTCATTACGTTTATAAAGGAATGAATACAACAGCTAAAAATTTAAAGAAAAGCTCTGCTAAAATAGCTATTAATCTCTATCACGATTTCGTTCAAGGATTCCCTCTTACAATTAACGATGTTAAACTCACTGATAACACTGATAAAATTATAAAAATTTTTTCAAAAATCAGAAAGAATATTATAATCGAAAAATTGATATGGGAAGGTGAAGATATTTTAGAGTTTCCTGGTACTTTTTAAGAGTTTTTCTTATAAAATAACATGCTTTTGAATAAAGAATCTAATCTATATGAATTAGATATTGATTGTGAAGTAAAGCTAACTTAATTCACTCCTATTAGTAAGGATGCCGATAAGTATAAGTATTTCTTTGCTAGTTTTGATATCTATGAAGATATTCTTTGTAATAGACTCATTTACACACTTAGAGAAAACTGGGATGGTTTTATCACTTTCCTCGGATTTGGAGCTTTTGACAAATCTAGAGGTAAGATTTCATTGACTTATGAAGAAGCCGTTGATTAAGTAATAGATCTTCTTTATGAGAGAAAAGTGAAAGAATCTGAAATTAATAGACTCAGTTTTAATAAAATTGAACTGAGTGATAGTGACCCTTCTAAATTTGCTATTGAGATTGGAATTAAAAACACCAAAAGGAGCAGAAAATCAAAGAAATAAAGAGAGATGGAAGAACAGAGCAACATAACTACTTAATCTACATTAGATAACTGATATAAATATAAATTATTACTCAAATTTATAGTATTTAAATATTTATTTAAAAAATATCTGTATTAATTTTATATTTAATCCTAAAATTTTTCTTAAACCACATCATTTTATTTAAAAAAGAAGAGATTTATTTTTCAAAAAGACTAAAGAAGATTTTTAGATGAAATAATAAATGGAATTTGCAATTTTAATTCAGCTGAAATACAAGATAAAATATTTGTTTGACTTCAAATCGCGTATAAAAGAATATTTAAATAAAATAAACTAATTATTTAAGATTTTTTACATATTTTCTTCAATTTTTTCTATTAAATTTTATTTTATAACTCTGATTAAATTTTTTAAGCTTCATTTAAAAATATTAATTTAGAAGTTTCAAATGAAATAAATATAATAGGATTTTTATTTTTGCTTCAAAAATTTGAGAAAATATCATTCAATTTTTGATTAGCTTCTTTTTCTTCTTAGGTTAATTCTCTGGCTTTTTACAATCCAAAGTCATTTATGTCTTCTTGGTATTCAAAAATGTGAAATTTATTTAACTCTTATTAAGGAATTTATTCGTTTTTACCATTAACTATTTGATCAACACTTTTTAAATCTACATTCTAAAAATAAGGATGACTTAATATGTTATTAATTTTAGGACGTTTTTTAGGATCTTTCTTTAATGTTTAAAATTAAAAAAATATTTTAATTTCTTGAATAACTTTAATTTTAAATTACTTCCAATAAAATTGTAATTAAATCTATTAGATTTTTTTCATCTTTTATTTTATTAAGAATTTCTTGGTTAATTCCTGCTAATGTCTTTTGTTTGCAATTTTATTCATCATAACCAAACGGTGCAGATCTTATTTACATTTTTTAAAATAAACATAATTATTATTCTTACAATTGTTTAAATTATACCCTGTTGTCAACTCAAATATCAATATTCCTATTGAATAAACATCCACCTCATAAGAGTATCCCTATTCCTCTAAGCTTTCGTTATATAACTCTGGAGCAATCATATGAATAGTGCCACAAAAAGAATTGGTTCTAATACATTACAAATTATCTTATGTCAAATTAAAGAGTTAAATAATTAAAATACAGTTCATTTTCAATTTTTTTAGTATATCCAAGATCAATCAAAGTAACTTTTCCATATTGATCAACAATAATGTTAGAAGCTTTTAAGTCTCTGTATATATAACCCTAAGAATGCATATATTCTATTATTTTGATAATCTAAAAAATATATATATAATTTAGATTGATAAATGGTCATAAAATTTTTTAAAAATTACCTAAACTGCAATTAACTAAACAAACCCTTTATCTAATTTATTATGCATTTAAAGTAATTTGTGTAAAGGTATGCCATATACTATTTCCAACAAAAAATAGAGGTATTGGTCATCTTTTATAGTGTCAATCCTAGTTAAATATATAAATAAATTTACATTTGTTTGTTTTTTGGATGAATACATTTTATTTATTCCTGGATGAGATAACTCTCTAAGAGCATTTCTTTCATTCATAAGATGCTCTAACTCTAGATGAGTTTCTATAGAATCTCTAAGCACTGCCTAATGGATAATAAAATTTGTGACTAATTAGTTTCAATGAAATAATAACAAAAATGATAGAAGCAATATAAGTTACTTTTAGAGCATATTCTTTTTGATTGTAGTATGCTCTATAAATTTTGGTACCTTCTCCGTGAGTAGAAGCTTAGTTTAGCACAAAATAAATTTGGTTAAGTTTCAATTTAAAAAATATACCAATCAGTTCTCCTATTTATATATCATCTATTTCAATTTTTTTTTTCTCCTAGTTGTTTGTATCCATGATTAATTGAATTAAAGCAATTTTTATATATTTGGAGTAAATAAATTAATTTAAGAAGAATTTAAATGAAATTAAAATTGAATCAATTTATAGAAATAAATTAAAAAACACTACATAATAAGTAGAAGAAAACTTTAATAAAAATTTAGTCCATTTTTAATACAATAAATAAAAAAAAGTAAATATTTTTTTTTCTTCTTTTTTTTCAGAAAATTTTATTTAAAAAAAAATTAAATTATTTAATATAGTATTAATCACCAATAATCAGCAAAAATCAGAAAAGATATAAATAGAGGCTTCTCTATGCTTTTTTTGATCAGATTGATCAGATATTATAAGATTTAATCTTAATGCTTCGCTTTCAATAAAAAATAAATGAAAAGTTAATTTGAAATGAGAAATCAAATTTTATCGTTATTAGATAGACAGTCCATAAAGATTAAATAAGGATAGAACAGGGAGATCATAAAAAAAAGATACAGTCGCACCGTACCATGAAAATAAAGCAAAATTGCTTAACAATGTAAAGAGTCTTATAATTTATTAAAATTATTGATCAAATCATATTAAAAATAAGATTTTTATTTAATTAAAAAAAAATATAGAAAAGCTTAGCGAACAAAAAGATTTGGTATAATTGTTATAATAATTAAAAACAATTTATTTGTATAAACCTCTTTTACAATATCAATAAGGAGTAGCCTAGGCGATAGTTTAGCAAAAGTTTCAAACAAAAAAATTATAATTTAGTTTAAAATATGTCATCTAAAGATAAATACGATAGATAGCTTCGTCTTTGGGGTCCTCAAGGCTAAAGAAAGTTGGCCAATTCTAAGATTTTGCTCTTAGGAGCAGCACCTGCAGGAGTTGAAGCTCTTAAAAATTTAGTTTTACCAGGATGCGGTCACATTACTATTGTAGACCACCAACTCATTACTGAGAGAGATTTAGGAAACAATTTTTTCTGCTCTCCTGAAGATTTAGGTCAACCCCGTGCTAAGAGTGTCTGTGATAATCTTACAGAAATGAATCCTGAAGATGTTCATGGTAAGTGGCTTAATGAAAATGTAGATGAATTAGCTGCTAAGGAAGATTTTATTAAAGAGTTTACTTGCGTTATAGCAAATGAGTTGCTTGATGAAGAACTTCATAAGCTATCTGTTATTTGTGATAAATATAATATTAAATTACTGGCAATCTAAACAAATGGATTTTATGCTTAGTTGCGTCTCTAAGCAGGTCGTCATTGCATTATAGAAAGCAAACCAGACAGAGACTTCTATGACTGGACTCTTCGTATCCGCCAACCTTTCTAACATCTTCAAGATTTTTGTGATAAATTTGATTTGTAGGATTTATCAACTCATGAAGATAAGAATCCTCTAGCTCACGTACCTTTTGTAGTTATTTTAGTAAAGGCTATGAATGCATGGAAGCAATCTCATAATGGTAATGCTCCTTCATCAATCCAAGAAAAGAATGAATTTAAAAAAACCATCGAGACTCAAATGCACTGGCTTGAAGCTAAGGATCGTGAAAATTTCGAAGAAGCTCTTGCCAAGATTTACTGGGCTCATAAAGATGCTACCTAAATTCCAGATAATTTATAAGTTCTTTTTGATCATGATTATTGTAAAAATTTGGATCACTCTAGCTCTGATGACTTAAAGTTCTGGACTCTTGTAGCTGCTCTTAAGAAATTCCGTGATGAAAATAACCACTTCCTGCCTGTTGATCGTCGTATCCCAGATATGAAATCTACTACTGAATGGTATATCTAATTAAAGGAGGTTTATCAAACCTAACACAATGCCGACCGTGAAGCTTTTGTAAAAATTCTAAATTAAATAAATACCAAAAATCTTGTTTTTGATCAAAATGAGGATATTTAAGTATTCCTTGATAATATTAACTGCTTAGAATTTATCGATTTCCACTCTATTGATAACGAGTTAACCAAGCCAATTGAAACAGAAAACTATGATAACCAAAACCACCTTTGGTTTGTTGGATAAAGAGCTGTTAATTAATTCTATTAAAAGCATAGAAGATTCCCCAATCCTTCTGATTAAGCAGAGTTGTCTTAAATAGCAGCTTAAATAAGAGAAACTAAATATCCTAATTATGTTGCTATTGAAGAAGGTATTATCTAGGAATTCTGTAGATACGAAGATTCCCGTCTTCATAATATTGCTGCTATTATTGGTGGAGTTGCATCTCAAGAAGCTATTAAGCTTATAACTAACTAGTTTGTCCCTTTAAATAACACTTACATTTTTAATGGTATTACTTGTGAAGGTGTCACTTTAGAATACTGAAAATAAATAAATAAGTGAATAATCTTATAAAAAAACTTACGTATTTTATTTTTCATATAAATAATTTTTAGAAAATATTTTACTTGTATTTTTGAAAGTTTTAAATTTCAAGTTAAATAAAAACCGTTTATTTATTATTGATAAAATATTTTTTCGCATAAAAAATAAAAAAAATAAATAAAAGCTAACAACAAATAAATTTGTGCAAAAGAATTTTAAATTTAAAGGCTTGCTAATAACTTTTTAAGAATAATTAGAATAATAAATTATTAATTAAAGAAAATAAAGCAATTTTATTTTTAAATAAAAATATTTTTAGTATATTAAGCAAACAATTAAGTAAATAGTTAATAGTGAAGAATTAAGTAAATGAATTCTTTTTATAAATAAAATTTTTTTATTTGAAAGTTTATTTAAATTTTTAAAAGAATTAATAAATTATTTTAATTAGAAAAAATAAAGAAATTAACTTTAATTTTAAAAAGATAAATCTATTTTTGTCAGTTTACAAATTACTTTTCAAAATAGAAAAAGAATAATTTTAAATTTCTCTAAGGATTAAAATAAAAATATTAAAACTACTTAAAAAATTTTTTTTTACTTTAGTCTGGAATTACTTCAATAACAATACCATTTAAGTTTCTTTTATAATTTTTAAATATAAACAATAATCTATGTTTATTACTATCATCCTAAAACATTTTGAGAATTAAATTTAAAGTATTCATAAAAATAAGTTTTTTTTAAATTTTATTTGTTAATTTATTGAGCAAATTTTAAAATGTGAATATTTATTATTGAAGAAAATAATTTCAAGAATTAAATATAAAAACTGATTAATAAAAAATACAAAAAATTAGATAGAATTTTTTAATATTGAAAAATACTTAGTGATATTTGATATTATAATTACTAATGAAATCAAGTAAGTAAGTAAAGTAATTAAAGAATATTTTGTACAATTAGCATATTATTATTTTATATTATATATTAGTCTACATAATTGCTCTTTTCATTTTGGTAATTGCTTATTTTACTGTTTTTCTTCTTTTTTTTTTGGTAGTCTTGGGAAAAGCTCTTGAATTTTCTCATTTATTTTTTTGTAGCTTGATTTTTCTTATTTTCCTAAAATTTCTACTTAGCTCTATTCGTTTATAATGAATATATTATCTATAATTACTCCTGCGTATAAGCAAGCAGTAGCGTCTGTGTCTCTATTTCCAAACCCAGCAAAGATTGGATTAACTTCTTCAGGAAAAACTCTTCTTAAATCTTTCAGTAGTGCTCCTTTGAATTCGTCTGCCTTTTTATATACAACTTCTCTATTTAATGAGCTAATTATCTAATCTGGAGATAGCAAGATAGGGCCATCAGGCATAGTAAATCCATTTTATATTATACCTTTTAAATAGCCTTAAGTGTAATTATAAAAGTAAAGGGGTCTAGATGATAAGTAAACCATTTTATAACCATTTTTTTATATATTAGTGTATAATTCAGCTATATCATCATGAGTCCACTCTTTACCTATTATTGTGCTTATATGACCTTTAACATCTGATTTTGTAACAGTGCCATCAACGTCAGATATAACAAGTTTTGTATCATAGTTGTAAAGATAAATTTTACCTTCAATTAATTATTTTCCTTGCAGATCGCTTTCAGCAATAAATTAAATCTTATTATATCCATTTTTAAGGTTAAACTTTTTTAATATTGCAGAGCTTGGTCTTAGCTTCTTTTAAATTTCATTTTTAGCGTTCAGTTCTGGAAAGTAGCATGCTCCTTCAGGTAGCATGAGCATAAATACATCTTCAATTTTCTTATCATTAACAGTGATTTATATATTAATATTTTAATTATCTAAAACTTTTAAAGTTCCAAATCTGATATGAAAAGGCATAGATTTAAGCGAATCGTCTGGCTATCTAACTACTATAATATCTACTACTCCACTAAATGTTGAATAGTCTTTAGAATCAAATAAATAGCTAAATAGATTTTTAATTCCGTTAATCATCTTTATCCTATAGTTTAGTTATTTATTTTTATATTTGTGAAATTGCGGAAATGATTAAAAAAAATAAAAAATTGTAATTATAAAAAATATTAAACTTGAATAAAGTGCACCAATAAAAGTAAGTGAAAGTATTTATTTGTTAATGAAATAGTTATTTTCAAAATTTACACTATCAAAAGTTAATAACTTATACTGAATTTTTTTTAACAAACTAATCAAGATAGTCTACAATTTAGTATATTTATATAAGCTTATATATATATAAGCAAAAACATTTATTTACAATAATTTAAAGCAATTTGTGTTCCACACATTTAAAACGCACTTAAATTACTTTTATTCATAAATGTCTTAAAAATTTCTCAATAAATTTACATTTCAAGAATAGTTTCATTTGTAATTGAATTTATTTAATCATTTGAAATTAATTTTTATTCTCTTTATTTACTTATTTATATTTAAATTTTTAATTATTTGATTGATGCTCTTCTTACTTTGAAAAATAAAGATTGTAGATAAAATATATTTTTTTATTTAAAATAAACTTTTATACATATATTTGCAAAATAACTCCTAATTATTTTTTATCTGTATATATTTGTATCCTTTTTACTTTTACAATTCTCCTTTTAATTTTTATATTATATTTTTCAACCTTTATATTAATAAATTTAAAAATAAAAAAATGTATTAACAGAAATTTTATTTTCCAAGCGTTTTAAAAAGATTTTAAATTATTGTTATTAATAAATACTTTAAAAATCTCTTCTTATTTACAGTTTTTTTAATCTAATTCTTTTTATCATTTGAAGCAATATTTTATTATATTTATTTAATTATTTATATTTTTTATAGCTTGAGGATCTTTTTACTTTAAAAAAATCAAGATTATAAAATATATAAAATCAATAATCGAAAGTAAAATATTATTTTTTTATTAAATTTTAAATAAAATTTGCAAAGCAACTTATATTTCATATTTATATCATTTTTTGTTTTCTTATTACTTTTATTATTCTTCTTCTAATTTCCATAATAACTTTTTTATATCTTTATCTTGCTATTGTACTGCTTCGTCGAATTTTTCTACTTCTTTATCTGACTCTTTAGTTTAAAATTTTATAAATTCATTTTAATTTATTTCAATTTAAAATCTAATAAATATACATACCTATTGCATTTGATTTTAGTATTTAGAATTCTTATTAAGATTTTGCTTTTCTTTCTTCTATTTTGAAAATTTTGTTTTTTATACCATAAGTAAAGTTATAGAACTCCTACTCAGATCTGATTGAGGGAATTATATAATCGTTAAAGTACTCTCTTCCTATCTCCCAAAATTTAGATGAGATTTTATTTACTTATTAATCAAAGATCCTCATTTAGGTAGGATAATTAACTAAGTAGTGGTATCTCACATTTTAATCATATATCAATCTTGAAATATATGCAAAAGTAATACAACTTACAGAAAATGCACAAATATAATATATTTAAGTGCTTGAAGACTAGTGTTTTAAGACTTATAAAAATAAATTTATCAAAAATTAGAAATAATATTTTTATAATTTACTATGTGAGTGCATATCATATGGTTTTAAATGAAAATATTTCAAATTCTATCTTTAAAAATATATTTTAGGTTTGTAATTCTGATATCTCTTCTTTTTTAAATAGTCTTAGAAGGTATGAATAGCCTTAGCAAACTAAGCACCTTGCGAAGCTCCTCTAGTTTCAAATTATCTACCATTAACTTCAAATCTACCCATTTCAATAAATACTGTAATTTAGAACTGAATTATATATAGTTTTTAAAAGTAAACAAAATTAAATTTTTCAATAAATATTTCCAGAATAATATCATTAAAGAAAAAATAGCTAATTAAATATAAAATTTCTGAAATATTATACAAATCTTATTTAGTAGAATTTTTTTTAAAGCAAATATTAATTCTATTTAAATTTATTATAAATTTTAAAACTTAAACTACAAGAATTCTACTCACTCAGATTTATTCAATTTTTAATGGTCTTTCATAATATTTGTAAGAAAATTAATTATAAAGATATTTCATCATTAATTTAATGATAAAAGTTAAATATTGATACTGATATTTTAAAAATAGAATATTGTGGTTAATCAAAAATTTGTAATAAAAATTAAATTAAACTAACTATGTACAAATATAAAAATATGAATAAATAATCTAAATAATAATATAAATATTTCATAAAGTTGATTAATTAAATGCAATCATGATCATTTGTTGCTATCACTTAATTTAATGTTGATGTTAGCAGATGAATTATTATTTAAAATGTGTTAATCAAATATTGCATGATTTAAGCATTTTATTTAGGGTTGCTAATTTTTATCTGTGTCTTCAGACGGCACTTCTCTTTAAACAGAATCATTAAGTTATTCTTCTAGCTGAAAATCTTTTTTTATAGGAATTTCTTGCTTTGAGTGGTTATTAAATTTAATTTAGAAGCTGTTGTATGAATTATTTTTATTGAAATTATTTTCATCTAAATTTTAGTTATAACCTTCTTCTATTTATTGGTCAGAGATATCTTATTCTTATTCGAGTTAATCCTCATTTGAAATATCTGGATCACTTGCTACAATAACATCTGCAAAAGTTTTTCCTCTTACAAATGTTTTTTATTTATTTTGTCCTATCAACCCTTTTCTTCTCTGATTTTAATATAAGTTAGGGCTCTAATCATCCTCATTAAATTTTAAGCTAGTTTATATTTAGTTTTTATCTCAATTTAAACAAATATTTTCAATTTATATAATTTTTACAGCTTCGATGTATTGAAAATATCCTCCATTTCCTTTCCTAACAGTTTTATAAGTCTTTTGTTCATGCTAATATACCAAAATATATTAATTTTTTATCAACCATGAATTAATTTAATTTGATTTTTAATTAATTTTGTTTAAGTTTAATCATTTTTGTAAATAAAAAATAAAAATTAATTCTTTTGCTCTAAATTTTTTATAAAAAAAATATTTACTCAATCTTATTTAAGTTTTAGTCTTCAACTATAAATTCATAAGCCTCATAAAGCCTTTTATATGCTTTTATATCGCTAAAAGAGCTCCTTCTCATTTTGTTAATGCCTCTTTTCATTCTAGAAAGAGCAATTAAAGCATTGCTAACTGCTTTACTAGATTTATTTTAAGAATTTTGATTTATACTGCTTACATTACTTTATTTTTTCTTTTTCTGATATTGATTTATAAGGCTGTCTCTGTTAAGAAACTTTATAAATTTATTTTTAAAGATTTTTTTATTATTTTAATAAATAATAGGTAAATAGTTACTTCCTCTTAAGCCTAACCACCTATTTCAGGTTTAGGGAAAAAATTAAATAAGATTAGTTATTAACTATCAAATAAAATTCTTTTCATTTTTTCTATTTCTTAAAGCTTGTAAAGAATCTCGTAAATATCTAAATCCTTTTTATAAAATATAAATATTTTGTAATCTAATTAAAAAAAAATAATATACTTTAGAAACAAGTTATGCTGATTTTTCTATTAATTCGTTTTCATCGGATTGAAAAAGAAGGCCAAAAAACAGTTTGTTAACAAAAAATCTTGCTCCCAAAATAACACCCTACTACCTTTGTAGAATATCTTCAAATTAAGACATCAAAAAAGATCTATATAATTATATAAAGATTTTAATGAAATTTAAAGAATAATTAATCTATTTATATTACTTTCTTGATTTGAATTAGAATCCTTTAGTAATTTTTTCTTATTCCTAAGCTTCTTACAAAGAATTAGGAGTTATATCTTTTAATTATATTTAAGTATGGCTTTCATTAGAGTTTTGTTTTAGTTCTGTATGATCAAAATGATTAATCTTAAGCTGTTTCTATTCATTATTTTTACCATCAAATAAATTACTCGAATCTATTTTTTAGCTATTTTTTTATAATTCTATTACTAAAGTGTTATCTTGTTTACTATGTTACTAATTAATTTTTAAAAGTGTTTAAAATTTCTCAATAATAAATAAATAAATATTCTATTTTATACTTATTAATTCATTAAGCTTACATTGCTGCTATCTTTTAAGATTTAAAATTTATGGGTACGATTCATTTCTAAATTTTCTTCAGAATAATCATCTTACTTAAAAGCACTTAATTTTTATTTTCATAATTAATTAATAATTTATTATTCTTTTTAAAAGTAAAATCTAATACTCAGTTTTTTGGTTGAATTCATTGTTTTTTAAGTTGGTTTATTTATTTAAAGCAAACTATTATTTTTTATCTGCAGGATTAGGATTAATTAATTATTTCTATGTCCCGAAATCATTGTCTGATTCTTAAATAATAGGAAGGTTTTAATTATGTTATTCTTATTTAAAAGGAGAATTTATCTCAGACATTTAAGATAATTTAGAATTAGTTTCATTCATTTAAGGATTTTACTAAATTTAAGATAACCTTTATCGAAAATGACTATTTAAACTCATTTTAATAGTTTTTGATCTTTGTTTAATAATACTTCTTATATCTTCTGCTCTTAAAGATGATTTTTTAGAATTATTTCTCATATTCTAAGAGTGACTTTAGTTTTGAGCATTTTCTGAGAAACTTTTATTCTAGCTCGCAATGTTGTTAAGGGAATTTTTGTTTTACTCTTCAAGCAATCTGTTTATTTCTTCTTATCTCTAAATTATATTTCTTTTCTTTTCTTTTTATTTGAAGTTGTATAACCTATTAGCTATATCAACTATAAATACCCATTCGTTGTAGTACCCTACAATGAAGCCTAAGACCATTAATATTGCCTAAAAATAAATAATTTAGAAATAATTTTAATTATTTGTGTATTGCTTTTTTTTATTAATACCTGAAAGAAACCACCGATATAAGAAATAAGGTCATCAATTTTTTAAAAGCTTCTTTTATAAGTGTTAGATATTGAACTCCTTCTAAAATAAAAAACAGCATATTAATCAGGACTTCCAGCTTCAATTTATTCTCTAAAATCTCTAGGTGAGTAATATGGAAATATATTTTATTCAATGTCTTATTATGGCATTAAGCTTTGATCAGTATCTATTTCTACTTGCTAAAAGAAAATATTTGCACTTGTGTACAACTGTTATTATATACAACATAAAAAACTTTTTGTTATTAAAAATGAATTACTTTAGTAGGCTAAAAGTTAAAGAATGTTTCATCTGATAGATAATTGCTGATAGGATTATAATTTTAAGGGTTAACTATTTTATTGCTAAAGTAAATAGAGCAAACTGCAGTCCCTCCTCTCAGATCTAAAACTTTTTGAATATCATCTTATGAAGCACAAGATGAATAAGGTGTAAATTCATTTTATACTTTATTAGGATCACATTTATTAATAGATATCTTGAGAAAATAAAAATCTGTGCTTGTATAATCTCCACCTAAGATTATTGTTTAGTTTTTCCTATTTTTATTTAGGTTTAGCATTGATAAAATTTCATCAAAAATTTGTTTTTATAATTATATATATACTTTGGACAAAGCCAGTCTGAAAACCCTAATTATTAATATGTAGTATTCCAATCAAAATCTGATCCTATATTAGACCAATGACTTAATGTGCATGGCTCCATAAATAACTATTACTAATTAATAAAAAATTAAAATGTAGAAGTAAACAAACAATTAAAAAACATATATCCTAAATAAATTTATGCAAATGATTTACTCTTTTTTAGCCTTGTGTTCCGTTATCAAATCTTTAATAATGCCTTTTATAATTAAATGTAAACATTAAAAATTGAATAATGTAAACTTTTGAAATAACTAATGTGATTTGATAAATTGAGTTTTTTTTACCTGTTCTCTAAGTATACCTCGAAAAGAGGCTTAGATATAAAATTATTTTGAGTTATTTAAATAGCAAACATAAATTTGTTCAAATCAAGAACTAAATTAGTAGGATTTGAATTGTAGTCTTGAACATAAGATACTTTGATCTCCTCTTTTTTAAATTTAAGCAAATCATTTTTTTTTCTAAAAAGATGATATAAGATTATTTACCTTTATTGATGAACTATGAAATCTAATTTGTTTATAAAAAATATTATAAATTATATGAAAAACTAATTTTATTATAAATTAAATGATGGCGATCAGTATTTTTAAGGTATTAGCGATTGCAAAACATGGTATCAATGAGATATCAAATTAAAAAAATTACATTTTTTTAGAAGAACAAGCACAAAACTATAATCATTAATATGGTAATAATACCACCAAAAACTGTTTAAAATTTATCTTGACTTTTATAATTTAATCCAATAGGTTTTCCAAATAGGTCTATTCTTTTAAACCCAGATTATATTTTTGGTAGCCATTCTTCAGTCATAGTGATCAAGACTAATTTTTCTTTCAATCTATTAATTAGCAATTTATAGGATTAACTTTTATAATTTTAGAAGATTATTATTTATTTATTGAGTTTGTAATCACTGAAATTATATACTTTATGTTGTTGCCTTAATAACATAATAGCAAATTCAAACAAAGTATTTAATACTTAAAAGCTTTCATGAAAAATTATAAAATTAAAAATTGTTACCAGCCTAAAATAACTACTGAATTATTTTATTCTTTCTCAAGTTAGTTAATTATTCTTATGAATATTTTATCATTGAAGGTTTACTATAAATCATACTTGATAATTTAAAAATCCTTTCTCTATCAATTAACTATAAAATTTATATTTATTCTGCTTCAAATATTTCAAGTATGATTATTAATTTTGTATCAAGTAGTACTAATAAAATTTAAATTACTTATTAAAGCTAAAAATAAGTGGCTTAAAAAAATTCTACTAAATTATTTTATATCTGCCAATATGAGTCATTTTAAATTATATTCTATTTTCATCTTAAATTAATTTTTAATTTTACAATAAATAAATAAATTATTTTTTATAAGTTTATAATAGTAAAATGTACTCATAAATCGAACAAAGCAAAAAATTTGTGTAAAAATTTCAATAATGCATTTTTATGTTACTGCTATTTTAGTCTTTTATTGAATGAGTAAAATTTGAAATATAAAATTAAAATTTTAGAAAATACAATTTTTTATTTTTTGGAATAATATATACAAATTATATATAAAATTGTTTTGTCAAGTAATATGTATTGCCTTTATTTAGATATCAAATTATCAAACCTTTAATTTTCAACGATTTATTTTGTGTTTGTGTAATGAATCTATCAATTTTTCTGTTATTCTGTAAAAATATTCTTAAAAAATTTGATTGTTAATTAAAATTTGATTAAATTTGAATATTAATCAGAAGTAATTAATATTTTTAATTTACAAGCTTTAATTAAGATACTTAATTGAAAACCTAATTTTATTAGAAAAATGTAGAAATAAGAGTAACCTTTATAGCTTGTCTACAAAAATAAGGATGGAATACTAGAAGTTTCTTAGTAAGCTAAAAATTATTTATGCTCTCTTAAAGAAAAATCATTAGGAGTTTTAAGTATAGTTGGACCATATAGAACAGGAAAAAGTTGCTTAATTAATAAATTATTTATAAATGAAGAACAAAAACAATTCAAAACAAGTCCAACTGTTAATTAATGCACTAAGGTAATAGAAAAAATCAATTTTTTTTGATTAAATTATTTATATATTTATGTATAAAAAGGGTTTATGGGTTTGCCCTGAATTATTTGAGTCAGAATCTGGTTAAAAATTTATAGTTATTGATAGTGAGGGATTTGGAAGCATTGACCAGAATGAAAATAGTGATAATAAAATTATGTTCTTGAATTTACTATTGAGTTCTGTTCTTATATTTAATACAATGGGTCCGATTGAGGAAAAATCGTTAAACCAATTATATAATGTTCTTAAATTAGTCAAGTAATTGTAATTGTAAGTTTCTAATGATAAAAGCGTTAGCTAAAATTTACCATTTTTCATGTGGGTATTGAGAGATTTTAGTTTAATTTTAGAAGATCAAAAGGGTGAACCATTAAATTCAAAACAATATTTAGAGAACTCTTTGGAAGAATAAAAGGGTTTATCTGAAACTACTATGCAAAAGAATATGGTTCGCAAGCTTTTTAAGCACTTCTTTCCTGAAAGAGATTGTGTTGCTGTTGTGCGCCCTTTAGAAGAAGAATCTCAACTATAATCCATAAGTGTTTAAAACCAAACAGAATTTCGTTAGGAATTTTTATAAGATATATTAAAACTTCAAAAAAAAGTTGTTAAAAGAATGAGAGCTAAAGCATTTAACAATAGATATATTACTGGGCCATAATTAATTTTTTTAATAGAAAAATATCTTAGTGCAATAAATAAAGGTATTACACCAAATTTATAAAAGATATAAGAATAATTAATAGAGTTTATTACATCGGATATTGAACAATGTAATTAATTAATTATTTTATTTTTTTATTAGATAATAATTTTATTAAAATATTTTTAAAAGAATGCAAAAATTTGATCTTTTAAAGTTTGAAACTTAAAGATAATTCTGAACTGATTTCTCAGAGCCTTTAAGAGTAATTATTATGCTCTACAAAATAAAAAATAATAGAAATATGCGAATTAGAAGGCGTTAACAACTAAAATATACTAATTGAATTTGAAAAATATTCTTAACTGTACAAGAAATAAAATAATGAATTATATTAGGTAAATTATCAATTTAATTTGATTAGTTAATATCTTTTATTTTTAGATATAATCTTTTGTTAATTCAAGAAAATGTTTGACAGAATTTACAATTATAATAAAATTATGATAAATTTCTTTAATATTTTACTTTATTTTCAAATTGTAATAAAATTATGTCATTTTTTTGATATTATTTTTATATAAAATTAGACTAAATGTGAAGAAATTATGGTAAAAAAAATAAATATCATTCAAAACAATCTTACCTAAGAAGAATGTGAAATTCTCACATATTGGAACTAAATAAAAGAAGAAATAACATCAGAATATGGAGAAATATGTAGCATTATCCTTGAAACAAAAAGTAAATTTTTGCAGATTGCTTATAAGTAATTTTATGAATTTCAGATTCAGTAGAAGTAAATGTAACATGAAACAGATATTTAAAAATATGTGAAATGCTATGAGAATATTATATAAAATAAAGAAGAAGAAAAATTGTAGCTAGAGAGGTAGATTAATGAGAAAGATTGCTTACTCAAGTAGTAAAAAGATTTTACTAACGATTTAAATGAAAAATTAAAAGAATCTTAGCATGAATATGAAGAAAGATAACACTTTTATGATCAATAAATTAAATTACTTAGCACTAAAATAGATAGTATGAAAGAATATTAAGACTATGTAAGAATAGAGAATGAATTGAGAGATGTGAAAGTAGAATTTGAGTTTATGGAATCGAAAAACCAACAAAAAAGAGAAATGCTAGTCCAAGAAATATAATTTTTAAAAAATGAGAAAAATTAACTCCTAGAAGTTAATAATAATTTAAAGACTATGTATGCAGAAACCTAAGAAAGGTATAAAGAAAAAGATAGCCAGGTAAATTAGTGCACAAATACTATTATTTAGCTACAAAGTGAAGTGAAAGTTTTAAATGATTAGCTTAAATAAACAGAAGATAAGTTAAAAGAAACCAATTAAGCATATCAAATAGAGATAAGTTCTCTCAAGTTAGGTACTGAAAAAAAAATGAAAGAAATTTAACAAAGTGCTGAAGAATTAAATGAAGTTGTTATCAATAAAAAATCAGAACAATGGGAAAGAGATAAACAACTTTTTGAAAGTTAGCTCTTGTTTTTAAAGCAATAACTTCAAGATAGCAAGGCTATAAATGAGTAGCTGATTCAAGCACTAAATTGTAATTTAACTATTAGATTTACTGTTTTTTTTATTGTTAATTTGTTTGAAAAATTTTTAATTTAAAATTTTTTTATTTTATTAATTTAATTTTAGTAGGAAGAACTTAAAGTGTATCATAAGCAGAAATGCAATTTTAAAGTTATTAAGAATTAATGGAAAGCAATAAGTAACTTTTATTGATAATTAATCAGTAAGAAAGTAAAATGCAGGTTATGCAGAGTAAAATAGATTCTCTAAAAATATTCAAAACTATTGTGAAATAAAGTGCAGGATTTAGCTGTAAGCTTTGTAATATTTATTGTGACATTGATAACTACCAAAATCATCTAAATGTCTGTTCTATAGGAACCAACCCATTTGGAGACGTTATTAGAAGCTAAATAAGATAAAACTAACTCAATAAAAGTTTTGAAAAATCTGGTATACTTTCAAATGCTGCAGAAAATAGTAATAAGAAGAAAGATTCATCTAAGAAATGGGTAAGTAGAGGAGGATCTCAAACAAGAAACCATTCTAGGTCATTAGAAAACAGGGATACTAGATTAAACAAATCTTTAATTTTAACAAATTCGTATTTAAAAACTTCCTGTATCAACAATCAAAAATGCAATACTTCTGTAAATCTTGCGAATACTTCTCAATAATCTATAGAAGATTGTAATGATATATCTGGTATTCATGTAAATTAAGTGCAAGACCAAAAGATTTATTAAAAGTATAGATAGCATAGTCCTCTAAACTAGTTAGAAACATCATATGGAAATTTTTCAACTAAAAATTCAATCCATTAAAGATTAACTTAAAGCAATATATACTAAACTCCTTTGGCAAGTTAAAATCAAATAAATAAAGGATTTTAAATGGAATTAATTTCAAATATTCCAAAACAAATAGACTTAAGAAAGGAAGAAATTAACAATACAAAATAATATGTTGATTATATCGAAAATGGTATTGAATTTAATAATATTAATGATATTTAAGAAATAGAAGAAGCTCCATTTCCATCTTTGAAATTAGAGGATTTTTCTATTGATATCCTATAAACACTTATTTCCTAAGACGGCAGCTCAAAACCTTACTCTTTATACGAAATATAAATTAAATTATTTAATGAAGGAGCTTAATGGACAGTGTTTAAAAAATACAAAGACTTCCATGAGTTACACTAAAGACTTTAAACTTACTTCACTAAATCAAATAAGGTACCTAAGCAAGATAGAATGAAATTTGCAGATGTTTCTTTTGTAAATGCTCTCAGTTCTTTAAATTTAGAAAATTCTAAAAATGATAACGAAAATTCTTTTGTAAGTAGCTAAAATAACAGCAGTATTCTCGAAAAGAGGGCTTAAAATATTTAACAATATCTATAAATGATTTCATAAGTGTAATCTATCAGAATTTCAGCTATATTTTAGAGTTTTTTCAATTTTTCCAGAGATTAGGTTTTAGGAAATAAATTGCAAAATTAATTAAGTCAAGAATCTTATCAGGAATCTAAATTATAAAATTAAAGTATCAACTAAAAGCATTCTCATAGCTTTTCCCTATCAATAAACTTTGATGAAAAGAATAATTCCGTAAACCATGGAAACCTTAGTCATCATATCGAAATTGAAGAAAGGTAATAATTTATTTACATTTTTTATAATAATTTTTAAATTAAATATGTAAAATGATATTTTAAATAGTGAAAGATCGCTATCTTTATCATAAAGTCCCACTAAGAAAGAGAAATCAACTATACTTAATGAGCCTTAAGAAAATGGAAACAGGATTACATCATTTTAATAGCAAATGAATGGTAATAATTTGCTTATGGCTAAGTACTAAAGAAATACAATGAGCAATATTTACTAAAATAGAGACTAAAATTAGTAATAATTACTATTATAAGAAAACTTCTAAACCTAAACATACAAAAAGACCCCTTAATTAAATTCTACTTAGCTAGGTAAAGAAAATCTTTTGAATTTAGGAAAAAGAGATAGAAGTTAGAATATGGGTAATATTCAAACTCCTCAATTATGCACAAATAAAATAGCCATAAATAGACAATTCTAAGTTCCAACAACAAGTTAGAAATTGGGTAAATAAAATAGTAAAAGCCCTAATCTAGTAAAATAAAATGGTCCCACTTATAATCACTAAAGAAATTTATCTATAGATTGTAACAACAACGGTTTAGTATGCAACGAAATAACAAACCACAATAACTTATAATAAAATACTAACAAATCGTTAAAGAATGAAATACAAGAAAGAATAAGAAAGAGTTACAAAGTTTAGACAACAGGAGCATTACTAAAAAAGTTATGAGTTTATATTTATACTATTTATATATTTTGTACATTTGCAACTAGAAAAATATTCTATCAAATGTAATGATTAAAAACATATAGGTTGAGTTTTAATAAAGAAATGTGTAGTCAATAAATCTGTTCATTAAATATTATTAATTAATTTAATATCTGTCAATCTACTAATCAATCAATCAATCTCTTCACACTAAATTTAATTCATGTCAACATCTAAAAGCAATTGCTTGATAAAGACGTATTTTTACATAGTACGAAAAAACTAATTTTAAGACTGAATTTTTATTAAATAAATTTCCATAAAAAATAAATCACATTTAATATAATGAAGCTTAACTGTATTATGATTAGTATTTTTCTTTTTTCTTTGGCTATATCTTTTTATAATTTGAAGACTAAAGATATTTTATTTTTATTTCATTAACTCGTCACTTAATTGAAATTTGTGTCTATAATCAAAAGATACATTGTTAACATATCTTTTTTCCCTTACTCCTAATTATTAAGTTAAAAATATTAATCAATTTTTTACCTCTAAATGCTCTAACTTTTGCCAAATAAAAGCAATAAAAAATTATTATTTAGAATGCTTATATCAGTAATTCTATTTAGAATATCATTTATTTTATTAATGGAGATTATTATTTTAATTGCGAAATAGTATGTGTTTCTTATTCAGTAATAAATTTCAAATAGAGTGAATATGATAAATTATAAAAATAAAAATTTAGTCCATTATTTTAGAAATAGAAAAAAAGAAAGATATATCTTTCTATCTTTGTTTCTATTTTTGTTAACTTAATTTAACAAGCTTCAGCATGAATTTATTTATATATTTTTTTATTAGGTGCTAATGAATTTCGCCAAATAGCAATTTAAAAAAGAAAAAGAAAGCGTTTCTCAATTTTAAAATATGTATAAATAATTCATGTAGTCATTTGGTGTTGAGCATTTGAAAGGAAACTGAAGTAAAAAAAAATAGTTAAAAGATAGAGGAAAATAAGCAATCGATCAAGCAAACTAAATAAATAAATAACTATCAAAATAAAACTCAAAAAAAATTTAGGCAACTTTTATTAAATTTCAAAGTTTTATTGCAATTTTATTCGTTTATTTTAAAATAAATGCTTTTTAAAATTGTTCATGAAGTCGTATAAAAAACCAAATTGAATTCAAAATTCTTCGTGTTCTTGTATTTAAGTTTTACATTTTCTATGTACTCATAGTAGAATAATAATTATATTTAATTTTTATGTGTGTAATGATTTTAAACTGCATTCCTTAAACTTTACTAGTGAAATAAATGATTTAGATATTACAAATAAAAATGACACTGGTTAGAGCAAATTTGAAATATTTGTAATGATTATATATATAAGTGCTTATCAATTAATTGTGAAGTAACTTTAAATAATAAAATCCATCTTTTGCAGAATAAGCAAGCAAACCAGAGCTTTTATGAGAAAAATGGTAGATGGAAAATCAAAGAAAATGAAAAAAGGTATTTATTTATTTATTTACTTATTTAATGATGAACATGGAGAGGGAGGAAATAGAATTGTAATATAATTATAAGGTTATTTATATAATATGTAATATATAGATATATAATTGTATATATGTATATATAGAATGTATATAAGTTTAATGATCAAATAAAATAATGCAGATTAAAAAAATGAAACACTCAAGACTTATTGAATCAAAGGTACATCTTGAATAATTTCGATCCTTTCGCCAAGTTACTTCTAAGAAATGATTGACTACTCAGTTTATTAAATGATATTAAGATGAAGATAACTTATTTTTATTATTATTATAAAAATTATAAGTTTAATTTGTTTTTGTTTGATTTTCACACCATCTCATTAGCTTCATTCTTATTATTCTTCAGCATCGTCTTGGAATTCAGAAGTCCAGAGGGTGAGGTTATCTCTAATTAATTGCATAATGGTGGTGGCATCCTTATATTAGTCTTCTTAGATTCTTTCGATATCACCAATAGCTTCATCGAAAGCAGTCTTAGCCAAGGTGCAGGCTTTGGAGGGGTCATTCAAGACTTCGTAGTGGAAAACGGAGAAGTTAAGAGCCAAACCTAATCTGATGGGGTGAGTGGTGCTCAATTCAGAGTTGGCGATTTCAGAAGCCTTATTGTAGGAGTCCAAGGCACCATCGGCAGCCTTCTTGTGGTCGTCACCTTAGGCGTATTCAGCAATATATCTGTAGTAATCACCCTTCATCTTCAAGAAGAAAACTTGAGCTTCAGCGTTCTATTTATTTAAAAAGAAGATTAGTATGGATGAATAATATATTGTATGTGCTTTCTCTAATTTATTAATCATTAATGGCCGAATATACTTCTCTTTTTATTTGATTAAATAAAGTTTGCATGTAAGCATCTTTACTTTTTTTGCTATAAAAACATGATTTTTCCTCACTAACTAACTGACTTACTGACTGGCTAAGCATCTAGCTATAGGGTACAGTAGCAGTAGAAGATAATTAAAACAATAATTTTTGAGAAGAAGTATATTGGGTTAAATCGTATTCACTCACTCACTCACTCAGTAACTAAATCATCTTTGATGATGATATAATTTATGAAAAGAAAGGTCAAGTAAGTTGATTGACTTCTTTCGTATTTATTTTATTTTATTTTGAAATTGATGAAGCTAAGAGAAAAAAAGAAAAAAGTATTTAAAACTGTTAGGAGAGTATTTTTGAGGCATTCTATTCAATTAAGATTATTTACTATCTTAAAGAAAAGATACAATCCTCTTTGTTTTATTGATTTATTTTCCTAACTTAGAGTAATGTAGTTGACCGCTTACTACAAAAAATGTTAGTCATATTCAGACACACATAAGTAAAATTGTAAGCTTATTTGAAGATACTAACAATCTCATAAATTAATGAGTATTGGGTATGTAGTATCAATTAAATCAACTCCATTTTACTATAAAGCTCCTATTTATCTTCTTACTTGCTTCTTAATTTCTTTTTAAATTTTGTTCTTCAAAAATAAGGTATGAAGAAAAAATTAAAAGACGTCTTACTCTCATTTGAGGGTAGCGATAAGTTATTTAATTCAAATAAAGGACTATGGGCTCCACTTAAAATTGGAGTCAATCTTTACTGATTTGAATGAAAACACTTATGTTAAGAAGACATACTTATGTGTAGAAGATGGTTGGATGAGTGAATAAAAATATATGAAAAATGAGTAGAAAGCCAATAGAATAAAATGTAGCTTACGGTGGCATTCTTGATGAGGTAATCGTTGAGGAGTCTGAGGATATCTTCGCAGTAAAGGTTAAGTTCAGTTTCGATCTTCTTCTTATAGTTGGTGAGGAGGTCGAGGTGCTTAGATCCCTTGGATTCTTCCTTTTGTTGGATGGCAGAGATACTTCTCCAGGCAGATCTACGAGAACCAACGGTGTTCTTGTAAGCAACAGAGAGAAGGTTTCTTTCTTCAACGGATAATTCCTAACCAGTTTGAACAACCTTCTTCATGTATTCTAACATATCTTCGAATCTTTCGGTTTGTTCCGAAATCTTACCCATGTAAATATTTTCTTCTCTAGATAAAGACATTTTCAAGTATTGATTAAATTTTTATTTGTTTTGCTTTTTTTTCTTAAAGGTTTTTGTTTTTAATTTTTAATTATTTTAAAAATTTTTTTTGAAATTTATTTATTTTTGAAGTTTTCAAAATAAAAAAATATTTATACTGACAAATCGTCAAATAAACTCACAATAATGAATGCAAAAGGAAATTAAAAATTGATTTATTCATTAAAAATACAAGCACAACATGACGAAAAAATCAAATAAACAATAAAAATCTGCTTTAATTCAATCTCGGTTTTTTATTTATGTTTGAATTAATTATTCTTTCCTTTTTCTTCTTTCCATTCTTTTCACCGACCACTTAAAATTTGTCTGTCCTTCCTTGCTAAAGAAGATTCTTTTGTTTTAAAAATCACCAGATCTACTCTTGAGCTTTGCAGAAACAAAACTAAACAACATAATTCGACAAAAGTAAATATGTAATAACGAAATTGGGATTCCCTTTAAAATTTATATTTTCATGGATTTTTTCAAATAAAAATGGAAAACTCAAGCATCATAAATTATAAAGCAAAAAGAAAAATAGAAGGAAGAAATTTAATACAATTAATTTAATTGAGATAAGTAAATAAATATCTTAAGGATAAGTAAATCAATAAATCAATCAAACAAACAAAGAAAAAAGCAAATAAATAATTAAATAATCAAACAAATAAACAATGAATATAAAGGTTTATTATTCCTTATTAATTAAATGTGCTGATGATGAAGGTTCTTGATTATATTTTTTCCCTGCTTTTTTCAATCTACTCTTATCATTTGAATGAATTCTTAATTATTTTCATTTGATTTTTCCCTTTTGTTTTTCTATACTTTTTTCTTTTTTGTTTTTCTCCCCACCCTCTTTTAATTTATTAATTATATTTTTTAAATGCACCAAAACATTGCCATTCCTTCCACTTGTGGATCATTATGCGCTTTGCATACATAATAGCTTAATAATAATAATAATAATAATAAAATTATGCAGCAATACGATATTCATCGTAACGTTAATAATTAATATAAATGTAATAATTTATATTTATAATATGATAATAAAATAATAACTGATTAGTCAGTCATTATTAACTAGGCGAAAAAGATTTGAGTAGAAATTAAAAAAGAAATGATATGATATGATATGATATCATAATTCACATTCGGTTTAATTTGAAATTATTAATGCATTTTAATTCATTAGATCAATCAATCATAACTGATTTTCTGCTTAACATTTGTTTGATTTAATAAATTGATCAATCTATTTTTGAAAATGAATTTTAAAATATTCAAAAATATTTAATGCAATTCAATTGAAAACTTGCTGCCAAACAAACAAAAAACTATTAAAATATCTAAATACAAATATATTTTTAGAACTAAACTTATTTTTTCAAAATTAAAAATTTCTTTAGCGCTTTAAAAAAAATGTTTGTCACGTAAATTATTTATGGGCTAACATTTCTTAACGAATTAATGCAAAAAAATTCATTGTAAATTTATTTAAGATTTGGTATGCACATTAAAAACTAGGATATCTCTGCGAAAAGGGTACATTAAGTAGCCAAAAAAATTTAAACAGTTATGAAGAATAAGTTAAATAGAAAAAATGTTGTAGATAGAATATTAATGTCAGTCAATTATTTACCACAACAATAAATCTAAAAATATAATTATATATATAAAAATATATAATTCAATGCTCTCATAAATCTTCGTTTTTAATAATTAATAAATTAATATAACTTTTCGTCATCCTTTTATGCTTTCTATTTCAAAATGATTTTTAAAAGAAATTAAAGATTGGTGAAAGTGAAGAAATTATTACATACTATTAAACAAAAAAAATACATATTATCGTAGATTTCAATATTTATTTAAAATAACATATTTTAATTTATCTTTAATGAAGGAATTCAATTATTTGTTTTTTTGTTTTTTTATTTATTTATTGAGCGAGAACCGATCATCAGAAAATTACATATAATAAAAGGGAAAAATGAAGTAGTCTATTTATGCTAAATAATTCAGTTAGAAATTCATTTAGAATTTTATTATTTATCTATCTATCTATTTATTTTTTGTTTGTTTGTTTGTGCTTTGCTGGATTTAAAATTTCAAAATTATTCTCTCAAAAATTCATTAATCAATTCTATTAATTATTCAACATTTTCCTATTTTTATTTTATTAAAATAAAATTTTTATCATTGCTCTCATCAAAATTATATATCTAGATTTTTATAAATAATATTTTACTTCCAGTAAAGAATGGCCACCGTTTATATATTTGGTCTTACGCTTTACTTGCTTTTCATTTATTTTTTTTAGAATTAAGTTTGCTTAGAAATCTTGAACTTCATCTTTTGTGTACTTCGCTAGTAAGTCGCTTTAGTTGATATTTACTACACAATTCTTCAATGTGTGGACAATCAAGCAAGAAACAGGGACTTTTTCAAACCTGTCGCGCATGAATTACGAAGCCAGACAACCTTTAATGATAGCTGCTCTTCCCTCATTCAAAATTGGATTAATTTTCATCTTCATGCTTAATTATTCTTCACTTAGAGCTTATGAATTTACAATAACTGAAAAATAATTGAATGAAAGCTCATCCATCCCTTCAGGGCAGGTCTCAAAAATCTCTAGAGACTTTAAAAGAGTATCCTTCAAAATATTGTCAACTTCTATAAATGAATTTATCAAAAGCAAAGATCCTAAATGAGGCAAATTTCCATACGCCGAAACCACTATTTTAAAAATGATAAAAATATTAAAGAAATTTTGAATTCTTAAAATTCTTTAATTAAAGGGTTCAGAATATTATTTAAAATTTAAAATTTCTACTGAATTTATTTATTTAATTTGATGATGAAATTTTAACAAAATATTTTAATTAATTACTATAACTTTGCAAAATGAAACCTCCATAACCTATTCCAATAAATTTAAATTTATCAGTCTTAGTGTTAATCAGCTTCTCTTGGTCTAATTTAAACAGCAATCTATCAATTACTTCTATCTAATAGTAATTAGGATACAATAGTTCCGAATTGTATATCGTATATGATTATCCTATTTGATTATTTGATTTAAATAAAACATTCAAAAACAAAATTTTAAAGTCATAACTTCTACTTACTTATTCAAATTTATTTTTAAAATTTCTATTAAAAATTTGATTTAAACAAATTAATAAATTTAAATGTATTTATTTATTTAAATCCCTTGTTTTATAAGTAGATTTATTCTAAGATAAATTAATTTGTTTGGATTTATTTGTTTGGTTAATTAGACTATTTACTATTTATTTATTTATTAAAAACAATTATATAAATATTTTACCAGGCAGGTTAAACAGCAAAACTCTCCTATTTGGATTTTGTTATAATAAAGATTCAAACAACTATTTATATTCAAAGTAGCTATCAAAGAAATCTTAAAGAAAAACAATTATTTCATTATTTTTTTCAATGTTATGCTAACTATTTTCTCTATTTCTGCTTTACTTTTTGTATGGGCTATCTAAATCATTTAATTACTCTGAAATATTATAATTTTATTCATTTTTTGATTTATTTTCATGTATATCATCTTCTTGCTTAATTTCTTAATTCTTAGATTTCTCTCCTCCAATTAAGCAGTAGGGAATTGCAGTACTCTCATCAATAACTAAAAATTTCATATCAGAGCTATCAATTATAGGTTCTTAGTATCCCATTATATCACATACTTTTTCTAAAGTTAATTCTTGGACTTTATCAATATCTAAATCATCGAAGAAAGGATTGATCGGAGATGATATCTTTGTGATAAATTAATAAAATTTGTCAAAAAGTAATTTATTATTTTTAAATATTACTTTGAACTTATGAAGTTTTCTTAAATGTTGAAAGTTAGCATGATTATAATAGAGACTGTTTATTTATATTAATGCTGGTTTTTAGCCTTCTTACTGAGCTATTTGGAGCTTGTTAAGTAAAACTTAACGCATCTGGGAATCGCTGTTAATATTTCTTCTTAAATTCTTTCTATCCTCTGCAATTTTAAAGAGTAAATATGAATCGGCATTAATGTCTTTTCTCTTCATATCTTTGCTTGGCTTCTCAAGGAGGTTAACAACCTATTAATTATTTTTTAGCTAAATTAAAAGTATGATATTTTCTAATATTTTTACTGGTTTTCTGTAAGCTTTAGTCTCATTAAGGATTTAGCTTTTGATCTTTGAATCTGCAGGCTCTTTATACAAATCTCTTAACTTTTCATAGTTTAGGAAACCTTTTTTAATATTAAAAAATTGAGCTATAATTCTAATTTTTAAAATTAAAGTTTACCTAGAGTTAATCTATTCACCTCAATATCTTTTCTTGTATTAGGCAAGAGTCTGGCTTTAGTTGTTTTTGCAAAGTATTACTGTTAATCTTGTATTTGTTAATCCTCACGAGGATTTATAGAAATTTTAGAAGACTTTGAAATTTTAAACTAATTTTATCGTTTAGGATCTACCGACTTCTACTTAATTATGACTTAACTTTACGATTTTAATAACTCTCTGGCATTTTATTCATCTTTAATAGAGTTTTTTTAATTTATTGTATCTCCTGCTCCATTTTAACCTTCTTATTCATTATTTTAGTTAAACTGAATAGTTTAAAATTAGTTCGCAGAGCTCTATCTTGTGAAATATTGTCTTGTTTATGTTTATCTCATTTTTTCTTTCAGCTTTTCATCAAAATACTTCGAAGTTAAGGAATAAATGATGAAGCAAGACTTGCAAATTTTAACTCTCTGATTATTGAATTTTTAATAATATATTTATACAAATTGGATATTTAAAAAATTTACTTTGTATTAATTTTCATAATTATCTACAGTATATGATTTTTTCATAAAAGGGTACTCTACTTCTATATCTATATTTCCAAAATTATCCTCATTTGTGTAGTGATAATTTTAAGATTTAACTATTTAACTCTCCTTAGAAAATATTTTATTTTTACGAAGGATTTCAATTACTTATAGAGCATACTCACGGGTTCTTAAAATAAGTTGATTTGATATTTCATAAGGTAAGCTAATTGCTATATTTTCTAATTACTCCTTTCTCACTCCAAAATGTTTTTTATATTCTTCTAAAATATTTTTTCTCATTGCAAGAGGACCTCTTTTATTATAAGTAGTTTGAGTTATTATTTAAAGAATGATTTAATATTTTTTATTAATACGTATTTTTTTCAAGCATCTCATAATCACAGAAATCTCCTCCACACTTCTCTACTCTCATTTTTTTATATAATGTAGCAGAGTATTTTTTATCGTCCTGCTAAATAACTTGGGGTAGCCTAATAAAAAATTTTTTTAAAGTTTTTTTTGAAAAAATTTATTATTTTACTTCATTTCTACTCCACCTACTTTTACTAAATTGTGTTTTTTCTGCTTTTTATAAAGTTTTCTAAACTCCTAAAATGTCATTTACTTTTACTCTTTTATCTGCTCAATATCGTAAGGAGCTTATTTAAAAATTAAGTAAACATATTTATTTAGATACAAAAAATATAGTTTTTACCATAAGAAAAAAGCTCTATAAATAAATGTTTTATTCCCATGAATATTATATTGCCATTTCTGTCAAGCATGTATTTAGGAGTGAATTTTCTAACTTTCAACTTATATGCTCTCTCTATGAACTCAATTAACCTTTTAGAACTCTTAAATGAAATTTATTTATTAATAAAATAGTTAATTAAAAAAACAAAATTATTTTGAAAATACGAAAAGTAAGTATATTAATTTAAAATAAATAATACTTCTTAAAGCTTAACGTTGAGAGATTAGTCAAAGCATTTAAAAAATAATTTTTTTCCTTTAATGATAGACTCCTTTTTCCCTTAGCCTCCCATATTTTGATCTTTATTCTCATTGTTATTTGGTTATTCCTAGCTTGTTGTATAGCCCTTCTTTGTAGAAAATATCTTTTTGTAAAACTTAAATCCCAAAGGAAGGGTATTTTCATCATGCCTATATTCAACGTAGAATACTTCATCTATTTATTTAAATTAAAGTTGAGATTTTAATATTAAGTCTTTGTTGAATACTAATTAAATTTAAAGAGTAATTTAATTATGTTTTACTTGCTTTTGAATTATTTGGAACATAAGATTAAATCATTGAAATGTTAGCCGTCTATTTGCCTTCAAGAAATAATTTTACAAGATCAGGCCCTATTAGAGCTTCTGTCTTTTTATCTGCATATCTGATGAAACAAACAGGTTCTTTCTAAATATGAATTTAAAAAATTATCAAAAATATAGGAGTTAGTTATACTTTTTATTGAATTAATTTGCGGATTTAAAAATTTAATATATATGAATGAGTTTTTCAATTCTTGATACATTATATTTATTTATAGGAATGAAGCGAATTTTAATTAAAATATTAAGTTATGGAATTAATGCAACAATTTAAATCTTTTGATTACTTGCTGGAGCTTCTTGCTATACTCTGAAAGTGATGTTAAGTTATCGATACGCAGTTCTTCAGGGCGAGAAATACCTAAAAAGAATTTGCAAATCTCAAAATGATTGACCTTATCAGTATTTTTATGTAGTATTTATGGAATTTTGCCCTTGCTAGTGTTGAAAAACCAAGTGTTAGGATTGCCTTTTAAATAAAATTTAACAAAAGGAGGTTAGAGACTGCTTAGAATTCTTAAATAGATTATAAAAATATATAATATGAATGATTTTCGACATTAAAGTATTCGATTTTCATTTTAAATTGCTTCATTTATATACACTTGATTTTAATAATTATGCTGCTACTATTCCTTTTATAACTGCTTCTTTTGTAGCTTTTAAACTAAAATACCAAAGTCTACCTGACTCCCAAAGGATTGTTTGAGGTATCACTTCACTGCTTTTTTGGTTTTTCTTCTTAAACATCTCATAAAAATATGTAGTAGATTTTAGTTGGATGAAATTTTCATCACGCTTATCCTCTAGTGGATTTTTATCTTCGTACAACTATGACATACCTTTCTTCTTAAATAGTTTGATAGTTTTTTTTTCTATCAATAATCTTTCGCTGAAAATGTTAGTAAAGTTTTGAGTGGGCCGGTCACTGGAAATGATTGATAAGTTGTAGTGAAGAAATAAAAATATATACACAAATAAATAAAGGGGGAGAAAAGCTGAGAGAAATGCTCAATTTACAGCGAGAAGATAAGGGAAAAAAAAGCGGCTTCGCATAAAAATTAATTATTCCCAAAAAAGAGAAAATAATTTATATATCAAGAAAAAAACAAAGAAAATAAAAGAAAAAAAAAAAAGAAAAGAATGAGTTCTGAATTTAGCTAATTCTGCTAATAAGTAAGCAGCCAACTTAGTGGTTTGGCTACACTTTTCCAAAAGTTTGGCAAGTCTGGAGCTGCTGACGCTAAGCCTGCAGTTTCTAATAACAAGTCCACCGATGATAAGAAAAAGAAAAAGAAGGAAAAGAAGGACCCAAACGCCCCCAAAAAGCCAATGTCTGCCTATCTCATATTCTGCTAAACTAGATAACCAGAAATTAAGGCTAAAAACCCTGACCTTTCTTTCTCTGAAATTTCTAAGGTTGTAGGTTAAGAATGGAGAGACTTGAGTTAAGATAAAAAGCAAGGTTACATAAAAAAAGAAGAGTAACTCAAAAAAGAGTATAATTCTAAGCTTGCTGAGTTCAATAAAAAAAATAATGGTTCAACTTAATCATCATCTACTGCTCCTTCTACTTCATAAAGTGAAGAATAAAAGAAAAGCAAGGCCAAGAAGAAATAAGAAAAGAAGGCTAAAGAAGCAAAGGCCAAAGCAGCTTCTGCTGTTGTTTAAAAACCAAGTAAAGCTGATTCTGATGAAAGTGACGATGATTCATCTGAAGAAGTAAAACCAGTAGCTAAAGCCAAGGTTGCTACCTCTACTACTGAAAGCTCTAAAGCTTCAAAGGATAAGAAGGTAGCCGTATCTAAGAAAGCTGAAGAAGAACAAGAAAAGAAATCTTCTAAGAAAGTAGTTGCTAAGCCTGCTTCTTCTTCCAGTAGTGATGAAAGTGATGATTCTGATGATTCAGAACCTGTTAAAGTTAAAAAGGTTAAAAATTGATTTTATTGCTACTATTTATTTAATAAAAAAATAGTGAATTTATGAGTATTTGTATCCTTTTTTATTGGTTTCTAAACGTTTATGCAATAATTTTTATTATGTATTAGATTTATTTTGTTTCGGTTTAGCGCTTCTTTTAAAAATTTTGTAAAAATTATTACAAATAGAATATCTATTTGTAGCCAATTAGATAAATACAGCATTGATATTTTTAAATTTAAATTTTGATTCATAAAATAGTTTTAAACATGTGTCTATCTATCTACCTACCTATTACATATATCTATCAAATATAAATTCAAAATAAATTTGTTATTCTATTAAATAATTTAGTTAAATCAACTATGTAATTTATACAAAAAAATTCTTAAATCCTTTAATAACCTATTTTAGTTTATTTTAGTTGTCTCATTTCACTTTTTTACTTTGTCTCAATTCGTTGATAAATTTAAAAAAAAAATAGTTTTACGAATTACTATCATTTTTTTTCTCAGATAGCAATTTGTATAATTCAAACTAAATTATAAAAAATAAATAGCTTAAAATTTAAAATAAAATAAATTATTGATTGTTTCAAATATATTCAAAAAATTATTTTTTTATTGTAAGCTTAATTAATTTCTGGAATCTAATATAATCTTTTTTTTTAGAAATATTTGATTAAAGTAGCAAGCTATATATTTATAAAAGTAATGAATCTGGAGCAATAAAAAAAGAAGAGAAAAAATTAGAAAAGTTGTTAAGATGTTTTTAATGAAGCAAAAGAGCAAGATAATTAGATAAAAATGGTAATAAAAAATACTAAACGCTTCCCTAAGACATATAATGCTTTGTGCTTTTTAAGAAATGATACTCTTTTAGCTTTAGGGAATAGCAAAGGAGTTGAGATTCTTCACTTCAAATCGATGAAAGTTATTAGATAGATTAATTTTAGAGTAATTGCTTCGTTTAATGAATTGCATTAAAATTAAGTAGTTAATAACAACTAGAATTTATAAATGGTTCAAAATAACATGAACAATCAACAAAATGGTGTGATAAATTTATTCTTAGATTTATTTGATGATGAAGTTAATTTTAGAGAGGAATATGTTTCAATAGCTCTAATTAAAGAGTTATAGACAAATATAAACTGGATAGGTGTGAGTGATTATAAAAGGCTTAAGGTATGGGACTACATAACAGGGTTAGAGAAATTTCATTTTGAGAATTGTGGGACTATAAGTACTTTTGCAGAATCTAGGAAACATAAAGTTTTACTTATTGGTAATTCAAAAGGCTAATTACAAATAGGTAGCTTAGTTGATGGCAAATTAATTCACCTTTATCCAAAATCTTCAGTTTTATAAATAATTATTACTCCAAATTAAGATAAAGCTGTAGTTTGTTTATCGAAAAATCATTCGATTATGATTTATGATTTGGAACAAGTATTGTATAAAAATCAAAAAGAAGGTATTGAAATTAATAAATATGCTTAGATATATTCTAGTACACCTATTGATAATAATAAGACTGCTATGATTGATAGTTTTTTAAATTTAATAATTGTGAACAATGATAATTTTGAATAGAAGTTACTTGTTAAAAATCTACTTAAGTAACCCTCAGATGATAAACGTTCTATATAAATTTTATATTTGCATGATAATACTCACGTTGCTTTGTATTATAAGAAAAATTTGCTAATTTATAACTATATAACTAAAACTGTTGTAACAAATGAAATAACTAATGGAAATATTAAGAATTTTAAAACTTATGCTTGGAACAATATATCCTACTCTCCAAAATATAATTAAATAGTAATATGGGCTAAATCTTAGCAAAAAGGATATTTATACACAATAGACCTTCTCAATAATAAAAGAAAAAATTAACTCATGTAAAATAATTCTCATAAAAAAGTAAACAAAGGATAAAATCATACCACTCAAGGTGAAGATGAAATGCCATTCAAAGTATTTCTTCATGATTCAGTGGAAAACTGAGAAAATTTTTACCTACATTAAAATCTTTATTATGAAACATTATTTATTTATTGCTTGTATTCAGTAAATATCAAAAGTTTATAAAATTAAAAAATACAAATTTATTAATCCCCTTTTAATTATTAAATATAATGTCTAATATACCTACCTACCTATATATTAAAAGCAATTTAATTTTCATTTTTGATTATTTTTTAAAGTAAAAATGTATTTTTAGTTTGCTTTAAATGTCTACCAAATTAGTAGAATTAATTTGCTACCAACATTTAAAATAATTAAAAATATCTTTAATTATGATGATAATTGAAAATTTTAAGATTTAGATGAGATGAATGTACAATCAATGAGTCGAAATTAATTTTCAAGCTAAATTTAGTAGAAAAAATATGATAGAACTTATTAAAATGAATAAAAGTTTCAAGGCAAATAAATTGGTAAAAAAATGCCAAAGTAGCATTTTGAAGCTATTAAGATTTAGTTAATCTTAGATTTATTTTAGATATAAGAAAGTAAATTAAATCAATCTGACATAAAAAGGATAAACTAACAAGCAAATACTTGATAAAATAAAAGAGCAAATAGCTTAAATTATTAATAATAAAATAAATTAAATAAATTTTCTATTCAAATTCAAAAATGTCAAGTTTAGCATAGCAGTTGTCATAGCTCAAATAGCAAGATTAGACAGTTATTAAAAAAAATGATGTAGTATAGGCAGCTTCCTTACTTTTCCATGCAAAAGTAGCAAGCGCTGTAGATTTAGAGCAAATTTACTCTTTAGCAGTAACTGGTTTTTAGAAGTTATGTATTAAGGATGAAAATTTCATGAAATTTTAAGAAGCAATTTTCGGCCCAAAATACAGAAGAGTCGACAGAAATATTTTGCTAAAGAAAGAAAACGAAGAACTTTCTGAAAAATTATAAGAATTTTTGTGTTTAGTTTCACTCCACTTCTTAGAAGAAGATGCACATAAAATTATTGATTACCTTCTTCGTAATTTTAATGTTCATCATTATGAAGCTGAGTATGTTATCATATATTTTATGCATTACCATGCAACCCCTTTTTACACTCGTTTATTATAGAATGTAACTCTTAAGACTCGTGAGCATTTTGGCTTTTTAAATACTCCTATTTCAAAAGGTGAAATGGTTTAACGTGAAACCATTGCCAAGTAAATCAACTATGATAGTCACATCTTAGCTTAATTAATTAAATACAATCAAAAGGTTTCAGACCTTTATTATTCATAGTCTAATAAGAAAAAATCTGAAACTAATGAAGAAAAATCTAATGATGTTGTTTTCAATATGGTTGGTACTGATAATAAGGCTAGTAAACTTAAAGTAAATCCTACTAGCTTTTTACAAGCTATTTTAATTGATTTGTTATCAATAAAAACTCGTTTGACAGAGACCTTTGTCAGTAGCTTAATTGAAACTATTAATCATTTCCTCAAGAGAGGAGATCATGCAGCGATTAGCTTTGCCCTAATCGCTTTAGGTTCTCTTTTAGTTAGAGATAAAAATATTAATACATAAATAATTGATGAGTTTGCATCATTTCTTATTACTAAAATTAACTCTTAATAATTGACAAAGCAAGCTAAGACTTAAGCAGAAGGAACTAAATGTGTAGAAACTGTAGTAAAATTCCTCTTCTTCATCTGCCAGCGTAATTTCTTGAAACATATTACTACTGCATAACTTAATAAGTTAAGTGAAGCCTACCAATTTGATGAAATATTCAAAATTAGTTTTGATAAGGTGAGCCAATAATATAGTACACTTAATTTCTTCGCTTTAACTTTTAGTGCTTTAGTTAGTGGATCTTTAAAGCAATTTGAGTCAAGTATTTCTTTTGTTGAATCTCTTGTTGAAAATTTATAAACCTATGACTCCATCTATTCAAGCTCTAATCCCGAATTAAAGGACTAATTACTAAAGAATATTGTCTTCGAAAGATTCTTCTTTAGTTCTGAAGTAGGTGAAACTGAAATAAATGTTGATATCTAAACTGAGGTAGTTGTTTTTATGAAGAAATATTTTTTGGCTGATTTAATTCATTATCTGAATTCCAAAATAGCAGAAGAAACTAGCAATCAAAAGGAAAATAATGAAAAAAATGTAAAAGTAGAAAAGTTAAAACATTTTATGAATGAAAATTTCCCTGGAAGTGTATCTTTCCATGAAAATGTTCTTCTCAAAAGAAATTTGATCATTTAAACATCATCATCTAAAAATAAGAAGGGAGCTTAAGAAAACAGAGAATATCTTAATGCTATTCTTACAATGTTGAATAACGAACAAAACCCAGAAGAAAAAAAAGAGTTGTTGGCAAATTATTTGGATTACTTGGTAAATATCATTGTTCTCAAATTAAATGTAGAAACCAACAGCAAAACTCTTAAAATAGTTTTCGAATTATTAACTCATCCTGCTATTGAAATTGCTTAATCTGAAATAGAAGATGAACAACGTAGAAACCACTCTAAACTTTAAATGATCTAAGGCTTCTATCGCTTTTTAATCTCAAATCTTAAAAACTAAGCTGGTGTTACTTTCAAAAAAGAAATAGTGAAGACTTTCCGTACCTTAACTCTTAGAAGTGACAATGAGAATGTCTTGTAAAAGTAATGGGTTTTTTCTACTTTCTTTGTGCTTGTTCAATCTGATGATCTTGCAGATAGTTATAAAGAAATTTATTAAACTTTAAAAGATTATCTTCCTAACATTTTTGAAAAATTGTAAAAAAAGCAATTCCCTATGATTGATTTGTTGCTAAGTGCAAAGAATGAATTCAGTAACTTCCTCTAGTGTTTGTAAAATCTTAGTAAAGATGTTTTATGCATTTAAGGAATAGCTAATTTTATGGCAAATGTGTTTGATAATGCTGAGTAACTTGCTTTAATTACTACTTTGGATGCAGTTTCATAAAAGAGTTTATTACATTCCTGCTTGAGTATCATTTAGAATATAGTTATTGATTCAAAGCACAACAAAAGTGCCAATCAAATTGATTACATTTTGCTTAATAGCTAGGTTTGTAAATTTATAGTAAAGAACTATAACAACTCTATAGTATCTAACGAAATCATAGTTAATCTACTTAATTTCATTTTAGAATAGCCCTAATACGAAAACTTAATTTTAATTAAATCAGATTTGATTGACAAGTTGCCATTCAACGATATTTGCCTTCTTTTAGGTAAAAAATTCATGTACACTCAAAGCTGTGATGGATTAACTCTTTAAGGTAATATTAAGTGTCTTTTCTTGATTAATTAAACTCTTAAAGCCAACACTGAAAAGGTAACAAGCTAATTGTCTTATTAACTCTTCACTCTTGCCCTTATAAAGCTTGGTAGTGCCATAGCTTAAGAAAAACAAGGTCTTTTCTTAATAATGGAGAACTGTAAGAAAATCCTAAAGAAAAATGCTGGTGAGTTTGATGCTATACGTTTGAGTGATGCATTAAACACAAACACTTGCTTTGTTGGAGTAGAAAATCAACAAATGGAATAAGAAAATAACATTGAAAAAGTTAACATTAAATATAAAATTTTGTTAAATTTATGTGAAGTAGTAAGCAAGCACAGAGTAGAATTAGCTGTCCATAATCCTCCTATCGGTAAAATTATTGCTAAGGAAGTATAGCAATAGTAGAATAATCAACAGAGAGATTTAAATAGCATATTGAATTTCTTATTGTCTTAAATTTACTCACAAGTACAAAGTGAATTTTTAGTTTCTTTTATGGGAATTTTTGCTGAAATCGTGAAGCATCACCACTAAGTAGCAAAGCCTAACCAATAATAATAATAATAATAACAATACTAATTTAACCTTAATAATATTGATCAAAATCTTTTAATAGAGTTGTTACAAAAATTACGTGAAAATTCATATCTAGAAAAAGATAATAATTTGATGGCTATGTATGTTGAGTTTTATTCTAGATTACCTAGTGATGAATTATTAAACTCAAACTTCTAATACCTTTATGCAGATGTTCTTTTACAAAAAATTTCTAAAATTGAAAATAGAAAGCTTAGAGCTACTCTTTTAAGCACTTTTATTTCTTCTTTGGATGATAAAGTATTCCAACGCTTAAACGAATCCAATCAGCTTTCTTTCTTAAAGCTTATTTTAGAAAATTTGAATAGCATGACTTTTGATGGTTTAACAGAGCATCTTATTTCTATCAATTTCTCTAAAGGCATTTGCTAATCTCTTTTAGATTATTTGTAGAATTTAATTAACAATCAACTCAAATTAAAAAAACTTTCACAAAAGCATGAAAATCAAGTTATTTATATGTTAGAATTAATTTTGTTAAAAGAAGATACTGTAACTTAAGAATTAGATCTTAATAAGTTATTCGATATTATTTAAGTCCCTCTTGCTACTCCTCGTATTTAGGTGCTACTTTTCAGAATTATCAAAAAGTGCTAAGCCTATAACATTTACTTGCATCAAACACTCCTGTCTTCTGTTAAAAATGTAAATAAATTATCAGAAGCAGAAACTGCCTCATTAAACGAAATAAAACTAAGAATAACTGGCGGAGAAAATAATGAAGAATATAAATTTATTGAAATCTTAAAATTCCATATACAAAAAAATACTCCAAAGAGCTCAGAATGGAAAACAACTGATGAAGAAGAACAAAATGGCGAATAATAGTAAGGTGAAGAGATGGACTAAAGTGAAAAATAATACTTCGAATTGCAACAACTCGAAATAGTTCACGAAACTGCTGATATAATGTGTTTAATTTGTTCAATTAACTTTAAAAAAATAACAAACATTTTATTTGATGTGCTTGAGTAAATGTACAAAAACTTCTTATCTGAACAAAAACAAATTGAAAATGAAGAACAAAATAACTAATAATAGGAAGCCTAAACCGAAGAGTAGAAGTAAATGACCTAATCTTAAATATTAGAATCCAAAGTAGAATTTTTGTTTGAAATCTTTGGTTTTGTTGCTAAGAAATTAATGCAACACGCTGGAGAAGTGAGACGCAATAAATTAGTTAAATTCTCACTACTACATTTACAAGCTGTTTTTTCTTTATTACCTTATTTCAATTAGCAAAAAACATCAATTCTTACAAAGATTCGTTAACTTTCTGAAATATATGGTGGTCCTTCAAACCTTCTCAGAGTTCTCTTTATTTAAGCTGCTAATAATCTGACTCACCCCAAAATGAGTGAAGTTATATTAAAAGAAATACCTTTAGCCATTACTGAATTGCTTTTTTCAAAGCCCGAAAATACCCTTTTGGAAGAAGTTTTAGATGAAAACTAAATTTCTGACAATGTATGCTCCAACTCTTTGAACACATTCCTTAACTTTATTAAAGGTGTGTTTGTTCAGTGGACCACTTTCCATTCTCTCCCTTCAGACGAAAACTTAAACAAGCTTATGAATCCTTAGAGTTTCTTAATAGCTAAGTATCTTTAAATTACTTCCAAACGCCCTAACGCTTGCAAAACTTTCATTAGAAACTCTCTTGTTTTACTCCACACTCTTTTTAAGAGTGAACCTTTCTTGCGTACCTTAAAATCATTGATAGAAAAACCTAACTCTACAGAAAAAATTGCAAAAACATTCTTCTCATTTTACTATGAGTTAATCCGCTTTGATAACTTGTAAAAGAATGCAATGAGTAGATGTAAATCTTCAAAAGACGGAGGCTTATTGACTCCTTTTGCTAAACCTTTAAAAAGAATAATGTAAGCATACGCTGTCCTCACATCTTCATTCATCCGTCTCTTCGAAATTGATATTTTCTTCACTATTTGTGCTCTTATCTTAGATAACAATCATCAAATTTCATATCATATCCGTTCTTCTATTCTTGAAATTATGAATTAATAGCTTGATTCTGCTCCCACCATCAAGAAAAAACATAACTTTGCAATCATTAGAATTGTTAAAACTTTGCATGAAGAAATTGCTGCTAATTTAAAAACAGTTTATCTTAACAACAGCAACAACATCAATAACACAGAGAGTGATAAGGCTGATATTAAAACTAGCGAAAAAACCAAGAAAAATAAGAAATCCAAGCAAAAATAAATTTCTACCTCTTAAGAATAGAGAAGTATTTAAAAGTATTTGTCAAGCTGTATTGTTCTATTTACTACTGCACTTAATAGAAAACCTGGTTTATTCTAACCTTAAAATTAATAAATTGACAGTGCTGGATTAATGGATACCCTCATTTGTTTCGTTGAAAATTAAAACTATTCTTTTATGTTGAAGACTTCTTTAATCTTTTTGATAGCTAACCTTTCTGCTCAAGGAAACAAATTCAGAGTATTACCTCACCTTCATTCTATTGCTGGTGAATTATTACGTCAAGCTCTCGGATTACTTTACTTTAATGATAAGGACTCCTTCGACACTCTTATCAATATTATCAACAGTTAAAGTGCTTCATCAAAATCTAAAGAAAACTAAGGAAATTCTATGGCCGAGTTTGTTAAGGAAGTATTTGATTAGCAAAATCTAGAAGTTAACATTTTTAGTTAGCCTTAATATTTCAAACATCAAGATTCTATTGTTAAAAACTTAGATGGTTTGTTTACTTTGGTTGTCCGCTCTATTGAAAACTTAATCCTTTGTCTTAAAAATTTAATTTCTCCTTATCTCTCTTTCATATCATTAACTATTTTGAGTTTTTCAGCAAGACCATCTATTCATTAACCTCTTACCGAGCTTATCAATAAATTATCCACCTTATTGGAATCACGTGTATTATTAGAGTGCATATTGCTTCCTCATACTGAAACTTGTTAATAGATTTCACCCTAAGCTGTTGAATTATACACACTTTTACTTGAAAAGACATTTTAATAGATTGATTCTGATACACTTGATGCATTCCTCTAAGAAATATACAAGAAAATCTTCTTATCTCTTGATTACACCAGAAAACAATTTATTAATAAAGAATTATACATCCCTGAAACAATAGACGTAGTCGAAGATGCTTAAGTAAAGTCAGTTGCTGCCTTAGTAATTAAAACTAATGAAATTCAATTACGTAAGTTCTTCATGAATATTGTAACTTGGTCTGAACGTATATTCAATGAATCTGAATGTGGATATCACTTCTTAGAATATCGTAAAATTGTTTTATTAAAAATCGTTTTCTAATTATCTGAAACAATGACTTCACTGTTTACTCCATTCTTCAACTTCATATTTGAGACTTAATTGAATCAATTTAATTCTTTCTCAAAAATATATTCTGTCCAAAACCCTCTTGATCTAATGCAACAAAATGCTTCTCTTAACAAAAAGAGAAAGAGAGAAGATAATAATGACGAAAATACAAGCATATATCATTAATTATCCTTGAAACTTACCCAACTCAACTTGGCATCCTTAAAGTCTTGCTTCTAAAACGACAAAGAAGAATTCATTGATACAACTAAGTTCTAAAATCTAATAGAACCTCTTCTTTCAATTTATGATGCATTCTACTTTAATGCTTATTCTGATTACTTGACCTTCATAGATACCCATTTAGCTCCTACAATAATTTCCTTGTTCTAACTCCTTAAAGAAGATTACAAATGGAAAACACTCAACTATAATGTAAATTAAAATCTTATTATTTTTTACTTTATAAAAATATTTTTAAACAGAATTTATTCTTAAAATTTACTTTTTACAATCATTTTTAGATAATCAAAAAAAATTAAAAAAACCTACTTTTAAATTTAAAAACATTTCAAAAATAGAATGAATGTTTTATATTTTGATTTGCAAATAAATGAATATTTTCAATTGAAAGATATGAAAGAATATTAAATAATTTTCAATTAAAATTAGCTTTTGCTTAAGACCAGAAGTGAAAACAGTAAAATTAGATTAGCAATTCTTAAGACACTTGAAAAGATTCTTGAAACATTTGGTGAAAGATACATGATTTTAGTTAATGACATTTTACCATTTATCAGTGAAACTCTTGATGACCTCGATCCTGAAGTAGAAAGAATTTCTAAGTCGATAGTAATAAAGCTAGAAGAAATATCTGGAGAGAATATTAGAGAATATTTCAAATCTAAATGAAAAAAATATATATAAAAGGTTTGAAAACTAGATTCAAGCTTTTTGAAAAACATTATTTTAATTAATTTTTGTATGAAAAATATATAATTTATACATATTTTTTTTTGTTTTAATTCATGAATTTTGTTTAAAATCTTTGATAAATACTTGCCTTGAATTATAAACCAATAAACTCAACCGGTTTGTTACAAAAAATTGATTTCCCTGTTTTGATTAATTAAAAATTAATATAAAACATAAAACGCATTAAGTTTTGATAATATTTATTAAATTTCACATGACTTCAAATATTCAAAGTTAAACATCAAAGAATACTAAAAAAATATAAATATTAAATATTAATTTATAGCTAGAATAGAAAATTAATTATTAATATTGAAGAATTTAAGAGTTAATTATTGAATTATTTCTAGCATGATTTTCGGTTGATTTTTGAGTTGATTACTAAAGTTTTTAATAATATTTCCTGAAAATTTTTAAATAAATTTGTGGGATTTTTAAATTCCTTACACTTTTTAGAAGTAAGATAGTTTCTATTTATTTTTAAATAAATTGTTTAAAGGAATATACTTAATATGTAAATTAGAATAATATTTTTTTATTTTCTAAATAACTTAAAGCCAAATTTATTTTTACATGCAAAGCTAATTTTAGCGTAAAGTAATAAAAAGGTTTTTGGGTTAATTATTTCATTTAATCAAATAGGAATTGGACTGTCTTATCTATATTTATCTTTATTTTTAAATCTATTTATATATTTAAAATATTTCTCGAGTTGGATACTTAAAATCCAAATTAAGTATATTAGTACCAATTTATATAGCATTTTTAAGGCTCAAGTATTAAATTTATAAATTTGCGAAAGGCTGGTTTTATACTATTTTAATTTCTAATTAACTATTCGAAATGTTAATGAAATCCTATAAAGTTTATTTCAAATTTATCATCATGCTCAGTTCTAGATATATTAATAGGATAAGCAAAATTATAAAAAACCTTGTATGAATAAATCACTTTGTTAATTATAAAGAAATGTTTAGAAATAAATGTATGATTGTATGCCTTAAACATTATTGAATAAAAGTTTAAAAGTTTTTTTACTTTACGATTTTTAAACTCATTAAAATAAATCTAAAAAGATATCTAAAATTTTAAGTAAAATTAAATTTATAAGCAGATTATTTCCCTAAAATACTTCGATACTAAATATTTGTAAGCAAATTAATAGTTTAGGTTGTAACCAATAGTAATCGGGAAATTATTAATACTTTTGTATGATTATTCTATAAATTAAGGTTATTTATTAATAATCACTTATTACAAATTTTTTTTCTTAGTATTTTAATTTAGCTTACAAAGCTCAAGCATTCAGCCAGAGAAGTCACTGACCAATATAAATTTAAATTTTAATACTAAATAAATCTCTTAAGAATATTTATCCCATCAAAATACAAGTCTTGTTATTTATGTATTAATAATTAAAAATATCTTTCAATTTTTTATTTCATGAAAGTAAATTAAAGTTTTTTCTTTACAGCACATAATTGCTGCTTTTAATAATTGCTAAATATTATAATTTGAAAATAAATTAAATTAGATCGAACATATAGAACTAAAATATGCTAAATCCATGTAAAAATATGTTTAACCAGCGCGAACTTTATTTACTTTATTTAGTATAGAGAGTAATTTAAGGTAAGTAACTCAATTCAAGTGATAAGGCCTTCTTGTTTCCAATCTAATAGCATTTACTTTTCCTTGTAACTATTAAATTATTTCATTTTTCTTGATTAAATCATTAAAAATAGATTTTTAAATCATTAATATGATTTTATTTTAAACTCTGATAACTTTTTTAAAGAAAACTGAAAATCTTTAAAAGAGAAATACTAAATTTAGCTTTAATTTAATTAATTAAGTACAATTTTATTAATTTTTGTTTTAACTTTATTTATTCAGTAAATGATTGAATAGGTAGGTAGGTAAAAATATTGTATTTAATAATTAACATATATATATTATTTATCTATTTCAATTTAATTTTAGTTTAGAAAATATTACAGAATACTCTTTTTTTACAGCTTATATTTTAGCTTTTATATTTGCCATATTTTTACTTCAAATAGAGAAACCAAATAGAGGCAATAAAGTTTGGATTACTAATACATGTTTGAAAATTTGTTAAAACCCTTTATACTTAAAGTAACTAATCACAATCATATAGAATCACACTTAGATCAAACTAGCCAATAATTAAAATGTAAATTGAGTCGCTTATTACTTTATATAATTAGGGGCCAGCCTTTTTTATGTACTTTTCCATTTTAATAAATTAGCAGATAATTAATCTTGTGATTTAAGTTGGAAAAAAATATTAATTTATAGTCTTTTGCTTATAGATACTCTTTTATATTTATTTGAAATCAAATGTGTGGAATACAACCAATTAGCAGAAAAGAAAAAAAAATAATAAAAGTAATTACCATTTTGTTAAGTGGTGCAAATAAAAAACCTTAAAGAAGTGTACTATTTCAAAATATTTTTATATAAAAAATTTTCAGTACCTTTATATAATTTATGTAAATTTCGATGTTTCAAAAATAAACAAAAAATATAAAAGATTTTATAAACAAAATATAGATTCTTCGAATATCCTTATTTTTTTTTAATTTAGCGAGAATAATATATACATTGAAAAATATAATATTTGTGCTAATAATTAGACTATTATATGAAATTTGTTTCTTGGGAAAGCAACACTTATATTGAAATCAGATTATGAAAGCAAACTTTTAGGAATCAAATGAATTAAAAGTTAAACTATAAATTAAAATAATACTATAAATTTATCATGCATTTTTCAGGAGAGAAAATCATTTTATGGATAATTTTTTTAAATAAGTACAAATTTCATGAAATTAGGTGGATGGATGGATATAGATTTACATATTTAATGATTATTTAGTAAGATTGATAGATGCTCTGAATTACAGCATCTTTTGAATATTTGTATGTGTATTTTAGTAAAAAGGTTAGTAAAATGTTTTGAGTAGTTTAATTTAATGGTTCTAATTTATATTTTGTTAGTATGAAAAGATTTTATTTGTTTTTTTTAATATTTAGTAGGGTATTGAATATATTTTTAGTAATGGAGGAATAATTTAGTATTAAATATCATCAAATCATGAACTGAATCATATCAATAATGATTGGCAACAACATAGCCATCAGGAAGAGGAGTAAATTACTCTTTGTTAAGAACTTTGTTTAGGCAATTTTCTACCTAGGTCTTCTTTTTTTAGGCATTTTCAATTTTATTGTGTAATCTCTTAATCTCGATTTGGATATCTTGTTTATCGGAATTGTAGTAAGATTCAATTAAATCCAATTATTTTTAATTTATTTTTTCAAATTTGTTGCTAATGTTCTTCAAGAAAAACATATATTAGGTGAAGTCTTCTGATTTCAATATACTTTTGTTTGGTAAGCCTTTTAGGTTGTTATTATCCTATTGCTACTCGAAACTATTACGGTTTGAAAATCTCCAAACATCTGCCCTAGTAGATTTTCTTTGTAATTCAGCCTTTTCAAGAGACTTTTTAGAAGCAAACATTGTAGTAGACTTCTAAGAAATTGAGTTGTTTGGTAATCCACCAGTTGAAACCTGAGTTTGGAAAGTCTACTTTTTAGAAAAATCAAAATCAGCTATGAGGTTATTGTTATTGTTGCTTCTATTTAAATCTTCATCATCTTCTAAATTACCACATTTACCGAGATATTACTGTCTCTTTTCTCTTATTTCATCTAAAATCTCAGAATAAATAGTAATAATTTAGTTAATTTTATCTTCGAGTTTATTTGATTTAGATGTATGGCAACCCATTTTTTGTTTATATTTGTAGGATTAGAAGGCAAATAAGTATTTCAATGTATTTTGAATATTGTAGTAAGGGTGAAGGAATAATAAATTGATTGTGGTGCTATTCTTGTTTAATGAATAGATAAAAATTATTTATGTTTAATTCAATTTAGTGAAACTAAATTTTTATGATTTCTATTTATTTATTTTCGATTCAATTAATTATATTTATTTTGTTATAATCAATGGTCTATTTCTGCTATGATCAGTAGCAATATTTGATTATATTAAAAGTATTAATTTACGTTATTATTACTTTTCTAATTCAAACTATTTTTAATTTTTTTTTTCTCTTTCCCCCACTTTTCCCCCCTCAGCTATTTTTATTACTCCCTATCTCAATGTTACAATTAATAATTTGATTTCAATTTCTATTTACATATTTGCTATTTATTGCATGACATAATTAGTTTGCATTCATTTTTTCATTCAAATTACTTCTCAAATAAAAATTCAAAAATGTTCAGATATATTGCTTTTTTTTAATGCCCATTACTTTTTTAGTGTAATCAATCACATTTGGTTTGGAAATTAATAAATCATAAATATTTAAATAAATATTCTCTACCCTCCTCAAAAAACTTCTTATGGACTCTGTAATATAGTTGAATGATTAGTATTAATATTATTTCATGAACATGAAAATCTCAACTTAATTTAACTACATTCAATAACTTAACCTAATATTTTGTCTATATTCATAAAACATGTATTAAAAACTAACTGATTTACTTAATAATCTACCATAAAATTTATTAATTCTTTAAAAATTGTATAATTTCTCAAGCTTTAGTTGTAGACATTCATCTTGTTGCATTGAAAATTTAAATTATTAATATGCAAATAATTATTTGAAGTATGTTAAAATATAATCTTTAAATGATTGGTCAAAATTTTATGTTATGTTCAAGCTACTAAAATTTGAGGACTATCCTTGTGCTAGACTTAAATAATTTATGTAAAAATTGGATAGATCTACAAAAGCAATTATTAATAATTACTGAAAACAAAGAATCAGATTAGATAAGCACTTATTTCCAATGATTAAGATACTAAACCTATTTAAATATAAGTAAGATTATCAAAGAATAGTTATTTAAATCGATTACAATCATTGAAAAATTGCTGACTCAAATCGATTTTTAATATTCATAAATATTTTTGAACATAAACAATATTTATTTTGTGGTATGTATTTTGATTCATTAATTAGAAAGGCATAACTAATCTGCATTTAAAATGTTTAATAAAATCTCATATTAATTTTTCTTTTTAATCTGTGAAGCATTTTTCTCATATCTTATATAATTAATTTCATATTTAATCATAACATAATTAATTTTACACACAAATTAGTTCTTTATTTAAAATACATAATCATTTTTGCAGATGTAAAAAATTAAATTAAAAACCTAAAAAGATTTTAAACAAATAATTAAAAGAGCAAATATGATTTTTTAATATTTAAAACTAATAAACTTAAATTATTTTATATTTTAGCTTATCTTTAAAATATGCTCATCTCTTTTTTATTAAACATCAATAGTTTGCTCGTGAGTTAAATAATTTAAATATATTTATTTTTGTTTACAGGACTTTATAGCATAATTCAAAAAAAATGATGAAGTAGAAAAAATCTATATTACTAATAAAATATAAAATAATTTGAATTTTAGGAGTGGGTTTGAAGATAAATTCTTGTCAATAATTGATGGTAAATATATTGATTACTAGTTCTTTAGTAAAAATAACTTAAGCTTTCATTTTTCAAAAAAATATTTTAATAATTTAGAAAAATTTAAAGAGAAAAAACATGATAAATCTATTTATTTATGTAAAATTATTTATAATGTTTAAAGTTGTGCTGGATATCATATTTTTTACTCCAAAATTTAAATGGAGATCTATATCCTTGAATTTGTTAAAGTAATCAATAATATTGATGTTAAAATTTACATCTGTTATGAGAAAATCTGATATTTTAAGAATTACTTTTAAATATTATTGTTTAAAAAAAAATTTAGTTAAATGCAGTGATAAATAATTTACAGTACAATTAATTTCAGATAATTACAATAAAATTCATGAATAGAAAAGAAACAAATGATATTACTTTTATTATATCTTAAAATAAATGAATAACTCGTAGGATTTTTATAATATTTTTATGTTTTGAGGTTCAGAGTTGGATTTACTTAGACAAAAAAGGCAAAATGAAGATTTAAAATTGCTTTCTAATTTATTACATAAACGATTGAGATTCTTATTAAATCTTATAAATAATTTAAGATGAAATACTCATTTTCATTAAAATAGAAAAATCTGTTAAGATGTGGCTTTAATTTTCCAAAAATAACTAACTGGCTGGCTACTTAATTTATATTATAAATAAAAGAAAAAATAACCAATCAAACAAACAAACTATTTAAAAATACATAAAGTTAAAAGAATGTAATACTTATTCTAGATCTAATTTGATAATATTTTTCAAATACTTTAGTGCTTTATTATTAAGATAAAGTATTTTTAGAATAATTTTTGAAATACATTTATTGATATACCTTGCTTAATTATTTTATATTTTTACTTTTTTTAAATGCTTAATTCAATTTTTTAGCTATACTTTTTTGAAAACAAATTTTCCTGTTTTGGCTAGCGTTTGTCTATCTTACCACTAAGCATGAAGAACTTCTTCTGACATAATATTTTATTCTTCAAATAAAAACTCACTTTATTAATTTTCGTCTTTTAACTAGTCTAGGAACTGTTAATTTATTTGAATAAAACTACCGTTTGGAGACTACTGTTATTCTTAACGTGGATAACCAAAGATTAAACTTCCATTAGATTAGAATTTTCCATTTTTATATTCATCATTCAGAGTATATTTTTTTAAGAATTTTGTCTTATAAGTTATCTAACCATTAAAGCCTTCACTTTCACTGTTTATCCTAGATCTACCACCACTTACAAAAGAGCTATTACCTCTCTTGTATAAGTTATATCTGTCAAAAGTTTATGAATTTTGAATTTATTGTGATTAATTGTTAGAATTTTCTTGATTTTAAGCTTAATTTGTTAATTGTGCTAACCTTTATTAATTTTAGTAGCTAAGTATAGAATCTTTTTCTAAGTTAAATTTGTTTACTCCTATAGCTTCTATAGACTTTTATTATTCATAATTATCTTCTTAAATGTGCTTTACCTGCTCATAGTTCCATTGATTCTAAGTCTAGTCGAGTTTTTATTGAGCATAGTGACCACTTTTAAAAGAAAGAAAAGTACCATTCAATGTATTTTTTTATTATGATCTGACTGCAGCAGATAAAGCTCTTTTTTTATGAATAATTTCTAGATGCTCTTCTTTGATTCTCTCATTTTTATCGTTAGGATTCCATTCAGGACGCTTAGAATTTTATTCACTAGGTTCACAGTTGTAACTTCTTAAAGTTCTATACCAATACGAATCTCCATATTTCTAGTCTATAGGCTTTAGAATTTCAAATGCATTAATTGTTTCTATTTTTTTTCTGTGCTATTCTTAAGATAACAAAATTGATCTCTGAGGATCTCTTTGAATATACATCGATTACTTAAATATTAGCTCATCAAATTTTCTTTCATTATTTTCGAATTTTTCTAAAATCTTTTATTCCTTTAACAGCTACTGTTGTTCTTCAATAGTTAATGATTTAAGTATACATTTATTATTTTCTTATATTCTGCTTTAATTCAATTTTAGCCTTTCTTCTTCTTCTTGAATTTTTTATATAACTTACTCCTAAGTCATTTCTTTTTCATAGTAAAATTCATTTCCATCGTTGTCTTTCTACATTTTTTAAAAAACATAAAATTAAAATTGGTAAAAAGTATAGCTCAAACCAATATTTTATTTTATAAGTAAAATAATATAAATAGGATTTACTTAATTCATTAATTCATCTCTTTTTTTTCTTTTCATAAATTTAATATCACTGACGAATGTTTTATCTTCTTGCTGATGCCATAGCTTTGGATAAATTTATGTTTTAGACATCTTTTCTTTGGCATCAGCGTCTTCGTTTAGACTAATTGGTGCATAAGAATTCCCTCTTTTACGAATCTCATCATTTTTTGTTTTTATTAAATCATTTAAAATATTATTATTTAATTTTTAAGTTTAGTCACTGCAATCACTATTTTGAGAAGTTTTATGCTTTTATATTTCTTTTGTCAACTCTTTTACATACCACTATGGTTTTCCTACAATAGAATAAGGTATTATTTTTCCTTCTTTAGTATATTGAGGACCTAAAGTTTCATCCTTACTATAATTTTAGTAAATTTTAGCTGTCTCAAAAATATTTTTGACTTATTTTCCTACGTTATCAACTTTTGCTTGTGAGTTTTCATGAAGAGATGTAGATAATTTTCTAAATTTTTAATTAGAACTTGGGTCATCAGATTAGTTTTTATTTTACATACCATTTTAAATATTGCTATTTTATTATATTTATTCGTTTTATTTACTCCTTTCTATTAAATCCTGCTTTACTTCATTTCCATTTTATTGTTTATTTGTAGACTACTCCATTTATGAATGTATATTTTCAGACTAATTTTCTTTTTTCTCGTTTAGTTGTATTTTATTTAGCAAATCGTTCTCATCTACTTTTTTTGCTATAAATCTTATTTGAGATGGCTAGATTTAATTATATGAAGATTGCATTTTTGCCAAAAGGTGAGTCCTAAGAGGTTAGCATTTATCTTGATACGATTAAGCTACTTCATAAGGAGATTTTTCAATAATTTAAACCTTACGAGGTAAGGCTGGTTTAAGCTTAAGCTTATTCATAACTTTTAATTTTTCTAACTACAAATATTAAAATTTATTAAGAAAAAAAATCAATCAAAAATGAAATATTAAATTTATCACAAATCAATTATTTGATATTAGTTTAAATAAATAGTTAGTTATATCCAACAATTAAATAAGTATTTAGTAAATTTAGAACCATTCGATTTACTATCATGCAAATATATAATAATATCTAAACAAAAACTAAATTCTTATTTGTTTATATATTAATTATATATATATATAACTTAAGAAAATGTTTTTTTTAAATTTTAAACAAAATAGCTCAATCATCAAGCCAATTAAAATCTATTCAAAAAAGAAATCATAAAATTATTTAAAATTTTAAATTAAGTTTTTTAATTTTCACTATCAAACGACTAAAGATAAAATCAATTCTTTATTTCAATTAGAGATAAAAATTTAAGATAGAAATATTTTATATTACAAACATTATTAAAATTAAATTTTTTAATTTTTGAGAAAATACAAATAAAAATTTAAAAAAGGAAAAAACTTTTATAATAAAATAATTCAAAAAATTTAAATTGTCTATTAATTTACAGTTTTTAGATTTAACCAAAACCTCAAATATTATATATCATGCTGCTGCTGTTTTATTTTTGTTTTAATTTAAACTAATTTTATCAAAAATATTCTGCTGGGATTTAATTTAAGTAAAATTTAAAATAGAATTTATTATTTAAAGGCATATTTTGTGTAATTTTATATTATTTGCAACTAAATTTAAACTATTTCTTTTAGTCTTGCTAAATACTTTTTCACAATTTAGATATATTTAAGTTTTTCTTAATTTAATTAGTTTATTCTCACACAACTGATAAATTATTTTTTATTTATTAATGTAAAAAAATGATCTAAAATGAATCTAAAAATTTAAGAAATCAATAAATAATTCTATTTTATTTATTTTTTTTATATGATTCTAAAAAATAAGATTTTATAATTAAATGTTTTTAGTATTAAGTTGATATTATAATAATTACTTAAAACTTTAAAATTTAGATAAACGTTTATTTACCACAAATAAATAACTCTTTTTATTACAGTTTATAATGAGTGGATAATTTATAATTAGTATAAGTTGTGTAAAAACTCTAATCTTAGATCATAATGATAATATATTTATTATTGAATTATAAAAATTTGGATTTTTTGATGATATAATAAAATGCCCTATCAAATTTTGATTTTAACAACTAAACCATACAGAATCATAAAATAAGCTGTAACCTCTTATTGATTCATAAAAAATTATAAAACTATAAAATAGTTAAAAAGTAAATGAAATTTATTTTATATTTTTATAAAACTTTACTTTAAGAAAGTTAAAAATTTTATTCTATTCTATTTTAATTTTAAACATTTTTTGAGTATTCATAGCATTTTATTTATTGATTTTATTTTAAAATATGTTTTTCTATAGTAAACTTTTTCTATTGTTAAAAAAATAATATAGAATAAATAAAATTTAAAGAATTGTTTGTTTACTGAGTCTGTTCATGCGAATAATTAATTAATTTTCAGTTATTATTATGTAATATTAACTAGCGCTTATATAAATCATTAAATATAAAATAAGATTTTTTTTATTATAAATTATATCATCATAACCACCGACCAAATTTTAGAAATTGTTAAGAAAAATCATTAATAAAAGTGTTCTTTACGAAATACGTTTAGAATAGAAAAATTGAAGCTATTATATCGATTATTATTTTATGAATAGATATATTAATAATTCATAAGACAAACAAATTTACTGACATTTTAGTATGCTCTCTTGTAAATTTTTGTAACAAGAAAATTAAAATACTAATTTAATGAATTATATATTTATTTATCATAAGCTATTATATTATATTTTAGCTATTTTTATAGTTAAATAATAAAAATAGTTTAAAAGATAAAGAAGAAGAATAAAAAGTTGTTGATATTGATATGAATTAGTATAACTCAGTGTATTTTCTAATTTTGAATTATACAATATTTAAAAACTGGTTTTGATTTTCAAAAATTTAGTTATTTAAAAATAATTTAGATTTTTAGTTTTTTTACAATAAAGCTTTTAAAAATGTTTTTTATCTAATTATTGAAGTTAAAAAATAGATGATTCCATTTTTAAATGAAATATTTTTATTTTTCAATTTTTGTTGCAGAGCATTTTTGTAAATAGTTTTTTAAAAGATTAATTAATGAATTAATAGTTAAGTAAAAATAAAAAAAGTTAAATAACCTACCTGAATAAAATTAAGAAATACCAAGCTAAAAACATTAATTAACAAGATAATAATTAGAAAAAATATTAAACGTAAACAAGTTCTACATAAAAAAAAACAACAAATAAATCTAATATCACATAAATTCCTATCATAATCTCCAAAAATGTCAATAATAAAAAATGGTAACTAAACTATACTTGAAGTTGAAGACGAGCTCCTCGTAAGCCCTGAAAAGACAAAAAAAGTATATAATAAAAACTTTGCTATGACAGCTTAATTTAATGATAATTATAGCAGCTTTTCTTTCATAGATTAAGTAGATGAAGCTGACTAATAAAACCCTAATTAAAATGCCTTCGCAGACGAATAAAGTGATCAAGAAGGTGAAGATTCTGGTTTTTTCATGAGAGGAAAAAGTTCCACTATAAGCAAGTGTTCTGATATAGAGACAATATAATCAGTTAGATCAATTACATCTAAGCGCCCTAGCTTCTTCCTTCAATAAAGAATTCAACTCTAAATCCCTAGTTTCAAGAAATTAGAATGTGCTGCTAGTAAAGAAGAAATTTAATTTACATCAAAATACGTAGTTGGAAAGAAATTAGGTGAGGTAAGATACAAAAAAATCTATTTTACATTTATTATTTTTAAAATTTTCAAATTTTAAGATTGGTTTTAATTAATTAAAATCAGTCATATATTAAATATTAATCAGTAAAAAGCATTTTTCAAAATCCATTTCTAATTGAAATTTAAAAAATAAAAGGGAGCAAATGCAGTTGTAAAGGCATGCTACTAAAAAGATGAGAGTGGAGAACCAGAAAAGTGTTAATCAAAATTGTATGCTGTTAAAATATTTAAGACTAACTCAATAGAACAAATTTTAGAAGTAAATTACATTTTAAGTGGAAAATTGTTTTAAATAAATTATCCAAATTCCAACAACCTACTCTCTTCTTTTTTCTCTGAAATTTAGAGTAGAAGTCTAAAATTTAAAGTTCATTTTTTGTTGGGCATAATTATATTTCTTTTTCACCTTATATACTACAAATAAAAATTTGATTTGTATTTTATGTTAATAAAATAACATAAAAACGTCATATCTTAATTAAATTTACTGTTATTTTGGTTGCTCTAATTCATTTTTAAATTTTAGCCAGCCATCTAATAGTTAGTTATACAATTTAATAAATTTTGATTTAGAAATTTATATAATTAACTTTCTTCTAATTAAATAGATTTAAAGGGAATGCTAAATTATGCAACAAATCAATCATCCTAGTATAATAAAATTCAAAGAGTTAATTATAGAGAAATCTACAAATAAGGCTTATCTTGTGCAAGAATTTGCTTAAGGTAAGAGTCTTTAGAGTTATCTAACCGAAAATTGTTAAAATCGCTAAATGGATGAAGTCACTGCTTTATCCATAGTTCTATAAGTCCTGAGAGGTCTCTGCTCCTTACATAGTAGGAATATATGCCATTTCGATATTAAACCAGATAATATAATCTATAATTAAAATAATGGAAAGATTAAAATAATCGACTTTTCATCTTCACGCAAATCATACCCAAACCAAAAACTACTTACAAATATTGGGACATTAAACTATAAATCTCCAGAATATTTCGGAGGTTCTTAGAGAAACACAAAATCAGATATCTGGAGTGTAGGTGTTATCTTATACTAACTTTTAACAGGCTTTCTTCCTTTTGATGACTTGAGGTAAATAACATTTTTCAAATTCAAAATAGTTTTAAGAAAGTTTAATGAAATTGGAAATTTACATGTTTTTATTCCAGCTAATTAAATTGAATTTTATTTTTTTAATATTTAACTCATTCTTATTATAAAAAATAGTGGTAATCCTTGTTCTATTACAGAAAATATCAAAAATATGAAATTCTAATAGCAATATAAAGAAGTTATTTCACCAAAAATGCTTGAAATTTTAGAGTTAATGCTAGTATTTGATCCATCAAAAAGATACTCAGCTAACTAATTATTACAAAAAATACCATATTAAGTAATTATTATTTTTTTGAGGATAAAATTTAATTTTTATATTATAAAATAAATAGACTGAATTATATTCCCTAAAACAACTTAAATCTAATAGAAAACCAGCATAATAAACCAAAAATTCAACTTTTAAATCTAACTAAAATTTTGAAAATAGCTTGTAAAGAATAAGTACTACATAGACTTTTTTGGATATAGTAATGTCTCCTGAATTATGTTAATCAAGAACCGACCGTTATTTAAAGATACACTCTTCTCAAATAGAAGATTTTAAAAACATTTTATCTATAAACTTAGACAATATAGTTATATGACATCAATGAGCTTAATAAATGAGCTAAAATTTTTAAAAACATATCTTTATAATTCTAAAATAAAAAAATCTTTTTCTTTTCGAACCTCTCTATATTAAATATCTTCCTGCCATCTCTTTCGACAAAATCTTTTCAAGCTTAAAAATGTTATCAACTATTAATATGCCCTTACATTTATAAATTCAAATGATTAATAAGAAGAAAGTGCATAATGCATTATTATTATTATTATTCAATTACTAATCTAATTAATAAATAAATAATCTTATAAATTAACAAATAAATTTATCTTACAATGCAAAAAATATATATCAAATGTAATCTTCAAAATATCTACTTAGCTATTTATTTTGTTTAAAAACTATGATTTTACTAAAATAAATAACAAATTTCAATTTCAAAAACGATTCTTTATCATAAATTAAATAATATAAAATTATAATCTAATCATTTTAATTTAAGTCTAGGTATACAAAGATAGAAAAGAGATTCATTGTAATTCTTAAAAATTTGATATTAACATTTTTATTTGAATAGTTAATCAAATAATTAAAATAGAAAAATAGTGCAAATTATATAATTTATCAGAGTAAAATATGGATTTATTTTTAAAAAAATATTTATAATAAATTCTATTTTTTTATAATTATTGATTTCTATTTAATTTACAGCAAAATTATTTTTAGATAGATTTACTTAAGTTGATTTCTTCATTTATTTTTACATTTATCTAATAATTAATTTATTCTTTGAAGTTATTTCAAGATTAGTTTTATATGGTGGAAATGTGCATGAATTTTACTTACATATGCTAATTTAATTTTATATCAACCAAAGTAACGTTCTTCGTTGATTATTTTTTTAATTCATGAATTATAAATTAATAAATATATTTATATTTTTAATAAATAATTAGTTTCTTTATTTTATTTAAAGTCCCGTTATAATTTTTTTTCTTTCTTTATTTTACTGTTTTTTTATAATATAGAAAGAAAAGGTTAAGAGTAAACTCATATTAGCCTATATTTTTATAATATTTCATGTACTTTTTGTTTTTGAATAGGTTTATTTAAAAAATCTTCAAACATTGTTAGCTACTTCTTTTCCTCATTTGTGTATTCGTTTGCAGTCAAACTAATAATTGGAGTGGCGATTTTTAAATCTTACTTTATTATTTATGAAGCTGTTTATCCATCCATAATAGGCATTTACATATCCATGAATATTAGTTTAAAATTCATTTATTTTGCTTTTTATACTGCTTACTCACCATTTTCAGCTTGATAAACAATGATATTTTCATTTTCTGAGATAAGCAATTTTAAAGCTAGGATGTTAAATTGATTATCATCAACTATTAGAATATTATGTTTAGGTTTACAAGGAATATTTTCTTTTATATTTTTATAGGAAAACGGTAAAGTAGGGCTTTGCGTCTATTATAAGGCCTCACTTTTTGAAGATTTTTATCTATTTTATATATACTTGTACTCGATTTCTTTGCCAAATCGAAGAAATGAAGGATTTGGCTTTTAATACTACTTTAACTTCAGGTTAGCAAAGCTTAAACGCATACTCTTTGCTTATATAAATTCATCAGACCCTTAGCTTGTTCTCTCTTTCGGTGTACTTGCTAAGCTAAATGAATATTATTGGTGATTTAACAAATGCTTTTTTTAATAATTTTTTATTGGCGAGCTCTATTTAAATTGTGTGTTTATTGTTAAGTTGCTTGATTAGTCACTATATGATGCTTCTTCTGTTGTTGGCTAAAGCAGTATTATATTAGAATTTTTAGAATAATTTTAAATAAAGGAATTTTTATTATCTTAAGAGTCAGTAATTTATTTATTTTATGGAAGAGATCTTTCAATTAACTTTTATTCAATTTGTTTAACAGATGATATCAATTAGCTCGTCTAGAAATGGATAGATGGATAAACTTAATTTGGAGGAGGATTGGCAAATTAGTATTCCTAAATATTCATTTAACCGAAAGAGTCAAGGTCTTGTGATTCGTGCATGTTAGATTTAGCTGAAGAACGAGTAATAAAACGACTTTTCCTACTTTCTAATGTCACCCTTTACTCACCGTGAAGTTTTTTAACTGGACTTTCATACTAATTAGGAAGTAAGTAAGGAGGATATTCTTCAATTACAATATTTCCAGATTAGTTAGAGTTTTCTTGAAGTTATAATGTAGAACGCTTATCCTTAATATTAGATGTTAATTCATTGTTTTAAGAAAATGCCCTACATTTCAAGTCATCAAATGTTTGATAGGAAACTGAATGATTTTTAAAATTCTTCAATGTTGCTGGTGTTACCTCTCCATAATGTTGAATACTTTCTTAGTAATTCTATTTCTCATATCCATTTTTATCTTATTCGTTTTGTTAGTTTTCCATCATTGATTGATGTTATAACTATTATTCCTCCTCTTCTTCTTACTCCTCTTCTTTGATTTATTCAGCATATTTATTATTATTTTGATAAATTTGAAAAGTAAAAATAGATCCTTCATTTTATACGCTCTCAACTTAAAATTAGCTTGTTGGCCCTAGCTCTCCAACTATAGTTTTACAGTTATTAAGACCTAAACCAATACCTTTAATTAATTAATTAATTTATTAAATTAAAATCTGTTAACTTTTTCTCTTTTATTGAATTTTAAAATAAAATCAAAATAAATTTATTTTCTTTTTTCAAAATTTCTAAAATTGATTAGGTAATTTACCATTTTTGTTTAATCCCTCCTGGTTGAAGGTGCTGTACTGCTAAAATAATTTAGCTTTTATCTCTTCTGACATTCCTATACCTGTATCTTATACAGAGATAGATATAAGATTACTATTTTCGCCAATAGTTGATATACTAATAATTATCCGACCTTACTAAGTGAATTTTAAAGCATTTGAAATCAAATTGATTAAGACTTGCTTTATTCTGTTAGAATCATTAAAAACTATTATATTTTTTATATCAAGAAAACACCCTTATTTGTAATTCAGTGATAGTTACAAGCCTTTTTATTCAGCTTGAAATTTAAATAAATCAATAACTTCTTCGAGCACATCCCTAAGATTAAATTTGTCAATTCTTAATCTGAATATTTTTTTCTTCATTTAACTGTAATCTAAAATGTCAGATATAAGATACATCAGAAGGCCAGTAGTTTTTAAACTGATTTCTATAAAATTGCGAGAGTCTTCAGGGATCTTATTAACCCCTTTTTCTAAAGCAAAGTTAAGGAATTAAATTAATTAACAAACAGGTGTTTTTATATCATGACAAACAGAAGCTAATAGCTTGTCTTTGTATTCATCTAATTCTTAAAGTTTCTCAGCATTTATTTTTTCACTGATATTATTAAGAAGTACCAAAATTTGTCTTGAATTCTTCCACACTATTTTCACATCATAATATTAATCTTAGTATGTGAATAGAGTTCCTTACTTTTCGTCTATTACACTTCTGAAATTGTGCTTTATAGAAAGCAAATCGTATAAGTTTTTAATTTAATTTTGTTTCATCCATAAATAATTTTCTTCAGCTTATTTTTAGAAAAGATTAGACGTACTGATTCCAGCACTGTTAAAGGCAGCGATATCACTGCTAACGAGATTAGACATTTGGTTTTGAAAATGTTAATTGTTTGGACTGCTACTTAAAACTCTTTGAGATTATTCATTTTTGCTTTAATTCTCTCTACAAATAGTCATTTCTTTAAGCATTTTATTTACTATTAAATTACCCTTACTCTCCTTGTTGAAAAATTCATTTTTTGATTTCTAATTTTTGAATATACATTAAAATCCTAATGGGCCTTTCTACAATATAAGAAGGGAAGAGGGCATAAGGTCATCAAGTATTCTACTGTGCTCTTTTAAGTTAGCTCTTTCATAAAACAGTTCTCCAAATTATTACTTTATATGTTATTCACAAAAGTATAAAATTAAGATAGCTGAAACCACAACTATTTAGAACTGGATAAATGGCAATTCAATGCTTTCAATAATTTTGCATCTGAATATCCTTTAATTAAAAAAAATTAGCATTATCAATCATATTTTTTATTTACAGCTGTACATTATTATATTTTTATAAAATATTTGCCTCATTTAGCTCATTAACAGGTAATAAATTTTTATTAAGTAAAAAATGAATTATGAATAAATTTTAAATTTATCTTTATAAAAATGCATTGGCTATGAAAATATTTTATTTGATATTTTTGTTTAATAAAAGTTAAAAAAAATTACATATATTCCCAACTAGCAAGCAAAAATATTGATCTCAAAATCCATTTATTAAAGCAGAGGCATAGTAGAATAGAAAGCAAAGTATGCATAAATATGATAGCTGATATTTGACTTATATCTTCAGAAAAGCCTTAATCACTTAAATAATTCTCTAATATAAAAGCAAAATTACAAATTTAAAGAAGAAGAGCTAGTAATGGAGTATATCTTTAAATCTTTTTAAGGCAAATAAGAAGAGCAAGCAAAATAACTATGGCAATTATTAATGAATACAATAATGCCATATTTTCTCTATAAAAATGCAATTTTAATATCTAACTGAGGAACAATATACAATTTATAATAACTATTGAGTAAAATAATTTATACTTAGAATATCGACATAAATTTTCATATTCTTATTACGTTGGAGTATCATTAAAATCTAGAAAAGAGCTCAAAACTTTATAAATTTCATTTTGATGTGCCGATTTTTGCTTCCAGCACATAATCTACTAATAAATTTATAATGTCTTTAATAATTTTCTTAAATAGTTAGCTTAAGACTATCAAATATGAAATATTTTAAGATTTTATTTTAATTATCCTTAAAATCCTTTCGAAATAGTTTTAAGATTTTGTATTTAAAAAGCCTTCTGAATATAACTTTTTGATGGAAATTACTCTTTTCTTAGCGTTTATTGCTATATTACTTATATTTATTTGCAAATTATTAAAGCCTTCTATAATAAAATAATTAAGGAGCTATTCCACACTTTTTACAGACAAATTAATAGCTTTAAAATACTTTATAAAAATTGTATACTTTTAATTAAAACAGCATTTTTATAAATTTCATTAGATAAAATAGAAGTATTTTATATGGACATTAAATGAATAATTTGTATTTACCTAATTCTACTTACTATTTTTTTATAAATAATAATAAACGCTAGCTTTCGTGCTAAACCACCACATACCTTATCTGATTCTTTTATTATAAAAAAATCACGCTCATAATTTAATATATTGATTTACAATTCAAATTTTATAAAAATAATTATTAATTTTGAATATTAAAAAATAATCATTAAAATTTATTTTTTATTCTGTAAATTAATTAGGCCAGGTAAGATAAGATAATATTGTATCACACCTGTTTAGTAAAATAATAATACAATAATATAAATAAATATAAACCCTAATTAATATTTTTTTTCTAATTTTAAAAAAACCAAAAAAAACCTTAAAACTTTATCCATACATAAATGGTTATTCTTTATTATTTTCAAAACTACAAATAATAAATTAACTAATCAATATATTAGCAATTAACTTTTAGAAAAGCTAAATAAAAATAATTTAATAAATCTACAATTAAGATTTAAGAATTTACTTTAATTCTTAATTCTAAAATACCTAAATAAATAATTACCTTTCAAAAAATTAAAAATTAAAAATTAACATATTGAAATACTAAATTCGATAAATATATTTTTATGATAATTATTTTGTAAATATAATTTAAAATAAGATTAATTCACTTTACAAAAGTTAAAATAATTTTCGACTTGAAAAATTTGTAGAAACTACTCATTTATTTTTTATTATCTTTTTTTTATTGATCAATTATATTGATAACAATTTAAAATTTAGACAGGATATAAAAGTGAAATAATAATTAAGAAATAATAAATAAGCTAGATAAATAGATAGATAGCGTGTCAAAACTTTAATTAGTTCCCAAATATTGCAATTATTGCTCTTTAAATTATTTCTTTTCTATACATTTAGGCCACTGATTCTTTTTCCATGAGTTTCAAGACTTCTATAATATGAGTTCTATCTTGAACTGCTTTTGTTATATATTAGAGAACTTTTTTTACTTAAGGAATCATACAATGGCTTTTAGTTATATTATTCAAGAAATTTTAATATAAAACCTAATAAAAATATTTATTTACTTTGGTAAAACTATGTTAACTCTAGTAAGCTTTTTTAAATTTCTTATTTATGTGAGTAAATATACTAACGAGTATGGAGAGTATTTATTCTGAAAATCCCTTGAAGAAGGAGGTCTTTATTATTTACATTACTTAACAATTAATTATTAATAGAATAAATTAAATTACTTTTTTAGATCTAAGTTGAGAAATTGCAGGTTTTAAAGTTTTCCTAATCCTTCACCAATAGACATAATAGCTTGTGAAGTAAAAGAAGGATTATTATCTCCCCATCTATTTAATTAAATTTTTTATTATTTTAGGATATAATATTTTTTGAATATTTACCCTAGTAGTTTTAAATTTAACCACTCAAGATTTATTTATGAAGAAAGGAACTCTTAAAGGTAAGTAGCTCCTTCATTTGTGAATATTGTCTCCCATGGATTAGAGATAGTGCAGGCCCATCTATAATAAAAATTATTATTAAGAAATATATTTAAATATTATTGATATTTAATTACCCTCTTAAATCTAACATGAGATATTTTAAATTCTAAAGTTTTTTCAATTCATTCATGTACTGCTACATATCAATATCTCTAATATTTCCCCAAGACTTCCAGCTAATTAAAGATATAGGCATATAAAATTCAGAGTTTTAAGTATTTGAAAATATTTTACCCACCACAACATAGGTATAATGACTCTAAATTTAAATTAATAGGTATTTTTTGTATTATCTGTAAAAGGTCTTATTAGTTCGGATGTTATTAATCATTCTCTGTTCCCCAACTAAACGAAACAAATCTCTTATAATTAATTGTATGATTTAAAATATTTTACCCATGCAAATTTAGTGAAAGATGTTTTAGTTTATTTTATGCTTCAATAGTTTAAGCTAACTTTATAGATCCCAATTAGCCAGCTCCTTTTTATGCAAGACTTAATATTTGAAATTCAATTTTAATAATTAAAACATTAACAATATAATATTACGAAGATAATTCAATATGAAGCATTTCTAAATTCGTTTAGACAAAAGCGATATCGATAATTGAGCAAATAATATCATCACTATATTCCTCAGAGACGCTATCAAAGTAGAGATAAAGATATTTAACTTTATTAACTTGCTGTATTATTTTGCATAATCTAATAACTTCAGATGTATCTAATTTATGCCATTTTCCTAACCTATTTAAAAGACATATTATTCTCTCCCTTTATTTTATTGTAATAAGCTATTAATTACTTCTTTAGATTTAATTCAAAGTATTCTATCTTTCTATTCTTATACACGATTTTTTCAATGAATTTTTCTAGCCCATCAATTAGGAGATTTGATCTTTTCAAAATTTAGAACTTAAAAAATCGATCCATTAATAATTAAAGCATAAAAAATAATTCTGATAATATTTTTATTACTTTTCTGTAAAATTTATGATTATATTCTTGTAGCTTGAGACATCAGAATCTATATTTTCAGGTAGTATATTTCTATTTTAGTATCATATAAATTATAAAAAAGATGAATAACTTTATAACTAAAGTAGAATGATACTCGTTATTAAAATTCAAAAAAAAGCAATCATCGAGATAAATATCAAAATTTGGTGGCAAATTTAAAAACTTATGTTCTTGATCTTACTAAATTAGCTGCTTTTCTATTTCCATTTTTATTATGCTTTTACACTATATATAATTGATTTATTATTGAAATTTGATTTTTAATTATTGCATTAATATTTGGATATTTATCAAATTTTTAATATATTTAATTCTGTTTGTATAGAAAAGTTATATCATACTTAATCAGTTTTACAGATAAACAAAATTTTATTTCTAAAAAAAGTTTTAAATATTTATAAAACTATTCAAGAAATAAATTCTAAAAACCAACAATAAATATTTCTATTCAAATTTGTTTTAGTATTTAAAGTTTATTAATTTTTTTTTTTTTACTTATTTCTAAATTTAAATTTAAAAAAAATAACAAATATTTTTTTAATAGGACTAATTTATAAAATTATTTTATTAAAGATTATTTATAAGCAATGAACTATAAGACTGAACTAATAAATAGCTTTAAAATATTATATATTCAAAGGCCAATTCAATATTTCAATTTTGAAAGAAAGTCATTAGTGAAATTGTAAGTCTCTTTTGCATATTTAATAGTGATTTACTTTAATTCCTCAACTTTACATTCTTTATAGTATTTTCCACCTGCTAATTAGTTAAAATTAATTAAAGCTGTGTGCAGAGTAGTTTGCGCACCTTCAATTGGTGTTTTAATGAAGAAAGTGTAAATATATCTTAAAAATGAATTCAAAAATATATTTATTATTTTTATAGAACTACAAAGATTTCTAGTTATTTCAGTGTCTATTACTCCTGGATGTATCGAAACAGATTTTAGGTTTAGACTGTCTTGATATTGCTCATTCAAGTAAAGAGAATATAAAGTTAAATAATATTTAGATTAAAAATAAGCTTTAATGTGTTCATACTTTTTATTAGAATCAAAAAAAGAATAATCAGGGCTATCAAATTTTTAAATGTAGCTTACAACATTTAAGATTCTATTCTAGTTTTCTTTTTTAAATAAAGACAACAATTATTCTGTCAGATAGAATGTTCCAATATAATTTGTACCAAAAATCATCTCAAAGTTCTACTTAGTAACCCTTTTTTCAATCAAACCAAACAAACCTGCATTGTTAATCAAAATTGTTATTTGATCAAATTTAGATTTAACAGATTTGACAAATGTTCTTATGCTATCTAAATCTGATAAATCCAACTAAAATAGCTCTATCTTTGCTTTATTTTAGGTTTCTTACATTATTTAAGCTACAGCTTATTTAGCTTTTTGCATATCTCTACATCCCATTATTATAGTAGCATTTCTTTTAGCTAGATGTTTTGCAGTTTCTAGCCCTATTCCTGTGTTTGACCCTGTAATTACTACGACCTCACCAGTCATATCTCTGTCTACTGAACAAGATACACCTTTCATTTTCTTTCTTATAATTAGCAAGACAGCAATTATTAGTGTAAATGTTAGCATCAAATAACTCATTTTTAAAAATATTAATTTTTTACTTATTTTTAATTGATTGAAATTATTTGGGAATTATTTATCTTTAATATTTATATCAAATATATTTTTAATATTAAAACAAAAAAATATTAATCTGATTACACAAATTTCAATTTGATAAAACCATGTAAATTTTCAAGTTGATAAAAGTATTTAAGATAATTTCAGTCAAGTTTTATATTTTGAATAATTAATAATATTATCCACATAAAAATTGTAAAAATTAAGTGTAAGAAATAACTTTTTAAAATAATTAAATTCCTTTTTTAAAAGTGTAAGCTTAAAATTAGTTAAAGCCTATTTATATTAATCCTATTTTTAAAAAACATTCTTATTATCATCATATCACATATTTATAATTACATTCCCTATTATGAAATATCTTTAATTTTAATATTTAAATTAAAATTTTCCTAAAAGCGAGTGGATTTTTTCAGTATTTACATTCTAAAATAAACAAAATAAATTTTTTCTTTCTAAAACTGTAAATTTTAAATTATTACAAATAATTTCTAGAATTTTTTTTTGGACAAAATATAAGTTTGAATTATTTTTTAAAATGATTATTATACAAATATACCTCTTTATTTAAAATTATACATAAACTTTAAAAGTATTTTTAATGTGGAATTTTAAATATTTTGGAAGTTCAATAAATTTCAGAATATTTTCATAATTTTTAATAGTTATTGTTTAATAAACTAATTTATGAGATTATATTTATTTTATTTTAAATTCTTGAAAATTAAATAATATCTGAATTAAAAGCTTCAGGTTATTTTGTTTAATAATTCTCAATAAATTAGATTTAGTTTTAACAAAATATTTAAAGTTTTGAAATTTTTGGACAGCTTTGTTAAATTTACTAAAAATAAAATGCTACATATTACATAAATTTATTTATTTATTTGATTTGACATATACATAAATATAAAATATTTTTCATAAAAATTGATTTTTTTTTTTTTATAAATAAAAAGAATTTTTGTTGTTTTTTAATAAATGTTCATATAATTACTATTATAATTCTACTAAAGATCAGTGTTTTATTTAAAAGAAAGTACGCGAAAAGGTTAATATTTCAAACAAAACGAATATATCAATATACTAATTAAACTAAATAATTTTAAAAAAACTAGAAACTAACAATTAATTAGATTAGAAAATAAATACCAATTTATATATCAAAAATATTTAAGAAAAGCATCAATGAAATAAATTTTAAACGTAGCTGAAAAGCCTTCTGTAGCTAAGGAAATATCAAGAGTATTAGGAAATGGATCTTAAAAAACTTTAGATAGTGAATCAAAGTATAATCCTGTATTTTAGTTTGAATATAAACTGAAATAAGAATAAGTTAATATGTTATTCACTTCAGTAACAGGGCACTTAATTTCATAAAAATTCGATGATAAATTCAAAAATTGGAAATCTTTTAACCCTTCAGTACTATTGGATTAATCATCTGAAATTTTAAAATTTGTGGAAAGTGATAAAATCAGCATATAAAGAAATTTAATAAAATGGGCACGATAAGTTGACACTCTTATTCTTTGGTTGGATTGTGATCGTGAAGGAGAAGCTATAGCTTATGAAGTAAAATTAATATAAAGGAAGACACTTTTTAATCTTCAAAAATGATAGGTCATAGATATTTGCAGAGAAATCAATAAAAATTTATTAATTAAGAGGGCATGGTTTTCTTCTTTAGATAGGTTAAATGTTACAAATGCAATTAATAATTTAAGAGATCCTAGAAAGGAACTTTCAGAGGCAGTAGAATCGAGAATGGAAATAGATTTAAGAATTGGTTCTGCATTTACGGTGTTCTAAACACTCAATTTAAAAAATAATTTTTAAAGCTTAAAAGACAAAAAGGAAGTTATCAGGTAATAAAAATAATTTATAAACTTTGTAATATTAATAATAACTAAAGAGAATTATTTTATAAAAAAGTTATGGACCTTGCTAATTTCCTACTTTAGGTTTTGTTGTAGATCGCTACAATTAAATTTTGAAATTTTAAGATGAGAAGTTTTGGTATATTCAGCCTTCATATTAATGGTAAAAATATAAATTTAATTTTGGTTGAAAATTTATAGTTCTAGTTATACATTTATTATAAAAGGAAAGATAATAACAAAACTTTGACTGTTGATTTAAAGTGGAGTAGAGGGAGATTATTTGACTAAGCTATTGCATCTGTTTTCTATTTGAATTGCACTTAGAATGAAGATGGTGAGTATGATCCTAAAGGTATTGTTGTCAAGAAAAATGAAAGAGATACAACTAAAATAAGACCTTATCCTTTGACTACAGTTGATTTAACAAAATAGGGTTTTAATTTTTTATTTTCATGATTGCTAATTTTTTTTAATAATTATTTTGTTATAAGGCTGTAGGATACTGAGAATGGCTTCAGAAAAAATAATGCATACTGCAGAACAGCTCTATTAGAGTGGTTATATCAGTTATCCAAGAACTGAAACAAATAAATATCCTGACACATTTTAAAATGGTTAGTTAATGGATTTAGTTAGAAACCAAAAACAATCAGACGAATGGGGATTCTATTCATCGAATCTGATAGATTAAGGAAATTTTTAGAGACCTCGTGCTGGTAAATAAGATGATAAGGCACATCCTCCTATTCATCCTATTAAGCTTGCAAATAAAAATTAATTAAAACCTGAAGAGTGGAAGGTTTATGAATTTATAACAAGACATTTCTTAGCATCTTGCGGTAAAGACGCAGTTGGTGCTAAAACAGAAGTTGAAGTTAAATTCAATGATGAAAGTTTTAATATTGATGGTTTAGTTGTTAAAGGTAAAGTTTATTTAATTTATTGAATCAGTTTTAATTTTATTTTTTTTATAGAGAAAAATTATTTAGAAATTTGGACTTATGAAAAATGGAACGACTCTATTGTGCCTCCACTTTAACCTGGATAAGTGATTATTCCCTAAAAGATTCTGCTATAAGAGGGAAAAACAACTCCTCCAAAACCCCTTACTGAATCAGAACTTATTGATATGATGAATAAAAATGGTATTGGAACTGATGCTACCATGCACGACCATATCCTTACTATTTAAAAAAGAGGATATGCAGTTAAGAATTAACATCTTATGTTTACTCCCACACCACTTGGATTAGCTCTATGCCACGCCTATGATCAATTAGGCTTAACTTTAAGTAAGCCAGACTTAAGAGCAAAGATGGAAAGATTAATGTCAGATGTAGCTGAAGGAAAGACTACAAGAGAAGCTATCATAACATAAATTATGGAAGAGATGAAATCAATTTATAAAACAGTTGAGCAAAATAAATAACTTTTCATCAAATCTGTAGGCGAGCAGCTAAAAGAACAAGAAAACAGTGCTTCCACTCTCAATAATAGTAATATTTAGCCTGGAAGTGAATGTGGAAAGTGCTAAAAAATAATGGAACTACAAACTAATGATTACTAAAGATAATTGGTCTGCAATCCATGTAACAAAAGCTACTCCATACCAAAAAATGGAAATCTAAACTTTAGAAATGAAAGATGCCCGTTATGTAATTTTTAGGTATTAGAAGTTACCACTGATAAAGGAATTAGTTATAATATATGCCCTTCTTGCTACAATAACCCTCCATATGAATAAGATATAGAGAACTCAAATGCAAATTCTGAAGATTCTAATTTTAAAAAAACTTCTATGCCTTGCTATAAGTGCATCAATAAAAATTGTAGCCTTTCTGGAGGTCTCAAAAATATTTCTCTTTACAATTGCCCATGTTGCAACTCTCCTATTTAAATAAGAGAGACCAAAAAAGATAAAAAACAATTTATAGGATGTACTAAATACCCAGATTGCGACTGGTCTGTATTTTTACCAAAAGATATTTTATAAGTAAACTTCCCTTTTAAACTTTATTTGTAATAATTTTCATTTTTAATAGATTTTCCCAACAAGTTAAGAATGCTAATCTTGCAAAGAAAATAACAGAAAAAGTCTATTAGTAGAGGTAAAATTCGAAGAAGGGGGTTAATATGACACTTTTTGCAGATAAGATAATATTTGTGTGTATCCAGGATGCAATAGTAGTTTGAAGGAAGTAGGATTTACTTTCAAAGAAGCTAATTAGTCAAAAGCTAATAAGAACTAAAATTCCAACACAAGCTTCTAGAATAACTATAACAAAAATAATTTCTAGAATTAACGAAATAATAATAGATAGTATTCACCTAAAAATGCTGCATTTCAAAACAACAACAATAACAATAACAATAACAAGAGTAATTATTAATAAAATTTTACATGTTACACATGTAAATAACCTGGTCATACAAGCAATAACTGTCCAACTAAAAATGCAAGCTTTAAAAGTGGAAATTAGTAATATACTTCTTTTAATAAGTAAAACACTAGCAACACTTTTAACAGTAATTATAAAAACTTTAATTCTAATGCAACCCAAAATAGTAATAATAATTGGTAATCAAACAATTAAGGAACAAGCTAATTACAAAATTTAAATAACTACACTTGCACTAAATGTGATTAATAAGGTAAAATTTTGGTATTCTTAATCTTTATTGAAATAAATATTTTTTAAAAATATAATAATAGGACATTTGGCTAGCTAATGCCCATAAAAGAATATCCCTAATAATAATCTAGGTAAATAAGAATAGGATTAATAAGGAGCAGAAAAATAAAAAAGACAATAAAAATAGTGTGAGTTGTGTGGTGCTTTCCGCCATACTAAGAATAGCAACTGTCAAAATAATAAAAATAATTAAAATAACTAATGAATTAAAATATAAATAATTTGTCTTACGAAAAATATTGAAAAATAAATAATATTTATTAAGTATTCTTATAAATTCAGTAACACTTTATGACTAATTTTTATATTTATTTTTAAGGGTTTAATATAATATCTCAAATAAAATATTTATTATTTATTTAATGAAATCTTTATTTCTTTAATATAAAATCATTTTGAATTTAAAAAAGTTATTAATAATTTTGCTCTCTTTTTTTTTCCACTCCCTTATTTATGTGTTAAAGTTAACTCACATATATTTATTTATATAAATCAATACATTAACTTTTTTAATAGACAATAGAGTTAATTAATTAATTTATATTTGAAAAATAATTGATTATTGTTATTATAAATATAATTATTGATATCAAACAAAATTTATATTATAGGAAAACACAAAATGAAATAACTATTAGTTGAAAACCCTTTTACAGAAAAAACTCAAATATTTAGATATTAAGATTCATAAGAAGTTAGCATCTAATCAATATTACTATTTATTACCTAGAGTCTTAAACTTAATCATTAATTTGTTAATGATTTTAGATTTATTTTAAATGGTAAACAAGTATAGAGTAATATTTAGTTAGCATGCAGTTTAGAACATAACTCTATCCTCAGAGTTCTAATGAGAATTAGAGGTGGTAAGGGAGGTTTTGGTTCGTAATTGAAAAAAGATGCAAGGGCATAAAAAAAGATTACTGATTGGGATTTATCGAGAGATCTTTAGGGAAGAAGAATGAGAGATGTTAACAATGAAAAAAAGCTAGTTGAATTTTTCAAAAAGCAAAAATAAGAATAAGAATAAGTTGACAAAGAGTTAAAAGAGTTTAAAGATATGCAAAAAGAGTAAGGAAATCAAAATTTTGGATATCAAATAATGAACAATGATTACAAAGACAGAATTGAAAAAGTAGAGGAATCTATATCGAGTTCTGTTTTACTTGGGATAAAAAAGTAAAAATAGAATAAGAATAAACCTTCATAAGAATAATAAGAAGAATATGAAAAAGATGAAGACGGATTTAAGATACCAAAAAAACTGAAGAAAAGCGATTAAAACCCTGAAAGTCCCATAGAAGGCGAAATAAAATAAGAGTTCATTAACTCTATTAACTCTGAAGAGTCAGACAATAAAAGCGAAAAATAAGAAGAAAAAGTTTATTAATTGCCATTTACAAAGAGTGATTTAAAATAAGAAGAAATCAGTACACAGAATTTAGATTCTGTAGATGAAAATAAATTAAGTGATTCATAAAATAGTTAATAAAAATAATCAAATATCGATAAAAATAAATTAATTGCTATTGGTGAAATAAAGGAATTCGATATTATTGAATTAGATTAAATTAAATCTACAGATGATTTAATTAAATTAGGAGATGCACACTTAAAGCACGAATTAACCAGATTAGGAATAAAAGCAGGTGGTAAACTTGAAGAGAAGGCATAAAGGTTATGGGCAATAAAATAAGATCCTTCAAACTTATTTAATCCGAAATATCTTGCAAAGAAGAAATGAGTTTAATTAAAAGATAAATACATTATATATATATATAATTGATATTATTTGTTATTTATTTATTTCTTTACTACTTAAGTACCTATCTATCAAATAATTAGTATAAAAAATAAGAATTTTTACATATTCTAATAACTCACTTTTAGATTAATAAATTTATAATTTATTTTAAAAACAAACAAATAAAACAAATTTCTTCAAAAAAAAGTAAATAGTTTATAAAGATAGATTAAAATTTAAGCGGAAGTAATTAATAAGATATATCAAAAATGTATAACAATAGTTAAGGAGCTTAGCAATTTTAGCAATAAAACATTTTAAATGATTAAAGCAAAAAGATTGGCACATTTGAATTTAATTCTCATTAAATGGGAATACATTAAAGTAATATTTAACAATCTAATCTCTAAGATGCTAATTCTAAGTTTAACTCATAAATAGGGATTAGCAGTTAGATTAATGAAAAGCAAAAACCTTATTTTTAAAAATAGTAAAACCTAAATTCGGAAAATTCTTAATTAAATGAAGAAAACTCACTCAATTCATAAGAATAGCCTTCCAGCAATTTCATCAATCAAAATTTATTTCAAAATAATAACTAATAAAATAATATGAATATCTAATAAATAAACATATCTTCATAATAGTATAGCGGATTGAAAAATATAAATTAATCAAATAATTAAAATATTCTATCATATTATGATAATAATAGCCATATAGCATTTAATAATTAATTTTGTTAATTATATGAAAAGGATATAGTTAAAAGCAAAATATATAATTCTTTTTCACAAAAGAATGATATTGAAACAATATCTAATACTGAATAGATAAAGCATTAAATTGTAGATTTTATTTAAAAGTAATAAAATTAAAACATAAGATAACAAAATTTAATCTTCGAAAATAAAAATGATGAACAGAAATTCAGCTAAAATGAATAAGAATCTAGATTGCCTAATAATTTAATTCAATAAAATAGTGCAAACTAATTTTAAAATAAAAGTTACAAAAATGATTAAGCAGTAAACTAAAATTAAGATGGATAATAAAATTTTAATTAAAACTAAAGCTCTATTAAACACATTGAAAATGTTTAAATTAGTAACCAAAATTTTAGATAGGGAAACCTCTCAAATTAAGATCAAGAGTAAAAATCTTAAAATCAAAAAGAATCTATTGAATAGCAACTTTAAAATAAATTTAATAGAGAGCAATAAAATTAAATATATTCTAACAACAACAAATAGTTTGACAATATGAATTAATATTCACCTGAAAAACACTAAAATCACATAATTTAAGCAAATCCCTAAGTGTAAATACCTTTAAATAAGGATTTTGAATAATAAAATAAAATTAATTCACATAATTATTCTGAAAGAAACTAAAAATTAATGAATAACAAATAAATAATTACAAAATAATAAGAAAATTAATGCCAATAACCAAATTTTTAATAACAAAATACTTTTAATTAATAAAATTCTTTCTAGTAAACATTCAACAATAATAACAATAATGATACAAATTAAAATTAAGAAGGATAATAAAATTTTAATTAAAACTAAAGCTCTATTAAACACATTGAAAATGTTTAAATTAGTAACCAAAATTTTAGATAGGGAAACCTCTCAAATTAAGATCAAGAGTAAAAATCTTAAAATCAAAAAGAATCTATTGAATAGCAACTTTAAAATAAATTTAATAGAGAGCAATAAAATTAAATATATTCTAACAACAACAAATAGTTTGACAATATGAATTAATATTCACCTGAAAAACACTAAAATCACATAATTTAAGCAAATCCCTAAGTGTAAATACCTTTAAATAAGGATTTTGAATAATAAAATAAAATTAATTCACATAATTATTCTGAAAGAAACTAAAAATTAATGAATAACAAATAAATAATTACAAAATAATAAGAAAATTAATGCCAATAACCAAATTTTTAATAACAAAATACTTTTAATTAATAAAATTCTTTCTAGTAAACATTCAACAATAATAACAATAATGATACAAATTAAAATTAAGAAGGATAATAAAATTTTAATTAAAACTAAAGCTCTATTAAACATATTGAAAAGGTTTAAATTAGTAACTAAAATTTTAGATAGGGAAACCTCTCAAATTAAGATCAAGAGTAAAAATCTTAAAATCAGAAAGAATCTATTGAATAGAATCCTTAAAATACATTTAGTTATTAAATTTAAAATAGAGAGCAATAAAATTAAATGTACACTAACAACCACTAATAGCTTGACAATATGAATTAACATTCACCTGAAAAACAATAAAATCAAATAATTTAAGCAGATCCCTTAGTGAATATACATTTAAATAATGATTTTAAATAATTCAACAATAATAATACAATATAACAAATTTAATCTTAGAATTCATTTAATAATTTCGATTAATAAGAAAATTAAAACTCTCCAAAGAAAAATCAGGTTGGACATAACTCATTCAATCTCAATTTTTAACAGCCAAAATAATAAGAATAAAATAATTTTCTTGTAAATTAAGCAAATTATTAGTAACCTAATTAATACTTTTAATAGCAAATCGAAAACAAACAAATGAATCCTAATTTATAATTAGAACATTAAAATAATTAAAATGTATTCAATAATAATTAGCCAAATTAATAATAAGCGAATGCCATTTTTTAATATGAGAATTAATAACACTAATAATAGCATAACAATGATATTCTTTCTAATAATAATTAATTTATTTAATAACACACCAATGGAACTTAAGATTAAAAAATAGTCAATTAAAATTATTAAGTTCATGAAAACAATTAAATGGATGTTTAAAATTAATAAAATAATTATAATTAATAACAAGGTTATAATTATCAAAACATAGATTAAAATATGTTAAATAATAATTAGACAAATTAATAATAAACAAAGGAGAATTATAATTAATTTTTTTAATTAAACTAATAATAATAACAAAATAGTGATATTATTTCTAATAATAATTAATTAATTTAATATTAGAGCAATGGAACTTAAGTATAATAAATAGATAATAATTATTAAGTTCATGAAAGCAATTAAATAGATGTTTAAAATTAATAAAATATTTATAATTAATAATAGGCTTATTATCATCAAAAAGTAGATGAATAAATGGAAGTTGAAGATTAAAAAGAAGACTCAATTCAAAATAATTATCAACATAATTAAGAATAAGATAGTAATTATTAGTATTAAAATTTAACTTAGGATTAAATTGAATAATTTGATTTATATAATCAATAGATTATATATATAAATTTAATTTATTCCAATTAACTTAATTTGGAATAATTAATTAAAACATATAATAATTTGGTTAAAGTATGTATTTTAAATTAAGAAAATGCTAAAGCAATAGCTTATCTCTTAGATCTTCAAAAAATTGCTAAAGAATATAATATCCTTGATTTAGAAGAAGAAGTATTTAACCTTATTCAACTATTAATTTGAACATGCTTAAATAAATAGCCGATTAAAATTATCTTGATCTAAATTCTTATGATTATTAAGAGATATAAAAAATAAATAAATTAATTGAGTATTGAGAGAAAAGTAAAAATAATATAATTTGAATATTTTTTTGTTGTTTTAAATCTAATTAAACTAATTTTTTTGGAATATTTATCCATTCTTATTTCAAATATCATTTTAGAAAAAATTTGACCTTCAAATAGTTTTTAATGCTATTTAAGTCTCCTCACTAAAAATATTTTGTAAATATTAAATTGAATTATAATATATTATTCTAATTAAAGTTTGAGTGATAAATAAATTGATTATGATTAAACATTAAATAGATAAATTAATATTTTAACAGAAAAGATATAAATTTAAAACGAAGTAATGTTATATTTAGAATAATAAAAAAGATAAGGTTTTAGTTAATTTTTAGATGATTTGATTTAATAATCTATGAAAGATTATAATCATAATTTAAAATTACCAAATTATGATTAAAAAGTAAAAGATTTATAATTAAAATATAAATAAAATGATGATGATAAGGTAAATTAATTAATTTTAAAGTTAATGTAAAAGAATTAATGATTTTATATTAAGTTATTTATTTAATTCTTTCTATTTAATTAAACATATAAATTAACTTAAATCTAAATATTATCTTAATTGTAAAGATAGCAAATTATTTTAATTTAATGTATTACTAACATTTATTTAATTCTTTCTATTTAATTAAACACTTAAATTTAATAAAACATATAAATTAATTTAAATCTAAATATTATCTTAATTGTAAAGATAGTAAATTATTTTAATTTAATATATTACTAAAATTTATTTATTTATTTGATTTATTTAATACATTTATTTAATTTAATTGTAAATGTTTATTGGTAGACTAAAAGTCTGGTAAAAAAAATATTGTAAAATAAAATATTACTTTAAATACATGGATTTAATTTTAATTGTAAAGATGACAAAATATTTTATTTAATATATATAAAAACTATCAACCATTAATTTAATGTGTTAATACTTGTAAATACACTAAATACAAATAATTATGACTTAAATCTAGAATGAATATATATTTGCATTTTTCTTTGAGCAAAATGAATGTTATATATCTTCACAATTTCAAAATAATGATATTTTATCTTCAATTAATTTATTCTTCTCTAAATAAATTCATCACAGATTCTATGAATTCATTTATACTTGTCGTGTAAATTTCAAATGAAATCAGTATAACCCATACTAAAATCAATATAAAAATAAATTTTATATTAGAGATAAAATTTAAATATAAGATAAAGAAAGGTGAAAAAAAGACAAATAAAAATGAATGAAGAATAAAATTTATTGAATCAAATTCCTTATTTAAATATACCTAAGATTATATTTCCATTTGAATCAAGTGAAAATATTAAAATAATGAAGGAAAGCATTGAAAAAGATGAATAAAATTTAGAAAAATTAAAATAAATAAAGGTTAATGAAGAAATTAAGATTGAATATTAATGGAGACTTAAAGAATTATAAAACTATATAAAGGATTCAAAAGAAATACTAAAAGAACGTGAGGAATTATAGAGAAAAAATTCAAAAGTGAATATTTTCTTGAGTAGATTAAAGATCATATTGAAAATATTTTGTTTGTTTGTTGTGGCATCGATAATACAATACATGTGGAAGAAAATGTGAGGATATATAACATTCATTTTGCTCAAAGAAAAATACAAATATATATTCATTCTAGATTTAAGTCATAATTATTTGTATTTAGTGTATTTACAAGTATTAACACATTAATTAATTTATGATTTAAAAATATTCGCTTATAACTTTTTTTTCCAATATATTTCATTGTTATCATATAATTATGTTAATAGACAAAATATTTTATTAAAACATTAGTTCAATAAATATAAATAGCTTCTTTTAAATAATCAATCATTAAAAATGTATAATTAATATTAAAAATTTTATTTCAAAAGTTATCTACAAACTCAACGTTAAACATACCTTTAATATCATAATTAGTATTTTATATTTAATTCTCAGATATTTAAAGCTTTTTTATATATTATTTATTTTCTAACATATATTATTAAAGTAGCTCTTAGTTTTCAAGGGTATTAATATTCTAAAGCATTATATATAATATCAAAAATATAAAAACTGTAAATGGTTTTATGTAATAATAGTAAAATCTTTAAAATAAAGTAGATCAATCATTTAATTTATATTTTAATTTAATTAATATTTTTAATTTAAATTACTATTAACAATTTACTTAATAGCCTCTTTTCGGGAAGAGTTTAAAATTTTAATATTATTTCAATTTAATTTACATTTTAACTTAATTACTATTAACAATTTAATTTATATTTTAATTTAAAACATTATTAACTATTTAAATTTATATCAACAATTTAATTTATATTTTAATTTAAAGTAATATTGACTATTTAATTTATATCAACAATTTATCTATTATTTTTACAATTTAAAACATATTTTAATCTAATAAATTTTAATTATTTAACTTACATCAACAATTTAACTAATATTTTACAATTTAATTCATAATGATAATTTATGATATTTTAAGAAGATTTTTAATATTATATTTTCTTTATTTTTAAATATTATTTTTATATATAGCTCTATAACATGTAGCCAAACGAGACCCCAGTGATAAAAAATGATCAATATGAATGATAATTTTTTAAAATTTCATTCATTAATCTTAAGTTTTTAGGTCTTTAAAAATGAGAAATTACAGTTTACAATTAAAAAACTAATATTCTTAAAAACATATAAATGTTAATATAAATAAATAAAAACTTTATTTAGTTTAGTTAGCTTTTGTGCAAGAAAATCATTTCTAAAATTTAATTTGAGGTAACTTGAAAACATTTTTTAATTTAAAAAATAAATAAATAAATGAAATTCAAAGATTATTGTTATTAATATAATCATCATTATTTTTAATAATTAATTTGTGTAATAGTTTAAAAGAATATTTATTAATTCAAAAAAATTTTAATTAATTAAAAAATTCATTTAGATTATATTTACACTTATTGGTTGTAGATATTTCAAGTATAGGTAAAAAAATAGATAGATAGAGAGATTCTTCAATTTAAGCATAGAACTTGCTAAGTTCTTAGAAGATATTAATAAACAGATTAATTTGAGAAACTCACTTAACAAATAAGATGCTTAATAATGGATCTTCTTCTACCCTAAAAGATTTTGATACATTAGGAAAATTAGGATAGGGTAGTTTTGGTGTAGTGTATAAAGTAAAAAGAGTTGTAGATGGAAATGTGTATGTCATGAAGTAAATAAACATCAGTAAAATGAATAGCAGAATGAAACAGGATGCAATTAATGAGGTTCACATTCTCTCAAAGTTGAATAACCCATATGTAGTTAAATATTATGATTCCTTCGTTGATAAAAATTTGTTATGCATTGTAATGGAATATTGCGATAGCGGTGATCTATCTTCTTTTATTAAAAGCTAACTAGGAAGGCCATTATAAGAAATGAAAATATGGAAGTATTTCATTATGTCTTGTATGGGGCTAGATTATATTCATAGGAAAAAAATATTGCACCGTGATATAAAGGCAATGAATATTTTTTTGAATAAAGATGATAGTTTACGTATTGGTGATTTGGGAGTTGCAAAAGTATTGTCTGATCAAGGAAATTTTGCCAGTACTATGGTAGGAACACCTTTTTATTTATCACCAGAAATGTGTGAAGAAAAACCATACAATGAAAAATCTGATATTTGGAGTTTAGGATGCGTTTTGTATGAATTGTGCACTTATCGTCACCCTTTTGAAGCACAGAATTAAGGAGCTTTAGTTTTAAGAATCATAAGAGGCAAATATAATCCAATACCTACAAGTTATTCGAAAGATTTAGTAAGCATGGTTGATATGTGTTTATGTAAAGATTATAAGAAAAGACCAAACGCAAGAGATATTTTGTAAACTTAAAGTAATTATTCCATTTTATTTGTTAAAAGCATAAATTATATATCTGTATTATAAAAATTAAACCAGTTGTATTAGGAAAAGCAAGCTAATTAGGGATTGAGCTAGACTACACAAAAGTGAAATAAAAAGAATTAAATTATTAATAGAAAAAAGAAGGATCAGTAAGCGTGCCTACTACAGTACCTTCAACTCCTTCATCAAATAAAAGTAAGAAATAAAAATTTTGATTACTTTTTATGTTCTCATTAAGCTATTATATAATGTTTAATTTTATTTTTAGATCTTATAGATAAATAAAGAGAAAAAAATAATGCTCTCCTCAATCCAAATAATCAAAATAAACCAATAAGCCACAGCCCTTCCTCTCATAATGTTTAAGCTGCTGCATAATAAAAAGCCAAAGATGATTTAATAAAAAAAATGCAATAAGATGAAAGGGATTTAAATAAAAAAGTAGAACAAAAACTAATTTAATAGAATTTATAACAAATATAAAACAATGATAAGAAGTATAAAGACAGAATCTAAGAATTATATAAAAAGGAGGAATAATTCAAACTGTTACAAAAATAAGAACTAGAAAGATAAAAAAATACAGAGTAAGTTCTCTAGATGTAAAAAAAGAGAGAAGAGTAAATGAAAAAAGATGAAGAAAGAAAATTATTAGAAAAAAAGAAAAAAGAGGCTGAAAAGAAAAAAGAGGAAGAAGAGTTAAGAAAAAAAAAAGAACTCGAAAAGTAGAAATAGGAAAAGGCAGCTGCAGCAGCTTTGTCTCAGCAATAATAATTAGTAAAAGAAAAGGAAGACTAAATCAAAAACGAATTTAAAATTAGATAAAATGGATTTGATCCTAGAGTAAATCAAGTTTCTTAATAGTAGCAAGTAAGTAAGGTTGAAAGAACTTCACCAAAGCAATCAGATAGCAAAAAGTAGCTGTTTGGAAATTAAATGCCTAACAATTTCAATAAATAGGTATAATAAGTTCAACAACAGCTTCCTTCTCAATTTGGTTACCAAAAAGTATGTATTTTAAAATTGTAAAAATAAATAATTTTTTTATATGCTATTTTAAATTAAATAGCAATAAGTTGAAAAGAAAAAAGAAATCATTTCTGAAAGAAAAGAGTCTATCAAACCAAAAGAAGACGATAGAAAGAATATTTAAAGAATTAGAAAAGGAGCTCCTACTGGTCTTGGAAATATTGCCAAAAACCCTTTAAGCTATGGGTATAAAGTAAGATATACTATGAAAGAACAATTTAAAAAAAAATAATTATTTTTAAATAGGATGTCAGACAATCAAAGGATGGAAGACCTTCAGATTTCAGTATAAAACAATAAAATTTTGCTAAAAATCAAATACTAATTTAGTAATTAATTAATTAAAAGGTTATGAATAAGATTAAGACAGACAAGAAGTTTATAACTTACCTGATAATGTCCACAAGTAAAGAAATGCACCTAAATCAGCACAACCATACAAGCCAACTGTAAATGATCTTAGAAATATTGCAAACTCAGGATTTGAAGAAAATACCTCTAAAATTTCTTCTCAAAGAGGATCAGTTATGTCTAACTAGACATCAAAATCATAAAATGACTAAAGAATCGTTGAGCAAAAGAGACTTAATAGACCAGAATAAGGAAAATTACCATCAGTTGAAAGCTTTGATAGTTCTTTTGAAGATAGTCCTAATAAGCATATTAGCGTACAGAGCGCTAGCAGTCTTCAAAAATAAACATAAGAAGATAAGGATATGTAAAATGCTGTTTTAAATTAAGATTTAAATAGACCTCACACAGGTTAGTTAAAAGAAAAGCTGCACTATAATAAACCTTTTGTGGATAAAGAAATTACGGAAAAATATGAAAAAGAGTTACAAAAACAAAATAAATAAAATATCTAATAAATTGTAAATGATAGCTTTATTGATAAGGAGTTTTGTTCCTCTTCAGACGATGATAAAAAGAGTAAATAAAATATTAAAAAATCAGATAAAAAATAAAATTTGGAAAACACATAATTCGAATTTATTCCTGTCCCTAAAGCTAAAGAATTAAAAGATTGGAATAATAAAATTTAATTAGATAATAGTGAACAATAATAATAATGCTCTGAAGAAGAAGAAGATGATAATAAGCTTGGAGATGAATATTTTAAAAGCCAAACTATTAATCGTGGCTAGTTGGATTTACCTGATGATATGGGTGGAGCTGATGAAGAAGATGATAATAATTAAGATTATGATGAGGAAGAAGAAGAAGAATAAAAGGAGGAAGAAGATGATTAATATTATTAAGAAGAAGATGATGAGGATGACTAAGATTAAAGTGAAAATAACTAAGATGACGATTAAGATATTTAATCTATTCCAGATTAAAATGATTGGTAAAAAGATGAGGAAGATGATGAGTATGAAGATGACTAAGAAAACGAATATGAATAGTAAGCTGCAGAGTAATATAGTAAAAACAAGTATGAATAGGATGAATATGAAGAATAATCTTACGAATAATCTACTTCAACAGATGTTTCCTCATAAAATAAAAGAGATATTAAGCAGAAAATTTAGTAAAAGCTTTAAGCAAGACTAAAAAGACAAAATGAACTTTAGACTCTTTTAGATATAAAAGTTTCAGAATGCCATAAAGTTCTTGGTGAATAAAAGTTTAATGTGATTTTGCAGTTCTTTAAAGATAAATTAAATGTAAGAATTTCAATCAAATATTAGATTATATTTAATTATATTTATTTATAAAAGTGTGAAAAAGAATTAACAGACGAAGATCAAGACGAAATAGATTAAATGATGCAAGAAAATATGAAAAATATTACTAATAATCAAGTAATTTACTTTAAATTAAATATTTAAATTTTATAATTACCAAATATATTAGGTAATTCAAAATTTCTACAAAATTTTGCATTTAGATATTGAGTTAGAAAAATGTAAAACCGATGTTAGAAGTATTTAAGAAAATATACAATAACTTTGATATAATATATTTATTTAGATATATATATCTATTGCCAGCATGATTTTAGCTAATTATTAAATAATTTAAATTAAGAAGTAATTAATCAATTAATGAATAAATAAATTAATTAATTATCTTTATTTAATCAAAATGTTTTTCGTTTAAAAAAATTATTTATTTTGTAAATTATTTTTAAAATATTAATTTTTATCATTTAAGTTTTGTTAAAAACTATCAATTGATTTATATATAAATATTTATTCAATTTAAATATACTACGAAGCTTGATAATTTATATCATTCATTTATTTTTTAATGGAAATCTTAAAAATTTTTCATTAAGAATTTCAAAAATTAATTGAAATTTTTTTTATTAAAATGTTTTAAAAAATGATTTATTACGTATATAAAATATAATAAATATATAATAATTTAATAAATTTTAAAATCAAATTGTTATTTTTTTATAAATTTACATATAATAATTATATTTTATACAACTTTTGCATTTTTACTTTATTATTTACTTCTAAAACCTAATCATTTCAACTAATTTAATTATTTTATATAAAACTCACTTGGCTTATAGAAAATCGGATTTCTAAATGAATTCTAAGAATTATCTGTAATTTAAATTTGGGGTATTTAATGTTATTTTCTTTCTGAATTTTATGCACTTAATCCAATAAAATCTTCTTTTTAAAATAATTCTTCAATTAACTGCTCTTAAGATTGTATTTTTATTTACTTATCATATTAATTTAATTAGCTTTTACTTTATATGCTAAGCTTTTTAATAGATTTATCAAAGGCAGATTATTAAGGAGATTGTGTGATGTTTAAATCAGTAGGAATATTTAGAGACGAAGAAGACTAATTCTTCCTAGATTAATGTTTTTAAAAATATTTGTGAGAAGATTTCTTTTTAGGTTCTGGACTACTTTTATTTGTATCAATTTATGGCTCACTTAAACAATTTTTATCGATTTAATTTAAAGCACTGCTTCTATTGGTTACACTGCTTTATTAGCTAAATGATTTATTTTCAGTTAAATCTTAGTTACTTAGACATTAATTAATAGTAAAAAAGTCATTCATTTGGATTGTTTGAGCCTAAAGATTTTTATCAGGTAAAGGAGATAAAGTGAGGTTTTTTTCAAAATTATATTGAGATCTATTATCAATTTTGTTAAAATTATTATATGTATTATTATTTATTGATGATCTCTTGGACTCTTCATAATTTTCTATATTTTATAAAATATTTTCTAGATCTTACTTTTTCTTTGGTGACAAACTTTTATTAAGTTACGTATGCTTGAAAGATTAAATACAGGTTTCGTCTGTAGGCTTCTCAAATACTGCTAAACTTCCATCTTTTTAAATATAATCGATTCTTCTTTACAAAGCTTCTTTTATGGGTACATTTTACTATTAACACTAATCTATAAAATCTTTTTTAACTCTATACTTAACTTATATTTCATAGTTTTTACCAGTACTATTTTGTCTTCTAGAATGAGTCATGATTATTTCATTGAAATAGGGTTACAAATTTTATCTTTTTTCATAATTTTAATTAACTATGTAAATTGGAGATGAATCTGTATAAAGCTCATCATCATCAATATATCTGTTTTGTGTATTACTTTTCGTTAACTTTTCTTTAGATCTGCTTTATGCAAGATATCTATAGGTTTATGGCTAAATTATTTAACTTTAATAATATAATTTTAAAATTAATTTTTAGTTTTAAAAATTTTACTGTTTAATTGAAGTATCTATAGGAGTTATTTAACTTTATTTAATGGCTTATTTTTATAGATTTGAATTCTCTGTGTTTTTTTATGATAACTAATTAGATTTTTTCTCATTATAAAGTGATTTTCTCTCTTTTAAAGGTGATGATTACAAGTTTATTTTTTATAATTAAGGATCTCCCTTATATTTTGCATAATTATTATAGCTTATTTAGACACTTCTTAAAATATCTTCTTATGAATCATAGTCATTTTCGCTAATCAAATTATTTTTTTAGTAAATTTTCTTATTTGGATTATCCTGTTATAATCTTACTTATTTATTATCATTCAATAAATTTTAAGATTTGCTTTTGCTTAGAGCCATTTATGGGTTGGTTTAGTTTTCCTAATTTTTTTTTGAAATAAAATACTTATGATTTTACGAGCTAGATTCTGTTAAAATTTTTTAAGCATTCAAATCAAAACTAGAATCACTAAGTAATTAATTAACTATTTCATTTTCATCGTTTTATTATGAATTATTTTTAGGATTTAAATAAGGAGTTTTAACTTCAAGAAGATGGTTTTATTTTAAGTTATTGCGAATATTGTGATTTTGTATATCTTCATTCTACTTACCATGTTTTTTTAAATAAGGGCTTTTTTATTAATCATCCCCACTAATTAAGCTAAATTTATGCTTAAATTAACTTCCACTTTCTTCCTAATTTATTAAACAAAAATTTTTATAATAATTTTAAATAAAATACATTTTTCAACGAATTTTTTTTGAAATTTCTAAAGTAAATTATTTATTAAATTTTTATAGATTTGATTGCTTTAAATTTTATTATTTATTTGATAGATTTTTATTTTTAAAATAAATATTGAATTAGTATAAAATAAATTTGGTTTGGAATTTATTTTTTTGATAAATTAAATCAATTTATTCTTAAAAATTAAATCAATTACCGATTGTTATATACTTGAATTTTATTTCTTGCGTTGTAAATTGATTTGACTATAAGAGCGAGTATATCTTTAACTTTACTGCTGATTGGAAGGAGTTTTATCTTTTTAATATATTTAATCTTCGAAAACAGAAGAATTTTTCTTGCTTCTACTTTTAACATAGTTTTTGAAATCTTTTTAAAAGCTATTTGAGTTTCTATAATCTATAAAAGAGCTACTTCTATTCAGTTTTTAATGCATATCATCTTCTTATTAACTTTTAAAAATATTTTTTTTAAACTTTTGCTAATTGGATTATTAAATATCATCTTCAAATGCCATTAGATTTTATTTACTATATTCTGTTTGATAATAATCAATCTTATCTAAAACTTCTCTATCAATTTATCCATACTTATTTGGTATTTTGGATATAATTTGCTTTAACTAAGGACTATTTAATTTAAATGTAAGCATAAATAAACAATAAACTATTAATATTAAATTTTAAAAGAAACTATATAATTTTTTACTCAAATTTAAGTAGATCGAAACCTAAATTGTTTTGATTGCTGCTGCCATTTAAAAATAATATCTATTTGAATCGACTCCTAGATATAGTATAACAATTTGTAAGAGCGATATATTTTTTAATAAATGTGTTAAGCAGCTGCTTTTAGCCTTCCCTGAAATTTAATAATCTCTATTCCTAATAGTTTAATAAATATCATTAATTGATAGCATTTATAAAAGGCATTTTTACTATTAGCTAACTTTGTAAATTTACTATACTATTTTAGTCAGGACCCAATTAATTGAAAATAAAATCACATAAATTTGATTTCAAGTAATTTATAATTTGCTAGATATCATTGCTGCTTATTTATTATTATTCCATATTTTTTCTAATTTTTAGTTGAAATTAATTTATGTTTAACGATTAATAAATTTATTAAGAATTTTAATATTAATTTTCTTATTAATTAATAACCAAATATTATTTTTCAATAATTCGCATTGATTTTTAATCTAAAAGTAAAAAAAATAAATGATCTAAAGATATTCAATTTAAGTACGTAAATCTGCTGAGTAACTTTATTTTTTTTTTGGTAAAAATCAAATGTTTTTGATAAATACTAAAAATAAATATTGTAAATTAAAATTTTATAATTTTATTGCTATAACTTTTTAGTTAATTTATTTATGAATAAATCTATGTTAAAATCATTTAATATCTTACTGATCTTTTTAAATTCAATTTCTCTTTAACTGATTTACATTTAACAATAAAATATAAATAAAATTATAAAATCATAAACATAATTGAAGAATTAAAATCTTACAAGATGGTAATATTAAAAAATTGGAAACATAGTAATGGTGTATTCAGTATTTATAAATTTATGTTACATATTATCTATGCTGAAAAATAGTAATATAATCTACAATATAAATAAAATTATAAATTATATTTTTAGAGATTAAAATATGATGAAATAAATTTAAAAAAAAAAATTTCTTTCTTTAAGCAGATTTATATCCAAAAAAGCTTTTTAAAACATTTCTAATTCAAAAAACTTTAAATTAGTTTATAAAATAAAAATAAAAAATAAATTAAAAAAAAGATATTGTTGTACTTTTTATAGTAATATTTGTACTCACTTATTTATCTATTTATTAATATTAAGAAGATGAAATATTTTATAAAAATTAAATTTTAAAAATTGCTTAGCTTTATTAACTGCATAATAGGTTTGAAAAAGTATTTAACTTTATAAATAATCAAAAAATGTTAAATAAATGAATAAACAATATTTGAAAACTCTCTAAATCAATCAAACTGTTTTAATTTAAATTAAATAATATCTGATGAGTGTGGCTTGCTTTTCTTCATGAAATATATTTTTAAAAATATCTTGAAAAAATAAAATCCTGTTTAATAATAATAAAATTTTGTAAAGCTGAAAGCAAAAACAAAAGAAAGCATTGTGTTAGAGAAAAAATAATATAGATTAATAATACAATTTTAGCGTGTACTTTAGACTTAGGCTACATTAAAACTCACTTTTATATCAATTATAAGCAAGATTTGCAACTTTAAAGTATTAATGAAACCAAATTTAGCTAAAAAATTTGCCGAAGATGAGGCATTGGTTAATGATAAACCTCATTAATAAAACCATTAAGAACAACATGTAATTTAAAAAATGCCAAATAGATATATCCAAAAATAAAATTTTCTCTTTTTATTTACCATTTTTTGAACTCAAATTAATAATTTTTTATTCTAATTATTTCCAAAGGAGAATCCCTAGAAACCTCCTCCTATCTAGTTTGAAAATAATGATTTTTTAGGGGTTCCTGAAATGGAAGGACTGACTACAAAATCTGATAAGTATTTATTATGAAATAATTAAAACCAACTTTTTAAAAAATTAAACAAATAAAATAGATAAGTTTACAATATAGATGAAGAAAATGACAGCGAAGATGAAGGCATTGAAGATTATAAAATTGGAGGGTAAAAAATGAATATTTTAGATACATTTATCATTTATTAAACGATTGTTATTTTCAAAAAGTAATTAAAGCACAATTATTTATATCAAATTAGATATCATCCAGTGCATATAGGTGAAGTTATTAACAAGCGTTATGTGATCATCCAAAAATTAGGATGGGGTCATTTCTCCACCGTTTGGCTATCTAAGGATTTTAAATATGATACCTATGTTGCTCTAAAGATCCAAAAGAGTGCTCCACACTATCTTGAAGCTGCATATGATGAAGTTGAAATTCTTCAAAAAGTTGCAAAATAAGCCAGTAACCCTCAATGGATTCATCAGCTAAAAGAATATTACAAAGATGTAATCCATTTATATCTTTTAAAACAAAAATATTTTTATAAAGTAAACTCGATCAGCAAAATAAAATGAAAATTCAGATAGAGCTATAAGCAAGCGTTTTTACAAATAAGCAGCAACTGCATTAATAACAAAAAAATAAAAAAAGCAAATTATTTACAATTTGAAATTAAAAATTACTAAATAATTAAATAAACCTTTAAATGTGAAAAACAAATGTTGCTAATTTCATTAAAATCATGAAACTTGCTTAAAATTAGGTTAAAAACTGATTGAAAATTTAGATTTTTAGTGAAAAAAAGTTATTTTAAGATGAATTTTTAAGACATTACATTAACTAAAATTGATTTGCTTTATTTATATTTAAGGATAAGCAGAAAAAGACGTTTACAAGGGATGATTGCTAAGTAGTTTAACTGCTTAATTCTTTTGTATTCAGAGGTCCTTATGGTAATCACTTCTGCATGGTTTTCGAAATCCTTGGTGTTAATCTTTTAGAAATCATTAAAAGATATAATTATAAAGGTATTCCAATGCACTTAGCTAGAATTATAGCTAAATAAGTGTTAATTGGTCTTGATTTTCTTCATAGATATTGTGGAGTTATACACACTGATTTAAAGCCAGAAAATGTGCTACTTTGTCTCACTTAAGAAGAGATTGTAAAAAATTATTTAACTTAGTAAAATAATAAACAATAATTTAAATTGTTAGAGATAAATAGTGGAGAAAGGGCAATTAGAAAATTCAAAAAAGTTTTAAGAAAGAATTAAATTTTATCAGAAAGCACATGGAATTAAGATAGATGAAGTACCTATCCTAGATCCATAAGAAGAGTAAAAGCAAAATGGTCATTCATAAAAAGAAAATCATAGCAATTGTAATGGGCAATAAGTAAAATCAATACAATTAAAACTAAATTGATATCTAAACCTATTCTTTTTAACTTAAAGAAAACGGATTCCTAGAATTAGTCAGCTTAAAATCCAAATCCTTAAAAATAAGAATAGAATGATAAAAATAACTTAGCATCAAAATAAGAATAGGATCAGTAAAATGAAGATGAGGATGATAATGATAATGACAATGATGACGAATAAGAAGAAGGTGCAACATCCACAGCTGCCTCTAATCAGAATAACTAAGGAGACAAAAAAAATTTAACTAAAAAGTAGAAAAAGAATTAAAGAAGAAAAGCTGCTCATAAAAGAAAGAAACAAAGAGAAAAAGAAGAAAAGAATAAATAGACAAATGATCAAGATAGCAATAAACAACAAAATAATTTAAATGGTAAGTAGTGTTACTTTAAAGCTATTTATATTTATATTTTTTTATATGTACACAGATAAGCAAGCTGAAGGTTAAAAGCAATAAATAGAAGAAGAAGTTAAGGAAGAAGATATTCCTGAAGAGATTCGCTACAAATTTGACAAGTAAAATTCATATATTTTTAAAAAAATTGAATTGACAAAAATGTAATTAAAGCTGGAATGGTAGAGGTGACAGACTCTAAACTAATGTAAGGGTAAAAATAGCTGATTTAGGTAATGCATGCTGGACACATCATCATTTCGCCACAGAAATTTAAACTAGATAATACAGATCTCCTGAAGTATATTAAATTTACTCAAATCAACAGAATTTTTATTTTAAATAAATTTATTTATCATAAATATCAGACAATTATTGGAGTCCATTATGACACTACAGCTGATGTGTGGTCTTTTGCTTGTATGATATTTGAAATGCTAACAGGAGATTTTCTTTTTGAGCCACGTAAAGGTCCAAATTTTAGTAAAAATGATGATCATATTGCACAAGTAAATATTTTTAGACATTAAATTAGCTTATTTAAGTTTTTTTTTAAAAGATTTAAGAACTCTGCAATAAATTTACTAAGAAATTTGCTCTTTCTGGTTTTAAATCAAAAAAATATTTTGATAAGTAAGGCAATCTTAGAAGAATTCCTTCACTTCATTATTGGCCTCTTTTGAACGTGTTAATTGAAAAGTAATTAAAATATAAATTTGAGTAATTGTGATAAAAATGTAATAAATATCAAAAAATAAAATTGTTTAGATATCACTTTAAAGAAGAAGAAGCCAAATTATTTGATGAATTTATGCAGGTAATGTTAAAAACTAATCCTTTAGACAGAGCAAGTGCTCATGAATGCTTGCAAACAAAATGGATTCATACAAAACCCAATTATTTATTTAAATATACTGATTAAGAATTTATAAGATATTAAGATAAAAAGAAATTGCTTCAGTAAGAAGATTTAAATTTGTAGTCACATGAAGCAGAAGATTCTGATAATTTTGACGGTGACCTATCAGAAAACGATATTAGCATAGATAGCGATGATAAAAGCGAATTTTAGGATGATAAATTCTTTGGAAAATACACTCCTCAAATCGATTAAAATCTCATAGATAGATCTTTTACTAACTTAGGCTATATAGGATTCGGAGATGGCATTAAACTAGATGAGCTCGACTAAGATCCAAATTGGTAGTTTATGAATCTCAAAGATTGACATGAATTAGGGATAAAAGAAAAATAATTAAAAAATATAATTCTCTTTACCTTATATATCGCTCTCAAGCAATTTTTTAAAAATTAATAAAGATAAAACATAGATAACGCTAAAGCGAGCATTAAATTGATTGTAAATATTGAAGAGACTTTCTGATTTTGTTAATAAGCTATGGATAAAATTACTTGTCTGCAGTATATAGGTTTTTAGAATTCCCATTAATATTCTATTTATTTATACAACAAAATAACCAACCAATTCTATTTTATAAATAAATTAAACAAATTTATCTTATGACATTAATTAGAGGTATATTTAATTGCAGTATCTTTTTGTTCCTTACTAACTAATTAACTTATTTGTCTGAAAAGCTTAAGTGCTTTTAAAATTTTTTAAAAAATCTTTAAGCTTTCAAGAAAAGTTCTATGAGATTTATTTCGTTTATTTTTAAGAAAAAAAATAATATTTTTAATGATAATAAATTAAAATCATTTTTTTTTGAATAAAAAATGTTTGAAACAGTAAAAAAATTTAATTTACATTTCCATAATAAATAATTCTATTTATTGAGATAAATAATTTAAATTGTTATTTTTTAATTAATGAAAATCAATTGATTTCAAAGGAATTCTAAAATTTTTAAATTAAAAAGTTATTTATTTTTGTAAGATTAATATCCAAATAAACAAACTATTATAAAATATAATTCTAAAAAGCTAAAGTTTTCTAAGAGAGAAAATAAAAATTTTTAAACTAGTAAATGATTTTTAAATTAAATAAATATGCTACTATAAAATTCTGATTAGGTGATTGAAAATGAAAGCAAAAACATTGATATTAATAGAAATGAAAATGATGATAAAGATATTTAAAATTAAGAAAAAAAGCATTCTAAAACTCATGATGACAAGTAGGGAATTAGAAAAAGTCACAAGAAAAAAAAAACTTCAAAAATGTAATAAACAGCAATAAGGTAGATAAATGAATAAATTATAAAGCCAGTTCCTTCAAATGGCTAACCATTAACAGAAGTTAAATTAGGCATTATGCAAAAATTAAAATTGCTTTTTTTGTATGTGCAAATAACTATAAAAAGCTATTTTGATTCAGTAACGAAAAAGATTTACAGTAAAAGTTTGAAAGGAGAGTATAAAAGAAGATAGTATTCTATGAAATTTTTTCCATTAGATGATGTAGAGATGTGTCTTGATGAATATATTTATAAATTTGAAAGAATGGACATAAAAGAAGGTTTTAATAAAAAAACTGAAAATGATGAAGAATCAGATGATGAAGATGATTAAGAAGTTTTAGAGAGATAGAATGATAGAGCAAAATATTTTTAATTTTGGTAATGGAATTACATGTTTACTGACAATAATGATAAAGGTTAAGAAAAAAATATGAATAAAGAACCTGGTGAATACTAAGACGAAGAGGAAGAGTTGAGTTCAGAGGATGATGATGACGATGATGAGGAAGAAGACGACGATGAAGAAGATGATTAAATGAAAAATCATCTTAAAATATAAACATAATTTAGTATAAAACTGAAAGATACAAAAAAAGAATATATTATTCTTAAGAAAGATGTTAAAGCCATACAAAAGTAATTTAAAATAAATAAAAAAGAAATTAAAAAAATAGAAAATGGGACTGCCAGGCTTATAGATTTACATTAAAAACTACGAGAAGATTATATAGAGCTAGTAAAAAGAAATAAAATGTTACTGAAGCACTAAAAGTAAGTATTTGAAGTAAAGGATAGTATTTAGCATGTTCATCTCAGGCAGTATTGATAATAAAATAATGAATAGGGGAAATATTCTAGCTAAAGTCTAATTTTTAAATTAGATTTTAAATAATTTAATTTATTTTAAAAGCATGTAATCAACAAATATATATTATTTGAGTCAAAAAATTAAATGTAAGACAAAAAAATATAATTTTTAGTGATTTAATTTAAGTTTAACAAGAAATATTCAGTTAAACGTTTGCAATTTATTTTGTATCTTTTAAAAAATAAATGATTTTTTATATCAAAAAAGTTTATTTATTATAAAATTTGGTAGAAATCTCAAAATTTTGAAATTAATTAGCTGCTCATTTAATTTTACTCAGAAAATTAAGATTTCTATAATTTTATAAAAACTTACTTTATCAAATCAACATCTAAATTTTTTTTGAATCTCAAAATAATAAATCATTACTAGTAAAAAAAAAGATTAAAAAGCTGTCATAATTGCTATTTGCAGCAGAATTTATTAAATTAATTCGATCTATTTTATAAAACTTCATATTTTTAAAAAGGAATAAATTGAAATAATTATTTTAAAATGAAATAAAGTAAATGTATTCATGTATACTTTTAAATAGAAAAATAAGTTACGCTTTACATACTTTTGATTAACGTAAGACAGCCAATCAAGCTGATAACATTTGTCTATTTTCTAAAAAGTAAAACAGCTTTATTTTATTTTTAATAAAATACTAACTAATAAATAATTGAATCTCTATCACTTCTAACAAAATTAATATGAGACAAGCTAAAAATTATTTATATGTACTAAAATATTCAATAATAAATAAATCAATAATATGGAAGGAAATAGAAGAGAGATCGCTGAAATAATTAATGCATTTAAAAGAGAAATTTTTATATAAACTTTTACTAATGATTAAATTTATAATTTAGGCTTTTCTATTCTAATTCATAATTCAAAATATATATATGAGTTACTTTTTATAAATTTGATAATATTCACTTACAAATTGTTATTTAATTTTCAAATTCATGATACTTCATATATTTTTTATACAAATTTCTAATTACGAATTTAAATACTATTTTTTAAGTTCAGTTTTTTGACAAATCTTGTCGGTCATTATTCAATGATGAGATAGCTAATGCTTTAAAGTAAAAATTATTTATTTTTTATATTATCTTATTCAAAAGAGAACAAATAATGAAAAGAAAATATGAATGTGAGAATTTGCAATTATCAAATTAAATACGAATGAATATCACATAAAATAAAAGGAAAATAAAATTTCAGACAGAATGAGAGAAAATTTAGTGTTAATATTTTATGAACTAGATCTAAAAAGTATATTTACATATATATATATTGATTGGATGAGATCATCAATTTTCTTATAGATCGAATGTAAATAAGAATAGCAAATAATATGTAAAAAATTAATTAATAAAAACATAAATCAGTAATTTAACTCATTTAATTAGAAATTTTATTCATATAGACAGTAAGTTGAAACTGCTATTGGGCATAATAAGATGATAGGAAATGAATTATAATATAGATAAAAATATGGCTATGACTTAAAATTACTACTTCATAAAAAAAAAATATATTTGCTTTTTTTAATTGCAATATTTCAAAAAAAATAGAGTGTTATTTTCTGATTCTTTAAAAGATGAATTTTTTTGTTTGTTATTTGAAATCTAAACTAAATAAGTATGTATGTATGTATGTATGAATGAATGAATGAATAATTAATTTCATGTATTCATCTTCTATTTTTGAATATAAAGAATTTCATTTGATATAAAGCAAATTTTACATTTCATTTCTTCCCCACCTATAGATTAATTAATCTATTGATTGATTTATTTAATTATCTTATAAAGATAGATTCTTCTATTTTTACTTCTATCAACAGTTTGCTTTTAATTGCTTGCTTTTGTGTTTTTATATTATATGCCCTGCTTTATTCATACATGATTTTGTTGTTTTGCTTATAAAAAAAATATTATAATGATTGATTTTATGTTTGATAGTAGCAAAAAATATACATATAAAAATAATGAAAGAAAGTATATGTTTGCTCGCACCAATTAGCTCCATAACCAAAATTCTTTTTTCTGAAATATCAGTCAAAAATCAAACAAAAATTAAATTACTAAAAATCAAATAATCAAAAACAAACAAACAAACTAACAAAAAAAACAAAAACATAAAACAAATACAAAAACTAAAAAGAGGTACATTAACTCTCTCTCCTTAAATTCTTAATTGATAGATATACTTGCATATATACAGAGCAACAAATAAAATCTATTTTATAAAGTCAACTGTTTTCTTCCAAATAATTTTCAATAATGGATTCTCTAAGTTTCCTTCTCAACCTTAAGAATCTTGGCGATGCGATTATGATTGCCAAGTAAAGTTAATTGCTAAAGTAGAAGATTAATAACAATTAAATACAAGTGCCTAGTATACTTAAGCCAAATGTTAAAATGGATTCTCTGAACAATGAAGGATTATATTCTTCCACTTCTTCTTAAGTATCTAACTCTTCTACCAATTATATAGTGGATCCAAATCCTTACAAATCAACCTTTGCATAAGAACTACCTATTGATAACCTAATTTACAATCTTGGTAAAAAGACTTCATCATTATTTAAAATTATAAAAGTCATAAATAACATCTTCCTCATACCGCTTGCTGATCATAGCAAGAGATCATTTTATAATTAATTTTAATTGACTCAATGAGAGGTATCGAGAGCGGGAAAAGCAGTTCGATTGACCCACTGAAAAATGAATGTTTAAATAACAAAGAAATTTCTTTGAAAATTTTCATCAGATATATTCTAATCAATTACAAATATTATTCTTAATTCATTATTTTTCTAAATTTTGATAGAGAAAGCAGCAGAAGAGTAAAAGAGAAACCAGAAAAAAATACTTGAAGAAATATCAAACTAACACGATTTCCTCATATAAACAATTGACGAATTTATACAAGACAAAGAAGAGCTTAAAAGCAAAGTCGACGAGCTTGAGGTAATTTCTTTTTACCATCGATTTTTTTTCATAAAGATAAACCTTGTCTCCTATGTCCCTTAAAATTAATCTAAAAATATGATTCTAAGAGCGAGTTTTATGAAAAAGTAAAAACTCATATATGCTCTGTTGCTTATTTTATCATTTTCAATCCTTTTCTCCCTAAATTTTTAGAAGGAAAAACGACCTTGTAATCTGAATAAACAATCCAATTTCATTTGAAAAAAATAACAAAGAATAATTATAATAAAATCAAATACATCCATTATTAATTAATTTTTACTTTTAATTATCTTAATATATTATTTTTTGATTTTTTGGCAGAGTTTCGCGGAGTCATTTGATTAAATATTATTACATATTATCCATTAATTATTTAAATCTTTTTAACTAAATTGTATAATTTTGATTTTAATAAGTTGGTTTTGATTAACTCATCTTTAAATTTATATAGAAACTCGTGAATGACAAGCTCAAATCAAGATAAGAGTCTCCTAAGGAGCAAAAGAAAAAAAATAGAAGATGCGCACAAGAAATTAACAAAGAATTCAGAGTATAATTTATTTTTATTATTTATTTACCCAAAATAATCTATTTCAAATAGCTTTAAAATAAAAAAAATTTATTATTTACCAAACAAATTAATTAACAAATATCTAAATTTATAGCCAATATAACTTTAGAATTAATTTATTTGAATATTTTACTACACAATTTCATTTTAAAAGGAGCTACTATAATTTTCAAATTATTTATCACCAAAAAAAAAATTAGATCAAAATGATAATCAATCAATCCTACATTAATTAAATAGTAATTTGATTTGAATAATTTAAAATAAATTTTTACAATTCAATTCAATTCAATTTTATGAAATTAGTAAATTGATCTAATTATTAATTTATATTTTTTAGAATTTCACAAGCAATATTTTGAATTTGTTTAATTTAAATAAATTAGTTTTTCCTTTTAAGTTGTGGATTATTCAAAAATAATATAAGAATATTTAAATTTTTTGAATCGATTGATTATAAATTAATTACTCAAAATTATAAAATTGAAAAATACTCAATAGAAAAATTTGTCTTGCTTACAAAAAATTAGAATCGCTTCTCTATCTAATAAATAAAAACAGTTTCAATTTTTCATTTTAATTGCTTATAATCAGTGCTAAAAATATTTAAAAAATAAATTTTAATATTTTTAATAAATATTTTAAAGTAATTTATAAGTTAATTTTTTGTTTTAAAGCTAATTAATAAAAATAATTTGTAATAAAAAACAAAACAATTTTTGATTAATGTTTAATTTAAAATAGTGCCCATATGAAAACTGCTCAAAAAGCTACGGTTCTGATATTTCAATGAATCTCCACATTAAGTTAAAGCACAATGGTGGAAGTAAAACTGAAAGAGAACAGCTAGCCGTAAACCAAATTTAACAATCCCAATTACATTAGTAAAGTTAAATATCATCTCCATCATAATATTGAAATAGAAAAAAGTATGGGAAGCAAAGATGAGTAATCAAGTACTCCCAGATCTAGACATAGCATTTCCTCCTGGTTTCCTTGCCAGCTTCGAAGAACAAATGATTAAAGAATAGCAATTTAAATCAAGAAAATTTAGTGAAATTTCCTACACATCTACTGCAGAGTAATCTCTATGAATTTTCATAGGCAAGAACTCATGATATGCACGAAGAGGTGATTCGATGCTGTTAAGGAAGGCAGAGAAAATATTAATTAATAAAATAAAAAAACATTCCATAACATAATAATTAACTAACATATAAAATTAATAGTGCTCATGTGCTATCCTATATAAATATACTAACCAATGACTCATCTATCCTTCTCCCTGCCTTTCATAAATACTACCAAACTATAAATAATTAAATAAATACCTATATAATTATATAAATTTATTGTAGATAAATCACGACTTATTACTAAAACTCGATCTTTTAGGTCTTTCTCTCTTCTTCCTAAAGCTTAGAGAAAAGAAAAGTTCTATTTGTTTAAAAGCTACTTCTCCAGACTTTTCTTACTCTTCAAGCGTTAGGACAGAAAGATACTTATGTAAACTAAATACTCTATATTGCTTTAAAATCGGATCAACCTTACTTTAATCTATAGATAAAGTTAACAACTACCTGCTACTCACTCACTCATTGATCTTATATTTAAGATAATATAAAATATTAATTAAATGATAATCTTTTACTTACAATTATAACTAATATAAATAATATTAACAACCAGATTTGATAAAAGAATTAAACCATTTATATACCCTATAAATAAATAACCAATTTATTAACTTATATAAAAATAATCTTAACTAAGAATTTTCTACTACTACCAATTAATATAAAGTATAATTAGTATATATATATATACATTATTTGTAAATTAGTAACTCTTGGATTAAGATTATTCAACTTAATACTTTTCTAAGCTTATTTATTTTGATCATATTACTTATCTTTAATTTTAATTTTTTTTTAGAATCTAAAATTTTATTTTTCAATAAAAAATATATTTTTCTAAGTTAAAGATTTTTAACTTTTCTTATTAAAATTAGTAAAAAAATATTTTAGTTTAAATTTGAACTTATTTAAAGATTAAAATATTTATTAAATTGAGAGGTTAATAATAAAAAATTGAGTTTAAGACAAAAATTCTCAATAATTAAGAAAAAAGTGAGCATACTCATTTACTTTTTGTATTGGACATTTTTAAAGAAAATTTATTTTTAGGAAAGAATTATAAGAAAAAAAATATATAATATAAATAAATACCAATATTATTAGGTATAATATTAGATATCCTCAGCAATCAGTTTTTTATAAGCAGTCTTGTACTCAATACTATTTTATAGCTTATTTTATAGATTATGCAGTTATTAGGTAAATTCATAGAAAATACCAAACTCTTTTTTTAACATATATTTCATCCTATTTTCTAAACTTATTTTTGGAATTTAACAGAACTTAAAATTATAGTTTTAAATTTCTTAAAATGATATTTCTTATAAATAAACATTTATCATAAACAGTAATTACATTTTTAATTTAAAAATCTCAACATTTTTGATAAAAAATAATTTTTAATGATTGAATCTTATTTAACTTATTTATTTCAATAATAATTGGAGGATTGTTTAAATAATTTATAAATTTAATTTATTATCTGTAATTAAAAGTTATCAGCATATTGCAATAAATTCCTTATTTTTATTTTAATAAAATTAATTTATAAGATTTAGTATTACAAAAATTTTTAATTTTAATACAAGTAAATTAAAATAAATTATTTTGAAAAATAAAAACATGTTGATTGTCAAATTTTTAAGTTTTAAATAATCATTTAATTTACTACAAAAAATGATAAATTAATTTCATAAAAAAGCAATAGCAATAATTTATAATAAATTTATAAAAATTATTGCTTATTACGACTTTTAGTCACTAACTTAACTTGGTATCTTATAAATTTCTCCATCACCTAAAAAGGTTCCATCTCCTTTATCCCTAGGAACATTCGAATTAGGGTTATATTAACATTTTCCATCTCCTCTACTAAAATATTACTATTAGGTGCTACATTACTAACAAAAGTAACTATCATAGTAAGATGTTAATGAATACTAATCGCACCCAACAATAGAGCAAATTGATTAAAAGCTCAAGCATTATTAAAGGCTATTTAAAAAATAGCCTTCTTCACATTTTGTACATGCTAAATTAGAATCAACTTAAGCACAATTTATCGACATATTTATATTATTTAGGCACTATAATTGACTAGGTTGCATAGAATATCCTTTCTAACATTTTATGCTGTTTGATAAATAAAATATAAATTAATTTTTAAAGTAAAAAAAGATTTACCAATAAGGGCTATTTAAATTCTCTTGTTAGATCTACAGACAGTATGAATTTGTTGTATCCTATATACAATTTTATTTACTTCCAGTTAAGATATAATTATTCATGCAAATATCACAAGTATTCATATTAGACGTATTATTTTGGCAGTTAGGAATAGTTACACCAACACAAATTCCATTAGAATTTAAATAATAAAGGTTTTGGCACTATAAACATTAATTCTAAACAGTTTAGGAAAATTAAGCACAATTTGGATTACTGGTCACATCATGAGGTAAGCAAGAAAGTTTATTTCCTGACAGATAGTATTGATTTCTGCATAATGTACATTAGACTTATGAATTTTATACAAAATTCAAACAATTTATGATAGGTATTTAAACACATTAACCATTTTGCATTAATTAATAGTTAATAGCACATTCTTTGCATGTTTAATTTTAGTAAGTTTTACAATTCAAAGATGAAATATCTTGGCATTAATTTCCATTAAGATAAAACTTTTATATTCCAGAATTGTCCTAGACACATTATTGACATTAGCTAGTGTTAATTTAATAAACTGAACAATTAGCTACTTAATTATTTGGTGCTATTGCTTAGCATGAATTCCCTTAAGGAATGTAACCATTATTACATTAATCGCATACATCTTAATTATTACTAGATTAATTACTAGTAAGTGAATTACTAAATACTTTGCAATTTTAGCTTATAATAAATGTTCTAAGTTAACAGATTTAATTTTTATTTTAATCAAAAGTAAGAAAGTATGCATCTTCACAAAGTATACAACTTTCAACAGTCTAAGTATCTACATATCTTTTACAGCCCTCTATATAATTTTTTATTTGAGATTTTTGTAAGCATGTTATGTAAGGGTTAGGGAAAAAGCTTTGCTAGTTACTTGAAGGGACAATCTACTTTTCATAAAATGATTATCCACATTTCAAGCAGGATTGTAATAATCCATCTGATTAAGAACATTAATTTAAATTAACTGGTTTACAAGCATTACTATATTAAAAATATAAATTCACACATTATTTGCAAGCAGAATACACTCCATCTGTTTAAAAGCAATTTGCAGGTATATTCGTTATTTTTTGGCAACTTTTTTTATCTGATGCTAATTAGTACATATTTTAACATTGAGAGCACAATGAGCTACTTTAGTAAAATAAACAGTTTGGTATTGTTATTTGGCAAGTATTGTCTTTATAAAAATAACTTGGATTGCATTATATACAGTCTTAGGTTTTACCACTTGAAGTGCTACAATTAGGAATATTATTTTAGGTACAAATGTTACTATTAATATAATATAAATTATTGCATTGACTACATATATCTGTTTATTAATCTGAAGTTTAGCAATTAGTAAAATTTGTAATTTAGTAGCAAATGTTACTTTTGAGATAATAAAGATTATTGCATTTTGTACAAGTATTGTTTATACCATCCGAATCTTAACAGTTTTAAATTTTTTTACAAACATTGGTATCAATATAATAACCAGATTAACAACTTTGGCATAATCCAGCTGATGAAATAGTTTTACATGTTGGTAAATAACATATTTTACATTCAGTTTAAGAAATAGTTAAAGAAATGCAATTTTAGTTTGAAGAAACAGGCGGGTTACATTAACTACATTGATTTATCATACCATTTTATTGAACACAGTTAATAAATAGATTAACAGGAATACACGCAGTTTAATCGCTATTTAAATAATAATCGATATTGCATTCAATACATTTATTATCAGCTTATTGATTTGCACAATTTGGAATGGCTGGCTTGGAATAACAACATTAATTATAAGATTAAGTATTTGGATTACTGCATGTATTACTAGATGGTAGGTTACTGCACCAATTTGTAGAGTCAAAAACACATTAAGGGCTACCTTTTAAATTGTATTGAACTTGACATAAGGTACAATTGTCAGTTTTTCCATCATTAGAATAACAATTACTATAATTTGTTATTTTGTTACACTATTATAAACCTTAAGTATTTGTTTATAAAAAATAAAGATTTGCACATAATTAGCAGGAATCTGTTTTTCCATCTGAATAAATACAATTAGAAGTAGTAGTATTAATAGTGCATTTTTAAAAGCCGTTAGAATCTTAAAATAGATGGTAAAGATTAAAACAAACACTGCAATTATATTCATCAGTTGCTAATAAGCAGTTGCTAATTTAATTTACACATTAGTTATACTTTAATGCAAAAATATAATTATTTTTACAAATTTAGCATATTGTTTGTTATTGGAGTAAGCAAGCGTTTTATTAATGCGCTAATAATTATTAATCATTTGATAAGAAGCATATTCCATCTAATAGTTGATATTAATTGCTTGCACAAATTAAGCATCCGTCACTATAAGGATCGAGAGTAGCACAATTTTAAGATTTAAAATTTTATCTCATAACACAATTACCAGTTTTACCATCAACATAGTAAAGTTAAGGATTAAAGCAAACAGAACAAGTGACCTTATTGCTGGAATCAATTTATGCATATGCACAAAGAGAATCTTTATATAAAAGACACTATGATTTATCTTTTGAGGGTGTATACCCATCAAAGCAACTTTCGCATGTACCAGGCCCTTTTAAAATAAAAATAAAAAAAATAAAATTTTAATTGTAAAAAAAATTTTCTTAATAATGAATAAATTTAATAAGGTAATATTATTAACATTTTAAAAAATTTCTTTATGTATTTATAATCAACAAATTAGATTAAGACATTACCATTCTTTGTTATTGGTGAATAAAATTGACAATTTGCAATTGGAGGAATAACACCATTAGGATCAGCATACCAAGTTGGATCTAAAGGTTTTATAGTTTATGAAGTTGTATCATAGTATGCCATTTAACTATTGTAAATAGGGCTTGTTCCTTTAAAGCATGTGTTTTAACCCTTGATATTTTAGTAACCAGGCTAGCATTTTACACAAGTCACTCCATCTGATGCTATTTCTGCACAAAAACTTCCATTATGAGGAACTACTACATATGGTTATACACTTTTTTTTAAGACATAATTTATATTTGCCTATATACAATTCATTTATTAATTTTAAATCAGATAGACTGCACAACCATGAGATACACCTGGTGTTGTTACAGAAACGCATTTCTTCATTACTATATTTCCTACTTAATTAGGGTCAGTATATTCAAATAACACATAAGAGCATTTACATAAAACACATTAATTATTTTAATCTAACTAAGCACATTAGCCTAAATTTAAAACACATTCTGTTTAACTTACATTTAATGCATAGTTATCTGTACATTAATAGCATGTATTCTATCCAGATTAAGTAGAAGAAGGACTACACATCAAACAATTTTATATTCCTAAGCTTTAGCAATAGCTAATACTAAACTATCCTTAAGATTGAGCATAATTAAACAAAATGTTTAATATATAAAATAAATTTAACAATTTATCCTTGCGCATTCTTCTATTTTTCAATAACTAATCTAAACTTTTGCTCTAACAACTTTTTCCAAAAATATTTTGTTGATTATTTTATATATTGTTTATACTTTGAATTGAATTTGTTTTATAAATTATATGCGAGTCTACAAATTATACAGATTTAATTTTTTACCTAATATTATTACAAAACTTCAAGAAATTTATTTATGAAAAAAAAATTTCTAAATTATTTCGTGATATAAAATGTAAGTTAAGTTATAAAGTAATAATCTATTTACTTTTCATCTAAAGAAATAATAAATCCATAAATTGAAATCCTTCAATATGAAAATCAATCTCATTTCTTGTAAAACAAAAATATTTCATAAATCAAATTTCGCAAAAGTAAAAAAATAAATTTAGGATAAACAAAAACCACACAAATATCTATGCTAACTTCATATATTAACAAAAGTAAATCCTATTAGCAAAGTATAATCTAATAATTTTATTTTAAGATGTTCATAATTTTCCTTCAAATATTTTGAACTAAATACCCATATATGACTATTTGTATTTAGACTTTTCTAATGGTAATTAGAAAATATCTGGAGGCAAGTACAACTGCTATTTGAAAATACCATAATTAAATTAGTTTTCTTTAAATAAGGGACTTGCTGTCCATCCAATAAGTTCTTCAATTTACTTATTAATAAATAAATAGATGAAATTAATATTAAAAAAAAATAAATTACGTTCTTTTCTTGTATAATTCTGAAAACAATATAAATATCCTACAGCCTGTTTGCATAATGTTTTAGCATTTTTTTAGGATCATAATTAACTTCTAATGTATCATTAATAAAGGCAACATCTTTGTCATCTTCAGGTACTATTAAATCTAAAGGCTCGATGTCAATATTAAGACCATCAAGATCTTTAATCACTGTGTTTTTATCTACAATTTAGATATGGTAAGTTATAGGATTTTTTTCTTTTATGTTGGTAACTTGTTGTATTTAAACTGAAAAGAATTATTTCTTCAAGATATTTTAATCTACATTTTATCTATTTTAATTTTGTTGTTATTTTTACTATTCAAATTCATTAATATCTATTGATTTTTTATTATTTGAATTATCTGATTACTCATTAAAATCATTATTTTTTTAAATATGAATTACTTTAGATTAATTTTGCTAAATATTTTATTGATTTTTTTAATTAGAACTACCAGTACCATGTTAAGTATTTTAAAATTCTTTTTTATCAGAATCTTTAACATCTGAATTGGTAACTACTTTTTATGGAGTAATATTCTAGTTACTATTATTATTAATCTAAAATTTGTTTGGATTTTGTTGTTAAATATTATTTGTCTAATATGCATTATTTTGTTTGTTTGGTATCTCATTTAAAATATTATTTTAAGATTCTTTTTTATTAGAATCTTAACTAACTTAATTGCTAACTACTTTCTATGAAGTCATATTCTAGTTATTATTATTATTATTATTGTCAGTTTAAATTTTATTTTGGTTTTGTAGTTAAGCATTATCTACAGTATTCTATGTATTATTTGGTAATTTTTAAATAACATTTGTTTATTTTTATTATTAAGAATTTAAACTCTAACCAGATTAGATTTTTTCTAAAATCTAAATATTATTTTAAATATTACTTTGCATTTGTTATTTACTCAAATATTCTCTATCTGCTTTTGATAAATAAGATTAAGAGTTTTTAGATTTTTAAAGTTCTTGTTATTTTTCTTAATTGTTAGGTACTATTTATATATGTTATTATGACTAATTACTTAGCACTACTTAGTTTTACTGTGTGGCTTAGTTGCTAAATGTTAATTCGTTGCTTTTAGTATTCTGATTTTATTAATTTTTTAAGGGTGATTATCCTTCCTGACCTTTATTATTGAATGTATTTGATTCTAATTTTTCTTACTTTTAAACATTTTAGTTATTTATATTATTGTTTATTTCACCTTAACTTGAAAATTTTTCATTATTATTTAAATTTTGTTTACTAGAAATTTAGTTTTAGCTGTTATAAGAATTATTTTGGGATTATTTATTATTATTGTTATTTTTTTAATTATAATTTGCTTCCTATTAATTTTCTATTTTTTTTTCTGATTGCTTTTCATCTTTATTTATCTATTATTAATTTATAACTACTTTTTATGGAGATAAATTCTGTGATATTTGCCTATTTGTTTGTTACGGTGTATGTTTTAATGGTGAGAATTCAGAAAACTGTTCGTACTATTAGTTTTAATTAACTTTAGTCCTTAAAGTTGGACTGATTGACCCGTTTCTTTTAGGAGAAGGAGCGTATATGTTATTAATTTTTTCAGCATCAAAATATTAGGTCTTCTTTTTTTTCCTGCTTACCCTTTTCTATTTAAAAATCAAAAATAATTAAAAATAATAATAGAATAAAATAATTAAATAAATTACACTCTTGTTATCAACTTTTAAGATAATTTAATTTGCCTTTTATTATTATAAGGCTTCATATGATTCGGTTTGAATTTTATTGATTAAAGCTAACTTTGCTTTTATAGAAGAAAGATAAGTATCAGCAACACTAATTCTAGCTTATTGATCATTTTATTGAATACCTAATAGTCTGTGATCACGTTCTGCTTTTTCCTCATAGGGTTTAAGGATATTCTGTACTATTTATATTTTTTACTCAATTGGATATTACTGCTTGTAAAGTTTTTTATCAACCTCTTCTTTTATATGATCTTCTAAGTTTTAAGGATGAGAGTTTTAGTAACGAGCAGACTCCATGTACTTAGATCCAAGCTTTTTTCTATATTCCCTTTGAACATAATCAAAAAACTTTTTTTTTTCATCAACTGTTTCAAAGCTCCTCTTGTTGGCATTCACATCTTCTTGTATCTTTATAAATACATTGCTTCCATAATTTATTTCTTCATTCCCTCTATTATTATTTTATTTATTTGAAGAACCTGAATTATTATTATTATGATAAGATAATTATCTTTATTTGTTTTATGATATCTAAGAAATGTTTAGGTTAGATAGGGAGGGATTCTCAAGTTAAATAGAACTCTAAATTGATTTTAGCTTGATATTAGACTACTATTAATTTTAATTTAATAGATATTTATCTTTAATTTCTTTTAGTGATAGCCTATCAGTTTAAGAATTACTCTTATTTAAAGTTTTTACTTTTTCAATTGAGTTTCTTAAATATTCATTACCTTCTGCTTTCACTAAATCCAAATTTTTTTAACTCCTTGGTTAAGTGTGTATTCTCGATTATATTTCTTTAAATTCTTACTCTTTTTTAGGATCATGCTTAGGCTAAAAATTTTCTTTTATAATCAAACTAAACAATTTGCGTCTTTCCACGATTTGTTATGCATTCTTTTGTTTAAACTCGTTATTATTTTTACTATGCTCTACATCATTGTTGTACATTTCGAAGATTTTACCTTTATATGAAGGTTTTTCATAAGACCATTCATTATTATTGTTATTATTGCGAGGAAGGGATGATTCTTTTTATTTTTTCTTCTTATCATATTCTTCTTAGTGCTATTTTATTATTTTAAAATCTATGGGTTTTGAAATCTCCCTCAAATTTACTAATAATTTTTTCTTTTCTTGAAGCTCTTAGCTTTGCTATACAGAAAATTTTTCTGCTAAATCAACATATAAAGGCTTTTATTATTTAATATCATGTATTTTTTACTTTTCTTCCTTTTACTTCTCCTCTCTTTCTTTTTTTCTTTATTCTATTTCAGCTAGCTTTTTTTCAGATTCCAACTTTTTCAATTACTTCATTCTTTGTTTATTTAAAATTTCTTCTTCCTTTTGCTTCTAAAGCTATTCTTATAAGGCTGCTTCATATTAGTTTATTCTCTCTTCTCTCCTTTATTTTAATGTTTTTCTTTCTTTTTCAAGCTCTTTAATCCTTTTTACATACTCTTCACTAGAAGCATTACTCTAGAGTGGGTTGGTTTTCCTTTTTGATTATTAGCTATTTTTTCCTTTTTTTTAATCACTCTGCAAAATATTTTCTTCTTCCTACTCCATTTATTCTATTTCTCCTTCTAAATCTTTTAGTTTTTCCATTAACTCCATTTTCATTTTTATTTTATCATCTTTTGAAATATTTTATAATTATTTCTAAGGTGAACCATTTGTATTTTAAATAGTGGAACTATTATCTAAAGGCTTTATAATTTGCTAATTTTCCTATTTTTAAAAAAATAAAAGCCTATAAAACTGAGTAAATACAAGAAATACTTTGTCTAAAATAAATCTGATTATGTTTTGTGTTTTATTTTGATTCAATCATTTTATAAATATGATTTTCACATAAAAAGTTAGTACTAATGATCAATAATCTATACCTATGAATTTGAAAACTGCTACTAAGCCTAACTATTACTATCTAAATGAGTCTGTTAATTAATAGTTGAGTCTTATTGATTCTATTAATTCTACATTTTACCTTATTTTTCCTCTGTTTTATTTTGCTCTTTGTTTTGAGAATTTTGCTACATTTATATATTATTTTACTTCATATCTATAAATTAGAGCTAACAAATTTAATTTTTTATTTAGTAATTTTTTATAAAATATAATTTGCAAAATTAATGATTAATAATCACCAACAAAAATTATAAATATTTACTAACTTAAGAACTAAGTCTAAAACTACAAACAATCAAGAATATAATTTAATTTTTATAGAAATTTTTATATTAATGCAAATATCAAAATAATTTGATGATTATTAATTGTAAGTAGGTGTAAGACTAATACATAAAGAATTGAGTGATGTTTTTTAAAAAATAAGTTAAATTATAAAATTATTTTATTTTATTAAAATATTTATTCTGTTAACTTTCAATTTAAATGAGAATACTTGTAAATATATTTTTTTCAATTATTTAATTATTTTTAAATTCTCCTCTAAAATCAATAATCTATGTAAAAGATAAAATTTTTTCTTAAAAGTGATTAAAGATAAAAATAATCTAATACATTTTATATTGAAAAATAATTATGAATATAATGCTTTTAAAAATAAAAAACGATAACAACCTAATTAATTAAATCTCTTCATTTAATATGATGAGTTTAAAAAATAAAACTTTAATTATATAAATGTCACTCCAAAAACATAAATATTTAAAAAATATATCATTGTTTTATTAAAAAAATCATGATAAAAATATTTTTTGATTGTTTTGCAATTCTTAATTTTTCTTTTGGATAAAGTAACGAACAATATACATAAATGTTATAAAATTTTATTAAATTAAGAAAAAATGAACTAATGAACTTTTATTGATAATAAGCAGATAGGATACTTTTTAGTGAAATTTAAACAGTGATCAAAAGTTTATTTCGAATTAGAAGAAATTAAACTTCGATATCTAAGAAAAATAAATAAAGTATGTCTTTTTTTCATTTATCATTTAAAAATATGTGTTAAATGTATTATTATAAATTTTTAATCAAAAAAAATGGCAAATATAAATTAAAATGGAACTTCAAATGATAAAAATGTCAAATAAATTAATTTTCTTTAATTAAAAAAATAGGCAACAAAAATAAAAGAATACATTTTTATATGATCATAATACTAAAATGACTGCAATATAGATACAAAATTTAATTATCTTTGATAAATTTGATGAAATAACAGGGTCAGGTAAGTTATCACTTGTTGGAGAAGGAGGAGGGGGATCCTAGGAACATCTTGCAGCTTAGTTTACGTAATAAGGACTTTAACATTACTAGCAGAAATAGTAATCCTAATAAGAGTCTTGAGTGTCATAGGTTTAACAATTAGGTATACTACATAAAGAATTTATTTGCAAGCATTCATTTTAGCCTTTGGAGTAAAAAAAATTATCTATACATTGATCACATTCATAATATTTTTTTGTTAAGCTTTTTAATATTTTACAATTCGCAATTGAAAGATAGTATGGAATGCAAAGAGTTTTATCGGAAGTAAGAGCATATCCAATATTACATTATTAACAAGAAGGAAATTAATTTTTCGTTGTATCATAAGTTCCATATCCAACCATGCAATTTGCGCCTACGTTTGATTGACATATGTTGCTTGAATCAAGTGTATAGCTTTTATAAAAAAAATTTATTTAATATAATAAATCTATTTTTTTCAAATTCAAAAACTAAAAAATTTATTTTCTTTTTAAAACAATAATATAACTTTTTCTGATTCAATTTTCAGAATTAAGAGAACCGAATAAATGAAAAAATATGGTATTTAAAAATAAAAAATAAATTGAATTTAAATGTAAAAATTTTATTAAAAAATTAGTTTAAATTCAAAAATAATAATTAAATAATAAATTTTTATAAAATCTAAGATGAAAAAATTTGAAATAGATAGTATTTTGCTTAATTAATTAAAATATATTTAAAAATCTTACTCCTTAATACATTAAGTACACTTTTAATTATTAGCAGAATAGCAATTAGTTATTTGTAATAAACATTTGTTCGATGAGTCAAAAAAATATGAACTAATACACGAGATGCACTAATCATTTTTGGGGTCATATTAAGCACAATTTTAAGCAGTATATGGTTCACAGCTTTAACCAGATGAATTTAAGTAGTATCCAGCGTTACATTATAGGCAATTAAAATTGCTGTCATAGTTTTAGCATTAAAAAATATATTTTTTTTAACAGTTTGTGCCAACAAATTTTTAGCACTATTTATCAGTTATATCTATGCAATAATAAATATCATTTGGATTCGATTTATCCAAATAATATTCTTACAAAGGCCCATATAATCCAGTATTTTTGCATTTTACACATTTTTAATTCTCATCATACTAAATACAGTTAATTATTATTTTATCTGTATCCACAATCATACAAAAATAATCATTTAATACATAGGTATTTGATGGTTAAAAATAACCGAAAGGGTTCTTATTATTTTATTTTAAATAAAAACCAGGTTGACAAATTTAGCACTAGTCCTAATCAGGATAATATGTTAAACAATTATCATATAAAGTACGAGGTAAGCATGTTCCAGTCCCACTCAGATAATGATTTTCATAGCATTAAATGCAATTTTCTTAATTATCATATATTTTACATCCAATCTGCACATTACTATTAGCTACACTTGAGCATAAATAATTATTGTCACTTAATTTTTTAAAATATTTCATTTTTTAGCAATTAAGACACTCATTTTTTATACCATAAGAGTAAATACAATCTGAGGTACTCAAATTTTTACAACTATTACTATCCAAATACATAAGTGGAGGGCATAAAATGCAATCATTATTACTACTAAAGTTATATAATTAGCAATTAATTGTAGGTGGATTTCTTTATAAGCAAGTAAATGGAGAATTGGGAGAATTTTATTGCAAATATGCAGCTTAACTACAATATAGACAATTAAATTAATTTGAAGAGTTTTTATATTTAATAAAACATTAGTCACCACTTGAATATTAAATAGTAGAACTTTGTTAGCATTATTAACATTATATACTTGAAAAGCTAGGTGGACATGGATCTTAACATATTATTGGTTAAGATTGTGAAGGTACGCATTAATAATTTAAAATTGTAAAACCTAATTAGCAGGAAGTGCATATTATTCCATTATTATTATTATTACTTGAACAATTTCTAATCTAAATGCATGCATTTTGACCATTTTAAGTAGTTAGATAAAAACCATCTTTGCACTATATGCAATTTTTACCATCTGTATTTTAACAATTAAGAATTTGAATACATTAAGTTTAATCAGAAGATGGAATATATGATATATTGCATTAAGTACATATTCCATTTACAGGATCTAAAGTTTGGCAATTTTAAATAGTTAGGCATATTCCTGAAGGACCTGGATAATAATTAGGGTTGCACTGAGTGCATACAGGATTGATACCATCTGTTATTTTACAATTCTAATCATTAAGTTGTAGGCAAATAACTCCTCCATAACTCATTTATGCTAAATAGTATTTCTAACTTCCATCACAAAGAGTACACTCTTGATCAGAGTTTTGAGCGAGACAATTTGAAAGAGTAATATAGCTACATGATCCTTGCTAAATTAATAAAAATAATTTTTTTTTTTAATCAATAGTTTATAGAGTTAAAAGAATGTTTTTGAAATTATCCAATTAAATAAACAATCAGACAATCAATTTTTATATTTATAAAAATTTATAATCAAAATATAGAAAATGTTTTATATATGAATCATAATAATTTAAAAATTTATAAAAAATTAAATAAAAAATGTTTAAAATAATTTTAATTTTTACTTTTGTGAGATAATACCCATTTTTACATTTAGTGCATCCACTAGAGGGGTTTTATTGATTCCATATATCACAAAAGGGAAATCCACAGTAATTTGGATAATTAAGATCTATATAATTATAATCTGGTTAGCATACTTGACAAGAATCCTGAAATCCATTAGATTGTTAGCAGTTTGGATTTGAAATTGGGTAACACAACCCTGTATTACTATTTATATAATATAAATTTTAGCACTGAGAACAAAATACCTAGCCCGTGTTGATGCAAAAAGGTATTGGAGACAATGGTTTGCATTTATTATTTTATATATAATATCCTTGTAGGCACACTAGACATTAGTCATTTACTCCATCTGAGTATTAACAATTTTTTTCAGTTATTGGTTAACATGTATTGATTGAAATATAATAATTATTACTGCATATTGTACAAATTTTAATGCTGTTAATTGGATCTAATTTATAAGAAGCACAATTAGGTATTATTAGATTTGATTGTGTTAAGCATTAAGGAATAGAAGGGCTTGAATTATCATTGTAGTAAAATCCAGGTTGACCACTATTATCAGAACATGAAGTACAAGTATCTTTAACACCATTTGTTAAGTAAGAACCACTACAATAATTACTAGCGGCACATTAATTTAAACTATTAATGTACTGATTTCCTGCACAATATAAACAATTCTAACTATTGCCGTCTGTAAAACAAGAAGGTTAAGCGCTTTAACAAGTTCCATTTGTGTCAACAAAATATATGTTAGTGCACTATTAGCATTTATTAGCACTTTATACAAAAGATAAACAGAAATTCCAATTTGTGAAATCATAATTTTGATATTTATTAGATGAATCTTAATAAAATCCAGGTACATCTTATAAATTTGTATTTACCTTGCAACTTTTACTACTTGAATCTAACATAAAATTATTTTTACAATTAGTACATTAATTATTAATTCCATCACTGACAACACATTTTGAAAATTCTTATATTTACTTGCATAAACCACTATTAGTATAATACAAATTATTACATTTTTTACATTTTTTATCATTAATCCCATCAGATAGAGCACATTAAATATCAGAAATTGGAACGCATGTTATGGGATTAGAAGATGAAAGATAAAAAAGGTTTTGACACTAAGCACACTAATTTGATTTCCCATCTGATAAAATACAATTTTAGGGATTTGACATAGGTTAGCACGTTTTACTACTATCTAAATAATATAAATTTGAGCATTATAAGCATACTTTATTTGAATCAATACTAACACAATTAGTTGGAGCTTAGTAGCATTGCCCTGACGATAATAAAAATCCTTATGAGCATAGTTAGCAATGACTACTATCTAAATATACAGAACAACCATATATGCTGTTTTATGGAAGCTATAAATTCCATAATTTTAGGGGACAGTAAGGATTTGGAGTTCCAAAACTAGGTACACATGTATTGCAAGAATCAGATTTAGGATTCCTTTCTAGGCAATTATCAAAGTAAAAGTTTGATCTTGGGGCACAAACTTGATTTTAGTTTTTATCTGTATATACAAAGAAGTAATTTGGTCTTAAGCACTAAACGCAAACCACAACATTGGTTGATAAGTCGGCGAATTGACAAAAATTGCATGGAGAAACATAGCATGCTGTTTAAGTTAAATTAGGTATCATACCATCATAACATTAAGTACAAATAGCAGTTAAACCATCTCCAGAACCTGTATATTAATTACAATATTATATTATTGGATAAACTCCAAAATCACCAGGGACATACAAAGAATTTCTACTTTTTAATTAATCTCCATAAAAGTAGCTGTAAAAAATATTATCTATCTTTTTATTCACCTAAACACAATTTCTATTTGCATCTAACTTATAACCGGAGTGGCATTAAAGGCATTAAAATTCTATTAATTATATTATAAGTTAAAATAAAATAAAACTTTAATTATAAAATACAAAAGATCATTAATACTTATTTTGTAAATAGTTTATATTTTAATAAATATTTTTTCATTTGATTAATTTTAAAATACTTGATTAAAAAAAATAAAGCTTTAATATTAAAAATAATCAGGCTGTGTTTATTATATTAAATTTGTGGTATAAATTAAAAAATATTTATTAATAGAGTTTATTGAAAAGTGAAATAAAGGTTTTTAATTTTTTAGTGTTAGTAAAGCTTTTTAAATTCAATTATTTAGTATCTTGAGATAATTATTAAAGTTGTAAATGATCTTTGTTAAAAATTTATATTTCTATAAAATAAAAGGTAAGATCTATATTAATTTATCTATTTATTTATTAAAATATTCACTATATTTAAATGGCATACATTATGTTTCTATTTCACAAAAAGAACCTCCTGATAATCTTAAAACTACATCATTTCCTACTTAAGACATTACATAATCTATTTTAGGACGTATACACTATGATCTTGGGTTAATTACTTCGCATCCTCTAAGCTAATAAGTAGCTTTAGCACATGTGTTCTTATCTGAAACAATAAGATGTCCACAATCACACTTTATGCAAATTGAATTATATTTTTAAATGCAAAATAAATCTGCAGGTCCCTATTAAGTGCATGTTTTTTATAAATTATCCAAAAAATAACCACTATTGCAGTATAAACAGTAAGTATTATCAGTAGACATCTACGCACAGTTTGTTATTGTATTTGTTTAGCTAAAAACACATACTAAATTTAAAGCAAACACTTATAGAACTATATATGTTTTTTTAATCATTTTATTACTTTCTTAATGAGATCTATCAAAATAAAAGTAATATCAATTAAATAAATAATTAATAGTTTATTTATTTATTTTTGATTCTCTTTTTTCTCAGCTTTATCCTTATTATTAAAACAATTATTCTTTTACAAATCTAATTTGCTTGATAATAATCTTATAAGTAGATTTTCAAAATGTGGATGACTGATTAAAATTATTTAAAGCTAACCAATTATTCATAATAAAATTATTCAAACTGTAACATAATTAAGAATTATAAATGAGATTTGATTAATTAATTATATAATATTATCTTATTTCAAAAAAAAAATTATTTATCATAGTTAAAATGTTTGTAAAATAAATATCTATTTTGGATTTTTAACAGAATTTTTAGATTATCTAATTTAAAAATTAGTTTATTATAAGTAATATTTTACATATTTATTTAATTTATTATGCTTTAATATAAAATATCATATTAATAGGAAATGTAATCAGGATCATTGAGATTCAAAGCAGATAGATTAAATCTTATTCTATCAAAACTTCTTTGAAATAAAAATTGTATCTTTAATATTATTTATTTTTGATTGTAACTTAATCTAAATCAAATTTTAATTAATTAGTAGAAATTAAAAGATTAATATAAGATATGAGATCTATTATGAGAGCAATATCAAACTATCCAGAATGGAATGAGAAAAAGTGGTTGATTCCATTGGGAATGAATTATTTTAAACTTTACGCTATTTCTAAGAACATTTATTTGGATTAAACGATTAGATAACCTGTTAATAGAAAAGAGAGAGATTTAAAAATATACTATTTTGATGGATTTCTAAAAAATCAAAGCTAGTTTAATCATATTAAAAGCTTGACCAAAAATTACTAATGCAACATATACTATGTGGATTCATTGCAGCTTATAATGTACGACGTCTTTTAAAAATAATTAAAAAATGAGAAAGATTTATTTATTTAATCAATTCAAAGTAAAAATAGCATATTTATTTGTAACTTTGATTCTATTCAAATACTTAAAAATCATTTTTTCTCTGGGAGAAATCTGGAAGAAGTTGATTTAATTGCTATCAGCCCTTATTTTTAAAATTATGACAATATAAATTTTACAATGCAAAAGCAGTTTCTTTACAACATTTAGAAAAGCTTTGTTAAAACTTACAGCTGCTTAGATAACTCTGATGAAAATGATTATACTATATAAAAATACATGAATATTAAAGAATTTTAAGATTTCATTAGTAAATATTAGAGTGAAGGTAGTTAATAATAAAGTAATAATCTTCCTTATATGTTTAAGACTCTTAATATTCTCTTCTAAACTTAAGATAAAATCTTATTTTAGAACTAAGATAGTTAAATTTTTGATTATAATCTCGAAAAAACTTATCAAAACTTTGATACTTGTGGATTTAAAACACAATATCTCATTAAAAACTATAGCCCTGTTATGTCATTATTATATAAAGATCCCTCAGCGATCATTCTAGAATAGTTATTAAAAGAAAAGTTTTCAAATAAATGAAAATTAGATTTAGTGTTTTGGAAAATTAGTGTTTTTTAATATGTAAAAATTATAAAAAATCATAAAATTTTTATTTTTTTTATGCAAAATATGATTCTTAAGTATTTTTTTTTTTATGTAAAAATGGTTTTAATATTAAACAAAATAATTGAAGATTAATTTATCTAAATTTAGATTGAATTAAAACAGATAAGATTAAAAGAAATATGATAATTTATTAATTATTACATTTGGTTAACAAGAATCAAATAAAATAATTTATTACAAAAATATCTATTTACATTAATTAATGATCAACATATTTGTTTTGTGAATCATAAAATAAATTATTCATTCATTCATTAATTTTGATAGTATTTATTATCATCATCAATTTTCAAATTTTTACTGTTTATAATATTGTTAGAGTTAAGAGCAGTTGCTCTTTAAGATGAGTTTAAACTTTTTTTTAATGAACCATTTAAATTTTATGATTTACTATAAGATTAATTCATATCAAAATCCAACTAAATCATTTTAGATTTAGATGCACTTTCCTAAAAAGCAGAATCAACAGCTTTCTTTTATGGTGAAACACTTATTTCTAGTTATGTAGAGTTAAAATCAATATTTAAGTGAACTAATTTTTTCTAGTACTCCTCAATTTATTTTGTTTTATTATCATTCAGCTTTTACCATTCTTTCTTTTCTTTAGTAGCTACCGATAACTACTGTTATAAATCAAATATTTTATCAACTAAATCCATTATCTTTTTTTCATATTATGTTTTTTCTTCTTTAAATTGCTAGAATATTTCTTCAAGAGACTATTTATTTTAAGTAATAAATTATTTTTTATTAAAATTAATTTATGCAATTTAATTTTATTTTACTTTGCACTACTGCTCTAGCTCTTGCTAGTTTGCTAATTCCTCTTCTCTGGATATATATAATCTTTTGATTTCATTATCTTTCTGGCTGATAACTTTTTTCAAGTCATCATTAATTTTATCTAACTAATTCAATTTCTTCTCTAGAGAGATTATATTTTCATCAAAAGTACTTGTCTGCATCAATAGCTGCTATTCTTTCTATTCAACTTTATTTTTTAATTCTTTAATTGTAATTTCAGAATCTTCTATTTGGTCTACAAGTTTTCTTGCTTCCATCTTATCCACTTCAACCTAAGACTTTAATTCTATTATCTTTCTTTCCAATTCCAGTTTATCTTAAGTTAGCTAGTTTCTTTGCTACAATAACTCTCTTTCCTATTAAAAATATATTAGTAAATATTAAAAAAGACATTTATAATTTTAAAATTTACAAATTTCTCAGAGCTTTAAAGGTTCATCTTTTCTAATTATCTTGTGTGCTATTCTTGATTTTGTCTAAGTAAATTTTTTAATTCTTCGTTTTGATTTTTGAGAATTTGAGATTGACTTTGCAAATCTAGGCTTTATTGATGCTTTTCATTTAATTATAATTACATTTACTCTTAGGTAGTTTAGAGTTTAATCATTTAAGTATCGAAGTCAACCCTCATTTCATTTATTTATTCTTAATTTTTTTTGTTAATTTATTATAATTTTTTCTAGTAAGAAATTTGCTCTTCTTTCATTTTGTTTTCTATTTCATCAACTGTTTTTTGCATGCTTAGGACTATTTCTTGGTATTCCTACGGGATTTTTTCAAGTACTTTTTTAACTTCTTCAAGCTCTTCATCTTTTTTTAAAAGCTCTTCTTTATCAACCATTTTAATTGTCATTTAATTTTGTAAGTTTTCATATTATTCGTTTATTCTCTCATTTTCTCTAAGTAATTAAGACACCTACACTTCTAAATTTGACACTGCTGATTTCTTTTCTTTAAGTTAAGAGTCTAATTCTTTCATTTATTACTAAACTATTTTAAATTTATCTAATTTTTCTTGCATACTATTAATTTTTTCTTGCAGCTATTAAATAATAAGTTTTTTAGTCTCGATTTCATGCTATAAGTCAATTTCCTTTTCATTTCCACTTTGATTTTCAAGCTAATACTAGATAATTATATTCTGCATTTGATTTTAATTCTATTCCAAAGCTTCTATTTTTTATTCAAGGATAATAATTTCCTCCTTATGAACCTTATCTACCTCTACCTATCTCTGTTAAAGAAGAAGTATCATATTAAGTTTCTCTTACTCCATTAAGTTAATTCTTCTCTATAAGGCAAGCTACTTTTCTATTTCTTCTTTAATTCTATTCTCAAGCACCTAATTATTTATATTTACATAAATTATGATAAAATAATATGAATATATATACTTCCTATCCTTTGAAAATCCTAGCACGTTCACTTATCTCCTAATTACGATATTCTAAATCTTCTTAATTTAACAACTACTATGGAATCTACTAATTTATTTGCTGATTATTTATCTATTAATTCAAATTTGATTATGAGTCTCCTAAATACTTTTGTTCTATTTACTCTAACTCCTTCTATTTTTATGTTAAATCTTTCTTCTAATTTATCTGATCATCCTCTATCAGATTCTATTCTTTATTTTTATAAAATTAAATTAATTTTAAACAATTTTAGTTTATTTACATTAAAATTATCCAGATGTTCTTTTCTAACTATTTTAGCTAGGATTAAATATTTGATTATCATACTTTGCTTATCCGTTATTTTCTTGTTAAATTGTAGCTTTAATTTGAGCCTCTCTTATCTCCTTTGGATTAATTTTTTGATTTTAATCTTCTTCAGCTGATTCATCTTCATCTTCTACTTCAGAGTTGTTTTAGCTTTTGTAAACTTTAATTTGCAATTCTTTTTAGAAAGAAAGTCTCTTTTTTTGCTCAACTTTAAAATTTCTTGAATTCTTTTTAACTGGAGAAGGCTCTTCTTATTACTGCAATTAATATCTTTATTACATTAATTCTTCGGACGAAAGTCTAAGTCTTTAAGATTAATCAATATTAAAAGCTGTATCAGTTAAAAATCCATTATTCTTATTAAATTGTTACGAATCGTGGTTATTTTCATTTTCCATTTGTTCTTTGCTCCTTCTTCTTATTTAATCTTAATTGCTATTATTTTATTAATTTTCTTAAATTTTAATGCTTTCTCTTAAAATATTCTTGTTAGGATCATTCATAGATTAAAAGTCATCATCATTTTTTTCAATCAAACAAGAAAATTCTTAAGTTCTATTCACTTCTGTGTTATCTTCGCTATTTCTATAAATAATCTATTAGTTATCCAAATCTGTATTCTAGTCATTATTATTCATAAAAACATGCTATTCATTCTGATTTATTTCTTAATTTCTAATTTAATTCTCAGTTTCCTTTTCATATTAAAAGCTAAATCTTGAGTAAGTATCTTAATTTTAATTTTGTTATTTAACTTTGCTAGTGCTTAATGGTCTAGCAGGATATTCTTAGTTATAAGTCTACATAAATCTATCATCATCTTCATTCTATCTTCCAGCATTTAAAAATAAGTTTCTAGGAGATTTCGATGTACTATTGAAAGAAGAAGCATTTTACCTAGGTGCAAATAGATCTTCAAATTCATCAGTTTAAGTATCCTTCCTCATAGCTTAGTTAGGTCCAGATGGTCTTGAAAAAGATGTATTATTAGAACTCTTATTATTATCACCTCTACCAGAATCTTATCCTAAATTTTGCATTGAACCTAACTCTGTGAATGCTTATGAAACTTTTCGAGATTACTTTCTCATCAAGTAATCTATTTTTTTATCTAAATTATCTAAAGCTCCTGTTGAATCCTACTTTTTGCTTGCACTGTTTTGTGGAGATTAAACTTAATTTAGCTTGATACTAGGTCTAGCAGAAGATTTGTTATTTTACTAATCATCAGAATTTTCTATACAGATATTAGATTCATTATTATTATCAGACACAGATTCTGTGTTAAAGCTTAATTTCTTCCTTCTGGTTTATTCCTTATTTTTTTATTCATCAATTTACTTCTCACTGACCTAAATAATTGGCAAGTTTTCTTACTTCATTTGCTATTCTTCTATTAAATTTTAGTTTTGAAGTTACTTTTATAAATTAAAATTTTAAATCATTTGTTCAAGTTAAGCTATCTTTTTTTTTTATTCTAATTAAGCTTGCAGTAAAACATCGTTTTCCCTCTTTAACTACTCAATGTCAATATTGTTTTTAGCTTACTCTTTTTTAGAGCCTTCAATTTATTTATTTATTGTATTTTATTATTTTATTTACTCCCTCAATATTTGCAAATCTTACTCTCTTTCTTCCAAAGCAGCATTTAGTGCCTGTAAAATATTAAAATATTTTATGAATGCTATAAACCAAGTACTTAAAAAAAATTCTATAAAAAGTTAAGATTGTGTTACTTCAATTTAGCTTTCTTAATTTTTGGATTTCTCTTCAAATTGCTGCTAAAGTGGCAAATATTATAGAACCTCCTTTTCCATATTAGATATTTATTAAAGCTCCTTTTCAAGCTAAAAGTATCTTAACTTCCACAAATCTTTATCTTTATTGCTTTCTTGCAGTTCTTTTTTAAGTGTATCCGAGTATAATTGCTCCTCTTCATATAGCTTCTTCTAATTATTCTATAAATAGGTTATAAAAAATAAAATCATTTTCTAATACAAACAAGCTAATTATTTACTATTTCAGTTAAATAATTTTGCTGAACTAGTTTGTTAAGTTTTTGCAATTGCTTGTTAGTATTATAAAGTTTCTCTATTGTTTATCTAAGATTTTCATTTTCTTTATTTTTATCCAGAATAACTTGATTCAAATTATCATTGTTTATGATCAAATCATTCAATTTATTCTAAATTTATTGCCAAGTTTCCTCCGTTATTGTCCTAGTTTTCATCTATTTTAAATAATACATACAATTTTTTCTATTGAATGCTATTAAATAATCTATTACAATATCCGTCTTCGCTAATAGTTTATGACTCATGACTTATAAAGTATACCTTAGAATATGTTATTGTGCAGTTATCTGGTCTTTGCTTAGTATGTGCTTATATAAGTAGTGAAGAGGCTTGTCTAATTGGTTCAACTAGGCTTTTAAATTTAGTAAAAAAGCTTTTTTTTCTAATAATTTAGTAAGAAATAGTAAGTAAGTATTATAGTATTTGCTTTTATTTTTTGATTGGTATTATTTTACCTTTGTATTATTTATGGCTAAGTAAAGTAAAGTAAAGTTAAGAGCAAAACTTAAATTAAAATTAAATAATAACAACAATCAAGTTTTTTTATAATCCATAAAGAATATTTAGATAATTCAAACCAATAAATTTTATTAATCAATTTTCATTTCAAATACCAAACAGATTTTTAACAACTAAATTTATTTCTTGTTTTGCAATAAGACTATTCATTTACTATTATTAAAAAAAAGCATTCGTTTTGATTGATAAAATTATTGGATTTGGTTTACAATTATTTCGTTTGATATATTCATTCGACAATTTATTAATAAAATTTAGAATATTTACATAAAATCCACATACTTATAATGTTAGATTTTATTGGTAAGCCTTGTAAGTTAAACATTTTTTTAAATAAAAACCAAAATATAATTAGTTTCTAGCATTTTTGAAGACAATAAATTTAGCAATAAACTAAATTGATTTTAGCCTTTCTAATAATTGTATTAACCAATCAAAAACCAGAATTTATCCTATTAGAAAAGGCTTTTAAAAATTTTAATAATCTTATTTTAGCCAGGAATTTTATTTTACAATCCAGATACAAAATGACATATTAAGCGCATATTTAAATATTTAATGATTATATATAAATTTATTTAATCTTTAATAAATAAGTAAAATTTTACAAATATTAATCAAAATTTTATAAAGAACAAAATCTCTAATATCTATCAGTTTCAGTAGTTCATAGTGAGTATTTTTTGAAAGTTATTAAGTATAATTTTCATAAGTAGAGCAAATAAACTATTTTCCAACTTAACCCTAAAGTAGTTGCTGAACTAAGGGGTACAAGTACCTTCATTTTCATATGAGAAGCAATCTATAATTTATAAAGGTAACATTTTGTATCTTTTACTATTATTTTGTTAATATAAATTATACTTAATTTATTGGATGATATGTTAAATTTAATATTTTAATATTTTTTTAGTGTAAGTAAGTAAGTATTGATTAAGAGAAATTGTATATTTATACTAATTTAGAGAAACATAAATAAATAGATATAATAAATACTTGTTTTATAAGCGTAGTGTTAAGTAAAATTATTTTTTTATACTATAAAATATTTATTATTTTCTTAGTCCAAATAAATACCATTAATTCTTTATTATTTAAGATTTTTTATATGTTATGATAATAAATGCTCATTTCTTACTGCTAAATATATTTTTATTTTAAGATATTCTTATTTATGATGTTGACCCAACAATTTTGCTTTGTGCTGGTTAGGGTGATTTAGATGCGAAAATGTTAGTGTTTCCACTAGGTTTTCCAAATTGTTAGCCAGTAGATCCAAGTTAGTTTTGCATTTGCTAATATGTTTTTGGAGCACTTTAAGCTATGCTCTTAGGCTTATTGATAACATTTTTGCAACTTGGAATATGTCTATCTGCTGTTTCCTAAGCAAATTTACGATTACAATAAGGACATGGTACTAAATGATCTGTGTTTGCTCTAGGTGGAGCAGGAAGAGAACGTATATCACCTCCTTCTTCCTATATTTTCTTCATTTATCTCATGTATTTCATATTTTATACAAATTCTTCATGTTATTTCTTCCATTGACCTTCTTTCTTAGGCTTATCTGTTTTAGGTGGCTCAGGTTCTTTCTTTTTCAGTTCAGTTGGACCTTTACAAACTTTAGAATGCTTTGCTATTCTATCGGCATTAAAGTTTCTACCACATTTATCACATGGTACAAGTTCTACTTCTCCATCTCCTCCGCTCATATCAGGGACTTTTGATAAATCATATCCTTTAGAAGGAGCTTATATACCTTAATCTTCTCCACCTTATTCTTATTCGTTTTTTGCTGTCCTAGTTAATGGCTTGAAAGGTTTCTCAGCAGTACAAACTTTTGAGTGGTGTTGAAGAGCAGTTTAAGTAAATGTTCTGTTACAATGCTATTTAAATAAACATAAATTATTAAAAATTCTTAGCATAATAGAAAAAAAAAATTATGTCTAAAAAAATAATATTAAATTTTTACCTTGCAAGGATAAAGAGCATCAGTGTTATATGAGTCAAAAGCTTTAGTATTATATGATTCCATTTAATCCATGGAGATTTCTCCTTTTAGTAAAGCTTCCAATTAAGCAGGAGGTTTAGGAAGTGGTCTTCTATCTTTTTTAGGAAGTTTTTCTTATTCAATATACCATTTTTGCTCACAACTATTTTTTTTAAGCGATTTCAATATTACTCAATAAGTAAATAATAAATTTTACCTCTTTAAATGTATTGCTAGACTTGTTGTACCATATTCTCTGCCACAAATATAGCCTTTAAAATATAATTATTTACATTTTAATTTAGAAATTAAATTTTAATAATTAATTATTACAAACTAAGGTTTTTGGTCTTTGTGGGATTTTAGGTTCATAGCTTTATGCAGGCTACTTCTTAGTAATTGGAGCTGTTTAAGCACCTTTTGCACCTGGTGCCATAGATACTCCTGTACCTCCAGTACCTTTACAAACAAGCTCATGCTTTGCTATTCTATCAGCTGCAAATTTTCTAGCACATTTTGCACAAGGTATTAAATTAGCTGCATTTGTTTCATCATATTCTCCTCCTTAAGCATCATTACCACCTTAACCTCTATTAAGGGGCTTAAAAGGATTTTCTGCTGTACATACTTTTGCATGATGAGCTAAAGCTTCAGGCTTAAAAGTTCTTCCGCAGTGCTTAAATTTAAATAAAAAATAAATTAATTAATAAATATTTGTTTACCGAAATAAAATTTATTATTTTAAAATTATTTTTTACATTGCATGGCATTAATGCTGAATAATTATAGGAGTCAAAAGCTCTATTATTGTATCTTTCTAAATCTTCGAATGTTATTTCATCTTTGTCAAGAAGCTCAAATAAACCTGGAGGTGGTTATGGAATAGGTCTACGATCTTTCTTGGGTAGTTTACTTTACTCAATATGCCATTTTTCCTCACATGTCTTTAAGTGGATCTTTAAACTCTTAGTACCATATCTATGAAATAAAAAAATAAACTCTTAGAAACAATAAAAATAAAATTGATTTATTCTTTTTTTCGTAATTGAGCATTATTTTATTTATTCTCAAATAAATTTATGGATGTTATTTTTTTTTCAATCTAATCAATATTCTATTGGCTGAAATTCTAAAATTTTTATATTGCGCATTAGCTGGTGATTTGTTATTAAACTCGAATCAACCATAAATAGCTCAATTTGATTTAAAGATAGAATTTTATTAATTTGGGAGCTAATGAGTGATTCTATTAAATTTCTTTTGAAAAATCAGAATCTATTAAAGACACAAATCTTGTTTTTATATATTCTATGGCAAATTATTTATCTATCTATGTATGTATATAGCTCTTAATTGACCATGAAAAATAAATTGAGCTTTTTAAAAAATGAGATGATTAATGATTTCTTACTCTCTACCACATATGTAGCAAACTAAAGACTTTGGTCTTAATGGCTATTTCATTGGTGATCCAAAAGAATTTCCTGAGCCTTCGCCAGATCTGATTGTTCCTCCAGTACCAGCCTTGATTTCACCTAAACTTTTAGTAGGTGTTTTTAATTTTGACTTATCCATTTTAGTACAAACACTTTCATGCTTTGATATTCTATCTGCAGCGAATTTTCTATTACAAAAAATGCATGACTTTAAGCTAGCTGCATCATTCTCAGAAAATTCATTTTGTGATCCTAAAGAATTAGGTTAACCCAAAGGTTTGAAAGGATTGTCTTTACTACATGCTTTTTGATGGTGAACCAAAGCTTCTGGTTTAAATCTAGAAAAAAAAATTATTTATTTCGTTATTTTTTACTAATTACTACTATAAATATATTTTACGTTCTATTACAGTTAGGACATTTAATAAGAGCTTCAGTATTGTATTTATTAAATGCTCCTGTGTTGAAGTCTTGAATATCTGCAGAACTGATATTAGGTTTTGCTAACAATTCCTCAAGTCCAGCAGGAGGTAGTGGAAGAGGTCTTCTTTAAGCTCTAGGTTTTTTACTTTCTTCGACTTCCCACTTCTATCTGCAAGTCTTCAAATGAATACCTAGAGATTTAGTACCATACCTATAAATTTAGTACAAAAGAACATCATTTATTTTTGATCAGAAGCTTTGTAAAAATTTAGAATAAAATGTTGAATATTTACTCTCTTCCACAAATATAACAAACTAATGCTAATGGTTTATTAAAACTAACTGTTCCACTTCCTTTTATCATTTTAATAACTTAATATGGTGTTTAAATATGATTCTTGTATCTCCAATTTTATAATACAATTTTAAGCTTTATAAAAAATTTTCTTTTGAGTAAAATTTATTTATTGAATTATTTATGTGATTTAATGAATAAACAAAATACATTAATATATCCAATAAATAATCATTACATTTTAATGTGTCCAGCAAATTTTTTTCATTCAGTCACTTTAATTCAAGTTAATTATAAATAACTCTTTTTTTACTATTCAACCTAATATCAAATTATAATTTTTTAACATTAATATTCATTATTTTTTGCTTTAGTTATAGAATCTTACATGCACTCATTCATTCATTTTTCATTTAAAGATATAATTCTTGAACAAATCTTGGTTAAATTTTATGAAACATTTTCTTTTAATCTACTGAACAAAAAAAATCCAGTATTAATTATCAAAAATAATTATAAAAGCAAAAAAATATTTATTACTGATTTAAATTAATTATAATAAATTTATTCAATTATTACTATCATCATTAATATCAAATAAATTACCAATCTAAAAAATTTTAATATTAAATTTTAACTATGTATAAGTTTTAAAAATATTTCATAATATAAAAATTCAAATAAGGCTTTTAATTAAATCATTAATTTATTTATATTATTGTAAAAAGGATAGGAAGAGTTTTGTAAAAAATAAAAAAATTATTTTCAGGTAAAATTTTAAAACTAAATATAATAATAAATTTTTAGAAAAAAAATATAATTAAAAAAATCATAAAATAAGGTTTATCCAAGACTAAAAAATTATTTATTGTGGCAATCTAATCTATATCTAGCTAATGAAATGCCTACTATATATAAATTATCATCATAGTTCTTTTAAAATTGAAATATAAAAATCTAAAAAATGTCAAAAAAGTGTTAATAAAAAATAAAAATAATAAAATATTTATATGTAACACAAATATCATTCAAAAGAAATGTTAAATAAATAAATAAAGTTATATTTCTAATAGGTTTCTGATAGGAAAAAAAAAGTATAGTTTTATTTATTTGTCTTAAACTAAACAAAATCAAAACTACCTTTTATTAAAGTAAATATAAATATTTTGAGAAATAAAAATCAAAAATATAAATAATTTATCATAAAAAAAATTAATTCAAAAATATTAATATGGGAATACAAAAAAATTTAATATAAATTACCTTTACTCTTGCTTTGATAGCATTAGGAGGTACTGCTGCATATTATTATTCTTTTGAAAATTTTGAAAAATGCCTTTCAAAATAGGAATAATAGTTCAATTGTGATTAATATGATGGTTTTAAACTTAAGCTAGAATGCAGAAGATATCTTTAAAAAATAAAATAAATGATTAAAATTGATGAGATCTATCAGAAACTTTAAGATTCTTAACTAACTTAGATCTAAAAACTTAAAAGAACTACAGATTTTGAAAGAAAAATTAGAAATTTGCCTTATGGAATGGAAGAAAAATTTGAAGAAATTCATAATTAAGCCATGGAAAATTATCAATTCTATATGGATATATTCAATCCTACATATTAATTTTGTTTGAAGGATAAATGAAATTTAATTTTCTGATCAGCAAGCACTGATTAAGCAGATATCAAAAAAAATATCTAAAATTTAAATAAATTATTATATTGTTATATTCTTTTATATATAAAATATATGTTAATCAGATTATATTTAAAATTATTTTTATTTGATAGTTTTAATAAATATATAAATTGTCTTTTTTTCATATTAATTTATTTATGTTCTTATTTTACTGAAAATAGTGTATAAAGCATAAATTAATCATACAAAGATTTTTGAAGAAATATTTTGTAAAATAAAGCTAGAAAGCAAAAAATATCTTAAAAAAATATAAAAAATGATTAAAGTTAGTGAGATCTATCAGAAAACTTAAGATTTTTAACTAACTTAGATCTAAAAACTTAAAAGAACTACAGATTTTGAAAGAAAAATTAGAAATTTGCCTTATGGAGTTGAAGAAAATTTTGAAGAAATTCAAATTAAGCCATGGAAAACTATCAATTCTATATGTCAATTCTACATATTAATTTTGTTTGAAGGATAATGATATTTTATTTCCTGATGAGCAAGCACTAATTAATCAAATATCAAAAAAAATATCTAAAATTTAAAAAAATTATTTTATTATTATATTCTTTTTTAAATAAAATAGATTTTAATCAGATAATATTTAAATTTATTATAAAATTTATTTAAAATTATTTTTATTTTATAGTTTTATAAATATTTTAATTGTCTTTTATTCATATTAATTTATTTATGCTCTCATTTTACTGAAAATAGTGTATTAATCATACTAAAGATTATTGAAGTAAATATTTTGTAAAATAAAATTAATTGATTTAATTTTAATTTCTTTAAAGAAAAGTAAATAAATTTTTTAAATTTAAGCAAATTTTATTTAATAAAATAATTTTAAATTTAAATTTTAGAAGCTAGATTTTTTAAAATTGCTCAATAGATTCAAAAAGATTAATTTTTAAATTTCTTTAAGAAAGACATTTACTTATTCGCTTAAGTTTATTAGAAGAAAATGTTAATAGAAAAGTAAAGCTATCATGTAAAGCGATAGGCTATGAGTTTGATAATAATAAATTCAAATGATTGTGTTATAATTCAAAAATGTGTTTTTATTCTAATATTAATTAATTTATTTATTAAAAATAATTTTATATTTTATCTAAATAATATTTATAAAAATAATTATTAAATATCTTGAAGGTAAAATATCTTTATATGATCAAAAATATTTAATGATTTAATTATTTTAGCTATATTAAATGATTTATTTATTAGTTTAATATTCTATTTTAAGCTATTTAGAATTTAATATAAATATTTAGTTTTATTTTTCAAAAGAATTAATAAATAAAATAAAAATTATAATTTTAGTGATATGTTAAGCGAAAATAGTTTTGTTTTTGATAGTTTTTGCTGCAAATTTGATCTTACATTTATTTTATATTTTTTTCCTTAAAATTTTTTGGTGGTGTCGTGTCTAAGAATTTTTGATAGAATAAATAATTTTAGAATATTTAGATGGTTTACGCACTATTTAAGATTTTATCAATAATGATTAACTTAAAAAAGGTTACCAAATAAATTACTAAATTTTTATATTGAAAAGATATCAATCAGACAAATATTTTAAAAATTCTAGAACTAAATGAAATAAAAATTTAATGCAATAAAAATTGCTATCACAGCTTATTATTTATTTTCTAATTCTTAAAAATGGTAAAAGATATTTTCAATTTATTGATTTTAAAGTCTCAGCTAAACCAATTACTTTTAATTTTCTTAACTTAAGCTAATTTTGCTTTATACATTTTATAATTTTGTGTGTGTCTAAAAATATTAAAAGGTCGTCAGTAAGAAATAAGCTAGTCTATTTTTTCTAGATAAATTTTGATGTAGGGTAAAAATGGATATTTCAAATACAAGCAAATGAAATAAAAAATTATGTAAATTAGATTGTAGACCTATATTTATTGAATAATATTATTTAAAATAGAAGAATATGTTGAAAGTACTTATTGCTAAATATTACTTTTTAATTTCAATAAATAAGGTTAATTAATCTCAAGACAAAAGTAAAGTCTATTCTATATCATTTGAATAGATTTTATAAATAAATTACGAATTGATTTATTGAATATATTGGTGAGCGAATTCTAAAAAGATAAATTTGTCATTCATTATTTTTACTTTAGCTATTTAATTTTTAACAATAATGACAATAATTGCTTGATTGCTTCTTTTAATTTCACTTAAATTTAGAATTTTAACTAATTTTATTCATTATTTATTGTAAGCTATTTGTAATTTTTACCTTGATTATTTTTAGCTAATTTGGAAGACATTAGCTTTATAATATATTTGTTAATTTATTTGAAACCTGGTTTTAAAACTAAGTAAAATATTTTTTAAAACAAAATCTCTAAATTTAAATACAACTCAATTCTTTATCTTCGATATTATTTTTTTATTGCTATAACGTAAAATATTTATAGAGAAATCTTATCAAAGATATATTATTCCTATAAATATATTATTATTAAATGAGAGATTTTGGTGATAGCGAAATTCAAAGATTTATTCATAATATTTTTCGCATATTAATAATACGCAACTGATGAGATAGTAGTCGTATGTAAGCTTAATTTTTATAAGATTTAATGCTTATCTTAATCTATAAGATTAAGCAAAATATAAATAAAATTTTAAAAATGTTACTGTAGTACAGCATGATTGCCAGATATTTATACTCATAAATATCTGAAGGGATATGAATTTAAGAACTCCTGCTCATACTTAAATTATAAATATAAGAAGATTAAAATTATATATTTGTAATAAAATTTTACGATATAAATGCCTAAAGATTAAAAAAAAGTGACGATTGTTATATACTGTTGTGATGACAATTAAACTGTGACGAAAGAGAAGTAAAGTTTTGTGAAATTTTATAATATGTAAATCACTATGAATATGATTCTAATATTACCACAAATTAATAAATTTGATTTACTAATAATGCCTAAAATTTAATTCAAAATGTTTTGAAAAGTTGACGCATCAGTTGTTCTTCTTTCTATTTTTATATAGCGTTCAGCTAAACATAATTAATCCTTAAATTTGTGTAAGTATATCTATATAAATAACTAGATTTAAATATCATCCAATTTAGCGAATAAAAGTAACAATAATTAATACAAATTAAAAACATTTACTTCAAGTAAAATCAATAATATAAAACTTAGCAAAACAATAAAGATAAAATGGAAGCCAACTACACTGCTTAACTCGACTAATAAGTTGCCACTGTTACTAAGGTTGCTGCTATGACTGAAGGATGGAGCAAGGGTAAAACTTTGGGATCCTCCACCTTATACACCCGTAAATACGAAAAATACGATTTACTCTTAGCCAGAATTGAAACTATTGCCGACGTCAAGTTAGAATCCTGTGTCAAGTACTTCAACGAAGACTTTGAAGCCCAACACAAGAGCAAAGATAACAGTGATTTCATTCAAGAAATTGAAAAGATTGATGCCACCACAAAAGTTGTCTAATTCAAGCTCAAGGGTAAACTTATGGTCAGTGCCAGAGACTTCTTATGTGTTCAATAAATCAGAGACTAACCCAATGGTGGAAAAATTATCGTTAAGGTTAATCTTCCTACCCACGCCAAGTAGGTTAAGAACGATGCTGTTAGAGGTGAATGTGTTATTAATGGTAATATCTTTACTCCTATTGATGCCAACAAAACTAAGATTGAATCTTTCTATCTTATGGACCCCAAAGGAAGTATTCCTGCTTCTTTGGTTAACACCCAAATGGAAAAGCAATTGGAAGCTCAAGAAAAGGCTATTCCTTTCATGAAAAAATACTGAATTGAATGACTAATATAAATCTAAATTATCAACTTAAATTTCAATAAACTTTAATTGTATTTCATATTCTATTCGTATTCTTATTTCCCTTCCATTTTTAATTAGCTTCAAAAATTTTATCTATCAAAATTATTATTAGACAAAAGTATAATTAGAATTTTGAGTAACTTGAACTCTTTTTTTCTTAAAAGATTAATAACCTAAAAAGAATATGTAAACTACTAACAATATTTTTATCAGAAATAGAAACAAATCCTTTAAGGTATAGATAAAATGTTAAAATTTTATTTCAATCAAATAATAATTAAAATATTTGCTATGACTATTTTTTTACAAGACATTAAATAAAATGCTTTATTTATGAGTTTTTCTTTCACATAAAATTAAAATTTTAATCCACAAAGAAAAATTTTTTAATAAAAAATTTTGTTTATTTTTTTTAAATATATTTTGTATCTTTTTAGTTCTAATTATTTTAATTTAAAATACATGTAAAAAAATTAATTACTGAATTTTATAATCAATCTTTTTTTTTTTTAAATTAAATTTAAGAAATTTCTTTTAATTTAAAATAAATAACTTTCTTTATTAATTAGAACCTTTAACTCTAGACGTTTTGTTATTTAAGGAGATTAAAAATAAAATAATTAGTATAAAATTAAATAAATTATTAGATATTTTTTAGTTTTATGAATAGTATATTTTTTTATTTGAATTTATGCTATTCAAAATTAAATTAAGTATTAAAAAAATATCCAGGTTTTATTGATTAATAAAAATAAAATTAATTTCTTTTTTTAACAAACCTAAGTATCCTATTTCACATTTTTTATTTATAATTTAAAAAAAATATATTAAAAATTGATATAATAAAAACAAACAAATAATTATGAAAATTGCTTTTTTAAAAATGTAAACTAAACTAATTCATTTTTAGTAATTAACAAGAGGAAGAAAAGAATTTTTAGAATCATCTGAAGGTTCTTCCATTATATCATGGAGACCTCTTGATTAAAGAATGTTTTTAATTTAAGTTGTATTTTATGGTTTGTACTTATTTTCAGATTGGTAACTACTGCAAGTATTCACAGTTTAGTTGGACTAAGATGGGGTTGTTTATTATTTTTTAGGTGAAGGACTATATTTTTATATTAGATGAGATATCATTTAATCTTATTAGTCAAAAGAGTTGCCAACAATATTGTTTAGAGAATCATCTGATTTAGGACATTAATTAAACTGTATATTTACATTTTTGTTTTATAGAAGTTGATTTTTAACAGAAAAGGATCCTCCAATAATAGTAAAAGGAGAAGAAGGCAAACTAAGTGTATTATTTAGACTATTAGTATTTTCAAGCATTTTTATTTAGCTTAATTGAGATTCATCTTATAAGAAAGTATTTTAATTCTGCTTTATGTTACTTTGTATTTAAGTTTTAATTGACTTTTCAATTTCTATTTATTTTAATAATTACTCTAATTGAGTTTTCATGTCTCCATTATATCTTTATAACTCAGAAATAATAAAATCGTTCTTTTATTCTTGATCTCCTAGTTAATATTAATCGCTTTAATAATAAATCTATAAATTAATCTAATTTTTACTTAATCTTTATAGCTTAGTGTCTTAGTCATTTATTAATTCCTAATTTAATCCTTATTCGACCCATTTCTATTTAAGCTTTTTATTTCTAATTTCTAGCTTGTTTACTTTTGAATCTGTCTGCAAAATAAGCTATCTAATCTTTTAATTTAAAAAATCATATAATTTAAAAAAAGATGAATTAAAATTTTACATTTTTTTAATCATCATTGAACTGTAGTATCTAGCTATCTAATTGAACAGATAGTTTCTCTTCATTTAACAATTTTTATTTAGCTTAATTTAATTCCTATTCATATCTTTACTTAAAATCTCCTGATCCTACAATTGGTTTATTATGGCTTTCTTATATAGCTTTCTCCATAGAGTCAGGTCTAATGAGTGATTTTCCTGAAGGGTCTTTCAAGAATGTGCAAACCTCAAATCCTGACCTTGAGTTTTTTTGGTTTGGAGACTAGCTTTACTTTTTTAGAGAACTTAAATGAGAAGTTAAAGGTAAATTCTATATATGCCTTTAGGTAAGGTCTTTTAAAAGCGACAGCTTAGATTCGATTGAATTATTTTTTTTTATTGAAGTCGGAGATTGATTTAAAAAGTCTAAACTTTGATTATGAACTAATTTTGGAGATTGGCTTTTTCCATATTTTACATTACTATTTTACAAAAGCACTGATCTCTTTTTTTGTATAGAATCTAATACTTATGTTGAATAATAGGAAGATTATTTTTTAGCTGAGCTTTATTTAGGTTATAAAGAAGTAGATTTTTAAGAAGCATTTATTTACTTTTGAGCCTTTTTATTTTTATTTTCATCTAAAATGCTTTCATAAATATGCATTTATTTCTTTTAATCCTTTTATTAGCTCAAACATTTCTGAGTGCAACTTAAATATTATTTGCTAGCTTCTATGTTTTGTATAATATCCATATATATTGGATCGTATCCTTACTTTTTTGGTTTTTGTTGACTAGAAAACAAGTTCTCAGAATAGTTGTCTGAATTATTTTAATTTTATTTAACAAATCTCTAAGTATTATTTTCTTGAATTTTGCTCTAATCATCCATTTTAAGTTGATTATGTTTGTGATTTATTTAAATCTACAAATTGCTAATATCGTTAAAAGACTCTCTTTTGCTAGGATCTTAAACTAGAGAAGGCTCATAGTCAACAGGAGAAACATGAGAAGAGTGATATAAATAGCCCTGATCATTCTACTTGTTATTGTTAAATAAATTATGATTATAATCATTTTATGAGAAAGATATAAAATTTTAAGGAGGTTCATCTTCACATATAACCTAAACATTTGAGTTTGGTATCACTTTATTCTTATCAAAATCAACTTTAAGCAAATCTGCTCTCATATTTTTTATAATTTAATCAGTACTATCTAGCTGGCCTTCAGAAGAGCTTTGAGTAAATCCTTTATTAAAGCTTTAGTATTAAGCTTCTTAGGATATTTAGTTTTACTAGCTTGTTGAAAAATTATTATACTAAGTAAAATGTTATTCATTTTTTAAAGGACTAGATTATTAATTAAAAGTATTTCCATGATTAAATGAATGAGAAAAGCTTTTCATAGAATCAAAGATATTGCTTGAATTATCAGATGGAATATAAGAATGCTATTCTTCCGCACCTAAATTGCTATTTTGTTCCTGCTGAAATGAATTTTAGTTAAAATATTTTTTATTTGTTTCCTAGTTTTATAAAGGGAGCTATTACCTTTAAGGTAAATGCCATTTGTATTCACCTATAGGCTATCCTCTATCTTACAAAAGAGGATGCTAATTGAATCCAAATATTTGATTATTCTAAGTTTAAAATATCTAATATTATTAGGGAGGTACTTTTTTTTAAGTAGAATGATCGTATTTTTTTTCAGGTGTATGATACACTTTGTTTTTAGATGGCTTTTTGTTTGAGTATTATGATTCGCTGAAAAGTATTGAAGATAGCTGGTCATCATAAGAATTTGGATTTTACAATTAATGCACTTTTTACCCATTCTTTTTATTCGAATAAGGTGAAGCTTTTTTATTTTGTTGATTGTTTTTATAGTTTTACTATTACATTGCTAATTGTATATTAGTAATTACTCTACAGCTTTATCTCGTTTTTTGATAATTGATTAAAAATAACAGCTAAATATTTTACCTAACTATAATCTCTTTTTATGATGGATCTGTTGAGAAATCTTAAGAAATTTTAGAAAGTAAAATTAAATTCACAAAACTAGAATTAATTATTCACCATTTAAACTTCCATACAATAATCAAAAAAAAAAAAATCAAACAAACAAACAAACAAATTTATCATTACTTAAATTTTTTATATTTTAATATTATTTTCTTTCTTTTTCTTAAAAAAAATGGTTGAGATTGTGCTAAAATACTTTAATATAACAAATTTTAATATTTCATGAGAAAATTCAAGTAGGAAATATTTTATGAATTCTATATAAATAATTTTTTATTACATTAATACTCAGAAAAGTAAGTTAATGAAGCTCTTTAAAATTCAATAAAAATATTTGATTGCTAAATTTATAAAATTTACACACTAAAAATATTTTATGAAATACCAAAGAAAGAAAACAAAAAATTATAAATTTTATTTTTGATTTAGTTGTTATTATAAAGTCAATAATATTTCATTCTTTGATAAATTTTTACTTGACAAACTCCCAAATGCAAATAACTGCACTAACATGAACGTTAAGAGATCTTACTTATCCGAATTAAGGAATCTCTACACATTCATCTAATATCTAATTAATTAAAAATATTTAAAGAGTTATTTTAAATTTATTTATTTTAGAATAATTGAATTGAACGAACAATATTTACTTCAATATACTCAAGAGGGATACCTGTTTTTTCTCTTCCTAAAAGAAGTATACATTTATCAGGGAATTCTTAATGTTGTATCATCTTACTTTTGCTTGTTTGTTCTAATCCAACAATCTTAATTTTTAAATATCATTTTAGGTTTATTTTTATGCTTAAAATTTACTTTGTAGCCAAGCTTTTTCTTAAGAATCAGGAAAGCCATAAGATCTTTTTCCTTTACTTCTTAAATAGGAAGCCATTTCTCTGCTGTAACTGATATAGCCTTGAAACCTTCTTCTTCCAAAATTGCTTTATTAGGAATGACCAATGAAGAGACTCCGAAAATTTCACTAGTTCTTGTTAAGTGTCCGAAATTAGGTATCTTTTCTAACAATGATGCTACAACTATGATGTCTTTTTCTTTTCTCCTTTTTTTCTTTTCAGCCTATTTATTTTACATTTTTTGTTTAATATTTTAGAAATATTAAGAATAAATAAATAAATACTTCAATTTAATCTAGTTCATTCTAAACCACATCAATTTTTCTCTAGAAGTTTGTAACCTCACTTAAATCAGGAATTGGAATATCTTGAATGAATTCTTAAGTTTTTCTAATTGATAATATTAAAATATTTAACAATATATCAGTTGAATTTATTTTACAATCTCCATAAATCGTCTTTTTTGGGAGGAGCATCTTCATGTTCTTTTAATTAATATATCAAGTTCATACAAACATTTTTTATTTCTTCAATCACATTTTCGTGAACCACCTCACCATTTCCATCCATGTCAATACTCAAAAGTTGCTCTGTATTAAAGTTTTCAATAACCTTTTGGAATTTTTCTACAATTTTATCAAATGTTTTTCTCATTTTTATGGATTCTTTGTTTTCTGTAAAAAATGAATTCAGATTCTTCAATAAAATATCATCCTTAATTTGTTCTTCATCTTATTTGAGATAAGTTTAAGTTAAATTAATTATTGATTTAAATATTAATTATTTACTAGCTTCAGTGAATTTGGAAACAAAGTACTATGCAATAGATCTAAGATATGCAACATGTGATCCAGTATATGGAATTAAATGAGATAAAACTTCTTTGGCTTTAAGATTATTTGGTTTTCTGCATAATTGATAACCAGCCATCTAATATAAATAAGATAAAATTATTAAAAAATAAAAAAAAAACTATTTACAAAAACTAAGGGAATAGAGTATTGAGATCTGTTATTTTTTTCCTTGATTCCATCTATGATGCTCTATTCAAAATAAACTGGGAATTCATTGTATAAGTGAAGAGTAAATACTTCAATATATTGTCTAATGTTGACTTAATTGTTAAAATCTAAGATTCCCCAAATTTTTTCTTTGATGTCAGATATAAGTCTATCAACATTATACTCTGATTAATCAAAGGTATTTTTAATGAAGTTCATAACTTTTTCAGTAAAGAAATCTTTAATAACACAGAGACACTGCCACATACGGATTTTTGAGTTATAATGGTTGGTATTTGGAAGAAGTGAGTTTCTTGACTTTTAGTACTTCTTTTAGTAATTTCTTTCTAACAAATTTTATGTATATTTTATATAAAAATCAATTAAAGTTTTAAATTTAGCTTTAGTAACCTCATCTAATAAATCACTAGGATTATTCACACAATTATTAATCCAGATAACAATATTCTCTAATAGTTTTAGTATCATAAATCTTGGGAAAGCTCCATAATATTCTATGTTATTAGAAAATTTGGTTTTGAGTTCATTTGCTAAAGGAATTTCTAACTCATCTTTATAGAACTCCATTCCATTATCAAATCCTCTATATTCCTAATTAAGAAAAAAATTATTTAAAATAAGATTTTCTATTCAAATTTCAATTCATTACTTTTATTTTGATGAATCTATAAATAGTTTTCTCAAAAGAAACAAGTAAAGAAGGGTCAGAATAAAATATTGAAGCTATTTTATCCACAACTTTTCTCTATAGTAACCAATTATTTTAACCTGCCTTCAAGGTTACCTTAATAAAATGTTAAATAATGTCAGATTTTATTATGTAAGGATTGTAAAATAGTGTTTGGTCCAAAGCCCATTCGTACATATAGTGAACTTCTTTATAAGTTATGTAATTTAATTAAGTTGTTAAAATATTTTGGTTGAAACATAACTCAAAAAGATTTTTAAAGTCTTTAATAAGCTATTCTTAGTTTTCATCATTGAGGTGACTTACAAGGTAAGGATTATAAACATATTTCAACATGATAAAGAGCTCATCTAATTTATTAAAATCAAAGACATCTGCAAGATAATATGCATCTGCAACTACTTTATCAATAATATTGGTGAAATTAGGGTTGTTATAAATTTCGTTGCTAAAGCTTAGCAAGCTCATTAAATTGCAAAGAAGTGCATGAGATTTAGATAAGAACCCACGCTTTGAAGCCAACTATTTGATAACTGGATAATTTTAATCACTAGGCGAGTCATATAAGGATAGGATTTAAACCAATTCCAAACCCTTGTCAAATATTAAATCATCAATAAAAATAGAACTGTTAGCACTTTTTTGTGATTATTAAATTATATCTAAATTTGACTTACAGATACAAGATAAAATTTCAAAGTAAAGGCACACTAGTTATTCTTCACCAGGTGATAGAATGGATTCGTTTGAATGTGACTATGAAGTTTATCTATTTAAAAGTTAAATCAATTATTCAAACATATTTTTAATAGCTTTAGATAGAGAAGTAGATAATTTGTGAGTAGGTCTGAGCAATTGAGGAGAGATAGCATAATAGTACAAATTGAAGAACAGATCTAAAATTTCATTTTAGTAGTAAGAAAAATCAGAGTATTATTTAGAATCAATATCCTTTTCTGATATTCTAAGCATTAAATAACTGAGAAGATCAGCACTAACAGAGTCTAATTATTCATGTATTTTTTTCATTTCCTTTGTATCCTTAAATAGCTTTATCAATTCTTTTAATTGCAGAATATATTAAGTACTTTCTTAGTAAGGGCGATAAGAATTAGTATAAATATCAGATATTTTGTCATTAAAAAGCCAAGAAGAAGTAAATTCTGCTAATTTGCCATCAATAGAGAACTAATAAAGGAACTCTAATTCTTTTTTAATTTCTTTAGAATTATCAATTAGATGTTTAATTGCATGAGAATAAGAGGGTATTTCTAGTAAAATATTGGTAAAACTTAAGAATTTTAAATATTATTAATTCATATCTTAATACGAGTGTTAATCTTCATTATTTTACAATTTAATCTAAGATATATTGTTTCTTAAGTCAATTAAAGTCTAAGAGATGTTTAATTTTTCAGCATTTTTTATCAAGAAATACAATAATTTGCTCTTGTATTAAAATGAAGAGTTTATTTCTTCATTTATTTTAACTAAATCAAGTTCAATTAAATGCTAAGGCCCATTAAATTGCTTGATGCTCATCCATTCGAAAGTTTGTTAAGGGAATCCAAGTATCAAATCATAAATTTACTCATTTTCAATGTTTTAAATATCTAAATGATTGACAATTAATGAAATTAACCCTTTAGCAAAAATAGTTCTTTTTCTAACGTTTGCTCTTGCATAAACTCTTTGAGTAAAGTCTAATATCATTTTTATCTCTTCACTACTTATAGAGGTGCTTTGTTCATTCAAGTTAGAAAAAACTAATAAAAAGGCGCAAACTGCCTAAGGGTGAACAATATGCTTGCAAACAGATTAGATCAATCTCTTTAAGTGATGGTTGAGTAATTTTTTACTACATTCTTCATATTCTTGAGCTATTTTATTATTATTAAAATGATATGAAATAAACTAAACTATTCACCAAAATACAAGTTTGTGTTTTTTAAAAATAATTAAAAATTCAAAATCATCAATCAAATATAATACCTTAATTGGACTATTCTAGTTTTTCTTTTAAATTTTTGAGTATTTTTTGATAGGCATTCAAAAAGAAAGTTTAAACAACGTTATAGAATTTACTATCAGCATCTAGAGTAGCATCATTGTAAAATAAACAGTTATTTAAAATAGGCACTGCATAGTCATATATCAAGTCTTATAAATCATCAATATCTATTTCTTCCATTTTCAAGAAATACTTTACACAGCATTTAACAATACTTTAATTGTTGTGATAAATTGATTTTTTGAATAAGATATATACTGGCCATTCAGAGTTCAAATGATGTAAAATTGGGATTTTTTCTACAATTTTATTGATCCCTACAGGATCTTTTTAAAAGAAATTAGCTAATTGAGGCCACAAGCTTTTAATCAAGTGAACTGCAAAACTGTCAAGTGTTATGTAAAGATCTACAAAAGTTTTATACTTTTTTGTGTAAATTTTACTATATTCCAAAAGATTTTTATCATTTTTAATATCCTTTTCATTAAATCTATTTTAAACTGATTCAAGAATACCATTTAAAGCATTAACACCTTGTTTACAGGCTTCGAAATTTTCATATAATTCGAGAGTATTTTTCAAATCACTCCAATAAAATTCGCTTTTAACAATTTCATCATTTAAGTCATACTTTCTATTGAAGTACAAGAGCTCTACAAATTTAATAACTTCAAAACAAAGTAAGTTATGCTATTTATCAGGCTAGCTACTAAGGTTATTTCTCTACTATAAATACCTCTTTCTAAATTCCTTTAAAAAAAAATTATATTGTATTATTTAGAAAATAAACTTACACTAGAGATGTTATCTTGAATAGATTTTTATGACTAAAATAGTGTCCTAAAGTATTTGAACAATATTTCTCTCATTTTATTAAAATAATTGGCATTATAAAGAGAATTAACATTGTATTTTGAAAAATCAAAACCATTGGCTTCACTACTGCAAACTTTTTAGAAAATAGAAGTTGTATCTTCATTCCAAATGTAGACCTTAAATATATCTTTTGTAACTCCTTGGACGGACTCACTAATTTAGGAGAATTACCCCTTTTTAATGTTGAGTTAGACATACTCTATATAAAAATCTATCAATATTTCTTGCTTTTTAAGATGTTGAGTATGGTGACTTTCTATATCTGCATGTTCTACTTTTTCTTTAAGAGTTTTGTAGAACTGCAAAACAGAGCTTTCTAAAATAATTTCTGCATTTAAAAATTCATTTATCATCACATTGATTTGTTCTCCTCCTTACTTCACTAAAATTTTGTTGAATGTTTTTAGAACTTTTCATTAAAAAAAATAATTATTTTTGTTCATAGCTATTTTAATTATTAAAAAAATAAAATATTCATTTAATTATTACCAAAATAGTAGTTAATTTATGTAGATGTTAAACTGAGACTTAGAGAGAATTCAAAAAGTCCTTGTAAAACATCTATTTAGACCATAATTTTATTTTATTTGAGTTGCTGATACAAGTAAAGGAGGCAAAACAAATATTTTCTATGAAATTGCGCATTATTTTTTATAGATTCGTCATTTATGTTTTTCTAAAATACACTATTTAACTCCTAGCTAATTTCTGCTGAAAATTACTCATTTTGCTTTAAGCTAACTTATAAAACAGCATACTACTTCAGCAAAGTGTAAATTGTTTAATCATCTGTAGCCTTTTTTGGAATTAATGATTGTAAAACAACGTCTATGCTCATTTATTTTTCTCTATCCCTATATTCTAATTATATTAAGTCAATTTATTTTTTATTAAAACTAAATGAAGTTTTTGATGATAAATAAATCAATTTTTATTTTTAACCTTTTTTATTATAAAAATAAATAAAAGCTATATCTAAAATAATTAACTAAAATTTAAAACAAACAATCCAACTCATTAATTAGTTTTAAATATTAAAATTAAAATAAATACATTTTAATAACTTTGACAGACTTAATATAAAACTATTTTAATGTCAACACTAATTTATTTATAAACTTAGAAAATTCCAGTTAAGATAAGCTTAAATATATCACCACGATGATACATGGTAAATACTTCCAGCAAGACCTATTACTAAAAACAAGAAAAAGCTTATGCCATAGAGTCCAGAAAATTTAATATTGAGAATTAATCCACTTGTAAAAGTAGATCTTGGCATCCAAATTCCAGCTCTATCTAATTGATCTCTTATCTAAGGCCAATGCTATTCAACATACATGTTTATTTTACCTGATAGTATGATGTATCCTATACAACAAACGAGAATAGATAAACTAATTAATGATACACAAGTTAAATAAAATATAGTAAGCTTCCTCATTTAATAAAGCGAAGCAAAGTATCCAATTGTTCCAATTAAAATCAAAACTCCTGCCAAGCACAGAGAAACAGTGTTCATCCAAAAAGGAATATCAATAAAATCTAAGTGAACTAAAGCATATATTGTTAAATAAAGTAAACCACTTCCTAATACGATAAACATGAGTGCAAAGGCAGGCACAAAAGTTAAAAGAATTCTATAAATAAAATATGTATTTAGATTAATTTTATAATACGTAAAAATTACTTTTTTAAGTGGATTCTTATGACAATGATAGTAATTGAAATTATAAATCCAATAGAAAGAGTTAAGGCTGTGACACCTAAAGAAATAATCTAATTTTCTATTTCTTGCTAAAATTCTACAAATGTTTGCTTCTACACTTTATTTTATAAAGTTTCCCAATTAGTGTAAACCCATTGTTGCATGTTAGGTTTAAAAGTGATGCAACCAAAAGCATAAACTAAAAGATAAACAATCATTACAAAATCTAAATAAACGACTAGCAGCAACGTTCTCTTCTTGTTAAAATGTGATGCTATTAATTTAAAATAAAAAAAATTTATTTTTCTGTTTTAAAACTAAATAAATTTATTTAAATTTTTGAATTTATTTAACTCCTTATAAAGTAGCAATAAATTTACCAAAAATAGTAATCATATTGAGAATGCAAGTGAGTGCTCCAAGTAGAACTAAAGCTTTATCAGCATACATTGAATGCTGAGTTAAACTTGATGCACTTAAACCTTAATATATTAAAGTTGCAGTTAGTATCATGCTAGAAAAACTTACAAGTATTAAAACCCAATTCTAAAAATTGACTTTAGAGTCATCATTTCTATTTTTTTTAAACATAATTAAATTTTAATATTTTCATTTTTAAAAGTATGGAAAAAAAACTAAATTAACTGAATAATTTCTAAATATAATAAATTTCTATACATATATTGTGCCTTCTAGTTAACAGGCTTATCAACAGCTTATGGCTAAGTTTAAAGCTCTTTCAGTAATTCTTCTTTTTATTTCTTAGTCATCAAATTAGTTCCAGATATCTATTTAGCATCTGGAATTTATCCTTTTTAAATATCAATCTACTTCATTCAAAAATCTTATATCTATATTTTTAAATAAAAAGCTATCTTAAGAGTTTTAAAAAATATTTAAAATGATTATTTATAATTTTTGAAAGAGTTTTTATTATAAAATAATTTACATTTTATTTATTTATTTAATTATTTTTTATGTAGAGAGAGTGCTAATAGATAAGGTATGTTTTTAATGATATATTTAAATTATTTGCATTTTTTACATTAAAATCATAATTAAATTAATGAAAAAATTTTGAAAATTAAACTATCAACTTTTTATTTATGATAAAATATCTATTTATGAATTTTACATATCCCAATATTCAATTATGAATCAAATTAAAACTTAAAAAAAACAAACAAACTTTATTCAACTTTTCTAATTTTAATATATAATAGGCTAATTTTATTTTCTAAATAAAAATACTTTAAATATCTAAATTATTTTTACATTAAAATTATTATTAAATAAATTAAGAAAATAAAAAATTTTACTTTTACTGTAATTCCTCAATAAAAAAACTACCGATTAAATGAGCTCCACTAAAAATCCCAAATAATTTTTATTTAAAGTGGATTATTCAATAGAGAATGCACGATTTTGTACAAATTGAAGTAATATAGTATTTATTTATTATAAAATATTTAATATTAAAAGAATTATCAATTAAATTTAAAAATAACATAGCAATCTTTAAATATTTTAATATTTTTTAATAATGGGCGAATCTAATTTTATAAATTAAAATGCTTTAAGTGTTTCAATATTTTTTAGATAAAAATAATTAAAAACAAATAAAAAAAAATTGAAAAATAGAACTATTAAATATTTATATATGATAAAACATCTATCTATTAGTTTTACAGATACTCAATTCAATTATGAATAAATTTAAAACACGCAAAATTATTTTAGAATTTTAATTTTGTATTTATTAGGTGAATTTAATTTTATAAATAAAATTATTTTAAATGTGTAATTATTTTCACTTTAATAAATTTGTTTTTTTTTATGTTATATTTTTATAGTTTATTTTTTCTAATTTATAAATACTAAATTTAAATAAACATAATAGAATAATTGATATTTTAGTAATCTGGTATGTTTAATGAAATTCTTTGAAATAAATTTTTTATATTTTTGTTTAAAATTTAAATGAGAAATAGAATTTGAGCAAGTATAAATATAAAATAAGTTTAATTATTTAAAAGTAAAAATAATAAGAATATATTTAATAAATGATCAAGATACAATAAGTTGATAGATAACTAGCTAACTATAAACAGTGACCATATAATTAAAATAAGCTGTTTACGAAAAATAAGAAGTAATATTGATTTTGGATATATTGGTAAATGAATCAATAAAATTTAAGGTAAACAATTATAAGTCGATAACTTACATGTAGATACAATTTATAATGTTTAAATTAAAATTGGTAAGAATAAATTAGCAGGAATAACTATTTTTATATTCAATGTATGGTTTTTAATAAAAAGCTAATATTTTTTTATAATTTCAATTTAAAAAAATATTATCTAAATTTTTAGCATGATAAGTAGCGATATTACATAAATTTAAAAAACTAAAAAGGTCAAATCCTCAGGTATACGCTCTAAACTGCGTAAAATAATTTGGGCGATAGCCATAATAGCTTCAATTTTGACTGTATCAATTAGCCAAAATATTTAGGGATACTTTGCTGGATCAATTTTAGGTAAATTTAAACATTTGCATTAAAAATAGGCATTTGATAAATTCCATTTTGATTAATAAAAATGAAAATGAATTTTTTTTTTTCTATATAATTTTATATAAACATTTAGTTTAAGGGATTTATTTATTTAAGTTATTTAATTTAAAATTATCAAAAGTAATTATCGCTTCGATATTTCACATTCTAGCAAAGTATATTGATTCTTCTCTTCTTACAGTTGATCTAGTTATCACTCTTTCAATAGGATATTTTTTAGCCTTCTTTACTTTGTAATTTCAAATTTATAAATAGTTCATGCCATAAAATGTGAAATTTTTATTGTTCAATAGTATATTAATACCTGCTGACACTGCCTTATCAATAAGATATTAGAATTTGTTCAAGGATTCTCCACAATCTAAAGAGATTGCAGACTTATCTTAAATCAACAATTCGAATTACTTATATGACAACACTTATTATAAAATATGGTATGTTGTTTATTGGGTTATGATGGCATTAAATATGTTCATTATGAATGTCTAAAATTTGTTTCATAAAACAGGCCATGTATTTTTTTGCTCTCGTATTGTAGGTACAATTGTCGTAAAAACATCATTTTACTTAATAATATTATAGATATTGCTTAAAATTAAATTAATATTCTAATATTTTAATAATAGAGCTATATCAAACTTTGTTTAGTATTTGTGATTCCATTTGTTATAGGATGCATTATCTTATTCATTTTTACTAAAAGCTTTGGAATTGGAGTTATGACTTAGGTTTTTTTGTTACTATCTAATATTTATGGTATAACAGTTTTGGTCCTGTTAATTGGGTATGGTCTAGTTTAATTTCCTTACTCTCTTTGGTCAAAAACTAATACAAATAATACTTTAGATGTTCTATTAACTAAAGCAGAGCCTCTTTTTAATAGGTATTGTGATGCTTAGGTAAAATTTAAATACATTAATATAGTTATGTTAAGAAATTATATAAAAAATAGACCAACTTGTTATTAGCTACCTAAAAAATGCAGAATATAATTAATAAAATTTATGATGGTCATTAGCTCTATCCTTATAAAGATATGTTTATCAACGAATTGCCAAACTTGGATGAGCATAGGTCATACAAAACAAGCTCAGCTTCTTCTAATTTAATGAAGCATTTAACTGACATGCCAGATATCGTAAAATTACTAAAGTTAATTATATTTTAAGTTATTTAAAAGATTTTTAATTTGTAAATCAGATTACTGAAAATTATCTTGCTAACGCTAGGTTTTCTTTAAAGAGTGCAAAATATAATTTTATTAAAGTTTTTAATAAATGGAAACAAGTAAATTCTTTAAAGAAAACAATTTTAACTTTAATATTTTGTTAATGTTATAAATAAAGCACTGTGATAAAATTTATAAGGTTATTGACATAAAAAGTCTAGAAAATAAAAAAGATCTAATTTCACCTACAAGAGAAGATAAACATTCTAAAAGCAATAACAATTAAAACAAGGACTCATTAAAAAGCAAATTTTTGAATACTTCTTTCAACGATCTGCTTAAAGATTATAAACAATTAGAGGCAAAAAAAATGGATAAAAAGTATGTGATCTTTTACAAAATATCAGCTTGCTTAGCTGGTATGCTATCTATTTTAATTATTTATAGTGAAACAGCTTTAATTTTTTCTACTGACGATAATTAAGCTATTGTATTTATGAGAGTAAATTAATTAAATTCAAATAATATTTTTTAATGAATTTTTTCACAAAAAGATCATATAAAACAGCACAAATGTAGCTGGTGTAATTGTTTTCATTTTAGTTATCCTATGTTATGTAATACATTGTGCATGCTTTGCTTTGTTTGAAATTGATTTAGGAGCAGGATTTGAAATTTATCCTTATCATACTCATCCACTAACTGTTATGTTTAATTCTAAAACATGTGGAACAATAGCTGTAAATTAATTTAAATTTATTTTTTACTTTAACAATAAACATATTTTTTAATAGTTTCCTTTGTGCTATAATGTAATGCTGATTCTGAACTAAGTTGATAATAGTGATTTAAAAGTGCATTCTGGCTTTGACACATTTTTCAGACCAATGCAAAGTGTCCCTTTTTTAGGAAGATGGTATAATCTAATAGTGTGTTTTTTAATATCAGTCGTAGGCATAATATCGATGTTTAGTTCTCTTAAAAAACTAGTAAAAACTATTACAAGAGATAAAATAGATATGGGTTCGAATGAAGTTGAAGTTGAGAAAATATAATCTGGTGAGAAATGGGTGATAAACGAATGGCAAAGAAGAAAAAAATAACAATTTATCAATAACTTATAAAACAAAAATAATAATCAAGATTTAAGCTAAAATGAATTAGAACAAAGCTAAAGTGGATTATTAAATAAAATAAAAGGCTTTTTCACTTTTAAAAAGAAAGACAGAAAAAATGATAATGTTTAGGAATTGACTGAGACACAAAACAATTAATAAAAAAAGCCAGTGTCTAAATTAGCTTAATTGATGAATAATAATTAAAATTAATCTTAAAACAATTTTAATAATTCAAATAAGTTAGAAGAAGGAGGAATAGTAGCTAGAGTAAGATAATAGCAGTATTTATAATAGTAATTAAAGGAGATGTCTCTAGAAGAAATGGTTAATGGAAAATAAGTTATTAATTATACGAATGAAATTTCTTTAGATGATAGCTTTTTCCAAACAAAAGATGATACTACAGATTAAGATAAAAGTAAGGTTCCTACTTTTTAGGTAATTCATATTGAGGATTAAGGATAAGATATTGAAAATAGATAGCATTAAAACACTATGCTAGCAACAAATATAGCAAGCGACTTCTATGCAAATAAAAAATAGTAAAAGGATTCTATTGCAAGAACTGATACTTCGAATTATGACCTAACTTACTCTGAGTCATCTTCCTCAGTAAGAGTTAAAAAAAATGCAGTATCAATTTCAAATTAAAATGAAACAAATCCAAATAGTGCTAGATCTGATGATTCATATGCTCATGATTTCGAAGTCAATATTTATGGTAAAAATGTCAAGCACAAAATGTTTAATCAGCCTAACAGAAAGATCACTGAAAATTTAGATGAAAATGAGTTAAATGAATAAACTGAACCTAGATTAAGAGCTAATAACCCATAGCTATTCAAAACATAGCTTAACGAAATTTCCTCTGAATATGCAGAAAGTTAGCTCGGTCAAAGCGAGTTTTAAAACACACTTCAGTAATTTGATATTGAAAAACCAAATATTGCTTCTTATTAGATGAGTTTAAATGTTTTTTCTCCAGAATTCTAAGCACCAGTAATTTCAGAGCTCAACAATGACGAAATACAAGAAGAATATTAAAATCATCATTAGTATGAATAGGAATATAACAATGATTAATTTTATAATAATAACAACTAATATATTGAAAATTAAATTGATTAAAATACTTTTTAGTGCAAAGATTAAAACGGGATAGATGAAATTTAGTAATAAGATATAAATGATGATGATTTTTAACAAAATGATAACTAAATTGTTCAAAATAGGTAGTCTAATTTATCTAATGTTTCCCAAAAAAGTCTAAAAATTAATCTCGATAGCATTAAAGGATCTGTTGATGATGATTAATCTAATTATAAGAATATGAATATTATTGGTGAAATAGAATTTTAAAAAGAAAGAAAAAAGAATTTAAAAATTAAAAAAATTCACAAAAAAATACTTTAACAGGGTAAAGATATTTCTGAAAATTTTGAAGTTAATTCTGATGTTTATGATGATGATGAAGATGAGACTAACAGTGATTAAGAAGAAAATGGATAGCAAAATGAAAATTAAGAAGAAAATAATAAAAGTCCTTTAAAGCAGATAAGTTAGAATATTAATTATAAATCAGAGGTTAAAACTAAATCTATTGAAAAAAGTAAAAGTTTAAAGGATGATGCAGATTACTCATCTGATAATACAGATGATTTAGAATACTAAATGACAAGAGGGAGAAGTAAGATAGTCTAGACATAATAGTCTAAGTCTTAAATTAATATAGATGGAGGATGGGTCTATAAAAAAAGTGAAAATAAAGTAATGAGAAAGTTGAATGGATGGAAAAAAAAATACCTTATTGTTAAAGAGGGAAGTTTATTTTATTATGAAAACAATGACTAGTAGTAAAAAGGAAACGAAATATAAATGCAAAATATAGTAAATGTAATTTAATACAGTAAAGATGCAAGAAAAGCTAATAAAAAAGAAACTAATGAAGATAGAAACCTTCGCTTTATTATTTATACAAAAGATAGAAAATTTGATTTTAAAACAGAAAATGAATAAGATACTGTTGAATGGGTTGATCATATTTAAAATCATGTATTAAGATATTTAAAGAGTTAAGAAAAATAAAAAAAGTGATGCTAAAAAATATTTCAAAACAAAATTGACTATTGATGTCCATACATCATAAAAGCTAACAAATTGTTTTCTATTTATTTTGTTTTTAATATTTTATTTATCAAATTATTTGTTTGTTATGATTATCTTTTTATAAAAATAAATTTAAATAAAATATAGTTTCCATTTTTAATATATTAATTTTATGTTTATAATAAATATATTAACTTTAAATATTATTTAAGAATAAATCAGCCGATTTTTTTATTATTTATTTTATAATAAGTAAATCCCAAACATTGTTTATTTTATATTAAACCAAAATAAATGGAAATACAATTGATATTAGGAGGTATATATATTTATTAGTTTAAACATAGAAGATATCATTACTCAGTACTGTAATAAAATGTGTAAAATATGTCTTAATTAGTTATTATATCTATTTGAAAATTATATTTTTAATCACCTATTTTATTTATTGAAGCTTATTTTAAGTTTAAGTTGTCAATTTTTTCTTCAAAAATAGATATTTCTTTATATACATTCTGCTAATCATAATATTGAATAGTTATATCATTTTTATAGACTCTAAAAATGCAGTTTTCAAAGAAAATAGAGTTGATATAATTTTTATTCTCATATAATAGTACTCCTATTTCGACTTAGTTTGAATATAAAATGTACATTCTATTCTAAAACTGAAGATAAAATGTATTTTCTTTTATAAAATAAATATCAGGCTCATCCTTTTCAGAAGGAAGCTTAGTACTTTCAAGATAAACATCTGTTTAAATAATTTCTTTGGTAAGATTTTATCTTAAAAATTATCCTTAATTGTTTATTTTAATCTTGATGCACTCAACTGTTAAGCTGTTCATAAAATTAATGATATGTAGTGCTTCGTTATCTAAGTAAAAGCTAAAGGATAAAATTAAGTATTTATTTTACTGATAGAATGTATATATATTTCTTCCACCTTCATCAAAAATTTTAATTTTTTTTCTATCTTTTGACAAGATGGCAAAACAATTTTGAACTGGCTAAAACTAAAGCTTACAGACTTCATTAAATAATCTATTTTTTAAATTAAAGTTAATAACTTTTAATAAAATATTATAATTACTTTTAAGAGGGTAGTATTTATAGATTGTTCACCTTAAAAGTATTTAAAGAAAGCTTTTTTGACCCAGTTAAAATAAGTAGTGATTTTAAATTATCAGGATCTTCTTGATTTGTAAATACCTCAAAATGGACAATATCTTCAAAACCTAAAAATATAGCTCCTATTTTTGAATTTAGTAAGTAACTTGGAAATTTTTGTACAATTATCTTTTAATCATCCAGATCATGGGAATATAAAAATGCTTATTTATTATCAGGAGTTTTTTCCATAACATTTATTTAATTTTTTTACTACTAAAATGAATCATCATACTTTACAAGGTCTAAGCAAAAATTATTTTTTTCTTTTTTTAGGAGACTTATTAATTGAGTGAATTTTTTTTATTCTATTTAAAACAGACTTATTGTATTTTTAAACCATTAGGATGATTTTTAGAATGTAATAATATCCTATTCCTACAAAAGCTTTTAAAAGTTTTACCTAACTTTATTGTAAATTCCTTCAGCCTAATTGCAAATTATTTTAGAAACACTGTGAATAGTATAGGATAAATTTTAAAAAAAGTTATCAGATTGATTGCTATTTATGTACTATTCTCTCAGCTTCTAAATATCAAATTCTTATCTAATCATCTCCTTTATTTAATCTTCTGTTAGCTTTTCTGTATATTCTACCTTCAAATCTTTTGCTACAGGAGGTTCTTCATCCATAATTTAGTTCTGATCGTTTATTTTATTAATAAAATTTTGCTAATAATTTGATTCTTTTTAATCAGAGTCATATTTATTTTCTTACTGTTGCTGTTTAAATTTATCTTTCTAATTTTACTTTTTGTTTTTTACTGCAGATTTAGATTTCCTAATGTATTTTTTTAAGAATTTTTTCTACTCTTTACACTCTTCATAAAAAAGAATATTTGCCATTTTTAAGCGCTTAGAGATTTATATTAGTTTATTAGTAGAGTTTAAAGTGCTTGGACTATCCTAAAAGTTAATTTCCTCAACAATATTTTTGAGGACGCTAATAGAATTTTTGAGACTTTCACTTTGCATATTTACTTTCATAAAATTTAACAATTTAGGCTAAAATCTTAAGTTTAATTTGATAATTCATTATAATTTTTCTATTTGCAATTTACAATATTATAATTAAGGGATTATAAAATCTGGTAGATGCAAATTCTTTTTGAAATGATAATTTTTTGCGCACATATTTAATATTTAATAGACTATATATAATAACACAATAAATTAATTTTTTATAGAAAATAACTCACTTTAACTAAAAATATTAAATCATAACAAAAGCATTAAATTTCAGCAAAATAAATTTATTTAGGAAGTTACTAAATTCAAGTAAAAACAAAAATATTTTTTAATATTTAAGTATAATATTAATTGAAAACCTAATTACATGGTAGAAATAATATTATTAGGTCTAATAATTGAGAAAAATAATTTTTTATTTTCAAAATATAAAAAGAATACATACATAGTTGATTAATCTTATTATCGTTTAAATACCTACAAAAATATTAATTATTTTAATGAAAAATCACCAATATTAAATATTTTTAACACATTATGTTTTAATAGCTTATTATATCATCTAAATAAATAAAACATAGTTTTTTTAAACTATTATTAGATATTTAAATTAATTGTACCCTCGGGCACTGCCTTTTTCAAGGCTATACACTGAAATTTTAGATATTAAGGTAATTTTAGTATTATATTTTATAGTTTTTTAAGTAATCCAAACCATATATGAGTTCTTTTTTATTATATTCAATATTTTAACTTATATTTAGGTTAAAATAAAAAAAATTTTTTTATAATCATATAAATATTTTAAGCTAATATGCAAATTATTTTTTTACTTAAAACAATATTTAATTATGTACTATGAAATATAATATTAATTTTGTAAATATTTTTGAAATTATTTTATGATTTTTTAGTAGTTGCTTAATTCATTAAACTTTGATTTTATACTACATAAGTTAGTTAAAAATGTGTATCAGTTAAATTTATAAAGAATAATAATAATTTTTAGTCAATTTATTAAATTCATTGTTTGGATTCGGAAATACTAAAATAGTTAAAATTATAGTATTAATTTTAAAGATATATGATTGGAAATATTTTTGTGTTTTAATAATAGTAAGTTAATTTAATAAAATCAAGCTTTATTTTAAATTTAATTAGATGATAGTATAACATTTATTGGTTTATTATGAATAAAAATAATTATTTTTGTCAAACAATATTTACTTAATTATTATAAAATCATTTAGATGCCAAAATAAGTATTTACCATGCATTTTAAAAAGTGAAATAAATTTAAAAATATATCTTTGTAATAGTTTATGCCTTGATAATATAATTTATTCTAAATAAGAGCTTTCTACATTTATTTATATGACATCCAATAAAAATGTGTTAAATATTTTATATAGAACATACTTTAATAATGATTTATAATTAAATTTTTATTTTATTTTAAATTAATCTTCTTTTAAATTTTTAACTTTATTTTAGAAATATTTTTATTATTTTCATGTATTTATTTATTTATCTTTTCTGTTCACTCTTGATTTTAGTTTTCAATCTATTTTAATTCTTGCATTAATGATTGTTATTGATTGTCAACCAGTTTAAGCATCATGTCTTTAAACTCTTTGAAAGAAATCTATTTAAATTAAGAAATTATATTATTGTAGATTTACTCGTTTGTATATGAATTAATTAATTAGTTAGTTTGTTTGTTATTAATTAATTACCTATCCATCTCCGTTATCATCTGCCTCAGTGAGCATTTCCCTCCATACTTTTTCAGATATTCCTATTTGATTACCAAAGAGATCTCTGATTTCATCTATTGAAAGAGTACCACTTCCATCCTATATTTTAATATTTTTAAATATTTAAGTTAACTTTATATAAAATCTAATGAATCAATTAATTAACAAGTTACTTTATCGAACATTTTAAAAGCAACATCCAATCTTTATTTAGATAACAATTATTCTCTGTTAATAGTTGCCATTACCCATTCTAATTTTATTATATACGTTTTACTTTAATAATTAATTACAAATTAATTAAAAATAATCTACCTGTATAATCAATTGAGCCAGAATGATTTGTGTCAACTGCATTCATAATTCTATTTACTTCTTCTTCAGCTATTTCTTCTTAGCCTTAATTCAAAATTTTCCTATAACCATTTATGAGTTCTTCTCTACTAAGTCTTCCATCACCTAATTAATTAATATAAGTACTCTTTTTAGGCTTTCATTTATATTTATATAAATTACGATTAGTATCTAGAGCCTAAAATATTTTTAGAAGTTCATTTTTTTCTTCTTTAGTTGCTAAGTGGTTAACGAAGAACATCAAAGTGGCTTCTTATAGCTTTTTCTCAGCCTATGAAATAAAAAAATAAAATAAATTCTTAAATAGTCAAGGATTTGAAAATTTTATTACCCTAAAATTTCTCATGTTGTTAAGAGAATTAACTAATGTAGGCATATCATAATTTGTTTTTTCTGAATACTTCTAAATCCAAGGATCATTAAGTGCATCATAAGCCTATTTTTTAAGTAGCTAAGTATTAATATTAACTTATTTGCAATAAAATTTACAGAAATTCTTTTTTTGGGATCTTTTTCCAACATTTTACATATGAACTCTTTTGCCTCTTTTGAAACATAGTTCCATTCGTCTGTATCAAAACCAAATTTTCCTAGCTTAACTTTATCAGTAATCATTTAATCGCTTGAACCATTGAATGGTGGATATCTAGTTGGGAAATTATAATTAATTAATTAAATAACTTAAAAATACAAATTAACTTTACCCACACAAAAGAATATACAAAATGACACCGCAAGACCATATATCGCATTTATTATCATATTTTCTTTCTAAAACTTCAGGAGCTATATAATAGGGAGTACCGAATTATTGCTTCATTTTTTCTTATGGATTGTAAGCAATAGAAGTACCAAAATCTACTAATTTAATTAATGCACCGGGCTTATTCGATTCATAGAGAATATTTTCTGGTTTTAAATCTCTGTGACATATATTTTTAGAGTGACAGTAATTTACAGCTCCAAGAATTTACTTCATAGTTTCTGCAGCCTTATTTTCAGTAAATTACTTTTCATCAATAATTTTGTCAAAGAGCTCTCCACCTTAGCATAGTTCTGTTACTATGTACAAAAAGCGGGTGTCTTAATAAAATTCAAATACTTTTATAATATTTGGGTGATCCTTTTTTTTCAAATTAAAAAATAATTAAGACAATTTTTTACTTTAGTTGTGTCTTTCTTTTTTCTTTCGTTTTTATAGAAAGTTACTATTTAAAATGTGTGTATGAACCGTTTTAGTATGAAATTAATAATTCGAAATAAATAAATATCTTGCAATTTTTTTACCAGCGATTTTAAAATTTCGACTTCGTTTTTCAAACGGATTTGCTCTTCTTTAGGTGTTTGCTGTTTGCTAATGATTTTGACAGCTCTTAAAATCTATGTCTACTTATGAACTGCTCTTCTAACTTCACCAAAGGCTCCTATTTGAAATTTACACAGACGATTAATTTATATTTATTTTAATGGCTGTAATAAATTAATTTATGTTTTTTTATCTTTAATTTAAGGCAAACAACTTAGTTAGTTAATTTAAGAGCGATTTAATTTTAAATTGATCAAAATACTAAAATTTATTAAACTCCAATTAAAAAATATTTTTCATAACTACCCACTAACTAACACCAAACTCTATCTCTAAAAAATTATCATTTTTTTCAAACAATTTCAATAATAAGCCTTGTATAATAAATATTTTCAAATAATATGTTACCTTTTCCTAGAGGTGGATTCATCAATGTGTAATCTTTGTTAATTTTTCCCATCTTTTCTCCGACCATGTCTCCAGAAGAAAAGTGGAAGTCCTTAATATCTTCAACATCTTTTTTTTTTAATGTAAAAATTAAATTTCATCAAAAAAACTTCAATCTAACTAAATTGAATGCTTAAATTGGTATAACTTTAAAAAGACTTGATAAATTTAAATCATTTATTTATAAATATTTCTAATTCACCCAAACTTAAAGCTAAAATCATTTGAAAAATCATTTAAAACTTATTTTTAAAATAATCTAAGATTGTAAAAATTAAATATTATCAAAGTATATAATATTATAAGTGATATTATGTTTATACTAGATCAATTAATGATCATATCGTATCATTTTATTCTCTATTTGATTAAAATTGAAGCATTTTTATTGTAAACTGCATTCATTGCCTGAAGTAAAGTAAAATTATTTAAATATATTGAAACAATCTAAATTTTACTTTAAGGTTTTTAATTTTCTTAAACATACTTGTTTGCTGCTATATCCCCATTTTCTTGCTTAGATTTACCAGTTCCCTTTGCTGAAGTGCAACCCATTTTATTACTTTATCTATTTAATACTTGGCTATTATTAAACTGTTTTTAAAAAATACTTATTGATAGTTATATATCACTTTTTTACTTTTAATTTTCTTTTTAATTTTTAATTATCTAATTTATGTACTAAAGCTGCTTATGTTTTCATTCTGTTATACAGACAGACATAGAGACATACAACACATGATATATTATTTCAAATAATTGAAAATAATAAATTAATGTAAATCTTTCAGTATTTGTTTTCAAATGTTGATTGTGTATAACACTAATAATATAATTAAAAGTATACTAACAAAAAGAATAATTGTTTAATCTACTATTTAAAGCATTATAACTTAATTTATATTAATTAAATGCTAATTAAAAAAAGTAAAAGAATAATAAATTTTATTTTCTTTTTAATCTTTCAAAATTTAGCATCAAGATCATTTAAGACATTTAGGCATGACCTAAGAAGAATCATTTGTGCTTTTGTTTCTTCTCTTTATTTGGCAATGTATGAGTTTTCAGCTAATAAATCATCAAATATATCTTCTTTGTATAAATTACTTACTAATTCTCTCTCAGCTATATTAACACTCTAAAAATATTTTAAGAAAAATTCAATAACTTAAAATTAAATTTCATTTTTTTTAATTTTAACAATTAATTTTCTAAAAACAGAATTATATAGAAATTCAAAAAAAAAATTATTTTGGGTGTTATTAGAAATTAGATTGAATAAATAAATTTTTTTAATACAAATATTAAATGAATTAAAAATAAGTGATATCTTTTTTAGTTAGTGTTATTAAATTGTAATTAAAAAATTTAAAAGAATTAGAATTATTAAATAAAAAAATTACTCTATTGACTAAGAAAGATACTATTGTTTTGGGAACAGAATCATTTATATTTTTTTTAACTATATTAAAGTATGAGACTATTAAATTTTTAATCATTTCTGCTTCACTCATTTCTCTTTTTGAAGGCTTATCTTCAAGTCTTATATTTGTTGGTACCTTAATTTTATGTAAGTTTTTAAATTTTCAGTCAAAAATAAATATTACCTAGGGTAAATTTCCTTAGTATCCTTAATTGATATTATTAATAGAATAATCATCATTATACGATTATGGTGCCATGAATTCTCTATATACTCTTCTTGTGTATCCTTTAGGGGAGTTTTAAGAATAAGAATCACTAAAATCTTTGCCTTAATTTTCCTTTTTTTTTTAAGTAAATTTTATATCAATGTATTGAACAGTTTATTTTACTTCAGCAAGCTTTTTCATGTTCATTATTTTTAACTTACTATCCAATAACTCTGTTTGTTTATTTTATTTAGAAGAGAAAGGGAGCCAAGACCAAAAACTACTATCTTAATCAGTAGGAGTTGATTAAGAAGTTGCTTATACGTTTTAAGATTGCTGTCTTTTCTAATTTCTTTCTATTCCTCCAATAGCTTGTGATTTATTTGAAATGACTGATTTGGCATCAGAGTCTGTTTCTTAGCCCCTTTCATTTTTATTAGCATATTAAGCTGCTTGAGGCTTTTACTAATTCCTTTTTTATTCTTCTTCTTTGCACATTTATTCTGATTAATTTTAAACTAATTCAATTCCTTTTTATAATATTTAACTACGTTAGCTTTTCAATAAAAATATAATTATGCTTACCTCCTATAAAATCTGGATGATTAGTATTTATATATCCTAATTCTACTTCAATTAAATTTTTTATCATTTGGTCAGTGGGCTTCAAAGATCTTTTTTAAAGTAAATAAATATAAATTATAAATAAGTTTTTTGTAAAAAAAAATTTAAAAAGAATGATACAAAAAATATATTTTTTTTTTAATTTAAGCAAACATATTAAATTATTTAGCTTTACCTTTCTAAAACATCTTCCATGACTTAGAATATACGATTGTTAAAATTATCAAAGCGCTATATTTCTGGAACATTAATTAAATTTATGATTCTACGGAGTTCTTCGTATACGAGGTGAGAGCATTGAATTGATGGATTTAGTAAACGAGAAATTTGTTACTTGACTAAATTTTCGAAAGCTCCTTCAGCCACAAATAAAGATTGTCTCAAACCATCAGCGTTTTTAATAGCAGTTCTAATATCTTCATCTTTGAGAATGTCAAAAGGATTTAATTCTGTTATAGACTTTCTGAATATATTATTGAATATATATTGAATTCTAGAACCTCCTTAAAGTTCATCATTGTTTGTTTAAATGTAATGTCCTTCTATTTTATCATATTAAATAAGTTTTAGCTATTACTAACAAGCTTAATCAAGCTATTAATAAATACTCAATAAGAAGATAAAATAAGAATGTAATTATTACATATGAGTGAATTATATGATTTGGTAAATTGAGAGATGAGTCTGAGAACAAAAATACCTCTATCTTTTTTATCCTCAAGAGAAGAATAGTCACCATATTGTTTAAGATCGTTTTCTCTATCGTTGAGCATTTAAACTATATTTTCGCGTATATTTGGCAGTGTCTTTTTTATATGGTTCATCAAACTCAAATTTAGTAATTTTATGAGGTAAGGTATACCCATCTTATTGGAAACACGCTTATAGATAGAATGATTTTCAAAATAAGCTTTTTCATCTGCAATTTATTCCTTAATAGATTTTATTTTAATGTCTTTCTAGCCTCTCATGATTACACCCACGTAACCTGTTAAATATTTGAATTATATTATGGCTTGTCTTTAAAACTAATTGTGTACCTAATTTTAGAGGATATGTTTTATTTTGTAAATCATTAAGGACATCAGCTCCTTCATCAATTAGATCAAGCTATGTGATAACTCCTATAGTTCTATTACCTTATGGATCGATTTTTCTTGATAATTTCAAACTTTCTGAATTAGCAAGATCATCGGAACCTTTAGAAACGGCCATAATAATGCTATTTGGATTTTTAATGTATGGCTCAATTAAATTAAGAATTTGCTACTCAATGTCCTATGGCTAATCTCCTACTGGATTCTATTTTTAAATTATAATTTAATTTTAAAATAGTATTTGCAAATTCTTTTATTTAAGGTCTACTTTTTCTAAATTGCTATTTTTACAATATTATGGTTCAAAAAAAAACGAATAGAATTTTTGAATTGATCTAAAATAAATTTTTAAAGCCTATTTTAATTTAACTTTTAATTACCTTAGTCATGCCAGGAAGATCTACCAATATTAAATCAACAACATTTTTGGAATAGAATTTTAGACGTAGTGGGACATTTGAAATTGCTTTGTTTTTTCCAGCTATTTTTTCAGTATCTTCATCAATCATTTTACGAACCTAATCCATATCTGTAATTTTTTCTCCTCTTCTTTCACTAAATTCGACATAGTCTTATTCTGCATTTTGTTGATTTTTAAGTTATATTTCTATTGGTCTTCTTGTGACTATTCCTTTACCTCTTGGAAGTATCTCCTAACCAACGATACTTTCAAGAAGAGAACTCTTACCTGTTGATTGAGATCCAATAACTACTATCTAAGGAAGTCTCAATTAATTACTGAGCTACGATTTACTTAACACATCCTAAAAGTAAGAAAGTACTTCTTAATAAACATTAGCTAGATAAATAATTCGTTTACATGAATTTCATTGATCAAAGGTATGAGTTTATCCATGGCTGCCTTTATTTGAAATTTCTTTTTTTTACTTTTTTTGGTTGCTTGAAATTAACCTTATTTTACTATTTATTTAGATTTTTGAGTAAATTCAATCAAATTTCTAATAAAATAAGTTCAAAAATTATTTCTAAATCTCAATTTAAAAATTCAACTGAGCAAAAGCAGAAAGCAAGACATGTGCGTAAAATTTTTTTTTTGATAAATTTTAGGAAATTCTAAAATGTTCTCTAAATTCATATATTCTATTTTATGAGAATAGACTCTATTACTGCATTTTTATAAAGAGTTAATTTTTATTAGGAAAAACAGTAATCGAAATTCTTCTCTATTTGAAACTGTGCCCTATCAGGAAAAAATTTAATGTTTTCTAAACTCTAATATTCAAATGAAAATAATACTCAAGCTATTTTAATCAATACTAAAAAAAAGATTTGCATTTACATAATTATATTCAATCTGATAGTTTATTTGTGAAAATATATAGAAAGATATATGTATATATAAATATGTATAAATTGTTATGAGTAATCGATATTATAATTAGCCATAAAAAAAGTAATACATTTTTAGAAAATAGACCATACATTTTAAAAGTATTTCTCTACCAATAAAATAACTATTTATAGATTAAGTTCTTTATTATTAAAATTTATTAGAATTATTTAGTTTATTTTCATGAAATCAATCAATAATCCAATTTAGCATGATAAATGATCACTTTGTAGGGAAAGAAACATCACCACATTAGATAATACCTACAATAACACCGAAAAGACCGAGAGCGCTTCCAAAAATTTCAATAACCAAAATTTTAACGAAGGTTTCAGCTTATTGAGCATGAGAAATAGCACAACCACTACCAGTAATACCGACACAAATACTTTTTAATAAAATATTTTAGAATTAATTATTGAGATTTCAAGTAAAAAATAAATAAATCTCTATGTTAAATATTTTAATTTAGATAGATGCTTTAAGCAACTTAAAATGAGTGTCCTTAACTCGAATATTAATTAATTAATTTTTTTTTTATTTAGCTCTTTTGAAGCTAAAGACTTTTAGTCAAAAAAAATTAATTAATTTTTGTTTGCTTATTTGTTAAATTCGAATCTGAGTTAGTTGTTTTAGTTAATGTGTAAAATAATTTTAAAAACTAAGTTAATCAATTTATAAAGTAATTTTAATAGTAAATTATTTACCCACAAACAAAGTTAGAGATACCTACAGAGATACCAGTCCAGAAAATAGCATAGCCTGAATATTGGATCAAGAATATTTAATTATCATTAGGAATACCACCTGTAAAATTGGCCATTTTACCTTACATAATAATGGCCATAATTACACCATAAATAGCAACGGCTTCACAGAAAATGATACTTTTTTGAATAAATAAATGATTAATAAATTTTTAGAGTAAACTTTTTATATTTCAATTCAGAAATTGTAAAGATATTTTCATAATGAAAAGCTTAAAAAAGTGATTGGGAAGCAAATCTAAAAATTTCAAGCTTCTTTATTAGCAAAGATTTTATTATTTTTATTTTATTTGATGAATTTTTGTGCATTAGACAAAACACTGCTTTATTTGTGAAGTTCAATAAAACTATGTGTTGATGTATAACTTCTAAAATTTGTTCGATACACTTACTATTTGAAGCACATCACTATTCAATATCTCAATCCATATATTATTTATTTATTTATCTTTGTTAAATTATACATTGTTAATAAAATTTTTCTCAACATTTAAAATTTGTAATAGTGCTATCTGCCATTCACCCTTTCTAAAAGCCTTTCTAAATAAACATTTCAATTTTAATTAAAATACCTGATCAAATTCTTAGATCTAATACTTGGAGCCTTGACTGAAGCACCCAAAAGAGAAGCACCAGTAATGAAAATACCCCTAATTTATATAAATAAAATTTTTTAAATTTTTATTGCTGCTATTTATGTTGTTTAGCTAAAATATCTAAAAAGATGTTAATTTTATTCTCTTTTGTATGATAACAGCATTTTCTTCTCTGTTAATTGCTATTTTTATGCAGATTGAAAGAATTTAATGTGCATTTATATATGTTTCTATTTGTTTTTAGCTTGATGTTTTAATAACTAACGAATTATTAAGAAACGAAATCACATACCAGGCAGCACCTGCAATGGAGGTACCAAGAGCTAAACCAATACCTAAGTAAGCCCATGAATAACCACTAATGGAAGCGAATAAATCGTTCCAATTATCTTAAAATTAGTAATCAGCCATGATATTATTTTTTTTTCTTTTTCTTTTTAGATTAAATTGATTGATGATATTTTTCTTGTAAATTATTTGTTTTTAATTTAATTTGCTTCCTACTATTATTTTTTTATTTATGTATAATTATGAGAATAAAAGAAAATAACAATATAAAATGATGAATGATGAATGATAGCAATCAAAACAAGCACAGATTATTTTTTTATTAATTTATTTATTATCTATCTTTCTATTATTCTTGTCATTTCAATCCTCTTTTACATAATTCATTTACTCAGCCTTAATTCATTGATACACTCCATTCCTTCCTTTTCAAATATGGCTTTATTTATTAAATATTTTTTCTTTCCTTATTTTTATTTTTTGTTAGTATTTAGTCAAAAAAATTTTTTTTTTTTTTGTATTAAATGAGTTTGTTTGTTTGTTTTATTTTAATTGTAATTCGTTTCCTTATTATTTTGAATTTGCAAAAAGACTATATATGACTTTTTTCAACATTCATTTCATTCATTCAATATTTTATCTTTTTCTAATATACCCTATTTATTTCATTTAATTAAGCTTATTTCTGACTTTATTATAATTAATTATCTATTCTTCCCATAATTTATGATTTATTATCAATTTTATAAAATTATAACTAAAAAATTGAAATATATTTCTGTTTAATTCAAATATTTTATTTAAAAAGTCTCAGTTTTAATTTATTTTATTCTAATTTTATTATATTTATTTATCAAAAGAATCCTTTGCAAAATTAACTAATTTGACTAATTTCATAGATTTAATATTTTAATCAAAAAATTTTAATTAGATCAATAAAAATTAATTAAAGTAGCTAAAAAAAACCTATTTAAAAGTTTTACTGATTCTAATTAAATTAAAAAAAATAAATTATCAAAATATATAAAATGATTTTATGAGAAATAATAAAAAATATTTTTAATTTTATATTAATTTTAAATAAATTAGTTAATATCAAACAGTTTAAATTAAAAATATCCAAATAAATTATTCAAAGATATATCTTCATTGATTGAATAAGTTCCTTGCTATAATTAATTCAATAAAAAATTTATTTAGTTTTCTTTTTGATTTTATTTGAGATATTTATTTCTATGAAATGATTGATCGTTCTCCTTAATATTTATATGTTTTAATGCATGCCTTTTACAATGAAATACACACATATAAAGGTCAATTAATTTAATGCATTCATTATTAGTAATGCAACAGAGAAAAAGCAAATAAAAGAGGAGATTGATAAGCAAAGAAGAAAGGAAAATAATCTAAAGAAAAAATTAATTCATAAGAAAAGTGAAGAAGAAAAGTAATATAATTAAAAAGATATATATCATAATAATAAATATATTGATTTGATAAATATAAGTATAAACTAAATCAATCAGAAATGGAAGTTAAATATAGAGGACCTAGCGATGACAAGTAGGGATTTTAAAATGAATATAATTCATAGATACGCATAAGCAGTTGTATTAGAGGTACCCATTAAATATTATGGGATCCTAAAGAATTTTACTAGAGTAAAATAACATTTTAAAAAATCTGAGATTGCTTTTACTCATAGATTGTTTTAGTATCCATTTATATCAGTTTAATTTAGAGTAATACTTTAAGCAAAAATATTAAAATTATGTCAAAGAAATTCAATTTCTTAATTAGTTGCCTCGTTATACAACTGCTAGTATCTGTATCTGCCATACAAAATATTCAACTCTTTTTGTTTATTAATTAATAATAGGCTTGAATGCGAATTTTTAGAAAATAACCTTTTGAGCTGTCTTAGAGAAAAATCTGTTCAAGATAATGTAGCTAAAATGACTTGCAGACCTGAATTCGTAAAATAATTAACACATTTATTTCTACTTAGTTAAGAGAAAAACAATAAAAATTTTTAAAAAGTGAAATAAAAATAATTAAAACAATAAATGAATATTCTCAGTATTTAGATTTCTCGTTTTATAACTCACTAACTAGTAGATTTTCATTTAAGCAATATTTATCTTTTTAAATAAACTAAATAGCTTGTTTGGTTCTTCTTAGAATGCCCCACCAAGGCTGCCGTCTATCACGATCCTAAGGGACTTAGAAATATTTTTATCCAAGACAAGATTAAATAAAAGGGTAGTGATGATGGTGTTCTTTCTAAGGATGATTGAGTGAGTCTGCTGAGTTTAAAAATCAAAAAACCAAATCATTTATTACGATAAGAGTCAAATCAAATAATAATAGCAACTGAGAAAAGATATTTATAAAATAGATTATGCAAATTATTTATCAGAATTAATAATTACAGTGGAGATATTCCAAACAAATTGCTACCAAAAGTTTTAAAAATCTATTTTTATACTAAAAATTCTATCATTAGCTATTATTTATATACTTGCATTCTTTGTTAGTTAATTGATTTAATTCTATTTCAAAAAAATATGTTTATCTTTAACTATTATCAACTAATCTTTAAATAAAAATATATAATTTGCACAAAAAATATATTTAAAAAGTAGCTATCATTTTACAAAAATAGTCATAGATATTATATTGATAAGAAAATCAATATTTGGATGTAAAAAATTAACATTGCAAATAAAAATTAAATTATTTTATGATAGTTAAAATCTACATTAAAATAAATTAGAAATTATTTAACTCATTTTACTTTTTATTTTTATTTATGAAAAAATGGGAAGCTTTGTTTAAAACCGAAAAGAGGATTTTAATTTTAATTCATTTACTTAAATATAAAATCACTGATTTTTATATTTTTATAAAAGCAATTTCTATTTTTTAATAATAAAACACTAATTCAACTTATCCTTAATTATTAATACTTAATATAGGATATAAAAAATATAAATTAAAAGATTAATAGATTATTTTAATTATTTGAAATAAAATAAAAAGATAATTTTCATTCTGAATCATTTTTTTTTTGAGATTCAATTATTTAAAATAAATAATTAAAAGTTTTAATTTGACCTTGAATAATTATTGATTAGTTTGCTTTTAAATAAAAATCAAATTAAATAATGCCTTATCTTTAATTTGAATAAAACCAACTATATGTTCTTATATCTAATTCCAATAATCAAGAAATAAGATTTTTGTAAATTTTTAATCTTTACAATTAAAATATTTATTTTTTAATAATACAACAGAAAACTTTGAATCCCAATTTTAAGAAAAATATAAATATTTTAAGTAAGTAATTGATTTTAATTTAATCTTAAAGAATAATTGAATAGCTTATTTTATGTAAAGTATCTTAAGATATTTATATTAGCTTTACCTTAAATTTGAATCAAATCAGCTATAATTCTTAGTATTGAGTATTTCTTTTTCAAAAAAATAAATTTTGAATATATATTTAGCTTTTCAAAGTTAATAAATAATTCACCAATAAAATAAATATTATCATAAAAATCATACTTTTGTAGTTTTTTTTTTAAATCAACTTTCTAGATTTTTATTGCATAAAGCTTTTTACTTTTTTTATTTGTAAAAATAGTATCGATTAGATTCATTTGTAGATTTTAGGATTGGCTATTAATTATTTTGAATTTGATTATTTTTTTAAATTATCAAATCTTTGTTAAATATTTATTTTAGTAATTGTTGTAACTTTAAAGTTAAATGAGCGAAAAAGCCTAATTCTGTCATAATGCTTTAATTGATTAAATAGATTAATGGTAAAAATCTCTTGAGTAAGATTTATAAATAATGAAATAAATAAAAGAGCTTGTAATTTCAAATGGTGTGCATTTAATTCTTATATTAATTTTTATAATATAATTAAAAAACAAATGAAATATTATTTTTTAAAAATTAAATGTAGAGGATTAACCCATGACAGATAGGATTTGGGTAAATAAGAATGTAACGAAGGTTATTGAAGAGATTTAAAATGAATTATAGAGTTATAAAAATGAAAGAATTCAAGTAATACATAATTTTTTCTTGGTAATTAAAGTGCATTTTAGATAAATCATTTTTTATTATTACTAGTCAACAAAAAACAAAGTAGAGTTTCTATCTATAATTAAGAAATATGAGTTTCTTTAGGCAAATTTTTAGTAGATAAATAAAGATATTAGATCTGTAAAATTTATTTTCATTTATTTTTACTATTAATTCTTTGCTTTAAACTATGCAGATTTATTCGTACTCTTAGGACTATCACAAGCTGAAAGATGAATAAACCAAATAGTAGTTAAATAATTAATATCTCTCTATAAAAAAAAATATTTAAGAAAACGAAAGATTTAATGATTAAAAATATGATAACAATTTGAAAAACTGGAAGTCTGAATAGCTAAATTAGAAGTATCAGTTTGAATAGGAAGATAATTTTAGATAGGAAGAAGAGGAGGAGGAATAGAGATAGTTATAAGGCAAATAGCCTTAAAGCAATGTCTCTTTTCTGAATGATACATTTAATTCTATTTAAAACAGACAAATTTCATAGCAATAAATTGAGGATTTAAAACAAAAGTCGTTGAAGTAAATATCTACAAAATCTATAAATCAAATTTAACAACCTAGCAAGTCGATTCTTAAAGAAAGAAAAATGATCGATTTTGCAGAAAATATCAAGAGTGAGTGGTTTGGAGATTTATAAAAAGCGTACAACTTGGCTAATCAAAATGCAGAAAATTTAAAAAATTGCTCTGTTAAAACATGTCAGACAGCTAAATTTGCTCAAAAAGGAACACAAAATTTGTCTTAAGCTTTTAGTAGGTCTAAAACTCCTAAGCATAAAAGAAGTTTTAGTTAAAATTTAAACAACTTAGAAAAATAAAGTTTAATTAATTAGAAATCATAGTTAAATTATTCTTTCAGGTAAAAGTAAGAAGAAAATGCTAGTGCTTTATACATTTTAAAAAGAGAAGTTTAAAGGATAAAGGAATTAGTATAGGAATAAATTAACCATTACGATGGGCACACTCATAATAATATTGGTAACTTACTTATATTTCATATAGATTTATTTATGGAGAAATTTTAATGAAACAATAGATGAAGAGATTAAAAAATATAAATTAGAAAATACACTGATGAAAACTTAATGCTAAATTCTTAAGGATGAAAACTAAGAATTATTAGTTGAATTTTAAAAAACAAGTAAATTAATTTAAAAAAATTTTTTTAATTAAAATTTTATTTTAAATTATCAAAGAAAAAATTTTAGAAGACCAAATTATGTTAAGTAAAGAACTTTAAGATAAGTTGATAGAGTAATAAAGTTAAAGGTTTTACTAGTAATAATCCTAGGACTAATATGAATTTTAAAATCAAAAAAAGAGTTCTGATGAGAACAAAAATGGATAATTCATAAGTTAATACACAGATTAAGATAAAAATACAAAATCAATTAACAATTTTATAAACTAGTAAATAACAGATAACTTAAATGAAGAAATGTAAGATTTATCTTAAATAATTAAATTCATACTTTATTTATCAAATAATTATTATATTTATTTTTTGCTAAAGGTTGTCAAGCTGGGTAAAAAAAAGAGTATAAAATTCTAATGGTAAGTATAACTTAGAAAGTATTTCAGATTATTGAGTCTTTTTTAGCTAAAGAAGAATTAATTTAATTAACTTATTTAAAATTAATTATTAGTTGAATACATATTTACATTTAATGAATACAATTTTTTACTTTTTAGAATATTACTTTATATAATTTTTTTAAAAATAATTTAAAATGATCTCAAAAATTTATTTTACTTATAAAATGTTTTGAATTGTTTTTGTTTGTTTATTTTTTTATTTATTTATTTATGTATTTGATTTCTGAAATCAAAAGAACACTGTCTGATAATAATCTTTATTTAAATTTCTTTGCTTAATTATTTTTAATAAGCATATAACTCATTATTTTTCATACGTACATTAATTTCTTCATTTGGTATTATTTTTGCAATACTTAGATTTTATATGCTTCATTAAATTTATTAAACTTTAGATTGTATCATTTTTGTCTCCTGTCATTTCACTTAAAAAGAAATTGTCATTGTTATGCTTTATTATCTAAGTAACTTTGCATCTTATTTCTGGTTTATCACTGTTATTGTAATCCTAAAATAAGTAGTAGACAGACCAATCAGCTTTTTGATTTAGAAATAATTTAATAAACACTAAAAATTAAGTGAAATAAATATTACCTAATTTTTGATTTTAATACACTGACTTGTTAATTTAGTCCAAATCAACTTTTTATTTAAATATTTTGATATTATTTTTATCTTCCATTCGCTAAACCTTATATAAAAATATGATCTAGGCAGTACTTTAAAAGTATTATTCATAAGAAACAGGAAGGATAGATATATCATTAACATCTTGTTCTTTTAATTCTCTATATTCACGACACTTTTTGATATTGTTATTTATAAAATTGTAAAGTAAAAAATATATTAGCAAACTAATTTTTACTCTGCTATCCCATATGTATTGCTTATCAACAAAGAAGTCAATCAAATTTTCTTTTTCTGTTGGAAAGTAGCTCGTTATTTTAAATAATTAGCTTCCTCTGAATTATTTACAATGGTAACTTTATATTTACTCTTTAATTAAATAATATTTACCGCTATTATGTTTTAATTTTGTATTCTGTATCATCTTTTTTTATATCTGTCCAATCCTGAAGTAAGAAATTATCAATTTACAAAGCCATGTTGTCTGTAGAATCTGTTTAAAATATATTATCTTTTTCTTACTTAAAGATTTCTAATTAGTTTCTTTGCAAATATTAATTTGTAGTCAATTACTACCTTTATTAACTCCATTTTTTGTATTCTTCTAAAGATTGCTTTGAAAGCTTAAAGTAATCAGACATCAATTTATAAATTTATTTTTCTTTATCTTAGTTTTTGTCTGCATATTTAGAAAGCAGCTAAAATGCATACTGTCTACAATTATTTGCTGGAAGATCTGATATATGTTTATCTGTATTTATGCAAATAATTAAGAAATTATTTTAATTATTAAATTAATTTACCTAATCTCAGCTCTTGATACATTTAAACAGGTGTTTCTTTGGAAAAAACTCTTATATATGTTTCTGCATCTCTATTGAATTCAAAGTCTAGGAGCTTAGCCAAAATTTACAAACCTGCAGAGCATTAGATATGATTATTCTTCATGGAATTGTCATCGCTGGAAGGCTAACCTACAATTTTAATTAACCCCTTTAGTTAATCATTTCCCTTTTTAATAAAAGAGCTTATTTAATATTTGCAAATTGAAAAATAATAGCTATATATTTACATGAAGGAGTAATTTAATAGATTTTATTTCTAACTTAGGCTTTTATTTACCGTATCTTTCTTCAATTTATCTATAATTTTAAATTTGTTCATCACTGTGCTTATTTAATAATATCAGCATATCATTTATTTCCTTTAAGTCTGAGCTATCGTGAATTTAAGAACCCATACCTTTGATTTAGCTGTTCTATAACTAATTTCTCTAATAAGGTATCGAAATTTTATTCATCTAATATTTGTCTAATTTTATTCAAAAATAAATTTATTATTTCTCTTGATATTTCATCAAGTTTTACTGTAAATTTCTAAAAAATCATAGAATTGAGGAATGTATGACTCTCTTTATATTTCCACAAGCCTTTAAATGAAATCTAGTTTTTAGCAAATAAGTTGGTTTTACTTAAAATGAATTGATTTATGTATTACTGTTCAATGCTATTTTTCTCGACTCTAAGACTTCAGGTTCTTAATTTCCAAAGATTATTTTACGAGGAAATTCGCTAAATACATCTTTTTAAATTTACTATTTTTCTATCTTTAATTTTATATTTATATGATAATAAATGATGACGTATTACAAAATTTTAATTAAATTAATTCAGTGTTTGATTTCCTTGCTTATTTTTCCTATCAAAAATGTTAATTTTAACAAACACACTCAATTTCAAAGATTTGTTCAATATTTTGTGAATATTCACTTTAAGCTTTTAAAAAAGTCATACCTCACTTTTAAAACTTTTGAATTCAGAGTAGCGCTTTGATATCTAGTAACTTAACTGATCAGTTTCAACTTGAATAATGTATCCCTTTTATAAACATAATGTTTAATATTGTTAATAATATTAATAAAAATTATTTCAAGTGAACATGTTCACAAAAATAAAAGTAAAAAGCATTATGAATTTAAGAAATTTAACAAATACAAAAAAAATTTTACTATAAACTTTTTTCCATTTAAATCTTCTTATCTTTCATATGCTATAATCTAAACTCTCATTTACTATTCGTCTTAATAGAATTTTTCATAGAACTTTAATTTATCAGAAGCAAAATTTGCATTATATTGGTATATTTATGACTCAAATCCACTCCCACTGTGTCTGATTCTGCTCATTTGTCAGAGAAAACTAATTTCTAAGTTATTAGTAGCAACTACTCTTTATAATTTTTTTATATTTAATGCAAATTGAGAATTTAATATCAAATCTAGGCTTCTTTTTAATGGTTTCTTTACACGCACTGCACTAAGAATGCTTTCAACAAGGTATATTAGTAAATAAAATAAATATTTTTTTTTGATATTTTAATTATCAAGCTAAAATATGATCTTTTACATTAAATTAAAAATAGAGCTCAACTTTTTGATTGAGAAATAGCTTTTGATAAATTTTACATTTTATTGTTAATTAACTATAAAAGAAAGCTAATAATTAATAAACACTGAACAAGTAAATATAAGCAAAATCTCAACATTTAATTTTGCCTCTTTAATACCATTCACATATTAATTGCAAATTGAATCAAGTTAATTCATTTTCCAAAAATTAGAGTACTTTTAGTAAAAACCAAAGTAATTTTTCTAATTATAATATATAGCTAATTTCTTTAGCAAATAAATATTAATTAGATCTGGTAATTGCGAAAACCACATTTAAAATTAATAAGGTATTTACTAACATATGTATTGCTTAACTTATTTAGACTAATGGGGTTTTTCTTTTATATTTCAGTTCTAAGAAAGGTAAGGCTTCCAATATTAAGTTCAATTCAAAACTCATTTGATTTAAAAAATTAAAGGGGTTTTTATTACAAAAACAAACACTGAATGAAAATATTTTTTTTCTACTAAAATATTATTTACCATTTATTTATTTATAAAGTATAAATAAAAATTCACTTAGCAAAATTTAATTTTTTTGTTTTTAATTAGAAGTTGATATTTGTGGTAAGTTGTTCATTCTTAATATTTACTTTTTTATGTATTTATTGTCAAAAAAAATTACATTTTTATGAATCCATCAGATATTTTCTTATAATTCATTACGATTGTAAAGTAATTTCTATTAGTATTTAAAATTAATTTGTAAGTTCATGAATGAAAAATGTAAATTAAATTAATTTACTTTTATTTTCATTTCAGTAATTAAGATAAATTGCTTTAAATAAATGCATTTATTATACATATATTTTCAAAAAAGGATAAATAAATATTTCAAATTTTTATCTTAGTAATAGCATTTATAGATTTATTTGTTAAAAAATTGTTTATAGATTAGAAAATAAATACATTCACTTTTTTTTTAGTTAAATCAAATATAAAAATTAACTTGATTTGAAAAATATCAAAAAAGATATCTATTTTTGAATATATTGTAATAATTTTAGAAAAAGTACTATTTTTCCCAAAAATTGACGATTTACTTAACTTATAAATTAAAGCTTAATGATGATAGTAGTATTTTCAAATTACAATGACAAATAGTGAATTAAAGCTGGAGTTTTACATTTTTTGATAAACATATATCATTTAATAAGATACTCAACAATATTTTCAGAAGGATATACATTTTTGTAATTGTAACAGCTTTGTAATACACTAAATTGTAAGATTTTCCACAAAAGTAAAAAAAAAAAAAGAAATGGAATAAAAATAGTATATAATGCTTTGAATCTTCAATTAAGAGAAATAAATTAAATTTTGCAGTTATCAATAATTTCATAAAAAATTGAAATAAAATAATTTTTTAGATAGCAGTATTCATAAGAAAAAATTCATTTAAATTAGATTTAAAAAGAAGTTAAATTAATAATGATTAATTCTATATAATTATATTTTTTAAATACACATTTACATCAAATATCTTAATCAAAATTTTGTTTATTCACATACGTGATCAAGCTTTTTTGCATGATCATCTTTAGTTTATTGAGTTCTACAATTTATTCCATACCAACATTTATCTCTATTGTTATATGGAGAAGGCAAGTCTTTCACTATTTTTATTCTGTATTAAACAACCATTTGGAACCAAACTTTTGTAAAGCAAACTTAGCACACTGGAGAGATATCTCTCAATTAAATTCTTTTGTTGTCAGTCTCGTTTGCATCAAATTTCTTATTTTTTTCATAAAAGAATTTTCCTGTTTTCATTTCTTTTTACAGAATGTCATTATATATCATTTATGTTGTTAAGCGTTTCTATGTCATATATTAACTAAATACTTTGCTTTCTGTATGGTTATTATTAAAAAAGCCAAGTGGTATAAAATTAGGAGGAGTTCTTTCTCTCAATAGCTCAAGATAATTACCAAGAATTAAATATCTCTTCTACTTGCATCCTTTCATATATAAATTACAGAAAAATAGATTACATATTACACATTTTTAATTATCACTCTCATCTCCTCTGTCAGGAAATTCTTTTTTGCATGCATTACATGTAACATGCTTAGTATTTTCATCACACTAAAATCCATCATCATCTCTAGCTTTTTTGCATTCTCTGCATACTTCTAAGTTATTTTTTTTGCCTCCTATACTATTTTTATTTTAAGCTGACTATTAAGGTCTTGAAGGTGCAGGTTTTATTTCAGGTTCTTCGTCCTCACTTTATATTCTATTGTTGTTATTTCTTATTGGAGCTTTAGGTTCTGGTTTTTTTTATGCTGCTGGAGCAGGTATATTCCAAAGCTTTCTTATCTTCTCGTCCATTTATTCATAATATTCTTTTGTATTTTTTTTTTCTGGATGTTTGTTTAGCAAATTTTCAATTAAATTGTTGATTGTAGGATTTTTTGCAAAATCATTATATTTAGAACGGCAATTTGGGCACTCATCACTCTTCTGCTTCCAGTCATAAAAACAAGCTCCGCATAAATTATGTAAGCAAGGTTAAAGAGTCACACAAGAATAGATAATATCCATACAAATAACGCATTCTAATTCTTCAGATATTTTATCATCCTAAGTCTTAAATTTGTTCAACTATTCCTAAATTTTACGCTTTTCTTCTTCATGCTCTTCTTTGATTTTTTAGATTCTTTATTCTTCTTCTTCCCTGTGTTATTGTTTTATCTTAGCAGTTTCTTCTTCTTTCAACTTCGATGCATAAGCTCCTCCATTTGATGAAGATTAGGAAAGTTTTACAATAAAACCTATGACATCAGCCTAACTAACTTTAGATTTGTGAAGAATATATATGAGATCCCCGCTATCTATCTTAGATTTATTTTCCTTACCAAGTTTTCTATCAAAAATAAAAGTTCCATTTGTAGACAGGTCTTATAAATAAACTTCATTTTCTGAAGGATCATAAATAAGTTTACAGTGGGTACCGCTAAGACGCTTGTCATCAATTCTTAGAACATTATTAGGAGCTCTACCAATTGTTATTTCATTCTAAAGGCACTCAAATACAGAGAATTTACGTGAATCAAGAGGAATTATTTCTCCCCACTTTTATGATTTGCTTTATGATTTCTCATTCTCGTTATCGCTGACGTCTGTTTCAGGATCTTCTTGCTTTTAATTTGATTAATTTTTAGATTTTTCAATGTCCATTTTTTCTTCGCTTTTATTAATATTCTATTCAATAGCTACTGAGTTCTTTAGCTAATTAATTTTTTATAAATAACTCATTCAAATTTGTTAATAATCTATATAGTTTAATAAATTTGAAATTAATTGATTTAGTCTTAATAATATTGATATAAAAATTAAAATGTATAAATTATTTCTAAGTCATTGTTGCTTTATCTTGACATCAAATCTAAATGGCTGATAAAAATCAAATTCTGAATGAATTACGATTATCTTCTTTACCGCGAAACTTTATTAAGATATACAGTATTTATTTGTATAATTAGCTTAATAAAATCTGATGATTTGCATAGACAATATAAAAATTAATATTTATTTAGTAAAAATAATAGCAATTAAATTCAAAATAAGATTTTCTTACTAAGTTTTTAGCTTGCTCTAAATTAAAAGCAATTTTATTCAAAAACCTGGTTTTCATATTTCTCAAAATTAAAATTAGCATCAAATATTTTTCTAATTCCGAATTCCATATTTTTTAATCTTTTAATTTCTGCTATCTAATTTAATAGATAAATATTTTAAAATATTTTAAAGTTAATCTCAACTTATATAAAATAGATAAATTTTATTAAACTGTTTGTTCATCACTAAGTTTTATCTATTCTTAAATTATTTGATTTAACTATTATTTGTTTTGTTTTTTTTGATAAAAAACCTATTTTAATAAAAATCTAAGCTTGAATTTAGTGAAAAATAAATGATAAGTAAATAAATAAAAATCAAACAATTACAAGCTTATACCAAAATAAAATAATAATTAATATATTTAGTAAAATTTTCACCATTTTATTTTAATAAAAAAATATAATAGAAGTAATAATATAAAAACACAAAATCAAATAAAAAATTTTATATTTTTAAGTTTTATTAATTATTTCAAATGAGCTTTTAAATTTATGAGAAATAAAATTTTAATGATTTTCAAAATTTAGCTTTATTTGAATTAATCCATTGTTTTAATTCAGCATGAGTATTAACATAGAATTCGCTTTTAACATCCAATGAAGTTCCCATTATGTCAACCATCAATTCGTCTACTGATTTATTAGCATATTGCTTAATGTGATCTAGGCACTTCTATTTAAATATGTTAATATCATCAAGATATTATGCTGCAATAGTACTATCAAGAGCATCATTTGGGTTAGGATCTTGCATTAAGGACAAAAAACTATTTAGTGATTTTTAGATAGTTAAGGCTGGGGACCATTAATCTTTTAGAATATCTAAGCACATATGTCCCTAGGAGCTTATATTTGGGTGATATATGGGAGTTATAAAACGGGTACGAGGAGGTTTAAAGGGATAGTCATTTGGAAAAGTTATATAAACCATAAAGACTCCATAATTGTATGTTGTTCCTTCAGGACCTATTAATAGCACCTTCCAGTTCATTATATCATTTTCTGCAGGGAATACTTTAGCCTTAAAATTAGGGTCAGTTTCCTTTTAAATAGTTTCTAATTCTTTGACTATTCTTTTTAAAACTGCTTAACTAGGTCCTTATTAATTAATACTAGCTCCAGTACTCGAGGTAGAGGATGATGATGGTTAAGTTGGATTGTTAGCAATTTTGGAGTACTTTGCTATAATATGACTAATGTCTGCAGCAGGCTGCTAAATTTACTTATCATAACTAACTTAAATACCTTCTGTATCAAAAGGAAGTGACTAGAATCTGTCTAAATTAATAAATTAATCAGTGTCACATTATTAAACACTCTTTGAGTAAAACTCTTCGAAATTAATGTCCCTTGCACGAACAGATAGGATTGTTTCTATTTCAAATAATTTTAAACCATCATTTATAGAGGCTGGGCAATAACATCTACCACCACTCGCATGAGTGATTGCTTTTAATTACAAGCTTTATTAACTTACAACAAATGAGTCTAATATAATACGATTTTTTAATATCAAAGCTGCAACTTCACCAGGTTTATATTTAGATTCATTGTCTTCACCATCAGTAAGGGCAATCATACGTAAAATAGTGTTAGGGTGCTTTTTCTTGTATTCTATTAAACTGTTGACTCCTTCAACTAAAGAATCATACAGACGAGTACCACCTCTTGGAGCAGCATCATCTACTAGCTTGATAAACGTATTCATATCTCTGATAAATTCACATTTTTTTTCTATCTTACTGTCAAACCAAAAAAGTGAAACTACGTGATTGTACTCCATAGCAAGTGTTTTATCAGCAAAAGCAGAGAAAAAGGCATTAACTGCTCCTATTCTAGGTAAGCCTTACTCATTATAAAATGTTGATCCCATAGAACCTGAAATATCATACAAAATTACTATTGCCTCTTTAGGATCTTCCTCTTTCTATTATTCTACTTAAATCGGCTAATCCTATTCTTATTTAACTTTAGATACCATCTTAACTAGGTCATTGTGAGAAATTAAGCTTGAAACAGCATCATCTTCAGAAAGCACAAACTCTTAGTCGTCAGCAAGTGAATAACAACTATATGCTTCATCTTAAAGATTGTAGTTTAGTTTCTTTAAATGTTCTATTAACTCATATCTTAGCTACTAAATCTTTTGTTAAGGGTCTTTAACTTAGAACTTAAATTTAAATTCATTAATTTAAACTTTTATGATGAAATTAGAAGCTTAAGAGCTTGATACTATAACTTCTGCTTCTTGGTCCATTTATAAATCTGAAATTTATGTTTAGCTTTTTATAATTACTTTTATTATTAATTGTATTTTTTTTATTTTAAATTGTTATTATTTTTCTAAAGTAAAGAATTTAATGGATTTAAATTACTCATAATATTAAACAAAATTGTAGGAGTCGCATAAATTGTTAAAAATTAGATCAGAAGGATTGAGTTTATTCAGATTTAATCAAATCTAAATTTTTTATTTAGAGAATGATATGAAATAGAAGATATAATTTTTATTATTAATTAATCTGATTAATTTTGAATAGAATAAGCTCATCTAATCTAAATTGTGTCGCTGAATTGTATAGCTTTGTAATTTACTATAAAAAATTTCTATAGTTGATAGATAATTTATCTATTTTATTACATAAAAAAAATAAAAAAATGTTCCTTTTCTAATTTTTAAAATCATGATATGCTAGTTATTTTTTATTTCATTAAAAAATATACTGTAACTCCTTGGAAATACCCGACGAGCTGAGGAGCTGAAGACACCATTTATTTTTAAAATTATTTTTAAAAGTCCTTCCTCAATGTTTAATTTTTAGATGTGTTTGAGGATCCAAGTTTTTACAGTAACTAGATTAAGCCTTATGAAAAATTTAAAAAGCAATTAACTATTTAGTTTTAAAATAAATAAAGTATTAGAATAAATTTAAACAAATAAATAAATATATCTTTGAAACAATCAAAATTTTTTGTAATTAATTTTTATTTAGAAAGAATCAAAAGTAAAAAATCAACTAATTAAGAATAAATAAAAAATTAATTTTAAATATATTTTTAATTGGTTTATAGAGTTAATTATACAAGTAGTGTAAATTTAAAAAACGAAATAATTTCAAAAGATATTAAAAATAAATATAAAATAATCTGATTTATATTTATTTATTTATTTTCACTAAGCAAATTATCATAATATTTTAAATAACCAAAAATATTTTTAACAAATGTTTTTTTTAATGTTTCATTCATCTAATTAAATAATATTTTTTTAAATAAAACAAAAAAATTAAGTGATGAGATGAAGAAAGAATAATTAAAATATATTAATAAAAAAATTGATTAAGAAGATATTTTAAATTTACTTAAAAAGAGTAGACTTTTTGATGATAAACATACTCATTTTATAATTAGTTTAATCAGCTAAATTGATTTTAAAAACATAATCTGTAATCTAAATTAAAAATTTAAAAACATATTGAAGAAATAAAATAATATATTATATCTGAATATATTGAAATGAGATTGTTTTAATTTTAGTTTGTGTTGATTGATAGCAATAAAGTGATCGAGATTATTAAAAGTAAAGGAAAAATTAGCAGAAAATAATGACATAAAAAAATGGTAAATAAATAAATTAAGGATAGATAGTTTTTTGCAAATTTTATTATATCAATATATTTATTTTTATTATATAGTTTGTTAAATAGATTGAGAGTGAAAATAATTCATCTAAGATAGGAGAAGATAATAAGAAAAAGAAAAAACTTAATAAATAGTAATAAATAATAATATCTCAAGAATATATAGCAAATAAAAGCAAGCAAAGAAAGTATTAAAACTCATTTATTTATTATAAGCAGTAAAAAACAATCTAAATATGAAAATCCCAGAAGTCATCGTTAAGGAGTTTAAGAGAATTTCTTTTGCGTTGGTAAGATAACTTAGATTTATATTCATATAAATTTTAAATTCCATCCTATATATAGCATTATTGTTTGTGAAATAATTTTGTTACAAGTGCATACATGTATCATCTATTTATCTATCTATCTGGTTAAAAAATAATTTAAAATTTTTAAAAGCTGAAAGTAGTAGTAAACGCAAATAAATCTAAAAAATAATGGCAAATATGCGATTAAGGAAAAAGAAGATAAATATTATTATTTTATTTAAATAGGCTGAAGACGAAGCTTTATTCGAGCAATTGAAAAGCTAGAGCTTAGAATAGTTTTGGTAGAATATTGATTCAATTGTTGATAAGAAGGGGATTTATAGAACAATGGAAAGCGATCACATCGCTTTCTTCTTAGATCGTTTAGATTAGTTATTAGAGGAAAGTATAGAAGTTATCAAGCGATATGAAGTTGGAGACGAGTACAGATAAGATGTCAATAATAATCTTTAAGAAAAAAACCTAAATAGCTCTGAAAATAAATCAACAACTACCCCTCAAACATAATAGCAAGCATAATAAAAAGATTTAAATGGAAAAATGCAAGCAGAATCTACATTTTAGGTAGAGGAAGAAGGGAAATCAGCTTCTAATTATGTAGCAGTCTCAAAGGAATAAAAAGATTAGGCTGATGCATAGATTTTAAAAATATTACAGATTGAATCTAAATTGCTAAAAAAGGAATAGTATAAATTTTTGTATAGATAGCTAGATAGAATCTTGGATATTTTAAATTGGAGTGATTCTTTAAAGATTAAGAGATCTGCATTGTATATCCTGTTACTTATTGTAGTTATTGAGGAAGGATCTCCAAAGCAAGAACTCATATATTTAAAGTAGCAACAAATAGATTAGATGAGCTTCTTCGTTCGTTACTACATTCACCATATTAACTCTTTCAATGATGGTTACACAGAATTATCAGGTTTATTTAAATTTGATGATGAAAGATTTTACAAATTGGAAATGATTTATAATCCAAAATACAAGGCTGCTGGTATTCTTGATTTTGATAAAGCACAGTAGATTTAAAAGGAGATTAATGAATAGGAAGGATGTAATTTAATAGAATAAAAACTAACCACGATAGGAACTAGTGAGAATTCATCATTAACTGAAGTTGAATTTGAGGATGCTACTGATCTAGAATAGAAGCTAATTAAAATTTTCTAAGACTAATAAGAATAAAATTGGGAGGAATTATTAAATAAAGCAAAGCATTTTGAATATATTGAAAACTCAATAAATACTAAGCCTCTTAACAGTTTGTCTATTAAACCAATTCTCCAAAAATTATAGGGAGACAAGTTAATTACTTTTGAACTTAAATATGATGAGTCTTTAACCCTATATCAAAATGTCAAAAAAATCTATCATGAAAATATTGGAAAGCAATTAGATGATTAAATATGTTTATTTGGCGGTATTAAAGAAAGATTGGTTATTCTTAAAAATCTAAAATGCCGTGAATCGAGAACCGAAATTGCAAAAATGTTTCTTCTCTCTGTTTAAGTTCTAAGTAAGAAAAATATATCTATCTTTCATATAATCCATAATAAAAGAATTTTTTCATTTTAGATTTCCCTCTCAATTCAAAAATTTCATATTTTAATTAGAATTAAACAAAATATTTTCTTAAGTTAATTAAACTTAGATCAACGAAGATGAAATAATTAATTTTCCCTTTTTATTATAAAACACCAAAAACTTAATAAATTTTCAACATAAAAAAATTACAAAATATTTTCAATAAGAAAAAAATAAAAATTATTAATATGAAAAAATTACAAAATTAAAAAACTTTTAAAATAGATTTTTGAAATTGCAAAATAATTTTACAAAAATTAAAAAAAAATATTATTTATTAGAATTCCATTCAATTTATGATTTTATTTAAATGATTGATAATTTATGTATATAGGTTTTTTAATGAAGGTTACTAAGAAACATATGCAATCTATTTTTACTGATTAACAGTTATCATTTGAAAAGTTTTAAAAGTCATTTCCAAAATAAGTTACAGATTTAATTCATTTAAATCTTGATCCTAAACTCCATGCTGATGTTATCAAATTTATGTTGGTAATCATCAAAGAATAAAGCTAATTGAAAAGAATAACAGAAGATTATCTCACTAAATTCTCAGATAGTTTGATTATAAAAATATACACAGATTGCTCTAATTTAGAACTTTAGGAAGTTAGAGAGGATAATCAATTTATGGAAATTGAAAATGAGAAAGATAAAATGATTATTGAAAACGAAGATATTAGATTAAGAAGCAATCATCAATTCAAAATTGTATGCAAAGGATAAACAGTTTAAGAAACAACTCTACTTAATTCTAAGTTTATTGACTATGCTTTGACTTTTGTTAACACTCTTCTAAAAAATCCTGAAAATTAAGGATAAAGCTTCTAAGAAGTTACTCCTTTTTCCATGAATTTTGTTTAGATTCCATTCCATAAAGAATATTTAACTTATAACTTAAAGCAAATTCGTAAAGCTATTCATTCTCTTTCCCTAATGATTTAAATTGAAGACATACAAAGAGAATATAAAATCCTATATAAAATACTTGACAAAATAGAATATTATCTTGACTAAAAACCTAAATTCTAATGGGTTGATGGCAAATGGTCTCCAATTTCACAAAAATAATATGATATTTTCCTTGGGTAGCTATTAAGAATAGTGAATTAAATTTTTGAAAACAGCAGCAAAAGATCTAGAAGAATAACTCCTCAATTAGCCAAATAATTAACAGAATGTCCTAAATTTTTTATAATCTTAGGAAATTGCATTGACAGAATTATAAAAGGATACAGCGAATAAGAAAGCTTTAATCTAATCCCTCCAAATCCTACGATCGTTCATGAAGAAACTGAAAAAATACTATTAATAGAAACAGTACATCTTTTGAGCAACATTAATAAAGAAAATCCCAATCTCATAGAAAAGCTTCTCGAAGAAAAGATTATATAAAAATCTATTAAAGCTTTACAAGTTCTAGAACTTCCTCATGATACTAAATCTATTTCCTAAATTATTTACTTTTTATATCATATTTCTCTTAAGGTAATCTTAAATATAAAACTAAAACAAAATTATTTTAATTTTCCATTTAAATATAGGAATAAGGAAGATCTGAAATTATGGAATCGAAATTGCTACAAAAAATTTTCGATGTGTTTATTGACGATAACTATGCTGAAGAGTTTTATGCATACACATTAAGCTCTGTGATTGAAGCAATATAAAATTATTATAACAATATTAAAGAAATAGTAGACATTATATATGAAAAACTAAATGATCTCTTGACAAATTTACGTAAAAAGTGCATCACTTATACAAATTAAATAGAAAGATACCTGAATGTATAAAATAGTGAAGAGAATTCAAATATGAATGCAGAGGAGGATATTAACTTTAACTATAAAAATGTTATCTGTTATCAAATTTATAATGTATGTAAATTGATTGAGAAGCTAATCACAGGCATAGAAAATGTTTATCCAGATACTAAAAATAAATATGCTGGAGAATGTCTTTTAAACTATTTAGAAATATTATAATTCCCCTTTTTGTTCCTTATACCTTAGCGCACTACTCATAAAACCCCATTTTTTTCTGTAAAGACAACATGCAAAGCAATTTATAACAAACTGGACCCTAAAAATGAAGTTGAGAAAAATAAAATTAACAAAGTACTCGACATCAACATTTAGAAAATCGAAGAACTCTTAGGTAAAAAAATAGAAGATGTGACTTCACTTAATTTAGAGCTCGTTAACGATTTAACTTCAAAGAATTTCATAAAATTAGTTAAAGAAAATAAAGATGTTTAATATTATAAGTAAATTAAACTGTACTAATAACTCTAATTTTTCGATGCTATGATAAATACTTTCAGATCACTAAGAATTACATCTTAAATGATTAACTACTAGGGATTTGTTTAAAAAATTTCTTGCCTATTCCCTATAACATTTAATTAAAGGTTTTAAGAGCAATTCTCATTTGTAAAATAAAGAATTACTTATTTGCAAGATCAAGCTTATAACCTTCGTAAATAATTAGAATAAGACAATGAAAGTTTGAAACATGAATAAAATAATTTAGAAAATGAATTGAAAGAATTCAAACTTTACTTTAAAGAAAATATTCTTTCATTTAAAAATCATGTAAATCACTACAGCTATCAAAATATTATTTTTTATACCATACTAAAGCTAGTTTATCAAAACTACAGCTAAGTAGTAGAACTAGACTATAATTCTCAAACTATTCAAGACAATAAGCAAGATGTGCAAAGATTAATAACTCTTACTATAAATAGTATAGATGCAAATTTAATTGACATTAAAATTCTTGAAAAATATGACATGAAAACAGTAATTTTAATTAATTTTTTTCTTATAAAATTCATTTTTTTATAAAAAAATTAAGCTTGAAATTTTCAGTTCTCTTGCAGGATCCTTGGTTATGCTAACTTAGATCCTTTAAATTTTTATGAAGGACTCCAAATTAATCAATTATATGATTTTAAATAATCTGTAAAAATAAGGCTCTATTGCAAAAGTTGTAGAAATTGCCAGAAAATTCACTGAAATTTGGTAATAAATTGAATTGAAGAGCTTAGTTAAAAGTTAAAAAGATTCTGATGAATTATAAAATTTATCAAAAGAAAGTTAGACTTATTATAGAAAATACCAAACTCTACTTTCTAATAGTATAGACCACTGTTTAGAAACAATAAACTTTAAGCTAGAATATTTTTTCAAGATGATTTCTTTATAGATTCAATTTAGCTTAAATTTTAAAAAAGAACAAAAAGAAGAATACAGAGAGGATATAAGATAAGGTATATATGGATGGAATTATGATTAAATTAAAAGTCAATAGCAAATTCTCAAATCTATAAAATTCCCCTCCAAGAATAGATATTATAGCATGCTTATTGAATTTTTAATCACACATATTGAATTATAAATACTCCCAAGGTATTAAAATACTAAAAAATTTATTGAAAGTGAAAAATATGAGAAAGCTGATTAAAACCAACTATCAGACGATCAATACAACAGTTTGAGCGATACAATTACAGATTAACCAAAAGGTAATTGTTAAAAGTTCATATAATAATATTAAAAAAATTATTTTATTTTATTTTAGAGTTCTTCTAGTTTGCACTTAAAGAGTTTAGGAGGGATAAGCAACTTTATGGAAGCAATATTGACTTAAACGACTTCACTGGTTATATACTAGACAACAAAGATAACTTAAGTAAATTGTACACTTCTTAAGGAGATATAAAGAATGATCCCCAATCAAACAATGATTAAGAATAAATTGAACATTTTTCTAAAATGAAGAAAGAAGATTTCTTTGCAAAGGTAAAAAGTGATGCTGAGGAAATGTGCTCGTATCTGCTTCGTGAGTTATTTTGTTTCAAGAATCATTCTGATCAGATTTTAGCTCTTCTTATGAGAAAGGAATTGGTTGATATTGATTTCATAAAGACTACAATATTAAAAATTAAAGATTTGCAACAATAGCATGAAAAAAAAATTGCATAATCAATAGAAATAGGAGAGTCTAAAGTATCAGAGGATGCTTCTAGAAAATCTAGAAGAGGCTAATCAGTTGGTCTTACATAATAAAGAGCTAATGATGGAGGTTCTGCTTCAAATAATCCAGCTGAGTTAGGAAATGACAGTCCCTTATTCAGCCTTCGCCCTCATTCTGCTGTGAGAAATGTGCCTCCTGCTGCTCCTTTAAATGTTTCTGGAAGTGGAAGATAAGAATAAAGTATTGGAATGTTTTAAATGCCTTAAATGATTAGCAGCACTTTAAACAGTTAATTTGATAATCAAAGATAAAGAAATCAATTTTTTGAGTCATCTATAAGTGATGCTTTGGGAAGACCAAGAATGCAACAAAATAGATAGTATTTGTATGGAAGAAGTAGATAGGCTATGATGGAAAATAATTAAAATGCTAATTAATAACTAAGTTAAGGGTAAAAGTAAGAAAAAGACTTGTAAAAAATAGAGTAAATAAATTAATTTAAACAATAAATTGCCTAGTGGAGTGATGATTACTTAGTAACTTAATTTTAACAAGTGCAAGCAAGTCATAATAGAATTTCTTATGTTATTTTTGCTACTCTCAATCTTCTTATTTCTAAAATATTTAAAGATTTCAAATTTAAGAATCCCTTCAAAGGAACTAAAGAAACTATTGCTAAATTGCGTAATAATGAGTTACTACATGTACCTTCAAAACTAGATACCAACAGTTTATATAAGTTAGAATTAATTAATGCAATCATGCCATTTGCTGAAAAGTTTGGATTTTATTCATACAAAGAAATCTCAAGTGAAAATCAAGTCACCGAATCTTCTGAAAAAGTTAGTAAGACAAATTAATTAGATGCCTAAAATACAATTACTTAAACTAATTAACCACAAACTATAATTTAAGCCACTGGTAATGGAGAAGAACCTTAAAATTAAAGCCAGAATAATAAAATTTTTAGTTTAAAATTACTTAACTTAGATGAGCTTGAGATAAAATGGAAGGAAGGCAATGAAAGTTATTAAATCGGTATTGAATTTATTAAGATGGCTAAACACTTATTCACAAATGGATAAAATGTATTCAGCTCATTAAAAAAAGGTGAAGACAAAGAAAATCATAAACAGACATCGTTTGATGCTATTACATTCTTCATTAAAAACTAGTGTCATTTAATATAAAAGGTTAACTCTATGAATTTAAAGTTTAAATAAAACTTGAAGAAAGATCTTGAAAAAGCTGAACAAGAAGAACTCTAAGTTATGAAGAGAAATACCTAGAGTTAGGATAAAAATACTAAAGATAAAAAAACACAAAATAAAACTTAAAAGCCTGCTACTGCTATGAAAGAGGATGAGTCCTAAAAAATGATTGCCGAAGAAAATCAAGAAAATTAAGAAAATGAAAAACAATAAAACTAAGAAAATAAAAAGAGAATCAATAAAAATAAAAGAAAGAAAAATAGTAAAAGAAATAAAAAGCAGAAATAAACCACCAAAGAAGCAACAAACGACAATTAAAATACATCCTCTTAAAAGAAATAAAAAATTGAAAAAATTTTAGATGAAGAAAAAAGCTTACAAGAGAAATTAAAGAAATTGAAAGAAAGCTAAACCTTAATTAATAACTACGAAAAAGAAGTTATTTCTATGTTTGTTAGCCTATTACATTTTAGTAATGAGCAGTATGATTACTATAATTAAAGCTTGATTAACATATCCATATTGACATTTATTCTAGACACTATCAAATAATATTCTGAATAGAGCAAATAATACTTAAATTAGTTTATTTAAGAAAAAGGTATTTATGAGCTTCTCAAAATCAGAGTATAGACAGACTAAATAGATTTAATAATTGAAAAATTAAATATCTTCTTAACTAACATCACTCAAGACCCTACTATGGCTTTAGCAAACTACGAGTCTAAGATTAAATATTTCTTTTATGAAAAGTGCATACATTAGCAAACACTGATGTATTAAATTAATATTCCTTACTCAAGAAAACAAAAACGTAACAAAAAAGATACAAATAAAAAGACCACTTCTGAAGATTCATACTTAAAGAAGAATAGCTCAACGAAATTAAAGTTTGGTAAAGAAGAATCTATTTTTGATAATGTTAATGAGTAAAATATGACAGATTTTAATACATCCCCACCTAAATAAACATCACAAGCAACAAGAAAATCTGTTTCTCCATAAAAACAACAGAAAGCCCCTTCATCATATTAATAGCAAAATCCTTTATCTTTAAGCTAATTATTGAAGTCAGATTTATAATAAAACTAACTACCATAATAATTACCAGATAAAAAAATGAAAAAGATTAAAGTTAGTAGAGAAGAGTTTTGGTAGAGATTTGAAAAATTTAAGAGCATCCCTCTTTTCTAAGAAGTTCTTTCTAAGCTCTGCGATTAGAAGAGTTTAAATGTAAAGCAAAAATCTTCTAAAAGTTCTAACTCAAATGGATCCTCTAAGGGAAAGTACTTTAAGTTACCTAAATAAAATTAACGTAAATAATAGCAATCTCAAAGTGATATATTTTCAAACATCTATTTGAGCTAATAGTCGTAGCCTAATTTAACAAACTAAGAAGATCAAAGTTAAAATTAAATAATTCAAGATGCTCAAACACAACCTTAATAATAGAATTAAAGCATCAGCTCAAATAACTAATAAAACTAAAACACTTTAAACGCACCTAAAGATAAAAAAATTCAAAAAAGTAAGTCAACTAACTTATCATCTAAAAGAAAGGGTAAATTCACAAAGAGCAAAAAGAAAGTCTTTGTTAGCAAGGAATTCTTCATTCTCAAAGATGACATTTAGCTACACAAATTTTAATTAATTCCAAAAGAAAACTTCTTATCTAACTTGTAAAACTAAACTTCTATTCCTTTAGTTTCATCAAATATCATTCAGAGTGCTAAAAAAAACGAAAACAATAAAAAGGACATGAAATAAAGATCAGCATCTGCTTCAGTTTCTAAATATGCCACTAAATAATCATCTACTCTTTTCAAGCAAAAAAGTGAAAGTAAGCAACCATCCATTAAAAGTGAATAGAACTTAGGAGATGATATACAAGGATAAGCAAACAAAAGCAATTTAAATCAAAATAATTTTGACTAAATGATCAACTTCGTTGCTCCTACATATATTTATGAAACAATAAATCAAATACTTGAGAGTATTGTAATTCAATTCACAAAGAAAATTATTTAAAATTATGACGCAATTCATAAAAATCAAAACAACAATAAATAGTCTGATTAAAATGATGACTACCTTTTCAATAATATAATATTATTAAAGGTCATTTAAATTATAGCTAGACAACAAGCAATACTTATTCCATAAATAGTTAGATTTAGATGTTCTAAAATAGTTAAAAAAATTATTTAAGGTCATCCCCTTGAACCCGTATTTAACAAATAGCTTGGAAATCATTTCCACTTCTTGAAATTCATAACTAAATGTGCAAATTACTTTTCAATTTCTCAAGTAAAAGGTCTTATTTTCGAGCTATGCTTAGACAAATAAATATTATATGAACACTTCTAGAATAATAGTGGATAATAATAAAATCTAGGATCTCATCACCAACATAAAACAACATAAAATACTCATCTTCACTAATAAACTTAAAAGCAAGCTTCTAAAATAATTTCTTTTGGTGAAGAGATTAGGAAAAAAGTATTAGGAGAAATTTATTCATCAATAGAAAGTGAAATGATGAATAAATAAAATATACTTGAGAGACCTCATACAGTCCATATATTAATTTCAAATATTTTACTTCACATAAATTTACTCAACATTAGAGAAGTTGCAAAATTGTCTCTTAGAAATTTCAGCTGTGATTTTACTCACTTGATTGACTAATATCAATCAAATTAAGGAATTCATTCAGAATTCAAACATGAAAAAGTAGAAAATAATGAAAACTTATAGAATGACTCAAATGGTTATAATTTTGCTAAACTCTATGGAGACATCCTCAAAAAATTTGATATTTCAAAGCTCAGCCAAACTTGCAATGTCATAGCATTTGTGACATCTATCCTTGAAATATTATATTTGTTGAATTATTACTTTATTCTTTATCCTTCTGGAATAAGTGGTAATAAAAATGAAGGCAAAAAAAAGAACGAAGACTACATGAGCAAATTTATATAGTCATAAATTCTTACTTAAAAATTTTAAAATCATATCAAGTAGTATGCTTAGCACTAAGGAGGAGTCACTAATATCCTTATTAATTTCCCAAATGATGCAATAGGAATTCAAAGACGTCCCTTCAACTTCCAGTAATTTTATTTAAAATTATTTTCCTTTTAACTTAATTTATATTAAAAGACATGGCTCTGAGAGTGTTTTAAATTAATTGAATATGTTTAATAGAAATATTATTAGTTTTGATCCTATCACTGCATTAAGCAGATTTACTTAAGGTGCTACCAATTTGTTAAATCCCATAGGTGGAAACGTATCAATTAGAATGACTACTGATAGAGATCCTTCTTTCATCTAAGATAGCTTCCTCTCCAATAACTTAAGAAGAAGCACAGCTTAAAATAGCTTAATATTTTTATCAAACTAGCAAAGAAGATAGAATAATAATGAATTAGATAGTATGTTTGGATAAAATTAAGATGGAAATAATGAAAGAAATAGAGATGATGAGCCTGACCATTTAATTATGGGAAGAATAAATGGAGCTGATGATGACGATGAAGATGATGATGATGAAGAAGAAGATGAAGAAGAAGAGGAAGAGGAAGAAGATGAAGACGATGAGGAAGAAGATGAAGATGATGACCATATGGGTTAATAAGAAGAAAGTATGGAAGATGAGGATGAAGATGAAGACGATGAGGATGAAAGCGAAAACGATGAAGAAGATGAAGAAGAAGAAGATGATGATGAAAGCGAAAACGATGAAGAAGGAGACGACGATGATGATGAAGAAGTCGATGTAGATGAAGAAGACTTAGAAGATGAGGATGAAGATTTAGAAGAAGAAGGTGGTTATGAAGATGAATATGATGATAATGATTATGAAACATATGTTTATAGATAATTTAGAAGAGGCCTTAGAAGGGATAGAAGAAATTTACAAAATAACGATCATTCTTCACAAAATAACGAATTTTCAGAAAATACGAATCCCAACAGAAGTAGAAGAGCAGGAAGTCAATAAAGTAAGAACTTAATTTTTCTTATTTAATAAATATTGTATCAATAAATTGTATTTAATGTATTATAGATAGAAACCGATTACGTTCAAATGCAAATGACGAAAATGAACCTGGATCTTAATAATCTATGGGTAATTAGTAGCATGATTTTGTTGCTGAAGATCAAGATATATCTTTGGGGGAGGAATAAAATTCTAATATTGGTGATGATGAAGAGGTTGAAATTAATTAAAACAATCAAGCAGAAGAGGAAGAATTAGAAGAAGATGATGATGCAGTAGAAGATCAAGAAGGAGTTGCTATCTACTTAGATCGTAATTATTTTATTTCTTTTATTTGCTTTTTTTAAAATATGATTAATTATTTAGTTTCTCCAGAAGTTAGTCATTAGCTAGAGTAAAACTAGATTGCAAGTCATGAAGACAATTTAGGTGAATACAATCATGAAGTACATGGAGAAGAAGAAGATGATGAAAACGAAGAAGATGATGATGATGAAAATGATATTGATGACGATGAAGATGATGCTAATCGTGATGGATCATATGTTAATGAAGATTGGGAAAATTATTCTTCAGGTGATGAAATTTCAGACATTGATGGCTAAGAAGATATGTCTAATGATTAATTTTATGAAGAAAACTCTGTTGAAGAAGAAGAAGATGTCCGTGATAGAGAAGATGCAAGTGAAGATGAAGAAAATTAAGAAGAAAATTAAGAGGAAGAAGAAGAAATAATTCATTAAGATCATGCTGATGAAGAGGAAGAAGAAGAGGAAGAGGAGTTGATAAGCGAAGGTGAATCAAACGTTTGGAATGATCATGAATTCTCTGAAGATGGCAGCCATATAGATGGAGAAGAAAGTGATGAAAACGAAGATGATGAAGAAGAAGATGAAGCTTTTGTAGAGCACCCTATAAATATCATCGAATTTGATAATCTATTGAATCAAGTAGATGGAATGGATGAAGAAGATGATGAAGAGGGTGAGGAAAATGAAGGCGAAGATGGCAATGATGAAGATGAAGAAAGAGAGGATGGTTTAGAAGAAGAATTAGAGAATATTGAATAAAACAATTATAGACAAGAAAATGCTGATAATGCAGAAAGCCGCAATAGAAATTAATAAGGTGATTTTGAAAATATTGAATAAGATAATAATGAAAATTAAGATGAGGAAGAAATAGATGAAGATGACGAAGATGATATGAATCACATCAACTAACCTGCTAATGTAAGGTTTATGAAAAACCGCAAACCACATGAGAGAGAGTCTTCAAATAAGAATAGAGAAAAAATAAATGAAGATCCAGATTTTAAAAAATAGTAAAATACAAGAGAAGTAACTGAATTCACAAATATCAATATGAGTGAATGCATAAGAGACTCATATAAAAGATGCTAGAATTCTATTCATCTTCACTACATTGGCACTCAGTAAAATATTCCCAACCAGACTTGCTTCAAGGAAGTTTAAAGAGAAGTTTCCTTTATTGAAAAATAAAGTGAATAATCTGAAGGTTCCGAATAGGCTCTAGCCAATACTTCTCCCAAAAAAGTAGGGTAATAAGGTGATTTGACTCTTGAATAAAATAATAGAGTATTTGATAAATCAGTTTATGTTGCATTATTAATTTACTATAGACACTTTAATTTCGAAAGTGCATATAATAAGATTTCTAGAAGTAATAGCTCCTAATACCACTACATGGAGAATCAAGGAAACAACCCTAACTCAGCTACAAATGCTTAGCAAGAATTAACTAACACTTAAATGGTCCCTTCACCTTATATGGCTAATGATAGACGTAGCTAAACAATTGCTGCTCATTAAAGTAATGCAACATAATACCGCTTAGGTTTGAGAATTCCTCACCACATGTAAATGAGCTCATATAATCGTCACGTACATAGTCGCAATTAAATGTAGAACAGACCAGTTGAAAACTAAGAGTCAGAAATCCCAGGTAGTTCCTTAAATGAATTGATTTAATAAGTGAATAACTCTAGTGCTCAAAGAAATGCATAAAACAGTAACCTAAACAATCTAAACTAGCTGATAAGAGGAAGCTTTTCTAATATTGGTGGAATTCCAAATATAACTTAACTTATTAGATAGAATGCTCTATTTGGTAATCCAAATTAAATTTTTAACTCTAGCTCTTTAGCAGGACAAAGAAGCTTAATGTGTAAACATTTTTTAATTAAAAATTTTTAAACATAAAATAAATTTTACTTATTAAAAATAGAAAACTTACCCCCAGTTTTATTAGATTCAGGATAATTAGATATTGGAACTTTCAATTTCTAAATGAGAAATCATATCAGTTAAATATCTTAGCCTTCTTCGAATCAATTAAGACAGATGCAGCCTGCATTATCTCAAAATCCAGTTTTAAGTCATCGTCCGTTGTCTCCATTAAATCCTACTTAACACTTGGATATCTTAATTAATGCTACAACAAGCATGAGTGTAGAGTAAAGTGTTAATAATAATAGCAATAATAATTAAAGCGAAAATCAAGGACCTTCTCAAGAACTTTAGCAGCCATAATAGAATGATGTATAAATTTCATAAAATGGTAATGATAATTTTTTTATTTATTAAATATTAAATCAATCTTAAATAAATTAAGTTGAATAAGCATAAAATATCATAGATAGCAGCTAACCTGAAAGCTAACCTTAAATTCCTCCATAAAATGTATCTGAATAGTAATCTTAAAGGATTTAAACTGAAGAAGCTGATAATCTTTCATAGATGCTATCAATAGCAAATAATTATCTTCCTACATAAAATTCAGAATCTACAAATTAAGAAGACATAAATTAGATTGTTAATGAAATAACACAAATTGCTCCTCTTTTCTAAGCCACACTAAATTAAAGTATTATTATTTATTATTATTTAAGATTTTATTGTTAAAAACTATTTATTTCATTTCACAAGCCTAAAGATCTTCAAGTGATCGTTCATCAAGTTAAAGATCTGAAAATATATAGGGAGAACCAAATTTAAGTTCTAACTAACAGAACTCTTAATCTGCTAGAAATAATGAAAATAATACCACTAGCAACAACGATTAGGTTGCATCACTAGTAAATGAGTTATCTTCAATTGCTCCACTACTGATACCTTTATTTGATAGCAGCTCTTCACAATAAAGAAACAACCCAACAAACAGCTCTTCTAACTAAGATAATAGATAATAACCAAGCACTTTGAGCTAAAATTCAAATAATTAAAGATCACAAAATACTAACATTTAGTAATAGAATTCATAAAACAGTCAATAAGATGAATAACCTAGGAGTACTCCATCCTAATAAGAACCTTAAACTTCTTCGGAAGTTTTAGCTTCAAATTAAGCTGTATAATAAATTCAATAGTAATAGTAACAAAATTAAAGAAGTAGCAGTTCTAATAACTAAAGCTATCCTAACCTATCATAAAATTCAATAATGGTACTATCTCGCTTTAATTTTGATGCAAGTTTCCTGACTCGTCATGGTCTTGATTTCCAAATCTTTGATGAACTACCTGATGACATTAAAGAGGAGATGGTTATATCTTATTTGTAATATCCTGACAATGAACCATCAGTTAGCTAATAAAATACAGATCAGTAAAATAATACAACTTAATAAACATCTGCTAGTTAAAATCAAAATACTGTGGTGAGCAGTAGTGGTGGTGATAATAGTAGCGACATTAGAAATACTATTACTAATAATGATTAGCCTACCTCTGTTTCTAATGTTGTTAATTAATAATAATCTTAATCTTAATCTTAGGAAAATACAAGAAATGTCAATTAACCAAGTAACAATCAACAAGAAAATTAAATTATTTAAGTTAACCAAGCTAATGTTGACTTTGTAAATTAAGCAGACATAAATTTAAGAATGGAAATTTTACTTTAATCAGAAGAAAACTTTTTAAGAACTCTTACTCCAGAAATGCAAGAGGAGGCAAGAAGATATAGAGAAAACAATGGATAAATAAATAGAAATTAATTTTTTGAATTTAGAACTGCACCTAGACAACAGCCAAACTAATCTCCTCAGCAAAGCTCTTAGATTGTAAATTAAATGGTAAAAAAATTAGATATTTTAAAATTTTAATGTAATATATTAAATATATTTAAACTTAAAAAATATAGGTAAATTAAATTTTCAATAGTAACAATTACAAAAGCTAAAAGAAGCAATCCCGTCTGATTGATGACTGGATTTATAAAGACTAGTTTATCTATAAAAAACTAATTGAAACAGATGATAAATTTATTGAATCAATTTTAAGACTTATTTACTATGGCGGTAAGTAGTAATTCTAATTCCCAATATAACTTCTAGAGCTAATTTGCAAAAATCCTAATGTAGAATAAAAAGTATTTGACTCTCTAATGTTTATTTTGATGAATCCCAACATGTAAGAAATAAAATAGGCTTACAAAAAGGAAAATAATGAATCAGTAATGGTAGATGAACAGAAAAAAGATGAAGAAGATGTTTTCGATTTCCCTCTTCTCTATACTTATCATAAAAACTCAAAAGAGACTGATTACAAAAAAGTTTATTTGGATGTCAGTCTAAGAATATTAAAAATTATTCAAAAACTCACTTTAAAGAGGGTTCTCTTCTTTATTGATACTGAAAAAGTATAGAAAGATAATGTATTAGACATCAGACCTTTGATTTAAATTGAAAAAGATAAAGGCAACTTGGGATGTGTTCGCGAATTGAAGAAATTTGCAGAAGAAATCAATTCTTAGATATACGATCAAAAATCTTTCTCATTACCATACTTCTAATTTATATATTTACTTACATAAGATCCTTTCCGCAATAACTATGATCATCTATACTTTTTACTCAGCTCAGTTTAAAATATTACTAAAAAACTTTTCTAATATCATTCTGGAAAACAAGAAATAGAAGAAGAAACTATATCGTCTATACATGCTTAATTAGGAAGCTTAGTTGGTAATTCTAGAAATGCTCAAGGGTCTGGAAGAAATGAAACTCAAAATTAGGACAACCAAGCCTAACATTCTATATTTGCAAAAGATAATAGTTTCTAGCTGCATCCTGATGTAATAAGATGGATTTGCTCTATATTCTCAAGCGAGTGCTTGAATGAGACTCTTATCAAAAAGCTTTCTTTAATTATTAATTAGCTATGCTATGACAAAACTAATTTAGATATGTTCATCACAGAGTTAAGAAACATAATTAAGCTTTTTAGTATTTAAATAAACAAATAGGTAGTAAAGTGTTTACAATCAATAAAAAGCCTTGATAGAAACTCCCCTTCTTTCTCTTCTCAATTTAAGATCCATCTAAGCTAAATTGAGTTTTAGATTTCTGGAGAGAAAAAGATATAGAAAATCTTCTAAATTATTTATGAACTATTTGAGAAATCTTTGTGCTAAGTAGAAGAGGAGAGCAAATTGAAAGAAAATTCTTAGAAAAATAAATCAGCATCTAAAAATGATTTAAATGCTCCCAATCAACCTAATAATGCAGATAATTAAATGGAATAAGAGGAAGATGAAGAGGAAGAAGAAAAAAAATAGGACACTACATCTACAAATAACAATAATAATTTAAATGCCCATACTTATGGAGTAAATAGACGCACTTCTGTTTCTTAGACATTTGAAGTACCATAGCACAGAAATAGAGGAACAAGCGTGATTTCAAACTCTGGAGATCCAAAATCAAGTGTAAAAAAATTAAATAGCAAGCAGTAGTTAAAGGAGTAAGAAAGGTTAGAGAATATCAAAAAAGAAATAAGAAGCAAATTCTCCGAAATTATTTCTCACTAAAATTTCAATGAGCTATGGATTAATTGTGCTGAGTTGTTTTCTTTACTAGGAAAATATGAACCTTAAAACCTTTCTTCTTACAATACTGCTATCGAAAAGTTGCAACCTATTATGGAAAGTTACTTTATCATTTTTAGAATCATGCATGATGAAGATTTTGAATTTTTGTTAAAATCTTAAAGTCAAAAGAAGTAACAATAATAGAAACAGCAACAAAAATAAATCTCTTCTCTTGCAGACGACGAAACTGTAGGAAATACTGAAGAATTATCATCTCTAGATTTTGATGTATTACAATTATTTTTTATTTAAATATTTTAAGTTATAAGTGATTATTGAATTATTATTATAAAAAGTCTCTCAAAGAAAATATAAAGGAATTTGATATCTAGCAGATATTTAAGTTTATATGTGAATAATGTAAAGTTGTTATCAACTAAATGGTAAGACAGAATCTTAAGTAGAAGAAATCATAAACTAATAAAAAATCAAATGATGTTCTCCAAAAAGATCCCTTTGAAATTATTTTTAAGAGACATCCTTATTTAATCGACTTTGAAAATAAAAAGAACTACTTCAAGCAAGAAATGCAAAACTTAAAACTGTCAATCCACACATCATAGAAAAGAAAGAGAATAAAAGTAAGAAGAAACCATGTTTTCGAAGATTCTTTCTAATAAATCGATTCTATGAAACCTGAAGAGCTCAAACACAAATTTATAATTGAATTCGATTAGGAAGAAGGTATAGATGCTGGTGGATTACTTCGTGAATGGTTTATACTTCTTTCCAAGGCTATTTTCAATCCTGATTATCTCTTATTTAAACCTTCTTCAACTGGAAATACCTACTAGCCAAATAAAAACTCATATTTTAATGATAACCATCTTTAATACTTTAAATTTGTTGGAAAAGTTGTTGGCAAAGTAATATTATTATTCATATTTTTTACTTTTTACTAAAGTCATTAAAATTTAATTAGGCTTTGTTTGAAGGTCAACTACTCGATGCTTACTTTACCAGATCTTTCTATAAGCACATTTTAGGGCAGCCATTAACTTATCATGACATAGAAGATTAAGATTACCAATTCTATTAGAGTTTAAAATGGATTATGGAGAACGACATTTCAATAATTGGTGATGAAATGACATTTTGGTAATAATTATTTATTTATACGATAAATTAACTTAAAATTTGTTTTTAATCCTTAGTTACGAAGAGTGTGTATTTGATAATAAGTAAATCATAGATTTAAAACCTGATGGATAGCATATTAAGGTAACTGAAGATAATAAATAAGAATACGTTAAGCTTATCTGCTATGCAAAAATGGCAAAAGACATAAAGGCACAAATAGAATATTTCCTTGAAGGTTTCCATGAATTAATTCCTTACGACCTAGTTAAGATATTTGATTCTCATGAGCTTGAATTGATGATATCCGGTCTTCCTGACATAGACAGTAAAAAATATTATCAAAGAATAATTTAAAATAATTAAATTAATAAAAATAATATTTAGTTTAAGATCTTAAAGAAAATACTGAATATTAGAATTACACTCAAAACAGCAAAGTTATAGAGTGGTTCTGGTAGATTATGGAAGAATTCGATAATTCAGCTAGGGCATCATTCTTATAATTTGTAACAGGTATGAATAATTTTTTATAAAATTTAAAAAGTTAACTTATTTTTTATTTTAGGTACTTCAAAGGTTCCAGTTGAGGGCTTTAAAGGATTAAGAGGTATTTCTGGTTTACAGAAATTCTAAATTCATAAAGCTTATGACCCAAAGAAACTTCCTATAGCTCATACATGGTAATAAATTAATTAAAAAACTATAATTAAATAATCACATTTTTAAATGAAAAAATAGTTTCAATTAACTTGACATTCCCGAATATCCAAGTAAAGAAATCTTAAAGAAAAAACTTCTTTTAGCAATATCTGAAGGTAAAGAAGGATTTGGCTTTGCTTGAGGTGTTTGAATTGTATAATACTTAATTCTTTTTAAATAAATAAAAATTATATGTTCAATAATTAAAAAAAAATATAAATAATTATAAAATTATCTTTGTATTTCTTTATTATATTAATTTAAAAGTATTTTTTATATCAAATCAATATTTTTTTTAATTCTTCATGAAATCAATTAATATTTTTCTTAATAAAATTGTAAATATTTTTTCTTAACAAAATTAATTAATATTTTCTTTTTTTGAAAAATATGATTTTATTTAATAATATTAAATTATTTTTTTGAATAAATGATAAAAATTTGATATTAATAAATATTTTTTTAATTATTATTTGTGAAATTAATTTTAAAGTAGAATCGTGGACAAGAAAATATCAATTTTTTTGATATATTTTGATTTCAAACACTAAAAAATATTTATAATATTAATTATTAATAAAAAAGATATACAATAAAAACAAAATAATGTCACTTGAAGATAGATTGAAAATAAATAATTTCAACGCAAAGAAATGGCTTGAAAAGGAACTTAGTAGTTTAAATGAAGAATAGATTAAATAATTAGATACTTATGATATTAATTCAGGTGAAGAATATAATTAGTAATCAATAGATATGCAACTAACAGAAATTCTCTTTAATGTTAAATATCTTTAATAAAAATGTTAAGATGATCTTCTAAATGCTTAGGAAAAAGTCTAAAAAAACTAAGAAAATATTTTATAGAAGTAGGAAGAAGTTGTGAATCTGTTAAGCGAAATAGAGGGATTTTTGCAAAATAATTCTTAAGCTGATAAAATGATTAAAACAAGTTTAAATAACGTAGTTTTTGATGAAATATACGAAATGATTTAGCTCAAAAGCCGCTTAAATCATAATTTAGAGATATTTGATGTAGTTTTGCAATTAGATTCTCACCAAAAAGAAATCCAAGGATATATTGAAGAAGGGAACATTCAAGAATTAACAAATAAATGCATGAGTATAAATGAAACAATATAAATTTTACTGAAGCTACCAAAATTAAATCCAAACTATGAAAAAGCAGAGACCATTTTAAGCATGGTAATTAATTACATAAAAGATCTGCTTCATTTAGCTTTGCTTTCAGAAGAAAAAACTTAAGAAAAAGTCCAAAAGTATTACGAAATATTACATATTTTAAAGTAATAAGAAGTCTTTGATGAAGTTGTATCGCAGCATAAGCTTTCGTAAAAGCAAAAAGATGAAATTAAATCTGTATTAGAATAATTTTTACCTCAACAAAATAATAAAAAATAATGAATTAATGTTAATTTAATTAGTGATCAAAAATATTATTTGAAAATAAATAAATAATTAATAAAAAAAATATTTTTCATACAATAATTTATAAATATTTTACAAAATGATTTCAAATATTAAACCAATTAATCACTTTTATTTTTAGTTGGTTAGTTGTCTATCTGTTCTGTGTAAGTTATTGCATTAAAATAGCCAAAGATCTTAGTTCAAAATTATTTAGCCTCTGTCCCACAAAAAAAGCATAAAATATCACAATTTTCATTTTTCTAGTTTTAAAAATGGGTTTTTATTCATTTAAAAATTTATAATTTACTTCTATGATTGCTTTTTTAATCTTTTCCATTGGTATTTCAGACTTCCCTTCTTCTCTCAAGCTTGTAAATAGAAGTTTTGTGAAATAATCTTGAAGGAGCTATGTAAAGCCAGGATACTTTTCTTCATTTATCAACAACTCCATTGTTAATTTTGAGAAATGAGATATTTCATCAATAGACAATGTACCAGAATTATCACTATCAAATACCTAAAATAAAGATAAATTAATATAAAATATTTATCGAGTGTCTTTAAAAATTAATATTTCACCTAAACAAACATATCTATTTTTTACTGGTCATCTAAATTTGAAATATTTTTCAACATTTTAACAAAATTTTCCCACTTAATTATATCTTGATAATTGCAAAGAGACTCAACTAATGCTTTATTTTCTAAAGTTAGATGATCAAATTTATCTAATTAAAGCATAATATCATCTTCTTTAATTACATTTTCTGTAGAAATAATCTAGGATTAAATGTTAAGTATTGATCTATATAAAATGTAAACACTATTTAAGTCACTTTCACTTAATTCATGTTCTTGTAGAATCTTTCCTATATTTGAAGCAAACAAATCTCTGTTAAGTTTTTTTAATTTTTCTAAATTTGATTTTCTTTCTTCAAACCTAATATTTAAAATATTAATTATTATTTGATTAAATATTTTATTTATATTTTAAATAGCAATTACCCCTTTAGCTTAAAATCTATAACTTTATTTTTTTTTATTCTTTTAGGCTAACTCAATTTGTATTTTAAATATAGATCTATTTCTTCTTTTTCTTTATCAACTCTCCAATTGTAGTCAAATTTAGAAAAGAATAAATCTAAGTACTTCATTACTTTCTTAATATCTTTGATGATTAAATAAATAAAGGGTTAGATTAAAATAATGTTTACATGCATTCACATCAACAATTTCTTTTTGTGGTTAATTTTCTTCATTCTCTTCATCGTCTTCAAAGAAAAACATTTTTTTCTTCTAATCATCTTCATCATCCTTTATAAAATCAGCAAATTAACTCCTTTTAGCAGTTTTATTATCTTGTGATTTATTTAAATTCGATTTAGGAGTTTGATTTTTACTTGTGAAGCTACCCATCGTATTTTTTCGAGCTAAAGTTTATTTGCTTAAAGGTGTAGAAGAAGCACTATTATTATTACTTGATGGTACTTCTTATATTTAATCAAAATCCATTTTTAAGCTACTCTGTTTATTCAATTGATCATCTATTTCTTAATTAGCAATAATTTTATTTTCTAACCTCTCTATAGCCTTAAATTTAAAAATAAAATCAAAATATGTTTATCAACAATCAAAATAACCTTTTTCAGGTTCTATAGATTCTCTTCCGTACTATAAATTTTGTCTAATCCAGCAAAAGTAGAACAATTTCCTGCAAATATAGTGATATCATTCCTTTTTAGCTCTCTGTGACTATATATAGGAGTACCATTTTTTTAGTATAAATATATATTTTCTGCAGTAATTTTTAGTTTTTTCATAATTATTCTTTTGAATTCTTAGAAATCCCTTTATTCCTGAGTTTGTAGAGTATTAAAGTTTATCTAAAAAATGATTAATTAAAATCAATAAATAAATAAATAAATATATTTTAAAATAAATTGTTAATTTATTTAAAAATTGTTAAAAATAATTTTAAATTACTTACAGATGGCAAGTACAAATAGCAATATTTTAAGTTCAAGTGTCTCTTGATTTATTGAAGATTATAAATTTCTACAATCAAAACTTATCTTTAAGGTTTGTATGTTTATTCAACAATTTATGTTTAAAATATAGAAGAAGAGTTGTTTGAATTTTAAATAGAAGTAGCAATTTTAGCGAGCTTTTTTTATTTAAACTCCTAAATTAATTAATTATTAAATTTCATCATTTCTTCAACTTATTTTTTTGATCTCTGCCAGGTATTTCGTGTTGATTACCTAAGTATTTATTGTAAATAATTAATTATCAAAAATAAATAAAGTATTTTTTTACTGCAAATTAAGACAAAAATTTTGCTTATCATTCTCCTCTTTTTTATAAGGGTCTGAAATGAGCAGGTCTCTTAAAGGTATATCTAAACTTTTTGTTTATTTAGATTTTCTCATATTTTTTAAAGTTTTTTCATATTATGATTCTTTTTATTGCTTATTATCTATTTCTTATCTTTGTTTTTATTTTGCTTAAGAATATAAAAAAAATTAATCTCCTATATTATTTGAAACTTTTTATGCAATTTTTTTGATATTCTCTTCTGTCTATTTCATCAAATGAATATTCTCTTATTCTTACTATTAGTTACCATTTAAGTTTTTTTTATATTCTGGTATTTAAGAGTGCTATGACATATGATGATTAAAATATATTTTATCTGTGTGAATGTTTCTTTAGTTGAAGGGTAGATCAGTAGATTAAATATTAAACATAATATGTTTATTTAAATTTTCAGTTTCTACTTCTTTAAATTCTGCATACTTTTCATCTTTTAAATTGTTTTCAATAAAATTTAAGTTATTAATTATTCTTCTTTTGCTTTCCTACATGGACATAGGCCTAGTTTAGTCTCTTACAGGACTAAATAATTTACTCTAAGAACTCACAGAAAGAGGCTTTATTTAGGTGCTTTGTATTTTTTATGTAATTCCAGGAACAAATGTTTGATATTAAGGAGTTAAAATTTTAAATTGTTGTTCAGATTTTTGCTTTTACCTCTTAGCAAGTTAAGCAGAAGTGGGTGTAATATATTATTGGAAGAATTTTTCAGTTCCAGAAAACCTTTTATCTTGAGAAGATTTTATATTTCTTAGAGAACTATTGTTTAAGTATTAAATAGCATGAATATTTATAGCTGAAGGATCGCTTAAATGACTTATTTAAACTCTTCTGTGAGATGCTTGACTTGTTTTTGGTTTCAATAATAATTTACTATTTTTATTGTTTTCTGTAATGTTATTGTTGTTGTTGTTCTAATATATTTATTATAATAAAACCTAGTGTCTCTATTAAATAAGATTCATTTCATCCTCAAATGATTTTCTAAAACTTTGTTAATATTAAAGCATTTATTATTGATCTCTTTCATACAATTACTTTCTAATATCTAAAAATGTATTTTATTTTATATGTAAATCATCGCTTGACTTCATCATCTTTCTACAAGTCTTAAAAATAAAATATTATTAACAAAAAATTTATTTAGCTCTTGTTTATTTTTATTATATTTTTTATGAATAGCAAATTTATAATTTCTTCTACATAATTAAAATAATTAGTAAATTTCAAACAAAGAAAGTTTCAAAAGGTTAATATAAAAATGAATGAATAAATAAATAAATAAGCAATTCTGTTTGAAAGCCAGTAAAATTCAAAGCAAAAATTATTTCTGTTTATTTCGATTTTTATAATTTACTTTAAATTTAATTTATTTTGTTGAAATTTAATTCTATTTTCAAGAAACTAAAAAGCTAGAATTTATTTAAAAGAAATAAATGTAAAAGATAGTTGAGTAACAAGCCTTATTTATCTTATTTAAGGGTTTAATTTTTTAGCAAAAAAAATAAACAAATTTTAATTTTCATAAAATTTAAACTTGTTTTTTTATTTTAAATAATTTTAATTATTGTAAAAATTGGTGTAATTTCACTTTGATTTTTCCGAAAATAATTTTCTCAGTTGATAACTGCTGCCTCTAAATTTAGAATGATAATTTTTATAATGAAAGAAATAAGTGAAATAGTAAACATAATATTGAATTGTATATTATTTAAAAAGATATATTTTTTGATTTATAAATTTAAGACTACTTTTCTTTGATATTTTCATACTAAAAGATATTAATTTTTAATCAAAAATTAGTATTTTTTTGCGGAAAAGTATCTATCATTTAATAAAGAGAGAGAGAAAATAAAAAAGAAATTTTCTTCTTTTGAAAAGGAAAAATAAATTAATCCATAAAAATAAATATAAAACAAAAAATAAATAAATAAAATCAAATTATTTAAAAAGTAGTAAGTAATAAATGCCTATTGTCTCTGTTAACATTAAAAATTTCTTCAAAAAGTTAGGAAAGGAACTCAGTAAAAATATTCATTACATTCTCATATAGAATAAACAATAAAATAATTATTTTATTCAAATCTAAATTAAAATAAATTAATATGATCAGAAACATTCAAATATTTGATAATATGGATCATAAATGAAACAACATATTCAACAAGCTTCAATTTAACTTCTTTTCTCAAATAATAACAATTTGAATACTAAAATCTTATCACTTTATTTAATTATGAACAGAATTCCACGAATTGGAAGAATTATGCTTCGAATATGGTATCGAAGTAGAAGAAAAGGAAGTCTCCAAGAAAAATAAGAAGTCAGGCAAAGAAGAAAAAGTTAAAGAATATGCTTTTGAAGTTGGTGCTAACAGACCTGATTTACTCTCTGTAGAAACTCTTACTTAAGCTTTGGGAGTCTTTATTGGTACTCGCCAACCCCCTCAATATACAGTAAAGCCTGTTGAACAAAGATAAAAGATTATTGTTAAGAAGGATGTAATACATTAATTTAAAAAAAATAAATAGGAAACATTTAAATAATCCAAATAGTTTTATTCAGAAAGCAAAAAATAAAAAAAAAGTTGATAGAAATGATATTAATTTTTTGATTTTATTCATCAGTTAAATTGTTTTTTATTCTACCAAGCATTTGCTTTTCTGAGCTCTCTATATTTTAGCATTATTCTAAATTTTTATAATTTGAAAAAAGTGCAAGCGTATTAGACCTTTTGTTGTTGGTGCTGTTTTGAGAAATGTTACCTTCACTCAAGAATCCTATGATTCTTTCATTGACTTCTAAGATAAGTTACATCACAATCTTTGTCGTAGAAGAAGATTAGTCGCTATTGGTACTCATGATTTAGATACCATATAAGGTCCTTTTACTTATGATGCTAGAAACCCTGCTGACATCAAGTTTGTACCTCTCGATAAAACCGAAAGCATGGATGGAAACAGACTTATGGAATTTTACGAAGTAAATTTTAAATATGTTTTAAATGAAATTTATATAATAATTTATTAATATTTGTAGAAAGACTCTCACTTAAAAGATTTCTTACCCATTATCAGAAATTCTCCTGTTTATCCTGTAATTCTTGACTCAAATAATGTTGTATGCTCTCTTCCTCCCATCATTAATGGTGACCACTCTAAAATTAAACTTACTACTAAAAACGTTTTTATTGAATCAACTGCTGTAATAAATATTTAAAAATTTTATTTAATTAAATTAAAATATTATTTATATTTTAAAGACTGACTATACTAGAGCTTTGATTGCCTTAAACTGTTTAGTTGCTGCCTTCTCTGAATATTGTGCTGAACCCTACACCGTCGAAGAAGTTGAAATTCATTATGAAGAAGAAAATAGAACAGATATTACTCCCTAATTTACTATTAATAAATTTTAAACTAAAATTTCTCACTTAAACAGCGTTGGTACCATCAATGTTACTGCAGAATAAGCTTGCAAATTATTAGAAAGAATGAGTCTTACTGCAAAAGTTCTTAATAATGATGAAATCGAAGTAGCTGTCCCAATCACCAGAGGAGGTAATAATTACAAAAAGACAAAATATGAAATAAACTATATTTTTAAAATTAATGTAACAGATATTCTTTAAGAGTGTGATATTATTGAAGACGTTTGCATTGCATACGGTTTCAAAAACATCAAGGCTGTTTTACCTAAAACTCCTACTGTTGGTAAATAATTATTACTCAACAAGATGAGTGATTTGATTCGTGAAGAAATCGCTGCAGCTGGTTATAAGGAAGGTCTTAATTTCGTTTTAGTTTCAAGAGATGATTTAACCAAAAAGCTTAAAAAGGAAAATGATGAATAAATGATTATTATTGACAACCCCAAAACTGAAGAATTCAGCGTTGGTAGAACTACACTTCTTCCTGGTTGCCTTAAATGGTTATCATCAAATAAAAAGAATAAGGTAATTTACTATAATTGACTACAAATAGCATAACATTTGAATTTAAAATAGATCCCTATCAGTATGTTTGAAGTTGGTGATGTTATTTTGAAGGATGAAACTAGAGAAACTAATACCAGAAACGAAAGAAGATTATGTGCTATCTACACTAATCACAACTCTGAATTAGAAGTTGTTCATGGTTTACTTGATTATATTATGTTAAAGCTTATGGTTAACCTTGATTCTACAGGAACTTGTAAGGCAGAAAGAAGATACAGACTTGTTCCTTCTGATGGTAAGATTATTTAAAAATAGATATTATTTAATTAACCATTTATTATTTTAGAACCTACATATTTCTTAGATAGATAAGCTCATGTCTACTACAATGATAAGAAAATCGGAGTAAAATTTATAATTTTCTAAAAATATAAATGTTAAAAAATATTTGTTTTAAAAAAAGAATTTGGGTATCTTACATCCAGATGTTGTTAAAAATTTCGAATGGAAATATCCCGTTTCTGTTTTGGAATTAAATTTAGAACCTCTTATTAACGAATTCCACTAATGAAAGCTAAAATATAAATTTATATTTAATGTTATCCTTTAAATAAATATTTGTCTTGTTCCTATTATTAAATATTAGTTAAAATTTAGATTGTTTTTAATTTTCTGAAAACGTCTATTTATTTATTTATTTTTCTTTATCATTATCCATTCTTTTAAATAAAATGTATTTATGATACAAAGAAATTTAATGGTAATTTGTTGAGAAAAGATTAAAATATATAAAATTTAAGATTTGTTGAATAGAGGATTAAGATATAAATACATATTTAATACTATACTCTAAATAAACATTCCCATTCTTATTAAAAAGTATAAATTAAAATTATTTTTTAACATTGTAAAATAAATCATTTATTAATGATTATTTTTTATAGAGATAATGTTGCTAACAAAAATATTAAATATGTCAAATTTTTAATTTAGAAAATAAGAAACAGCAATATAAATGCATTTATTTTATTTTACCTTCTTAAATAAATATTTGTTTGTGTTTCTAATTAAAAGTATAAATTAAAATTGTTTTTAGCTTTATAAAAATGTGAATTTATTTTTTATGATTATTATTATATTTAAATAAAAATAATTGTTTTTGAAAATAATTTAGGCATTTTTTTTTTGAGAAAAGTTTCTAAATAAAAAATATGTCAGATTTAATTTTTTGAATTGTGAATTTTGAGATTTTGATTTATTTAAATTTTTTGAAAAAAGAAATTAAAACACTCTTTGTAAAATTTTACATTTTAGTTTCACTTACCTAAAATATTAATTCCAATGTAATTTTAATGGAATTATCATTTTATAATCAGATTTAAATTTATCAAATATATTCTTAGTTTAAAAATGAAAATAATAATTAGTTTTTTAAATGGCACTCAATGTATAGAAAGAATTTAACGCATTAATGTATCTTAATTGTATTATTTAAGATACAACAAAAGATACAATCAATATTCTATAAATTAATTTAATTAATATTTTGCGTATTAGCATATTTAAGAGATAATTATTGATTAATAAAGAATATTTTATGTAATTAAAAGCTATAAAACACCAAAACTTTGAAATTCACAAAATAAAATAAAAGCAAATAAAAATCATCAATTAGTGATACAATATATATGTCAGAGAGTTCTAAAAAAAGAATATTTGATTAAAGCCTGGACTAAATAATTCACATGCTTTAAGGTTAGTTTTAGTCAACTATAATCCTTAGCTAGAATTTAGATAAGTTGATTAACTCTTCATATTTTAACTACCAACCTCCAGAAAAGCCATACCCTTCAGGTCTACTTCTTTTAAAGTAAATAAACCTATTTTAAATATAATAGATTAAATATTTATCTTATTTATATTTAATTAAAGCAATAAAGTCATATCTAATAGCTTAAAAGAGCACGAATCAAAATAAACAAATCATCTTGGAAATCATGAAAAATTGAGCAAAACTTAACATACTTTAAATAAATCTCTTGAATAGAGTTATTCTGATATAAATAATAACTTGAGCAGCTAGTCTTTGTCTTAGAATACCAAAATCAAAAAAGAGGTATTTCTTTAAATAAAATTATTATTAAAAAACATAATATTTAAAATGAAAAATATATTTAGGAATCTGAAAATCAAAGTGATTAATAAACTCAAATAGAAAATTAATCACACATCTAAGATCAAAATTAAAAATTAATTTCTAAAGAAAAACAAGATGGCAAAGATAAAGAAAATGGCTATTATTTTTCTGATTTAAAATCAAAAGAAGAAGATTCAAAGCCTACTGTCAAGAAGATTTTCAAAAAAAAGAAAATCGAAAAAATAAAGAAGAAATTTTGCATATCTTAAAATCAAAGCTTTAATTAAGACTCTAGCTAAGAAGAAATATCAGTAATTACAAAACCTGATATTGAAGAAGATATCAGATATTAAGCAGAGAATCGCTAAAAATCTGATTAAAATTTAATAAATTAAAGCTTTTAAAATTTTACCTCTTATGAAAATGTGAACTCTAGTGAAATGAGAAATAAATATTTTTAAAATTCTCCACCAATTCATTAGAAATAAAGATAATTCTATGACATTTTACAATCCTCATATTACAAAAATCGTTAACAGGATTCTTTTTAAAAATAATTTTTATTGAGCAACTATTAAAACTAGTACTACTAAAGTTCTGAGAGAACAAAGCAAATGCCTTCACCTTTTATTGCATAAGAATATAATCCACCCATTTAAAAATAGATTAACAATGTGAGTTATTTCTATACAGAAAACAATCTATACTACCAACAGCTTTTAAAACAGTATGGTAGCATGAAAAATTTATAACTTTTTGAAGATTAGGGTTATAGCAATAATGCAATCTAAAATTAATAAATGGGATAAGTTAAAACAGAAAATATAGAAGACATTTCATCTTAAATTAATGAATCTTTTTCTAATAATTCCTAGCAATTTAAAAAAAACAAAAAATTTCCTTCTGTTATATACATAGAAGGAAGCAAAAAATTTTAATGCCAAATTTGTAAAAAGACATTTGATTCTAAGTAAAAACTTGGAGGACATAAAGCAAGATCACATCCAGACGCTCCTTGCTAGAGAACAGAAAGAGAAGAAAAGAAGAAGAAAAAAATTTAAGAGAGTGAAGCAATAACTCCTTCAGAAAGCAATACAGCTGATGGATATGATTAATTTAAGAGTAATACTAATTATTTAAAATCTAATCCTTCTGGCTTATAACTCAAAAACAAAAATAGGTGTTTAGAATAATATCCTTAGATGATTAACTACTTACATGACTCAAATGAAAAAAATTTCCATAATAACAATTCATTACAAAACATCAGCAGAAATATTTTCCATTAATAGCAAGACACAGATTATTATAGTTTTTAACCAAGACATTACTCATATCAGTGATAGCAAAATTTTATGATTAAACAAAATAAAAAATATATCATTCATTATATACACTTTAAATTAAATATTTCAAATCATTGAATTTTTGAAAATAATATTTAGGAAATTTATGCTTATTTTAATAATAAATGAAATATTTTATTAAATTATTTGAGAAACACTTGAAAAATTTATAAAAAATGATTTTTTACAAATGAATTTTTAAATATTAAAATTTCTTGTGATTATTAATAGTGAGTTTAATAATGTTTTGCAAAATTTAATTATTGTGAATGCTTACTTATTCGTAATCAATTGATTATTTAAAAATTGTGAAAACTTTAAAATTATTTATTTTTAAAATAAATTTAAATCTAATAGAAAAATATTTGATGAATTTTTTTATTAATAACAATTAAAATTTATTACGATATAATTTATGCATTATAAAATTAAATTTTTTATTAATTTTTAAATTTTTTATATAAATTCAAAGAGCTGTTTAGTATATCATACTTCTCTCTTTTCTTAGAATTGAGTGAAATAAACAAAGATAGATGCTAATGAGCTCTAAGAAATTTAGAAATCATTTATCAATCCTCTGCTCAAGCAGAGATGATTTTCGAAGAAGTTGAATGTCTTGCTCAACGAAAAATCTTGGTATGGCAAGATAAGATCAACTTAGTCATTTTAAGTTGTATCACTTAGGAATTTAGCTTGTTGGAAAGTAGCTTAAATTTCTCTTATGGCTGCATCTCTATTTTCTGTTTTAAAGTGAATTTTGTAGCCTTCACCATACTTTTCTTTCAAGAATTGAGGTGTTCCGTAACACATAAATTTACCGTTAATAAGGATACCGATTTTAGAGCAAAGGGACTCTGCTTCATCCATACTATGAGTAGTTAGAACAATAGCTCCTTTTCTTAGCTTTAAACTCTAACTGAGTGTATTCCATAGGAATCTATTTAATTTTTAAGAGAATTAATTTTCATAAAAAATAATGATTTATAAATAAATTACCTTCTTGCAATAGGATCTACACCAGAAGATGGTTCATCAAAGAATTACATATCAGGACCACCAATTAGAGCCATAGTTACACATAGTTTTCTTTTATTACCTCCACTGAGTTTACCAGCCCTTCTATGAACATAATCTTCTAATTGCATAACTTTCAAGAAGTATTAAATACTGTCATTTAGGTCTTAACCCTTTAAGCCTTTCATTCTTCCAAACAAACGGAGATGTTCAATAACTGATAAATTTTCATAAATATTATCAAATTAAGGACAAATACCTACATCTTAGTATATCTCCATTAAACCACTCTCTACTTCAATATTTTTTAATTTTACACTACCTTAACTTTTAGGGATCAAAGCAGTTAGGATGTTAAATGTTGTAGATTTACCAGCACCGTTAGGTCCTAACAAACCCAAAATTTCTCCGTTCTAAACTCCAAAAGAGTTATTCTTAATTGCTGTGAAGGGAGGAGTTTTTTTATTTATTTTATAAGTTTTATAAAGCTTCGATACCTTTATTTTATCTTAACAATTAATGTTAGATACTCTTTAATCTTCAGCTGCTACTTCTTAAGGTACGCTCTAATTTTAGAATTAAGAGTAATCCACTTCAGGTTCTTTAGGGAATTTCTCTAATTTTTTCTCTATCCTCAAAGCAAGTAATCCATACACAATTCCCTGTGCAAAAAGTATCAAGATGTATTAATAGACCTTATTTTACCATGTTGGATAGTTATTTGAAAGATACATATCAGGGTAAGGTTGAGTATTAGCAGCTATAACTTAAGTACCCATACTATAGCAGAGATAAGGTGATATCAAAACCATATAACCCTGAAATAATTTGATTTATTTTAAGAAAATTTTTGATTTTAATTAATTTTACCTAAAGTGTTGTACTCTAAGATGCAATTATAGCTGGAACTGTGTAGAAAAAGAGATAATTTACAAAGAAGACTAACTAATTTAAATATAAGTTGAATGATAAAATTTTAATTTTTATAAATATTTGATAATTTACTTTATAGGCAGTTTGAGCTTTTTTGAATAAAAACGAAAGGAAATATGATTAGCAAATAATAGAAAACATAAATAATTATGTAATTCCGAAGAAGCTGCCAAAGTAATTTGTGATTGCATTGAATTAAACTATATAGCAGAAGATAAAGAAGATGTATAGATTTATCGAAATGAAAATAAAATCAAAGGCGAATGTTCCTAACCAGTAAGGTAAACTTCTGCATCCCATAACATTTAAAGAGTATCTCAACTTTAATTCTCTTTCCATAACTGGTACACCACAGAAACTTGTAGTCACAAAGACATATGCAAGCATACCGAAAATACCTATTTAATTTACAAAACATCTTAGAATTCTTTGAAAGTAAAAGTATGATTTTATTTATTTACCAAAAATAATAACTTAGAAAAATTCAAGTGATATTTGTTTATCAGGGTCTACATCACTATTATCAATTGCACTCTCAGTGATAGCAAATTTAGCTACAAAAAGACCAGCTAATTGGAGAGCCATAGGTAAGAAGAAACTGATAAAAATAGAGACAGATCTAATAGTCATAAATATTTTTCTCTAGAAACATGCTAATGTTTAATTGACAAAATCAAAAACTGGAGGCTTTTAAAGACACTCAGGAACAGGAATATTTGAAAAGTCTGTGAATTTTTCTTATCCCTTTTTAAAAAAAGAAATTTAATTAATAAACATTTTTAATTTAATAAAATTTTAATTTTTTTTACTTAGTTTTCTCCTGGATTTAAGTATTTCTCTTCATCCATACCTATATTGATAAAGGCATCTTCAAGAGTATTCATTTCTAGATCTAAGCTTAGCTCTGGTTGTTATTCTAAAGTAGAAAAGAGATTTGGGAATTTTTATTTGGAAGTAAATGGAAGAGTAAATTAAACAGTTCCCAATGAGCTTTGGGGGTTGTATTTAGCTTCAGGTATAATCTGGTTAACAATTTATTTAACCTATTCACATTTCTCAGGAGATAGTTAGTATTCACCTTAAATAGTGGGTTGAGGTTGTTGTTAGTTGTAATTAAAGCCTGAAGAAGGTCTATTATGATCTATTGATTGTCTACTACTTCTTTTCATCATATTTTCTGATTTTCTAGTTATTGTTAAGTGATAGCCCACACCAAAGTTCTTTTTAATAAATTCATTTGTACCAAGAGTTAATAGCTAACCTCTAGCCATGATGGCTATACGATCAGCACATTCTTCAGCTTCTTCTAAATGGTGAGTTGTAAGGATAATAGTTCTTTATTCTTTTTTTAGCTCCAAAAGAATTTCTTTGATTTCTTTTCTTGCATTGAAATCTAAGCCACTAGAGGGTTCATCTAAAAATACAATCTTTGATCCTCCAATCTAAAATTGATAAATTAAAAAAAGTTAAGTATATATTCTTAATAATTTTCATTTTGAAAGTTTAATTTACAAGAGCCATAGCTAATGAAAGCTTTCTTTTATTACCACCACTTAGGATTTTAGCTGTTTTTCCTACTTCGTTTGAAAGTTAGCATTTTTAAATTAGATAATTAATTTCATTTTCTAACTCTTCGCCTTCTCTTCCTTTGATTCTTCCTATAAACTGAAGGTGTTCTTCTACAGTAAAGTTATCGTATAAGACATCTCTCTACTAGCATAATCCAATATTTTAACGAATTTAATCTAAATTCTCATCAAAATCTAAATTATTCATAATGATTTTTCCTTGATTTTTTTATAGTAACCCAGTTAGTAAAGATATAGTCGTAGTTTTACCAGCTCCGTTGTGTCCTAAGAGACTATTATATATATAAATGTTAGTTATTTTTAAATAATAACTAAATTAAAAATATTTACCAAAAAATTTGCTATTCGTACAATGTCAAGGATAAGTGATCAACTGCAGTAAAATCTCCAAAAGTTTTAACTAAATCTCTAACTTTAATTGTCACTGAAAGATTATTAAGATTTCTAAATTCTTCTTTATATTTGGCAGAGCTATAATCAACTTAGTTAGTAGAGTAATTAATTTCTTCATCATTTTCTTATTGATTTACACTTAGATTCTCTCTAAGTTCATTTGAGGAACCAAATGACTTCTTATTTGATTTTTTCTTCCAAATCCAATTTATAAAGAATAAAGCATCTTTTTAAGTACCATATTCATTTTTAATAACCTAAATTTATTTTACAGAATTAATTTTCACTTCTCTTAACAAAGTTAATGATAAAAACACAAAAAAAAGTTTTGTGGTTAATAAAGCTAGTAAATTAACTTTAAAATTACAAAATGCTTGATTGTGTCAAAATTAAGTCAAATCAATAAATAGAAAGCTAAAGAAAGGTTTAATTTTATTACATTATCGAAGTATACATAAAGGAGGAAGTAGACAATTGTATCCAGTATAAGCATGGATATGCCATTAGAATAGCTAAAGTTCATATCAGAGTAACTAAAACCACCACCTGAGCCTTATTAGTTCCAACCTGCTTGAAGGAAAATAAATATTACACATGTTTAAGGGAACAAACATAGAAGGCTAAGCAAAGAATTATTTTCTTAAACTGATTGAACTGCGGCTACATATTACAAGGCAGAAGCAATTAAATGTACCAAAGTGATCAAATCTGAAGGGAGTTTAGGGTGGGAGAAAAACGTAGTGTACATATAACACTAACTTAATGCAGCGCATATGAACAGAAGATAAGCTAATACAATCTCTCCTAAGCTCAAATTACTTGAACTAAATGCTTAAGCTATCAAACAAGGTAGCAAGTAAATAAAACCAATCTTTTTTTTTTTAATAATATTAATCAAGGGTAAAGTCTAAAAAATAATTATTTTACAATGAATGCTTTAGAGTAGTTAAATATGAACCAACCTAGATTATATGATAAGCTTTTAAGTCCCATAATCTATATTAAAATAAATTTTAATCCTCAAAATAAAGCGTTAATTTATAAAAATGGATAAATGTAAGTAAGTACCTTTTAAGTTTCCTTATATTTTTCAGATTTTTCATTTATAAAATTGTAAACAAATGATCTCAGAAATCCTGAAAGAGACAGAGGAAGGTATAACGCTGCTATGAACGAAAGAGAACTTTAGCTTTCTTTAGTGTATTAAAGTAATAATATAAAAATTAAAATCAATTTTATAAATATAAATTACTCGCAACTATGTTAAAGACAGCTGAAATAGCTGGAGGAATTATATCTTTTAGATATTCATAGTTTCTTAAGTTAAGCATGGCATTCTTTTTAATGATAATGCCCGTTTATTTTAAAACACTAGCCATTTATCTTTATTTAGAAATTTTTAAAAAATGATTTATGTTTTACAAATAAATTCATTAGAGTTTTCAACTGTTGAATAATAATCGTATAAATAGCGCTGAGCAAAAATTTAATTTTCTTTATAAATTACTGTAATGAACTAATACTTTCTGATTTTCTTTTAAATAAAAATTTGTTCACCACACATTTAGAGATTTTGATGTAATATTTTAATCTTGCTGAGGAAGTTTATTAGATTTAATCATAATATTACATTTAATACATAACAAAAAATGCTCTTTTTAAACAATATTTTTTTTCTAAAGAATTCTTTCATTATAATTGTATTGAGCTTTTTCTTAGATATTTTTATCAATTTTTTTAAAAATAAATTAAAAAAATATATTTCAATAATAATATTTTTTATGTAAGCTAATAATTTCTCTACCTTTTCCACTCTCCCATAAAATTATGTTTGATTTACATTATAAAAAATTATTCATCATTCATTTTTTTAATAATATATATGTTTTAAGTAAGTAAGCAAATTATATTTCTGGTGATTAAATTAGATTAGGCAAGCTAATCATACATAAGGTAGAGCCTCTTCATTTTATCAATAGATATTTAAAATGTTTAAAATTTAAATTTAAATATAAAATATTTACTTTAGATAAATTTTCCTAATCATATTTTAATAGATTAACTTCTTACTTCATTAAACAAGCTTAAATCTCTCTATAATTTCTTAATTTTTACTTTATTTGACAGAATACATTAATTTCACAAAGTTAAAAATGTTCCAAATGATATTAAATATAACATTTTGGGAAAAAAAATATTTTATTATAAAAGAAAATAAACATTAATTATTTTTATAACAAACTTTTAACTTTTAAACTTTTCAAAATAATTTTAGATTTAGATAAACTATGATTGATTATTGATATTTTAGATAAAATAGTGTTTTTTGTCAGTCAAAATATAAAATTTTCTTGCAAATTTATTTAGGGCTTTTTAAATAAATTTATAGAGATATCATTTTTAATAATTGATTGATAAAAAACTTTTATTTGTGTTAAAGTTTATAAAAAATTTTATAAAAAGCATTGAACATTTAATAAATATTTCTCATTTATCATTTAAAATCTTATTTGATTTTTTTTAAGCAAATAAATTTCCATTTATTAAGACTGTCAATTAAATCTATAAGAAGATATTAAAAAAATTAAATATTCATGAATAAATCATAAAAAATTGAAAAATAGAGATTATTGAATATGAAAAACTTCTTCTAAGATAATAGGAATATAAGTATAGTAAAAAGTTTAATTAATTTAATATTTGTATTAATAAATATGCAATATGCTTAATTTAATATATTCATAAATATATCTTGATTTAATAAAAGAAATAAACTTATTAGTACTAATCTTTCTTCATATAGTTATATTAGATAGAATTAAAATAGAAAAAAATTTATTAATATTTTAAATTCTAATTAGAATAATTACATACATAAATAATTTTGTAAATAAATATTAGATTTATTACTACAACTAAAATAACTAAATAATTAATCTAAAAAAAGTTTTTTTTCATTTAATATTTGAGCTAATACTTTTCTAGCTTTTGATAGTTTTCTTTTTGATAAAATTTTGTGAGACAAGAAGAGGTTTCATAACACTTCTTCTCTGTTTAGCTTTGTTTTTAAATTTGTCAACCCTAAAAATGTAATTTAAATTATTGTGAGGGAAATAGTATTAAAAGTTATGGTAAACAGAAAAATCGATGCTAACATTTTATTATTCATAATATGAATAGATTCCTAACTTAAGTTCTGTTTAATTGACTTAGCTTTCATTCAAATCATTAAGTGTTTATTTACCATCTTATTATTGAGCAGCAATAGAGTTCAGCAGATTAGATTGTTAACGCTATAGTGATGTCTGTATTTTTTAAAATTGCTATTATTATTATTATTACTATAACTAAATTTATTAATTTGATTTTGATTAACCTCCATCATTTGATATCTGCCTGACTTACTTTATATTATTAGAACTATTTACTTAAACTATTTCTTCATAGCTTTTATAGGTGATAGATTACTGTTTTCTTATTATATTGTTTGGATGAAGCAAATCTATTTATTAAAATTATTATTGATTTATATTTTAGTTTTATGGTGTATTCACATCATTTATGTAATTATTTTTCATAATATTCAAGTTGCTACTTGAGCTTATGGTTGTATCATTTACTTTCTGAACTTTTTGCTTTATCTTGTTATTAGGAGTAAATGTCTGAATGCTTGAACTATGAAATACTTCTTCCTTGTTTTAATCTTAATTAGTGATACTTTCAGCTGCTTTTCCATTAACCTTCTCTTAAATTTGTTTTGGAGTTTCACTTAAATGGCGATTAAATTAAGTATTAAAATGATCATCCTAAACAGAGGGTGATAAAAGAACCAAATCTTCTTAATCAAAAGCTAAAGGATCATTTTATTCATAGGATACAAAATTCGATATGAGATCTCTATGTGTATCTGAGGCATTAGGGCTAATAAAATTAACTGAGATTAAATTTTATAAATCTTATTATTTATCATCATTGTATTAGTTCATAATACTAATCATTTTTTATTCTTTTTTTAACTATTTTAGCTGTTTTTTGTCTTTTTTTTAATCATCTTCGCTTTATTCCTACTATTTCTCTGGTTAAACTTTAAAATTTGAATTAAATTCTTATTATGCTTAACTATTTTTTGTTAATTCTATTTTCTAGTTATAATTCCTATCATTTTCATTTTAGTGTTAAACTTAATTCTAATTATTAATTTAATTATGCTAAAAATCACCGTTTCTATCTTATAAATTTGTATTTGTGTGAAGCTATTAAGTATGCATATGGTTATTAGGGTTATTTGTATCTGGATATTTATTTATTTGATGATTATCTTGATGATGGTGATGATGATGATGCTCCTTTATAGTAAAGCATTTTAGAAAATTATTAATTTCAAATTGAATTTAGTTCTAAGTACTTAATGAGTGATACCTAAGCTTTACCGTCTTTCTTAAAATAGTTTCTTTTTTTGTAGTAGGCATTACACCATATTTTTAACTGAAGAGCTTTCTTCTCTGCTCATAGAAGGTAAAATGGCAATCTCGCTCGATGTGATTCTTTTCATAACAAAGAGAGCAGTCTATCTATATGTATTAACTTTTTTTATTTATAAGAATCTAGTCTTTCATATGGTAATAGTGCTCTTTTTCTATTGGAAACTTTGCAACAACATCTAAAAAGTCCTTGAGCTTTAGCATATGTAATTCTGTCACTCCTTTACTTTTAGCATAGCAGAGAGGTCTTTAATTTTAAGTAATGAATTCTATCAAACCAACATAATCTCCCTAATTTTTTAAAATAATTAAGTTAGTAAGTTAGAAAATAAATGCCTAAATAAATAATATCTTATTATTGTTATTATTAACTTAATTAATTACCTTGTTCTTAATCCTAATTACTTTTTCTTAAAGTGAGTTTTGAAGTTCGAAATTGGTAAAATAATATTCAATAACCTACCCTTCTACTACAAAGTAAAGGGCTGGATCGTTTATCTACTATCTTGTAATAATAGGATCATCAGAAGCGTAATATATGGCTTGCATTTTTAGTGCTAATTACTCTATACACTCAGCTGAGAAGTAGTTCTTAAAAAAGGGAATTCTTAGAAGTTACTTTTTTTGATTAAAAAATTATTTTAATATATTTAAAAAATGTATGTAAGTAAGTAATACCTGAGAATAGATATTAATAAAAATCTCATCCTTTAATTACTTCGAAAGACAATTAAGAATGCTCTACGATTTTCTTTTTTCTTCAAGACTGACATCTTTCACATATTCTATATATTTTCTAGCCTTTTGTTGCTATTATGGGTCGACATTATAACGGCGCATAAACTTAGTTACTTAACTCACTAAAAGATTGAAATTGTCCCATTTTGTATTCAAGTTTCTCAAAATAATAGTAATTGAGGTAATTGTATAACCAAATAATACGCAAGCACCAAATGCTATTAATGTAGTGAATATTTTTTCTGTATTCGAACTTGGCTAAATATTTCCTTTCACAGATGACATCATAATTATTGCAAAAAAGTAGCTGTTCACATATAAAGTATAGTCGTCAGAATTTTGATATGAGTTTTTAACAATCCATCCAGAATTTGATTACTCATATTATATTTCTCCTAATTTATACCATACACATGCTACTACATGACAAAGATATAATACTATAGCAAATAGTTTCAATAAATCTACAGATGCAATAGATTTTTCTGACATTTGAAAGGCGTCCTTAAATTTTTAGATTAGACTTGGCTTGTAAAAAATTCTTAATAAAAAAATACTCCTACTATAATTAAATTAGAGTAAACCAATAGCAGAAAAGTAAGTTAAAACATCAAGAGGAAATTCAAGCGAATATGTATAAACTTTTAAAATCTATACATGATTTTTTATTAACTCTCCTTTAACATAGACAGCAGTGTTAAAATTTTTTAAAATATCGATTCCCAAAAAAATTATGATTATGACATACCCAGCTCCCTAAATAATTAAAGATCTTTCATTCTCGAAAGCCACACTAAAAGGTAAATAAACGAACAAAAATAAGCAAAGCATCATATACAAGATCTCCCAAAAAAGTACAATACCATCATAAGGGTCAAAAACTTTTATGTTTTTTAAAATTTTCTCTACTCGCTTATCTAGAAAGAGAAGGCAATCTTATATCTTCATATTTATATCTCTAAAAGCCTTTCTAACTTATCGAGTGCTTTTTTTAAGTCTTCTAATAAACTTATTTTGGCTATAATTTACAGTTTTGTTTTTTTAATGCATATAATCTATTCTTCTCTACTTGCTTTATTCTGTCTAGAAGAAGCTTAAATCGTCAATCATTTCTATTTAATTTTATGTTGCATACTGAATACTAATTGCCTTTAATGTTGATTTCCATCTTTGTATAGCTTCTGATACCAAGTAAATTAATTTATACCAAGTTACTTTTTCGAATTTTTTTACAAAATCAGATTTGTGTTTATCTGAATTTTAAGATGAAACACTCCCATCGTCTTTATTACTATTCTAGTCTATAAGTTCTATTAACTTTGATTTCTTTTTTTCTTGATTAACATCATCTTAATTTGACATATCTTCATTTTTATCATATTCCCTATTGACACTCAATTAAATTTAATTAAATATATTATAATTTGTATCCATTTAATGAGGTGTAAAATCTTAAGGTATTTAAAATTAATTATTATTCTACATTTTTTTCTTGATGAAATTTGGTCCTTTTTCTAACTAGAATGCATTAAATTATAGATCAGACTCATTTGGAGATAATGGATAGATTCTTTGTGACTAATCTATCTATTTTAAACTTTATTTCATTTTGCAAAATAATTAATTGCGTTTTACTTTTTTTAAAGCTTATTTTGTTAATTATATATGCAAATTTAAAATTGAGAGTACAACTTTTATTAGTTAATTAATTAGAAACAAGCACACATTCATTTTAATTACTTTTCCAACTATTTTCATTCAAAAAATATGTGCAAATATATGTTTGTTTGTTAATTATATAACCTAAATAACTTAAATAATGAAGACTTTTAATAATTTATCATATTTAAATGCCAATCACTCATAAAAGACTATACTTATTTTAAATCATTTAAATGCTTTCATTCATTTTCAATTATTTGGAAATTTCTTCAATACATATCACAAAAATACCAATATTCGAATTTGAGTTTATATGTTCTAACTAGAATAAGAAATAAAGTAAAAAAAATAAAACTATTAATTAATAGTAATTCTTTTCATCATTTTTCAATAATATCTTTTTTATCAAATTTCAAAGTAGATTATATATAATCTTTGTTTATTATTATATATATTTTTAGAATGAAAGAAAAAATAATTTACTGTAAGTATTTGAGTTTTAACGATTTTTGCTAAATTTTGAACCTACCTAGCAAAAAATTTTCTTAATTTCATTTTTTCATCTTTCTCTTGCTGCAATTTATTAAAAAATGAGGAAATATAGTTGTATAATTTAATTTTTAATATATTTGAAGTTTATCAATATTTTATTCTTTTAATTTAAAATACATAATTTTAATTACTTATTTATTAGCGGTAAAAGTTATTATTTTTAACAAATTAAGAATAAATCTAACCATTATTGATATTTTAATATAATAGAAAATGAAATATAATATTTTTAATTAAGAAGTAGTATGAAAATCACCCAAATTAAAAGCATTTATTTAAATAGAAATCAAAGATTTTATTAAAATGTTAACCATTTTAGAATAACTAAAATTTATTTTTTTTACTGAGTTAAAATATTCCATATTTCAAAATTGATTTGCTTTTTTACCGTTTCTAGCTAATTTAGTTAATTAAATAAAAAGGATCTACAATCAAATATATAAAAAAAGGGTATGAAATAAAAATATTGATTAATTCTTCAAAATGGAACACAGTATTCATAAAAATAAATTGTAATAGTTAGCACTATACTACTTAAATAATATATCATAATTTTCCATATTGATATTTAATTATTTTATTATTATTCTTGTTTATCTAAAAATATTATTTTTAAAAAAGACTAATAAAAATAAAATTCATAATTTGTAAAGTTTTGAATAATCGCTTACACTTTTACATCTATAATTACTTATTTTTCAAAAAATTTAATATATTTTGGATATTTTATTAATCACACTTTCGATCAATAAGATTTAATTAAAAAATAGAAGTATTGATTTTTAATAGGTAAACTTTTAATAATTTTGCGAATTGAATACATCATCTAATTACACTAATTTGATCTATATCTTGTTTTTGATTTTACTATTTTTATTTTATCATATTTTATATTTAAAGCTTTTTGCAAATTTTGATATGTATTGGTCTTCTAAAATATCTTAAATTGTTAGAACCTTAAATATTTATTTATTTTAAAATTATATAAAATTATTATTTATTTTTACTAATTTATTTTCATTATGCCTATCCTACCCATATACATGGTAAATGACTGAATGCTATATTTTAAACCTCATAAAAAATTACTATCATTCCTCTGAGGATTAAACTTAAAAACTTAACTTTTAGTTAAAACTTTTCACTTTATAAAAAATAGATACCAACTAATTAATTAATTACATATTATAAACAATTAATGAAAAAAAATATGATTTCATATCAAACATTTTGCTTTCTTTTATTTAGATAAACATTAAAAGTTTTTCTAAAATTAGTTAGAATGATTTATTATTGATTTTTTAATTAAGTATAAGTAGATTAATTTATTTAATTCAGATTATGATTTAATAATCTTAAGCATTTAAGATAAGATATGTATTTACTTTAATTATTTTGTTTTTTTCTGAGTTAAGTAAGTCAGAATTGCTTAAAAATTTCTAAAAACTGTAAGAATAAAATTAAAAAATAGGTTACAATCTATTAATATTCAAGTATTCTATTAATTATTTTCACTAATTTAATATAAATAATGAAAACAAACTGATACTTGAAAACAAACTACTGAATTTATTTATTTATCTCAAAAAAAAGACATGCGAAGAAATAAAGAAACATAGAAAAGAAGAATTCGATCAATTAAACTGGGTAAAAATATAATTTGAATAAATTTTTTATCTAAATTTTATAAATAGTTATTATAATGTTTGTTTGTTTATTTGTATATATGATTAATTGGTAATATATATCAACTTAGATTCTTTAATATAATAAGAAGAAATTTAATCATTAAAAGCTAATTAATTAAGTATTTTTTAAGATCATTTATTTCTTTTTTTTAGGAATTGTTTATAGGTAATTTGATTAGAGTAATTGTATAAGTAATATTTTAAGAGGAATTTGTGACTTTCTTCGTTATAACACGGGTTTTAAACTAAATTGGTTATGTTATTTTCAATTTTAGATTTTTATTGTTCCCTCATATATAAAATCTGTTAAATTCTAGCAGGGTCTACATCTATTTCGATCACCCCCAATACATTCAATAGGTCATATCCTTCTACATTTCTGTATTGTTCAGGATATTTTTCTTAGAAATTAATTATTTTAAAACTGATTTTTACAGGTAGTAATGAACCATCTACTGTTACTAAGTTTATTTAATCACTAAAATGGTTCGCTCTTCCATGTATGCAGTATTAAAATTAGCTATACATTAAAAATAAGTTTGAAAAAGAGTCAAATACATTAGCTCTGCCTTATCTCATTGTCATTGAAACGAAATTGGGAACATCCATACCCAGTAAGCATATCACTGCTTTACTTACTACATATTAGTAGTATTCTAAGTTTCCAGTCATATAATTTAATTTCCTCTTTGCCAAAAAGTATATCTTATTCTAGCTCTCGAGATTATCAATTTCTTCCTCACAAAATTTTTCAAAATATTTTTCACGCTCAATATAAAAATTTGGATTTTCTTAGCTTTATAAATACAATTTTTGTAATAATTGTTGTATTTGATCAGCCTTGTATTTATATTAAACAAGTAATTCTGCTAGACTATGTGAAAATTAGTCTTACTTGGAGTTAAGAATATGGACTAATTGATCTGAATATTTAGGAAGACCTAAATTAAATTTAAAAGTACCTATGTTTAAATAAACGCAGTCATATTTTAAATTTTATTAGACACTCATATTTGGTTTATATCTATTATTAGATAAAAATCTTTATTCATCCAAATCCAGAGCTTCATTGGTATAATCAAAGAAAAAATCTCCATATAACATATATTTTTTGTTAAAGCTTTCTTCTAAGTAATGTGGTATTGTCAGAGGAAGTTCTTTCCAGCCAAGTACAGACTATTATATATTTTAATTTTGTTTAGATTATTTTCTTTTATTGTTAGAGCTAATATTTATATTTTTGGAGGAAATGCACTTTGTTTCTTTACTATCTTATTGTATATAAGTTTTAGTTTTTTTATATGTAGTGTTGCTGTAGGAAGGGATCAGCGAAAGTTTATTCTGGATGGAAGTATCACATTCTGCTTCAATCTCTTTTATTGTTTCTTCCTACTCTGTTTCAAAGCTTGCATTAGATATAGATATATAGCTCTATTGTTTTGAAGTAGGACTCCAATTATAATCTATAAATGAAACAAAATTTGATTAAACCTAACTTTAAGAACTCATTAGCATGGAAAGTATGTATTTATTGCTTGGTATATTGTTAAGTAGATACGAAATTTGTTATTTAAACGTTTCAGTACAGAAATTTTTAGATAGTATTTTTGTTTATTTGAGCCAAAAGTGGTATAGTATGTGTTAGATTATATACCCAAAAATTATGTTTATCTTAATGCTCTTTTTAATTGCAGTTTTCTAAAAATTTTATGAATTACTTTAGTGACTTATTATGTACCATAAAAATTCAATCAAAAATTAATTAAAAAAATTCGTGATGGTTATTATGCAAATTTAAACAATAAAAAATCAAAGATTATTGGATCGATAGATAAATAGATAAATCCATCCAAATATACTTACAATCTTTGAAACCTTCTCTCTTTCTAAATTGAAATGCTCTTTCCATTTAGAAATTAAGCAAATAATTAAATTACTAACTAATTTTGAATTATAGTGTTTATTTGAAAAATGTACACTTACATGGGTATTGGAATTCATCATCCTAAACAAAAATATTGCAAATTTTAAAATTAATAACTAGCAATTACAAAATGTAGCAGTAAGTAACAATCATAAAATTGTAATTTAAAATAACCTCAAAAAAAGAAATATTTTATTTTTGTAGTATCTGATTAATAATTTATTATTATTATGACTAATTTTTTTTTAATTGGAACAGATTTATAGTCTTTTAAAGAATAAAATGATCTTTTACATTCGGAATGCTTTTATAAAACAAATTAATTATCCAAATATTAAAAAAATCATATCAAGAAAGACTATAAAAATAATCATATTTGGTTTTCATCTTCTACCACTTAATAAAATCCAGAAATTAATCTATACTCCTATTTAATTCATTTTCAAGCATAAACAACAATATGTAAATATTATTTTGAAATATTTTAACTATATTTATTGTTTCTTTTAAACTAATAACACAATTGATGCTAAAATTATAATATATTTTTTTTAAAATACTTAATAATAAATGATCTTTTATAGTTTTATTTAATTTCATTTTTAACAATTGCCAAATATTTTTCTACATAATGATGAAGCAGGTACTGATGGACAAAAAAATCTGCAATTGTAAACAGTAACCTACTATCTAAGAAAGATACTAAAAAATTTGTTTAATTATTTATTATTAATTTAGTAAAAACAAAGAAAAAATTAAATTAATAATTTTTTATTCGATCAGGAGTCAACCACATGCAGTAATTTTTTTTACTTAAATTCTATTACTTTCTTCCAAATGTAAATCTCAATAATTTTATAAAATATCAATTTCTGACATTACATTCATGAAATAAAGTCTATTTACAGTGACGAAAAAGCATTCTTGTAAGATTTATAGTTTAATAACAAATATTTAAATTATTTTTTGTCTTATAAATGACAAATTTTTTCTATTAGAAAAAAAATTACTTATTTGTAAAACCTTTTTTTCTATTAATCTTAATAAAACCATTTTTTATTTAAATTTTTATCAATTATAAAGACTTAGTTTATAAATAATTTAACTTAACCTGAAATTCAATATTACTTTGTAAAAAAAAAATAGTTGAATACAGTATCTTTTACTTATATAAAGTAATTTCTTATAAATCAAACTTAAAAATTAAAAATTTTGAACTCTTAAAAATAATTTGAAATTTATCAAAAATTGAATTAAAAATGGTTTTAAATGGTTTCATTAAAAAGAATTTACAATATAATTATATTAAATCAACATATTTTTACTAGGAAACTTAAAAATGAATTTGATCAATTATTTTTTTATAAAACGATTTAGAATTGCAAAAAGAATATTTAAATTACATAAATGAATGAAAGCTTGTTTATTTTTTAGTAAGTTAATTATTTAATTCAGATGAAATATTTATTTTTACTTTTTAAAATTAATGTTTTTAATAAATAAAAAATATTTTAGGGTTAATAATAACTTTTTCGGTTTAGTTTTTCTAAATTCGATTAGAAAGAATTTTTAAGATTGAAAAAATGATAGAGCGAATAGAAAAATAATTGTCGCCACTTTAACTATGTATAATTAATTCTTTATGTTTAGTGTATTGTGCAGGTAGCCATTTATTAGAAGAATTTATATATTTTTATTTGATAATTCTGCATTTAAAAAGATATTAATTTTTTAATTTAGTTTATTACTGAAATTAGGAATCAAATAATAAGATTAAAAAGTTAAAAGAATTTATTATAACATATAGATCTTAGATTAAAAATAATTCTAAAAGAAAATTAGCAACAAAACGTGTTAAAATGGACGCAGTAGAATTAAAGTAAAAGAAAAAGGGAGGTAAAGATAAGTCAGCTCTTTCTAAGCAAGGTTAGAGCACAGGTTTATTATCTCATGTAAATGAAAATGTTAACATGTTTTCACAATTATCAGCCATGTTTTTAGCAAACAAGGCTGAGAAATCAGACTAAGTAAAGAAGTTTTTAGATAAGACAGAAGACAAACAAGTTTTTTAATAGCATTCTTACGATCCTGAAATATAATAATGTCTAAGTCAATTAAACAAAAAGAGTTAAATTACAAAGCTAAAAGCTTTAAACACTCTCAAGGAACTTCTTTAGAAGTAACCTGAAGAGTTCTTTGAACAATTCATTTCTACATGGACTTATTTGTACAAGTAGTTTGTCAATTCAGAATATGATAGAAAAGTTTTTGAAGAAAGCAATAATGTTTTAATTATTATCATTTCTAAAAACCGTAAATGTTTGCAAGCCTAGTTTAAGGAACTCTTTCCTTATTGGTTTATATAAATGAATGATCCATCTGCTGATGTCTCATAAATTGCTAATCAAGCTTTCGACAAGGTTTTTTCATTTTTGAATAAAATTTAACTATTTTTGGCAATTAAATAATTACTTTTTGTAATAAACATTTATATCTTAATTTTTAAAATAATGTTTGAGTGATAGTTTAAAAAATGATTTTATCGATGCCAAATCAGATATTTAAAGGGAAATTCTTTTTTTAACTTTTTTGTAATAAAAAATAGATGTTCCCTAAAGAAAAATAGGCCTAAGCGTTTAATTTATGCATGGAAAAGTACATTCTTAACTTAAAATATTACCTCAGTATAACGTAAAAGTAGATTGAAAGCGAAAATAATAATTTAAGTGAGCATGAATCATAGGAAATATATGATAGATTAGTTGTTTCCTCTCTTAATTCTATAGCAAGAGCAATTTAGCTTAATAAGGATAGCAAAGATCCAAATATTTTTATTAGCTAATTGGAAGAAGAACTATTTGCACAGGGGAAAAAAAGCATACTCATAGAACTACTTTCTAAAAAGAGAATTAAAGTGCGTGCAGCTGTTATTGAAGTTTTATAGGTTCTTATGAACACCATTTCATAAGAAGTTTTAGAATAAAATATTGAAGTTATAGCAAAAAATATAATGCCACTTATTGATGATAAAGAAAGGTAAATTTAGTATTCTTTGTGGAAAGGATGTCTTTTAACTGTTTTGGATAAAGCTCCTGTTGCAATAATTGCTAAGTGTGACCTTAAAATGATTGAAGTCAAATCACTTGAAGTTCTTAAAAAAGCTGCTTCAGGTATCGGAAAGCAATTTTACTAAAACATCATTATCTTTTTAAGTAAACTACCTATGGCTGCATTCACTTCCATTTTAAACAAAGAGAGTGTTTAATAACAGAACAAGTTTAATCCTGAAGAATATATTAAGGAAAGATTCTCATTTATCAAAAAGTTCTTTGAGTCTATTCTTGCAGGTTTTACTCATGACGAAATTAAATTTTTCGGAGATTAGCTTGTTTAGTCATACTTTGAATGTATTTATTTCATTGTTCTCAAAAGAATTTCTGTTGTTTTAGATAAAGAAGAAGTAAAATCCCTTAAAAATGTTTAGAAATAAGCTCGTAACTTAATAAGAGATTTGATTTGCAATATATTAAATATCTATTTAGAATAAAATATTGCTGATAATGTAATGAATCCCTATAAATAAATCCCTAACTCATTGGGTTAACTAATTAACAATTTCAACACTGAATCAATCAATTCTAACGAAACAGATCTTTTTGATGAATTTGTTTATGAGTTTTCATCTATTTTTAGTAAGACAGCTAAGAAAGACACTACTAAATACAATAATTACATACTTTTATTATAGAGCATTGCAAATTTAGTCAACAAGAATAGTGTTTTGTTTAATAAATTAGATTCAGCTGTTCAAAAGATGCATGAAGATCTCCTTAATGATCTAAAAGGTCAAATTCAACCTTTAATGAATGATTCTCATATTGAAAAAATTCTGCCTATTTGCACTTAATACAAGCTATATGCAAATTTATTCAATTCCAGCTAATAAAAATCCCAAAAAAAGCAAGAATAAGAATAAGAAGAAGAATAAAAATCACCCGAAATATAATTAGGAGTTTTCTCAAACTTAGTTACTTAACAAACAGTAGCTTCTTTAGAAACAATTAATTTTTCAGTTTAATCAATTATTTAAAATATTAAAACAATAACAAATCCTACTTCTCTTGAAAAGTTTACAACTTTTATTTCTTAAATTTATTATTCTTGGTCTGAATCACTAGATGAGCAACATCCTTAATATAGCTCATTTTAGCAAATCCTAAAAGATATTTAGAATCACATTAAAATGTTGAATCAAGTAGATCCTAAAGCCCTCCTTCACTTATAATTTATACTTCATTTTGCTCTTCCTGAAACAAGTCCTACTTACTTCTCCTAATTTTGCACTCATGTAAATAAAATAAAACCAATAGGTAACATATTTTTCTATTTAATTTAGCTTAATTTATAATTTATTTTGTCATTTATGAAATAAAAATTTAAAAAAAAATAATTTAGACGACATATTGATACTAAGGAATCTTAGCGCCTTGGAGTCTGCTTAATCTCAAAAAAATAGAGTTCACATGTGCACACGCCTATAAAATAACCAAGAATATTAGACCCTTGCTTTTGGAATTTTATCTCATATTTTTGGAAAAATGGATAGATATTTAGGTGTTAGTTTACCTTTATTAGTTATCATTTTTAAAAATTACTTAAACAGAGATAATAAAATTAAGTTGATTAGCTAGATTTAAGCCAACATTTCCAAGAAGAGAGAATCAATCTTTAATGGAGAAATCTAAGAAAAAAATACAAGCAGAGTAATTGATGAGCTTGAGCTAAATTACTTATTTTGCATATAAATTTACAAAGACCTCCCAAAAGTGATAGATCAAAACTTTGATCATTTACAATTTTTTAATGATTTCTTTAAATTTATTTATTTCTGCTTTGAAAAGAAATTAAAATCTCGTATTCAATAAGCATTTAAGATATTTAAATACCTCATAAATGACTAAGCTGCATTAACTAGGATTATAGAGAATGCTACATGCATTTTTAAATTTGAGCTGAATACTATCTTTATTGATAAAAAATAAACCAAATTCGATACTCTTCTTAAGTTGATAGTAGACACCTTCAGCTTCTTGAAAAGCCATAAAAAGAAAGACGAAATACTTTAACTCACTTCAACAATCCTCGAGCCTCAATATTTTGAAAATATAATATTCGAACAAAGAAATTGGAGATTATTAGAAGCTCTGTTCGAGTAAATTACTGTATCTATTGACTTTAATGCTTACATTTAGAAACTATTTGTCTCTTAAAATGGATTCTGGTTGATTTCAAATTTGATTAGCAGTTAACAGATATTTGCTATACTTAATTCAATTCAACTTAAAAAATATTTTAAGGACTTGGCAAATAATTTTATCAAACCCCTCATTCATAAAGTAATTTTTTAATACAATTCCTTTTTTTACAAATTTATTTTAAAAAAGTAAATTGAAGAAGAGTTTGAAACAGCCCTCCAATTCTTAAACTATATGATGAAATTGGCTATAGAAAAGAGTTTAATTTATGGTAACTCATTGAAGGCTTGCTTAAAATAAATCATGATTGATGGAATAGAGACTCATAAACAATAACAAATATTCAATGATATAGTCAAAACAAAATTAGATTAACTTTTTGTATTGGAAAATATTGATCTGATGGTTCGTGAAGGTATTTTGATCAAAAATTTACTACCCCTATTTTAAGAATAGCTTGAAAAAGATTCAGGTAGCATCGAAGATTTGTTACGTAAAAAGGTTAGCGAAGTTTGTAGAATGAATGCCTAAGAACTTACTGATAACCATAAGTTATCCTCTTTAATATCTTTAGATATTTTGATGGCTTCTTTCTACAATGATTTCTACACAACTGAAGGATAATAAATTTAGCTTACAGAGTATATGCTAACTAATTTCGAAAAATTTGACTCTTATAACAACTATTAGAATTATTATACAAGTGTATTTTTCACTTTCATTAATGTTGTTATAGAAAAAATTGGAATTGAGCCTTTTTCAACTAATCTTATTGCAATAGAGAATCATTTCCGTAAATCGATTGAATATAATGCTAAACCTAGAAAATTAAGCTCTAATGCCTTGATTTCTCTCTTGGTATTTTTGCGTAAAATTGTCAACATCATTGAAGGATTCAGTTCAGATTTCAAAGAGTTTGTTATCCAAAATATTATGGACACATGCTTAATTAAACTGACTGAATTTGAATAAGACTAAAGCTAAAGGAATAACATAGATAATAATTTGATTATAGATGAATCTAATGATGTTGTGATTATTGAATTTGCAGAAACAATAAGCAGATTTGTCACAATATTAAATGAATATTTTGATGAAAACTTATCATATGAGTTACTCAACTGTAGATATCCTTCTATATAAAAGAGTAGTTTCATACTATTAAAACAATTCTATCAAGCTTTCTCACCAAAGGTAGATCTTACATTAAAGTGCTAAGCCTCGGATGAAGATTTTGAAGATAAGCTATTGCAAAACATTTATGATTAAAAAATGAATGTTGAAAATCTGTTAAAATATTTAGATGTTACAAATGTTATCCTTACTGAAGAAGAAAAGCAAAAGCATATTGCTTAAATTAAGAAATAATAAGGTATATAGAGTGATGATGAAGTTGAATTGTAAAAAGAAGAGAAAAAAACAAATCAAGATAACAATTCCACAAATCCCTAGAGCGAAGAAACAGATAATATTAATTATTTAAATCCTTTTGAAGAAAAAGAAGGTAAAGATGCTGATGAGGATGATGAAGATGAAAGTGAAAATTAAGACATTATAGACCCTAAGACTTATGGTCATTTGCTAACTTGGATATCCTTTGTTAACAAGCTTAACTCCCCTGAAACAGACGAAAACCATGAATTAGTTAAAAAAGCTTTAAAAATCTACCTAGATGAAAATAAGTTCATTTACAAGAACTTTTTAACTGTCTTATTCTAATGGATTGAATATTTAGAAATCCCCGAATCTTAATATAAAGATACCATTAGCATTGAAGATGTTTAGAATGTAAATCCTGAATGGTAAATAAATATATATTAATTATTTAAATTTATTTTAATTATTTCTTTTTCTTGAAAAATATTTTTGCTTTCATACATTAATTATTTCTCAAAACAATAAAAAAATGATTCAAAAATTAATAAAATATTTCCCAAAATTCATAAAAAAATACTTTAAATTAAAATTTACTTGTTTATTTAAAATATAAATAATATTAAAAAGGTCTGATTTCTTGTCCAAAGAAAGCTTGTTTTAACTATTGGTCTAATCTTTATATATTTTCTCATCTAAATTCCCCTTCTTTTTACGTAACTGGTTGGAAAATACAGCAGAAAAAAGATTCATTAAGGTTGCTGAAAGCTTAATCAAGAGCTTTATCAGCAATGCTCTTTACTTGAAAGAAGTAGAAACCATTGAATTAAGTTAGATTGGTAATTTTTTTAGTTGTTTTGAAATTTATTTAATTAATTAAAATTATTTTTTTTATTTATAGAATGGTAGTCTGAAGAATTTAATATTTATGTTCTGAAAAAAACGAGAGAAATAAATGCAATATACATGAAAGAGAACTAAAAATTAGAAATTAATTTGAAGATACCTTTAGAATATCCTATAAAGTAATTTCTTAAAATATGATGCAGATTATTAAAAATTCAAAAATTTATTTGATTTTCATTAATTTTTATCTATTTTTTACTAACAATTTTCTTTAAATAGACACATTTAAACAGAAGTTAAAAGAGGCATGAAAGTTAATTTGCAAAAAACTAATAAATGGATGTTAATGATGAAGTCATTACTATTTAATTAGAACAATACAATTAAAAATGCTCTTTTAATGTGGAAAGATAATTTAGATAAAGAGTTAGAAGGACTTGAAGAATGCGCTATTTGCTACTACGTCATTAACTCTACTTCAGGTGAATTACCTAAATTGCCTTGTAAAACTTGTAAGAAGAAATTCCACTCTTCCTGTATCCACAAGTGGTTTAAGAGTTCTAATAAGAGTGAATGTCCTCTATGCAAATCTCAATTTTTGTGAAACAATTGCAAAGAAAAGCAAAGGCTTTTTACAAAACTTATTAAAAAAATATTAAAATTAAAAATAAAATTTAAATAATTTTAATTTAAAAGTTAAAAAAATATATTAATAAATAATTATCCATTGAATCAATTAAATACAAATGTTTTGACCATATTTTTTTTACAAGTTTTTAATATGTTTTTAAAAATAATTATTAAATCAATAAAATTTTTGAAATTGTCATATTTATTGATTTATATTTTTGAAATTTATGTAATTAAGAATTTTTTAAACAAAAAGGCACCCTATATACAAGTGCATTATAAAAGAAGTGTCTGATTAGCACTAGTAATCACAAAACCAATTAATTTCATATCAAAAATTTAAGGAATTTAAGTTTGTAAAAGTAAATGGTTAAAACAAGAAATCAATAAAATTAATAACTTTTAGCAACTAATACACACGAGGTACAGCCTTAGAGAGAAAACAAAACCATTTAAAAATAAAAAAAAAGGTCTCAAGCTAATCGCGCAAGTAAAAAGACCTAAAGAAATCAAACAATTCAGTAAAGTAACTCTTGCTAAGAAGATTGTTTATCTTCAAATGAAAATTCTGGTTGTTTCATAGTAGAAACTAAAAAATATCCTGTAACTGGTATGAAAAGCAATAAAAAAGAAAATAGTTAAAAACATACCAGTACAAATACAGAGGAAATAGAGTGTCCAATATGTTTAGTGGAGATAAAAAATAAGCTAAGTATTTTTAAATGTTAGACTTGTAGTAAAGAATTTCATAGCCATTGTATATCAGATTGGTTTTCTAAAAAAGATTTGTTTAATTGTCCTATATGCAATTGTTCGCCATTCAAATGAAATATTTTAAACTAATAATACTCTCTATTTATATAAATGTGAAGTTATAAAATAAAATAAAAATAGAATTTATTTTAGATTTATTTTTTAATTTCATTTTATTCATCTACTTTCATTTTCTAAACTTAAAAATTAAAATGTTAGGCTAATTTTTGTTGTTATTTATTCAAAAAAAGAGTATTTTAATGAATGATTTTTTTTGTCAGTATTTTTTTTAATAATAGAAATTTCCTCAAAATATAAAAAAATAATAAAACATTTATTGTTGAATGAATTTTAAAATTTGATAAATATCTTTAATTTTCTTAAAACTAAATTATTTATAATTAAAACAATTTTGGATGGTTACTTTTTAATCATAGTAATATTTGATTGGATTTAAATTTTTATAATAAATGCGGAAATTAAAAAAATGATTAAGTTTTCTAAACAGCTATATTCTATAAAATATCAATTAATTAAATAATTCTTTCATGAAATTTGATAAAAAATATCAAGATTGAAATTAATTTGGTTAAAATTAGTATATAGTAATTATAAGCAAATTAATTAAATATATCTTGCAAATTTGTAGAGTTTGAGCTTTTGATTAAAACAAAATCAAGTAATTATTAAAGTAGAAAAAAAAAAAAAATTAATAGCATAGTTAAGCAAAACTATATACATAAATAAAAATCAATAAGTCCATAAAAATATTCAAAAGTATAAAATGGTAGGAGTTTCTAAAAAAGATTTGAGCAAGAAAAAGGTTGACCATTCAACCAAGAAGGGAGTTAAGTCTAACTTAAAATCAAACAAAGATTCTAAAGTTAAGCTTATGAAAAAAGATGAACATGGAAAAGTTAAATTATAAAAGCCTTTAAGCAACATTTCAGAATTAAAGAAGGAAAGAGTTGAAAAGAAAAAAAACTTAAATGAAAAAAAACAAAAGATTAAAGATGCAGTTGAAGAACAAGTTGAGGAATTTGATAATCAAGGATTCTTCGTTGTACCCACAAATGTACATTTTTAACCTTAAAATCTATTTGTAAAATGAATTTTATAATAAATTAATAATAGATGTAAATTACTGCTGAAGATGAAGAAATTTTGAAACATTTTTCTATCGGAGCTAATGCAGGCTCTGCTTTTGGAGATGAGAATTTGTTTGATAATATTGTCAATGAAATAGGATAGAATATCTCAAATAAACTTGAAGAAAAGACATAAAAGGAATATGCTGAAAACATGTTAAAAAATCCTAAAGTCAAAATAGTTTATTAAGAGTAACAAATAGCAATTATCTTTTGTTTTACATAAAATCAATCAACTCATAAAAAATTTTATCTTATATTATTTTTTCAAAAAATAGCATAGCAAAGTTAATGTCTCATTACAGAAGTGGCAAGCTTGCAAGAGCTTTTGTTATAATTCCTGGATTGGAGTAATGGGAGGAAGTTTTAGAATTAACAAGACCCTCAGAATGGACTCCATAGGCTCTTTTTGCAGCTGTTAAGCTTTTTTCTTCAAGCTTAGATGGACATAGAGCCAAAGTATTCTTTAATAAGGTAAACATTTAGTAGAGTAAAACATTTTAAATAGTTATCATTAAAATAATAGATTATCTATCCTGCTGTAAAGGCTGATATTAAGAAAAATAAAAAATTAAATGCTCACTATTATAATGCATTGAAAAAAGCTCTTTATAAGCCAGCTGCTTGGTTCAAAGGTATCATCTTCCCACTTATCACTGTAAATACGAATACTTTTAACACTAAATTAAAATATAGTTATTTATTTTGAATAGTAATATCTAATTTTATTTCAAATTATAAAGGATCCTGAAACAACTCTTAAAGAAGCTTAAATTATTGCAAGTTTATTATCTAAAATGACAGTCCCTGTCATGCACTCTGCTGCTTGTTTATTGAGACTTTGCTCAATGCCTTTCAATGGACCTACTTGTATAATGATGAAAACTATTATAGAAAAGAAATATGCCCTCCCCAATAGAGTAATTGATGGACTTGTTGAGTATTTAGTCAAATTCGTAAATGAAAAGAATGTTTTACCTGTTTTATGGCATTAAATGGTTCTCAGTTTTTGTGGATAATATTCAGGTAAATTAATTGTAAATAAATTGATTTTAATTAAAAAAAAAATTCTATAATGATTAGGTCATTTCAGTGAACTTTAAAAGAAAGCTTTGAAGCAATTAGTGAAAAAATGTAATCATCATATCATTTCAAGCGAAATTATAAAAGCTATTGATGGAGAAAATATAATTATAAATCCTGATAGTACAATGAATATGGAATGAAAATGCTCAATTTGATTTTTTCTTGAAAATAAATAAATTAGGGAGATTTAAAATTGTAAATATCAAAATTAAATAAAGAATTTTAGTAAAAATAGTATTAAAATAAAAACGAATAATAAATAATTAACCTAAAAGAATTAAAAATTATATAACTTAATTTAAACAAATGGCTATCTATTTGTATTTCAAAATTATATCTTTGCTTTCTTTTAATCAGATATTTCAAATGAGTTAGAGAAATTTAGTTTACCTAAAATTAAAAAAATTACTTATAAGCTTTTTATTAACTTGTTACTTAAATAATTTTTCTTTCAAATTGTTTTATGTATAAACTAAGGTTCTATCTAACAAAAAGATAAATTGATAAGTATATTTTAATTTATGCTTAAAAATAAAAAAGGATGTAAGTAAAAGTTAGTTTTAAAAAAACAAATAATAATTTATTAATTTTAAATATTTAAAAATTATATAATTTATTTAAATAAATGGTTATTCATGTTTCAAAATTGTATTTTTGCTTTCTATTAAAAGATATTTCTAATAAAATAGAGAAATTTGGTTTATATATAATAAAACAAAATAACTAAATAGCTTTTTATTTTTACTTGATGTTCAAATAACTTTTCTTTAAAATTGTTTTATTTATAAACTAAGATATTTACTAACAAAAAATATATATATTTGATAATAATAATATTTTAAAGTATGTATAATAAATTAGTTAATTAAGACAATTTTAATTAGACAATTGATTAATTTATTATTGCTAACTGAATTAATGAATGCTATTAATTTATAAAATTAGTATTTTTGCTACAGAAAATTATATATAGAAAAAAGGATATTTTTTATAAAATTTTTGTAGATATCAAAATTAAGATCATTAAAATTTACAATTTGATATAGTTATTACACATTAGAAATTAAGTTAAATAAATATATACATAATTGATTTAAAATATTTCAAAACTTTAACTTTTTTATATCGCTATTACTATATTCTCTATCATCGATCTTATCCATATAACCTGTACCGTTACCTCTTTTAAAGGGGTTGTTAAGGATATCTCTATATTCTTCTACTTCTTAATCTTATTGAACAAATTTTTCATTATAAATAATAGAGTGTTGATGTAAAAATCTTTCAATAGTTTCTTTTGTAACTCTTCCCAAAAATTTATCTATGCTATGGAAGGTTTAGACCATCTTTCCAGCTTTGTATATAATAAAACATGGACAGTTACTTTCAGGGAAATTTTCAACACACTTTGTTGCTACGATTTTAATGAATTTAACCAGAGGATACTCAGCTGCTAATCTTGTAAAGTATTAGTTAACTAAAAGGCAGTACTATTTATTTTAAATTAAAAGTAAAATTTAGATTATATGTTCACATACATAATAAAAAATTAACAAATTTGTTGAAAGAAAATAAAATAAATTTATTTTTTAAATTCTGTATTTTATTTATTTTTACCTCATTTGAGTCATTGTATAAATGTAAAACAACCCAACTCTCTGCAGGAGCATTTGTTACTTATTCTACATACTGATCTTTTGAAATTTCGTAAACTGATCCAAAATGAGGTTTCTTAGCTACTTCTTACAATTCTTCCATTCTCTTCCTTTGATATTCTTTCATAAAATCGTCATCTTCGAACTCATCTAAGAGATCACTTAGATTATCCTCATCTCCATCTCTTTTCATCTATTTACCTACTTCTAAAAGCTTTTCTTGAGCTTGCTAGTTCAATTCTGATTGCTTGGGGACTACAGGTAACTATTCAAAATTACCAAGCTTTCTTTGGATGTCATCCCATTCAGTTGTAACACCGTTAGCCATTTTTTCTATATTACTATTTTTTTATAAGTTTTTAATCTTAAATTTTTAATTAATTTTTTTAATAAATAAATGATTAATTATACTATCTCTGTCCGCAATTTTTAACAAGAAATAATACATGCAAAACTATTATTTTTCTAATTTTCTTAAATTATAAATTTTACTTAAAAATATATAAATTTACCTTAAAATTTCATTGATTTATGGAAAAATAGTTAAAAATATTCATTAATTTTTACTTTTATTCACAAAACTATGCCTCCAAAGATCTACATTAATTATTAATTATTTAAATTATCTTTTTAATTATATTTTAAGATAAATATCTTTTCGCTTTATCAAAAAAATATAAACAAACATATTCATTTGCCATCAAAAAATGAGAAGGCATATTAGTAATTATAATCAGAAAAAAAATTTAATAAATATATGAGTTAATAGTTTATAAAAATAGATAATAAATTTAATGCAACAATATTATTTATAGATCTAACTAACTGAATGACAAACAAATAAATAAAAAAATATAAAATTAAAAATATTCATTGAGCTTGGCATATTTAATTTTATTAAAAAATAAAATAATTTCTAAAATATAATTGTTCTAATTCAGTTGAAAGTTGAAGAAATTACATTCAAAGCAAATAGATTAATCTCTTATAATCAGAAAAAACTAAAAAATATTACATTTAAATTGTTTTTAATAGAAAAAAATTCTATTTAGTGCATTTACATTAACTAAATAACTGACTGATTAACAAATAAATAAATAGAAATATATAAATTAACAATATTCACTGTTTTTAAATATTTTATTTTATTAAGAAATAAATTAACTTCAAAAATTTAATTGTTCTAATTTAGTGAAAAAATAATGTACAAAGCGAGAGGGTGCTCATTTATTTTAGTATTTAAAGTAATTAATGTTGGTTAGTTGGTTTGTTTAATATTTTTTTTAAAATCTGTTTGTAATTTAGCATAATTAATATATGATTATTATTCTGTTTAATATATATTTTTTTCTTATCAAATTTATTATAATTTATTCAAAAATTGTGCTTTAATTCGTTATAAAGCGTAGCCAGAGTCATAGGTTTGCAGATATGAGCGTCTGCTCCTATTTTTAGGGCTTTTTACTTGTCTAAAGAGTCTCCAAAAGCTGTCACGATAAAAATTTTTGTTGGCTCTATTATATTGTTACGTAGCATTTCTTTTATTCTGGCAGTTGCTTCTAGACCATCCATCACAGGCATATTTACATCCATTAGTATAAGATCGAAGTGCTCTTTCTGTACTTTTTCAACAGCTTCTTTTCCGTCATGTGCTTCATAAGTTTTCAAGAAATTAAATTTTTTCAGCAAAGTTTAGAGACAGAGTATATTAAAGGGGTTGTCATCAACTATTAAAATTTTTTAAATCTTATTCTCAATCAGATTTTAAATGTTTGTTACTAAATCCTAATATGTTGTATTAACATAAGGTTAAATTGCTTGATCCGAAGGTATTTTTAAATTGAGCTAAGAAACTATTTTTTATTTTTAAATTTGATGAGGCTTGCTTATTGTTTCTTAACAATTATTCAAACAAGGGATGCTCACAGATATTTTTTCATCATTTGCTTTATTACCATGCTGATGAGAAATATTTGTGATGTTTGTTGCAGGACTTTAGGTAATTTAATTATTTAAGTGGTTATTTAATAAATTATCATTTTATTCACACTTATCATTAAAAGGGGAAGCGTCTATATATTTTAAAGTTGGAGTCGTTAATTATTACAAAATCTTATTATTAGAGTGACATTCATTTACCTATTCATTTGATTGATATTTTTGAGGAGTAGAGCGCAAGTTTTAGAAATTTAAATGCCTAATAATTAATTTTTCTTAATCTTCTTAAATCTAATCTTCTTCTCTCTACACATTCTAAGATTAGCTCCTAGTAAGGCTATTAGAGAAATGAAAACAACTAAAATCATCTTTAACTTTTTTTTCTTAGCAATAAACTTTAATCTATTACTTATTCTCACTCATTTGCTTCTCTCTCAATTCAAAATCTTTATCATCCTCATTGTTTTCAATAGAGGAATCAGAATGAGAAGAAACATATATCTGTGATATTAAGTTTATTGATGGTTATTATGGCTTTTAAAAATTGGTATTAAGTAGCGGTTTTTAATTTGGTTTTTATATATTTACAAATTAATTTTGATATTATAAGTTATTAACATTATTGTTGTTGTTGTTAAATTATATTTTATTTTTATTGTTTGTACTACTTAAATTAATACAATTAAAAGATTTTTAGTTTAAGTTGTTTTAGGATGAATTTGGACACACAAATATACTCTCTTACATATTGAGCTAGGGCAGATACTCTTCTTAGTATAACGAATGTGTTCTGCTATTAAATTTATTTTATTAAACTGTGTTTTGATTGGTATTTTCAGTCAAGTGATTTAAAGTTTTAGCATGTTTCTATAATGCTGCAACATCCTATGGATATGTTAGCGACTTATGATTATGAACCTAATTTTCTCTATTTTTATCTTGAAATATACTAACAATTCTTTTATTCTGAGAAGATCTTCTTGACTGTTATAAATCCTATTAGCTATGATATTATTTACTTAAGGTATCAATATCTTATTTAATTTCAGATATTCGATGGTTATCATGAAAACTAGATTTCCCATAAAATTACTATTAGTTATTTCCATAAAGATAGTGGCTTTAATCCATTACTATGCTATCTCTTTAGCCAGCTAAGCTGAATAAGCTAGGAGATCCAAAATGAGGAGGAAGCTTTGCATTATGAATGCTTTCAGGAGTGTAGAATATTTTTTCTTGCTTAAAATTTAAAAAACTTTGTTAATTATGTCCAATAGAATACTCTTAACTACTATACTAATCGTCTAATTATTTTTATGGGGGATTCTATGTGTTTAAATGAGGGATATATTTTTTATTTAATTAAGGATGTATGGCATTTTCTTTATTATCCTAGATTTCGTGTTCTATAGCCTACTTTAAGTGATCGCTAGCCATAATATAAAGACTATTTTTCTTCTACATTTTTGGATTATTTTATTCTTCGCTATGGTCAGCTGTAACTAAATTTTACTTCTGATTTTACAATTCATTATTATTATTTTCTGTAATTTATCTATTTTAAATTTTATTTTAGGGGTGATCGCTTCTTATAAAGAATATTACTGTTGTCCCCTTATTTTCTTCTGAAACCACTGTTAAATTATTTTCTGAACTCATTTTATCTAAGAGATGTTTGCACATGATAAAACCAAGTCCAACACCTTAATAATAATAACAATAAAATATAATTAAAACTAGAAATTATAAGATAAATTTAAAATTTAAAAACTTCCAAAATTCAAGGTATGGAAAATTTTTTCCTTCAATGGATTAATTCTACAAAGGAAAAAAAATATCAAATTTTACAAAAAATCTTAAAAAATATTGAATTTTTAGCTTTTAACATAGTAACTTTTTGCATTTAGTTTCTTAAAATAGATAACTAAGACTAAAATTATGGTCTCAATTATTAATTTATTTCGCATTTGCCATAAATTAATAAAAATAAACTAGTGAATTTTCGACTCATATAATAAAATTCTTTGTAAAATCATTGATTTTGATGTATTTGATTCATAGTTATCAAGTGTATCTATTTTATTATATTTTTCTCTGTAAACGCATAAATTTTTCATAAGGAGATTTTTTAAACCTTCATTACTTTTAGTTTTTTAAGCAAAGTATTTTAAATTACTCCAAAAGATCTTGAGCAAAAAAAATAAGTGGGCTGCAAATGTTAAAATAGTAAATATTTTCAAGATATTATAGCTAATTTGGGAGATTTTGATAATACTACTTAGTAAATCAAAGAAATATCACAAATAAAATTTATCATGACTAGTAAATAAATTTTTTATAATAACTCTTCCTTGTTTACATTTTTCGAAAATTTTTAACACTTTGAATATATTAATTTTTAATTGATTATTTTATTTACTCTCTAAAAAATACATGAGTTGTACGATTACATTAAAATAATTTACTTTAAATTATGGGAAAAAAATAAATTTTATGATTTTTTACCATGTTGATAGGACTTGTGAGGTTGCATGAATAGGTTTCCTAGTCTCTCTATTTGTTGCTTAGACATTCCTTATCCTGTATCTTCAATCGTGAATTTAAAAGCATTTTTATATTTAGATACTTTAAGCTTTACGTATCCTTTTTGAGTAAATTTTATTGAATTTGTAAGGAATTAAAGAAGAACTTGGATCAGCCTATTTTTATCTGTAAATATCTAAGCGTCCATCGTGTAGTCCTTGATATTAAACTAAAGCTTTTTGATGTCAAATTGTAACTTCATTATTGCATATATTTCATCTAAAATACTGCTCATGTTATATTCTTTCATTTCTAATTTAAGCTAATCTTTGAGGAACCTTGAGTAATCGAGAATGTCATTTATCATGTTAAGTAAAATGAAACTATTTTAATAAATATGTTCAAGAATTTCCAAATTTTCGGACTACTTCAAATTCATTTATAATGTTTGACAAGATAGCAAAATTCCATTGAGTGGAGTTTTAAGATTATGAGTTATAGAATCAATCACTTTATCTTTGAATTTATCTATTTCTCTCATTCTCAACATTTGCTCTTTTTTGCTTATATCTGTCATCATAACAATAAAGGAACTCTTTTTTTTCCACATACACTTAATTATTTTTAAATCAAAAGTCTTATTCTTTTTATTTTTGTGACAATATTTTATGTTACAATAAATGTCTCCATTATTGTAGTTACTGTTGCTACATTTCAAAAATTCAAAGTCTTAAAATATCTAATTAAATTAAATGTTCCCAAATTGCCTAAATTAATTGAAAGATTCGAAATCATAATTTTAGTTTTATTCATCATCATCATCATCCTCTTCATCATCTTCTTGTTATTCATTCACATTATTGATTTAGCACTGCTCTTGTTAGTAAAGAGGATATAAATCATACTATAGTTTTTCTAATAAGTTTTTAGGCACAAATTTTTATGATGTGGTAGATTCGCTTTCATCGCAGCTCATTTCAGAAGAGCTCACTTCATTACATTTAATTTTTGTTACTGTATTCATAAAATGAGGATCAGTAGTTTACTTACTTTCTGGAGAATCTAGCTTTTAAAAATTGTATGATTAGCTTTAATGCTAAACTGCAGAAGGAAAAAACATGTTCTCAGCAATATCAATTAAATCATTTTTTTAAGTTAAATTAAAAATCTGCAAGATATTTTTGTTACAAAACATGACCTCAAGATCTTCTTTTCTAATTAATTTATAACTACTACTTTCTTGCTATTAGCTGTCTTTTGCATAGTTTAGTATTGCATCTGATTTGCATTTGTCACTTAAAGCATGAGATTGTTATATTGTATTTCTTAATTTGGTATCTTTATTACTATTGAAATTGGTTGAGTTGAATTACTTAATTGTAGATGGATTCTATTACTTCAGAGCATTCTCTTTTTCAGGCTATTATTTATCTTGTGAAGATTTTTTTATTTATTTTGAGTAACTGACTACAAATATTTGCAGTGGTAAAAATTAATCTATAAGATACTGCCAGCCTCTTGAGTTTTCATATTTAATTGTTTATTTCCAAAAATTTTTCTTATTTAAAAATTCAGAATTATAATAAAGTAAGGTAGCAAATCCCAATCCTATTTGTAAAATCATAATCCAAAAATTAGGCTCAATAAGTCTAAAAACAATATATTCTGTATGAAATATAAGGTGAAATATTTTCATAATCCAGCTATCAAATATGCAAATAGTGATAAGTTAATTTAATTGGAAGAATAAGAGAAAATATAGCTGTACTTTGCTTAAAATTTAACTGTTATCTATAGAAAATCTCCTCATTAAAACTTCTCTGTATACAATAGTATAAGCTATTTCAATCAAAATTACCATTATTCGTTTTAGTACATAAATTTTATAGTTTTATTTAACTTTGATAGTTGCAACCAAAATTGCTAGCCATACAAAGAAATAAGGAAGTATTTTAAATATTAAGTTATATTATTCATCTAATTCAAAAATACAATAGGAAACTATACCAATAGAAAATATTATCTTAAAACTAGATATTATTTTAAGCTATTCCTCGAGGAATGCTTCTTTCTATTTATTATACTAACCTCCTACAAACTAGTCTTTAAAGCTGAGAAACAGCTTAGATCGAAACATCCAAATTTAAAATTGCTTTGGATTTTATCTAAAATGTATAATTTTGTGTTATCTTTCTTGATTTTACTTAGTTTGGTGTTTTTCTTATGTTTAAATAAATATAATTTTTCTTTTTATATTAATTGAGTTTTTTAATTTATTTAAAAAAAAAATCATCGCCTTTCAAATCTTTTTAATTTTCTACAAAATAAACTATCATTATACTTAGTAAGGCCTACTAATTAATTTTGTAATAAATTAATTAATAATTCATTTACTTTTTGATAATGATTTGAAATTTAGATCTGCTTATACAATCAAAAACAAATTAAAATCTTTTGCTATTTTAAGTTTTTATCATCTGTCTAAACAAGTACTATCAATTTCTGCTTATTAAATTGTAGTTCTTTAAATTTTTTTACTTTTATTTAAAGAGTAAGAGTTCCTTCGCAATTAAATCAATTTCTTTAAAACTAAAATATCAAAAAAAATACATCAATAATTAAATATAAATAATGTCAGGGAAATCAAAAAATAAACTAGATTGATACCATTTTAAATTAACTAAAAAACTTATTTTTCCTTCAGAGAAGTTATGTTAAGAAAGCCTTTTTTTTCATAATGCATGATTAATCTTGATCAGTTATTTGGAAAATCGTTATTTCAAGCTTTTGTTTAAAAATAATTTAAATGTAATCTTTTATTTTCAAGTCTATTTAAAAATTAAAATGTATGCATTTTCTGTGTCTTTAAAGATTCAAAAAATACCATTAAATAAAAATTATCTATACATTTCAATAACTTATTTGCTTACTGGTTACAAAAATTTATCTCATAGAATTTCCACGAGATTATTTTTAAATTGGTTTTTGGGCTTAATTGAATTTTAAAATTAGTTTTTTATACATTTTATACCATTCAAGCAAAGTAAAGTTTTTATTTATTCTTTTTGAGAAAACCAAACTTGAAAATTAATCTTTAAAAAGATGAAAATAAAAACATGTATTTTTGTAAATTAATATTGAAAAAATTGATTGTCATAGATGAATTCTCGAATGGTTTAAATGACCGATTTACATTTTTATTATATATTTTTTTATTTTTAAAAAATATGTGAAATAAAAGCAATTGCTGTTATTTTATTTTGATAAAAAGTAATTGCTTAATATTGTTTGATAAAAAAAATTAATTATAATAAAACTATTTATTTTTTTGTAAATTGCTATTTAAATGGTTGTATTTTTTCATTTTATATTATATGATTTATTTAGAAGAAATCGTTTATCACTCGCTTTACAATTAGTAAAAATTAATTTGTATTGCTAGAATAAAATAAAAAATTTAAACAAAAACAATTTTATCCAAAAATTATTAAAAGTTCTACATGATTATTCAAAATTATCTTTGAAAATCTTTACTCTAAACATAAAAAATATTACATTATTTAAAATTAATAAATAAAAATTTTTGTTTTAATGTTAATAATTGCAAATTATATAAAATTAATTGATTGTTCTACCAACATTTGTAACATAAAGTATACTGACATTAATAATTAATTTTATTAAAGGAAATCTAATTAATTTAATTAAATTTAATTAATAATTTGATTTAAGGATTCTCATTAATCTCATTTTCATATTTTAGTAGTACTTGAAATCTTTACATTAACTAATTGATTGTTCTATTTATTTTACAATATTTATCACATGTTCTTATCTTACATTTTTTAATTTCATATCTTAGTAGTGCACGGAGCTTTTGGCTTAACTAACTAAATATTAGGATCATAATAGCCAGGACCAAGCTTAGGGATTTATATTCCTTCAAATTTATCAGTAATTCTAGGTGATTTGTTTAGTAAATCTTTGCCTTTATTATAAGTTTGTTTTTATTTTTGAATATCTTAAACTATCTCATAGCACCCAGGGCCTAATTTATCAGATCCATCCAAATTATGTTTATTATCAAATGATTGATTTTTAACCCTGAATCTATTGGTTTATGATTTAAATACATAGCTGCTCTGTTAAGGTTATTTATTTTAACTTTGATTAATATTTTTCACTTCCATATGAGAAATATCGTCTATCTCTACTATTCTTGTATAATTTGTTGTATTTTGATCATTAAAACTCATATTATTAGATTATTATTTAGTTTTTTCATAGTTATTTTTTCTATTATTTTAAATTATTTAAAGTGAAGTATCATTAAAGCTTAGGTTATTTGATTAATTTTTCAGTAAAACTGCTTCGCTATTACTCTGCATGTAAAGGGTTTTTACCCTCTTTCTTTTTTTTGTTTTATTATTATCGTTTATTGTGTATGAACCAGGACCAGGATTTACATCACTTCCAGGTCTTTAATCAGTAAACCTTCTTGAACCACTACCAAAAACAGAATTAAACTTTAAGTTAGACTACTTCAGCTTGTATAAATCATACTTTTCTATATTTCCTATATCCTATATTAACTTAAGATTATAATCTCCTGGTCCAGGTATATTATTTTTAATGGCTTCGTAATCGCTTATTGCTCTCTTTTCCCTTCCAAATTTAATAGCATTTGATTGTTAAATCCCCCCTGCTTAGCTAATATCAACTAAATTATATTAACCAGGACCTAATTTATTTTTAAAAATTCCATTCTCCTCAAATCTCTATGAACTCGAATCAAAACATTAGTATTCAGAAGGTTTATATTGAACTTTAAATGAAGTGTGGAGATTCTAATTATAATATTTTCCTGGAGGAGGACCTTAATCATCTTTTGCAAGTTGTCTTTCACGAATCATAAGCAATTCTAAATTATATTCTCCTATCTACTTTTTTTTAGGATCTCTACTAACAAGGCTTGTAAGTTCAGCTTTATATCTTTAACCTTTAATTTATCTGATTCTCTGATCGGAAGCTGGTCTTTCTTACTAACTGACTAAATGTTCTTAAATTGTATTTTAATCTTTAGGTACTAAACCAACCAAGTTCTATTAAACAATAGATTCTATCTAGCTTTATTAAGACGCATTTAAGTTAATCTTTTATTTTTAATCTAATTTCTCCAAAGAACCCTACTAATTTACTTATTTTGGAATGACAGCCTTTTAAGCACGAGGCTTTACAAAATTGTAATTTGGATTATATTATCCTGGACCAACATTTTCATTTTCTTTTTAATTTTTCATAACAATCAACAACCCGTCTCCTATTTCCTGGTATCCTTCTTTTACATTTTTAGAAGGAATAGATGGAACGGCATTTATTCTGATTTATGGCTAATCATTCACTTTTTAGCTTGCTTTTTTATTATCTTATCTGTCCTAATTATACTTTTCAAAGTCGCTTTAAGTGACTTTATAACTTCCAGGACCAATTTTGGATTAATCAGGTTCTAATGAAGAATTAAATCTTTCCTTTTTTCCAAAAGTTGTTAAATTATGAGAATTTTGCTACTATCTAACTTATTCTTGATCTTAGCTTATATAGTAGCCTGGTCCAGGAAAGTATTAACTTACTTCAAAAGTTGTTCTTGGTTTTTATGAAAACTTCATAAAATTATAGTTTTGAGTGATGTATAAATTTTTAATTAATAAATTGTTGGCTATTAAAAATTTATCGAAAAGTGTATTAACCAAAACAAACAATGTTTTACCTATGAAATTAGTTAGTGTTAAAGAAAAAAATACTTATTTTGAGTGATATTTTATCAAAATCTAAATATGTTAATATAATAACCGATTTTTTATTTTTTACATTTTTAAATTAGCTTTGAATCCATCCTTTCTTCAAAAATTTTAAAATATAAAACAAAACAAGTATTAATAGTACTATGAATTTTAAATAAATCTATTTTATTTTTTAAAATAAGTCTTTGCTAATGAATAGAAAAAGTAAAATTAATACAAAAAAGTATAAGAAATAAGTTTATTAATTGATAAAATGTGAACAAAATTTAATTATTCTACATTAATTTAATATCATAAATTTAATCATAATAAAAAGAGAGAATCATTTTTTCTTAGATTAACTTAAAGGTTGAAGCTTTTTAGGGCCTTTAGATTCTTTTATTTAAATATTATAAAACTTTAAACTTCTATAGTCATCTTTATCGTAATTAGCTAAAGCTGCTGCTAAACGGTGTGCAGCATCTACTTCTTCTTTACTTAATCTTATTTCTGATTAGTTACTGCCAAATAGGAATTTACTTTACAACTCTTTTTTATACAGATTATCCCATACTTTCTTTTATTTTTTATTTTGATCTCCTGAAATAGCAGCTAATGTTTTTGTTTCAATTCCGGGCTGTTAATGAGATCTATTTGATGAGGGTTCAGTTTGTTAATTTTATACTTATTACTATTAATTTTGTAATTTAAGTTTATTATTTTGTAATGAGGCTATCCTAGGAAGAGTTGCCTACGAGTTAGTAACTTAATTTAATCCTTCTTATATCCTATTATCAGCTTTAACTTTGTGCTGGTCTTAATTTTCTTATTTAAAATTAATTTCATCCTTTAAAATAGGTTTATGATCTACTCCAAATTTTTAAGCATTTAAATCCTAAATTAAAAATAAATTATAGATTAAAATATTAATTAATCAAATACTTACTGAATTTTAATATGGATTGACTTTGAATCTCCTGTTGTTAATACCTTATTTTTCTGTTTTTTCCCTTAATTCATGTTCTTATTTCTAAATATCAATATTTAATTGTTTAATCGAATCTTCAAAGGATTCAAAGTATTTAATGTAATTTATGTGCAGCTTCCAGTCACTATTGCTTCGGTCTGTTTTTAGTTTGGTTTTATCGATTTTATCCATGAAATAAAATGGATTGAACTCTTCATCATAAGTTTTATTTGGATTAAAATTGGCAAATAAGTCGTCACCTTAACCTTACACTCCTTCATTCTTATTTTATTACGGCTATTGGGCAGCTTCTTACTCTTAAGTACTGCTCTCTTGAGTATTCAATTTTTTATCTGTTAATGATAATGATTTTATAGCTGTTTAGGAACCTTTTTATTCATTTTTTACTAATAACTTAGCATTTTTTAAAGATGATTTTCTTTTTAAATCAATTCTTTCTTCTAAATTTGTATCATAGATTTCTTCTGTTCCACTTCTTTTGAAAGCTATAGGTCTAGGTTCTTGCTTATCATAATTTTGTTAAAGCTAATCGATCAAGTTTCCTGTCTTACTATCCCATAATTTAACCTTATAATTTAAAAAATAACATTAAAAAATTGAATTAAAAATTAAATTTTTTTACTTTTTTATCGTAAGCTGTGGTAATTAACAGATTTTCTTCTTGAATGTACTCTAATGATTTAATCATTTCATAATGAGCTCTTTAACTCCAGACTTCTTAATATTCAACTCCATCAAAATTAGGTGGAATTAAAAAAGATTTTGCTCCATTATTAGATTTATCCTTATGGTTATTATATGATTTTTCTAAAATAGTTAATATTTAAGATATATCAAAACATTTAATAAATCCTTTATCATCTGAAAGAAACAAGCATTTTGTTTAATCACAATATATGCAGTTAGAGATGCTTAAATTTTGTTATACTTAATCATCCTACTTTCTTTTGCCTTAACCCATATTATTTAGTATAGAACCTTTTGCCGAACCTATATTTATCTATTATGTTTATTGCTATTATAATTGCTATTCACCTTCTTTTTGAATTTTTTGTTATTCTAAAAGCTTTTACTCACTATCTTCATTTTTAAAGTAAAATACTTTCTAAAATTTAAATAGAAGAGGAGGAAGAGCAATGAAATTTATTTTTCCATTTGTGGTTGTTGTAATTATGTATGGTAAATTTTTAATTAAATTTAGAGAAGTTATTTCCTCATATTGAGTAAGTTCTGAAAAAGATCCATTCTATTTTCCTGTATCACTCTCATAAAATGATGTTATACCTGTGTTTGTGGCAACTATAATCATTTTAGTAATAGGATCAAAACCTAAAGAAGTGATCATAACATCTTTAAGTTCTAAAGTTCTAATTAATTCATTTTCTCCAAAATCATTATCTAGAGTCATGTTAATTTTGTTATCCATAGCTGCACTAATAAACATAGTAATAGCATCTGCATGTATTATTTATATAATTTCAGCTGAATGCCTTAATTGTTATAAAAATTTATTTATTTTTTATAAGCAAAATATGTAAATTTATATTACTTAGGAAGAGCTTTGATCATAGCACCATTATAAGTGTTGTAAATTCCAATTTAGCCCATAGAATCACCTATAAGCATACGCTTTTTGAGAGAATCCAAAGTAAAGCAAGTAATTTCACCTTGTGTTACATCTGAAAATATTTTTTTAATATCACCTGTTAAAGCATTCCACAATTTTATTTTATTTCCAGCTGGTGTGTAAAATGCTAACTATGAAGGAACAAAAGCACAACAAATAGCAACATAATCATCGACGTAATTAGGATTATAATTTTTATCATATTCATATAATTATACTGATCTACCACAGAATGCAAGCTTTAAAGGCTTTGGAATGTATGTAAAACATTAGGGATTAAATTTATGTTTTTCATCTGAAGTCTCTACAGAAAAGCACTAAACATTGCTAAATTTTTTAATATCTGTAACTCTTACATTTCCATCCGAATCTAAAGTAATTACTTAACTTGTTCCTTCAATTACTTTAACTCCTAATAGAGGACTAGAATGACCAGATATTTTATAAATTAAATTATCTATGTAAGGATTCCAAACACAAACCTATTTATCACAAAATAAATTAACAAAAGCTAAAATTTTATGAATTTTGTAATATTTACTTCATGATCAAAACCAGCACTAAATAGTAAAATAAGAGCTTCATTAAATGAAAGGGAAGTAATACCTCTAGTGTGTTCTTTATAAACTCTTTTCTTCTTGTTGTTGATTGTGTCCCACAAAATCAACAGTCCATCTAAAGCACCTGAGGCTAAAAATTATAACTTTGGCATAGTAATCATATCCATAATGACTTCAGTATGAGCTCCTTCTCTTTCTAGTTCTTTCTCTGTGTCTGTCTTGAAGTACCAAATCACAATATTGCCATTTTTTTATCCACAATATAATATTTCATTCAATGAATCCCATGCCAAGCAATATATTTCATTTTTGAATTCATGCTCTATTAATTCTTCTTCGTTATCAGGCTATGATGCTAAGACCCATCCATTACTTGAATGCTTCCAACCCCTTACATATCTAAGAAAAATATTATTAATAAAGTTCTCTCCAAAAAGCTATTTAATTATTATTTGATTATAATTTTTTTTTTTACTTATCATTACTAGAAGTTAGGAGAACTTAATACTTTTTGTCTGGAATATATAGTATATCTAATATCATAGTTTTTAAATCAATAAAATTCTTCTTTGTTTCTACATGGATAAGTCCTTCCTCATCTTTTTTTACAGTAGAGCTTGTAACAAACAAAGATTTTGGAACAACTTTCAGAGTTTTATTGTTCATCACTCCTGTTTCTGGGTTCATAAATAAAATTTCTGCACTACCTTCTTCATAAAGAGCAAGTCTATCGATATGAGGAATGTACAATATTTTAGTTACCAAATTATTAAATTTATGAGTTAAATGCTTGGTTTAAGCCTATAGTGGCTTTACTTAAGACTTTGTGTATGTTTTGATTTCATCAACTTTTGTTTTAATATTATTTAAAACGGTTGCTTTTTCAATTACATAATTAGTAAACTCATCCCATTCTAAAATCCCATTTCCATTTAAGTCTATTTCTTCAAATAGGTTTGTTAAACACCTAACCAATTTTGTCTCTCTATTTGGTATATCAACTTACCAAGATAGTAAATGTTCTTTAACTACAAGAATAAACTCGCTTAATTTCATTTGCATATCTCTAATACCAAATTCATTTTTTAAAACATTAATCGTAAATGGATCAAAGTTTAATGTTAAATCTGCTAGAAGATGTTCATCATTTTATCTAATATTTTTATAAGTTGTACGAGGTGAATAAATTGGGATTGTATGATCTAATTTATTTAATTTTTTGCTTAATATACTCATCTTAATTGTTTTTAACTAAATTATGTATGTACCTATAAGCTAACAATTCCTATTAAATTAAGAAACTAATTATTTAATACAGAAATTAGTAAAAAATAACTTTTATAAATATGATTAATTGATTTATTTATTATTAACTCAACAAAAAGATAAATAAAAAATATTATTTTTAAATTTACAATCATAATACTAAAAATATATATTATTTAAGTAGAGATAAAAATAATAATATCTCTATCTCTAAAAAAATTATTTTAAAAAGAAATTGAAAAAAAAAATTAATTTATAGATCACAAAAATCCTAAATTTATATATTATATAGATATACTTTTAAATAAAAAATAATAGTTTTAATATAAAATTCAACATCATTTATTTATTTAATAATATTAATGAAATGTTCATTCAATATGGTCAATATTGTGTAATTCATGATTGTTATCATTATTTGATTCAACTTCATTTTATTTTTATACTTGTTCTACAACATTAGTAAAATTAATGTTTTAAACTAAACTCTCTTACATTTATGAAGATTAATTATCAAACACATGTGCAAATATAGACTAGCTTTCATTATCACTAGCTGTTGCTTATCTACTAAATTTTTTATGAACTTTTGTATTGACTAATGCTAGCTAGAAATTCTCACCTCGGCTTTCTTATTTTATTATGATTTTAATAGTTTAGAAAAAAAAATTAAAATAAAATTACTTAACGAACTTTGCTTTGATAATTTAGAATATTTTGCCCATTTGCTTCTTAAATTTTTGCTTGAATTATCTAATTTAGTATTCAGACCTCTCAATTCAGTGTCAATACTTTAATTGGAAGTAGTAAATATTTAATTGCTTAAAGTTGGAGATTATAAAGTTGGAGATTATAAAGCAAATAATTATTTATTTTAAGGTGACTGCTATTAAGAGCAAAATAATGACTTGAAATTTTCTTACTCGTACAAGTTATTATTCTTTAAGTACTTTAAAAACTACCTAAATTTCTTCTAAACAGATTTTAACTTAATCAAAGCTCTAATTCTCTGTTTACTATCAATCTTTATGTTTTCTAGAAGTAAAGGATATTTTAGTTTTAGAGTATAAAACATCTCTTATAAGCAATTTCTATCTAATTTTTCTGCTGGAATATTTAATCTAATTAATCCACACACCAATTTAATAATAAACAAAATATTTAAAGTAGCTACAAAAATCACAAATAAAGCTTGCAAGACTACATTTTCATACAAAACATCAGGAGATAATGATGAAAAATATAAAGAGAGAGCACTAATAAGAGTAGACTATTATACCAAGTTGTTAAAATACTATTTTTTGAAGGGCTTTACTTTGAATACTACATAAAAGTTGATCAAAATTACTAAATTCATCATGCACACCTATTGAAAAAAAAATATATATAATAAATAAATTAATCTGAAATATGATTACTTTTAATTAGACATTTTGCTTTAACAAAATAGATAATAAAATCAATAAAGCTTTGTAAAGTAGTTTTAAGAACTCCCAATAATAATATTTCTCTTTATACCCGACAGATATAAAAGAGTATTCTATCTAGAATAAAATAGATCTTTTAGAATTTTTTTCTCTTAATATTTTTATGTAAAGGATCACTGGAATAATTATCACCCATATTATTAGCGCAGGTAGACTAAAGTATAGCACGTAAGGCTTATGCAAATTTTCATCAAAGCACTAAATAGTAAAATCTAAATCAAAATAACTTTTTTACCCTACATCTAAGCAGTTTAAAGACCTAGTTAGTAAAGTAATAGCCATAGGGAAAAAATATAAGTATATAAAAATAATAACAGTTTTTTTGTACTTTAAGAATTAATTTTAATTTTTGGTTAAGATACCGAAAAAAAAAAGGAAAAAGATGATATTGAAAGGTAATATAAATGACCATAAAATTTGATAAAACCAAAGAGGTTTTAAATTAGGATATTGTGAAAATAGGCAGTCTATTGATTTACTTACAACGCTCATAGAGTTTCCAGTTACTTAAAAAGGAAATTGGAACGAAAAAGGAAAAGGAAAAGTTGTCTGAAAAGTTACTACCAAACAAATAACTTAAATATGGTCTGTCATAATCTTTGAAAAGACCTCTTATCTGTCAGATAAACCTTTAAAGATAAAATTAAAAGTTAAATAATTATAAAAAATGCTAGATATATTTATGTATTTACAAGTTGTCCCTAAAAAGAGTATATTACACCTAGTTAAGTAGTGACCAACAAGCTTAATGTAAAATTGTTTTAAAATATTCTTGATGATGAAAAATAAGTAGAAAAAAATAAATAAAAAGATTATGAGGTTATTGATTATTATTTATTTTGTACTCTATTCACATTTGTAACAATTTCCTACACTATATAAGACAGCATATCTTTTACCCCATATTTCTCCATATGTATCACATTAATAACACAAAGGACCTATGTATCCTTCAGCACATAGAAACTATCAATTTAAATTTTTAAAAGGTAATTTTCAATTAATATATTTTACAAACTAAAAACATAAAATATCTTAAACAAATAAAGCTCATTAAATGAAATACCTTAGAATGAGGGTCTTGAGGTTGACATGAATAAGAATTAAAACTGCATTATATAATTTCATCAGTTAAGTTGCTTTATCTCCAATATCCATTTTTTAAATAAATATTTGACCCAATACATTTGATTGCAGAATCAGGACAAGTCTTGCAAGAATTCTCAGATAAATCCAAAGAGTATTTACCTTCTGGGCACATATCGCATATTATTGATTCACTAAATTACTTATAAACTTCTCCTACTGAGCACTAACCTAGTTATATATTTACTTCTAATTATAGTTAATTATCACTAATAATTATATTTCCTTTTGAATCAATTAATTAATTTTAATTATTTGACATTATCTGCAAAGCCATATTTTTAAAAGGCATATACATAGGCTAAACTCTTAGATTATAACCACCATTTATGTATTGCTTTGATTGTAACTATCCTGAGCATTGTATTTATTTATTCTATTCACACTCAATAGAAACACTAAGCTACCTAAGTATTAACTATACATCGCTACTATAATCAATTTGCTCTGTAGGTATAGGTACATATATTGGATGATTCTCTTCATCAAGAAGTTATATTTTTGAAAAAATAATTTCTTCACCACTTTTTGCATTATTTATAGAAACTGTTTATCCATTATATGAAACTTTACCTCTATTCAAAGAAATATTTGATGCATCTATTTTGATTTATCTTAAAACGGAACCTATATTCATACCATATAATTTGGCATAATTATTTTTAATTTGATTAGAGTTATTGATTCCTTACTAATATTCTAAAACAAAATCAGGTATAACTTAAGAATAATAAATTGCTCCTCCTATTAAAGCTTTATTTGAGTACAATTAAGTTTGATGCATTATAAGATTAACAAAATCAAGACTTATTGCTCCACCTGTAGAGAGGGCTGCTTGATTAAATATAAAATTGGTATTAGAAATTTCTAGCTTTCCAACATTGACTGTATTCATAAAATATATGGCACCACCATTTTTCTATTTGCATATATTATTTTGAAAGCTAGAGTCCTATATGTAAATTTGATTTGCATTAGAAACTAGCACTGACCCTCCTTGACCATTTTAATTAAAATTATTAGTAAATTTACAATCAGTTATGTTTACATTATTAGTTTAACTTATCTTCAAAATCGAAGAAAGCTAATTATTTATAACTTTATTTTTAAGTATTTTTGTTTATTTTAATGTAAAATAGAGGATATCTTATAAATTTATTAATGAATTGTCACCATGAAACCCATCAATAGAATTATCTTTTAAACTTGATTATGATATTACTACTTATCCTCCACTTTTTTATTAGCCAAGAAAAATGATTGAAGTTGAGCAATTAAGTGAGCTTAGATTTTGTATAAAACAATCTTAAAAGTTTGTTATACTAAATACAAAAGAATTGTTCTAAGATAAAATGTTATTCATTTCGATATATTCCATTTGTATCAAAGTTGATTGTAATGTGAATATATTGTTTAGAGAGTTGATTTATTTTAAATTCAAGTTATAGTAATTAGAAATGGATGAAATAGAATTAAAGTAAATATCACTAGAATTTTAAATTTCAAGATAAGAAAGAGAATATACTTAGCAAGTATATGATATACCTATTAATTCTAAAGGTTCCTACTATATCATAAATATTTCTTAACTCTAATTAATCTTAACTTATTAAATTTTAACTGTTACAACTCCTTAAGCATAAAGAATATAAGAGTTTGTTACATGATTTATGTAAAAACCTGTTGCGCTTATATTATTTGTAAGTGTTGTATTAATTAAATTAATATTTTATGATTATATTATTGAAATATTATAAGTAGCTAAGCTCAGTATTTGGTAAAGATAAAAAACTTAAATATGGGATGAATTTTATATGTAGATATTTCTTATTATAACTTCTGTAACATTTTTAATGTAAAAAGCAAATTATTATGAGGCATATAAACTGTTCATAAAAATTGAATCAATCAATACTTAGGTACAGTTAGTAATACTTATTTGGTTTAGCTATCCATTTACTCCTTAATTTATAATTATATCTTACAAATATACGCTATTTAAATTTGCTATAATTAAACTCTAATTCACTGTAAGATTAACATTCTACATTTAAAAGTTTTTCATCATACCATTTTAGTTTAGACTTACTTCGTTTAAAGATAATGTCATTTAATAAACATAGAAATTTTTTATGTATTGAAAATTGTTATAAGTATCTTACCAACAAATCAAATTTTGAAGCTAATTAGATTTAGAGATTAGTGTTAGCTCATATTAAGTGCTACTTTTTAGATTTTGAAAATTCTATGACTCAATATTTTATATACATTGACCATTTAAATAATTAATTTCAATTACTGAAAGTATATTTTAACTGCTTTTCAAACTGGTTAAGATTTGATTGATTTAAGATTAGGTATATACATATTCTAAGGCGCGATTCTGTTATTAAATTTGTATTGAGAAACTATTATCATTAGTAAGTGGAATAATTATTTTTTAAATATTTTAATATGAAGTGACTAAGAGAGTGAGAATTACAGAACCATTACTACCCTAAAAGAGATCAAGAGTTTATAGGACAGGAAAGTTTTAGTTGTTTTAAAATACTATTTCATAATTTGTACTTGTAGTACTCAGTTTTACTAACATTATCTAACTTTTTTAAATTATTAAAAAGTGATAATTAAAATTTATATTTATTATATTATTTGCTTCTACTAATCCATAGTTTATTGCTGGAAATTATTACTAAAAGCTCAAGCTATTGTATATTATTATATCCATTGGACATACTGAGTAGATGAAATTTTAGTCAAAAGTGATTCGAGCTTATTTTAAGCATGCATTTTATAAAATTGAAATTAGTTATAAAGACATATTGTATACATAAGTTTATCCTTCGTTAGTGACTGCGTATACAAGTTATCTAAAAGGATCACTTATAACATTCATAATATCTATATTATTAAATTGTATACTTTATATAATTTGTTAAGAAACTAAATCAAAAATCTGTAAAAGTGAGTTTGAATTTAATTTAGAAACAATAAAAATTAATGTTGAAGATTAACCTTATAAAGTCTAATCATTTAAATTAATTCTCTCTTCGAAATCAAAAGGGATATTCCACAAATTACTTTTATAATTCTCAATTTATTTTTATTGTATTTTAAATGAAAATTGAATAACCTACTCAGGACTCAATAATATTTAACTTTATTTGTTATTTTCTATACTATAAATTGTTAATTAGTTAATAGTAGGTAGCACAATATACTTACTAATTATAAAAGCTTATGATATATCTATTTATGTTAAGCTTGTAAGATTTACTTCTTTTAGGTTATTTTAAGTTAAATCAACAGAGCTTAGTTAAAAGTTTTATTTATATAATAATAAAATTTATTTTCTTGGTGAGTCAAGGAAATAATTATCAGGAACATTTTATAAATTAATTTATTAAGCTATTTAAAGCTTATAGATTTATAAATCGACATTTATAACAAAGAGCATATCAAAGACTATGTAAAGAAAGGAAGTAGGCGAAACTAAAAGAGGTTGTGTGAAATAAGGGAAAATATTATAAGTAGAGGGCTTGAATAGTAAAGTATCAATAAGAGTTGAACCCTTAAAAAGATTCAAAGAAAAGTTAACTAAACTATAGTATACTTAGTATTCGTTTGTTAAGATTATATTTTAAGTATCTTGATATTTCATTAAGTTGATCTCTGTTGTATATAGGACTTCAATTAAATCAAAACAAGTTATTGTATTCTTTGAATAGACAGTTAATATGTGGAATTACTCATTTAAATAGACATTTATGATAGAACTTGAGTCATAAGCTTGCAAAGTAAAGGTTTCAATAAACTACATTTATGGATATTATATGATAACAATAAAATAACTTGTGTATATAAATATCATATTTTTGTTCTCATCCATAAGAATTCCTTATGTGTCATTAAATTCAAAATCAAACTTATTTACTTCCTAAGATTGGTAATTACATAAATACATAATTGGAGTTTTGTCAACTACTATAACTGTTGCTTATTTCTTATAGAAATAAGTAGATCCTTTAGCAAATGAGCTTGCTGTTTTATAATTATTCAAATTACCATTTTATATAACAGATTTATAACTTATTTATTATAAACTTCCAGTTGTTGAAATCAAAATATCTAAATCTACATCATAAAAAAAATTTGTTTCATCAATAACATAGTCCATAATGTAGCTATTCAAAACAAAATTTTCACGGATAAAAAGTTAGTAGTTAACATCATAAAAATAAACAATTAACTCATTTTTAATATCAACCAAGGCATAGCTGTGCTATGTGTTTTATGTAACTTAAGCAATATTTATTTTTTACTAAAAAATAAAAGATTAATTAAAAAATAATTTAAATTATTCAAAATTATAATTACAAATTAAAATTAGAATGGCTTTCCATTAAAATAATATAGCTATAGAGTAGGATAGGAGATAATAACCAGATTGTTTTCACACTAAAGTTAATATCCAAAAGTATATGAACTGTTGATAGTGATCTATGTCTTGGATTTTAGCTTAATCTAAATTTTTATTTAATTCTTTTTTTAAAGTTTAAAAAAAATAAAATTACATTGATACTGAATAAACTTCCTCCTTGTATTTAAGCTACTATAATCTATTATTGATAACAGTATTAGTATGAAATTACTTTTGATTATAATTCAACTATTATGGATTTTTAAGGATTAGAATTTGAGTTAAATAAATAAAAAGTTGAACCCTTTATGAAAAAAACTATATTTTGTTGCCAATCTATGACTTATATTTAAAAGTCGAACTCATATTAAAATGGAATTTATGCTACCTTTGAGAAATGTTAAGAAATATCATAAAATAATAAAAGTTTAGCCTAATTATCATACATAAGCAAGTTATTTTAATTTTCTTGTAACATATTAACCTAAATTATATAATTCTATGTTAAATTTAAAACTCTCAAAGGCCTATTAAAAATATTTTTGTGCCAGTAAATTCCATTTTGTGACTCAAAATAGTGAATTTCGCTATCTCCTATTAAAGTCTATCCTAAATAATTATTGTCTTCTAAATTGCTTTTGATTATAACCATGTTGTTTATATCTATAACATTTCCATCTTTCTAAAAGTAGTTTAGATTTTAATCTAATGGTATAAAATAAGACTAAGAAAAAGGATATCGAAATGAATAAATTGTAGGACTTTTTGAATATAGTTATTAGAGAATTTTATTTTTCATATCAAATCTATATAAATAAAATTTATCTCCATATATTAAAAAATTGTCAACTTCATAGATAGTATATTGTAGTTGATCTTAAAACAAAAAAGGAACTTTTATCTAATAAAATGTAGCTAAGTCAAAAGAGTATATTGTTATTATATTATTCTAGCATAAAAATATTTCTTATGTATCTTTAAAAGTAATTACAGGTAGATAAATTGGGATATTTAACTTAGTATTTACATTTAAAAAAGACTTTTATTTAATAGAAAATGGGTAATAGTATGTTATATTTGTTAGGTAAATAATATCTATATTCGCCATAACAGGAAAATAATTGTTATTTGTAACAGTAAAAAATCTAGTAATTTGTTGATAAATTTAGTCAATCTTTTAAGATTAAGAAATTTATCCAATCGACAAATCAAGAGTATTAATAATTTTATTTTGGCTTGAATCAACAGATAAAAATATAATGTAATCATCATTTATGGTAATAAAATTACCAATTGAAAATACTGAAGGGTTTACAGTGGTAGTAAAAAAAATACTTTATTTCCCCAGATCATAGATATTAGAAGTAGATAAAACGACCAGTAATTTTCTTTTAGAAATATAATAATATTGACTGTACTACGATTTTTTATTATAATTATAAGTTAAAACCAGTGATTGTTTTGATATATCAATTATATATTCTTTTGTAGCAGCAATACTACTTAATTTACTCAATATAAAATAATCATTATTTATTTATCTCACTCTTGAAAAAGAATTTATATTTTATAAATTATTCATTTAATAAAATCTTGTGTTTACTCTTGGGTTTTTTTATAAATTTGGGAGATAGTAACTTATCTTTTGTACGCCTAAAATTGGATTTATTATATTTTGCTTAGAACTATAGAGATAAAATGAGTTTTTATCAGTTAAATTTTAAGTTGTAAACATACTTGAGTATAACACTAAGCTTGAATATGTCTAAGTCGTGTTATAGTAGAATATATTATACTGATATGGATCAAGTAATTGATCTTTTAGACTTAAATCAGTCATATTATATTATAGATTTACTAGTTATATGTATGAAACACCATAATTTTAAATTAAGTAAAATAATTAGACTATATTATTTTCTTTTATAAAAACAGTTGGATAAGATGAGGAAATGAATTGCAAATTATAAGTCTTATCAATTTATTGCATTAGATTTTATAAATTTGTATTATTTTAGTTATTGTTACTCAAAAATCCAGTAATATCAATAAAATAATCCATTTATGAGTTAGATATGTAAAGAATAGATTTTTTTAATGATGTTTCTTCAAAAATATAAAAGTTTGCTATTTAATATTAAGTAAGTAAAATTATCTATTGCACTTATGTTATTTGGGGATCTAAAATCATTAATGAAATATTATTAGAGGATGAGTTGTAAACAACAATTGAGTTAGTTACTTAACTAAACAAAAAATTGTAATAATTTCCTGATATATCCAAGATTTGTATTGTTTAATTATTCAAAGTTTGGTTTTGCAAAATAACTAGTTTTTATATTATCACTTATTTGGGGTTTTAATAATATGCTAAAGTAAAATTAGCAAAAATAGGAGTATTTTAAATAATAGTGAAACTTTTGGTCAAATTAAATTAAGCATCGGTGTAATTAGAAAGGATAAATGTTCTATTTTGTTGAAGAGTAAGTGTCTATTTTATAAAATAAATTTATATTAAAAATTTAACTTTTAATATTTTAATTTACTGATTGCATTTTTTGAGATTATAGTAGTAAGTAATACTTCGCAATAGGATATTAAACATAATAGTCCTACATAGTATAGCTAGAATTTAAATTGAGTTGATTTATTTACTTATTTAAAATATCGTACCAAACTAATGATTTCAGACCATTAGTATTTGATGTATAAGAGCCAGCGTAAAGAAAGACTAATTAATTTATAGAATCAACTAAATGAATGTAATAATCATATTAAAGACCACTTTAATCAAACTCTATTTATAGAGTCTAAAAATTCATAACTTAAAGTCTACTTCCAGCTGCACATCCTCCATAATACCCAGATATAAAACTTTAAGTGTTAGGCTCTGTTCCAGCTCCTTTTAAATATATGCTTGAATAATTGGGTATGTCTTATAGTATAAATTTTGAAATAATATTCATATTTATATCAACGATGGCAAAATTGCATTCCATAGCTCTCATTAAATACAAATTTTAACTCAAAGGTTGAATTTCTAAAACAGTTTTATTGAATGAAAAGTCTGATCTTTAATTTATCGTTAAGCATTATTGAGTTTACTCACATATCTAAGTCTATTTATTTTAATAGTATTAAGTAGGACAGTTCTAGGTGCATTAGTTGGCTGAGTATGGGTAATAAACAAAATCTGACCTTTCTTAGCAATTATTCTTATTAACAATACATTTATTGTTAATAGAATCTAAAGTTAAATTAGCATCGCATTAAGTGCACTCCTAATTACTCAAACATTTAATACAACCTGGTACTTAACATTTTATACATTAGTTTTAATCATTAAGTGTCTCACCAATTAAGCAATTCTAAACACATACTGATCTATTAGTAGAACTAAAAATGTATTATTGTGCACATTTAATACAAGATTCATTATCGTTATTAAAGCAGCTTTAACATTAATTTGAGCATTAGATACATGATTGAGTAGTTAAATCAAAAATTTAGTTTTCATCGCATTAATTAGCTAAGTACTGCTTAAAATAAGCATAGAATATCAAAAAAAACAATTTGAATTTCATATTTTTCGTTTACTTTTTAATATTGAGTAATTTTATTAAGTTTTTGTTTTTTTTAAATAATTTGATCTAAAGACTTGAATTCCAATATAAATGTTGTTTTTTCATTAATAATCCCCAAATTGATCACTAATTATCACTAAATTTAAATTCAGTAGTTTTCTGTTATTTTAAGCATTGAAGGTTTGACTTTTATTTAATCAATAATAAAAAGTGAATTATTAATTAAAAATTTGTAGGTAAATGATGTTTTTAACGTACTTTAATTTTAAGTTATTATTTATTTAGAGATAATCCTTGATTAAAATTCCGCTGACATAGTACATCATTTCATACGAATTTAAATAAGTTATTATTTAAAAATTGATTGCTAGAATTCTTCTTGCTATTTTCATAAATCGGAATTTATCAGATCCACCGTTGATTTATATTAAAAGTAAATTCCTTTTAATTATTTAGACAAAATAAATGTTTTTTATATTCAATAAAATTTAATTATAATATTTAAATATAGAAAAAAGAAAGAAAGCATAAAACATTCATTTTTTACTTGAATGTTTAAAAAATGTGTAAAAAATTTTTTTAGGTTCAAAATTTGAGAAAAGGCATGAAATGAAATAAAAAATTTAAAACAGAATAATAAAATTAATTAAAATATAGAATGAAAAAGACTATCATAAAATTATAAAAATTTAACAAAATATCACCATTTATACCTATACAATTGGCGATGTAATAATTTCAGGACTGGCAATACTTAAAATTAATAAGAGACTTAGCTTTTTTTAATATAAAAATATTAGATTGATGAAGTAGACTAAATACATTTAAAAAGCTAATTTTACAAATTTAAATAACTTATTTATAGTTATTTTATTATTAAAATGGATTTTAAATTATATCAAATTTTAATAAGAAATTTTTACAAGGAAATACATTTGCTCTTTTAAACATGATATTTAAAATAATTAAATTACTTTTAAAAATACATCAAATAATTTAACTTAAAATTTTTATTAAAAGGTCTTTTATTAATTTATAAAAACAATTTACAAGTAAACATATTTTTTAAATTTTAAGTTTGATATTTAAAGCAAAAATTGTAAACTTTTTATTTATCATAAAACATTAATTATTTTTTAGAGAATATTTTTAATAAAATATTTTTCTTATTCAAATTAAATTTATAAATTAAAAATTTTAAAAAACAAATAATTACGAAAGTTATATATTTTTTATTTTAAATAATTTTATATCATAAATATCAAATAAATTTATATTTATTTATTAATTTTTTAATTTTTAAGCACATTTACTTCTAATTGAAATCATAAAACATATGGATTCAACTTAAAATATCTAAAATCTTTTTAAAAATTTTTTAGCCATTTTATCTTATAAAATTCATTTTAACAATCTAAATATTCCTAAATAATTATATATAAATGTCTTTTTGTTTTTAAAAAATTATGTTTTTATCTAGCATTTTTTTTTTTTGAGTTTTAAATAAATTAGTATTTTTTTGACCAATATACTTATTTAAAATATCAAATTTATATTTGATATCAAAACTGCAAATCTTTCAATCATGATAAATATTATAAATTGATATATAGATAGATAGTTTGATACAAAAATAATTAGATAAATTAATAGATAATTTAAATAATTGTAAAATACTATTTTATTTAGTTTTTTTACTTCTTTAATTTATTTTTAAAAATTGAATTTAATCTTTTTATAAACATTTTACTGTAATTAAAGTTTTTTTATTTATCTTTAAGTCTAAAGCTTTTTTAATAAACATTAAATACCATATATTTTTATTAAGAAGTTTAAAATAAATTTTTTAGGTTGGTTTTAGAGATGAGATATAAGAATAAAAAATATAAATAAATTTTAGGAATAGCTTATAATCTTTGTATGGATGGTGTTACTAATATTTGTAATTTAGTTAATATTTTTTAAGAGAATGTATGAAATAATAAAGTTTTTTGATTGTTAACCTTAAAATAATAATATTAGCAATAATTAACTTATATAATAACAAAGCAAAGTAGTAATTATCAAACTCTTACTTCTGTAGAAATAAAAGAAGTAAAGATCAGTAAATATATTAGTAGTTATAGGAGACAAATCTAAAATTATAGAAATTTTTACTTAAGAGCATTTTTTTAATAAAAACAGAAAATATTTTTTCATAAAATTCACATTTTGTAGTTACGCTCTCAACTTTTGTTAAAAGATAAGTTAAATTTTATATATAGATTGTTCGTTCATAAAAAATTTAGTTGAAAAGGAAAGTTAAAATTCTGGCAGGAATTTATTTAGCAAAATGGCAACCGAATAAGAAAGCGATGATATATGGGACAATTTACAATCAATTTTTTCAGAAAATCCTTAAAGATTTTTTAACATTCTGTCAACAATTAGTATAATTTTTATTAACTTTATTCATATTTTGTTTAAATTAAAGAATAATCAGAGTGTTAATATATATTTATTTACAGATGAAGAGCAAGGACTAAAGATGTTCAAAGCAATTAACTTGATTAGAGATGAGATAGTAATGATTAGGGAGATGGTGATACAGAAAGGATAAATAGAGTTTATTAAGAAAATGAATACTATTCATTCAAATAAGAGCAAACAATAATTTGAAATCAAAGTTTTTGATAAATATCTGTGTAAAAAAACATTAGATAATGCTTCAATATGGCTTGAATTAGAATATTGTTAAATGGGTAGTATTCACGAGTTAGTGTAGATTACAAAATTAGCATTTAGTGAAGGAGAAATTGCTTTTATGGTAGATCAAATTATGAAATATTTGCAAGAACTATAAAGAGATGGGCTTTTAAAAGATCAAAGACCGTTATTAGATAGTCGTCATTTATTTTTAACGAATTAAGGAGTATTAAAAATTTTTCCTTTTCCTCTTTTCAGTTAATTAGTGAAAAATGAAAATCTTGTTTCAGAAATAAACAGTGAACTTATTTAACTCATAAGTTTTATGGATAATGTAAATAAATTTATTTAATACCTTTTTTATTATTAAAACTATTTTTTATAAAATACTTCAAATTGGTTATTCCATTTATCATTACTAATTTACTTTTAATAACGTTCATTCATCTTATTATTAATAATTAAATTAATAAATAAATGATGAGTTGTTTTTATTTTTTATTTTTACTCAGAATATATCAGGAAATGAAGAAAATTTTTCTGAGGGGATCAAGATTTTAGTTAAAGCTCTCAAATAAGATTAGGATTATTCATAGATTTTAAAGACTAAAATCATTTAGGAAAATAAAGATAAATTCGAATATATAAAGCGAAGCATATACAGTACAAGAAAGAGGGCAATAGAAAATTATAGGAAAACAAGTATGAGCAAATTTGTACCAGATACTCTCAAAAATGGATAGAATGATTCTTAATAATTGAATTCTTAACAGTAGCTTAATATAAACGAAGGCACTAATTAAGATAGTTAAAAAAAGTAGATAAATTTTAATGGAAATGAGTATGAAGAAACAAATAGTGATGGCTCTCCTAACATAAAAGATTCAAAATTTCAAAGAGACAATAAGACTTTACAAAATAATTATAGAAGTAACCATATGCCTCACAGAAAAAACTAGTTTAGCAATCAGTATTAAGAGTTGAGTTAAGATTTAAAAGACATCAGCTAAATAAATGTGTTTTAAAACCCATATTTTTCTTCACTTGAAAGCAACGGTAGTATTTGCCAATATCTTATTAATTCTTAATCAATTTAGTCAAAAAATACAAATAACTACCCTAGCTTTTTAATTTAAAGTGGTGTAGGTGCTTTAGATTTTTATAATTTAAATGATATAAAAAGTGTTACAGATAGGAGGTTTGAAGATGAAGAAAGGGAGAATTAGAAAGAAATAATATTGAATTAAAACTAAATTACTGATAATCAAGTTAATCATTAAAAAACAAATAGTGAACTGATTATAAATAATAATGAATCAAAGGTCTAATAATAGTAAGCAAGTACTTGTATTAAAATTAAGTAATTTTTAGAAAATCGCTCAGAAAAAAAGTTGAAGTTCAAATTATTTGTAATGGATAAAAAAGATTAGGATATTTCTCAAGAAAATACTTAAACTAATTAGGAAGAAAATAGCAGCAAAAAAATTTATTAAAATCTAGAAATTAGTAAGATTAAATCAGATTAAATTCAATAAAATAGCCCAAAAAATTACTGCTTTTCACCTTCAAAAAATATAGATTTAAGCAATTAAAGTTTCATATCCCCAGATAGAGAGAGCAACTTTTCTAGTGGAAGTTGTAAAATTACAGCAAGATCAGAAAGATAATTTGGATAAGTTTAATAGGAATTAGTTACTGAGGCAGATCAGTTGATTAAAAATTAAAATAATGACCAAGCAGCTCATAATATGTTAAATGATAAATTAGATTGCTAGTAAATGAATGAGGTTAATATAATTCTTGAAGAGTCTTCAGAGATAGCTTCATCGTTTCCATAAAGCCCATATACAAATAGGAAAATAAGTTAGAATGCATCTGATAGCTAAAAAAAGTATTCTCCAAAACTTGAATTTGTAGATTTACATTCAATAAATTTGAAAGGAAAAATAAGCAGTTCAAGCGAAGATAAATAAAATTAGGAATAAGAGAGTAGAAAATACATAACTTTGGAGCCTATTTAAGATTAATTATTAGTTAATAAGATTGACCAATAAGAACAAGAACCTAAAATACTAACAAATAAATCTAATTTTATTTAAAGGGTAGAAAATTGCAGATATGAATCTTAACAAAAATAAGATAGTAAATAATAATGTGATACAGAATAGTACAATACAAATGAAGTTATTGTTTAGGATGATAACTTTGAATCATTTGATATTAGGGGAGATGACGATTATGATGACTATGATAATCTCGATGAAGATTATGAATATGATAAAAAGTTATATGAGCCTATTTCGTCTCTCATTCCACACGAATATGAAACTTTTGGAGGAGGTTCTACAACAGTAGCTCCTACAAACGAAGGAACAAATATTGGGTTATCAGAGAGAAATGGGGATTGCATAGAATAAACATTTTAAAAAATAGAAGAGTTTCAGGAATAGGAGTTTGTTGTAAGCTGTATACCAACTTCTAGATGCAATCATATTGCTGAAACAAAATATTAGCAAAATAAAAACTCCCTAAAGTTTAATCAAGATAATCCTAGTGTATCATAAGGCCTTGATAACTCTTAACAATAGGAACTATCGTAAAGTGATAGCGAAGATGAAGAAGAAATAAACTCAATACAATCTAATTTAGCAGAAGAATGGAGAATGAAAAAACCATATGCTTTTCCTTCCAACGGAAATATGGGAATATACATTGAGTAATCTAAATAAAAATAAAGATATCAAATGAAGAGAAGTAACTCTGAACATATAGATATTTTCACACTCAAGGACTATATGATGTAAAAAAGAAACTCCTCCCCTGCAGGAAAACAATTTAAAAAGACAGAATCTCCTAAAGTAGAAATGCCTAGTTGTGTTCATTCTCCTGAGAGTTCAGCATCTCCAAGTTCATCTAGTAAATATTAAAGTGAAAGATAGCCCTTTTAGATAAGAAACCTATAGTAAATTGTTTGCCACTCTACCTCATCTAAGAATGATTCAAGGAAGTATGCCTATAGGACAAACGATGCTGATGATATAGATTAAGAAAGTACAACATTACACAATCCTACAGATTGCAATGATACTTTTTAACAAATGGCTTCAAATGAGTAGAATTATAGAAAGTAAAATGAAATAGAAGATGAATGTCATCTAAGCAATTACTAATCAAAAAAAAGAAATCTATCTACTCCTTTTACTAAAAATTAAAGAAAGCCTATTTTCTCAGATATTTAAACTATCAATTCAAGGTCATAATCGAGAAATTACTTCTATGATTCAAAAGAGTACGATATTAATCCTTTAACATCAAAGCAATCAGATTAAAAACAAATCAATTTAAGCAGCCAAAGTTATTCAATCAATAACTAATACACTAAAAGCAAGAACTCAAATGCAGCAGTTAACTATAAAAATCGTAAAATTAATGAAGGTTCTATAGATATTTCCACTAATTAATCGTATTGCCAAAATTAATCTATAGGCTCTAAATTGTTTCCAACCCAGTAATCAAGTGAGAAAGATATTAGCTTTATCAAGAATAACTTATTTGCATAAATAGAAAACATAAATTACTAATAAAATCCAGCTGTTTCTTAATCAAAAGCTTCTTAAAACTTTAATATCATTAATTAATCTCTAAATATATGTTAAGATTAAAAATTTTCTGAAATTGGCAATCAAAATAGTTATTTATAATTAGAATAAACTCCTAAATAATCTGCCTAAAAATTTACTAACTAATTATCAGCTAAATCAAATTTGATAATATCATCATAATAAGAGAATTAAGTCTAATAAAAATAGAATTAGATTACCACTTAGTAGAGCAATTACTATCTATGTGATGGAAATTATTTTTAAGCATAGTCATGTCAAAATGCTTTTCGTTAGTAGATATGTTTCGATCATAATTAAAAAAGCTAAATCTCTTCAGCCTAAAATTTAGATTAAAACTCTTTATTATCTCCATCAAATATAATATTAGACTCTAACAATTCTTAAAACCGCTAAGCTTCTTTGCAAAAATTGTAGCAAAAAAACTAACAATTTTAATAGTAGTAATAATAATAATAATAATAGTAACAATAACAATAATTATAGTTTGTTTAATATTCAATCAATTAATAAAATCAATTGTATAACTAAATGTAATACAACTTTCAAAATCACTAGTAATAATAGTAAAATAATAATTAGCAACCTAAGCTATCAATGTAATTTAATTAACCTACTCAATAAATTTATTAAAATAATATTGTCAACGCCCATGCTTAATAGAATATAAATACAAAATTATAGGATACTATGTAAAGCTAGCAATAACTTCAATTACAAAAATAAAATAACATAAATAATTAATTAAATCCACCTACATTTTATAATAATTAAAATAATTTATAGCAGGTTTCAGAAAAAAAATAGTAGCTCTCCATGCTATATAACCCATTAAATCCAATAAATTAGCTATAATAACAAAATAATTACTATTAATAAATTTCACCAATACATTAATAGCAATAAAAGTAAAATTAAAACATCTAATTACCATAAAATACAAATAGGCCTACTTCAACTGAAAAAATAAATTTAATTTCATAAATGGGGGGTAACAGTAATCATCTTATATAAATGCTATTTCCCAGCAATATGAAAAAGCCAATTTTGGATTAGACTTTAAATGAGTAAATAAGTAAAAGAAAGTATGGTAAAGATTTGACAAATAAGTTTAATGAAGAGGGAGAATACACTGGAGGAAATAATAATCAAAAAATGTTTGAGTAGGGAATCAGGTAGCTAGGACTTAACTAAAATATGGAGATCTTTGACACTTTATCTACAGATGAGTCTGTTTAAGTGAAAGGGGTAAGTTTGATGAGACCTGGTTTAATTCATAGAAATAACGAAGAAAGTTAATAATAAGATTAATAACAATAACAACAACTTAATAGTGCCAAATTTTAAAACCAAAGTAATTCAATAGCAAACAATAAGCAATTTAGCTACTAAATAAATTAAATTTAGAATAAACAAAATAATTAATAAAATACAATAAATAATAATAATAGCAATAATTAATAGTATAGTAGAAATATAGCAAACAAACTTTTTAGTTGATCAAAAATGTGCATAGTTAATTTAATCATAATTCATTGATTAAATAAAGAAATATTCCTTATATAAATCTATAAATTTAAATTTGTTTTATATTTATTTTAAAGCTATTATTAGCTTTGATTCATTCATTTTCCTTGATATAAATGTAATTTATTGTTAATTAATAAAATTAAATATTTTAGCACAGTGATCCAATAATTCGAAATTCAATCTAAAAATATTAATTAATTGCTCTTTTTATTTATTTATCTATTAATTAAAGAAATTGAAATACTTTTAATTAGTTTTATTAATTGTTAGCAAATATATATTTTTCACTAAATTTATTCAATTTGATGGAATTATTAAAGTTAGTCAAGAAGGATTAACAAAGTTAAATGTAACATAACAGATAACAGAAAATATTTGGTAGTTACAACTAACTTTATTTTGATTTAAGTTTATTATAAGCTTGCTAAAACTCTAATTGTGCTTAATAACTAAACTGAGATATTTTTTATTTATTCCTCAAATACCAGGTGAGTAGAGAAGGTTATCAGAGACTAATTCAGTTCTAAGAGCCTTAAGGTGAGCTTCCTTCTTAGCTTAGGCGAAATCGAAAACAGTGAAGTTATATTTTTTAGATAATTCACAAACTGTATTGTTATTAGCAATAAATTTAGGTTCCCAAACAGAGTAAGTCTATTTAAATTATTTAAGGGTAAAATATTTAGGCAATAAAAAATATATTTTAATAAAAATGATTGTAATGATTATGATTTCTATTGATATTAGTTAGATAATATCATTTTAGATAAATTTTAGCTTATAGAAAATAGAAGTTTTTTTTATATAGCTCACAATCATTTCAATTTATTTAATTTATACTTAAAACCTTAATATCCACTTTATTATGCAAATTAAAACATGTTGGATTTCATTATAAATGCTATTTTTTTAAGTTTAAGTGATACTAAACTTAAATAATGTATATATAATTAGACTAGATTTAGCATTTTATCTACTATATTTATAAGTTGAGATTAGTAGTTATCAATTATTATATTTGTATTAATATTTGCAAGAAAAAGAGGATATTAAGGCTTTAAGCTATACAAAGCATTGACTAAATAAATCAAAAAGCTATAAAGATATACTAATTAGTTGCCAACGTAGTAAAGGAATGGGCAGATAAGAAGGGATAAGCCAATGTTCAAGACAGGTCTAGAATAGATTCTAGTTGAAATATATGGGAAACCGACTAAACCGATCAAACCAGTCAAACTACCAATTAATCTAGCCTTAGTGCTAAGATTATCAGAACTATAAAATATTATAAAATTAACAAAATTTAGATATAAAATATGTCAAAAAATATTTTAAAATTGCTTTTATTTCATAATAAATTGCATTCTAACAAGCTATTTATTTTTTTAAGTTGATAGGATCTTATATTATAAATTTTTTTAGAAAAACTATCTACGAAAGCTTTTTAGAAGTGTATTTATGATGCAATTAAAGTAATTATTCATTTTAGTATAATAAAAAGGTGTTTACAGTTCTTCATTAAATTTAACTCTATCAACGGGGTCTAACTTTTCAGGTACCTAGTTAGCAATGAAGTAGAAAATCAATTTCTTTCTTTCTTCAAGAGAGGCTAATATAATTTAAAAATAAGTTTATGGATACTTATTTGCAAGGAATTCTAATATGAAAAAGATTGGTGAATTAATACAATCAAGTGATAAGAATCAACTAAACTTTGCTTGATGTTTCTTCAATTTGATTGTATTTGAAAAGCTATTTTCGTAATAATTTGCATTCATGCTTTTTGCTTGCTAATATCAATAATTAATCTGAGTAGTACCTAACATAAGATTGTCATGGTTGATGAAGTAACCATTACGGGTCTTGTGTTGCTAATTGTAGAATAAAAATTCGAAAACCATTTCTTCTTTTATTGAATATTTTTTCTTTTCCTTTTCTATCTATACCTTAAATAATTTTATTATTTTCTTTTTCCTTTTTAATTAAATTTTTCTTCAAATCAAATGATACAGAAATCCTTTTTCTTTTCTTAATTTCATAAATAATGAGTAATGAATGAAAGAGATCTTAGTTATTTATTTATTTTCAATTGCTTCATTATGTGTTTTATTTGTATAGATATCTTCATTAAACTTTATTTTTTTAAAAAATATTTGCTATATAAAAACACAATAAAAATAAATATAATTGAATATCTTTAGTAATAATATAGCAATTAATTATACTGTACGTACGATGAATAAAATTCTAAATAACAAGAAACCCAAAATTATTTTTAATTTTAAAATATAACATTTTAATAGTTTTTTTTTTTGTATTTGCCTTATATAAGAAATGAAAAAATAAATTATTTATTTTAAATAACTTTTGTTTGATAGATAAATTATTTTTATGTTCTAATTATGTATAAATTGTGCATGACATGAGATCTAATATATATATATATATATATATCTATAAGTATAATATATGTACAATAAGTAATTCAAAAAATATTTTTATTAAATTTTCCTAAAAGTTAACTAGATAATTGTGAATTTAGAAAAACAGTTTATTTTTTGATAGAGATATTATTTTTAGAGATTTCTAAATAAAGGTTTATTAAATTGAGAATACTATCTTCAATGAAAAATGATTTTAATTCAAATTCACTAAATTATTTTGAAACTTTATTATTTTTTTTATCAGGTTATCTATACATTTCATCTTTCCCTCTTTTTGAGATATCAAAATAATCATCACAAATTTAATTGAATAGTTTTATTAATATTTCTTAAGTGTTTGTTAATGAAAGTCTACCTTCTAACTCTAATTGTTTTTGATTTAGTAATTAAACAGAGAATTTTCTCTACTCAGCCATGTATAAGTTGACAGGGTTTAATTAAAAGTATGACTATCATTTTAATTTACATGTAAAAAAATAAAGAATCTAATTTTAATAATTTAAATAACTTACGTATTTTAATTCTATGTCTTATATTGCTGAATTTTTTTAATCATTTTATTAAGTAATTTTAGATTTAACAGAAGATAATTCCAATTCAGATAAATAATTTTAATTCCTTTAATCTTTTTTGATTTAATTTCGCTTATTCTATATATATTTATACAAGGTAATAAGGGTATTTATCAAAGTAGATACAACAGTTAATATGTTTATGGCAAGCTAAATTTTGAAATTTAAACTATTGTCTATTTGTAAACGTGATATTTAAGTAATAGATATGACTAGTAATCCTATAGAAAATTATAAATCTTAGAAACGACAAAGATCACTTGAGCAAAAATTTTATTTTAAATTATTCGATTTAAGCAACATCTAAGAAATATAAAAAGAATTATTAATATATTTTTATTAAATATAATTCTTATAAAAATTACCTTTTGAATATAGATAGTCAAAAAAATTGTTGCAAAGTAAAATATAATACTTAAAGGATTTGATTCACAAATAGCTATTGTATTGTAAAATATTTTAATTACGAAGACATACTACTTGTTTATTTTAATTTATTTTTTATTTTTATCCCTAATTAAAAATTAATTATAATTATTTAAATTAAAATGAGAAATATTAATTAAATACTTTGTGACTTTATTATAGAATTAAATGTAAGATGATTAGTTGCCAAATATTAAGTTAGATATGTTTATATTATATCGAGTATTAAACATTCTCATGGTATGGATAATAGGATACAAAAGATTTATAAACATATTCATCCACTCTATTTGCACTTTTAAAAAAGGATTTTAAAATCAATTTTAAGCTGAAATAATAACTTACTTTCACAAATGCGGTCACTTAAAATTACTAAGTACATTACTTCATTTAAAGATAATATTATAGGCAACACAATTATATAAATTAAGCTTATTGTTGATTTCTATGTAAAAATTTATTTAAATCCTCCATAGACTAAAAATCTAATAAACTTATTAATTATTTGAGTAATTAATGGTATTACTATTGATAATATGATAAACAGGGCTTTACTAGAGTTAGACCCAGAATTTCTAAATGAATTTAATGATGTAAGTTAAATTTTACTCAAGAAGAATATAGATAGAAAATTTATAAAAATTCCTGTGCATATAACTGCAAATATTTTTATCCATAACATTCTTAACTTAGATATATGTATGTGTTAGTTACCCCATATAATATCAGTAGGTTATTCTGGTTCAGAAATAGTAATACCTTCATACCATTCAGAAGGTTAGTAGAAAGTTTTTCCATCTTAACTTTCTATTTATTATTTTAATTTCCTATACTTCTATAAATACTCACCTTCAGTTTGCCAAAGCTCACTGAATTTACTGATAATTTTCTTCTGATATTATATTACTAACTATTTTTCTATTAAATTAATTTTTTTAATTCAAACTGAAATATGATCGAATAAAATTTAAATAAAGTTAATTTATTTTTATTGCTCAACAAATAAATATTATTTACTCTGAAGGTATTTTTTGATATTAATATTTTAAAAATAAATTTGTTGAATTAAATTTTTTGAAAAAAATATTTTAAATTTATTTATTTACCTTCAATGCTATCAAAAGTAATATATGCAATACCATTAAATAAATCTTAAGATTTTATTTCTTTTTCTTAGCGGCTGATAATTTTTTAGGCTAACCTCTACTAAAGAAAATTAACCTCAGATTTTTATTATGCTTTAAACTTTATCTTTGTGAGCTTATCAATTATTTTGATATCATAGCAAAAAGTTATACATCTTATTTTAACTCTTCTTGGTTTTTATATCAAATCAAAGTATAAAAGAATGTTTTCTTCTAGGTTATCTTCTGCTTTAATATTAGATATTTTAACTGTATAAGAAGTAGGACTTTTTTCTCCTTTGATTTGATAAATAAGATACTTGTTAGCAGAAATTTCAAATAAATCATAAATGCCAAATTTTAAACGAATAACTTAGCTAATTGTCAAGCATATAAAAAGTAAAATTTAGATTATATAGCTTTGATTTGAGTTAGTATCTGCAAATCCATTTGAAAGTTTGCAAATATACATAAAGTTTGTATCATCATCACAATAATTACTTGAAGTATTCAAGTAAATTTTATAAATTCCAAAGACCAAAAAAATTAATAGTAAAAATCCTAGCGAATATATCAAAAATGAACCGTACATAAAATATATTTCTCCCTTTCTCAAAATATATTAAAAATCAATAGGTTCAGTTTTCTTTTCATCTGATGTTTATTAATCCTTTATAAAAATAATAGTTCATGAATATTTGTAGTGACACTAACTAAAAGAGGAAAAATGATAAGAAATTTGTAACAAACTCAATTTATAAATGAAAAAATATACTTAAGAAATATTATCTTGATAGTGAGAAGCATACATTTAATTTAAGTGTATCTACTTCATTTACTATGGGTTAAAAATGTTGCTTGTGTGTTTATCAAAACCATAGTTAGATGTTTAAGATTTCCTTCTGTTATTAAAAAGGAGGATAAATAACCATTAAACAAATGATATGTTAATAATATTTTGATTACTCATATTTCTCGAGTGGATTGCTTTTAATTCTTCTTTATTGCGAGTTACTAACAATACTTTCATTTTATCTTTTAATGTTTATCTATCTCATACTAATTAATAAGCTATTGTTTTTATTATTTGTATAATTAATAAAATTACCTCAAAAAAAATTGTACTGAAAATTCTAAAAGTATTTTACAAAAAAAAAGTGAAAGGGGTTTTGATCTTTCAATATAAGTAAACCTTTAATAAAAATCAAGATAAAAATACTTAGTTATTGATGTTCATTTTCTTTCATATGTAATTCAAAATACAAGATAATTTAAATATTCACAACTATGAAAAAAAATATAATTTAAAAAAATAACAATATTCTAAATCATGATTTTAACTAAGCAACAAAATAAATAAATCTCAAAGAAATGTTTTTATTCTTATTGAATTTCTTAAATAAATACTATTTTCCTTCAATTATTATTTAAAATTTTCTTTTAATATGAAAAAAAACTTGCAAATCAGTTATCAATCGTTAAAAGTAGAAATACTAACTATTAAATTTACAATCACACTAATTAAGATTTTTTATTAAGATTTTTAGATTAATAAAAATGAATATTTTAAATAGATCTTAGTAAATAAAATAATGATTTGCTCGATGAATAGATATATAAGCAGATAATCTATTTAAAAATAGACTATTTGGTTAAGTACTTTATATAAAAATTATAATTTTTGCTCTTTTTAAAATTATTTTGTAGAAATATTATTTCTTATTTACAAAAAGATAAAAATATAATTATGTTTACTTTACAAAATTAAACAAGTATTTTTATATTTTATATAAAATTAAATGAGTTTTATTATTTAATAATTTTATTTAATTATATATGTGGAAAAATTTTTTGTATGAATAAATCAGCTTCTTAAAAAATCTGTTAAATATGATTTTATTGATTTTCTAAAATTCCATTATTTCTTCATCATATCTATCACTGCTTTGCATTATTTAAAATCTTTGCTTATTATGTAAGTATTTATTAAGATTATTCAAGCTATGCCTTTAACTAGCTCACAAGAAGAAAATCAGATTAATTTGCTTATCTCTATCTATTTCTATGGTAATTAGACTAATACTCTCTGATTTAATCCAAAAGCCATTTGTTATTTACAATTTGTTTATTCACAAACTAAGAATCATATTAAGGTGTCTATTTAATGATGCTAAGTTGTTTTTGCACTATGGGTATCAAATCTTAAGCATTTCCAGATATTTATTATTTTGAATTTTATTAATTTTAAATCATTTTATCTATTGTTAGTTAACTTTGCTATAAATACTTATTTTGCATTTGGATTTATTGATTACTACTTTTATTAGATTTATTTTATGAAGCATAGCCCTAGCTTTGATAAAACTAATCGTTGCCTTGATTACTCGATCTTTCAATCATTTTTAAATCCAAGAAACTTGACTTTTTAGAATTAATTAATTTTAGATTCAAATTATTTGAATTTGATTAAAAATCCATTTAATTTTAAAAAGACTTAGGAGTACTGCTCTATACAAAACTTTTTCCTTGAGCATATTACTTTGATTTTTCATTTAAATTAGCATAATTCTCATTTTTGTTGTATTTTTCAAGTAAATTAGTATTCATAGCTGGATTTAATTTGTCATATTCCTTTTTTTATTTTAAATAATTTATAAAAACAACTTTAATTCAAAATATATTTTACAGTTTTGAATTAGCTCTAAATATCTTCGTATGGTCTATTTAAATTGAAAAAAGTCAAACTATCAATATCCAATTCGAATATTTTTGCATTAGATCTAAATAGTGGGATAAAAAGATAATTTGCGGATGATATAATTATTGAAATGATAGAGGGTATCAGTTTTTATAATTATTAAGGGTCATTTATCCTATGGAAGCAGTAGGTGCTTATTGAAAATATTATTAACGATATCGGAAGATGATGCAAAATGCTAAAGCTTATTTCTGGACCAATATCATCTATAACTGCTCTTCTATAAATAAGCTAAAACTATTTAATAACAAAGATTTATCCGTATTTATTAATTCATTAAAGTAGTGATATTTACTTTAGTCACTATATAATAGATAATTATGCTCCCAAGCGACCATATCAAACACATAGGAATCATAGGTGCATAAAACATAGTTTGATAAATGACTCTAATGATAGTGCAGTAGTGATAACCTAAGTCAAATTCTGGGTCTTCAAATATCCTTTAATTATAATATAAATTTAACTCTAATTATTTAAGGAAATATTTACTTTCCTAACTCTTCTTGGTTGATATATTGACTTCTTTTTGTTAGGTGAGCTCTATCTCTATAAAAGCATTTTATCAGGTAAGGTATATCAATAACACAAAGAATTACAGGTGTTACTGCTTGTAAGAAGAAATTATATGTTTAAAGTATTGATAGGCCAGCTTTATTCAAATATTAAAATATATTTAATTCTTTAGTTTGGTTTCAAAAGATTTCTTACTTGGGTTATATAACATACTATAAAGGGATTAATTATTCATTTATGATGAAAGAATAGCAAAAGGCATCACATTATTTATAATAAATTATAAAATAATAGTTATGCTGGTTGTCATATTTAATCTACTTGTCTTTGAATTAAAATTCAGCATTCTTTAAATTAAATAAAGTAAATTTAAAAGATAATAAATTTAAAAATATACCTAAGGCAAATTTTAACGAGGATATAGAAATAAATGTTTAGGGCTTACATTATTATAGCTAATCCTACAGCTGTTAGATGAGATGAAACAACATCATCATATGATGCATAGTTGCGATTATGATTTGTAATTCCTAAATAAGAGTATATTGTGATAATTACATAACTAACTAATCCAGCTATTACTACTAAGAAGTGTAAATAATTATCCAAAAAAAAGGTAAAAATCTTGCATTTTTAAGAAGCTTGATACATATCACTCCACTCAATATCATCAGGAATAGGTGCTTCCTAAATTTATTTAACAACATAAATTTTTTCTTCTTATATATGAAATACAACTTGAATTATTTACCTTAAAGGTCAATTTTTCACCTTAAAAATAAAATTTTTATTTAGAAAAGAAAGACTTGTATCTACTTACAGTTTCTAAGAACTAAAAAGCAACTTTATTATTAAAAAAAATATTATTTTCTTATCTAAAAATTTTGAAGTATTAAATAAAATGCATTTAATTTTTTAAAAATTATTTAAAATTCATACTATGCTGGTATTTGAAAGTAATGAATGCTTGTCCACAAAAATATTTAGGCATAAAATCTTTTGTCCTTTTTGATGAAAGATCCTATCTTAAAGTTTCTATTTTTTTTTCAGTAATTTGTATTTGTTATTCTGTTTGATAAACTTCATCACTGCCTAAGCCATTTGTGTTAATTTCTTTCATTTTTTTCTTTTTTAAATCTTTAACTTCTTATTCTAATTAGATGAGTTCATCTATGTTAAAGCAAAATGTTATCTTTTAAATTGATCCTTTCATATCAATTTTTTAGTCATGTATATCCACTAAATTCATTTTGTTCTCTATATAATCCTAAACAAAATTCAGACAAAAAAGTAAATAAAAGCATGCTAATTATGAAAGTTAAATAAGACTGAAATGTTTTTGAAAGAAATAATTACTATCAATTCGATTTCATAATTTTTTCCATCTGTAAATTCAATAGGTATATTACTAACAAGTACTGTAAAAGAGTTAGGCTGCTAGAAGTAATTATCTAGTTTAATTTGTTTCTCTTTTTACCTCTTAACAATATAGTGGATGATTAGAATCAATCCCATAACTGTAATTAAATTAAGAATATCTTATATAAACAAAGAATTTTTATCGTTTCCTCTATTCCCAAGCGCAAATTTGGTAATCCAATTCTTTTAACAATTTATTTGGATTTTTACAGGAGATTAATTGTTTTACAGAGACAAGTAATATGACTCTGCAATTTAATCTACACCTTTTTGTGAGATACATATGTTTTAATTATTATTTAAAGTTAAGCTATAAATTCCACTCACAAAAAGAACAGCAAGCAAAAATAAAAAGGACATCTTTAAAAAATCAAAATATAAAGGGTAAGATGTCCCCAAATAAGAAAGAAAATCTGTGCTTGTCCTCATATGCACACTATAAGGTTTGCTATATCTACCACAGCATTCACATTACCATTAACCTTTGTAATCCTGTGGAATCTAGTGCAGATTAAAAACTTGCTGTTAAATATAATTTTTTGAAGTTATTTATTGAATAAGTTAATAAAAATTTCAAAATTCGATAGAATGATATTTAATTTATTTGATAGGCTAAAAGCTTTTTTAATTCGAAAAGAATATACCACTAAAATAACAATTTATTAAGTTAATATTAAAATTAACTTTCTTTAAGAAAAATGATTCTACTAAAATTTTTGAATTAAAAATTTAATCGATTGAGTATAAGAATGTACCCTGTGACGCATTGCAACTTAATAATTTGCGGGAACATCAGTCCTACTGATTTTTTATTTTTTCATAGATTTATCGCTTTTATTGTAGCTTTTTGCATTTATGTTTGAATCATTGCTAAAAAATAAAATTTAGTTATTGGTTAATTTTTCAAAAAAAAAACTATTTTACTCAAATTAAATTTCTATCATCTTAATAAAATAGCCTCTATATCGTCAAAAAGTATTTTTAAACTTGTCTTTTATAATCCTTATGATTATAATTTGTTTATTATGTCTTTTTTTTTATCCTTTTTAATTTCCTCTAATTTTTACTAAATATCTCAAATAATCAATGACTATTATATGCTCAATTATTAAAAATTTTTTATTAATAATAAATATTGTTAAAGAACAGACCTAGTTTGTTTATTTATTCTTTTTATCAAATGAAAAAATGAAATTCTATTAATATTGTTTTCTTTGCGAAAATTAAGTTAAAAATAGATTTGTTCTAATAGTTAGTTCTTACCATCAAAATGTAATAAAATAATAAATTGGTATACTTACTATTTATTCTTTTTCCAACAATGCTATCAAATATTATTTTTTTAAATAAAAATATTTTAAATAATTAATAATAGATAGAAATAAGCAATTTATTATTTAATAAAAGAATTGTATAAATATAAAAATAAGAGAAAATTAACAATATCTTAATTATCTATTTTAGAATTTTAGAAGGAAATTTTTCTGTTCGAATTAAATATTCTAAATAATTATCATCTATCTAAAAATTAATTTTGTAATTAATATTTAATATAAAAAGTGTTAAATAGATAATTTTAAGATTGATTACACAACAAAATTGAAGTCACAAACTTAGTTAAATTAGCATAGTTATGTCAAATTAGCAAATAAACCTTATAGATACTTGGAAAGACATCTATTAGAATATTGACTAGGAGAAAATAGAAAAGATTTCATTATGCCCTTTTATTTCTAGATTAGGAATAAATTAGTCAGATCAAACTATAGACAAAAAATATTTGGCCATTTTTTTTGCTTTTATAGAAAGACTCTTTCTGAATTATTAAATTGACTATATAGATCATTTATGCAAGTTGATGGAGCAACGAAAAAATGAAACAAATTTCGTTACCTAAATAGATTTTATTTTAAATTTCATTTACTATTTGAAGAAAAACTTTATTTAAGACACTGTTGAAATGAGCTTTGCCGACTTTATCAATTTTAGATAACAAATATTTTATTTGATTGAGAATGATTAACTATTTACTGCATTTATACCATTTGCAACTACATATATTTAGTTTTAATCTCAGTAAAATAGTTTATTGATAGAAAAATATGACAAAGAAAATGTTTAAAAGTTAAGCAATATCCTTAAAATGAATATAAAAGTTTTATTAGCAAAACCAGATAAAATTACTATTTCAGCAAACAAATATTTCTCAGATAATAGGAATAAAATGGATAAGACATTATTTGTAGTAGAAAAAAGCAAGTAATCTGTACACATAGCATATGATTCTTCAAATGAGAGATTACATAGATTCTGTTATTAAGGTAAAATAATCTATGAATAGAAAAATTAATAAAACCTAGAAAATACATATAAACCAATTAATGGTAATTAATTGAGTTAACAACATATTCAATTGTAATAAGAAAATGAAAGCTTAAAATAATAGATTTTGAAAATTTAAGAAGAAGAGGCATAAATTAAATAACAAAATGCTTAACTAAAATAAGAAGAATAAAAGTATAGAGAACAAGAGCTTTAGCTAAAATAGGTATTTGAACAATTAAGGCCTTTGCTATAAAATATGCTAAATAATTAGACCAAATAAATTGAGCAACTCTAATAGTTTTAGCCTACTCATAATAGAAATATTCCATAAAGTGATACTCTCTAACAGTAGCTTATTTAGTTAAATAATTCAGAGCTACAATTAAAATAATAATTATAATAACTATTCTTCCCCTAAAATAATTAATAGATTATCACTTAAACCTACTAGCCATAGTAGCCTGCTTAGAGCGCTAATTAATAATGGATTCGAAATGATTGCAATAATCAATTACAGTAGAGCTAAGTTTTACTAGAGACTAACAATAATTTTAAGTCTCAGTAAATCTATGATCAAAAAGGATTTATTAAATAATATAGTTTAGAAAGCAACTAACCATTATACTAAATTGATCCTAAACAATAAAATTATATTTAAAATAACAAAAGCAATTAAAGTTTTAATGAAATTTCTACAAATGACATATAAAATAAAAGCAACAATTCAGGATCAAATTAACATTTTTATTCTCCAAAATTAATTTAATAGCAAGTAGGTAACCAAAGCAATTATAATAATGATCTTTAAACTTTTAAATTTTAAAACAATTACTCAAACAATATCGCAGAATATGTTCATACTATTAAAACTAATAAGAGAGGTAATCTTTAATTAAATACTGATGATAATACATCAAACTGGACAACTTGTGATAAAATCAAAGAAAACAGAAACAAATAAAAAATTTAAGATTGTCCTATATGTTGCCAAAATAAATTAAATGAAGATCTTCTTAAGTTGAAATGTGGTCACTCATTTTGCTAAGATTGTTTAATAGAACATATTAATTCTTTAATTTCGCAAGGAAAACGTTCATTTGATTACTTTACTTGTCTTCATTGTAACTTAAAATTTAATCCTACAGAGCTATTTTTTATGCTTACAGATAAGTAAAGAAGCTAAATAGATGAATACTACAAAGATAGAAATATAAATTTCAAGTGTCCAAATTAAAAATGTGGTTAGTAATCTAAAATTCAAGAAAAAGAATGCTTGCTAAAAGAATTTTTTGTAACTAGTTGTTGCAAGTCAAAAGTATGTTCTAAATGCAAGCAATTATATCATCCTGACTTTAAATGCTAATCTTAAATTACAGAAATGATAGAACAAATTGCAGCTTATAGAAATTAATAAGCAACCGATAATGCTAGATTGTTCAGATTCTGCCCTGTTTGCTATTAATTTGCATTCAAAGATGAAGGTTGTGATCATGTTACATGTATAAAATGTAAATCAGATTTCTGCTTTAGTTGCTCTGCACCTAGACCATCTATTTTAGGTCATGGTAATCATTATCACAGAGAAGGCTGCCATTATTTCTGTGAGTACAAAGACCAAAAAGGAAATAAAGTAGACAATGAACTGAACCTAAAAAAATGTGTTTAATGTTAAAAAACTAAAAATCCATGCTAAAGACCTATAAGTTGGGATAAATTCCTTGTAGAAGTTCAAAATGAAATAGGTAATGAAATATTTGAAGCATTCCCAGATAACTATTTTCTTTGAATAAAATCAATGAATTAATTAATTAATTTACATTAAAAATATATAATTTTTATTTCTAAGTTTTATAACAAAACTAGTAAAATAAATAAAAATTAATCATCCATCAATGCATGACCTTTATATTTGATATTTTTCATTCAAAATTTTTTTTTGTTTATACTTTCTTTTATTGCTCTCATATGAAAATGAAAAATTTATTAACATATTATTAAAAAAGAATATTTATATTTATTATTGATTGATATTTAAGTCAAATAAATAAAAATAAAATAATTTAATTACAAATTAATCTATTTAAACACCTTTTTGTAATGCAAAATAAGATAATATGTTAATTCATTAATTACAAACCAAACATGAATTTTTCAGTCTTTGAAAATAAATCAATTAACAAAATGAAAGATTATTAATATATAAAGAAGTTAGTTAGATAGATAGATACTTTTATAGAAATTCTTTTATTTATTATAATTAAAAGTAAAAAATGTTTGAGAAGATTTTATTTAAGATTTATTTCTCAAATTTCGTTGATTTACATTTTATCTTATTTTTGTTTATACTTTCTTTTATTGCTCTTCTTTGAAAATGAAAATTGATTAACATATTATTAAAAAAGAATAAATTCATTTATTATTGATTGGTATTTTAAGTTAAATAAATAAAAATAAAATAATTTAATTACAAATTAATCTATTTAAACACCTTTTTGAAATACAAAATAAGATAATATGTTAATTCATTATTTATAAACCAAACAAGAATTTTTCAGTCGCTGAAAATAAATCAATTAACAAAATGAAAGATTATTAATATATAAACGAGTTAGTTAGATAGATAGATACTTTTATAAAAATTCTTTATTTATTATAATTAAAAGCAAAAAATGTTTGAGAAGATTTTATATAAGATTTATTTCTCAAAATTCGTTAATTTACATTTTATTTATTTATTCTGTGATTAGATAAGCATTAATTTATTTTGTTCATTGAGGAACTGCAAGAGAATATATAGCAATACCATCTTTGCTTGATGCTACTACTCTGTCTGTTATTATGTTTGTAGTTGGATTGTTAGATTTTTGTGTATAAATGTTAATTATTCCTCCATCAAGAGCTCCTGTGTATAATTCTCTGTCTTCCTTAGATTCTACATTTAATTTTTCTATGCTTCCATCTAAATTATTAAAATATATATTTAATAAATCTTATTAGCAAATAATAAATTAATTACTTGATAATCCAACTAACATCTTAAGACTGTTTTTCGATTCCATCAAGGTTATGGAAAGTGGGAAATCATGTAGATTTATTCTTTATAAAATCTAACGCTTTTGGTAATTTCTAACAAATACGTATTACAAAGTGCTATTTACTGCATAGTAAACATTATCGTTAAAACGAGAAACAGCAATCTTTGTTGTAGAAACCTAAAAGTTTATTATTTTTTAAATGATAAATTTGAGTTTTGTAAAAATTTTAAATTACAGCATCTGTGTAAAGGAGTTGTGTGAGATTTTTTTATTCAGCAGAGCTATCTATTAAAGAACCGTGAGGGTTTTCGAGGAAATCACACTCGTCAATAAGAGTGAATCCATATCCAATTTGGCGATCTGATGCATAATCAACTAAATAAACAATAACCTTGCCTTTAGAAGTAGTAGCAAAGAAAAGAGATTTTTCAGAATAAGGAATAAAATCAGTCACGTTAGGTACCTTGAATACTTTTTGGAAACGAACTAGAGGTCTTTTATCTTTAATAAGCTATTCAAAATTAAATATATCACCACTCTTCATTACAACAAACTTTCCACTTCTTCCTCCAACAATTGTTTCAAAAGATTTAATAGGATACTCTGTACTTGTCTTATCAGAAGGTCTAACTTCATCTAAAACATAAGTTTCAGATTAGAAGAATTTTTGCAGGTTAATACTCTTGATATCATTGTTATTTTCAAAGAAGCAAAAGATTTTATTTGTCTTAGATTCAAATAAAACTGATTTCACAGCACTTTAGAATTTGTATTCCATAACTTCTTCAGCTGTTTGGATATTCCATAATTTCATTTTACCATCTTAGTGAGTAGTGACAATAAATCTTTCATTAACTATATGAGTTTCATAAGCGTATTTATTATCTATTTATAGTTTTTAAATGTTAAGTATTAAATTTAAATATCAAAAAAAGGTGAGAATATAAATAAGTACCTATGGTGCCGATTAAAACTGTTCTGTATTTGCTATCTAAGTTAACATAGTAAATGCTACCATGATATAATCCTTTAAATTAATTAATAAGAGTAAATATTTTTACAAACAATTTGAAAAAGTTTTTTTATATACCTACTAATCCTTCTTTAAAAGTAGGATCTAATGAGAAAGAAGCGACAGATGAAGTGACTTTCAATCTTGCCCACGATATCATAAATTCAGGATGATTAAAAGGGTTGCTAGCTTATAATTATCTTTCAAAGTCCCAGTAATGGATATTTTCATCCATAGTAGTGACTATCAATCTATGAACTTGATTGCTAACTCTAACATCAAGTACTTCTTATCCATTTAATGAAACTTAAGTTCTGTAAACTATTTAGAAGCTCTCATTGTCAACTACTATAATTTCACCTGTAGATAAACCTGCAACGGCATATCTAAAATTATAATTAATGTTTATATTGAATTATTGTGGTTTAGTATCTAAATATAAAATAATAATTACTGTTTGCTTCCAAAGAGTATATAGTCTACGGCAGTTACTTCTGGGGCTTTTAATACAGTTTAGGATTGTTCTTTTTCTGATTTCTCCACAAACTCTTATTTAGGAACAAAAACGTCGAAATATTTCAATGTGTTTGTTTTATCAAGTGCCCAGAATTAAACTGTGTCTCTTCCAACAGTACAGAACTCTAACTAATTGTCAACAGTATGAACAATTTCAGAAATCTTCACATCATTTATTCTATCAATAGTGTATGAAGAAGTAATAAGCTTACCACTAGGCCACTCCCATATTGCAACTGTGCATTCTTTGCAATTACCAGCACTAATGATATACTTACGGTTAGAGCTGAAAGCTATTGATTACACTCCTCTTGTATGGAAGCCTAAAGTTTTTACAATTTCTGAAGTTTTGCAATCGATGACATATATATTTGAAATTTCGTTTTAATTATATGAAGCTGATCCAGCAACTAAAAACTTGAAATCTTTTGAGATTGTTAAGCAGCTGATTTAATCAGGAAGATTTATAATTCTTTGCTTACGAACTTTGGTCAAGTTTTCTATAATAATTAAGTTTTAACTACTATATGCAAACCATCCAGCCATATAATTCCATACTACGTTATCATGGCTTTCATTATTAAAGCTGATCACATATTCTGTTTAGAATTCTTCTTTGTTGCTTTTTAAATAAGAAAATAATTAAAGTATTAATCTTTTATAACTTTGTCTTACTCTCTCAACTTTAAATTTTTTTCTTAGAATGTCTCACTTCTACAATTAGGTGCATAGTAGTGTCTAAAAGGAATGTTATTTTCCTTACGTACTTCATTAGGTGTATATTTAAATTGCAGGTTTTTTCTTTCTCTTTTCTTTTTTTGTTTATGATATTCGATTTCCTAAGGTTTTACTGGTTCAACTCTTTTTAAAAATAAAAGAGATTAAAGCTTACTGAAATATAATAAAGTTGTTTTACCTAGTTGGTTAAAAGCGAGGAGCATTTGATGCTGCACTAAGTATGGAGTTACTCTTTTTACTTTGATTGTATCCTGTCAGATTCTTGGCTTATGACATAAGCTGAGCTAAAGGGCCTATATGATCAGCTTGATTTTGTTAAAGACATTAAATTATTAATACAACTAAAATAAATTTTACCATCTGAGTCTTCATCGTAATCTCTATTGTTTGGAGATTAACTAGATTAGGCGCGCTATCCTTAATATTAATTTTCACGTTAAGCATTTGGTCTTACAGGATGACTATTCTCTGAATTAGAGACCTCAAAGTAAGGTGGCTGAGATACGTGTTGCTAGTAAGCATTAGGATTAATATCATTTACATCAGATACAACCCTATCTACTTTATATGTACCTTCTTATCCTTATCTTTAAACATTCAAGACCTATTGTATATCAGCGTATTCATCAAGTTAATCTTAGAATTACCCCTCATTCCCATCTTAATATTGCAGAGGAAGCTATTCACTACCCTTGTTTGCTCTTTTTACAGGATTAGGTTAATAGGTAGAGTTTGAAAGAGGAATTTTTTTAGTGTTAAGATTTGCGTTTTCACTAAAATCTACAATTCTTTCTTATTTTGTTAAATCTCCCAAGAAATTCCATTCATAAATACCTTCAAACCCTCCTGCAGTGATAATTTTAGTGTTATCAGGTGAGAAAGCAATACAATTAATCTTATTTATATGACTCAAAAATACTTAATTGCTACCAGGGCCATTAAGCAAGAACTCATAATCCCAAATCTTCAAAAGTTTGTCTCCTCCTACACTTGCCATATATTTAAAGTTACTGCTTAAACTAATATCATTTAATCCATTACGATGTACACAACTTATTTCACGAAGTAAATGAGCTTCATTGTTTTAAGGATCAGATCTATCAATACCAAAAACCTTAACTTTGCTATCATCAGTTATGGCAAAAAGCTCAGTATTGTTGCTAGACCACATAAGCTTCTTAATTGTAGTATTAGCACAAAAGATTTTCAAAATGCTTGACATTGTATAAGTATCAACGATATTAATATGAGTACCACAATCTCCTATCATGGCAAGCAACTCACCATCATGTGAAAAAGCGCTAAATTAATATTTTCCTGCAATTTCCCCTTATTAATTTTAAACAATAAAAGTTATGAAATGTAATTAATTTATTTAACAAAAGTTATGTTACTTTCAAAAGTTTTGACAGGTTAATAGTTTCTCTAAGCATCATACAAGCAATAGAATCCATTTTCATCAGCTGCAATTAAGTGCTTATCATCTGGAGAGTATTAGATATGGTTGATTCTGCTTTCGTGATAGCGACCTTCAAATATAGTATTTGTTTTTTCAATATCAAATACTCTGAAAATGCCTGAATTAAATCCTGCAGCAAAAGTCATAGAATTATTGCTGCAAGAAAGAGTGATACAATTGTCATCCAAATAATAGGGGAATTCATAAATTTATTCATATTTTTCCATATCCCTATCAAATATATTCAAGTTTAAAATTAAAAAGGCAAAACAAATAAATATAAATTTACCATAAACGGATAGTAAAGTCAGATGATAGAGTGATTAAGTAGTTACAGAAAGGATGGTATTACATTTGAGTAATTTCATCAGTATGAGATCTCAAGAATGTTTCAGGCTAATAAGTAGAGCGATCAAAAACTGTTAGGATACCATTAGAAGTTCCACAAGCAATTTTTAAAGAATCTAAAGAAATATCTAAAGAGATAACAACACCCTCATGTTTTGCTTCAATTAAAAATTCAGTAAAATTAAGAGGCCATATTCTGATATATTTATCTTCACTTCCAGTGGCACAAAATCCTGCGCTTAAACTACATTATAAAAATACAATTTTAAATTATTTAGTTTTCAAATGAAAAATAAATTTACCATAAACTAGTGATAGCTCCAGCGTGACATTAGTAAACAGTTTCTAACTGATAGATATTTTCAGTGTCATTTGTATTATAGCTAATTTGGAAAACCATTCCTTACTTAGATCCAACAAATATTTTTTTAATACTTCCCTTCTATTGAGCAGCTGATGGATTATCAAAAGCATATTCAAAGTCAAGTACTGTGAAAATTGAATTTCTTGCTAGACCGTTGAGAATCAATGGGGTACCTCTTAAGTGAGATGTTTTGTTAATTCTCCAAAAGCGAATGTTTTCACGACCACAAGAGACTAGTTTGTTCAAATTGATTGGGAAGAATTTCAAACTAAGAATATTGAAGTCACTGATTTACTTAGTAACAATAGTGGGTTTTTTAGTTGTCTCAATATTATCGATATTTAAAATTATAATCAATTCTCTATTAAAGTATTTTTAAAAATATTTATTAATTTTTATATATAAATTATTAATACCTATTCGAACTATCCAGACCAACTGTTGCAAGTAGCTTTCTATTATATGAGAAAGAAATACATTTAATATTCACTTAAGGACACTAGAAAGCAGTTACTAAATCACCAGTTAAAAAATTCCAAATCATTACTATACCAGGTTTTCCATCTTAAGCTGAAACTATCCAAACACCATCTCTAAATATTTTAAAGTAAAATTAATTTTTTTAATTTATAAAGCAAACAAAAAATATACCTTGAAACATCTAAGCATGAGATAGGGCTAGTGTGACCTTAAAAGAACCTTTATTTTTTTGTACCTAATTCGCTTGAGACCAAGATTGATCCAGAAGCATATATAATTTCATCAGGTCTTTCAAGATTTCTTGACCACTTAATATCAGGACATTAATTACCACTGAAACCAACAGTATGATTGAGTTTACAAATTGGATAGGGTTACAATTAGTTCTAAAGCTATATTTGAATTATTAAAAATTTATAAATAAGACTTTAATAATTAAAGTGGTTTTAAATTAAATTTGTAAATCAAATAAATATTAGCTTGATTTTTGCTATAAAATTTCTAATACAAAAAAAAAAAAATTTTATTGATTTTGGAAAAATTATTTCTTTTAATTTTTTTTTTTCATTTCAAATTTATTTTTATTATTTACTTCTTGTTAAGATCCTCTCTTTGATACTTAGGAATGACGGACCAAGTTTTCAGGATGGAATTTTTAAGAAGCATTTAAATTAGAACTCATATAATTCAATTATCCGGAGACAGAGTTTTAAGCTTCTAAAGATTATCTATGAGAAAGCTAGCTTTTGTTTGATCTAAATGACTTTTAACTTTGTCTCAAAGCTGCATCTAAACTTCCAGCACGATTTTCATTAATAGTATCATTATTAAGGGTTTATTGATTTTCTTTATCTTAAGTGAGTGATTCTGGCTGAGGTGGCTAGCTATTTTACTCTAAATCAGGGTCTATTTGGCTTGGATAATAAACTATCTAGTAAGTTCCACTCCATTATCTATCTTTAGGTGGCTTAAAGTCCATTTCTTTTGGTAGATTCTGTTTAATTAGTTAATAAATTGAAAATGAATGAATATAAATAAGGATTTTTGATTTTATTGAATAATTTAAATTTTTGTTCAGTCTTTTTTTTTCTTTAGAGAATAGTATTTAAATTTAGATACTAATGCAATAAATTACCTTAACTGAATAGCATACATCAGATGTGAAGATACCTCTTATAGAAAGAGTTGAACATATTTATATTGATCTTAATTGATGAATGTTTGCAAAATTGCTTATATCAGTATGCTAAAATAGTCCAAAGTTTTCTAAGTGGTATTAGATATCGAGTACCATGACTGTCCATTTTACAGGAGCGTCAGAGGGATAAGGTATTTACAAATTACTGTTACCTACCACTTTATATTAATCAAACATATTTGAAATAGAGAAACGAGTTACTGGTTCTCTATTTGAAATATTGAAATCAAAATGTATATGGAAATATTTGCCAGCACATGGAAGGAATTCAATTATGAGCTATTTTATTAATAAAAAGGATATGTTTAAAATACTTTTGCTTATTTAATTGTTGAATTGCTATTTGCGGTCTTTCTAATTTTTGAAAATTTGAACTAAATAAATATTTTCTTATTCCCATCAAATTTACATTTAAAATTCACTTTATCTAATAACCGCTTAAATATTTATCATTTTACATATCTTCCAACTAGTTGCAGAGATTTCAAACCTTGAGCAGGGTCTGGAATGTTTAAATAATTTGAAGCAGAAACAGCTCCAGCAATTCTTAATACTCTTCTGCCTATATTATTGTCCTTTATTTGAAAATAAATTGAATTGAAGTTTTTATAGCAAAATAAATGTATTTTAATTTCATAACTAATATTTAAATACATTGAATGCTTTCATATTATTAATGTTTTAAACTTAACTTAAAGAGCCTTTGTTTTAGCATTTTTAAAAATGTTTAGACTAAAATAAAATATTTACTTAAGTATCAGCTACTCCTCCCTTCTTTGCCTTGTTTGAAGAGTCAAATACACAAAACTTTCTAAATACATCAACAAAAGGATGCTACCATGAAACTGGCTAATTTGGAATGCTTCTTTTGTCCATTCCTTTATACTTCTTGTTTATTTATTGTAAAAAGTAGTTTCTTTTTTTATTAATGATAAACCTCTTAACTTCTTCTTCTTTTTTAAATTAGTAAGAAAGTCAATATTGCGATTAATGTTTTTAGTTTTATTATTATCAAATCTTAATTTATTTATCAAATGATTGATCGCTGATTTATTTAATAAAATAATGAAATAAACACATAAACATCATTTAATAGTAATTAATTTATATTTATAGATTTTCAAATGAGTTTTCTTTTTTGAAAATTGCTTTTTAATTTTCAAAATTATGGCTTTGTTTGATCAACTCAGCACAAAATATCTTAAATAAAAATAATAAATTAATTAATTACTACAGAAATCAGTTCAATTATTTTTTGAAATTATTTGTGAAGCCCATTTGCATTTTTTCACAATAAATTAGTTTTTGAATTTAATTGATTTATAATAAATAATCATATCCTTAATTTTTTTTGGTTTTTTTTAACAATATAGAATGGATTAAAATCTAACTATATAAACTATTTTTTTTCCAAATTATGAAAATCCATTCTAAAATGTGATAAAAGCTAGATATATAACAATTCGTTCAAATATTTCTTCTCAAAGCATTATTAAATTCTTTTAGAACGAAACATTTATTTTATTTTATTCAAAAAAAGGAATATTTTTATATTTCTATTAAAATATTTATGAATTAAAGAATCTATCTTTCAATGAGATATGCTAACAATTAATTATTAGAAGTAGAATATTTTAATTTATTTATAATTAAGTTGCTCGAATAAGAAGTTTGATTTATTTTATAAAAAATTTTTTTACTTGATTAAATTTATTTGAAATTTAAAATCATTTTTTTGAAATAAGTTAGAAAAATATTTAAATAAAAAAAACTTTCAAGAAAGAAATTTTGAAATAAAATATTATTGTTTCTTGGAGAAAAATGTTAACGTTAATTTTAAGCATGTATGTATATTTATTTTTTCATGATATAATTTAGTAGTCAGATTAGTCTTTAATAATTTATAAATTTAATTTTATAGATAATTTAAATTTAAATTTTTTCATTTGATTATTTATCTCTAATTTCGTTTTTATTAGTTTTTGTTAGAATCTAAACGAAATAATTGTTAATAGGGGTTTAAATATTAATTTTAATGATTTTTCTCTTAAATAAATTCATATAAAAGTTTAGAATTTAATAATTTTATTTACATAGCCCTATTTTCTACTTATAGGTGAATTAATTGCAAATGTCTCTCTTAAAGAAGTTTAAAAATAATAAATTTGTTAGAATAGATTTATATTAAAAACTTTTATTAATTGAATAAAATAGCTATCTTTCTATTTACTTTGAAATATATATTAGAAAAAAATATTTTGAGGTGTAAAACGTAAGTACCTCACTAATGTAAATAAAATTATAATGACTCTTATGCTATAAAAAGATGAGAGAGAAAGAAATATAAAGCAACTTTTTTTTGAATGTAAATTTATACATATGGAAGTTGAGAAGTTAATTAAATTTGATGAATAATTTCTAATAAGATCTTAAGAAAATTAAAATATTTGATTATATTTATTATAAAAATAAATACATAAAAAAGTAAAAAATTTAAGTATAACAAATAGTTCCTAAATTTTACTACAAAAATAAGTAAAAAACTTATAAATCTACCAAACAGAAAAATTTACTAAAAAATTGTGATTAATATAAATATTAATATAACTCTAGTAAGATAAACTAAAAAAAACCTTAAATAAAATGGCTCAAAAGAAAAAAAACTCATCCAAAAAAGTCAATAAATCCAAAAAAGACTCCAAAGTCAATCACAAGCAAAAAATTTAAGACAAAAATGTCAGCAACACAGCCTCCAAAAAAACAAAAACAAGTATGAAAAAATCTCTCTCAAAATTTTATTTAGACAAAAAACCACCCTCTAGATATACTCCTTAGCAAATTGAAGAAAGGAGATAATACATCCGCAATACTATCGTCAAAGGCAACCAGTAATTTTAAGAAGATTTTAACAGTTAATGGTACTCTGATCACTCCAACGAAGATTATTCTTCTTCAACACCTCTTTATCAACTAGAGGCAATTAAAGAAGTGCCTAATTCTTGCCAAGAATCCTCTTCTGATTTTTTAAATTAATAGCGCTAACAATTTTAATAACAGCTAAGCGCAAGCTCTTAAATACAAGAAATTCCTTAATGCAATCGCCATGTTTCTTTTTGTGATGATGAATAAATACACATCCTGTAGGTTAACCGCGTTCCTCCTGGTAGAGATAACCCTATTTTTGATACCAAAAAGACTTGGATAACTCAGCTGATGAGCAAAAAACCTAAAAAATCTTCCATCAAAATATAGGTTGATAAGAAAGGGGGATTATTCTCATCTTTGAGCGCGGTGGGCAGTAATGAATATAATCAAAAGGACTTTGCAATGCAATACTTCCACTAAGATCTGAGCATAGATTCTTCTGTTTTAATAGATTATGATACATTTAGAGTACTTTATGAAGAAAACAAGCAATCTTATTTTGTAAACACACACTTTTCATATACCCAATGATGTCATTTTAAATACAAGTGGCAAAGAAATAATCTTCTACTTGGGAAATGTATCGAGGCGATTGATTTCTAACAAGCATATACTTTGAATAAAAGAAAAGCTTATTGATTGATAAAATAATTCATTAGAACAAATAACCTTTTATATTAATGATTCCAAATAGAATAAATTAACCCATATTATTTATATTAATTTCATAATGAATATCTAAATACACGCACATGTATATATAAATACATAATAATAATAAATAAATAGATATTCTCCTTCGACTTATAATCGCTAACATAAATCAATAACAAAAATAATAATTATTATCAAACAAAAAACTCTTCAAATATAATAAAATCAAGCAGTTTATAATTTTTCTATTTATACTCCTAAATTAATTAACACTTAGATAAATCGTATACTCCATTCTCTGGATTTTGATATAGAATTTAATAAAACAAATCAATACTTTAAATGAACAAAATCTATATAATATAGATAGAGGTTTTTATAATATAGATTTCAAATATACTTTTGTATTTAATAATATGTTTATTAGTTAACTTATTGTATTTACTTTTACTATTTATTTCATTTCTTCGACTTTAAAAATTAGTTCAATTGGCTCAATAATACTAAAGTAAAAAACTAAATAATTAAGTTAACATATATTAGTCTCAATCTTTCTTCATTAATCAATTTATTATAAAGAAGAAGATTAGTTAGTTATAAATGTATCCTCTAGTTTGATTTGGTAAATTTATAGAAAATTTTTCTGAATTTTTATCTATAAATTACTTTCTATGAAATTTTCCCCTGAGATAATTTGAATAATAATAAATATTACAAATAAAAGACTCAAAAATTTGGCTATTTTAAGGATTAGACAGTAGATAGATAAATAATAAATAAAGCTAAATTATTTAATTAATAAAATAATTTAAAATTTCAAAACTAAATTCACAAATTAATTAGAACATTTAAAGTAATTAAACTTTTAAAAAATAATTAGCTGCAAATAAAAAAATAAATTTAAATTATATTAATTAATATTAAAATTCCATTTTAATTTATTAAATAAGAATAAATTATTAAATATTGTGTAAGAGTTAGTATAATTTTGCTTCAATAATTTTTAGTTTATTTTAATAATTATTTTAGCTATGCTAACAATTTAATATTCAACAAGAAATTTATAAAACTTTCCACAATTCAAAATAGATATTCTCATTAGGTCATTAAAGATAATTTTTATTTAAAATAAGTAAAAATATCTATTAAAAGTAAAGTTTTTATTAAAATATTTTCTTAATAATAAATTAAATCAAATTAATAGCAGTCAAAAAATTTATATTACTATTATATCTTTAATATATAAAGAGAATTATATTAATTCGTTCTTAAAATATAACAAAATACTGTAAATTTATATTTCTTAAAAAAATAATATAAATTCTTAATCTTTTTTCAAGAAAATATCATAAATTTTTTTTTATTTTGAAAGGTCTAAAATTATTAATCTAAAAAATAGAATTTGTAATATTTAAATAATTAAAAAATATAATTTAAGTAAATGATATTTTAAAATTTAATATTGTTTATTTACAAAATAATAGACATATAATAAATAAATTATTGATAGACCCTTTTATATTTAATTTATATTTTTACACTCTCTGAAATATTTTAATTTGTAAAATTACTAAAAATTAATTTTTTTTAAACATGTTAAACTATAATTCTAAATAATTTCATAAATTCTAAAGTTTATTTTTCAAAATTTTCTTGAAAGTAAGCGATTGTTATAAATAGTATTAATGATTTTATTGTTTGTTTGGGTTAACGTGGGAAAAATTTATTTGCTAACTAAACAATTAGGAGGATAAAAAGGAAAAATGTTTTTTCTTCAAATAAAATATCAAAAAAGACGTTTGGATATTTTCCCAATACGATGAACATATTCTTCATCTTTCCTTTGATCTATTATATGCTGTTATGCAATTTGATCTCTGATTCTTTTTATTTCCTCTAGACGTGTCTATTTTTCTTGGTTGTCTTTCATATTCTTTGATAATTGGATATGATTTTAAATCATAATATTTTGTTACTATTTCTTATTTAATTCTATTATCCTTTGTTATTCTTGTTCATTTTTCATTGTAAGCTCATTCTCAAAAATATATTTTCTCTCCTTTTCTTTTTCCTTGCTTCTTTCTCTTTCTTTTTGTTCTCTCTGTTATTATATTTACTAAAGAACTTACTACTTATCTTATACAGCCTGCCATTTTTTCTCGCTACTCTTAAGATTATTAAGATTAATTTCTTCCTAAACAAGTATTTCAATTTTTTTTTTATATTCTTTATCTTTTTCTCTTTCTTTTAATATTTCTGATTTTTTCCAATCTATTTATTTATCCCATTGCTACTTAATAGTATTATAGACTATTTTTTCTTTGTCTTTTATATTCTATATTCTTTATTTTTCATATTCTTATTCTAGTTCGATGAGTTTCTTTATCTCTTATTAATATTACTCATCAATATTACTCTTGTTTAAGTTTTATTTGTTGTTCCTATTTTTTTCTAAATCTTAGTGATTTACTGCTGTAGTATTTAGAATATTATTTTAAGCTATAGTTCCAAAGCTTTTTGGCTAATTTATATTTTGCTGATGCTAACTAATCTTATTGGATTAAGGTTGTATGTCAAATTATGCTGTAATTTGATTTTCTTCTCTAAAATTAGAATAGCCGTTCTTATGATTTTAAGAGTTCTAATTTTAAATTTTGTTTGCACTTGAACAATCATTATTATTAAATTCTTATGTATTCAATCTTCTATGAACTTAACTGTATTTTCTATCATTTTCTTATATTGTACTAGCATCAGTGCTATCTTTCTTTTTCAAAATTTAATCCAAAATTAAATTCTTTTTAGCAACATCGCCCATATAGCTTGACGATCTAGCAGCTTTCCCGTAATATGGGATTTATTTGTTTCTAGATAAGCCACTATATATATTAGCCTTATTGGAAGATAAATTTTGAGCATTTTATGGTGTCTCAGCTTGACTCAACTAGTTGCTAATTATTCCTAAATTTAAAGGCTTAATAACAGGTGAGTTTCTTCTATTTGTTGATTCACTTCTTTAATTACTTCCATGAATATTTTATATTTTTACTGAGTTTAAGTCGCCATTTGAATTAGCTGCTTTATTTTATTGCATTTTTAATTTTTAATCACCATTAACTGAATTTTCATTAAGTTTTTATTGAATATTGTTTTGCATGGGTGAGTTTATAAAGCTATTGTGGATATACCTACTTTGCTGCTAAAGAGTAGGATTGTTATAGAATAGATTTTCAATTAAACCTATTTTATTGCTTGTCCTAAGCTTGTTGAGTTGAAATTATATTTCTTTTTGCACTTTTTATTAAAGAAAATCTATGCTATTTTCATTTATCTTTCCTTCCTTTGAGAATTGATCAATAATTTCCATCACATTATGATATATATGAGGATATTTTTTAAATAGGTTTGGATTTGCATCTTCACATTTTTATATGAGCATTTCTTTTTGGAAAGTTGGATTACTTTTTAGAGGGCTACGCTGCTAATTTTTATTTGGAGATTATATTTACATCAATCCTTTATTGCTTGATTGTTATTGCTAGTAAGGGATAATACCAAATGTATTTTGATTTGCATTTAGTTCCATGCCTTAAAATATAAATTTCTTCTTAAAATATTTTATTTAGTCTTGCCAATAGAACTAATAGAGATATGTATCTATCCTGAAAAATAACCTATTGATTTGTTTTTATTACTTATTTTTTATTATGCAATCTAAAAAATTAATAATTAACTTTCAATATTTTAGTGGTAATTATTTAATAAAAAAAAATTATATTTTCATTAAAAAAGTATTTTTATGATTTTATTAATTATTTATAATAATAATTGCTAATCATATAACTCTTTTTATTTTTATTTCAAACTAATTTCTGAATAAATTTATATTCTAAAAATTTATTGGTTTTTATTAGCTAATTTATTAAATTTTGGCTGACTGATTTCCTCTCTTTTTTTTAGTGTTAAATTTTATTTTAAACAAAATATTTTATCAGAATAAATTTATTTTTATTTGTTATCCAAAACATAAAGAAAACTATCTATTATTCAACTTTTTCCATAAAGAACTGCAATTCATTAATATTTAATTTAAAAGCTAAATGCTTCCAGTAAAAACCCATTCTGAAATTTACTTTTCATAACAATAATAATTAAAATTTTATCATAATATATTATAAATTAAAATATGTTTTGTATAATTAATTATTTTAATAAAGCTTATTAACTTTGTTAAAATTTTAAAAGTAAAAATTTATTAAAAATATTTTTTTAAAAATAGATTTAAAAAAATTTAGTAATTTTCGATATTATTATTTGGAATTTTAAAAGATTTAAAGAAATAAAAAATGATTAATACTTATTTTTTCTTCATTTTTTTTAAATAAAAAAAAATGAAAAATTTTAATATAAATTAATAAAATATTTTTCTGTAAAATCTGCTAAAAGTGAGTATTCAATTTATAAAAATTTAGATAAGAATTAGAAAAAATCAAATTTGAAAAAAAAAATAGTAAAAATGAAATCAAGAAACATTAAAAAGTATTTTTAAAATTCTAACCAAATAGTTCCAAAAGGTACACAAAGAATTATTCAAAAAAAAAAATTGGAAGTTTTTTGATTGATTGTATTTAAAGAGTAAAATCAAAAAAATGTACAAACAATAGAATTATTATAAATAGCTTGAGCATTGTTGTGAAATAAATAATTAATTAATTAATAGAAGAAAATTTGCAAAAATTAAAGAAAAGAAAATCACACATTAAAGTGACACAAATCATATAAATAGTTTAAACAACATTTTATTTAGATTTTTTAAAAGAAGGTTTTAAATCAATAGTACATAAAATAATTTTATCCTACACATTGTTCTCTGATTGAAAGCAAACTCAAGAGGACAATTATAATAAATTAACAATTTATTGCATTTTAAAACTTGTTTTATAGTTGATAAAGTATTAATAAAGCTCAGATATTTGTTAGAATTATTTTCTTTCATATTGAATTTGTATCGCTAAAATAAAGACTTAAATAGGAACAGCTAAAGCTTTTATTGTTTAAGGCATTCATTCCACAATGGATTAAAATAATTATTAATATTAAAACAATTAAAATGTGTAGCATAATACAGCTAATTTATGTTAGTCTAACAATTACAACCAAGTCATATCAAATTAGCAAGTTCAGTAATCTGAGTTGCAAGCGCTTTAAAACTCTTAAGCCTTCAAATAGTTACAAAAGCAAATATAAAAGATGAGAAAGTATTACCTTTCTATTGGGTATACTTAAAAGCAAGTTACTGATATGCTTCATGATATCTTGCTTAGGAAATAAAATTAAGAAATAGATTGGAAAAAGCTCTCTAATACTAGCGACTATTATACAGTATTAGAAAGATATAATAGTACGTCTTAAATTGCAGAGTCAGCTCTTAAATTTAAAAAGGAAATCAATTAAATGAAAAGTCAACACAAAAACAATATTATTCCTTCTTAATAAAAAAGTGAATTTGTTTAAGAATAATAACTTCAAATAAATGCTTAACTAAAAAATAATAATAATGATGCTATCAATACACAAAATTCATCTAAAATCAACAATTCCCTTTTTACTAATTCTAAGCCAAACATTTTCAATAATTAATCTCAAGAATCTCAAAATTTTTAAAGCTAATAAAACAATAATTTTAATAACAATAACCATAATTAAATTTAAAGCACAATTTCAAAGCAAAATGACATTTAATAGCAAAAAGAAAAATGTAAAGGATTAAATGTTAACGAGATAAGTGATCGCTTCCTCTATAGACTAGATAGAAACTGTTAAATTGAAAAATCTTCAAGTAGCTCCGAAAGCAGTGATCAGGATAGCTACCATTATAAAATAAGTAGTGGATTTATTTAAAGCGAACATGATTTAGAATACAGTACAATTAAAAAGTAAGCTTCTTAGAATTAGCAAATAAAAGATGAAAATATGAACAACAGACAAGAAGAAAATTCAGTTAGCATGCAAATGTAAGAGAGTAAAAACTAAAAAAATAGGTAAAAGTCGACTTTCTCAGAAAATTTAAGATTAAATTTCCCAGAAATTTCTTCTGAGCTTTATGGTAAGAACTCAATTTAAAATGTAGCTAAGGAAGAAACGGTTGAATAAAGTGGCTAATATCATAATATGGAGTTAGATTATATTCATAATGACTACAGTATTAATGAAGAGAGTTACAATTCCTACAATAATGAATCTTAAATTCCTCTCCAGTAAAAAAAGAAGAAAATAAGAAAGCAAAAGGGATTTTTTTAGGAATAAATTCCAAGTATTTTAGAGTAGAATGAAATCTTGATTGAAAAATAGAAAAAAAAAGTTTGCCGAAATACTCAATACAGAGATGATATATCAGTCATTGTGCACAATTTTGCAGGAAAAAAAAGAAATCATAAATTTATGAACCAATTTTAAGTTCAAGAAAGTAATGAATATCAAGACATTTCTGAATTAGATGAATTGCAATTACTTGAAAAGAAATTTAGGTATTTCACAGAAGATCTCATAGATGAAGATTAAAATTCTTAGTAATGAAAAAGGATAACAATAATAATAATAATATAATTAAATCACTAATTTCAATAAATTAAGTTTAAATAAGCACCACCAATTATACAAAATATATTTGAGAATAGAAATTGATTGATTGTTACTTACTTATTAAAGATATTTTGAATTCTCTTTCTATTTTGTAAAATAAAAATAATCATATATAAATTACCTCAACTCAAATTTAGATAGTTTAAATAGAATTAACACTCAGAAATCAAAACAGCAGTTTAAAAATACATTAATAAAATGCAGCTTCTAACTATCGAATTAGCTCAAAATTAAATTTCAGTTTGTCTATACTCAGTATTAATTTATCTAGATAGTTTCTTAATCTTTTTCATCACGTAGTTATTTTCAGCTTTTAACTGTTTCAAACTTGATAAATAAAAAAACTTATACTAAAAAATAAATTAGTTAACTAGTTAGTTAGTTAGGTATAACTACTTATATACATACATAAACCATATCTACTAATTTGTGAAATCTTTTACTATATATTAAAGTTCATTAAATATAAAACAATCCTTTAAATTCTTTATGTATATTTCTTATTTTTTTTAATTTTTATGTAAAGTATATTGAAGATTTAGAAAAAATATTTGAAGTATTTTAAAGGCAATTTAAACTTTGTGTTTCTATTTTTCTATGCTTATTGTAGTTATATAAATTGTGAATAATGTAAGCTTAAAATAATAATTTATTTTTAATATGTTTAAATTACGATTAGAAATATTTGAAATTAAAATAATAATAATAGACAATTTAAGATTAAATTCTTTTAATTTAAATGCATCTAATTATGAATTTTTATTTAATATTCATTTTATATATCAATTAAGTGTTAAATTCATCAAAATAAATATTTTTTAATTAAAAAATAAGAAGTTTAGCTTAATCAGATTTATCAATCAACTAAGAAATTTTATAGAAAACACAAATCGATAATAATAATTTTTATAATTTTATTTTTGAAATATGGGAAACAATCCAACTAAAAAGTTTAGTAATTATTAATATTAATCATTATTGCCAAATAAATTTTAATAAAATAATTTTTAATGTTATTTAGATGCTAATGAAGTACAAATCAATAATTAAAATAATGTTGATCCTAAATTTGAAGAATTTATTAAATAAGCATTTGCAAGCTAAGCCTAAAACGGAAAACTTTTCAAGCACAAGTTTAATGATGCTTTAGCAGTTTTAGAAAATTTTAACATAAAGCGTATACGTTATACTCCTCTTGGAGAGAGGCTATTCAATGTTTTTGATAAAGTAAATAGATTTTTGAAATTAAATCAACAAAAATATAGCAAAGCACTTTTTAAAATTGCAAATTAGGAAAAATAGAACTATATTAGCGAAGAAGACTTCTTAAAAGGTTTGAGTTAACTGATAAAAGACAAAGATTATAGAATTACATGTAATTTAAAAAAACAGAAAGATTTTTTTGTATAAATAATGAAATTTTTAAATAAAATAGATACTTATAAGGCATATGACAAAGATAATGATAATAAAATATCAAGAAAAGAATTTATTGAATTTATTGAAGATTCTTGGAAAGCAGCTTTTATGATTCTTGGAGAAAGTGTTAATAAAAAATATGGTGGAAACTAAATTAATGTATAAAAGCTTAATATGTGGGCATAATAAAATAAAGAGCATTTATCCTAATAAGTAGCATAGATTTTTACTCGTTTAGATACTTAGAATAAAGGAGTAATAATAGCTTTTTCTAATTTCATTTAAATCAATTAAAAAAATTTTTTTATAAAATTTTAGTTTTTAGATTTTACATCATTTTCATAATGGATTAAAGAAGGAAACATACACTCAATTTATGCGACCTTTGATTAAGAAAGAGTTGAAGTTCCTATTAACTTCTATTAACTTGAAAAAAATTAATGAAAACGAACAAACTAACTAACTAATTAATTAATAATGTTTAATTTTGAATATTGTTTATATATATTTAGAATTTATGAATTAGAAATAATAGATAGCTTTTATTTATTTAATTTATTATTGCTAATTTTTTATTTTAAATCACCAAAATTTATTTATTTATCTTACTTTTATTTAAATTTATTAATTAAAATATTTAATATAAACTTTTGTTAGAAACATAAAATACTTTAATAATAAACAGCTAGCTATTTTTAAATTCTAAAAAGCATACTGAATAATCAAGATTTAGTTAATACATAATACAGAATTTAAATAAATGTATATAATTAGCAAATTAATTGAATTTTATTTATATTTTTTATCACTTTTTATTTCACTTTTTGTTTGAATCTTATTGTTATTATTGTTGAGCTAATTCAAGATGAGTCTTTTCATCAAATCTATACTTTCCAAAGTAGTATTCACTTTCAGGGAACTACTTCTATAATTTTTCCTTTTATTATTGGATTGTTTTAATAAATTAAATAATTTTTTGAAATCAAAATATATTACAGAAACTTCGTTCTTGTAATTGAAATCGTTAAGCTTGATAAATTCATCAAATAATTAGGTTGCTTATTAAAGTGTTAAGTCATTTCTATTCATGAGTAAATCTTCATGGAACTTCAAAAGTTATTCTTTATTAGCCTTTCCTAAAACGATATCACACTTTAAAGCTATTTAATAAAGTAATTTATTATTTAATATTTAACTATTATTCGTTAAATAAAATGTTACCATGAAGAGCATTTTTGTAGCAACCATTAGAGCTAGTATTTTTACTAATATATTCAGTGTTAAATTGTTCAATTGTTTTGCCATTTAAAATATTGTGTAAAGCTTCTTCGCTATACTTCTTGACGTGTTCATTCAATTTATCACCCTTTAAGAATTTTTCCACTATATTTATTAAATAATAAAAATAAATAATATTCTTATAAAATAAAGATAGATAGATATTGAATATTTACAGTAAATAGCTGCCTTCAATTTAGCTAAATGGATTCCATTAGCACAGTGATTAGAAGAAATAACCTTGTTCAAAGCCTTAATTAAAAGAAGAGGTCTGTTTGTTTCAATATAGAAATCAACTAAGACATAAGAACTCTTGAATTTTAATTGAGGATTTGAAACTTTAGTGTGGATTAATTGCTTTGCAACATGATTGGCTTCGACTAAAGGTTGAGAATTTCTGAATTCTTCTCCATCTAAGTCATGCTTTTTTCTAAATTCAACATTAGGATCTTTAGCAGCTTTTTCAGCTTCAATTTCCTATTACTTTTTCCACTTCTTCTTTTCCATTTATGTCATATTTTTAATTCTAAGTTCTTCTTCCTCTTTCTTTTTAATCTATTTTATGCAAAGTAAAAATTAGGGAAAATTTTTCATTTTATTTAAGTAATCAATTTACTTCTACGAGTCTGACAGTGATGTATTCCATCAAGGATTGGACTAACAAAGTACTTCCATAAATGAAAGGCTTCTAGTTGTAAACACCATTCTCATAGTTAAGAAGATTGGTATATGTGTTTAAATTATATTTACGAATACAATAAGTGTGGAAATCGAATTAATCCTCATAAATATCAATAAAAGCCTTTTGGACGAACTTAAACATTCTCAAAGCTCTAGCATATTCACCCTTTTTAAGAAGGGTTTCACCTTAAGCAATTTCATACCATAAGGTTTATAACTCGAAGGGATTACCTTCAGAAGGGTCTTTAAGGAATAATCTGAGCAAGTCGTTAGCCTAATCAAAAAATCCACATCTTAAAGCATACTTGATTGCTTTGTTATTCAAATATCTATCAGCTAAATCCATAGTTCTTGCCTATTTATAAATATAATATAAGATCAATAGCCATTTTAAATTTTTTATTTTTTACCTTATCAGCATTCTCAAATGCTACCTTGTGATTGAATTAGTGCTTGTAGATTTTAGCTTTAACTAAATAGAGTTCAATCAATGTGGGTGTATGATTGATTGCAAGGTTTACGTACTCAAGAGCTTTAGTTAATTAGTTAACACGGTCAAAGTGTTAAGCTAAGAGCATGTAATTCCATAAAAGGCAACAAGGGCTTTCAATAGCATCAGAGTTAGGGAATTTTGATTCTTTTTGTAAAGAAGCTAAATTGTTGAGAAGAACTTTTTCAATGATTTAAACCTTTTCATTATCTTAGTAAAGGTGTTTCAATTCAGAGAAAAGAGAGGGAATACCCTTGCGGAAATAGGGAGTAATATACTTAATAAGTTTATTTTCAAAATCTTGGCCTTTTGAGAAATCTAAAGCCATATATGAAATAATGTTGCTCTATTTTTAATAGTAATTTAAGCTTTAAAATATTATTTAATCATTTTATTTACATTGTATTTAGCGCCTATTTCTTCAAAGAAGCTGACAATTTTAAGTCTCTCTTCTTCATTAGCAGGAATTTCAGGCAATCCTCTAGCTTACTTAAGGAGATTGAAGTAGTTTCTATTTTAAGGATTGATCTCAATGAGTTTTCTATGTTAAAAATAAAATTTTAGATAATAATTTTTATTCAAAATGCTGTTTAAAATTAAAATTGCATTTTTTTTGTTGTTTTGTTTCAGCAAATCTTTTAAATAAATAAAGAAAATTCTAAATATGAATTACTCAATGCATTAAATTGCTTAGTCCTATTTATTCAATTTTAAGTAAGCCTTAATTCTTTATTCGTTGAGTGCAACCTTATCTAAAATACCTTCTTCGTTTTATTCTAGTATCTTTAATTACATTTCATAGTTGCCTCCATCAGCATAAACTTAAGCGTGATATAAGCAAAACTAATATTAATTGTGAGTTTTTGTTACATAAATTTACTCATTTTTTAATAAAAAAACACAATACTTCTGTTTTTTCAATACCCTTGAGAGGATTATTTTTAGTGATGTTGATGATAGAATCTATAACTTTTAAACATTCTTCAATTGAACCTTTCTATATTTACAATAAAAATATGATTATTTATATCTCTTTTTTACAATATAATACCAAGTGAAGAGAAAAAGCGTATGCAACCCAATTAATAATCAAAGATTCCTTGTTTAAGAGGAGCTTTTTACGAGTATCACAAAGTCCTTCTACATCACGAATTTGAACTTAAAGTAAAGCTAAATCTCTTAAAATTTGCACATTGTCTGGAGAAATATCAAGAGCTTTCTTGTAACAGTTGATGGCTTCCTAATAATTTCTGTTTGTTCTATTAATAATGCCGTGAATATGCCAAGCTATGTCACTTTTTAAATTTTTCATCAAAGCCTGTATATATCATTTTGAATAGGTTAGATATAAATTCATATTAATTATAAAGATAAATTATTTTATATATTTAAATAAATAAAACCTTCTTTGATAGATCCAATCCTTCACTCTTTTATCCAGTGAAATAGAGGAATATAGCCTTCATAGCCATGGATTCTGATTTTTAAAAATTTTTTTGGTAAATAACATAAAATATTAATAAAAGTGTTAGCAAACCTGCATGGTTAGGCTTTTATTCTAATAGCTTGTCAGCTTACTTAAGACCTTTTTTGTACTACTTAGTTTCATAGAATTTCTATATAATTAAAAATTTTGTTAAAGTAGATGTCATAAAATATTTTCAGACATTTGCAAGATTTGGCTCTCTTTAACTTTTTAAAATAATCTTATAGGATTTTGTTAATTTTCTATATGTATAATCCCATTAGTTAATAATAAATATTGAAAGAAATATTTAGAAGACAGCCAAAACCTTTTAAGTAATCCATCTTGCAAAATAATATATATTTATTACAACTAAGTTTTTGAAAAGAGCTGCTTATTTACTATCGAGTGAATCAATTGCACCTTTTAACATTTTCAAATTTTTTGTTTCTACCTAATTATTTATTGTTTTCTTTTAGTGTTGATTTCTATCAAAAGATATTTTCAGAATTTCAAAAGATTTTTGCACAAATTTTTATTTTTTAATTTCTTTAAATCCAAGAAAGATAATAAAAAACAATTAAAAAAGAAGCCTAATTTTATTAAAGGATAATTTTTCTTTATGACTTTCTATTTTTCCTTCTTTAATTAATATATTTTAATTGGTGATTTTTATTTAAATGTATCTATCAATTAATCAACCTATTAGCTATTTATTTATTTGTCATACATAATAAGGGCTATGTTAATTTTAACATAAGAAGATAATTGTAAATTATAAATGGTATTTTAGAAAAATTAACTTTTCTCAATAACTTTATCAACAAATAAAAAACATTTAAAAATAAATTTAAATTAATATGAGGAATCATTACTATGATGCTATTTTTTTAATTAATTTTAACATGCATTTTAGTAGAGAAATTTAGTGAGTGAGGTAAAATATTTATTATATTTGTTTTTATTTTAAACATTTATTATTGTATTATTATGCTTATTTTTACTTAATTTTTTTTAATTATTAGTGGTTATTATTAAATAGATAGGATTACAAGTTTAAGTTTTTTGAGTAATATTTTCAAAAAAGTTATAGCATTTTATTTGCTTGGTTATTGCTTCTTGTATTTGCCCTTACATCTGAAGTAGCTATTTTTGCTTTACGTTTTCTTCCTTTAACGTTATCTTCCTCGTTATAATCTTCATCTTTTTCTTTTTCTCTTTCTTTCTCTTTTTCCCTTTCTTTTTCCTTTTTGAGATCAGATTCGTATTTATGAGTTTTTTCAACTTATTTTACATATTCTTCCTCAACATCTTTAGATTCTGGGTGAAAATATTTGTTCAATCTTGTTTAAATATCTCCATAACTAACAAAAACTTCTTCTATTTAAAATATTGTTTCAACCTTTTGCTCTTCATAAAGATCTTTGAAAATATTTTTTATGTGCTACTTAATTTCCTGCATTTTGACTTAAACTCTATCTTTTTTTTGTTAACTTCTCCTTCTTTGCTCTTTATGAACCTTGGAAAGTTTAAAAACTTTACTTATATAATCGTAAAGCACCTTGACCTAAAAATAATCTAAATCCATTTGGTTTGATATATAAACAAAGTCAGAGCCCTTTTATGTAACATGCTAGAAAAAGGTTAAAAGATTTTTCATCTTAATTATAAATGTGTTTCCTAGTGCTAAATGAGTTTCATAACCTTCATACTTCTTAGGAATCATTCTAATATGTTAAATCTTATTAGATGGAGGCTGTATAGCATTTTCATTACAACAATTACTAATTTTTATTTATAAATATAAATTATAAATATTTCCTCAAAATAAATAACCAAAAATTTATTTTTGCTAAATTCATTTTATTATATAATATTGTAATATAAAAGATCTAAAATATACTCTTTCAGAGGATAGTACAACTTAATAGGAAATGTAGCCTTAGGAGGAAAGAAAGATTACTACATTTCAACAATATTTTAAACATTTAATATATGACTGAAATTATGCTTGCTTTCAAAAGGATCTTATTACACTTATTTATTCTTTTTATCATAATTTGTAATGCTTTGTAAATCACGTTTAAGCTTCTATTTTTGCACTTAACCTGTGCCCTTTCCATTTTATTGCTTCTCTTCATTATTTGATGGTTTCATTTAATTGTATAACCACAAAGTCATATTGTGTCTTGTACGATTCAAATAGAACCTCTCTCTAAGTAAATCTATTTTAACTCTCTTCTTAATCTTTTTTATTATGTTAGGCAATTTTATTTCTGTATTTGCTGCATCTTAATTGTATATTTCTTGGTAATTCTAAGGCTATATGTCACTATAAACTTCAAAGTGTGCAAATTTGTTTATTAATTTGAGCTCTTAATGTTCTCTTTTTTCTTCATCAATCAAATTATAAAAATTAGTCTATAAGCTTAGTGTATTTGAACTAAATTCGTTTCTCATATTTTCGAGCTAAGGGTTATCGAATTAAATTTATATATTTTTTTTGATGTTCGTTTCTTTTAAAAGATTGCTGATAATGCTTTGCATTTCCGTGATAGGTTTTGTCTCCTTAATAACAAAATCAGAAATTTTACTACTCAATAACTAAATTTTATTCCCAAAAAATGAATTAAATGAGTATTTTACTTATAAAGTTGCTTAAACAGTCAAGCAAACTTTGAATTTACTATGTTATGAGTAGGATGTATTGGCATATCATTAAACTCCTCAAGCATTTCAACTATTTAGATTATAAATAAAAATCCCTTTACTTAATAAACCTGTAGTATAATTGATTGAAATAATTAATAACTAACAAAGCATTATTTTTTATTATATATCAATATAATATATATAAAAAAGCTTCTAATAATTTGAAATGCACATACCTACCTAAATTTAATTTATAATACCAAAAGAAACAATCATATTCAATAAAATAAGTTAATCTATTTGATTCAACTCTTGTTAGATTTTATATAAAAAAAGATAGACTAAATCATTTGGTTGATTTTTCTGATCCACACATAAAATAAAGAGTAATTATTAATCAATTCAGATTTTATTAAAATATATTTATTTTTTTTTAAACTTTGATTTTCAATATATTTCATTTTTAGAAATTAATTCGATACATAAATTTTTAATTTTAATTTTTTAAAAAAATAACTTGAAGATTGATTAAAAAAATTAAAAATTAATTTTGAATAAAAAACAATAATTTTAAAAAATAATTGAGATTAAATATTTTATTTTTAAATGATAATAAATAAAATTTATTTATTAATTCAAAATCACAAAGAATTAATATTATTTCTCTTAAATTTCTATTAATTATTATTAACAATAAAATTTTGAATCAAAATTTACAAGAACAATTTTTTTTAAAGTAAAAAATTAATGTATTTTTAAAGATTTTAAATTATAAGTATTTGGTTATTATTCTTTTTATATATTAATCTAAGATAAACAAAAATTTGTTTTTAATAGAGAATTTGATTAAATATATCAAATAAATACAGAAAGAATTACTTGGTTTTTAATAAGGTAGACGAGTAGTATTTATTGATTAAAAAAGATTTTTTTTAAAACAAATCTTTAGCTTTTAAGTTTTACGTTTTTAGTTTTAAAACAAACACCATAAATACAAAAAACAAAAAAAAACAAGAAGTTTTTATCAATATTAATTATCAAAAAAATTATAATTTGTGAAAAAATAAATAAGGTTTTAAATATGAGAAACACAAATAGATTATCCTAAATACTGTTTATTTTAGGAGTACTTTCTTTGATAGCAGTAGGAAAAGAACTCCCATGTTAATGGTAAAGTCCATCCACAGGTGAAAAATATGATTTTTCTTCACTTTACAAAAAAGACGGGTAAAAAATTTAAATTAAAATGATAATTTACTAAAAATGATTAAATGTGATTGAAAACAAACAATATTCTAATATATAAATAGATATCAAATCAAAGATAGCTCTAACACGATGGGAATGTTTGATTTGTTTTACGTAACCAATGTCTGTGAAACAGTTGCCTGCCAAGGTGTTGATGTTAGTGTATACGAAGGATTATAAATCTTAGGAGAAATCACTTAAAATTGTGATATTATGACAAACGCAAATGAAATGAATTACGATTTTGTAAATAGTGATAATCCTAAAGTAGGTGTTTAATGGACTTATAGAGGTAGATTTTAAAATATTCAAGGGATAATAATTTTAATATTAAAATTTATATAAAAGGTGATACTTGCATTTTGCCACCAACTATAAGTTATGATGATTAAGGAAATATAAAAACTACACCAAATGCTTCTACAGATATAAAAACATCTACATTTTAAGTTATATGTTCTGAGGATTAAAGTTCTAATTGGACAGTTGACACTACAGATTCCTGTCACTTAAAGTTTACTATTCAAAGCCCCTATGGATGTGAAGGAGCTGCAAGAGGGTCTTATTAAAACTTTAAAATACTTATCTTCATTATTCTTTCTGCAGGTATCTACTTCGCAGTAGGTTCTTATATTAATAAAAGAAAATACGGTTTAACTGGTGTAGAGTCTCTTCCTAACCATGGTTTCTGGACAGATTTTCCATACTTAGTAAATGACGGATTTAAATTAACACTTCTTAAAACTACTTCAGTAATAAGATATTTTAAGGCAAAAGGAACAACTTCATCTAGCGAATAATCTAGTACTGGAACTTATAATACTATTTGAATAAAATACTTTTTTTTTAACTTATTTTTAAAATATTTAAAGAAATTGCTAATAATATCTTTATTTTATAATTTGTTGCTTAAAATTGAATATAACTATGCATTATTCAAATTAATTAAATAATACTTTTGAGACACTTAATTTTTAATAATTTTCAAAAACTGCCTTTACTCAATGAATAATAAACATATTCATTTTAAATAAAAAATCATTTTTAATTTTTCTATTTTTAGAATTTAATTGTGTAAAATATAGTTGATGTGAAAATATAAATAAATTATCTCTCTAAAAAGTAATAAATAAGTTTATTATTAATAATAATTATAGTCACATTCAATCTATTATTGATCACAAGTAATTGAAATTTTTAAAATAAAATAATAATTTTCATGTTTTTTTATTTATGTAATTATCATGTTTATTTAAATTTACATACAGCGCTTATTAATAGTTATTTTATCCCATCAACATTAAATTTTCTAAATAATCAATAAAATTTTTGCTAATTAGTTAAAAGCTTATATTTTTCCATCACATTTTAGTTTTCTATATAAGTTTTTTGTATAATCAATAAAAATTTTGTCAATTTGCTGAAAGATTACTTTTCTTTCATCACATTTTAGTTTTTTTATGTAAATTTTCTATATAATCAATAAAATATTTGCTAATTAGTTAAAAGCTTACATTTTTCCATCACATTTTAGTTTTCTATATAAGTTTTTTGTATAATCAATAAAAATTTTGTCAATTTGCTGAAAGATTACTTTTCTTTCATCACATTTTAGTTTTTTTATGTAAATTTTTTATATAATCAATAAAAATTTTGTCAATGAGTTGAAAGCTTAGATTTATTCCATCACATTTTAGTTTTTTTATTTAAATTTTCTAAATAGAATATAAAAACTATATTTAGGTGAAAGTTAACTTTTCCATGATTATTTAGTTCTTTTATTTAAATTATTAAGATAGTTTAAATAAAAAATGGTAAATTAATTGAAAACTAACATTTATTAATTCACAGTTTAGCTTTTAAATATATTTTCTAAATATACTATAAAAAATTTGTAAATTAGTTGAAGACTAATATTTGTTCCATTGCTGTTAAGATTTTTATTTGAATTTTCAAAACTATTTGAAAATTAATTAACTTGAGGAAAATAAAATAAAAAATGAATATTCAGAGTTTAAATCAAGTTAAAATTTTAATTTTAAAGTATATGAATTTAATAAAAAAATAAAATTATTTCTTTTAATTATTAAAAAAAATTAATAAATATTATTACTAAATAGTAATAAGCAAATTTAATGCCAAGAAAATATAATTAATTTAAAAAAGTAAATTCGCTCATTTTTAATGTAATTAAGAATTTTAAGCTTTTGAATTTTGTACAACATAATTACATATTGTAACATATTTTTTTAAAGGAGGAATGTTGTAAACTATAATTTATAGTTTTTTAAAAATTAGATGTTTTTTTTTTTAAATTATTTGTAATCTAATTAAGTTGAGCTCTATCAATTTAAATTTACTGGTTTAGATTTTTAAATTTTTTTATATTTGTTTTATTTATGAATAATTTTTATCAAGGATAGATAGTATTTAATTATGAGCGTAATTTATATTCAAGGAACTAGACAAAAACTTTAAAGGTAAAATTGGTTTTTAAGATAGAAATATCTAGAATTACTTGCAAAAACTATTTAAATTTAGTTAAAAAAGCTACTAATTTGGAAAATTCAATATTATCCAAGTTTTTTAAAGATTATTTTATTAAACTAAGTAAAACTTGTATGAACATCTATAAATATAGTTTCTATAATTAAATTAAACTTTATTTGCATAAATAAATATTTAAAGTAAAATCATTATAACTTTTTATATATTCCTAATAAACAAAGAATGTATTTATTTTGATAATATTTATTATCAATTTTAAGCTAATATAGAATAAAACAAACATAAAGTCATTCAAATAGATAATTTTACAATCTAAAAAAAATAATAATTGCTTTTTACTGCTTAAAGATTGCTTGTATAAATCAGAAAAATCTAGATTTTCTGCAATATTTTTTTTCTAAATTAAAGATTAATCAAAAAAAATTAAGGTATTAACATCTAAATATTAATGTATTATTTAAGATAAAAATTCTTTTTAATCTTAAATAATTTAGATTAAATGTAATTCTTTATCTTTTACTTAAGTTGTATATTGCTCATAGCTGTTTTATATATTTAAATTTAATTTAATTAACATATATAGATTATAACCACAAATGTTCTCGCTTTTTTACTGTAAAATTATTAAATGTTATGTTGTAAAAAATATTGATAAAAAAGCATTAGAAATAAAATTTTTTGAGAGATTAATGAATAAATCAGATTTTTTTTTTTTTAAGAAAAGGAATAAAAGATAATAGCATAGTATTTAAAGTCTTTTTATATATTTTTAAATACCTAAATTTGATCAAATAAACATAAGAATTCTCAACAAAATATTTTTAGTTAAAGATATATTTAATGAAAAAAATTCATAAAGATTTAAAATTAACAACATTTTTAAGTAATAAATAAACAAAATTATAAAAACCCTCTTTTTAATTACCATTTAGCTTTCTTTTTTACCTCAAAAACCTATAAAAAAATTAGAAACAATCAGACGCTAGCTATGTGTAAGAACTGTTTCAATCCAAATATATACAAAATATATATTTCTAGTAAAAAGAAATGTAAAAAAATAATATTTTACTTTAATAGTATACTGATATTTATATTTTTTATTCATTTAATAAATATTAAACCTTATCAGAATATTTGTAATAGAGAATAAGAAAAAATTAGCTCTTTAAAATTAATGTAAGCAAAAAATTAAAAATTGATGTAAATTAAATTTTTTAACTTATGTAAATTGCAATTTTTTTAATTTGTGTAAATTGTAATTTTTAAAAATAAAAAAAATTATTTAATACGCCATTTGAAATTTAAACTCATTTTATCTTAAAGTTATTTAAAACTAATATAAAAAGAAATATCTTTTTATGCTTAAAAATATTTAATTTCACCAATTCTTAATTCAACTTAGCAAAAACAAACTCTTTATTCCATACTTTTACATAAAAAGATTTCATTCTTTTCAGTAATTTCTTTATATTAGGAAATAATTAAATTTTTTTGGTAAATTTCTGGAAAAATTAATTAAAAAAGAAATTGTTTGATTTAGATTAATTCGTTTTTTTAAACTTATTTTAGGTTTTTTTTAAAAAATGAAATAGATATTTTTAAATAATAAAACAAATATTATGAAATAGATTTATTTTCACCTGAATAGTTTCAAATCTTTGTTTTCTAAATTGATACTATCAAAAATATAACATTTATTTATGCTTAATTATCAAATGTAGATCAGTAAATTATTTAAATTTTATAAAATAATCAATTTATGGTAAAAACTTCTTGATTAGAATTGCCACTAGATTGAGTTATTTACAAAATTTAATCAACTAGCTGTCTACATAGATTTTTAATTTTCAAGCCTACTAAATTATTTGCTCTATTTACTTGATTAGCTAAAAATAATTATTTGATTTGTTATTAAATTATTGAAGTTAAAAGGTTAAAATTTCAAGTTAATGTATTACATATTTTAGAGATTAGTTTTTAATTGATTATTTGTTTGTAAAATATATTTAATTTACATTATTCAATTAATATATCTGAATAGAAATTTAAATATATATATATAAATATATTATAACTTTATTTTATAAGTTTTACTATGATAACTGTTAAATAAAAAGGTATAAGCTATTTTCTATCTATTAGAATTCTAAATAAAATAAATTAATTATTTCCTAATTGATATATTCTAATAGAAAAGCAATCTTAGATATTCACACAATATAAAACTTTATTGAATGAATTCTTATTACACTATTTATCAACATTAAAAATAGTTATTTGTTATCTTGTTTACCTATTTAATTTCATACTTTGCTATAGATAAAATTTAAGAGCATAAAAAAAAGCTTTACTTTAAAAAATGTAATTATACAAATTTTAAAGTAATAATGTACTTATGAATTTGGGGTAATAAATTAAATAAAACAAAATATACTAGTAACAATTTGATAGAATAAAAGTTGAGCTGCGCAGGAAAAAAGATTTATAAAAAATATATAATCAAATTAATTAATTATTGAAATAAAAAATAACCAACAAAAAATAAATCCTCTTTAATCAAATGATCAACAAAAACTAATCTAGTAAGAGCTAACATTCTCCTTAAAGTTGTACAATTAAAGCTTAGGAGAAACGTATGCTTGACTCATAAGAAACTAGTTTGACAACTATGGATACTATTGATTCTCCTAAAGAATCTTTAGTTAATAATTAACTAAGCTTAAAATTTTTTTAAGCAAATGTCAGTAGTTAAAAATTGTAGATTGCCTCTTAAAAGAGTTTAACTAATAATAATTTTTCTAATAATGCTTTGTTATGTAAAAGCTACCCCATTAAAAATTTAAGCAGCTAAGAAATATTTTCTTTCTCAAACAATAATGATTAAATACCTGCTAAGTAAGTATTATCAACCTAACTTTACTAATAATGCAACAATAAATCTAAATAATAACTAATAAATGAGCTCAGTTTATATAAATTAACTTAAATTTAACTAAAAAATTAATTACTTGCTATCTAAGATAAGAGCGATGATTAAGAAGAAGATGACGATAACTCTGATGAAGAGGAAGAAGAATATTCTATATGGGATGATGATGAGTTAAGAAGTATGGGAATAGATACTAACTTCTTCATTGATATAAGAGGAGAAGAATTATCATTCTACCAAATGTATAGATTGCGCTCTTCTCTTTATCAACCCTTTTATATATCGCGTTTAGACACAATAAAAGAAGCTTAAATAATTTCATCTCATTATGGTTAAGAAATTCCCATTAATGACTTGAGATCTCAATAAATATATCTAGATCAATTTTATTTGATATAAACAAAAGAATTTCCAAGAAATCCTAAGTTGAAAAGCTCTTAAAATGTTTCTAATCCTGTTAAATCAGATTAAAAATGTTTCACCAAAAGGATTTAAAGAGTATATTCAAATTTCGAATAAAATGATAATGCTCCTAGTAAATAATAATATAATTAACCAAAAGTTAGTCATTAACTTAACTCAACAAAATTAAATAAAAAAGAACTTTCCTAAAAATAATCAAATGATCTACAAAATCAGGAAAATCACTCATTAATTACCCAAAAACTAACTGAAATTAATAATGCTTATTCCTAACTCTAAGATATCCCTCTTAATTAAAAGAATAGATCTTAAAGAAGGTAAAAAACTAGTATCGATTAAGAATAAGCTCTAAAATTAATTTAAGATAAGAAAATCCCAATAAAGCAAATAAAACTTTATGAAGGCAATTTTTCATAAATTAATATCATCTCCAATTAAAGTCCCTCTGCAAATAACTAATTAAATTAACTAAATGATAACAAGAATTAAGCTAATTTGTTATAGTAAAAAACAAAAATCACTAATTAGACCCAAGTTAGCAGTGAATAATTATAAAATAGCTCATAATTATAATAATCAAGAGAATCAAGTATACAGAATACTGCTTCATCTGTGCTGTCATATCTTAAAAGAGTTATTTACTACAAAAATAATTAAGAAGAGTAATAAATCTAAAGAATTCCTAACTTAAAATAAAATTTGGTTGATCAAAATTTATCTTCTCCAAGAAATTAAAAAATTGAAATAAGTAAATTGAATTCCAAACAAGACAAAAAATTACAATACGAAAAATTTTCCTAAAATCATCAAATATAATAAAAACTTAGCTCTTAGCTTGCCAAATGAAAGTTTTAGATTTTAAATTCATTAAATTTATATTAAAAAATTATTTATTTAAACGTTAAAAATTAATAAATATAAAATTTTTCCTAAAATAAAAAATATTATTTAATTATTTATATATAATATATGCATACATATTTTATTATTTGTATAATAGAATCAATTAATTTACTACATTTAAAAATCAATCATCAACTATGAATGTTATTTATTTATTATTAATTAACTAATTTCTTTACTTTAAGTTATTTGTTTTTTAAATTTTACCATCAATTTTTTTAATAGATAATCAATCACATTCCAAACAAAATAAAAGAAAAAAATTTGATAAACAAACAACTATCAAATTAAAAAAACTTAATAAATAATTTTTTTATAAATAGCCAATAGAAAAGATGTAAACTATTAATCCATATTATGGCTTTTATTTATAATTTGTAAAAGAATTTATATAAGACATTTTCTTTATTTTGTCAAGAGTTTGCTTGAAAATGAAATTCAGCCATAATATTTTAGCCAAAAAGAAAATTTTTATCAATAATAACATTTTTAAAAAATCTATTTTATTTTAAATAAGTAATTCATATGTTAGTTTCTGAAAATGATGCTTTGTTTATAGAAAATAAAATTCACCAGCCCTTATTTATATACCTTTATTTAAAATAACTCCTATAATTATCTTCATTTTTAATATTCAAGCATTATAAAATTGAAATAATATATTACACTCATAGAAGTAAATTTTTTTAGATGAGTTTGTTTTATTCATTCACAATTATTTTAATTTAGACTTCGAACAGTGCACATTTATAATTAAATTAGAGTTATCATTTTAATGGCTCTGATTTAAAGTACTGTTATTACTCATTAAAAATGCCAAATTACTCCAAAACTTTTTAGAAAATATATAAGGAAAGAAAAAAGTTTTTTCAATTTTTTTTAATGTATAAAAGTCTAAATTTATGAGGAATCACAATATTATGCTTATTTTTTGTATAAGATATTTTTAAAAAATATATTTATTTAAAAAAAGCAATAATTTTTATTATGCTTAAAATAAGTTAATAATAATTTTCATTCAACTTAACAATAGTTTTGTTTTTTATCATTATTAATAATATTTTCAAAATTGAGAAGTGAATATGATCATTTTTTAAGAAGTTAATTAATATTTAAATTATTTGCTTTGATATCAAAAAAAAAAAAATTTAAAAGAGCTCCTCTAGATTATCCCCATAATTTTAACTTTTTAAAATATGCTTTTATATTTATTTGATAATGTTATTTCTAATTAAATTTTCGTCGATAAGAATTACCAGTGTTATTTATTTTGTACGTATTAACTTTATAAATTAATAATTATATCTACTGCTTATATAGATACCTTATAAATTAAATACGTCATTTATTTCCTTAAAAATTTAATTAAATTCCTTATCCTCTAATTTTTCTAATATTTTGCTGATTTTATATAAGATAAATCATACTTTTTTTAAGTATTTATCTTTCTTTCTGTCAATTACAATAAGCGGATTTAATTTATTACATTTTAATTGTTTTCATTTTAGTATTGATTATCAAACAAACTCAAAAAACTGGTTTATTAAAAAATTCAACATTAGGAAAGGTCCATTATTTTTAAAAGATTTCATAAAGTACTTTATTCTTTTATTTTTATTATGTATTAAATAAATAATAATATCCATTAAAAAAATATCTATAAATTTTTAAAAGGTACATTTATCGTTGTAGAAAAACAAAAGTCTATCTTAATGATTAGGATATTTACTTTCTATTTTAAAATACTAAATATTTATTTTCTTAAAACATGAATTGAAAAATAGTACAGTAATGCTTGATTTTTCGATAAATAAAGTATTTACTTAATTTACTATTTCTCCCCTTTAAATGATTATTACAGCTAGCTATAAGAAACAATTCTAACAAAGCTGGCTTAAATTTAAAGATTTACAAAAATCAAAAATTGAAAATTATTAATCTTAATTTTTATGTATTTTCTCAAAGGTGTCCCTATTTTACTAAATAATTAACTTTCTTTCTTTATTTGCTTACAATTTTCCTTAAAATATTACTTTTTTACTAAATTATTTTTAAATCGCCATAAAAAAAAGAAAAGAAATATTTTTTTAGTTCTATTATAAGATTGTAGAAAGAGCTCGTAAATTTTAAAGAGTAATTATTTGGATAGTCGCTTTAGTATCTATTAAGTAATCATTTTAGATACATAAAAATATAATTCCATTAGAGTCCTAGTATCTTTCTATATCCTTACTACACTTTTGATTTACGATATATCAATATAAAAATAGTAAAATCACACTAAAGTTATTTGATTGTTAATTAAAATATCTAACTATAAACAGTATTTTTATTTGATTAAATAATTAGAATCAAAATATTTGTAAAATAATTAAATACAAAATAAAAATAAGAAGAAAAAAGAGCTTCTCACTTAAATAAAATTATAATCATAAATACAAATGGCTCAAACTACTAACAGATTTTATTTAAAATAAGAAAAATTTGTAAAAATTGAATAAAAATCAAACTAAATGAAGTAATCATCCATTTAATTTGCTGACTCTCCTTGCGATTCTTATTTCCCAGGATCTCAATAATTTGGAAATTGTAGTTAGTTAAGATAGTCAATTTGTTCTTCTGCAGATACTATTGATACACCAACTGCCAATTCTTTCAACACTTTAACCTCTAAAAATTAATAAACTAACTCAAACAAAAAGCATCATAAGAGTATCATTCCATAAAATTTTACTTAATTTGTCGAGGCTATCAAATCCATTGAGAGTAAAAACTCGTTAGAAAAAAGAGACACTGATAAGCCTATCAAATAATAAAAAAACATTTCTTAAAAATAATTGTTAACAACAACAAATAGTAAAGAAAACCAAAACTTAGAATCCTCTGAAGATGAGGAGCACTCTATTTGGGATAATTCTTATCTTGAATCACAAGGATTTGATTGTAAAAATTTCTTGAACAAAGAAGGAAAATAATTTACTTTTTACTAACTTTACAGAATGAGATAGTGTTAATTGCTTGGAAATATTTCAGAAAAAACAACAATTAATGAAGTTTTTATAATTTCAGAACATTATAAAAAACCTGAAAAGAAATCTGAGTTAGTTAAATAGTAATAATACCTCTAAGATAACTATCAATTAGCTGATACTTAACACAGTTCTATTAATATTTAGAAATAAAGCTCTGCTTAACTGAGAAATAGTTAGTAAGATTAATAAATCTCCAATAAATTTAAAAGGTAGTATTCTCAGTAATCTACAGATTAAATTAAATATAGTATAAACTCTTCTTAAATTGTTTCTGAGCCATAAACTTCAAGAAATAACTATACTAAAAAAGATCATAATTCCCCTAAAAATATCTTCTAAAATAAGCAACAATACTTTTTTTCAAATAAACAGAATTTACCATAGATTGGTCAAAAGAATCAAAATAGTATATTTAAATTGCACACTTAAGTCATCAATAATAGTAACAGCGAATCAAATATTTTTGTAAATAATAGTACCTCATTTACTTAGACTGAAAGAAGTGTGAACAAAAAAATCTTAAAAATTTCTAATTTAAATGAAATAAGCTTAGAAGATCGCACCCCAAAACCAAAATAATAAATTCCCAATTAAAAAAAATTAATCACTTATCACTTGCAATAGAAAATAAAAAATTATGAAAAATAGTAATAAAATGAATGTGTAGACTTAAGTAAAAAGATACCCCAAAAAATTTAAGTAAAACCTTAACAAATCTAAATAGATTCTCCTTATCACTCTTAATCTAATTCTTCTTAAACTTCAAATCTTCCTAAATACTTTAACAAAACTTAATAACGTATAAAATAGTACATGCAAACTCACTCTTTTTGCAATTTAAAAAAGTTCAACATTTGAATCATACCATTAAACAAAATACTAAACATTTATTTATTATATTTACTAAATTATATATCTATCTCTCTCTATATATTTCTTTTGTTTTTATCCTTAATTATTTTATAAAAAAATTAATCAACTTTCTTATCTAATGATTAAAAATTATTCAATTTTTTTATTCACGTAATAAATTAGATCAAATCAGTTATTACGTCTAATTAATTAAATGTATAAAATAAAAGGTTAATAAAAACCATATTCAAAAAATAAAAACTATTTAAATGATTGATGTATATCAAATTTAGAACCAATATTTAAAAATATCAACACTTAATTGTGATTAAACTAAATCTTTTAAAATTTATCTCATAATTACTTTACACTTTATCGAATCTCTCGAAAAAAATTAGATCAATCAAAAAATTTATATCCCTCCTTAAAATTGTAGTAAAAGATAAAACAAATATTTTTGTCAACATAAAATTAAATATATTTTTAAAATAAAAATTAGTTACATTTTTCTCTCTAAAAATAATAAAATTTATAGTTATTATCTTAGATCCAAATTAGAATTATTTATTTTTATAATTTGAATTATTTTGTTTTATTAGAAGGTAATTACTCTATTAAATATTTTTACATATTCCTAAAAAACCTTTTATTTAAGAAAAATTTTTTTATTAATTTTATTAAAAGTAAATATTTGATGAACAATAATAATTTAAAAAAAAATAAACATTTTTAAAATTCCTTTTATTCAAATTATAATTTAGAGAAAAGAAATAAAAAGTTTAACTTTCATTGTTTTGTTTCTTTAATATTTAAAATTTTTAATAAAATATTTTACTAATAATTTTTAATTTTACATCAACATTAATTTATTAATAAATTTATTTCCTATTTTTAAAAGCTTAATTTATTTTCAAAAATTAAAAAAAATTCTATTTAGTTTATTAAAACAAAAATATTATAAATGAAAGAAAAAAAATAAAATTATTTAAAGAATATCTTCTGTTTATTAATATTAATTAATTGATTTAATTTTAGCATGAAAAATTTTAACTATTTTTTTCAAAAGTGTTGAAATAAATAATAGAAAAATCCAAAATTATATGAAATGTTTTTTTTAATTTACTTTTTTTATTTATTTTATTTTGACATTTGAAAATATTACTTTTATTTTAAAACAAATTAATTAGAATTTTTATTGTTTAAGCAATCTTTATTTAATTTGTAAAAAAGAATATTCTAAAATATTGTTTGCTTTATTAAAAAATTAATTGTTTTTAATTTACTCTTTCTGTTAATTACTTCAAATGATTCTATTTTTAATAATAATCAACAAACAAACAATGTTACAATCAAAATAATGTGAAAATGATTCCTGATAATTTACGAAGATTAAATAAATTAATCTAGAAATTATTTTAAAGTTTTTAAATTAACTAACTTTTACCAGAAAAAAATTATGATAAAATTTTAAACATTAAAAAATTAAACTAAAAATGAAATTTATTGAAAATTGGATAAAAAGTAAATACATTTACTATACATTAGCTTTATCAGCTATAGGTGTTGGCATGTATGGATTAACTTTTAGATAAGTTCGTAGCACTTGGTAAAGTCCTCCTTTTTCTTGGTAAGATAGACCTATCCTTGTTAGAACTCACTTTATTACTGGTCCTATTGTGCTGATTCTTGGAATATTTTAATTTAACTAAAACCTAAGACTCAAGCATCCTTCTGTCCATAGATGGATAGGAAGGATATACACTCTTTCAAATTTAATAAGTACTATTGTAGTATTTAACATATTTCTTTATAGTGCTTTTGGACTTGTTACTGTAATTAGTTTTTTCATTTTAAATGTCCATGGTTAACAACCTTGATAATTGCAATATACTATATAGTCATAAAGAAATGTATCATTTCTCATAAATATTGGATGATAAGAAATTACGCAATAACTTCCTCTGCTATTACTTTTAGAATCATTTTTAGTATATTTATACCAATCTTAGGTCTTGAAATTGCATATCAAATAGGTAATTAATTATAATTATGCATTTATAAGTCTTATTAATTTTTTACTTTTTGCAATAATTAGGTGCATCAAATTGCTTTTTTTGGAATATTATCTTGGCTGAAATAATCATCAAAAAGTTAAAATAAATACATAATGTAAATTAATCTAGCCCTGGATAAGCTACCTAAGTAGCTAATTCAGACATTATTAAAGGCGTAGATAAATCTCCATCAGATCCTATGAACTTATAAGAGTAGATTTGATTAAATATTTGTTAATAACTTAAAATTATGTATTGTACTATTCAAAGAAGTAAAATTATATATCATATATAAGGTAAATTTTAAATATTTTTGATACAAAATAAAAATTACATAAAATTAATTTAAATTTTAAAATTATTTTCGCAAACTAATACTTTTTGTTAAAAATAAGCCTATCGTAAATTTTTAGAAAAAAATTTTTAAAAATTATTTCTAATTGGCTTATTACGTACAGCAAATTAGTGCTATATTGGCTGGTTAAGTGAAAATCTTTAGCCTTTTTTTGTTTCCCAATATTTAACTATGATCTCTCATTGAACAAAAACTAAATTTGTTTTTTTCTGTTTTTACCTCTATCAGGTTTTTAAAAGATAATAATTCATACTTTAATTAAACTTATTTTTATTGTTAGTCTTCAATATTAAGCTGAATTATTCATTTATATATAAACTAACTCTTATTTATCAACTTATTTGAGTCCTCATTAATTATAAATGGAATTTGGGGAAAAATTTTATCATTAAAAATGAAAATTTTGATATAATAGCTTTTGATTGTATATAAATATTAATGTTTTTATGTTAGATTATATTTATTTATTAATTTCATTTTATTGAATTTTAAATATAGTTAATTAAGTAAATTCAAAGTTTTTTTATTTATCCTAATAAATTTAGAAAATGGTAAAATCAATAATTCCTTCTAAAAGCAGCTTTCTAAGGAAAAATTCTAAATAGATATATACATATTATGAGTTTACAAATATTAAAATAAAATGAAAGATAAATATTTTTTCTAGTTGATTATAAAATCTAACAAAACTTTTCAAAAAATTAGTTTTTAATTATAAGTTTTTATCTATTTTATTAAACAAAATCTTACAATAATAACAATACTTCCATAAAGATTATTTTTAAATTGCAATTTTTTATCTATTTTATTAAGCAAAGTCTTTTACACTCATTTGATTTCAAAAATGCTTCTTATGATTTCTGAAATTTTTATTAAATTAAAAAAAAATTTACATTGAAAATCTATGGAAAATAAATTCTGATGAATTTTGAGATATGATTTAATGGCTGTTTTTAAAGGGACAATTTACCAATCTCATAAAAATGAATAATCAAAATAAAAAAAATAAAATACTTAAAAATAAATGAGGATTATTGAAAATTGGATTAAAAGTAAACGTATTTACTATTCTATAGGTATTTCAGCTATTGCTGTTAGTCTATATGGACTCACTTATAGATAGATATCTAGTACTTGGAGTGAACCTTTTACATGGCTAGATAGACCAGCTCTCGCAAGAACTCACTTTATAACTGGGCCTATTGTTTTAAGTTTTGGAATATTTTAGTTTAATTAAAATCTAAGACTTAAATATCCATCTATTCATATTTGGATGGGTAGAATATACTCTCTAGCGAATATCATAAGTGTTATTTCAATTTTTACTATTGTTTTTGACTGTGCTTATGGACTTGTTCCTACAATTAGTTTACTTATTTTAAATATTTTATGGATAATATCCTTGGTTATTGCTATCTACTATATCGTTATAAATAAATGTATACTTTCTCATAAATATTGGATGCTAAGAAACTATGCCTTAACTTGCTCTGCTATTACATTAAGACTCCTCCTTGGTATATTTTCACCAATTTTAGGGCTTGAAATCGCATACAAAATAGGTAAAATATTATTATTTAAATATATTTATTTCTTTTATATTTCTTTAATATTTAGCAACATCTAATTGCTATGTTTGGAATATCATTTTAGCAGAATTAGTTATTAGAAAATTAAAGTAAATGTAATAAATAAATTAAGATAGCCCTCCATCAGTTACATAAGTAGCAAGCTCAGATATAACCAAAGACAAAGATAATTCTCCATAAGAGCCTGCTAACTTTTAAGAATAGGCATGAAACAATTTTAAAAAAAATAAATTATGTTTTATACTTAACATTTTTGCAGTTGAATAATATATATATTTATATTTCTAGAAATGTTATTAATTTAAAAACATAAAAAATGTAATTCCAAATTAAATATGATTTAAAACTATCAATTTAATTTTTAAATTATTATTTTTTTTAACTTTATTTAATCTTATCTGTAATTAATTAGTTGAAAAAAGTTTAATATATTTTTTTATATTTAAATAATTTCATACATTTTTTAATAAAACTCAGACAATTATAAATTCATTTTCTGATCTATCATTTTTAAATGTATTCTTGCCACCATTTAATTTGCTTCATATAAATTTGCAAATATTGATTTGATTTGATTAGGTTAATATCCTTTAAAAATACTAAAATTAAATATTTTTTATATATAATTATTTATATTTTATTATAAATAATAAATTTATCATTTATTTTTAAATTGATAAATATTATTTTACAATATTAGATAAGTATTTAGAAAAAACCCTCTTAAAATTGCTAATATGAATGGTCTTAAGTCACTCAAATAGAACAATTTTTAAAGCTATTAGAATACTAGTATTTTTTTAAATACTAAACAAAAATATTTAAAATCTATAAAAATTGATTTACAAGATAAAGTCTTTAAAAATATAAATTAAATAATAAATAATAATTAGAAAAAGTTAAACAAAATATATTAAAAAAGACTATGATTGAAGATTACTTCTAATTTCCTTTAAATGCAAGACCATCATAAAACTATATTGATCTATCTATTAAATCTTAACTTAAAGAATCTCAGATGTATCAAAATAAATGGCAAGTTAATTAAACCTATCTTTGCTTAGAATAAATTATATAAACACCGATAAATGTTTCTTGCAATAAACTGAATAGCTTAAGCAGAAGCAAAAAGAATCGTAGTAATTGCTTAATATAATAGAATTTTTAATTATTTTTAGATACATTATAAGCTAAAGAGAAAAAGACTGATGATACTTCTAATTAGTATTTAGAAGAATAAAGTGTAAATAAATAATAAAATAACCAAAAAGATACAAGTTTTGAAGTTAGTGAAATTGACGAAGAGGAGGAAGAGTATTCAATTTGGGATAACTCTTAGCTCGAAGAGTAAGGTTTTGACTCCAAAAATTTTTATAATAAAGAAGGTAAAGAATTAACATTCTACTAGCTTTATAGAATGAGATAATGTCAATTACTTGGACATGTGCCAATCGAAAAAACAATAGAAAACTTCTCTTTAATTTCTTAACTTTACTTAGAACCAACAAAAAAATCAGAGATATATGAATAACAATAGTATTTACTACAAAATTATAAGACTTAATCACATTCTAATAATAGAACGAAGTAAAAATAAAAATATTCTGCTCAAAAAGGGCTTGAAAAAAAATATAAAAAATATCTTGAAAAGAGTTTTTAAAATGAAAATTATTTAGTTTAGCAAAGTTAAAAATTATGTAAATCGCTAAACAAAACTAATTTTAATTCTAATATAAACTCTTTATGCTAAAGATTGTAAATTAAATAACTTAGTTATAAGGTTTTCCCTAAATCAATTAATAATAGAAATGAATCATTCTATATCAAAAATTATATCAATGAATAACTTGAATAAGATTTATATTATTCTTCTTAAGACTAAAAATTAACAAAAAAAATTATACAAATTTCTAATTTCCACAAAGAAAAAAAAACAATTTGAATAATTTAGAAGGTTGTGCTCAAAAAAGTATTTTAAAAAAGTAAAATTTTGCTTTTAATTCTAAAATATTTTATGTATTTTAAATGAAATCTCATAACACTTTGTGCCTTCTTTGCATACTTTTTTGGTATATTAGCTAATAACTTTATTATTTATCATTAAATTAAAATATCTTTTTGTATTTTAAATTAGATTTTATTTAATTTTAATAATTAAAAATTACAAAACTAAAAAAATTGCTATCAAAGTTTTAATTTTATTACTATCCACCAGTCCTTAGCTATACAATCTATATTTTATAATCTTTATTGTAAATCTTAAACAAAATTTACTTTATTTAAATAATTTTGAGCTTGATAACAAAAAATTATTATCATTTTTACTAAAAAGCTTTCATATAGATTTTGTAAAATAATTTTCCTTTTTGCAATTACTAAAATATTTTTAATAAAATAATTTATTTTCAAAATGCGCGTTTATATTTACAAATTAAAATAAGAGGGATTTTTGGACTGGAATTAATTTATTAAGAAGCAAGAATATCTTCGATATCAGAATTAAATCAAAAGAGATCAGAATCACTTTGTTTGGCAATTTAAATATATTTTATTAGACTGAGATATAGTATATAGAATCATATTTTTTTTGAGTTATCAATATTCAGAAACAAGATATTTATATTCGTTTATTATGTTAGAAAACTTTTTTTTCTTGAAGGATTGAAATGAGATTGAGCATATAAAGTTGAGTGTTGTATACTATTTATTAAAAATAAAATATTAGCTTTCTAAATAAATAAATAAGAAATAGTTTGATCAGCGCGTATAATATTTAAAGAAAATTGAATAATCATTAAAAATAAATAGCCAAGAATTCATTGAAGTTTCTTTACTTGTACACTAGTCTTTTAAAATGATTGAAGAAAAAAGTTTTGAGCCAGCATATTCAAGTTAAATCACTATTTCGTAGTAGCCATAAAAGCTTGATATAGAAGAACCCGTTATAAATTTTCAAGATACTACAGAACCTAATGGATGGGATCCTGTTACTTCTTAGAATTTAGGAAAGTTATTTGAGGAATTTTTTATTGACAACCAAAGTGAAGAAATCCGAAATAGCACTCTGCAACTACTCTCTTCATTGTGGATAGCAGGTATTCGATTATTCTCCATAAATTATGCTCATTTTTTATAAAATTGTTAATATAAATTAAAGGAAAGCAATAGTAGAAAGAAGAATTTATCAAATAATTTGAAGAAAAGAGCAAGACCTTGCTTAATTATGGCAAAAATAACAAAGAATTCTTTAAATTATTTTCATTTTTATGCAGCAATATTTTAAAGGATTAAAATGTAAAGCTTGCTTTCAAGGTAATGCTTTATATTTAAAATTTTCGATTAATGACTTTAATTGATTATTGACAAATGCATTTTTATAGACAAGCCAAAAAAATAAGATCTTAATTGTTTAAAATAAAAAAATAGGAAAAAATAAAAAGTTTGTTTACTTCTCTAATATAGATATTCAAAGAAGGGTTAAATTAGTTGGTCAATCATCCTGATCATAAATTATATTTATTTTTAGAGGATATTGTCGATGATTATAGCACATTTAAACCATAATACTTAGAAGCAAATGGTTGTTTAAACTGCTACGGACATAATAAATAAAATTCTGTCAAAGAAGATAAGTTAACTGTTTTATAGTAAGAAATGAGAACAGGAAATAATAAACTTATCATAAAATTAAAGAAAACTATGGAAATTTAATAAATAACACTTCCTCGTGACTCTGCCTATTAAAAGGCAAAGAAGAATTTTGTTAAATAGATAAATATTTATGTGAATAACAATTTATCCTCAGATATGAATGCTCTAAAAAGCGATATGAGTCTATGGAAGAGAGTAAAGTAATCAAATGTCGAAAAAGAAACAAGCAAAGAATATATTATTACTTTCCCTGTTCCTATATCTGCTAAATTCCTTTGCATTGAATTTAATATCACAGCAAAACTCCCTCCACAATGTTCAAGATGTCCAGAAGTTAGGTAACTTATTGAAAAGCATAAACTGAAATGTGTTTAAAATAAATTATATTATATTTAAAAATAGAGCTGAAGGATCTGGATTTTATTGCAGCTAGTGCTAATACAGTCCAATTATATAAGTCGAAAGCACTACACTTAAATATGTGCCAAGTTCATTCTCTGATATTATTGTTATAGATTCTGATAAGTCAAAAGAAAACGTAAATTTTTTAAATAAATAAATAAATTAAAATATCCATAATGGATAACTAAAAATCTAATAAGCCTAGAATAATTTATAATATTTTTAATAAAAAGTGCGAAGCTAGTATAAGCGAATATTCTTCAATCATATTAGAGGTTCAAAGAGATCTATTAAAGGAAAAATAGAAACTAAGGATATTATATGATAGATATTATGGAACTAAATGCAATAATTCTGTAGGTATTTTGTTGAATAGTGATGAATTAGATAAACTTTATTAGGAACTGATGACAAATATGAATTATTTGATGTCATATAGAAAAGCACTTGCATAGTATAGCGGTGTGTGTGAATAAAGCCTAAAAAAATAAATTTTTTAGAACTAAATCTTAGGAGATTAGCAGCATAATTGTTATGGCTGCCTTTAGTCTTTCTTAAATATATTCTTGACCTAAATAAATTAAAAGTAGAGTCTTATTCTTTTCCAAGAAATAGTTGGTGAAGAAGAAATTAAGTCATTTGTTGATGTTATTGAATAAGTTTACTCACAACAAGATTTTTATCCTTAAAAGATAACTCAAAAAGCGATGAGAATACACAAAAATATTTTTATGCATGCTTTCAATGATAAAAAATATGAATATTTAAACGCCTTTATTAATAATATCAAATAAGACTTGCTTGAAATGAGATAAGAAAATGCTCTAGTTAGAAAAAATGAAAATTTTTAAAATTTAAGGCTTAGACTAGTTGACTTGAGATTTCTTTAGGAGGCTTTCAGGGATTAAATTGATTAATTAAATGCTTAAGATAGCTTAAATGCAGAGGAACAGAGTATTTTAAAGAAATTTTAAGAGCTCTCAGGAAAAATTATTCTTTTAGTCAATTAAGTTATGCCTACCTTCTTCCAAAAAGGACTTACATCATCTCTAAATTTCCAGAATGACATTATTGTTTCTCTTTTAGAAATTATTTTATCTGAGTTTAATAATATTTTGCCTGGTGGCATTTATGAAAACAGAATTCCAACTTCATGCTAAAATTGCACTTCTATTGACCAAATATTTTAAAAAGATGTAAGAAATTTCATTTTTATTTCTAAACTTTATTATTCATTTTTTATATTTAAAAATAAAAAATAGAAGAGCACTGCTGATAAATTCTCAGACAGTTTTGAAAAAAAGTTTAATCCTAGGAATAATAGAATGCAGCATTAGAGCTTTAGAGATTCAATTTCTTTTGGAAATAATTCTTCATTCCAAGGATAATTCCCCCCTCCACCTTCTTCGTGGAGATAGTCTGACTTTTATCAATCTAGAGATAGAGAAGTGAGAGAATAAGTAATAAATCAGATGCTAGGAGGTACGACTCACGCTTCAGGAATATCTGGGTTTGATCGTCAGACTGGAGCTAACTGGGTTTCTGGTTATGGAAACTTTTTAAGTTATTAAAACCAACTTTAATAAACAGTTAATTAATCAGTATCAAAAGAATCTTATAAAAAAAAGATAGTAAGCAGCAGGATAAGTTAAGCATAGCAAGAAATATTAAACTTTCCAGTTGGAAGCCAGCTTCAATAATTTTAAATCCCTCCACCTTCTTAATTCCCTGGAGGTACTTCTTAATTAATTCCTCCCCTTCCTACTCTCTCAAATCATTTAGCTAACATTTTACCTCCTTAGATTAGTACACCTTCAAGAAAAACAGGAGGAGATTTAGGAAATAAAGGAAGCAGTTCTAAAGCTAAAAAGGGTTAACAAGCAAATTAAAGAAGTGATTAAGAAAGGCTATTAGAATTTATGACTCTTCTTATTGGCTGTACTGACCTGCCAGAATCATCTAATTTTTCTTCTTCTCATGGAATTCATCCAAAAATAATTTCATCAACTCATTAAATTATGGAAATTGAGCAGTTAAAAGAAAAGATTGAATAGCAAACTTAGAGTTTTAAAATTAAACCTGATAATTGGCTTCAAAACTGTATTTAACTATTTGATTCTAGAAGATTATAAGAACTTATACACACAATAATTCTTTAAATAGCTCACTTTAATAGCAGAGTTGCTTGTTTTTTACTTTTGCATGCTCTTCCAGATGCTCTTAGTAAGTAAGGTTCTTCAATGTGCTACTTCGAACTTTTTAAAGAGGTTATTTTAGTTTTGAATAGTAATACTTCTAAAGGCACTCTATAAGCTACAGCATCAACTCGCAAGCTCCCTGGATTGTCAATGATGCACTAGCAGAGCTCTGAAGATTTAGGTCTTTCACGCAAAGAACTAGATGAAGATGCAATTAACGAGGAGCTTGAGTATTTAGAAATTCTCTCTACAATGTTTAAAAATCTAGATTAATAATTGAAATCATATGCTTCTCTTAAAAATAAATAGTTAATCTCAACCAAAGAGTTCTTCATACAGAACCTTAATTCAGGCTCATCTCTCAACTATCTTACAAATCTGATTAAAATATTTATTGAAAATCCTAATATAAAGTAGGCATTTAAAAATAACAACAAGCTTTACATGCAGCAAATCATATCTTCTGTTGTCAGTATTAGGAAGTTCAAATACATTCTAAATTAAAATTTCTTTTAAATAGAATCTCTGCTTTCTTCTCTCTTTCAAGAATTGTAAAGCAACAGTATTAATGAAAAATAGAATTTCTTAAAGTAATTAATTACAGCTCTACCTTCAACCTCTAATGACCCATTAGGTTAAGAATTTTTGATGGAATAGGTAAATTTGTATATTTTTATCTAAAAAAATAATTTTAATTCTTTTAAATAATTTCATAGATTAACAAGATTTTAATCCCTAAAAAATTGGTTCCAAATTTAAGATTAGAAGTTTAAAGTAATTAAAGAGAATATTTGCCTTCAAGTTTGCCCAAAAAAGAAATATCAGCTAGTGAATTCGGTACCACAATGAATGATATTTTAATTAGAATCAAGTCTGAGCTACCTGATTCTTCTTGGGTCATAGAAATGCTTGTTGCAAACAAATTGATTAATAACAAGGTAATTTAAATAAATCTTTAAATTAAACTAATTTTTAAACTTTGTAACTTAAAAGGATCTTCCAATTGATTTAGTATATAAAAAAGTATGGGTTTAATCATAACAAAAAGGTGTTCCTTCAAATTAAATCGACTGGAAAAAATAGGTTTTAAGCAATCCTATGAAAATAGTATACAGAATTACAGGTTTCGATGGTGAAGCTCATGAAGAATTAGTCGACTAAATAGTAGATGAAGATTAATAAACATGCTCACAATTATCTAAAGTATTATTTGATTTATTTACAGATGAAACTGGAAAAGAAACTTGCGGTTTAGCATCTTTGATAGAAATAATTAAGTAAATTTATTCCGATCCAGAATAAAAATCTAAATTGTTAAGCATAATTACAATCATGAATATTGCATGCAAGCACTCTGAAGGTAGGATAAAGGTAAATAAATAATTAATATTTGATTTTAAAAAGGAGAATATTGAAACAAAAATTTTTTATTTTTATATAAAGGCACTTTAGTATAATGGATTAAGTGTGATATTAAAAGTTTTAATGAACAATCTCCCAAATATGAATGAAAGTGAGCCTGAAAGCTTAATCTAAAATATTTTTGAGCTCATTCATGGTTTATTGGAAGAATCTGAAAATACTAAGTTCAAAATTAATTAGAGTGGTATGGAGATCGAATCTATCTCTGCAGATGCCATTAAAGAAGAGGAGGAGGAATGCTTAAAGAATGTGATGGTTTGCATTGATAAAATAAATAAAATTGATGAAAAAGGAGGAAAAAATAAAAATAATCAACTTATTCAAGATTTAATAAGAATACTTCCTATATTGACTCATGATTATTTAAAGCCTTCATAATTCTTAGTTAATAATTTCTCATAAGCTATATAATTTGAAGAGGATTGTAAATATTTTATTCAAATCCTATAATTATAATTAACTTACTTATTTTTTCAGAAATAAAAAAAGATAACCTTGATAAAATTAATAAATATATTGAAATTGCTGAAAAAATTCCAGAAGACTTTTAATCTTTCAGAGAAGAAAGTATCAGATAAGGTATTCTCGAAAAAGCTACTCTAGCCTTTATGTCAGTTATTCCTGGATATGTAATGATTATTAGATGATCAATCAAAAATTTTTTTATTTTTAAAATTATGTTGAAATAAATATATTTTTGAAAAACAGAACTAAATAGATTAACCTAAAGCTAAGCTTCAAAAGAATTGTCTAAAGAGATGTCTAGCTGTCTTTATGGGATTAATGAAAGGTAATTTCCATGTTTAGACAATACTAAATGAGGCAGGAATACTTCATAGCATATATCAATTGGCAGATCCTACCATAAAAATAGATGAAGTAGGAAAAATTTCAGAAAGTTTGATTGAATATATTGTAAGCGAAAAAAATAATGTGGATAAAAATGTTTAAAATGACATTCTCAAGATTAAGCAAGAAGATGCACAAAAAAAGAAGGAAAAAGCAGACATGGTTAAAAAAAATCAATTATCTATGCTAACTAATAATGCTTAAAAAATCTTATAAAACTTCAATTTCAATGATATAGAAGAAGAATAAAGCATTAAGTGTGTGGTATGTTAGGAAGGTTATACTTTACGTCCTTAAGAGATTATGGGTGCTTATATTTTTTCAACTTAAACAAACATTGCAGATGAAAAAAAGCTTATGTATGACCCATTTAGTTACTCTGAAAAACCCAGCGTTACAAGTGCAACTTCATTTAATTGTATTCATTTAAAATGCCATTAAGATGCTGTAATTGCTGACCAGAATGTAAATAAATAAATAAATATATTTTTACTTATAAAAATAATTAATTAATAATTATTATCTTTAAAGTCTAAAAAACCCAAAGGTGAATGGGAAGGAGCTCTTATCCGTAACTCAGAAGCCAAGTGTAACAACTGGTTCCCTATCAAAGGTCCTGAGATTGAATAAAATTAAATGGACTAAGGCCTGAAAAAGTATGTGAAAGGAATTGGGTAACTTGGGTAAAACGGTTAATCTTTAGCTTGGATCCTAATTAACGATTTTAAAGGTCTTCTTATTAAGTTTTCAAACTAAGAAGATATTGCAAAAGAGACTAGGACAACGTAAATTATTTGATAGTTAAATTAAATACACAGAATTAAATAAAAAATAGATTCGAACATAATTTGAAGATATTCCCATTCTTTATTTCTACTGTTAGCTATGTCCTTTCATAAGAAGACAACAAAGAATTGCTAGAAAAAATGAATGTCTGTTTCCAAAAAATGCTAAATAAAGAAATCAAAGATGAAAGCAGAAAAGTAGAAATCATATAAACTTTCCTTGTTTCTTCTCTATTCTTGTTGACACCAGAAGAATGGAAAAACAGAGTTAGAAAGATATTCCTTAACAATATTTTAAATATATTTGTTACATCATATTTCAAGAATAATGCTGATTTGGATACAAGAGTTGCTAAATATGGATAATCAATATTTATTCTTTTTGCACTCATAAACATAATCTTTGAAAAAATTCATAGTAAAGCAGCAAGCGGACATTAAGGATCTCTTTTAATTTTATAACAAAAACTAGACGCTTATATTTCGAATAGCTACGACACAGTATATTTTTATTTATGAATTAAATATTGAATAATCTAATAATTTTTAAATAAAATTTAGTTAATTGAATAATTCTAACTTTTACATGGTGAGTACAGAGATAAAATAACTAAATTTACTAAAGTAAGTGAGTATTTAGATTATATTGGAATAAAAGATGAAATAATTTAATAAGGCGAGGATGTTACAGCAGCTCTTATTAAATATAAAGAATGAAAGAATAAATAAATAATTTGTTTTAAAATTTAAGTAGTATGTACTTTATTAATTTTTTATATTAAATGCATTCATTTATTTTATCATTTTGTAAAAATTTATATTCAATAAAATTAATAAGTTAAATATGAAAAATAATTCGTAAATTAAGATTGTTTCAATTTAAATTTCTTTTAAAAATTTTAATTAATTATAAATGTTTTAAAGTTTTCTTATTTGATTAAATCTTCAATCTTATTTTATTTCTTCTACATGTTTATAAAGTAAAAATTACTTAAATTATTTTTTTAAATTTCTCAATTCAAAAGTTAGCAAAATAAAGCTTAAAGAAAATTAAATAATTCAAGTTTAGTTTTTAATGAAAAAACTTTTTCTTTAAAATCTTATCCAACTTTTTATGATAAAATAATTAGTTAAAATTTAAGGTTAATATTTGCTTGATACCTATTTAATAATAATTTATAAATATTTAGTTCTTATTGCTGTACAAATTAATAGTCATTTTTTAAAATTTTAAAAGTTACTTTTAATTAAACATTAAACAAATAAATATATTTTCTAATTTACAAATTTAATTAATAGATTTTATGATTTAATAAAACAAATAAAAAAAAAATAGTATTTTCTGCAGAAGTTTATTTTCAGTTATTTTGATTATTGTTTATTAAGTGCTCTAACTTTTTTAGTAGATATTTAGATTCTTCTTTAATATTTTCTTTTTCAATTTTTAATACTTTGTATGCTATCTCTTATTCGTTATTAAATTCTTTATTTTCAAATTAAATTTCAAATATAAATCTAGCAAAGTCTAATTTACTAAATAACTATCTTATAATTTCTTCTTATCCATTTTCAATACAATTTTTAACATATTAACCTGCTTCTTAGACATGAATTGATGGATCAATTTCTATTTAACAAATATTTTATGAATTTATTTAATTTTTTCCAAAAAAATTTACAGTTGATAAGTTGGCTTGACTGCTGATCGAAAATCATAACAGGAATTGTCCCTGTAGAATCTTAAACAAATGCTCTAAGCATCAAATGCACCTAAGGATTTATGAACTACTAGCAACTTTCACAAAAAAATGAATCTCCGTGATATTTTAAGACTGACTTACCCTAACAAGTACACCTATAATAATAAAGCTTATTTTTCATCTATATTGAAACTAAGTTTCCATAAACATAGAATTCTTTTTTTTGACCTATTTCTGAAGCCTATGCTTATTAGATTATTTCTTCAATTGAAGAATAAATCCTTTATTCTTAGTTAGAATTGTTTTTATATGAAATTTTAGGCTTAATTTCAAAACTATCATTGCTATTAATTGAGATTGATTTTTTAAAAACACCCTATTCTTAATTATAAGTAATAACTTTTCTTTAATCATCAGATTCTTTAATTGAAGAATGAATGTTATTTTTCAACTAAACTTCATCATTATAAATTTATCTAACAAACTCATTAAAATAATACCATTTATTTATACTAAATTTATCTCTCCACTCATAGCATAAATCTGGAAAAATGACTACTTTGAGTTCTTAATTACAGCTATTATCACATATTTTTAATCTTATATTTTTATCTGAACTTTGAATATCCTATTCATTTAAAATAAAATACATATTAATACCTACATATAAACCTCTTAGTAATTATCTTACAACAACTTATGCTAATACTGATAAATATTATTTAGAAGTTTTTAATACTTCAGATATTAAGAGTGTATGCTTGCTATTATTGTTATTTTATCTATATTTATTATTCTTTTATCCATTATAGCCCTTTTAAGCGATGCTTTCCTCCTTTTCACTATAAAAAAGTTCATAAAAATATCAAAACAAATTGATTTTAATAAATACTTTTACATTAAATTATGAATAGAATAATCAGAGTCTCCTATTGAGTCATTTCCAAATTATTTTGAAGGTTGTAATGCCAAAGGTTATACATAATTCGCAGAAAGAGTCTCTTTAGGAATTATTTAGTAGTCTCCAAACTTAAATTTTAATTCTAGACTATTTTTATAATATAAAATTTTATTTAAATTAAAAAAAAAAAAGAAATAAATTAACTTATTTTTGAACTATTTAACTTCTCCTCCTATAAAGTAATAATATTATCCTACTTTCAAAGTTTAATAGCTTTAATCAACTTTTTGCCAAAAAGACAAATTAATTTCTTAATTATTAGCGTCTTATGCTGTGATGAAAAAATACTTAGAGTCTTGCTAATTCTGGAATGTACTACTTTTATATACAACTCTTCCTTCGAACTTAAAAGAAAATCTATTTTTACCTACTTACAACTAAGAAATTAGCAGTGTCTATTTACTAAGTTAATCAGAAAGTGATCCAATATTAAAATTAGATTTCCCTCCAAAATTAGTAATATCAGAAATATTTGAATAGCTATCTTCCAAATTAAATCCTAATCAAAAACAAAAAAATCATATTCAAAGAAATTCTAAGTGGTTCAAAAAATTTATCAAGGATTTTTCACTCAAAATTTTCAAATTAAATTATTGATAGATTGATTAATAAATAAATAAATAATACCATTTATACTTTGTTTTTCTTTTTAATTATTCTTAATTTCTTATTTCTACTATTCAATTATCATATCTTCACTGTTTGAACTATTATCTTTTTCGTTTACTTCTATAAATTTTAAAACCTAAAATATTTCGTAAAAATAATATATTCAATGTAAAAATAATATATTCATTCAGCTTTGCAAATAAGCTACTAATTACTTCTTCAGCTGGATTTTTAGTAATTTTACTCTTTTAAATTATTGTTTTTTCAGTATTTAATAGTTATATGGATTCTTTTTGGGCGGTTTTAGGCTAAACATGACTGGCTTTACAAAATTAAAACCTTGTAACTAAAACAACTATTTTGTCGCTTGATTTTTAAAAATATTTATTAATTTTGTTATCTCATTTTAATATTAAAAGTTTACTTTTATGTTTTATCATTTAAATAATCTTAAATCATTATGACATCGTTTTTTTGTAAATGCTGATTTTAATTAGCAAGCATCTCAAAGTAAATCAATGCTTCATCTCCCAAACCATCTATACACTCACATCTATATTTGTATTTTTTTTATTCTCAATTTGTTTTCTTTTTAGATAAGTTATATATTTTGATTACTTTATGTATTGTTTGCAATCTGTAGTTTTTTAACCAAGTATTTTTTTTATTTACATGACTATTTCTTCATCTTAATAAAACTATTTTCTGTCCACTTTTTTAAGTATATACGACCCACCTTTAGTTAATTTCATTTCTTTTAAAATTTAGGAGTGGCTTTAAAATATTGTTTTAAAGTTTTTACTTTATCTTGAAAAATTTCTTTTAATTTATGATTTGTTTTTATATCTAAAAGTAAAAAATGTAAATTGTTTTTTATTTTAGTTTGTTAGAATTATAGTAATTTCTACCAAACAAAAAATTAAATTTTATCTATTTATCTTTTTAGATATTTGTTTTTGAAAATTTTGCAAAAAACTGGCTAATTTATTTATTGTAAATTTTTTCAATATATTATACTTTATAAAAAAAAGTCAATATTTGTAATTAATTCTGAATTGTTAATTAAATTTTATAAAAACATTTTATTTATAGTTTTTTGTAAGGCTTTATCAGTTTAATACTGCGACATATCTATTGTAATATCAGAAACAGTTTTCAAAATATTATCTGCTTTGCTCTTAAGCTTCAGATTTGATATCAAGAAATATATAGTATTATTGCTTAGTTTTATTCTATATAAAAGTTAGACATATCATCTTAGATTTGAGATAAACAAGAAGAGATAGATGTGTATAAATCTTGTTTCACTAAATCCTATTTATTAGTTCTAAAGTTATGGATTTAATCCACTATTTTACTCTTAACTTTAAGGAAAAAAACATTCTTTGTGAATTAATTTATATTGCTAGCTAATTAAGAAAATTTTACGATAATTGATAAAAAGTTAAAATGAGATTTTGTCTTTAAGTTAAATATTAAGATAAAAGTTCATATCTAGATAGCCTTTTCTTCCTATTTCATTAATAGAAACAGTTTTATGAATAATAAGAGAATATAATTTCCCTATTAAGTTAACTTAAAATAATTAAACAATAAGCAGCTTATTTATTAAGAGCAATAAATATATTTCTTGGATGAGGTAAAAAATAAGTATAAATTTAGATTTTAATAGCTCAATAATGAAACACCAATAAATTGGGCATACATTCAATCAGATAGAAATGAAAATAGTTAATTTGAAAATTCTGAAAGAAAATATAATATATATTAAAAATTTTATTTAGGTCAATAGTCAAATAAAATAATTGAATTATATCTTGTTTTATAGTTTAAAATTATTTACTTCAAAATCAATTGATAAATTTTTGTTTGGAAAATTTTTTTAAACTATTGTCATTTTTATATAATAGATTAAAAGATTCAATAGAAAAGTCAATTTGGTTTTGAATTAAACAATTTTGAGTCACCAATAAATTATATATTTAATCAGATAAGAATTATGGGAATAAAAAATTTGAAAATTCCGAAAGGAGATGCAAATATTTAAAATAATTAATTAGGGTTATCTATCAAAGGTTTAATAAAATAATTATTCAAATTTTAAAAATATTTTTAATTGTAAATGATTATCTAGCTCTTTTTTAACTTCAAAAATATTATTTAATTTTAATTCATATCAAATAATTTAATTAAAAATCAAAAAACTTTCAAATTTTTTTTTTAGAAATTGATTTATTGGTAATTAAATAGTTAATTAAATTATATATATAGATATATTAATTATAAAGGGAGACTAATAATAGCTCTATAATACTTTTAAAACTATATTAAGCGTCTAGTAGTAAAAACTATTAAAATATAAATATGTCACTCAAAAAAACATATAATTACATTTTAAAATAAGAACTTAAAAATATTATGAGATTTTATAAGTAAAATTATAGATATTTAAACTCTTATTTATTTATACTTCATTTTATTATTATTTATTATTTTATTTTCTTAATTTTATGGTTAATCAAAACCAAGTTTATTTTTATTTATTATTCTTTTCATACATTGCTTTGTCTATAAAATTTGGTATCAAGTACTTTAACGCCACACATTTTACATAAACCTTTTTTATATGCACAGCCTTGGCAATACTAATCTGTTTTTGGAACTTTTTATTTGCATGATTTGCATTTATTACCAAAAGGATCAAATCCTACTTTAGCTTTAGAACTTAATAGCATATTTTAACCTATTTTTCTACCTCCTTATTTTCCTTCACTTTTAGCTCCATCTTTCCAAGTATCTGGAGTGGCTAATTTATCTAACTTTTTTTCACACTTATCGCAAACCATTTATTTTACTTTACTTTACTTTTCTTTTTTAATTAATTAACCTAATTATTTTTAATTTTTTCAATATAATCAAAAGTATTATTTTTCTACTAATTTAATAGAGCAAGTTGTCTGTCTATGCTTATTAATCAAAAATTATAGACAATCAGGATTCTATTACCATATACAATTTTTGATGGTAAAACATAATATTAACTAAACAGTATATATTTTTATACAGTTAATAATATGAAAATTATTATTTAGTTATTAAAAATTTTGAATTGGATTTAAAAAATGTCATCAATATGAAATATAAAGATTTTTGAAATTTTGCATACAAAATAAATATTATTTGTTTTCAATAAAATATTCTAAACTTTGTACAATAAAATAAATTTGAACAATTTAATTATACAATAAAATTATAAAAATTATAAAATAAACATATAAAAATATTTAAATAACTTAAGTAAAAAATAAATAAATAATTAAATAAATTTATTATGTTTAGTAAAAATGATAAATATCTATGTATTAAAAAAATATAGCTATCTAAATAAATTTATATTTAAGTAACTTTAATGAAAAATTATTTCAAATATGTTTAAAGTATGTTAGATTATGTGATGACTTAAAGCTAAATATAATCTTATAAGGTAAATGAAATAGTGTTTTTTATTAAAATTAAGTGAAAATTTATTTTAAAACTTTTTTTTAAATATTTCAAAAGCATTAATATTTATTTACAAAAATAGCTTTTTTACTCATAAATCAAAATTAATAAATGTTTTTTTATTTAAAATTAGATTTTAAGCTGAAAGAATTCGAAATATGCTATTCACTTTCAATCTTTTCATTAAAGCTTGTGTGAAGCTATTAATTTTAAGCCATAAATGTATCGCCAATTAGAAAGTCTTATGGATCTACTTTAGAAATTTGATCATTCTATGTTATTAACCTAGAAAAATCTGATTGTCTTTTAATAGTTTTATCAGCTTGATTTTAGGTATAACAAGATATTTTTGATAATCTATTTTGAATCTTTGAATTTTTACTTGATTAATCATCAGAAATAAAAGACTCTTCTGAAATTTAATCACTTATTTTTTGAGTTTATATTAACTTTTATTAATATAATAATTTTTGAGTAGCTAAATTATTTTAGGCTTGTCCCTTTTTATTTTAATTTTCTTATAAGTTTCCTTGGTCATTTTTTTTAAGCTATTTGAACTTATCTAATTAATCTTGTTGATGGTTGAAGTTGATTTATCCAAAGTTTGAAATTTAATTTTGGTTGCTCTAGAATTTTATTGCATTTTCGCGAAGATTTTTCTTACATTCCTTCAGATGCTTGGGAGGAAGGTTAATCTTATATACAATGAAATTTAAATTCCATTAAGGAAAGTATTTTTTAAAATTTCTCTGTTTATCAAAAATATCATTTTAGCTCTAATTTACAAAGAATATGGGCTAACGGGTTTATAAGTTACTGAGAGAGATTTCTTTAGGTTCAAAGCTTACCCTTTTTATTTCTTGCTCCTATTTATTTTTGCTAACATATTATTACATAAACCCTAATAACTTTTGTTTCTTTTCTTAATTTTTAGCAATTACTTATTTTATGTTTGCATTCAGCTTACCTTTAATACACCTAGTACTTTACTTTATTATTTCGTTTTCATTTTGGAGCTTAATATTGCTATTTAATTTTAAAAAATTATCTTCTTAACTATTGATTAAATTTTGTATTAATTCTTTCTGCTGAACATGAGATAAAATCTTAGACTTCCTCGATTCAGACATTTTATCATTGATAATTGATAAAGATTTAGGTATAGACCATCTAGCTTGATGATTCACATTTTAAGTTTAACTTAGTTGGGATTGTTAGTCTGATAGTGAAATTTAACTTGTATTATTTAATTTACTTAATACATTTTGCTTGAGTTTAATAGCATTTATATTTTTATCTTTTTATGTATCAGACTCCTCATTTTAGTCTATGCAAGTAGAGCTTATTATATGATTGTGGGTACCTTGTTATTCACTTTAATAATTTTATAACGTTGATCTCTTATTTCTTTATATCTAAGTTTCTTATTTATTCATATCGCTAGAGTTTTCAAGTTCCTCTATAAATTACACTTCTTTCATATTCTCAAATGAGGTTAATTAAAGTAGACTCAGCTTTCTTTAATTTTCTTCTTTTATTTTATCTAGATTTTAATCTGAGTTTTATCTTACAGTTTTCTTAGTTTTTTCTTTTAATAATGAAGTTTTACTTTCATTTGACTCCACTGAGTCTGTATTTGAAGAATCTGAGTGGGAACTTTATTCTGATATAGAACTTTCGCTATATAAATTACTATTTATATTTAAGAATACTTCTGTATATATCACCATTAATTCATTATTTTGTTAAAAATATTGGTATTAAGAGTTGTTGAGTATCTATAAATCAGCTAAGGAGCGAAATTTATGTTTGTAAAATCGTTCATGAGTCTATCTCTTTAGCTAAATAAAATTTTCCTATGCAATAATATATTCAATCTGTGCTTCGTGATGAACTACTCTGCATTTATTAACTAAATGATCAGCTTTCCCACATGAGTAGCAAGATAACCCTATTTTAAAAAGAAGAAAAAAATTATTAAAATCTAAATAAATTGAAGAAAGATTTATTATAATAAAAATTACCTATTTTGTGATACATAGACTAATACAGCACCTCTTCTCTAATTTCACAGAACTGTTCATAATCTTCTTAATACTCTTAAAGTAGATTGATAAAGGAATTTCTATTTATACTTAATAGAGTAACAAATCCTTAAGTCCTCACATTTACCATTCTAGGCTATCCTGTAAAGAAGCTGTAATGACCAAAAGATTACCCTGATTGAAGAGACTAAAGTATTTAGACCTTTTTTTCACCACCAGGATAGCTTGCTTCAATGTATATTTATACTTACCCTGATGCAATAAAATAAATATTAGAGTCTCCTGTGTCGTTTTAGCGAAATATTATTTCTTCAGGGTAGTAGCGCTTTTCTTTAATTATTGAAACAGTTCTTTCAAGAACAATATCGCTAAAGTTGTTTTTAAAAATAGGAGTATCAGATAAAACAAGCTTATTGGCTTCGATTTATAGGCGCTGCCTTAAGTTTGAATTGAGCATTTCAATAATATTCTCTTCTTATTCAGTATTTCTTTCATCTGTACCCTTCCATATATACTTTAAATATTGTTAAACTTCGTATTGCAAATCTCTGCTGATGTTTTTTTATTTCATATAATTGAAGATTATATTACTTTTTTGCTTATTCAAAGTATTTTTTTATTGAATTTCATTAATGATATATCCTATTGAATTTACTGTATAGGCAAAAACACAGCAAGCAATAAAAAGAGTGAAAAGGCACAATAAAACTTCATAACTATTTTGAGGGGTTATATCACCGTAACCAACAGTTATCATAGTAACAGATGAGTAATAAAATGCATAGAGATACTCTATTTTCCAAGAAGATTCCACCCCTTACTTAATAGTAAGCCAAGTTGGCAATTAATTGTCTACATAGATGGGAACTATTTTGGCTATACTAATCCACACACAAGAAAACAAGTGCCCAACTAAAAGCATATTAAATAGTAATTTAAAAAGGTTAGTGAAGTGAGTAGTTTTAAGTTTATTGTTAATGTATTCTTCGATTTTATTAAATATCTTTACAATTTGACTTAATTTGAAAATAAAACCTATTACTGGGATAAAGTTATATGGTGATGTATATTCATTACTGACTTTGTCTGAAATGAAATAATAGACTCCTAGACTAAATATTGTTAAAAAGTCTTTTATCATATATTTTTTTACATAATTTTTAAATATTAGTGATTTTTCAAACTTGTAATTTCCTTAACTGTAAAATCCTGTATTTAACTTAACAAAAATATCCAGTGTAAAAGATATGATGATTGATTGAAATATGTAGTCAGGAATGATTTATTGCATAGTTGATGCGAAGGATAATTTTAAGGAAATAGAAATTCCTAAAGTGAAATACTGAATAAATTAGAATAAGTCCCAAAGTAACAAAACATGACTCGCTGGGTTAAAAGTAGGAGTTTTAAAAATTTTATTTATTATTTTTTTTTATTTAGCTTTCATCCTTTGAGTGTAAGATCGATTATAGGTTTGAATATTTTTGTCATATATTTTACATTATGAAGCTTTATCTTATATTAACGAAAAATGAGTTTCATTTAATTCCTTTTATCTTCTAGATTCTGTTTTAGATATGATTTATCTTAATCTCAGTTTTATCCTCATCATATGAAAAAAATCTGTAAAATATTTCTCTTATTAATCTGAAGCATCTAAATTCTTTAATTATTCTGAATTTTAGCATGTAATTATTTGAGAAGCTCTATTCTTTATCATAAAGTTTGCTAGTACAGATTATTTTTAAGGAGGATTCTGCTTGTTATTTGCCTAATTGTTAGATAATTCATTGATAACATTTTCCTACGGCTTTAGCTTTCTCACCTATATGAGAGGTTAATTCTTGATATTCTAAAACACCTATGGTAAAACACTTTTTAATTCTTCGCTTTACTATGTTTTAATTTTTTTATTTTCAGGTTACTTCACTTTATCCACCCCTTCTTTGCTTATCATTTTGTTAAATCACTCTAAGTAGTATGTGCGTATTTCTGAATTTAATTAGTAGAATTTGTAAAAAATAAATTAACTTCTTTTAATATAATAAATAATTAGGCTTTCTATATGAAATTTACATAAAGAAAAACTTGTAATTTTTATCTACATTTGAAATATTTTTTAAATCATTTTCATTACTTAATTGTCTCTATAACTCAGCCTACTTTTTTTAATTATTTATCGAAAAATAACACTAAACAAAAGAAGCATAAATATAGTTTTATATTTTTATTCAATCGTTAATTTTTCTTATTATTTTCAGCAAATTTATATTAAAATAATTCTAAAATTAAAGATCTTAAAATATTTTCGAAATCAAAATTAAAAAAAAGAGTAAGTAAGTTCGTGAGTAAATAAGTAAGTAAGTAAGCAATCAGTCACATTTGAAACGTAAAAAAAGATGAAAAATTATTTTTTGTTGTTGTTGTTATATTGAATCAGATTAAATGTTTTAGAAATTATATATAACATATAAATGGTACGTACATATTTCTTGAGAAGAATATTTTTTTTTAGTTGCTTAGAAATTAGAAGTAAGAATATTATTCTAATCACTAGCAAAAATTATGTTATATTAGTGATATACTTTTTGATTTTTATTTTAAATCAAAGTATAAATTCTAGTACTTTTTGTTTTCAAGCAGCTTGGCAACCAGTAGATCTAGGAGAGAAAGTGCATTATAATAAAGCAGTACTGTCGAAGAAGTTAGCGAAAACCAAAGAGAAAATGGCAGAAAGCTTGATAAGAATGTTAAGGGCGGGACCAGAGGTATCCTTGAGGGGATCACCGACGGTATCACCAATAACGGCAGCCTTGTGTTCATCAGAACCCTTACCAACAGTTTAACCATCTTCATTTTTGTATTTACCACTTTCAATGAACTTCTTGGCATTATCCCAAGCACCACCAGCATTAGCACTGGAAATAGCCATAGAAACACCAGAAACCAAAATACCGGGTAAAACACCAGCAACAGCGGTAGGACCGAAGAAGAGACCAACAACGAAGGGAGTACCTTTTTATTTTAAATTAATAAATTTTATTTTTGCTTGATTAAAATACCAAAAAATATTTACCGATAACGATGGTAGCGGGAAGGAACATTTCAGAAATAGAAGAGGCAGTAGCAATCTTGATACAGTTTTCATAGTTAGGAGGAGTAGCACCAGTGAGGATACCAGGATTGTCACTAATTTACTTTCTGACTTCAGTGACCATTTCTTAGGCAGCCTTAGCGACAGACTTCATAGTAAGGGCAGAGAAAGCGTAGGGTAACATAGCACCAATCAAGAGACCAGAGAAAATGAGGGGATTGTTAACATTGACACCAGTTTCGGGGTTAATACCGTGCTTGTTGTTAGGATCAGAAGATCTAGTGATGAAGGCACCATATAAAGAGAGGGAGACCAAGGCAGCAGATCCGATAGCGAAACCCTTACCAATGGCAGCAGTGGTGTTACCAGCAGCATCGAGTTAGTCAGTTCTTTGTCTGATATCATGACCCATTTCGCACATTTCGACGATACCACCAGCATTGTCGGAAACAGGACCGTAAGCATCGATAGCAAGACCAACGGCCATGGTGGAAAGCATACCGAGAGCACCAAGAGCAATACCAAACATACCAAGAAGAGTGTGGCAAATGAAGGCGGTGATAGCAAGGAAAATAATGGGGATAATGGTAGAGAGGTGACCGAGAGCCAAACCTTAGATGATATTGGTGGCAGCACCAGTAGAGCAAGATCTAGCAACTTACTTAACAGGGGAGTATTCGTAAGAAGTGTAGTATTCGGTGATGTAACCAATGATCATACCAGACCAGAGACCAGCCAAACTGCAGTAGAAAGCGTGGATGGGAGCTCTTTCTTCAATACCGAAGAAGTAGATTCTGTCGGGAAGAGAAATGTAACCAGCGAACCAGAGAGCAGGAGTGGCAAGGAGGGTGGAAACGAGTAATTGGATGGAAAGAGTCTTTTGGACAGCAGCGAGGTCGTTGTTACCCTTGTGGTGAGCGAATAAGGTAGTAATGATAGAAACAATAATACCGAAGGCAGTGATGAGCAAGGGATAGTATAAAGCTTAAGGTTGGTAGTAGAAAGTAGGAGAGCTAGATCCAACAACCAAAGCAGCACAAGTAGCTTCAGCGAAAGAACCGAACAAGTCAGAACCCATACCAGCAATATCACCAACGTTGTCACCGACATTATCAGCAATAGTAGCGGGGTTATTGGGAGAGTCTTCAGGTAAGTTCTTTTCAACCTTACCGACCAAATCAGCACCGACATCAGCAGCCTTAGTGAAAATACCACCACCGACTCTACCGAAGAGAGCGATAGTTGAACCACCCAAACCATAACCAGCAATGCATTCATACATCTTGGTGTAGTCAGAGTAATCGCTGCCAACGTACATGTTGGTGTAGAGAGCGATTAAGACGGTAATGGTCAATAAACCCAAAGAGGTCAAGGAGAAACCCATAACTGAACCAGCTCTGTAAGCAACGGAGAAACCCTTGTACATTTGCTTGGCAGCTTCAAAAGCGGTTCTGTAGTTAGAGAAGACAGCAACTCTCATACCAATGAAACCAGCTAACATGGAGGTGAAACAACCCAACAAGAAGGCACCAGTGGTCCAGAAGTTTCCAATCTTTTCTTCAACGGCCAAGAAAATAACGATAGCCATCAAGAATGAGAAAACGAAGATATACTTGTATTCTTAGAAGAGGAAAGTGTTAGCACCATCTTCAATATGCTTGGCAACCTTCTTCAATAAGTAAATGTTGTGGGGTTAGATGTTATCTTCGAATTGGTTATTAATGTCGGAAGAAGTGAACTTCTTTTCAACCTTAATAGAGGCAACTGCGATAGCGTTGTAGATGGCGTAGAGGAGACCAACTAAACAGCAGTTACCAATGATTATGAGTGATATTTCAGCAGAAATCATTGATTTGAGCTCAACCTATTTCTTTTAATATTTCTTATTTAATTTAAAATTTATTGATTATGACCTTTATTCAGATATTTTTTCTTTCTAAATCCTCTATCTTCAATCAGCTGCTGAAGAAAATTAATAAAAATAAATTAACATTGAAAATTTTATAGATAAATAGATATTAATTATGCATATGTAATACTATAAAAATTCAATCAATAAATAAAAAACAAATTAATTAGTTTTCAATCCATTTCTTTCTTTCTATCATTCAATTAATCTATTTATCAGTCAAACTTATTTTTTAAGTTCTTTTATTTGATATATGCTTTTCATGAGTATGTTTATATGCTGACCCTTATTTTGCTAATTAAATTGAAATATCTAACTAACTAACTAACAAACAAATAAATAAATAAATCACTTTAGAGATTTCCCCACTATATTTTTATTCAAAAATACAAACAAACATTTTCTAAATTTTCCCTCGTTGTATTTTCTTCAAAAATCTTTTAATCAAAAACATAATTTAATCATTTTCAGACTTTTAGGCATTAAGATATTTCTTTGTCCGCTTTTAACTTTCAACTTGTTTCCAAGCCACATTTTTTCAAAAATTAAATTTATTTATTTAATAAGCTTCATAATATCTTTGAGAAATATAAATCTAACTATTTATTTATTCTTCAGATATTTTTATTTACAAAATAAAAATAATTCTATTTGTTTAATGGAGACTCAAACCTATTAGAATTGATGTATTTTTTTTTAAGTAAACTGCTTTCAGTCTTAGAGCCACTTATTTATTTTTTTATTTTTTATAGTTTTGCTATTTAAATTCGAAAAATTAAAACTCCTTTCGCATCTACTTGTAAAATTTTATTAGTACCTCAAAAATTAATAGAAAGATAGATATCTTTTAAAATATTTATTGTATAGATGAGGAAAAATATAATACATTTTATTATTTGAGTTTGTTAATTTATATTAATTCTTTTCAAAGAAACAAATTTAAACAAAGTTAAAAGAGAAATATCTTTGCATCTTCTTTTTTTCAAAAATATCTCTTGCTAGAATAAAAAAATGATCTAAAAATTAAATGAATTTTTATTAAAATATTCAAGTTCTAAATTTTCTAGAAATATTGTAAATAAAATGATATTTTGAACATGCAAAATATTATAAAATGTATATTTAAGTATTTTAAAATTAAATTTTAGATGTAGCATTCTTAAATTTTTACTTTAGTTTAGTTTTGTTTTTTAAAATAGAAAATAAATTTTGCTAAGCTAAAAAATTTATTTGTTTTATTAAAAATGTGGTCTAAACAAGCAAAAACAATTAAGATAAAGTTTAAATATTGATAAATTAAATGCAAAATCTTTAAAATATTTTAAAATTTGTAATATCTTCTACTCATCTCTTTTAGATCTTTTAGATATTTTGTATAATATATTTATTTATTCTGTATCTTAATAAAAATTTATTTCTGATGGTTTTCTAAAATTTCTAAGATCCTTAAATATCTTTAAATTTATTTATTTATTAATCAATAGATGTTATTTGTTCATTATAAATATTTTTTATTTTAAAAAGATTTGATTTTCATAATTAGTTGAATGAATAATAAATGAATTCTTCATTATTATTATTCTATTATAAAATATTATATACCTTAATTCTTATTTATTACTTTTTTTGGTGATATCAAAGTTTAATAAGTATATTCTTATTTAATTCTTTTATTCAGTTTTTTTTGGTTGTATTTCCTTATAAAATTTAAATGAGGAAAGAAGGTAGATAGCCAAAAAATTCTTATTAAAATAAGAATTATATTTATTTGAATAAAGAATATTTAATTTTTTATATTCTGCAATATAAATGCATTATTAACTCAAATTTATTAAAAAACAAAAATTAATAATTAAAATTTAAATTAATTTTTAAAAAATTAATTTATAAAATGTTTAATTAAAAAATATTGAAATATTAAATTTTTTTCTAAAATAAGTTTTGTTTAAATTTATCATAATATAATTAATTTAAATGAAGGGTTATTGTAAATTAAAATTGTCTAATATTTGTAGTTCAATTTATTTTAAGCAAATTTGCTTAATTTTAAGTAAATTTCAAAATTAAATAAAGATTTAACTGAAAATTAAAAAGTACCTTTTTTTTATCATAAACTATAATTTTTGAAATAGTATTTTTTATTTACTATTTTAACCAGAAATTCTGTGCCTTCTTTAAAACTATCAATTTTATAATTTAATAGCTACATTTACTTCAAGTGCTAGTTTTTGAAATAGTTTTTTACCAAAAATTTCAAATCTATTGATTTTTTTCATATAATTAATTTTTTTTAAATTTCATTTGGTTTGAGTTAGATAATAGTTAATAGAACTAGTTCATAAGATTATTAAAAAGATTGGTTTAAACATTCATAGTAAATTAGAACTGGATATATTTTTTTGAATAGTTTTTCAGTCTATTGATAAGAATCCTATATATTAGTATTATAATTAAAGAGTATCTAGAATGAAAAATAGTCAAGAAGTTAAAAAACCTGAGCATTCTTAATTATAGTAAACCTCTTATCAAGCTTCATCATAATCTTAGGTTTCATAAATAGGAAGTTTTGGAGTTAATGGAAATTTTAACAGTATTAATATAAAAAAATTGGTTTAGTAGAGTAATAATTATTGGCATGCAGAGAGAAATTTTTTTAATTCTGATAAAAACAGGAATGGAATTGATGAATTAGAGAGAATGGCTAATTCTATAGAGAATATTCTCACTCCAAAAGGAAACTTTAAATAATAAGAATTGAATAAATATGCATATGAAAGTGATTAAAATATATTAAACACTTCAAATTTTTTGCATAGAGATTCATTTTGTGCTGATATGCATGAATGGCCTGACTAGTCGATTGATGAAAGAGAAAATGTAATGTAAAATTATGAAAAAAGGAATATCTATACTCATAATATTGGAGTTGGTTAAAAGAAGAAATCAGAAGAAAACTTTGATAACATCACTGGAATAATTTCAAATACTGCTTAAAGAAGTTTAACAAATTAGGCTAATAAAACTAATGAAGGAAATCATAGAAGAATATAAAGTGTATAAAGTGATATAAAGACAACGCAAATATAGAATAACTTAGGTACTAAACATAATTTACCTCATGGATAACATTTAGGATAGGGATAAAATAGTTTAAGTAATATCAGTTTAAATGGTACAACTAATTTAAACAGTTAAAGCTCAGGAAATATAAATGCAATTATGTCTAATCATAAAAATAATCAAATGAAAAACACAATGATGGTGAATATGAATGTTAATCGAAATTATATAAATAATGCGAATAATAATCAAAATAATATGAATTCAAATAATATTCCTAATTAGGCAAGCAATCAAAATTATTGTTCCAATCAGACAGGTTTTTCATAAAAAAAGCTGCAAGATATCACGTTTTCTTTTAATTATGTAAAAAAAGGTGCATCATCGATTTCTAAAAATATATTTTCTTTTAATACATCCACTCTTCAAATAGTTGATCTATCTTTCAACAAATTTAGAGATATTCCTGCAGAAATATTAGATTTCCCTAATCTAAGAGTACTAAAATTAGATACTAACTTAATTAAAGTTCTAAATCCTGACTTATTTCTCAAAGTAAAATTAGAATATTTCTCTATAAGCAATAATTTGTTATTTGAAATACCACAATTAATTACTCAATGGAGTGAAACCTTAAAATATTTAGATGTCTCTTTAAATAGAATAGAAGAATTATCTGTTTTACCCTCCTTAAAAAGATTATAATCACTTCACATTCACAACAATGACTTTAGGTTTATTCCTTGCATGATTTCTAATTTTGAAAATTCGCTTTTAGAGCTTAGCCTTGACTGGTTTCAATATACAAACCCTCCTCTTTAGTTGAGATAGAGTGGATTACATGGTGCAAAAATTATCTAAAAGCTAATGCATTTTTTGAAAATGTATTCTAAATAAGATAATTCCATTTAGTATATAATTTAAAAGTATAGATATTCATCTTAAAAACAAGACTGTGCAGATGTTAACTTTATAGAGGTTGTTGCTTATCTCAGTAATTAAAATATCCCTTTTGACATAAATTTTAGAGATCCAAAAGACAGCAATAAGTGCCTATCTCATAAGGCAGCTGAAAGAGAAGAAATTGGATGTTTAATTTCCATTTTGGAAAAAGAGTACAACTTAATTAATGCTATTGATAATGACAACCACACTCCTCTTTCTCTAAGTATCCTCCATGAAAAATTCTTTAGCGCAAAAACACTTATTTCAAATGGAGCCAACGTAAACTTAGGAGGTTCTTAATATGGAACTTGTTTGAATTTAGCAACTATAAAATATTAATATTACTTAGTTTAAGATTTACTGAAGAGAGGAGCAAATCCGAATGGAGCAGACAATGAAGGAAACACTCCTCTTCATTACATAATGACTATTTTTCATAGAGATAAATCTTACTCTTCAAAGATATGTGACCTCTTACTTTAATTTAGAGCTGACCCAAACATTAAAAACAAAGATGGTTGGGCTCCTATTCATTTAGTTGCACGAAGAGGGTAATCAGATGCCTTCGAATATATTTAAACTTACAACAAGTATTTGACAGAAAATAATTACTAAAATAAAAGACTTCCAGAATTTGCAAATCTTCCTGGCGTCAAAGACGGAAGTCTAATGAACTAATAAAAGACATTAAATACAATAATTTAACTGAAAGATTCATAAAATGTTTCAGGTTGTTTATAATATATGCCTTTTCACATAAATTTGAAAGGAGGAAAGGATAAGTAATCACCTTTGCATATCGCTTGCATGCACAGCTGCTATGACATAGTTAAAGAACTCCTCGAGAGCGGAGCAGATATCTTTTCAAGGAATTTAAACAATAAAACTCCTCTCCATTTGTGCATGAAGGATAATTATCTTTATAAACTGTTGAAAATGAAAGAAAGCGAAATTTTTTACTAATTTTATTCTTTACACAGACAAATATAAATTACCTCACCTACACTTTACACTTAAGAAACTCCTATCAAAAATAATATATTAAATAGAACTAACACTTAGTAATCTTACAATTTACAGTCTTCTAAAAGATAATTGTTTTAAGAAAATCAGCCAATTTAATCAAATAACAATACTAACTAGCCTATTTTAAATTCGTAGTAAAAAGCTGGAACTAATCATTCTAATATGAGTTTGAGTAGCTTTAACGCTTAGTAATAGGGCCAATAGCAAAATATAAATAAAAATAACTTTTCTAATTAAGCTTTATAAGTGGCTAATATAATTTAAAATAATTTAGGCTAACTTGTTAATTAAAATAATCAAGTTATGCCAGGTAACGACCAAAAAAATTCACAATCTAATAGTGATTTTATCAGACCTAATTCTTTATCATAAAATTCAAAATAATAATCAAAAAATTAATTGTCTAATAATATTAATTTTGATGATTGTGATGTAGAGATTTCAGATAGAGATGACGATGAAAAAAGGGACCCAAGGACTGATTAATTGAGCATAAAAAAGAACAAAAAAATGGAAGATAATGAAGAAAACGAATATGATGTTAGCGAAAGCTAACTCACAAATAGAGCAGCTAATTTTTAAAATTTGTAAGGACTCAACGTAAAAGAAAATAGTAAAAATTATAACTACATATAAAACTTCGAATAGAAATTTAAGGATAGCTAGTAGAGTGATTTGAACAGAATTTAGAAAGGTTAATTAATAAGAAATTCTCCACTTTTAAGTAAGTAGAAGTTTAAAAGCGGAGAAGAGCAAAACGAATGCTTAAGAGCTGATGAGTTTGAAGGTGAATATGATGATGCTTGTGTTGATCATGAAGATGACTCCATTAATAAATAACTAAACGATCATCTCCCAAGTAATCCTAACTATTTCTAACAAAACTAAATACAGTAAAGCTCTCTCTCTTATGCTACTAATTAAAAATAATTGAACTAGAATTATTAAATAGATTTCCATCAATAAGAAATAAATTCTTTATTCAATCAAAAATTAAATTATTTAAATGAAGAATGTGATGAAGAACTAAACAAGGAAGAGGAATTTTTTAATGCTGATATAGATGAGTCTAAAAGTATGCTAGAATTAATAAGTACGAAAAAGAAAATAATGAACTAATCTCTGCCTTATGCTCCAAACAATATTTAGCAATTAAATTATATTTAGACAGTTAACAGAACCAATATTTAAAAAATCTAAGCATCAAAAGGTTTTTTATTTTTATTCAAGAAAATTTATTTTAAAATATTTATCTATTTTTCATAAATTATTAATAAATATAGCTAACCATTCAAGAAGCAAAAGCAACATTGAAGGAAACTTTTTATCAAAAATATCTGAAAATTAATAGAAAGCTGCATACTCAAACAGCCAAGTTTAGAAACAGCATTTCAAAAACTAAACAAAAGATGATCTTGTATTTTAAAAATAAAATCCTCAAAAAGGACTAATAAAGGAAGATGGATTAGATGCTCCCCCTTAAATTATAACACCCTAGCATATAAGTTTTTTTAACTATTTGCTTGAAAAAACAAAAAATATGCATGAGTATTATAGTGTTTCTCTGTAAAACTATAAAAAAGGTATCTTGAGCGAGTTTAATACACTTTATGAGAAATTTAGATACTTTGTCATAATGATGAAGTTGTAAGTTGAGTATCAGAATATGATCCTACACTTAAATAATGAAAAAGAAATGCTTTAGTCTATCTTAGGAGAAAATTCTATTTTAAGTCTGGGTGCTATTGATAGGAGTAATAGCAACTTGATGATTATGAAAATGCTTCTGGAAATAGCTGAGAATCTCAAATGTGAAAGCCATTCCCTTTTGCTAGTGTAAAAAGATTATCCAACTCCAACTGAGTAAAATTTCTTTGGCTCAGTAATTAATATAAACAATAATATCACATACTGGATGCGCCAATATGAAGAAACGATTCATGATACTATCACTTAGACTCAGAGCAATTTCTGTACTAAAACTTTTAATATTTAATTTCTTTAACCATAATTTCTTGCTCTTGCCAAAATAATTTTAAAGTTTTCATTCATTAAATTTGATTTTTATAAACAGAAGAGGATTAAAATGACGTAATAGAATTAGTTCAAAACAAAAAAAGAGAAGAAAAATAGAATGATAATGGCTAAAATCAAAAAGATCTTTAAGAAGATATTAAACTGTATGAAAGAGAAAATAGTATCTTAAAAGAAAATATTATTTATTAGCTAGGAAACTATGATTTCAATGAAGCAATTAATTATCTTGAAAAGGAAATCAAATCAGAAGATACAAGCATAATAAATGCATTTGAAGCATGCCAATCATTTTTTTAAATAAGAGAGAGTCTTTACTAGAAATAATCAGATTTAAACAATAACAAACAAAGAAAAAATTAGATCAGCAACATTTAACCATAGCCAAAGACTTATCAAGATGATTCTAAAGCTCTTTTCACATTTCCTTCTAATCTAATAAGTAGTAAATAATATAAAGTTAGTAAGTAATTAAATTCTAACTCAGTATCTTAATTATCTTCTTTATAAGAACTTAATGGCAGTAAAAACCAAATTAAATAACAAAACACCGAAGCAAGTGGTAAGAATTAATTAATCAATATAATATCTGGTAAAAATTCTTAGAATACTTCAATAATATTTGGCAGTGATTAATAAGATACATTAAATAGTTAAAAGTCAAATATTTCTCAACAGCATGAAAAGTCTGGTTTGAATTAAGGATTTTAATATTAGACTTAATTTAATAACAACTTCCTTAATAAGTACTAAACTAATTTATAGTAAATTAATAACAATTCTAATCTTCAAAAATAGTAACAACTAGAACACGCTTAAAATAAAAAAAACGATAGTTCCTAAACTAATTTAAACGGTGTGACAGATATCATTTTATCTAATCCTGATATCCACGCGACTAAACCTTTAGTTTCCTAATAAAACTAAAAATTCATGAAGCATAATGAAAATCATTAATTTTATAGTCTAGCTTAAAAGCAGTAAGTTTTAGCAGAAAAAGCTCTAAATAAGTAGTTGAGTACACATTCAACTGGATAATCGTAAATAAGAGATAAAATTTTCTCAAACGATCATTTTAGTATCTTTGAAAAAAAGCAGAGTTTAAATACAAATAATAATTAACTAAAAAAAGATAATCCTAAAACTAATACAATCAACAATACCTAAGCTTCTGAAGATGATTCAAACAATAATAGCTTTAACTTGATAGCTCCAATAGGAGCAAAGTTAGATTCCATTAATAACCTCTACATAGAGCCTTAATAATAAGAAGTTAAATAATAGAACAAAATATTTTAATTCTAACAAATTAAATAGTAGTAGCAGCAACAACAATACACCTTAATCCCAATATCATAATTAAAAACTGCTCAAAATAAAAAATGAATATAACATAAGTAAATTTAATTTTGATTATACTTTTATGAATGAATAAATAAGTAAATAAATAAATAATTAATTAATTAAATTTAAGATATACTACTTTATAAATTTATAACTCCTAAAATAATTAATGTAAATAGATTCAATTAAAATTAGTATTAAAACTTTTCATTAAATTGATTAAATAAATAAATTATTTATTCAAAATTACAAACTATTATTATCAAAATATTATTTTATTTTTATTATATTTAAACTCTTAAACAAAATTAAATATTGTTAAGGTAATTGTAAGTACAAATTTTTTGTAACAGTAAATATTATTTTTACTAAATTTAAACTCTAAATCAATATTAAACCTGATTAAGACAACTAAAATTAAAAATTTTTAGTTTGCTACATTTTTATTTCTATTAATTTTACAAAGTTGTAATTTAAAAATAATTTTTATGTGTATAAAATTTAGTTTTAAAATAAAACAATGTAAAATTTACATTAAAATATTATAAAATATATTTCAAAAAACTTTAATTTGTCAGAAATTTTTTTAATCAATCTTTTTAAGATTTATAATGATTTTAAATTTATTTGATTTAATGAAATATTTTTTTATATGTAAGTTAGCTTTGAATTAAATTATATTGAATTTTGTATTTTCTTTTTTCACTTTCAATTAATTTTTGATAACAAACAAATATAATATATAAATGGTTCAAACATAGCTACTACACAAAGGATTTTAGCGATTTTTGAATATGCGTGAAACTCTTGCCCTTATTGCAGCATCATTCAGATCACCAAAAAGCGAAAATTTATGAATTTCTGAGTTCTTAGATGTCTTTTTAGTGTTGTTCTTATTTTCTTTTTCCTCTATTCTTTTTTTGATGATTTATTTATTTGCCTAATCTAAAATTTGTTTTTTTTTAAGACTTAAATATTCAATGTCAGTACTTTCATAAGTTTTCAAAATTTATTTAGAGCTACGATCAAATTCTTTTTAGTCCTTTTTACATTTCTTTAAAATCTAATTTTTACATTTGAGTAAATTTTCTAATTCATCATCAAATTACTCATATAAATTATAACATTTTTTCTTGTTGGAATTTTCAGTTAGCAATTCTAAAGTTTAATTCTTAGCTTTCTTCTATGAGGATATTGAGTTATTTGTGTTTCTCCTTTTTATTATTTAATTGTTTACTTAAATTTCCTCATGTTAATCTTTTATTTATGGGCAAAAATATCCATATTCATTAGAAACGTTTTATATAAATTATGAAACAGCTCTGTTTCTTTTTGAGGACATTTATTACTATACTTAAAAGGGGCTTTAAACTTGTTTTCCTGGCTACAATAACTGATTCAATATTAACTAGTTAAATCCCTACTATTATTAAATATTTGAATTTTTACAGCTTAAAGGAAAAGATTGCCTTTTAAAACAAAATATTTCATTAGGCTCGGATTGAATGTATTCACATCTACTTGGATTCTTAGAACCTTAATTTTCTTTAACATTATAATTCTACTCACACTACTAGTTTACTGCATTTGGAGTTTTAATGACTCTCTTTCTAGCTGATTAAGAATATTAAGTTTAGAGAAAAGAATCAATAAAAGAATTATTTAAATTAGGATGAGTATTAATAGTATTTTCAGTGATTGCACTGTAGTTTAAACTAAAGTTATTAGTTGAAACTTTTCTATTTCTTTTATGCTAGCTTAAATCTTACTTTTCAAAATAAAATTATATAGCTGATTTTCCCAAATCGTCTTTGTGGTAAACATCATAGGTGATATCGTTACTCTCTCTTTTTACATTTTCAGATGGTACATTAATTGTATTTCTCCTGTACCTAGAAAGTTAATAGGACGTATTGAGATTATTTCTTTTATTATTTGGATTCTTAAGTAAGTTTTCTTTAAATTCATTTTAATCATCAAATTAATTTTATATGTCCGTATTTTAGTTTATTACTTAACTAGTTTCATTTGTATTTTGTGTATGATGTTCCTCATTAGAAAAGCTATTATAAATTTATGTCCTGAGGTCTTTTTGCTTTTAGAGAAACCTTTCATGCATAGTTATAAAATCGTTGAGAATTTTTTAAGAAAGCTTCAAATTATCATCTTCAACTAAAATCTCGAATCTCATATCGTTTCTTAGTTTTTTTAATATAGCTTCATATTCAGAATCGTCTAGATAGTATATTTAAGTGATAAAAGAAGTAGAAACAAGCTTTTCCTTTACCTTTAAATGAGTTCCTTATATATTTTTCTCTTTTTCTCCATTTCCATTTACAATAAATACATCACCCCTCACAAGAATATTAGTACAGTAGTGTCTTTTTTTGATTTCTCTCTTATTGCTTATATCTATTCCATCATCTCTAACTCTCTCATGCTATATTTCTACAGTATAATCACTCTATAATATATTTATTTAATTTAAAGATAAATTTCAGTATTTAAAATAAAATCTTTCTTAAAATTAAGAAATTTATTTTAAAAATTAAAATAGTTTTTTTCATATTTTTAAAAAACTCAAGCTAAAAATAATTTTAATTCAAATATTTTTAAATTTATTTACTTACTTATTATTTAATATAGGATCATAAAATAAAATAATATTTAAAAAGAGCTTTAATGAAATACCATGATTTATCCTTTTGAGATAACACATAACTAGTTTAGTTAAGTTATTTTTTTACTTATCAATTCTCCTCGATTTACTTGTATCTCTTTTATAAGTTGCATAAAGAGCTATATTGTTTTTTTGTCAATTCCCTCAAATAAGTCTTTCATTTATTCTGAAAAGAATTTTATCTTCTCTGTATTGCTTTAGCTTTCAGCTTCTGTTCTAATATCTCTAAGAGAATTAATATCTATAACAGCTAATTCAACACTTTAAGAGAATACTTCATATGTACTTTAGGATATTGACTCTTCTCTTGGAAGAAAGCCGAAACTTGATCCTATTGAAAGCATATCCTAGAATCTAGTTTGCTAAGTTTAATTACTTGTAATTTAATAGCCTAAACTACACTCCTACTATTTGATTTTGGAAAGTCTAATTACACCATTTAATACAAAATAAGTATTTAAACAGTTAACGCCTTTATATAAAATAAGTTAATTTTATAAACTTAGAATACTAAAAATAAAAAAGAATAAATTTGTGAGTCAAAAAGTTTTTTACCTTATTTAACTATGACTTCTCCTTTTTAATATGTTTCAAATTTTAGGTATTTAAGACTTGCTTTAGAAAAAGAATCCCCATATTTTTGTGAAAGTTAGTGATAAAAATGTGTATTAGCTATGGTTTTAAATAAGATTATATAATCCTCCTTAGCTAATTCATTTTTTATTTCTTTTTTATTGTTTTGCATTTTTTAAATTATAAGTGAACATTCCTTTTGTTTTATTTAATTATTAATAAGTTAGATAAATTGACATGTAGAAATATAGTTAAAAAAGGCTTTTTACCTTGAAATGGTCTGCTAGAGGTTCTTTTTGATGTTTTGTGAGGTCAGAGTGCCTTCTAGCTTATTTCATAGGTACGCTTATCATGTATTATAAAATAAGAATAACTTAAAAGGTGTCTCTTATAGCTTTTATTATTCAATTTGAGTTGTTGCTATAAATATAAATACTTTGATGATCGTTTGTTTATAAATTAATTAATTAAGGATTTATAAAAATAATAGCAAGTTTCTACTTTGGATTTCTTAATAACTATAAGTTACTATCCAACCAAAATAAATTTTTATTACTAATTATTATCACCTGAGACGAAATAAAATTTACATTTATCATCAAAATACCCAATCAAGAGTAAATCTCCAAAATAAATAAATAAAATACCTCTTTTTTCAATTATTATTATTTTCATAATTAAAATGTATGTACACCATTTGTAAAAATTATTAAGCTAAAAAAAAAGGTCATCAGAGCAAATATGCTACTATAAAAAATAATATTTTAAAAAATTAATTTATTCTAATTAAATGCATTTTTAAAAATTATTTTTTTATGAATAAATTTAAAAATTAAATAAAATTTATTTTTATTATTTAAAAATATCTAGCTTCAGTAAAAAATTTTTATTTTTTTTAAGTAGAATATTTCTAAATTTTTAATTAAAATCAATCAACCTTGCATACTTGAAATTAAATATAATTTTTAATAAAAATTATTAATAATTTTTTTATTTTATCAAATTTTATATTTTTTTTACCTTACACCTTTCTATTTTCTTTTTTACACTTCTTTACTGAAGCCAAAGATTCTTTATATGTTTATCTATTCATAAATAAAATATATATATAAAGCTTTTAATATTTATCATTTAATAAAACATTTTTACACTAACTTAAAAAATTAATTTATATTTAAAATTTTTTTTTTCCTTTGTTTTCTAAACATATTATCTTACAAAAACATCATTTTTATGATCTAATTATTTTAATTTAATATTTAGATTTATTTTAAATTTATTTTAGCTTGATTAAAAGCAAAATAGATTTTAAAAATAGTAAAATTAAATTAAGTAATAACTTTTTAAAATTGAATTTTTATTTTTCTCTTATAATAATTATGATAAACTAATACAAAATTTAAAATTATTAATTATTTCAAATAATAATTTTCCATATGAAGATTTTTAGTTTACATTTTTACTTTAATTTTTTATAAAATTTGATGGGTATTAATAAAAAAATAACAAAATGACTTTTTAAAATAAAGATGTTCTTTTTATCTTTTATCAAATGACAGTAATAAAATTAATAAAAAAATAAACAACATTATTAATTATTAATGAATTAAATCATTTTAAATACTAAAAATAATTTTATTTTTTTTCTATTATCTATGGCTTCTATTTTTATTTGCATCACTCTTCAGTTTCAACACACCTAATATTTATCTCTTCAAGTGCATGTAAAATGGGTTCATATATTGATTTCTTATTTGGCATTAGAACTCCGACGTCGGTTATTACCTTATCAAGGATCAACTATTTTATAATTTAATTTTATCATTTATTTTTCAATTAATTTAAAGCAAAATATGTATATTTAATTAAAAGAAAGTGAAATAATTTTATTTTTACTTATGCTGCAATAGCACTTGGAGTACCTACAGTTACTGACATAGCAGACTTTCCATTCTTTTCACCTATCATTATTAGTGTGCTCTTTCTTGTTACAATTTTAGGAGAATCCTTGTATTAAATTTTAAAAGAGTGCTACATGACAACGAGATCTGTCTCACCGGGAGCAAGAGTGAGTTTTTTTTCAAGTAAAGCTACAAAATTCTCAATTCTACTTTTCTCATGGCTAGTTTTCATGGTGTTACAGAAGAAGTTAAAATGCTTTAAAGATTTTATCATGAGTTTGGCAATTTTTGTTTTTTTTTCTTCACTAAGAGCTGTATAATTCTTATTGGCTAAAGCCTTGTTAATAATTTGGGTGGTTAATTACTTTTCTATTCCATCGAAACCACTTTCATCTATAATTTGTTTTATTAAATTGCAAGCTTCCTTATGACTATCTCCTAAAAGTCTAGTAAGGAATTCAACCCAAGTTTCATCTTTGCAGTCTTTATCGTTTTCAAAGAGACCAATTTCTTTGAATCCATTCATAATAGTAGAGAAACCTGAGTATCTTAATGTACCTCTTAAAACCTTATGACAATCAACTAAGTTATAAAGAGATTTGTACCTAATTTTTTATATCATTAATATTTTTTATATTCATTAAAAAAGTTAATACTATAAGCTATCTCTGTTAGGATATCCTTCTAATCTAAGTGCTACATTAATATCCTTTTCTTCAGCGACGTATAATAAATCTTTACCAGAAACAGTCTTTACCTATTATAATACAATAATTTTTAAGTAAATGAAATATTCTTTTATATATTAGTACTTCGTTGTTTTCAAGGAACTTTGCATCATTTCTTAATGCACCTATAGCTCCAATAGGAGACCAACTAAACTTATACCTACAATTTAATAACAATTAAATGTTTTTATCTATAACTTAAATCATTGATATTACCCTAAAGGATTATCTACAAATTCCGGAGAAGGAAGACCACCACACCATGATTCATATTCTAAAATTCTAATTGAATAATACATAAAAGTTAAAATCAAAAATCATAATTTGATTTTATTTAATTAAGTAATAATGCTTTTTTATATTACTTTCCTCCTTTTTCTGCAACTTCGTCTACAGTTTTCATTGTTGCAAGATGGTCAATACCTGGATCTAAACCTATCTCATTTAAGAAAGTTAAGCCAAGCTTTTTGGCTTCCTCATCAAAGGCAGCCATTCCAGGAGAAATATAACTAGCAGTAACTAAATTCTTTTTTTAAGCAATGCAAACTTTAGCAACGTTAGGATGGAATATTGCAGGAACGTAGCTAATAACTAAATCGCAGTTAGATATCAATGGAGTTAAGCTATCCTAAATAATTAAAAAATGTTTTAATAGATGTATTTTTTTTCAAAGAAATTTATATTTAAGATAAATATTTACCTCGCTAGTTACATCAACGTATGCACTTTAGCATCTTTACTTTTTTTATGCAAGAGTTTAAGCATCTTTTTCAATGTTGGAAGCTATCATGATATGATTCTTGATTTATAATGTTTGAAAATAACAATAAATTAATAAATATTAAAGTTAGATGTAGATTATATTACTTCCTATCTTTTTAGCAGATAGTCGACAACAGCTTCAGCCATCAACCCTGAGCCTAAAAGAAGTATCTTATGTTCCTTTGAAGCCATTTTTTATTTTATATATACTTTTACTGTATCTTTTATTTAATTTTCTGATGATTTAGAGTTAATTAATCTTTATTTCAAAAATTAAACAAAATCTGTCAAGTTTTTATAATATCTACAATATACAAAAAGTTGAAGTAGAGTGGGGGTTTAAATCAATCTTAGATAATATCTCCATCTAAAAATTATAAATCTAGGTAAATTTGACGTAACTTCCTCCCTTTTTATATCTTCATCTTTCTATTTTCTTTCGAATAAAAAATATCTTTTTTGGAATAATAAAAACACCTCTTTCATTTTATATTTCCCTCTCTTCAAAAATCTTTATTTTTTATTGTTGAATTGATTTATTTATTTTTTTATTGATTTTAACCTAAATGATAATTTAATAATATTTTATATTTTAACAAAAAAAAAATTTGTCAAAACAAGTTTTTTTAATTTTTTAATTAAATTTTAATATGTAATAATATATTTTGTATCAAATTGCAATAGTATGTATAATTAAATAATCTTATTCTATTTTTATATTAATACATAAACAATTAGGCTAAAACCTTAATGATTTTAAAAAGGAAAAAGTAACTTTTAAACTAAAACCAGTATTTAAAATATAGAAAAATTTTTTTAAATGATTGTGATGGTACTTATTTAGTTGTGGCTATTTAATTTTACTGGTTCATTAAATACTAAAAATATAAATAATTATTTCTTTTGTTTTTTGAATATATTTATCTGAAATTCTTTTTATTTTTATTCAATTCCATTAAAATTTAAATATTAATTCTTTAAAAAAAGGGCCATTTAAATATTACTGAGTTGACGAAAGAAAATTTAAGCTCTAAAGTGGCTTAAAATTTATTATTTATTATCTAATATATTTTATTCTATGCTGATGAAAATGATGCTTTTAATATGAAATTAAGATTGCTGTATTAGAATAATAATTATCATGTAAATAGTCTTTCATCTAAGTTTATTAGCATAATAATATTTGATGACATATTTTTGGAATTTTTTTAATTTTGCATTTATCTTCAAATACTATTTTTTTCTATTCATTTTTCACTTTTGACTAGAATTTATTGACAATTTTAGAAATCCAACTTTGTTTACTGATTAAAATTTAAGAATTTTTTAAGTTATTGTATGGCTTGGCAAGTATGAATTTTTAAATTAATTTTCCTTTAGTCTTTTAAAATAAAACTTTTTATTTCATTTTAAAAAACATTTCATACATTTATTTAATTGAATCATTTTTAATAAATAAAAAATATGTAGATCTAAACATTTTATCTGAGTAAATTATAATATTTTTTGATTTAAAGTCTGAAAACAAACATATAATTAATTATTTATCATCATTAACAATATTAAGGATAAAAATCTTTAAGATTACTAGATAACATTTCAGGAGGATAATCAACTCTTTTTAGCATTAAACCTCTAGGTTAAGCTCTAATTCTATTATTTTCATGAACCTCTTAGGGAGTTAGCTCTTTTGGTGGATCTAATAGTTTTAAAAAAGAATCAAAATCTAACTTTCCTAAAGCATATTACAAAGCTTCACCTACCATAAATCTAATTTAATAAGCTAAGAATGATTTAGCTTTAAATATAATTTTTATGCATTAGGCTTCCTCGTAGAAAGGATGTGAATAATTTTCAATTGTAATAGAATCAATAGTTCTAACATAGCAACCAAAATGGCTAATATGCTCAGCCTTAATTGTAAAATTTTGAAAATTATGAGTACCTACATACTATTGAAGAGCTTAATTTAGCTTTTCTTAGTCTATTCTTTCAGTCATAGTAGTAACTTACTTATGCTGTTAAAAAGTATTAGCCCAATTATCTTTTAAATTTGCTTCAATGAAGTAATTATATTCTTTTTTTAAGCTATTAGCTTTAACATCAAAATCAGTAAGGTGAACATAGTAAATATTTTCAATACTTATTTAATGCTTGGCATCTTTCAAATGCATATTCATTGATTTTTTTATAATACTTGGCTCTAATATTTTTTAATTTTAGTTTCTGTTTATAATAAATACGAATGGATGTGCTAGAGCATTGACTCCTTAATCAGTTCTACTTGATGTATGAATAGGAGTATCTTGCTTAGTAATTTTTTTTAAAGCATCTTAAAGAGCATCCTAAATAGATGGGATTCTCTTACCATTTAAAATTTATGTTTAAAATCCTGAATAATTCATGCCTATATAAGAGCATGTAGCTAAATATTTAACAGGACGTATTATTTCAGGTTCAGGTTCGAATATTTCTTCCATTTAATTTCTTTTTGATAAATTGATAAATATATTTTTTTTTTTTTACAAAATTGCAAATTAAAGTTAATTTAAATCTATTTAAAATTTCGTAGCCACAATTGAGAAACACTGATATTTTTTTTGGTTTAGTTCATATAAATTTATATTTGTTATTTTGAATATCACAATAATTAAATTAAAGATTGAGATTTCTTAAATTTATAATTTAGTTTTTACATTTTTAAATTAAATAATTTATTTGTAGATTTAATTTTATTTTCATTCTAAATTTTATTAGAACAAATTTTTTAACTAAAATTATTTTTTTATTTTTATTTTTAGCAATATTTAATATAAAATCAAAATATTTTTTGAGTTTTTAATTAATTTGAATTTAGATTTTAATGCAATTTTTAAGCAATTTTTTTTGATATTTTAAAATAATTTAAAATGCAAAGGATGCCTAAATTATAATTGAATTAAGAAGTTTGAACTAATTTTGCAAACAGGCAAATATGGGATACATACAAAATGACTTCCTCCATTAAAATATTTATGTATGTATGGAAGTTTTATTTGACTCTGGCCCAGTTCATAATAAAATAATTTTTTTAATCAGTGTTTGTAACCATTAAGAACTTAGTTTGAAAGCTATTTAACTTATTCTTCTAAATCACCACGAGGATCAACTTCGAATTCAACCAAAGCACCCTATGTTTTAAAAATATTAATTTTAAAAACAAAGTATTTTAAAAAATATAAAATAGATTACAGTTTTTCTGTAATAATCAATAGCTTCTTGTTATCTTGTAACAGTTACTTTATCTGAGGGATCCTTAATGTAAAGAGCTAAGTTAACTCCGTCAGTAATAAGATCCAATCTATTTTTATAGACAATACGAATAAATAAATATAAATTTTAAAATTCAAATTTTTGTAGTAATTTTTGCTTTTTCATTAAATAAGAATAAAATAATTTAATTTTATTTTAGTTTATCAATGAATAGAAATTGATAGCTTTGTTAATATCTCTAAATTTTATCTATCAAAAATATCTTTAAGTTAAGAAGAGCTTGTTTATTTTTATTTAAAATATTGTTAGTTAGTTTCTACCTTTCAGCTTGCTTGCTGTTTTAAGGGAAATCAGTAATGTAATAACCGTCCTAGAAACCATCATTGATGCTTAAGACAGATTGAGCAACTTTGTTAGCTTGAATCTTTTAGAATATTTAAAAAACAATAAATTATTTTAATTGTTTATCTATTTAAATGCAATTTAAACGATTAAATAATCAATTTCTTAAAAATTGTAGATGGATACAATATTTAGTAAATATTGATTATCAAAGTGGTGCTAAAACTAATTAAAAATAACTTTCCTATCTTGCTACGCTATATCTTTTATTCTTGTTTTACAAAAAAAAATATTTTATATCACACCATATCTTCTATCTATATTTTCCCCTACTATCTTTATATTTTTCTTAAATCATTCTTTGTATGTTACATTTATTGAATAGTAAATCCACCTCTACATAAATACTTGATTTTTTAATCGTTTTAAGCCAAAAGCAGAATTAAATATGAAATGCATACGTTATCTTCTTGGCCCTTAAGTTCAAGACCATTAACATGATTGAAATTTCTGAATTATCTATTTTGGTAATAAAAAATATTATTTAAATTAATCAATTTTCATCTTCTTATGCTATTTGCTAAGTTAAACATAATCAAATAATTGATTTTCTCATAAGAAGAATTCATAAAAGTTTACGAAGAAATCAATTCATAAGCTCTGCTTGAGTTTCCGAAAACAACAACCTTGGGGTTAATAGGTCTTTTTAAACTGTGAGAATATTAGCCGTAGTTAGGAACTTAAGCCTTCAAGGTAAGTTTGCTAATTACTTGATGTAAAAACTTAAAGGTATTATTCATCTTTTCTTCTTTCTTTTAGCCTTTTTATCTTATCTAATAATTCTTAATTGATTTTCTTTTTCTTTTTATTTTTTGCAAGGCAACTAGCTCTATAAATCTTTATCAATATCATGATTATCCTTTTCCTTTATAACCTTTATTCATTTTTATAATGCAAATCAATAAATTTTCCCTTAAAAATTTATTTAATTTAATATTCGATTATTGCTTTTGCTTTACGACCTCCATTTGATTTGTTAATTATCATTTATTTATCACTTTTTTATTGATATCTATATGAATGATATTTCATTTTACAATATATCTTTAAAAATAAATTCAAAATATCTTTTTGGTTAAGAAGCGAATAAAATATTTATTTAATTGTTTGTTGTCATCTTTATTATCTATAATTTAATTTTTTTTTTTTTACATTTTAAATAAAATAATAGATTTTATCTTTTAAAAAATCATAATTCCTACTTTATTTGAAATTAAATATTTCACTTAATCAAAAATATTAAAATAATTCTCATTAAAAGTAAAAAAGTAAAAATTATTATATAATTATTAAATCTTTATTCATTTATTTTAATTAATAGGGATGTATTTTCTTATTATTTTTTCAATTAAAGTAAGTATTTTAAAAGCTAATAAATATTTTTTAAAATTATATTATAGGATTAAATTATATCTCCTTTATTTATTAGTTCAATATTATCTGATTTCTTATTTCTTGATCAACTCGTTTATTAAATCTAATTTAATATTTGCAATTTTCTATTTTGAAAATTTTATTATACTTTATTTTTAGGATTTATTATCATAAATTAAAAAAAATATTTAATTAAAACCTAATAATTAAATAAAGGTTCCTATTTAATCTACAAAATATCATTAATCTATTAAAGAACTTGATACTTTCAGTGTTAAAAAAATATTTTTTTAATGTTTCTAACTTTTTTAATAGGATGAAATTATAAGAAATAATATTTCTGATTTAATTTCAAATATTGCTATTTTGAAGATTAATAGCAATATTTTCAATCAAATTTTACTAGGTAATAACATTCATTTTATCTTTCTGATATTATTATTTTGTAATGTACATTACTTAAAACATTACATTGAATTAATTGAAATTAAATATTAATAGAAATTTTTAAAAAATTTTTCCACAATAAAATTTTGTTAAATTTTAACTCTATTATGTATGTTAATAATTTCAAATTATTATTTAATTGAATATCTCTAAACTTTTTTAATTATTAAACAATATTGAATAAAATATATTAAGTTTTAGTAATATAATTTAATTAAAAGCAAATATTTAATATAAAAAATGTAAATATTTTTAGCTCAAATATTATTGAACCATTTAAAAAATAAAAATAAAATTCTAATATTCTAGAACAATACTTATAAATGAAATAGGAAGTAATAGTATGTAATAATTGAGATTTAGATTCAAATATAATTTATGGAATTTTATTCTAACTTTCATAGATAGTAATACATTTTCTTAATTTTTGTAATATTAAGTAATATAATTGTGGATATACTGTTCTGATTAAATATTTAGCATCATGATGAGTATTATTTTTTTTATGCATTTTTTTGTCTTATCTATAGTTCGTCAAAAAAGGCTATTTAAACTTTGAATTACAGTAATCAAAAATAATAATTGTGATTAAGATTATTTTAGTATTTAGTAGAAAGATTCAAAGAAATAAATATACATAGATGATTCCTTAGTATCAAAACTAAGATTTAGTTTAGTATTTTGAAAATATTGTCAAAAATCACTATGAATTTTCATATTTTATTAACAACCCTAAAGAATACTAAAAAATAACCAAGATTACTACTCTTTAATTTAGCAATTATTTATTTGAATAGTTCGAGCAAAAGAATGTAATTTACGTTCGTCATGCTGAATCTCCAATAAATGTATGGGTTTCAAAAAACCCAATAAAATTTATGCTCTCTATGTATCCACCAGATCCTTAGCTCTACAATCCAGGGATTACCGAAAAAGGCATAACTCAATGCATACAATTGGAAAATCTACTTAATAAAGCTAAAAAATATGATATAATAGAGCAGCAACCTGAAGATTAACAATAATAGGAAGTAGAAAATATTAATTTGCCTTCAAGCTTCTCTTTAGTAGTATTATCTCCTTATCAAAGGACAATTAAAACATTTGATTAAATAAAACAAAGCGATGTTTTTAAGTCAGCAAAAATAATAACTTCTTCCTTGATAAGAGAGAGAGCCAATATACCTGCAAGCGTGGTTGGATATATGACTAGTTAATTAAAATAAAATAGAAATGATATTGATTATTAGTATCTCAAAAAAGAAAAGTGGTGGAAACTTTATGATTAGCTAGATGAATCTTCTCAAAGTTAATAAACTGAATCTATAAAAAGGGAATCTAATATTGAATTACAATTTAGGGTTTTAATCTTTCTAATATGGATTACTCTAAGAGAAGAAAAAGATATTATATTTTTCTCACATTGTGCAGTATATGAAGCTATCAAGCTTTTTAAAGTAAAAAAACCAAACAACGCTTAACCTTATAGGATTACTAAGTAGGATTTTTTCAATTTATATAGGTAATTTTTCAAAACTAATCCAAGCTTATGATCTATTTCTTTTTAAATTCATTTTCAATAGCCAAAGTGAAAAAGACTAAATTCTATTAATCTATCCATCACAACAAATCAAATTCTATAAATCAATTAATAAATTAATATTTTTTTAAATGTCAAATTTTCATATTTTTATGCTCTCTTAAAAATTAATAATTTAAAAACTTGACTATTTCTAAATATGATATATACTGTGAATTTTCATATACTTAGAACTAATCAAAAAAAAAATTTTTTATCAAAAATAATTCTTGAAAATATGGAGAGGATTTGCTTTACCTCAATTTATATGTTATTTTAGAAGTATTGTAAAGTATTTATTTAATTAATTTAATGAAATATATTGATATTTATACGATAATACTTCAATAAATTATAATTATATTCTAATAAATAAGGATAATAAATATTACTTTTTAACTTTAAACAAATTCAAGTGATAATTAATTCTAATGTCAAATAAAAAAGAATTTATTAGTATTTTATTAAGAATTTAGACTAAAATTTAAAATAATCTACTTTTTAATAGGTATTAAGAATAAATTAAATATCTATTTCATAATTTGACTAAATATTTAAATTAAGTATTTAGAATGCATTTTGGCTCAAATATCTATCAAATCATTCTTATGATTATAATTAAATTTATTCTTTATTCTATCTCTTTGTTTTGAATTAGTCATGCATGTAAATCATTTCTTTTTGTATATTATTTAAGGCACTTTTAAAACGAGGAAGGTAACAAAACAAAGATATTGCTGATAGTCCTATACTTACGTAAGTTATAATGTAAAATGCTATTGAAAGTTTATAAAGAGATCCACAATCACTGCTATTGTTAATATTTAGTCCGATTGCAAATATTAAAGCAATTAAAAATAATAGAAATACACAATAAAAATATAGCTTGTTTGCTTTATTTGTAGCCAACTTAGCAATTTTAACAACTAAAAGAATAAATGCTGAAATAAACAAATAAATTGATGTGGCTAAGCTCCATTTTCTTAATTATAAGTTATTACATTCGCTATATTTTTCTTCTTCACTCTAAAAAATTAGAAATAAAATAGCAAATGCTAAAATAATCGAGATACTGCAAAATAAAGAGCAAATAGCTGATGGACTTTTTTTTTCCTATTAATTTTATATTTTTTTTGATTCTTCCTAAATTATTTAAAGCATGGTTAAAGGATAGACTGAGTTTAGCCCTATTTAACTGTTATACTGATAATTTTTATTATTTATCTATTTATTGTTTTTTTTTTTGAGATTAAATATTTTATAAAAAAAAAACAGAAAGATTTCTTCTACTTTTAAATCAAAATACTTTATTAAAAGGTAAAAATTTTTTTTTTTTTACATTTTATTCTATTAAATTAAATAAGTAATCAATTAATTAATTAATTAATTAATTAATTAATTAATTAAAGGCAAAATACTAATAAAAATTATGAATTATTTAATTTATGATAATATTAAAATACTTTTTAATCTATAAAGTAAAAAAATCTTTTTTTTAAGATTAAAAATATTTTAGGAGATAAAAATATAATTTTATCAGGATCTACTATCGATTATGTCAACAGTTGAATTAAAGTCTGTTGTCCCTATCTTGAATCATCATTTAATTAGATAATTTAATTTATACATAAAATTGACTAACAAATTTAATAAATTAAGTGTTTTAATTTAATTAAAGTGTTAAATAAAAGCGAAAATTTAATTATGGGTTTATCTTTTAATTATAAACAAAATAAATTAAATAAAACTTCAAAACACAATAAATAATTTATATTTAAAAATAATGTAAAAAATAAATAATTTTTTTATTTATTTAAATCTAATTATTGTGAATGAATTTTACTCACAAATGAACAAACTAATATCATTTGATGATGTTTTTTTTAACTATTATATTAATTGGTTTTATAAATTTGTTCATTTTATTGATTTAAATACACTAGTTGTACTATATTTACCATCATCGATTTTTGTTTGAAGTTTTTTGATCTATTCTTAATCTAAAGTAAATTTAAACTCCTGACTTTTAGAGCTTTGATTCTATTTAGGATTCTCCTTTTCCTTTTGAATAAAATAATTAAAAGTAAAATGCTTGTTTATATTTAACTTTATTTATTTACTGCTTTCTTGATTTCATCTTGAGATATTTCTTCTTCATCATTTTAGTTCTGTATGAATTTCTCTAAAAGCTCATCAGATAGATTTAAATTTTTGAATTTTCTTAATCAAAAATTATTTTAAAGATGTTAGAGAAATATAAAAATATTCTTATTTACAAATATAATAGTTCTATTGGGTCATTTTTCATAAACTATAAATTATAGTCTAATTGTTATCTTATTGTATTTAGTTTCAGCGTATTTTTCCTAATTGTTTAAAAGAAATTTGCTTGCTATATGTATTTTTATTTTCAAAAAAATATTCACATCGATATTTCTTAAAGCATGTCTCTTTCCTTCTAAATTTTTTATGCTCTTTCTTTAACTTTTTTATGTCTCTCCATAATCAAATCGTTTCTTCGTTACTAATTCAATAAAAAAATAAAAATTTAAATTTGAGAGTGAAAGCTCTATTTATATTTTACCTTTTTCATCCAGTTTTCATTTTAATTATCAGCATTAAATTCTAATCTTTACTACAGCAAATCTCCTTTTCTTAAAGACTCTAAGTCTCTATCTTCCTATTTATTAGCAAAAAGCACACTCAAAAATTAATGAATATGTATAAATAAATCTAATTACCATCGATCTCCTTGCTTATTCGACTCTTTTTTCATCTTTTTCATTTAATTTTTCATTCTATTTCCTTAATTAAAGAAATGTATTATTACCCTAAAAATATTTCTAAAAAATTATTATATTTACTCCATCATTTCATCTAATTAGTCAACACGATGTTCGTACTTCATTAATTTTTCTTTTTGTTTCTTTCTATGTTACTCTAATAGCTTTTTAAATTCTTAATCCCTTAAACTCATTCTTAAATTAACATTTTCTATCTTCTCTAGATAGGTATTCAGTTTAACATTAGTTCTTTCATTTTCAATTTAAACTGCTTTTTATATTTTAGCTAACTTTTAATCGTTCTTCTACTTCAACTCTTTTTTTTTATCATTTATTAATTCTTATACTAATTAGGAGCCTTATCTATCTCTCTCATCTTACCTCATTTTAAGTAAGTGCAATTTGAAATCATCTTTCTTTACCAAAATAATATAATAGCTTTTATGAAAATCTTTGCTTAAAACTTACTTGCTAAACAATAGACTAATTTCTATGAAGTGCTTCCAATTTTTACTATTCTTTTTCTTTGTGTCTATCAGGAAATGTATCAAATCTAGAAGAAAAAAATGTTTAAAATTTTTCATCTCTCTTTACTAAATCTTTTTAAAGCTTTTCAAGCTTTTTTGATTAAACAAAGTGCTATTTCTAGACGGATTCTTAAAACCTTTTCTATTTTTTTTCCTACAGTTACTTGAAATGTTTTATCTTTTAATATTAAATATTAAATAAATTTTTAAAAGTAATTTTATAATTTTAGTTACCTTTTTCTTATAATGAGTGTCAAACAACATTTAAGATTGAGAATTTTTGAACTCATCTTTTTACTACCATTATCTATACTTGAATTCATTCTCAAAAATAATAGATGCTTATTTCTTTTTAATTTAAAATATCAATCAAACAACAAATACTTTATATTTTATTTACATCAATAACTTCAAGTTACTTCTGCTTTTTTTAGTTTAGTTACTGCAATTTATATTCGAAATTTATTGCTTCTAATGGATCCCTCTTTTTTGGTTTTTTAAACTAAAATCCACTTGTTTTAAAAATAAATAATTATTTTATCAGTATTTTAATAAAATTATTCTAACCTTTCATAGACTGTAGACCTCAGATTATCATTTTCTTCCTTTATAATTTACATACGTTCAGATTTTGCACTCTCATATCTGCCTAAAAATAGTTTGGATTATTAAAGAAACATTTTAAAAGCAAATTCAATTTATTTAAAATAATAGAAAATTATCTACTTATGAGTTCTCTAAGATGTTTATAAAATCTTTTTCGAGAGTTGTTTGAAAATTTTTCAGTATCCTAATCACTATCTTACTCTAAGGAATCAAAGTATAGATTTGTTTTTTCATCTTAGCTTTGATTTTATGTTTTCTCCAAGTTATGTCTGTAAATCTTTTCGATTTCATGCTCACACCTTTTTAATTCATGTTTCAGTTACAACTCTAATCAAAAAACTCAATAATTATTAAAATAAATTATACTTTAATTTAAATGCTTCAGGAAGTAACCTCAATTTATGAATAGCTTAAGTTGTCCTAGGAGAATTTAAATTGATTTAATCTTATAATAACCTCAGCTATTTTTAAGCCTAAATAATTCTTTATTCAAGGGTCATCGGTTTTTAGGGCTAGATAGTATCGCTGTTGATAGAATTCTAAAGACTTTTAAAAATATTTAAAATATTTATAATGAAATTTGCAATTCAACACTTTCATTAAGATAATTCAAAAATGTATTCATATTAATTTTGCAATCTAAATCACATACTTTTATTAAGCCAGCTTTATAAAAAGCATTTTTGTTCGAGAATTCTTAATTGAATCAATTGTATTTTGTTCATTTGTAGAAGCAGCTGTAAGAAAAAGAGAGCCCCCATTATTTATATTTCCAGAATCTTTTACTGCTAAATTCATATTTTAAAAGTTGTTGCTTGCTTATGCTTATATATGTAGATTATACTTTAAAATATAACAATATTATTGATTAATTAATTATTTAATTGTGTTGGTTTGTATATCAAGCGCAATTTTATTATTACATAATAATATAACTTTACTTTCAAATTAATGTAATAATCAATAATATAATATTAAAATGTTTGTTTGTTTGTATAAAATTTTCTAAAGTAGTTTATTATCAATAGTTATAACAATAAGATTCAAAATAATAATTAAAAAGAATTTAAAATACATTTTGAAAAAACCATTAATTTAATTACTATATAAATAAATAACGTTAATTTATTAATTGATTAAATACAAACGAGCTAGCATAATTAAATTAAATATTACAAATAATAATTTTTATTTAAAATTAATTGGCTCAAAAATAAATAAAAATATTTATTTATTAATATTCATTTTACTTTTACAATAATAAAATTGAGAATTTGATTTTGAATAATTTTAAAACTAACTCATTAACGAAAAGTATTCTATTCATCATTTTATTTTAATTTACTATCTTGTTATCAATTTAAAAGATAGAAAATAAAATGCAAAAAGAAAATAATATTCTAAAATTTTTTTTTTCAAGAATAAAATACATTAAAAATATATTATTATTTTAGCTCTTTTTAATTTATTAGTTTTTTTTGTAGTCTAGTTATTTATAAATTAACTTTTTTTAAGATAATTTAAATAATTATTTTGTATTAAAGTTTTTTAGTGTTTTAGCTTCATTAATTTTTTTAGTTGGCTAATTAAAAATATTTTTTTGAATTATTAAAATTTGTTTAATTTTAATCTAAAACATTTTAAAAATAAAATTTTTTTTTTGAGAATAGAAAATACGTTTCTTGATATGTTTAATTTTATATGCAGAATTTTATAAATAAATTCAATTTTATTTAAATGAATATTAAAGCATAAAGAGATAGATATTAAAAGTAAATAAATAATCTTCAGGGAGACCAGACAGGAATAAAAAATATTCTGATGAGAAAAAAAGGATATTGATAATCTTTTAATTTTTATAATATTAAATTCAAAGATTTGATGCTTTTTTTGCAAGCCAACTCTAAATAAAAAACATAAACTTTAATTTGTTAATAAAAATCAATAAATCAGACAAATAATTTAGATAAAAGTATTGAATTTAATTATAATATAAAATGGCCTCCAGCAACACAGTATCAAAAGAGGAATTAAAGAAAGCATTTGAAGAAGCTGATGAAAATAAGAGTGGCAAACTCAACTATTAACAGTTCACAGCTTTTGCATCAAAGTTCGAGTAAATTTCACATAAGGATGTTAATGATGTAAATAAATTGTTCTAATAATAAATTTAATAAAATTACTAATGAAACATTTATGAAGATCCAAAATTAATGTTTTTTAATATATTTTAATGATTGATTAATAGATATTTAAGCACTAAGAACTTCATTAAGATGAAAAGGCTATATCTTTAGAAGAATTTTATGTATGGTGGGACAACAAAGAAAAGAATCTCCTCCCTGTTTTCTACTTTAAGCAACAAATGCAAAAATAAATATCTAAAGCTAAGAAAGTAATTTAAAAATAAAAGGAAAGTGGACCATAATAATATGAGCAGAGTAAATTTGAAGTTTCTATTAACAATGGAACAAATGAAGGCTAAACTCTTTTGAGCCTCTATCTCTCAAGTCATTAGTAGTCAAAGAAAGACTGCTAAAAATATTAAGAATTATTTAAGTTAGGTTCTAAGCCTGGTTTTATTATTAAGCTAAAAACATCTAAGAATGTAGATGAGGCCAAGACAGCTCTTGAGGTAATAAATATTTTCGATTGTTAGGATTTTAATTTTTAAAATTTCTTAATTTTGAAGGAGATATCTTAAATATAAGATTTTATTTTACATAAAATTTTTCTATAGGCTATAGAAAGATTATTTGTTTGTTTATTTATTTATTTTTACAACCAACAATAAAACTCTAATCAACTTTTGATGATCCAAAATCTAAAATTTAAAGCTAAAATATTATATAAAATTATTGATAAACTATTTGTGAATAGATAAAATTTTTTCTATTATTTTGTTCTAGAGATTATTTGATTAATAAAAAATATTTAATAAAATAGGATTTAGTAGAATAAGTAAAGTAGTTTGTTGAATGCATTCTACCTGTTGAAATTTCTGAATAATACATGTCTATGCTTGATATTTAGGTTGAAAAGGATGGCAATGATCTCCTTCTTTCATTTTCTAGTGGAAACAACCTTATTACTTCTCTTGCTGATTCTTATCAAAATATTGTTAATGAATTTAAAGTTGATGACTAAAGCATTGTTTTAAAGCTAAGCTGCTCAAGTTAATTGAACATCGAGAAATCAGCTTCAACTGCCAATAGTATTTTAGCTGATTTAATTAAAGGTTTACAAATAAATGCTAGCTTTTCTGCTTCTTCATTTATGCTAGATAATTTAAGAAATATTCTCTATTCTAAAATTCTTAAGGAAATAAAACAAGAAGATGGCTCTTATGCTGAGTATTCAAGAAGAAAGAAATAAGAGGAAGCTGCATTTTTAGTTTTAGCCTCATTAATTAATGGAATTTCAATTAACTTGAATACCTAAAAAATAGAAGATATGCTTCCTGCTTCAATAACTGGTTTCACTTTTGAAGAACTCATTTCAAATGCCAAGAAGTATACAACAAGTGCTGAAGATTAACTTTAATTACCTATTATCTAAGAATTAATATAATTCTTTAACGAATATACTCTTTCTGATGTTGAATGCTTAGGTATTTTCCCAGAATCATTTGTTAGTATCCATTTTAAGACTATTGGACTTTCTACTATTCTTGGTAAGATATTAAATGTGTGATACTTTTATCCATAAAGTTAATTAATTAACTAATTTGTTTTTTTATGTTAAAAAGTATGTTTTTTTAAATAGATTCTTTTATATATATTTTATTTTCTTGAATAACATTTTATAAAAAGTGACATTTAATTCTTACTAATAAGCTTTCTTTATTAATACTTATATTATAATTGAATAAATAAATTTGCATATTTATATTTAATATAAATCAATTAAAAAATTAATTACAAATTAATTTTATATTTTTATTACTTATTTAATTAATAACCAAGTAGTCAATTTTTCTATTTAAGTATTAATTAATTACTTAATTTTTTATTATTTTCATTATACTACAAATTTTTTTCAACTCTAGAGCTCGTTTAATTCTGTGCAATTAGTAGGGTAAGATTTTGGTGTTTCATATATGTCTTTATACTTAGAGTAATAGTGATAAATAGAATAGTAAGGATATAGGGTGATTGTCCATCCTAATATTGCTACCCACCATTTTTAATCAAATATATCTAATATTTATAAATAGATTGCAATCATGCTGAGAATGAAGCAAATCAGTGGTGTAATATATTTCATTAAAAATATCATATAATTGGGAGTTTATTACCCAATATTTATTTTAATCTTTTCCTCAACTTCTTCCCAGTTTTAAATGTAAAAGTAAAAGTAAATTTCTGTAATTATGCACACAAACATATTAATGCTAACACTATAATTATCAACAAAATCCAGATAAAAAAATCCAGCTTAGGAGCAAAAGAGAAATGCTGATAGAGATACAATTATACAAACACCAGCTCTGATATAATTCATTTAAATGCTAAAACCTTTGTATTCTATATTTTTTCCATGAAACTCGTCTTCTATTGCTGTAGCTAAAGCATCAATCTATCCAAATTAAGTGTCGATCCCTTTTTTAGTGATATTATTGTTTTTAGATTTTAATCTATATATTTGAATTATAATTATACCTAAGAATATCATGACCATAAAAAATATTATTGATAAAATATTAGAAAAAGGCATTTAGACTAAAACAGCTGGAAAAACGATAAATGCAAGATCGGGTCCTTTTAAAGGCATGTCATTTATATCAATATTGGTAACATTCGACATGTAACCCATGAATGTAAAGATAACTACAGAAGCTAATAGTCCACAACAAACAGTTATTACAGGGATATAGTAAGAGGTTTTTATTATTTCTTGGTTCATAGGACGATAACTTCCAAAAACGATCAAAACTCCACATCCTGTGCTTACTTAAAAAATAACTTAGTTGGCTGCATCTACCCATACTTAGCTCTCATATAATTTCGACCAATCTGGTGAAAATAAATAAGAAAGACCATTCATTGCTCCATCCAAAAAAAGTCCTCTTATCATTAGTATGAAAAGAAGAATATAAGGAGAAGAGGCTGTAATCACAGAAACTTTACCTGAAACAGTAATTCCCTTACAAATACACAAGTACCTTTTTAAAAAATCAATTTAAGTAATCTAAAGATTTAAACTAGAACAAAAGTTACACTATAAATTATGATAAAACATAGCAAAAAAATAAAGGCCAGACTACAGATCCTATAGATTCTAGCCCTGATGAGGATCTTAAAACATCTTTATAAAAATATTCCTAATTAATAAGTTTAAATAAAAATTCATATAGCTGTGATCTTGTTTAAAAAATTTTATACAGTGTTCCAAGGCTCAGGCGAAGTATAAATATCATCAATTTTCCATGGCAAAGGATATTTAAAGCTCTCCCAAAGATAGTAGATTGAATATGCTAGTATCAAATTATAGTAAGTTGACATATTCAATGTTAAGAGTATCCCAAACACTCCTAACCCTTTCCACTTCCTATTAGCCTTTATTTTGTAAAACAATATGAACATTATTATTATATTTTAAGGAGTTAATTATATTTAAAGAAATAATAATTACAATTTCAAAGCACTAAGGAGGGCTTCTTTAAAACATTTAACCAATAGCTGTTTCAAAATAAAAAGAAGGAATTCCTACTAATACAAGGATTAAAAAATAAGGGATCAAAAAAACTCCTCCTCCATTTTTATAAATTAAATAAGGGAAACGCCAAACACTACCAAACCCTGCAGCAAATCCTAAAACGCTCAATAAATATTCTGAATAATTGTTAAATTAATCTCTTTTTTCATAGCTTGTATGACCAACATGAGCCTTAATAAAAGCCCTATGACTACCTCTAGCTTCATGCTCATCTTGATAATTATCATACCAATTTTCTTCATTGAATTGTTTCTAATTTTAAGTAAGGCTTTTAGTTAAATTTTTCATTGAATCAAACAAAGCTCAGCTATTACCTAAATTTTTGTTATTTGATTTAATTATTTTTTTGATGTTGATCAATAATTATCTGAAAATTCTTACTATTTTTACTTTTTTGTATTCAATATGAAATAAACAAATTTTTTAATTAATTAGATACCTAAATATCTAAAAAAATCTTAGAAGTAAAAATCTTCTGTTAAATCAAATTCACATAATTTTATCAAAAAAATCAGTAAGGGAAAAAAGCCTGTTAAATCAAATATTAATTATTTATTAAAAAGTTTATTTTTGAATATTTACAAAAAAAAACGTAAAAAAAAAATATCTTTTTATGAAATCTGACTGAATATATACTCGAAAATTTGCATACCTTAAAATAAATATTTTTGTACAATTTTAAAAGATAAATAATGAATTTTGAACTAATTAGAATTTAATTTTCAGTTTCTTATTATTTTTTAATTTTTTTCATTTTATTAATCTAAATTCTTCTCTTCTTATAGCTCTTAATTATTTAGCAATCAGTAATTCAAATTTTATGAGGATAAGAAGAATAAATAAATGAGTTTTCAGTATTTTTTTAAATAGTTTTCATATATTCTTTCAGAAATTTGGCTAATTTCATCATTTACATGGTTAAAAAGTTCCTCAAAGCTTTGTGAATACCCTTGCTAAATTAAAAATAAAGCTTATTGATTTATATTACTTTATTGTTTTTTTAACTTCTCTTCACTGCTTTCTAGAATATTTTCAATACCTAATAAAGCATATTTAAGTGTTTTACTGTTTAAGTTAAAGTAAGATTTAATTATTTTAGATATTTATTCAAACAATCCATTTTCTATTACCAAATCTACGCTATCTCTTTAGCATTAAAAAAAAAATTTATTATTGTTATTAGTTAATAAAATAAGTTACTCTGTAGATAAACAAGCAAGATTTATTGGAATATTAATTATCTCCATTTGAACCTTTTTATAAAGTAAAATCACTCATTTAATATTTGTTAAAAAAAAATATTAATTACCTCATCCCATATTTATTCGTCTAAAATGCTATTTACTTTTTTAAGAATTTTTTTATCTTTAAAGATAAGTTATTATGTTTTTAAATCACCCAAAGCAATATTTGATAAGATTGTAGCAATATATGAATTTATTTTATTGATTTCAACTTACTTTTAATGAGGTTAAAGGATTGATCCCAAAATTTAGACAAGTTTAGTAGACTTGTATAAATTGTAAAGGAGTCCATTAATGTCATATTTTGTATCTAAAGCAGTAATATTGATAAATATGTTTAAAATATTAATCAATTTTTTATTTTCATCTGCTTTATTGCCTTAGCTAATTTATTCTGTCATTTAACTTTAAGTAGACATGTTAGAAATGCTTTATTTTAAAGTTTTTTTTTATTCGTATATGCAATTCACCAAAAAATGTATTAACTTAGAATTATTCTACACAAAACATTAAATATTTCGATCATTATTGTTTTCAAGATACTCCAAAATTATACTTATGATTTGATTAAAAATGTATTCGGGATCATTAAATTTGAAGGCATTTATAATCATCATATGTAAGTATTAAATTATTTTATTTAGTTTTTTACATTTTATATGTGGAGGGTTTAAAAAGAGCTTCTCCGTAGTACATAGCAGAGCAGTTATGAATTAGTCTTCTTTTTAAAGTGATGGTAATTAAAATACATTCTGGTATTGATTTTCAATATAGCTGATTATTGGATATTAATCTATGATTTTATCTCTAAAATCTTCTTAGCTAAAAATATTATAAAGGCAGTGTAAGCATTTGTCAATTATTTTAGGTTCATTACTATAGATTTACATAGTATTCATGAGCTTCTACATATAATTACCTTTCATAAATATACTACACATTTCTTCACTAAAACATAAGCAATTACCTAATAATATTATTTATTTCAAAGTATACTCAAATTCATTTTAGTTTGATAAGAGTAGATCTAGCAAAAAAATAGATTTTGCTTCTTCGCTAAATATTGTTTAGAACTCATTAATTTTTACTTAGTCTAAGCACATTTATTCTAAAATATAATCGATTAATTAATCAAATAGTTTTCCTAATTCTTCCTTTTACATCTCTCTCAACTACCCAATATTAATAAGTATCTCTTAAAGCACTGATCTATTTTCTTAATCATTATTAATTTATTGTTTAACTTAGCTCTACTACTACTGCTAATTCATTTAATCTCTATTTTATAATAGCCTAGTTCTATTAGATTATAGAGTTGCATGCTAATGTCTTTATCTTATTTCTACTCTAAACTTTGATTTTTTATTTTACAAAGCTAAGTGTAGGCCATAATCTTCACCATCGTCCATCTCTAATAGAATAAAATTGTTCCCTAATTTAATCAATAATATCTTTAAAATATCTACTTAATTGTAGTAAAAATTAATTAAAAAATAATCTTAATTTTTCAATAATTTAGCATACTAAATCAATAAATAAATAAATAAATTATTGTTTATTTTGTTTTCCCTAACAAATTCTAATTATTCTAAATTATTCCGCCATATATAAACTTCAAATGAGAAATAAATCAATATTTTATTAAAAATAATTGAACTTTTAATATTTAAATTATAGCTGTTTAAACATAAATAAAAATATCAACTCACTTTTTTTAAATTAAAAACTAAATTGAAAAATAAAAAAAAATATTTTAATTAAATAAACTTATCAAATAAATAAATCTACATTCATATTTTTTAAAATAAAAATACATTAGTGTATCATCCATCTATAAAAAAAATATAAACTATTATTTATAAATTAATTTAAATAAATTTATTTTTCATTTAGGTTTCTTAGAAGTAAAGTAAGAGTTAATTACTTTTAAACCCTCATCATTATGTATATGAGTGCAGGGATATTCTCTCCTTAAAAATTACTTAGGATGAAGGCCAAGTTCCTCAAAGTTAGTAATTTAACTAAAAGCTTCTTATATTTATGTTCCAGGAACGCAATAGTAAACTTCTTTAGCTCCACAGGCTGAAATAGCAGTAGAACACATAGGACAAGGTTATGCACTAGCATATATAATGCAATCCTTTAGTATTAGGGATTTTTCTTATTTGCAAGCTAATCTTATAGCCACTGTTTCAGCATGGGCAGTAGGATCATAATCGATGTATAACCTATTATGAGCTCTTACAATTATTTTTCCATCTCTAACTATAACGCATCCGAAAGGTTCTCCATCTCCAGTAATTACAGCCAACTCAGCTTCTTTTATAGCTTCTTATATAAAATATTAATGATCGTTCATTTATTCCATTTTTGATTTTTGATTATATTTTTATTAATTTTTTTACTACTTAAGTATTTATATCTTTCTATGATATTTGAATTTCGATTTTACATTCTAAAAAAGTTTCTAAAATATCTCTATTAAATTAACAAAATTATGGCCAAAAAATGAGGTCAATAGTTGTAAATAATGTGGCAAACAAATACTATATATTAAAAAGTTTAAATTATTTAATGAAGAAAAGAAAATTGATATGCTTTTATAATAATAATTTTAAATTACATTGTCCCATTTCATGTGTAAAAGCAGGAGCTTTCATAGAAATATCACAAAAAGATAAATTTATGGATTAATATAACTTTATTATGTTAATACTTTTGTTATCTATTATACCTGAAATAGACACTTTATAAGAAAATTTCTTGTGCACAAGAAATCATAAAAATTTTTGTGAAGTTTGAATTTCTTTTATAGGTAATTCAATCAAAATAAGATTTATTTTAATAATATAGAAAAGTAATTATAAATTTAAAGATTTTTTATTGTTAAAAACTAAGTATTTTCAATAATCAAATGTAATAAATTTAGATTTATATTTAAAATTTTATAATTTTTAATATGAAAATATTAAAATTCAAAAAAGAGTTTTAGAGTTTATTTTTAATGATAGTAATATGTCTTAATTAATGAGCAATTAAAGTATATTTAGCAGCTGTCATATAAAAAAGTATTAAAAATAGTTTAAATAAGGTTATTTATATTTTTCAAAAATAAATGAATAATTAGTTTTTTATTTTTTTATCAAGTATAAAAATATAATTAGAATATTTGAAATTAAATAAATTTAAAAACTATAAATAAAAATAAAGTATTTTAAATAATTTAAATAATTAATTGAATATATTTTATCACCTAGATTCTGCTCTGTATTTTATATTTAGATAAACATTTTTTAATTCCTTTTTTTCTTCTTTGCTCATCATGTTAAGTGCTTTTTAGAATTTTTCTTATAACTTTTGCATTTTATTAAATACTTCTTGCTCTTACTTTGACATCTTCTTAGAAGGGCTATAGAATTTTGTAGGCTATCTCATAAATGTATGTACATTATTTTATAAATTTTTCTTTTTATTTTGCTTTAACTGTATTAGAGATTATTAGAGTGCAATTTGTTAAATATCTTCAACAACAGGAGCTAAGTTTTAATTAGTTTATATAGCCCTTTGTATTATTATAGTTTGGTCTTAAAATATTTTTTTTCTTATTATTTCCTCCTCTAAATCCTCATTTTATTTGACTAATCTTTAAATTACATCCATAAATTCATTGTCTATATCTAGGTCTTCTTCATTTACTTCTTACAAGATATTATTTTTCTGATTCAATATTAAATTATCACTGAATTTAAGTCTTGCTCTCATCTAATAAAATAAAAGTTAAAGATAAAAAACCAATTGAAAATTAATTATTTTTTATTTATATATTTAAAATAATTACAAAATCTCTTTTATTTTTGTCTACTTAATCGAGCAAAGATAAATCTTATTAAAGATTTGGTTTTTGTTCTAAGATTTACTCAGGCTCACAAGATTCTCTTAAACTTATGAATTACATTTCTTATTAAACTTACTTGTACAATATCAAATTAAAATTCTAGTCCTCTTCTATATCTGCTCTTTATTCTAATTTATCAACTAGCTTTTAAATAACTTTTCTTTTTTCAATTAGACTCATCTTATCATTTATTCTGTATTCATTTAGTATTTCATTAATAGCACTTTATTTTAGTGCTCCTCTTTAAGCTGTGTTTTTAAAACTTTTTGCTTTTATTAATCTTTATGAAGATTTAAGGTTAGAAACGCTCCTATTTAAATAATTTTTAATAGTTTGACTTGAGATAAAATTAAAATTATTTACTTTTTAAATGAAAATATATTGGAGTCTTATTCTTTCATAATATTTGCTTACTCCTCTAGTTCTACAAAAGACTCACTCACAATTTAAAATAAAGAAGCTGCACTGAATCCTTAAGCTATTGATTTTTTATTCTGAAACTTTTAATCAACCAATTTTTGAATATCAGATAGGTTATGTTAAGTAAGGATTTTATTAATAGAGGGGTTCTCATCAAGATAACTTAATGATGGCTGTTGTTAATATGGGTAACTACTCATTGATTTTTAGTGTTGCAGTGTAGATATTATACTATTTGATTATCTTAATTTCTATCCCTCTTTATTCTTAAATTCATTTTAGGTATTTGTCTTTACAAGTGTAGGTCTGCTTTTTTATTTATTATTGTTAGTATTTATACTATTCTTTTTCTATAAAAACTTTTTTTTGCTCTCATCTTTCAAATTTGTTTGGCTTTGTAATCTTGTCAAAGATATTTGACTTTAAGACTTTAAATCACTAGCAAAAACACTTGATTCCTATTCCAAACCAATGCTTAGATCTCCTGAATATAATTAGGATTAATCCAATTCTTATTTTTTATTCTTTTGCTTTTAATCTTGTTCATCAGATTCATTTTCATTTTATACATCAAATCTCTTAATGTTTTTTTAAATAGAGTAAAAAAAAATAAATAAATTAAATTTGAAATAAAATTAAAGAAAAATAAATTAAATTTTAATTAAAATAAATTATTTTAAATTTTATTGAGTTTACCACTTATTGTTTAATACTTTAAATTGCTTCATTCTAGTTGTTTTTTTCCTCGTGAGAGCTTACTTCTGTATCATTCTTGATATTTGATGAATTTTGATCTTTACCATATATTTCTGTTTGATTCTATTCTTAATCAAATTAAGTTTGTTCTCTATTTTCTTTTTCATTCAATAAATTCTTCAAATTTGTATTTTCATCTTCAAGAGTTGCAACTCTTTCTTTTAAGTTACTGATTAATTCGTTTTCATTACTATCGATTCTATTTCTAGATTTATTTAATTTTTCTATCATTTTTTCAGCTTATTCTTCATTAAAAAATGGATTATAGCCTCCAGGTTTGTTAAGAGTTGCTTTTGTTGCAATGACTTTGTCAGCCATTTCAAAGAACTCAGTTATTTTCTCATTTCTTGTATTGATTGATTAAGTTTCCAAATGATTGAATTCCTGTTAAGCATTAAATTGTTAGGCCATAGCCAATTTAGCTTGCTATAAATTTAAAACTTTTGAAGCATCTGAGTGCATTCTTTGGCTAGATTTGATAGCTTTCTTTTTGTTAAGTCTTTGCTGCTGTGTCATCAATTAACTTAGTTTTTCTTTTTCGTATTCAGTTTTTGATTAGATACTTCTTTAAGTGTCAGGTACAGCAGAAAGTTGTGGGGAATCCAAATTTGACCTAGAAGATTAATTAGATCTTTGTGAATTTAATTATGGGGAGTCTTTATTTGCCGATAAAGTTATGTAATTTTTTGATTTGGGTAATTCCAATAAAGAAGGAGTATTTACTCTTTACTATCCAATATCAGCTTATTTTAAAGCATCCATAAGTATTTGCTAACTTTACTTAACTTCTCTATTTCTTTTTACTTCTGCCTAACTAAGAGATGAATACTCACTAAATTTATCTTCTTAGTTTAACTTGAAACTATCATCAACAATAGAGTTATTTCTTATTTGTACCAAGGAATCAGATATCATTATGCTTGGAATTTTATTTTTTTTACTTTACTCGTCTGATTATTGCAAATCTGTCATAGAATCCTTTTATGCATAAAGAGGATTAAACTTGCTTAAAGATATGCGTTCTTCATTCAACATAATTATAGATTTCTAAGTACTCTAGGAGTTTTATTATGCTAATTAAATTTCAAATGTTTAGTTTTTTTTTAAGTTAACTTAATTAATTGGTGACTCATTTTCATCTAAATCCTCAATAAGTGGCTAAATATAATCATATGAATTCTTGAATCTTATTTTCTATAAAAATAAAAACCGTTTATAAATTTATAAAATAATTAATTAAAAATAATTTCAATTCAATTTACCTATTAAGATAAACTAATAATGTTATTTATGGGCTCATGCTGTTTTATTGGGGACTCTTATCTAAAAATGCTAAATGATGGTATTATGACATCACTCTGTTAAGATTTTTCTGAAACTTAACTCAAAGAAATATTTTTTTCCATACTTTCATCATAAACTATTTAATCTTCTGCTTCTTTAATTGAGTTAATGCTGTCAATAGCTGGAATAGAGTCATTCTAAGTATTAGATTGTTAAGATTTTTAAGATTGCTTTGGTTCACTTTATATGCTTTGAGAAATTTTAATATCTTTATTTTTATCTCCCTCAAAAGAATCAACAACTGATTTCTATTACTTATCTAGAGAATTATCCATCTATTTCTATTAATTATCAAAAGAATCAACAATTTATTTCTGTTATTTATCATGAGAATCAATAATTTATTTCTATTATTTACTATTAGTTAATTCTAGTAGATGACTTTTTATCTTTGTAAGACTAATAGATTGCTATTACTATTCTTGGTTGTCATTATTAAAGTTTTCTTATTTTGCTTATTAATTAAGTTCAAAGAAATCATTTTAAGATTCTTCATCTAAAATCTTCGTTATATTTTTGAATCCTTGTGTATTTAATGGGGTGCTTTATGATAATGATGCATTTTTTTACAAAGGGGTAATAGATTCTTAACTTTAAAGAGTTTGAGTTTTTAATTATTTCAAATCAATTTAGTTAACTTTTTCTTTCTTAGAATCAACGTCATCTGTTACTTCTAGTTTATTTTACTTCATACTATCTTTGAATACGTTTTTGTTTTGTAATAATTTTTTAGTATCTTCCTACTATGGATGATCTGTAATGAAAGTTGAACTTTCTCCCTTTTTTGTTTTTTTTTTAAGCTTGCTAAAAAATTCTTTTTCCATTTTTGATTGGACATAATCTTAATAGCCCAAAGAATTTTATTGTTTATACTTTTTTTTTCTTTCAGCTTACTAAGTTGTAGAGACTCTAATACTTTTACTTTAATTTGAAAGCTTTTAAGAAGAATAGCTTCTGTGTAATTACTACTTACTCTACCTATCAAGTGTGCTATTTTATTTATTAAATTATTCGCTAAATTCTTATGAATTTGATTTATTTTTCTTCTTGGTTTTTTTTAACTTTGCAGCTAATATCTCATTGACTGATTTAATAATTATCTGTTTTAGATCTTGTAAAATAGTTTATCTCTAATAAATAATTTTTTACAACTATGCAATATCAGAAAGTGATACAATATCAATTTCATCACTGTTTATCATTTTATCAATTGTCTTTTTAATAAAAATATCCTCTCGAGTATACACATTCAATTCAGTAGGAAGATTTGTTTATTGAGAGTTAATATTGCAATCTTTTAATTATAGATTCTAGTTTTTAGGACTCTAGCTCCTGCTTTTACTTTTAGACTTTTGAGCTGAGTTACCTTAAGATAATTTTTCTGTATTTTAATTATTTCTGCCTTCTTTTCCCTATTAATTTAATTCTGAAAATCTTTATTTATACCATCTTACTATTTCATCATAGTGGTTCATTTCTTATAAGCCTTAATCAATAATAAATTGTTAAAACTTAAACTAGCTTTCTAACTTTTCTTATTAGTTGCTAGGGTTTTCATTTTACTTTAACTGATTTATCTTAGTATCATCAAAATCAATACTCTTCATACTTACAGGCTGTGAGCTTTTAGCTGAGATTTAGTTTTTTATAAAATTTTTTTCTTTTAGCAAAGCACTAAAACTCTATGAAGAAACTGTATTATTGTTTAACATTTATACAATTTTATTAGGATTAGGTGTTTCTGGCTACTAAAGTTATTTCCAAGTTTCTTTAATTAGGTCTTTTGCTAATAAATATTTATGTAAACCGTGTACTAAATTATTTTCAGTATTTTATTTAGTCTCATTTTCTGAATCTGAAATTATTTATTGTATAGGAGGAGCAGATATATATTTTTATATATTATTTTATTTTTCTTCTTATGCTTTTGTAATTAAATAATTAGCTATTTTTAGCTATTACTCATATCTCATTCTGATATTTGGCTTAGACATATGAAATCTGTTGTAATTCGTTGCATTTTTTCTAGTCTGAATAAAATATTCATCATTCCCCTCTTTGTCAAATCTCTCTAAATGATGGTAGTACTCCTCAACATCCTTTTAAGTTTAGTATTTTTTTTCATTATCAGATGAGGGATTCTGTTAAGAATAATATCGGTTCTTTGAGCTAATTCTTTCAAAGTGATTTAATAAATCTGGATTATATATTGATTTGCAGCCAAAGTTGGCTCTCCTTGATAAGTAATCTTTGAGGGGATCGATTCCTGCAGAAATCATCATAAGCCTTATATCTACATCAGTCAGTATTTATTCTGATTAATTTGTATTGAAGTTTTTTTATGGAACCTACTAAGATACTTATTTCAAGTCAAATAAATTTTAACTTTAAGAAGTGTTAGTTTTATAAGTACCTACTAGCTTTTCATCTGTATTACGAAATCTTGTTCTGGAGATAAAATATTTTTGTTTCTAACTTTCGTTTAATTAAGATTTAATATCGTTTTAAATTTATGTTTGTTGTATTTGATTTCCTCCTTCAGAATTTTAAGGATCAGGTATAAAGCTTACTTAATCTGTTTAAAATTATTTCTGTTAACTATTTATTTATGCCCTTGATGCTATAAAGAATGGTTTTTAGATATCGAGAGTAAAGCAATTAGTACTATTTGATCTATTTATTGTGCTTTACAGATTTGATTTACTTTTTGATTATTTCCCTTAATTTTTATTTGGTTTTTTCTTTTTTTCTGTACTAAATGCAGTTTTTTCATTTTTAATAATTTGGGATGTCCCTTTTTAGTTTTTAACATATATTTTTTAAGAACTATTATCAGTATTTATTTCCATTTAATTTTGAGCTTCTAGTAAATCATCTAAATTTAACTAACGGTTATTTGCTGATTTAGGCTGAAAATCTAATAATTCTTTTTAGTCTTTATTTAAGTTAGTTATTGAGCTGGTTCTGTAATTTGTGAATTTGATGTAAGTATTCTTGCTCGCATAATCTCTAATTTATAATAAATTATTAAGTTATAATATATTTTTAATGTTTATCATTTAAAAAATTATTATTCAAATTAACCTATATTTAAGAGCTGGATATAATTAGTATTCTTATTCTCTTGTCAAAGGCCTTTTTTATGCATTTATGTAATTTTGAGTCTTTGGAATCTCCCTGAAACTGTTAGCTCTTTATAATTAAGAATTTTGAAAGCCTATCTAAGTCTAAAATTAAGCGGTAGGAGAACATTCAATTTGATGTTCTGCCATATTTTCAGTATCAATATTTTATATTCTATCAGATGGAAAAGTAAATTTCTATTTCATCCAATTTACTGAAGTTGTTGCTCCACTATATCCAGTACTACTTGGAGAGTGAAACAAAGTAAAAAAACTTTTTCTTTCTGAAGGCAAAGCTATTTCCTATACTTATGAACGCTTAACAGCATTATTAGTAGACATATCAAATGCAATAAAAATGTTTATAAAAGTAGTTTTTATAAACTGGCTTTTTGAAAATTCTAGTTATTAATTGTTAAATTATTAAATATAACAAAGTTTATGTTATTTTTACAATTCTTAATCAAACAATACCAAATTTTAGCAAATTAATTATTTTTTAGAGTTGTATCATAAAAAATACTTTAAAAAATAAAATCAGTCTGATAAAAAAAGTGATTTGATGCATAGTTTATTTCTTTATATTTTATATGTTATTTATTTTTTTATTTCATACATTTTCCACTTCAGTAAATGCTTATAAAATAAAAATAAAAAAAACAACCTAAGTAACACATTTCAGATAGAAGTAAAGTATTTAAATTTTAAGAATGTAAAGAGAAACTAAAATTGTACAACAAAAATAATAACCAATCCATACATTCTGATATTTTAATTTGCTTTATAGATATTCTTTTTATAATTTATTTTTTTTACTATTAAAATTGTTTTTTTTTTTTGATAACTCTAAAACTAGTTATTTCCCTTTCATTCACATTTATCAGAATTTAGGCATTGATATTCTAATTCTAACTTCTTGAGTTGACATCATATCCTTAAAAGTACCTCTCTTGGATTCTTATATAATAAACTTTAATAATTTTATTTAATTGAAAAAAAGTACCTCTTGTCGATTTTCCAAAGCTAAACATAGGAAGAGTTTACTTTCTTGAATCATATTGTGTACCTATTGCACGTCTTTGTATATAAATATAATTTAATTAAAAATATTCCACTATCAATTAATTCTTACGGTTTTGTATAGTGTGCATTAGATAAGTCAGCTTAAAAGCCAGAAAATCTTTCAGCATTAGGGAATGACCATTTTGGCTCATTTCTGATTTTAGATGTATTAGGTACATTTTTCTAAATGTAACTACCAGGTCCAACCTAAATAAATAATTTAATTATATTTATTAATTTGCAAATTAAATTAAGATTATTTGTTTTACAAGTTGAGGAGTTGAACTATTTGCAACCAAAGGCGAAAAGCCTTATATTTCTCTTCTAAAACCAAATGAAAATTTAGGAGGGTTAGGAATTTCATGTCTTAATGTAGGATTATATTAAGGACCAGGAGTACCTTTGTGTCTCTTAGGATCATTAGGGAACTGATATTATTAAATTATAACACATTGCATTTATATAAAATTAAAAAAGTAAATTTTTACTCTTAATTCTAACCCAATTCTTACTGTTGGAGCTTTAGGTCTTCTAAAAATATCAGCTTCTAAAGGATCAAACTTTAAATATAAAATATAATTTTTAATTTTTCAAGATATTTTTAATAAATCTATTAAACTTTCCTCAAATTAATTATTAAAATTAAATCATTTAAAAATTAAATTTAGTTTAAGCTATTTTTTTATGTAGGAAAGTTTGCCATATTTAAAAGTTTAATTGAATATCTTTTCCTTCTAAATAAAATAATTTAATAAATTTTCTAGTTTAAAAATCTCTTATTAGGTAAAATAATTTAAAGCGTTTTAAATTGATGAAACTTATTTATTTATTGATAATTTAATAGTTTGATAAATAGTGTTATTAGCCTGTTCATAAAATTAATCAATAGATAGATAGATGAATTATAACTAATCAAATTTATTACATCTACATCCTTTCTTAAATAGAAGTCATGCTTTGATCCAGTATTTAAAGTATTTCTCACTTCAGAACCAATTTTCCATTTGGGTGCCTTTTTAATTCAACATAATAATTTAAAATTGAATCTAAAAATATTTTTAAAGTCTCTCTTTCTTTATTTGTTGACTATTTAATTTATTTTTCTCTGAATACTCAATAGAACATAAAAATATTTACTTTTTAGTAAGTAAAGTAATCTGTATCTCTAACATCGTATGCAGGACCAGGAGAGCTTTTACCTTTTGAATAAAATTTGATTTGATTATTTAAAGTTATAATTATAAATGGCCTTTATTAAATGATCATATAATACTGAAGCTTAAGCAAAACAAATAACTAATAATTAAAATTTTGGTCATTTTACCTGCAAAATTAGTTTTTGCTAATTCCTTATTTTAAAATACTTTAGCTTATTTATTTCTATCAGCTGTACCAAAGCCATATTTTGGAGCAGTTGTTTTATGAGATAATCTCATTTTACCAAAACTGCTATATATTTCAGGATTTTCAAACTTTAATAAATCAATATATGTATAAATCTTAGGAGGTGCTTGCTCTTCTTCAACCTTATCTGCCATTTTCTTTACTTTGTGTATTATACTTCAATATGCTTTTAAAATTTGTTAGTGTCTTTATATATTCAATTATGGTTTCTATATTTTAACAACTCTAAAATATTCTATTTCAGGAGTTACTTTTACACCTTTTATTATATAACTATAATTTTATGATTTGAATTTATTATTATGTTTTCTTTTTCTTTATAAATCAATGAAACAGACTATCTATCTATTCATTTTTTCATTCATTCATTTACTTAATAAAAAAATAAATATAAATGATAAAATAGCATTGAAAATCCTATTATCCACTCCTTTAATTTATTTGTTTTGTTTGTTTACTTTTTTTTTGAAGTATTGAAAAGTACTTGATTGATTGAACCTTTTAACTTATCAAACGAGCACAATGATTGATATTTGTTAATAATTTTATTGATCATCTCTTTATTTTATTTTATTTTTAATATTATATCAGAAGATACATTCATATCCAATTTTTATTAATTTTATTTTATTTGTCAAAATATTTTATTTTGTTAATTTTTACAATTTTTAAGATTTTTCTTAGATTAATTTTTTAATGAAGGTATTTTATTTGTAATACCATAAATTAAATAAAATCAGCTGGCTAAATATTTTTTGGATAATTTTAAAAAATAATTTTTGAGGTAAATTAAAATAAAGTCTATAAAAAATTATTTAAAAAAAAACATTTTTATTATTGTTTTAAAATTTTTTTTATATATTTTAATTTAGAATTTATTTTATTATCGAAAAATGATGAAAAAAAATAGTTAATTGAATTTTTAATAGTAAAGGGTTAAACATGTTTTTATGATTTACAATTATTTTATAATAAAGAATTTTTCGAATCTTAAATTTAACATTTTTTTAGATATTTATTTATTTTGTTTTTGATAAATATTTAATCAATAAATTTTTTAATCAGGATAATTAATCATATGTATAATTTTTCTATGCATTTTAATTGATTCTTCATTTGGCATTCTTAAGTAATTCTAAATAGTAAAGAAAGAGCGAGCTTAAATAAAAATTTGTTTAGATCAATACAAATTAAAAAGAAAAAATAAGAAAACTAAAAATTTTATAAAAAGAAAACTCAAAAAGAAGAATATCAATGTATCTTCCTACTTTTTACAAGCTTTTCCATGAAACCAACGCTTTCAGACTCAAAAGATACGTTGGTTATGGTCCCCTTCTTTTAACTTGGAGTAACAAATAAGCTCTTAAATTTTATAATTAGAATGATTGAGTTTAAAGAACAGTTATTGATTATTTTTAAAACAAAATTTAATAGGTATTTGGACTTTATATCCTGCTCTCTACAATATGATTTACAGTGATTTCATTCCTCCCGAGAGAGGTAAATTGCATTTTATTTAATGAATTAGATTCAATATAATATTGAAAAATAATAAAATTCGTGATTATTAAATTTAATTTCTTAACTATAGGTGTCCCCAAAAGAATCGTCGATGCTTGATTTAGTAAAGGACATTAATTATTCCTCATATGGAGTAAATAGGATATATCTATCATTCTGTAGAGGTGTTAAATAAAATAAAGGAGATTTAGAACTTTACAGAATTCATAATATATTTTAAGCACATAAAAGAAAAATAAACTATGTAGATACTCATTCTTTATGTTTAGATTATTTTCTTTTAGATAATTACATATTGCACGATTCAAAAACTCTTAATTTAATTTCATTAAAGTTATCTTTTATTTGCTTTTGTAAGATTTTCACTTTTAAATAATAATTTCTGGATCAATCGAATTAATTTATTTGCTCTGCCAAATGGTGTTTGCATTTTCACATGCTAATTTAAAAGATAAATTATATCAAGCTATTTAGTCGTATTATTATGATTACTTATTAACTGTTGAAATTATTTTCGAAATCTAAATATTTTAAAAATCCATAAAAGAAAGATATCTTAAACACAAATAAATAGAAAAATAAATTAATTATTCAATAATAAAATATTCATTAAATTTTAATACATAAGGATTTAGTTAATTCCTCTGAATAAGTAAAAAATTGTTTGATGATTTAATATTCAAAACTAGGAACAGCTCTTAATATACAGTTAATAAAATTAAATAATCAAAAAAATATTATAAGATTTTAAATATGCTTTTAAGAGACGATTTCTAATTAATTAATTAGATTTTATTTTAAAGATATTTTATGATCAAATAATTAGCAGTATGTAAAAAATAAATAAATGTGTGTTTTAATGCATTTTAAAATTAAAAAAAATAATTTAGAAGTATTTTAATAAAGAAACAAAAAATAGCGTTTGTTTTTTATTGTTTTTGGCTTATTAAAAGCAACCAGTTTTTAGATAAAATAAGTGAATTTTAAATTGATTATATACATTTATTTATTTATATATTTATTTTCAAATTTCTAGATTATCAAATTTAAAAATTTGGTTTAGTTTATGCAATTTCTTTTTTAGTTGATGTTCATAATTTTTAGATATCAAAGTGTCTTGGGCAAATCTCTGTTTTGATTAATCTTAGCTTTTAATCTTATAGATATCTAAATATGAAAAATATGCTATTTATTATTCTTGATTATCTTAACTATCTTCTACATCTTCCATTTTGCAATTAATGTATTACTGCTATTTTATTTCAGTTTAATCATAAGCTAACTCTGACTGCATAGCATCAAATACTTCTTCATAATTAATTTTTATAGCTCCTTTTATGCTTTTCATTATTATTCTTCTTTTAATTTAATGATTGAATTATTATTTTTATGTTTCTTTATAGGGTTAAATTCTATAAAGTAGATATTTTATATTTTAAATTAATTTAAAGATAGTAAATAAATATTTCATAGAAATGTAAAGGTGAAAATAAATATCCTACTATTCACACTAATATGTAAAATAAAACATATTAAAAAATATTTTAATTTAATTAGATTAATATACCCAATAATTTCCTATCAATAGTCTCCTCTACCCTTTATATATTATATAAATATGATTTAATACTTTAGTAATAATTAAAAAAAACAAAAATAAACCTTTTTAAGGTCCATGATTTTTTTTTAATATTCTAATGTAGTCTTTTGTAAGTGCTCTTAAAGAGATTTAAGTTATTCTTCAGCCATAGTTGCACGAACTAGAAGCTGAGATTTATCTTTTTCCAATTATTTAACCATCTTTTCGTAATGCATAATCTATTTTAGAATGAAAAAAATTTAGTAGGTGTGAAACTATTGAATTATACCTTAGTTTTGAGCATTCCTGAATCACCAGAAATTGGAGCTATTGACTAGCCATCCTCATATTATTTTATCTATTTGAAATGACTATAAAATAAAAGAGTTAATCAAAATATTTTACTTATTTCATCAGTCTTTCATTTTCTTTTTGGAGAATAAATGCATCCCATTTTCTATTATCTTTTAACTATTTATTTATTAATAAAATACAAAGTTAAATCAATAGATAATTTTTTATAAAAAATCTACCATGGCAATTAACTTTTTATTTTCTTCGTATAAATCATTTCTTTCCTTCCTTAAAATTTCTATATTTTAAGAACTTGAGCCAGGTCTTACATTTGTCGATTTCATGTACTCGATTTCATTAAGCAATCTTTGTTATATATCAACCTCTTTATCAGCCTTCTTGTTTGTTTGGTTAAGTAATTAATCTTAGATAATTCTTAGCTCTTCTTCTAACTTTCTGTTTCTTTTTCTAAGACGATCTATTTCTACATTTTAATCTGCCTTTATAAAATATTTTTTATTTAAAAACTAATCACAAAACTTATTATATTACCACAAGAGCGCCTCCTAGCATTTCATCATCAAGTTAGGTAGGTGCATCTTTCTTTAGTATTTCTGGTAAAGGAACACCAACGGGAGCCCAATCCTCTGCTAAATACTTCATCTGGCGAGCATAATTCTTAAGAGCTTTAAAAAATAGATTTATATTTTTATTTGGTTTTTTTTAAATTATGCTTACATCTTATCTCCATTTTTAAGTTCTTATTGAGTCTCTTTTCTTTTTCAAGCTGCTCAGAAAGCTATATTTCTTTTTCATTATAACTTCTAATTAATTCCTCACGAGCATTCATATCATATCCAATTCTGATTGGCTTATCTGTTAAAATATTACAAATATTTTTATTAAAATAGCAAAATTAATCAATACTAAATAACTTACCTCCATTTGCTCCTCTTGCCTACTCAGAAGTAAATTAAATTAATTTATTTCTATAGACCGAACGCATTTCATCTAATTGAAGCTATAATTTTCCATTTTCGGCAGTCATTTCATCATTAAACTTCATGAGTTCGTTTAACCTTTCTTCTAACTCTTAAATTTTTCTTGATTATAGTTTGTTCTTATGAGTGAGTTCCATTTTTTAACTTTCCCATAAAAGTCTTTCATCTTTGTTCTTAATCAAGTTGCCTTCAACTTCTTGAGTTAGCTTATTGAATTCATTTTACTTTTCTCTAGTAATTTCAAAAAAGCCTTTCTCCATTTCTATCTTTTTATTGTCAATATCTATTCTATGCTATTGCTCTAAAATGTCATACTTAAGCATTTCTGTTTTCAGCCTCTCTATTTCTGCTTTAGCAAATACTAAGGCTTCTCTTTATTCCTAATTTTCATTTTCTAGCTTTTCAATCCTTTTAATAAAATAAATAAATACCATAAGAAAAGAATATTAAATTTCCAAATAAGAATTTTAAACCTATTGATAAAGCGAGCATTCTCATCATTTGTTGAAGAGGATTTCTTATAAATATCATTCATTTCATCATGCAAGGCTTTATTTTCATTTACCATGTTTATTAATTCCATGCCTACATTTTAATTTTTTATTTTTTCATCATCTAATTTCTTGTTGACTTCAATATAATTTTTTTTTAATGCAACAAATTCAATTTCAAGCTCACGTTTGTCATCAATTACTTCCTTTAATCTATCTTACAATTTTTATATTTATTCTAAAGCTTTCTCTTCTTTAATCTTCAATTCTAACAGTTCACCATCTGCATTAAGTAATTTATTACTAGATTCATATTTTTCAGTTTAAATAATTTCCATTAAACGAGTATTTTCTATTTGAAGCTCTACCAGTGCTTTACTGACTTCTAATTTTTCTTCCTCACTTTTAATTAATTCACTTTGCAGATCACCTTTATCTCTAATTAATTAGTTGTACTTCTCTCTCATTTCTGTTAGCTTTGAAGCGAACCTTTACCTTTCTTCATCTAACCTTATCTTGTCTAAATCTTTTTCAATCAATCTTCTTTCAAGATCTTACAATTTCTAATTACCAAGTTCTCCTTCAATACCAGGCATATTGTACCCTCCCAATCTATTATTACTTGATGCTGCAATAGCTTCGGCTCTGTAACGTTTAAGCAAACCTATTGCCTTTCCATCATTAACTATACTGAAATTTTAAATATTTGAAACTCTCTTCATCATATTAAGAGTGTAAGAACTACCTTTAGGATCTCCATTTTTTAAACAGAAAATACCAATAGATATACTATTACCTCCTAAAGCATCCTTCATCATGTGAGTTACAGTAGAAGTCTCAGTTAAGAAATAATCCTTTTTTAATGTAAATTTTTAAAATTTCCATTAAAAGAATAATTAAACTAAAATTGTTTACATCTTTTGATTAGTTTTAAGACATGTCTCTAAGAAGTGTAGTTAATGCTATAATACTTTTGTTTAAAGTAGAACCTTATCTAACTCTTATGGACTCAGGATCATCAAGCATAATTTCACTTCCTGGTAAATCAAAAAAGTTAAGTCTAGAGAGAATAGTAACATTCTCAATAGCACTATCATTTACTAACTCTTAAGTTTGAATAAGTTCGATAGTAAATATTGATGTTGCCTTAGAAGACAACTTTCCAAATTCATTAGAAGTTTAATTTCTTCTTTTTCTACCTTCAGTTAAAAGCTAGCTTAATTAAGATTGATTTTATACAGTTAAAACAGTAGCATTTTAAATAGTTGGCCCTTCCCAAACTGTTTCCTTAACAATCAAAGCATCTGAAAATTAATTACCAGCATTTCCAAGTAAATCAGTAATTTCTTCATCAATTATTTCTACATAGCGGACACGTACTCCATAAGAGTAGTTTTAAAAATTTCCTTAATTTAACTTGCTTGAATGATGCTTACGAGTTTCTAATTAATTAAATAATGAATCTGCCATTTGTAAAATAAGGCCTGCTTCTCTTGCATTCCCTTCTAAAGTAGCCGATTTTCCTGAACCTGTAGAACCAAAAGTAAATATTGTTATATTATAACCCATAACTAAAGGCGTAATATGTCCTCTAAATAAATTCTAAAACATAGTTGAAACATCTGTTTCAGGCCCATAAACTTCTTAGCAATCATGTTCTTCAATAACTTTAAATTATGAAAAATAAATTTAAAATGGATAATTTATTTATTTATCTTTTATATTTGTTTGATTAAATTCTCTTTTTATTTCTTTGCTGTGAATTGATAATTACTTCTTTGATTTGAGTCAGTGAGCGATATTGTATTTGCCATAATTTTTACATCTTCTCTTTGAAAGTTAGAGGGTGGTATAACCCTAACTAATGTTCTTATAGGGTTACCCTTAATAATATTCTAATAGGGAAAACTCATAGATTTTCAGTAAATCTATTAAGTTGTGTCAAGAAATATTTTAGAACCTAAGTTTTGTTGAAATTTCACCTGTCTTTTGGTATAAATCAAACTATTAATAAATTTACTGCTTTACAAATCAACTAGTTAGTTTTTTTGTTAAATAGATAGTTAGTTATATGCTTATTTTATCAATTATAAATAATAAATAAATAAGATAATTAGTAACTTATTAGAAAAGTTTGCAAAATCTTTTTGGTATTCAATCGGTGGTGGAAATAAGTGCAGTCATTAAATATATAATAATTCTAATTATTTAAAATCAATAATTAATAATTCATTTATCTTTTTTGAAAAATTAAAAAATTAAAAAGAAAAGATTGACAATAAATTTATAAAAATAAATTATTTTATAAAATTCTTCTTATTTTAATTATCTTTTTTTAATGTTAGCAAAAATAAAGTTTAAGATTTTTAAATTATTATCTAATAGATTATATTAGATTTATAGTATTTGCAAATTCATATAAACTTATGTACTAAGATAAATAAACTATTGACTTATTTGCTTTGCTTATTTTTTAATTTTGATTACCTGATTGCCACAATCATTAAATATTCTATTAAAATAATAAATAAATAATAAATAAAGATATTTATTTACAAATCTATTTGTTATTTTTGACAAAAAAATAAAGGAATATTGCAAACAAGCAAGCAAGCGAGCAAGCTACTTTCTTTAGAGGCATAACTTATTTTTAATTTTAAAAATTTGTGGAATACAATATGTAAGTATTAGCTAGTAAAAGGATAAATATTATTTGCTATAATATTCACCATGGAGCTGATGTTAATGATAATTATAATATTTAAAAAATTATATCAACGATTGAGAATCAGAATCCAGATGTTATATGCTTGTAAGAAGTTGATAATAATTATTCAGAAAGGAGCTTAAATTAATTATAGCCATAAATATTAACTTAATAGATTTAAGGTATTAAAGAAAGTTATTTCTCGCCAACAATAAAAAATAGTTATGGAATACTTACTTTGTCAAAATAAAAAATAATTGACTACCACACATAAATCTTAACTACTGGTTTAAAAGAAGATAGAACATTTTAATACTTAAAGTTATAAAATGGATTATAAATAATTCACTTTCATTTAAACAATTCTTTTGATCAATAAAGAAGTAGATATCATTAGCTTTTAACCATTTTTGAAATATTAGATAAAAAATAATTGGATATTAAAAACAACACTATAATTTGTGGAGATTTTAATGAAGACTGTGATGGATAAAGATACTGTGAAGAGGAATGTGTTTTTGATTTGTTGGAATAGAAGAAGTTTTTTAATGCTAAAAAGCTTTATGAATAAAAGAGTGGAACATAGGATAATTTATATACGTTTTCTAGGAAATATAAGAATATAAATATAGATCACTTTTATGTAACCAATGATATCAATATTAATTCGTTCAAAATTATTGATTCTGATGCTTCTGATCATAACCCAATATTTTTGTGTGTTTAGTTATGAAACATTTTAAAGCGTAATTTATTTTAACTTTTTTTAAAAATATATTTTATGTATAGAAAAATAAAAATATATTCTCTTAAATATGCTTTTATGTTTAAAATATTTATTTAATATGCATGTATGTTAATCATAATTTTAATGGTTTAGGTAAAATTATACATTATTAATATATTTAGATAGATAATTTATATAAATTTTTATATCATAAATTGTTAATTTTTTATACATCAGAAATAAAAATATTATATAACATTACTCATATAAAAAAATCTTGTAAAATATAGTTTCTCAAATTAAAAAATTATTTGCAAAATAAAAAATTTAAATTAGATTCTTTTTTATTATAAAATAAATATAAATTAATAGAGAAATATTACAGAAATTACAATTATCATACTAAGTGTTTTATTTTTATTCAAAATTTGATTAATTAATAACTTCCTAATGATTAGCCATAATCAGTCTAATTTGAGCCAAATTCTGAAAAAAAATGTCAATAAACTCCTCAATATGCTATAACCTAAAAAGAAAATATACAAATTATTCTACAAAGATCTAGCTTATAATTTAGAGCCTTTAATCCAAATTTAAATGCTTGTTTCTATTTTTTTCTATACTTTTAATTTGAAATTTTATCACAAATTTTATTTTTAAACAATTTTTTAATTTGCTAAACTAGAAATAGCAAGTTTTTTTTATAAGATAATGCTAAAGATATTTTCAATAAATTTTTTATTTAATTTTTTAATTTATTTAAAGGCTTATTAAAAAATTTTTAAGGCGAATTTGAATACTATTTAAGGTTAGTATTTAAATATTATTTTAATATTCTTTCGATTTGATTTTCTTTATTTGAATAGATTCAATATATCATTCACTCATTAATTGTATTCTTAAAATTAGTTTTTGATAAATTATTTGAAATAATATCATTTTACATTAAACAATTTTGAATTTATTTAACAACAAGGATATTTGGTTAAAATTGTATTCTATCATAAAAAAATAAATAGTCTAATATATTTTTACTAAAAATTTTTATTTAAGTCAAAACAAAATTAGCTAAATAAAATTTAAATATTAAAAATTTTGTGAATTGAATTAATAAGATTATTTTATTTTTATTTTTTTTTGACAAAAATATGTTAATGATGTATTACTTTGAATAGTTTATTTGGATGATTAATATTCGCATGATATAAATTAGTTTTACTGCTCTGTATTCATTAAATTAGAATCAAATGTGTACTTAACCCCTACCTACTAAAATAAATTAGCAGAGAAAATTGACGGGTTAATAAAAACAAAAACGCTTGTAGAATAAAAAATAAATAAAATTAGTGATAAAAAACAATAATTTGTTAAATAACTGTTAATAATAAAATTATTTGTATAAATATGAACTAATAATTTATAAATAGATAGTACCAGCTAAGAACCATTCCCAATAATCAATAGCAAGGTTATAACTTAGCCATTAACTCTATTCCTAGCTATACACCATTACTACATGGAAGCTCTAAGTTAAACAATATACCACCATTTTAGCAAGTTTAAAATTAATAAAAATTAAATTAACCGCAACTAATGATGAGTCCTGGACCTAATTAAAAGCATTTCCTGTAAAATGTACCTTTGGTACAAAGTTTACCATAGAATTATACAACCTCATTTAACTTTAGTCCTTAGTAAACACAAAAGGTAACTACTTAGAAAACACTTTCACCGAACTAAGTAATGAGCAATACATCATCTGCAAATTTTTATTCTAGCAACAAAGAATAGTAATAAAATGCATTAAATAATTTAACTTAGCAACATATTTAATCAATAAATAATGCCTATTCGAGCAGTAAGCAGTTATTTCTTTCTCCTAGCAACACACACTCAAACTCTTCCTAAAAGGACTAAGAAAAATCTCAAGAAAACAACTAAAACCAAAAAAATTCTGAGTAAAATAGGCCTAACTCTTAAGGTTCAAATAATAATGAAATATTAAATACTCAGCCTTCAACCAAAACTAACTCTGTAAATTAAAGCTAATTCTAAAAATAGTAACAATTTCCATAAGTTCAAAAAACTCCAGATAGAGCAACATAAAAATCACCAAATTTTAGTTACTTAAGCCCCTCATTATTTTATTTGTCTGAAAAAAAAGTTGAATAAGCAGTAAATTCAGCAGGGAATTTAAAATAAACTCAGAATTAGTAAAAACCTAGTGGATTTAATAGCCCAACATAAAAATTTAATACAGAAAATATAGAGATTCAATAGTCTTAGCATTAAAATGTAAATAGTACAAAAAAAGAAGATAAATATTACTTAAATACACTGTAATCAATAGTATAAAAACCATAAAATTAAATTTAGACGTAAAAAGATTAAAGCTAATTAATTTTATAGACAAAGACTACTTTAAATGACTCTAAAGACGATTAAACGATAAATGAAGAAGGTGAAGTTCTCTAAATATCTTAAGCTCCTAAACTAGCTTAAAACGATATCTCCAAGCAAGGATAGTCAAATTTAAAAATTTATAAGAACAATTTAATAGAACAAAAAAAGCTAAAAATTCCTTTAGAATTAACTTACGATGGTAACTAAATAATAGAAGGTAATTAGATTTAATGTTAGGCTAAAAGCAATTATGCAAGTATTTAAACTAACACACTTACAGAAACCAATGACAGATATCCTGATAGCCTATATTATACCAGATCTACTCAAAATTAAATAAATTAATCTAGATAAAAAATATTAAGTATAAGGGAAGAGGAGTCAGATTTGATTAACAATCTGAGAGAGCAAATAAAGTAGCTAACACATGAAAACACTAATTTAAAGAAAGAATTATTTGATTAAAGATAAGAATATAAAATATTATAAAGCAGTCATTATGAATTAGAAAGGAAGTACATTTACCTGCAGAATTAAATTGTACTACCTACTAGCAGTTGCAATAGTTCTTTGATAATATTCTAAGAAGATAAAAATTAATAAATTTTGTACGACATTGCTAATAATTGCAGCTCTTTGACAAAAATATAAAGCAAGAATTCATTCACGTATCCTTATAACTAAAATAGTAACAGCTAACTGAATAAAATGAGCTTTAAGAGAGAAGCTTCACCAACAAATCCTGAATATATCCACTAATCCTAAAATCAATAAACCATCAATAAATAATTCTTCTCTCCTTAAGCAAATACAAACAATAATAATCTAGAACATAATAGTTAGTTATATAATTCCATTAATATAGATAGCTAATTATTTTCATCTAATTTGCCAAGCTATATTTAAAAAAATAACTAAAATTTCCAATAAAATCGTGAAGAAGATTACAATTACAAGAAAGTTAACAACAGCAAATTAGATGGAGGTTCCTCTAAAGTAGCTAATTTCGTGTAAAACAAATCAAAAACCTAAGAAGAATAATAAAATAATTAGTTTATCAATAGTAAAATTAATCTAAACAAGGTATATCAATAGGATATGACTAATTCACATACTTAATATTAAATTAATTAAATATTTAATATATAAAGTGAAAGATCATATTTAAATGAACAATATACTTAATAAAAATCGCCTTCTTCAAACCAAGCAAATAAATAACCAGAATATATTTCAAAAACCCCAACTACTACTAATAACAATAATAATAATAATAATAATAAGATTTCAAACAACTATTCTTAACTAGACATTCAAGAAGCTATAAAAAAAGCTGATGAAATACTAAGAAAAAGCCATTACGTTCCAAATTAAACAAATTAAAATGATTTTGTGATAAAACGTGCAACTACATAGTACATTTAATAACCACATAAGTGAAACTAATATTTTAAAAATTTTTAATTTTAAATAGCTTATTAAGCTAAATTTTCATATATAAAGTGTATTAATTGTAAATTTTATTTGTATTGCGCAAATTTGATATAAAAAAATTATTAAAAGATTCTATTTTTATTAATTTTTAAATACTTTCAATGTATATATATAGGTGAGCTATTCAAAATTATTAAAAAAATTAAAATAATTTTATTCGAAAATTATATTGAATTTAAAGCTCATTAAAAAATATTTTAAAATTCATTTGTAATTTTAAAAGAATAAATGAGATTAAAGCAAAAATGAATGGTTTATTAATGGATAACTTGCGCTTTGAGCAAATCAATTTGAATTTTGAAAATTGAATTTTAACTTGAATATGAGTTGTTTAATAATTAAATTCAAAATATATTGAAAATATATTGGGAAGAATAATAAAATTATTAATTAGCTTAAATGCTTTGATCACTGATATTGAATTTTGATATAACCTTGCTTATTAATTGTCAATAGAATCTATGAAATTTAATATACAATTGAAAGAAAAAGAAAAAAAAGATAATTAAAAAAATTTTTAAGAAAATACAAAAGTTGCCTTATTAGAATAAACTAAAAAAGGGAAAAAATAAATAGTGAATTATTGAATAATAAGCAAATAGGATTTATATTTAGCAAGCTTTACATAGTTACATACATAAATATCTTATTTTCTTTATTTATTTTTCTACCAATAACAAACAAATTCCATTAGTTAACATTATCAAAAACTTATTGTTAAGCAAAAATCATCCATCATAACATTATCTATTTATTGTTAAAATAATAACCAAAAAAAATGAATACTACTTTAAATAAATACAATAATTTATACCAAAAAATTGTTCAAGGCTCTCACCATAATCACATGTTTGATGAAGAGTATTACGCAGATGAAGACATAAGTAATGACATCGCTCTATAGGCTATTCTACGCAATAAAAAATTATGTGGTCCTGTTCTCTATACCACCACATTTGGATTTAAAAACAATATTTAATTACAGGGCTAGCAAAGCAAAATATCATAAACATAAAAATCTTTCGGGGCTATGTCAAACAAATAATAAAAAAACGGGGCTTTCACATACGATAGTTTAAAGCAAAAGATCATACTAAAAGATATTATTTCAGATGCAGCTTCGACTATTAAAGCTCCCGTAGCTACTCGAATTGTAGAGTATAATCTTTAATCTAAATAAATTAAAGATACAAATATTCATGACTTGATTAATAATTTAGACTACTTTAGTTAGTTTTCCATAAAAGAACTTATTTTGAATCTTTCATAGAACCCTTTATGCGATAATGGATTCGTCTAGTTAATTAATCACCTCCCTATATTCACTACTGCAGAATTAATCACAATTAATCTTGAAAACACTCATATCACAGATCACTCTCTACGTTCTCTAAATAGAATCTCTGGACATTTTGAAAATTTAAAAGAAATGTAGTTATTGCTCAAAAAGACTTTAATCACAGAGAAATAATCATTCACTCTTGTTGATACTTTTAACAATAATGGAATCGATCTAGAAGTTAGTTGTGATTTTGATAAAGTCAATATTTACTCATCTGAAGTTTCACAAAACGCTAAGCAAGGTGTAGAAATGACTTAATCCAATATTAGCAACTCTTCAAATGTAAGCAATTTAAGTAGAGCAAACTCAAAGCTTCAATCTAAAATAAATGACAAAATTACTACTTAAGTATTTAGTACTGGATCTTTTTCTTAAACTAATATAGGATCTTCAGAAATGAATGTATAACCCTTTTCATCTTACTACGGTAATATGACTTTACAATAATAATAATCTTTATAATAATAGACCAATTCCTTCCAATAAAATTTCAATAAATCTTCTCTAGGCAGTAACTTAGGTATGTCATCAAGTTAAATAAGCTAATCTCTACAAGAAGAAGACGTTAAACGTAAAAGTCCAGAAGAATTAGCTGCAGAGAAGAACTATGAAGATGGGTATGGAAAAGGTTTTAAAATTCTTATGGGATTAGGATATAAAGTGGGTAAAGGTCTAGGAAAAAATGATTAAGGCATAACAGAGCCAGTTTAACCATAAAATAAAAGCAAATTTAAAGAGAATAATCAAAGTAAAGCAAGTATGGACTACTTTGAATCATTATCAAATAAAACTCAATCTTAGCAAGGTTTATCTAAAATGGTTAAATTTGAAAAGAAATCTACTCTAATAATCAACTAAAAACCTACTGATTAAGATACAGAAGATGACAATACATCACCATCGACATCTAGTAATTCAAAAATAGAGTAAATGGAGCTCTAAAAAACTTCATCCTAGTCAAAGGGCTCTGCAAATATAAAACAAAATAATAATCTCTCTCCATTTAATCAATATTAAGGAATTAACATGTATGGAAATCCAAATCAATAATAGCTTTTGCATTAAAACATTTCAACAAGCCCATTTATTGGAAATAATTAATAACCATAACAACAACTTCTCATGAGTTAGTAGTAGTAATAATAATAAATGCATAATTAAATGTAAATGCATCAATAATAAACACCCTTAAATTAATATGTAGCAATGTAGCTTCATCCATCAAGGATGATGTGATTTTCCCATCCATATCATTATATTTAAATTTCAATTGAATGACCATGTTAACTATTTCATTAATTAATTAATAAAAAAAATAAAAAAGATTTTTGGTATATTTTAAAAGCCATAAAACTTTCAAAAGATTGATATTGAATTATCAAAAAAAAATGCTACTATATTTCAAAGAGTAATTTACACTGAATTAATAGCTTTACTAAAGCAATTTTTAGTAATAATATTTATAATTTAGAGTTTCAATTTATTTTTAAAAAATTAAATAAATAAATAATATATAATTTAATTTATCTATAAGAATATTTCTATCTACATTTACTAGTTAGCTAATCATAAATATAAATTAATTACTCATTTCTTATTAATTTTCAAAAAATCTATCTTTATCATTTGCTAAATATCAAAAGTATAATTTATTATAAAAATAACAATTTTTAAAATTCTTTTTAAATATCTAAAATAAATTTTGGAATAATTTTACAAAATTAATTGAATTGGGAAACTTAAATTCCTAAAAAAATTTAATTGTTATATTTAGATGTAAATTTGATATTATAATCTTTCTTTTTATAAATTATAAAACTAAATTCAATTATTCTTCTAAGTTATAAAAAATTAAGTTAAGTATTTAGTTTAGCTATATATGTGTTCAAGTAATCAAATTTTTTATCTATTTATTAGTTTAATACTAAACAGATATTTTTACTTTATATTTTTAATTTATCTCAAAAATTGCTTAACAAACAAAAGTTTATTAAAGTTTAGTTTAATTTTAGAATTAAATTTAATAATAGCTTAATGTATTAATTTAATATTTAAATACTTTCTAAATGACATCTTCTTTTATTAAACTCATACTTGAATTAAATTATCACTTTTTACAATTTAATAAAATAATTAAATATTGAATTAACATAAATTCTTTGATTTAATCTCCTTCTGTCAAGAAATTTCATATTTTATAAGAAATAAATTTTATTAAATAAAGATTGATAGTTTTTGTTAATTTTAAATTTGATAATATGATATTAACAAAATAAATGTAAAATTTACAAATTTTTATTTTAATCAATTAATTTATTATTGGTTCATTCTAAATTTTGCAAAATAGTACGAAGATTTGCAACTAAGAATTCACCATCTTCTTTAGAATATTCAGCTTCAACAAGCTTATTTTTAAATATTTATATTTATTTAGATGTAAGCCTTTCTTTTAAGTTACTGTTATGATAGGATATTCTCTAAATAATCACAGAGAGTTTTTCGCAAATATTATAATTATTTGAATACTTTTCGAATATTACTATAAGTTTTGAAATAACATTATCTTCACTAATGTCTTAAATAAATTGATTGTAGTGAGACCCATTCGTACACATACTCCACATTAAATTTGTGCTTAGTTCTATGAGCAAAGCATCATCTTTGCTTTAAATCATGCGCCAGACAAGTATCTCTACAAATCCTATATTAATTATGTAGCTACGTAAAAAGTCATTTAAATTCTCATTTTCATTACTGATGTCGATCAATATTGATTATATAGCATTTATGCTTTCTTTGCTTATAACTTAAAGTATTAAAGTCATAATTTACAAATCTATTCTTGTCATTAGTGTATATTTTTAATTTTCAAATTATAGACTTTTTGACCCAGCATTGCTCTTTTCATTAGCAGCAGAGTTTTCAGTAAAATCAAATACCATTGCTAAACCTTAATTATTTTGAGCTTTTCCTTGTTACTCTTAGCTTGAATTAGGCACTTTTCTTTTTAACAAAAGCTCTGAATGATCCATATATTATTTAAATACTTAGAGCATCTCTTTTTAGACATCTTCATTAGAGAATAATTAGAAGCTAACACTTGAAGTTTATCCACTTAATCTAGATAATGCAGTGTTATTCTTTTCTCCAGTTGTCGATTTTTTAGGAATCACTTTTATCTTTCTCTTCCAAAATGCTGTTTGTGGGATAAAAGTTAACTCTGTAGGTTTTTTTGGATTCATCATAATTTCATTAATGTGGTCTTAGTGAGATTTAATAATATTCCTTGTACTTTCAAGTATTTCTTCTGAAAGAATAGAATTTTGCATTGGTTTTTTATTTTATTTTTAATATTGTGTATATCTAAATTTGAAGCTAATAGCTCTAAACATGAGATCAACTATCCCATAAAGATGCTTGGGGCTGCATTATTTTACTAAAAGAGAAGGAATAATTTCAACAAGATTACTAACAAGATTATTAAAACATGGATAAAGAAATTCACCAACATCGATTTAAGAGTTTTTAGCAGCAGCAATACTTAAATCTATGCAACTCTCACTTAATTGATGAATAGAATCATTTTAGCCTTTATTATTCATATTTATAATCAGTGGAAGAGTAGTCTTAATGTTATTCATTATTATTTAAACTACACTCATCAATACTTTTACTTCTTCATCTGTTGTTGTACTAGCTCCCATAGGACCTATTGGACTCTTTTTCTTCAAAGCTGTACCTGTAGTAGATTGAGCTGTAGTGGAACTTCCTCCTATTTTCTTCTTACCTACTATTAATCCAGTATTTTGGCTTCCCTTTAAATCCGTGTTATTCCATTAATTAATTCCATTATGAAGAGCTTAGTTTATTTCATTTATAGTTATTTCTCCCATTTTAAGCTCATCTTCATCCATTGAATCAATTTTAATAGGAGAAGGCATATCAGCGTTCTGGCCAACGTTAGAAGAAGCATTTCTCTTATTTGTTCCTTCTGATTATCTGAACTATGATTCAATTCTATAATATTTTTTAAAATAATTAAAAAACTATAAACTGCAATTCAGATAAAAATATATTAAAAAATAAATAAATAATACCCTGATTCTGAGTATGAAAGAGGAGCGTTAGCATCAGGACTGTGACTGACTCGTTATTATCTAAGATTATTTAATTATTACATATTACCTTGTAGTTCTTTTATATATTTTTCTAAATCTTTATGCTTCTTTAAGAGATTGTCATATTTCGACTAAAGAGTTGCATTTTTTTCTTGTTCTATAACATATTTCTTTTCTAAATCTTAGGTTTTAATTTTTAAGAATTCAGCTTGTTTTTCTTAAGCAGCTAATTTTGATTTAAACTTGTCTGCATTTGCAGAAGAGTTAGATGTAATCTACTTAATTTCTTTTGATTTGGTTTCTATGATTTTCATTTTATTTTTGAGATTTCTTTCTAATTAAATAATTTTTTTGTTGACTTCAATACTTCTCTCTTTGACTGCTTCATCTAAACTGAAAATCATTACATCGTATTCTCCTTTCAATATACTCTTAAAATCTTATTCTTTTTACTTTAGATTCTGCTCACGTTCAATCAATGACTTTTCTTTTTTTGCAAGCTCTTTGCTTTTTTATTCTAAAATTTTGCTTAAACTATTAATTTCTTAGAATATTTTCCTATTAATGTTATCCTTTTCTCTTTATTTTGAATCATTTTTTATTGATTAAGCTATGCTTGTGATTCTTTCTCTCAATCCACCATCTTTTGTGAAAATTTACAAAGCATTTAATGATATCTTTTCTTCGTCATTTGTTGTTAACTTTGTTTAAAGGATTTCTTCAAACTAGATCTTATCTATATCTTCATCAAATTTAACTATGTCTCCAAACTCACTTGCTATTAAGTCAAGGAAGTGTACAAAATAAATACTGTTATCAAAAGAATTGTAGTTTTAAGCAAAGTGCTTGATTAAAAATTGCTTTGTTTCCTAGTTGCTTATAACTTCCTCTATTTGCTCTATAAATTTTTCTCTCTATATTTCGTGTTCAAAGTGTTATTAATCTCTAAAGTTATAATTATTTAAATTAGGAGGAGATTACATTGATGATATGCTTTGTTATTTTTAAGAATATGTTAGTCCTGTAGTAGAACTCTTTGCAGCTTATTCTGCACTCTATAGTGTTTTTTAATTATCATATAAGTAATATTAATTCTACTAGTAGCTATTATTGCTCACAAAACTTTCATTATTAGATTTCGTTTCAAATTTAGAAGTAAATTATCTCTCTTTTGAGTTTGGCAATTAATTATTTTCGTCTTGAGAATTATCTATGATCGAGTCTTATTGGAATAAGTTTCTTTGTAATTTTTATCCTGCTAACATTTATTCTTATTGATTTTATTAAATTTGTACTTCGTTTTATTTTTATATGTAGAGGCTTTGCTCATCAAAATCTTGAGAAAGTGTTACAAATTTTTAAACTTGATTGTCTTATTCTTAATTGTAAACTTGCTTATTATTTAAGTTATCTAAATTATATTTTAAATTTTATACATTTACTTATTATTGATTTAGGTTTTATTGGTGAGAATTTTAATGAGATGATGTATTTTATCTGTTGTTTTTACTTTAATTAAAATTATTCTTTTTTGCGAATAAATTATTTTATTGCTAAGCATTAAGCTTAATTTCACTGTTGGATATCGCACTTTAAGAGTATTCAGTTAACTCTTCTTAATTTTAAACAGGGCTTGTTTAATTTTAATGTTGAAAATTTTGATCTTAATATTAGTATTAAAAGTTGTTCATGTGACCTTGTTAATCCTAATACTCATGTTCCTCTACATTCTAAATATGGTCTAAAGCAGATATTTATGAAATTTCATTATTTTCATTGAGCTAATATGCCCCTATAGATTATCCTTTTTGATGAATTATGCTCTGATCATCTAAGAAATTACTCTTATTAATAACATTTTTTTCTTAAATGAATGAGTTCTTTTAGTTGATATTTATTGCATTATCAGTTTTTCTATCAGTTATATTATCTGTAAGAACATTACTAATATTAATATTGCTATTAGATTTATTATGAATAGGTAAAGGAGCAATATGCTAACTATTCTATCCGGAGCCTATAAATCTACCAACCAAAATCATATTATTGTTATTTCTGCTACTATTGTAGATGGTTCTTGATATATTCTTTTTATCACTATTATCCAAACTCTTGTTGGGTTAGTTTCGAGATTAATCATTTTCTATAAAAGAGTATCTGCTCTATAGAGTACTGTTTTAAAAGCGTGAATTTATTCCTAATACAGATTACTAGTTGTTGTTAACAAGTTACTCTGATTAATCCAGTCTTGATGCTCGAAGCATAGAAGATTAATTAGAAATATTATGTTCATCAATACTTGTATTATTTTATTAGGGTTAAGCAAAGTCCTATTATATTTAGTAGTTATTTTACTGGTTTTAAAGAGAGTTTCCACTCATGTTAAGCTGCTTTTACCCACCATTCGAAGAATCTAAAAACTAATTAAGATGATTTTCCCAAATTTTTGCCATTTTATTATTTTAATAATTGCTGCTTTCTTGAATTTAAGGACTTTTTTTTTCTATTAATTCATTATATAAAGAATTATTTTGTAAAATATTTTAATTCTTCTTTCCACCAATTATCAATCCAGCTGTTTTATTTGTTCCCTAATGTACGTTTAGTTTAGAATTAGATGATTCCAACTGATTAAATGCCTAAGAACTGTTGATACTGCTATTTACAGAGGCATGTTAATTTAGATTATTTTGTTAAACAGCACTATTGAAATTACTTGAGCTAACACTAGTATTCATAAGCTTCTTTTTTACTTCTATCATTTTTAAGCGCGTATTAAGTTCTCTATCAAAAGACTATTCACTTTCAGTGTCTTCAAAATAATCCTTTTCTCTCAGCTTTCTTAATTAATCTGCAACTCCACTTTCTTCATTATTGCTGCTATCATAATTTTCAATATCTTCTATATCTTCTAAGCGATTTGTTCCATATTGCAAATTCGATTGTTTTAATTTTTTTTGTGTTGATTAAATTGAACTGTTTTGTGAACCACTCATATTAAAATTACTGCCTGCAGTTGTTAAAGGAATATTAGTTGACTCTGTTTTTCTTTCTATGTAAGTGCTTGGTTTTATACCTACTTTTTAGTCTGATAATATGTCAAACTTTTCACTTTAAATTGTATTGTCTTTTTGCTAGATCTAATTCATCATATTTTTATATCTTTACAAACTTTCAGTTAAGCTGTTTCCTTACTAATATCCTTTGCTCTGAGTAAATTCATAATTACTGTTATTTGCTATTTGTGAATTCATAAGTGAGGAGTCATTTGAATATTGACCCATAAGAGCGCTTTAATTTTTTGAATTATTCTACTGAGAAGACTTAGTGCTTAGTCTAATTTTATCATCATTAAACCTTGGGCTTTCTACAGATTCTAAAGTAGGTCCTCCCTTTTTATTATGAGCAAAGGTCATATTTGACCCTTCATCTCCACCACTGTTATTTTCAGATTAAAATCTTGAGCTATTATTTGAATACATATAATTAATTTACTTATATTGCTAATTATATTAATTTTAAAAAATCAAAGTAGTTTGTTTGAATAATATAAATAATATTAAATTTGTTTTACCAATGCTTTTTTGAATTTACTTATCACACTCATATAATTTTTTAAAAAAAAGCTGGCATCAAAAAGTAATTAATATCCTCCACAAAAGGGATTTAAATTTATTTAATTATTCACTTACTTTTGTCAATTAATATTATTTTTAATAAAAATTGCTTTATTTAAAATAATTTTTATTAAGTAAATTTATTTCTAAAAATGTTTAACTTTTTATAAGAGAAACAAAATCTTATATTTTATTTAAATGATTCCAATGTTTTTATGTTACTAAGTAAAGCAATCTACATCTATTTAAAGCAAATATTAATTAAAATTAAATATACCAAAAAATTAAAATTATAATTTTATTTTTTTATCAAATTTTTAATTTATAAATTTTTTTTTCAAATTAAATTAAATTGATTTTATTTAAACTAAAAAAAAAAATACTTTTTAGGTTGATGTTTAATTATTTTTACTACCTTTTTCTTAATAAAACTTTAATTTAAAGCTGAAATGTCATAAATTATTTATTTAAATTAATTAAAATTCATGCTGAATTAAAATTATAATTTTATTTTTTTTCAAATTTTAAATTAAAATTTTTTTTTCAAATTAAATTAAATTGATTTTATTTAAACTAAAAAAAGAAATACTTTTTAGGTTGATATTTAATTATTTTTACTACCTTTTTCTTAATAAAACTTAAATTTAAAGCTAACATGTCATAAGTTATTTGTTTAAATTAATTAAAATTAATGCTTTCTATAGCTTAAAGTAGAATATAGTTTTATATATGTAGAAATTATTTTTATTTATATTTTTAAAGCTATGATGATATTTCTAGAAATTTAAATATTTTCAAAATCACATATTAATCTCAAAAATTATTATTTTAAGGCTTAATTTTATCAGTAGAAATTACAAATTCAACCATGTTTACATTTAAACTAGTTTATAGATTTAGCTAAATAGCTAAAAGATTATGCAATGAAAAGGATATAATATTTCATGTGAACTCAAAACCTTAGCAAATTAATGGTTTAATGTATTTTCCTAATTATGTTAATGAAAAGGAAGCTGAAATTCTTTCTAATACAGTAGACAGTAATTAATGGTTAGTAAACATAAGAAGAAGATAATAGCACTATGGAGTTGTTTATTATCATACAAGACATAATTTATCTGAAATTTAACCAGAATCTTCAGAAAGCGAAAAAGCTCTAGATCTTTCAGTCTTTGACTGGTTAATTTAAAGATTAATAAACGATGAAGTATTCGATGTTTCATATCCACCTAATTAATGTCTTGTAAATGAATATGACAATAAAGATAAATTAGGCTGTCATGTTGAAAATATAGAAGCTTTTGGGCCAATTATAGCAGGATTAAGTCTTCATAATCCTAGCTACCTTGCATTAAGAGAAGTAGAAAATAAGGAAAATAAAGTATAATTATATTTAGAACCTAGAAGTCTTTATGTGCTCACTTCAGATTCTAGGTATAAATGGGAGCATGGAGTTACTAAAATGAAAGAAATCTATAATCCAATCACATAATAAACTATAATTAAAAATGAAACATATAGGCGTGTGAGTCTTACTTTTCGTCATGTTTTATTTGAAGGGACTAAAAAAGTGAGGAAAGGAGAAGATTCTGAAGTGCCTCCAAATTATTTCAAAAAAACACAGTAACTTTGATAAATACTTTTAAGTTTAAAATAATAATTAAAATAAATAATATCCACAAGATAAAAATAGAAGTTCATTTTAAGCTAAATTAAGATTAAAATCTAAAATAAAATAAATATTTTATAATTACAATTTTTGATAATATTCTAAATATTTCTGATATTAATACTTTTATTAATGTTTACTTGTGTAATAAAGAATTAAACTATTTATTTATTATTTTGTGATATAAAATACATATTAATTAACTATTAGTGAGATATTTTTCAACTGTAATTATCTTAATAAATTATTGTTGTTAAAAATAATTCTATGCAAATTAACAAACCACAAAAGGTTAGAAAATGTAATTAAGGAATAGAAACCATAAAAAGCTATGAATTTGTACAATTATTTTATATTTAGATTTTCTTTATTTAAAATAAAAAATTATCTTATTAAAGATTTAAAATTGTGTTAAGAGCATTATTTATTTAAATATTTAATTTTGATAATTTTATCTATTTATCTAAAAAGCTCACTCATTTTTTTTCTTTGAAATAGAATTTTATAAATCAATTTCTGTGTTGATATCTGTTTCTTTCTTATTTTATTCTTTGATTAGCCTATCTCTTTCTTCTTGTACCTTAGAATCAGTCATTATTCCTTGATTTTCAACTTTTTTACTATAATGATTCACAATTTTATATAAAATCAAGCAAATTAAACTCTAAGCAGCAAGTCCAATTTTTAAATAAAATTGAAGAACATCATACTTAAGTTTAATTACACTGAAGAATGTAGTTAAGACTTTAATCTAAAATTCATGAGCCGCATATATGAAAATATAGCTAAATAGAGTTAAAAAAAATGTAAACAAAAATAGATTAAAGAACCATAGAATTCCATCTCGTTTTTGTTTATCCTTATTATGGAGTTGATTTGCCATTTATCTAAATTATTTGTATTAAATGTTATTTCTTCTTCTATGCTTTTTCAACTTTTAAAATAAGTATGCAAATATTAGTATACTTCCTACTATTGCAAATTAATGTTAACTATCAAGCTTGTTGAGCTAGCCTAACAATTTGCGATAAATTTATTCTAGTTTGTTCATAAATATTTTGCTTTAAAAATATATTTTTTTAATAATTTTTGAATTTTTGAGATTTTAATAAACAAATAGATTTACAAAAGGTAAAAAGAAAGCATAAAATGATTGATACTGATATTTAATTTATTAAAATATAAATTAAACATTTCAAATATTAAATTTATTAAAATATAAATTAAGCATATCAATTATTTAATTAATTAGTGTAATTTTAATTAACAATAGAAGATTTAAAGATATTTAGAAGTATATTATAAATAATTTAAGTTATTATTTGAGCTATAGTGTTTTGCTTCAAATTATGTTTTGCATAGTAGTAGGTTAAGATTGATATTTGCTGTGTTTAGGTGAAGATGTTTGAGATATTTTTATTGAGATTTAGCTTTCTTACAATTTTTGATTAGATCCATTTCCATTAATTGAGAATTAAGTTGAAAAAGAGGGGAATTATATATGGTTACCTGATTTTAACAATCTTTCTGAATTTTGAGCTGTTTTTTTGGGAGAAAGAGATTCTATTTTTAAAATTTAAGGTATGTTTTATTTTTAATTGTTTGTGAATGGTTCAGTATCAAATTCATTTATTTTATTTTTACTTTTAGAGTCAAAATATGAACAAACAGTTTTTCTTTTTCTGTCATCTTCAGTTTTTAATTTTTGCTAGAAAATCTCTTTATTTATTTTTTGCTTTTATTAAAACTCTTCTGGAATATGGTTTTGACTTTAAGTAACTGCTTAATTATTATGATATAAATTCGCTTTATTAAACATTTCAAGTTACTTCTAGAAATATATTTAAACTTGTTATTTAGAAATTAAATTCTTTAAAATCTTTTGCTTATTTTGTGGGATACCTTTTAAAGCATTTTATTCGCTATTACTTTCGTTTATAAGGTTAATTTGTTATATTGTTTTTAAGTTAGACACAGATTACAAATTTAATTTTTAAAAAGATGTTCTTGTTTTTGATCTTTAGTCTAAAGTTTCAACTAAGCTTTTGAATTAATCTGATTCTTGTTTGTTAGGACTTTATTATAATAAGGGCCTTTTTGAGGCTAAAAAACCAGCTTTTTTAGTTGAACAAACTTCATTCAGTAAAATACTGTTTTTATTTTCAGTTTGTATGCTAAGCATAGATTGAGAACGAGTTGGTAGTTAAGTGACAATATTTTATTCTACTTGATTATTATTTTTTTAATCTGCTGATTGAAGTTAAACAATGTTGTTTTTTAAAATATCTTAGCTCAGGCCTACTATTGCTGCATCTGCCTAATTTTTATTTTTCACAATACTTTTTATTTTCTTTTTAAGATAAGGACTAAATTCACCATTATTTTTTAAATCATAATTCAAGTTTTCTAATATTTGAATAAAATTTTTAGTACTTTTATTACTTGTTTCTACCTTACTTTCTGTATGCATATCATTTTAATTTTATTAGGCTAATAATAATGTTTAATTTTACAATTTAGAATTATCATTACTTTAGTTATTTTATGAATTCTAATTTAACGAATGAAATAATTTGTTCTAAGTATTGCTAGTATTACTTCTTTGTCTCCATTACCTCATATAGGTCTTTTAGTGATTTTTTAAATTTATTAGCTCTTATTAGTGATTTATTTTTTAAATAATTTGTCTATTCAAGTGATTTTGCTCATCTTAATCTAATGCAGAAAATATGTTAAATCCTGTATCAATTTACATAGGAGTTGATTTAAAATTAGAATTTACAGTTTTTCGAGATAGAAGAGTTTTCTACTTTTATTATAAAAGGTTCTAATTTACATCTTGAGTTGCTTATGTAAAATTTTAGCAAGTTGATTGAGGAATAATTGTTCCCAAATTACTCTAAATTTTTTATTATCTTACAAAATTTAATTTAAAAGGGCTCTCGATTGGAGTTGAGTCAACACTAGCAAAACCAGGCTTAAGCTAAATCTTTAGTTTAACCTTTTCTTTTTAACTAGCTTCCAGAGAATTGATTTGTCCTACCTTATTTTTTATTGGTGAGGTACTTTAAATTTTTCTATCTTTTAAAGGATTACTATCATAATCTTTTATATCTAATAGTTAAGAGTTTTATAAGGGATGAGACCTTAGTGATGCTTCTTTTTATGTGTATAATTTATTATCACTCTTTTCAGTATCATTTTCATTTTTATTTTCTAGTGGAATTCTATCATTTAGTTTCACTTAGCTTTTTTCATAAAAATTATTTTGATATTTGTCTTTAGATTCTTCATTTTATTTGTTATCTATATTTAAATAAAAATATTTTCTTAATTTCAAAACTTAATTCATATTTATAAAAAAATTAAAATTACTCTATGAATAATGCTAGGCTATGCTCACGTTTGTTCTAGAAGTGATCTATTATGAATTTTAATTTTATTAGCATGCAGCAATGTTATTTTTAATTAATAAATTTTTATTATGACAAGGCGATTCTTCAAGATCTTGATCTTAAATAACCATGGATTTAGGCTTCAAAATATTTCTTTGCCATGTATTCTAAGTTATTGTTTCATCTTAAATGTTAACCATCGATTATATTTTATTGTTAATTGAAAGGTTATTTTCATTTAAATTGAAATTCAGCTATTTCATTTATTTATTTGGGTTTTTAGATGGACTAAGATGGATTCTTACAGGTGATTCTATCAAATACATTTCATAATTTCTGTTTGTAGATTGTGTCATTTCTGATAATTTTGGAGGAGAAATATTTCCAACTTACTGAGATACTTAAAATTTAACTTTCTATTGTTTGTGAGTTGGAGAACAATTTGAAAAATAATCCCCTGTTAAAACTGTACTTTGTCTTTGTATATTTGTTTGAGATTTTAAAGGACTAGAAGGCTCAAGTGCATCTAACTATGTAAACGATGATATTGATTAAATAGCAGGTAATGTTCTTTAAGCTTTAAGTGGTGAAGTTGAAGCTCCTCTTACAGAATTTTTTTCATCTTATATATTTTTATTTTTCTTTGAGATTATTAATTTATCAATAATTTGATGAGTATCCAAAGGATCATATTTTATTAATTGAGTCTTACTCTTTTGGAGTATTTGCTACTAAGCTAAACTCACATCCTAATAAAGAAACTACTTGTAATCTTTTAAAGAGTTTTTCATACTCATAATTCTTTCCTCTATTTAAAAATTTTTTTCTTTCAATCTGTTTAGAATATACTGTTTGGAAACCTCATCTTAAAAAACATGATTAAGGAAATGAGCCTTTTTAATCATTAAAACTTTTCCTTCAAAAGAGTTGCATATGATTTTATAAGATCTCTTTGATTCATTTAAAATTTCCTCTTCACCAAAATATTCTCCTTAACATAAAATTCTTACCTAAACCAAACAAAATTAGTTTTATTCTAAAATCATTAAAAAAAAATATTTTACCTTTAAATATTATTATATTTTGCTATTCTCTTTAGCCTTAATTTTACGTTTGAATTAAATGAATTCATCTTAATGTTCATCTTCTCCAACAAGTTTTTCAAAATTCGATTTAGTGTAAACCTTATTTCATTAAAAATATCAGTTTAAAAATAAAATGTTTAAAAAATATTTAAAATAATATTTTAAAAAAATTACGACAAACTCTCCTTCCTAAATTACAAACATACTATCAGCTGAATCTCCTAGATCATAAACCAAATCTCCTTTCTTATAATTTAACCACATAGAATTTAAATATAGATCTCTTAATTTATTTTAAGTCCAAGAGCTAAACAAGGCCATCTTATATAATATAGACATCTCTTTTAACATTTTATTTAACTCTTTTGACTAAAGAGTGTTTTAATAGCTTTTTTGAGATAAAACACCAAAGATACAATTTTCAAGACACTTAATTGTAGCAAGACGAGGCCTTTTATAAATGAGTGCAATTTCACCAAAAGATTCTCCTGCTTTTAATTCTTTGACTTGTTTTAAATCAACATCCTATTTAGTCAATTTAATGTTAATTCCAACTTTTCCTTATATAATGATATAGAACTTTTCTCCAAAGCTGCCTAAATTTATTTTTAAAATTTTAGCAAAAATGCTCTTATTTATATGATCTTATAATTTTTATCTTAAACAAAAAGTAAGAAAGATTTACCTATTTCAAATACTTTTTCATTTTATTCAAAGGTTTCTATTTAAAGATATTTGCAGCACTCTTTTATTATGTCATAATCATGATCATTATTATATTAATCAAAAAACTTAATATTCTTAAGCTATGATGAAAGAAGCTCAATATCAACTTCCGTTCTAGTATGAGATGATTTCTTTAAGAGTCTACAAATCAGCTTTATTTAATTTTCAAAAAATATTTAAAGATATCATTAGCCTATTTTTTATTTCAAATATACCTCAGTATCTAAAATTGGCTATATTACATCGTTACTTTGGTCAATTTAGTTTTTTTCCATTATAAAAAATGCGTGTAGCTCTGGTAAATAAGAAATGAGAGGAGTATATTTTCTTCAAGATAATTCTAAACTGAGTAAAATTATTATTTTTAAATGATATACTTATTTTTTAGATTGTTTAATATTAGAAAAAAATAAATTAATTGTTTAAATGATTGATGTTGTAAGGCAAGTAATAAGTATACTTTATTTTACTATTTTTTGTTTAATAAATATAAACTTTTTTGATATCTAATGAAGATCAAATTTGAAGAAAACAAAATATCCAATCTTTTTTTATGTAAATACTTAGGATTTGATAAATCCTTGATTATTGGTTATTTATTAAAATTAAAATCTTCAATTTTATTGAGTTATTTATGTAAATCACCATTAAAAACTTCTAAAATATAAATTATATTTTTGATAATTAAAGTATTCTTACTATAATTCAGAAAATATTAATATTATAATCACCACAGAAATTGAAATTCATATTTAATTAATAAAATTAGATTGCCATTCAAACAGCTTACACTTACTAATTTTTAGGGTTTAAATTTTTTAACACTTTATTTACTTTGAATTCTCAATACGAACTAAAAACAAGTCAAACATCTCTTTATAACTTAATAAGAATCTATTTTCTATTTTTATAAATGTAATTTATTGATATTATTGGAGAGTTTTTTTATTTTTAATAAATATTATTTATTTATTCGTATTTTTGAGTTATTTTCTAAAAAATATACTGTTTTTATCAAATATTCTAAGATAAACTATAAGTAAAATATAATTAAAAAAGCATTTTTATGAATTTTAAAACACTCAACAATCCCATCTTCTCAAATAATAAGATAATTTTTATCTTGTAAAATAATATTTTTAATTACTAAATTATTAATATTATTCAGATTTTTGATATTACTTAATTTTAACATAAAACTATTTATAAAGTCGATTAATGAGATTTTATTATTAAATTTAATTTATCTAAAATTTAAAATCAAAAAGAAGTCAATGAATATGATACATTTTAAAATTATTTACTAAAAATAGACAAATATAATATGAATTTCTATTTCTTCTTTTTAAAATCAACAGTTATCTAAATAAATAAATTAATTAATAAATAAAGGCACATAAAATACTTTACCTTCAATAAAATTCAAAATTTTAAAAATTAGAATATTATGTCAAAATTAAATGGATTTTTTCCAGTAAATTAATTTAAGTAAATTAAAAAACTTAAAGTAGACCTATTTAAAAAAAATAAAATTTTTAAATTATTAACTGTATTTAATTGTAATAAAAACTAGAACTCTGATGCAAAGAAAGAAAATTTAATAATAACTTGCTTTAAAAACTAAAGAAATTTTTTAAAAATATTCAAAATAAAAGCCTCAATTTAGATTAAAATTTTATTTAAAATATTTTGTAAAAAATAATTTCAAATTTAAAAGTTTACTAAATGCTTTAATTTAATATTAATTAACTTACTTCTTTTTATTATTTCATAATAAAAATGTTGCAACATAGACCCAATTACTTAATAAGGTTTCATAAAAAACAGATACTTTGATATAATTATCAAAAATATTTATAAAAAAGTGATCATTTATTTTATAAATTGGAAAGAAGAATAGCATGTAGTAAATTGATCTCCTCAATAATCTTTCCAATTAATAGCTTTTACGCACTCCAGTTGTCCATTCTAGGACTAAGTGCTCACAATTATTACTTTTTAGACTGTATATTTCTTTTTATCCTTTTGCATTTATTGGGCATATGTATTTTTTTGCTTTTTCTACTGTAACTTATCCTTCTAGCCTTGGTTAACGATAGCATGTCCCTGCAGATTTGAGCATGTATTCAAAAATGCTACAGTTATATCTAGCTCTTTTTAATTTTCCTCCGTATAAAAAATAATCTAAAGAAGTTTCCATTATTACTGCTTTATTTATATTTGATTATGGATTAATCCTGTCCCAAAATGTTACTTTTTTTTATTTACTCTCCAATTCTACATTATTTTAGTTTACTACATGAAAGTTTTTACTTTTTTTGTCATATTAAAGGGTATTCTCAATAATTTACGGCTAATTATTTTAGTTTTCTAAATCTTTTTTATTAGATTAATTGTTAACATTTTTATTAAATTATTCGCTATTTAAATCTTATAATTATTGATCTTTTTCGATTTATTATTAGTTATCAACATTATCATACGCTAATGCGTCTGCTCTAGTTGTAAAATGAATACATCTACCGTTTCCTATATAAACTCCATGGTGTTAGTACATAAGTAAGTGTCTAACGTTTCTCCATACATAAATATGATCACCTGGTTTTAACTCACTTGGAGTAATAGAGTGACTTGAAAAATACTTTAAGCTTGCAATAAATTTTTTGATCATTAGCTATCTGATAGAAAAGATATTTATTTAATTAAAACTTAAATAAAAATTTTAATCAGAAATGATGTCGCTTATAATATTAACTCGAATCTTACACTCTGATTCTAGATTTTTCTCTAATTTAAATAAATACTTTTAAATTTTTGAGTAATTGAATTGTAATAATTTTATTATAATTATGTTTTTTTACATTATAAAGATATTATATATTTAAATTAATACTCTAAAAATATTTAATTATCTTAATTTTAAAGTATAAAAATTAGTAAAAATTAGTTTGTTAGTTGTTTATTTATTTATTTATTTATTTCTTATAGAAAAATTTATTATTTTTAGCTCTTATTGTATTGTGTATAAAAGTATATCCAAAAAATCAAGAACACATGTCAAGCTTTACTTATTCATTAGTATTTTATATGGAGATTAATTCAGTTTTACCTGAATCCTCCTTTTTATTAGATGCTACTGTACTCTAGGTGTTTTTGTTTGTTTGTTAATTAGTGATATCTTCAATATTTGGTGTTATATCTACAAAATCGGTATTTAAAACGCTTTTATGGAGAAATTAACACACCTCTTTTGGAGATATTCTTTTAGATGGATCTAAAACAAGCATTTTTTTGACTAAATATCTTAAATCTTGATCAACTACAACTCCACTATAATTATGCTCATCAATATAAGTGTCTATGCTTTTTACAACTTCAATCTATTTTTCGATAATATTTTCAAAAACTCTGCCTTTAGCAGCAAATAAGCCATGACGAATTAACTCTTATCCCTTGTGCTTAACTATAGTTTTTAAGCTCATCCATAAAGGAATACCACTGATTATTTCCATCATTACACACCCTAAACTCCAAATATCAATAACGTAAGTCTTTTAATAGTTCTTTAAATATTCAAGCAAATAAGGAATGTGTCTAAGTTAATTCTGGTAAAGAATAAAATTTAATATTTCGGGAGCCATATATTCAGGAGTAGCCATAGAAAAATGTTTTAAGTTACCAAATGTAAAGCTACTTCCGTAATCTATCAGCTTTACCTACTCTATCTCTGTGAAGCCTCCATTATCTTTTGTTTTTACTAGTATATTTTCTGTTTTTAAATCTGAATGAACAATTCTTTAATCAGATAGTAGCCACAAAGCATGTGCAAGTTCAAAAATTAACTTTTTAAACTACCTAAGATCCCTTTTGATGCTCTAATAAAGTTTTTTGTAATGTACCTATTATGTGTAAATAAATAATTTTAATTAAAGTATATTAAAATTAAAATATTTACTCTATATACTCTCTCTTCACCTCTGTATCCTTCTCCCTTCAATTCATATAGACTACTTCCAAGAGATTCGCCACAGAGCTCATAGTAAATCCAGGTATCAACTTATTTAATTTCATAATTCATCATTTTAGATAAATTATTGACACCTAAAGTAATTAATTATTAAATAACAAATATATAAATAATTGATTCAGTCGTTTATTTTTTAATTTTTTACCCCTATACATTTAGTATTTTTCTTTGGCTACACCATTTTTGAAAAAGAAAGAGCCAAACCATATTTCCTTTATGTGAGTCTAGTGAGCATTACTACTTAGAATCTACTTAACTGCATAGTTTTCTTTAGTTTACTTATCTTCACCTAACCATACAAGTGCAAAGCCACCCCTAAGATATTTAAAATTTGAATAAATATTTTTTGTAAAAAATTAAATAAGGAATACCTTCCAAGAAGCTTCTTTTTTATAAGAGTTTTGGGAAATCTATCACCAAAGTTATTATATTCTTCTTCTGATAAATCCCATTTTTGTTTTGAATTATTTTATTTATCATTATTATTTTACTAACTGTTTTAAGATGATGTTTCTTATTTAAGAATGCTTACTTTATCTTATTATTTATCTTCCTTTTTTTCAGCTTAGCGATTTTATATTTATTAATTTAAATATCCTTCATTTTGTAATCTTTTAGGAATAGAAGGTTCTCTCTCTTATATAGTTTCTTGCTCTCCTAGACGTGAAGGTCTTTTATCTAACTTAAACTTTGGTAGTTTCTCAGCTACTATGCTAATATTTTCATTAGTAATTATATCTTTTTCAAAATTTTTTGAGTGTTTGTGATCTAGTAAAAAACTTTCTTAGTTATTATATGTATTTTCTTAGCTTCCTTAAGGGCTTTCAGAGTTTCCTGAAAGGATTGATTTCTAATATTTTTATCTTTCTTCTTTGGTTTATAAATTGGAAATCTTATTAATCTAAAGATTCTAGTTATCTTAGCCATTCTAACTTCTTTTCTATAATTGCTACTAAATAAATTTTTATCTAACTAGCTACTCTTTTTATATTAATTCTTGCTTCTCTCTCTGTACAATAATGCTTTTTTCGAATAGCTGCTAGTTAGTAGAATGCTTAGATGATTGAGGAAATAAATTTTTTTTCTCTATTTTTTACGGAGATTAAGAAAACTGAGATTAAAGATTATTTTAATGGTTTCCTTAGCTTGATTAGACGTTACTATACCTGGCTTAGGAACTTATATCTTCATAGTCATTCTGTATTGTTATTAATTTCTCACCACGATTATAGTAGTATGCAGGATTGTTTCTGACAGATTAATTGCGGTTTTTTCTTGAGGCTATTTAAAAATTTAAAGCAATTTCATCCAAGCTATCAGGAATTGTTTAAATTTGTAAATTTTTATTATTCAATGACCCATAATTAGCTAGAGCATTTTAATTGTTATTCTAGTTTATATAAACTTAATTCTAATTCTTTTAAATATTGCTATATTGTTAATTAATACTATTATTTATGTTATTTTATATTGAGTTTTCAGTTTAAAGAACTGAGTTTTATCTTGGAGGAGTTGAAGTAGTAATTATATTAGGAACTTTCTTCACATAATTATTGTTTTAAATTTTTATTTTTGTCCTAGTTTTGATATTTGTAGTTTTTTAAAAAGGAGAACTAGCTCTAGATGCAAATGAACTCTCTCTAATCGACCTTGCATTTGATGAATAATTTTAGCTTGGCCTATTTTGCTAAAACACATACTTTTTTGTATTATTTTAACTAGGAGTTTATACATTAGGAGTATTTAAATATTAATTAATTTTTTAATTTTTTGTTTAAATATTATTAACTCCGTTTTGCATATTCCCATTTTAATTCTAAAATTAGTTATTGTTTTACTAATAAGTAATGCTTTTCTGTTAAGACTATTGTTAAATGGTGAGAAATTATTAATTCTTTTATATTTAAGGACTACTTTAATCAGTATAATCATTTTAATTTTAAATACTGCTGAATGTAGGTTCTTCATCATCATACTCAATATTATCGCTCTTTCTATCATTAATTGTTTTCATTCTTGTAATATTGACACGGTTGATTAATTACTAGCCTATTTTATTTTATTATGATTCTTTTAAATACAAAAAAAATGATAATTTTACCATAAGGTGTGTGGATAGGTGAGATATTTGATTCGTTTTGATTTCCATTGTTAATATGTAATCTGTTATTTTGCTCTTAGTTGCCTGATTATACTAAAATTTAGTTGTTATTTTAAGGAGTGGGAATATGAGCATGATAATTATTTTATTGCAACTATTTAATAGGTTGTTAAATTTACAAAGCATTTTGAGCCTAAGATGAAGCAGATTGTTAAGATAGGATTCCAATTTAAAAGTTTTTTTTTTCAATCTAACTTGAAGGTGTTTAAATTTGAGGTAAATCAAATGATCTATCATGGTTATTATGTCTGTCATAACTCTTATTGTGCTAAGCATTTTGATGCAAGTTATTATTATTTGCTTAACTACTATTAATTCCATTCCCATTAAAATTATTACCTTAACAGCTGTTTTGAACATAGCTGTTATTATTTGAACTTTAAGACTGTATAAAGCTATTAGCTTACTAATTTGAGAGCTAAAGAAAAGGTTTTCTTGTATTCGTGGATCCTCTTTTGTTAGTAAAGCAAAACAAACCATTTCCATTACTCGAGGATTAGGAATTGTTAGGATTTATTGATGTATTCAAATTATTACTGTTGGATTATTTTGTATTATTATTATTTCCAACTGATGTGCTAAGTATATTTTCTTGTTGAGTGTACATAGCGGCTGCTGAAGAAATAGGAATTTCCTCACTTTCTGTATAGGTCCTTCTATTTAGTGAGGAGTGATTAGGAGCAACAAGTCTCCTTTTAATTGCTTTACTACTTAATGGAGTATAAATTTGCATTAAATTTTAAATATGATTTGCACTCTACTTTACTTAATTTTGCTGCTAATTTTGCTATGCCTATTATTATTGTAGACTATGTATATTTTAAATTACAGAGCCTGCACTTGCACCATTTGTTGGTGATTTGTTAGTTGGAATGTTTGATGTGCTAGGTATTGAAATATTATTAGATTCAAGATACTGTTACTGGTATTTCAAGAAGTTGCGTCGTGTGTAATTTAAAGGATTTTTATTCGATACAGGCGAATGAGGTTGCTATTATGACTAATTATTAGAGTTCGAAGATAAATAATTGAGTTATTAACCATTTGACTAATTATTAACTTAAATGTTGTTGTTTACTGAGTTTTATTTACTTATACTGTTTGAGCAGGTATTAGATATGTTTATATCACTTGATTACACTATAATTTTATTATTTCTAGATGTGCTACTATTCATATTATTTTATGAACCCTCTTAAAATTCGCTGCCCTGTGATTAGATATTATTCATCACTAATACTTTAGAATAATTTTTCTAAATTGAAATTCGAAATTAAGTAAAAATCTAATATGAATGTCAAGAATAACAGATTGATTTATCTACACCTTTTAATAATTTATTAATAATCTTTCCTTTACTATAGTTAATATTGTACTTTTAAGATTCTAATTATTAATTCAATCTTTATCTGTTGTAATTAATTGATTTTACCTAAAAATTAATTAGTTAATTGTAAGCCTAAATAAATTATTAATTAGTAAATACTTAGAATTTGCTAAATCGTTTATATCTATCATTTATTTTTACAATCTTTCTTATTTTTTTCAAACTAAAGAAACAAATTTACATTTATTTATTTTTTTCTTTGGTTATTAAAATTGATGGTAAATTTAGAGCTTACAAAATAAATAATTATCTAAACTTGTTAGAATTATTCTCATATTTTTCTTTTTAAATTTTATACAACTTGCAGTGAAGTGAATAATTTTAAATTTAATTTTAAAATCTTTTTACATAAATTTATCACAAATCTTTTTAATAAACTACTTAGAATTAAAATTTTATTTAACAAATAGGATTCTCCTTTTCTACTTAACAGATATTAAAAGAATTTTTTTAACAACATGTTTCAGCTTATTTTTAAATAAAAAATTTTAATCATAGAAAATAATTTCATTTAATAACAATAAAATAAAATATAAATTATTTTTATTCATTTTTGTATGTAAGTAAGTATTAAAAACTTTGAATATGATTTTGTATTTTTAATTCTAATAAAGTTTAGCGATTTTTTTGCTTAATATAAATTAAATTTGAAAGAAGACTTAGTTTGAATCCTTAAAAATATAATTAAAAACATATAATTAAAATAATAAATATTTAACGAATACATTTAGATTTTTTAGGTTTATATGGCTAGCAGTATTTTTTTTAATAAATTTGAGAAATGGAGATTTTTAGACTAATTTTTTATTTTACTTAATAGAGGGCAATTCAGTTTATGTACAGGATTATTAATCAATAATATAAAATTGTTCTTTTAATTTTAAAATGTTCTTAAAAGGGTTAATTCAAATTAAAGTACAACGTTAATGTTTTCTTGGTTTTTAATTTTTCTATTTGCAATTCATACCATCTTAAATTGATTATAAAAACAATTCTTTAATCCCTTAATTTGATTTAGCTGAGCACTCGAAGTACTCACAGCCTAGTTCATTGACAATTTACTTTACCTTTGTTTATAATTAATTAATTAATTAATTAAAAAATAAACCTAACAATATGAATATTTGAAGATATTAAAATTCTAATAAATTTTTTGATCAGGGCATAAAATTATAAAAAGATTGTAATCTTTTTTAAATTATAAATCTAATTAATTTAGTCTAACTATTTATTACCTACTAAGAATTTACAGGGGCATTTTTTTAACTCTTTTTTTTACTTTGCTCTGATTCTAATAAATCTATTTTATTTCCTACAAATACTTTAAGAGATTTAGGTTGTACTTGCTACAACTCAGGGTACCACTAATATTATTTGAAAAATTAGTAAGTATGAATTTTATCTAATGTTTTCAAGATTGTCATACAAAGTTAAAATATCTTTATACAACAAATTAATATATATAAATATTTACTTTTTTAAGGGCGTTATCGAAAGACTCAGGATCTACCACTGAAAAAACAATTAGGAATATATCTGTATTACTGTAGCTTAGTGGTCTTAATCTATTATACTCTTCTTGACCTGCAGTATCCCTATTATACAATTTAGATATAAGTTGATCTTAATAAACTAATCTTGGAATTTTTATCAAATTATTACCATATACCTAGCTAAACTGTCTTTTTATCTATTTTTACCATCATAAAAGAATTTTCGAAAATAGTAGGAATATGCTCCTCTGAATATGTATCATTCATGTATCTATTTTTTATTTATATCACCTTAAAGATGTCAAATATATTTTTAAGAAATTAAATGCTTTTTTTAAGCATTTTTGTTTATTTACCTATGTAATATACAAGTTTTTCCTACAGCACCATCTCCAACAGCTACTAGCTTCATAGGAATAGGACCTTAATCATCAAATTATTTTTTATCTATACAAATCATTTTGTCTACTTTATTATGAATAAAAAGCGCACTTACTTATATATTTATATTTTCTTGTTTTTGTTTGTTTGTTTGATAAGTATATAAATATTTTTGAGTTTTTAATTAATTAATAAATTATATCAAAAAAATCTAATCAACCCATATCAATTTTTTAGTTTGACAAAATAATCTTCTGTTTATAACCACATCAAATACATATTTTTTTTTTGAATAAAAATTGTATTATTACCAAACTCCTTTAATTAAATTCTTCATTTACTTAATAAAAACTCTATGTATTTTAATTAAATTTCCATCTTTAACTTATTCGAGTTACAAATGTATAAAATTAAATATTTCAATTAAATCGTTATTTCTTTTATTATAAAATATAATTTAATAGATTCTTTAGATTTCATTTTAGATACAATAAATTATTTAGATAAATATTAATTTTAAAATTAAATTTAAAAAAAAATAAATTGAGAGTTAAATTAGTGTAAGTATCCCTTATTCATCAACTATTTGCATACTTTAAAATTCATTTAAAACTTATAGCTAATAAAATTTATCCTCAAATCAACCCAGTTTAATTTTATTAAAAAAAATATTTATTATTGAAATAAATATCTATTTAGTACTAAAAAAATAAATCCAACAAATAGCAATTATTAGAAAAATCTACCCCGCTCTAAATAATTGGAACAAAATTGATATCAATCTCATAATTATTATTTTTAGGAATAAAAATTTTTTTTAATTAAATAAAATATAATTGAAAAAATTTATCTTGGTAATGGCTGTATTAACACTCTTTATTAATAAAAATGATTTTTTAAAGTAATAAAATCTATTAGCAAAATTTAAAAGAAATTTTAAATTAAAATTTAGCATTTCTTATTTTTTTAATTTAAAATTAACTAATTTTTTGAATCAATATTTTTTATTATCATAAATATTGATGTCTCTTTAGTTATTTTGAGTTTATTAAATTTTATATATTTCAAATTTCTTAAATATTTATATTAAAAATATTATTTGATATAATTAATAATATTTAATTTAAATTCTTTATATTCTGTTTATTAAAATAATTTGAGATATATCTTCTTTTTAATCTTCAAATAAAGTATTTAAAAGAAAATTTCATATTAATATTGAGATGATAATGTATTTTGCAACATTTTTGTATATAGTATTGTATTTGATTATTTTCTATCTATTCTCCATTTGCCAAACGTTTTTCAGTATAGATAAATTATATGTTACAACTTTGTTTGTTGTAGAAAACTATCAATTATTGTAGATCACTTAATCTCAGAAAAATTTCTCTAACTTTTCTTAAAGAATATAAGTTGTTTTGTAAAATAGAATCTTAGAGAATAGAATAAATAAGGTTCTACATCAAGATATCATGTTAAAATACACCTAAAAATAAACTTTATAAATAATTTAATTAATTAAAAAATAATCGAATTCTCAAATAATTAAAAGGTAAAGCAAGAAAGTAGAAAGTAAATAGATGTAAGCTCATAAAATAGCTACTATAGGAGGAGGATGCTTCTGGTGCACTGAAGCTGTTTTTAGAAGAGTCATAGGAGTCTCTGATGTAAAATCTGGTTATGCTGGTGGTAATGTTGATAACCCTACATACAAATAAATTTGTGCTGGAAATACTAATCATGCTGAAGTGATTCAATTACAATACAATCCAAGTGTTATTTCTTATGATAATATTTTAAGAATATTTATGAATGTCCATGATCCAACTACTAAAAATCGTTAGGGTGCTGATTCTGGAACATAATATAGATCAATTATTCTTTACAGTGATGAAGAATAAAAGAATATAGCTCATCAAATAATATCTGAAATCAATAACTCTAAGTTATATCCAAATCCAGTAGTAACAGAGGTTGTTCCATTAACTAAGTTCTATGAAGCAGAAAAAGATCATTAGAATTTCTACAACTTGAATTAAAACTACGGATATTGCAAAGCAGTAATAGATCCTAAACTTAAGAAATTCTTAACAAAATACAAAGAATTTTCTTAGTGATTGGAATTGCTTTTTTTAATTAAAACACAAGTAAAAAAATAAATTAAAAAAACAAATGTATAAAATATTGCTTAAAAGTTTGAAATTTTTTTAATTTAAGTAAAAATAAACTAATATTCTCTTTTTGTTTTTTGTTATATATGATAATTTTATTAATTCTAACATTTTATATCGAAAATAATAACAATTTATCAATTTACTTATTTTTTATTAAAATTATTTTTCATCATCTTAATTTCAATTTTTTCTATACATTAAATCCTCATAAATTGACATGATTCCCATCATATTTTGTCCTCCTAAGTTGCCAATTTTTAAACTAAATAATAATAAAAAAATTTTTGGTTATATAATTGGACCTTAATATAAGAGGATGTACTGTATGCAAATAAATGTCAATATTTACCAAATTCTATAAAAATAAAAAAAATATATTTAGAAGCTATTTAAAAAGCAAAATAAAACTTTTCTGTGATTCATATATACATTTTTTTTTACAAAGTCTATTGAATCCTACTAAAATTAATTAATTTATTAGATTTAGTTTCCATAATCAATATAATCAATCGATAAAATGAGCAAAAATTTTAGGAAGATAAAAAATAATTTTTAATTTAACAATGATTATTTTTATAACTCAAACAAATAAACAAATTTTTATAAATATATCTTTTCTTATATAGTACTTAAATAGCTTTTAAACTTACTAATAATAATTTATCTATTTCAATTTATATAAAAATAATTATAAGTTATTTATTTTACAATTATCAATTTAAGATTAAATTAAAGAGAAAATAAAAACAAGTATTGTTAGCCTTAAAAAGTAAGTAAGCCAATTTTGTTTACTTAAATAATTTAATACTTTCACTAAATATCATAAAGCAAGCCTAATTTAGTTATTTCTTATCTTTATAAAAAACACCTTAATTTATTTACTTAACTTTTTTTATATTTTATAAATTTAAAAAAATTCTAACTAAAGCTTTTTTTTTTTGTAGATTGTGGTTTTAAAACTTCCTGATCATACAGTCAATTATTATAAATTAAAAATTTGGCAAAAATAAAATATCCATATTGATCTTAATTCAAAAACTTTTAAAAAGAGTAAATTTACTACTTCCTCTTATTATGATTATTATTTATTTAATCTTCCTAATTAAAAGTTGATAAAAATAAACAATTGAAATAATAAGAATATGTCTAAATTAATACTTTTACTTTCAATATTCATTTCTTTTGCCTATTGCGATACATATTGCGGCAGTTCTTATAGTTATAATTACTATTGCCCTTCAGGTTATTACTGCTGCTCTACAACTGAATGTTGCTAAAATGTTTACTCTTCATGGTGGTTTATTACTATAATTGTTGTTAGCGTCATATTGATCATAGTTGCTATTGTTTTAGGTGTTATTAAAAGAAGAAGAAGAGAGTAATAAAGACTAATGCAATTAAAATTACAACAATAATTATTGTAATAGCAATAAGATTAGTTAAGGCCCAGTTAACAACCACCTATCTAAGGTGTACCTGTTTAACCAGTAGGCTATAATCAATATCCTGGATAACCTGCTTAAGGATAAGTATACTATTAACCTCCTCCTCCAATGAATAATTATCCTCCTTAACCAAACTAATATTAACAACCTTAACAAGCTTTAATATGATTTATGCGGCAGCTATGAATATATTATATAATTAGATATTATAGTATTTATCTATAAATATGTATTTAGAATTTAATTTTTTTATAAATAAAGGCAATCATTTTTATTAAAATTTTTGTGGTAAATACATTTAATTAATTTATTGAATCTCAAGATACTTTGGATAAATAATTCAACTCTTATACAAATTGATAAAATAGCTTAATCCAAAAGTTAAATTTGACTTATCACACAAAAATTAAAATAAACCATAAAAATTATATATATGATATTAAAAATAAGTATGCATCTTTTAAAATAAGCATTTTTTTTTGAAAGGGATTATTTGAAGTTATAAAATTTTTTTAACTTAAAACTTTTACTATTGGGATGAGTATATTTAATATACATATACTAATTAAAAAAATTAATTTTCTTCAATATTATGAATAAAATAATATTGTTTATCAAAAAAGATAAAGCTATTCAATAAACTGTAAATATTCAACAAATTATATCTGAATTCTTTAATATGTTTTTATTAGAAACTTATTAGTTGAATGATAATCTATGACATAGTATGAATTTATATATTTTACATAGAATTTATTTAAATCAAATTAGATTAAGCAAATTAGAGTTTGTTTTTTATTAATTAGTAATTATTTTAATATTACATTTCTTAATTTTAAAGGAAGTATATGAAGCAAAGCTTGTAATTATTTTAACTTTTCGTTGGATAAATTATCTTATTAATTCTATTTTATACTGATCAAAATTCTTACTACTAATTAAAAAAATATTTTAAGTATGCACACGCTCTAAGTAAAAAAGATTGATTCATTGATTTACTAGACTTGAGTTAAAAATATTATTTACTTAGGAATAGATTCAGTTAAATAGAATAATATATAAACTAGATTCCCACAGTCAGTCAGCTCACTAGGGCAGATTTTGTTTATCCATTTTTAGATAATTAATTTTATTTATTTGAACTATTTTTATCATTATTTAAAAAGTAGCTGACTAATTTTTCCATTCCATCCATAAGTCCATCTCCTGTCTTTGCAGAACATTTTTAGATTATAATATCGTTTTCATTCATATTGTCTACTCCAGTTTCTTCCACAAGGGCTTTAAATTCAACACACTCAGGAAGATCTTATTTATTAAACAGAGCCAATACAACTGCATTTTAGAAACTCAGTTCTGAACTTAATTTACGGAATTCATCCTTAACTTGCCATAGTCTTTCTTTATCAGTTGAATCTACTACAAAAATTATTGCATCTAAATTATCGTAATAGTGACTCCACAAAGACCTGACCTTACCTCCTACATCAAAAACCAGGAATTCTAAATTCTTATATTATATTGTTTCAATATTTAATCCAATTGTTGGAACAGTTTCCATAAATTTTTTGACTTTTAACTAATTTAAGATTGAGGTTTTCCCTGCTCCATCAAGTCCTATCATAACTATTTTTCTTTTAACTCCATTACTATTATCTGCTATTTAATCAATACCATCTTTTAACTTTTTACCTCTACCAAACAAACAACCCATATCCTATTTAAATTTATTTATTACTTGTTATTCTTTCCTAGAATATCTAAATATTCAAGTGCCTTTTTTGTTAAATTTATGTTTATTTATTCAAAAAATAAGCTTTTTTATGGCAATTTTATATATTATTTAGATTCTTTTTTACTTTTACTTTCTTATTTATCTAATCATTAATAAGTTTATAAATAATTTTTTTTAATTGCGCATTGTGGTTTTTTATTTGATATACTATTTTCATATAATTTTTTTTTTTGAGCTGAAGCAAACCCATTTAAAATATTGATTTGTAGAAATTCACAGTGTTACTATTTCTGTTCAAATATTTGCCTAGCTTGATTTAAAAAAATTAAAATTTTATTATTTTAATCAGCATATTAAATGTCATTAAAACTTTAATGAATTTAGCTAAACAAATTAGATGTGTGTATAAAAAATAAGAATATGAGAGGATAAAATATTATTTTTTATCATAGTTTAATTAATGGTTATAATCCAATTATATTTTTAAATTAAGATTCTTTAAATAATTAAGGCTCAGAAAGATAATAAACTTAAAAATGAGCTATTTGTTGTAATTCATGAATGATGTGTAAAGGTGAATAAAGAGTTTAAGAAGATTTTAAAATTAAAATAAAAAAAGAAAATTAAAAATAATGGTTTGTAATAGAAATAAATTGAATTTAAAGAATATTCTAATTATTGTTAGTTATCTTTCAAAATTTTATTGTTAAAAAAATCAAAAGTTATTAACATTATTTAAAATTTGTTTGAGGCTATAAGATAAGAAAGTAAGAAAATTTATGATTTATTTCACTGAATTATTTTTAAAAAATTAGCTAAAAAAAATGGATTTGAGATAAATTTATTTTATATATTTTTAATGCTAACATTTTTTATATTTTTATATCTAATAACCAAACTGCAGCAAGTTTTATATTTTATCTTTTTCCATAGAGTAGATCGAAAAAGCTAGTAAAATGGATGAAAAATCAGAAAATTTGTAGTATTAAGATCTAATGTTTATCAGTCGACTGATTTCAATCAATAATAATGAGTAAAAATTAAATATATTTACAGAAATACATGCATACATTTGAGTAGATTTTGATAATATATGAATGCGAAAATTCAAAAAATGTGATTGGTTAATGTATGTACTAATTATCTAAATTGATTTGATTCTAATTGGAATATTAATTAAATGAAATAGCAAACAAGCCAAGTCAGAAACACAACTTAAAATTTGAGAAAAGAGTAATAGTAAAAACAGATTAAAAAGGAGAGGAAAAAATAAATAATTCTGCAATAATATATTAAAAATATTCAAAATCTAATTTTTGATAAGAAACATACAACCAAGGATTATTTAATAAAGCGAAGAACAGAAAAAAATGAGCAAAGAATATTTGCTGTAGCTTCTATAAAAAATCCCAATGAAGGACGATAGTCCGAAGTTAGTTTTGAAGCAAAAGCCAAACCCATTCATAGAATTTGATAAAGATTCCTTAACAGCCACTTATGTAGGAAAAAATTTGATATATAGCGACACAACTGTAATTTATTTAGATCAAGCAAATTAATTTGGCAGATTTGATTGATTTATGTCAAAAATTTAAACAAACTTACTTTTTTTACGATGACCTAAAGTCCATACAAAGCAACAGACCTGCTGATAGAGAAAATCTTATATTCTACTATGAAATAACAATTAAAGATTTAGCAAAAAGGTAGCATTTTATTTTTTTTTTCGTGTTTAGTAATTACCAACCATTAAGAAGGAGTAGGAAATATATAATTTTAAGATTATTGATTGATTGATGTTTCTTTCAAAATCAAAACAAAAAAAATAAAAACAATTAAAAGGGTTCAGATTTTGATATTAAGACAAAATCTACTAATTAATTATTAATGATTTAAGATTTTTTAAGCTTCACTAACTATTTAAATATTTTATTAATTAGCGATATTAGTGTAGGATTTGCAGATTCAGATTTCCCGATGAATAAGCATCCAGGACATACCAAAAAGTAACCAATTAAATTATAATTTAATTTACATTTAATTTGAAGGATTATGTTTTAAAGAAAGTTGAAATCAAAAACTATGAAATTAACAAACAAATAAATAAATTAAATTAGAAGTAGATTGAATAAATAAAATGTTTTTATTTAAGTTAAATTCATTTTAGCCTCTTAAACAAATATAATAAAATCATTTCCGTTTAACATCAAAAAGCTTAGTTTAAAGAATGATTTTATATAAACTAAGTAAGGTAGATTGATCAAACTGCATAATTATGATTTAAAATATATGTTGAAAAATAATGCGTTTTAAAATTAAAAATTATCAGTTTAATTTAAAAAATATTAAAATTAAATTTTTTAAAAATTAATCAAACAATTTTTAATTAAAAAATTGATAGCTCTTATGGGTACCAATCAGATGGCTCAGTATACTCCAATAAGAAAGCAGTAAAAAAATATTTTCCTTCTTTGAAAAAATATTAATATAAATAATTGGTGAATAAACTTTAAAAAACTAATAAATTTCTATTTAGCTTTTAAGAGAATTCAAATTTAAATATTGATCAAATAATTTCATCTTTAAATTATAAAATAAAATAGCAAAAGAGGCTTTGGAAGATGAAAGATTTAGACGTTATAGGATGTGGAATTAATTATTTAAAAAAGGAAATATTTTTTACACACAATGGAATATTGAGTGGTAAAATACTTTAAATTAATAAATTAAACTTATTAAGAAGTTAATATCAACATACATAAAAAAGGTCCTATATTTTATGATATTGATTCTACAGATTATTATCCAACCTTAGGTATGCATGGACCTCGACAGAAAGTTAAATTTAACTTTGGACAGGAGAAATTTAAATTTGAATTACAGTCATATATACAGTAAGAAAAGGAAGCTATTCTTTAAATTATATTAGAAAATGAAGTTCATCATTATGACATACATTAAGTTGTTTAATCTTACTTATATTTCAATGGATATTTTGAAACTTTAAATGCATTTGAATCTGCTTCTAAAATGCAGAGAGAATCAACTCACTTAATTGTGAAAGATAATGTAGATGGATTGAACCCTATTTAGGTAGATTAGATAAGAAAACATATTGAACAAAAGTAAAAAGAATTAATGCAAGCAGTTTAATAAAATTAAGATAGTAACAAGTGCAACAATAGGTAAAATATTGAATTAAATTACTTTAAATTACTATTCAGATAAATAAACAAAAATTAATTTGTACACATACATAAAACTGTTTGAACTAAATTATTTTGTTTATTGTAAAAATAGTTTAATTTATTATTTTTAAATAATAATTTATTAAAGTAACTGCAAATTTTTATCGACTAAAAATTTTATTTTGTTAAATAAAAAGCAAATTAGCAGCTGAAAAAATGACAGGAGAAGAAGAAAATTCATATTCATTATTAGTTGGTGGAGATTCTAATTTATAATGTCATTCTTTTTAGACGTCTTAGATGAATGAAAATTCTATATCATTGTTAGGCACAAATGTTAATTCTAATTTTGAGAAAATTCATGTTGAAGAAGATGAGGAAGAATCTAAAAAACAAGATAATGGCATTAAAATCCACAAGGATAATAGTTAAAATGGAAATATTTCTAACATTTTAAAAGAAGCTAATAATTCTAATATAACAGATTAATTAAACTTAAGTGCATCTACAGCAATTACATAACAAGAAACAAATCTTTTAAATTAAAGCAATTTTATAAATGGGAATTAATGTAGCTAATCTATTAGAGAACAACATTAAAATTAAGAATAGAATAATAACGGAGTAGTAAATTAAAATAGTGAAAGTAAAAACAATCATTAAAACTAATAAACTAAAAGCAACGGGAATAATCATGCTACTAATACAAACAATAATAACATTAATAATAATTAAAATAGCTAATCTAATTCCAATCATGAATCCAATGGTAACCACAACAATCCAACTAATTAATAAAATTAAAATAATAAAAATGTAGATAACAGAAACATTCATAGTAATAATTCGAGCAACTATCATATTTCTATATCAAATAAATAAAATTAAAACTAAATGTAAATTGAAATAGACTCTCCTCTTTTCAAAAAATCTATGCCATTTGAGAAATAACCAGAGAAAGTATCTTCGAAAGATGGTATTTTTAGTAATGGTTTGTTAGATGAATAGGGCTGTTTATCAGGAGGAGGTAGATTTTTAAAGAAATTAATTTTATTACACATTTTTTTTACTCGAATATTTTCTTAAAATATTTCTATGTTATAATACTTACTTATTAATAATTAATAAAAAAAAAATATTAATATAGAGTAAAGCTAGAAGCAAAATCTTTCCCCACAAATTGTTTTACAGAATACTTTAGAGTAGAACAAAGATATCCTAGAGTAATTTAGGAGTGGTAAAAATATTTACTTGATTAAAATTAATTAAATAAAAATATAATTTTTACTCTCACAATCTTACCCTATAATAAAAGGAGTTTTTAGTAATAGTTTTTAATAAACATTTTGTAATAATCTATTGTGCTTTATCAAAATAAATTCTGATAAAAAGATTAAATTGCCAATAATACTATATTTTATAAACTCCTAAAGCAATTAATTGCCACAACCAAACACCTTTAATAGGATTTTAATTATACTAAAATTACTTTAAAATTTTTCTTTTTTTTGCAAAAATTATAAAATTAACTTTTCCAATATTTTTGATATGAAAAATATTACTTTTAGAATATAGTGAAAAAAGCTAAATTGAAAACAGTTTACAGATTTTAAGAAATTTTGAATGCTGTTGCATACTCAAAAAACATAAATTAGGTGATTGTTTTGTTAACAAGATATTTTATGAAAATTATCTATCTAGTTTTTTTTTATTAAAAATTAATATGATAATTTAATAATTTTTTTTGCTTTTACTACTTACTGTACAGTTTTTTGAGTTTAGTTTATAATCCAATAAAAATTTCAGTTTGATCAACAAAAAATAAGTTGGATTGAAGAATATTAAAAAATTATTTGAAAAAATGCAATTACCATTTTTATATTTGTTGAGAAAAGTTCATTTTAAAGTTAAATATTTAAGGAACTCCATTTGATATATTTTATGGAGATTGGGGGAGATGATTTTGTTAATTTATTTAGATATTGGAATTATAAAAATAAAAAAACAGATGTCTTAAAACTAATTGCAATCGGTAAGTGCGAGGAATGCATTAAAAAGATATAGAATGAACTACCTTAGTTAATTCTTTCATCGAAAGAAATACTTCCTAACTTGTATGCATAGGCCTTCATAGAAAGAATTAATAATGGATAAATCATAGAGGCAATTATTTTTGCACAAAAAAATCTAAGTGCCTACTAAAACGAGACTTTCTATTCTTATAATGAGAATGGATTTGTTATTCCTATTTCTATTAATGTAATTTTTTTTTTTTCATTTACCAAAGATTTTAAAAAAATCAAAGAGTATAAATATTCTATTACGCTGCAGTCACGTGAAATATTTATCACAATTCAAGTGAAAATATGGTGTCAAATGCAACTTAAAAAAAGAAGAAATTTCGAATTAAACATCCAAAATGTTAAGATGAGAAGCCTTCTTTATTCTTAGAAAAATAATTTAGCAGAAATTTTAATAATAGTTCAAATATTTGCTAGCTACTGAGCTAGCCATAAAATATATTTACTGACTTAATAAATAACCTAAATTATAAAATAAAAAAGGAATTGATGGGATTAGTGGCGATAAAAGATTATTCAAAATATACTGGATTGTAATTCTTATTAAGTCAAAATCAGAGATACATCATCTAGGACTTGATTAACAAATCGATTCTAAGTAATATTTTGACAATTTTTATTTTTGCATCATTTAACAAATATTTTAAAATATCTGAAAATTTTTATCATTTCTCTCTAAACTCTGATTAGGTCTTTTTATCAATTTTTAAGCATTTCTAAATAAAGAAAATACAATAAAGATATATTTTTCGATAATAGAATAAAATGAATCATGAAAATTGTGCAAAAGAATATTTTTGTTTAGTTTAAGGTAAATAAAAATATAAATCGAAGCCATATTAAATAAATAACTAACCATAAAAAAATTAACCAGCTTAATATTCAAAGCCGCAAAAAAATTTTACAATCCAATGACCCTTACTTCTGTTAAATTAACTTTTGAGCACAATAATCAAAATTATTCATGATTTATTTAGTGTTTAATGTAATAAACAACTCATTTTATTTGCGAAAAGATATCTCAATTCCTACTTTTTTACTGCTTATGCTAGTAAAAAAGCAATTTAATAAAAATTTTATTCTAATCTATGCCAAATTCCAATTTTAAGGAGCAGATTCATGAATGCTCAATTTTGTGATAAATATATGCAATCCATTAGAAAATAAATTTGTAAAATTAATATTTTATTTTACTCAAAATTTGAGGTGAATTTGATATTTTTTTTTTTGATATTCCAGATAGTTGATTTAATTAATCGATCTATACATCTTTCTTGAACTTGAATATCTATAAATTTAGAAGCATTAATTGCATAATTTTTAGATTAATTTGGTTTTTAATTTTTTTCTTCCCAAATTGTATTTAGATTTGTTTGGATGCGCAGATGTGTCAATTCTAGAACTGATCCTAAAGCAACTCTAGCTCATAGCAAATCGTTTCAAATAAGAAAAATACTACATTGGAGAAATATATAATCTTAAAGTTTGATCAATAAGATTGTTTCTATATAACTTCAATAAAAATATACTTTACTAATAAAATTCTTGATCATTAGTTTTCATTTAAACTGACTGATTCAGAGCTAGAAGATTTGAGTTTAGAAAAGAGAAGTTAATTGCACTTGTTGAATTAATAATAACTTATTTTTTATTTGCAAAGTCATTTTTTGCTTCCCAAGCTATTACCTATGTATGTTTAACTATGACAGAGCTAGTATATGCTCAAGAAAATAATGAAGCAAAATTTATAAATATGATAGTTCTGTAATTAATTAATAATCAATGTAGATTCCAAATTAAAATTCTCATATTTGCTATCAATCAATCCTAATAGATAACAACTAAATAGATATTAGATAGGAAAGAACATTAATATTTTTATCACAAATAGCTATTAAATAATAATCTAGAAAAAAGCAATCTTATGTAAAAATATTAAATTTTACATTATAATCAACATCCAAATACTGATGAAATAAATATAAATTATGAAAATAAGAAGTAAATATTCTTGCAACAATTAGAACTTATACTAAATTTTTTGAATAAATGCTTTGTAAACTAAGTTCAAAAAAGCAGTAGTAGTTTGTGGGTGTGAATTCATTTATTTTTTATTATTATTTAATAAAGAAACATATAATTACTCATAAAAAAGTAAATAACTATCAGAATAACCAAAAGACAGATCAATTTGAATAAAAGTAAACCATCAAAAAAAAACATCATCTAAATTTATATTGAAAAACATGAAAAGCTATCTTCTTAATAAAAATAAAAATAAAAGACTCATCTCTTTCAGCATGCAGAAATTACACAGTAAACTCAAATCATGGCTCAGAAAATAAACACTTATATAAACTATTATAAATATATATAAATATATAATATATAAATACTCCAAATCAGTAAGTGATATTTGCTTAATAAAACAAAATTTACAATGCAAACACTAACTTGATCAATAAATAACTCATTCACTCAAAAAGAAACATAATCACAATCACAACAACAATAATAATAACTAAATACTCAATTAACCTCCAGTAAATATTATATATGCTCCTTATTTGTAATTAATTTCTAATTGCTCTTTTTCTCATTATTAAATTATGTGTTTTCAGTAATTTCTTTATAAGATAATAGTAGCATTTCTCTTTTTTAGAAAAAATTTTAAACCATCCATACCCACTTTATAATTTCTTCCTAAATATTTCTTTTATACAAGTCAAATGAACTGATAAATAATTTTAAAAGAATCATACCAATATTTTATCTGTAGATAACCTGACTTATTAATTTATAATTGTTAAGCTGTATATCATTTTGCTTTTATGGGAGATGCTGTAACGCTTATTTTATGTATTTTATACTAGCTTCTTTTTTAAAAATACTGAAGACTATTAATTCTTATTTTTAAAATTCTAAAAGTAGGATCATAAAAAAATATATATATAAATGAATAACTACTACAGAAAACTCTCTCAAATTAATTCTACAACTGTAAATATGAAAAAATGATAAAATAATATTTTTTTTCATTGATATAAATCAATCATAATTCATAGTTATTCTATCTATAATCAAATACTGATCAATCGATTGATCTCATAGAATATTTTAAGACCAATTTTATCAAACTAGAACTTAGATAGAATGAAATACAATATTACAAAATTATCATTTCAAAAATCTTTCATACACTTAAAGGATAGGAATGATAGCTTTAGAAAAAAGGAAGTACATAATTATTCGATGTATTTGCACATATATTTAGAGAAAGATTAAGAAATGGATTGAAATTGGTTATCAAGAGAAAAAACTTATATTGATTTGTAAATTCTTCACAAATATTATTGGGAATAAGAAAAAAATAAAAATTAGTAATATTAGGCAGAAACTAAGAATTGAGCCCTAAGATATAAAACACAGTATTTCAAATGGGTCAAATAATATAGATTAAATATTTATTATATAAAAATATATAAGCATAAATTGATTGATTGATAGATAGATAGAGATAGATTGATTGATTGATTGATTGATTGAAAAAACTACATACAAAAGTCGAATAAAAGAGATAAATAAAAAATTGAAATTTAAAATAGAATGAAAGCAATTATAGTGTGAATTAGTTATTTATTAAATTATTTGATTGATTGATTTTAATTTCTTTTTCAAAATTCTTTTTAAATTATTCAGATTCAATTGATCCTTTAATATTTAGTGGGGAGAGTTAGAAAACCAATAAACCAAATATTAAAGACTGCTGCATAGCAGAGTAGATTAAGTAAATATAGTATTTAAGAATAGGAAAGAAATTAAAAATTTTTAAAAGAGTCGTTTTTTTTCAATAAGAAAAAGACTAAGTTAATATTTGCCAATTCCCACAATCAATCAGCCAGTCTCAGACAAGTTAACCTAACACCCAATGCACATATCTATTAATTGAGATATTATTTTTATCAATGATTTCTACTTTATGCTTACAGGTGAAAATTTATACATTTATAAAGAGTTTATTTTATAGATTAAATAGAACCTGTATTTATTTATTTATGTTTTTTTATGCATTCATAATTGTCTTGAATTGCAATTTTGATGGGTTTTGTTTTTGTTTGGAACGACATATGTTATATTAATTTATTTAATTAATTTTAAAAGTGATGCTATAAATATAATCAGCCTATAATAAAATTAATAATATTTGAAATAGTATAGATAATATTAATTAGTATTTATTAAATCGTGTTTCGTTATGATATACAGTAAAGCTAATTCAATTTTATTGAGCTCTAAAATAATATATGTTCAGTAAAAATAAGCGATGAAAAAATCTAAAAAAATATCAAAAAAGAAATTAATTCAAGTGAAATTATTCCTTATCTAAAAGTATTTCACAGCTTTAACTTAGTGCTTGTATAATAAATAATTTAGCTAAAAGACTTTTTAAATATTTACGAACTCTGATTATTTATTTAAGCAAGTAATGCAAAATATATAAATGAATATTTAAAATTAAAAATATCAGTCAATAAGTAAAATAAAAGTGCTTGCTTTTTTTAAAAATTTGAACGTAACTCTAAAAGCTAAAAGGGTAAGGGAACAAAACAACTCAAAGAAAAGTATTTATTAATATTATTGATAAATACCAAATAAAGCTAGCGAGCGTGCGAGTTTTAAATATTTCTGTCTTTTTCATTTAGATAATAAATTTTATGAAATAAAAAACAATAATTAAAAAAAAACTTAAAAATAGAGTAAAAACTCTTTACCTTTGTTAGCAAGAAAACTTTTAAAGGACTTATTTAATATAAAAATAATAAAAAAACAAAAAACAAAATATTAAATAGTAAATTAACCTATTAGAAATATTTGCTAAAATTTACGCTCACTCGCAAGGAACCTACCTATCATCTCTCATAAAACAAACTCACTTACCATCCTCTATCAACTCTTAATAAACCCTTTCGAATGTAGGCTCTTCCCCAAGTTTATCCCTAAAATCCTCTACTCTCACCTTAGCTCTAAACTCTTCAATGGTTAACTCAATTGAATCCCTACTAGTAGGCTTTATTGTTACCTCTACTTTCTTAAAACACTCCTCTCCAATCACCTTTGTTTATGTCTGCTAAGGAGGATGAAGTAATTCCTTAAATTAATAAAGAATCTCTCTTCTCCCTCAACCATCTCCAACAATCCCCCCTCTCTTACTGCCTTAATGATAACCAAATGACTGAATCAACTCAAGAAAACTCACCTAAGCTTGCTTATTATAATCTCGGATTAGGAATGAATGACTGCTTCTCTTTGCAAGACAAGCCAATTTATGCCACCGCTAATGTCTTAGCCAACAATCTTCCAAACATTTAGTTAATTGCTCCTATCTAAAAAAAAATTAAGAAGCAAAAAAGTAACAATTCTGCTAAAAAAGCTGATAGCGATAACGTCCTTACAAATATCCGCAAAGAAAGTTGCGACAGTGTTATCCAAAGCAGCGGATTTAAAAGCCCAACCCTCTCTTCCAATAAATTAAATGCTAGCAACAGCTTAAACCTCAATGATGACAAGAATATAATACACATTAACTTCACTAAAAATCTATTGAAGTCATTCCGTCGCTACTGCGAATATTATCACAAAAATAACTAACAATTGCTTTAATAGATCAAAACTGATTTCGAAACCAATCACATGAATAATCAACTCCTTGTTCACTTCATGACAAGCCAAGTTACCTAAGAGTACTTCTAGATGTTTGTTGATGGTCCTGCTTAAAAATGGGTAAAAGAATAAAGCCGTCTTAAAAAGTAAGATCAACAATTAGAGCTCATCGAAATCTGCAGATAACGTCTTTTTGATAAGATTAAAGTTAAGAAATACTGCGATACTGTATCTAACCCTATATAAATTGAAGACAACTTAAGCTGCTAATCTCCTGCTATGAGCCCTACTGCTATCCCCTCAGCTCATCCCCTTAAGAAATCTTCCTCTTTGACTGCTCGCCCTATCTTCAGTTAAATTGGTAGCGCCAACCAACCAGCTGCTGTAAAATCTGCATTAAGCTCCTCATCTTCAGAATCATCTGAGTCTTCATATGAAGATGAAATAATTGATTAAAAAAATAATCAATCCAGTAATAATCGTAAAGAAGAATGCGATCTTGAAGAAGAAAGTGACAGCTCCTAATCTAGATAAATTAGAAACGAAAATACTTAGAGTATCAATAAAGAGAATAATGTACTCTAGGAGTCATTTGAAGTGAAAAATGAAGAAATTGAAAATTCCATAAAAATAGAAGATGGATTTTGAATTGAATTTGTAATTTGAAAAGCTGCACTGTCTGCTTGCTACCATAAATATTATCTATTTAATGATTTATGGTGAATTACTAGAGTTTATTTATATTTTGGAATTAAAATGCGAAATATAATTACTCCTTTCTCTCTCAAAATTTTTTTAGTTAAGATAAATATTAAGATATCCTTGAATGCATGCATTACTACATACAATAATAAAAATTTAACAAAAATTAACCAAATAACCAACTAACTAACTAACTTAATCTCATAAATTAAATAAGCAACCCACCCCTTACTGACTATAATATATATATATGCAACTATCACATATTAATCTTAAATATTAATGAACTAATCAATTAAGAAATAAAAAAACTACCCCCGCTTAATCAATTAAAAACTATTGCTGGTGAATTTCACTAAGTCCATACATAAATACATACACTTAGATATGATAATAAACAAACAAACACCCCTTTATAATAAAAACTAATTTTCTAAATATTTAATAAAATCAATAATAATTATATAAATATCTTATAAAATACTTGTCTATCTTACTTCCTTTACTTTCTTAATCCTAATATTATTTCTAAATATCTTTATCGATTGATATATTCAAAATTTAAGGATAGAAAGCAGGGAGGGGAAAGCGCTATATCCTAAGTAACGATCTATTATATTTTTTACTCAATGTTTCTTCTCCATAATCAAACAATCAATATTAATTATCCAAAAATTTTTTTGAATTCACTCCATTCATCCATCTTTGTTAATCTAAGTGAACGAGAAATTATTTTAAGCAATCATAGATACATAATATCTTAAGCTAGTTTGTGCATATCTTACTCGGCCGTTCTAATAATTTTCAAGCCTTTTCAACTCTCTTACTCTTCATTTAAACTATTTTTAAATTCAAATATCCAACTTTTGAAGTAACATTTACAAGTGATTAATTATCTCAGTAATTAAGTGATATGTGCAAGAGTTTTTCCTAATGGCTTAGAAAAAGCGAAAGTAGGAGGGAGGTAGCTCAAGAAGAAAGAAAGAAATAAATATTCCTTTTATTATCATAAGTTTTTTAAAATAACTTAAAAAATAACAAAATAAATAAACAAACAAGCAAAAAGTTTAAATTTCATTAACAATAATAACGAAAATGGATTAGAAATATATTTTTTAAAATTTTATTAAAATATTTACTTTAAAACAAAATCACTACTTAACAATTTATTAATATTAATCTATATTATAAAATTTATAGTCAAAATTTTTACTTTATGCATCCGTACCTTATACATTTTATATTTTATTTTATTAGTTTATTCAATTTATTATTATCTAGAATTAACCTGATTTTACTTTAATATTTTCAGATACTGTTTTTTTAAATATTTCTTTTGCTAGAAGACCTTTCCTATTTATTGAAATTCTATTTAAATGAATTAACTTACAATTTTTATATTCTTACCAAAAGGCCTTTATTTTTTATTTAACTATTAGTGCTAACTAGATAAGAAAGCATAAACGGTTCTTAATTTATCCTCGATATAAATAACTTCTTATACAAATGAGTAATATGAAATATCTTGTGATATGAGTGACTTTATCTCTTGTCAAATAGTTATGAAATCAAAAAGAATATTATTGCAAAAATAAAAATTTTGGCTCTGCTAACCTATAAATAATAGATAATTTAGAAAAATCTAAAATATTTAAGATTATTAACAATCTTACAGTGTAAACTCGTTGATGTAAAAATATTTAAAAATACTTTTTGCAGAAGGATGGGAAGAGTGATATATTCCTCTTTTACTGTCTTAATTTGAAGATGAAATTTTTAAAAAATATTGTCGCATACAAATAAATACACTTTAGAAATATCACAATATAATTGGCTGATTAAAAATTTTTAAAAAAAAGTATTAATCAGTCAGTTGATCAAATATTTGATTTCTTTTCTATTTTATTTCATGAATGCTGAAGTTTTTTTAATTAAATAAAATTGAAAAGTGGTAATCAGTATATTTTTATTAGTAAATTATTTGTATATAATTACTTTTAATTAATGCATAAATCAGTTACCTCCTTATCAATACTTTGCAATTTTTACTCAATCATTATATACTTGCTTCATAATTCAGATAAGTAATTAACTTTCCACCTAATTTAATTATAAAAAAAATACATAGAAGAAAAGTCTTTAAAGTTTTACTTTCTTAGTTCAATCATAGTTAGATAGTTCTATTATTTCAGATCGAAATAGGCCAAGGCCAATTAAATTATCCCAATTTCTGTAATGATTTTTGTAATTATTTTAAAAAACGATGTAATTTTGATAAATAAATTTATCTGTTGTATCTTTTTTTTTGAAGTTTTTCATTTTTACATTCAATAATTTTTGATGACTACTTTTAAAATATCTAACTCATATTTTCAAGACATGTCATTCAATTAATTTAAAGTGGTTTGGATGTTAAATGCATCGCAGATATTGCGTATCTTCTGTTATTATTTCAATTAAAGTACCACTTATAATTAAAAATAAAGAAAGACTATCTTAAGTCTATTAATTAACATTAACTTTGAATATAGTTATTAATTATTTTGCAAGCTAAATGTATTTTTAAAATTAAAAATCTTTTTGACTTACCCACTAAGTAAATATAGAGACCTCCAGCTTTGAGCAAATAAAGGTGGATACCATATGTAATTTATGATTTATTGATTGAAAAAATATATCTAAAAATACTATAAGGTATTTATTTTTCTACCTAATTTAAAAAATATTTCCAAGAAGAATAGAATTAATGGTTAGATTAGTATTATAAGTATTTTAGATATTTTAAATATGATTCTTGAGTATATAGTAAAGTCACTCTTGATTAATTCTCATCCATTCTTTAAAAAAAATAAAATAAGTATGAATAGAATTGTGCATGTGTTCATTAAAATATATTCGTAAATATCTTTTAGTTTTATATTTTTTGATAGAACAGAATGTTGATTATAGCAAAGAGTAATACTGAACTAAATCTTATGCGCAAATGGCCAATAATAACACATATAATCATATCATATAAAGTCGATGCCAATCAGATTTATTGAAAAAATGCATTATTATGAATTAGATTTATGAGCAATAAATATAAAAATAAATAAATAAATGAACTCAGAGAAAATAGTATTAGGTGATATTAAAATAATTAGCTTAAAATAGAAATAAGTTAGAAGTAGAAAAGGTGAGATTTAATATAGAATTTTATTCAAAATATTTTGAAAGCAGAAAATTATCCGACTATTTCTAAGATTTTTTTATTAAAAATCTCTTTATGTATTCGCTAAGAAAAAATAAATAAATTTAAAGCTCTTTGTACACCTTTTAAAAGTATATGAATAGTAAAGGGCTTTAAATAAGGGAAGACCCTATTAATTACTATAAATTAAAATTGAAATAAAATGAAATAGATTTAAAAAGATTTTGAGAAAATACTTAATGAAGGATGGATGTATGATTATATAGAATAAAAGTGACACATTCATTAATCGCAAGCAAGCAAGAAGTAATTGATTATTTTATAGATAGATAGAAAGAATTTAATAATATTTTGGAGGGAAGGAATGTATTTGAAAAAAGAAATACCAAAATAAAAATATTATAAAATATATATATAAACAATATTATTTGTAATAGATGTTTTTGTTTTTGAAGTAAATATTTTTTATAAATATTATTTGCTAAAAGACTAAAGCGATTGTTTGCAAATCAAAATCTCTTACTCGCTTTCAATTTTGAAGTTTTTTTACTTGTTTTTTTTTGTTTATTTTTTAAATCTTTTCATGAGTAACCTTCTCTTTTAAAATTTCTCTTCATCACGTTGAATTTAACTTTGATAGTACCAACAGATTTAACTCTAGTAACTTTAGTTGTAAAATAGAAAAAATGAATATAGTTGTTATTTTTTTCTTTTATTAGTCTCTTTGAATTTGTATGAATATTTGGCAGTAATAATAATCCTCTTATCATCTACATTCCACTATATTAATTAAATATTTTGAACTATTTTTCAACCTCGAAAGGTAGGTTGCCTTTATATTTCCCACTCCTTCGAATATTTAAGAATCGAAAGTATTTTACAATTTTCATGTATTTAAAAAATTAAATTTTAAGATACCATATGCACACTCTCAATTTACTTACAAAATAGAAGAATTTCACAAAAATTGCCTGGGCAGTCCTTAAAATCAGGTAATTTAAACAAGTAATTAAAAACATGTTTGTTTCTTTTAAAAGAATTTTTCTTAGAAATTATTTGCTTAAATTGGGATAAATTAAAATCATATTTTACTTGGCTGTAAGTACTCTAAAGCTGTAAATAAAATGTTTATTACTACTTTGCCATAAATTTTTAAAATAAAAAAAATAAGTGCTTATTTGTAGTCAGCAATAGTTGATTGGAGACTACTTAGGCAAATAATAGTTAAACGTAAATTTTATCTAAATTTTTAAATCTAGCGAATCAATAAATAGTTAGTTATCAAAAAGCAATAAATTAATTTATAAATAAATATAAGGAAAAGGGGGTAATATATTGTTTATATTGAAAATTAAACTTGAATATTAAAAGAGAGGGAGCTAGCTATCCAAAATATTTAATTAATTTAGAGCGATTTCTATAACTTAAATTTAAGAAATTAGTTTTTCTTAAAGACATTTAGTCTAAGATGATATTTTTCTAATTCATCAAAATGGAATACATACTAAGTAAATATGATTGCCACATTTAAAGCTTACGTAAAAAGGTATATTGTGAATAATTAAAAAATAGAATTGCTTTGTTTAAGTATTTTGGTACATAAATCACCTGAAATATTTAAGAGAGGATTTGAAAATTCAAGATTTAAATATTCAATAAATCAAGTGAAATTAATTGTCTGCCATTCAAATTTATAGTTTAGAAAAATAAAAATTGCTTTTTAGTAGAGAGAGTATTTTAATTTGCTTCTTTTAGATGATTACTAAAGTAATTAATTGATTATTTAGTTTTTGATTTTCCCCAATAATATTTATCAACCTTTAAGTTTTTATTTGGCTAAATGTTAATCAGCTTATCTTTACAACTTATTCATTCTGTATTTATTGACTGATCATGCATGCTAGCTGGGGAATTATATATTTGGGCTAATACTTTATTAATTTACTTTTTCTTGTAATACAGAGTCATCGTTTGCATTTTTTAAAAAAGTTAATAAAAATAAAATAGCATATTTTGCCTTTTTATTTTATAAATTTATTTTATATTATAAGATTAAGATAATTTCAAACATTCAATTACTCTTGTTACCTCGTTATTAGCAACCAAACATATTTATTTTTTGTAACTTTGTTTGTTTTGTTGTTTTATTTATTTATTCCCGTTTACGGATTCTAAAAAATTTTACAAATCGATGACATTTAAAATTTTTTTCAAAGAGTTGATTCAAAAGAGACTGATAATTGATGAATTTAAAGTTTAAATTTTATTTTTTTAAACGCTCATCTAAAAAAAAATTTTGTTACCTTCTCTTCCTTCTCCATAAGCTATTACTTTTTTTGCATCGTGGTATTTTATTTCTTGTTTCGAGAAGAAGCTAAATATTTCCGAGATTTTGCTTGTAGCTAAAGGCTTATACACTCTTACAATTCTTTCATGACTATTTTTAAAAAATACATTTATTGCATGCACTACTCAAGAATTATTCTGTTTGATTAACATAATCAATAAATCAATCAATCAAATTTAGTTATGATTGATTACATCAAATAAAAACTGGAAATAATTGACTCTTCCTTCCATTTAATTATTAATCGATTTAAATGACAAATATTAGAGTAAGGCAACTTGTTTTTTGTAAAAATAACTCAAAAATAAAAACGAGCACTATCAAAAATTTTTTTTTAAATTAATATTTCTTCCTACTCTATGCTTTAAAAATAATCCTCAGTCATTCTCTATTAAATTCTTAGCTTTTACTGTTTGGTTTTTTAAATTTTATTAATGGTTATTAATTCTAAAACACTATTTTTTCAATATAAAAAATGATTTTTAAATATCTTTATTGTTCCTTTGTAGGATAATACAAAATCATTTTATTATATTTTTAAATCTTTAATTCAAGAATTAATTCCCTTTTTAAAAAAATAATTGATAGTAAAGAAAGGTAAGAGAGTATAATCATTCAAACGTTGATGTATATTTAAATCAAAATATGATTATTATTTATTTAAAACAACCAAAAAAGTGTTTTACGAAATCTTATTTTACTACTCACTCATATTTTTAAATATTTTCAAACTGATAATTACCAAGAAGGAAGCAGCAGCGCTTTAACTTAGATTTAAAATAAAAATAGCTAAAGTTGATAGCATTAATATAAAATATTTGTTGTCATAGAAAATAAGACTTTTTATTTTGAGGTATTCAATAATTAAACTTTGGTGATTTAACTGAAAAATATTTAAAAAATAAATGTAATATTTGCTATTATAATTTCTTAAATTTTGAATAATTCTGATTAATCTTTCAAATAACTTTATAATAATATTTCGAAACATTCATTATCTTATTCAGCTATCAAATATTTTATTTATTTAATTGCTAGTTAATTTTCTTTATTTATTTATTTCTTTATTATTTGGCGTTTATTTTATTTTTAAAATTTCTCAAATTTATACCTTCTCACTCACTTAAAAATTCAAATTTTAAAACTAAAATGTTATTATTCAAATTTTCTAATAAAATAAATATTTATTTTATATTATTTACTATCCTGGTTATGTAGGTATATGTACGCTTCCATATCCTCTAACTTCAGAAAGACCAAAAAAGTTTTTTCCAAAAACCGAAATAACAAGCTAGGGCCATCCGAATGGAGTATCAGTAGAAAAAGTAGCTTCAAATGGTAAGTTAAAAACAATATCTCTTGTATATAAGCTATTTGAAACTGAAAATTATGACTTTCCTTCTAATATTTGCTAATATTATAAAATATTTTTAGATAACTCTATTTTTGAAGCCATTTAGTTTAGTTATATTTATAGAATAACTTTTTACATTATTATCTACTGGATTAAAGCTGTTTCCGTGGGCTATTTCATATTAGCACATAAGAGTGTCTTCAGAATCAAACTTTTATAAAAATAATTTTACATTAATATTATTTTTTAAATATTGCAATAAATTCTATTTGATATCAAAGATTAGACTTCTATTTTTATAACTTTTTTTATTTTGCGAAATAAATAAATAATTACTTCTCCGCTTTCTATTGAGCCTGAAAAACTCAAATACATTTTTTGATAAGGCATGCTAGAAGGATCAACCCTTTCTTGGGATTGATACTACTTCATTAAGTCACTTTAAAATCCTCCTATACCACTTTATTTGTTAATTTACTACATTCTATGTTAATAATTGTAAAGATTTATTTAATTTTGAATAAAATATCTTGTGATTCTAATTGATTAATTCTTGATTATTATTAATTAGATTAAATACTTTTTCTGCTTATATTTTTTTGAATTTTTGAAATGATATTTATACTCATTGATTATCAAAATGAATCAGTCAATTTTTAAATCATATAGATAGAATAAATCTGAAATTAATTTCAAAAGTTAAAAATCTAATCTAAAATGTAAAAAAATCTAGATTTATATCTCTGTAAATTAAAATTAATTTAATATTTCACTTCTATTAAATAATTCAAGTTTTATCTACTAATTTTTTGAATAATAAAAATAGAAACAATTTGGTTAACAAGAAAGAATGAATTTTTTAAATAAATAATATAATTTTTTTTAAACTAGATAGATGATAGTAAACAAATAAGTATCAAAAATTGAATTTAAAAAAATAAAAACTTTTGTAAAGATGATATTAAAAAATAATTAAATATTTTGAATAAATAAATATAAATAAATTTAATTTTAAAAAATGTAAATTTTTAAAACTAAATAAATAAATTCTTAAATAAATATGCTTAGAATAATAATTTTAAATATTATTTATTAATTTAATATAAAACATTGGATAATTTAACAAGTAATATAATATTTTATGCAAGATAAAATAAAAAAATATTTTTGAATTAATATTTAAGCGAATTTTATATCAATAAAATAATGTCAAATTTAAAAATATAAATTTTTATTTGAATTAATTAAATTATTTTTACTAAATTGTAAAAAAAATAGATAACAAAATATAAAATTTTATAATTTAAACATAACTAAATCTGATTTTTTAAAATCTAATTAAATAAGCTCAATTTATATATAAATTTTATTTAAAAAATAGTTTAATTTAAAAAATAAATTTACAATTTCTTAAAATATTTAGTTTTCCTTTGATTTTTTTATTATTTAAATTTAAGAAATATTATACAATTTACTTTTAAATATTTAAATTATAAATAAGTAATATTTTGATTGATGTGATTTTAAAAATAAAAAATCTTTTTTATATAAAACACTGAAATGATTTTTTTCAAAAAATAACAATTAATTTATTTACTTTCTTCTTAATAAAATTAGCAAATAAGTTACTTTTATAAATTTAAAAATATAATTTTTTTAAGTTAGTTATAATTTTATTTATTTATTAATATTATAATTATGTTTATTAGTTTTGATGAGATATTTTACATAAGTAAAAAGTAAATAATTTGTGTTTAGTAGATCTAATTTATTAAATTAAAAAGTTAAAATGTCATTCTTTTGTTTTCAGTTAATTTTTTGCTATAAAAGAGGCATTTACAGCTTTATTTTTATCGATTTTTATCAGATTATTACCTAAATCATTCATGCTTTTAAAGTTTTAATTACCTTATGAATTGCTTTCTTATTATGCTATATTTTCATGCTAATGGATATTTTTTAATGGTTTTGGAGAATGGAACTAATTTTAAGAAGGACTAGCTTATCTAAAAGTAGATACATTATTCTTAAATATACTTTCTTTCCTTAAATTTAAATTTAAAGGTTATACAACATTATGATTTCTAGGTGAGTTAAAATTATTTTAGGAAGATATGTGTGTTTGCGGCTCATAACTAAATCTTCTGTTGTTGTTACTATTATTATTGTTATTGTTTTTTTAATCTATTTTTGGTAGTATTAATCTATTGTTATCTTGATTATTATTGCTTGGTCTCGATTCTTAATTTCCTTACTAAGCTCCATTTTATTAAGAAAATACTGAATATTATTATAGACTTCTTTGACTAGCATTACTGTGATGCTAAGGGCTTTTAAATACAGGACTATTGCTAAACATACTGTTTTTTCTTATTGGTTACATACTATAGGGATTTCTACTAGATTAAGCATATCCTCCGTTAAATAAACTTTGCTAACTATTAGTGTTGGAGTTTTTTTATAAAGGAGTAAAGGATCCTCCTTATCCAGCCTTTTTTTTAATTGGAGCTAATATTTATGGACTGTCTAGTTTTGCATCTTCATTCTATTAGGATTTTTCTTGTTAAAATTTTTTCTTTTGTTCATCCTCTTCTAGCTCAAGCTACACTCTTTTAGAATTCATTTTTAAATATTTATGTTTATCTTGCTTTAGTCATAAAAAATTTATAAAATTAATTTACATTTCTTCATAAAAGTTTTAAATCCACCGATGCTCACCAATTTCATTCATAGTTATTCTTTAATTATGATTTATTATGAGCATTTTTTTAATGAGATCCTGAACACTTCTAGTCAACTTTTTCTTATCTGCTGGTGAAAAGCTCCACTTTCCTTTAAGTATACTATCCTAAACAGCATCTCTTGTATTTTATGGAAATGGAGAGTTACCTGTTAGCATCCAAAATAAAATGCAACCCATTGCCCATACATCTATGCAAGGATGAGCAGGAAAATGTTAAGTGATTACTTCAGGAGACAAATATCTGGCAGATCCAGCTTCAGTATGATCAACATAAACAAGAGTTTACCTCCCAGAAATTCCAAAATCTACTACTTTTAGCTTTTCTTTTGCCTGTTTTAACAAATCAATTGATTTTGGTATTTTAATATTTCAACTCTTAAATAATTAAAACCTTATCTTCGAACATAATATTTTCTAGTTTAAGATCTCTGTGTATAATATTCTCCCTATGGCAATACTATATAGCACTGTACAGTTAAATAAATAGCTTTTATGCTTCCTTCTCTGGCAAAATCTTTTTTTCATTAAGGTACTCTCTCAAATCTCCTCCGTCTAGATACTCAAGGATAAGTGCTACTTTCTATTCTTTTTAAAGTGTATAGCAATTGTAAACTTTAACTATATTTCTATGGTTCAAGTTTTTAAGAGCAATAAGCTCTTTGTAAATCATATCAGTGTCCTTCGCATTTTCTTTTAAATGAGAAATAATTGGTTATTAATTCCAGAAAAGAGTCATCAATAACTCTCAAAATTATTTGAAATTCCAAAATTAACTAACACAAATCAGAAATCATTATTTTTACATACATTTCCTGAAAAGAAAATACACTTTGATATTATATAAAAAATAGCTTATTTTAAATTACTTATTTTAGAGGAGTCAATCATCTTGATAGCTACTTTTTCCTTAGAAATTCTATTCCTTGCTTCAAAAACTCTACCATATCCTCCTTCTCCTAAACATCTTAAAAGCTTAAAAACCGCAAAATTTGAACTTTCGTCAAATTCTTCTCCAAAGGAGATATATAAAATATCGTTATTTTTTATGTATTGAACATCTTCATTAAATACTTCTATTCCTCCAGTCTTAAATACTCTAATATTTTGTGCTTCTCTTTTGCTGACATCAATACTTTCACATATTGTTTCTGCAAGCTACTCAAAGTTAATATACTCTTTTACTAAACAACTTGTCATTTAAGATGGATCACCGTTTTTTACTAATTTAACCTTTCTCTATTATTCAAAAATATTTTTCAAAAATAAATGCATACAATTAAACTAAAGATAATATTAATACAGACTGTAAGAAACTATCTTTACTTATTCTAAAATATGTTTAGATTGTTAAGAATATTTTTTGCATGCAAAGTCTGTTATTGCAATAAAAATCTAAATCAAATGACAATAAAATATTTTATTACTCGGTTATCCTGCTAGGTACTCAGCAGATCAATATCGTATTGATCCATCTTTGTAGCTATATAAATAACGACTATAAAATTTTGCTTAAATCAATAAATAGTTATTAGTTTTTTTCCCTTACAGTTTATATCCTTTTTTTGATATAGTGTAAATTATTGAATGATTAATACAAAATAAATGAATTTAATATAATAAATATAATCTTAAAAACAAGATAATATTGATAGTTAGTAATTAAATTATTGATAACAATAATTATATTACTAATTTCCTTCATAATTATTAAAAATTAACAAAAATAATCAATGAATTAATGATAAGTTGACCATTCTTTGATTATTAATAGATTCATGATATTAAAATATAGAAAATTAGTTAGTATAACATTTAATAGAATTTAGTAGTATGTGTAGATTTGTATTAATAAACCACTACTTTAATTTTTTTTTCATTAATTATATTATTTAACTCAATATCACTTTAAAGCTTATTCTATTAAAATAATTCCTAATTATAGATTTTATCACACAAAATGAATGAATTTCCATTTAATTTAATCAAAATACTTACAAAATAAACGAACATCAGTTTAATAAATTTTAATAAAAACTCATAAATAATTCTAATTCTAAATTTTTTCCTATCTATTTTGTTAAAAAAATGCAATTTTTTATAAAATAAAAATAGTATTTTTTAATTTCTTAACTAAGTATTTGAATGTTATAAAATTGTAAAATATAATCTTATTATAAATAAAAAATTAAGCAAATATTTATATTTTTCCTTTATAAATATTTTGAGCACTGCATAAAAAATATTTAGCTTTGCTAGTTAAGAATAATACCAAAAAAAATATGTAGTCATATGGACTTAAATAAAGAAAGGAAAAATAATTCTCAATAAAATAATAATTAAGTTTTTAATAATAAGTAATAAATAAATATTTTTTTAGCTCTGTTTATAATTCTACCTAAAACTAATCGCATGGATTGTTTTGACTTTTATTTTATATATTATTCATTTGCTTGAAATATTTATTAGAATTACAAATAATATTTATAAATTATGAAGATTTTATCTATTTTTTATTCAAAAAATTTATATTGATCATGATATTTACTATTTGGTTGAGACAAAAACATTTTACTTTTATAACATTCTAGAAAAAAAAGGAAGCTAAAATCAATTTTTAACCTTTGAACCAAAAATAAATCAAGACATTAATATCATCTAAGCCATAATTAATTAAATATAAATTGATAAAAATTTCAACTTTAAAAACTCAATAATTTGCTCAATATATCATAATTAAATAAAATTAATTAAAAATAAACACTAAAAAAAGACTAAAAAATCTAGGAGTAGGAGAAAATAAGTTTTTTAAATAAAACTTATCTCCCTCTTAGCAAAAGTTTCCTCTAGGGCTCTGACTCTCAAGGATATACTCCTTGCTAGAAAAATTGAACCTATTGTTTTATCATGCTATAAGTTAAAAGAGAAAATTCATCTAGTTCGCTTAAATCTATTAAAATGGAAGTTTAAGTTAAAAAGGTAACTAAATCATTAACTTATTATAAATAGAATATAAATATATTATATACAATTCATGTAATATGGAACTTAACATCATATGATGATAACATCCAGCTCACTTTGAAGGCTCGCCTTCTGAAAAAAACCTTTCCTATACTCTGACAAATTAATTTCCAAATTATATATAAAAACACATTTCTTCTACTCTCTTTTTATTACCATTTCTAATTTTTATTCTTATGAAAAGTCCGCAAATGAAGACAGATAAAATTAAAAGACAAAAGCTAAGCTTGCTATTAATGATTCTCCTCATTGCACTTACAAACTGTTTCTTATTGTTAATAAGGTAAAAAAACATTAAATTAAAATTGCCTTATTCCATCTTATCTAAAGTGGTGGAGACATAAAAAGGATCTATCGAAGCTTGTACAATGATTTTATCATTGTAGAAGTCAAAACAATCCAAAAGAAACCGTCAAATAGTGATTCGGGTGGCACTTTTATTTTCCATAAATAATCGTGTCTATCGAATTTCTAACACTTAATTAATCATTTGAAAATTTTCACAATAAAATAAATAAATGGTCTCTAATGATATCTTTATTTAATAATAGATTTAACTGCTTAAAAAGAAGACATGAAACTCTAATAACAATTAACACTGCTAATAAAATAATAACAATAAAATATTACAAATAATAACCATACACAAATTTCAATTCTAACAATATTAAATCTCTTACTATTTAATCAAATCTCTATTTATTATTTCAAACAATTAACTATCATTTACTACTAATATTTATTTATCTATTTTCAAATATCCTTATATATTTGTATACGTGATTGAAAATAATTGATAAAATATCTGCTCAAATTAATACTTTTATAAAATAATTTTATTTCTATTTATTTATTTCTAAACACATAAAAGGATTTGTTTAATTTACTAAGCTTTCATTTAATTGTTGGCTTTTTTAAACACAATCCAAAATAAAACTATGAACTTTTCAATTGTTGATTCTTTAATAGATCAACGATCAGTTCAAGCATAGACATTTACTTTTTTTATACATGTGTAATAAATATTTTTTTTATTAAAGTAAGACAAAAAGAAAAAAGCTTTTATCTTTATGGATCAGTTTTTATTTAAAAAATTGCATTTTTTAGAAATTAAAATTTTCAAATAGATATTTTGTATTTTAAAATAAATAACACAAAGATTTTTTTTTTTCTATACTGTTTAATGTAACAATCTTTTTAAACATAACTTTTTGATAAATTAATAATCTGAAAATAAAAATATATTTATATTTTTTATACCTTATGGAATTTCGTTCATAATAAATATATTCGATAAAACTTTATTGAAAGGTATTGAATGTCTCATTTATAGTTAAAGCAATATTTAAAAAGTTGACTCTGATGTCTGATGTCTGAAATTTAAATGCCAATTAATTATTAAAAAATAGTTAAATCTTTTATTGAAAAAAAGCAAAAATTGTAAAAATTCTTTAGAAAAAAATTTTTTTTTCTAAAAAAAAGAAATTAATTAATTTTATTTTTCTTTTAATTTTATGAATAACATTTATTGTGATGCTTTAAATAATAAAATAAATAGATTTTATATTAAACTTACAATTATTTAGCAGAAATATAAAGTATTTTTATTAAATAAATATTTTCGGTTATCATTAATTTTCTGCTGTTTTTTAAAATAAAGCAATGTACTTTCATTAAAATTATACATATTAAAAAAAATTCTTCTCAAATTTGATTAACGAGTAAATATCTTACGGTTTAGTTAAATGCTGTCATTCTAATTTAGATTAGGTAATTATATCTAACATTTAAAAAAATAGATTGTTTTTAACAAATAAATACAGAGTGAGGCATTCATTATATTTTTTCTTTCTAATTGTAATCAAAGAAAAGCATATAAACATATAAAAATTGAATAAATTTAAAAAATTTATTTTACAGAAAAAAAGAAAAACAAAATCTTACCAAAAACAGCACCACCTCAAAGAAAAAAACTCTAAGCTTTTTGCAACTATATACTCAAAACCCCTTAATGCTATAGACACCATCCTGCTTGCAACCTAACAAAAATTTCATATTTAGTGTAATATTAGCTGGTCTCTTTACTACAAGTTTGTGCTTAAGCATAATAGGTCCTTTCTTCCCACTCAAAGCAAGTGACTATGATATTGAATAATAAATGTAACTTAATCAAACATACAAATTATTAAATTGTTGACTACTTTAATACGAATATAGGGTTGGCATCATTTATAGTGGATTCCCACTTGGTGCTATATCATGTACTTTCTTAATTCACAAACAGATGAGCCTACACAGAAAGCCATTTATGATTACTGGAATTGTGTTTTAAGTTATAGCTATGATAGGGTTTGCTACTTTATTCTTATGGAATAGCAAGTCATTGATTATCTGTTTAGCTTTTTTGTATAGAGTATTTTAAGGAATAGTAAATTATTTTTTTATTTTTAGAAATAAAATAACTATGTTTATATATTATCTATTAGGGATTAAGTATGTTTGAGGCACCTTCCCTTTCATTTTTGCCTCTTCTATTTAATAGATAATTGGATGAAAAAATTGGTTTAATGGAAGGTGTCCAAAGCATAGGATTTATGCTTGGACCTCTCTTAGGAAGTCTTTTCTATTATGTTGATGGCTACTAGCTTGTTTTTTATGCAATTGGAATCATTTAATTTTTAGTATTACCCATTACATTTTTTTGTGTTCCTGATTACAAATAAGTTAAGAAATCATTTGGAACATCAAAAAGTAAATAGTCTTTTTTACAAAAATTATTCATTCTTAAACTAGAATCGCAAATTAATTACGCAATTTTATTATTCATGAACATTAAATTTTACGTATCTTTATAAAGTGAATTTATTATTTAAGCAAATCTGTCAATTTTGTTAATTTTTTTAATCAAAATACGATTTAAGTAAAGCAGTTTTAGCTAATAAAAATAATTCTTGTTTTTTGAAAATTTTTTAATCTTTTTTTGCAAAAATATATTTAGGCACTGATAGATCTTCTCTCAGTAACGATTTGTAAATTTAACTATTGCTTAGGAATAATAGCTCTGATGAAGAAGCTAGTAAAATCTCTTACAAAAAATCAATTAAAAATTATAGAATAATTTTGATGTTTTGTCTAATTTTCTTAACCGCTTATGGTTTCTTATTTTTAGACTCATCATTTGCTTTGTATCTTGATGGATAATTTGGTTTAGATTAACATGCTATTAACTATATATTTTTTGCAAGCTATTTCTGCAATTTTATCGCTTGTCAAATTGTATCCTATTTTTCTAATAAATAATATAACAGTATTAGAATATGTATAGCTGGATTTATTATTTCATTTATTTGCTACTTATTTTTAGGACCTGCCGATATATTCCCTTTTTAGCCTATTTTAGGCTTGACAATAGCTATGAGATGTATTATTTCTTTAAGCTAGTCTTTAGTATACATTCCTTCGATGAAGGAGTTCTTTAACACTCTTTCATCTATCTTCCATTTGAACTAAGATGATGAATAAATAGGAGATATGGCAAGCACGTTCTATATATTAGCTTAGCAAACAGGAGAGCTTTTTGGTCCTCTAATTGGAGATTCAATTTGTTAATATAGAAGTTTTTAAGATGCAACATTTTATCTAGGAGTATTTAATGTAGCTGCTATTTTGATACTTTTTGTTGCTAAACTGCTTATAAAATAAGATGAAACTTAAAAAATAGTATATAGAAGATAAAGTTAGCATTTCTATATTAGTTTATAAAAGGAAAGATAAATAAAAACCAGTAAATTAGAAGATGAACAGTTGACTACTTAAGATTAATATGACAAAGAAGATAATAAATAGACATAAAACTGATATTTATTTAAATTATAAAAAAAACTTTTAAATTTTTATAATTGCGCAATTTCAATTTTAAGTTTGAAAAATGAAAAAAATTATTTATTTTAATTTCATAGATTTATGATGTAACCATGATATGAATCTAATATTAAATTATTCAAGCAAAAAAGATAAATTTTTTATTTTAAAATCATAATTTTACTTTACATTAAATATTTTTTAATCAAATTAGTAAAAAGCAGTTTTTTTCAAGTAACTTTTATACTCTTTAAAAAATTAAGTTGATTGATCTTTCTTTAATTAGGTTAAATGATTCTATTGATTTATACTTATTTATATTCATTTTATTATTCAATTAAAGATAATTAGAGCATTAGTCTAAGGTTTTTATTTTAATAATGTGTTAACTACCTCTTTCTAATTGATATTTGATAAATCTTACACTTAATTTTTTTTTAAAATAGTAAAATTTTTAAAAATATTATTTTTTACTTGGTAAAGTTATTTTATTTGCTCAAAAAAAATTTATTGCAAGCTTATAATAAATTTTTAAATTAATAAATTAAAAGTGTAAAAAATGATTATTATGTGATTGATTTAATTAAAAATCATTTAAGTAAATTAATTTTTTAAATATTGAATTTACAATTTTTTCTAAACCCATAAATTATTAATTTTAGTTTTTATACAATTTAATAAATAATTACTTTCAATTTAATTAAATCATCTTTATGTATGTAAAAATAATTATGGTAAAAAATTATAATATTGTTTTGATGAAAATTTAAGATCATTACTCTTCGGAGATTGATGAAATTAATTCTGCTTCCCTGATTTTCTAAAAATTATTTTTTAGTGGAAAAAACACAATTTTTACTTTTTCATTTATGAAAATATATCAAAACCCATAATTAATTTTAATAAAATAAAATTAATCATAAATAGTTTTGATTAATATTAAGCCAATAAAATACTATATGTTGAAATATGTAAAATATATTAATAAATTGATGACAACTCGCGTCCATACTCTTCACCGAGATTGATGACTTTGTTCTGCAATCCTGAAAAAACAAAACAAAACATTTTTTTAAATATTTTAAATGATAATAAAATAAATAGTTTGATTTCTAATAAATAATTAATTGGTTTCAAATTAGCAAACATTTATATATTTTAATTGTAAAATATGCGAATTCAAAATTATAAATTTTTTATTTATTCAGATTAAGGATATTCGTGGTTTAATATAACTTTATTATGTATCTTCCAGGCTCTGTTAGCTTCAATATAATTGCTTGGCTCTTTGCTATACTTTTCATACTCTTATTATGGAATAGAAGATCTTAAAGGTTCCTTTTTTTCAGGATGATAATAATCCATATTCATTTAATCAGAAACTTTCATTTGTTGTTTCAAAAAAATGGCATCTTGATAAAAATTGTAATTGTCAACTAAATTTTTAGGTTGATATCTGACTTTCACTTACTTAGAATAATTCATTCTCTTTTCATAAAGTTTCTTTTTTTCTTCACTTAGCATCCTATCAAACTATTTAACTTGCTAATCATGAGCTATTACTCTTTTTGTAAAAATAGATCCATAATTCTTTTTACTTTGTTACGATTATTCTTATTAAGCTTTCTAAGATTCTTAATCATATTTATTTTAAGATATATGAGATGACTCGTAATTTTTATCATCAATTTAGTTTTTAGAATCGATTTTATAATCATCTAATCTGTCATTAATGTCTTCTTATCTGTCATTTATTTCCTCTTATTCTCTGTATGATTTATTACTATCCTCAAAATTTCTTACATTCTAAAGACTTTGTTTCTTTTTATCCAACAAAGGAGTTTAAAGCTTAGAGACTCTGACTTACGATAAATTAACTTCCAATTCTTTTTGTATTTCTGAGACATTACTCCTATAATTTTAAGATATTTTACCTTCACGAGGTCCTTGATGAATTAATTCTTATATAAACTATTTAGATGCATTTTATAACTTTATTCCTTCTAACTTCTTAAGTTCATACTCTTACATTCTATTCAAAATTTCATTTTTTCTTTAAAGCTCTTTTTGATAAAAATAGTCTTCACCATTATCTTTGAATTCTTACAACCTAAATTTTTTTCAATCATAAATTTGAATTTCATTTTAAAAATAATTACTAGCTTTTAAATTTAGCAGAATTTATTTTCATTCTATTCTAAGCTTATTGCTCTTTTAATTTTCTTTCCTATTACATTCTTTTTACCAAATTCATTGCATCTTCTAAAGCCTTTTTATCATCAGAAATCTAAATCATAGCTTTGACTTAGTTGTGCTCTTTTATTGGTGGGATGATTTTACCTTTCTTTACAATGAACTGAGATGACTTAGGTGCTTTAGTATAAAATAATTAATTTTAAATAATCAACAAATAGCTAAAAAATTACATTTTTCCTCATTAGTAACATCTTTACGTAAATGAATTAGTTCTTAATTCACTTATAATAATTATAATTCAAGTTCTCTCTTTTTACGTGCTGCTTCTCTTAACTTTTCTTCTTTATCAAACTCTTTTTCAACGAAATTTCTTACATAAACATGCTCAGGGTGTTATTTTTAACTATTCTATAATTCCTAATTATACTTTACAAAGATAAATATGATTAATATTTAATAATTAAATGATTTTAAATTACATTTTTATTTTAACTCTACTTTTGTATGTTTTATCCCACCATATTCCTCTTAAGTATTAACTTCTACTAACTATTAGGGCTTTAAGAAAAACGTTATTTATCTAGATTGTGTTATATACTTTGGCGATTTTTATTTTGATTGTTTTAGTTTTTATTTTTTTGATTATTCTCTCCTTTGTGTTACTCTTAATCACTTGACTCGTTTTATGCAAAATCAGATTATTTTCTTTACTCATTCTTAAATTCTTCTTAGTAATGGCGATTGTGAGGAAGAATTCTGCCAATGCTCTTAGGTGTAAAAGAAGAAGATCTTTATTTTCTTAATTCCTCCTCTTCTTTAATCATTTTTTAGAAAGATTTATCTAACTCTTTTTCATCATTTTTTTTTTACTGCTTTTCCTTTACTTTATCTTTAAAATGCTCATATTGCTAAGAAGCTTTCTAACTTACAGCTGTAGTCGAGTTAGTAAAAAAGTAAGCTAATTTATCAATTTATTTTTCCTTTTTCTTTTTTTATATTTCTTAGGGCTAGTCTGTTGTCTCAACAACTGGTAAATTATTTTATGGTTGTATTTCTTATTTTTAGCTTTCAGGTTAGTTAGCCTATGCTTATTCCTTTATCTTTTCTGGCAAAGTCTCCTTTTTAATTCTAATGAAGCGGTGGATTATAAAATAATAAAATAAATATAAATTAATTGTTTAAAAGTCAAATACTCTATTGCAGTTTTGTCATCTTAATCTTATTTTAAATCATTTTACTATTCCTCTACTGCTTTTAGCATATCTGACTCATCTTAATGCTCTTTCTTTTTTTATTTTTTCTCTTCCTATTTTTTTCTTATAGACTTTTCCATAATAAAATATTATAAATTATATTCCTTCAAGCTTCAATCAAAAAACGGTCAATTTTAAAATAGAAATTACATTCATCATTTGGTCAGCAGAGTCATTTGTTTTTTTCCCAACAGTTGATACTAACTAACTAAAAAAATCCTTTACTTCATCTCTCTTTTTTCCTTGATTTTTATTGTCTTTTTTTTCAGCTTCATTGTTTTAATCTTAAATAATAGGTAAATCTTATTATTGTTTATTATTTTATTCATTCATTGATTATTCTTTTTATTCTTGGTTTTATATATCTTCATTGTTTGTGATTTCATTTTCATTTTTTTACTTTTACTGTTTAGCTTTATCCTAAACTTTATTCTATTAAAGGTAAATGGAAGAAATAATTAGCATAAAGTTATGAAGAGTAAGTTTTATTTACCCAAAAACTCTAGTTATTATCATCCATAGATTTTTTTATACTGCCAGGGGCCTGCATGAAGAAATCCTATACTTTTTGCTTAGCGTTTTTATCTTTAGGGTTAGTTTAAGAATCCTCACTCATTTCTTTATTTGTTTATATTTAATTGATTTTTTAGTATTTTTTAGTTTAATAGCAATTTATCCAATACTTTACTTTTTACTGATTAATTAATATCAGATTTATATTTAAAACTTCCAATCAAACATCAGCAATTATTATAAATATCCTTTCTATTACAAACTTTATATATCTTTATATAAGTAATAATTTAATATTATACATAAACTATACTAAAATAAAAAAATAATCAGGATTTACACTTATTTCACTCTAATTTTGTAAATAGATTTTAATAAATCCATAATTCAAATCTGTCTGCTAGTTATTTTTTTAATTTTAAATGTTAAAAACATAAATTTTATCCATAAATTAATAATAAACAGTAAAAAATATTCTATGATCTCTATTTTATATTAAATAATAATAGGAATGATGGTTTTATTTTTAATGTAATTTATTAAAAGGATCTTTAATTTATGTAAAAAATAAATGAAAAAACTTAGTAAATTATTTTAAATCATTTGTATAGCTCTTCAACATTTATATCATTTAAGATTTTTTACTCTTCTTCCCCATCATCATCTAATGAGGCGATTATTCTACTTCTTGATTAGTCGTATTTCTTTTCTATATCATCCCATTCTTTGTTTGTGTATGTTACTATTTTAGGCACACAAACTCCATATTAATCATACTATAATTTTATTAAGTGGAACAAAATATGATTGTAATTACTTTAATTTAATTTTACTCCTGTTTTCCTGGCTGCAGTGATGATCTAGGGTAGTATTGGAAAAGCAAAAATTAAGAAAGGGAAATTCAGAAGGCAGTATAGTGTTTTTGACATAAATAAAATTTATCTTATTTGCCACTCATTCTTTTTATCTATGGCAAATACAAAAATTAAAAAGACTCCAACCATTATTACAAAAACTACCAAATCATATATCATAAATTTGTAGAATCTGCCTCCTCTATTTATTTATATTTTATCATAAATAATTTTATTAATATAATATTTTTCATAAAAATTATACTTAGAAACATCTAGTATGCAACAACAACACTACTTTTCATCATCCTCTTTTTTAGCATTATCTTATTCAAGTTTTTATTTGTTATACCTAAATTCAATATTTTTTCCTTTTGACCTTGATAATGGAATGAGAAGGTATGCAATCCATGCAACTATTATTTAGAGGAAAATTCCAACTATATCTGCATACATATTTACATTTACACCAGGGCCATTATCAACACAATTTTTAAATTATTCTAAATAACTTTTTTTCCCTAATGATGAGCATAAGAAATATTGAACATAGCCAATAAAGCCTCCAAGTATTCCACTGCTAAAAAATTACAGTTACTTATAAACAATAATAAATCTCACTAATTGCCATTCATCTGTTTTATCTATTATTAAGAACACTAAGCTATAGAAAAAACTTTATACCCCGTAAAAAGGAAATATTTCAAAAAGCATGAAAAACCAGAACCAAAGCCTCCTAAATTAGTACCAAGAGGATTTATTATCTATAATGATTTATGTTTATTTATTTATTAATGCATTTTACTAAATTAAAATTATTATACATGGTATTCTTTCATACAAATATTTATTTGGTAAATAATAAAAGCATTCAATTAAGCAACATCTTTTTGGATCTTCTTCTTTATGAATTATTGGCTAGTCTATAACCATCCTTTAAAATTAAATCAAGAATTAATATAATTAATAAAATACTTTAAATTGCAAAAAAACCTTAATCTATATAGTATTTCTTATTCAATATAAGGCCAATTATCATCAATTATATCATCAATAATCTTTTTAACCCATTCATACTATATTAATAAACAATATATTTACTTTATAAAAGCTGATTTATTATAATTTGAACATATTTATTTACCATATATGGATCTTTAATAGCCTCTTTTATGTCATCTTTAGACTTAGTAATCATATCCATAATAATAATTTACAATTTAGTCCTTGCCCAAACGTTTAGTTTTTCATTTTACTTTCTCATAAACTCCTTGTATTTTTCTTCAAGTTTATCATATTCTTATTTAATCTAATCCGCAAGATTGTTTGCTTTATCAAAAATCTGCTTACCTTTACTCTCTACTTTTTACAATATAGGGTTCGCTTATTTTATTTCCTCATATTTATCTTTGGCCTTTAGTTTCTATTTATTGAAATATGGCATTATAATTGAAATTCCTGAAAAGTTTTATTAAATGATAGTCAAATGAATTAAATTTTAATACCGTTTCTTAGTATAAATTCACTCCATATTCTTTAATACCATTTAAATCTTTTTAAAATTTTGCTTTTTCTTCTTCAAACCTGGATCTTTTGAAAATTTGAAACTCATTAGCATTTAAAAAAACACCTCAAAAGATTTATTTTACTAATTTTTTTGCTAAAGATTAGCTTCTAAACGGTGATCATTTTCAGGGATATACACTGCTACAAACGGATTATTATTTTATTGTTCATTATATTGATAAGGATTAATAGATTGGTAATTAGGTTATTTATTCTATTAACCATTTTCATTATTTTATAAAGGTAATTCTACTTATTTAATTGCAGGGTTATTGTTTTATGAATTATCTGCCATTCTCTATTTATAGTAAGTTATAATAATAAAACACAAACAAAAAAAATAATTGCAATCAAAAGATTGAAAAAGTATATTTTTTTCTTATTACGGTTAATAATTCTTTAAATTTTAAAATATTTAGCTATCGATTGCTCGAAATTAAAAAAAATTTATTTTAAAATTTTTGAAATTCGAAAATTTAGTTTTATTAAACTTCTTTGTTAAATTCAATCATTAATATCTTTTATAAATTTGCTATGTAAACAAATAAATAAATAAATCATAAATACATAAACATTCTATAAAATAAATAATACTTAGCTTTTAATGTTAACTGAATATAATAATATTATTTTGGTTTCAATTTCTATATATATACAAATAAAGAGTGGTTAATTAAAATATAATAATTAAAAATTTGCACTTAAATAATTTTATATGAAGTTTCTTTATAAAGTAATTATACATAAGCAAGTAGATATATATACACACACATATTTACAATTTAATATATTTAATTAATGTTTCATAATTTTTTAATAATCGATAAATATATAGATATTAAAATTTTTATTCTATTAAATTATGAAGCATTTTTTTTACACAAGAATGTTGACTTACAATTTGAAAAAACGTAATTTATTTTTAGAATTAAATCATTTGATTTACAATTCATTTTAATTTGTTTATTTAACTTTTGATAAAAATCTAAATGAAAAGATTGGTGACCATATAATTTTAATTAGTTAAAATAGTAATATTCAAGCTTTTAAATACCTTTCAAGCTATATCCTTAAATCAAAAAAATAGTTGTAATCAGAAGCTGGTTTATAATTTATCAAACCTGATTTTCATTGATAGAAATTTCAATTGGAGAAAAATTCAGTTATTATTTTTGAATTAGTTCTATCTTATCAGCAGCTTTCAAGCTTAAAAGATTATAAAAAACAAAAGATTTTACTTATTAAGTTCCAGAAAAATTTTTTTCAAGCTCGAGTTTCTTTAACTTTTTTTCTTTGATCTTTTACACTATCATCCTAATATTTTAAAAAATATTCAGCAATTTAGATATTTTTAAATAAAAAAATTACTATAATAATTAATTAGCTTCTTTTGACAGATGCAAAAAGTTTTCTTTGTTGTCTAAATTTGTATTTGAACTATTAATTTCTAATAAACTATCTTGCATGTAGAGTGGGCTCTATAAAATTCCTTCACATTGTAATGAAGATTTATCTTACATACCTTACAATATCATGAGACTTGTTTACCCTTCGATAATAGGGTCTAGTATGCTGTTAAATTCGTTTAGATGGGAAATCTAATTTCTTTTACTCTCATTCATTTATATTTAATTAAATGACAGATTTGCCAAAGGTTATATATTGATGTATTGATTTAATTAAACTTTTTAGAGAGATTTTGATTTTTAAGATGTTTAATCTTGTTTGGATTAATTAGAAGATGAATCATGGTCTTTCTTTTGAGTGCTAAATTTTTAATTAAATGGATATTATTGATATTCTTCCATTAAATACTATTGCTCATGAAATTATTTTTCTCCATGCATTACTGCGGCTATTTAAGAGGAATATTCACTACTTTATTAGGGATATGAAAATGAACTATTAAGGCTTTAATCTGCCTTTAAATTAGTTCTAAAAATTTAATCATACTTTTAATTTCCAAGCATTTATGGCTTAAAAGAGTTATTAGGGGTTTAATCTAATTCGCTTATAGCGTGTTATATCAAATCTAATTATGCCAATGGATGATTTATTAGTTGATTAGTTTATAACTCTGAGGATTAAAAATTCGAGGATTTAAATTAAATTTCATTAGGATTTTAATTGAATAAATGGTATTTTTGAAAATTTGAAAACTAATCTATTTATTGCAAGCTATTTATTTCCAATTATTATAAAAAGCTGTCAGGTTTTTCATACGATAATTTTTTAGTATTTTTTTTTTAAGCTTAATTGAGGCTAAGTTTATTAGAGGTTTACTTTTACGGCTATTATTTACGTGAATTAAATATTTCACTTTGAGATGTGTTAAGAGGATCTTAGGAGCTATTTAATGAAGTATTAATTTTTTAATCAATTGAAGTGTCTAATATTACTTTAACTTTATCTTTCTAATGATAATCTCTGTTTTTTCTACCTTTTTAACCTCTCTTTCTTCCCACATTTTAATTATAAGTTACTGAGCTAATTTAGCTAAATTCTGGGTAATTATCATTATTTTCTGTTTTTTAATGAGTCTAAATGTTTTTTATTTTATATATTTTACGGTCTTTCAAAGAGTAATTTTATAGCTATGTAAATAGGTTTTCGTTTGTGTTTTACAATTCCTGTTAAATTTTTTTTGTAGACTATTTTTAAAATCTTAGTAAATCTAATCTTTGCTACCTTTCAAACTCTTCTAAATTTATCTAAGCTGTTTCTTCATCTACAGGTTAATCTAAAAATCCATTGTCCATAATTTCTTGCATAACTTCTTAGCGAATAGATTAGTTTTTATTAATATTGCTATTTTGAGAAATAGATTCCCACTGATTGTCAACAATTTAAAGGTGAATATCACTTGGGAACGAGCTTAATTTGTAATAACTTTAATTGCTTTGATCTGAATTTAAAATAATTTGTATATCTTCAAAAATTTTATCATTTTATGGAAGAAAATCTAATTCCATTACATCATTCATTTTTTACGAGCTTTGATTGCTGTATCCATGAGATTATATTTCATTCAATCCATCTATTGGATTAATTAAAGGATTCTAAAGTAGATAAGTCAAGCTCATATCATTTGGTAGGATATAACTTGGATAATTACGATATGCAAGTGAGTTTTCTAAATTATTTATACTTTGCATTCTAATAGCACGGGCAGATTTAAATACATCCTGAATCAACTAATCTCTGTCATCTCTTTTTTTGTTCGTTGTAGTAGTTCTATTTTTTCTTTTAGTTTTATAATTAGTTGCTGTGAGTTTATCCTTACGATCTTTTTCATTTAAAATTGACTAAGCAAACAACTTAACTTTATCTTTAAGTGAACCTTGAATTTTTTATAAATGATGGTATAATAAATAAATTTACAAGCGCCAAATTTTATGTATAAAAATCCTACTAAAAGTAAACAAATTATAAATTAAATACTATTTATTTAAGAGTATTGCAAAAATATTCCAGTTGCTAGCATAAAACATATATTTCCTAGATTTTTCAAAGATAGGCTATCAATAAAATTGGAAGAAGATAACTCTAATCTATTTTAATTAAAAATATTAGTAAATATTTAAGAATAAATATGACTATTTTATCAAATGAAAAATAAATTACATAAATTCTTTTAAGTCTAATTGCTAGCACGATTTCTTAAATTGCTGTTCGTTTACAAACTAAAGATACCTTTTTTTATTATTTTTGCGATTAATTATTAATTAATCTAGAAAATATTTTATACAATAATGTAGAAAACTATGATTTTGGTCTCGCGTTTTAAATCATTTGAGCAGCCTTTTTCAAAATACAAAACAATGATTACTTCTTATAAATATTTGTTTTTCTTTTGTCAAGAGATCCTTATCACAAAATAATGCCAGATATAGCAATTTATATGGAAATTGAAAAAATAATTATGGTAAAATATGTGATTTTCTCTTCTTCTTCAATTATATTATCAGCCAATCAATAACTATCTATCTATCTTTCAATCAATTAATTAGATTTGTTATAAATATATTTGAAAATTTAAATTAAAAATCCCGACCTTCAATTAATATCCATCCACAAACTCTTTTATTTAAATTGTTGTTTGGCTACATTTTTTAAATATCATTTTGAATTAGAATAATATTTTTGAAAATCATAAATTGAAATAAATTAAATAAAATAAATTGATTAATTGATTTTTTTTCTTTTTTAGTTATTTAAAGCTTTTACTTCTCACATTAATTTACCTTAAAAATATATTTAAATTTATTATTTTTCTATTTTAAATAAAAACTATAATTGGCAATAACTAAATTTAGAAAATTAAAAAAATATAAATGCAAAATGTTATTCTTTATAAAATTTAATGATCACTATAAAATATTTATAAATGCCTATAATGTACATAAATATTTAATTTTTCTATCTTAATTTTAAAATATAAATAAGTGATTTATAAATTTATAAAAGAAAAGAAAATTAAATACTAAATATTTACTTTTATAAAATTAAATATGTATGATAAAATATAAGTAATTATTAATATTTGTTAAGTGTATGTATAATCAATCAGGTGGATAAATATTTTGAAAAATGAATTTTTAGAAGGAAATTATATAAAATAATACTTAATATCTATTGCATAAAATTAATTTTAATATAGAAATTAAAACATAGAAATTATATTTTAATTGATTTTATATGTATTTGAACAAATAATCAGTAAATATTTAAATATAATTAATCTGGTTATTATTTTTTAACTTACATTTTTTAATATAATTTTCTTAAATATTAGATGCAAAAAGCTATTTTTTCAGTAACAAAGTTTCGTACCTTATCTTCAAGTACGGAGACAAACGACACATATTTTAAGGTTAACTAAAGGAAGGCTATGTATTTTTATTTTTCATTATATAATTACTGATATAAAAATCTACTTAAACTATTAAATAAAATTATGCATAGAAAGAAGTGAATTAATTAGATAATTAAAAAAGACTTATAGAATTTTATAAACGCAAGACATAAAAATTTATCAAAATAAAAGAAATAAAATTCTAAAAATTTATCAATTAATAATTTAAAAAAATTTAAATATAATAAATAATATGGCAACCGTCTTTATAGTCTTTATGATGGTAAATTATGTTAACTACAATATATATATGATTTTATAAAAATTTATCTTCTGGAATTGCTAGAATCTATAAATATTCAGTAATTCGTAAGAATAAATAATAAAAATTCAAGCTTTATATATTTTTATTTAAGAAAAATATTAATTTTCAAAACTAGTCTTAATAAAACTTTTATCAAAATAAGCATGAGTAAATGTAATTGCGATAATAACACTGATATTTTAATTTCCTTAAAAAAATTTAATCAGTCAATTTACATAAGACAGAAAATCTATACATTTTACTTAAAGTATCTAAAAATAATAATACCTCAATTTAATATTGTATGAAAGTCATTGATTTTTTTATAAATACTCTAATATAAATATTCTTAAAATAGTTCTTTATGTTCATATATAAATAATATTAAACTTACATATTTTATTTGGTTTGTCTGAAAAAAGGTTTCATATAATCAACGCTTGTTATAAAAAATTTGTCTTTAAATTAAGCTTATTAAAGCCATATTTAAGTTCCAAATAGCCTAGCTGTGCTTATTTTGATAAAAAACTAAAATTCAGCCAAAATATTATTATCCTTTTTTTTACAATTTCATGCATATTATTTTCCCCACTTTTCATGAACAAATGAAAAAAATAAACAATTAAATAGATATATTTATAAGTACCTGTTTTTCTCACTGGTATAAATAGAATTGTGATAGATATAAAATCAAAATTAATTAGTCACTTTGCTTATTAAAAATTATTTGTACCCAGATTAATTAAGATTACTAATAATTATTGGCTTTAAGTAATAATCAATCAGGGTTATTTGCTAAAAAATATAATAATTAAATTAAAAAAAATATCAATTCATTCAAAAAATCTTTCTAAAACTCAAATTAATTTGTGAAAGATATATTAATCAATCAATCAATTGATAAATAAGATTTCATTCATTCATTCATCAAATAAAGAAGAAAATCTTTTTAAATTTCTCTATTAAACCTATAATAAAATATTTGCTAAGCAAAGTTAAAACTATAACACAGATAGAAATCAATAAGATTTTATCACTAATAAATTAAAAATATTCTAATATCATCAAACAAAACTAACTATCTCTATTATCTATCTAATTAACTAACCAATTCATGGGTTGCCATAATACAAAATCTATCAAAACAAGACCTGATTTTTACTATCAAACCAGTTATTTAAATAAATAATATTTTGAACTCATAAAAAAATTAAAGCTCAACAGGGAAAGAATTTATGAAACAATTGAAAAAGGATATTTACTCTAAAATTTGGACATTTCAATTTTCCAAGATGAATAAATTATAAGAGATACAATTAGTTAGCTTTAACAAAGCAAGGAAGCTAACGATTTTTACATTATATAAACTGAATTTGATATTTATGAAAAGACCTAAAAATAAATACAACATGATTTAGCTGAAACTGTTGAACAGCATAAATTATTGCTAAAAAAAATAGATGTTAAATAACCCTTGAACATCGAAAAAATGCTTTAAAATATGTAAATTAATCGTGATAAGCTTCTTAGCTATTACCGTATCATTTATAGTCCTCAAAATCTTGATGAAAAAGCTTCTTCTTATTAAAATCTACCTTCTTACAGAGCCTATTCTACAAGAGACGAGGTGTGAATACAAAACTCAATACATAAAAATTGAATTTAATTCTTTAAATTCATTCTTAATTTTTCAAACCAAAACCTAAAAGAACTAACCAATGAAGAATTTTCTTCAAAGAATTAACAATTTTCTCTTTTATAATAACAACAACCTATATAAAATAATTCTTAAATTTGTAAAAAAAATAAATAATAAGATATTCCTAAAGGTATAAAAATAAATTTAAGAATAATTATTATTTAAATCATTAAAAAAAACTCTTGAAATAACTTATAAAATAATCACTAATAATTAATTACATAAATCATTATATCATATTCCCAAAAATTATCAAACAAAAATACTGGCAATCTATTTTCCTCATAATCTTTTCTTATTTAATTAAAATCATTCATATTTCTAAAATTTCAAAAAACTACTCACCAATTACTTAATAAATCTTAATAAATATCCTGAATTTTTTTAAGTAGTTGGTAGTATTCAACTACATTTGAAATAATTCTAACCAACTTCAAAAAAACAACCAGCTTATTTTTTTTCCTTTATCAATAATATTGTAAACAGTAAGATACCCATTCTAAATAATTACTTGTTTACAGTTTATTTTAATAACATTCTAGTGTTATTAAAATAAAATTTATAAATTTTATAATTAATCTTATTAAAATATATTTTTTATAATAGTGTCAAACATTCTATATTATTATATATTGTAATTTCTTTTAAATTTATCTCAAAAAGCACTTAAATAATAATGTTTTCATTCATATTCCTATTTTTAATTTAGAAAATTCTAAGTTGCATTAGTATTATTTATAATTATTGAATATCTTTTGGAAAATTTTAAAGATTTCATGTAAGGTTTGGATTGAACATTAGATAAATAAAAACTGCTTATAAATTTTTGTATTTTGCTAATTAAAACCTGTCTATTTGAATGAAAGAAGTAAAGTTGCAAATTTCACAATTTCTCAATTCAAGCTTAAAATTTTATGTGAGTAAGCTTAAAAATTTTTTATAGGTTTCTGTGACTATTGATGAGCCATAAGTTAAAAGAGTCAAAAAATATTAAATAATACTTTTAAAAATCAGCTTGCTTAAAATATTTAATGATCAAAAATAATTTATTATCTACCATGCTGTTTTGCTATAAGAATTGTTATGAAATATATATAATTTATCAAAAGGAAATTAAACCATTTTTGTTACTTTTATTTTTTAATATTATTATTAAAAAGAATCTTTTTTTCTTTATGAGATTCCTCTTCTATAGAAAAGAACAAATAAATAAATATAAATTAAATTAAGTTATTTTAGAATATAGGATTTTTATTAAACAATTTTTTTAATTAATTTATTTCTAGTGATTAAATATAAGGTTTTATATCAAATAAAATATTTTCTTAGAAAAAATACTGGATTAGTTTGGATTATGAGCAATTTTATAAATATTTTAGGCAAAACTATTTATATAGTAGATTGGTTTAATTTGGCAAATTTAAATTTAAGTGATTAAAGATATTCAATCATTTGAAATTGGACAAGAATCAAAAAAACTATTTAAAGTACTAGTTACTAAAAAATGCTTTATGAAAAATAATGAAAGTTATATACTAATTCTTATTAAATATCAGAGAAAATTTATTTTTTGTTACCTTGATCATCAAGATTATACTATCAGAATTTTATTTACTTACAATATAAATTACAGTTTTGACAAAAATATCAAAATTTTATTTAGCTCAATTGAGTTTTTTTTAGTATTTTTTACTCATTAAAGTCCACTTTAAATGAGCCTAATCAAATTTAATATTTTTGTTTCTTTAAATTGAACATAAAGAATGAATTAAAAAATCTAGAAAAATCACAAAATAATTTTTTAAATGAGCTAAACTAAAAAAAATTGATAAAATATATTTGAAAAATTTAATATTATTACTAAAAATAACTTAACTGAACTTTTTATGTTTAGTTTTCTTTAAAAATTTAAATACAATAATTTTTTTTAAGTTTCATAAATAGTAGCTAAAATATCAAATAGAAATATATTAAATTAAACTTTTTTTCAAAAGAAATTTAATACCTTAAATATATTTTGATTATTAAAAATCAATAAAAATAAATTTATAAATTATCAATTGGAGAAATTAAATTTATTTTTATTAAATAATTAAAAGCTAAAATTTTAATAGAATATTAATTAGAATGAAAAAAAGAAGCTAAAAATTTTAAACATTAATACAAAAATAAAAAGATAGTTTTTGTGTTTACAATTTTGAAATTATATTTCATTTATGTTTTTTTTACTTTTTAATCTTCTTTTACTTTTAAATAACTTGTTCTTCTGATTCTGATTCAGAATCTATATTGTCTTACTTTTGCTATGAATAATCACTTTGAATTTCTTCTTCCTCTATTTATTCGCCTTCAAAATCATCATCATATTCTTCTTCATCTTAGCTATCTCCTGCAAGAATGGCTTAATTTCTTTAAATTAACTATTCATTTTGTTCATATTTTAACATTTTTCTCTTTTCTTTCTTTTCTTTTCTTCTTGCATTTTCTCTGTCCTTGTCAATTTATCTATTTAATTCTAACTTTAAGGCATGTTTTCTAACTAAGTCTTCTTCTTCCTCCAAGGCCTTCTTTTCATTTTGTTTATATTCCATCATTTTTAAGTCATCCTTAGTAAGTTACTTTCCTAGATATATATTATAAAACAATTAAAACCAAATAATATAGTCAAATAAAAATTACCGTCATCAGTGAAGTAGGTAATATTCTTACCACCAAAGTAACCATCTTCATGTATTTTCTTAAGTTTATTTTTACTAACTTTTAATGTATTAATTTTGTAGTTACTCTCATCTAAATCTTCATGTTAGCCTTTTTTTTTAGGTACTAAGAAATCGTCTTCATCATTATTTTATTTTTCATTTCTTAGTTTCTAATAATTTTCACTAAGAACATCTTAATTTTTTCTTTTCACTAACTTTTCATGCTTAACACTAAATGCTTTTTTACCATTGTTATTTTCATCAGCTTAATTTGAATCATCTACTTAAGCTTATTTTTCCTCACTAATTTCAATACTTGCCTTCTTCTTCTTCTTGTCTTTTTTATCACTTGCTTTTGTTGTATTTTCTTCAATCTCCATTTCTTCATTTTATTTATTTTACTTTTATTTCTTTTCTTTTTTCTACTTGATTTCTTACTCTTCTTTATTATTATCATCATCATCTTATTCATTATTTTCAACGGGAGGTAATCCTAATTTTTTGCGAGCTTTCTCTTCTTTCATTTTTTTTATCTTTTCTTTTAACTTTGCTAACCTATCTTATTTTTTTACAATTACTTCATCTTCCTTTTCACCATCAGAACTATTGCTTTCTTCACCATCACTATCATCATCACTTTCTTCATTCTTTAAACCCTTAATATTTATTACAGGAGTTTGAATAAGACCTAAGCTTTCTGATAACCCATTTAAATCAAGAGAGTTGACATTAAATACTTCTTTATCGGCAGCAAAATGGATACTACGAACATAAGAAATAAATGCTCTTTATGCTAAATACTTCAAATCAACACTTTCTACTAGATAAGATTGCAAAGAATTAGTTATACTAAGCTAATGTTCAGGGTTTGCTTTAAGCTTTTGAATATTCATTTTTTTTTCTTTCAGTTTATCGATCATTTTAATTTCAGAAGGAAGAACCATTAAAAGAGAGTTACCATCATTTTTGAAACGAGCAGTTCTTCCAACTCTATGAACATAAGTAACAACATCATCTGGACAATCTACTTGAACAATCCATTCAACACCAGGAAAATCTAAACCTCTAGCTGCCAAATTAGTTGTGAAGAGTACACCAAACTTCTTCTCTGCAAAAGTGAAGAAAATAGCTAATCTTTTAGCCTATTTTAATTATTCAAATATTGTATTTATTAAATAAAAATGTTTTAATTAAATACTTGTTTTTGACGACCATGCAATTCGAAAACAGGAGGTCCTAACTTGAGTCTTCTAAATGCTTCGTAAACAAAACGAACTTATTTGCAAGTACTTAAGAAAACAAGAACTTTATTTTTTTTATGAGATCTCAAAAAAGAAAAGAGCATGTTTAATTTATCTTCAATATTGATTTCCATATAGTATTGGGTTAATTTTATGGGTGCTTCATAAATATCCTTTATTTTTATGATATATATTTAAAGAGTGCTAACTTGTTTATCTAACTTACTTTAATGCTAGTGTTAATGACATTCTATGAATCTTAGTCTTAAGTTGATCTAACTTCATGTAAAAATATGTGTTCAGCATTTTTAAGAGACAATTTGCTTAATTCGTGGATAGACTTGCTTAAAGTTGCAGAGAACAATATGGTCTAACGAGACTTGGGTAAGTTTAATAATATTGCATTTAAATGCTCTTTGAAACCTAAATCTAAGATGAGATCAGCTTCATCTATCACTAACATTTATAGATTTGTGCAATCAAAATCAGGAGTTTCATCCATATGCTAAAGGAGACGTCCAGGAGTACAAATTAAGACGTTCATACCTTTCATATGCTCTTTTTCATATTTGACATTTTTACCACCAATAATTAAACCTACTGATAAGTCATGATTCTAAGTAAAGGAATTAAATACTTCAAAAACCTATGTTGCCTATATAATTTTTTATTTTATTTAGAATAAGTCTATTAAGATTTTGAAATTGAAATAATTTCTTCAATTTAAAAAAACACATACTAATTCTCTAGTTGGTAATATAATTATAGCTCCTAAACCATCCAAAGGATTCCATTTTTAAACATATAATCTTTCTACCAAAGGAACAAGATAAGATAGTGTTTTACCACTACCTGTCTTTGAAGCAGCTAATACATCTCTTCCTGCTAAAATATGAGGAATTGTACATCTCTATATTTCTGTCATTTTAATAAACTTTCTTTTTTCCAAACCTATTTAATAAATCATATTAAATTTAACTGTAAACAACATTCTGGTTCTTAGCTGGCAAAAAAAGCCTTTTTAATGTAATAGTAAATACCAAAAATTGTATTGTAAGAGATAGGGAGATCACTGAAATTAATCTTGTATTTTTTTCTAAATTCTTCAGGCTACAGCTTAGCTCTATCTTCTTCAGCTTTTTCTAATTTATAATCGTACAAGTATTCCTATTTTATGAATTCGAATTAAAATCATTAACAATATGCATTTTTTAATATGAATATAATAGGATATTGTAAAATAAAAGCCAAATTTATTACACCAGATGCAGGTGTTTCTTTTCTGATTCTATCTTGTAATTTTTCAACATCATGATAGCGGTGCTTTTAATGCTTTTTTAATCCTTTCTTCTTCATTTATTATTAGGATTAATTGCCATTTTTCTTATTAAATTTTTTGTGCTTTTGATTAAAGTCCTTCATTTATTTTCTTTAGTTTCTTATTCTTCAATTAAATATAATTAACTTTTGATAAATTTTTAATAAAAAGACTTATTTATTTATTTCTACTCCTTAAAAATTTTAATTATCAAAATCATGAAATGTATATATATCCTTTCTCTTTAAACGTATGAATATAATTTTTGCTATCTTTTTATATTTCAATTTAGATAAATTTATCTATATTTCATAATGATTTCTTTTGCTCTTTATTCTACTAATTTCTTTTGATTTTTTCCACATACATTTTTTTTACAATTAAACCTAACATAATAATTTATTAACTGGCTAATATCAATTAAAAGAATTTGACGAAGATTAAATATTTAATTTTTAAAATCTTTCTTTGCTAATATAAATGTTTTTATAAGAAATCAATTAATGCAAATGAAAGTTGCATTTAATAGATAAAAAATAAATTACTATTATAAACATACTTTTGGATTTATTTTAATTTTATCATTTTAAATTTTTAGAGAATATTTTTTGAATAACCTTTTAGAAAACAAAAAAATCAATTAATAAAAAGATGAAAGGATTAGAAAATGAATGACAACAAACACTCTTTTGAAATATAAAGTAGCTTTTAAATACAGACTTAATATATTTTTTTTTATATTATTTATTTATTTACTTTTTATTAATCCTCAATCAAATATTTAATATATATTTTCACTTCATAAATTTTTTTCAAAAAATTACTTGAATTCTTCATAACTCATTTTATCATTTGAAACTCCACAAAACTTAAGAACATCTTAAATATTAGTTATTAATAACATTAATTGTGTCAAAAATAATTAAATATAATAATTACTTTATATCTCTTCTTAATTAGTCTTATCGTTAAATACCTCAAAAATAGATTTTATTTTCTTTGAATTTATGCAGGCTTCCCTATTATTAACCAAAATTTCATATTATTCATTTCAAACTAACTAATTATAACTAAATTTATATTATAATTTACTCATTAAAATCAAATTAATTAAAGCATCCATGAAGTAACTCTTCTTGCAGTTCCTTGTTGCTTATACACTCATTAAAATATGCACAAAATTCATTAAAATTTATTGTAGTTTTATTATTAGGAAAATATCTTAACTCTACTACTTCTAAAAATTCCTTTTCTTAAGCTTATATGCTTGATTATGTTTTTTACTGCTGCGAGTTAGCTTAAACAGAACTTTAGCTTATCTAAGTTGTTAAAGAAACAAAAAATTTTAATTTATTTTTAATCAAAAAGTTTGATAATTCTACTGTGACATACAATAATGTAAAAATTAGTAAATAATTTAATACTTACAATCTTTTAATTTTATTCACTATTAGAAGCTTTTGAGTTTTATTATTAAATACTTTAGCTTTTTTATGTATTTGCATTTTATTTTTTATCATTCTTTGAATCACCGTTCAAATTAGCTGCGATTTAACTAATACCTGGTGATTAATCATTGTTTTCTCCACTACCACTAGCACTCTTCTTATTTTTGAAATTTATTTTCAATGTATCTAGCTACTATATAAGATTATTTATCTATTTTATTTCTATTTCTCCATCTGAGTTTGGGTTTAGTAAATTAAATATATTTTTCAGCTCTAAATTGTTATGGATTTAGTTGTCTTAAACTTCGCTCATAGCCTATAAATATATTTATTCGTTATTCACAAATATTAAAAACTTTTAAATTATGTAATTTTTGATACAAAAGCAAATAAATTTTTAATAATTTGAAAATAACTTTTACTTATCAATCTACAATTTTATGTTATAAATTAATTGGTTAGAATAGACATAACTAGAATTAATACATATAAAAACAATAAAGAAAATAAATAGAATTAATGTAAAATTATATTCTTATTTAAAACTTATAATAAAGACAAATTCATTCACTTTAAACACTTTTATTTATTTATTTTAGAATAGAATTTATATCAAAATATGTCTTAAAATTCTAAATGAATTTAATTTTTTACATAATGCTTTTTAAAATCTGCTAAAGTAAATGTAAATATAATTTAAATAATATTTTAACTAAAGTATTAATTTTATATTAAACAATAAATAAATTTTTTTTTTTTGGTCAATCACCTCCATCTTCATCTGGGTCTTTCATAGAGTCATCAGATTCTGTTTAAAAAAATAGAATTTTTAAGAAAATAGAAAAAGCTTAATTTCCTAAAATACCTGTAATATAAGAAGAATCGGTATCTAGTTTTTCTAGTTTTGCAGGGTCCACATACTCGCTTGTCTATTTACCTTAAGCCTATTTTGATTTAAATAATTAAAGAAATAAATACAAAATAAAGATGACAAATAGTTAAAAAATATTTACTTTATCGAGCTTTTTGTTCTTTTTCTCTCTTGCCTTTTAAATACAATTTAACTTTGCTTTTACATATCTTTCTAACCTCCTACACTACTTTGGAGTAGTGGTATCTAAATCAAACTCAATTTTTTATTTATCAGCTATACAAAACTGCTTATCTGTCATTATTTCCCATATACCAATCCAATATTCCTTAGGTAACTTTCTTATGTTTTTAGCAAGCTAAGTCTTTTCATCTAAAGACATTGATCTCTCCATGAAAGCTTACTTTTATATTTTTTTATTTTCTCTGTAGAAGAATCTTCCTCCGTAAGTGTGATACTCTTTCAATTCTTTACCAAGTTTATCTACTTTCTTTTAAAGGTTATTTATCTCATTGCTCAGAGGACTTTTTTAGTATTTCTTCTTAAAATATTCTTCTAGTTCTACAGCTTTTTTGTAGATTTCAGTGTCTTCTTTGTTGTATAATTTGGCATTTGCAAATATTTTATTAACATCAACTGCCATTTCGTCAATATTACTATAATATTTTTTCTTTATATTAGTTTCCACAGTTTGCAAGTCCATAGGCTCTCTAATAATTTTTAGATAGTCAGGATTCTTTGCAAGACTGGATAACTTTTTGAATGGTTCTGAATTTTTATTTTTTGTAAGACGTTAAATTATTTCACTCATAGCTTTTTAATCTTCTTGTGATATATTTTTCTTTTCCATTTTCTTCTTTTTCTCTTTGATAAAATCGTTATTTAAAGATGCTGATGAAACCATAGCAGGAAGTTGGTTCATAGGCATTAAATTAGAATCAGCTTCTATTTTTTGTTGAATGGGGTTGTTTGGAAGTGTTATAATTAGGGAATTATCTTAAGGCCCTTTCTGTATTTGATCTAAATAAGTTTAATCTGATTGAGTGTGTTCTTATTTTATCATTTAGTTTAATTCATTAAAGGGCTCTACTTTTATATTTAAATTTGCTTATTGTTATCCAGCTGTTTAAAAGTAAGGAGTCTCTGTGTTTAATTGCATCTAATTATCATCTATATTTTAATCTTGATATTCTAATTATTCAATAGGTTATTCAATTTCCATTGCATTAATATTTTCTTCTATTTTCGTTCTCGCTTCGTTTTAAACTTCTTCTTCTATTTTATTTGTAAATTTCAATGATATATTATTACTAGCTAATGCAGTACCAGATTCTGGATTAGTTGGAGAAGCTAATTGACTTTGTGAAGTCATAATATCAGGAATTTTTATAAATATTTTAGTTTCTTCAGACTTTACTATTGGTTCCTTATTATTTTGGATATTAGAAGAATTAGAAGCCTGTAATAAAAGCTAAGAATTGGGTTAAGATGGTCTTGGGAAATCAATAGATTTTGGTCTCTGGCTTGGTTATTAAGGAGGTAATATAGGAGACTTTATATTTTAATCTTAGATTATTTGGTCAGAAGATTTATTCAATTAATTTATCTCTTCCTCTTTTACTAAATTATTGCTAAAACTAATTTAAATTTTATTAGATTTTTCTATGTTTTCTTCTATCTCCATTTTCGTTTCTTTTAAAGGCTCTGATAGAATATTACTTTCTTATCCTTAATTTTCTTTTTTACAAGGATCTTAAACATTTTTATTTTAATTCTCCATTTGTTGTCTTAGCATGGGAGGAAGTGATGCTAATACTGGAATATTTTATTTAGAAGGTTAATTAGATGTAGATTACATATTATTTAATAAAATAGGTGGTAATTCTGATTTCTTTGGAACGCTTACACTTTACCCTTTATTCTATTCTTACTAAGATTTTTAATTTAAGTTTTATTAGTCATTATTATTATTATTCTCTGCTATTGCAGGTTATTTAGATTGCTACTATTATGCATTAGTTTATTTATTTGAGTCTTCTATATCTAAATTTTCAATAATTGTACTAATTACTATTGGCTACGATGGTGTAGGCGATAATGGAGGAGCAATATTTTATTAAGATTAAGCAGGTTGTTATAATTTATTTTGCAACTGCTATCCTGGAATATTAATATTTTAAGATGAGCCAGCTCTAGACACGTTACTTGAACTAGAGGATGTTAATTATTTTTAAGAAGTGTCAGGTAACTTTTAAGAACTAGGTTATTCAGACTATTGTGGTAGATTTAAGTTTATTTTAATTACACTTGATTAATTCTTTTCTTTTGCCTATTATAATGTGTTTGAAGAAGGAATTTTTTAATTTTATGGCATACTTTATTAAGAACCTTATTACTATTGATTATTGTTTAAATTATTTTAATTTGTAGTTTATTATTACAGAGATTACTAAGAAGACTATCTGGAAATTGTATTGCTATTTTGTGGCAAGTTTTATCTATTAGCTTAATTTATTTATTAATTTTACTATTATTGTTAATTTGATTACTACTATTGCTATGTATTTTATTACTACTAAGGTAATTGTAATTAAATTTTCAAAGAAGATTAACTAGATGAAATTGAAACATTTTTTTCTTAATTATTGACTAAATTTGATTAATTTAGATTTTGAGATGTTTATGGAGGCTTTTATTATTAATTTTTTTAATTTTAAATATTATTATTTAAATTTTATGACTACTAATTTAAATTTACTTTTTGTTATTATGACTAATTTATTTATACATTTTAATTTGTTTAAGCAGGCTTTTAGTTCTAGATTTATTTATTTTGAATCTCATTTTATACTTATCCTTGTGTTTTGTTTACTGTTTATAAGGTATTTTATTATCCTTCGTTGGGCGGTTGAGGAGCTGCTTAATTTTAAACATTATTCCCAGGTTATTAAGTTTTTACTTTTATCTATTATTAAGGAATTTAATTTTAAGGTTTCTATAAATTCTATGAAAAACCAGGTTACTATATATTTTTATTTATACCAGGATTTTAATTAGCTTGTTAAGGAAGTTGTTGTGTTTACTATTTTATAGGTAAATTTTTGTTTAAAGGGTTTTAGTTTTAATTTAAAGAGTTTTAAACTTAGTTTTATTGATTTTATCTTTAAATTTAAGAATTCACGCTTTGTTCTTATGTCTTTTACAACTATGATGGCTAGCTATTTATCTATTGTTGATTTTAGCTTTAAACTGCTTATTAAGGAGTTTTTTAAGATAATTATTATTACTATTAGCTATTTTCTTTAGGTATTTATTGTTGCTGAGTACTTTATACAATACTGCTGGGCTGGCTTGAGGTTTAAATTTTAGAATTCTGCCTTGATAAATCATTTTATGATTTTTAAGGTGTAGAGTTCAAACTTGATCCTTAGTTTAAATTTTAATTTGATGTTGAAGGTTTTTTTGTTGTTGGAGTTATTAAGGTTGAAACAGGATTTACAGAAGGTTTTATATTCATAAGCTATATTAATTCTCTCTTCATTGGAGCATTTGGAGCAAGCTAACTAATACTGTATTGCTTTATGTATTATTTATTTATTTAGTTGTTAAAAGATTAATATTTATAAAAAATAATAGATCAAAATAAAAATGTTTTACCAAAAAGAGATTTTCTTCTGTTTTTATTTTTTTCTAGGGTGCCTCTCCAAAATCATTAGCTGCTTCTCCATATACCTTAGGGTTAAATCTTAGTTAGTGGATAAAGAAAGGTTCTAAAGAATAACCAGGAGGAAGGTTTGAATTAATTTCATAAGCTTTAGTTTGAGTCAAATTAAAGAGTTTAGGCATCGTTCTATTATCAAGAACAGAATCAAATTATTTGATGTCGAAATACTATCCTTTTTTAATATTATCCATTCTTTGGTTTGAACCTTATTAGGGTTTTTAATCTTAACGAGCTTTATTCAACTAGCTAAATTAAAATAAATTTTCACCAGAGTCTAACCTATTCTATCTTTATGTAGTGACTTATTCTTGTTGCTACTGACCTTAACTTGCCATTTATCCCTACTATTAAAGTTAGGTTTATTGCTATTATGATTAAGATTGCTATTGAGACTAAGGTATTTAACTAAATTATTGATAATTTTACTAAATTTATTATTATCCTCCTTATGCTTAATTTCCCATCATTTAAAATTGCTGATTTTGATGCTATAACTAGGGCTTCGAACCTTAAACTTATTATTTTATTTAAGTTTATTGCTAAGATTATATTCTTTACTGCAGTTATGGATTTTAAATATTGAATTGTTATTGCTAGCTTGACTAAGTATTTAGTGCAGGATTTTGCATTTTTTATATTGGTTGTTAAGGTTTACCTAATTACTGAGTACCTGTTCTAGGTTATTGCATTTGCTTTTGAGGGTTTTAATTTTGTTGAATTTACTACTATAACTATAGGGGCTATTGTGAACTAAATTATTAAGGCTTTACGAGTTGGTTTTAACTCTAATCAATAGGTTTATTTATTTATTATTATTACTATTATTGTTGCATTTTATTTTAATTTATATGCTATGGTTGTTAAATAGTCTATTTTTATGGATTTGGCTATTATTGAGGTGGCTATTATGATTAAAATTAGTTAGTTTAAATTTGAGGATTAGCTTATCCCACAATAGAATTAGAATTAGGTAGCTGCTTAAAATTATTTTAAAACTGCTGCTGAGCTGGGTTTTGCATTTATTGTTGCCCTAAATTTTAAACTTACTACTTTTGTTGGAGATTTTATTAATTAAATTAGGGTTATTGCTTCTGCTAAACTAAGTTCTATTTCTATCCCATTTGCTACTATATTTAAGGAGCATTTTATTTTTATATACTTTACTATTATTACAACTGAGCTGGAGTTTAGTTTATTACAGGAGGTTAAGAACTGCCTGGTTGCTGCTTTTAAAATTATGCAGTCTTACCTGCCTGTAAATTATTAGGGTTAATCTAGCTTGGAATAGGAGAAATAGAATTCTATTATTGAAATTAATTTACATAAGGCTACTAAATACCTTTTTACTACTGACTAGGTTGTTTTTAGATTGTTAACAAAGATTTATCTATTTAATTTGTTTGATTTGGTGCTTTAGCTTATTGTTTGCTGGTATTTATATTATTAATTGTAGATTAAGGCTAACCTTTATTTATTGGAATTTGCTATTATAGATTTTATTATTGACCAGGAGGCAAATTCTTGTTTTACACTGGTATTTGCTATTATGATTAATGATGCATTATAGGTTGTTGGACTTGCTGTCCAATTTGATATTATGGAATTGCATTTACTATCTATTGATTTTAATTTTAGGGGATCCCTTAGAATGTGGGTTGCACACCTTATATTCTTTGATACTAAGGAACCGCTTCATTAATTTACTAATTTCTATTATACATCTACTAATACATTTATTAATTTTATGGCAATTAAACCTAAGGGTTTGAAGGCGCTGTTGAGTTTTGCTAAGGGTATTATGGAATTTGAGGATATTGCTATTACTGCTATTACTCCATGTACTAAAAATAATTTTATGTTCCTTATTGAGCCTACCCTGTTTACTATTATAATTCTTATCCATTGCCTCCAGCATGGAATTGCTAGTAATACTAAGGATTCTAATTATTTATAAACTAATTTTGATTTTAGTCCATGAGTCTCTTTCTACTTTCAAATTTAGAAGCTTGTTTATTAACAAAATTTCTTTATTACAAATAATATTTTTTCTCCGCAATTATTATTTCTTATGTCTAACTACTTAAATTGAATTATTTATATATTTCTTCTTCTAATTAATTCCCTCTAATTTTAAAAGATTTATTAATCTTAAATGTTTTAAATTGTAAATCTTTTATCAAACAAATACAAAAGCAATTTAAAAAAAATATTTACATTCATTTTTTTGCTTTGAATTTTGATGGTATTTTAAAAGTTAGATTTTCAATTTCTGAAATAGTAGAGTCTGTATGAACAAAAAAATTGTTTTTAAAATATTATTTTCAAAATCGAATAAGGCATTAAAAAATAAAAGAATCATTTTTATTTTTTTAATTTGAAAATTTCAACTAACTATTTTTCAAAAAATTATTTTTTTTAATATGCAAAAATGCAGCAATAAATTATGATCACTTTTTTATTTTTTTACTTTTAATCTTAAATTTTTTCATTTAAAAATAATAAAATTAAAATTTAGTTGAATGATATTAGTAATTAAATTCTTTTAAAATATTTTGGTATGTTGAAAATTTTACAATTAATTCAATAAGTATAAAATATTTAAGTGAAATTTAGGAAATAATTTATAGAGGATTTAAAAAATTGATCTTAATATTATATATTAAGATATTGAACTAAAGATTAAAGAAATAACAGTTTTTGTATCAAAAGAATATTAAATGCAAAAGTTTTAACTTATATTATGAAAGGATGTTAGAATATATGAAATGGACTGAGTATGATTAGATAGCGATGAAAGAAAATATTTAAAGAGGCTAATATTGATAGAATTTTCATATTAATGAGGAAAATTGGTTGGAAAATTGTTTAATAATGTAACTAACTTTCTAAAGACAGAATCGATAATTATCTGTACTTAAGAAATAGCTACACTACTTTATTTACTATATAGAAGAATTATTAATTATTACTTAATTAAAACTTAATTAATTCTCACAATATTTAAAGGAGATTATTCAATTATTAAAGTTTTTTATTATAAGCAGTGTTTTTAAATTGAAATAAAAAATATAATAGGAAATATCAATCGCTCTCTTTGCTTTATTTTTCTTAAAATCGATTGAAATCTACTACTTATTCGATCTAGAAGAACAAACTAACTAACTAACTAAATAATGAACTAACTAATTTAATTGTTTTCCTGATTCATTAGTTAACAAGATGACAATCCACTTCAAATTAATAAATATCAGGTATAACTAATAAGATATCGTTTTTATTTATCTATATGATTGCTTCATTTTGTATTAATATTTATCCTTAATAATTTCTGTCTTTATTAATTTATTTATATAAACTATTTTTAATATAAAAACAATTAGTTATTTAACATTCATCTTTCATAGTAATCTTTCAAATAAACTAATTGTAAGTATAACTAGTCTACTACTTTGTTAATTAATAGTCATAAACTGTTAAAAATTTATTTATTTTATAATATTATTAGCTAAGTTATCATTTGTTGAGGAAAGCTAATTTAGCTCTTCTTATAATTTTTGTTTGAAGTTTATTTTTTATTAAAATCTATGAGATTAATTATTTTTCTTTAATTTAGCTTTTGCAATAATCTAGTTTTTTTAGTTAATTATATAAAATTAGCACTTTGCTCTGTAACTAAATCAGTATGATTTTTACTAAAATAGCTTATTATTTATTATATGAAAAATAAATCAGTAGTTTGATCCTCTATCTTGATTTGAAAAAATTATTACTATATTAAAAGCTAATAAAAAACTCTAAGAAATTTAATAAAAGAGTTCTTATTATCTATTATTTATAGGTCAGCCTTTTCAAGATTAACTTGGGTTTTCGTTTATTGGAGAATATTGCTTTTGTCCTTATGAAAACTACTACTGTTGAGCATTTTACTGTTAATATTTATGGTTTGTGAAGCTTTTTTTATTTTAATTTTTGAATTTATTTTATCCTTTTTTAAAATTATTATTGTTATCCTAAGGATTATGTTAATTTTATTAATCGTTACTATTATTAGAATTATTATTATTTTATTAACTTGTCTTCATATTTTATGTTTGTATCTATCCCTAATTACTACTATTGTTATTTAGAATACTACTGTTGTTATTATTGTTATTGCTGCTGCTATTACTGTTATTATTATTATTGCTAAGATTTGCTTAAAACTAAGTGTTCTAATTAGGAAAATTTTAGCTATAGTTGTTATTGTTTGAATTGGAATTAAAAGTATTATTATGTTGTTGTTATTGTTGTGCTTATCCTTAATTTGGTTTTTTAAATTTTTATTAGTTTTTTTAATTTGAATAGTTTTAATTGTTGTTATAATTGCTATTTTATCTCTTAAAATTTTAATTTTACTTTTAATTTCCTGTATTGTTGCTATTATTATTAAAGTTAGAGGAGTTGTTTGAAGCTGATTCCTCTCCATGTCTTTCTTATTTATTATCTTCCTGTATATTATCACTACTCTTTCCAAGATTTTATGACTAATTTTCAATTTAATCGGATTCTAAGAAAGGTGCTTTTATGTCATTAAATATTTCATTCTATTCAGGCTAATATTCTATATTTATATTAAAAATTAAATTAAATTTTTCAATCTTTAAGGTGAAATAAAAATTTTAAACATCCTCTTGTTTTATTTGAGAGGATGTCTGATAAAATTATAAATAAATAAAAATATTTTAAATAAATTTGAAAGAAATATTACACTAAAATTCACTATCGCTGTAATGTCTTCTAAATTTTTTATTATTTTAATAAAACTTTTAACTATTGTTGCTGTTGTTGTTATTATTATTATTGTTAAAATTATTATTGGCATTCATATCTGCTTATTTTGTATTATTATTGCTATTCTTTCCATTAGAAGAGTTTTTATATTTATTATTTTACTTTTGGTTTTAATAAGGTTTATTGTAATAAGTTTACTGCTAATTAGTTTATTAAGGGAATTAACTATTTTATTGATTTAAAGGTTACTATTACTATTAAAGCTGCTATTGCTATTATTGATAATACTGTTAATTTTACAAAAACAAATTTTATTACAAATTATTTTAATTAAATAACTAATAGTTTTATCTCATATTCTATTAGTTATTAAACTAGTTAAATCCATAATTCTGTTAATTAAATTACTGCTAAAATAGTTAATATTACTAATTTTACTATTGAGGTTAGTCCTATACTTAAAACTGATTTCCTAATAAATTATTATTGGGTTGAAGATTCCCAATATTCATTCCCAATTATTATTACGGATTATAAAAATTTTATATGTATTATGAATTAAGCAAAAATCCTTAAGGCATTTGTTACTAGTTTCCTTATTAGTAATTTTACAAATGAATTAACTATTAAGGCTACTGGTTTAGCTATTACTTTGGAAAATTATCATCTACATTATCAAAAATATCTTTGATGTTTGCAGGAGGTACTTATTAATCTTAAATATTTTCTATATTACTAATCCCTTATTAAAAACCTTAATTAGTACCAGTTTTTTAGTAATTATAATTACTGTTTTTGTAAAAATTACCCTAATTTTAAATATTAGTAAACTAATTTGTTGACCACATATTTTTATCTTATATTTGATTATTTTGAAACTAATTAGGATAATCATCATAAAATTCTTTCTAGTAATCCAAAGAATCTTGCTGAGAAAGACACTTTTTAGACTACTTTTAATTCCTAAAACTTTATTTTTAGTTTTAAAATTAATTAGAAGTTTGCAAATTCAACTATTAGCTGAATAAATTAGCCAGCTGGTCAGTGGACATTTATTATTGCTACTATACTTAATTGTATGGCTGTTAGTATGGAAATGTTGATTACTGTACTGGCTATTACTACTAAGGGAGCATCTGAGACATTTATTATGCATATTACTACTATTAAAATTAGTAGGGGTATTGATACATATTTTAATTTAAATAATTATTATAAATCTATGGTTGCTAAGTAAAAGACTAATTAAAAGGAATCTATTATATCCCAGGTTATTATGTATGGAAGTTATATGGATCATTTTAGTATTATCCTTATTACTACTAAAGTGGGTATTGATTTAAATAATATTATGATTATAAATTTTATTCTTAACCTATTTCTTATGAAAAATTATTTAAAATTCAATTGTTTAATTAAATAAAATAGATGTTACATTATTAACCTGATAGAAGATTATTGATTTATTATTATTATGGATCAGATGTTAACTAATTTGGTTTAAGCTTCTCTTAATTTTCTTTTTGATTTTATATTGCTTTTTTGACTATTGCTGCGTTCTAATCACTCACCTTAAATACTTTATTTAAAAATAATTAAATTATACTGCTTAAAATATATATCTAAATACAATTAAAGTCTGTATTCTAATTGCTTTGTTGCTACTGCTATTTTATGTCATTATGTCTTTCGTCAGATGTGGACTGATCAAGAGAAACTGTACCATAACAAAAAAAATTAAAAATAATTTAATAATTAAATATATTATTTACATTCTTTTGTATTTTCAATCTTTTGGTTGGTTAATGAGCTATAAAAATTATTTTCGTCTTGATTCAAAAATGGATGCTACATAGCTATACTTGCTTTAACTCTTTTTCTTGGATTGAGTTCAAGCAATTAAGTGGCTAGATCAAGAAAAAGATCAAACTATCTATTATTTTTTGTATCATCTATTTATTTATATTTTATAATAAAACGCATTATAATAAAAGGCTACTTTCTTGAAATTTTTACCTTCATTCCTACGAAACTATGAATTGTACATATAATTTTTTAAATCGTTTAAACAAGCTACTTAAAAGTAAGTCTTGCTTTCCTTCAACTAAATTCCTTCAGAAATTTCAAATTCTTATTTTGTTTTAAAAATGTACTCTCCATCCAAACATTTAAAAAATTTATTCTTAAATCTCCCTTATTCGATAACTTCATTTGTTGGCTTACTATTTTTTAATGAATTAAAACATATTAAATCATGTATAATTTATTAAAAAGATAGATAGTTACCCTAATATATCAATTATTCTTTTTATTTAATCATATTCAGAATTTCCTGGAAATATAGGTAAACCAAGAAAAAGTTCAACTAAGATACATCCTAGAGACCACATATCAATAGCTGTTGTATATATCATCCCTAAAATTACTTCTGGCGCTCTGTAAAATCTGCTTTGTATATATGTAAATATCCTTTTGTCCTAATGACATGCAGATCCAAAATCAATTATTTTGAGTTAATTGCTTAATTATTTAAAATAAATGTTATAAAACTCTACTAAGTATTTTCAAATCAATTTTTTTTGTTTCATGAAAAAAATTTTAGCAAAAATGTTTTTTTATTTTTAAAGAAACTTTGGCTTAAATTTCTTTTCATACATTTTTGTTGTGAAAACTTTGTTGCCATTTTTAAGGTTTAATTTAAAATTAATTACTTTTTGAGCATTATATTTTCTGGTTTTAAATCACAATGAATAATCTGTTTGGATTCAGCAATAACCATTCCTTCCAATATCGATTTTGTCCATTAGGCTATAACACTGAAAGAAAACCCACAGAATTTTGTATTTTTTAAGTAATCATAAAGAGACAGTTCTAGCATTTCGAAAACTAGACAGAAGTGATTACGAAAAACAAAAAAATCTACTAAATTCACAATTCTTTTCTAATAATTTTCGCCATTTTATTCTTCCTATTTATTCAAAACTCTTAATAAAAGAATTTCATTCTTAGCCTATTGAAAATATGCAGGTCTATTTTTAATAACTTTAACAGCAAATAAATCATTTGTACCATTCTTACTACACTTAGCTACTTAACCAAATGTTCCCTTACCAAGCATATCTTCGATTATATACTCTCTATTGAAATATAAATATTTGAAATAAATTAAATTTTTTCTATCCTATTTTAAATATGAATTTTTGTATATCTATCATAACTCTCCTATCATTTATTTTTCTATTATATATTTTATATTCAAATAAACAGCTTTATCTTTAATTAAATAGATTGTTTTATTGTTTAATTTGCTATAATCAAGCTATCTACACATTTTTCTTACATCAGCCAATTAATATATTAAATATAATAATTTAAATCCTATTGATCGTTTATAAACCAACGATTTGATTGCAAAATTAAACTTTTTTCCTAGTTTATTTAGTTGAAATGCCTTGTATTCTAAGCTTTTTGCATATCGAATAAAATTTTTTAATGCTATGAAACTACGCTTGCTATTTGATATAACGCATGCTTTTTTTCTTTATAAGGAATCAACTCTACGTTGCGCAACAACTTAATGCAAAATAGAGCGTTTAATTCAATTTTTATTTATTATTTTTGAATTTCGAATTTTTCTTTTATCAAAAACCTTGAATAAAAATACATACTCGTCAATACTATTACTCTTTGAAGTAAACCTATGCTTCCTACTCTAATATATACTATTGGCAACTAAATGGATGAGTTTTTACCTAAAAATATATTTCACTTTGATTTTATATCTATAATTTTCTCTAAACATGAATACTTTTTAAAATTCACTTTTGAAAAGAATTTATTCATCAAAAACGTGGAGAAGAGTTATGAGAAATATCTATGGTTTGTTTTGCAGGTTTTATAAAATATAAAAATTTTAATTTAAATTTTACATTTTTCTTTGGTCATTATAAATTATATCTTTCACTCTCATTATGTAATCCGACTATTCATTATCGTAGTTATTGTTTGAAACACCTTTTCATAGTTAATATAAAATTAATTAAAATTTATTATGAAAATTCATTTCAAAAAATTGTTGAATGTCTGCTACAAATATGAAAGCATTAAATGAGGAAAGACTAAAAACATTTATAAAAATAAATAGCGGCTACAAAAATCCCCATAATTACTTCGTTTGTGATAAAATGAGCATTTAAATTTACTCATATTTTTTGAATTAATGAATTTTAAATTAAATTAATACCTTCATTTGGGACAGTAAGAAAGCGACGCGGAATGAGAGATTAATCAAACTTGAATTCCTAGTTACACCTCTTCATTGTATCAATCAAATATATGGAACATTTCTTAACAATCTATTTTATTAGAAGAATGCATTAATATTCAATCCACGTTTCGCTATGATAATTTATATGCTTATGCTGAATAGTCATATCATTCACATTAGTGAATATAGGGATTTATTAAATTAACTATTGCTTGCTTTTTGATAAATACTCTTATTTTTTCATATGCTACTACTGCAGCACTTCTACAGAAACAAAAATGAAAAATATTTTCTAAAAATTAAATGTTCTACGCTATGACCGCCTTCTCCTTTCTTTTCCTTCTTCTTAAAATTCTAGGATCTATCAAAAAGCTTAAAAGAGCTTGTGTGTCCGCCCTTTTTTTAGCCTCCCGACCAGCCCACTAAGCCTTTTAGGCTGTCGTTTTACATTACTTTAAGTAATACAAATAATATACTAATTAACTTGTTTTTTTAGTTTTTTTTTTATATTATTGTTTTCTTATCTTTTTCTTTTCCTCTTTTTTTCTTTTACCTTCTCCTTTCTTAATTTTTTAATTTTTTTTATTTTTAAATTAATTCAATTCATTTCACATTGTGCTTGATAATTCTTATTAATTGTTTTTTTTTTATGACTTGACAATCTAAGATGATACATATATACAAACAAACAAACAAAAAAACAAACAAACATACATACATTCATATATGCTACTGTTTGAACTCTCTCCATCAATAATTGTAAAATAGTAGGCAATTTCTTAATTGATGATTTATATATGTTTCATATGATATGTATTCTATAAATACAAAAAATTAAAAAATGCTTTTAAAATATATATGAAACTATTAAAAATTAGAAAATTTGATCAATCAACTTGTATAAATAATTCATCAAATGCAATTAAAAGCTCCTTCTACTAATTTGATTTATTCAAAATTTTACTGCTTTATAGCTATTTAAAGATTATCATTTAATTATTTATTTATTAATATATTTATCAGGTTGTCTCACCAACTTATTTTCTGATTTATTTTATTAGATTTATTGATTTTTTTATTGCTAGTTTATTTGAATCTAAAAAAACTTTTCTATTGCAGCCAAATTATTCTCTTGTGCTATTCAATCTCTATTTTCAATACTATTGATAATTCATTAATACTATTGTTATTTATTCAGTATTTTTTACAATTAACTATTTCTCTAAATACATTTTAAATATTCAATCCAGTAATTATTTTTAAAAACTTAATATTTTAAATACTTTTAAGCAAATTTACTAATTTAGCTATTTATAAAAAATAAGTTTATGTTGTTATGTTTTACTTATTTTAAATTTTTATTTTTATTAAAATAAATCTATGTTAAATAAAATAAAACTAAAAAAGTGATTTTTTTAGCAACGATCAACAATCGATAAAAAATTATAATTTACTTGATCAAGTATTTAATAAAAAGTGAGGAATAATTTTAATATTATTAATTTTAAGATATGACTTTGTTTAGAAAATTTGAAAAAAAGTATGTAATTTACATTTTTGATTGATAACCATAAGATCTAACCTAATTAATTCCTCTTCAAAAATTTTAAATTTAAAAATAATTAAATTATATATTTGAAAAGAATGGATACAAAAACTTTAAATTAAAATCACAAATGAATGAATCAGCCCTCAAACAAATTTATGTGAAATTTATTTAATAAACAATAATTTAAAAGATAAATTCTAAAAATAATTTAAAAAATATATTATTTTTTTTAATATTTTTCAAATTAACTATTGTCTAAACATTAAATGGTAAAGATAAATTGGATTGATTTATTTATTTAATCATGCTGTGCTGCAGCATTAAAATACTCATTATTTAAAATGAATATGCTTGATTTTAACAATAATAAATGCATTTAGATTATTTTTCTTTAAAAATTAAGATGAGAACCTTTTGGGTTTTTAAATTTAAGATTTTTTATTTTTAAACTCTTAATACGATTTTGAGCATAATAAATAAGATTACATTTATGCATAAATCAACATTTTAATTTAATTTTTTTTATTTTTAAAGTTAAACATTAATTAATTAATTCTGTTTATATTTTTGGTTTAGTGTTTACAGAGAATATTAAAAATAATTTATCACATTAAGGAGCTGCTATATTATCAATCAAATGAATTATCTTGATTATAATTATGAGAATCTTCTTCTTCAACATTATCTAATAACAAGGCCTTTAACTTATCATTGCCAGCAAATTTTATTACACCTTCTGTATTATCATCTTATGTTTCTTTTAATTAAGATTGTTTTTCTTCTTTTAAACCTACTACTTTTTTATGTTTAATTTCTTTTTTAATAATATGCTTCTGTTTATACGAATTAGGTTACTCTTTGTCTTTGTTTTATTATATTTTAGACTTAATTTCACTAATTTTAGATTCTACTTCTTCATCTAACTCATCTTTCAATTTTTACCTCCTTTACTCAGCATTGTTAGAGGGTACAATGCTATTAACTTAACTTATAGACTGCAAATCATTAATGTCATAGTTATATTAAGATTATTAATACTATTGCTAACTTGTTAAGCTAACATTGTTAGTAACATTCTTGATATTATTATTAAGTAAAGAATCCTTTTTTGCATGATTGTTTATCCCAAATTGAGGAGAAATATACATGTTTTAGTCGTTAGCTTCTGCTTTATCTTTCTTATCATACTTTTCTAGCTTTCCTGAATCTGAGCTAAAGTTTTACTCTATTTTGTTCAAACTCTCGTTTTATTCAGCTAAATTTTTATAAGTTAATTAATTTGCATTGAGAATTTGTTAAACTTTCATCGAGTTAACTTAATTTTGTAAAACAGGAGGAGGATTTAATTCTAAATTATTTTGATTTTACTAAGTAGCAACTATCTATTAAAGAAGCAGCTACTATTATTACTAAAGAATTTATAATTGTTATGCAATCATGTTGTTTGGTGCTATCTACTATTGAAAATTATTAATATTATTATTTAAATTGATTTACAGATTCTACTAATTACCTTAATTTAAATCATTTTATCCATTTAATTTTTAATTTAATTGTTTAACTTATTGCTAATTATTTTATATCTAGTTTTATAATTATTATTAGTTTTAATATGTTTATTATTAACTCTTCAAGTCATTGAAATTTTGTTGGTAACCATTTTGAATTTAAGGATTTATTTATGTAGGCATTTACTATTAAGATTAAATAGTTTTTTTGGCTAAAGCCTTATCTAGTCTAATTAAAGATTGCTCCAACTCTTATTCACTATATTCTAATTTTATATAATAAATTGAGTTTAGTGTTTTTATTTAATAAAATATTTTATTTACCGTAAATAGGTTTTATTGGTTTTATGATTGTTGAGGGATTGCTTTCAAGCTCTTTTACTTATTTTGATGACACTAAATTAAGGTTTACATTATGTCTACTTTCAACATCCCTAATTTTATCTATATTATCAAAGTGAAGCTCATAAATCTCCTGCTACAGTTGCATTTCTTCTTTATTAATGTTAATCAAATCATCCTTTTGTGAATAATTATTTATTTTTTAATAAAAAACTTATTATTTTATTTTTACCCTTAAAAATTCTTCCACATTTATATCTTCATCTCTTGTACCCACAGAATCAGGAGATTTAGTTTTGTTTCTTCTACTTTGTTGAACATTCCATTACAACTTTTATTTGAATTTAGAAACTCTTCCCTAGTTAGAGCTAGCAACTTCTGAATTAGAATCTTATTAATTATTTTAGGCTATTTTATTTTAGTAATTTTTTTAATACTTTTGTTTAGAAGGAGGAGGCTATACAATTTATGGTTTTCTATCCTTTGATTTATCATGCTATGCTTTTTGGTTATTTTAATTTTAATCAGAAAGTTATTTATCTGTAGAAAATTATCTTTCTTACTAGTTATTTTTTTCTTTTGAAATTTAGGCATTTCTATTTGCACTTATCTGCCTAATGTTTTATCTTTACATTTTATCTTCTGATACTATGCTATTCGCATCTTATTCATTTTGCTTTCTTTATTAGCTGATTATTTATTATTAATTTTGCTGAGATAGATTATTATTTGTGTTGCTTCTAACAATTGGTGGCTTCTTATCATCTTTCACTAATTTTGCAGAAACAGGTTTTGTTAGTTTAGAAGTAGCATTTGAAACTTTACCACTAACTTAGGAAAAAACTTCCTCCACTTCTTTCTATTTATTATTTGCCCAACTTAAAACATCATATTTTTAATTTTCTAAACTAATTGTTCCTTCCATAATTTCATTATGTAATTAAAGCTTAGCCTCAGTTAAGCCAATATCAGCAGTTTATTCAATTTTTACTTATTTAGTACTTTTTTGTTATAATTTATCATTTTAAACTTTATCCTTAAATCCCAATGCTATACCAATATCTTCGTCATTATCACTTCCTCCTTACATATCTTCATCATCAAACCCAATTGCTTCCCTAATCAAAGCACTTTCATTTTTATTAATTGCTTACTTTTGCTTTATAATTTCTTTTTCTTTAACTTTTTTTACATGCTGTTAATCATTCATTGTTTGCTTGCTTCCTTGCTTTAATTTCTACTGCAATTACGCTCTGCTTGATTTATCTTAATTGATATCTTTATTTTCTTTGGATGTTTCTCCTTTGTTAATAACTAGCTCCTCAAATTTTTCTTGCTCATATTCATTCTCATCAAAGCTATCATTTTCTTAGATGTTATCGAATTAACTTTTAATATTTTTTACCTTCTTTTAAAGCTGATCATCTTATATCTGCTTATTTTTCTTTTTTTACACAGTAGAGAGATCTAAACTTTCTAATAGTTTACTTTATTTTAGGTTATCAAGAGAATCATCATCATCATTCCATTCTTTTTCAAAATTAACTATAAAATCGTTTCCTTTAACTTAATTTTACTTGGCATACATTTTTTTAATTCTCTCGAAATCATCTTTTCCAGAAGGAATATTGAGATCTAGAGCATCAAAATTCATTTCTTTAGCTTTATTTTCTATATTATTTTGGGATTGTTTTTTTTAATCAGCATAATATTCCTCAAGAGGTACAGGTACTCTATTTTCATTCTAAGATAAATTTTTATCCTAATTATTTGTATTTTGGCTGTTTGATTTAGCAGTATTCCATTATCTCTTAGGCTTTGATAGATCACTAGTTACAGTTTTATTTTAATCTGTGTTTGAAACTACTATATAAGCTGGTCTCTTTTATTAGTTTGCAGTAGATGCTTTTTTTTTAACTTGATTTCCATTTTCATTTGTGTTACTTTTATTTTACTTTAAATTATCTGCAACTTTAGTGGCATTAGATCTCAAGAATTTAACATAAGCTTGCTATTTTGTTTCTTTTCTCTTAAGTAGCTCTTGCTCTTCCTGCTTCTTTTTTTTCTCCATTTCTTCTTTTAATTTCTTTTCTTAATCTCTATTTTAAAAAAAATACACTAATTCTATTATAAAACACTTGAATTAAAAATATAACTTTATTGATTATATTATTATTAATTTTCGAAAAAAAGCTATTAACAACACTAACCATGTTGATTAAGAAATTGATTATTTGTTTAAATTAATTCATTTTAATATGTTGCTACTTAATAGATCTATAATAAATTAATAATTTATACTTTCTACGTTTTTAATTCTATATCATTAGTTGTTTATGTTTTTCTTGCTATTCCATATATCTCTTCATTATATCATCTTCTGCTAGCTCTACTTCTTGTGCAATTTATTGTTTGGTTTTCTATCCATATGCACTTTACCCACTAGCTGGATTTTAATTAGTGATATTTGATATCTAACTCTTCGCGCTATATTTGGTATGCGAACTTATTGCACTTTGGGCTGAAGAATGGTTGTTCATTAGCTATTTGATTTATAAATATCCAAATATAAACTACTTAATCCTTTTATTGTATATGTTTGTTTATGTAGTAAATTTATCAACCTAAATATTTTTGCAAAAGTACTACTTTCGAAATAACAAATTAATCGATATTTTTAAAAAGATGATTTTAATTTTTGATATAATACAAATTTTTAATTTTTGAGGATAGCAAGCATCAGATCAATTCAATTCACAAATTATAAAATAAAACTCAATATAATATAGAAAAAAAGGTAACAATATAATCTTAGCAAATATTAGATACTTATAATAATTAAAAATTAAAGAAGCAGATAGATAGATAGATATTTTTAATTTTTACTCGTATTTAAAAAATTTTCACAATTTATTGTGCATAATTTTAATTTGTTGTAATTTAAATAGTTTTAATAAAATAAATAATTAAATAAATTTTCATTTTCTTTTTGATTAAATTTGAAATAACATCATACAAAAAGTTAAAATCTAATTGAAAAAAAGACAGACTCAACGTTTCTAAATGATAAATAAATTCATATTAACTAATCATAATCAATATTAAAATCTTTAATTTATATTTTATAAATTTTAACTTTTAAGTCACCTACTTATTCTCAGTTTTATTTAGGAGGAGAAGAGCTTCTATTATTGTTAGAATTTCTTCTACTTCTTGACTCACTCATGCTCTTTCTTTGATTCTTGTTATTTTCTTTGGAAGAATTTGATGATCTGGACCTATTTTGATAAAAAAAATAAATTACTAAAAGAATATAATTTTTTAAATATACTTTGATCTTGATGAAGATGCTCTTGACTTGGAGCTTGAATAACTTCTTCTTGATGATCTTGATCTTGAACTTTTAGAACGAGAGGAAGATTTTGAGTAAGATTATCTTCTCTTTTTATCTCTATTTTTATCTTTAGATCTACTTCTGCTTCTGCTGTCACTAACACTCTTACTTTTACTTCCACTCTAGCTTCTGTTTCTTCTTGAACGTCTTGGAGATTCTCTTCTTGATGAAGGAGTTCTGCTCAAAGAGCATTCTTTTTTTAAATGTCCACTTTTTCCGCATCTATAACATCTGTTACTATTAAATTTAAATAAATTTAATTAAATATGATTAAAATAAAATAATAAATAAATAAATTACTTCCAATTTCCTTCCTTACATTCATTAGCCCTAATTGTTATATATTATTAAAATTTTATTTAATATTTAATGATATTTTAATGATTTATATTGAGGAATACTTAATTTATATCTAATTAGCTTTGATTTTTATATAAAATTAAATCTAATAGCTCATTTTTATTTTCTTTGTTTGCTCTTATAAAATATTTTAAAACCATTTATTTGTAATTAATTTTATTTATTTATTTATTTTTGCTTTTGATGGACAATCTTAAATTACATTAATTTTAATCGTCTTCATCTTTTGATTCATCATCATTACTATCATCATCATCAAAACTATCATCAAAATAATCATCAATATCTTCCTCACCCTCTTCAAACTTAATCACTTAAACTTAATACTTGGTTTAATAAAAATCTTGTTTGAGAAACATAAGAAAAACAAAAGTAAGAAATTCCAAATTCAACTGATATATTCTTCTTTTTTGAATCAACAAACAATATATATGGCTTTAAATTATTGTAGAACTCGAATTGTGGTATTTAAATTTCTTCTTCTTCGACTTCATTGATTCTTCTTGATTTTCATCAATCACCATATTTAATCATCAATTCTTTATTTAATTTATATTTTTCAGTATTCGAAACAATTAAAAATTAATAATATCTTATCTTTTTACTACTTTTCATATCTTCGTTTTCGTTCATTTTCTTCGATGCATTCTTCTCATTCTTCTGGAAGTTTTTTATCGAGTAAATTAATTAATTATTTATTTATTCATATAATAAACAACCAACATTTATTTATTTATCTATCTTTTGCTTCTTCCAAATTTAAAAATTGTCAAGCAAATTTTTTGGATTTTGTAAATTTAGTTCTCAAATAAATCAACAAAAGAAGAAAGGAATGAATGCAAGAAGCTCTTCTAATGATTGAATTAATCTTCTAGCCTTTACTTTGACATTATTGTGATTTTAAATCTGAAAAATTCTTCATGGTAAAACTCAATTTTTGCTACTCCATACAAAAACTAATTCCACCATCTAAACTAATCCAAGATTATAAATGAAAAATTAAATTGTTTTTTAGATCTTAGTTAGTATATTTGGGGAAAGTTAAAATATAAAATTTGTTATTTTAGTAAAATCATGTATGTTTATCAATATTTATTTCCATTATTTATGCTTATATTAGATGATACTATAAAAATATTAGGTATTATTATATTTAAGTTCTAAATGATGATGCTTAAAGAGGAGTTTTTTGATTTTTTTACTAAAATTAAATGTTCGATTTATCATTAAAATGAATGAATGATACGTGCAGTAATAATACTTTTTGATATTTTTAAATACTCCTCGTTTGCTTTTTTTATAATTTAAAATAAATGTAAAATATGATTTACCAATGTCCTTTTCTTCCACAATTGTAACAAACATCAGCTGTTGATGGTCCTCTTCTGTTGCGATCACTTCTATTTTCTAATTATAAATTTTAAAATATTTATTTAATTATAAAATTTTATTATTTGTAAATAGATTTTAGCTTTTTATATTTATTTTATCCTAAAATGTTATAAAATTAGTTTTTAAAAAACAAATTTTGCTTATTTACCTTTGTACTAAACAACTATACGGGTGTCTTCGAAGCGCTATCCATCCATGTCTTCTACGGCTTATTTTGCATCAGAGGAGCTGCTATATTCAATAAAAGCAAAACCCCTTTATCTTCTAAAATCTATATCTCTAATTCTTCCGTATCTTCTGAACTCATCTCTGAGGTCTTCTTCTCTAACTCTAGAAGATAATTTTCCAACAAAAATTGTATTTGAACCTGATCTCCTACTGCTACTACTCATTTTATACTTTTTTTTTGTGTATATGAGGGAATGATTTTTATTAAATTATATATTTAATCAAATCTAAAGATAAGAAATTGTTAATTAAATTCATATGAAAAGCAATACAAATTATAAAATATATATCTAGCAACTATAAAGGATCATTATTGGTTTATTAGTCAAATATAAACAACCCAAATACAGATATTTCTTTAATTTTAAATTTCTATTTTGAAATTAATTTCTATTTCATCTCATTTAATGTATTTTGCTAATCTGAAGAATATATATATTTAAGTAATATTTTAAATATTTATATTTTCCTTTTTATTAAGATTTATAAATCAAGAAGCAAAATAAAAAATCTAATTAAGAAATGATTAAAGTTTATAAGTATTATTTAGTTCAAATATTTTGAGATATTTCTTTAATTTTAAGTTATGAATTTTTATATTTTTTCTATATTATTTCAATTTATATTAATGTTAAGCTTTTTTTGCAAATTTTAATATATTTATTTAAAAAACGATTGAATATTAGTTTATAAATATTCAAGAGTTAAAAATTGTTGAGATATTTCTTAAATTTTAAATTTTATATTTTTATATTTTATCAAATTAAAATATTGTTTTTTTTGTTATAAAAAATATTTGAATTATTAAAATAATTTCTAATTTTTAATCATAATAAATATCATATTTTAAATATATTATTAATTTAAAATAGTTTTTTTGATAAAAATGAATTTCAAAATAAGAAATATCTTTATTATATTTTGATTAATGGTACTTAATAAATAATAATAATGCAATAACCTATTGAATAATTTATATTTTGATGATTAATAACAAATTAAATAATGGAAAAAAAAAATAATTGATATAAATTTTAAAAAAATATTACATTTGATTGATGATAATAAATTTGCCTAATATCTTCTCAAACTAAAATAAAAACAAAATAATTAGGTAAAAATTATCCTTTTAATATTTGTAGCAAGTTCTATCTTTAAAATGTGTAATAAAATAAAAAGAAAATCTGCTTTCTTAGTGAAAAAAATAGTAAATAAAAATTTATAAAGAAATTTACTTTTTAATTATAGCCTCTTTTTAGAAGTAAGTGTAAATTTAGCTATTTAATTAAAATCCCAATTAATAGAAAATACTTAACGATATTACATTTATTTTTTTAGCTAAAATAATGAATTTTTGGGATATTCCTTTATTTTTAAATATTTGTATGGAGGTTAAATGTAAACTTTACAGATATCTCTACTTTATAGATAATAACTATGTAAAATATTAATTAGATTATTTCTTCATAAAATAAGTTCAATTTTTTCTATGGAAAAGTGCTTCTCATTTCAAAGATTATAAAAGAATAAATGTGTGATTTTTAAAGCACTTTATATCAATAAATATTACAATATTCAATTTGGTTTACTCTGTAACTTAAATCTTTTATGAATATTTCTTACATAATAAGTTAAACTTTGATTTAAAATATTCTAAATTTTTGTTTTTTTTGCTAAAAATAATGTAAAAATTTCATGTTTTTTTCAGAGATGTTAAATGTTATTCAATATCTTTCTTTTTAGATTCTACTAATGTACAAAATTAAATATATATATTTGCTTGCATTTAATTAATATTAAAATAAAAGTATTATTAGATAATCACTTACTACATTAAATATTGGTTTTTGCATAGTTGAATAATGTTAATACTTAGATTAAAAGTTCACTTTCAACTTAATTAAAAACTTTTAACATCTGAAAAAGTAAACTATTATTTTATCATTGTAATATTTAATTATCAGAAATTTAATATAAATATATTAAAAAGGTTAGTTTATTTCATAAATGTCAGACGGAGAAAATAATGCCTGTACGGTTTCAGCAATTCACAAATTACAGTCAGGTGTTTGCGAATATGTTGATCAAAACTGTACAGCAGAGTCGCTTGTAAGATTTTCTTACTTTTACTTTTGCCAAGTTTCTGAAAACATCATAGTTCTTGATTTACTTACAGTAATTATTAAGTTAAGCTCTAAAAATCAAATAAAAAACATAAATTAAATGTAAAGGTACTGGTTCCTTTGATGGCTTTCCATATGTTAAGCTCTACTGCAGAATCATATCTTTCACCTGCTTTAGCTAAGTGCTCAAAAATATTGAGGTTATCTGAATCTGTTGCAGGTGTAACACTTTTAGCTTTGGGAAATGGTGCTCCTGATGTTATTACAGCAATTATAGCAGGTGGAGACGATAATGGCGGAATCAGCATAGCTATTGGCTCCATATTTGGCGCTGGTTTATTTGTAACCACAGCCACTCTTTCAGCTGTTATCTTTCATGGAAAAAATATAAAAGTACATATACAATCTTTCTTACTTAACTTAATCTTTACTGAAATTAATAACATAATAAGCTTTAATCCTTTCAGTTAAATTTAGATTTAATAGAAATTTTATAATATAAATATAATGTCTTAGTTTAAAAAATAGCTACCTACTCTATAAAAGTAATATTTTCCTATTATAAAAAATAGATTGATAAGAAAACATTCATGAGAGATATGGTCTTCTATTTACTTGGTTGTTTAGTAATTCTAGTTTATGCAATAATTGGAAAAGTGAACATTATAATGTCTTCTATTTTTATGTCTATCTATTTAATGTAGGACTAAATTTATTTTTAAAAACATTTTAATAATAATTTTTAAATAATTTAAGTTTCCTGGTTATTGTCATTTTGCAAGACAGACAATAAAGAAAAGAACTTGAGAAGTTAGGAATTGATGAAAGTAAAAATTATAAAATGATTTTAACTTAATTAAAAATTAAAAAATATTAAATACAAAGGTGTAATTCAATAAGAATTGGAAAACAATTTACATACTAAAAAGAGCAGAACTGCAAGTATAGCAAAGGATCTAGGAGTTATTTTATTCTAAAAGTAATTAAGCTAGCTATTTTACTTACATTTAAATATATTCAATTTACTTTACATAAAACTAAATTAGGGACTACTCTTCAGATATCAACAAAATACACTTTGAAAATGTAAAAATAAATTTAATTAGAATTTATAGTTTACAATTAATTAAATACTAAATTAGGAATAAGAATAAGGATAAGAATAAGAATAATAATAAGAATAGGCATGTAATATATCTTGCTTCTCAGAAGATGATTAAAAAAAATAGATTTAAAATTCATTAACTAGTTCTTAGATGGTGAAAGTTGCTACAACAAGTATAAAAATGAGATATAAATTTAGAAGCTTAAAGCATGTTATGAAACAAAAATATTACAGCTTTAAAGATGAGTTACACGAAATGAGCATAATATAAAAAATCATATACTTTTATGAGATTCCTGTTAATTTTATTAGAGATTTAACCATCCCTCCTGGAGATGATGACTAATGGAATAAATGGAGAGCTTTTATTTGTTGTTACACTACTCCTATTACTTTCTTATTTATAACTGGAAGTAAGCAATTTAGATTAAACATTATATTAAAATAAAACTCTTTTTAGATATTAAAATGTTAGTAGGAGGTATAGAAGGATTTTACCTTGCTTATTTACTCCTTGGTATTGGGTTTATTTTTTCACTAATAGTTTGGAAGTATTCTCATGAAAATAAAGCACCAGCTTTCATGTTTTTCTTCTCACTTTTAGCGTTTGTCATTTCTGTAGCTTACATATCAACAATAGCCCAAATCTTAATTGATTTTATTTAAGTAAATAAATTATCTATTTCTAAAAAAATTGTCAAATTCTAAAAAAATTAAATTAATTTTTCATTTTTAAAAATAAAGTTTTTCTAAATTCTATCTGGTATAAACTAAACCTTTTTGGGTTTGACATTATTAGCTTATGGAAATTCTTCAGGAGGTAATTTATTTAGCATATTTTAAGTAATCAATCAATCTATTTACTCTAATAATAATTAGACTTTTTCACTAATACACAACTTTCAAAAATGGGATATGGTGTTATGGCTATGACTGGTTGTTTTGCAGGCTAAGGTTTTAATTTATATATTGGCTTTGGTTTTGCTCTTGTAATGCAGACAAGATCGTAAATTAATTAATGTTTTTGTAGAAAAATATTAAATAATTTATTTATTTATTTTGATAGGAGCGACTATGATTTTAGCTTATTTACAGCTTCAACAGTTAATGAATGGTTAAACAATGGCATTGCTATAGCAGTTTTATTGGCTGCAATAATTGCCACTATTTTCTCAATAATTGTTTCAATTAAATTAGGGTATAATTTATTTATAATAAAAAGTAATTTAATTATTAAATATAATAAATAGATTTTCTTACGAAAAAGGAAGATATTCTTCATCTCTTATAATTATTTATTCAATAAGCATTTTGATTTGCTTCGGCTTTTGCGTTGGTGATTAAATTATATCATGAGTTTTTCATAAAATATTTAAAATAAAAATAATTTATCTTATAAAAATTATAATTAAAAAGTGTTTGTATTAATATATATTTAACCTCTTTATACATACCCACAAACACAAATATTATTATATCCATAATAATTGTAATAAATTATGTTAAATTAATTTCAATTAAACATAAAATTCTACTTTCTATCTAATTTATTCATTCTTTTCTCAACCAAGCAGTATTTAACTAATAAAATTAATATATTTTTAAAAAGTTTGACATAAAAAAAAATATCTATAAGTTTAAATTAAATGAATGATTCTTGTAGAAAATGATGCTACTAATGATAATTTGAATAAATAGAAAAAACTTTTAAAATAAATATTTTATTCGAAATAAATATTAAAAAAATAATTTAATTTAAAATATAATTGAAGTTTTATTTAATTTTAAATGCTTTTTCAATCATAAAATATGTATTAAAAAATATTAAAATTAGAAAGGCAAGGCGTATATGCCTACTTTCTTTTACTATTTATATATGATTTTGTAAAATTTTATATCATATCTTTACTTATAAAATATAATTTTGCCAAAAAGTTCTAATTCATTCTATATTTTAAGAAAAAAATTAAACATTTAGATAGATATTCAAAGGATAAAATTTAAAAATAAAATGAAAATACTTAATCTTTAATCAAAATTCTTAACATAGGTTTTGTATAAAAGCTTCTCTAATGTGAGCAGTTAGTTTGCAATTAAAAAATCTTCTTCAATGACTCCTAAAGAAGTAGTAGAATATTTAAGCTAACATATTATTGGATAGGAATAAGCCAAAAGAGCTGTGGCAATTGCATATAGAAATCGTTGGAGACGCCAATTTTTAGAGGAGGATTTAAAAAAAGAAGTATGCCCAAAAAATATTCTGATGGTAGGCCCTACAGGCTCAGGTAAAACTGAAATAGCACGTAGATTAGCTCAATTATCAGATGCACCTTTCATAAAAGTAGAAGCTACAAAATATACAGAAGTAGGTTACCATGGAAAAGATGTAGAATAAATTATTTAGGATCTTGTTAGAACTGCAGTAAGAAATGCAAAAGCAAACCATAAAAAGAATATTGAAAATGCCAAACAAATTATTGAGTAAATTGTTCTTGATTAGATAGTTGATGCCTTCTTAGGACCTAATTTTTCTAATGAAGAAGTTAGAAATAAAAAGCGTGAAGATATATCCAATAATTTAATGGATGATCGTAGAATTACTGTTGAATTACCTCATGATTATTGGGAAAGAGTTAATACAAAGGGATCTTTTCAAAATATTGATGAATTTTTAGATTATATTAAAAATTTCAAGTAAGGTTTAAACCCTAAAAACGACTAGCAACGTTTGACAGTCAAAGGTGCTCGCAGTTAACTTTATCAAATTTATGAAGAAGCATTGGAGAAAAGTGTTAATTATGAAAAAATTGCAATCCGTTAAGTTGAAGAAGAAGGAATAGTTTTTATTGACGAAATAGATAAAATTGCTACCTCAGGCGAAATTTAATAAAATTAAAAATCTCCCAGCGCTGATGGTGTTTAGCGTGATTTGTTACCTTTAATAGAAGGTACAGTAGTATCTACTAAATGGGGTGATGTAAAAACTGATCACATTCTATTTATTACAGCAGGTGCTTTTAGCATGAGTAAGCCATCCGATTTAATTCCTGAACTACTTGGTAGACTTCCAATACGTGTTGAACTTCAATAACTCAAAAAGAATGAGCTTTACAGCATCTTAAAGTTCCCTAAATATAATATGATCTTTTAATAACAATAACTTCTTAAATAGGAAGGTCTCAATATATAATTCACTGATGAAGCTGTCAAGAAAATAGCTATTTTAGCTGAATAAGCTAACACTTCATTAGAAGATATTGGTGCAAGACGTCTTCATGAACTTATTGAGCGCTGCTTAGAAAACATTTCTTTCGATGCTCCTTACCTTGAGCAAAAGGATATCGTGATTGACTAACAATTTGTTGATAAAACTTTACAAAAATATATGGAGAAAGCAGATTATAGAAAATTCCTTATTTGAGTTAGAATATTTAAAAATTATTTGAATCAAAGTTACATTCATCCATCCATCATAAACACAGTAAGAAAGAGTAAAAAATATTTAGAAAAGTTAAAGAAAAAGTAGATTTGAATATAAAACTGTTAAAAACAAATAAATAAATAAACAAACAAACAAAGAAACAAACAAAAGATGAAATAAACAAAAATTGTAAGTAAATCTTGTGTGTTAGTTTTTGATATTAGTAATTTAAATTGTAAATAGATAAATAAATAAATTTAAAATGTAATGCAAATATTATACAATCTTCTTTACCAATTATTTTTATATTTATTTATAATTTTATTTTTTGATTACATTTATTTTTTAAAACAAACAAAGTAAATTATACTTTAAAAGACAGACTTACAGACTAACTAAGTCTTCTCTTAAACAAATGGTAAAGAAGAAAATAGAATATCTATATTATTCTAACTAATATCATTTTGGAATTTAAGAATTTGATCTTTATTGTTAATTTTTGTTAGAAAAAGGATCTCCTTATACAGAAGATTTATATTTTGATTATATATTAGAATATTTTTTGCTTTTGGGGTATTTTTTTTGTAGTTGTAATGAAGATGTTCTTTCTCTTATTGGAGAACTTGAAGTACTACCATTTCTCCCTCTGGTTCCCTGGTATGGATCTTTTTGATAAAAAGTTTTAATGAATTCATTAATTTCAAATTGTAAAATATTAATTACCTCTACTGTAAATAGAACTATTTCCATTAAATTAGCCTCTGTTGTCTAAGTTTTCTCCTTATAAGTTTTTAACGTATTAGAAAAGAGCATGCTTGTCTTGTGGAAGATCAAGATATAAAATTAATCCTTTGAGTGAATCTGCTGTTGTAAGTTTTAAGTTTTAAATGTCATGCACTGAAACTTATTCAACATTATCTTTAACAAAGTCAAGCTGAATTTTCTTTTTGTCTTTGTCTTTATCTTTATCTTATTTTTTTTTCTTTAACTTTAATCTCTCTAATTTTTCCTATTGCAATTTCTGGATTTCTCTTTTCACTATTTCCTAATAATTAATTCCAAAGTTATCAGGATCTTCTTAGTCATATTTTTAAATCTCATCAAACACTGGTCTGCCTTTAACAGCAATCCTCAATAAAAGCTCCTCAAACTGCTCATAAATTATACCATATTAACCTTCGTAATTGTTACGAGCACAATTATTGTACATTTTGGAGACTTCGTCTGAATTAATAATCTGTGGTAAAATCTTGAAGTGAGAGCATATTAAGTAAAATCCTCTGTAAGATAACTAATCAACTTATTCTGTGTCTTTCTGATTTTAAATTTTGATATCTTAATAATTCTTATAAAGAGAAAAGAGTGTCGAAAGAATGCGAGAATTTTCAGTTAATGTCTTTCTAATCTCGGGATTTGCTTGTAGTTCTTCAAATAAATACTTAAATTCATTTTCTCTATCTCTCCTATCCTATTCTTTTTATAAAGCAATCTCATTGATATTCTTATGCTTGTTTTGTAAAGATGATTATCTCTCTTACTCTTTATGGTATTTTTCATCATCCTATATTTTTTTTCTCATGTTTCTTAATTCTACCTATCCTTCTCTGTATTCGACCCTCTATCTATTTGCTTCAATTTACTCTCTTCTCTTTCTTTCTAATTCTTATTGTTTTTCTAACTGATCTTGAATTTGCTTCATTTTAAGAATTTTTTTTTCTTCAAGTTTTTTATTTAGCTCATTTTTCATTGCTATTTACTGCAATCTTTAACGTTAATATCTTTCTTTTTCTTTCTCCATTTCTTAAATTTTCTTTTATTCCTTTTCTAGCTCTTCTTATCTCTTTTTAGCTTTAAAAGCTTCAATTACATCTTTCTATAGCTCAACTTCTTTGATTCTTTGTTTCATTTTTCTATCTAAACTCTACTGCTTTTTTATTTCTTCTTCTTCCTTTTGCAGTCTGTTTTTCTCAGCCTTTTTGATTTTTTAATAATAATTATTAATAAAATCGAGATTAAATTGATATTACTTAATTTAAGATGGCCTTCCTCGATTTAGGTAAGCCTGGTAACCCATATTAAGAATATTTTTCCACCCACAAACTTTAGTAAATATTTGATTGTTTGAGACTTCTTAAATCTTTTACACTCATAGAATTATTTTCTAATTAAAAATTTTTATTAAATTAGAAAGAATGATTTTCTAAACAAATTAATTACTTTTAGGAGGCTAAGGAGTTTATGGATCTTGTTTATTTGGTATTATTTTTTACAATGTAACTATGCTTGGGATAGGCTTAGGGCGTGCTTAAACAATATTAACTATTTTCATCTTATTCTCTCCAATAGAAATGCTGATTATTTAGTATTATTAAACATTTGATTTAATTTAATTTAAATAACTTACTTAAAGTTTTCCTTTAAAATATCTTATAGGACAGAATATGCAAGGATATAACCTTCACTTAAACCGATAATTTTATTTCCGTCAAAATTATTATTTAAGTAATACTACTTTTCTTAAACCTTCTTCAGATTATCTGGTAATGGCATATTTGGATCCTTCAATAATCTGTTATTCCATGATTTAATAGTCATAACATCTAAGTTAGGAGCGAAGCATTCAGGATTCTCAAAAATAGCTGGATTGACTCCTTTATTCTTTTTATAAAGAGCCATAGTCTAAAAGAGCTCTCTTAATTGGTTGCTGATAAATAAATAAATTAATTTATTAATTAAAATTCAATAAAACAAAATGCTATCCTTACCCTAATGGTTATCCACGGAGATCTTTAGGAGGTTAGCTAAACATAAATATAGACAGTTAAACTATAAATTAAACAAAATCAGAGTATTTTAGGAAAGTGTATTAAGGATTGGAGTTAACTTATTTCATTATATTAAGTACATCATCTCTACTTACGAACTTTTGAAGGTCAAAATCTTTACAGCAATTCCAAACATCCCCGAAAGAAATTAGTTCTGAAGTATTTTTTTACTCTTAAAATAAATCATTCTTTTTATTAAACATTTTATGGATGTTACTGTACCTGCTAAATACAAATTTGAAAGTATTTGCATACTGCTTCATAACTATATCTAACGAGTCTATATCTCTTTACTCTAACTCCTCAATTTTGACTATTTTATACTTTAATTTATTTATTTATTATTGAAGTTTGATAAATAAATATTAAAAAATGTTACCTTATTTAAGCTTTTAATTGTATCAAGTTCTTTTTCTTGATAAACCAACTGAGCGTATTAGTCTGTTTGCTTTTATTTAGCTACATTCAATTTGGTATGGATTTTATTTACTTCTTACTCAGTCTCTTTTTTCAATTGTTACTCCTTTTAGAACTTCCAAAATTTATCTAAATCATTAAGTAAAGATTTATTTTCTCTCTTTTCTCTTATTTAATCAATTTCATCTTTTCTTCTTTCTAAACTTAAATGAGCTCTAGATTTATTTAGTATGCTTGAATACTTATTATCTTTTTCATATACAGAATCGAAGGGCATATTGTGATCTTTTGAGAATATAATTTCAAATAAGTAAATATATATTAACTACATAAATTTCAATAATAAATACCTCTTGTTTTTTATAGTTGATTCATGTGTTAAAGATTAGTCTATTCAAATTACTAAAAATCCATTCTATTAGCTCCATATGTATTTGTATTATATTGTCTCATAGAGGGGGATCCATCTGCTCCAAGTTAAGAATTGTTGTTATATGCATAATTATTTATCTTTGGATGGCGTGGGGAAGACTCAAAGGCATCTCCCCAGTCTATTTCATTAGAGTTTTTACGAAGGTACTGTTAAGGCTTTTGATTTGAATCAGAATGAGCAGTAGAGGACTTTTGGTTTTGCTACATTTAAAATAGATTGTACTCAAAATCTTTTTATTTTGCAAGTTCGTCATCCTTGTATTTTTGAATTACTTAATCAGGATCTCCAAAGAACAATAATAGCTGATATATTCCTTTGTATTAAATACCTGTAGCCAATAGATCTTATTAAACTTTTACAACAAAATCTCTAATTTCTTTATTTAAGCTAGGAACTTCTCTTTCAAGGATAAATTTATTCAATTCTATAATCAGTGCCCTTCTCTATGCTTCGATAATAACTTACTCTTATTCTGTAGTATAATCTTGTTAGAATCTACCTGGCTGTTGTAGAAGCTAGTTATAGCTATTTTAAATCATGTTAAGAGATGCTTAAGATAATTTTAAAGTATATTCTTAAAATGTTTCATTCTCTATGAATTTATCAATCAAGTTTTTAATAGATTAAAACAAGCTTTAGCTCCATATAATATCTTGCAAGTACATTTTGCTTAGCATGTCTGTCATTTATATAGCAGTTTTTAAATTTAGTCCAGGATGACTACTAATAGTAGTAAAAAACTCAACTTCACATGTGTTCATAGTAAATATGTTATTTGTAGAACGTAACTGTTTAATAATTAAATATTCTTAATTAAAAATCTTTAATTTAATTGCTAAATGAAAAATTACCTAAATCTACTTTATGAATGGATCTAATAGCACGTCAGGAGGCATTTAAGCAAATCTCTTAAATGTATAAGCAAAATTTCGGAGAATAAACTCTCTTAAGTTAGTATCTGAGCTGTTTTCTATTAATGAAAAAGTAAGCTTCTTGTATATGAGTGCAGTGGAAGGATTTTTTTGATTAGCAAAATTTTCTAATAAAACAAAGAGTAATTGCAATGAATGAAACTTGAGGACTTAAGAGAAATCTCTTGATCCTTTTTTCAGTAAATCTAGAATTTATATTGAAATTTGTAAATTATCTGTAATATGTCTTGGATATGTAATCCAGCAATCACAAAGTAGCTACAGGGCTGCCTGTCTGTCACTAGCACTATTTTTAATTGGGTCATAATCTGCTATTTTTTAAGATTACTCAATCCAAAAATCTAAAATTCTATTTGAAAGGAGCTAATGTTAATTAAAAGATTTATTGATATGAGAAAAAAAGTAATGAGTAAAATAATTTTATTACCTCTTCTTTGTAATTTTGCATTTCCATAAGATTCGGAAATATAAGTGATATGTACCTTATATATTCTTTAATATCTTCAAATAGTTTTCTCATTTAAACAATAAATAAATCAGAAAGATTGTATTTAGCAATTTGTGTTATGATCTAAACAACATTCATTTTAATCACTTTATGTCTTTTTAGGCATAATATACATGATTAAAGTCCTCCATTTTCTCTAATAAACCATTAATATGTTTGAGGTAGAATATCAGTGTTACTTACTTCAAAAGCAACTTTAGAGATTATTCTGGTTGACCACAGAGCCACTTGCTCACTTGAAGATTGCAACCCAGGCTTAATCATATCAAGAAACCTAAAAAGATCAGATTCCTCTTTTTCAATAAATCCTAAAACCGTTTTGATGTTCACATAAACATTTTGAAGCCAGTTACAAAGAGGTTGAAAACTTGTTTTCATTCCTTTTATGAGACCAACAGCCAAATATTTATTATTATTTGCAAGTAAACCAACGGCCTTTTTGATATTAAAATAATTTTGATGAAAAAAGAAACTTACTTATTCTAGTATAAATTTCATGAATTATATTTGAAAAAATAATTAAAAAGTGTTTATCATTCATACCTGCTTAGGTTTTAAATTTAGTTCTTTACACAAACCCACTAAAATGAATTCTAGTAATGAAGTGCAGTCAGAAAGCCTTTTGTTGATGTCAATTTATGAAATATCTACTCTGGATGGATCATTTAATTCTAATTGAAATTCATAATCAAATTTTAAAATTTTGTATAAGACCTAATTATTTAAATAGTAGTATTTTTATTACCTTCATTATTAATAAATTAGTTTTCAAAGTAGTCAATTGGATAGTTCATGCTGTTTTCGTTGTTGATGCTTCTAATACTACTCTGAGTTGTATTAAATAAAATTTAAATTAATAATAATAGCGCTTAAGTGTTTATAGTAGAAATAGCATTTATTTTTTAATCAATTGCAAGATTTTTTTTTTTCGCTTCTACTTTTAAAATAGAATATGGCAGAAAGTAAATAAATGATTTTAAATGAGTTAACATTTTTGTAAATAGGTTACGTTATTGTGCGAAAAGGATTGATTGATCTAATTTATATTTGGAAGCTATAGTTATGGCTTTAATTTAAATGTTTTATATAGATCTTTAAGTAAATCTGACAACATTTCATTATCTCCTGAAACTATTAAACTCTTTATTTCACCTTCTAGCTTAAAATCTATTTATTTTAAGCAGTTTTGAATAATATTCCAATTATAAACTCTAGTCGATGGGTTTTGAAGGTTCTTAAGTCTCGCAACATCATTGATAACATTATAGTTGTCAGTAATTTGAGTTAAAAGTTTACCAAGTTGTATTCCGTTTTAGAAGAGTTTAGCTTATTCATCACTAATCATTATATTTTAATTTTGCAACTATTTCACCCTTCCATATACTAACTTAAGCTCCTTTAACCAGTCGTAAACACCACTGTCAACCTGCATTTCTCCTTAGTTAGCTAATTTATAATCTTATATATTAATTTTCTATTTTATTATTGATATTTGTTTATTTATTGTTTATATTTAGTCACAAAAATATTTTGTTTGTAAATTACTTCAATGTTGATTAAAAATTTTTATTTATTTTAATAATCATTTATAAATTATTGTAAAAAGTTAATGATCAAAAGTTAAATTAAAATTAGTGATGCATATTTCTTTATTTAATTATAAAATTGAGCCTGTACAATTAATCAAAAAAGAATCTACTAATAATATATATAGTAAAATAAAATATCAAAAAGGGAACAAACTCATGATTAATATTTTTTAAAAGCACAAATATAGCTAATTAATTAATTGTTAAATTATAAAAATTTTAATTTTAATAAAAACTGATAATCTACCACTATTTTAATCATTTTGTATCATGATAGGCAAGACCAATAAAAATTAAAATCTATAAGTATATCTATCTACATTTATATATTTATTCATTTAAATTGTTTAACATTTTAATTTTTATTATTATTTTTAAAGTTACTCTTAAAAAAATAACTTTAAAATTTTGAAAATACTCAATTGAATCTGTTAAATAGTTTTACTTAAAATATATTTATTTATTTTAATATCTATAAAAAATTGAATATGAATTAGCAACTCATGGATTTATTAAATATTTTATTTAAGTAAAATTAAATTATGAGTAAATATATTTTAGCTATAAAAAAGCAATAAAGCTATTTTGAAGAAATATTTAATTGAGATAATGTTTTATTTACATTTAAAATAAGTAAGTAAGGAAATTTCAATCATAAATCTAATTTAAAGTATGTGAATATTAATTAAAAATAATATAAATTCAATTTAAAACATTTTATCTAATTAGTAAAAAGTTATTTATTATATGATTTTAAATAATAAATTTTATTAATTTTTAATACAGCGTATCAAAATATCTAATTAATTTTAGACTACTTTATCTTAAATCAATCAGCAACTTATAAAAAATTAAAATTTATCCTAGAGGCTTAGTTGGTTACAACCTAAATACAATATAATTAAATTCTATAAAGCAACTATTTAAAAACATAATATAAATTTTATAAATAAAAAATATTCCATAAAAATAAAATTAGTTTTTTACATAGTGTAACTAATCATGTAAAAAGATCAAGTTATAAAATTTTTTAAGGTTCAAAATATGAGAAATTTTGTTATTCTAAGGACTTGGTTGGATTTTTATCAAGGGATAAGATAATCATATTCTTTTTATTTTTATTATATTATTCAATTTTTATTTAAATTATTTGTCAATATTTACTAAATAAAAAAAATTTTAAATATTTTTTAAAAAGATTCTTATCTAAAAGCTATTTTATTTGATTTTTCGATCTTTCTAATTTCTAAATTGTTTTGCTTTTACGACAATAATAGTGATTAAAATTATAAATTTAAAATAAATATAACTGATTAATATTAAAATTACAAATTTTATATAAAATTAAATAAATTCATAAGTAAGTTATTTAAAATATGTTTGTTTTTTTTTTTCAAACTTTTTAAAAATTGTGAACAAAAATGAGCGTATGATAAAAATAATACTAAATTAATAGTTTACAAATCAAAAAATAGATTGGATTCATAACACTTAATAGAAATAGAAAACAAATTAATTTAGAAGAATTTTTTGTTTGAGATGACATATTAAAAATAGAAAAATTAATCTTATAAAAGAAATGTTTAGTTAATTTATCTTTTTGATTTTTCTCCTTCTTTTTACTTAATAAAAAAGAAAAGGTAAGATAAAAAATGTTAAAAATTAAACTAACCATCAATAATATATATTAAAAATGGAAAAGTAAAAGCAAAATATTTTGATCTACTTAAAAAAAAGCAAAAAGAATAGCTATTTTGAGTATTTATAAATATTTTTAGATAAATTTTCTTACAAAAATGAAGTGGAGTATTTAATTATAAAGTATTTACATAGTGTTAAATTTAATTTATATATTGCTTAATTTTAAATATGTTATAAATAAATGAATGAATTTGGCGATGAAAATAGTAGTTAAAACTATCAATAAGGAAGGGTCTTTTAAAATTGATTGGCGATTCTTTATTGACTTAGTTTAAATAAATAGGTGTGATATTACGTCACAGGCATTGATAAATTAGTCGAAAATCACAGCTTCACTAACTCTTTTTACTTAATTAATTGACTAAAGACATTAAATTAGGGTTTTAAGATCTTTATATTATCTGCTGAATCATAGATATTGAAAGTGATTGAAAATACTCTGCATTTTTTTCTATCATTCTAATTTAATATGCAGTTCTTCTGTCTTTGATTTACTACATTTTACACAAAATTTCTTTAACCAATGAATTGCTGCTGTTCTTTTTCAAATAATTAGTAAACTAGGCGTCTTCAATATATTATAATAAGTTTCCTTTAGTGGCAGCCCATTTCTCGCATTTTTCTAAGAACATATTTTTATTACAGCTTATCATGTTTATCATTTCAAAATTGCAGTCTCTTGTTAGATCTATATTATATCCACTTTTTATAAGACTTGGAATACTTAGGACATTTGTACAATAAGTCTCTATGCCTGAAAATATTGTTTAAGTAGGATCCCAGTTTTTTTTAAACTAGCAAGAAATACCACAACATATTGCTTCGTTTTTGAAAGAAGGGTGAAGAGGTTACTAAGGAAATTTAAAACGCGGGTGAGAAATAGGGTAGTTTTTAGGAATTACAATACTGATCTCTAAGATACAATCAGTATAAACATATTTTTATTTTTTATTTGGCTTTTAGGTATCATCAATCTAAATAACATTTTAAATTAATTGAGAAGTGTGAACTTAATCATCCATTTAAAATTATCCTTCTTTCATTATATAAAAGGCTCTTAAATTGTGGTAGTTATCATTGGTAGGAGGAATTAAAATAATTCTGCTGTCTTTATTGAGCGACTCTTACTATATTTCTTTATTAATTCTACGTATCACTGATTAATCGAGAGAATACTAGATTGCAGCAGATTAAGTATAGTTTTATAACATTTTAAAGTTTGTTTTTTTGTGGGTTGGACAACAATTGTACCTAGTTATAGTTAGGATGGATAATTATAAGTTTGATATATTTAATGACCTTTCTTTTAAACTCTTTGTTAGATTATTTAAATTTTTTTTTTTTGTATTTATTAATTTTTTAGAAAAATTGCTAGCAATTATATGAATATAAACGCTTACTATTTTGATATACATTCTTTGGATTCCTTTCAAAAGTAGCTAATAGGAAAATTTCTTATGCATGAAAAATAGAGTCTTTAATCAAATTACTTAGCTTTTTAGCAGTATTATATGAAATACTATTTACATCTCTACTTATAAGTGTCATAAATAAATTATTTATATAAGAATAGGTCCACATTTGAAAAATATTTACTACTGAAGGAAATAAATGCCTTCGATTAGTCATAAATTATTATAAAAAATATATTAGCTTTTTTAATGAATTTAAAAATTCTTAAAGAAAATAAACTACTCCTTTATTTGAAAGAAAAAACAATTTAATTTAGTAAATTTAACTTTTCTAATTTTTTACTTTGACAGATCTTAAAGCTTTCATTAAATATACAAATTTAAACAAATAAAATGAGATATTTAAAATAATTTGTATATCAACATATTCATATACAGTCATTTTTTGATAAAATATATTTACTTTTACCCTAAACTTCAATTTAATATAGTATAAATGTGTTTTGTCTAAATCTTACAAAAAAGCAAAAAAACAAAAACAAAAATAAAGATCAAAGTTCAAAATTTTATTAATTAAGGTTTCTATTTATTAAGTAAGCTTAATTAATTTTTAACTATATAATAAGTACCATATATTTCAATAAATATTCGACCATCTATTATTATTTTTAAAAAAATAAATTTTCTCTATTTATTCAAATAAGCAAGGATAAAATATGTGGATATAGTTTTGTAGGTTTAAGTTGGTGAATAAGAAAAGCATAAAAATATTTTAAAACTATTAAATAAAAATATATTTTGAATTCATTTCAATATAAAAAAGATGAAAAATTAAAACTTTTAAACATTATTATATAAACCAACCACAGTATTTTATAAACTGATATGGTAGATTTTTTTCTCAACTTTTAATTTGCAATAATCAATAAAATTTTAAAGTAAAATTATAATTTTAATACTTCCTTAAACTCTTAGTTAAGTCTAAAATAGAAATCATTTAGTAACAAAAGATACAGATAAAAATACTATTTTGAAATTATTAAAAGTAAATTATATTTAAAATAAGTTTTATTTTAAAATAAAAAAATAGTAATGATTAATTATTTTTAGAAATGTAAAGTCAAATTTTTCTAAAAAATCGTTTAACATGTTTAATTAACAAATCAAGCAATAAGAATATAATTAAAATATTTTTGAAAGAGATAAATTTTGCCAATATTTGATAAACCTTTATAATACATTACAATAAATTTATCTATGATTAAAGTAATTATTTTAAAAATTTAATGATAATTTTAATATTTTTGGTTGAATTTTATTATTGAATATTATTTAGATAGATAGACTTAGGTATATTTTTAGGATGCTGGTAAGTAAGTGACTATTCTTATTGTTTATTTAATAGACTTTCTGTATTGCTAATTATAATATTTAACTTTGCTAAAACTTTACAATCAGTAATTTTTTAATAATCTTGTAGAACTATCATTTACTTGGCTCCAGTATTACATCAAATCCATACTATTGCAGATTTCTGAGTCAGCAACACATTAGAGGACTCTGTGGAATGTCATACGTTTTTCTTTCTAAATTATTAAAAAAATAAATATTTAATTGATAATGAGAATAAAAAATATTAATTACTCTGAATCTATCGATTTCTACCATACCAATAATTTTGGTTACTATTTCTATTAAGTTATCTAAATTCTTCAACTCAACTTTGAACTTTTTTCAAAATAAATTTAGATTAGAATTTAGCTAAAAAAAAATATTTGTTTGTTTACTTAATCGATTTTAGTTTCTAATTTCTTTTTTTATTCTTCGCTGCTGGAAAAAATTGCTTTGACTGTTTTCTTACCAGAAATAAGCTTATTTAAATCTTCTTCATCATCCTTTAAATCCTTTTAAACACTACTTCTTTTCTTTTCTAACTATTCTTTTTCTTTAATTGACTCTTCGAATGCCTATTTTAGTAATTAGAATTTAACTTTAGAAACTAAAATGTATTTTTTTAAATATTTACTTCAGCATCTCTGAGTTCATACTTAACCATATCATACAAGTATTAGAAGGAGTTTTTATCTTTACTGTTTTTCTGATAAAATAAATAATAAAAATTAATAATGCTTTGATATTAATCATTTTTTAATTACAAATTTCTCATTAAATTCATGTAAGCCAACATTAGCTTCGTTGGAGAAAATCAAAGCAAAGTTATCATTTGAAACGTATTCAGAAATGAGACATTTTTCATAATCAGGAAGAATTTCTTCATTAAACTAAGCAAAATTTTTATTTAATTCCTTTCTCAATTCAGTGAGGGTCTTTAATTAATCCTTGTAATTCTATTATTAAATAAAATCAGTTATAAATAAATATTAATTAATTATTTATCTATTAATTTTACCTTTAATCCTCCAATAGCTCTCTTTAAAAAGCCAGTCCATGAATTAATTTTAATATCTAAATCAGATTACAATGGTTGCTAATATTTTTTCAATATAATTTTTGATAAATGAATTATTTTAAAGTGAATTACTTCGCATATTTCAGGGAAAGTGAGTTAATACTTGTCAATAATGTCTGAAGTTGTGACTTTTTTGAGGGTAGAGAGATGCTAATTATATTTTAGTAAAAATTAATAATTTTTCAATATTTTATTATTTATGAGCCAAAGTATTTCATCATTAATTCTTTTACATTTATTCGATTGTTTTTCACTGTAATTTATAATATTTTAATTAATTAATTACCTTAGATACATCAGAATCTTTAGAGCGCAAGAATTATTGGAATTCTTCTGAGTAGAATAAATGTTTAAGTCTGGCCATCTAATTACAGAAACTGTTCAAGAAACGGGCTCTGTTTTCAACAACGTTTTGGCTTGTAGAATTCTTTCAAAATTATATAAAAATTTTTTCAAAATTCATTTTATGATTAAGTAATAGTATTTATGATAAGAATAAATTGTTTTTATTTAATATTTCTAATTTTTTATGCCAAAATGCTTTTTTATAATATTTTAAGTACTATTTCTTTAGCTGGAATAGAAGGAATAAAGCAGCCAGGCCATCTAGCAACAAGAACTTCCTTTAGGGTGTAAAATTCATTGAATCTACGGTATACATCAAATTAACCAATCTTATCAGTACCTTTAATATTGTAAACAGTGTGCTTGCTTAAAGTAGTTTCTTTAGTAACAGGTTCACCAACTGAAATTTAAATCTATTTGTTTTATATTATCAAGGATATTGATTACAGATTTTGCCTTTTTTATATATATAATTTTTTTTTTACCTCATTGTTATCATCCAAAATGAAAGGATTGAAAATTCTCTAAGAATCATCTGGTCTTTGAACATTCTAAATGTATTTTATAAATTTTTTAATCATTTTTTATGTCAAAATTTCCAAAATAGTTAAAATTTTTCATCTTTTTAATTGCAGAAATGAAAAAATAATGATAATTATAATGAAGAAAAAGCGTATAATAGTTTTTAAAGGAATGTTTATTACATTATAATCGAAATTTTAATTTTGTTATTGATTTTATTAATCTGTTTATTGATTCTATTAGTAATCTTATTAGCCATAGTTCTATTAATAAGTATTATCGTAATAGTTGCTTTGATATTGATCTTGATATTGGTTGTTGTTGTTATCGTCTTGGTACATTTTTATTTTTCTAATTCTAGCTATTTATTTACCTTTTGTAAGATTTTTTATTATTTTTTAAATTACTTATATAATTTTGATAAAATTTCTTTAATGATATTGTTTAATTTTAATAACCTCTTATTTATATATATGATTCTTCCTGTATCTAATATAAACTATATCAATTTTCACCAAATCTTCATACTTCCTAATCAGATGATTATAATTGCTTGATTAACTTTGTTTTTGTGTGATATTTGTTAAATATCAAGCTTCCCTATTTTTTATTTAGAAATTGCTTCCTGTCTGCCTGTCTGTCAAAAGTTATTATTGAAAGCGTATCAAAAATAAAAGAAATCTTTTTTATTTTTAAAATTGCCTTGATATTATAATAAATTACAAAGTATTTTCTTATGATTTCTTAAAAACTATTAAATCAAAAATTTGCTGATAATAGTTTATCGTACTAACAAAAACAAAAGTAGCACTATTTACATTAAATATATTTTATTATCTATTTATAAAAAAATAAATAAATTTATTTTACTAATTTTATAAAAAATGAAGTCGTGATTTTTTACTTAAAGATTATTTTTCTTTTTAATCATTTATTGCTAATATTAGTCTTATTCTATCTCTTAAATAATTAATTTATAGAATTTAATTTTTATGTACAATTATAAAAAATGAGTTAAAGCAGTGAAAATAATTCCTCTTATCTATTTACTTCTGTTTCTAATAAATCTATAAAGAAGAGAAGTAAAAAATAATTTAGCAAACAGAGAACTCATAAAATTTTATGCTAAACAATTCCTATTTGGAAAAATCTAAGTACTGTAGGAAATATAATTTATTTTGGAGGATATTTAATAGATTTAGACTATTTAAAAGATGATTCATTATTTACACTGACAGAGAGAGCTCGGGCTATTAAGGATAGGGACGGAATTTAACAAATAGTAGTTCATAAGCAAAATAGAACACTTTAAATTTATTCTAGATCAGATATAAATCAGCTAGATGATTTTAAATAAAAAAAAGACACTCAAAATGTTTAATATGTTGTTGATTTACTCAAATCTAAGAATGATCAAAATTTATATTAGCTTTCTTAGCTAATTCTACTTTTTCATAACAAACTTAAAGAGCATTATAATCACGAAGTATTTAACTATGAAGTTAATAAAAAAATGAGTAAGTATATTTGAGCCTTAAAATTAAAAAAGGAAGTTTATTCATTTTCTTTTATTAAAGTTGATCCTGAGACAAATTATCGAAGCTATTAATAAAAAAGGTAGGAGTTTATTGATTTTATAAACGAAAAATTGTGTCAAGAGAAAGAGTCATTCTATTCTTATTCAGTTTTAGGCAAAAATCCTGAGAGTTTCGAATACTAAGGAGCTTTTTTTGGTATTAGCGAGGGATTACTAGCACTACTAGGAACTAGCTTAGAGAGTGCTCCTTAGATTTATTTAAGATTGGGTATCGTTGATTTTATGAACAGAAAATCGAGATTTGATTCGCTTTTAGCAAGCATGAAAACATTTATAGAAAGGAAAGTTTAAAATTCATTTTAGATAAATATTTAGACTTATGATTTTATCAGTATACCTGCTACTAAAATAACAACAAGAATATGCTAAGATGAAAACTGTCCTTATGAATTCTAAGCATTTATTCAAACTTATGAAATAGAAAGCTCTCATCTTTTAAGAGTTATTGAAGAAAGAAAAGAAATTTTACATAACCCACTAGCTAATATAAATAATCTTGATGATTATGATTTTATATATGAGCTTCAGAAAGAAATCTTTTTAGAAAAATTTTATAAAAATTAGAAATAAATTGAAGTTTCTGATTATCGATGAATATTTTGTATCAAAAAAATATTTACAATTCAAATTAATAAAATTTTAACATAAAATTTATAATTTTAATCATTTAAATAGTTTTTTATTAATGTCATCCATCCATCAATAAATTATATGATTATTAAATTTTCTTTTTTTAGTAGGCAACGGAGATGAAATTATATCATCCTTTTCGTTATCTGGTTCTACCTTCTTGACATTTTATACTTTGGTAGAGCGATTAATGATCTTATTTATTTTTCTTTTTGTCTTGACTATTTTTTAGATCCAAATTAAATAACTCATATGTCATAAGTGTTTAATTAAGTTGATATAAAATTACCTTAAAATTTTTAAAAGATAGTTTCTTTTTTAATTGATGAGATAGAAAGATTTTGTCTGTTTTTTGAGAGTCTAGTTATAAGCATAATTGCTTTAAAATTTACATTCTATTGCTTCTTAGATTGGATCTTTTCTATGAATTTTTTATTTACGTCTAACTGTTCCTATGAAGCAAGGTCTAGAAGTGCTTGTTCTGTCAAAGATAGATCTACTATAAATAAATTAGAAGTTAGGCATTACAAGTATGCAAAGTAAATGTCTTCAAAGCTATTGAGGTCTATTAAATTGGTTATTTCATTCACATTCAGTAATTTACTACTTCTTATGTCAAGCTCTTTATTAAACTTCTTTCTTGATTTTTCAGAAAAAATTGTATATTTTATTATGAGAGACTTATTTTGATTCTTTGATATCTCCTTGCAAAGATCTTATCCATGCAAATTTTAAATTTTAGAATTAGATTCTTTGAGTATTCTCTCGAAAAAGGTATCTTTTTCTAAATTACGATATATATGCTCAAATTAATCTTTTGCTAATTTATCGTAAATAACTAGATATTATAATTAAAATTATTCATAAAATTAAAGTTTCAATATTTTATATTATTATTATTACGAAAATTGCCATAAAAGTCAAGAATAGAAATAGATTTTTTTGATCTATTAAGATGTCTAGAAATATTGTTTAGCTGATCAATAAATATATCCTTGTTTTAATTGTGCTCAAAGTCCTTGATGAGTTAAGTTTCAACTTCCATTTTTAGTAAAGTTTACTGCCTATTTTAAAACATTTTTAAGTGATGACTTAATAAAACTATTTTTTTTACTAGTTTATTTGTTTTTCTTGGTACTTTAAAAATTTATCAATTTCTTTAAAGAGCTCAAGGTAGAGAGGAGTTATTTCCATTTTTGAGGATAACTTTTATCTAATGACTTAAAAAGTTGACTTAGCATTTTCGATATCATTAATAGTATATTGAATTTCTAAATTTTTGTTAACTTGCTTTAATTCTGAGAGTCTTTCAAGGATTTCTCTTTCATCAAATAAGTTTTCTTTTATTTAATCAATAATAAAACAAGTGTCCATCTTTTCTTTTTTCGGATTTTGAATTTTTTTAAATTAAATATTATAAAATTTGATTGAAAACTATTGATTTTTAATATAAATCAATAGAGTGATTTGAACTTACTAACTAAATCATAATTTTTTTAATTAATTAACTATTATTTATCTCTTAGCTAGCTACTACTATAATTCATTCAAAAATATTAATAATGAGAATCATTTAAGTTATGCAACATATTTATTTTTGATATTATCCTAATTAATTGCTAGAATAGTTTTAAGGTTATATATAATTGATTTTATGTTTCCTTTTACAAATTATTTTCTTTGAAAAATTTATTAAGAATAATATTTTAAAATATTATAAATTTCAAACGAAATTTTATATTAAAAAAAATTAAATAATAATACTTTCTTTTAATAATTTAATAGAAAAAAATTATTTTAAATTAAAAATATTTTGAAAGTTATTTAAAATTATTAATCTTTTTTTTGAAAAGTTTCAATTAAGCTATTTATTTGTTTATAATAACATTTTATCTTATATTTTAGCGTAATTAAATAATTAGATATATTCAGTACTCTCATTATTACATAAAGCAATAAGTTAATAGTATTTTTTAAACTTTGAGATAATATATAAATGTCAGAAACTTAATCTATGAAAGTAAATTTTAAAATGTTCAGTGCAACTCTGTATTACTTATCTTTTTATAATTAAAAAGCTCCCTCAAATCCATCAAAAAAATTAAACTATTGTAAATTATTTTAATGCTTTTTTATTTTTAGCAAATTATTTTGATTATAATTTAATTTTAAAATAAAACTCAGAGCTTCTAGGTTTAGATTGTGAATGATTCAAATGATAATTCTGTTAACTAGAATCAAAAGCAACTAAATATGTCTAAATCTCTAACGTCTCCTTTCAAGATACCTACTGACGAGGAGATATTTTAATTTTATGAGATAGAGAAGCAAAAAAAGAATGAAAGTAGAAATCAAATTATCAATAGCAAAATTTGGGAAAAGAAAACATTTAGCTAAAAAAGATCTTTAAAGCATTTCAAGGACATCTAACCAGAAACTTTAGATAATTATAGGGGCAAAAACTGCTTTAAGGATAACTAAAAAAAACTGATACAAGAAGCATTAAATGTAGCTAAGGAACGATAAAATTAAGATAAAGGTAATTTTAAGAATGAAAGTTTAAACGAAATTCTAAACTAGCGCAAAGAAATGTTTTTAGTTACAATGTCTCATGATATTATAGCTAATGAGGTAATTTTTTTCAAAATAATTTTGTAAAGATTTAGTAAAATAAATTTAAATGAATGAAAATGATGATATTAGTTAGATGTGAATTTATCGTTTTAATTTAATATAACTTTCATAACAAATAAAAAGATTAATAGAATAAAAAAGTTATCAGAAGACAGAGAATAAGCTTTAATCAGTAGTGAAAAAATGTTGAAATAAGATTATGAAAATTTTTAGAAGTACTTAGACTAAAATAAACAACAAAGAATAGATGCTGAATAAAGAGCTGAAGCTCTTAATAAGTAAAGAAGGCAAAAGGAAGTTATGATAAAAGAAATTAATTTAAAACTCACTACTATAAGAGCAGAAAAATCAAGAAATGAAGAAATACTTGCAGGTTACAAGGAGCACAAAGAATTTTTAGATAAGTTAGCTCCTAAGGTATATTTTTTATTATAATAAGCCAATTATAAATTATTTATAAATAGGATTGGGAAGAAGAAAAGTAAAGAAAAAAAATTTAGTTAGTAGATAAATTAAAGTTAGAATTTATAGAGAAGCAACAAGACAGTTTGAACGGTAAGCTGCTTTTTATATTTAAAATTTCTTTATTTAATACAAATTTCATTAGAAAGAAATAATAAAGGAAGTAAATAGAAGAAAGATAGTGGTTTCTCATAAACAAATACTTTGGAGAAAAAATAATTGTAGATTTAAAAAATAGAAAATTAATTTTATTCCTTAGTAGAAAAAGATGAGCTATCAGATTTAGAAGGTAATTTTCAATTTACTCAAATAAATTAATAAATAGATAAATAAATAAACACTTTAATTAGATTTTGAAGATAATTATCCTATGTACTTCTAAAACCCACAGCAATTATAAGACGTTTTTAATTCATTGGAGGAAAAAAACCTCTTTTTAATTTAGATGAAGCAAGAAGACGAATAGAATCTTGAAGAATTAAAGCATAAATTCAAGCAAGAGAAATAAGTAAGTATACAAATAACAAATATTCAGATATTTTATGTATTTTTTTAAGCTACTAAATGCAAAAGCTAGGAATTTATAAATTTAAAAAGACCTGCTCAAAAAATAAGTTGAAGAAATTTCAACCGGTATGAAAAGCATAAAGCAAAAGACCGAAGACTTATAGAATAAGAGTGAGGATAAATACGAAAAGCTATTCAGAGCTTTAGTAATTTTATAATTAAAATTTTAGTATATCAAAGTTAAATATTTACTTTAAAATAAGATTGTTGATTTATATAATACTTTTAAAGAAGAAATAAATCTACATGATCCAGAATCTTAGTCAACTCTATTTCTTTTATCAGTAATTTTTATCTTAAAAATATTTATAAATAGTAATTAAAAAAAATATTTAGCAAATAGAAATCCTGTTTGAAAAATAATTTAAAGAAATTAAACTGTGTCCAATTAAATTAGTAGAAGAAAAGGTATTTTTAATTCAAAATTTAATTTGATTATATTATCTTTATTTAAATTACTTTAAAGAGAAAAAAAGCTGAGAAAGATAGAAAATAATCATAAAGAGATGCACAAAATAAGAAAAAAGAAGATGAAGTTCTACGTAGAAATGAAAAAAACAGGATAAAAATGGAATAGCCTTCAAAGAAGAAGTAAGATATTGATTTAAATATTTATATTCATGAAAATTTTTAAAGAATTGGTAGAATAGACATGATAAGAAGTGCTCCCTTCATTAAAATAGTAAATAAGGAATAAACAACATAAGATAACTAAGAAGACGAAGATATGAAGTATTTCAGAGAAGATTATAGATTATTTTGATTAAAAATAGAGCAATTAAGTAAATTTAATTTCTTTAAATAAATAATCTTAAATGTTTTATATTATGTCAAATGTTAATAAATTTATATAAACATTAACTCATCACCAATAAATTATTTATTTATTGTTTAATTAAATAAATAAACTAAAAATTATTTTTACTATTTTTAAAAAGGATAACAAATATATTTATTTAATTAAATATTAACTACTAAAATTAATATTTTTTTATTTGTGAAAAAAAAATGTCAAAATTTTATTTTTTAAATGATATCATTTATTTTTTTAAATTGTATTCAATCTAAAATTATTCAAAAATAAATTATTTTAATTATTTGCTTGTAATAAATATTTTAAAATATCTTTTTAATTAATTCATGATTCATTTTTTATTGATGTAAAAGCTTTTAAGAAGTTAGTTTGTAGCTATTATAACATCACTCAAATATAATCTCTTGATTCAAATTTGATATAAAAGCTAACAAATTAATTACTAAAATGAATTTTTTAATAAAGCTGAGTTTAATATTTTAAAAATAAGTTCTGATTTAATTAAAAATTATGGAAAAGTGAAAATAAATAAGTTTTTAAAATTTTCTACTTTTCAGTCAAAAATAATTCATTAATATTAGCAAGTTAAAAATTATTTTTATTTTTTTATTTCCTTATAAATGAAGTAGAAATCATATTTAAAATACAATAATAAATTTATTAGAAACTTTTCCTTGAAAAAAAGAAAATCTTATTATGTAAACAAATATTTTTGAGTTATAATTAAATAAACTAAACAACCTTATGCTTATATGTATATAATAGTTTAATTTATTAATAAAAAAATAAATGTGATTTATTTAAATTATATTTTAATTTTATAAAAATAATTTCTTTCACATTTATATAAAATAAAAATAAATTTGAAATAAAGATTCTACTATCAATCAATAAAGATATTTGCTATTTTGTGATAAAGAATTTTTAATTCATAAAAATTTTAACAATATCTTGGATTTAATATATGATTTTTAAAATGTACTTATTTAATTATTAGTTAAAGGATAACTAATATTTTAATTATAAAGTTTGATTCATTAAATAATAAATCAGTTATCTAATTGGAACAACCAAACATATTCAGATTAAAAATTATATTCAAAATTTTATAAATTATTACTATAAATAATAATTCAAGCAGATAAAAACAATTTTGTTAGATTATTTTATTCTTTCACAAGCTAGTTTTACAAAATGAATCAAGGATAAGGAAGCATTCCATAAAAATATCGCCACTAAGTTCGTATAGGAAACTGGAGCGAAGAGTGGGAATTAGAAAAAATAAGGTATTGATCATTTTTCATTTAAAAAAATCTATATTAGATAATAGATTAAATATTATGTTTAACATGAGCTGCTTCTTTAATTCATTTACATATAAAAATGGTTAGATTCAAAGATTATTTAGCTACATAAACTAAAACATCAATTGCATAATAAAAGATCGAAGCTGGTCATCAAAAAGTATACTTTAAATTTAATTAACATTAATAATTATTCTATTTGCTTAAATGATTAAAAAAAACATATTAATTATATTAGGCTTCTCTCACTTATTCAAGAGATGGTTACATTCATTTTGGAGATAGAATTATGCTTTATAATGATAAGACAAGAGGTTATTTAGGTAAAATGTTTGCCATTTCTTTTGAAATTATTATTAATTTTATTGAAAACAATTTAGAGTACATAAATTAAATGTAAAATTAAAAAAAATAGTTTGTGATATTTGGGAAAAATATAACTAAATAGATGAAAGCTATCCTGTGTCTACAACTGGAAAGACCTTCCCATGTGCACGCTCTATTTTCTTAATACAACCGTAACTATAAGATTTATTTTAAATATTATCTGTTTCGTTAACCAATTCATTAATTTAACATTAGTTGCCCTGAAGATTACAATCCTAGATAAAACATCTTGTGCTATGGATAGAAATTTAAGATTGTTGTCAATCCTAGAATGTTTAGAAAACCAGTAAAAATTTTATTTAATTTTTAGGTAAAGGATTAAATTTAATTTTAAAATGAACTAGCTCTACTTATCTAGCTAGCCTGCTGATCCTTAAAGAAGTAAAAAAAACTCAAGACAATAAGATTCATTCCTTTCTTCCAAGGATAATTTTGATTCTGTTTGGGTTGTTGAGCATATTGACCCTTAAATTAGATTTGAAATGAATAAATAACCTGTTAGAGCAAATGATCCTATAATCTTAAAACACTTCTAAACAAATTAGTACTTAGCAAGTGATGAGTAGTAAGTGAAGAACACTTATGGAATTGAAAACGAAGTTTTTGCTCTTTAATATTAAACATATAACAAAACATAAAATTTAATTGCTGAAAAGATGGGAAGAACTACAATTGATATTCCTATGAGAAACTAGCATTCTTAAAACACTTGGTGTCTTGTTACAGCTGATGATCCAATCTTAGAATTTGATGAGAGTGTTCTTGATCGTATAGAAACTCCTAAAGACATAGTTTAAAAGTTACGCTATTAAATATCTGCAAGAGGATTCTTCAGTTTAAGAGGTCTTGATTTTATTTTTAGAGATATGGACTAATAAAAAACAGGTTAACTTGAATATGACGATTTCCGTTGGGGTTTAAGAAACTTTGGAATACAATCAACACCAGAAGTAAGCAGGATAATTCTTTAAAAAATATTTCTTAGAAAAAAATTAGAAAATAGCTTTTTAGTTCAAAGAAATAAACTGAAAATTGAATATTATTTTTTATAATAAATAGGAAGTTAAATTATTAATGGAAGCTTATGATAAAAATCTTAATGGATATGTTGATTATCAAGAATTTATTTCATCTCTGAGAGTAAAAAATAAATTTTATTTTAATTCTTTAATTAATATTTATTTGCAAAAATATCATTTTAAAGGGAAGCTTATCTGACAGAAGAAGTGATTTAGTTTCAAAAGCTTTTGAAAAAATATAGCAATAGTATGGAGTAGTAAATTTAGAAACTATTGGTAAGGCTTACAAAGCACACAAATACACAGATGTAATTAAAAAAGTTAGAAGACAAGCAATTTAAAAAAATTATTAACTTTTTCAATAAAAGGTTGTAAGAGGTCAAAAATCTGCAAAGTAACATTTCGATGAATTCATAAAGGAATGGTAGATAAAAGATTTATTGAAACCAATTTCAAAATTAGAATTTATCCTTTTCTATCAAGTAAGATCAATTTTGAATTAAAAGATTAAACTTAAATATAAATAATAATATTTTAAAAAGGATGTCAGTGCACTCATTGATAGAGAAGAATAGTTTGATTCTTTAATTAAATAAACTTGGGAATTGTGATGAACTATTATCGAAGTGATGTGCTAATTGTCCAAATATAAATGATTGCAAATTAATTATATCATACTATTATGCCTTAAATGAATGATTCTTTTTAAAATTTGAAAATGAATTAAAAATATATTATAAATTTTTGTTTAAACAAACTGACTGTTTTCATTTTATTCTTTATAAATAATTAGTTTTAACAATTTAAAATAAATTTAATACTAAAATATCTTAACTAATTTATTTTTGTGAACTTTCTTATCAATTCAAAGCTAAAGATATCCCTTACAATATTTGCTGATTTCTCTTGTTAGATGTTCTATTAAGAAATGCTCATCTTTATTAGATTTCCACATTTCAGTATTTTTATCATAGTAATACTTAAACAAGCCGCTATATTTGTTAGTAATTTTTTACTTATTAAGACAAATATAAAATATATATGATTATTTATTTACCTTATTGGGCTAAATAAATAAATTTATCTTTGGTTGAAATCAGTGTATACTTGATAAACTCCTACTTCTTTAATATCAATTTAAAGCTTATAGTCTTCATCGTCATTTTCGTTGCTTTAAAAAAAAATATTTTTCATAAATATATCCAAATTGCAATTACGTTTTGTTAAAAATAATTGTTTACAATCTATCTATGTTATTGATTTTTTCTTCATATTGTCTTAAATCTTAGAATGCCTTTTCTAATCTGTATAATAATAAATTGGCTTCACCTTAAAAGTCTTCTTTTTCTATGAAAGGTCTAAGTAGTTAGATTATCATTTTAATATTAGTTCTTAATTTTTTTAAGTTTTAATTTTTGTTACATAGGTTTCTCTTGAATTTTAGGCTTAGATTTCAACCTATCTACATTTTAAAGTAGGTTGTACTATGGCTTATGAATAAGATGAGTTTTTTTTACTATTTTTACAAGATTTAAAACTCTTTTTGTTAAACTTAGCATTTTAGTTACTTTTAAAAACAAAAAATTGAATGAATGAAATTAACAAATTAATATTAATTTTTGAAATCTGATTAATATCTTTACATCATTAAAAAGAAATCTATCAATAATTTCTAGAAATATTGTTATAAATAGAACTTTAAAAATTAATCATAATAATAAATTTTAAATATACACTAAAATGGCTAAGCAAAATTAATAAAATTATTTTATTATTTAAATAAGTTATTTTGTTAAAATATTTGAATTTTATTTGATAAAAATTAGTCTGCTAGTATTAAAAAAACAATCTTGCATATTTAAACTGATGAAAAAGGATTAACAAATAATAAATAAATTCTGTTAATAAGTAAGTTTTTTAATTTTTAAATTAATTAATTTTAAATTTTGTTGTATCAGTTTTTTAAGATTAATTATATTTTAGTTATCAACCATGAAAAATTCAACCTTTATTAAAGTTTTAAAGACCTATTTATTAGAATAAAAATTTATAATATGATTATCTATCTAATAACCACTTAGAACGACAAATAAATTTTTTTTATATAAATTAAATAACTTTAAAAATATAAAAATTAGAATACTTTTTATAATTATAAGTAATATCTTTATTTAAAAATCATCAGTTTTTAAAAAATTAACCTTCTTTAAATATTTAAATATATATTCATATTTATTAGAATTAATATTTAAATCTTTAAAAGCAAACAAATAATTATTTAAAAAAAATAAAATTTATCTTTTAATAATTCTAACTAAAAATAAATTAAATATTTTTGTTTTGGTATTCTTAGATTAATTATTTTATAGTCATCAATCTTTATTTATTCAACCATAATTTATACTTTAAAACTTATTTATTAGAATTAAAATTTAAAATATCAAAAACAAATAAGCTCTAAAATGAATAATAAAAATTTACGTTTTGAAATTTTCCAACAAAAAAAATACCTCAGTGTTTAAAAATTTAATTCGAAAATTGTTAATTTAAAATTATTTTTATAATTTAAATATTAATTACTACAGTTATAATATGAAATTTCATATTTTTTTTGTTGAAGCTATGAATATAATTGAAGAAACACGTTTTATTTATACAATTTCAAAATGTTAAAATCTATCAAAGCAAAATTTAAGAGGAGCTGAATACTCTTTTTATTGAATTCCGTTCTGCAATGTTTTTGAATTATAAATAAATTTGATAGCACGTTTGAGTCTGATAATCTAAACTACTTAAAAAAAATAATAAAGTTAGATGAAGGGATTTTATACAAACAATACTTTAATGATTGATTGATTGAATAGAGAAGAAATCAAAGAGAATTTATTAAAAGGGAAATAAAATAAAATAAAAAATTCAATAAAAATATTAAATTTGAAAGAATTTCCAATATAATTAACATTAATTGTATAAGATAAGTCTTAACTTGCTAAAGAACGAATCTTATTAATCAAATTAAAAACAAGAAAAAGAAAATCAAAAAATAAAGCAGCAACAACAATTTAACAAAAAATTTGTTAATTAAAAAACAAAGAGACTTAATTTTCAAAAGAATAAGGTGGTGAAAGAATCTTTTCGCATTGAAAAGACAAAAAAAGGAGAAAGTAAAGTAGAAAAAAAGATATAAAAAGGAAATAGGTGAATAAATAAAACAACAAAGAATAAGGAAAAATGGCGCAATATTTCTAATCATCAAACAAAAGAGGAGAATTATTCGAATTGACAGAAGATTTAAACTCTAATTCCTATGAAAAAAAGAAAGAGGCTGTCAAGAAGGTTATAGCCCATATGACTATCGGAAAAGATGTTTCCCCTCTCTTTTAGCCAGTTATTAAATGCTTAGAATTCCCCTAATTAGAATTGAAGAAGCTCGTATATTTATACATCATTAACTACTCTAAAACAAAGCCTGACGATGCCATTATGGTTGTGAGTTAATTTGATAAGGATATTAAAAATAAGCAAAATCCTATTCTTAGAGCTCTTGCAGTGCGTACCATGGGTTGTGTAAGAGTACCAAGCATCAACTAATATTTAGCTGAACCTTTAAAAGAAGCTCTTGTAGATCCCGAGCCTTATGTTCGTATGACTGCAGCACTTTGCATTCCCAAAGTTTATGAGGTTTCACCTGACATTATTGAAAATCATAATCTTATTTAATCCTTGTAAAATATGCTTACAAATGAAGCAAATGCAAAAGTTTTAGCTAATGTTCTTATAGCTTTAAACGAAATGTCATATTACAGGTAATTGTTTCTTTATTTTAATAGCTACAAAGAGTTTTTTTCTTTTTTGAAAAAGCACAGACATAAAAATTTATAAATTTAAAATAAACTATCAAAAGGATTTATTAATATATCTAAAGAAAAACGTTCTTCTTTTAAATAAATAATTCATGCAAGAAAAATAAATAATAAGATAGATAGATAGAAATATATATAGATATGCGAAACATACATCTAAAAATTTAAAATAAAATTTAAATTATCACTTTTTAAAAATATAATAAAAATGTATTTAAACTTAAATCTTCTAGCTACTAATTATTGATAATATAAACTAACTTATTTTTTTAAAATTAGAGGAAAGAATTTAATAACAATCACATAAAAAGTATTACAAAAAATGCTAACAGCTGTCAATGAATGTCATGGTAAATAGATATTTTTATGAGCTTCCTTCATTACATATTAAATATTTAGATTTGCTTATTAGTTATTTCGAAATATTAATTTTATGATGTCTTAAATAAAAGAATGGGGTCAAGTTGTTGTTATGGACTACTTAGTTAACTACATTCCAGAGAACTCTAAAGAAGCTGAAATGTAAAATACATTTTTTATATACTAAAATTATATATCTGTTAAAAATCTCATAGGATCGTTGAAAGAGTTCTTCCTAGATTGTCTCTTATTAATCCTGCTGTAGTATTTAGTGCAATTAAAGTAGTAATCAAGTTTATGGATTATATTACATCAGTTGACATTGTTAAAAACTTGAGTGCTAAAATATCTCAAAATTTAAGTAATCTTTTTTATTATTAATAATCTGAAATGTGTTTTATAATTTTCATCTATTAATATTATAAAGTTTCTTTAATATCATGGCAATAACCTTAAATTTAATACGTTGTTTTAAAATGTGTTCCTCATATTCTTCAAAAGAGACCTGGAATTATGGAAAAGAACATCAAGGTCTTCTTTTGCAATATTAATGAGCCATATTATATTAAGAATGAGAAGCTTGACATCTTAGCAAAAATTTGTGATAATAAGAACTACGAATCAGTGTTAAATGAAATCAAAGAATACGTTAATGAACCAGATCCAGATTTCGTTAGACGTTCTATTAGCTCTTTAAGCACTATAGCAATTAAATTCGAAAGAGCAGTTGATAAGTATGAATTTCATTTATTTAACCTATTCATGATTGGAATATTTTTAACAATAAACAAAAAATAGGACAATTGAAATTTTAGTAGAATAAATGAAATAAATTAGAGAAACTTACAGAACCACTGAACCTTATGTTTAGGAAATTATTATTGCAATGTAAAAAATATATAGAAAATATCCAAGTAAAATTAAGCATGAAAAAAGCTTGGAAGTTCTAATTAATATTGTTGATTTGGCCACCGAAGAACAAGCTAAAGCAGCTGCATCTTGGATTATCGGTGAATATGCTGAGTTCATTCCTAAAGTTGTTGAGCTTATAAATACCAGAATTTCAGAGTAACTAACAATAAATAATTAGCATTTTGATCAATTTTTACAATAATATTTTCAATTAAATAAGATTTTTACAAGAACAAAGAGGTGTTTAGTTAGAAATTTTAACAGCTGCTATTAAGATTTTATTGAAGTACCCTGATGAAGGATAACACTTCATCTAAAATCTTCTTGAATAAGCTTCATATAAGACTGAAAACCCTGATGTCCGTGATAGGTAATAAAAAAATTCCAAAGAAAATGATAAAAATCCTTAATTTTAAATTAAATTTTAGAGCTTTTATTTACTGGAGAATGTTGTCAATTGATACTGAAAAAGTTAAGGACACTGTTATTTGCAAAATGCCCTCTATCCAAGAAGACAATTATTCAAATGATACTGAATTTACAGACAAAATGATTGACAGTTTGGGTTTAATTTGTGCTGTTTACAGTAAGACTGTTGATGAAATGTTCCCTCGTCGTAGAAGGTGATTAAAATTTATCAAATCTAATTAATATATATTTAAAAGTTAAAATTAAAATAAAGAGTACCAACTAAAGATGCTAACGCTTCTCAAAACCAAAAGTCTCCTGAAAAATCTAAGATAGAAGATAAAAAGGATGATTCTAAAGTTGAAAAAGCTGATGTAGTAGTTGAAGATAAAAAAGAAAAGGTTACTTAACCATAAACTTAGGTTGTAAATCCTCCTGCTCCCGTTCAACAACCTCAACCTGCTAACTTAAATCTTTTAGAATTATTGGATGATGCTCCAACTCCAGTATAGCCTGTTACCGTTCAAAAGTAACCTGAAGTTAAACCAGCTAACAATGTTGGAACTGATTTACTAGATATGCTTGATGACCACGTTGTTCCTGCATATTAGCCAACTTAAGCTGTAAGCAACTAACCTGTTGTATAAAATAACAATGACTTTGACTTATTTGATTCTCCCTCCAAACCCCAAGTCGCTCCCATATAATCCTAAATAAACTACATTGTATATTTTGTTTGAGTTGCTTTAAATTAAAATCTTATTTTAAATAAAAAAAAGAATGTAATTAATAGTACAACCCCAGGAAAAACTGGTAAATCTGGATTACAGCTTGATGCTTGCCTTGTTTATGAAAATAATTAAATTGTTTTGAAGCTTAGAATTAATAACAGATCTACTTTATTAATTAACGAATTTCTCTTATAAATTTCTCCTAATTACTTTGGTTTGAAAATAAACGAATAACCTGTAGTCAACATTTACTAAAATGCAACTGTTGAAGTTCAAACCACTCTCTCATTCACAGGCAAATAGGATCCAACTAAATTACCTCCTAATCCTTATTAATTAATGATGGCTGTAAGAAATCAAATTGATACTTTCTTCTTTGATCTCCCTGCTAACATAGTGCATTTGTTGGTAACTAAATTTTATAAATTTTTTTAATCAATGAATTTATTTATTTCTTGTTACTAAAAACTAACAGAGTCTTGATGGAAGAGTAACCCAAGATGATTTTAAAACTATATGGAAATCTATACCTGATACTACACATAGAGAGCAAAGTGTAGCTTTTATTTAGCCCCAATATTTCTAGATAGAATCACTTAAATAGAAGCTTAATGATAATAGAATTTTCTACATTGCAGCTAAAAATAGTAAATAAATATTAATTAAACTTAATTTTTGTGAATTAAAATATTTATTATTTAAAAAATAGAAAATAGTTATTATAGTGCTAAAATAAATAATACTGTTGTCTTATTGGAAGTTATAGTTCCAAGTAATACTAATCCTCAAGGAGCTACTGTTGGAGCACGTAGTTAAGATTAAAACGTCTTGTAACCACTTATTAATGGAGTACTTGAAATTCTCTAAAAATGATTTTGATACTTAATGGCTTTTTTCAAAAGTATATTCTATATTTTGGATGTTTTATAAAGGAATTATTATCATCTTACTTGATAATAATTTATAATTTTTGTTAAATTTTCTTGTAACTAATTAAAAAATTTTTGATACATTTTAATTATTTTATATTTAAGATAAGTTTATTTACTTTTATTTATCAAACTTAATTTGTTTTTATTAATTGTAAAATTCTAATTTATTATATAGAATTGATAGATTTTGATAAATAAATTCTATGAAAATATTTATTCTACAAAATCGTCAAAAAAAATTTCTTATTATAAACATAAAAATAAGATAACTAATTAAAATTAAAAATAAATTCAAATAGGAAGAATGAAAATTTTAAGAATTCATTGATAAATAGTAATTTTAGTTTTATTAATTTTTTATTTTTTTAAATATATATTAATTATAAAATTTTAACTTATTACATTCAACCAATGTGTTTAATAAATAAATTCTATTGAAATAAATTTTAAGAATCTTTTAAAAAAAATATATTGCTTTTTATACGCAAAATATAAACAGTTTATAATAACAATAATTTCTCATTTAAAAATTATTTATTAATATTTGCTTGTTTATTAAAATTTTAGATTATTTAGTTTTTTTATTTTAGAGAAATTCTAATGACTAATTTTATTTTTAAAAATTCATCGTAAATGATTGATTAATAGTCATTTAAACTCTATTAATTATTTTAAACCCATAAATATTTGAAAAAAGTAAGAAAGAATTAAATTTTTTTAAAATAACAAATAAAAACAGAATGTATAGAGTATAGAATTTTGTGTAAATTTAAAAAGTAAATTAATTAGTTAATTAATTGAGTTCATAAGCTATAGTTTAGAAAGTACAGTTTAAGCTAAATTTGTAATTTTTAATTAATTATATTAAAAATGAAACTTTTATATTTTACTTGGCAAACTAATAAAAAGTGATTGATGATTAAGTATTTAAATTAAATGTTATAATATTCATACTCTGAACTAAAATAAAATGAATTCATTTTAACTTACTTATATATAATTTTTTTAATATATTTTTTAAAATAAATACACATTTTCAAATTTAAACTTCCATGCATAAGTATATGCTAAATGGTAAATTATAACTTATAGCTGTACATTTCTTTTTGATATTTATTTCATTAATTTCTTTAATCTAATTATTTTGAGATTGCTTCACATCTAATGAAATAGTCTCAATATTTTAATCTTTTTGGCTTGTAATAATTTAACTATTTTCAAGGGGCTTCTATTAATATGGATTATTGATATTTTCTTCTGGGAAAAATAAAATATCGTATGGATTTTTTTAGGGTAGCTACTTCATAAGATTCTAATAATCTTAGGCTTATTTACCTCTAAAATACATTTGCTTAGATAATTTTGGAAAAGGCTTATACCTCAGCATATCAAGCTAGAGAAGATTATCAACATTTTTCTTTTTGCAATGGAAAGGGTCAGTATAGTATTTTTGGAAAATGTTTCTATTTCTAACAACTAAATCGCCAACTAAATAATATAAATTATGTATTTATTTGTTAGTTGATTTCATGTATTCGATTAGTCTGTTTCTGAAATTTTCAGCAACTTTGTCACTATCTAATTCAATAACTTCTTTTGTGTTTTTGTTTTGTTACTTAACTTTGTTTATTTCTTTTAAGAAATTCCTTTTTCTATGATTAAGTAAGCCTTCTTCATATGCTTAGGCTGTAACATCTTATACATCTAGATTTAAAAAATATAAATTGTTTGAAAATGAACTAATTCGAGGATCTACAAAGGAAAGAGCAACTTCTAAAACTTTCTTTTGATTAGCCTATAAAAGATTAGGATTAATTCTTTATTTAAATAAAACAACTTTTGCTTTTCCAATAATCTTCTCTTCAAATTTAGGGATGAATTCTTATAATAATTAAAAATGTAGCTCTTTTTTTAGTTTGAAGCAATTTTAATTTTGAGCTGATTTAATAATATCATCTTTTTCAATTGACTATTCAATTTGAAATTAATCCTTAGCAAGGTAGGGCTCTGATTCTGTATTAATAACTCCACTCTTGCTTCTCATAGGTTAGTAAGATAAATTTCTTTTTTTATGGGTTGAATATGCTGGCGTTCTAAAGTTGTTTCTCTGAAATTAGCTTTGATTGAGATTTGCTTAAAAATTTGAAGGAACTGCATCAAATATTATTATTTTATTGACCTTGCTTTGAAGCTTATAATCAATTATAATTTACTGTAAATTAACACATTTATTGGAATAAATGCTATATGATTAAGGATTGTATGTGTAATAAGCACCATCAAAAGAAAAGCTTTACTTTATCATAAAGCTGACTAAGTCTCTGACTTTCTTACTGCAACTATTAAATAGCAAAAATATAAGGTAATGTTTAGACAGAGTTCTTAAAATTCTTTTTATTTCGTTTAACTTATTACTGTATATGTCTCCCTGATACCCACTATTCCCATTATTTAAATAGGTAGATCTAATATTATTTGAGCTATTTCCATTAAAATTTATCATACCACCAAAAATTCCATTCCCGTTGATCTGTCCTTAATTATCTTTTTTTTCCCAATACGATTCTGATGTAAAACCTCCAAAAAGTAGATTTTCTGCTTTTAAAATTAAAATATTTCTTTCATAATCTGTGTTGGCTATATCATCAATTACTTAAGATTTCCAGTATAAAGGTTTTATTTCTGCAGTATTTATTGTGGATAAGATTTGAGAGCAATGCTCATTCTGTTTTTAAATTTTCAGTAGTAGACTCGATTTTTGTAAACTTTAGTTTGTATCAGTATTTTTTGAATATGAATTGCTCTAACTATTCTCACTTTATAAATTTCCTTTTTCATTTTTGTCTACACTAGAAAAATTATTTGGTTTACTTTAACTTGATTAGCTTCTATTTGATTTTGATGATAATTAAATTTCATCTGAGCTAGCATCATCTTATTAACAGATAGATGCTTCTGGAGACCAATTAGATTAGGTATTAATAGTATTTCCTGTAAATTTTTCTGAATTTCTTTTAGCATGAGAAAATCTAATTTTTTTATTTTCATTTAATTGCATTGAGGAAGTGTTATTAGTCGAATTCTAGTTCGTGGCTGCAGCAGACTTGTTTTATCCTTTAGGAGGTCTTTATGCACTTAAAATTTATCTGTTATTTTGAATATACCTATTACTTCCTATCAATTTAGAGCTATTTTTATCTAATTAAGAAGAGTCCTAATAATTAAATTCATCTGCAGTGATCTAAGATTGTGGTGCTAATTAATATTTTTGTTTTAACTAGTTTTGATTTTGAGTAGTACTTTTTGGGTTATTAGAATCGTAGCAGTTGAATGAAGTATTATTTTTTTCGTTACTTTATTCTTCATCACTTTCTTAGTTTAAAAAATTTTGTTATTTGCTTTTTTATGAGTTGAAAATTTATTATATATAAAAATTGTTATTTCCATCTAATTAATAGTAGTTATTTTACTAAGGTGTTTATTGATTATAGCTGCTTCTCGTAGAAGATTATTATTTTTTTATTCTAAAAACGTTTATACTGTTAATTTTTGAAGGAGGAAGAGCAGCAGAAGGATTAACTAAATAATTATAAATAGTGTTTGTCGCCTGATTAGAATTCTAAAAAGATGACCCTGTCGTAGAATTTTCTTTATTAAGAAGTGGATTGTTATTTTTATGAGTTGTTGAAGAGCTACTATTAGCTGCACTATTTAATCCCGGTCTTTAATTCAGATTTACACCAAAAGGTATTCCTTTTTTGTCAATATTTTATTGTTAGCAAGAAGAACCTATTATATTCAATCTCTCTTCTGAATACACCTACTTGATAGAATTAATTAAATTTTGTTATAATTATTGATTTTATGCTTAATTAGATGTAATCGATTAAGGAGTAATAGATGATATTCCTATTTGATTATTCGTCGATATTAATAAAGGAGGCCTTCCATTAATATCGTTGCTTTTCATTATAAGTTTCTATTCTACTTCTTTATAGGCTGCTATAGTGTCCTTTATTGAAATATACTTTTCCCCTTTTTTACTACTTTTTGATTAACCTGCTTATTGAGCGCCATTCAATTTAGACTTTTTATTATCTGACTGTTAAAATCCATTTGTTGATATAGGAGTTGTACTTGAAGATTGAGAAGTACTCTAAGCAGAGTTGTTTTTTGAATTTAAATTTTATTTGATCAGCTTTGGCACATTATTGCAAGCTTCATTATTAATTTCATCAAGTTGTAATTATAAATTTTTTTAAACTATATTGTTATCGTTAAACTCATCTGTAATTTGATCGTTGTATTCTTTAGAATTTTGGCTATTTAAAACGTTTGAGGTGAAAAATCTTTTATTTGACTTTGAAGAATTCTAGCCTCCTATGTTTCCTCCAAAATATAAAAGGCCATCATTATTAGTTTATATTTATCCATTATAGTAGCCAGTCAGTTAACCGTTATTATTTTATGCAATATTACCCTTATGAGATTTTAGTCGTATTGAATTTCTTTAATTATTATCATTTATATCATTGTCATAATTATTCTCTTATTAAACTCTAAAAGAATCTCTTTTTTTTACATTTTTATTCTGTATTAGAGGAGTAGGAGGTTTAAATTTGTTGCCCGCCAAGCTTTTAGGGCGATTAATATTAGAAGACATGTATAATGATTAAAAAAGACTGACTGTTGATAAGTTCCTTTTTCTATTAATAGTAAAATTAAAAAAAGAAATTAACAAAAAATCTTTCTCTTTTGAAAAGTTTTTTTACACAAATTATTTGATTAGTTTAAACAATAAGATATTATGATCTCTTAGATGTAATGCTATACAATATCAAAATAAATGAAGCATACTTTCTATTTCAATTATCCAAAAAATCAAAAAAATCAAAATCAAAAACAATCCAATAACTGATTTTTTATAAATTTATGATTTAAAAAAGGAAAAAAAGAATCAATCATATATTAATATTTAGTACCATAAAGCCAAGGTCATCAATAATTAAATAAAGAGAATTTAAATATTAACGATATTTCAATCTTGTTTCAAAATTATTTTTATTTAAACTTTTTTTAAGTTGAACTTATAAAAACAAAAAACAAGTTTCTTTTAGAAAATAAAATTTTAATTTGATTAAAAGAAATCATTTTTTTTTAAATAATAACTTTTATATTTTTTAAATAATTTATAAAGTTATTTTAAGAAATATATTTCTTTCATTGAATATTTATTAACTTAATAATAGATAAAATATTTAAGATATAATTTATAAAGTTATTTTAAGAAATGTATTTCTTTGATTGAATATTTATTTACTTAACAATAGATAAAATCAAATGAAAATATTTTTTAACTGAATTAAACATAAAAAAAAATTGAACTATTTATTTATTATTAAATTATTAGTTGAAACATTTTAGATAATTTATAAAGATATTTTAAGAATAAATATATTTCTTTCATTGAATATTTATTAACTTAATAATAGATAAAATATTTAAGATATAATTTATAAAGTTATTTTAAGAAATGTATTTCTTTGATTGAATATTTATTTACTTAACAATAGATAAAATCAAATGAAAATATTTTTTAACTGAATTAAACATAAAAAAAATTGAACTATTTATTTATTATTAAATTATTAGTTGAAACATTTTAGATATAAATTATAAAGATATTTTAAGAATAAATATATTTCTTTCATTGAATATTTATTAAGTTAATTATGGTAAAACAAAATGAAAATATTTTTTAACTGAATTAAACATAAAAAAAATTGAATTATTTATTTATAATTAAATTATTAATTAAAACATTTTAGATATAATTTATTAAGCTATATAACTAAGCAAACTAATTTTTTGATTTCATATTTATTAAATTAATTACATGAATTCTTTAAACTGAAAATATTATTTAATTAAATTAAAAGAAACTTTTTATTGATTTATTTTAATTTATTTTTAAATTTTATTATAATTTTTTAAATTATATATATAGGCAAACAATTCTTTTACTTTCTTTGAATGCTTATTAAATTAATTATAAGATCAAATTCATTTTTTTTTGAATCTAAGTTAAGGAGAACCTGGTATAGCATCTTCTTCTTAAATTTTATGCAATTCTTCATTCTAGTAATAATTTATTGTATTATTGTTTTTAATAAAGCTATTATTTGTTTTTGGAAGACTGTTATTGGAAGTAAACTGCTTTGGTTAAAATTTATCAACAAAACTAAACTATTAATCTGAATTAAACGAAGTTTCGTTATATACATTAAATGAGTTATCTGAAGATTTTTTATCGTCGTAGATGCTACGATTATTCCCAGTATCTCTTCTTGAATCAACATTTCTTGAAAGCTTGTTAGCTATACTATTATCATCCAGGCTGCCATACTATGATTATTAACCAAGAGATTTACCAGATTGAGTATTTGCTGCACGTGAATTTAAGTTTTAGCTCTGTTATAAACTATTTTAAAAGAAGCTCTTTTAGTGGTAAGATTTTTAGAAGCCTGCTGAGAAAGAAGCTAAAGAATTAACAACAGACTTATCACTTTAAAATTCGCTTGTAATATTTTCGTTATTAGAATTATTTATGTCATTTATTAAATCTTTCTACTCAAGCATTTAATTCTCTTCAAGTTACTTCTTGAGCAACTTCTTTCTTAATTTCCTTTATCTGAAATAGCATATGATGATGCCTGATATAATAATTAGAATAACAAGCACTCCTATCAAAATTACTATATAAATTTAAAGTAAATAAATTTATTCGCTAATAACTGATATGCATGTAAATATAATAATTTACCTGATTTGCATGCATAATAATAAGAATACTCAAAATTAAAAGTCACTGTATATTCATAATAAAGTTAAATAAGGGGATAGTAGCTACCATTATTACATGGGTACTTCGTGTTATCAATAACAACTATCTATTTATCTAAATCACTTATATTAAAAGTTATGTTGTTTTTTCTAAGCATAATTTAATTGTTTGTAAAATTAAGAGGACTATTTTCCACACATGATCTTTAATTTTTTATATCTTTAACATTACTGTAATACATTTAAAAATCGCTTTCTTATTGAAAAATGAAGGTATCAAATCGAGAAGAGTCGTAAGGATAAAGCTATTTATTTTAAAATAAGAAATAGAAATATTATTGTTCATTATAGAAATTAAGTTTTTTATTGTGATATTTTGCTAACAAAAATAATTACTAATTATAGTTTAAGTTCACCATCTTATGACATTGTGTGAGATGAATCTGCATCCCAAAATTGGTCACTTGTAAATGATAATTTATTAAAGTAACCCATTTTTAATGGTACAACTTTTTAAAGATTTAGTTTCACAATACCCGAACAGGTATTCTATTTAATCATTATAAATCCAATTATTAAAACTAAGATAAACCTCATTTATAACTAGCTCTTTTCTTTTATTAAAGTTTAAACAAATGTATCTTTATACACAAGAATGTATATTTTTTACATTAAATTTCAATAATTTTCTTTTCCCAATTAAAAGATGATCATTTATACTTTTACCAGAGAATTTATTTCTTGTTGTTGCTTATATAAATTATATATTACTAGGTAAGTAAATAGAAAGAGTATTATATAAACAAATGGCATATAAAAAGTTTTAATTATTATTTTATTTTTTAATCAAATATTTATAAATTTTGTACTTTTAAACATCACATATAACATTATTATGTTTAATCATATTATAAAATCCTCACTAAATAATAATTGCCATATAATTATTTCTTAAACTATGAAATATTTAGATATAAACTATTAGCAGCTAAGCTCCAAATATATATAAAATATGTAATCTAAAAGTTTTAGTATGAATGTGAAAATAAAAGCAGCATAAATTAGTTATTAAAAGTACAGTGTTCATTTATCAAAAGGTTTGTTTTTTTTCTAATATATTTATTTAATTTATTAATATTTCAAGAATATTAAGTTAAGTTTTTTTATTTTATTGAGTTTTTAATATATTATTGTTAAGTTTTTTTAGAGTTTTTTAATATTTTATTTTTAAGTTATGTTATTTTATTCAGTTTTTTAATATTTTATTGTTAAGATTTTTTTATTTATTTATTTTAATTTTTTTAAAGTTTCAATCAATCAATCAATCAATCAGTTTTTTTAATTTTATTTATTTCAATCAATCATTTTATATTTTGGATTAGAGAGGGTTAATATAGGATTCTTTTTAGAGTCTGTCGACTATATGGATAAAAGAAGTTCTAGTTAGTAAAAAGAGAAATCAATCAATCAATCATTTTTTTAATTTTTTTAACATTTTGAAAGTCATCATTTTTTTTATCATCTCCTCTTTATTTAGAGTGTTAATTTCGAAGACGCATCGCACTTTAATTAAATAATTAAAGAGGATGAATTTGAATATAATAACAATTTGATTATTTCACTTCGATAAAAAACTAAGGATTTTTTGGAATCTTATTTGTTAACAAATTTGAATTAATTCATAATATATGAAAAATTAAAATTTTTTTCTGTTAAAAATAAGCGTGCTTATAAAAACTTAAATAATCAAAAAGTCACTCCTATTCCTATCATATACTAGGTATTCAAGAGAAGAGCTCAAAAAACAGTAGCTAGTTACATAATATTCTTCATCTGTCAAATACAAGTAAATGGAGATTTACAAATACCAAATAATAGTACTGTCTATCAAACTTACCTTCCCCCTTTCCTCTAATATATGCTTTCATGGGTTTTAATTATAGCTTAATGATGAATTTTATTAAACCTCTTAATTGATCGGGTATTTAAAAATTGAGGTTCTATTAAAAACTAAGAGCTTCATTTAAACGCAGATAAATTTCTTTGTATCTTGTTTTGTGAGCTCTCAGGGGACTACTCCTGAAACTACTCTCCTCCGAGGCAGGGCTCTGATTGTAATAATCATTGGAAGATACAAAAAAATAGTGCATTTATTCTTTTTAAGCATTTTAATAACAAAGATTCATCAAATCGCCAGAATTAAAACTGAAGTTAGAAATAATTCAATATTTTTTTAATTAATTAATTATAAAAAAATTTTCAATTTATTTTCTTTTCCCCAAGTTTTTTTTCATAAGATTCTAAAATAATAAATAAAAGAAAAAAAATAAGATTAAGAAAGATAAAAAATTATAATTAATTGATAAAAAATAAAATTAATTAATTTACTTTTAAAAGGCAAACTTCTTTTTCCCCTTCTTTTTTTTGTACATCATTATGTACATCGGAATATCTAAAATAGGGATGAGTATTCGAAAAAATTCTATTGAAAAAATATTAATAACAATTAGATTTCATACTCATCGGCACTTCGTCATAAATCGAGATAAAAGCTTTCACCAGATTATCTAATAAATCATTTTAAAAAGTTTTTAAAAACCCCCTCTAAAGAAACAAAATACATTGATTATTTCTGATTCATCAGATTTGAATGATTTTAGGCTAAATAATTCATTCATTTGTAATCAATTATTTTATTTCTTTAGATCAACTCCTAAACTCCCTCAAGTTTTTGAATTAATAAAAATGATTTGATAATTTGCTTAAGCAACTAAGATTTTAATGGAGAAAAGGGCTTTCCTAATTAGATCTTCATAGTTTTTAACCCGGAAAAAAGTTTTAAAGAAATATATAAATAGTATTTTTTAAATAAAAGCTCTCTGCTCATGATGGAATCATACTCGCTTCTCTCGCTGAAACTTAAAAAAGAAAAAGTTAAAAAGAAAAATAATAAATAATAAAGATAAAATAAAAATTAAAAAGATTAGATAATAAATTACTAAGATCAGATAAAAAAATTAATTAATCAATTAGAAATAAAATTCAAAAGATAAAATTAAATAAGAGATTGAAAATAAAAATATAAAAATAAATCAAATAAAAAAAACACAAAAAACAAAAAGAACATATTTACTAAACACATAACTTTTCAAATATTAAAATATAAATTTATTCATTATGATATTACCTCATTTTAAAGAAAAGTGTACACGATATTTTATTTAAAAATAATAATTTAAATTAAAAAATTAATTTGATTTAGTAAAAATAAAATTTAAATAAAATAATAGAAATTCTACTTATTTATGTATTTTTTTTTAATTAGTATATTTGAATAGCTAAAAAATGCTTTTCAATTGAAATTTATGCTCTTACTTTAACCATTTACAATTAGTCTATTATTCTTTTTCTTAAAATTTTATTAGCTTCATATAGAAAAAACTATCAATTTTTTTTAATTATTAAATTAAATAATTAATAGTTAAAAGAGAAGTGGAATTGTAAGTAAAAAATTTTGAGTTATTTTTTTAAATATAAAATTATAAAATAGCTTAATTTATTTATTAAAAAATAAGTTTCTCAATAAAAAGTATGATAAAAATAAGTGAATTTATTTTTTATAAATTAGATATTAAATATTTAAATTTTTAGAGTTTACTTACTTAATTTAATTACAAATAAAATATTTATTTCCAAACAAATTGAATTTCTTTAAATAACTAATATTAGATAATGTTTTGATATATTCAAAATAAAAGAAGACATAAACTTTCTTATTTACTTAATAAAAATTAGTGTTTTTGAATTCTTGTGTTTGCTTTTTATTTAATATAATTTCTTATTAATTTTATTGTTTTTTAACTATCTAACTGACTATAGATGCTTATTTGATTTTAACCTATTTTTTAATGGAGAAATATTATCTATTAAATTTTTTACTTCTAAAATAACAGAGTAAAATATGGTAAAGCAATTTTAAAATACTATTCAGATAGAAGAGTAATTAAGTTTGTGAATAATTTTTTTGGTTGATTATTTGTTTTTCAGATTTTTTTCCACTTTGATGATGTATAAGAGGAATTGATTAGATTAAAGAGTATCCCTAAAAGTATCAATTAATTAAGAGAGAAAACTAGAATTAAAAATGTATATAAAATATTAAATATTATTTGTTTATTTTTTAATTTATTTTATTTTATTTTTTAGTTAAAAGATAATTTAGATTGTAAGATTATAGATTAAATTGATTAATTTTTCTTAAAATATTTTATAATAATTTATTTCAATCAAATTTCATGCTAAAAAACTCATGCTGTAAAGCTTATGCACAAGTTATTCTTTGATTTGGATCTATTATTAAGCATTTACGAACTAAATCTCCAAGGATGCGATGTTCAGGTTTGAGAATATCGTCAAAGCTTAATAAATTTTTAACATTGCTAATGCTTTTGCGACTTGTATCATTTTTAGGCCAATCAAAATATGTACCATTTTGCTAGAAGTGTTCTTCTGTTACTTTAAAATGACTATTTACACTATTATCAGAGCGTTGAGCCATCCACTGTGGGATAGGTCCACATACTTTTTCTATCATAGCAAGATGCTCTATTTTTTCATGAGTAGGGAAGAATAATTCTCCTGAGTAAAGCTCCATAATAATGCAGCCAATAGACCAAACATCACTAACTTCATTCCACTTGCAGCATCCTAGAATAACTTCTGGTGCACGATACTGACGTGTATTTATGATGTCTGAGTGATGCTCGTCTTCAAAAGTTGCTCCACCAAAATCGATTATTTTTATTTCATCTGAAACAGGAACCCAGTATTTTTTAGAATTTTTAGAGGAGGATTTAGCATGTGATCCTGATGAAGAGGAGGACGAGGAAGAGGAAGAAGATGATGAAGAAGATCTTTTACCTGTTGAATTATTTTGATGTTCATTCTTTTAGTTATTTTCAGAAACTGTACCAGCTGTGGCATTTGTTTTATCTGACGATTAATATTAAGTAGAAGGAGAATCTTTTTATGAGTTATTTTCAACAACAAGTCTTAATTCTGGAGAAGCAAGAAGAATATTTTCAGGTTTTAAATCTGTGTGAGTTAAATGAATTGAGTGGAGAAATCCGACGCTCTCTAAAATTTATTTGAAAAAACTTTGAACTAAGCGAATTTTATAGCCAATATAGTTATTTTTTTTCAACAGTTCATATAAAGAAAGACCTAATTTCTCAAAAATCATACAGAAATTGGCTCCGTGTTTGAATGTAGACTCAAGTTTAACTATTCTGTATTTATTTTCTGGGTCAGCTGCCTGTATTTTTCTGATTATTTCTGTTTCAATTTAAGCAGCATCAACATACCTTTCAACTGCCCTGATTACCTTTAAAGCGTATAGTTTGTTACCATTTTAACGATCTTAAACCTCAAGGACTCTGCCAAAAGTGCCATCCGATAAATGTTTAACAACAACATATCTCCCATCGTCAAAAGTTTCTCCATTTTTAAATTTATAATGTCCAGCATCCTTAGATCTATCCTTTGAGGCTCCACTTACAAATGAATCCTTAGAAGAACTACTTTTACTTGAACTCGAGTGAGTCTATTTAGATTCTTTTTAAAAATAAATGATAAAATTATTTCATATAAAGAAAAAAAATATTTTTTAAAACTAATTTCCATAAAAATATTTATTATTTCATCTTTCTAAAATTTCTTTATTTTTTTATTGGTTTCTTTGTTAGTTTTTTAAAATTTTTAGAAGTTATTAGCTGAATTATAACAAAATATTGCAAATTACTATTATCCTTATAATACTTCTTGGAAGTGCCATCTGACTATTGATATCCTTGCCTGTTATATTAATTATCTTTTTAACCCTTATATTTAATGCTGTTTGATCTATTGCTATTATAGTATGATTTATTTGCTTTTTAGAATTTATTTGAGCGGTCTGAGTGATGGTACTTACGATCTAAATTTTAATATTTATCGGTTCTCCTACTTTAGCTATCTCTTCTTTCATAATTTCTATTATCATATCTGTTATAGTTTCTTCTTCTAAATTTATGTTGAAAATTAAATATTAAAAATTAATGAAAATATATCTTTAAATTAATCAAATTACGGTGAATTATTTCTTCTAAAGTTATTGTTGTCTCTTCCATAGTTTTTATAATTGTTATTTGATCTATTTCTATTTGAATTTGAACGTCTAAAATTTCCATTGTTATTATAGCTGCCGCCACCACCTGTAAGGTTTCTGTAATTTTAGCTACTCACTCTTTTGTTATCATAATTATTGTTGTTATTTCCGTATTATTTGCTATTACTGTTATTGAAGCTTAGGATAATTTTAAATAAAATAACTTAAAGCTCATTATTTCTACTTTAAATTTGAAATATAAAATAAGTTATGAGTTTACTGTCCTTAAGATGAGTTTTAATATTCATTTTTATAGCTTCTATTTCCATTATAAGAATTATAATTGCTATTATTATCATTCTTATTAAAGCTATTTTGATTGCCATTACCACTTCCATTTCCTCTCGAATACTAATCACTTGGGAAGGTGTTTGCTTAACGATAACTTTCATTTCTCTTATCATAGCTGTTATTGCTATTATTTATTGTGCTATGTCCACTTGGATTGTTAGTAAACCTACTATTGTTGCTGTTATTATGATTTCCATTGTTATTACTGCTATAGTTGTTGTTTTGTCTGTCATTCCTATTTCCGTCTCTATTATTCCAATCCTTATAATCTCTGTTTTTGTAATAATCTTCTACATTTTCTTTTCTTAATTTTAATATAAAAATAATTTATCATTTCTTACTATCTTTAATTAAAAATTAAAGTGCTAATTTATATCTTACTTGTAATTGCTATTGCTGTTATTGTTATTATTATTATAAGAACTCTGTTAATGGTTTGGGTAGCTGTTTCCGTAATGTGATTACTAGGCTTAATTAAATGAATTTTGCTAATAGGGATATGACTATGCCTAATTACCACCCTAACTATATTAATTTTGACTATAATATCTCTAATTTTTTTAGCTGAGACTCTTTCTTCTTGAATCTACACCATTACTTCTTTGAGGTGAATAATCTCTTCCTCCTCTAGAATATCCAGTATCATTTTTATAATTATTTCTTCATTATAAATTTATTTTCCAATTAATTAAATTTTTTTATGCTAATAAATTAATTACCTTCCAAAATTATTGTTATCTCTACCTTCATTTCTGCTGTATTGATTGTTTGGACCTTAATCATATCTTCTTTCAACAGATCCTCCTCTAAAATCACGATCATTTTAAGAATATTAATTTTATTAATACCTATTATTATTGTTATCATATCTAAGTTTTTCATTATTCTAGAAGCTATTTTAATACTAAGCTGGGGCATTTCTTTATTACTATGACCTAGATCTTGAGCGGGAATTTTATCGATCTAATAGTTTTAAATATTTATAAATGTAATGTCAAAAAGTGTGATAAAATTGTAAATTTAAAAAATTTTCCATCTATAGTATTCGAAAAAGCTGACATTTATTCTTTTATAATTGAATTCACTCTGAAGATAAAATGATTTTTGTTTGATATGACTTTTTATTTTCTTTTTTACCTTTTATTTTCATTTATTTGCTTTAAAAATAATAAAAATGAACAGTGAATATCAAACAAAGTGTGAACAAAAGCAAAATTGTACACTATGGATCAGCGAATGAAAATTACCTAAATATTAACAAAACAATAAAATATTTACTTTAAAACTTTGAATAGTTGCCACTTTAATTATTTTTGTATTTTTTTGAGATGCTTCCTCTGTATTCCCTATAATTTTTTGTACGATCTTTAGAACCCATTGCTAAAATATATAAGTATATATGTATATATGTATGTATTCGAGAAATTTGTTTGTTTATTTTATAATTTTTTTGTATTCACAGAAGAAAGTATAAACCCTGATATACCAATATAAATTTGATAAATCAATATAAAATTGCAATCAAATAAAATAATTCATTTATTTTACTGCTAAAAAAAACAAACAAATAAACAAAATTATATATGTGAATTTAATGCCTAATATTTAATCATCGATATTAATTTTCATTTTTTCCTATTTATCAATTATTTATTCAGCCTTTTTTACTCTCATTATATTTCATAAAGTAGGATAATAATTATAATTCTTATCGTCTACTCTTTTATATATCCCGCCTTTTATTATAATAGTTGAATGCATTATCATAATTACTCAGTATTTTAACTACGAAATAATAAAGATTAATTGTTTACTTAATTATTCCCTATTATTAACACTTAATAATCAATGAAATTAAATGTTTTACAAAGGAATTATTTCATGATAATTCTTCTATTTTAGTTAATAATATTATTTCTTATACGTCAGATATTTCTTAATATTAAACAAAATACAAATCAAAAAGTAACTTTGTATAATAAATAATTTGTGAGTTCTTAATAAAATAAATATAAAAAAATATTTTTTTTATTGTATGACATAAAGCAGAGTAGAAATAATAATTTCTTATTATCTACTCTTTTTATATCCCACCACCTTTTATCATAATTACTCATAATTTTAGCTTTTAAATTATAATATAATTTATTAATAAATTAATCCCTATTATTTATTAACTTCAAATCAAATGAAATGTTTTATATGCAAATTATTTGATGCAATTATTTATTTGAGTTAATAATTTGATTTTTAGCATTGGATATTCTAAAATTTTTTAATTTTATAATAAATCTAAAAACTATTTGCTGTTAATCATTTTTTGAGCAAATTTTGTAACATAACAAATTTAAAGTGTATTTTTTTAATATTATCTCATAAAGTAGAATAAAAATTATCATTTTTTATTATTTTCTCTTTTATATATACAATTGTTAATTATAATAAGTAAGTGCACGATTATAACTAGCTATTCATTATATAAATTAATAAATTATAAATCATTTTATTTTTAATCAATAAATTTTTGGCTATTATACTCGCTTATAAATTAAATATTTTGGGAGTCAATAATACATTAATAATTATTCTTATTTAATTTTATTTAATAAATAATTTCATTTACATCTAATATTCACTAAATTTTCAAATAATATACAAATCAAAAAGTAGTAGTTAATATTATCTACAAATAAATTCTTTATAAAATAAATATCAAAAATATTTTCTATCTAAATACAATTAATTCTAAATACCTTTTTGAAAAGACATTTCAGATTAAATTGTTTAATTAATTGTCATATAAAATTAAACTTTCCCATTAAAATTATAATTTTATTTTATTGTAGGGGCTTTTACTATATATATCTTTAATAAATTATTTATCTACTTTTACAAAATTAAACTTTCTATAATAATTCTAAAATTATTTTAATATTGATTTAACTATTATGGATGGTTTTTAAATATATACTATTTTCAGTATTTCTTAATAACTGCAGGAATAATTACTTTTTTCTTCTCTCCTGTAGAAGTTGTTTTAAACTATATTTCTTGAGGTTTTATTGGAATAATTTACTCCTCTTCCTCCATGCAAGCAAAATTAAATTTTTCTACAACATATTCTTTATTTTTTTCTTCTTTTTAACTATTTATATCTGTTATTTACTATTGTTATTTTTATTATTATTTAATATTTTCATTGTATTCTTTTAGTATTTGCTTTGTTTAACTGGGATACACTAATGCTCTGAGAAGCTCATTTGGATAAAAGCTTTCAACATTTACAATATTTCTAATTTCTTCATCTTAAATTTCTAGTATAAATTTTTTAAATATTTGTAAAAATTTGGAAAGGAAATTAAATAAAATTAATGAATATAATGTCATACCTTCTGAATTTAATGGTTTTCCAAGGTCATTTTCTTCAAAAAATACAAAAGAGCACATACCGTCAGAAGAACAAATAATTAAAGATTAATTAGAGAAGAAGGTTAAATCATTAATAAGAGCAAAGTGAATATTTCCTACAACAGCAAGAGGAGAAAGAGAAGCTGTGGAATATATCATAACATTATCAATTGTGCTAATAGCAAAAATTATTACGTATGGTATATCAACCATACTAAATTAATTTTCCTCTTTCTTTTTAAATAATTTTTAACAGAATCTAGTGCAAATAGCAGGTTTATTATTTGTATTTATTATGAGTGATGGCTTATTTAACACATTTCTACGATATAAATAAACGCACATTTCTATTTTCGAGTCTCTCTTCTCTTAATAAATAGCAGCAGGAAGTAAGAAGAAGGAACCGTCTGGACTCCAATCAGGTCTTTTTACAAATGTATTAAGTTATCTTTCTGACAAAAACATACCATAAGTCATAGCTTAATTAACAGCTCCATTAGCTCCATTCATTTAATTTCCTGTAATACTTGATTTATCTTCATCATCAGAAAGCATTTCTTCTTCAATATTAACATCTGCAAAAGGTAATCTCTTCATTGTCTTTATTTAAAAGAAAAAAAATATTATGCTGATAAAAAAATTTCTCATAAAAAATTTACATTTGATGGAATGTATTCAAAAATATTTTTCTTTTTATTATTGCTTTTTAGCTTTCTCCATACTTTGACAGTTCTATCATTACCCAAAGTAAGACAAAATTTCATTTTTGGGTCTACAGCTACTCCTTATACATAACTTTTATGTGCTCCAACTATAGTTTGCTTAATCACGCCTTCTTTAACATTCCATATATATGCTCTATAATCCATTCCACCTGAAATTAAATGAGTACTATCATTAAACCATCTAAGATCACAAACTTCGCGATTGTGTCCTTCTAATATATTTTTAGGAACTAAATTGAATATTTTCTAATTAGTGCTTATATTCTAAAACCCCTTATCAACATGCCAAATGACAATTTTATGATCTATTAAATAAGTTAAAGATAGACATACATATTTTTAGAATTTAGATAATTAAAATAATTTATTCTACCATCTGAAGCTGATGCCAAATACTAACCATTAGGTGAAAATCTAACACAATTTACAGGATTTGAATGTTTTTTTAAAGCTCTTATAAAAGTTACTGGTTTTGCATCTCCACCTTAGCCTGGTGTGTAGTTTTCGTTAATCTACCACAACTATAGTTATCATATTATAAAAATAATTTAATCAACACTTTAAAATTTATCATTTTTGCCCTAGTAAAAAGGAAAGTATTGCTTAAAAATAAAATTTAATCTATTAAAAACTCCTTATAAAAAGCTTAGCATATTATTTGCAAAAAATGGTTTAATAAATAAATTCAATGACATATTTTCAAATATAATCTTAATAGTTTATTACCTTGATATAACCTATTTCTTCTTCAAATTCTAAATCTTCTCCTTCATAAACTTCTTCATCGGAACCTCCTGTTACTAATAAATTTATAAAAGGATGAACATCTAAGGTGACAATTCTTTGATATTGTCCATGCCATACTATAAAAGGTCTTTCTAACTTCATTTCTATTGCTAATAATTTTGAAATAACACTTATCTTTAAATAAAGAGCAAACTAGATATATTTATAATTAAAATATGTTTAAAATTGACTGATAACTACCGCCAAACGTATTGTAATATTTTTCCCACCTTAATTTAATTATTTGATTTCTATTTTTTAGCACTATTTGCGTATTGCAAATTTTCAATCAATAAGTAAGTGTTAAAAATATAAAATTTAATGCTTGAAGATTTTAAATCCAAATATTTTAAATTAAATATTTCCTGTTAAAACCAAATATAATTTATCTTTCAAGATTTACATTTAATATTTTAGATTAACAATTAACATTGATAATCATTTTAATTTTATAACATAACTAAAAATGTATCTTTAAATTATTTTATAAAAACTTTTAAATAGTTTTTTTTAAATGTTAATTGTTTTTTATTAAAAATTTATTTTTAAAAATCTTAAATAATTTTAAATTAACTTTTCAAGGTTTTTTTAAAATTAAATGCATTGTAAAAATCTTTTCTGTTTAAATCTTCAAAAAAATTATTTATTCTAATACAATAAAAATAAAAATAATAAATTACTATTTAGTTTAACTAATTATTTATATCATTTCAATAAAGTAAAATTTATTAATTTAAAATTAACACCTAAATCTTTAGAATAATTTCTTTAATTAATATTCAAATTTTAAATTAGTTAATTTATTGATTTCTAAATTTCTTTTATTAAAAATAATCCGCAAAAACAAAAAAAACTCTTTATTACCAAAAAAGTTAAAAAGTTGTTGTTTTTATAAGTTATAATGAATATTTAATAAATTGAAATAAAGACTGTATTAGGTAAAGATGAATAGATTTTCTCTTAATTGAGATCTGATTTATAGATAATACTGAAAGCAGAGAAGAATTTAATTTAGGCCTATAAAACTTTTTCAACTAATATGAGACAAAAGATTTATACAAAAGAATACATTGAAGCAATGAAATAAATATTTTAAGATACAGCTATTCAATATGAAGGTATCACTAAAAAGAGATAAGATTTGGTATTTAAACTTTATAAATTTTTAAATTATGTCGACTAAGTAATTTTATTTTACTTTAGGCTGATTTAATTGACACAAAAATGCTTCCAAGTTTAAATTCTTACATATCAGAAGTAAAAGAAATAAAAAATACTTTGGTAGAATATGAAAAAAAAGTAATATAGGCTGATAACAAACTTTAAGAAAAAATTCATGCAGAATCCACAAAATAAGAAACAAAAATAGAAAAAGCTGTTGAAGCATATAGAGAAGCTAATTTAAATGTTAAAATATTCAGTAAGAAAATGTAAAAGTAATTAGATAAGTATATGCATAATAAAAACTAGGAATTGAAAGTAATTAATTATTTTAATTAAATTAAATATTTAATTATTTATATTGTATAGTGTCTTATACTACATCTAGCAAACAAGTAAATGCTAATAGATGCTGAATCCTTAAAATCATTATCTATTTTAACCCAGAATGTGAACAACCACAAAGAGAAAGAAGAAACTGAGGTAAAATATTACTAAAATTCTAATAAACTAATTAATTATTTACAATTAAGAATTTTTTAGAAACAGTTGTAGGTCGTACAAATAATCTAGAAAATTGAAACAAAAAATAATATAAAAGTAAAATGTTGCTAAATTAAAAATAGAAAAATATATTTTGTAATTGCTTATTTTTTATTTTAAAAAAAATACTTTTTCATCAAATTAAATTTTAAATTTTAAAGTTATTTATGAAATCTTATAAAAATAATTTAGTTTTATGAATAATTTAAAAATTGAGGTAGTTAGTTATCTTAAAAATACAAAATTTTAGTTTTATTTTAATTCTAGAAAATAAAAGAATCCATCATGATTGAAACTATGATAATTAATATTTGATTATTTATCTTACAATTAAAAATATAGTAAATTAATTTTTAGTTTTATATTTTTTAAATTATTAATAATTTTTAATAAAATGATTAAATATTAAAAAGTTTAGAAAAATAAAACTAATCTAACTTATATTTATTGAATATTATTGCAAAAATATTAATTTTAAAAAAAACTACAATTTATTAAATTTAGATTAAATATTTTGATAATTCAATTTTTTAATTTCAAATTTTTACACTTCAAAAATGTATTAGTCAAAAACTTTTATCAATTTTTTTCATTTATCATTAACTAAGTCTTGAAGGTTTGAATAATTAATATAAAATAAATTAATTCTTGGTTGTATTATCAAAAGTTTATTTAGAAGAAAAATTAATTTATTATTTCTTATTAAGAAAGACAAACAGAATATATCTTTTTTTTCATTAAAATTTATAAATATTACACTTTAAGTTGCAGAAATATTGTCAGTATTTTTAGTAACAAATGAATTTTTGGTAGCTTAGTTTTGAATTCTGATAAGCTAAATAAATATATTAAATCAATAAATATTTAAGCTTATTTAATTTAAAAAATTTTAAATAAATTTAAAACTGTTTGGCTAGCTAAAATTTCATTTATAACTGTTACTATTTCTTGTTTAGATGAGTAATAAGTATTAAATTTTATAAAGATAATACTATTGAATACTAAGTTAGTAATGATTAATCTGTTTTTTTTTTGACGATTTTAATAAAGATTGGATTAGCTCAATAAAAACATAATTAAAATATAAAATTCAATTTAAAAATAAATCAAGTGATAGATATATTGATAGATAGCAACTATTTAACAAATAAATAATAGCTTAAAAATATAAATTGAAAACTCAGCTACTTTTTCATTTTTAGTATAAAACTTTAGTAATAATTATAAACTAATTAGAAAATAGTGTTTTGGCTTAAGGGTATATTCCCATATAAAAATAAATAATATTTTATAAAATATGGGTGGAGCATGCACAAAATAGAAACCAGGAGAAGTTAGTCACCCAGTTAAGACATAAGAAGTTAGGATTGGTTAATAAGGGACATAAAATAAAAATGCAGCAGGATAAAGTGATGACTTAATAAGTATTGTTTCTCTTAAATCCAGATTGTCTATGAAGAGATAAGTAAATATTGGGCATTATTTAGTATAGGGAGTTAATAAGATTGAAAAAGATAGTAAAAAATTGATAAATTTATGGGAAAAGGCTTTACGTTAGTATGAAAAACAAAGCAGAAAAGAAATAAGGAAAGAAAAGATTTTCAATAAAAACACAGAAAATATTTTGTTTTCATTTAAAAAAAATAAATTTAATGAATTTTAATCGCTTATCGAATAAGGAATACCTTTGAATTTAAGATGGAATGTTTGGAAAGTTTAGTTATTTAATAAAGATATTTATGATGAACACCTTTACGAAAAATTGCTGCAATAGCCTATTGATGAACACTATGAGCATGCTATAATGAAGGACTTACCTAGAACATTTCCTAGTCATCCTTATTTCTAATCAAAAGAACCAGGAGGAGGCGGTTATTTGAAAATTAGTTAGTTAAATTAGGGATAAAAGTAGCTTTATAACGTTTTAAAAGCCCTTAGTATTCATATGCCAAACGTAGGTTATACGTAAGGTATGAATTTCGTGGTAGCTTTTCTACTTATGATGAGTGCTGGTAATGAAAATGAATCATTTTGGATATTTTTGTTGCTAGCAAGAGATCCTAATTTTTTATTCATGGGTCTTTTTGAGGAGACTCTTCCTCTCATGCATATTTTAATTTGCATTTTTGAAAAGAAATTCAAAATAGTCCTTCCCGAACTATATGAATATTTTTAAAACATTATGTTAGATAGCATGCTTTGGGTATGGAAATGGTTTATAACAGTATATCTATATTCTTTTCCAATTGAAATTGTTGCAAAATTATGGGATTATATAATTATAAATGGAGGTCTCTCAACGATTTCCCTTGGATTAGCTCTTGCTGAGTATTTTTAAAAAGAATTTCTTGTTAGAGATATGGAAGATATTTAGACTCTGCTAAGGGATATGAAAGATACTGAGATATTGTTGGATAAAAACTCTAAATATTATCTTGATTTTACCAAGCTTTAAAAATCAGCAAAAAAGTATACAATCACTACTGAGTTTGCTAGTAAATGTGTTTCGGAGTTTGTGAAGGAGAAAAAAAATGATAATATGTACTCAAAGTTTTATATAATGAGAAGTAAATAAGAAACTCAGGCCATCGAATGGATTAACAAATCCATACAAGAAAGAGTTAAATTAAACGCTGCTGAAACAGTTATGCATTTAGGTTCTCGCATTAAAACAAATATATAGGGGTAAGATAAAAAATTAGAAGAATCAGAAGCAAATATAGTATATTTACAGTAAAATCAAAATATTCATCCTATCTCTAAATAGTTATATTCTGATACAATAGCAGTAAACAGCACACATTAACAACAAAATATACATTAATCTGATTAAAAACTTATATAAATACAAGAATAAAATATATAATAAAATTAAATTGATAACCATAAGCAAATTTCTCAAGAAAACGAGCTTTCTCAAGTTAACCAAGAAAAAGGAAATTATGAATCTGAGACAGAACTATAAGAAGAAATGGTTAAAAATAATATAGCAAATCCTCATAAAAAGTAGCAATTACAATTGTAGTAGTAGTAGTAGTAGTAGTAGTAGTAGCAGCAGCAGCAGCAAGAAGAAGATATGGATAACTCATCTAGATAGTTTATCAATCAAGATTAAAATGTACAATTTAATAATCATAATCCTCAATATATTTAAGAAAATTAATAAAACACCAAATAATTCTCTTTTAACTAAAATAAAAATAAAGATTTTGTAGGGTAAAATAACTCAAAATTGAATAAAATAGAAAACTGGAGATAATCTTCTTTAAAGAATGAACATGATATTATTAGATTTACATCCCTATCAGAAATGCAAGATGATATCCCTGATCATCTTACGAATGTAGATCCTGAAAACTCTAATTAAAATTATTAAAAAAACTATATTTTTCAAAATTCATTATCTCAAAAGGTTAAAGAAAGTGCTAAAAAATAAATAATTGATACTTAATACTAAGTTTAATAGCCTAAAGAGTTTTAATGAATTTTTGTTTTCCTTAAAAAAAAAATATTTTAATACTAATATTTATTCTATTTATTTATTATCTACTTTTATTAAGAACATCTTTACCAAAAAAAAATATATACATATAATTTATTTAGTTTACTACACTTTCAACCAAGAATTAATTAATAACTAACTGGTTTGTATTTTCTTTTATTTTTTGTCCTTGTCTAAATTTTGTAAAAAATTTGCCTTATTCAAATTCTAAAAAAAACTAAAAAATCTGCATTAATATAAATTACCTTAATATTAGAGTAATTAAGATAATATATTTTAGTAAGGAAGTTTAATTCATATTTTTCAAAAAATTTATGATATTTAAAATACTAAGATGTACTTATATTATTATTTAATTCTTCATAATATAATTTTTTTTGAAATAATTCTTTGATAATTCATTCAATAATTTAGTTTTTTTTAATTTAATTGTTAATAATAGCTTTCCAAAATATTTATTAAAAAAACTATAGAATTTAAAAAAAATGTATTTCAGATCAAACTTTTATTATATATTCATAAAGTTAATTTTAATTTTTTATTAAAAAAGTTATAAATTTTTATTATTTCAAATAAAAAAATAACTCAAAATTATTTTTCATAAAACAGAATAAATAAAAATGTTTATTTAATCATTTATCAAAGATAAATTTTAATTAAAAAATCAAACGTTTAATTCTTAATTTAAAAGGAAATTAAGTGTAAAATTATCTCAAACTTGAATAAAAATTTTCTCAAATTATTTAGTCTACTAAAGTGCTTCTAAAATTAAAATAATATTAATTTTTTTAAATAGAGTAATTTTTTAAGAAATTTAATTATTTAATAATTTATCATACTTGGTTAAAATTAAGATTTTTAATAGATTTCAACAAAATTATTAAATTTTCGTACTATTAAGAAATTACATTATTGAGAAGTTAAAAATGTATTTTCTTTTTTTTTTACAACCTTCTTTTAAAGAGTAAACTAATTTAGTTTATTTATTAAAACTCTGATATAAGATTAAACTATAATTTAATAAAAAAGATTTTTTATTAAGATTTAGTGCTAATTAATTTCAAGCAAAATAAATGATGTAAAAATAATTGGTATTTTTCGTTTTATTAGCTTTTCTTATTTAGATAAGTTTCGCATTTACCTAAAATAACTCAACTTAGGAACCTATTAAAAAGGATTGGGTTTTAGGTATGTATGAGCCTTAAGATTTCTCTGCATTCAAGAATGTACCCTAGAATTTAACATACTAAGAACCAGGAAAGTTATATATGCTTCATTAAGATGCATTACATGCTTTCGAGAGGATGCATATAGAAGCTAAGAAAGATAATATAACCCTGATATTAATAAGTGCTTTAAGAAATTTTTCATACCAAAAACGAATTTGGTAAACCAAATTTTAGCAGTTAAAAAACGGAGATCCTCTTAAAACAGATGAATAAATTGCTCTAGAAATTATGAAATATTCTGCTATGCCTACAACCAGTAGACATCATTGGGGTACTGATATGGATATAAATAGTGTGGAACCTGAGTATTTCGAATCAGGATAAGGTTTAATAGAGTATAACTGGCTAAAAAAAAATGCTAAAAGATTTGGATTTTGTTAACCTTATAGTCCTAAAAATGATGGATCTAGAGATAGAGGTTATAATCTTGAATAATGGCACTGGAGTTACATGCCTATTTCTTAGTAATTACTCTAATACTATAAAGATAATATAAGTTATGATGATATTCAAGGTTTCTCTGGTTCATAAGATGCTTCCAAGATTCGTTCCATCCAAGACTACGTATTATCTATTAATAAAGAGTGCTTAAACTGGAAATAAAGTCATGAATCTTATTGAATAGAAAGAAGTCTCTGTTTATAATAAATTTATAATTTCATTTAAAAAAATAAAATATAATGAATTAATCTAATATATATTATTTTTTTGTGAGTAATTCATTTACAAAATTTTTTTTTACAATTTTAATAAATTATTTTAGAGTTTAAAGATGTTTTTTTTTTGCATTTTTTTCCATTTATAAAATTTATAAAAGTAATATCACATAGATTTAAAAGTTTTTGTTTTATAATATAATTTAATAATTTAAAAACTAGCTTATTTGATTATTATTTTAAATATTCGATATAAAGATAAAAAATAAGCTTGTTGAAATAATGAATTTTAAATTTGTTAAATTTATTTTATAACTTTTTGGTTTTTGAATAGAAATTCTAATAAAAAAAATTGATATAAATATAAGCAATTAATAAATATATAAGGTTATAGTGATATTTTGCGATTATGTATGTGGTTATTTTAGAAGTAATTTAATTTTTAAATTGATTATTTTCATATGGAAAAGTAATAAATACTTTGTGTGTTATCTTTATTAATTTAAAAGTGGTTAATAGCAAATTAAATAATCTGAATTATTTTTAAGCTCAGATAAACCAAATACAGCTTAAAGAATCACATATTTTTTTACTTAAAGCAAGTGTAGATCCATTAAAAAAGCTAGAATTTAAAAAATCATGAAAGAAATTAAATCCGTTTTTTTGATGCTAGTTTTTTTCCATTTTATTTTAACTGCTAGTGAAATTAGATAATTACAAAGCTAAGATGTTAATGAGATTGATGAATAAACACCTATTTCATTTTAGTAAATTGATTAATAGAGTTCGTTCGTTTATAAAGTGAAATCACAAAAATATATAATGGTTAGTCTCATTCTTAAATCATAAGTTATTTAGAACAGTAGTTATAAGGTTGAGATGTGTTCTACTAAAAATAATTCTGTATTAGTTAAAAGCAATGATTCTAACTATCTATTAAGTGTATCAGCAGACTAGTGTGATACGTAAAGTTACTAATAAAATAGCTTAAATCACTATTTATTTTATTAGCCTTAATAAATTAGTGTTGGAGATCAAATATATATCAGTGTTATTATGAGTAGAGCACTCAATAGTTTAGTTTATACTTTATAATTAGAAACCAGTGATTAATAAATGTGCCCTTAATAGTGTTCTAACTAAGGAAGTTGCTTAACTTCGTGTTAATGTTAATGCAATCCTGGATACTTCAAAAATGATTGTAGTGTTTAAGCTCCATAACTAAAATTGAATAATGTATGGAAAGGATATATTCAATTTCAATAAACTTAATATTTGAGCATTAATTTTAATGATGCTTCTTTCAAGCAAGAGTAACTTTCTATGGTTTAAATTAATTTTTAAAAGGAAAGCAATTCTAAAGTAAGACTTTTAGATACTTCTCCTAGCAGTAGTAATGGGCCGGAATATTTAATAATCTCATATATATTTGTAAATAAGTAAGGTAACTAAATCCCTTCTTTGACGAATTCAGACTCCACTTAATATATGATAACAAATGAATATAGTTTGAATTTTGTATCATAGCAAATATAAAGTTTGGCTGATAAAAATCATTTGGTTATTTCTATTTATTCAAACTATACTTCAACTAGTTATATTTCAGTTGAAGTAGTTAATTAGTAGAATCAAGAAGATGATTCATTAAAAACTAAAATCTTTATTTTTTTCTTTTCTGGTTTTGGAGTTATAGTACTTCTATGGCTTATGCTTTTAGTTTACAGAGCTTACAAAAGAAGGCAGTTAGAAAGAAGTAGATTTTAGCAAGTATAAAAAGATATATTATTATTCATCATTTTATAAAAAAACTTATTTTATATATGAAAAAAAAGGCTTTAGAGTCAATTGTGAATAGGCGCACTAATAGGGTATCTCCAAGCAAACTTACTTTGAGCAATGATATGGTTGAAAAGTATATGCCTATTAGAATTTATAAAGATATTTTAGAAAGATTGAAACATCCTTACAAAAATTTAGCATGTGAATTATTGCTGGCATAATAGTTTTAGAAATAAATTCAATAAGAATAAATGGAAAGTTAAAAATTTGGAAAAGAAATGTCATTGAAAACGATTTAATAAAATTAACACCAATAAATTGATTAAGAAAGAAATGATATTTCTACATTATAAAATAAAAGAACTAATAATGATGTTTCAATACTAAATGAGAACTAGTAAGACTAAACAAATGCTTTCATAAATTAACAAAATTTTGAAAATGCTTATTAAGATTAAAACGAAATAAATTTATTTAGAAATAATTCAAACAATTTTGAAAATTCAGGTAAATATTTTTTTTTATTTTTAGTAAATATTTTATCTAATAATTTAAAAGTGTAATTCAACTAAGCAAATGTAGAGAGCTTTCAAGATGAAGATGAAATCTAATGTGAAAATTAAGAAGATGGTGGTTTGAGTAAAGACATAGAATGTTAGCAGAATTAAGAAAATTAAGTGCAATAATAATAGAATCCAATATAAGAAGAGTAATGCTCTGTTTGCTTAATAGAGTTTTAAGAGAGTGATTAAATTAGAATTACTATATGTGATCATATTTTTCATAGTGAGTGCTTATTGTAGTGGCTGAAAAGTTAAGAAAATTGTCCAAACTGTAGAAAAGACCTGCAAAGGAGAAAATTAAAATATTGGTATTCTATTCAAGTAAGAAAATAGCTCAGAATTATGATGAATGATAGAAGTGCTTATTCTATAAATTTGTTTTTAGGTTAACCTAAATCAAAATCTACTACTTTTGGAGAGTAAGTTGCTGAATCAAATCAATAGTAATAGTTTTATAGAAAGACTCCTATGTTTCCTTTTAACAAAGTAAAATAATTAAAAAGATTTAATAGCTTGCAAGGAGAGTTCTATCATAACTCATAGACTTAAGGAAATATATTAAATAATGGTTAAAAAACTGAAACAGATAACATTTAATAAACTAATTAGCTGGGTTAAAACAATTCAAAAAGTATTTAAAGACCTACTCAAGTCGAGTATTAAGAAGTTTCTTTTAATGGAGCAATTGTTAGAATCCCAAAACCTAAAATAGAAACAAATACTCAAAAAGTGATAGAAGTTGAAAATGAAGAGGAAGAAGAAAAAAAAGAATAGCTTGAGGAATAAAATTAAGATATTTGTATTTAATAAATTTAGAACGAGTAAATTATTGAGTAAAACTCGAAAATTAAAAATGACAGTTTGAGTATTTAATAAGAAAATAAGAGTGATTTGAATTAAAATGGAAGCAATAAGCATATTGATTTGAAATAAAATGATAATTAAAATATGTTCGAATGTATTTCATTAAATAATTCTATACAGATTGAAGATTGCTAGTAAGAAAACTCATAATGTTTTAGAAAAAGAAAGCACTTAAGAGAGAGTTGGTTTAAAAAATCTGAATAAAGCAAATAAATTCTAAATATTGAAGAAGATAATTCTAGCATGAAGACTATTGAAAAAGATAACTTCAATTAGAAAATAGAAGAACAGCAAATAGCAGGAGATTATAAAAGTATTAGAAAAGATTCCCTTAATTAGGAAAATATAAAATAAAATATAAGTGACGATGAAAGCATAATAAATCTGAATATAAATCAAACTAACAATTAAATTAAAAACCATATAGAAATTAAAACAAAATAAATAGATTTATAAAATCAACAATAATAAAAAAATGTAAATTTAGATTTAAGTGAAACTTCAAAAAACAAATAAAACGATATAAATCATTCTATAAAAGAAAGTAATAAAAGTATGAATGAAAATAATTTTGGATAAAAATTGAAGCAAAGCGATGATTAATTTAATTGCGAGTTAATTGATCTTGAAAATAGACAAGAATCTCCTTGTAAAATTGACTCAATAACTTAAAAATTAGAATTGAATGAAGATTTTGATCCCTCAATTTTCCGTTTGTAAACAGAAGATTTAACTAAATCAAATTAGATAAAATAAGTTAATAAATGTAAAGAGAAATCTCATACAGCTATCCGAAATAATAAAAAGATTATTTAATAAGACACAACTCCTTCAAAGAGAACAAAACAAACAAAATAAACAAAATAACTTAACTTAAATAGCTTGAGCTCAAAGGATACCAATCCTAGTCCTAAATTGTTTATAACTCCTTAAAAAAACAGCTTTAATAATCATTAAATATAAAAATATCAACCCTGTTCATCTCCAATACTCTTATAAAATGCTTCAAGCATTTTAAATAACAAAATAAAAACATAAAACGAAACTTTGGTTTCACAATAGGAACATAAAATTTTTTTAAAAAGTTAGATTAGAAATAGTTAAGAAATAAAATCTTGAATTATTTCTTAATTTAGTCTTCACAATTTCTTAAATTGTTTGAATTCAAATATTTTATTTAGTTTAATTTTTATAATTAAGTTTTCAAATAAATCTGAACAGTAGTTATTAAATAAGTAAATAGCTTAATACAACTACTTCTAATTTATTATAAGGAAAATTTATATAGAATATTATTTCTTTATTTTGAAGCATGAATGAATAATCAACTAAATTTTACTTAGATATTTCTTTCAATTCTGGATAATTTTTCTTATTTTCTAATATTGATTTGATTTAATTAATAATTTCACTAAATTTGTCAATTCAATAATGCGTATTTGTCTTTATCACTAACTTTTAGTATAATTTATTCTAAGTAGAAAATAATCAATTCAGTTTTTTAAGTTATAACTGGAAAGAAAAAAAAATTTATTTATCGGAATATTTTATCTTAGAATAATTAAAAATAGAAAAAGAAAATTATTAATTTGCAAAAATTAATTTTTAATGGTTTTATATGTTTTTTTTTTTTTTGAGTAAGAATGTTAAAGAAAGTTTTCTAAATTTAGTCAAAATGCAATTTAAACAATGTAAAGATAGAAAAAATAAATAGTATTAACACTTATTATTTCAAAAACTTTAACTTAACATGAATTTAACTAAAATTTTTTTTAAATGAAGAATAAAGTCGGTGTATTTTTAGAGAGTAATTTTTGTTAAAGAAATAAAGAAATTTATTTATTTTGCATAATAATATCCAATAATATTTTGTCTTATTAAAATAAAACTTTTAGATTAAATTTACAGCTGTTATCACAAAATTTAACAAATTTAATAGCAAATTAGCTAGCATTATGAATAAAAGGCCTGTTAAAGAAACAGTTGAGTAAAAGAGACCAACTTGGTTTTCTAAATTACCAGTTAATATAGAGGAATTGCAATAAACAGGAGCATTACTAGGAATAACAACTGCACCAGATGATAGTTTTTCTTAAAGTCCTACCAAAGATAGAGATAGCGATCATATAAGCACAAAAGAACTTTTTAAGCTTTTTAATAGAAAAGATTTTAAAATAGATTAGCTTTTAAAACACTTTTACTATCAATACACCAAAATAGGAATTCATGATTACTTAGTTAATAAGCTTTATAGCTACGGTGAAGCAGATTTAAACTTTTATATGTCAGAACTCTGGTAATATTTTACATTAAGAATTAACAAATTTATTATAAAAAGATGTGCTCAATTAACTTAAGATAGCTATTTAATGGATTAATAATTTAAATATTTGAAGCATTTTTTAAAATATATGACCACTTAGGAATATTATTTTAAAAATACCCATTTTAAATTAAATAGTTATCTGTACATTACACGTGATTCAGAAATGTTAAAAAAGTTTCTTGTTGATATGAGTTCGAGGAGCATTAACCTCTACCTTTTGGTAAATAACTAAAATTTTTTAGATTATTTAAAGCGATTTTATAATTAAAATAGATTTATTGGTCACTAGATTCATTCAGTGAGTCTTTGAAGTTAGATGAAGCAAAAAAAGCAGAAAATGAAAGAATCAAAGATCTATTAAAAGTAAAGATTAAATATTTTTATCAAATATAATGTTAATATTTATCTAAAAAGACTGTAGAAAATTCTTTCATTAACGCAAGCATGCAATCATCATTGATTTAAGGTAACTATTTAGTAAGCTTTAATCTATTTAAATGTAAAATTTATTTAAAAAGAAAATAAAACGCCAAGTTAAGTTAAGGAATCAAATGAAAGAGCTAAATACAATAATTCAATCAAAACATTTATTAAAAATATGGTTAACATATCTTTAACTTTAAAGAAACATGAATAGGATGAAAGAAAAGATAAGCTCAAGATGTATATGAAAAGAGCAAATAAATGGCTAAAAAATTTAAGAGAATAAAATCCGTAATTTTTGAAAATATTAAAGAAAATATTCAATATTTAATATAATTAATAGGAATAATGAATTTTTTTAAGGAATTTTTATACCGTTTAGAGAAGATTACAACTAGCAATTGAACTCTACATTCGTAAATTTTTTAGTTAAAATGAATTCAATTAAGCTGAATAATCATTTAAATACAGATAGTTAGAATAGTGCATGAAGAAGTTACTTGCTTTAACACTAAAATGAGAGTACCTTACCGTGTTGCCATAGAAACTATTGAGTATCTTTTTGTTTAAAAATTGAAATAAATTAAGCCAACCTTTTATTAATAGTATAAATGAGCTTAAATAAGTAAAAAAGAAGGTTGTAAGTGAAACTGACTTGGATGATGTAGGTATTATTGGAGATGGACCTGAGTTTTCTGAAAATAATAATGATTAAGCAGAAACTTCTTAGCAATCTGTTATTAAATAAAATGAATCAACTGATAAAATAAATAAATATGGTAGAACATTTAGTATTTGGGCTTGTGAGGCAGAAAATTAGGAAATAAAATTAAATGAAATTAGAAACTCTCAAATGAAAATTTAAAAAAAAGGTGAATTGGTCAATTTGTTAAATTAAGATGAAGAACTCACTAGTGTAGAAAAGTTTCATAGATTGTACAAAAAATCAAAATCCTTAGTACCAGATGATAGTGCATTTAGAGCATTGAAGAAATTTTAGAAAAATTTTAAGTTGTAAGAAACATTTTTAGAAGGCGAGAGATTATAGAAGTATCAAGAAAATATTAAAAGATTTAATATTTACTTTAAGGAGAAAAAAAATGTTATTCAAAGAAGAAGCAGCATAGTAACAGATAGAAATGTTAATAATCCCTTTCGTGAAAGACATTAATATGTTAATGCCAAGGAGAAGTTGAATTGTAATTTTTACCCCTTTTTAGCAAGTTCTTAACATTTTAGCTAATTATTTTATTTTTATTTAGTGAAGAAAAGAAGGAAAGTTTCTTTAAAGGACTTAAAAGTCATTGATGTGCTGAGATTTTTTAAACATTTGCAAAGAAATTACCCCTAATTTGAAAAAGGTAACTCATAATTTTAAATATAAAACAAACAAGTAGTTTTTATAAAAATAAATTAGAAATTTAAATGATTTACAAGCATTTGCATTATGATGAGCTTGAAGAATAAATAGAACACACTAAAATATCAAATGTTGACTTGCTCAATGAAGATGAAGATATTTCTCAAAAATAAATTAGTTCCTTTAGCATCAAAAGAAAATTTCCTTGGGAGGATGTTTGGGAAGATAAAATTATTAAAATTAAAAGAGAGTCTCCTTATGGGTAGTTCAAGTCTTATAAATTAAGGGCAGTTATTTTCAAGGGAGGAGATGATCTTCGTTAAGAATTGCTTGCAATGCAATTGATTTATAAATTTTAGTCAATATTTTAAAAAGCAAATCTTTAGCTGTGGCTACGTCCATACGAAATTATAGTTACTTCTGCTTCATCTGGTATTATAGGTAAATAAATAAATATTCAACTATTGTTTTAGATTATTTTAATTTTTGATTATATAAATTAGAGTTTCTGCCAAATACGTATTCAATAGATGGACTCAAAAAGAAAGTTCCAAAATTTACATGCCTTTATGATTTTTACAAAGACTATTTTGGCAAATAATTTTAATAAGCATAAAGCAATTTCATAGAAAGTCTTGCTGGTTATTCTATAGTTTGTTATCTTCTTTAATTTAAAGATAGGCATAATGGAAATATACTCATAGATAACAGTGGACATCTTATTCATATTGACTATGGGTTTATGTTTTGTATTTCTCCTGGTGGTATCAATTTTGAAAATGCGCCTTTCAAGTTGACAAAAGTAATCAAATAAATTAATCAATTTATTAAAACATATTTTTTATTAAATAAGGAATATGCATAACTTATGGGAGGAAAAGAATCTGAAGGATTTGAGAGGTACAAAAACCTCGTCTTTTAAGGTTTTAAAGAGCTTTAAAAATACGTTGATGAAATTATCTTTTTAGTTTAAATAATGTAAGAAGAATCAGATCTTCCTTGTTTCAGAGGTTTTGACATTAAAGTTTTTAGAGAGCGTTTCTAGGAACATTTAGATGAAAAAAATGTAAATTTAATTTTTGATATCAATATTTATAAATAGCTTTTTTAATAAATTTAAATAAATAGCTCCTTTTGTATGTGAATAAGCTTATCAACGATAGTTATGATAATTGGAGAACAAAATAATATGATAATTTCTAAAAAATGACAAATGGTATTGCACCTTGATTAACAAAAAAATATTTTCAAATTAATGATAAATTAATTCACTAATTAATTAACTAAATTGGCTAAAAAAATAAATTTACCTTCTAATAAATTAAATAAAATCTTATAAATTAAATATCTTACTAAACAAAATAAAATTATTAATAAAATACAAATAAATCTCATCAATAATTTTAATAAAATTATCAATTCAATTTTATGAGTTTTTAGTTCTTCAAAGAACAAATTTTATCGAAGTGTAATTAATTATTTATATCAAATCTATGAGTATTTATAATAAAATTTAACTAGTTATCAATTTTTGATCGATAATTAATATAATTGATTATCTAAAATTAATAAATAAAATATTGTAATTAATTTTCTTATTTATTTTTCGAAATATTGTGAATATTTATGGTTTTTAATATTATTTCTTTAATAATTTATTTAAATTAACTTTCTATTAAAAATTTTTGATAAAATATTTAGTTTTTAAGTGTTTTTTATCTAGCTGAAATTTAAATCATAGCCTTTTAATTATTATTTAATTTGAAATGAGGATTTGAATTATATAACATTTAATAGATTAACTATTTTAACTTTTACTGAAATAATTCCAAAAATTTTAGAAATAGATAAATTTTTCTTTTAATTATATGTATTTTCTATTTAATTAAAACCTATTTAGATGAATTTCCTTAAGTTAAATTGACTGACTTATAGAAATCCTATCAAAATCTTAGCTTAAGTAGTTTAAATTTAATGATTTGATATTTAGAATTTTAACATTTTAAAAAATTGATTGACTTTGAGGGTATGCGTATATATTATAATTTTATTTATATATCAAATTGATTGTTTTACTTTAATTACATATCAATATAAATTAATAAACATTAATTTTTAGTTATAAATTTTAGCAAAATGGATGCAATTAGTATTGTGATTAAAGACCCAGAAAACAATAATTTGGGTAGACACTCAGTGTTCGATATAAAACCAAATAAATAGCAAACGAGAAGAATATTACAAGAATTAAACGAACCATCAATATAAATAGAAAAGCTTCTTAAGTATTTATACCTATTCTATGAATATATTGGAGTGCATGATTTTATAATAAATAAACTATACAATTACTCAGAAGCAGAGTTGAACTTTTTCATGACACAATTATGGTAATATTATTTATTGTTAGTATATAAAAAGGATTAGAGATAGAATCATAAACATTTCTATATGAATTTTAGTTATTTATGCATTTAAAGAGGATCTCAATCTTTAGAAAAGTTCTTAGTAGATAAGTGTGCTACATCAGCAAGCTTTTACTTTTTAGTAGAATTTATTTTTATTACAAAAATTTAAACTGATAATTATTACATAGGTGAGATCTATTGTTGATGCATACAGTGTTAATATAAAATTAGATGTTGATGAATAAAGGAATTTACAAAAATTTAAAGAAGTAAATAAACATTTTAGATAGATATTATTTATTAAAATATGTAAAAAATATTCAAAAAGGATGTTGAAAAATCATATGTAAATGGGATTAGTTGCAGATCTTGCTTTTATCTTAAAGAGAATCGACGTAGTTTATGCAATTTTAAAAATTAAATGAAATTAAATAAATAATTTATTTATATAAGCAACTTAAGAAATAATTAATCAAGCTAATGAAAAAGGAGCTAGAATAGATTATATTAAGCTAAATGATTCTTTCTTAGGTAATATGGTAAACTACTCTCTCTTATTAAAAGGAATTGAAAAACCAGATTAAAAAGCTAAATTAAAAGAATTTATGGATAATGAAAATTTTTGGATAATTAATACTTTAAGGAAAGTTAAGTAAATTCAATCAAATATCTATTGAAATGTTCTTCTTTATAAATGAAAATTGTTAAAAAATAGCACTGATACTTAATATGAAGGTATCACCATTCCATTTAGAAGACCATTGAAATCAAAATATAGTTCAAATCTAGTAATTGATTTTTATAAAACAATAAAAAGCTGATAATCAAAAATAATTAAAAAAGGTTGTTAAAATTATTTCCGATGAAGTTACTTGCTTTAATACAAGAACAAGAGTTCCTTATAGAGTTGCAATTGAAACAATAGAGTAAAAAATCTTTTAAAATTTAATATATAAATATTTAAAAATATATTAGCATAGAAGAACTGAAGATTAACGGAAGAACAAATAGAGAGTCAAATTCAGATTTGTAAGCAACTTAGTTGTTAAATTAACAGAATTCAAAGATCAAGCAATTAGTAGCAAGATTGGCTTAAGCAGTAAAAGCTCAAACTCCTTCATAAAATAATAAATAAAATAAGTACAATGATAATTTAGTAGTATTGTTAGAATAAGAAAAGAAAAAGGAAGAAGAAGAGTAAAAAAAAGAAGAAATGTTAAAAACTTAAGGAATTAAATATTTTAAAAAAACATCAATGAATTACTAAGAGCCAGAAACAAGGTCAAGAAAGGAAATTTTAAAAGAAAGCAAATAAAAATTCAATGAAAAATTTCCTCCAAAAAAATTATTAAGAAGTACATCTTAAGGAATATTAGAAGCTCAGAAAATATAAAAGTTTAAGAATGCAATAAAGGCAGCATTTTTTAAAGCAAGTAAAAATTTATTTAAAATTAAATTTTTAATTTAATTTTTTAAATTATTTTAATTTATAAACTGTGCAATTGCTTTTACAAATCATATTAAAATATAAATCTTAAACGTTATTTTATATTAAAATCTAAATTTTTGATTTAAAATTATCAAGATAATTTATTTTTAATTTATTCGAAAAATTATGGTTTACTCAAAGTTAATTTTTTAATGTTTTTTTAAAAATAATTTTTTATTTAAAAAGTATAGTCTGATAATTAAAAATATATTTTTCATGAAATATTAATAATTAATTTTAATTATTCATATATTTTATAAATTAGAAAATAAAAAAAGATCAAAATCAGTTAGAGGAATTAAGCATGAAGAATTAATCTCAAATCTAAAAACAATGACAAATTCTAAAAAATTGAACTTTAAATAAGTCTAAAGTAAATTTAATCTTATTTTTATTTTCATTTTAATTTAAATGTATTTTTATATAAAGAAATTTAAGATATTATTGCACACATTGATAATAAAGATGATATAAAAAGTATGTAAGATATAGATTCAGAACCTGTACGTAAATTAGAACCTTGGGGTGAATTCTGGGAAGATAAAAAGAAATTAATTAGGGCATAATCAGAATATGGGAAATATAAAAGCTATTAATGTAGGGCAGTTATATTCAAGGGAGGAGATGATCTTAGATAAGAAATCCTTGCTATGCAGTTAATATATAAGTTTTAAAAAATATTTATGGATGCAGGATTAAAACTTTGGCTTAGACCTTATGAAATTTTGGTCCTGTCTGCTTCTTCTGGTATTTTAGGTAAAAAAATTTAATTTTAATTTAAAAATTAAAGAATTAATTTTATAAATAGAGTTTTTGCCAGATACTCTATCAATCGATGCCCTTAAAAAGAAAGTAGATGGATTCACAAATTTATATGATTTTTATTAGGATACTTTTGGAGATTATTTTGATGAAGCTTAAAAGAATTTCATTGAAAGTTTAGCAGGATATTCAATAGTTTCATACTTGCTCTAATTCAAAGATAGGCATAATGGAAATATCTTAATTAACAATGAAGGTCGCTTAATTCATATTGATTTTGGTTTTATGTTTAGCATTTCTCCAGGAAATATGAATTGGGAAAATGCTCCTTTTAAGCTGACTAAAGTAGAAAATTATTTTTAGAAATAAAAGTTATATATATATATAATTATTGATTTATTTAGGAATATGTTCAGCTTATGGGAGGATAACAATCAGATTAATATTCATACTATAAAGATCTCTTATTTATGGGATTCTAGGCTATTTTAGAAAAAGTAGAAGATATTATATTTATGGTATAAATTATGTAAGAAGACTCAGATCTACCATGCTTTAAATACTTTGATTAGTAAGTTTTTAGATAAAGGTTCAGAGAAGACTTAAAAAATAACGATGTTGGAGTAAAATATTAAATGATTCTATCTGATACGTTTTAAATTAATTTTTAATAAAAATAATAGCTTAGACAATATGTGGAGAAATTAGTAAGTGATAGTTATGACAACACAAGAACAAATCTTTATGACTATTTCCAATTAAAATCAAATGGAATAAAACCTTGAAACTTAAATTTTAAATTAAAATACATAAATAAATTATTTGTGGGTGAATTTAATATTTTTAAATATCTAAAAAACTGTAAGTAATTATGAATTTAATTTATTGAATACTTTCTTAGTAAGAAAGTGAATTAATAAAGTATGAAAATTAAATATTATTATTAACTATAAAAATTTTTTAAAAAGATAAAATCTAAAATTTTTTTAATTTAATGTTTGATTGAATACTAAAAATATAAATCAAATTTGATTTTAATTAAGAATTTTTATAGAAGTATATCAAAAAAATGATTCAAAGAAATGAATAGTTTTTTTTAAGCCAGTTGAGATTTGTTATAGATTAAGTTGTCTTTTATCATTTAAATTAATTTTATAAATGAATGAAAGTGTGATAAATACTTTTTTTTTGAATAAAATATTGCATAAGTAAATTATTAGTTGTTTATTAACTATTTAAGTATTTGTTATTATTTTTCATATTTCAAAAAGCATATTTTTGTAATTTAATAGTTAATAATTTTACTTATAATAACAAAATTGATTGTGTACTACTAAAATAGATTTTTTAAAGATTTATATCTTTTTCTAATTTGAAAAATGTGCCATTCCACTTGCGCAACGTGTAATTAAGGAAAAAATACCTTTGCTGATTGTACAGCTTGTAATGCTTCTAGATATCTATTTGACAATAGTTGTCTATGCCCTAAAGGATAAGATACAGATTCTAGCTATAATTGCTATGGTAAATATTAATCATATTTTAATTTAAAAGGAATTTTTAATTTTTAAAATAGATTTTGATAGCTCTGTTTCTAATTTATAAGACTTTGTTTATGCTCTATAATATGGATTATTGTCTCTAATGATTATTTCACTATTTATTAAAAGGCATATTCCATTAACAAGAAAGCTTCTTGACACATGCTAAACTATAGGGCTTCTATTTTATATACATCAATATTATGAACCAAGAACTACTGTTGCTTTTTAGCTTTTCTAAATGACTAACTTATCTACTTTAATCCCAAACTATATAGCAAACCATTTTTATGGATAGGATATGCAACTAAATGCTAGCAATACTTACACATATTTGAATATGGGTAATGAAAATTAAACTCCTGATTATAAGGTAAATATTTACTAAAATCTATTGCTTTTTCACCAGATTTAAATTATTAACTGTAAGAATACTAAATAATTTATCTTTAAATATAGTTTTTAATCAATGGAAAAAGTTCTAATTTTTTAATAAACTAATTGTAAGTATTCGTTATATGGGCAGTAGGATTGATCTTATTCTTAGTTGTTGGTGCTGGTATTAGTATTATTAATTAGGGAAAAGGCTTTTGTGAGTATATTAGATTCAATTTTATGAATTATGTATACATCATATTCTACTTTACTTTTTAAGAGAGCTTTTTAAACTTGTTTTTATAACTCAAAAATCTGTAATGGACTTAAGCAATTCATTACATTTCACTAGGAATATTAATTTTATATTTTGTTTTGGCTCTTTTTATTATAAGGAGCATTTTAATTTCCTAAAATTCTTATCCTAAGGATTAAATTTAAAAGAAAATTGAAATTTTTAGAAGAAGAGATTAATGCCACTTCTTATTTGCTTTTGAAGATCCTTTAACTGATATCTCTATTTAAGAAAAATCTGAAAAATCTGCACAGTCACCAACTGAGATTGTAACTAGTAGCTGGATAGTATTGTCTCTTATTTAAAAACTCATAATGACAGGAGTTATAGTATTTTAATATAATAATAAAGTAGAAATCTCATTAATTGTTATAATTGTTATCTTCTTCAAGTTATTCTTCTTAATAAGACCAATTAAAAATAAGGTAATACTTATTTTTTCTTTTTTAGCTGACTGTTATGTCGTTGTTGTGATTATACTCTCTGTTTATTCTTATTTAGTTTACTTACTTTGGCCTGGTATCCTTGTATTGAATTTTTTGATGATACTTGAAGATGTTTTTAGTAGCAAATTCTATCCTACTGTACAAGAAGTCAACTATTTAGAAAAGATAACTCATTTATAACAAAATGAAGAATATCAATAAAACCAAAAATTAAATTATCAAAAAAATTAAGAACTTGTTGTTTAAAATATTGCTTAAAGCTAGAATAATCCTTAACATATTAATAATAATCTTTCAAATTAGTAAAATTAGCTTGACTATAGCATTTAAATTCCTCTAAAAAATAGTTAGCAACAAGAATAATCAGTTTTGATTAAACAAGACAATTCTATGACAAATTAAAATTTAGCGTATGAGTAATCTCTGAACTAAGAAAGATTAGAATCGCAACAATATGCATAAAAATCAATGCGAAACAATATACCTGAAGTAATAAATATATCATAAAACTAAAATAACTAACATGCAATTACAGATAAGGAAATTATAGGAAATTTACAAAAATAGCCTCCAGCTGTCTAACCCAAAGCATAAAATTAGCAGATGATAGAAATGAAACAAAAATATTTAGAAAGAATGAGAAAATAAAATGAATCTTTGCTCTAAAAATAACCAACACAAGCTGAACTTAAAAAACCAAACTTAGATGATGAATATGATTTAATAAATGGTTCAAATTAACTGCAGAATAATTAAAATTTAAATAAATCAAAATAAAATTTACTTTTTTATGGTCCAGAAAATATTTCATAGAACAACTAAAACAATTTTAATAATAAAAAAAATTAACTTTCTGATGTGGCTCTAAAAGATTCTGATAGAAAAAGTAATAAAAACAATAATATTGATAAAGATTCCTTTTTTGACACTTAAGAAGAATATGATAATGATTACTCATAATTGCCATCTGTAAAGCCTTAAAATTCATTAGATAAGCAATAATTCAATTAAAATAAAGAAATGTAGAATGTTTAATAAAAACGCCAAAATAGCTATTAATAGTAACCTGATAGGAAGTAGTCGCTTGAGCAGAAAAAGATAGATGAAGAACTATCAAATTAATGGAAATTCAACTGATGCAATTATAATTTTATTTTTATTTGCATACTTTTCTTGTAAATATAAAAAAATTTTTCAAAAAGTTTGTGTAAAATATTTTATCATTACAATTTTTCGTATTTATTTTATTTGAGGTTAATAATATATTAATTATTTAACCAACGAAAATAGAACTATCAGACAAAATCAATCAATCAATTAATTAATTAATTAATTGAAGTAATTGGTTTTGTTTTTAAAATCATCTATATTTATGGAATGATTATTATTAAAGTAAATTCAAAAAAATAACTTGAGGAAATTAAAAAAATTAAAAAAAGAAATAAATTAAAAAATTATATCCTTCAAAGATTATTAAGATTTATAAATATTTTCAAAAATACGATAAAAAACTCTTTTGGTAGAATAGCAAGTATTGAAAAAATAACACATTAAATTTCAAAAATAGGAAGAACGCAATATACGTAGCCATGCAGAATTAGCAATAAAAAATGTAAACTATTTTAATAGCTTAGAGCTAAGTTTACTATTACATACGAGAGGGATTTTGGTCAACAATGTAGAGATTTTGTTAAGAAGTAAATAGTCATTGAAGCTTTAGAGATAGTTATTCAACTGCTTAATTATTTTTATTTTATTAAATTAAATAGCAATACAAAGCATTCGGCGATCCTTTCTTTATATTTTGGAAAGCATATGGTCTTTATCAGGAAGGTTTACCAAATGAAGCAATTAATGAACTAACTTCTATCTAACATAAGAAAGAAATTTAATACGCTACTATTGTAGCTTTGATTACTTATCATTTAAGTACTAATATTGTGGATAGGGTAACAAATCATTTATTTCATTCAGCTTTGATGCCTGATTATAGAAATTTAAATAATAAATAGATTCTAAAATCATTTTATGAATTAATTGAGTTGGTTTGAGTGATTTTTTTTTTTTTTTCATAAATAGGAAACTGTTTAAAATTTAAAATTTGAAGAATCAACATAAAGAAGATTGTCTAGTGATAAAGCTATTTGTTTGGCAGCATTTTTCTATGCATTCAATAAAGAACACGCAAAAGCTAGAGATTTAATAGATGAAATTCATTCAGATAACTTCAATATCAGAATTGCTTCTGCATGGTGCTATTTATTAGAAGTATTTTCAAATTTACGAATTTAAAAATTAGTTAAACTCTACTAAATCAATTTAAAAATATTATTTTAATGGACAAATAGGGTGGTAAATTCCTTGAAAAATCAGTGCAACTATTTGAAGAACTTTACAATGAATAGCATGAAATCAATAAAAATTTAGAATCCTTAATGGGAAGATCTAAAGCAAATGAAATGATAAAGAAATTTGATATTTCACTGAATACAATAAACGAAATTAATGTACTTTATCCAGACTTTAAAGGAGGTTTGATTGAAAAAGCAAAACTTTTAATGACTGTAATTTATTTTTCAAAAATAAAAAACGATATGAAATAAATCTATAAATCTTTCATAAAATAATTTTTATAATTAAATAAAAACCTATAGGTTGATGATTGGGAACAATTAGTTGATTATTGCAATAAGATTTTATATGATGATGATAAAAACATCATGGCTCTTATGCTGTTAACATTTTATACATTCGCAAGGGAGGGTGATATTGAAACAGGGTGCGAGAGACTTTAAAAGCTAATTCAAGCTGTGGAATTTAGTGAATCTAGAAACATGCAATTAATGTTTAAAATTAGTTAAGTTTTCTCAAGAATATCAGGAAGAAATACATAAATTTTAAAATTCACAATGAAGTTAGTTAATTAATGCAAATAATTAAGCCCTTTAAACGCATAGTACTTTTGCGAGCTTGCTTAATAACTTTTGATGGTAATTTTTATTAATTTGCATATTATTATTCTTCATTTTTTTTAACAATAGGTAAATCAATTTGAAAGAGCTGAATAGTATTTCTAAGAAGCTTCAGCAATAGATGTAGATAATAAAGAATGTTTGATGGGTTTGATTTTATCTAAAATCATGCAGGGATAAACAGAGGATGCTGAATCTTAAATTGATTTTATTAATTAAACAACTAATAATGGTGAAAGAACATCTGAAATTGCTTATTTGGAAGCTCTAGTTTCCACAAAGCAAGAAAATGTTGATCCTAGAGTTACAATTAAACTTTTGGAAGAAGTAAATTATTTTGATGAATGTTAATAATTTATTAAATAAGTTTATTTAATATAAAGTCTTTAAAGTTGCACATAGCTCAAGCTAATAGACTTTATCCAAGCTTTGATTTCTATATAGTTTTGAATCCTGATTTCCTCATGTCTCTATCTCAAGCTTATTTCTTTTAAGTTGGCATGAAAGAAATGCTTGCAGGAAAATAACCTCAAAATGGAGTTGCTTCTAAAGGTACAAAGCTTTTAGATTTTATAATCAAAAAGATTCCAGGACTCATTCCTGCTTACCTCCTTTAAGCTAAAGGAAAGATGTCCATGGGTAATACTTAAGAAGCATTAAAGAGTGTAACAAAAGTTATTGAGTAGGATCCTAAAAATGAGGAAGCATATATTCTATCTGCTATGATTGCATCGTCATCAAAAAACTTTAGTCTAGCTTAAAACCAACTTTAACAAGCATTATCTAATAATTTCATGATTAGAGATAATCCCCTCTTCATGCTTGTTAAAGGTGAGGTTGAGTATGCCTAAGGAAGTTATTAAGCTTGCTTAGAAACTATGAAAGCTGCATATGAAATTCCAGAAGTCAAAGATAAAGCAAATTAATCTAAAGTAGTTTCTGCAATGTCAGTACTCTAGTTTTCAGATAAGGATAGATGTTCCATATTTTTATTATATGCCAAAGCTCTTCAATAAAACAACAATTCAAAAGAAGCAAAAAAAATTATGACTTAAGCTATTTCCCAATTTACAGGAACAACAGAAGAAGTTAATGTCCTGATTGCTAATTCTGAAATTGCTTTGCAATCTGGTGATGTTAAGAAGGCTATTTCTATTTTAAAGGTAATTAATTTATTTTACATAATTAAGCAAAATTTGTCACTAAACATTTATATTTTTTAAATAACTATTAAGGGTGTTCCTTAAGAATCTCCTTATTTCTTAAGAGCTCGTTAAATATTGGCTGATGTCTATCTTGACTAGTTGAGAGATAGAAGAAATTATGCAAAATGCTATGCTGATTTAATTGAGATAGATCCTAGTTTTGATAACTACAAAATGCTTGGAGATGCTCTCATGAAAATTAGAGAACCAGAAGAAGCTTCAAGGGCTTATGAAAAGGCAGCCTTGATCAAACCTGATGATGAGTAAATCATTCAATTGTTAGGTCTTTCTCTCTGTCAAACCCATGATTACAATAAAGCCTTAACTTATTACGAAAATGCTTTAAGGATGAATCCTAAAAGACTTGATTTAATTATTGATTTAGGTAAGTTATGCATCTAGATTAAAAATTTCAACAGAGCAGAAGAAATTTTAAAACCTGATATATTTTCCGATGAATATTAATTACCAACTTATCAAAATTTGAAGAGAAATCAAGAAGGATTTTACTTAATCGCAAAACTTAACATTAAGAGAACTCCTCCAGGTGTTTTTACACCTATCGACATGTATAGAAAAGCCTTAAAAAAATCTATTTAGATTTAAATCGATGTTATAGGTAATTGAATTATTTTAAAAGCTTAACCCTAATTTAAATGCTTTAATTTATAAAATAGAAAAAGCTAAGTAAGAAGGAGAAGATGTAGAAAAAGAGAGAAAAACATTGGCTGACATGTATATTGAGCTTGCAAAATACACTAATTAATATGAGAAAAACGAGAAAGCAACACTTGATATCCTTGCTGAAGCTTCTAAATACACAAACAATTAAGATACTATGTCCAAAACAGTTGGAAATTAGGAAAAGATTCTTGAATTGGAAGTGTAAATGTACTTTAAGTCTAACTAAAAATTAGAATGTGAAAATAAGTGTAATTTGTTGCTAAAGTTGAACCCTAATAATGATTTAGCTTGCTTAACACTTGCTGAACTCTTGCTTCAAAAAGATGAATACTCTTAGGTAATTTCTTTGGTCGTTTGAATAAATAAAACTATATTTATTTACTATTAAAAATAAAGGCTATTGAATAATTCAAAAAGATACTATAAGATAGACCAAATAATTATGGTATTTTAGCAAAATTAATTGATTTCTTTAGAAGAAGTTTCCAAATTAACGAAGCCAAAACTTATATTGAAAGAGCAGAAAAAAAGGCTACTAATACTAATGATCCCGGTCTTTGTTATTGCAGAGGTCTTTATCATAAATACAACAGGTTTTAATTTTTTCTCATATATTGGATTATTTTTAATTCTATTATTTTTTGAAATAATACAATTAGATCTCCTAAGGATGCTCTTAATGAGTTCTCTAAAGCAAAAAAATCCTCATAGTATGCTGAAGAAAGCTTAGTTAACATGATTGATATATATCTAAATCCTGATTAAGATTTATATTATTCAAACGTTGAAGAAGGCCCAAAAGTAGTTGATGAAGTAAATTTGAGAGCTTGTGAATCTCTTCTTAGAGAAATGCAAATAAGAGCATCTTATCTTAGATATATTGTTATGGAGAGTTACGTGTTCTTTTTAGGAGGTCCTCGCTATAAAGGAGGATTAGAGTAAGGCTTAAAGAATTTAAATGACATCTTAAAAACTAATAATGATTATATCCCAGCTATGCTTGCTTTAGCAGTAGGTAAATTCATTCAAAAAAAATCAACCGATGCAAAAAATCTGCTAAAGCTTCTTTGGAAGAGATAATATACTACTGAGTATGGTGAAGACCTTGAAAGAGCTTGGCTTTTATCTGCTGATTCTTTTATTGCCGTAAATAAAATTTATAATAATTGTATTTTAATAAGATTTTTTAAACTTATCAAAAGATCTAAAAGTATGATTCTGCAGAAGAAATTTTAAAGAAATGCTTAAAATATAACCAATCTTGTGGTAATTTTAATAAATTTAGTGTATATTTTTCAATTTTAATTTTCGTGTATTAGGAAAAGCAGAGGAGTACATGGGTTTAATTAAAGAGAAAGAATAGTCTTATGTAGATGCTGCAACTCATTACGAAAAGGCATACAAATTAACTAATGAAAAATCAGCATCAATTGCATTTAGACTTAGTTTCAACTATCTTAAAGCTAAAAGATATGTTGACTGTATAAATATTTGCAAAAAAATTTTAGTGCTTTTCCCAAATTATCCAAAAATAGAAAAGGATTGCTTGGAAAAGGCTCGTTAGGCTTTAAAATGAAGAGAATATAATTAAACAGCATAAAACACTTTTTTACAATTTATTATAAATTAAATCTAAATAGTTATTTTTAAACAGTTATGATCTTATATATCAATTATTTATTAATAAATTAGCTCGTTTGTTTTTTAATATTACTTAAAATTATTTTCAATATTTATTTTTCACTTTTTCAACATAAAAATCCAAAATTTTTAGTTTTAATTAAATATAAATTAGTTGACTGACATGATTAATGTAATTTTACTAAAAACTTGTGTATTATCACTCATACCTTATCTATTTAATTTTACCATTTTAATTAGGAAAAATTTATTTGATTTCAGCTTCTAATCTTAAATAATTATAATATTTAAAAGTAGAATAGTCAGTCAGCATTAAAGTAACCTAACAATTTTTATTCACAAATGGAAATATATTTTACAAAATAAAAAATCAGAATTTTATTATTATTCTTAAAGTAATGTTAAAAATAAATGAAAAAGATTTTTGAATATTTTAAGTATCTTGCGTAATAGATGTAATAAGCTGTAAACTCTTAATAAAAGAAGTTAATTCTTTTCCAAAAGGCTATATATAACTCATATAACACCAAGTTTTAATCTCAAAATAATAAATCTATTTAAAAGTTTAATTAGTATCATAATAAACGAGCAATAAAAATGAAATTTACAAAAGAAATTTATAAGGGATATGTTTAACTTAAAAGAAAAAGGTTTTGGGTAACAAGGCATTTAATACTTTATGAAGATAGATTAGCCTATACTGAAAGCGAAAGCGATATTGAAGTAAGAGGAGAATATTACTTAATGTCAATCGAATTCAATGAATTAGATGGTAAAGAATCAAAGTTGATATAAATGATAAAAAAAGATAATAGAGAAGTTTTACTAATTGATGCAGGAAGTTAGCATAAAAAATGGATATAAAAAATATAAATGACTAGACAAAGGCTTTTATAGTAAAGAGGATTGCCATCTGAAGATTTATAAGCATCATCATCATTAAGTAGAGTTCAGTAGTCTCGTGATACGCTAAGCTAAAAAGAAAATAAATCATAAGAAGATGAGTCAGAAACTTGGGATACAAATAGGATGAATAAACCTGAGTTTGTTATTAAAGATCCTTCATTAAAGGCTTTTAATTATAATAGAGGGTATTACATTATAGATAAAAATTTAGTGCCTGAGCACTAAAATAACTCATTAATTTAGGAAGGTTTTGGTGTTCTCTCTTCTGTGGATTCAGATTCAAAGTACTTGATTTCAGCAGGTTCCAATTTTTTAGTTTATTAGCTTGGTAAATACTCTCAAGCAAAATTAGACTTATTTAAGTAAGTTCAAAAAGGTTTTTTGCTTTTAAGAAATGTGATAGTTGAATAATTTATTTGGAAGCTGATATCTTTGTTAGGAATATATTTTCTATTTTATTTTGAAATGCTAGGTGCTTTCTATGTATCCTTAATAGCTTTCTATGTCATCTTTTTTAGGGGATAAGTTTACTAAATTATGAATAGAATCTAATTAAATGACTATGATTTTTATATAAACGGTTACTTTAAAACTAACATTAATGAATTTTTGAAATATGTCAAATCTAATTAAGATATTTAATGCACCATGACTTACTAAGATAAAAAGGTTTTCATGAAACTTAAAAATAAACAAACTAAGCTAAGTCTCACAATCGTTTGTTTTCTATCTATTTTTGATTATGATGGGTTCACTATTCATACTCTCTGCAGAGGATCTAAAACAAGCTATTTATAGTCTATTTAATTCTTTGAGCAATCACTTCTAGAAATAAAGAGAATGAGAAAAAATACTACCAGCATACTATATTAATACCATTAGCAATACTAAGATACTATATTCAAAAACACTCATACTTCAACAAAATATATTAATATGAATAAAATAGAAGCATAAGCAAATTAAAATTAGAATTAAATTTAAGATAAACCATTTTAATAAAAAAATGTGTAGAATTTGAACATAGATGAATAAAAAAATTAAGTTAATGAATAAGTTTAAAAATAAAAACCATAAGAATAAGTAAATCCAATTACTTAAATACAAAGCCCGCCTGCTATAAGTGGATAAGAATAGGTTTACAAAAATTAACTATCAGATTTAGCTGAATAAATGATTAGCCTATCCTAATTAAATGCTTAAAATAATTGGGAATTAATAGATAAAGATAAGTTTATACAAGTTCACAGGAAATTTAATGAAGAAAAAGGACTTGTTTATTGCAGAGGAGAATGTAAAATATAAACCAGTGTAGATGAATTAGTTTCATTCTTGTTTGATATTTAAAATTAAAAACACTATAACAGTTACTTTGACTATGGTGAAGATGTTGAAGTATTTACAAATGATATGAAAATCATATATTCTATAACAAAAAAAATAGTTATTATCAGTCCTAGAGATGTCTTGGCACTGCAAGGAATAGTCAGAATAGGAAACGATGTAAGAAATTCAAAATTAATATATTATTTATTTAATATTTACATTTTATATTTATAAAAGACACTTATTTGCTGCTAGAGTATTTATGATAGATAAAGACAACCTCATAAGAAGGATGCAGTTAGAGTTGATTTGTTTATAGGTGGATTTTTGATTTAGCCTATTTCTAGTACTGAAGTTAATTGCATTTATGTTGTCTGTTCTGATCCAAAGGGAAAAATCCCATAATATATCAAAAATATGGGAATGAAAGATTAGGCATACACTCCTAATTTAATTAGAAAATATTTTGATAAGAAAAAGAAAGAAATAAAATGATATTTATACTATAAAATTAATAGATTAGTTATTATATATTATGAAGATTTAATAGATAGATTTAGTATTTAAACATATATTCTAAATACATAAACTTAATATACTTATTTATACATTATTTTATAATTATTTAATTATTAACAAAATTTTGTTTTCTGTTCCCATTACTAATTCTTTTAAATGATTATTTGTACTCTTTTATTTACCTGTAAAATATATAAATTCTAATTATAATTAAGCTAAATAGATAGGTAGACAGATTGAAAGAAAGAAAGATACATAATATATATAAATAGTTTTAAAATTAGATAATTGTTTTTTTAAAAAGTAAGTATGGATCAAAAAAATAGCGAAAATAACTAGATGTAGATAGAAGAAGAAAACTCTTCTTAAAAAATTAACTATTATCATAATCATGATGTTAATTAAAAACTTGACTGTTTGGAAGGTTATATGCATAATCATAGGTCATAGTATTGCAAAATGTGCAAAAGGACAAGCAAAGATATTGGGAATAATCACAATAATTTCAATTTAGATACATGTTTTGATAATGATAATATTAAAGAAGAAAGTAAAGGATATGAAAGAAATCAAGATTACTATTATGATAGTTATTCCCACTTTAACATTCATGAAGATATGCTCAAGGATAAAGTCAGAACCAAGGCATACATGAAATCTATCTTAGATAATAAGAATTTATTTGAAGGAAAGATTGTACTTGATATTGGTTGTGGTACAGGTATTTTAAGTATTTTTGCTGCTAAGGCAGGGGCAAAGCATGTATATGGAGTTGATAACGCTAATATTATTTTACATGCAAAAGCAATTGTTAAAAATAATAATTTAGCAGACAAAATTACACTAATTTAAGGTAAAATGGAAGAAGTAGAATTACCAGTAGAAAAAGTAGATATCATTATTTCTGAATGGATGGGTTATTTTTTACTTTATGAGTCTATGCTAGATTGTGTATTAGATGCAAGAGACAAATATTTAGCATCAGATGGTCTAATGTTTCCTAATAAGGTATTAACAAAATTTGTTAATTTTGAATATTCCTTTCTTAATATATATGTTTTCCATTAAACTTAAAAAATTATTATTAGGCTACTATGTTTATCTCAAGCTTCTGTAATGACGAAATATATAATTAAAGATTTGATTTTTGGGATAAAGTATATGGAGTTGATATGTCTTGCATGAAATAATGGGTCTATAAAGAACCTTTAGTGGAGTAAATTATTTACATATGTTTATTAATAAGAAGAATAAGTAATTTACTACTGTATAAATAATTAATAGTTAAGCTGATAGAGGGACTATTAATGGAGATTTTGTAAAATTAATAGAATTTGATTTAGAAACAGTGAAAAAAACTGATTTGGATTTTGTTGCTGAATACACTTTAAAGATAAGAAGAGATGATTATGTTTAGGGAGTAATAATATGGTGGGATGTTTACTTTAATTATTGCAAAATACCAATTAAATTATCAACAAGCCCATTTGCAAGTGAAACTCATTGGAAATAAACTATGTTCTTTATAGAAAATGAGGATATACCTGTGATTAAAGGTGATACCTTATCAGGTAAAGTAGCTGTAAAGAAATGTACTAAAAATCCAAGAGATTTGGATATAAAAATACAATTTAAACTTGAAAACCGCGAAATAGATTTTGACAAATCTTTTGTCTACAAAATGAATTGAAAAATTTTATAAAACATATCATTTATTTAACTAGTTTATCTACTTATTTATAATTAAAAAGTTAAAAAAAATCTTTTATACTTTTAAATTATTAATAATCAAAATTATTTCTGATAAACATAATTATTTGTTTAATTTATATAATTTTTAAAATAAAATTAGTTAAATGAAAGGCTATTTTTTCTAAAAAATTTAATTGTCTAACAACTATTTATTTATTGAACTATCATAAAAATTATCATATATGGAATATAAAGACATATAAAAAGAGTTAGAATAAATTGAGTTTAAATTAGATTTAGTGGGTTCGAAAACCTAGAGAATTCTATTTTGTTTTTAAAAACTCTTCCTTGATAATAAATTAATTTAGTACCGTAAAACCTCGTTAAGGAAAACGAACGAATTGCGAGGTAAGAGGTAAAAGTCTTAAAATTATTATACTGAAATTAAAATTTAATAAAAATTATGAAATATCTGCTAAAATTTCTGAATATATGATATATATAAATCATTAAGATTATTTTTTTAGATTTTTTTATAAAATTTGATGAATTATTTTTAAATCTAATTTTTAACTATTTGGCTGAATAGAAAAAATATCAATTTCCATCTATCCCAAATCAAATTATCTTTAAAAAGTCCTTTTACAAATTTATTCAATATAATCATTGTTTAAAATTTTGATTGCAGTTAGTTTTTATTGATTATGTATACTTTTAATTATTTATTTATAATTTGGTTTGCTATTTTGTTATCTAAAAGATTTTTAATAAATTACATATATGAATCAATAAAAAAAAGCTAAATTATAGATTTAAAACATTTATAAGAAGCATTTTATGAATAATTAAGTAAAGCTTATTATAATTTATAGGATTTAATATGAATGTTTTTCATTTGTTAATAATATATTTTATATGATATATCAAGAATTTTATCTAGAAAAGCTTTTAAATTATTTCATAGTAGAAGTAGAAGAATGAAGAAATTTCCCTCCTTCTGTCTTAGATTTTCTTTATGCAAGAGAGTTTTCAAGAATTCCATAATCATCTGATCGCATTTATCATTACAATAAGTAAATAAATAATTTATTAAGTTTTTATTAAAAATGAAAAATGATACAATTAACTTCTTATGGAGAATTTAATGAAAGCTTGCTTAATCTACTTTTTGTACTTTTATTTAACTAAGAAATACTTTAATCAGGTAAATATCCTACTCTTCCTATTTTATAAAATGTAATATATTTAAATTAGATGAAAAGTATTAAATAGTTGTAAAACAATTTTATAAATAAATAAGTTATTTAATTTTAATATTTTACTTGCATTGTGGCTAATATTATTTGCTAGGTATTTTCTTTTCATATTGTCTAACTCAAATTATTTAAAACTGTACATAGAAGTTGTGCTTACTAATCTCTTTTGTATTCCCTAAATAAAAATTTTTAGTTAAAAATAAACGAAAATTTCTAAAAAATTTTGCTCTATATTTTATTTATAACTTATATTTTACCAAGTTTTCATGATTAATTTGGTTTGCCTATCTTATACGATTTTATATTTTACTAGTAGCATGTGATGCTCTGAATGAATCAAGCTAATCGCTAAATGCTGAGTATTTTCTTGAATCTATATTCATCATTTTATCTCTCAAAAGCTAATTTTCATAAGATATCTTCAAACCTTATTCTAATTTATTTATTTTTGAACATTACTTTCTTAAAAAAGAAATAAATATTTACATCTATCTCTTTTCCTATGTTTTAAATCCACTGCCTTAAAAAAAGAGGGTTAAAATGGCTCTTAGCAATTAACCTCTGGTTTTACTTAGGTAATATTGCTGAATATTTTATTTTAGAACTAATTATAAATAAAAAGTATTAATTTTATATTGATACTCAGCTCTTCAAATAAATTTGAATGAAATTCTAATACTTTTTTGAGATCTAATTACTCACATATTTTACTTTGGCATAGTTAATTCCACATTTGATTTTACAATTTACTTGCTTGCTACTTATGAAGAATATTTTATTCTAATATTTTATGAAATATGCTCTGTTTAAGATTGATAAATAATAAAGTTAATTTGATATTAATTTTTGAAAATTTTATTAAAAATTAAATTCTACTAATATATCTATCTACTTTTTAACAATTTTATGAAGTATGGTTACATGATGATTTCTCTTAATAAAGAGTAGGCTTTAATTTAAACAGGCAGACTTCAACTAATTTTTCATATAATTTTATTAACAAACAAAAAAAATTTATAAATAGAAATCCACCTAAAACTATTAAGCTATTTCTAAATTAAAATCTCAAATAATTAATTAATAATTAATTTCACTAAATGTATTAATTTTTCATGTATTTAGATATTATTTTTTTATGAATTACTTGTTCCTTTAATTTATTTTAATAAAGAGTGGATTAGTTTTTTGAAAAAAACAATAAAATAAAAAGCTAAAAAGAAAATAATAAAGTGAAAAATTTTTAATTTGTAATGAATAAAAAATTGAATTAGTAAAAATATTTGTTTTTAAACAAATTATTTTAGAATTAAATATCATTTTAATTTAATTTTAAGTGAAAAAAAGTTAAATAATGCTATCTTCAAATAATGGCCTATTTTGTACCTAAAATAAATTTCCAAAAAGAAAATTAAAAATAATTTATATCATGAAATTTTAAAAGTATAACTTTTGTAAATACTAATCAATGTTAATGATATGTATGATTGATTGATATTTGAATACTAAGAAGAATTACAAAAAATAAAGGATACATATTTATTATCTTGTCAGTATTTAGTAAGTCAATTGATTTTAGTTAATCAATCAAAATCAAAATTTAAAAATTATCTTTGAAAACTAAGAGTCAGCTATTTCTAAAATCTATTTATTAAATCAATAAAAATTTTAGTAGTTTATAAATTTATAATTTAGCATAGAAAAATAGTTTAAAAACAAACAAAAAACAGTTTAAGAAATTAAGAAATGCTTAACTTTTAAACCAAGTAATATATCACTTAGCTCATTTTTAAAAATTGTTAAATAAGATAGGATAGATAGAACATTTTGCAATTTAGATTTACAAATTATTTATATTGATGTGAAATATATTAAAGTTCATCTTAAATATTAAATAGCAAACCTAAAAACTTGCCTCCTCTCCCTTAGTAATAGCCAAATTAAGAAAAAAACAATATATTTGAAAGGAAACCATTAGGACCAAGCAATCAAATTTAAAAAGATCAAGGACCTCCATCAAATTTACCTAAAAAAAATATAGAACTTGAAAATGTAAATAATGAAAATGTTCCACCAGCTTAAGGAGGTTAAATATAAGCTAAAGAAAAGGCAGTAAAAAGAGAGAAAAAGCAGGGTATAAAAAAGAATATAACTGATAATAAAATAGTGCTTCCATAAGATATATCGTAAGAGGATAGAGTAGGAGAGGATTTTAACGCAGATCACAAAGATGATAATTTAGGTTTCTTGTTAAAAGAGAAACCTATTAAAGGAGCCTCTTATAAAGAAGGTATGTATGTATACTAATTTTTTCAAAATTAATGAGTATGCTTATTAATTAATTTAAACGATGAAAAATAGAAATAATTATTTGTTTATTCATTGATTTATTTATTAATACATCAATTCATCGTTTTTATACATAAAAACTAATTTAAAATGCTTATATAAATAGACTTGAAAACAGGAAAATTTATATATATATCAAATAAATATATGGAGTAGATCTTGGATGAATCTAAAGAAGAAGCGAAAGCTCATGAAGGGGTGGAGGATGAAGATAATAAGTGGTATAAGTTGATAGATGATTTTAACTCTATGATTTATAGGTTTATATTCTTACTACAAGGCCTTCTTTCAGGTTTTAGATTTATTTAGCTTTAAGCTTTTTTTGAAAGAAATTTGATTTTATTTAAATTAAATAAATATTCTTAATTACATTAAAAGGGCTGCTTATCATGATTTCAATTACTAGCTTTAATCCTCAATGGACATCTGATTCATACAGATACAGATTAAATTAAATTATTTGGATTATAGCTCTTATATGCTTCTTTGGATAAATTTACATATATATGGTCAGCAATTAGAGATGTAAATTATTTATTTTGTAGTTATCAAACTAAATATATTCAATATAGGCGAATATAGCTTTACAAATGGATCTCCCAATCTTTAAGAGCATAAAAATTTTAAAATGAGGGCATTGGTTAATTTGATAAGTAATACAATTTTTAATATACTCTTAAAACTATAACTATATTTATTAATTAGTATATGGTGTTATTTACTACTGCGTTATGATTGCACATTACTACGTTTCTATGTTAACTTACACACCAACAATTTCAGATACAGTTAATGCTTATGATAGTGCTAAGCAAGGTTATTCTTACTTAGTTACAATATCAGCTGTTTTTGGGTTTTTTGGATGGGCAATTGTTGGAAATCAGACTAAATCCAATTATGTTGAAATGGAATATGATGATGAGTAATTAATAAATTTTTAAATTTTAATTAAACTCATTTTAAATAAATTATAACTTTATTAGTGATTTAACAAAGGCTGGAGATGATAGTGATGAAGAAATATGAATTCAAATAAAATTTTATTCATTCTGTTTTTCTTATACTAAAATTCAGATATTTCGTGTAAAATAAATCCTTTCGAGAACATCTTTCACATAATTAATTACCTTAAATAGCAAAAAACTTTAAAAAATACTTTTGATCTTTGCAATTAATTTTTGAATTTAATGAATAAAAACAAAAAAAAGGTAAGCAAATAAATACCTTTTTTATTATATTTATATTATTTATATAAAAAAATTATTTTAATTCCTTCCTACTAATTATTATCTGTTTATATTTATTTTTTATTTTGGTATTTGTGAAAATCAACATTTGCATTAAAGTTTTGATTTTAAATTCTCTAAAAAAAGTTATTCAGGATATATTTATCTAAAACAAATTATTTGTTAAATAAATTAATAAATTATGTATTCTTGAAAATCAGATTTAAAATTTTTTTAAATAGTTTACTGAAACAATCAAACACAATTTACTTAAATAGCAAAACAAATTTCTATATTTTTTGTTTAATTGATTTTAATTTAATTAATATAAACAAGAAAACGAATAACAAATATATTTTTTACTAAACTTCTTTTATTTTAAAAAAATTATTTCAATTTTTACTCATAATTAATTATTTGTTTTTTTATTTTTGCATTTGAAAATTAGCATTTGCATTAAAGTTTTGTTTATATATTAAATAAGAAAATTTATACACAATTTATTTTTCTAACTATCAAAAACAAATTATTTGTAAATATCTTAAGAAATTACATCTCTTTAAATAATACAAATTAATATCTTAGTTTCTAACATAATAAATAAAAATAAGAAAATATAAAAAAAGTTTGTAAAAAATTTAATTTAAATTTTATAAAAAACAAAACTTTATAATTTGAAGATTTTATCTCTTCTTTTAAATAAATCAATTAATTTTTATCTATTTTACATTTATCTAATCAGTTAGCATTAACATATTTATTGTTACTTACAAATTAGTATTAATGCAAATCATTATTAAGTTAAATCTAAATTTGTGTTTGAATTTCAATAAATATTTATTTATCTATTTTTTTATCAAAAACTTTAATGGCAATTTTTATTGATAGAAATTTACTTGCTTGATTAAATTTTCAAAAAGTGGGAGGAATTATTTTGTGGATTTTATAAGCGAAGTTAATTAAAGAGCAACCAATAAAATTAAATAAGTTTTAGTTGTGCTGCTTTTTTGTTATGAATATAGATTTGATTGAATTTGATAATCACTAAGTACCTAAAATCGTAGTCAAGTATTATTAATTAATAAATAAATTAAATTAATTAAAAAGAATGTGTTTATAATTAAATCCATACAACTTTCTTTTAATTTTATAATTCTATTCCATCCATTAATTAAATACATATAAGATTTATTTTGAGTATTTTGAAAATAGAGGCCAATATGAGTAGTCCTATAAGGAAAGCTAATCATACTCCTTCTATTCCATTTAATGAAGAAGCAGAGAAAACAGCAATTTTTCTACCTGCAATAGATCTTAAAAGCTAAAATACAACACCAAGGAGTAGCTTGGTATAAGCTCCTTTGTCACATTAAGCTACCGCTAATAGCTAATCGTCAATTTAATCTAATTTCATATACAATTAAAAATCTGTAGAAAAGACCTACATTCATGATAATTCAAAAAGAAATTACTAATCATCTTGCCAATAAGATATATTAAATGGAGTTTAAAGAATTTCAAAAGAGCCTTCAAACCAAAAAGAACTGGGGCTGCTTAAAGAAGCATCAATTATCCATAATTATGGCCCAAATAGAAGAAGCATTTAATTAAATTAAAGTAACGAAAGATCTGGCTAAAATCTTTACAATAATAGCTATGGATATTAGATAAATTTAGAAAGAGATTTAAGATTAAACCAGAGTTATGAAGTAAATATTAGCAATTCAGCAAGATCAAAATAAAATAACTATTCAAACTCTATTAATTCTTCTCTAGTATCAATCAACAACTAACAAAAATATAGAAGCTAAAGTTGTCAGCGCAAGCCTTCGGATTAACTAATACTCGGATCAATTGATTTCAACAATTTTAATCACATATACGCATTTACTCCACAGTCAGCACCTAATAGCTAGATAGAAGGAACATTTATCACTAGAAAGAACATCAATTAGATTAAGACTTTAAGCTATCCTCATACAAACATTGTTGATTAACATATCTCATAATAATAACATTAGAGGTAAGCAAAAGAAGATAACTTAATAACTTTAAACAAAATTAAAGAATCAACAACACCTAATCCTCTATCAAACCCTTTTGATCCATTAAAGCAAGAAACTTAAATACATTTTGATACAGATGGATGTCGTAAGAAGATGTAAGATGAAGCACAATCTCAAAGTGAAATTAAAAGAGATAACCGCTTTCCTAAGGGGTTTTTTGTTTAAACTCCAACTTCTTCAAAAAGACGTACTATTCGCTTGAATCAAAACATTTACTAAACTCCAATCGAAAAAAAAGAAAACTAGATATAAAGCTTTACTAATATAAATGAATATCAATTTACTTTTGGAGACGAAGAATCTGAAATTCAAGATAACAACTTACAAAACAACATTTAATCATCTAAAAATTCTAATATGTATTAATTGTAGAATTAATCATTGAAAGTTGGCTATTAATTTGATAATAATTAATTAGAAAAAATTAAGTAGTGTAATTAGGATGACAAACACAAAGACTATTTAAACCAATAAATTACTAAAAATGATGTATGCAGATCAGTTGCTGCCAAAGGAGGAATAAGTCTTTCAGCTAATCAACAAAGACCAGACGAAAATGCTGTTATAGACTAAGTTACTTTTGGTCTCTTTCCTATGAGAGATCATAGTTCAAATTAAAATTAAAATTTAATCATACACTCTCCTCTGAATGAATCTCCTGTTCAAACAACATCTGCAGGTGTAAGAAAATATTAAAAACCAAAATCACTATTATTCAAAAAAATGTTTGAAAAAGTTAATTCATTAATCGATGATCAAAAAAGAGCTGATTGCAGTCAACATCAAGAAAATAGTGAAATTGGTGATTCTCCTTTGCATGGTAGTGAGCGTTTAATTAATAGTAAAAACTATTAATAAAGATAAAATATGGCTAAAGTCTTTCATTCGCGTTAATCTTCACCAAAAAATAAATAATTTAGATAACCAAATGGAAAAAAAATAGGGCTTGCTTCTTCGATATTGGAGTAAATAAAAGATGCAGACAATTAAATTTAAATGATTAATTATGCTTAATCTAGAAATAATCAAGAGAGTCCTTAAGACAGAGAATGCGTTCAATAAACTCCAAAATCTATTGAAAACTCAAAAAAAAACTCTGTAGAAAATGATAAAAACTAAGTTTTTTTGCAGTTTTAAAAGAAACTTAGTTTTTAATTGAATAATAATTAAAATACAAACACTACAACAGAAACTTAAAAAAATCCCTAACTTTATCCTTTAAATAGCTAAGTAAAGAACAAAAATTCTATAAAATCTTCTGACCATTAGCAGTAAGATGGGTTAACATAGGTAGTGTGCTAAAATAATGATAAGTTAAATAAATGGCTGTAGGAACACAGTTAGTTTAAATAGTCAAGTATTGCTGACTATTAGATGTATGTAGGTATTTCTTGCTATTCCGTTACCCCAAATTAACAATAAAGTGCAAGAGCTAGTTATAATTAAGAAGATGAACAAAATAAACTTCCAAATAACACATTCACAGATAAAACTCGACTCTATAATAATGTTTAAATTTCAAATAATATTTAATAAATGCAGATTACTAATTAAATCCAAAATAATAATGATACATCTATAAATAATATCTAAAGGTAATCTGCTTAAAAAATACAAATTTAATCTAATAAATTATCACTAAAATAAAAGTAAACTACTAAAAAACACCTTTAAGCAAACTTCAAATTAAATAGTGCTTCAGATTTAGATATTTAGAATGCTTAAATTGGTTAATCATCTAACTGTTCTCCTAAATCTTTAAAAAAGAAAGCTGTTGTTAGAAAATTAAGTAGCCTATAAATTAATGATTAAAGCCCTTCTCCTGATGAAAATGCTCAACTAAAGTAAAATTAATGTAATTAAATAATTGATAAGCTTGGAGATCTATAAAAAATTTCATAAGACTCCATATAAATTAAAAACTCTTAGTATAAGACAGATAAGCAATAAAACAAAAATTTAAGTATAAAACAAAGTTTACAGTTTGAAAAGATATCCTCTATAAAAAAAGATTCTAAAATAAAAGGAGAAAATACTAAAAACAATGCTAATAAAAATATTGGTCCCTGGATTAATGAAAAAGATGACATAGAAGATGATATTATGATGGAAAGAATACTTCAAAATTAAACTCAAATTAAAATTTAATGACACTTTTTCACAAATAAATAAATAGTTAAAATTAAAAATATATTACAGTAACTTGTTAATTAAATATATAAAATCAATCAAAATATAATTGATAAAAAACTACTTTAAACCTTTCAATAATTTTAAATAATTCTCGATAATATTGGTGATCAATTATGAAAAGCATAAATAAATTATATATAATTTACAATTAAAAATCCTACTTACTAAATAAATTAATATTATTTTCAGATATAATTATATACAATCTAAACTTGTTTATTTGTATTAATTTTTGTTTTTATTTAGACATTGTTTTTTAAAACACAAAGTTTATTTTAAGAAAAAAAAAATGAAAAGGAGGGAGGTGTTAATTTAAGATGATTTACAATATGTAAATTAACTTATAAAAACTTTTTAAATTGTTAAATATTAATTTTTCAGTATATCTATCTCAAATTTTATTTTCTTTTACTGATTCTTAATATAAAGAATAGAAATGGGAATTTGGATTTTTAATTAGGTTTGCAGGACTGTCAAATTCTTCAATACGACCTTAGCTTAAAACTAAAATTCTATCACTGTTAAGGATTGTATTTAATCTATGTGCAATAGTAAGGACTGTACAGTCTTTAAAAACGTTTGATATAGTTTATTGGATTAAATGGTCAGTTTATATATCAATATTTGCTGTAGCCTCATCAATTAGGACAATTTTACTTTTCTAGATTTAAATAAAAGTTAAATATTTTTTTTTCACAAAAATTTAATACTTTTAATAAAGCCCTTGCTATACAGACTAGTTGCTTTTCACCAACACTTAAATTATCACCACCCTCATTAATATATGTGTTTAATCCCTTTTCAGATTAAGTTAGTTTTGATAATTAGCATTTCTCTAAAGTTTATATAATCTCTTCATCCTTAAATCTATTTAAGGGATCTATGTTATCTCTAAGTGTGCCATCAAAAAGAATGGGATCTTGAAGAATAATCGTGATTTTATGTCTTAATTAGTCAAGGCGGATTTAAGAGATATCTACTCCATCAATGGTTATTTTTCCTATTTATTATAGTTTTGTTTCAATTCTATTGATCTTATATATATTAATTACCTTTAAAAGCTTCAATTATTCTGAGTAAAGAAAGTGTAATAGTTGACTTACCAGCTCCAGTTCTACCAACTACACCAATTTTTTCACAAGGTTTTATCTATGTTGTTATGCCTTTAATTACACATGGTAAATTAGGCCTGTATTTCAAGTATAAATCATCAATAATAATTTTTCCTTCTTAAGGCCAGTGATATAATTTATCTTAGTCTTCTGGTAATGGATTTATTAATTATTCTTTATATTATTGCCTATTTTACAAGTAGCTATCATATCCCTTTTCTGTTTAAATTCTTTAAATAAAATTAGAATTTGTAACTACTTTTTTAAACTTACTCACTAAATTGATGGCATCTTTCTATTGAAACAAAGTTCTTCTCAAGATTGTTCCAATTTCCGATTAAAAATTTCACAGTATTGTCTATTGAAAAGGCAAAAGTTAAAAGAAGCCCAGTAACAGAAGGGTTTTATTTATTCCAGAAAAGCTAAATTAAAATAAATTTGATCTTAGAATAAACTAGATATAAAAAAAATTTAAGAAATTACACAGAAGGAAATCGAAGCTGAGTTAACAATGAGTGATAAAAAGGTTAGATTTTACTTAAACCAAGATTCCATTCCAATAAATGAAAATTAACACTTTTTATTTTCGTCGATATTTTTGCAGTGTTTCTGAGTTGATAATAAAGAAATTATAAATTAATTTTGAACTTAAAGATTTTAAATGTTACTTAAAAGAACCTATCTTCTTATTTAAATGCTCTAATAGAAGATAATCCATTCAAGGCTTCTGTAAAATAAGAAATAATAGGAGAACGAGTTAGAGTTTCTAGACGAACAACTTCTCTTTAAGAGTTCATATAGTACATCTATAAGATTCTACAAATAACTACAAATAAGAAAATAGGTATAAGAACGTAAAGACTACTTGAATACACACAAAGAGCTGTATCTCCAATTAAACTAAAAAAGCTTACTGAAAGACCACCTATATTATAACCAACTTCTTAGTCAATAACAGACAAATCTTTTGATAAAATATTCAAAACTCTTCCAATAGGAACTCTCTCGAAAAATTCATTAAGAGGAGCAAAGATGAGGGAACTTATAATATTTCTATGAATGATTCTAGCTTCTTTTAATGAGCCAAAAAGACAGAATAAGGCTCTAATCATTGCAAAGAAGCCATAACTGATTGAAAAAATAGAATAACCTGTCAAATAAAAATTATTTTTAGATTCATCTTCATCTTCAGTCCAGTAAGAAATCCATATGCTTGATGCCATTTTTAAACCTTACCAAAGAGTCATACTAATCAAAGCGCCTAATATAAAGAAAAATCCTCCATTATTCTTAAGATACTACTTAACAACTTTCCATTAAATTTTTCCTTTTTTTCTATCCTCCTTGAGCATTAAATAATCTTTGTAAACTTCATCAGTTTCAATTTCTTCAGGACTTATTTTTAAAAACAAACACAATTTTAGCTTAAAAAATAAATAAATTGTAACTTTACTCTTCTTCCTTGATAATAGATCCATTTTTTTTCCCTTTTAATGTAATGCTCTTCTTAGGATTTTAAACCAAGCTTTACTATTCTTCTTCGCTTTCGTTTGTACTTTGGTGTTGATTCTATTACAGTTTGTTATTTTTCTGCTGCTAATGATTATCCTTTTCATTTTTTGGAGAGATATCTTCATCAGAAAAAATTATATCATCTTTTTTATCAGAGTCCTCCTCTTTCTCAAATTAGTCTTTCATAAATTTTTCATATATGTATTTGAACTCAGCTGTTTCTTATATGTATTGGTATTCTCCTTCCAATGTTATTCTACCATCTTTCATGAAATATACGTAGTCCATGTATTTAAGATAGTGTAATGCATGAGTAGCTAATATTCTTGTGGTATTTTTTTTGTATTTAAGGAGGCATTCTTAAACAATATATCTACCAACATGAACATCAACAGCACTAAATTTTATTAAAGAAAAATTTTAATACATTTATAAAATTTATTATTGTCAAAATTTAATTTCCACCTCAATATGTCGTCAAGCAATAAAATGGAACTATTACTATATAGAGATCTAGCAAGAGAAACTCTTGCTTTTTAACCACCGCTTAAATTAACACCTTTTTCTCCTATTTAAGTTTAATCTCCATCTGCCAAAACTTTAAAATCTGATTTCAAGCAAGCATATTTGACACACTACTCATATTTTTCTTCATCAAATGGAAATCCAAAAACTATGTTATCCTTGACAGTAGCATTTAGAATCCAAGGTTTTTAATTAACTAATGAAATATCTCCGTTTATTTCTACTTAAGGCATATTGAACTCATTTTATTCATCATATTTCATTTCTCCAATTATTGATTACAAAAGAGAGCTTTTACCACATCCAACACTTTTTTAATTAAATAAATATTACCTTAATTAAATTTAATAAATAGGCTTACTCTCCTATAATAGCAACAAACTTTCCTTTTGGAATAGTAATATTGATATTTTTGAGAATGTGAAAATCATTTTGTTCCTTATTTGTTTGAAGAGGACTCTCTATCTATTATTTACTTTCGGATCCAGGATTTTGTGGATTTTACTACTGATTTTAATTACTGTCTTATATTTTATCATTAAAAATTATTGTGGAGTTGTTTTTTTAAGATATGTAGCTATCCTTATCTACAACAGAGTCTTTATTTATTTCTTTCTACTAGTTAGGTTATTTATTTTAATTATTTCTTTGTAAGTCTTTCTCATCTTAATCACTTTCTTGCACAGGAATAAATGATGAATAATATCCTTTATTTTGTTCACTAATATTTTCATTTTATTATGATTCTTGCTAATTTTCGATTTCATTTTTTATTTGAGGTGTTCTCCAATAAAAATTTCCGTTTGTGATTTTGAGAGCATAAAATGTATCTGAACTGTCTTCAAGATTGTGTTTGAGAAATTTTTTGTTGATGTCTTATTAGCCCAAGTATTTTTCCATTCTTTTTATACTTACATAAGTTTCAATCAAATTACTTATTATGACTGGTAGAGATCTAATCGGCTCCTGTAAAACTGAAAAAATCGATATAATTGTAAATGCTTTAACAGGAGTCATTTAGTTACCAAGCAAAACATAACCTGCAAAAGTAGCATTGATAATTAACATAGGAGTTATCCATAATGAAAATATTGACATACTACCACAAATGAATCTTTTTTGTTTTTATTAAGTTAAAATTAAATTATTTTATAAACTTTTAAGTTTTTGTTTTTAAAAAACTAAATAAATGTTTTTATTAAGAAAAAAAATTTATCCAAAATAGTTTAATTTACTTTTTAGCTACAAGAGATAACTCCTTTTAGCGCTTTAAATCTAATTTATCATAAAAATATTCCTCCCAAGCATTAGCTTTGATAAATTTAATCGCATTAAATACTTCTGTTGTGATTTTCATTCTATCATCTTTTTCTTTCATAAAAAGTTTTTAGTATTTTAACGAAAATCTACCAATCAAAAAATTGATAAATCCCATCAATAACATAACTCCAACACCAAATAAAAAGGATATTCCTATTATATCGGACATTAAGTATATTCCAAATCCTAATTAAAGAGGTAGGAAACATATACTAGAAAATTAATTGAACAAAAATTAAAGTCTTTAGCCATCTACCTAAATCATATTCACTAAAGAACCTACTTTATAATCATCAGTACTCAATAATGAGTACCTTAATGATTTTTCAAGGAGAGCAACACTAACAGTATTTGTTAAATCAAACCCTAGGGTACTCTATTATAATAAATTTTGAGTACATTAAAAAAAATTAATAAAATACAAAGTAGAAACATTTAAATATTCTTAAATAATATTATGATGCTTGCTTTTTAAAATATTAAAAAGGATTTAAAAAAAATAAATTATATTTTACAAACTAATAGTTTGAATGACTATCTAATATGCATAGAATAATTCTTGATAGTACCACTGCACATATTAAAATAATTCCTATTCTGTAATCCTAATTTTTCTCAGATGAATATTCAATAACTGTTTTTATTAAATATGGCGTACTCATAAGCACACAGCTGTCAAAGAAGGTGATAACAAAACTAATTATGATTCTGCCTAATTATTTTTTTTAAGAAAGTGCTAAATAAAAATTGAATATATTGCTTATTTTCTACTTCTAAATGTTGTTATTAATGATCTTGTTAGTACTTAATTAGACTTCATTTCAGAATATTTCTCAAAATTCTTCTTAAATCGATTGAAGTAGAAGCTTGATTTTTGATCTTCAGCTAGCTAATCAAGATGTTCCTATTCTAAGTGAATTCTATTACCTAACTATAATTGTATATGTTTTACAATTAGTTTGGTTAGATTGCTATAAAAATAACTTTTGTAATACTCTCACTAAAGGTATTGCCCACCAAAAAAAAATTTTGCTAAAAATGCTAGCTCTTTAGTATCTTGTTTTGTAAGGCTTCTTCTATTTAATCTATACTGGATTTTCTTCATCCTAATTAACAATAATGTTAGCTTCGCTTTGCTCCGGTAAGAGCTTTTCATTTATTTCGTTTTTATTCTTTTTTCCCATCAACTAGAATTAATTAATAGATTTGTAAATTATCTTAAATGAATATATATATAATTATACTCAAAATTTTTAATATTTAAAACGAAAACTTATGAATACATTCGAAATAGAATAATTAAAATTCCCTTTTTTTTAATCTTTTGGATCTTTTCTGAAAAGCCAAAGTAAATTCTTAAACTATCTTACAAATTTTTTAGTTATAAATATCAATTAACTAACTGATTATTTTTATTTTTATTTTTTTGTTGAAAAAAAGAGGAAAATAACATAAATTATAAAATGTTCTTAATAAATCAAATAGATCTTAAATATTTAAATTATTCTATTTCAGAAATAAAAAGTCGAAATAATTTTTTATTTTTATATGTTTTTATTAAATCTCTTATTAATGCAATGTGAGAAATAGCCAATTTTTAATATTTACTACAATTTTTGATACCATTTTTAGCTTTAAACAAACGTAGGGGGATGTATTTTTAGTTATAAATATCAATTAACTGATAATAATTTATATTTTTTTGTTGAAAAAAAGAGTAAAACAACATAAATTATAAAATATTCTTAATAAATCAAATAGATTTTAAAAAAATCTTAAATATTTAAATTTTTCTATTTCAGAAATTAAAAGTCGAAATAATTTTTTATTTTGACATGTTTTTATTAAACTCTTATTAAGGCTAGGTGAGAAATAGCCAATTTTTAAATTTTACTGCAATTTTTTATACCATTTTTAGCTTTAAACAAACGTATGGGGAGGTATTTGACTATTTTATAGGGTTTTATAATAAAATTTGATTAAAAATTTATGTATCATGCCTATTTACTTCAGCCATAAATAAATACACACGTGAGAACTTATAAGGATACATTAAATTTAAATTAAATTTATGAATATTTCCCTTAAATTGTTTTCTATTCTTTTAACCTAATTGCTGATCAAAAATCTTTTATTTTATTATGGATTGTAATAGAAAAAAAATATTTAATATGGAATTTCAAATCAAATTTGCTCAAAAAAAAAATTTAGTTTATTTAATTAAAAAATAATCAAAATTAAAAAAATTAAATAAATAGTAACATAAAAAACTATCATTTGATGAGGCTTAATCTTTTTTAAAAGAATTATTAAAAGCTTACTATATAAACAAACATGAATGATAAAAAGTGTTTCAAGATAAATAGCATTAAAAATAATTATTAAAAATTTAAATAAATAATTTTACATTTTTTTAATCATTTTAGTTTTAATGTTAAAAAATAAATATTTTAGATTTGGTTAAATTTTTGATTACTTTTATAATTTTTATCATTTCTTTGGTCAAGAACATTTCTTATATTAATTTAAATTGTTATAAAAAGAATTTTTTGATTTCATAAGTAATTACTTGAACATATGAATAAAATATGTTACACTTAACCAGCAAATCTTAGTGAATCTTTAAACTTGAATTAAAGTGATGTATTTTATACTAAAGATTGCATGAGCAAAGTCATGCTGAATAACTCTACACGCTCAGAATAAAAGATAAACAACCTCGAATAAAAATCATTTAACTAAGCCTTCTAAGATTCTTAACTTAAGATATTAGCAACAGATAAGCAAGATCTATAATAGCAAATTTCCAGTAAGATTCAATACATAAGAAATAATATTTAAGATCAACACAAAAAGAATCTTAATCAGAAGGTTTATAGTATTTTGTATGGAACTTTGCCTTCTTAGGATACAAAGAAAGGTAACTAATAAAGTAAAAAGGAAGCCAAACAAAATGATTTATAGGAAATCAATCAAGCTAAATTGATAAACCAATACAATTAGCAGTACCAATAATAAAATTCTGAGTAAATATTTATATCAAAAAAAAGGTAAGTTGAGTAAGTTTAGCTTCCTGTAATATAGACTAGAAGTTAATTGCTAATGCAAAAACTTCTTGATAAGTAAAATAGATAAAAAAGGTCAATATCTCACAATGTTAATAATGACTACAACCAAAATAATGAAAACATGCAAACCAAAAAATGTAATACTTCTTTCCTTCAAATGCAATAATAAAACCAACTAAATATCTTTCCTTAAAGAATCATCGATAAGATTTAAGATAAATGCGGTTACATAGTTTTCAATCAAAAAATTTAGTCATCATCATCATAGGGTGAATACCTCTCAAACGAATAGTAAGAAAACCAAAAAAACTTGTTAAATTTATAAGATAATTCTTAATACTAAGTTGACCATTAAGATAAGTTGTTGGAAATTTAATTAAACTAAAATGAATTAGCAATTGATTAAATAATTTCTAATTAAAGAAACACAAATACTAAAAAATACATCCATAAGAAGGCCTATTACAATTCTTAAATTAAGCCATACAAAAACCAAAAAACTAATGAAAATGTTATCAAATTAAAGAGCTTTACTTAAGGGATAGATAATTTTTAATATAGTAAGTAAACATCTAAAACCCCTCCTAAAAGTTCTGAATTAATTTAGGAATAGCTAGAAAACATTCAAAAAAACTAAGAAAATGAAAACTTATTAGTTCCATAAAGAGAATAAAATCACAGCAATACAGAAAAGCTTTTAAATGAGGTAAGGTCATAGAGTCCCAACCTATCTTCTATTATTTAGATAGAGTTTCCTGAAATTAAATCAAAAATAACTGAAGCTAATGAAAACAAATTAACAAAGACTCCTCTTAGAAATAATGTGATAGCAAAAAAAATCAATCAATAAAATAAACAAAATAATCTGAATAATAATAATAATAATTAGGAAGAAGAATAATTGGGAAAATAAAAAATGAGTTCTCCAAATGAAAAAAGTAGGGTTGTTTCTCCCTTTTGTCTATATCCAGTTCTGATCAATGAGTAAAATGGAGGAGTTGGTGATTCTGAAGAAACAAACTAAAATAAAAGTGCTTCAAAAAGTTAAAGCAGGGTTAGAATAAAAAGAGGTACAGAACAAATTCACTTAAAAGAGGCCTTTAGTCCTAAACAAAGAAGTACTCCACATAGTAGAAGAAATAAAGCACTGAATAATGAATTTAGCAGATCTCCAAAAAGTAAAAATAACATAACACCATCTAATAATATAACGAGTAATAACTTAAATCTTAAATCTGATCAAAGTCCTTCAAATATAATCAATATATAATTTGATAAGAATTTAAGTCAATCTTCAATAGAATCTTCAGAAGTATATAACTTTAATGGGATAAAGCCAAAGCAAATTTAACAAGTAAAATAAGATTTGAAACAAAATTAACAGGGTGAGAAAAAAAAATATTTTTCAAGTAACACAGAAAGAAATAATATTTATAACAACAATAAATAAATCGATAAAAAATTAAATGATTCAGAAACAGCCCAATAAAACTTAGAATTTCAATTGAAAGAGAGGACTCTGGAAAAAAATAATACTTTTAAAAAGCCTTCAAACTAAGTTATAGTTTACAGCAGCCTTAGAAAGTCTTATAGCTAATAAAAAATATAGCAATAGTAAAGTGATTAAAACCAATTAAATAGCAGTGAGAATTGCATTAAAAAGGTCAAATTATTTTTTAAACAAAATAACTAAATTTAAAATAACCTTACACTGTAGTAAAAGTAGAACTAAGAATTAATAAAGAATATCTAAGATTCAACAGGGCATAACTTAGATTTAACAAAAAATAATAACTTAGATTCAGCAAAGCATAATAACTTAGATTCAACAAAACATAATAACATAGATTCGAAAAGAACAAATTAAGATTCAACTAAAAATTAATATTAAACAAAACTAAAAAACGAAAAGAAATTACTTTAAGTGTAAGACCGTTCCATAATATCTTCAGTAATTTTCTAAGAAGAAAAATAACTAGATATTTCAAACAAAAGCAAAAGTATACCCATAATGCCAAATGAATTGTACCAAAAATAAAAATTAGATAAAAAAAGTGATTTAACCATAAAAGAGATCAGTTTCCAGAAGCTACCTTTAAGTGAAAAATGTCAATAGAATTCACCTAATTATTTAGCCTATAAAAATAGTCAATTATAAAATAAATAGATAACTTCAATAAATTTAATAACTTAACAAGATGTTTAGTCATCTATTTGCTTCGATAAGTATTAAATTAATAACACTACTCCTGATTTAAATTTAGAAAAAAAGAAAATAAAATAATTGTAAAAAAGACATAAAAAGCTAGATACTTCTAAATCTAAATAAATAAATGATTTTAACAACTTAGATCCATGGGAAATAGAATAATGTCAGGATAATTATCTATTTAGCTACTATAATTAAAAGTTTTGTAATGAATAATTATGATTATTAATCAATATAATTCTTATTTAAAAAATTTAAAAATAAACTTCACCCTATTTTGTTTATTATTATTAATTGTATACTACTGTTCATAATTTTTTTTTAACATGTTTTAAAAATATTTTAGATTTTTATTATTTGTAGTTTTTGTTTGAAAATTGCAAATTATTCTTTAATAAACAATATCAAAAATAAGATAAAAAATAACATTTGTTATATATTTCTTCAAAAAATTTATTTAAAAAATGCACCGACCGGGAATCGAACCCGGGTCAAAGCGATGGCAACGCTCTATTCTACCACTAAACCATCGGTGCTTAAGGTGAAATTAATAGATTTTAGCAGCTAAAGACCATACACAAATTAATTCATTTATTCATTTTTATTACACAGTTAATTTTTATCATTATTTTTTAAAGAGAAAGCAAATGATGACATTTATCATAAAAATATGGTTTCAAAACTCTAAAAATCCCCTAATTATTCTACGATTTCGGATGGCACCAAGTAATATATAAAATTTAATAATTCCTGTATAGAAGTTACATATTAAATTTAATAATATTCAAAAAAACATTTTTTAGATAAAATATCAGTTTATTTTTAAAATAAAGTAAGTTTATAAATCTCAAGAAAAGGGTAGAAAATAACCTACCTATCGAACAAAACTTAATAAAAATATTGTTTATTATTTGATAATAGACTATTTATACTTGTTGTAAAAATAAATTAAAAATAATTTATAAAAAAGAAAGTATGAAAATTAAAATAAAATATAAAAAAAAATATTTAAAAGAAACATACTTCAAAAATTTAGCTTACATTAAAAACAGAATTCAAATATTTTTCTCTTTGATTTAAAATCATTAAATATTTTTTAAACTAAATTTAGAATAAACATTTAATAATACCTCCTTTAATTATAAAGAATTTATGATTTAATCGTTAAAATTAACTTTATTCACTCCAGTAAGCTTATTTATTTAATAATTTATTACCAGAATAAACAAAATTTAGACTTTTTCACTTATTTATTAAACTATATAGTAAGTATACATACTACTTATATTTGCTTAGAGAGCAAAACAAAATACATGAAAAGCAACAGTTCTATTTGCATGTAATAGACTACAGTATTTTAGAGATAGTTGCTTATTAAATATGGACATATTCTCAAAAAATAAATATAAAGATGGTATGAAATAAATTTAAAAGAATAATCAATCGACTATTTTTTGTCAAGAAACACAAATAAATTAAAGGGAAAGATACCATTTAAGCAAATTGCTTCCATAGAAGCTTAAGTTAAATCTTTAAACTAAGAGTTAGTAGTTGGTGATGGAAAATTTTAAAATTATATACACATTTTTCTTTCAAATCAAAAGTAGATTTACTTATTTTAATAGGATATAATACATTTAGATTAATTAATGAATGTACTTAATATGTATTAAAGAGGGTAAAGACAGCAAGAAAACAAAATCACAAATATGGAGACTTTTCGTTATTAAGAAAAAAGCGATAATAATTCAGCAAAAAATAAAAATATTTATGAAAAATAAGAGATAGAATTTGTTTAAGTTATTCCAACTGAACATAGTTGCTATGTGCAACTGATGCCTGAATCAGTATCTTAAAGAAATATAGCTATCAATAAACAAGAAATATAAAATGAAGAAAGTATTAATAACAGTCTAAAATCGAATATTAAATCAAGCTACATAAAAGAGGACGAAAATGTAAAGAAAATAAGTAAAAAAACACATTAAATAGAGAAAAAAATTTAAAAATAAGAAAATTAGAAAAAGAAAATTCAATCTAAAATTCCAGCTAAAGAGGAATTAAACAATACTTCAGCTAATAGGGCACATGTAACTATTGATTAATTTGAAGATTAATGCTTGAAATTTAATGATGAAATTACAGAAGTCCTTTCAAGGGAGGAGACAGAAAATACTAATAGAGTACATATATTTTCAAAACTCTAAAATTTTAATGAAAACTTTTAAATATAGAAAATAAAAAAATAAATTCATAATAGCTCAAATAACTTGTACAAATTAACTTAAGATTCAAACTATGATAATAATATCATAAAGACAAATTAGAGTAATTACAACTTAAATAATATTTAATAACCTTTGAGTGCCAGCAATTAGGATTAATATAAATATACAACTTTACCTTCTCTTTAATCATAACTTATCAAGAATCCTATTTCAAATGCTCATCACTAATCTACAACTTCATTTAAGTAATTTCCAGATATACCATTAAATACTACAACTTTAGGCAATTCGAATATAGGAAATTCTTTCAGGTTTAATACGTATATGGACTCACACCGAGAAAATGATTAACTAATTAATTATCCTTGCTAAGATCAAGACTTATCTAATATACTACTTAACAGGGAAATAGACCGCAATACTTACAGCTTAATACAGTAGTAGGAAATAAAATTTTAAGATGAAGATGAAGAAAATCCTATGCACTTATCTACTACAATCAGGTAAAGGATAGATAAGTAGTGCTCTAATGAAACATAAAATAAGTAAGAATATTAATAATAGTCTAATTATGATTATTAGCAGAGGCAATCTATTTCAGAAATTTAAAGTGAATCTAATTTGGCAAGTATTAAATAGCTTAACTGTGAAATAAAAGGAAAACCTTTTTTAAAGGAATCTATCACTCTAGAATTGTAAAATGAGTTCAAAAAATAATCATATTTTTATTAAGAATTTAACACTCTGCTCACTTTGAATACATAATATTTAGGTGGAAGTTTAATTAATACAAAAACATTAAATGTAAACAAAAGAAATAGCATTTAGTCATATAAAAATAATAGAAGCTTGACATTAGATTAAGCCACTGAAAAATCTGTACAATCATATACTCCAAAGCAGAGAGATATGTTTTTATAGGGGAGTATTACTAATAGAACAATTGCAGGTAATTCTATTAAATAGTATTTATCCCAAGATTGCGAATCATAAAACTAATTCGGTCCTCTCATATTCCCAATACAAGAAGATTATGATGGCTATTCCGAAGATTACTATATAAATTCTGATAAAGATATTGATCAGTAAAGTGATTTAAATGAAAGTAACTCCTAAAAAAATCGATTCTTAAATAGAAATAATTTAATTTATTCATCTACAAAGTATTGTTCAAAAAAGTTTCCGAGGTCAAGTAATTTTAATGCAAGTTTTATGAGATCAGAGAGAAAAGATACTGATAGCATAAATAGTAATCACTAATAAAAAAGTAGTTAAAACTAGGAAAATGGTAATCTTAGTAAGTAGAATGGCACTACGTAAGTTAGTTCAAATAAATTTTAAGGAACACGATTAAACCAAATTCCTATTGAAGTTTATTATCAAAAGAAATTTTAAAGTGACAGTAACTTGCTAATAGATTTTGGCTCTGAAACTACTGATGCTAATCAGATATTTTAAGAAGATGATTAAATTAATGCATCAAATAATATGTTAGCAATTTAGAAAGTTTAATTAGTCACAAAAACAAAATCTGATCAAGATTCTCAATAAGCCTTATCATATAGAGAACATTCTAATAATTTAACTTAATTAAATAGCTAGCCTTAAACTCCACACATAAAAGATTATGATAATAGTTAAAACTAATAAATTCAACAAAATCAAATACTCAACTTGAATTTACCTCAATAGTACATAAATTAAAGTACTTTAAATGTATAAAATTCAGCAATTTATTCAAATACACCAATAAAAAGTGAGTATAACGTTGCTTTTTCCCCTAGCAGATACTTCAAATAAAATAATTTAGATGTCCAAAGCATAAATAACGCAAGTCTTGAAATTTCTAAAAGGGAATAATCTCTTGCTTCCTTAAAATCTCATAATCTTTCAAAAATCGGCCTTGATAAAGCTATGAAATTGGTTTGGGATTTCTAATTTACTAAAGCTGCTTGTGTATTTGAAGATTTTAGTAACTAAGAGAATGTCAATATGATAATTGGTCATATATACATGCTCTTAATACAATTTTTAATTTCACTGAAAATAGATTTTGCAGAAAAGCTATGCAAACTATGCGAATAGGTCATCGATCATATAATTAACTAAAGAGCTAAAAATAACATTTACTTATCATTAGTTTAAGAAATTAATTTAACTGAAATGTATCTTATTAAAGGAATTCTTTAATTTTCTTTAGATAAAAAAATATAAGGCTTATTTTCACTCAAAAATGCATTTAAGTATTACTAAAAATGCTAATCTGCTACTTTGAATCTTGTAAATAGTTTGAAAAAAAATCATAGGTTGAAGTTAAATTTGTTAGAAGGGCTAAGTAATTTAGCAAAGAGTGCTTTATAAGAATCCTTTAAAAAGGTATTATCCTTTTTTGGTTAAACTTTTGATCTTGATAAAGGCTTGAAAACTCTTTTGTAAGTTTCATAAGCAGATAATAATGATTAATAAAATAGTTCTTCATCAAAAATAAATCAACTTTAATTTGATTAAGAGTAATTAAATAATAAAAATTTAGAAGATTAGAAATATATAGAATATATAAAAGCCTCAAGTGGAGAAGATGATTTAAGCTTCACCTCTCATGTTGCAACTATTGTTTTGTCTCTTTATTACATTTGGAGAGAGAAAAATCCTAATCCAATAGTCAACCTTATAAATTAAAAACTAAAGTAGTATCCCAAATCACCTATTTACTATTGGATTTCTTACTTAATCAATTTCGAAAAAAGAGAAGTAATTTTTTTAAATTATTTAATATTTATTTTAAAAATATTTTATAGAACTTAAAAGCAATAAACGACATAAATAAGGCTTTATCTAAAGCCAATTCATTTAGTAAAAGTTGCCTCTCTTTCAAATTTGAAAAATCTCTTTTTTTAACTAGTAATTTAAGATGGAATGAGGCATCATAAATTCTAGGATAAATAGGAGTTTAGCTTTTAAATTTTGAAGAATTTAAGTTTGAGGAATTTAAACAAATGCTGTAAAAAGCGAAGATAAATTCTAATTATTTTTCTAACTTTTATCGTTCATGCGTGATTGATTATAAACCTGAAAAACATTTTTTTATTGGAATAAGTAGTCTTTTACTTAGCTAAGTAGCCTGTCTGATTTAATAAAATCAATTAGATTTTGCTAAAGAATGGCTATTGTTATCATAATATTTTAAAAAGGTAAAATTCAATTAATTATATATAAAAATTTATTATAGTAAGCAAACTAATTTTATTTTATTTTAATCAATAAATAAATAGCACTCTTATTTAAATATATTCTTGAGCAATGATATTCATAATTTGAGTTAAATATATTTAAGGAGAAAAAATTTCAATTTAGTAAAATATGAAATCATGTATTTTACAAAAACTATAACTAAAATCCCTAACTCTTTGATTGATCAACTAATTTTGGAAATAAATGAAGAAGAAATAAGTTTAAAATAAAAATAAATAAAATCAAATGAAGATTAAAAAGAGCTAGCAATAGAATAATCATCTTGTATTTTTTTAAAAATATTAGTTGGTTGCTTGCAGTTTGATGATAAAATGATTGAAAAGGGAGAATAAGAGTTAGCAAAAATACCTAAATATGTCAACGATAGCAAATATTCTGATTTTTCTTACCTTTTTCATCACAGCTACTATTGGATATGTAAATTTTATTTCTTACAGCAAAAGTATGATGAAGCTTTAAAAAATATTAAGCAAATGTAAAAATTTTCAACTAAAATATTTTCACTATCTTAACAAGCAGATAATATATTAAAAATAATTAAAAACTAAGAATATGAAAACAAAGAATAAAAATGATTCGAAATATCATAAATAAAGAAATAAAAGTAAAAAAAAAACAAAATTCAAAAATAAATTTTTTATTTAAAATATTTTTTCACTTAATTTATTTAATAAGAATAATTATTAATTTATAAAATTAAATAATAATTATAAAATTATATTTAAAAAATGTAATAAAAGTATGAAATTGTTAATTAGTAAATATTAAAAAATATTTATTTATTAATTAAATATAAAAACAAGTTTTTATTATTTTATATAAAAGTTTATTTAATTGTAAAAAATAAATATTATTTTAAGTTAAGTTAATTGTATTATTATTGTGTTTATAACATAGTAAGTACAATTAAATAATCATTTAAATAATTGTATATCTTGCTATAAATCTATTCATTAGTAAATATAAAGATAAATTATTTATTACTTTATATATAATTTAAGTTAAATGTAATAAGTAAATATTATTTTCAGTTTAAGTTGATTAATTTATTTAATGTATTTAAAATAGATGAAGTGCAATTAAATGATCTTCAAAACCCCCATTAATTAAGGCCAAATATGATTTTTTAGCCTTAATTAAGGGGCCTTAATTTTTATTATTATTTAGAATTTAGAGTAATTGTTTTTTTAGATAAACATATTTAAAGCTTTATATACCTTAAAAATGTGTAATATAAAATAAAGAGCAAACATATAATTTTAAAAAATAAAACAAACATATTTTTCCTTATAAATAATCAAAATTTAACAATGGTTTAAATAACTCAATTAATATTAGATCTGTTTAGCGTGTCAAAAATTCTTTCATCTAATTAGCTCATATTTTGGCTGGTAGTACATCTTTATAAAAACTATTGGAAATACTGTTACTAATATTTTTCGTAATCTTACGTTAGTATCTACAGTTCTAGATGGTTTAAATTTTGTTCTAATGAATTTAAATTTTGATCTAATTTATTAATATCTAAATCTAAAAAGTTCTAAGAGCAACTGACAAGTTAAAGCGCTGCTAACTAATCTTGAGTCAAAATTAAAAAAATAGCTTTTTTCAAGAACATTATATCTTTGAATAAATTGTATATGTTTAATTCTTTAGCAATAAGTTTTTCAACTTTCATTAAAACCTACTTATTTTATCTATTTATTTGAGACTACTTTTTTTTTGTACACCACAAACTTATATCGAATATAATTTTCTATAGCCTATTAGAAATATTTTGATTTTAAATAATTTGAAGTTTTTCACCACAACTGTTCTTATATTTTTCTATTTACTTTGATTCTTAATTTTTCTATAATTGTAAAGAAGAAAATTAAGATTTTCCCTCTTTATTTAAAGCTTATTAACCATTCAAAATATTTTGGCTTTACAAATTATTGTGTGAGTCTTTGATTTGTTCATTTTAATTGCTTTGTAATAAACCATTTTCAATATTATTAGAATACTGTGGTTCCTAGCTTAATAAAGCCTCTTGTATTTTAGGTGTCTAAATGTTTTCATCCCCTTATTCTAAAATTTACTTCTTTTGCGAGCTATTACCTTCTTTTACTTTTTCTAAATCACAAATATTGGACTGAATTTAACTATTTTTTTTCTATATTTTGTTATTTTTTGCATTGTCTAAATTAAATTTCATATTGTTTGAAAATTAAGGAACAAATATATTTGAAGCTAAAATCTCATTTTCCATTTCTATATGAAGACTAACTTCATTTTAGCTTTTTTTTTCAGGAACTATCTATGAGTTTTATTATTATTTTTCTATATTGGTTTAAATATTTGAATTTTCTATTTTATTACCAAATAAATTGTTTAAATTAATGAGCTTAAAATAGCTACCTTAATAAAATGTTTTGAAAAAGATCATGAAAAAATCTTTATTTATTGAATTCTGAGAAGCAAACCTGCCAATAATACCTAGGGTCATCAACAGTGTAAAAATGCTATTCGATAGAGCAAAAATTTAAGGTAAAGTTTAGAATTAAATTTAAATTTCATAAATAACCTCATCTAAACTGACTGCAGCTACATTATAAGATCCAGAGCCTATTACTTATAACGCATACTACCTATCTATAACAGAGTTTTAAGAAAAGTATTAATATGGAGAAGAAAAACTTGTTTCACCTTAGATAATATAACCATCTTTTATTGAGGTGGTCTGCTTTTAAGCTTTGATCTAAGTAATAATTTACTAATAAGAAGCTGTGTAAACTTATTAAGTCCTGTAATTTGGTTGTATTTCCTGCGAGGTGGTATTGTATTAAGTAGTATACAATTTATAGGTTAATACAGCATTAATTCCATTTATAAGAGCATCTATTTCAGCTTAGCTGGCGCAATTATTAGGAATAGTTGTTTTTACTAAATCAATATCAAGACAACCATAAGTAAGAATCTAAATTTAGGACAATGTATTCTCTTTAGAATTAAAAGATAATGTTTGATTTTCTAACTGAGAAAAATCTAAGCAATTATATCCTAAAAGATTAGCGTTAGTACAACTTTTAACATTGAGGGGTATATATTTATAGCTATTCTATGTTCTTTCGATATAAAATGCCATATAAACTAAATATGTCTTACTTTCATCCATCTTAATATTTGCTGTATCAAATTTAAATCCTACAAAATCATTATTTAACTATATTTCTATGTTATCATTAGATATGAAGCTTTAAGATCTATAGCTTGGTTCAATTTGATTTATTAAGTACAATCTAAGTATATAAATAAAGTAAGCCAAGCTAGTTGTTATAACCATAAATGATATAATAGTTCCAATAAGAGTTCCCTTTTTATTAGACTAATTATCTACATTAAATTAAAATTAAGATGTAAATAAATCTAATTTGGAGTAAATCATCTTTTTTTAATTCTTATCAGCTCAGTTTTTTTTTTTTTATTAATTTAATATCACTAATTTAGTAGTAAATGCTTTTATAGTTTTCGTTAAAAAAGAAATTTTTTATTATTTAAATTGCTGAACTAATTTCTATATTTTTTATATTACGAAATAGTTAATTTAAATTTATGCTGTCTGTTTTGTAGTTATTTATAATAAAATCTAAAAATTTGATTATTAAGATAATCAAAATTTGATAGAATACAATACATTCAAAAATTTGTAAGTTTTTAATTTAAGGAATATAAAAAAATGGATACAAAATAAGATATTAACTTATTTGCTCCTAAAGGAGGTTAAGTAGCAGAAGAAAATATAGATGAAAATATAATAGAGGATGAAAATATTTAAAACACAGAACCTGAGTTTAGAAATACCTAATTTGATATTAACCCATCTTAAAAATAAATTTAATAACTTGTTTTTGATTTATCAACAGATAGAAAAGGGCAAAAACCGCTTGAATTCAACTTTCTATAAGATCAAAATTAAGATAATTTAAATATAAATATGATAGATTTTAGAGGAGGAGATGATGCGGATTTAAATCACAAATTTATGACTGAATAAAGCATTTAGTCGTTTTAAAGGACTATATTAGAAAGACTTTCAACTTAGGAGCAATCTTTTGGAAAATGGCAAAAGGAGAGCTTTAAATCTTAAGGAATAAAATTTTCAGCTGACTTTAGAGAACTCTATGATCCTTCAGCAGTCGGATCTGATTGTGTATAAATAAATAAAATTACTAACAATTACAATACGCAAAAAATTCGTTTTGATTTATTAAGTGAAAAAAGCTGGAATAAACCAGATTTAAAGTAGGATGTTAACAGTGATGGACTCTCTATTGTTGATAAAATTGTTAAATTTTAATGCAAGTTAAATTAAAGAGCACTATCAACTATTATTTCAGCTTAATTTAGACTAAGAGGAAATTCTTAGTTCAATATTTTGCTTCGTACAACTAATCTCGAAAACGAAGAGTCCAGTCTTTTGAGATTTGTAAAGGAAGGATATGGATATGATATGAGACTTTATATTTTACTAGGGAGGTATGATACTTAGTAAATGGAGTATTTATTCATTAAAAAGTGTGAAGTGCCATTAATAAAAATAAGTGAAGATCATGGGATAAGTGATTACTTAGATGTTAATTTTAGAGCTGTGGATTTAGGCAACGATCAGCTTAATTTAAGAGCCTATATAAATGGAAATATTTAAGATGCATTTAAAATAAAATACAAACAAAGTTTGATTCCTATTTTCGATAATTTCTCAATATATATGATAGGTACAGGAGAAGATTTAGCCGTTTCTAGGACATTTATTGAATAAGTTGATAGATAAGCATATATGTAAAGAAAAGATAAAAATTGTACCAATTCAGCTAAATGTTATTGTAATTTACTTTAAGCGAGCTTCTCTGGTTGATTATTGTATTATTCAATATAATCTTTAGCCATTGAAATATTTTATTTCATTCATTATTTCTTAATTTTTTTTCTATTTTTTTTTAACAAACAAATAAATTATTTTTATTTTCAACAAAATCTTTTTATTTTGAATTAATTTAAAACATTTTAATTTTTGTAAAGCAAATATTCAATTTATTTTTAATTAATTAAAATAATTTTAAGTTAAATATAAAGTAAAAGATAAACATTTAATTTTAGTATTTACTGTAATAAATTCAAATAATTAATTAATTAATAATCTATATAATTTCAACTCAATAACCAAAAACTATATTAAAGTTAAATTGTTTTTGATTCAACGCTTTTTACGATTTTATGCATTAGCGTCTTTAAGAAAATTGTTATTTGGTATATTAGGATTAGAAGATGGATTATTATTATTATTGTTATTGATGTTACTCTAATTATTGTTATTACTATTTAATGCAGGCAATATTATATTTTTCTTTTTATATAATAAAATAATATTAAAAAATGCAATTAACCAAATCAAAAATGTATTAATAAATAAATAAATGAATGAATTACTCCTTTTAAATTTAGGCCAGAAAAATCTTTGTCTTTTTATGGCTATTAATTATTTTATTTTCCGATTTAGGGCATACCCTTATTATTGTTATTATTATTATTATTGATGTTTATATTATTCCCATTTAGCTAACTGTTTATATTACTCATACTATTCACATTATTAGAAATATTATTTATACCACCACCTTAATTGCTTTAAATAATATTTAAGCTTCCACTTTCTTTTGAATTTTAAATTGCAGCTTAACCTTAAATACTTATTTACACATTATTAGGGATAGCTGAGGTTCCTTCTTTCTTTTTTGGATTCTTTATTTATAAATATTGTTTTTTAATACTCAATATAGTGTTAAAAATAAAATTAAAAATCCAACCAAAAAATATGATTCTGGGTATGCCGACCCAAGCCAAAATTTTCTTCCAAAAAACCCTAAATTTTTGAAAAAATAAAATTATTCAAAAATTTAGGGTTTTTTGGAAGAAAATTTTGGCTTGGGTCGGCATACCCAGAATCATATTTTTCCAACCTATTATTTATTATGATTCTTTTTCTTTTGGTCAATTTACTCTTTCTTTTTTTCCCCCTTCAAATTGCCTTAGACCATTTTAGGAGTGCTATTGAAGCCTTCATTATTATTTTCATCAATCTCATTCAGAGTTTCCTTATTAATTTCATTATCGTTAAATTAATTCTTGATCATATTATCTTAGGAGGATTTCGATGAGTGTTTATTATTATAACCAGCAGCAGATTTATCTCTTTTATTTTGGTTTATCTCAGGAAGCACATCAGTTCTAGATGAGCCTCTTTTGTTACCATTTTTATCTAAATCATCTCTCTTGTTAGGCTTTTCATACATATTAAAGTCATCCTAATTTTAATTGTTGGCAGCATTGTTATTCATAGGAGAACTTAATTCTTTTTATTTTTATATCATTTCTTAGAGATCGGTCTTTTGTTGTAAATAAAAAATATATAATTTAAAAGACTCTATCAAAATGAAATGAAAAAATTACTATGTCATTCATATCCTCTTCATCATCATCTTAATTATCTTTATCTTCATTTAGATCATCTTCATCGACTATGTCTTAAAATTCTATGTCTATGTCATCTTAAGAATAATTACTTAAAATATTGTTTTCTTCTTCGTTTAATAGGCCATTAGCTTGACTGTTAATATTATTTTCATTTATTATTTTTCTTTAAGACTCTATGATGTTTTTTAAATCTTAAATGGTCTTTTCCTAGATCTGCAAGTTTATTTCCATTTCAATATTTTACAGCTCTAAAACATGATTTTTAATAACAAGTTCTAGATAGTTCCTTTTATCTTGATGTTTAATTTTTTTTGGAATTCTATCACGAATCAACTTCGCATTAGCAATATTTTCTAATAAGCTTAACGTCATCATTTCTTTTCTAATTGTGTTCTTCTCAGTTGCAACTTTTAAAGTTCTAACTGCCTTAACTAGTTATTTGATTTCTTCAGGTATTTTTTTTTTAGGTTCCTTTTGTTGTTATTAATTATTAGATAAACTGTCATCTATATTTAAATCCTCAATGTTATTTTCTTAGCTTCCCTAATATTATGCAGATTTCTTCCAAACTAGTATTTCTGCTTATTTTTTTTTAATCTCAAGGATATTCATAGCATTTTATTCTTCTACTTCCATTAGACCTCTACGAAGTTATATTCTATTCTAAAAATTTTCAAATATTTCTTCTTGAATTTTTCTCATGTTTTACTCATCTTCTTATCTACCACAAATGCAGTTACCAGAAATAACATTTGGAAGTTAGTTCAAATGCTACTTTTCTAAATATTACTGCTCCTCTTCTTAATAATTCAGAATGTCATTATTATCTCCAATTTTATCATGAAGCTTAGCTTTGAGCTATTCTATTTCAGAGCGTAGGTCATTTATAATATTTTTATACTCAGCTATATGCATAGAGACTAATCTCTTATTTGCTTAGACTTTTGTTTTTATATTTTTTGCTCTATTTGCATATTTCAAAGTGTTAATTGTTTCTTCGAATTAAGCACTACTAGGACTTACGTTTGCAATCATAACTGTTTTGCAATTTCCTCCCAGACTGTCCTATTAATTTGTATTTACACATCAAATACTTCTAAATTTAAATATAAAAATATACTTTAAGCATTCTTGTCAATTTTGAGTCTCTATAAGGAACAAAAAATCCTTTTTTTGATTTATCACCTAAAGCATTAATACAATTTGCTAAAGCTAAGAGAGATTAATTAATTTTAGCACCTTCTCTCAGACGGATACCTCTGTTTTCTGTAACAGTTCCTCTTTCTGAGCCAGCTAAATCAATCAAAGAAAGCTTTCCTTACAAATTTTCTTACTCTGTATTTTTAGTTCTGGATCTAGAATTAACTGTAACTTAGAAAACAGCATGGCTTCTAGAGGAAGTTTAGTTTGCATTTGTTGCCTCTGTTGTTCTTCTCTTGTTACCCAAAAAGAGTAAATTCATGACCTTTAAATAGCAGTTTTAACTATAAAATTTTTATAAAAATGTATTTGATATACTTATTCAACTGACTCGGCTTTAGATTCAGTAACACCAGCAATAGTTATACCCTTGTTATTATAAATAAGAATATATTTAAAGACTTTTAATTTAAATTTACCTTTAATGGGTCATCTCTAAGTTCTAAATATGTTGAATGAGGAACAAGCAAATCTCTAATTGTTTCATTATAAATTTCTACGTAAGTAATGGTTACTTGATATTCATTATCAGAATCTTTTTTGATGAATTGAAAAATATCTTGAATTGTGAGTGTGCATAAACCAGGTGTGTCTTAATTACCAAGCATAGTATAAGTTTTACCAGTTCCCTAAACAATTTATAATCATTAAAATGATTTAAAATTAAGAATTAGTAAAAATACTTTAATAATAACACAATTTTTTATAAAAATAATTGAAATGCTTAAATATTTATTAGATAAATTACTGTTGGACCGTAAGCAAATACAGTAGCATTAAATCCTTGAATAACTGGCTTGATTAAATGACGACATGTTTATGAATAAACCTTTAAATTTATGTAAATATTTAATTTTAGATTAAATTTCAAATAATTAATTACTTCCTCTTAACTATGCAATCTAAAAATCTTATCGAATGCATATCTCTGCTCTTTAGAACGGTGATAAACTTCCAACATTTTCCTATTCTCGCTTGCAAACTCCATTTCAACTGGATCTAAAACAATCTTAAAAAATATGTTAACAGAAAATTGTAGCTGACAGAAATAGTTTTTACGATTAGCTAATCCTCTATACGAATAATATCCCAATCTCCTTGATTTTCCTCTTTTATATTCAAAGGCCTTACCCTAATTGCAACCAAAATATTAGATTCCATTTCAGGAACTTTCTTTTCAATATTTGCAATTACAGCAGGTACCTATTATTTTATAACTTACTAATTCTGTTATTACTGCTAAGGCTGCTACTGCTCACCTTAATTTTTGTTCTCAACATTAGCTGGTTCCGGGGAATTAGAGCTATTAACGTTTTATTTTTCCTACTCCATTATTTATTAATATTCTTGACAAGAATGCTAAAAATTTTTAATTTTTTAAAATATGGCTTTATAATACTTCTTTTAATAAAATCAGTCCAATTAAATTAATTACAAATTTTGCAAAATTTTTAAATTACTAACTAAAATTAACAAGTCTTACGAATAGCTGAATCTTTAAATACAAACTTTGAAAAGATAAGATTTCAAAAATAATTTAGCAAAATTCTATATATTCAACAACAAAATATAAAGGCCAAGTCAATCAAATATAGGAAAAATGAATTAAGATTTTCAAAATAATAAGATTACATATTTTACTTAATATGCAAAACTAAATATAAAATTTTTAAATATATTCGTTCAATTTTATTTTAAGCGATATCTAAATATTTAATTTAAAATTTAGTTTTCTAAATTTCTAAATTAAAATTTATGTTATTTATTTATTTTTCTGTTTTACTTTTTAAACTACACAAAAAAATCATCAACTTTTAATACTAACTTGATCTTAAAAAACAAAAAAACTCTTATAGTGAGTGAACTCTCTACTGTTTGACGAATCGTATTAATTTTATTATTCTCAGAAAAAAAGAGTAAGTATTTTTTGAGGACGGTAGTATAGTTTAATACTGTTAAATTCAATTAGCTGATGTAGTTGAACGAATAGAAAAGCATAATAAAAATACTAAATTATATAAACATAAAATATTATAATTAAATATCGTAAGAGAGTTGTAGAAATTTTCTAAATTATATAGAAATTAAATTAATTTATTGCTCTTAAATTTAATCTTCTCATGAAGCTTATTATTAAGCGAGCTTTTCTTTAACTTGAGCAGAAATTGCTTGAACTTGTTTCTTAAGAGATCTAACCTTAACATTCTTTCTTTCTTTAGGAGCCTTTTTAACTTCGCTAGCTAGGGTGAAATCTTCGTCTTCTTCGACAGTAACCTATTCTTTCATGAGCTTCATATTTTGCAAAGCAATATCCAACTTTCTTTCTTTATCACCAGTAATCTTAATAACCTTTTAATGTAAACTTAAGCACTTAGTTTTATCAATTTCTACACCATCAGGTAAGAAATTGTGAATATCACCAATTCTCAAAGGTCTAATTTTAGACAAGTTTTCAGGATCAATAACAATACTGTGAGGATATTCGTCATTGTAGCTGTTAACCTGTTTATTAATTAGAATTTTAAAACAAATACATAGCTTTAAATTAATTTACCCAAATACCATCTAATAGTTAAACAATTTCTGAACCTCTGACTATAGCGTTGTTTTAAAATGTAGGAAGAATATTAATAGGTAAGAATATGCTATTTGGCTTACCAACAACATATCTTCTATATTTAGAATAAACTAACCACTTTTCCACTATTTGATAAATTAAATAAATATTATAAATTAATGCTTTTATTATATTCTAAAATCTATTTTCATAAAAGTTCTTCGTTTTTCTCGAAATCATTGTTTAGGTTTGAATATTTGCATGATAATATCCAATAAATTTATATTCGTTAAAAGGAGAACATCATAAAAAGCTAATAAGGATTGAACATTACTTGGATGTATTTAAATATGATCATATGTGCATCTAAATTCTTCGTTACCAACCTTAAAGTAGAAAGATTAATTTTAAAATTGAAGTCTTCTACGGATAGAAAAGACTTATCTATTATCAGCAATCAAATCAACATCAGGTATACCAGTGTGACCTTTAATGTAGACTAATTAATTATGTATATTATAAGTTAAATATTCAGAATATATTTATTTATTATTATGTATCAACAAACAAAAAGAGTCTAGCAGTGTTTTATTTTTGATATTTAAACCATAACAGTTTTTGACTTTATAAACATTGCTTTCTTTTAAAAATTTTGAAAACCTAGACCTGTAAATATGGGATTATATTATTTATTTATGTAATCATCTGCTCATTTTTGTTTGAATTTTTTTTAAGTTGGAAGAAAGTTTACCAGGAGATCTTAATTCTTTCTTTAGGGAAATAAGGCTATCTTTTTCAGTTCTGAATTCTGCAGGAACAACGACTTTTTCTTTTCTAAGAACAGCTTGATCCAAAGCCATTTTACGATACTTTTTGTTAGCTAAATCTAAGGCTAATTTGTTAACATGCTCAGTTTAAGCATCAAATTATGAACCTACAATAGTAAAATTGCAAGATGGTCTAAATCCAAAAAGATTAATGGATCTTTAAGACAATAATTTATTGCAAATAATATTCATTTTTATAGCTTAGTTTTATAATATTAGAAATTAAGACTCTCCTTTTTATATTAGAATTAAACTCTTTTTGGGTTTAATTTTCTTAAAGCTTCTTATATTTTTCTTTATTTTTCTTCTTAATCTTGTATATATTCCTCCTCTCCTTATATTGAAAACTTAGCATTAAATTCAATTAACACTAACACAGTGTTAGTCTATATATAATGAAAATTTATAGCGCATTCATTCATAATTATTATGAGATACCTTAATTAGAGTTATATGCATTTATCTATCTATTTATCTTAGCTCTCAAATATTTTAGTTTTTTTAATTTAAGGTGAATTCTCGAAGGTTTAGATCTCCTTCGGGTTGCATTAAATATCTTTATCTCAAGCATTTCTATTGCGACAATAATAAAAAAAACGAAATCAAATTATATATTAGAAATAAAATAAATTTTAAAAAAATTTTTTTAGTTAGCTAATATGCGTAAATGATAGAGGAATGATGTGATTTTATATAAATTAATTTTAAATGTTAATGGTGGTGGCTAAATGTTTAAAATATTCAGCAAGAAGGCAAGCAAGAAAGCCATTACAGGATAAATAGGAAAAGATAAAAAAATCAAAAATAAATGCAATAAATATATAAATTAAAGGATATATAATAATTCCTATTCAATTTTGTATTGATTGTTTAATTGATTTTTCAAAGAAAGAAAGAAAATTAATTTAAGGTTTCATTGAATTTATTAAAATTTAATATCTTAAAATTAGAAGGATATACATATATAAATTCTTTAAATTAATCTTCAAGTAGTTAGTTGTTTATTAGGATAAAGAAGAAAATTTAAGGGATAAGTACAGTATTCAAAAATGTTATTAAGTTAATCAATTCAAAAAGCTGTCGCTAATGCTTTCAAGTAAATTAGCAGATCATAGTATAAAGCCATTTCATGTTTTAGCTCTTCAGATAAAAACGATAATGGAAGTAACAATCAAGAAGGAGATTCTTCCAAAAATAATGAAAAGAAATAGGCTACTACTAATGATGATATTTATATCCACAAGACCAGCTATAATTTAGAACAATTTAAATCGTATACTTAAAACGTTGAAAAAGCTTTGAAGGATCTTAATTAAGAAAAAGAAAAATTAGAAAATTCTTCTCCATTTGATCTTCTACCTCGTAGAAAGCGTAGAGTTTATGATCGTCCTCTTCATGATCTCGATATTTCTAATTACGAATGTTGGAGATCTTATGATAAAATGATTTTCAAGACTCACAAGCATGCAGCAAGAGTTGTTTGCAAAATCAACTTGTCTCCTCGTGCTTTAAAGCATGTACTTAATTCATTTGAAACGAAAATTATTAGTCTCCTCAAATTAATCTTTCAAATAAATTCTAAAAAATACAGCTTTTAAATTTACATTTTCTATCAAAACTTCTAGCAATTAATTTCATTCAAAATAGACCTTAAATAACATTTTAATTCATATTTTACTATGATACAAAGTATTTACAATAATCAAGAATTTTTTAGATAAAGATTTGAATGGATAAATAAACTAACAAACAAGCAAGCATAATTTCTATTATAAAGCAAAAAAATATAGAAAGATAATTAATATAATTTTATTAACATCAAAAGGCTTTTGGTATCGGCTCTGATGTCTCTAGAAACTCAGATGTCTCTACTAGAGAATATGATTTTGAAGATTCAAATTTAGATTCATTCTTGCTTTACGACTACAAAGCAACTACTGAGTATCACGGAAATAACGATCCTAACTACGATTATTAAGTAAATTTTGATAAAATTAGATTTGAATGCCAATATATTAAAAATATATATAGAACTAAGATTAAGTCCCTCCAAAAAAAAGAAAGTAATAACATCCCACTCCTTAAGAATTTTGGGAATCAGATGAACCTCATGCTTTCAGAGTAAACTGCAGTAATTATGCTGATTACCACAAATTTAAAAAATGGATCTAAACTGAAGTAATAAACTATAAATAAAAACTTATAATTTATTGAATAATATCATTTAAATAGATTGAAAAAAGAGCTTCTGAAAAATCATATGAAGAGAAAATTATTGAAAGATTTGGACCATATAAGATTTATGATCAATATGATTAAAAATATGACTTAGTTAAAGAGCCTTCTGTATTTAAATATGGCAGAGAATATTATTTAGAAAAAGGTAAAAAATTCTCAGAAAAGGAAATGGAAGAAAATCCTTATCTCAAACCAATTAAGCCTGCCAAACAAATGGAAGACAAATACAGAGTTGCTTGGCCTTATCAATGGAATCCCAAACCTACTTAATGATTTAAATAAATAACATCACTCTCTCACTTTAATCATTAAATAGTTAAAATTATAATAATTTTTATTTAAAAGAAGAAATTTAAATTTAGTAACCTTAAATAAATTCTATATATAGAGATTTGTAAACCATTTACTATTTTTATTCTAATTTATAATTTCATTTTTTTCTATCAATTAGCTTGAATCAAATACTTTTTTTTATTGTGTCATCAATTTGTGTTTATTTTAAAATTAAATTTTCTATTAATAATAAATCATTGGATGAAACTTTTAAAGATTAAATAAGTAAAACTTTTCAGTTATTTTTTTATAAATTGCTAATTAAGTTGAAAAACAATAATAAAATTCAACATTTTTATTTTAACAATTTATTTTTATTTTAAAATTTAAGATTAAGTCATACATAATTCAGTTTAATATTATTAAACTTATTTTTTAAAAAGTAAAATCAATTTTATTCATTTAATTTTATTGTATTTTTGTTTTTTAATCAGTTATTTATAATTTATTTTATTTGATTAATATTTAATATGTAAATGTATAAAAATTTAAATATTAATTACAATAAATTAATAATTTATTCTTTACACAATTTTTTTATATTTTCTTTTCTTATTTTAATGAATAAATGATATGTTTATTCTAAATTAAAAAAAATTATTCTTTAACTTAGGTTAGGTTCTATTAAAAAAATTTGATTATGCATTATTGGTTGATATATTTTTATATAAAAGAAATTTTTCAATCAATAATCAAAAGCAAATTTTAAATTAATAATTTTATTTTATTGAAAATTATTTTTTGAATTTTATTTTGTTTGGAATGATAAATATTTATATATCTTTTTTTTTATCAAAATATTTATTACTTAAACACTTATTTCATATGTTCAAAGCTTTTAAAAAGTATTAAACCTTTCTGAAATTTTAATTTTCTTTTATGTTAAAAATAAATTAATAAATAGATAGATTTCTTAAATTTAAATTATAATGACTTTATTCCTAAAATAGTTTGCTTTTATAATTAATTATTAAGCTAAATTATATTAAAATAGTTAAGATTAAAATAATTTATTTTTAAATTGCAATAATATTATTATTTTATTTAAAATAAAATTTAGTAAAAGTTATCGTAATAAAAAATATTACAAATTCTCTTAGATTGGTTTTCTATTTTTATTTTTTATATTTTATAATTTTTAATTGAAATAAAAATAAATTTGTTTAATTGAATATTAAATTTAAAAAAAACCTAATTATATTAACATATATTTTTATTATTAAAATACTAAACATTATTATTGAATTATTAAAATTAAAAAATATATATAAAAATTCTTAAATTATGAAAATATAAGAAGAAATAAATTCTATGAAGGTAGAATAAAATAGCAATTTTAAAATTCTACCGTTAAAAAACAATAATTCTGAAAAGAAAAATGATCGTGTTTTGAAAATAGCCAATTCAAAAAATCTAAGACTAAAATCACAAACTAAAAAAAATCTCAAAAATTTTAATTAATATTGAATATTGATTACTCAAGAAAGATACTAAATCTTAATTAATATCGAATAAAGTTTAATAAAACAAATTTTTAGAAGCTAACATAAAAGAAAAATAATTTTTTTAAAAAAATAAGAGACTAAGCAAGATAATTTAAAAAAAGAAATTAATTTTATTATATGAATTTGGAAGATTTAAACTTGTCTTGCATTGCTAAAAAAAATTCTATTTCAGAGATAGGAAATAGAGATTTGCAATAATTAGAATGGAGATATTCAGATTGTTTAAAGCTAAACCATAACAGTGTTAACAACAGCAATAATAAAGAGGTAAATATGTTTTTTAATAAAGTATATGTAATAAAACAATTTGCATTATAAAGAATGTTTTAGAAGAAATTTGCTAGAATAGGTAGAGAGACAGCTATGGGAAACAAAAAAACTTTAGAAAGAATTCTTACTGTGATGAATAAATACTTAAGGAACTTTAAGAGAAAAATAGATAACTTGAATAGATTAATGAAAATAATTAGCTTAAGCTCTAAGCACTTGATAAAGAAAATGAAAACTTAAGAAATTAACTTTAAGCTAAAGAATCAAAAAAACTTAAATCAACAATTACCAATAACCAGAAAACTGCTGTCAGCTAACCACTGATAGATGTAGGATCATAAAAATCTATTGCCTAACTGTAGCATATTCCTGAATCAGAAGCTGAAGAGACCCCAATTAATAGACCAACTATGAAAGGATATTAAAGGAACACTATTTCTTTTACTTAATATTCAGCAGGGTTAGAAAACTCTGATGAAGGGTTAAAAAAGAAGAAGAAAAGTGAGTAAAAAATTAAAATGATATTAAACAATGGTGGTCTAAATAGTTTAGGTTCTAGTGTACGTAGATTATTTAGTTCAAATACTACACAAAACACTCCTTCTTCTTAAGCAACAAGCTAAATAAATAAAAATCTTTTAACGAATTTTTAAAGTGAAGGAAAATATGAGTCTATATCATCAAAAGTAGATTCTAATTTAGAAAAAAAGTTGTATCATGATGAGATAGTAAAGAAAAATAAACAAAAGTTCAATAGTTAACAATAAACACTAAATAATGGCGCAACTCAAAATGAATCGAGCGATTTAACTATGATAAGCTTATCTAGCTGTTAAAATTCAAACATAAAACCAATTAATCTTTAGCTTAATAATGATGATACAATATCAAAAATTAGTTGCTATGAAGATTTCAATCATATTTTCAATTCATAAAACTAAAATTAAAGTGTTAAGCTTAAATATTATTCTTACTTGCTAGAAGAGAGCTATTTTTAGCATGAAAAGTTTGCATAATATATTTAACACTAATTGAGTAATGTAATATTTTTTAAATCATTTTTTTAAATGTTTTTTTAATAAACTTAAATAAAAATAATAGGAATAAATTGATTTTGAAAAAAGTAAATATGGAGGAGACTAATAGCACAATAAATTATTAGAATTAGTAGAAAAATAATCAAAACAAATAGAAAAACAAAAAAATGAACTTTTATAGGCAAACAAAAAATAAGAATAACTTTCATAACTAGTTTTGCTTTATTAAGATTAAATTGTTAAAATGAATAGTAGCAACGAGGTTGTTTATAGTTAGGTCAAGCAGATGTAAGACGAACTCAGCACAATAGATCTATTTTTTTAATTTGAAGATGATTTAGATTTAATCCATTTGAGAGACATGTAATTAATTTCTAAATTGGAATCTGTTCCATCTTTATTTTAGGATGGTGTTGAAAGAATTAAAATGAATGTTAATTAGCTTAAAAATAGAATATTAGAATTAGATAAGATAATTAGATAAAACAAAGAAGATTTTAATTAGTATTTATCAAATTTAAACTAAAAATTACAAAATTAACTTAACATATCAAACAATTAAAATACTTCAATAATTGAGCACTGTAAATAAAGACAAACAAATAGTGAGGCTTTGTCAAATATGTACTAGATCCTTAGTTAAACAATAGACAAAACAATTTAAGTTATGATAGAATTATAACAAGAATCTCAGAAATAAAAAGACACTATTAAACAAAAATCAATTGAAAAATAAAATTTAGAAAAACATTTTAAATAAATAAATGACTTATAAAAAAAGGAATAAGAAGAAATAATGTAAAAATTGCATGAATAATTTAAGAAACTAAAAGATTAATAATCGAAATTAGAATCATAATTATTTGATGTTAAGCTGGACAAAAAGAGAATTGTTTATAAGAAATTATAAAAAAAGTTGCAATGCAAATTTATGCATAGTACTGATTGTATAGAACAAGAAATATTTTCTAATACTGAGGGAATTTAAAAAGGGATTAACAGCGATAGAAAATTGAACTTTAAAGAAGCTATAAACGAATATAACTCAGTAACTAATAAATAAACTGACGAAGTTACTAGCTTTAATTTAAAGAATGTTGCAAGATCTCTATTTCTAATAACCAAAAATCAACATGATAATTTATAACAATATAAATAGACTTTAATTGAATTTATGAAACTATTTGAGTGGCTCGAAGTTTGCGTAGAAGTAGATTCTGAAGGCAACTTGCATATTGATGATAGCTTCCTAAGTGAGATAGAGTTACCAGAATTAGTAGAATGGGCAGGCATATTTAAAAGAAATATTGAAATAAGTATATAGCAACTTATAAAAAGATAAATTGATAGTAAAATCGATTTAAGTTCTAAAGAAAAAAACTAGCTCAAAAAATTAATATATACTGGAAATTATTCAGATTATTTTTCCTTATTGATATAAAATCTTACACAAATAAAAATTTGAAGATGTAACGCATAATAATATAAAATAAATAAAGAATAATTTAATAAATAAAAATACCTAACTAAAAAATGAAATTTATTTGTAAAGTTTTTAGAAAAATTTTGATAGATTATTATATACAATTTATATAAAATATATAGATTCTTTTCTGTAAATAAACATATAAAAAGATAGATATAATATTAAGAATTTAACTTGTTTTTGTTTCATAAATACAAAAATTTTTAATTAAAGATCATCGGTTATGCTTATTGAGCCATTAAATTACTGATTGATTATAATTTTATAAATAAATATTGTTTCAAAAGCAATTTATTTTAGTACCTCTTTTTATTTCTTAAATACAATTTAGATTTTGAGAAAATATTTTTAAGTAAATTTTAAATTTTCTTTTTTAGTGATGTTAAAATTGATTCATAAATATTTTGCCGCTTATTCAATAGTCTCAATTGATTAATTTATCAATAATAATTGGCTTAATTAACTAATCTAGGAAATTAAAAAATTCAAATGCTGTTTGCAACAGCTTAAATTATATAGTTGGTTTTTATATTTTGGCAAATTCTTTTCAATAAATTTTAACGAGTTTGTTACTTAAGTTTTCAATTTATTAACAACAATAAGATTTTGCTTATAAGAAATATTCTTAATTTTATTTTTAAAAATAAATATTTTTAGTTAAATATAAGTCAAGTTGAAGATTTAATTAGCTTGGATTATACTAATTTAAGAAAATTTATAAACAATGAAAAGTATAGTGAGTGCTAGTGAGTTAGAATAGATTGTAATGAAATCTTACAGAAGTAATGACTTTCGTAATTGTTTAAATACTCTAAGCAATTATAAATTTAATCAAAAAAGTAATGGTTTTTCTAAGTATTTTATGGTTATGTAACTCGAGTCTCACTCTTACTCGACTTCTGATCTTGGAGTAATATAAAAATATATTGATCATGTGCTAACTATAGATGAACAGCCAATGGCAATTTAAACTCTATTTACTGCTTTCAACGGAGATCTAAAATCTTATTTCAATCATAAATGGAAATTTAACTTTCTTTTCATCTAAAAAAAATACAAAGATGCTCTTTTAGAAATGAAGAATATGCATTCCTAGTTGAGCATTTTTAAAAAAAACAAGCTAAAGATTGATCTTAATTAAGAACAATTATTATTTTTAGAATACGAAAAGTAAGAAATTTTACTCAAATAGAGTATTTGCGAAATTTTATTTTCAAATTGCACTAACAAAAATTAGATGAATAATTTATATACCCTTTTATCTGATATTTAAATTTATTAAAATGCATCGATAATTAGAAAGACTAAATTTTATCGTTTTGGCTTGGCGTAATGGAACTTTTTTAATTGTTTTTCTGAAAATGATCCACAATTAAGTGTTTCTACAATTTTAAACAGGAATACTAATGAATTGTAAAATTTGATGAATGAGAGTCTAAAATCTTTATAAAGTACATTAAAAATGAGTGGCAAGTAAATACATTAAGAAAATGATCAAAAATAAGAAAATACCGCCTTAAAAAATAAGTAAATCAAATTAAATCAGAAGTATTTATAGAGTCAAGAATTCGGAGCCCGCAATTTTATAAATTTCATCTTAAGTAGATGGTAGGTGATAATAGATGATCTTGAACCTATTATTCTTAGTGATGCAAATGATGGTACTTAAAACTCGTACTATTAATAATAGTAAGATCATGAAAAAATTGTTATACAACTTTAAGAATAATTGAATAAAAAATAAACATGGCTTGAAAACAAACTTTACTATTTAGTAATTATGGGTATATGCTATGAATAAACTTAAAATTATGAAAAAGCTAAAAATGTTTATGAAAAACTATATAGTGAGCTGGAATAAACTGAAAATAACACTATGTACGATTTAATAAAACTAAATTTAGCTAATTGTTATGTGATTTTAGGTAGTTTCAGCTAGGCTAAAAGGCTTATTGAAGAAACTATTTGCAATACAAGTAACGAAATATTCTAAATCTACAACAAGAGTATGATGAAGTTATATTTCGAAAAGGATTACGAAGAAGCCTTAGGTCTTCTTAGCTATCTTGAAACTTAAATGATTTCAAAGAATGGAATTTTTGATCATCTACTACCTTAAGAGGAGCTAATTTTGCAAAAGGCAATATCTCTATCTAAATGCGGAGATTAAGCAAGTGCAATCACATGCCTGGAAAACTTTTAAATATCTTGCAATTTTTCATCGATAATTTCTATTTCTATTTTATCATTTATGATACAAGAGTATAGCTATTACATAAAAAAAGAATTTAATTAATTAAATTCGGTTGACATGGTTGGGAGATTAGCTAAAACTCTAAATATCTAAGCTAATAGCATAACATAAAAATTTTTATAAGGTACAGTAATATATTTCTCAATCTTTTCATTTTATTAAAAAATAAAGAAAAAATATTTATTTTAAAAGCGAAAAAAAAAAATTCATAAAATCTCTATCGAGTTTACATTCCTATTAAGCTGAATAATTTTTTTAAATAATTAATACTGAATTAATTAACAAATTAGTTAGTTTTAATGACTGACTACATTATTTTAATTTTAATTATTATAACTATTCTATAATTATATCAAATAAAATAAAAAAACAACCAGCACTTTTAAATCGTAACCCAGTATAAAAATTCAAAGCTGGAAAAGTAAATATAGACAGCTTGTTGAAAAAAGCATTGCTTATTAGTGAAATCATACTAAAAATTTAAGTTTACAGTAAATTTAAAATGAACATAATGTTTATAAATTTTAATAACTTATATAAAATTAATTTTACTGGTTTTTTAAAAAATGAATAATGATTGATACAAAATTGAAAAAAAATGGAGTTAATTTAAAACTTTTTTTAATCATAAATAGGATTTGTTTGTACAAAATTGTAGAAAACTGATCAGGGAAACATCATATTTAAAGAAATAGTTGAGTTTTATGAAAAAAGCTTGCTCATGAAGCAAAATACTATTGACTTAATTCAGCTTCAGCAAATTGATATTTTTTTATATTCTTACTGTTTTTTGTTGGCACAAAGTAGTAATAAAAAAGAAAAAAAAGAAATGAAAGCTAGCATAGAAAAAATTTAAATTAAATCGGAATAAGAAATTTAAATAATAAGAGATCTTTTTTTATTTGTAGATGTTAAGGATAGTTAATTTACTGATCTCCAAAATTAAACTGAAATCAATTTTGATTAAATATTACCAGCTTTATTGTCAGTGCTTATTTCTTCAATTTTTTTAAATCAATAACATTAACAAAAATATTATGAATCTATAAAACTTTTATTTTTTGATAAATTTAATATAATTAAAGAAATGTCTAGATAAAGACAACAAAGTAGTTTTTTAGAATCAAGTGGCTAAAATAATATTCAGAATCCGCCGAATAATTTTACACTTTTTTCTTTTGGAGAAATGGCTTAAATTGATAAAAGTACTTTTCTGCCATAAAATAGTAATATTTAAAATACATTAACATTTAATAAAAACTCATTTGATAAAGAAGAGTTATAATAATATCAGTATATTGAAAGCCTTCCTTTACCAAAAGAGTATTGTAACAAAATGTTTGAATTAATAATTGAAATATCTGAGTTTTACAAGGAATTTAAGAATTATATTGAAAAAAATTGGACTCCTCAACAATTCACTTTTTCAAAAATAAATGCAGATAAAGAAGAAGAAATTACTATTTCCTTACAATAAACATTTTCATAATTTACTTCAAAGCACAAACCTCTAATAATCTTGTTTTACAATGAAATAGCATAGAGCATTACGAAATTGAACGATTAAAGCTAAATTAATAAATGCTTGCAGCTAATATGTTTTAAAACAAAATAAATACTAACAAGAATAAATTTTATTTTATCAATATTTTAATAATATTTTTAGCCTAATAAATTAGCTTTGAAGCTCACAATTCTTAAATTAAAAAGTAAATAAGGAAACCTAAATTTAAAAGAAGTTGATTTTGAAGGCTTTTAATCCTTTTTTAGTATATTATCATCATAACCCTATAAAGAGTCTCCTTAAGCATAATTAGAAGCTTTAGTATTTTAAGATTTAACTTTATTATTTAAGGAGCTATTAATTAATTAAGATAATACTCAAATTATTAATTCTTAATCCCTTTCAGCAATCATAGAATAAGTAATATCTACTAAAGATACATCACTTTTCAGTTTAAAGTAATTCCTATTTATAATTATTTAAAATTATTTTTATTATCCCTTTTTTTATATAAAATAATAGTTAATTTTATGCAGAATAATAGTAGAATATATTTGCAAATATATATACTAAATAAAAATAATAAAACTCTTTTTAAGAACAGATTAATAATGAAAAATAAAATGAATTATAATCTCTTTAGAATAACAATCTTCCTTAAAATTAACAAATTCAAAATAAATAAATAAATCTATAATAAAAAAAAAAGAAAAAATCTAATTGTAAATGTGTTATTTTTTGATTTCAATTAAAATGTTAAAAGAGTATTTTAACCATATCAAATAATTTTAAATTTATGTAATAAATTATCATATATATATTATATATCATATTTTAAAATTAAAAAATTAATAATTTAATCTTTCAAAAAATTGAATACAGAATTATAAAATAAATAGATAATAAACAGAGAAATATTTTTAAAATTTTGATAATTTTCTTTGGAAAATAGTTTAAATTTAATTAATTTTAATTCCAATTTTTTTTTGTAACTTTTAAAATAAATAATCAATTAAAATCTGGATTAATATTTTAAACTGACTGATAAAAAATTTTTTATTTTTTCAATTATTTTTAATTTATTTAAAAGATATTTTAATCAAGATTTTATTTAATCAATAAATAGAATTATCAAAAAGTGTTTATATTTATGAATTTCATCAATATAATAAAAAATAATTTTCTAAATTTAGGTTTTAAGAATAAATTTAAATTAAAGTTGAAATAATTTAAAATAGTATAATTTACTAAATTTTCTACAAGTTTTGATAAAAATTTCTATCATTTAATTTTAAAATATAATCTGAATATCTACATAAAACAAACTTAATACTTCCATTTTTCTTAAGGATATTTAAGAAAAGAGGTTCCACATCCACAATAATTAAATACCTGGAAATGTTCATTAAATTAGTTTTATTTCAATTAAAATATATTTTAGCCAATTTCAGTTATAAAGAGAACTATATATCATTTCACAATTTACCATTGATTTGCCTCTACTGACATACCCATCTTCTGATATACCTTTGGATGTAAAATTTTGTATAAAAGCATTATGAGTAATTAATACTATTTTAGATTTTGTTGTATCAATTTTATTTTCTAAAACATAATTTAATATTCTATTTCTAGCTCTATCAGCCCTAAAGTAAAGATTTTTTTGTTTTTCAACTGCTGCTGGAAAGATCTCATTCATTATTTTTAAGATTACTTCAGAGATGCTTTAAGGCTATTGATTATTTTTATTTTCGTATGTGTATCTATTCAAAATTATATTTTTTTCTTCCTCGTCATGCAAATTAAGAACTTACCAAAATTCTAAATTTTCTTCAAAATCATTTTTCATTAGAGAAAAATCAAATACTTTTCCATAAATTTCAATTTATTTTCTTATATTTGATATGTCTTAAACTTTGCTTAATATTTCTGTGAGATCAGGTAAAACTACAAATTTTATATTAGCTTAATTAGGATGACTTTTAAATAAATGGAAAGCCGTTTATAATGCTCTAGCTAAAGGAGAAATAAAAACAACTGATATGTTTATATCGTATAGATTTTTAGCACAGTTTTCACTCATCAGCACTCCATAAGGATGCAATTCCGAATCAATAAAAGCCGGGTTTGTCTAGTAGACATCTCTAGAGGGTTTTTCTGAAAATGAAAATCCTGTGCGATAATAAAAATCTGATGAAACATAGTTATAGTAAGAAAGCCCATGTCTGATTAATATAATTTCTTAATTATTATTTGTTTACAAAAACGGAACATTAAGCTATATATTATACCTTTCAATTTCCTTTTAATCTACTTAGAAATCTTCATCGCTTACCCATTTTATCTAATATTAATCAGGAGAGAGTTTCTTGTTAGCAACATCTGCATGAATATTGTAGCAATTATTCCCATAAGTGCATCTACCTTATAAATAGTATTTGCAATTATTTTTGATTCTTTAATTTTGGTAAGTTTAATTTTTAGAATCGTTTTCCATAGTTTAAGTATTAACTAAAGGAGTTAATATTTAGATTGTTTACAATTTTTTTTTTTTTAATTAATTTAATTTATATTCAAATCATTATCAATATTTAGAGCATCTAGAATCAAATAAATAGGTATTTTTTTATCTATTATAACACATGCAACTAATTTTGAGAAAATAAAATATTTTTATTAAATAGACGCATAAGCATTTATAACTAATTGATTTAAAATAAATTAAAATTTAAATATTGTTAAATATTCAATCATAAAAAAGTATATCTAAAATAAAAAATAGACTTTTTTAAGAATGCTTGATTATTAATCATTTATTAAAAATCTTTCAAAATACTTTTGATTTATTGGTTTATAACTATACATTACATATAATTTTGATGTATTTATTTAAAATATTTTCATTAAGATAAAAAAATAATTTATTGTTTAGGTTTTATTTTCATGACTTGGTTTGAAATATAAATAGAAAATATTTATAAATCTCTTTATGAATTGAGCTGGACTTTTTTTTGATAAAAGAGAACCATTTAAAAACAAATTATTGTATAAATCTTAATTAAGATATTCAAAGAATTAATTGATTTGATTTTAAATAAAAACTATTCGAATTAATCTATTTTTTGAAAAAGAATTTAAAATAAAAATTATTTAACAAATAATTGAAGAATCTGTTTCATAGAATAAATTTTATTATTTTAAATATAAATTTAGAAGCTTTAGCACACAACATGAGCTATATATTTTCAGAGAATTATATTAAACAAAAATTAAAACGTCTTGAAGAAGTAATTCAGCATCTTTTAATTGCGTTTCATTCTTTATATTTTTAAATATCGCCATTCTTTTAACAAATTATATTAATATTTATATAGATTAATGAATATAACAGAGCAAGATTAGCTATGTTTAATAGAAAAAAAGCTTTCATGTCACGAAAGGAATATGAAAGATATAAGAACATTTTATTTGGCACAGACTATAAAAGCTTAAGAGAATCATTGTAAAATACTTAAAATAAAGAAAAAAATAATGGATCTGAAGAATAAGACAATACCTAATCATAATAATAATAATAACAATAACAACTAAAAACTGGGCTCAAAGGTTCCAAGTCTTAAGGAAAAGTTAAACAAATGTCTTAAACAGCTGGAAATATTATTTCAACTGCAAGTAAATTACTTATTCATTCTGTTTTTTAAATAATTTTTTCATTTTATAGATAATAAAAATAAAATGTACAATAATGGTTTGAGCTAAGCAAACTACACAGGAGGTTTTTAATAAAAAAGTAATTAAAATGAAGATTAAAAATTTTAAATGAACAATTCAGGTTAGCAAGAGTAGCAAGAATATGTAGATAAAAGATATTCGACTCCTTAGTAGCAAAGCCTTGAGGAAAATCAAATATTTTTGAATGAAGGGGATAATTAACATAACTATTAAAATAACTTTAATATGGTTACATTTAACTCAGCAGATAAGAAAATGAATACTTTTAATCCTTAAGCTACAAGCTAAGATACAGGCTTATATTAAACATAAAATTACGAAGACTTTGACTATGAACAATAGCAACTTATAAAATATATTAAAAAAATAGAAGTCGAAAAGTAGGAATTAGAGAATGAGCTTTATGAAATTTAATTGAAAGCTGCAAATTTAAATTTATAAAGTAACCGTAAAAATTAAAAGAGTATCTTCGAAGAAGTTTTCAAAGAATAAGAAGAATACATACCTATTTAAACAAAATCTTTACTAAATATAAGAAAATAAAGTCCAACCTAATCTCCTTTAAAATTGAAATAATCACATAGAGAGTCATTAGATTCTCTACAAAAAATTCCTAATTATAGATAAGTAAATTTTACATTAAAAATATAATTTTTCACAAAAAATAACAATTTAATTTTTTCATCTTAATTTTAAAACAAAACATTTAAAAAAAAAACAAAGAAATTCATTAATTGTCTTGTATTAAAAATCATAAAATATATTTAAATATAACTTTTTATATTTAAAAGTTGTAAAAAAAAATTGGCCTTGATTTCGAAACATAATGGGATTTACTAGAAAAGTGGGAGTCTTTGAATGCAAAATATCCTGTAACTCCAAATCCTTTTTTTATTTCAACTTAATCAGAATAGAAATAATATGAAAGCGCTTTTAATTTCTAAGATTAATCAAAATCTTCCTTTTGGGATAGTATAAATTAAATGAAAAAGGAAACACAGGGAGTGAATGCATAAAAGAAAGCAATTCACACCTACTTACCAGAAGATGAAAATTGGGAAACAAAATTTAACAAAATAGGAAAAAGTTATGAAGAAAGATATACTGCTGTTGATAATGATATTTATTTCGGATCTGAATTTGTTGGAAGAAAAAATAGTAAACCATTTGTAAATAAGTATGTAGTCAATAAGTATACAATAGATAAGCTATCTGATGATATAGATTTTATAATGAGATAATCTAGATTAAATAACTCACCATTCAAATCCTTAAAATCTTAATCTCCATTCAAAAATAAAAGATCTCTTTATGAAATTCCTGAAGAGTTTTCATAAGATAATTCTGTAAATTATTGACTTTGTTTAATTTTATTTTTATAGATTTATACAATGTTTATAAGCATAATTACTATTAATGAAAATGATGCCTATGAAGAAAACCTGCTATAAATAAAAAAAATATAAATAATAAACAAATAAATAAATATACTAATAAATAAATATAATAATTTTGGAGTGTTTAGAGCTATTAAATTATATTGTTTAGATTTTATCCTGCCTTTTTGTTTGTTATAAATAAAATATGATTTATTCTATAATAAATATTTCATTATTTTCATCAAGAATATTTTTTTATTTCTTCTGATTAGTAACAAGTAGATATAGAGTTGAAAAAAATTGTTTGGTTTTAAGTATGTCAAATTATTTATATAGATGATATTAAAAATGAAAATCAAATATTTTTTTAATCTTGAAAATAATTTATTAAAACACGTAAATTTACTCTGATTTATATTTAATACCTATTTTCAGCTTTTTAAAAAGTATATTTCATTTTAATATTCAATAAAAATATTGTTTAAGACCCAAATTAAAGTAGAAATTATTATTTATTCATTAGTAATTCCTTTAAAATATGCAGTATATAGATTTTTTGTAATTAAAAACTAATAAAATAAATAAATTTTATTGTTTTACAAAATCTTACAGAAGATATCTAATCTACGATACGCACTTAAGTTTTTTAACTAGGCTTTTATTTATTTTTTTAAACTCTATATTTCTAATTATCAATTAGCTTGATAGAAACTTTTAGAATATGCAAAATATTTAAAGGGATTTCTGTGCCAAGTATAATGCAAAGTAGGATTTCTGTAATCATAATTTCTTTTTCTAAATATTGTGTCATGAACATTAATGAATTATACATATGCTCCTCTATGAAACAAAGCATTTTTTTCAAATGATTTGTAATATTACTAAGCAGTAAGCTCTATTTTCTGATTGAAGAAATCCCTTTTTTCACCAAATCTTGTTAAATCAAGATTAGCTTTTGGGTTAACATAACTATAAACCTTTTTGATTCTGGGTGTCGTTATTTTATAATTTGGATCCAAAGCTTATCCTAAAGGATACTCTAATTGAGAATTTCTTTCCTAAATTTATTTATTTAATTCAGCATTCTCTTTAAATTGAATATCTGGTAAAATAGTAAAAGTGCAAGGATCATTTGATTTAATTTCACTTAAAATGAAGAACTTATTTTTTTATGCGTAATTTTCGTTAAAGTAAATTGCTTTGATTTTAGTTTCTAAAGAAATATCAATTCTAGAAGCAATTGCGTCTGCTTCCTATTTAACTAAATATTCCTCTTCCGCGTTTAATTTATTTGCTTCTTTTTCCATTTCTTTTTTGGCTTCAATAACTTCTTTTTCCAGATCTTTTTACAAGTTTTCTAACATCTCTTTTTTAATATATGGAGTGAAAAATTCACTCCTCTCAATATCTTTTCTTAATCTTTTTTGATAGGATGTCAAGTTTTCCCAGAACCCTCTCCCGAATACCACATTTGAGCTAAAAGAATTCTTCTATTGCTAAGGTTCTTACTCAGAACCGAATTGATCTTCTTAAATATTACTATTGTTCATACAACCAATTATATTATTTATTATTTGAATATCTTTTACATTCCAAATTATTATTAAAATTTTTTAATAATGTTAGTGTAAAAAAAAAAAATTACAATAATCAAGCAATTTTTGGTTATTTTTTGTAAATAAAATATATATTCTGGAATTAGATATAGGTTATGAAGTATTCAAAATGATATAAAATACAATACGTTTTTATCAATAAAAAAATCTTATTTTACTTGAATTAGAGAAAAAATAAATAATTATTATTTAAACGATAAAGCATAAAATATTTTATAAAATTATATTTGATTTATATCTTTTTTGGGGTACAGATAATTTTTATTTATTTAAAAGTATAATTTTTTTTATATAAAAAGAACAATCAATCATTTTTAAAAGCTTAGATTCTTTCATTTAAAATAATATGGCTAAATTTAGTTCTTTTTCTCCTGTCTTATTTCTTTATTGGAGATTATTATTAAAGTTGTTGTTGAATGTTTTCTTATTATTCATTTTAACTTATTTGTTTTTTAACATTGTTAAAATGTATGATTTGGGATGGCGTGCAAGTAAAATTTTGTTAATATATATCTTGTTTTTAAATTTAAGGTTCTTATGTTTATAATTTTTCAGAAGACTGAATATTACTTTTTTAGATAATGTTTTATTCAACTTTATTTTTTTAAACATTATTTAAAGTGCAGTTTTATTTATCAAAGAAAGGCACTATCTATCTCTTAATTTTATAAATGTTTAAAGATTTTATAATTATATATGAGTGCAGAGAAAGCAGTAAGATAGATATGGCAATCATTTCATAAAGCTATATTATTTTATCGGTATTACTTGTGTTACTTATATCTACTGATATCATCACAATTTTTAACAAATTTTAAATGCTTGATAAAATAAAAATGACATATTATTTATGATTATTATTTGATTTGTTTAATGTTTCTTTTGAGTTTAAATTTGATTTATCCTAAATTAAATGGCTGTATGAATTTTATCCACTTTTAGAGTTTTGAGTATTTTATTATTAAAATATGTTTGATTATTCCATCTGACTTTGGTTATTTAATTTAAAAGAATATTAATTATTATAGTTGTTAGTGTCTTAGAAGATAAAAGAAATGTAGAAAATTCTAAACTCTATAATACTGAGAGCATTTAAAGTCCACTTTATAAAATTTTGAAACTTAGATTGAAGCAAAACTTTGGTATACGACTAAGAAATCTAATTTCTAATGAAGTGGAAAGAGAACTGTGTAAAAAGATAAAATATTACAATAAAAGTAAGTAAAACTAGATGGATTATTTATAAAAGTACCTATTCTCTTGTTTCATTTTGATTTAAATGATCAATTATATCGAGTAAGACTTAACTTAAGTACTATATTTAGCAATACATCTCTATGCAAACCCATTAAACTAATAGTAAATAATACATCCTTGTGTTACTCTTTAATAAATAGGTACTCATGCTGATACTAATAGATAAAATTATAGAAACAGAGATAGCCGAAAGCTTATATTATTAATGTTCTACACATTTGCTATTACTAAGTTAGTATCCACTCATACATTCTAGGCAGTAATTACATTTATCTTTATCACATTTTGCACAATTTTTAATATCACAGAAGTTTTTAGTATCATTATAACTGTTATTTGTGTTACTGTTATTGCTGCTTGAGCTATTGTTGTTATTGTTGTTGCTGTTTCCTTGACCTCCTTAATTATTATTATTATTACCATTACCGTTATTGCTGTTTGTATTATTATTATTGTTGTTGTTGTTGCTGTTTGTAGTATTATTATTTTTGTTGTTATTGCTACCTTAATTATTATTATTATTACCAGAATTTCCTTAACTATTAGTATTACTACCACCATTGTTTGTGTTAGTGTTATTACTGTTTGTAGTGTTATTATTATTGTTGTTGTTATTGCTACCTTAACCTCCTTAATTACTATTATTATTGTTGTTTGTAGAATTGCTATTACTTCCTTAATTATTATTATTTGTAGAGTTATTGCTGGTACAGTTATTATTACTAGTGTTATTATTATTTTAATTGTTATTATTACTCGTGCCATTATTATTACCATTATTTCCTGATGTACTATTATTGTTATTATTGTTTCCTTAACCTGAAGTGCTGTTATTATTATTATTACTGCTACTATTTGTACTGTTAAATAAAACACAGTTATTTGAGCTAATATAACATTTTATACACTTTGAACTGCAAAGTAAGTTACTTATAGAGATATTTAGAGGTGTAATTAAAGAAATTAAATTTGAACCTTAGTTATAATCAAAAATTTGTAGCTATAAATCATTAAAAGAAAATTCAGATGTTTGATAAGTGCTCAATCCATTGATAAGAATAGGTAAATCTGTTTATATTTATGTAAGATTTAAGTATTTAAAAGATAATATAGTGCTGGTTTCATTATAATTAATAGACTAAATACTACATTTTTAACTTGTAACTTTTAGATTTTATTCATTTAAAAGTAAACTTTTTCCAAATCCGCTTATTTTAATTAGACCATTTGGAGGTAAATTAATCACAGATTATATTTATAGAGTTGCTTTAAATTAATCTCCTAATAGTTTAGAATCTTAGGTTCCATCGTAGGATATAGCTGTGTTTAAACTTAAAGGTTGTAATTCATTAAATAGCAAACTAAATGATGAAGCATAGATTTGTCCAAGTGAATTTATAAAGCAAACTTTATATTAAATAGAAACTAAATATATTGGATTGTTAATAAAGGATAATTAAATAGATAAATCAGATTTAATAATCTGCTAAGGAAGATTGATAGGTATAGAGAAGGAAATAATATTTTAATTTTGATTAGATTAGCTATCTAAATTAAATTGACTAATTTAGAAAGGTGATGAACTAGGAATAGATGAACTTTAGATTGCTAAACTATTTAGCATAGATAAATCACATGATTTATCTAAATATATTTAAACGCTTTCCCCAGTCAAAATCTATAAGTTTTCTAAGAAAACTAATAAAACAGCAATATTTCCAACTGTGTTTATAAAGGTTGAATTCATTATTTAAAGCTAAACATTTTTCAATAAGTAAGGATCAGTTAAATTTAATTACAAAGGATTTTATCCTTAAGCTATTTAGTGGAGTAAAAAAGAGTTTCCAAATGTTTCTATTTTTTTAAATTAATTATTTTAGTTTAAAAATATTTTTTTTAAAATTACATATCTAAGGAGTTTAGACGACACTCTAAAATCTTGATAAGGTCACATTTTATAAAATGATGGTGTAATTCAATTACTTTTAAAGAGTGAAATTAGTAATTTTCAATTAATTATTGCTATATGTCCAGTTTAATTATTTTTGCTAAGAAAAACCATCTAAAAAAACAAAAACAGAGTTTTATGTAAATTATATTGAATTTGAAAATTGAATTTGGACACTATTTTAATTTAGACCATCTATGGTAAAAGAGTCTGAATTTACATAAAAGGATAATAAGATACTATTTGTATTTGATAGTTGCATTTACATTAAAGATTACCATGCAGTAATGTATAATAAATCAGGCTAGCATTAAGGGAGCTAAATTAGTGATCTGTAATATACTTATCGATTTTAATCCAAAATTTAGTATTCAAAAGAATCGTATACTTAATAAGTACTTAAAAAGTTTTAAATCTTTTATTTTAAAATTAAAATATATTTTATCTTTCTTGTTAGGAAAATTTTTAAAAATTATAATTATTACATAATTAAGTTAGAAATAAATTAGTTAGTTAGCAGGCAACGTAGTTGCTTAGGTGTATGGTATAGTAAGGACATTATTTAGAACAGATAGTTGACTCTGAAAATTCTATGAATTCATAATTAATTATATATTCTAAGGCTGTGGAGTATTTTACAGATTTCCAAAAAAGCTCTGAGGGAAGATAAGATTTATGAATCCTAATTACAATAAAAATTCTTAAATACTTATTAAATAAATAATTTTTACCCTTGTTTTAAAGCTAATATTAATTTGTAAAGTTAAACTGAATTGATGAATTTTATGCAATCACCAAGCTTTGGAAAGTCAACTTGAGACAAGAATTACAGTATATTAGCTGAGTAAAACTACTTTAATGCTAAGGATATTAGTTAAAGTAGCTATTTTAGGCTATAATTGAGACATTACCTCCATACATAGGAACTTAAAGTCCCTGAATAGTAAACACTATCTGTTAGTCAGAACTTACTGAACTTGTAAGAAAATTTTAGAAAACTATCTAATTATTAATCACAGAATATTGTGTATTTGAAGTTTAGAAGAATGATATCCCAGTTACATTCAAATTTTATACTTTTTAATATTATAAAATTTAAGAAGGGCAATAATTTAAAATAAAAATTTAATGAATGACAATTTTATTGATTTAAAAAAAATAAGCGTAAAATAAATAAATAAATAATAAGATTAAATTACTGGTTGGAATTTAAACATTACTTGAGAAGTTTAGTGTTAGTGTAGAGTTATACGAAAGCATGTATCTTTAAGGAACAATAGTTATATTTAATGTTAAAGGACTTCCATATTAAACAGAAGAAAAAGAAACATTAAACAATGAAAAAGGAGATGTATTTTATTAAATTAAAGACACCTTTTAAGAACATTTATAGAATCCTTATTTATCAATTAAGTACATATCAAACATCAATTTTGATTTAACAGTAGGTGGGTAATATAAATTTGAAAGAGTGATAATTAATTGTTGATCTATTTAACCCTCTAAATTATTAATTTACACATTTTAGAAACCTGAAATTAATATTGATTATGAATCTATAACACTGACATTTAGATTTTGTTGAGGGCTATTAGCATATACCTATATTTTATGTAAAGTTAAATTGAATAAACTCAACAAAAAAAAATATTAACTCAAAAATTAAATTTACTTGTTATACCCAAGCTTAAATTTATGAGATATTAAAATAAGGATTTAAATTTGCTGAGAAATCAGATGGAGGATATGCTAGAGTTTATGAAGCTCCTAAATATTCTTGATATTAAAAGCTTAAAAGCAGGCTATCATTCTAAGAGAAAATCATATTATAAGAAAAGTCAATTGAAAAGGTCACATTTCCTAGTATATGGCATCCAGAATTAGAAATTAAATTAATAGGAACCAACTGACACTGATTTATACTATAATATAGATTTGTAGGTACGTTATATGTTATAGTACTTTATTAGGAGGAATTTTATATCATAACAAATTTGCCTGCTGTGACATTACTATTAGCAGTATTTGTTATGTTTTAAAAGTTGATAATCAAGTTTTCAATAAAATTATTTTATAAATATTATTATTATTGATCATTAATAGAAAAAATAAATTTTCCTTTTGAGTAAGTATATTCTAAATTAATTGTTTCTCCATCTGTGGTACTAATTAAAACTTATGGTTAATTTACTTGAGTATTATCAAACAGCTAGAATGTTAACTAATTCAGATTTTAAATGACATTAAATTTTAAGGATAATTAATCAGTCTACATAGGCTACGGAAATTTTTTGAACATAAAATAATTTTTACTAGTGCCAGTTGCTTCGCATATAGAATCTTAGTAATTTAATGGTAAGATTTATAGGCTTTTATTTTATGCGATAATATATCTAATTGTGCAATGAAAGATAGTTAGCCAAGATAAAACTAATCCTTTCTTCATTTTTGTTTTTAAGAATTTTTATCTAATCAAAAGTGAAAGTGATTCTGTTATTGATTTAATTATTATTTTTTATTTGTTATTAGTTTATTTATTTTATTAACTAACGATTATAAAAATATATTTGATTTTACCAGGATTTAATCTTCACAAATCTTCTATAAAATTAATTAATTAATTAAAAAGATTGATTACATAAAAGATACTTAAAAGCTACAGTATCTTTTTTAAAAATAATAAATTAATTACCACAATTTATAAATCGAAATTTTTATATTAGAATTCGTAGTTAATTTCTTTGTAATGTAAAATTTAAAAAGCTGATTGATGATATGATGTGCATTTTTGTCTGCTTGTTTACTTACATTCTTAATTAATTTATCATATAATTCTATTTTAAAATTTTGTTAGTTAATGTAATGTAAATAATTTAAAAAATTTTTTTAAAATAATACAAGTTATGTTTTCAATTATAACCATAGAATGCACTTATTATAATATTTTTGAATTCATATATAAAAATATAGAAAGGAAAAATTATATTTGATTTCCATTAAAATAAAAAGTAAATTCTCCCCTCGTTTATGATAATAATCTGAACATTTTTAAAAATAACTTTGCTTTTTTAAGGAGGGATTTCCTTAAATTAAAATGTTTTTTTTTAATAAAAATAGTTAAGCATATTTAATGAATTCATAAATTAAATTGGATTCTTTTTTTTAAAAGAACAGAGAGAAAGAAAAAAATATACTATTAACAAAATAATTTATAAAAGATTATTGATAATTATAATAATTATCTATTTCGATTTTATCAGTAATTTATTTTAAAAATAACTTTTATAATAAATGATTTCTTTGTAATCAAATATTTGTAATTTGCTCAATAATATTTAGATTTAATTTCTATATAAACATTTTTTAAATATTATCAAGTTTTTTGTATCATTACTTTACTTAGTTTTTAAATCTTGTGCATTTTTTTAAAAATTAATATTTTGAAATTAAAAATAACTTAACTAAGAAGTTCGCTTTATAACGAATAATAATTTGATTAAGATACATTGGAATATTAGTAGTATCTTTGATAATATGGATTCAAGAAACAAATTTAAATTATAGGAACTTCACAATTTGTTAGATAAAGAGTTATAGTTATTGTAGTAGTAATTGAATACTGAAACGGAGTAAGGATATTTGTTTAAGAATTCTTATCTTTAAAGAATTAAGCAAGCATCTTAAGCGAAAGGATCAAATAATGACATAGCTAGTAAATTTGAAGATTAAAATAATAATTGGAATAATTAAGTTAATGATGAACAATAGGAATACAAGAAAGATTACGAAAATAATTTTTAAGCTTATCATTAAGAGCCTTAAAACATATAATAAAAAGATTAGTATTAAGGGAATACTTAAAGATTAAAATAAACATTCAATACAGACTATGGTACTTAAATATCATTCTAGCAAAGAACAAGCCAATTTACATCATAAAACCCATATGAAGGTGTTGAGACAGAGTAATAACAAGCGCTATTGATTAATAATACAGATGAGAGTTGTGATCCTTTTACAAATTTTAATTTATAAAAAGAAATAAATGGTTTATAGTAAAAAATATAATTTTTAGAGTAAAAATTCATTTAATAGACTAATGAGTAAATGAATAATAATAATAAATATGATTCATTAAAGAAAAATAACAACAAATATGACTTAAATATATAAAATTATGAATAAGCACCAAAAGATGAGATTTTCAACAAGAATATAAAACCTGTTAAAAATAATGATGGTTTTACAAAAGAGTCTGATACTGATAAATATTTGATAGAAAATAAGTAAAATGAAATCAATAAAAATAAATTGATATTTGACCAGTTAAATGACTCAGTATTTTAATAAACATCTAAGAGCTCCTAGGGATATAATCATTCTAGATTAGATTTTAATGCAAATTAAACTACAAAGAGATAAAACAACCATGATTCTAAGAGACTTAATGATTCATCATAAGAAACAAAAAGCAATAAAAAATATTTTTAAAAAATGTTGCCAAATAATGCAGAAAAGAATGATAATGCCTCTACTTACTCATAATCAAAAAGTCCTAAAAATATACTTAAAAAGAGATCTATAAGCTCAAAATCATCTAAAACTGTCTAATAAGATGACTAACTAAGAGATTTAGAAAAAGAAATAAAAGGAGCAGAGCACAGTTTAGATATCTCGAAAAAGTTTTTAAAACAAGCATTAAGCATAAGTAGCTCTAGATTGGTAATTGAATATTTTTATATTTTAACAAATAACTATAATTTTTAAAAAGAATTTAAAAACAGATAGCGCAGTAAATAAGTCAAATTATTCCTTCCGTTAACAAGGTTTTTAAGATACAAGTAGCAAACGATCTTACTCCTAAAAGAGCTAGAGAGAAAGATCCTTATCCCAGGGTGCAAACTTTTTCCCAATCGACAGCTTTGCTTAATAATATCATGAATCTTTAGAGTTAAAATAAAAGATTGCTTAAATACGTAAATAATATGAGACAGAAAAAGATATTTTAAATGAAGAACGTGAAAGAAATAAAGTTATCAATGAAAGTATTGACAACTTATCAATAAAAATCAAAAAAATATAGATGATAGTTGAAAGAAATCAGTAAAATGAAAAAGACTATCAAAAGCTAATAGAATCTTATAATAAGAGTGAATAAATAAGGAAATAGTAAAAATTACTCATTTTGCAGCTAAAAGAGGAAATAGAGGTGCATAAAAGTAATTAAAATAAATCACCTATTTCAATAATTTAAGAAGAGCCTAGAAATTCTAGAAAAAAAAATGGCAAAAGACTTTCAACCAGTGGATCATAAAATTATCCTAAAAGAATTTGAAAAAAGAAATTTAAAATAATTATTAGAAATGATGAGTCGCTAAATATATTTTAAAAGAGATAAAATTCTTTTGTTATATATATAATTATTATAATTATATTATTTACTTAATTACTTTATATTTATTTATATACTTATGTTATCTTTCAATTTATGATTGCTAAAAATTCTAGAAAAAAAAATGGCAAAAGACTTTCAACCAGTTGATCTTAAAATTATCCTAAAGAATTTGAAATAATAAGTTTAAAATAATTATTAGAAGTCCCCAAACGATGAGTAGCTAAATATATTTTAAAATAATTGTATCATTCTACTATTATATTTATGATTATTGTGCTTATATATTTTACTGAATTACTTTTATATTTATTTATATACTTGTATACTGTTTTAGTATATAATTAAATTTCATACTTGTTTCAAAACACTTTTTCCAATTTACTTTTGGTTTTTAAAGAAAAGAAAATGAAATAATCTTAAGAAAAAAATTTATATTTAAAGTAAATGCTTAAAAAATTCTATTATGTATTATAATAACATTAATTTTAAATATTTTGCTTGAGTAGGTACAGGTGTTTATATGAAGATATAAATTTCATTACATTAACATATTTTTATTCAAAAAAGAAATGAAATTTACATATTTGCTTCTTATTAACATGGTTAATTCTCATCATTTAGATTCCAAAAAATAATATTTAAAATGATGATATTAAAATAATCTAGTTAACCTTAAAATATTTATTATTTTAGGTAAGACCTATTATTGTATTTAATATAATTTTAAATTGGTGAATTAATGAATGTTAGTCGATCTAAATTTTTAAATTAAACGAGCTTTTAATATGTAAAGTAAAATTATATACATCATTTACTTTTTTCAGACATTTAAAGTGATATAATAAAAGATTATGCTGTCAATAGATATATCCATAGATCGAATATCTTCGAATTAAAAATCTTTGATAAATTAATGATCTCCAATAAGAGATTCTATTTAAACGCTAAGCAAGATTAAGTTGATTAATACTAAATATAGATAAATTAAAAGCCAAAATATATCGTACTTTCATTATTTATTCATAATAATTAAACCATGAATAGTTGATTACTTATTAATATTATTAGCAGTACATATATTTATCTAAAATTAATTATCTAATTTAATTTATAATTAATAAAATTATTCAAAATAGATTAAGATTACTTACTATTCTTATAGCATGAATAAAACATCAATTATTCTTATAGCCTCTATCTTAAGCGCTGCGCTGTGTGGTGCTATCATTTATGAGGCATACAAAGCCTGGAAAATTAACAATTTACCTCCTACTCCTGTTAAATCTAACACAGATGGGTATTATATAGTTAACATGCTTTCATAATCGAGCTTATTTAATTTAAATATCTAACTTGAATGGGTAGCTGGACAGAATTTTGTAAATGACCCCTCTAATCCTGTGATCGAGAGGTTGTCTTTCAAAATCAACTTTGATAATTATAATGAACTTTCAATCAAGATTACTGATATTGATGATACAAGATTCACTCTTCCTTATAAGGAACCATTCCCCTACACCAAGGTTACTTATGAACCTTCTAAAGAAAGTTTGTTTGATTACATCATTTCCGTTCCTGGAGAAGCTTTCTACTTTAAATTATGGCGTAAAGATACAGGTGAAGTGCTTTTCGATACAACCAATACTCCTCTTATTTTCTAAGATAAGTATCTTTAGATTACAAATAAATTAAATAAGTCTGCTCTCTTTGGACTTGGTGAAAGAAGAACAACATTTAAGCTCAAATCTGGATAGTACAGTATTTGGGCAGCTGATGCAGCAAGAATAGACTATGGCCATCCTGGCGAGCAAATATATGGAACTCACCCCATGTACTTGAAAAGAGATGATGCCACAAAGAACTTCCATGTCTTATTTTTACGTAATGCATATGGAATGGAAATCGACTATTAGGAAAATGAATCTATTACCTACAAAGTGATTGGTGGTAACTTTGACTTTAAATTCTTCTTAGGTAATAACAACCCTGAAGAACCTATCAAATTATATCATAATTACATTAATGGATGGATTTTACATCCTTTCTGGGTTTAAGGTAAAAATTTAATTTATTCATAAGTTTTTCTAATATTTTAACTAATAAAATAATTTAATTGTCACACTATGATAAGTGCGTAGTGTTTGAGATTAAACTTTTTATCAAGAAATAGCAATAACAGAGTAAAAAAAGTAGATACTTTTAAGTCAATCAATATAATTAAATTTGATAAAAAGCTCAAAAAACAAATTTTTTACCACAAATTTAATCAATTTGGTCTCAGCAATAAATGTATAAATACTAAATCAAATTATTTTAAATTAGTTACTATCCTCACATTTACAGAATGATATTTGCAATTTTTTTTAATTTTTCCTAATATTGTTCAATAATTAAAAAGGTTTCCATTAATGCAGATGGGGTTACAAAACAAGCGAAGAACTTATGTAAGTTTGGGATAAGTTTAACGAGCTCTCCATTCCAATCGATTCTTTATGGAGTGATATTGATTACATGTACGAATTCTATGATTTCACTATAGATTTATCTCGCTTTAACATTAGCTAAATGAAGCAAATTTATGATTTGTAAAAATTTTAATTTCCATAAATAACTAAGTTAAAACTTAAATTCTATTTAATCAAGAAAAGATCCTAAAGGTGTTCACTGGAGTAGCATCATTGATGTTGGTATTGCAATCGGTTCAGATGCAGCTGTAAGAGGTTAGGAACTCAACACTTTCATTAAGAGTGGATATACCGGTTAAGATCTCATTGGAAATGTTTGGCCTGGAAATACCTATTATCCAGATTTCAATCATCCCAACTCTACTCAATTCTGGTTTGAAGGATTAAATAATATTACTAAAAATTATGGTTTAGTTTAAGAAGGTATTTGGATAGATATGAATGAATTTTCTAATTTTGTAAACGGTGAAGTACTTCCATCTGTCAAGGACAGCAAATTCCTCTCTAACTAAACATTGAAGAGCGAGAAATCTTCTCTCTAATTGCCTTTCAACCCTTAAGGTAGTTAATCATTTAAATTTTCATATCCTGATTTTCAAATTAAACATCAATAAATAATAGGAGACACTGATCTTGAGTTCAAAACTTTGTCTTTGAATGCTAAACACTATAATGAAAAGGATGGTCTTATGCTCCATATCCCAAATTACAACTTAACTCAATACGATATGCATAACTTAAATGGCTTTGGTGAAAGTATAGCAACTTACGAAGCAGCCAAATTAATGGGAAGAAACCTCACTTTTATTCTTTCTAGATCTACACTCTTTGGAAGTGGCAAGTAAATAATTAAATAAATAAATAAAAAATTTTAAAATTAAATTCAACAAATCACTAACAATGCTTGTTTACCTTACATTTATGATTTCTTCTTTTTTATATCTAAAATATTTCAAATAATATTGAAATTATTTAATTTTGACTTTTATTAATCAAAAAAGATATGTACAACATTGGAATGGTGATGGATTCTCTTAATGGGACTATTTATTCTATACAATTCCTGGTATTATTAATTTCTAAATGTATGGTATTCCTTTTGTAGGTGATGATATTTGCGGTTTGAATGGTAATGCTACACCTGAATTGTGTGCTAGATGGATGTAATTAGGTTCTCTCTATCCTTTTTCACGTAACCATAATGGTAATGAGTCTATTTCTTAAGAACCTTACGCCTTCCCTGACTATCACTATGTTCTTTCATCATCAATCAAGACATTAAATGTTAGGTAAACAATTGTAATTTAAATATTAAATTTTTACAAAATTATTTCTATAAAAATAGATACTAATTATTAAAGTTTTACTATCACTTATTTGTCAAGGAATAAGGATCTGGAACTATTTTCCGTCCTCTTATGTGGTCTTTCCCTAATGATGATGAAGCTCTCAATTATGAAGCTGAATTCATGCTTGGAGATTATCTTTTGGCTGCTCCAGTTGTTGCTTAAGGTAACGAAGTAACTAATACTACAGGATTAGATTTCTATATTCCTTAAGGAGGAGTATTCTATGATTTCTATAACTAACAAAGATACACTGAAGGTAAATATCACTAAGATGTACCTTTTGATAGTGTTGTTCCTCTATTTGTCAAAGCAGGAAAGATAGTCCACATTTAAGATTAGAAGCCAGTTTTGAGAAGCAGATTTTTGGATAATCATTTCACTCTTTACATAGCTTTAGATTCTAACTTATATGCTTCTGGAAGCATTTTAACAATAAATGACTACAATAATGATGAAAACATTATTAGAAATTGCTTGGAAGGAGCAAATTGCGTTACAATTATTGAAGCCCAAGGAAAGTTTGAAAATAACTCTTTCTCAATTTCTTTAAAGAATACTTAAGAATAAAAAAATACTTAATTCTAAGAAGTAGTAATTGATAAGGTTATAATTGCTGGTATTAGCACATTTGGCAACTATATCTCTAAAATAGTAGATATCAGCTCTAATCCATTCATTATTAACAAAGATAAATAGCAATATGACATTAACATTAACTTATAATGAAATAAGATTAAATAAACAAATTTATACAATAATACAAAACGTAATAAAATTTTATATTCATATATATTTTTAAATATTTGAAATTTGATTCTAATACTATATAATGACTAATTGGAATTGGATATATTTTCTATTTTATAGATTGTCATTTTATTTTACTTAAACACTTTTTTTTTGATAAAAATATTTCTTTGAATTAATTATGGCAAAATTATTTGTAAAAACAATTTTTTAAAAATAAGTCTTATATAAAGTAAAAGATAATTCTAACTCACTTCATATAATTAATCATATAAAGAGTATTTAATTCACCTAAGTGATTTTAGATAGAAAATTTGTCTAAACATAGAATACCCACCCTAATTTTTACAGTTTATGATATATATTTTTAAAGGAGAAAATAAGGTGTTTTTCAGATTAATAAATCTAAAAATTTTTTTATTTTGAAAGAATAGTTTAAGAAAAAAAAAAGATTTAAATAAGATATTAAGAAATAATAAAATAGTCTAAAATCATAGAAATTATCTATTAATTGGAGATTAGGTTAACATAAGTAAATAAAAATGTAAATTAAGCTCATCTATGGATAACAAAAATTTATTTTTCAGAATAAAATAATTTACTTCTTATCCTTCTTATTCTATTATTTACTAAATATGTCTAATATTGCTTTAGCTATTCTTTTGTTTCTTTAAGCTGACAGAAATGATTATGATGTGGCATACTTTATTACATTTTTCTCTCTTTAAGGAATTTATATAATATTATTTAGATTCGTAGATTCTCTGATATATAATTATGATGCAATGTAAGCTAAGTAAGGTGGTTTTGAGACACTTTTTTCAATTTTTTTTGATATATTTTAGTTAGGGTTTATATATTATTATTTTTTAGTAAGTAGAAAAAAACTTTTAAAAGCTATAATGATATTAAGAGTTATTCCTTAAATTTTATATTTTCAGGTATTCATTTTTTGGCTAGGAATGATAAAAAATGATTTTTCATACTTAAAACTTGCTTTATTGATTAGTTATATGTTGTACTTTGCTCTATTTAGTATTATGTTAATGCTTTTTATTGGTAAAGAATTTAAATTTGAAATGGTTAAATTCATGAAAAATTTTATGACTTCATTGACATATTTTATTAGTATAGGAACACTAGCTTTTTATAAAGATTATTTTGGTATAAATCTAGCTATTTACTAAGTCTTTTTAATCATACTAATGATAATAACTTAAATAATAATATAAAGAAAGTTTGATTGCACACTCTTTTTAGATATATTATTTTAAATAAATTTACTATTGAAATAAGACAATTAATTACCAAAAAATAAGACTATTTACCTAGAAGTTTCACAATATGCTTGTGTATTAATAAGAAGTATTCTTTTGATATCGTATAGTCACTAAGATATTTTCAATTTTGACTACATCTATTAAAATTAACTACAAGTAGTATCTATTTATACTATTTTTTTTTAAGCTCACTTTTTCTTATTTTTTACTCAAAAAGGCTTTTCTATAATTTGTTTTTGGTAAAAAGATTTGATTTAAAAAGTGAAGAGTAAATACATACTGCAAATACTATTATAAAAAGAAAATTTTACAAACTGATTATTTTTAAAATATATTTATAAAATAATCACAGTAATATGTTAGAACAAAGTTTAATTGATAATAAAATGAAATTTTAAGATGAAGTATTAACTTTTATAAGATATTTGATGTTGTTTGATGAAGACCCATCTCTTTAGTTTGTTTTTAAGTCTAATTTTGAAGGTTATTTTTACAAATATTACGAAATAATTGCAATTCAAATTGAAAATATTTGTCAATTTTATTTAGATAAAATTCTAAGGGATTATAATATCTAATCAAAACTCTTCTAAATAATAATGTAAAGAAAGGAAAAAGGTTATAGTTTCACTGAAACGAGTTAATAGATGATATATAAAATTTCAAGTTAATATTAGAAAAAAATAATACTAAAATACTTAACTATTAGTATTTAAATTACTTGTTTTAACAAATTAATTTCAGAATAAATGATATTTGATCCAAAATAAATTTTTTATGATTTATATAATTGAAATTGAAGCTAATGATTTGTATTTTTCTAATTAATTTAGAAGCTTTATATTTTATTATTGTATCCTATCAAATTTATTTTACATTGTTCATTCAGATACATACAGAATAAATAAGCAAACTTTAAAAAGTTGGAACTATCACAATAATACAAAATATTTTTTTTTAACTTTAAAAATTATTATATTTAAATGATAAATTATTTTTATGCTTTTAATAAATTACTCATAACTAAATTAGATATATAAAGATAAATATATCTTTAATATTACATCTTATAAAAATTTGATAATTTTCTTAGATCTATTAAATATTTATGGGGAGGTTACTAAACGAAAAGTAGAAAAAAGAAAATATGAATTTGTTAATTCAGAATGATTTTGGAAATTAATTCAAAGCATATTCTTCCAATGACCCAGGATAAAAACTACCATTTAAAATTAAATATATATTTATACATACTTATTGTATATTTTCTATTTCACTTTTTTGGAATTTTTTAAATATAATTAAAACTAAATAAAAAGTTTTATACATTTTTTTTTCTTTCTTTATTATAATTAAAAACTTGAATTTTTTTATTTTTATAAAGAAAAAGTAAGGATCTCATTGAAAAGTTGTTTGAACTTCATTTGCATAATTTTTTACTCATACAATATAGGTCTTATGTTTATTCATTCTACTCAATTTATTATTAAGATAATTCATTTTATTCAAATAACCCTTGAATAGAAATATTTTATGAATTTTCTAATTACTCTGAAATTTATGAAATTTGTGTATTATTTTACAAATAAAATTCTTTCAATAACCGACTTATTGAAGGCTGTGAAGCAAATATTTTTGAGATAATTATTTTTTGTGTCAATTAACTTTTATAGTGAATGAATTATTTTTGCAAATCTTTATTTACTAAAATCTTTTCATTTTTATTAATTAAAAATATTTTTAATTTTTATAAAACAAACAAAAAATAAAAATATCATAAAAAAAATAAAATAAATAATTACTTGTAATGAAGAATATTTAAAAGAAAGAAATCTATTTTAGTACATTTAATAAATATTTAATGAATTCTGACTAAGATAATAAATACAAATCAATTTATGATGAAGGAAATGAATCTATAAAAATAGTTTTTGAAGATAAATAATTCAGTTATTTGGTTTGATTTCGTAAAATTAATCTAAAATAAGCTATTTAAGATTTGTATGATGAAAACTTATATCAAATTATATATCTTTTCTATTCTATATTTCATATACTTTATTATCTATTTCAATAATAAAAATTTAAAATATTTTTTAAAGATGTAAATTTATTACTTTATTTATAATTATGCATTCTAAAATACGAGCAGAATAATGACATTTAAAATGCTTGAATAACAATATAAACCTTTTTTAATTAATGGAAAATGATACTTTATATAAAATAGTTGATTTTAGATATAAAATTGTTTAAAAAGAGAATACCCACCCTAATTTATACAGTTCATGATACAAATTTTTAAAGGAGAAAATAAGGTGTTTTTGAGATTAATAAATCTAAAGATTTTTTTATTTTGAAAGAATCATTTAAGAAAAAAAAAAATTAAATAAGATATTAAAAAAAAGCAAATAGTCTAAAATCGGAGAAATTATCAGTTGAAAATAATACAAACATAAGTAAGTAAGAAAGTAAAAGTGCACCAAAAGAAAACAAAATTAATTTATTTATCAGAAATAAATGACTAACATTTAATTTTATTTCTTATTCTTCTTATTCTATTATTTACTAAACATGTTAAATATTGCTTTAGCTATACTTTTGTTTCTTTAAGCTGACAGAAATGATTATGATTTGGCATACTTTATTACATTCTTCTCTCTATATGGAGTTTATGTGATATATAGAATAGTAGATATTAAAATAGCTTGGTATTATTATAGTGGTTGTGAATTTATAATTTAAATACTTTTAGATATTTTTTAGTTAGGGTTTTTATATTATTCTTTTTGGACAAATAGAGATACATTTGCAGTGGGTAATATGATATTTAGATTTATTCCTTAAATTATTATGTAGTACGTATTCATTTTTTGGCTAGGAATGATATAAAATGATTTTTCATACTTAAAACTTGCTTTGTTTATTAGTTATATATTATCTTTAGCCCTACTTAGTATTTTTTTGGTATTTTGTATTGAAGAGGAATATTACTCTGAAATAGGAAAATTCTTTAAAAAATTTTTGACTTTATTGACATATTTTATTAGTATTGGAACACTTGCTTTTTATAAAGATCATTTTGGTCTTAACCTAGCTATTTACTAAATCTTTTTAATAGCATTAATGATAATAGGTTTAATAATAATAAAAAGAAAGTTTAATTACAAACTTTTTTTACATATATTATTTTAGATAATTTTAACCAATATACTAAAGAAAAAAGGGGATCAATTTTTATCAAATGTAACTATTTACCTCGAAGTTTCACAATATGCTTGTGCATTAATAAGGTGTATTCTTTTGATATCGTATTGTCACTAAGATATTTTCAATTATGATTACATCTAGTAAAATTAACTATAAATAGTATCTACTTACATGACATTATTTTTAAGCTCACTGTTTCTTATTTTATATTCAAAAAGGCTATATTAGATTTTGTTTTAGGTAAAATTATTTTATTTAAAAAGCGAAGAGTAAATAAATACTGCAAATACTATTATTTAAAGAAAATGTTACAAGTTGATTATTATAAGAATATATTTATAAAATAATCACCGCAATATGTTAGAAGAAAGTTTGATTGGTAATAAAATGAAGTTTTAAGATGAAGTATTAGCTTTTATAAGATATATGATGCAGTTTGATTAAGATCCATCTGTTTGGTTTATTTTTATGACTAATTTTTTTGATTATTTTAAAAAATATTACTAGAAAATTGCTATTGAATTTGAAACTATATGTTAATTTGTGTTAGAATATATTCTATGGGATAATTATATCGAATAGAAACTCTTCTAAATAATAATGTAAAGAAAGGAAAAAGGTTTTAGTTTCACCTAAACTAGTTAATAGATGATATAAAAAATTTCAAGTTAATATTAGAAAAAATTAATACAAGAAGATTTATCTAGTAATCTTTAAATTATTTGTTTTAATAAATTTATTTCAGATTAAATGACATTTGATCCAAATTAAATTATATATGATTTATATAATTAAAATTGAATCTAACCAATTATATTTTTCTAGTTAATTTAGAAACTTTATATTTTATTTATACTTGTATCCTATCAAATTTATTTTACACTTGTTCACATAGATACATACAGAATAAATCAACAAACTTTAAAAAATTAGAACCATCATAATAATACAACATTTTTATTTTTTTTAACTTTAAATATTTTAAATTTTCTGATAATTATTTATATGCAATTAATAATCACTTGTAACTAAATTAGATATATAAAGATAAATACATCTTTATACAAGCTTTTTTAAATAATATCTTATAAAAATATGATCAATTTCTTAGATCAATACTCGATATTCAAATTAAAGCTGTACTCCTAATCTGATCTATTTTTATTAATTTAGAGGAAACATTTATAATTTTTAAATCTATTGATTAGTTTTTAATAATAGAGGCCAAAAAAGATGAGAAAATTTTTTATTAATTTTGAAACTAATAATCTAGTATATAAATAAATTATATTTAATAAAAAAATTTTTTTATGAAAATAAATGATAAAAATTTTTTAATTTAGATTTAAATATTTTTTGATTAATTAAATAATTCATTTTTATTAATTTACCGAATACCGAATAAAAATTTTATTCGGCATAACCGAATATTCGGTCTATCCCTAGTATATATAATAAAAAATAATTTGAAAAGATATTTATAAAAATGAGTCAAATATGGTGATATTTGTCTGGTGAAAAAATGTGGCTGATGTTATATTATCTTAATGGAGATTATTTTGAAAATTAAATGAAAGGAGAATATTACACTATTTATTCATAATTATAAAACTTATGGGATATCCTTAATAAAATTTAAATATTATAGAAATAAATTTTTTACTGTTTTTTAAATTTTTTTTATATTTTATGGACGACTGAATCAACTGACTTTTAAGTAGCAATAAATACATATTTGCGTTTTGAAATTATAATTTGATTTAATTAAAAAAGGAGAGTTAGCTAGATCTCCGTATTTAAGTATGTTGGCACTTATTATAAAAACTTATTTGATAAACAGAGTATTTGATTTTATATGATAGTTTTATATCTGTTTCTTCAAATTTTATATGCCTGAATACATATAATTTAAAAATTTTGTATATTTATATAAATAAATTATCTTACATAATTCAATCAATTTATGAAGGATATTATTTAAGTTAAGTTAATTTAGTTTAGTTTATTTTAATTATTAATTAAATTACTTTTGATAACCTTACAAAATCTATGGAAATTAATGTTTATGAGGGATTCTAACATAAAACTAAAAATCAAAACTGCTACTAATGGCAATTTTTTAATTAATCATTATTAATTTATTTATTATAAAAGGTTTTTAAAAAATTTTATATCAACATTAAAAATTTAATTCAACATGTTTATCTTTAAAATAACAACTAAATGAGTGAATTTTACTTTTAAAATTTTTATATGTTTCTTTAAATAAATTTATATTAGAGTTTAATTTAAAATACTCGTTATAAAAAGATAAACTGGCCAGCTAGATTGATAATCTTTATTAAAGAAATAAGACTTTAGTGATATTGTTTAGAAAAGTAAATAGGATTAAATAAATAAAAAGATGGATACTTCTTAAAGCATCTAAATCAGCAAGTACTCTCAGTCAGAAGAAGAAATCATAAAAGACTTTTTGTAACAAAAAAAATATATATTTGAAAAGATATTACAAAAAGGAGATTTCTCTGAAGTTGTTTTAGCCCATTCTGAAAATCTTAACAAAAAAGTTGCAATTAAGATTCTAAAAAATACTGATGAGTAAAATAAGATCAATTTTGAAGAGTTCAAAAAGGAAATAAGAGCATTTGAGATGTTAAAGGGAGAAAAATACATATTACCATTCATCGAATAAATCTAGGATGATAAGCTGAACTTATTCGCAGTTGTCACTGAATTTTGTGATAGTAAAAAATCATTAAGATCAATATAAATATAGATTTTGACTTTTATAAAAAAAAAGGTAATTTAGCATCCATTTTTAAGCTTAATAAGCTTGACTTGAAACAAATCTTAGCTTTGACTTATTAATTACTAAGAGGCTTAGTTCTTCTAGAAAATAAGGGAATTATTCTTGGCCATATTAAGTCTGATAACATTTTATACAGTAGATCTAAAAACTAATTCATGATTGGTAACATTAATTCTTTTTTTAGATAGATATATAATTTACTTACTTTTTTCTATCAATAAATAATCTAGCCAATTCGAGTCATTATAAGATTGATTAGTATAATGAAAATGTACTTTATTAAAAGGATTTCTAATGGATTTTAATTTATATTTTATTTTTATTTATTTTAATAGCAGCAAGGAACAAACTAAAAATCAAAATCTCAAGAAGATTCAGATAAGTAGAACTAAAAAAATATTCTAGTAAATAAAAAATATCTAATAAATTTTTTCTAAAATTTATATTTTAAATTATAAAAATAGGTAGATATTTACTAAATTGGATTACTTGTTATTGAAGCTTTACTCTAAAGACCTCTTGAAAATGAAGAATCACTTAATTTGAATGATTAAGATTTACTGAAAGTTCTACCAAGCCTTCAAACCTCTGAACACTATGAATTCATTCATAATTTTTTTTGTAAAATGGTAAACAAGGATATATCTTAAAGGCTTTAACCTGAGGATCTCATCAAAAATTTAGAATAATTTGGTATTGATGAAGCATCCCTGAATTAGCTAATATTAAATAAAAGCGTTGAAAATTAATCAAAGCCGTTAAAAAGGCTTTTAATTAATAAAAGGAATATAGAAAAGGACCTCTATTAATCAAATGATTACTCATATGACATTTTAGAAATAAATCTAAGGTATGTTAAATAATTATTGTTAATTACTTTTGGGGTTTTAATTAGTTTTATCAAAAAATCAAAAGTAGAACTAAAAAAAATAAAATTTATTATTAATATTTTCCTAATTATTAATTAAATTAATTAATAAATATTATTATTTTAAACAAATCTAATTAATTTCTTTTCATATTAAAATTCAAAAGTAAGTACAAGATAGGGATAGAAGAAGTTAATTTATTGGTAGAAAAAATGAAAAAATTTGATTTGACTAAATTAATAATTAACTTAAGGTATTTAATTTATTATTTCTATTTTTAAAATTTGATGATGTTTTTTATTAGATTTGTTTTTTAATGAATAATCTTATTTAAAATGAACAGCTACTGGGATATTGGTAATGATGAATGCTAAAGCATAGCAAGTGCTTTAAAAAGCTATAAAAATATTACTGAGTTAAGTCTTAAATTCAGGTATTTGTTTTAATAATATTTTTTTGCTTTGTTTTCAAAATATTTTGTTTTATTTAATTTAAATAAGAAAGAATTATTTTGAAGATGAAGGAATCTAATTTATTGCTGAATCTATTTCCAATTATGAAAATATTTCTCACTTAACTCTCAATTTCAGGTAAACTTTAAAAATTTTTAAATAATTACTTAGTTATAAAAATATTCATAAATAATTTTAACTTTCTTATGATATTATCTACCATCAATCATGATTAATAGAGATATAATTATATTTTATACAAATTTTTTTACAAAAATTTATCACTACTCTTAATTAATTTTTATCAAAATTTTATTTTTCGATTCTTTCTTTCATCACATTATCGATGAATTAATTCATTAATTTAATATAGGGGAGTTTATATGTAGAAAAACAGAATTGAGGACATTGCTAATGCGATATCTAAGTATAAAAATGTTATTAGTTTGAATATCAATTTAAGGTAATCTTTAAAAATTTCAAAATAAATTTTTTCTTTTATTTACATAAATTAAAGAACTAATTTATTATTTATTTATTTTTATTTCTTATTCATTTACTTACTTGTTACATATTATATTAGTGAAACTTTCATCGATAATAAAGAATGCTAAATTATAGCAAATTTTATATAGAACTACTAAAATCTTATTGAGCTGAATCTTAATTTAAGGTAAGTAAATTTGTTTGTTTTGGAGAGTTAATCTATAAAATTTATTTATCCTATTTATTAAAAATTGATTAATTTTTATTTTAATTTTTTATTAGATAAAATTCAATCAATTTAGAAGGAATAAAAAGTATTTCAAACGCTTTAGAGAAGCTTTAATATATTACAAAATTGAGACTTAATTTGATGTAAGTATTTTTTTCGATTTCCAAATGAATATTATTATTTTATTCTTTAAGCTTGCTTATTTTACTTTAATTTATTTTGAGATTTTTCATTGGTTAATCTAAACTTGTATTAGATTTAATTCGTTAGGTGATGAAGAAATTAATAACATAGCTAGTGCTATTGAGAAATATCAAAACTTGACTTAATTAATACTTTTATTTAAGTAATTTTCTTATATTATTTACTTTAAGAAATTTAATAATTTATTTAAACTAATATCTTTTTGAATTAATAGTTTTATCATTTATTTTTTTCAAATAAATATTAAATAGTACCAATAATATCACAAGTGATGGAGCTAAAAGTATAGCGAATTCCTTAAAGAATTACAAATTAATTACTGAATTATAAATTTCTTTATGGTAGATTGGAAATTATTTAATTAGCATAAATTTTTAATTTAGAAATATTATTAAAATTATCTATTTTTTTAATTTAGATATTCAATTTCTATTTCTAATCTTTATATATTTTATTTAAAAATCAATTCAGTGGAAATTATATTAATCCACAAGGAGCAGAAAGTATAGCACAGGCTATTTCAAACTACCAATACATTAATAAGCTTAATCTTTAATTCGGGTAAATAAAGAATAAATATAATTTTATTTATTTAAATTGACTTAAAATTTTTTAAATTAAATGAATAAAAGTCTTTTTTAATAGAATCCTCCATTATAATCTAAATTGATATCTTTTAGCTAATATAAAAAATTTATTTTATTTAGTAGGGTTTTTTTTACTTGCAAATTTTTCTATTTATCTTATTCTAAATTTAATATAAAAGAATAAATAAAAAATTTTAAGCTCTTATTTATTTTTTAAATTTTCTATTTTTAAAAACTAGCTTTGATCGTTTTGGAGATGAAGGTATTATACCGATTGCAAATGCAATTAAGAAATACGAAAATATTACTGATTTGAAGCTTGATATATGGTAATTTTTTTAATTTCGCATAATTTTAATAGAAATTAAATTAACTAAAATGATTTTTATTAAATAATTTTTTTCATTTTTTGTCTTAAAACTATCTTACAGTAATATATTTATTAATAGTGTTTGTAATATGACAACAGAAGGACTATAGAGTATTGCTGATGCTATCTCCAACTATCAAAAATTGAATTGTTTACATCTTGATGTGAGGTAATAACTTTAATTTATTTATGTTCGTTCATATTTCTTTTATTTTATTATAATTAATTTTATTATTTTGTTTATAGTGACAATAACATAAACGATGAAGGTATAAAAAGTATAGCGAACACCATTTCTAAATATCAAAATCTCCAAGAATTAGATTTAACATTACAGTAATTAAATTTTATCTAAGTTTTTCAAACTAAAAAAAGCTAAATTTTTATTTTATTATATGTTTTAAAACATTATTAAATTTTTTTTTTTTGAAATGTGTATTAGTGATTTTCCCTCTTTAAGCCTTAATTCCTTTTAGAGTCTTTCAGATGCATTTGAAAATTTATAAAAATTGACTAAGTTAAAACTTTATTTTGGGTAAAATTTAAATCTACTTTATTTATTTTTTCAAGAAATAATTAAAAAATGTATGTGTTTAATTTAATATTTTACTTTATTTAATAATAATTACATTTTCTCTCCTAACTATTTTTTTATTAAAAGCCACAATATTGGTATTTAAGGGGCATAAGCTATTGCTAACGGAATTAAGGACTACTAAAACGTCTCTGATTTGACACTTGTATTTAAGTAATTTATTAGGTTTTATAAAATTTATTATATTAAATTAATAAATTCATTTTATTTTTTTCATTAATTTATTACCTTCAATAAAATTTATTTCTTTTTTAATTTATTTTTAATAAATTATATTTTACTAGGTGTTGCACTATTTTAGATGAGGGACCTCAGCACATTGGAAATGCCATACAAAACTACAAAAAGCTAACTAACTTAAAATTAGTATTTGAGTAATAATCTATTTTTACTTTTTTCGTTTCATTTTATCTTTTCAAATAAATTAAATTAAATTATAATATTAAATTGTATATTTCAATTTTTTGCTTTTCAATTTAATTGATTGTTTGTTTATATGATTAGATAAGACACAGTATAGGCTTAGGGTGCAAAAAGTATCGCAAATGCAATCAAAAACTTTTAAGATCTTGAAGAATTGTCTCTTTAGTTTTTGTAAATTAAATAAAATACATTGTTGTTTAATAAATAAAAAAATAGTACTCAATCTAAATTAGATAACTAAATTATTAGTTATATATTTTTAACCAAAAATTTTCCTTTTTTTAAAAGTTTTATTTATAAACTAATTAAACCCTAAAATTTATTTCAAACTTTTTATGAAAGCTCTTATTTATTTATGAATTAAACTACATTTGCTTATTCGTAGAAATTTTAATCTTATTACTTACTTTTTCTTTTTTAAATTATTTAAATATATTTTAGTGAAAATTATCTTGAGAATGAAGGAGTTAAATATATTGCAGAGGCAATTTAGAATCTTCAAAAAATTACTAAGTTAGATCTTAGCTTCGGGTATTTTTTTTTTAATAAAATAATTAATTAATTGTTAAATTTTAGTTTATTTTTATTTTAATTTGAATTACTTTTTAGTTTATTTTACTTATGTCAATAAAGAAATTAACTTATTAAAATATTTTAAAAGCATAAATGAAATTGGTTCTGAGGGAGCAATCAGTATTGCATAAGCAATTCAGAATTATCAAAATATTTTTTCACTTTATATAAGTTTTTAGTAATATAATTAAATTATAAATACTTTCTTATAACTAAAACATTATTTTTTATTATTTAATATTTAAATTTCATTTTATAGTAAAAATGAAATTGGAGATGATGGAGTTATAAGCATTGCAAATGCTATAGAAAATTATAAATATCTTGCTTATTTGAATCTTGGTTTTGAGTAATTTTTAAAGTTTTTTTATTCGCATTCAACTCTTGGATAGAAAATAACACCAATTCAAATACTTTATTTAATTTAACTTTATAAGAAAACTTATTTAATTGAACCTGAAAATTGAATAAATGCTTTTTTTTAGAGCTATTTTATAAAGAAATATAAATATTAAAGTTTATTTTTTTAATAATATATCATTTTTATATAAATAGAAGCAATAAATAAATTAGCAAGAATGTCAGAGAGAATATAAAAAATAAATTCAAAAATTATGAACCAGGATTTGGTTTTGATTGTATCTTTCATTTTATCTTTAATTATAAAGCTAAAATTATTATTTTAAATAAATAAAATAAGATTACTGAAACAGATACATCTTAAGGATCAATATTTTAATAAAATAAAATTATTGTATTGACTCATTTTAAAAATCAATAAAACATAATTGTTATATCATTTTCTGTTTTTTCTATATACAAATAAGTAAAATTTAGAATTTTTAAAGAAGTAAATAATTTTTTTTAAAATTTGTATCTCTTACTTAACACATAAATATAAATGCTTACTCAAATATATTTTATTTGTTATATAGTAGATTTTATTCAATTTTAACAAATACAATTTGATTAAGATCTAAAAGATCTTTTAAACCACAATAAATGTTGACCAAATACGTATTTATTTGAGGAAGAGGTATATTATTAATTTGAGGCTTTATTTTAAATTTTTTTGGCATTTCCTTACAGAAAAGTCGAAATGTTAGGTTAGCAATTAAAAAAATTTGTTATATACAATTTTTCCGGTAGTAATTCAATATTTTATTTGTTTTGGATTGCGATAATTTTAAATATAAAAATGAATTTAAAACAATAAAAAATACTTTTTCAATTTATTAATTAGTTTTTTTGTTTGATTTATTTTTTTTTTTAAATGTACACATTTATTTTCTTCATTTATCTCTCTTAATCTAACTCATTTTTTATTTTCAGCTTCTCTTTTTATTTTTAATTAATTAATTTCTTATAATTTCATATTATTTTCTTAGAATAGAAATAAATACTCAAATATCTAAATGATTTCAGAATAGAACTTAAAATTAATTTTTATTATATTTATATTTTTATTTATTTATTTTATTATGTATTTATTGGATGTACAATCATTTTAAATAAAATAAGCCAGTGTATTATTTTCAATTTTCCTATCATTTAGAATAGGGTCCTGTTAAAACTTTAATAAACAATATACCAAACATTTGTCTAAATTTCTTTTAATTAAATATTTATTAGTATTAGATAGCCTATCCTAAATAATAAAGGCATTTAACTCTAAATTTATTAATTTAAATAAATAAAATAAGATTAATAAAATCAATACATCTGAAAAATCAATATATTAATATTAGCATATTGATTCAGCTTTAAAATCAATAAAGCATTATTACTATTATAAGAAAAATTTAGAGATTAATTAAGAAGTAAATTAATTTTTAATAAATTTATGAATTCTTACTTAACACAACATATAAATGCATACTCAAATACATTTTATTTATTATTTAATTGATTTGCTTCAATTAAAACAGATATTATGTGGTTAATATCTAAAAGATCTTTTAATCCTCAATAGATATTTTCAAAAAAATCCAAAAATCCATAGAATTAATATTGTTATAGAAGTTTTTAAAAGACTAAAATATATTTAAGATTATTTTTTAGGTTTTTTTTACTTTATGTTATTGATAATTGTTTGTTAAAGAAAAATGAACAATGAAGAATTTTAAATATTTTTATAGTTAGATTTATAATGTGAGTTATTAAAAATGTAATTATAAATGCAATAAAAAATATTAATTTTATAGTTTTTTAGTAGATTTAATATAGAGTAATATTTTATAGGTTTATTTGAATTTTTAGGTTTTAATTTTTTTTTTTATGAATTAGTTTTAATTTTCAGTTTCCTAGTGAAACAAAAAATGTATCATTAAAGGCTGATACAACTTTATCAACTAAGCTATGGAGTTTTTTAACTTTAGAGTCAAAGTAAAAACTAGTTTTGCATATTTTTGGCAAATAATCAACTTCTAGCTTTTCTTTTTGTATCTAAAGAGGTTCTTTTAAAGACTAAAAAAGCTGAGATTTTATTAAAACTTTAAATGGATGATCACTCTTCTGATTACTATAAGTGTAAGCTCTTCTGAAGAAAGCATCTTCTTCTTTGATACCATATTCACAGAGACTTATAAACTGTTCTTCTTATTTGAATTTTTGGAGAGTAAAAGTTTCTATTGAGTAATGTTCATCATTTTATAAATTAAATACTGCTACTTTATTGTTACCCTCATATATTGCATGCTTTTAATTATTGCAAAAGAGAGTAAGTGTACCTGGCCAAATGAAAATATGATGGCCTGGCTTTAAATCTATAACCTTACTTCTACTTTAAAGCTATCTAGTATCTATGTAAGGATTTGAATAATCAGTTTCATCAAGAACCGGCCAAAATAAATAGAGCTGGTCTTAACGTATTTTATTGTCTATAAAGAAGTTATGGTTAGCCACTCTATACTCTTTGTTAATCACATCTAAAATATTCCTATTCAATTTAATAAACAAATTATTTGATATTCTTACAATCTGCATCAATAAATTCTCTTTTAAATATTATTGGTTATAATAATAAAAATCAATTATTTTTGAAGTACTTTTGACTTTAGTCAATTTCTTGTTATTTAATATTTTTGCTGTAAAAAGTATTCTATGATCAATTCTAAATAAAAATAATTATTTTTACTTGATTGTTGAAAAAAGATCTTAGTTGCTTTACTCGTTCCATATTCCTTGAGCCTTTTAAACTACTTTCTATATTTTTAAGTCTAATGCTGATTCATCTTTAAGTATTTCTTTGAATTTTTATCTTGATATATAAATTATCACATTCTTGTATTAGCGATTTCCAATCAATTCTACTTCTTATACAAGAGAGATTTCTAGCAAATCTAAAAATTATATTTTTTATCCGCTGTGGAGAAATAGTTATTAATTCTCTTGATTATGTGAGTCTCTTTCTAGCAACCTCTCTATATTGGAAGGATTTTAATGAAGATTTGGTAAAAAGATTTTTTTATCATAAAGATAGTGCTAATAAAGTATGTCATATTAGTCGTAATCAACAAGACTAAAAAAAAAGCAATCTTTTGTTTGCCTGGTGTGATATATAACAAACATTGTTTTGATTTTTTTTTCTAAGTTTGCCTATTCCTACTAATGTTAGTCATTCTAATCTAATTAGATATGAGAAATATCAAAGCTAAAAACAACTTCACCATCACCTTCGCCTCTAAAAACCTTAAAAGTCCATATTCTTTCTTTAATGCACTTCAAAAAATACTACTTTTAGTCTTTTAACTTAATCATATTTATTGTTTTATTCAAAAGCTTCTATCCAATTTGTTTAGTTTGTTAAAGAAACCTATGTAATTTATTATTAATGATTATTATAATTATTATTATTATTTCAAATATATTTTTATATTTACAAAAACTTCTATTTGTAAAACCTTATATAAATCATTGAATTTCTTATGTATTGAAAATTTCTAATTATAAGTTTTTATGTAATCAATCAGTCAGTCAATCAGCTTTGAATTTTTATTAGATAAATACAAACCCTATTTTAGCACTGGGATTAAGCATTTATTAATTTATTAAATTTCTTTCTATTTCTTTTAATGGTTCAAAAGTTCTTAAAAAAAAAAATTCTAAATCGATTTTAATTCTTTTTTTCAAATTTAGAAACAAATTTAACAAATTCTTATTTGGTCTAAAGTTATGAATAGATTTTTATCAAATAATAATTTTAAAAAGATTAAAAAACTTGAAATTATTTTGAATAAAATCTCATATAAAATTTTAGTAAATATAATATTATTTCTTCTCTGAGACATTAATTTTTTAATAGATAACACGAAAAATTATTAAAATAAAATTATGAGGTATTTTTTCAAATAAATTCAGGAACTACACTACCATTTTACACATTGAGCATAGCAAATGATCCTGTTTTAGGAAGATTGTTGCCCTCAGCCCACATTTTTAAAAGTCCTGAAATTTATTCTGGCTTTGCCCATGTGCTAAAATCTGAATCAGGCATAGCTTCTCTATTTTAAGGAGTATCAATAACCTTTCTAAATATATAATAGAGTATTAAATTAATTAATAAATTTAACCAAATAAAATTACGGTAAAATTGTTACTACAGTAGAACCTTCTGGCATATCTTTTGAAACAGCCTAATTTGTAAACAAAAAAATATTAAAATCAATAATACAAAAATGTATTTTATATTTATTCTATGTTTAATAGAATTATTTTATATCAAATAATCTACCATTGTTGAAGCTAAAGAATGAACAGCAACTTTAGAAAGACCATATCCAATCATGTCATGGCAAGGATTATTTATGATGCCGCCAGCACCAGTAAAAACAAGAAGACCATTTTTCCTCAAAAAATGAGTTGAAAGATGAGCAGCTATAATATTTATTATTTTTATTTGCTTATTTTTAAATTAACTAAGCTAATTCTTTACCTAAAATGGAAGGAATAACATTAACTGAGTGCATCTTATGATAAGTTTCAAAAACGTTAGAGTCTTTAATTGACCCTCCATTCCATCCACCTGCTACGCAAATTATAGCATCGTAGGAAGGACTGAAGCTTTTCAATTACTATTTGACTTCACTGACATACTAAGATGCTGATTAATTTTGAGGTAGGATAATATTTTTATTTGATTCATTATTAATATTAAGACCAATGCTAGCTATGTTCCAGTTACTCTTAAATTTGCTAATAACAGAGCGACCTTAATTTTTAAAAATAAAAATTGATTGCAGAAACGCAATTAATAACAAAGGTAATTTACCTAAATTTCCACAACCTCCTATAACTAATAATGTTCTTTATGAAGCCATATTTAATTAATTTTTGTATCTTTTTTAAGAAATAAAAGCTTAGTATAAATAATTTTATGAATTCTAATTAATATAATTAATAGAAGCAAGTAAATAAAAAATGAAAGAAGTCTTTTTTTATGTATTTTTAATTGTATTCTAGATAAAGTATTCTAAAAATATGAAATAATATTTATCCTTCATACATCATACCCTCTACTAAATATAGAAAAATATCAAAATTATTACATAATAATTAATAAAATAATCACTATTAAAACGTAAGTTTTAGCTAGCATTTTCAATTAAACTATAAATACACTTTTTTAGAAAACATATTGAAGTAAAATTAATTTTTTGAATATTGCAAGTTCTTTTTAGTTCAAAAAATAATAAAATAAATAAATAAATTGTATTTTTTATTGAAAAATTTTTCATTTAAATAAATTTAAGAAATTTTATTTTAAATAGAAGCATTTATTTCCTTTTGATGTTATTTTGGTCTCTCCTTTACAGTAGTTTAGATTTAAATTATATTATGTATTTATTTAAATAAAAAGATTAATTAATTCTAACAACTAACTATTTGATATCAAAGACTTTTATTGATTTAAAAAGTGGAATATTCCCAAAAAAATAAACTCACAAACATATTCTATAAATAATTTAGCTAAAATATCAATTTTTATTGTCTTCTTCCTAATTTATATTATTGTTATGCATATTTTATTTGTACACCCCTTACTTTTATTTGAAATTATTATTGTTTCCATACTTTGGCTGCTATTTTTACATTTGGTTATTAAAAATATACTAGCCATGATGATAAAAATATTAAATTTATTAATTATAATATTGCTGCTATTAGTGATAATTCAAGTTATTTTACATCTACATTTATTAATTGCTAAGCATAGGAATTTAATGAGCTATTTAAGGTTATTACTATTACTGATATGTTTAATATGTATTCTACTGCAATTTTTACATCATATTTCCAAAATACTATTGCTATTATTATGGCTACATTTGAGGTTGCTATATTTACTACTATGGCTGCATATTTTACATTATTGCATATGAATTAGGCTATACTTACTATTGTTATATTGGCATTAAATTATTCTAGTTGTAAACTTATTATTGCTAGTATTGCTAATTTATTGGAGGAGGAGAAGCAGGAGGGTTTGTTGTTTTCACAGAAATAAAAATAGAATCAATTTGGTCGTTGTACTATTTTAATAATTTTTGTAAATTATTTATATATGTTCCTTCTTAGGATAAATCTTCAAATTTTATTGATTTATCTAAGATATTTTTGAGAATTTCAAATATTATTTCCATCTTTAGCTAAATTTCTATTCTTGTTTCTAAGTTTGCTACTTTTATCTATTAAGAAAGTATACTGTCAATTTTATCTTCCTTGAAATTTACTTCTTCAATTATTATCACAATATTTTTGTTTGCAGTTTTGATGTCAAACTAAATAGAGCTTTCTTTAGGAGGAGGAGTGTTTCTTTACATTTTAGAGGAGTTATCAGGCACATTTTGTTAACTATTTTGGAAACTATTTAAATTATTAGAATTAGATACACTGCTGTTTGTTGGCTATACCTCAGAATATATGATAGGATTTTAGTTTTAGTTATTATATTATCTATTATTTTCACCTTATTATTTCATTTTATATATCTTTTGGTCATTGTTTGAACTATTATTGTGATTTTAACCTCCCTATCGCTACTAATGATTGTTTATATTATTGTTGCTAATATTCACTTTTTACATTTAGTTGCTGTTATTTTGACTAACATTACCTTCAACTTTTTCTTAAAATTCTTGCTTTTAGTGACTGTTATAGCTTTTTTTATTTTAACTATTATTGTTACTGCTTTAAACACTATAATAGCTGTTTTGATGGCTACTAATATTATTGATGGCATTTACATTTGAGCTATTTTAATAATTCTAATTGTTATTAGGATTGCTGTTATTATTTGAATTTATATTATTGTTTTAATTATTATTAGAATTGTTGCTATTATTTATTATGTTAGAAACTTAAGAATTGGAAGCAGAGTTTGTATAATTGCCTTATGAAGAAGCTTAATGGTTAGATAAATGCTATTATTAATTTTATGAGTGTGTATTGATTTATGAAGAAGTGTTTGCTTAGTTTGAACTATTAATTGGTGTTGTTGTGTTTGTATTTGCATTTGTATTTGAAATTGAAGTATTGTTGTTGGTAGATTATGTTTAAGTATTACTATATTCAAAATTTCCATGCTATTCTGTATTTTGATTAGAGGAATTATTTAATTTTTAAGTATAGATTATTTAATTACTATATTATTCTGAATTATTAGTGGCATTAGATCCTATTTTTTGCTAATTTATATGCTTTGGACTCTCTTTAGAACTCTGTTATACTGCTGCTGAATTGAAGTTAACGTTAGATTATGAAAAAGAGCCACTTATAATGTTTATATTTGATTAGCTATTATTTGAAGATAAGTTAGGACTTGCACTACTTTATTAAATTTAAAGCTTGCCTTTTGCATTGTTTTCATACGTAGCTAACTACTCAGTGCTTTATTAACTTTCAAATTATCCATGCGCTTAGTTAGATGCAGAATTTTATGAATTACAACTGCTATTATCATTTTTTTCCATCAATACATACTTATTTGTTTATTATTTTTAAATAGATTTGCTGTTTTATTTATTATGATTATTGCTACCGCTATAATTATTGCTATTTAAATTATTAGAATTAGGGGTTTTTTAATATTTATTCTTTTTAGGATAAGAGCCATTTTATTTCATTTGATTCTTTTTTTAATTATTTTTGCTGTTATTATTAGAGTTCAAATGCTAACTTCCTCCACCTTGCGAATTGCTATTTATTTAATCGAAATCGTATTAGTCGTTTTTTTTCCAAAATTCATCATCTACAGGCTTAACCGCATTACTTTTTTAGTTATGCGAGTTTTTATTATTCTATTTGTTTGACATTTTTATATCAAAGTATTAAAACCGATCTATCTTTCTATTATTTGATACAATTTATTGCTCTTTTTAAATAAAATGAATAAGCCTACAAAGTTAAACTTAAGTATAAAATTCGTTTGCTTGTTTGTTAGTTTGTTGTTAATGCTGCTGCTCTTACCTATTTTTATTATTTTATTTTTAAATTTTGTCTATCTCTCTTTCAAAGCTAAATAACTTTAAAGAAGAATGACTGTAATAGATTTATTTTTTATGAATGTTTCTTTAAGGTATTCAGAAATTTTTCTTTCTTTGTTTGTTAAATTTTTTTGTGTATCTGAGTTGTTCTTTATTTATTGTAAGACAATTAATTAAATTAATATTTTTTTTTTTCCTTTTAAACACTTTATTTATTATTACTTAATTCTTTTAAAATTTAATAATTCTTCAAAATTTCAAAGACGAAACCTTAAAATAATAGAAGTATTATATACATTTAACTCAACTTACAAAAGGAAATGAATTATTTTGAAATTATTATAAAATCGCTTAGATTTAAGTGATTATATCTTTATGAAAAATTAAATTTTACAGATTTATAGCAAGAAAAAAACGAAATAAATAAATAAATGCACACACACACACTTTTATTTAGAAAAATTTTATTTACTCTTGATAGATAATTTAGAAACATTTGAAATCTATTTCAAGTAAATAATTAACTTTTAAAATTATTTTATTAAAGTAACTTATAGGTATCTCAACTTATAATTACTAAAAAATCATGCAATTGGATTCTAACTCAGATTAGAAAATGTATAATTTGAATTTTAAATATTTCGATTTATTCAATAAAATAAATAGGAATATTTTATGGTATTCATTTTGTTTGTTTGATTTTATATTTAGGATATAGTTCTTCAGATATAAATTTATATTAAAAACACAAATAAAAATATTTGTTTTATTATAAAATAATTTAGATGAATTTGGAATAGTTTCAAACTTTTTAAGATTAAAATTTTAGTTTTTCTTCTTTTTTGTAATTTAATTAATACAGAAAATGCTTACAATAATCTTAATATAATGTTTATCTTACATGTATAAATTCAATATTAATTTATTGTTGGTAATCAAAACAAATTTTAATAATAGGAAAATATAATCTTATTAAAGCTAAAGTAATTTATTTATTTTTAGTTTTTATGCTCTTATAATCCCAGACTTTCTTTTTTATACAATAAAAAATTTTATAAATATTTTATAATAGAATATTTAATAATTTTATAAAGTAAAAAATTTTTTATAATATTATGTTTACTATTATATAGAAAATTTATTGCCAGAATTCATAGACTAATCAGAAACATTACATATTTATAATTAAATTCTTTGAAAATAATTAAATATTTTTAATACTTTAAAAATTCAAATTAAAAACATATCCAAAATATATAATCAAATAATAAAATTAAATATACTTTATATTAATTGATTAGAAAAAATGAATTAAGTATAGGAAGAACAATCTAAAGTTGATTTAAAAAAGAAGTAATTTGAAGAATTGCTGTAAAAATAAGGTAATTAGCGTTTCTATTGTTCTTTATAGTTTGATTTTAAGCATAGATAGTTAAGATTATCTTATTTTTTAAAAATGTAGAATAAGACAGATAGGCTTAAAAGGAATAGAAAAAAGTTAGAGATGAAATCGAAAAAGATCCAAAGGAAAGAATGCTCACAATTTAAAAAGAATTCAGACAATAATATGATAGTAAATTTATAATAAATGTTGGAGATTTATTTATAATACTAATTTTTATTTTTAGAAATCTAAGATATGATTAAGAAGTTTAACAAAAATACAAGCAATGTCGAAGAGTTCTTTAGCGAATTTGCTAAACTCAAAGAGTATTTCGTTACTACTAATTATGCATTAACAACATTCGATAAGCAACAATACAAAGAAGTATATTTTTTAAATGAAGATCTTTGTATTTACATTTCATTAAAAAGTAATTAGAAAAGATGGAAAAAAATATATTTTAAGCTCGTGACTTAGCAAGACCAAGAAAAAAATTTAGATTCAGTCAATAAATAAATAAATCACAAAATAGCCACGACTCCCAGCAAGAAAATAATCAAAAAGAATAAGCTCATAAAGATTTCGGAGAAGATATCCCTGGTTTAATTAATATTTCTAATGAAAAAATAGTTATTAACTCAGGAGAAGAAAATAAATATTTTAAACAATCTTCTACTATAAGAATAGTAAATATAACTGATAGCGAAATATACTTAAATGATATTTTTGACACTGTTTACATAAGAAACATTAATAATTCTAAAATTTATATTGGGCCTGTTAAATTTTCACTCCTCATAGATGGGTGTAAGAATTCTCTATTAAACATATGTGGTCATCAGGTAAAATTTTTTTTGATAATTAAAAATATTAACGCTGAATCCTTCTTTAATTGATATTTAGCTGAGAATTCATAATTCAGTATCAACTCATTTCTAAATTTTCTCTACTAGTAAGTGTATAATCGAGCACTGTACAAGTATGATCTTCTCTCCCTATAAGCACACTTATGATAAATTCGAATAGCACTTCAATGTAAATATATTTATATATTTTTAAAATTCAATGATTGTATTAATAATATTAGGAATGTGGAATGAAAGGAAAGGAAAATCAATGGAGGGATATTCAAGATTTTAATTGGCTTAAATAAGAGGCTTCACCCAATTTTATATTAAAAGAAGATTGATATAATTATTGAGTAATTAAAAATCTAAAATTTTAAAGTAAAATTAAAATAGGATTAATATTCTAAACCTGATTTATAATTAAAGCTTATTTTCATATTGTGTGTTTGAATGTGTTTTGGAGTATTAAACTACCTAATTAAAATTACGAAAATTTATTTTAATTTAAAAAAATAATATTTTAATCTATCAAATAGATCATAAGTGAAAATTAATAGAGTTGTGACAATAAATAGGAATTTCTATTTATATATCGAACTTAGATATTAGATTTTTAATAAAGAGATTTTATTTTCATTTTTTTCTTGTACATTTTGCATAAATTAAATCAAAATTTTAAATATACAGAACAGAAAGAACCTCAATATATTATTTAAATACATTTGTATATCAATTGATATAATAAAAAGTAAATATTGAACAACTCTAGAATTTAATAATATAATTTTATATTGATAGCGAACATCACAAAATATTTAAAATTGATTTAATTTGTAAAATTAATGATACTTAAAATTAGATTTACATTTTATATACATTTATTTATTTATAAATAAAAATAATTAATTTATATATCTTATTTGTACATTTTTAGAAGGTTAACTAAGTAAGCATTTAACGTTAAAATATGTCTTTGTTTTTCTAAAAAATTTTATTTATCTCATTCAAAAATTAACATTCTTGTATTATCAAAGACTGAAAATTAGAGACCTAATGCAGGAACAACTTTTACTAAATTTGCAAAGAAGCCTCCATAATATCCCTTCATTCCTTCATTTTAAGCTATTTTCTTTACACAATCAAATACATTTTTATATTCTCTTTCAAATCCTATACCTCCATTTACCATCATTCTTCTCCTATAATATAATTAAAAAATTATTTTAATTCCTAATAGATTTATTTTTTTTTTCTACCTAATTGTGTCTAAGGGATAAGTTATTATTGAAGCTCCAGCTGCAGCAAGTCCTCCTGCACCCATTAATTTAAAAAGCATATTTTAAGGAGGTTATTAATCTTCAGGAACTGATGGGTGATAAAGACTACGGATATGTTCATAAAATGTATAAGCCAATGCTAAGTAAGGAGCACCACAAAAATAATTAATCCAGAAAGCTTTATATAAAGATTTATATTTTTCAGTACGAAGTAATTTCCTCATGGTATCCCAAGTACCTCCATACATTCTAGTTTCAAATGCTTTTGTTTGATCACAAATTTAACGTGTTCTGATAACATCATAAGGATAACAGAACATTTATATGAAAAAAACAGAACTCATGCCACATAGGAAATGTCTACTAATTAAATCCAAACCCTTTTGACATATCAAAAAAATTTATAATTTATGAATCTATTCAAGGCTCTATCTTTTTCTAGAATAATAATTTAAGATTTCAATTAAAAATACAAAAAATTTCAAAAGTCAAATCAATCTATTTATCTTTCAATACATGTAATTTTTTTATTAGATCCAATTTTTTTAATTTGGACATTTATTCAAACCACTTTTTTGTTTACTACTAAATTATCTTTTAATATAAATTGTTATTTTTATTACGGAATAACGATATTCTCCTTTGGGAAAGATTTCTTCTTTGAAGTGTATAAAAGTTGCGAATTTAATCATGTTGGTAGGAATAACTCTATAGATATTTGTGCCGTTTCCTCTCCAAAATGATAAAAATCCTTACTCAGAATATATTCCTATTAGTTTTAGTAATTAATGATATTATTTTACTCTAATCAAGTCAAAATATATACTTCTTATAGCACTTAGATATGATGTGTACCTATCTTGTTCAAGGACTCTCATAATTTTTTATGTTTAGAACAATATTTTTAATCTCTCGATTGGGGCAAGAACAGTTCTTGTTATAGCATGGGCAACAAATGAAGATATTGTGTATCTCCAGAATGTATATTTTTACTTGTTTGGATAAAAGCTATTGTTAAAAGCGTCTGGAATCATGCTTAATCTAAGTAAGGATTGCTAAATATATCGAATTTGTATACAAAATAAAATATTGAAATTAAGATATTTGATAATTATTTTGTTTATTAAAATTTAATCAGTATTTAAGAGGATTGAGATATAAAGTTAATTTAATAAAGATAAATAAATATCTCATAAAAAAATTATTAATAAAATTCAATTCTATAAAAAACATCTTTATAATCAATATTTTATTCAAAGTAGAAATTATGTATGTAATTTAAGAAAGTAATCATAAAATAGCTTTAAATAAATACTATAAATCAACAAGCTAGCTTGTTTATCATTTTTTGTTCATTTATTTTATATGTTTGAATAAATATAATTTAATACTCCTTTGTTTTGGTAATCAAAGATAAATTATAACCACTAATACTAAAAAATGGATATGAATTAAATATCCTTTTTAAGATGATAGATATACTACTATATGATTAATTTGAAAAGCAATTATACTCTTTTGCTCATATTTTTGTAATTCTTATAAAAAATTTGAAGTATGCATTTATTTATTTTCAATTTTTATTAAGTTCTGCTTTGAGAAAAAGAAAAAATTATAAAATAAATAATTGATTAGACAATTTATAAGATTTTGTGAATAAAGAAATTATAAAAATAGGATTAAAAAATGGACTCATCTAAACTTAAAGAATAGAATTAATAATATGAATCTAATGAAGATATCGAAGTTATCACTTAATTCGAAAAGATGGGCTTGAAAGAAGAGCTCCTTAGAGGTATCTTAACTTATGGTTTTGACAAACCATCAGCTGTTCAACAAAGAGCTATTAAGCCTATAATTAAAGGTCGTGATGTCATAGTTCAAAGTCAAGCAGGTACTGGTAAAACTGGTGTCTTTACTATTGCAGCTCTTCAAATAGTCGACAAAAACCTCCGTGAACCTTAAGTAATTGTTTTATCTCCTACTCGTGAACTTGCTGAGTAAACTCAAAAGGTTTGTTTAGCTCTTGGTGACTACATGAACATTTTAGGTAATTCATTAATAATTTAACTTTCTAAAAGCATTTATTTACTAATCAACATTCCCTTTTTCAAAAAATAATTTCCATCTACATTAACAAAGTAAATAAAAAAGTTAAAAAGATATAATTTTTAAGATTTTCAAGTAAATTCAGCTGATTTTAAACATTATATTTGTATACAATCTCCAAATATCATTATAAAATATCTATTGGAGTAGTTATCAACAATAAACTAACAAATCAACCATGAATATAAATGAAATTTCTAAAAATTTGAACTCTATTATTCAAAAAAATGCAGCTGTTTTTGAAATTAAATTAAAATCATTTCTGATGATAATTTTTGGTTTAAATAATTTAAAATATATAAAAAATAAAAATTAGCTAGAAACAATTATTATAAATTAAAAACTTTAATCAAATTGAATATTTATAATAATTTAAAATTATTAATTTAGTTCACTGTTGTATTGGTGGTAAGAGCATGGATGATGATATTAATAGATTAGAAAAAGGTGTTTAAATTATTTCAGGTACTCCTGGTCGTATTTATGATATGATTTAGCGCAGACACTTGAAAACTCGTAACGTTAAGATGCTTGTTTTGGACGAAGCTGATCAGATGCTTTCTATGGGTTTCAAAGAATAGGTTTATGATATTTATAGATATCTTCCCCACAAAAATCAAAATGTAGTTGTCAGTGCAACCTTACCTCAAGAAATTTTGGAAATGACTAATAAATTTATGAATGATCCTATCAAATTCTTAGTCAAGAGAGATGAGCTTACACTTGAAGGTATTAAATAGTTTTTCATTTTAGTTGAAAAAGAAGAATGGAAGTTTGAAACATTATGTGATTTATACAATACTATCACAATCACTCAAGCAGTTATATTTTGTAATACCATCAAGGCTGTAAAATGGCTTTCTGGTAAAATGAGAGAACAAAACTTCTCTCTTTGTTCCATTCATGGTGAGTTAAATCAAAAGGAAAGAGATAAAATTATGCAAGATTTCCGTAACGGAGAGTATCGTGTTCTTGTTGCCACAGATATCTGGGGTAGAGGTCTTGATGTTTAATAAGTTTCTGTTGTTATCAATTACGATCTTCCTACTAATCGTGAACTTTACATCCATAGAATCGGTCGTTCAGGCCGTTTTGGAAGAAAAGGTGTTGCAATCAATTTTGTTAAAAATGAAGATGTTAGTGCCTTGAGAGATATTGAATAGTATTACTCTACTTAAATTGATGAAATGCCTTACAATGTTAGTGAATTGATTTGATTTGGAAGTTGATTGATGACTTACAACTTAATAAATAAATAAATAACTATATAAATTAATTTAATATTTTCTTTTATTTTTGTATAAAATATACATTTAAATAGTGATCACTAATTAAATTAATTTTATTTCCTACTTTTATACTATTTTTCTTTTTTAATTTTAAATTATAAAAATTAATTATAAATTTATTAATTTATTTTTTATTCAAAATATTGAATCGTGTCTTTAAGTACCTAATATATGCATACACAATGCACATTTGTTGTGCAAAACTAAAAAATTTTCATAAAATATTGAATAGCAAAAGAAAAAAAAATACTGTAAGAAACGTAATTTCTGCGCAACACCATTTTTGGGCAGGGGCGCACGGAAATAAATTAAAAAATTTTCAATATTTTTAATAATAGGAATTTAAAAATAAAATAATCAAATAATATCACAATAATAATCTTTTTATTCATTTATTAAAACTAATCATAAAAAAAATAAATAAATATTAGCTTATTTCTTAAAAATCTAGGAAAAAAAATAATTTTTCATTTTGTTTAGAAAGCTTCTTTTAAATAATTATTCGCTTAGGCTTAGCTAATTAAACCACAAAGACTGCAAATTATTTAAGTTGAGTTATTATTATTTTTTTTGCACATAATACATGAAAAGTTGGATCCCTTTTTCAAAGTAACTTCATTTAAACTCTTAATTTTTGGTAAGTTTTTTTAGATTTATTCTAAAACATTTTTATTCACTCTTTATATTTCTTCATTTTATTTATCTATGTTCAATCTATCCACACATTTGTTTTAAAAGATTAAGTTACATTCTAAGTGCATGTATACTTGTTTATTCTTAAAAGAATCAGAATCATAGAGCTCAGCTCTTCCATTTACTGTAGCTGCCTATTCTTTAATTAGTTTTCCACAATAGAAGCAGCTGTGTGGATGATGCACTTGGCAATAGTATTTTTGTTCAACAGGAAACATTTACTCTTTTTATGTTAAAACTTTTTAGCATTTTTAACAGTTTGCTTGAAGTGAAAAGAAAAAGTCTTCTTCTTTTACTTATTGTTAAATAAGTTCATCATCTAAACTAGTTACAGAAGTAGATGCTGTGCTGTAAAAATCAGATTCATAATCATCATTTTTGGTATCATCAACTTTTTTCTCTTCTGCTTTAACCTTTTCTTTTATAGTTTATTAGATAGGTTTTGAATTAGTAGAACTTTTTATCTCATTAGTTTTTTATGAAGTACCTGGTTTTGTATTTGATTAATTTTAAATTTTAGTAAAAGTAATGTCGCTACTTCCTTTGACAGATTAAGAAGATTTGTTTGACTAAGGTGTTTGTGAATTTTAATTAATAGGAGAAATTTAACAATTCATATCAACACCTCCTAAAACGAATTTCGTTTGCACTTTCTTAGCTTTTTAGATATCGAAAAATTCACTACTTCCATTATTTTACTTAATCAAATATTCTACAGCAAGCTTTAAGTTTTTCTCATTTACTTCTTAGCCTGATTGTTTTAAACTCCTTTCAGCAACAACCTTCACATCAACTGGAAGTTTTTTCTCTACTATCCCAATTTAGATTTCTTAAGATTACCTAATAGAATTAACTTTATCAGTGTACATTTTAACACTTGAGAATTATTTTTCTATAACCTGGTTAATTTTTTTCATGTCAATCTGTATGCCATTTGTGACTATCCATCTATAAATTTATTTAAAACAATTTCAAAGTATTGTGAAAAATAATTGATTACCTTGCTAAGGCTGAAGCTCTATATAGCTTTTTAAGTCTTTCAAAGCATGGATAATGTTTGCAAATTACTGGATAAAGTTCAGAAAATTTCTTAGCAAACATATAACAAGGATCATTTTTATCTTAAACAACTTTATCAATTAATCTGCCTTGAGAATCTTACTCCATTTATCTTGCATCAACCTCTATTTTCACATCATTAGAGAGAAAAACTCCTTTATTATTTTTATCTACAATGCCTTCTACTTTCTTACAAACCAACCAAAGTCTGCTCCAATTTTGTTTAGAATTATCTTAATTTATATTATTTTCTTCAATTATTTTAGACAATGGTTTTAGTCCAAGTTTTACTAGCTCCTAAGGATAGGGAAAAGGTGTTTTACAATCAGGAAGTAATCCCAAAGACATCTACTTCAGTAAATAATCACATTCAAACATCAACTCACTAAATTTACTTCCAGATAGTATTTTTTTATTTTCTAAAATATCTGGATAAAGAACTTTTCTTTAAAACTCACCATCTGGTTTTTTGTCTTCCCAAGGATCGAGAGAAAAACTTGATTAAAAAAATATTTTTTTAAAGATTTAATAAAATTATTAATTATGAATACCTTATTGTTTTATTCTTGATAGACTAATCACAATAAACCTTTAAACATAAAGCTAAATCATCTGGTTCAGTTCCACTAAATTCCAATTTTTATTTCTTATCTAATAAAAACTTAAGTTAATTTTTGTTGTTAAATTTGATTCCTCTTATGCTGCAAACTTCATTCAGCTTAGTTTTCAAGTCTATACCCCCAACTTGGTTTGACTTTTCTCCTTATTACTTTTAAGCTTTTCCTTTATAACATTTAAACAAAATTGCAATTCTTAAAGATTTATGAAAAGAAATTTTTTACCTTCAATCTTGTTAATGAGTTCTTAGCTTATAACTCCATCTTCAAATAGATTATTCTTTTTTTAATATTCTCTTACTGCATTTTCAGTTTGTGATGTATAAAAACCATCTGTTTCTATATTATACCCTTGCTTCTTGAGTAAATTCTAAACTTTCAAAACTTTTTCATCATATTCTAATCTTTTAGCTAGACATTCTTCATCTTCACATGTAGTATCAGAGCTAAATGAATCTTCTAAATTTTACAATTGAGATTTGGCAAAAGCTTTAAATTGTTTTGGCATTTTTTTTACTTTCTCTATCAAGTTTTTGTCGTTTTGACCTTGCTAAAGTGCTTGGATGTTTCTGCAAGTTAGCTATTGTTAAGGTTACATGTCCAATGCTTCTTGGATTAAAGATTTTGTCTTATTTGATCCACTTTCTATTAAATAGCAAAACAATAAATATTGCAGTTCTTAATTGGCTATTTCATTCAATCTGTTATCATAAAAGACGAATTTGTAAAAGTTGTTTTATTCATTTTCAGTAAGACTAGAGAATTATTTCAAGGGAGTATTTCCTTTAGTTTTAGCATGGTAGCTAGAATAATCATCTTAAAATAGAGGTAATTCTTTTTAGGTACAATTTTACTTACAAAGTTTTAAAAGCTATAGAGGATCCATTTTAATAACTTATAAAAATAGCAAAAGTAAATAAATTAATTAATTATTGATTCAAATTTTATATTTTTTATATTTATTTTTAATTAAGAAAATACTATTAAAAATTTGTTGATTGACTATCACTAAATAATTCCATTATAATTATTCAAAGAAAATTCTTTTTTAATTTTTTTGATAAATTACAACAAAAAAAAATATAGAATTAATCACAATAGCTAAAAATTTATAAAATAATATTTTTTTAATTATCATTTTAAATTCTATTTAAGATTATCTAATGTTTTATCTTATCTAAGCTAATTTTCTGCTTTGAGTAGAATTTAAATATTTTTTAATAGGATATATAGTTATAAAATATATATAGGTAGTTTAATAAACATTAGGTGTTTAAATTAGTTTTTTAATTATAGTCTATTTTGGAATAATTTAATATATTTTATTGACTTTTAATCTAGATATTACATTTGAGAGAAAAATGTTTTATTATTTGCTAATTATTTTGCTAGTATTTTATAAAGAATATCATAAAATGCAAAAAATAATTTAGCCTATTACAATAATCCCATATTAGTTTTTATTTCTCACATCTCACTTTAATGAGAATTACTTGGCATGCTATTTGTCATTTAAGGAAAAGATTGTTGGTTGCTCTAATATTATTGAAGACATGAAGATAAGCTTCTAAGAGATGATGTAGAAGAAGAATTTCTTAGCTCTACATTAGTGCTTTCTTCAAAGTTATTAAGTAATTTATTTTTTTTATTTTTTTGAATAAAATAAGCAATAACTATTGTTAAAGTGTAAAGTAGCATAACAAAAAATGATATATGCTATAAATCATAAGGGTTATATCGTTTTGAGTGATTATCCTCTTGTTAAGAATCCTCGCTATAATTATATTAATGCATTTTATTAACTTAATAAATTGATTTTATATTTTTTTGGTTAACTTTCAATAATTAGCTAGCTGATCAAAATCAAGTTTATATTTGATATTTTTGATATAAGAAAAAGAACGAATATAAATATCTTAAAATTATTTAATGGTACTAAATAGATAAATAAATATTTTTGCAAAATAACAGATGATGTCAACCAAGCTAAAGTTATATTCATATAATTTTAAGAAATACAGTAATTCATGCTTGCTTGAAAAAATCTTGTAAAAAATTTAAACTTTTTTAATAACATGTTAGATATGTATGATATGTATGTATATCAAAAAAGTTCATATTCATTTAAAGCCAATTATTTTAATAATTGAATGTTATAATTTTGATATTAATAGTCACTAAATTTTGTAAATTTTTACTTCTAAAAAAAATTATAATCTTACAAACAATTAAATTGAATACAAATCCATTTTTAAAATTAATTTAAAAACTAATAAAAATAATTATTAAAAAAGTAAATGGGGTGTGCAAAATCCATTCCAGAAGCAAGTTAGCCAAAACAAATTTCAAATTAAAAGGGTAATAACAAATCTTCTGTAGCTTAAAAGGCTTAAGTGAAGCATAATCAAGTTTAGGTTTCATCAGAGTAAAATAAAGATTTCAGATACAATGAGAACGAAAGCAACAGTGATAACGAATCAATTAGCAGTAGAAAAAATAATAAAAAAAAGAATAAATAGGATAAGGAAGTAAATATGAATTAGCAAAATCCTGCTTTTCCCTCTCAACAGTTAAATCCTTCTAACGTGAATATAGAAGAAGGAAACAATGCTAACGATAATGAAGTATATAATTCAAAATTTTATTACATTTAAATTTAAAAATAATATGTAGGAATTGTTGCTTTAGCAGAAAATATAAGATAACTAAAATAAATTCTTAGAGAATTTAAAGAAATAAGATACTTAAAATGAATTTATTTTGAAGTCGGAAAAAAATTTAAATAATGATAACTAAGAAAATGATGATAACAAAGAGAATATATACATGCAATCAAACAACAATGAATAATATATCCCCACTCAATCAACAAAAGCTTATGGTAAATAAGAAAGTGTTTTAAATGAAAACTATTGTAATATCCTTCGCTAACAGTCAATTAATAATAATAATTATCCCATGAATAGCGGAATCTCAATAAATGGATCAATTAATATGCTTAATTCTGGATCAAGGTTGTAAAATTCAAATATTGTCACTTCTGGTCTAGATTACGAAAAAAAGAAAAGAGAGTTAATAAGAAAAGTTAGTAAGCATAATTATTTATTAATAACAATTAATTTTATATTAGTAAAATTTCAAAATACTTGATAAATCATGCATCAATTAAATTAATTTAAAAGCACATTTAAGGATCGAAATAATATTAAAATATTTAAATTGTAAGTTATTTAATTTTAAATTCAAAAAAATTGTAAAATTAAAAGGTGACGATATTGATGAAATTGAAGAAATAGATGAAAATAACTTCCAATTTGGAGCAACGAACAAGGAATCTAATAAACTAAAAAGCAACTTGCTCAAGCCTAAAAAGCTGGAATATTAAGATGATGAAAATGATGCTGATATCTACTTGAAATAACAAAAACAATAAATTAAATAAAAAACAGATATAACAAATAATAACAGTAAAATAACAAATATTAATAATATTGCAGACGATGATGATGAGTTTTGATAGTTAACTAACTATTCAAATAAGCCTTTCTAATATTTTTATCTTAAATTAGTTGAAGTAAAAACTTATGTTAATTTTGCAGAAATGTATATAAAAAAATTGAATCTTTTTGAAGGACTGCTTGAAATTTTAAATAAAAATGAATCCTTGCTAAATATGTCCTTTATACAATTAAATATTTAGCTGAAAACTGGAATATTAAAATAGCTAAAGTTTATATTTTAAAAATTGATTATATTAAATTTTATAATTATCAAATAATTTAACTGTTTAAATTTATAATTTATATGATTTATCAATAGAAAGATAAATAAACCTATAATTAAAAGACTTACTAAATAAACTTCTTGCTTATTTTTATTTACCTAATTAACAAATTTAAAAAATGCACATTATAAGTTTTAAAAATTAAACTTATCTGCTTGACTATAGGAGAGTTTATGTAAGTTCCTCTTCACTCTTTCTGTTCTCTTTCAAAAATAAAAGAACTTAATTTATCACCTAATTAATTATTTATTAATCAAAAAGCATAAAAAATCTGATGATAATAGAGTTTAATTTTAAAAATAAATATTTTTAAATTTTTTAGTAAAAAAGTTGAAAACTGAAATAAACCGTAACAATGGATATAACTTTACTGTAATATATTTTTATAAAATAGTTCAATTTGAACCAAACATTTTTTTTGTATCTTTAATTTTTTTTTGACAAAATCAAATTAGTATTTTTTATTATTTTGATATTTTAAATTCTATTCAGTTATATTCAGATTCTTATTATTGTTCTAAATTTTATTCTTAAAGTTATATTGAGGACTAACCAGTTCCTATATCACTACTTTGATGAGAATATTAAACTAGAATATAAGATTGCATATTATTATCTCTATTAATGTTGTTATTTAACAACATCTAATTGGATTAAGAAATTTAACTTAATTAATATTATTAATACTAATTTCCATAAAAGTTAGAATTTTCAAGCTATCTATTAAAGCTTGCATTAGATTGATTGTAATGGCTATTAACTCCATTACTTAGTTAACTTAATTGTTAAATGCTAACTTAGCCTGATAAATTACCAATATCTAAAACTTTGACTTAATATTCAGATAATAGTTTTGATTCATTTAAGCTAGATTAACAATATAATTAACTGTTTTCTGTCTAAGTTTGTCCTTAAAAGTTTTTTTAGAGTCCTTTTTTTAAAATTAATAAATTAAAATAATAAAAATGAAAATAAATAAAAACCTTAAATAATTTAGTTCATCTATTTATATACATCTTATTGAATATTTTGTAATTCACCTTTGATATCTTATCCTTCATTAGTATGATTACTGGTAAAATTTGTTCTATCTATAATATCTTTTTGATATTCATTAAGTATATCATTCTTTGAATTTGCGTCCTCTTGTTTTTAATTTTTTGTAATTTGCTATATTTATTCATCAAAGTCTATTTCCTTTAAATCAGAATCTTTAGGAACAAAACTTTGACAAAAAAGCTTGATGTCATTATCTTAAAGACAAGTTATAAAATCTTCATCATTTGATTACATTAATCTTATAATAGAATCCCAAATATCTCTTTATTCTTTTTCATCTTTACAATTTTGATTTTTAATATTGCTTGTCTCTGCTTTATTTTAATTAGATAAACAGATCATATATTTATCTGAGATAAATTCTTTGAACAATTTTAGCATGTATTAGCTAAAGCATTCATATTCTTCTTAATTTGTTTCCCCTTATTTCATTCCAAAATAAATTTTTAAAATAAAAAAGTCTAACTTAAAAATCTATAAGACATCACTCATCACACATCTTTCCTCTATCTTTTTTTCAGTCATATTTCTTATTAGCTATTTCAATTACTATGATATTAAAAACTTAGGATTCTCTAAATTTGTTTCGTTTAATTCGAGTATTTCGATCATTGTTTTTGCTATCATGTAAATTTCCGATTCAAAAGTACAAAGTTAATTATTTTTTTTTAACTCGCTTGGAGCAAGATAGAAAGTAGTTCCTATAGGCTTAAAATATTTATTAAATAGCTTTATTTAGGAAAATCCAAAATCTATTAGCTTGATCTTTGAATCATCATTTGGTTAAACTAATATGTTATCTAACTTTAGATCACAATGAATAATATTCAGATTATGCAAATATTAAAATACATTTATGATTTAAAGTATATAGCCATATCTCTTATTCTAGCAGATATATGAACCATCAATCTTTTTTTTTAAGTACTCTCTCAAGTTTTCACCTAATCTTTTTTGAACTAGCACTATTTTTCCTTTTTCATTTTAGTACAAGTCATAAACCTTCAGGATATTGCGATGAGAAACTAGCATCTAAATAGCTATCTCATTTAAAATATCGAATTTGCTCATCTTACTAGATTCAGATTCCAAATTTATCGTTTTTAAAATGAAATCGACTCCATCTTTTTTGGCTGAATATATCTCGCTCATTTTAGTACCATTTATTTTTTTTACATCTGTAAACATATCTTTCTTTTTATTTTCCACTTTTTCATACAGGTATGAAAGGAGATGATCATATTTAAAAAATATTAGAAGTGAGTCTTAGAATTGAGTTTTTGTTGCTTGACAAGTTTAAAACATTTTTACCATCATGTCTTAAGATTCTTTATATTTTTTTCCTATCCTCAAGAGACGGGAGCAAATAACCATAAATAATAGAATGAGTCCTTTGCCGTACTCGTAATTAAGGCCTTACTTTTAAGTCTCTTGATAAATCTTATTAATTTCTTAGATATCATATTAAGAAATTTACTTACGTTCAATTTCTTGCAGTAAAGTAAATATTTTAAAAAACTAGTCACTAAACAAGTTATAATAGATAGTCTCCAAATTTCTAATACACTAAATATTTTAATTATTAAAGAACAGGAGTAGTGCCTCTTCTATCTCTCCAAACTTAAGGTCGCCAAGTGTCGCTTTAGCCTGATCAAACTATTTTTGCATAAAGAATTAATGGGTTTTAAATAGTTTTATGTGCCTAATAAGTCTCTAACTCATTCTCTCATCATATACATCTGATAAAATGTTTTCTAATTTCTCTATTTCAAGAGTTAGCTCATTTATTTTATTTTGAAACACATAATTTAAAGCTTTGAATGTTATAATTGACTCATAAAATCCTTGTCTAAAGATTTAATTTTTTTAATTATCCCATTGTTAATCACTAACACAACAGCTATCTAATTTTTATCTTTTTTTGATAACTTCTTCACCTTCTATTTCATAATGACTCTCAAGAGTTTCTAGAATCTTTAACGAGGGATTATATTTTTATTATTAAATATTAAAATATGCTGCTATGAGTTTTGCGCCATGTTAAGCTTTTTTATCATATGTATTTAAATGCTATTAAGTTTGATAAAATTAGAAAATTTCTTATAATAGACTATCTATCTTTATTTTATCAGGATTTTTCATCCCTTCGTAACCAATTTACAAAACAGGTATTACCGAATAAGAGTATTAGAACTTTTACACAGTATCATGAAATTTAAAGATGTTTATACAAAACAGATATATAATTTAAAAGATTTTCTCTTCCACTTCTAAGCTAATTTTATTATTAAGATCTTACAAAAGAACTTCAATTTAAGAGATGACATTTTAAAATTACTATGAAATCTTTTGTTTGTTCTCTGAACTTCGCTATTTATAATAAATTAATATTAATTATCTCCATATTATGTAAATGTATTGCTATTCAGTCAAAGATAGATAAAAGTTACATCTCAAATGATATTTGAGTATGATGTAAAATTTTAATAATAATTGACTTAAAAAATATCATAAAAATGTTAATATCTTACATTATTGTCAACTTGTTTGAAAATCTCTTGAATAATTTGAACGCATATCTTATGGATATCATAATTATTGCTTTCAATTAATTCGTTGTTAAAATTAACTTAAAGTTCCTCCATTTTATTTATTTTACTAGAAGAGCTATCTATCTATCAACTTTTATTTTGTTTCTTTGTTTTCCAAATTATAACAATATTTTATATCTTAAATAATGATAAAAATTACAGGTTTGTTTATTCACAAAAATAAAAATATAAATCCATCCTGATCTTCAACTAAAAAGAATGATAACAAAAGATTCTCATATTTATTGAATAGAAAATAAAAAAAGGGAAATTATAAACGAGCATTAATATTTTTTACTAAGTCTTTCAATTGTGTGATCAATATTCACTGATATTCATTAAAACTTAATATTGTAGATTTGAATTAATAACACTTATAATTTTAATTTATTAACATGCGATTTATGAGTAACATAATGATATAAACACTTAATATAGTATTTAAATTTAATTAATGCAATAATTATAAGTATTATTAATGAAATTAATTACCTAGTAGATAATTTAATTCATACTTGGATTTAATAGGTTAAATTTTTTGTAGAATACATCTAAGCTTGTAAAAAATTGTAAATTATGTTTATTTTGAATTATAAAAGAAATGATGAATTAGATTTGAATGATGTCTTTTTATAATTGAAAAGGTAAGAGTGTTGATGGCATAAATAAAAATTTATAATCATTATAATTAATAAAACACTATCCACCAAATTTTAGCCAATTTAATTAAATTATATAACTATTAAAAAACAAACAAATAAGTATTTATTCTAAAGATAAATAAATTGTATAACATCCGTTTCTAAAGATTTTCTAATTATCAAATTAAAAATGGCAGATAAATCTAGCTAGGTTAAAACAAGAGATAAAAGCCCTGTTGCAGTAATAAATATTTAATAAAGAACCTTTAAAATTGAATAGTAGTTGAGAGCTTTTATTTAATATTTATGTTAATTATTAAAAGGAAATGATCACATGGTCTGAAGTTATCAAAAAAGAGAAATCAAAATAAAAAATTTATGAGCATTTTACTATAAATCCTAGGAAACGTATTTAATTACTTACTTCCTTGATTACTAATCTTAATATCTATGAAAATATTTATTACATTTTACATAGTTTATTAAAATTAAATTATCAAATAGTTTTTTTGTATTCTGACAAGCCATGCGAAAATGCACTAGTTGAATAAAAAATGTAGCATTCTCAAACAAAAAATCCTTTCTTAGATATCTCAAAAACATCTGCCCTTCTTGATTCACTTAAATCTCCTGAACTTAGCTGTAAATATTTTAAATTCAAAAATAAATTCATTTTATTTTCATCTGCTTTAATTGCTGAATAATTGCTTATTTTAGATTAAACTACAATAGTTGCCAAAATAAATAAAAAAAGCTTTTCTACTTAACTGTTTTTAGTCATTATTAAGTAGAATTTATAGTTATATTTATTTTATATATAAAACGACTTAATATTTTGAATGTTTTTTTCTCATTATAAAATTTTAGAAGATATTTTGTCCAAGCTTACTACAATCAATTAAACACCAGGATAAAAATATAAGTTTCCACAAACAGCTAATTAAGACATTGGTTGGTTCAATTAAGTAACTCTGATTAATTTGTAAACAAATAAAAATGAAAAATATTAATCCTAAAATAGCACTCTAGAAGTTTAAGCCCTTAAAGAAGTTCAAATTAATTTAATTACCCAAAGAAAACATGCAACGAGACTAATTATGCAAATGAATACTATAATATGTTACGTGTATCACCATTTTCTAATAAATTCAAATGAATTTTTTAAGTGCAATAACTTGTTATTTATTATTTATTTTTGTTTCATATTAAAGAAAACATCTTAAATATCATAAATTAAAATAAATAAATAATAGATTTATTCATTGAATTAACTTATAATTTTATAAGCTATGTTATTAGTTTCTTTAAAATTGAAAATATTTTGAATTTTATAAACAATTATTTATTAACTAAAATATATTTTAAATGTAGTCAGTTACTATGAAGTATTAAAAATTATTTTAAATTATTTTTTTAATTAACTTAATTTCAAATTATTAATTATTTATTGCATGTAGAATTTCACTCTGGGACATCTTCTTCAATGAATTCATCATCGTTGTTTTTATTTTTGCTATTTAGAGATACTCCTTAGCTTTCTAAAATTTATTGAAGCTGTTTTATATAAGTTTAATCAGTTAAAAATAAAAAAGAGTTTGTTTAATTACCATTTCCTAGTCAAGATATGGGGCAAGTATAATACGCTTTTACTGCATTTTTTTGATATAGTCAAAGGCCTAAGAGAAATTCTTAACTTGGTAATAATATTCAATTATTTATGCATAAATATCACCGCTTCTAACACTTTAGTCTATACCAGGCTTTTATATGAAAAATATAAAAAATATAAATTTAACCACTCCTGTATTAAATACTAATTTTTACTTATGCTAATAAATCTTCGCATATTTGTTTCATTTGTTGAGGATCTGATGAGAAAAGAGCTCTTGCTTATACGAACTTTTACACAAGATTGAGCTTAGTTTCTAATTACTCAATACGGAAATCACGGCTTTCGCTTGTAGATTTCTTAGCATGCTTTAAGGCTTCATTAAGTGCAGCTGCAGCCTTTTCATAATCTCTATATTCGTCAATTTCCACACTACTGCATGCATCAAAGAATCCTGCCAAGTTATCGTAAGCTTTAGCTTTGTTGTAAAAAGTAATGATATGCTTCATTAACTGAGGATTCTTATGCCAGTCAGTGGTTTGTAAGAAATTACCTGCTAAAATGTAGAGTTAAGGCATACGAGCCATAGTAGCATAATTTACAACTTCATCAATAGCACCAAGATTAATTAGACACTTCATAGCCTCAACTTAATTTCCAAGCTTTGTATAAAGCTTACTTGATAAACGATAGTCTCCTTGCTTAATACTAGTGTCAGCAATTAGTTTCATCAATTCTTTTCTTTTGTTTTCTTCAGCTGCATTTTTAGCTGGTTCAGTAGGAATAATTTTACTATTTATATATTTTTTCAAAGTAAATAAATAAATCTAATTATTAAATTTTAACAATGACTTCTTAATTTAAATAAAATAAATTTTTTAATTATCTATTATAAAATTTTGGTTGCTAATTTGAAACTAAATAAATAAATAAATAAGTAAAATTTTATTAATTACTCTACTAAATCTTGAGTTATAGGAATATTGAATCTTATACAGGTTTCTATAGCTCTTTCAAATTATTTGGCTTTAATCATCAAAGGAACAGCTCTTTCAGGTTAACCTTTTTCTATAAAATCATCAATAATTCCTGCAAGGTCGTTGGGATCTCTCTTTTTGTTTCTTTAATCTTCTTCTTATTCTATTTAACGAGCAATTTATTTAGCTTCATCATACAATTTTTCTTCTTGTGCTAAGTTATAAGCTTTAATTAAGTTTCCACCCTTTTTGTAAAGCTCTACAGCTTTCTATTTGAATCCCTTTTCTTCGAAGTAGGCTGCAGATTGTAATTTAACTTGATTAGGACCTTAAAGTGAAATAGACATTACTTCGTTGTCCATTCCTTTTTCTCTTGCCAACCTAACTGCTTATGTGTAATGTTAAGATTTCCAGTAATATTGAATAGCCTCAGGGATTTAGCCATTCATTTCTAAGTATTTAGCCAAAATGTAACAAGCTGCTGAGTTGTTAGTTTCTGAGCAAATGGAACTTGCTGTTTGTACATCGTTTTTAGTTAAAAATAACCTAACCTAATATAACGAATAAGTTATAACAAAATTTTAATTTTTTAAAAACTTATATTACCATTTGATCATAATCTTCTGACTATCTATAGAATTTTACAGCCAATTCGATTCTATAATTTGATTCTAAATATTATGCCCACCATTTGAAAAGTGGTTTTTCATTTTTATCTATAATGTATCTTTCAAGCTATTCAGTTTGACCAGCTTCTAATAACATTCTGGGAACTTCTTTACTAAAAATAAAAATAATTGATTGAATATAATTTGTTTAATATTTATATATTTATTTATTTACACATGAGTTCCACTCTTTTCATAATAGAGTATAGCTTACTCATAGTTATTGCTGACTTCGTACATTTAAGCTGTTCTATAATAAGTATTTTTAAGGTTAATTCTGTCATGATTTTCAGAAATTTAAATGGCCTTTTCCCAATTTCCTTCTGCTTAGAGCATTTTATTATAAAGGTCATAACGCTTTGATTGTTCATACAATTTGACAGCTTCGTCTTTCATGTTTAACTAGATAGCAACCATAGCTAATTAAGCGTCTAATTCTGGTTCTTTTTTTTATTCTCTAATAGCCTTAGATCCTCTAGCGAATCTCATATTTCCTAAACATATTTCAGCAACATCAATTCTTTTTGTCTTGACACACATTGATGCCATTTTTTCCCAAATAGAAGGATTTTATATTTACTTAACAGATTTATATGCTTCGTCAAGGTTATCCATAGTAAGATAGAAAGAAAAATTCATAATAGCTTCTTTAATTTGATTGTCAATTTTTTCTAATCCAACAAAGTCATTTAAATATTTCTCAACTATTTTATAGTTCTAACCAGAGCTATTAGTTTTCTTGTTTCTCTTAATGAAATATAGTTTAGGAATATCAATAGCTAAATTGTTTTAAATAATTTCATTAATTTTAATCTAAAATAAAACAATAAAGTTTAAATAAAATAGTTATTCACATTAAATCAGAATTGTTTTATTTGAAATGAATAATAATAACTAATTTATTTGAAACCAATTTAATATTTTAATTTATTAAATTGATTCAATCGATCAAAATAATTTGTTTACCAAAAACTGCTTCAATACTGGATTCAAGTTGATATTAATCTTATTTTCTGATTCCATTTTCTGAAGTTACGAAAAAGGTATAAAACTCTAAATTGCTTTTATCTTTCTCATCATCATCTTCATTTCTACTTTTATCGCTCTTATTATCTTCATTTTCATCATTATTTTCATCTGCATTCTTTTCTTATTAGATATTCTTGTTAATTATACAGCTTATACCGAAAAATTTTCTATCTTTTCTATCGCAATAAGGCTGAAGTGGAATGCATTTTGCTGGCATTTCATAAAGTAAAAAGTTATCAGTTTAGACATCATAAATGTAGAATTTATTATCTGCTTAAGGACCTGATTTGCCTCTTTAGTCAGCTGTAATTACGATTTTAGATCCATCTGAATTAACAGCACAATATCTTATTTATCCAAGTTAACCTTGTGAGTCTAATTCATAAAGAAATTTACTTTGTGAATGAAATTAAAATGTTTAAATTTACTTTCAAATCTTCTAGTCACACCAATCTGCTTAACTTCTCTTCTGCTAATATCAAATAAACGAATATAGTTATTAGAGGTCCACATGATTAGGTGATTATTTAAAACGTTCACATTTAAGATTTTTCCTTCACTTTCAGAAAATTTCAAATTCTACTTTTAAATTCCTTTGAAGTTTAAAACATTCAATTCCATATCATTAACTAAAATGATATTTTCTTTATGGATAACACTTCTCAAACATTTCTCTTAAATAGAAGCTACCAACTTTGTCTATGACTCCTCTATTTTTCAAATTTAAAATATTTATTTAGCTCATATAATTACTTAATTAATTAGTTACTTGGATTGATAATAATTTCATGAATTTCAATAGTTTTGCTTGTCCAAAGCAACATAAATTAATCATTACAGTCAAGGCCCTTGATATTACCTTTAGACTAGAAATGCAAAACCTTTTCGAAATATGTTAAAATATGTAATAATTTTATTTTTTAAATATTTTGTATTTACTTGATTAGAAATGTCGTTGTTGATATATATTTTGATAGTATTTGCGCTGCTTTAAAGAAGTCTGACTTAATCAGTCATTTTACCATTTATGACAGTTTCTTAAACTAAAGAAATTTAATTGCCATACTAAACAGCAATCAAACCATTATTTTAACCAACGGCTATACTATTAACTCCTTGTCTTACAGAGACATAAGGGAGCATTTTCCACTCATCTACATCAAGAGGACTCTCACTTCCTATAGAAAGGTTTTTCCAAAAAATAATACGACCTTCTCTTGTACCAGCAACAAGTACTTTTCCTCTTTTTTCATATTAAATGCTAGTAATTTAATCGTTTGTGTTGGTTGATTATATTACAGTTGCAGCTCCTTATTATGTTTAAGTTTGTTAGGCTAATTAATGCAAAGTAAGGACATAGTTATCATCCTAATCTAGATGCCACATACGAAGCATATTTTCATGAGAGCAAGTTGCTAACAAACAGCTGCCAATCCAAATTGATTATAATTTTTAAGGATCTCCAGAAATTGATAACTTTACTCTTTTGCTTGGGCCTGTCTTAACAGACGTAGAAATCTTAAACATAACCAATAAGAGTGTGCTTGTTATGATAATTACACTGTTTTCTTTTTCGTAGAAGAGTAAAGATTTGATACTTCCACCTACTTTACAAACATCTGAGCAATGATTTGCATCATCAGCTAAGCAAACAACTCCAGACTTCCCTCCAAAAAAGAAAAGATTTCCTAAAAGGAATTAAAAATAATTTCAATATAAGATTTATTTCATATCAGCTTCAAATTGCTTGATATAATCTTTTGAAAAGTTTTTTATTCTTAAAATTTTTATAGAGCTTTAAATTTAAAAAATTTTATCATTTCTGACTGATTTATTTATTTATTTAATTATGCACTGACTGACTATGTTTGTAAAAAGTCTTTTAAAAAGTAGTACTAGGCACTATAAAAAATAAGCAACTGAATTTTAAAAAGACATTCATTATATATTACCTGACTTTAATTTACTATCGATGTTCAGTTCACAAAATATGGCATGAGTAATGCTTTACTCTTTCTTATATTATGAGACTATATTAATTCCTCTCCACACTGTTACATTTCCGTCAATATCTGCAGAAACCATACGGGAACCGCTGGGATTAAATTGAATTAAACAAATTTCACTTTTATGTCCGTTTGGCTCTTCCTTTGCAACTTTTGTTTCCTCACTCCATAGAGTAATTGCACCTGATTTAAATTAAAATTTTCAAATTATTTATGCTTTGGAGTTCTAAATTTTAAATTTTTGTAAATATTAAATGGAAATCTGCTAAAATTTTTAGTATTTTTAAATTTTTTCGTGATTTACCTGTTTCCCAACCAAGTGCGATTATAGGCTATGAAGGATGCCATTATACGTATGTGCACCTTATATTTCTTGAAAGTTCGTAGTCGTGCTTTTCTCCACATTCGTTGAACAATAAAATCTTGTGTGGTGTAATAATAGCTAATGATGGGTTTATGGATACATTAGAAACTGCTATTTAAGTAATTTATTCATCAGTGCCAGCATCTAATGGAAGTTCTGAAAACAAGCTCATTATTGAAATTTGCTATAATTATCCTAATTCTAGTCTATTTAATTTTTTTGGTTATGTTTATCTAACTAACTTGCTTGAAGTCTCTCTTTCTCTCTTTTTACTTTTTGATAGATTGATAGAGTGGATTGGATTAATTTTTAATATTTCAAAATAATTTGTAAAATATTAATTAAGTTAATATCTTGTATTTTTTATTTTTAAATTGTTTTGAATTTTCACAACTTACGATATAATTATTATTATGAAACAAGCTTTATAATAAAATGTAAATTATCTATTTCTCTTTAATGGACAAAATGATTAGCTATTCTATTTATTTATTTCATTTATATTATGCTCTAAATATTAATTAAAAACTTAAATCTCAAAATTTTACTGATAAATTAAAATTAAAATAATTTATTTTATTTAAAAATTTTTATTAGTTTTCTGATTTTTAAAAAACTACGAAGTTTAAATCTATTACTATAAAAAGAAATTTGATTGACTATTATGTGTAGAGAATAGAATATTTGGAATTTTAAACTTAAAAAGGCATTTTAAATAATAAATTAAACTAAAATATGATAGATTTTATAAGCATTCATTCATTCACTTTGAACTTTTCTAAGATATTAAGTAATTTTTTGAATTATTTATTTGAAGAAGCTTATCTATTGATTTTATATTTTTATTCTATCAGTCAATATTGAATAACTGATATTAAAAAACACAAACAAGTAGAAAATATTGCCAAATGGAAAATAGAATAAATGAATTAAAAGCAAGAGCTCAAGCTCTCTAAAAAGTGATGGATGAAAAAGAAGAAATTCTAAGAAGTATTTCAGAAAACATAGGAAATATGAGCAAAGAATTAAATGATGTATTTATATTTTAGTTGAGGAACAATCATTTATAGTTAAATCTAATCAAATATTTAAAAAAGTATTAAATTAAGTTTGAAAGTAACCAAAAACAATTTCCTTTGCTAAAAGATAAATTATAAAAGAAAGTAAATTATTTTCATCTCAATTTAGAATTTTGTTAGATACAATCATTTTATTTAATTTATATTTTAGGAAAAAATTATTGAGTAGGAAAAGCATGATGAGAAAATTATTAGCGAAAAAATTTCTTAAATATAAAAATAAAGAGTTAAGCTAATGCAAGATGTAAATTTTATAAATATAAATGAGAAAGAATATTCATTATTTTTACAGCAATATAATTTACAGCAAAAAATACAGAAAAAACCTCAATAAGTCCAGCCTTATAGCCAATCTTAACAATCTTAAGATATAGTGAACTCATCAAAAATATAATCTTATTTGCCTTAATAGAATTAATAACTATAAAAAAACTCATAAGTTCATTAGTAAAATGTAGTACAGACTTAGCATAAACCACAATAATAGTAAATAAATCAAAGCACTCCCGAACAATAAAAGGCCTAAGAAGCAAGCTAAAAAAGTGAAGTTTAAAGAAAAGAAAGCAGTAATGATGAAGAAGATGAAAAATCAGATGAAGATTGTGATGTAAACTTTATATAAATAGAATGAAATTATTTAATAAAATAATTTTTTGAAAGGATATCTTAAAACGTATTAAAGCAAACTTAAAAAATGATGAAGATGAGGATGACGATGGTGATGAATAAAAAGAAAAATAAGAAAATAAAAGTGATAGTGATAGTGATAACGAAGAAGATAATGATGAAGATAATCAAAATTAATAAAATTTAGAGGACAAAAAAAATGAAAAATAATAGAATGAAGGAGATAAGTGAGTAGAATTTTTAAAAAATAATGGTGATCTAAAATAAAAAATGTTTTAAATGTACTTGAATAGCTAGAATAAAAATGATATAAATTTGATTAATTATTAAAATATTTATATTTAAATTGTAATATATTAAGCTTTTAAGTAAATTTAATAAACTTTAAAAGGAAAATAAATATCTTTTGTGAAGTTTGATTATTAAAAATTTAGTTTAAAATTTTATGCTATTAATAGAAAAATTATTTAATTTTTTAAGTAAAATTTTCAAAGCTTAGTGAGTAAAGTGTAACAAACTAATAATACTGAAGAGTTAAGCTAAATTTAAAAATAAATAAATTTGTCAATTTATATTAAAGTTTTATTTATCAATTTATTAATCAATATTGTGTAAGACAATAGGATATTCCTCTTTTTTATTGTAATAATATTTTTCTGCAAAAATAAAAAATAGATAAATAAATAAATAAACAATGATGCTTGCTTAAAGTAATTTAAGAAGAATAGCATTTAGATGAGAAAATTCATTAGTAAGAATTCTGATTAATCACGAATTTAAAATGAAATTTACTCTTTTTTATGTCTTGTCAGCTATATTTGCATTTATAAAAGAAGATTATTATCTAACGAAACACTTTTATAAATAAAAAAGAATTATCATTCTATTAAAAGAATATTAATCAAATTAAAAAAAATTATAAAATAGTACTGCAAAAATAATAAATACTCTAAAATTAGAAAAGCTAGGTATAGTATTGTGAGAATTTTGCAAACAAGTTTTTCTTGAAAAATAATTAAAAGGATAGCTGCGATAGTTAATGATTCTTCAACTAATATAGTTTTTTAGCCTTCTCTTTGCAGTTGGTTACTTAGTAAATGAGTATTCAGATAAGCAAGTCAAGAGGCATATTAAAATATTATCATTCATAGCATGGTTACTCTCTTTTGGGTTTGTCTTTATAATTCCATTAGATATTTACTGGGTAAAAACTTTGTTAAAATTCTTAAGCATATTCTATTCTTAATTTAACATTTGATAGACTATTTGAAGCTAATTTTATAATATCTTCTCAATATTGTTTTGTAAAACTTAATAAATAGACTTTAGAAAACCAAAGATTTATTGAAAATTGCAAATAAAATCCATAAAGCGAATAATGTGTTTCATTTGATGGTGATTCTATCCCTGAATTCAAAACCATGGTTTGGGCTTGGAGAGCTGTTTATTGGATTACTTTTGTTTTTACTTGGTAAAATTATTTTTAACACTTAAAATTAAAAATAATTAAGAGTTCGCTAAATAAATTAAATAGGTTTATTTTACCTTTCTTCCAAGATTATGAAGCTGCTGGAGAATTTGATGTTAAAGGAAGAGTAAAGAGATCAATAAAGATTAATTTAATGATCATTTTAGGTATTGGAGCTATTGGACTTTTGTTCATAGTTTATCTTCTTATTTCAGGAAAAATTTCATGGTATTAAATTATCAACGATTCTTTAATTTGTTTATGAGAATATAAAATAGATATTTATTTTGAAAAATTTAATATATTTTCTTACTTTATAAAATAGGGATAACATGGAAGGTTTTTTAATTGGTTTAGCTAATGGATTGTAAAATATAATTAGTTTGAGCACAATACTTATTTACATATATTTTTTCATTTTTATAATAAAAAGTGGTATCTTTTTGGTGGTTATTTTGTTGGGACATGGATTAGTTATGATTCCTAAGAAATGTTGGAGAGAAAGAAACGAAGAAACCATTATTAAGTAACAAATTTAATTAGTTTAATCAATCCTTAATACAGAAATATTTCTTATATTTAGATTGTGTTAATTCCAAGCTGCCAAATTAGATGAAACAAAATTAGAAACAGTTTTTAAATTAGAAGAAAAGGTTAAATTTTTACTGCTTGCTCAGTAAAGATACAAAGAGTTTGAATCTTACTTTAATTAGATTATTGATTTAGTACCTGCTGATATTGTTAGCCATTGCAAAGAGTTAAACTAACCCAGCGAATCTACACGCTAAGATTTAAATTCTTTTGGAGTAATAAATATTGATAAATTAGCTAGCTTAAACAAAGAGATGAAGTCACTTGTCTAGTAATTAAAAAGAGAATAAACTAAGTGGGACTATCTTCTTGATAAAGCTTTTTTCACAGAAGACTTAAAGAAAAATAAAGACTCTTCTGAAAATAAAATTGACAGTGATTTTTATGTAAATCGTCAAGGTAAATTAGGTCATTTCATAGATGTGGCTTTTTGGTTCTGGAATTGTAAAGCTAAAAAAATATTTATGATTATTTGTGCCTTTACTTTTGGTATGCTTTCCTTGCTTGTTCTTTTAGGAGAGATTTCAATTTTCTCGGGAAAAGTAATTAACCCATTTAACTACATACTTGTAGATGATACTACACATTTGATAGGAACATAGGTAATTTAAATTAGTATTTAAATATTTATTAATTTATTTTTATTGTTAATAGTTCTTGGTCTTGATTCCTCTGCTTTACATTACTTTTTGTGTCTATTATAGTATGTTCTAAGTTAAATTAGCAAATCTATTTGGCTTATATAAATATCACTAAACTGATGCTCCAAGTCTTATGTTTTTCTCCATGTAAATAAACTAAATTGTAATATCTAGAAAATTAATATGTTATTTTTTTATAAAAAGTAATTTTGCTAGAGTTTCTGCTCCTATTTCTTACAATTATCTCAAAATCTTAGGAGTTAAAGATTCAGCATTTGAAAGAATTATTGGAGCTATGGATGACGTACCCATTTTAGGATCAGCAAACACCTATTTCTTCCCAATGATTCTTATCATGCTAATTTTATTCAATGCTTTTGATGTTTATTAAAAAATTTTGAGTTCTCTTGGCTTAAAATAATTTGAATTCTCAGATAACTTTGACGATGAACGTATCGATTAGGGTAAATAACTCATATAAAGAGGTAAAATAGAAATGAATTATAAATAAAATTTTATATAAAAAATTATTTTAATGAATAAATTAGCAAGAAATTCATGGGCTAGAAAATTCGATAAGATGAAACAAAGCTCTCCATCATAGTACTTTGGTTATAACACAGCAGTAATTACTTTAAAATATGTTATTTATTTTTATACTATGTATTAATATAAATTTTTAGTCTTCATTAAGAGAAAACGAACAAATAAAAAATTTTGGAAGAGGGTATGGAAACAACAGCGATGTTAGTGGAGATACAGAATCAAGAGCATCTGTTTCTTCTACTTCAACAGCTACTTCTTAAAAATATAGTTAGTCATAACAAAATAAATTAAAATAATCTATTGGAAATAAATATTAAAATTTCAGCAATTTTGAAGAAATTCTAGAAATTTGAATATTTTATTTATCAAATCTGTTAATAAATTAAAAATTATTTTTATTTTAATCTTTTTAGTTAATAGTTTCATTTGTTTTTTAAAGATATATTTTTCATCTAATAAATTCTTTTTATTAATTCTAAAAACATAAAATCAGATTGTTTGTTTGATCTTTTTTAAATTGGTTTTAAAAAAACTATATTATTATTGAAATAAATATATTTATTTGATAAAACATAATATCAAGTGCTTATTGTCATTTTCATTATATTGATTTTTTTTAATAAAGAAATAAATGAGATTTGTTAAATTATTTGAAGATTTTGTTTTTTGAATCAGAGTTGATTTGATAGAAATTTATTTGAAAATATTATTTAAACGTTTGGGATTTTAATTAAATTAATAGCTTGTATTTATGTAATCAAAAGATATTCGATTTAATCGTTTGAAATTTCAAATTAATTAAATACGCAATTGAAAAAGAATTGTTTTGTAAACATAATTAATTCATTTTTACTGAATTTTTGATTGTTTAAAGAAAATCTTAAACATTTTTATGGAATTAACATTAGAATAAAGTAAATAGTTTTTATAGTACCTAATAGAATTAGGGGTGATTACTCCTAAAGAGGAAATAAATATCGTTGAAAAAATTAGTACTTAATCTAAAAGATGTTTATTCTTATTTGCTGATTTTTTAAAGTGTCTTACTCCTTCTGATTGTTACGATGTAGCTTTAAGGATGATGCAAGTATGGAGTGAAAAATTATAAAAATTAAATCAAAAATAAAATTATAATCATGAGTAAGTTAAAAGAAATAGTAAAATACCTTCTATTATAACAGAAGAGGAGAATGAAGATACTTAAATAGAATTACCAAATGAAGTACCCAGTAGTACAAACTAAAAAAATATTTCAGAAATTATGAAAAAGCACTAGCAAGGAGTGCTTTAAGGAATTAATGATATAAAAAAAGATTAATAATAAGCTGATGATATAAATGAAATATCAAATAACTCGCTTCCTAATGCCTTCTACTAAAATTATTGTAAACCTTCTTTTTAAAATTTATCTAAGCAAGAAGTAGAGGTTTAGAGAAAAAAAAGGATGGATCGCACATTTGTGAATGAATAATTGGAGAAAGTATCAAAGTTATTTAATTTTAAGATAAAAGTTCATTTAAGGTATTCTTTTTAGTTGCTAAAAAACCATGTATTAAAAAAAAAAATAAATTGCCATAGTGTTGTTTTAGCTGATTCCAAACAGAAATAATTAAATTTGAATTATAACTTTTCAAATAATCTCAAAAGTTAAACACCTAAAACCCTAAGCTAATAAGAAAAGACAATTAGTAATAATACAAATAAATTTTTTACTTACAAGGAATCTTAATAAAATCGTAGTTTGATAGATTTACACAGTTCAAGTAGAATTCAATTAAATAAATAGCATCCAGAAAATGACATACCTTCGTTAAAATAATTTGATAACATTTTAAAGCCTTATTAGAATTAAATCTAATAAATGAATTAGAACAAAGAAGGGGGTTTAGAAAATACTTAAAATTATAAGAATGATCAAGTATTTATTAGTAATAATAGCAGCATGAGTTATAATAATAATAACAATAGTTTACAGAGCCAAGCAATTAGTTTATAACAAAGTCTGAAATCTGAGGAAAATAAGGCCTGTACCTTTCGTCCTCTTTCGACTCTTATTAGTCCTACAAATAATACAGCAATAAAATTCAATTTTTCTGCATTGAATTCTGCTAATGCTACTCCCGAGCTCTATAATAGGTAAAAGTATTTTCAATATAAAGAATAAATAATGGAGTACAGTCCATCTTCTTAAAGTGGAGAAAATACCTAAGCTAAGAATAACTATTCTTAATTATTTTCTTGTGAAAAAATCTAAGAAAATATTTGCTAACAATAAAATATAACAAAAAATTAGTTAGATTTAGAAGTTAAAAACTAATTAAATTACTAATAGAATTAATTTTTTGATAAAGAAGATGAAGAAATACAAAAAGAGTTTTGTTAAGATTTAGGGTTGTAAAATTGCTAAGAAAAAAATGATTTAAGATAAATAAATTAACTAGAAAATGAAACAAGTTAAAACGATTTTGAATGGAATGAAAATGAAATTTCAAAACGAAATGTCTAAAATTAAAACAATTCAAATTTTTAACATAAAGATTTTAATGAATTGAAGAACAAAAGTGATAGGTAGGGTTTAAATGGTTAACATAATTACCAATTTACTACAAATATGCAATAAAACTCTAATTAAGCTTGCTAGCTAGCAAATATTCACAATTACTCTCATATATCTAAAAATTTAGATGATTCTACTTCAATAAATTTTGAATCTAGTTTAAGGAGTCTCACCAAACCTTTGAATAACGCACAAAGATTTTAATCATAAAATATATTCACTAATAGTTAAATGAATTCTTTCTTTATGCAGTCTTAAGATGCATTTGCAGCTTAATAAAATTAAAACTTATCTTAATTTGGAGAATAATTAGCTATATCATAGATAAATCCATTTATTTCAGAAATTTAGTTTTCTAATAATAAAAATCAATTTGACTCAATAAATGACTAATTATAAAATATAAATAACAACAATGATTTATCCTAATTTGAAAATTCTGTTGTCGGTAATCATGGTTAATATAATTAATAATTTATACAGTAACAAAACAGGGAACTTTAAGATTAAATAAATATTAAAACAAGATTATATAATTAGTAAAATTAGACTTAATGTTTAGATAATGAAGGCTAACCTCAGAAGTGTATAGACTAAAACCTAAACCTAAAAAATTAAAATAACTTAGATTAAGAAAAATAGATGCAACATATTTATATCTAACAAGAAGATAGCCAATTATTAACTGATGAAGATTTGTCAAATCAGAATTCTGTTTCAAAATACTAAAATATTTATTAAAATTTTACGAATTAAAATAATTTGATTTTATAAATATAACAAAATAAATAAATTAAATAGTAAGATCTGTAATTCAATAGAAAAGATTCGGATAGTAATCAAGTAGTTTAAGAAGCTAAAACCCAATTTAATAATCTATAATAAATAGGTAAATAACTTTTAAACCGCTAGCAAGATAGTTTTAATAATTAAGAGAAAATGACGGATTTAAATTTGATTTATCAAATAAATAAACTACCTTAGTATTGTTTTGATGAGGATCATTGCCAAGATACCTATAATACTAATAATCAATATATACAGGAAGAAAGAGATTTAGAAAAAACTAAATCACAAGATTAAAATGAAAAATAACTTATGGTTTCCAATAAAGAAGCTAGTTAAAAACTATAACAACAAACAATATTAACTGAAGAGGGAGTTAATAAGTATGTTTCAACATTTTAATAAAAAACTAATCTTTAAGTAAATATTGATCAACCTGAATAAGCACAACATTTATCAATTTAACCTTGTTAACTATAAACTTAAAAGCTGCATAATCTAGATACCTAAGAAATATCAAATTAAAATAAAGAAAATACATAAAATAATAGCCAAAAGAATCAAAATATTATAAATAAGAGTAAGTCTGCTTAAATTTTACATGAATTATATATCGATTTTGATAACGAAACCAGTTTAAACTAATAAAGATAATTATAATAAAAATCTTCACAAAATTCACAAACCAATAAATAAAATACAAATAATCAAGTAGATTCCGTTCATGAAAAATTATATAACTTAAGTAAATCCAAAGATTAAGGGTAAAAGGCATATGAAAGCATGAAAATAAAATAAGAGCTTAAAAACTGCACTTTTATGCCAAAGTTAGTATCTAAACATAAGTCTAGTCCTTCTTATAGTGTTTCATAGAAAAATTAAAAGATAAATGTTCAAAGTTCCAAAGAAAATATTTTCAAATCTGAAAATGTGAATTTCACATTTGAAAATTTTGATAACAGTGCTACAGAAATCTAAAAGCTTCCAATAAAACAGTAAAATTTTTGATTTATAAAAATTTTTATTAATTTCAATTTTAAATAGATAAGAAGAATATGAAAAAATAAAAGTTGGTGAATCATAAGAAATAGAACAAAAAGAGAGATAATTATTAGGTAGCTCCTAAAAATAGCTTACATATTCAAGGACTTCTAAGGGAAGTTTACATAATAATAGTGAAAAAGATTCTCTATCATAAAAAGATTAACAAAAAAACTTATCTGTGTTTGAAAAGCTATATTAAGATAATCAAATAAAATTAATTAATTAATCAATTAATTAAAGAGTATAAATTTAAAATGAACTACAAAAGTGCACTTTTAAACCTAATATTTGTGAGTAGTCAATAAGACTCTCTAGAAGTAAATCTCCTTAGTCCATTATAATGGATTAAAATAATATTAGAAAAGAAAAATCTACATTTTAGGAGAATAATTCAACTTTAAATAATAATTTAACTTAAAAATAAAATATGAACTCTCTAAAAAATATAAATGATATTCCTGATATTAATAGCAATTAATATTAAAACTAGAGTACTTTTAATTTAAAAAAGGAAAAGCAATAAATAGGCAGTTTCTAAGATGTTGGTATTGACCAGAATTTTTCATCCACAAATAAAATACTTTCAAAGAAATCTTCTTCATTAAAGCCTATGTTAAAAGGGTGTATTGATGCTAATATAGATAATATTTACTCTAAAACTAATAATTAAGGATAATAATTTTTGAATAACCATTTTATTCCATTTAACTAAACTTTACCATCCACCCCAAAACTTAACTCAACTTCCACAACTTTTGATCAAATTATATCTAAAAAGTTTAAAGTAGAAAAACTCTCAGACTATAATTCAGTTTAGATCCCAAGTTTACACTAATAATTAACTTCTGAAAGCACAAACAGTACTTTAAGAGGTGCTTAATCTGTAAGAATGCAAAAATCTATCTCTTTTAGTGAAAAATTAAAGAAAGATTAATAGAAAAATTAAAAAATGCAAGAAGATTAAAAGTAAGCTTAAGGAAGCCCACTTATTTAAAATTGTAAATATTTTTAAGATGACATAATAGATGAAAATGAAATAGGTCAATTAAAAGATAATAACCAACCATAATAATTTAGCATTAATTGATAAAAGATAAAATAATAGAATTCTAAATTTAATTGATATATAGATAAACAATGTTAACTAATTTTTATATATTAAACTTTTATTATAATTGATAAGCTAAAGTGTATTATATATATAATTGATGTAAATAGAAGTTATTTTGATATATACACATAAAAATAATAATTTAAATATGTTTAAAAATAATTTAAAAATCAAATATTGTATTTAAATAAATATCTCTCAGAAATTATCATTAATAAAACTATCAAGTGAAAATATTTCTTGTAAATTGTAAATATGTTGTAAAATAGTATAATTAGTTTAGAGTGTATAATTATGTATATATAATATTAATATTTTGGATTATTAAATTTAAATAAATAAGCTAAGCTTTTAGTGTATAATCACTTCTTAACAAAGTTTTAAAGTAAAAAAAATTATTAAATAAAATGGATATTTTAAATGAAAAAAAAAATTATTATCTTTAGCATTTGAATTTATTAAAAAAAAATTAAATTATTTTTGACTAAATTTAAATTTTAATGGAGAAATATTAGTTGACAAATTTAAGATATTTTAAAGGTAATAAATAGAAATGTAGAAGTGATTAAAATGTTTATGATTAGATTTTAGAATGTTTTTATGAAAATCAATAAATGAATGAATGAATATATAGCAATACTTAAGGATAAATTAAGTTAATGTAGAAATAAGATCAAATAGATAATGAATGAGCAAATCTTGGATATAAAATTTTTGAATAAATTGCATAAAACATCTTTAAGACATCAAAAATATAAGTAATAATTTCAGTAATTAATCAGTCTTATCAAATATTAAATATATATTATAAACTTATCAAAACTAGTAAATTAATACAACATACAATAGATAGATAAATACATAGATAAATCATGAAGTAGAAGCACAGAATTTTATCAAAAAAGAATAAAAAGGTCAAGCAGTTGATGCGTCGTTTCTAAGATGATAGTGACGACGAACAAGTTGCTTAAAAGAACTAGCATGCTCAAAGATAAGGATAAGCTATTAAAAAGCATGATAAAAACTAAACCAAGAAAGGACAAACTGAATAAATTTAGCCATAACTTAAGAGAAAGGGATCTGATAGAACAAACGATAGTTTTGATGTTTAAAATTAAAGTAATAACGAAAGCGACCATGGAGATGATAATATGGATGGTTCAAAGCAAAAATCTACTTTCAGCAGTGTGTTTTCTAAAATTCTCAATCAAGATGTAAAGAAGACAACCTCTAATAATCCAATTTTTTCAGATTTCAATAAACCTTTGAAAAAAGTGCGCTCAGAATTAAGAAGAGAGAGAGAAAATTTACTTAAAAAGAAAATTAAAGAACTTAAGGAAAGAAGAGGACATGTTCTTCCATAGAGCAGCCCTGATGGTGCTTTATATGAAAAAGAATTAAAAATATAAGCTGCTAAAGGTATTATTAAGATCTTAGAAGCAGTAAAGAATTATTAGGATTAAGAAGGAATTGAAAATTGATATAATTCTTTCCTTTTATTATTAGTATAAATGTATGTATATATATAATATTGTAAAAATATACTTTAAATTATATAAAATATTTCTAAAATAAAATATTCTTCTTGCTCAAATTACATATTTATATATTACTTATATACATACACATATAAAATTTAACTAAATTTAACATACTTTATATTTATTTTATTCAATGTTTTCAGAGTAGTATTTTTAATTATTCTCTTTTAAGATTCAATATTTAATAAAATTCGAAAACCCTGTTATCTTTTTTCGTTTTAATATACTTAAAACACCATTTTATATTTTTATTTTTTTAATATAAAAGATTTTATTTTATCTATTGTAATTATGCTATTCGTTATTTATTTATATATTTATTTTCTATGCTTGGTTTTAAACAAATAAATTTTTTTTTCAAAGTATTTCATTTACTTTGAATTTTTTTTATCATGAAATTTAGTATATTTAATTATCGAATTTAATCATCAATTCAAAATATATTGCATTAATTACTCGAGCAGCAGCCAGTAGATTTTTAATGATAGGGCTAATCTATAGGGCAATTTTAGATTTTATCTTCTATTTTGATATCTTTTTATACTAATTTATCAATTATGTTGTGCTACTACTTATCTTCTAGTATTTATTTTGAATTCAAATTCATTCCATCTTAAGTTATTTCTTGATCATTGAACTCTCTTTAAGAGTCTTATCTTGAAAATATGAAGTGAGAATGATCTATCATAGAATGATAGTGGCTACTTTCTCTTCTGGATGGAGTGGAAAATTAGTTATTATGATGACTTTTAAACGTATTGATTGGAGGCCTTTGTTATTTGTTAAAAAATTTAAAATTAGTTTTTAGTTTAAGTATTAATGTTACCAGAATTAAGTTAGGTTTTCATGATTTCCTCCATACTTTTTTTCAATTTAATCAGGATTTATGCCTATTTCAACAAGCTTATGGAATTCTTCAGAAGTTATAAACTCTATTTTGTCTTAGGAGTCAGATGGTATGAATGCTTTTATAAAGATTTATGTCTCAGTTAATAAAATAATATTTGATAAAAAATACCTGAAATAATTTTCCAACACTACCTAAAAGACCAAGAAGGATTTAAAATAATTAATTTATGTAATATGCAAGTGTAGTTAGCAACCATACACTCAATAATCTTTTATATTACCTTACAATAATAAAATATAATTAAATAATACATAATAAAAATATTGAATACTTTGAAATCAAGATCAGATAAACCACAATAATTCGTGTCAATGCAAATGATCCAATTTTCTACTTTGCCTTCTAAGAACATATTTTTTTAGACTGTACTCAATAATTTGCATAAAGCGCCATTAATTGCATTCATATCATTAATATTATTCTGTTAAATAATTTTAATAAGTAATGGATTTATAATAATCTTTTTGATATTTGATAATAAAAAACTTTCAAATAAGCAAACAAAATAAATAACTAAGAATTTTATTAAAATTTCTTTTTTTCTTAAAAAATTGAAAAAATTTGATATTACACTATCACCTTAAATCATATAAGAATTGACAAAAACAATAGGTCTAAATAAATTATCTCTACCAAATGTATACATCACTCCTCTTTTCTAATTAAATTAAAAAATTGAAATTAATTGTAAGATTTTTTTAATCAGATATTTATTATTTTACTAAAAATTTTTCTATTGTTTCTTCTGAAGGATTTTATAAAGCAAAATCATTTAACCATTTTATATGTTTTTTAACTAAATTAATGAAGTCTTTCTTATTAAATTGCTCATTATAAATACATTTCAAAATCTTTAAATCACTCCATCTATTTATTTAACGAATAGTAAGTAAGCTAGTAAAGGTAGGACTATCAAAATAAATATATTTAAATAATAAATTACTCTGTAGGTAGAGCTATTTGCTGATCTTTTAATAGCTATCTAAATTCTTTAATTTTCTCTTTTTCGTACTCATTGAATTCTTAGTCATAAAATATTCTTCTGGTATGTTTCCCCTTTTTGTCAACACTATGAATATAATGAGCTTTTAGGATTAATTATAAATTTTATACTCTTAAAAAATTTTTAATTCTAAACTTACCATCATGATTTATAAGGTGAGCTTCTAAAGGCGGCTTCATATAATTTAGCTCATAAGCATCTTCTTTAGCTATTTAAATATCATTTTCATCTTTTATTTGCAATCTCATTTTATACTTATATTTATTCTAATCTTGAAATTAATTAAAAAAATGTTATTTTCTTTGGTTTGTAAATTATTAATTATTATTGGCATGAAATTAAATTTAGAAATTGTGTTTAGATATTATTGTTAACATTTTAATAATTAAAATCGAATAACAGTTAAAAAGACTTGCTGGAATAATATTACTTGAAGATTGTTGTTTATCAAATTTTTAGTATTCTTAATCTTATAATTTTGCAGCATCTAAATTTGTATACTTTTTTAAATATTTAAATAAAATATTAAATTAATTAAACAAAAAATATTCTATCTTAATTATAAAATAGATAAATAATATAATGCTAACCAAATTAAGAATGAAATTTGCATTTTACAATACTTTAAATACAAAATATTTTGAATATCAGATTAGAAGAAAAATAATTCATGAATGGTCTTAAATATTTTTATTTTAGTGTAGAATTAGCATGCATGCTTAATGACAAAATAAATAAATCAATAATTTCGTGATAAGAAGAAGTAAAAAGATTATATTACTATAAATTGAGCCAAATACCATTCAATCCAATGAAAAGAGATCATTTATAATTTTATGAATTTAAAGCAAAAAAATTAGTTTTGCATACAAAATTTAAATGCATTTGCTTTAAATAAAATCAAAGGTATATCTGATAAATTTTGATAAACAAAAATAAAAAAGCAAGAAGGCTACTTAGCATTGAATTTTTGATAAAAATTTATTGAAATTCCTTTGAAATTATGTAGCAAGTATGAGGAATTTAAATAGCAATATAATTTATTAATGCCATCTTTAGATACTCCTGCAAAAGAGTTGACTTTTTATGAGTGTTTTCGAGTTTTAAACTAGGGAATCTTGTCCTTTTTGCCTTGAAATGCAAATAATAAATGTTATTTATGTTAAGCTGAATAAGCGATTTAAAAAGTTTTTAATTACTAGTATTTTTTCAAAAATAAATTCTAAAAAAAATAATATTGATAAAAATATCTCTCATTCCTATTTATTCAATTAGAAATAATAAAATATTAAATTCTTAAAAATAAAAATTTTGATTTAAGAAAATTAAATTTTTTATTATCCTAAAATAAATATAAAATTAATTTAAGCTTAAAAAATAATTCAAAAATTTATTTTGCTTTGAAGATAATTGTGATTAGTTTATTTATTTTTTACATTTAATTTGAATAAATAAGCATTTGTTTAAAATTATAATTGCAAATTAATTTTACTCAAATATAATCACATAAAACATACATTAGTAATTTTATTTTATAATTTTCATTTACACTCATTAAATTGGAGACCTCCTTATTAGGTAATTGTCTCTTTATATCCTGATTTACATACACAAGTAAATGTTTTAGAGCTAAGTTCAGCATTTGTTCCACAATAAGTAGCAGTAATTGTTAAATTAGAAACTCCAAATCTTGCAAAAGATGCTAAATTATTTGAATAGAACTTCAAATCAATTTATCCAGAGTGAGCCAAAACAAAAGAAGCTGACGATTTTCCATCAACCTTTGTGTTGTCTGTTCTTGTCATACATTTGTAGTTGTCAGAGTAAACATTTGTTGAAAAGTTATAAGTAGTACCACTTATATCAACTTCACCTTACTTAATCGCACCTCCTGATACTTCTTATATGTTGATAAATGCATAATCAAAAGTAATATGCAAGTAATTATGTTTTAAAACACTGTAACTTAGAGACAGAGATTCATTTTAGCCCATGGTTTAGAAGTATTCATTAATCGCTTAACAATTGTAAATGTTGGAGTTAGAACTGCTTTGACTTTAGAGGCTTGTTTATGGGAGGTAATTGTATGTCTTTTTATCAAGATTTATCCTATCTATAGTAGTACACTAGACAAAGCTCAAAGCTAGGACTACAAAAGATATTGCAATATATACTTTGCTCATTTTATTCAGTTTTTTTTTGTTTTATTATTTTTATTTTATTTTTTGAATTAAGGATTATTGAAAATTGATTAATTCCTAACTCTATTTAAAGAGTTATAAAATTCAATATTCTGATGAAGTATATTAATTAACTTTTGGATTAACTTAAAATATTCATTTAATATTGGAGTGCTTTTTATGAGTAAAAAAGAATTTAACTTACAAACATTTTTTAGTTTTAATATTTTAAAACTTGAAAATTTGTATGGAATAAGTAAGTTAGTAAATATTATTTTATTTATTTCGTTAAAAAAATTAATATTTTTTGAATAGTAAAAATAGTAAGTTTTATTATTTGTTTTATTTTATAGAATTTAAGAAACGATAAAAAACCCAACTTTTAAAATAGAACTATTTATTTTTTGCTTAACTGATTTGCGTTATAACTTATATTTAACTTTGGATTAAAATTATGAAAAAGCTAATTGATAAATTAAATATATTATGCTTGAATTAATTTTTAGCCAAATAGCCTGAAATTAAAAAATGAGTTAGAACATTAAAAAATCTTATTAAATCCTAATAATTTATTTAATTGAGTCGACATTAATTGTTCCTTGAAAGTAATTTTCATTTCCTTATTTAATCTATTGGTATTTGATTTTTTAAATACATTTGAATTATAAAATCTAACACAAACATAGGATGACACAATCAAGACGTGTTGATGACAAAATTTTTGATCAGCTGAATTTTAAAGTTTTCAAAAAGTTTATATTCTACGCATATTGTTTGTGTCACCCTCTTATAGATATTAGATAAAAAAATTTAATTTTAATAGAAAAATATTATTTTTTCAAAAGACTGTATGTTTTAAAATGAATATCATATTTTAGAATATAAAAATAAATAAAATACAATTTTCATCAAATTAAAATGAATTAAGTTATGATAAATCTAACTTTACAGCAAATTATTTATTTTTTTATTGAATTAAATTACGTTTTAACATATATAATTTATTATATTGAGATGTTTCCAAATACTACAAAATAATATTAATTTTTAAATTTTTCACCTAAATTTAAGATTTAGTAATACACTTGGCAATTAAATAACTCTAAATTAAATTTAGATAAATCTACTATTTTAAATGAATTATTTATTTTTATTTAATTATTTTGCGTTATAACTTATATGAATTTCGATATAGAATTAATTAAATTAAGATATTTAAAATTCAAGTAATGCAAAATAACATTAATTTTTCACGTTTTAACCTCAAATTAAAAAATTTAGTAATAGGTTTGGTAACCAAATAACTTGTATTAAATATCTTTTTTATTGATTGAGTCGTAATTAAATTAAATTAAAATAAATAAGCCATTTAAGGTTAATTATTTATTATTTATTTAATTATATTACGTTATAACGAAAAATTAATTTCTATATTATTATAGCTAATCAAATTAAGATATTTGTAATTCAAGTATTATTAAGATATCATAATTGTTAGAAATATATCCTGAAATAGAAGAGTTAGAAATGCGTTTGGTAATCATGTAAATCTAAATTAGAATAAATTAATAAATTATCTTCACGAATAATACTATTAAATAACTTTTATTGTTTTTAAATACAAAAAAATCTTTGAATTTACAACTTTTTTATAAAATCAATAAAATTAATATGCACTAAATATATTTTAATAATAAGAAATAAAAATATTGATAGAACTGAACTGAAATCATATAATTTATTGTGAGGAATTAAATTTAAAAGCTTAATCCTTAATTTTCACATTTTTTATTACTTTGATAACTTTAACTAAATCAAATTTTATTATTTCCATAGTTTATGTGAAAAAATCAGTTTTATAATAACCAATATAAATTTACTTTGAAGTAAAATATATTATTCTTGAAAAATATTGGAATAAAAAGTGTAGCAATTTTCTATTTTAAAAATACTTGATCACTCACTGGTAACGTGTGATCAAGTAGATATTTTTTTTATTAAGAAAAATAAATTTGCTTATAAATTTATACCCCAACTCCTCAGAGTAAGAACATCTGACCGAGTCCCAAGGATCTAACAAAAATATGATATTAAAAAATTTAAATTAATTTTTAAAATATGCTTATTAAAAAAGTAAATTCAACAAGTTTAAGGTGAATATGGCCATTTAAAATTTTTTAATTATTAGAATTTGTAAAAAAAATAGTCTAAAAATCATAATATTTATAAATAATATTTCTCATTCATATCATTCATATTTATTGAATTAAAAATAATCAAATATTAAATTCTTAAACATAAAAATTTTGATTTAATAAAATTAAATTTTTATTATCCTAAAATAAATATAAAATTAATTTATGATTAAAAACTATTCAAAAATGTATTTTGCTTGAAGAGAATTGTGTTTAATATATTTCTTTAAAAAATTCATTTGAATAAATTCACATTTATTTAAAATTATAATTGCCAATTAATTTTTACTCAAATGTATTTATATAAAATATACATAAGTAATTTTATTTTATAATTTTCATTTACACTCATTAAATTGGAGACCTCCTTATTAAGTACTAGTCTCTTAATATCCTGATTTACATACACAAGTAAATGTTTTAGAGCTAAGTTAGGCATTTGTTCCACAATAAGTAGCAGTAATTGTTAAATTAGAAACTCCATATCTTGCAAAAGATGCTATATTATTTGAATAGAACTTTAAATCAATATTTCCAGAATGAGCCAAAACTAAAGAAACTTAAGATTTTCCATCCACCTTTGTGTTGTCTGTTCTTGTCATACATTTGTAGTTGTCTGAGTAAACAATTGTTGAAAAGGTATAAGTAGTACCACTTATATCAACTTGACCTGACTTAATCGCACCTCCTGATAGTTGTTATATGTTGATAAATGCATAATCAAAAGTAACATGCAAGTAATTATGAGTTTAAACACTGTAACTTAGTGACAGAGATTCATTTTAACCAACAGTTTAGAAGTATTCACTAATCGCTTAACAATTGTAAATGTTTGAGTTAGAGCTACTTTGACTTTAGAGGCTTGTTTATGTAAGGTAAGAGTATGTCTTTTTATCAAGATTTATCCTATCTATAGTAGTACACTAGACTAAGCTGAAAGCTAGGACTACAAAAGATATGGCAATATATACTTTGCTCATTTTATTCAGTTTTTTTTTGTTTTATTATTATTATTATTAATTTTTTTTTTTTTGAATTAAGGATTATTAGAAATTAACTAATTCTTAACTCTATTTAAAGAGTTGTAAAATTCAAGATTCTGATTAAATATATTAATTAACTCTTGGATTAATTTAAAATAAACATTCAATTTTGGATAATTTTTTATGAATAAAAAAGAATTTAACTTCACAAAAAATTTTTAGCTTTAATATTTTAAAACTTGAAAATGTTTATGGTGTAAGTAAATTAGTAAATATTATTTTATTTATTTTGTTTAAGAAAAAATTAAGATTTGTTAAACAGTAAAAATAGTAAAATTTCTTGTTTTATTTTGTCGAATTTAAGAAACGATAAAAAACCCAACTTTTAAAATAGAGCTATTTATTTTTTTGCTTAACTGATTTGCGTTATAACTTATATTAAGCTTTGGATTAAAATAATGAAAAAGTTAATTGATAAATTAAATATATTATGCTTGAATTAATTTTTAGCCAAATAGACTGAAATTAAATAATGAGTTAGAACATTAAAAAATCTTATTAAATCCTAATAATTTATTTAATTGAGGAGACAATAATTGTTATTTGAAAGTAATTTTCCTTTCCTTATTTAATCTACTGGTTTTTTATTTATAAAATAAGTTTGAATTATAAAATCTTAATACAAATATGATATTAGATAAAAAATTTTAATTTTAATTGATAAATATTATTTTTTCAAAATACTTTATGTTTTAAAATGAATATCATATTTTTGAATAAATAAGTAAAATACCATTTTCATAAAATTAAAATGAATTAAGTTAGGATAAATCTACCTTTATAGCAAATTATCTATTTTTTTATTGAATTAAATTACGTTTTAATATATATAATTTATTAAATTGAGATATATCAAAATACTATAAAATAATATTAATTTTTAACATTTTCACTTTAATTTAAGATTTAGTAACAGGTGATAACTATAATTTGAGAAAATTGTTTGAAAATTTTATTTTTGGAATATACTCTGCTCCTTTTTAAAAATAGATATCCGAATCCGATATTTTTCAAAAATGAAGGATCCGCCCAACTCTGCTATATATATAATTAATTTATTCAAAGTTTTATTTTGCTTTAAAAAAAATTGTGTTTAATATATTTATTTATAAACATTTCATTTTAATAAATACACCTTAATTTAAAATTATAATTGTCAAATAATTTTTACTCAAATGTATTCATATAAAATATACATAAATAATTTTATTTTATAAATTTCATTTACACTCATTATATTAGAGACTTCCTGATTAAGTAGTAGTCTCTTTATATCCTGATTTACATACACAAGTAAATGTTTTAGAGCTAAGTTCAGCATTTGTTCCACAATAAGCAGCAGTAATTGTTAAATTAGAAACTCCAAATCTTGCAAGAGATCCTATATTATTTGAATAGAAATTCAAATCGATATTTCCAGAATGAGCCAAAACAAAAGAAGCTGAAGATTTTCCATCCACATTTGCATTTTTTGTTCTTTACATACACTTGTAGTAATAAGAGTAAACAACTGTTGAAAAGTTATAAGTAGTACCATTTATATCAACTTGACCTTACTTAGTGGCACCTCCTGTCACTCCTTATACGTTGATAAATACATAATCAAAAGAAATATGCAAATAATTATGAGTTTAAACACTGTAATTTAGAGATAGAGATTCATTTTAGCCAACAGTTTAGAAGTATTCACTAATTGTTTAACAATTGCAAATGTTTGAGTTAGAGCTACTTTGATTTTAGAGGATTGTTTATGTTAGGTAAGAGTATGTCTATGTACCAAGATTTATCTTATCTATAGTAGATGAACATTAGACAAAGCTCAAAGCTAGGACTACAAAAGATATGGCAATATATACTTTGCTCATTTTATTCAGTTTTTTTTGTTTTATTATTATTATTATTTTTTTTTTTGAATTAAGGATTATTAGAAATTGATTAATTCTTAACTCTATTTAAAGAGTTGTAAAATTCGAAATTCTTATGAAATATATTAATTAACTCTTAGATTAATTAAAATAATAATTTAATTTATATACTTTTTTATGTGTAAAAAACAGTTTAATTTCACAATAATTTTTTAGTTTTAATATTTTAAAACTTGAAAATTTATATATAGAAAATAAGTTAGTAAATATTATTTTATTTATTTCGTTTAAAAAAAAATAAAGATTTGTTGAATAGTTAAAATAGTAAGCTTTATTGTTTTATTATTTAGAATTTAAGAAACGATAAAAAACCCAACATTTAAAATAGAACTATTTATGTTTTGCTTAACTGATTTGCGTTATAACTTTTTTTTAACTCTGGATTAAAATTATGAAAAAGTTAATTGATAAATTAAATATATTATGAGCCTGAAATTTAAGATTAAACAATGAGTTAGGACATTAAAAAATCATATTAAATCCTAATAATTTATTTAATTAAGCAGACAATAATAGGTCATTGAAACTAATTTTCCTTTCGTTATTTAATCTACTGATTTTTTATTTATTAAAAAAAATTTAAATTGTTTTTTCTTAACACAAATAAGATATTATAGAAAATTTTAATTTTAATAGATAAATATTATTTTTCAAAATACTTTATGTTTTAAATGAATATCATATTTTGGAATATAAAACTAAGTAAGATAAATCTACCTTTACATTAAATTATTTATTTTTTATAAATTAAATTACTTTTTAACTTATATAATTTATTAAATTGAGATATTTCTAAATACTATCAAATAAAATAAATTTTTAGCGTTTTCACCTTAAATTTAAGATTTAGTAATATGCTTGGCAGTTAAATAACTCTAATTAGTAATATTGCATACATTTTAATTAAATCAAAATAAATTAAATTAAGATAAATAGGCTATTTTAGATGAATTATTTATTTTTATTTAATTATTTTGCGTTATAACTTATTTGAATTTCGATATATAAATAATTAAATTAATAGATTTGAAATTCAAGTATAACAAATTAAAATTAATTTTTTCAAGTTATAATCTCAAGCTTAAAATTTAGTAATACGTTTGGTAAACAAATAATTGTAAATGAATTAAATTATTATAAATAAGCCATTTAAGCTTAATTATTTATTTTTTATTTAATTATATTACGTTATAACTAAAAATGAATTTCGATATTAATATAACTAATCAAATAATATATTTGTAATTCAAGTATTATTAAGCTAGGACAATATTTAGGAATATATAATAAATAGAAGAGTTATAAATGCATTTGGTAATCATGTAAATCTAATTTAGAATAATTTAATAAATGATTTTTATGAATATTCTATTTACTAACTTTTATTGTTTTTAAATACAAAAAAATCCTTGACTTTCCAACTTTTTTAATAAAATCAATAAAAATAACATGAACTAAATTTATTTTAATAATAAGAAATAAAAATATTGATAGAACTGAGTTGAAAATATATAATTTATTATGAGGAATTAAATTTTGAAAAACTTAATCTTTAATTTTCACATTTTTTCTTACTTTGATTACTTTAAGTAAATCAAATTTAAGTAGTTTCAAAGTTTATGTTAAAAAATTGGTTATAACATGATAAATAGATAAATTTACTCTAAAGTAAAATATATTATATTAGAATAAAAAGGAAAGTAATTTTTTATTTTATAAATACTTCATTCATATTTATTCAATTAGATATAACCAAATATTAAATTCTTAAACATAAAAATTTTGATTTAAAAAAATTAAATTTTTTATTATCCTAAATAAATATAATATTAAGTTGAGCTTAAAAGATATTAAAAATGTATTTTACTTTGAAGAGTATTTTATTTAATATATTTATTTTAAAAATTCGTTTGAATAAATACACATTTATTTATTAATTGTCAATAAATTTTTACTCAAATGTAATTACATAAAAAATATATTAGTAATTTTATTTTATAATTTTCATTAACATTCATTAAATTTGAGATTTCCATATTAAGTAATAGTCTCTTTATATCCTGATTTACATACACAAGTAAATGTTTTAGAGCTAAGTTCTGCATTTGTTCCACAATAAGCAGCAGTAATTGTTAAATTAGAAACACCAAATCTTGCAAAAGATGCTATATTATTTGAATAGAACTTTAAATCTATTTATCCAGAATGAGCCAAAACAAAAGAAGCTGAAGATTTTCCATCCACCTTTGTGTTGTCTGCTCTTGTCATACATTTGTAGTTGTCAGAGTAAACGTTTGTTGAAAAGTTATAAGTAGTACCGCTTATATCAACTTGACCTTACTTAATCGCACCTCCTGATACTTCTTATATGTTGATAAATGCATAATCAAAAGAAACATGCAAGTAATTATGTTTTTATACACTGTAACTTAGAGACAGAGAATCATTTTAGCCAACAGTTTAGAAGTATTCACTAATCGCTTAACAATTGTAAATGTTTGAGTTAGAGCTACTTTGACTTTAGAGGCTTGTTTATGTGAGGTAAGTGTATGTCTTTTTATCAAGATTTATCCTATCTATAGTAGAACACTAGACAAAACTTAAAGCTACAACTAAAAAAGATATGGTAATATATACTTTGCTCATTTTATTCAGTTTTTTTTTGTTTTATTATTATTATTTTTTTTTTTTTTGAATTAAGGATTATTAGAAATTGATTAATTCTTAACTCTATTTAAAGAGTTGTAAAATTCAAGATTCTGATGAAATATATTAATTAACTCTTGGATTAATTTAAAATAATCATTTAATTTTGGATAGCTTTTTATGAGTAAAAAAGAATTTAACTTAAGAAAAAAATTTTAGTTTTAGTAATTTAGTAAATATTATTTTATTTATTTAGTTTAAAAAAAAAATTAAGATTTTTTGAACAATAAAAATAGTAGGTTTTATTGTTTTATTTGGTCGAATTTAAGAAACTATACAAAACTCAACTTTTAAAATATAATTTTTTATTTTTGCTTAACTGATTTGCGTTATAACTTATATTAAACTCTGGATAAAAATTATTAAAAAATTAATTTGTAAATTAAATAAATTATGTTTAAATTAATTTTTAGACAAATAGCCTGAAATTAAGATTAAAAAATAGTTAAAATATTACATAATTTTATTAAATCATAATAATTTATTTAATTGAGCAGACAATAATTGTAACTTGATTTTTTATTCTTTGAATTTCGATAAATGTTGGAAATTCAAGTATAGCAAAATAAAATTAATTTTTCACATTATAACCTCAAATTTAAAATTTAGTAATACATTTGGTAATCAAATAACTCCTATTAGATATCTTTTTTATTGATTTATTTGTAACTGAATTAAATTAAGGTAAAAAAGCCATTTGAGCTTGATTATTTATTTTTTATTCAATTAGATTAGATTATAACTTCTTATTAATTTTGATATTATTAATATTAATATAATAATTTAAATTAAGATATTTGTAATATTATGTATTATTAAACTATGAATATATTAGAAATATATCCTGAAATAGAAAATTTAGAAATACGTTTGATAATAATGCAACTCTAATTTTGAATAATTTAATAATGATTTTTGCTAGCTATTCTATTTACTAACTTTTATTTTTTTTAAATACAAAAAAAAATACTTGACTTTACCACTTTTTTAATCAAATAAATAAAATTAATATAGACCTCCCATCAATATAAGAACTACAGCAGTCAGAGTATTTTTTTCTTTCAAAAGAAATTATTCATAGGAGTCTAGTAAAAAAAAAAATTATCTAACCAGTTACGTATCAGTCTATTAAAATCAATAACATAAAAATTTTGATTAAAGAAAATAAAATTTTTTATTATCCAAAAATGAATTTCAAATTAATTTGAGCTTAAAAAATTATTCAAAAATTTATTTTTCTATATTTATTTAAAAAATTCATTTGAATAAATACACATTTATTTAAAATAATCGCCAATTAATTTTTACTTAAATGTATTCATATAAAATATACATTAGTAATTTTATTTTATAAATTTCATTTACATTCATTATATTAGAGACTTCCTGATTAAGTAGTAGTCTCTTTATATCCTGATTTACATACACAAGTAAATGTTTTAGAGCTAAGTTCAGCATTTGTTCCACAATAAGCAGCAGTAATTGTTAAATTAGAAACTCCAAATCTTGCAAGAGATCCTATATTATTTGAATAGAAATTCAAATCGATATTTCCAGAATGAGCCAAAACAAAAGAAGCTGAAGATTTTCCATCCACATTTGCATTTTTTGTTCTTTACATACACTTGTAGTAATAAGAGTAAACAATTGTTGAAAAGTTATAAGTAGTACCATTTATATCAACTTGACCTTACTTAGTGGCACCTCCTGTCACTCCTTATACGTTGATAAATACATAATCAAAAGAAATATGCAAATAATTATGAGTTTAAACACTGTAATTTAGAGATAGAGATTCATTTTAGCCAACAGTTTAGAAGTATTCACTAATTGTTTAACAATTGCAAATGTTTGAGTTAGAGCTACTTTGATTTTAGAGGATTGTTTATGTTAGGTAAGAGTATGTCTATGTACCAAGATTTATCTTATCTATAGTAGATGAACATTAGACAAAGCTCAAAGCTAGGACTACAAAAGATATGGCAATATATACTTTGCTCATTTTATTCAGTTTTTTTTTGTTTTATTATTATTATTATTTTTTTTTTTGAATTAAGGATTATTAGAAATTGATTAATTCTTAACTCTATTTAAAGAGTTGTAAAATTCGCAATTCTTATGAAATATATTAATTAACTCTTGGATTAATTAAAATAATCATTTAATTTATATACTTTTTTATGTGTAAAAACAATTTAATTTCACAATAATTTTTTAGTTTTAATATTTTAAAACTTGAAAATTTGTATAGTATAAGTAAATATGTTAGTAAATATTATTTTATTAAGTTCGTTAAAAAAAAATAAATATTTGTTGAACAGTTAAAATAGTAAATTTTATTGTTTTATTATATAGAATTTAAGAAATGATAAAAAACCCAACTTTTAAAATAGAACTATTTATTTTTTGCTTAACTTATTTGCGTTATAACTTTTTTTTAACTCTGGATTAAAATTATGAAAAAATTAATTGATAAATTAAATATATTATGCTTGAATTAATTTTTATAGAAATAGCCTGAAATTTAAGATTAAAAAATGAGTTAGAACATTAAAAATTCTTATTAAATCCTAATAATTTATTTAATTAAGCACACAGTAATAGTTCCTTGAAACTAATTTTTCTTTCGAAATTTAATCTGCTAGTTTTTTATTTATTAAAAAAATTTAAATTATTATATCTTAATACAAATAAGATATAAGATAGAAATTATTAATTTTAGTAGATAATATTTTTATTTCAAAAAAACTTTATGTTTTAAAATGAATATCATATTTTGGAATATAAAAATAAGTAAAATATATTTTTTATTAAATTAAAATGAATTAAATTAAGATAAATCTACCTTTTCAGCAAACTATTTATTTTTTATTGAATGAAATTACGTTTTGACATATATAATTTATTAATAGGCTATTTTAGATGAATTATTTATTTTTATTTAATTATTTTGCGTTATAACTTATATGAATTTCGATATATAATTAATTAGATTAGGATATTTGAAATTCAAGTATAACAAATTAAAATTAATTTTTTCTAGTTATAACCTCAAATTTAACATTTAGTAATACGTTTGGTAACCAAATAACTCATATTAGATATCTTTATATTGATTGAATTGTAATTGAATTAAATTAATATAAATAAACCATTTAAGCTTAATTATTTATTTTTATTTAATTATATTATATTATAACTAAAAGTTAATTTCGATATAATTTAACAAATCAAATGAAGATATTTTTAATTTAAATATTATTATGCTATGATGATTTTTAAAGATATATCTTCAAATAGAAGAGTTAGAAATGCGTTTTGTAATCATGTAAATCTAATTTCATGAACTATTCTATTAACTAACTTTTATTGTTTTTAAATACAAAAAAATCCTTTTTTTACCACTTTTTTTATAAAATTAATATGGACTAAATATATTTTAATAAAGAGAAATAAAAATATTGATTGAAGTGAACAGAAAATATATAATTTATTATGAGGATTAAATTTTGAAAATCTTAATCCTTAATTTTCGCATTTTTTCTTACTTTGATAATTTTAAGTTAATCACTATTTTCATATTTTATGTTAAAAAATTGGTTTTATAATGATAACCAACATAAATTTACTCTAAAGTAAAATATAATATACTTGAAAAATATTGGAATAAAAAGTATAGTAACTTGCTATTTTATAAATACTTCATTCATATTTATTCAATTAAATATAATTAAATATTAAATTCTAATACATAAAAATTTTGATAAAAGAAAGTCAAATTTTTTAATATTCTAAAATAAGTATAAAATTAATTTGAGATTAAAAATTATTCAAAAATGTATTTTGCTTTGAAGAGATTGTGTTTAACATATTTATTTATAAAAATTCATTTGAATAAATACACATTTATTTAAAATTTTAATTATCAATAAAATTTTACTCAAATGTATTAAATAAAATATACATAATTAATTTTATTTTATAATTTTCATTAACATTCATTAAATTTGAGGTTTCCGTATTAAGTAATAGTCTCTTTATATCCTGATTTACATACACAAGTAAATGTTTTAGAGCTAAGTTCAGCATTTGTTCCACAATAAGTAGCAGTAATTGTTAAATTAGAAACACCAAATCTTGCAAAAGATGCTATATTATTTGAATAGAACTTTAAATCAATTTATCCAGAATGAGCCAAAACAAAAGAAGCTGAAGATTTTCCATCCACCTTTGTGTTGTCTGCTCTTGTCATACATTTGTAGTTGTCAGAGTAAACGTTTGTTGAAAAGTTATAAGTAGTACCGCTTATATCAACTTGACCTTACTTAATCGCACCTCCTGATACTTCTTATATGTTGATAAATGCATAATCAAAAGAAACATGCAAGTAATTATGTTTTTATACACTGTAACTTAGAGACAGAGAATCATTTTAGCCAACAGTTTAGAAGTATTCACTAATCGCTTAACAATTGTAAATGTTTGAGTTAGAGCTACTTTGACTTTAGAGGCTTGTTTATGTGAGGTAAGTGTATGTCTTTTTATCAAGATTTATCCTATCTATAGTAGAACCCTAGACAAAGCTTAAAGCTAGGACTACAAAAGATATGGCAATATATACTTAGCTCATTTTATTCTGTTTTTTTTGTTTTATTATTTTTATTATTATTTTTTTTTGAATTAAGGATTATTAGAAATTGATTAACTCTTAACTCTGTTTAAAGAGTTGTAAAATTCAAAATTCTTATGAAATATATTAATTAACTCTTGGATTAATTAAAATAATCATTTAATTTATATACTTTTTTATGAGTAAAAAAGAATTTAGCTTCACAAAAATTTTTTAGTTTTAATATTTTAAAACTTGGAAATTTGTATGGTGTAAGTAATTTAGTAAACATTATTTTATTAATTTCGTTAAAAAAAGGTTAAGATTTGTTGAAAAGTAAAAATAGTAAATTTTATTGTTTTATTTTGTCAAATTTAAAAAACGATAAAAAACCCAACTTTTAAAATAGAACTATTTATTTTTTGCTTAATTTATTTGCGTTATAACTTATATTAAATTATGGATTAAAATTATGAGAAAATTAGTTGATAAATTTAATAAATTATGTTTAAATTAATTTTTAGCTAAATAACCTGAAATTTAAGATTAAAAAATTAGTTAAAATATTACATAATATAATTAAATCCTAATAATTTATTTAATAGAGCAGATAATAATTGCTCCTTGAAATTAATTTTTCACATTATAACCTCAAATTTAAAATTTAGTAATCAAAAACTTGTATTAAACATCTTTTTTATTGATTGAATAGTAACTTAATTAAATTAAGATAAACAAATCATTTGAGCTTAATTATTTATTTTTTTTAATTATATTGCGTTATAACTTATAATTTATACTAACATAATGAATTAAATTAAGAAATTTGTAATTTAAGTATTATTAAGCTATGATAATTGTTAGAAATATATCAAGAAATAGAAAATTTAGAAATGCGTTTGATAAACATAGAACTCTAATTTAGAATAATTTAATAAATAATCTTCGTGAACTACTCTATTAACTACCTTTTATTATTTTTAAATTCTAAAAAAAAATACTTGACTTTCCCACTTTTTTATAAAATAAATAAAATTAATATGGACTTCATATATTTTAATTTTTTTTTTATTTAATTAAAAAATATTTTTTTCTCAAAAATAGTTCTTAATTTTTGAGTATCTACATTAAATATAAATAAATTGATGTGTGTTATATTAAAACTTGGTTAATAGAATGATGGTGTATAAAAATATATGTATTTATTTTACATTTTGTTGTATGAAATTAAATCAATATTTGACTAATTGGTTTACTATCTAATTAGTATATTCAAACAAACAATTACAAAAAAAGCTAAAATAAAGAAATTTTAAATTATTATTTTTAAAATAATATTTTTAAGATCACCAGAATAATAAATTTTTTGTTTTAGTTTAATCAGCATCTAAGACACTAATATTAATGTTTGGACGGAAAACATTAGGTTCAATTTCTTCTACACCTTCCATTTTAGTGATAAATGTTAGGTTGTAAGTCTTTTTTTAAATATCATTAATTACTTTCACAGAGGCTTAAGAAGTAAATTATGGTACTTTATCTCTTAAAATTTCATAATCATTAAAGAAGTGTTTGAACCAACCTTTAAAAGATGTGTAGCCACCTATTCCACAACCTTTATCTTATGGTACACTTTTTTCTTCAAATATAGTATTCCAGAACTAAACAATATCTGGCTAATTAGGGTTTTTCATTTAGCTAATAAAATTATTAACAATATTTAATACATTAGATAGGTAATATGTAAAATTACTATCTAATTAATAATTTTATTTCAAAGTAGAAATCTTTGCTGCTAAATGTTCAAAATCTTCAATTCCTCCAACAAAATGAACATTCTATATGCCACATATACATACCATCGTTTTGTAATCAAAATATTTTTGCATTTAAGACATTAAGCATATATTAGAAGAAGCTTATTCTATCCAATTAGTAGAAGAAAAATCATTTTTAATTAATTAAGCTATATCTCCTTTAGTGTTTTTGGAAATTTCAATGTTAAATAAATCGATTGCTCTGTCCCATCTATTATTTTAGCAAGGAAAATCTTCCAATCTTAGGAATCCCCATCAAGATAAATAGTTAACTCTTTCTTTCCTTCATGAAATACAAAAATATCTCTATATTTTTCAGCATTTTAATTGATTTCTTCTGCGAATTTATGGCAGATAGTAAGCCATATATCATTAGCTGAAAACATTACATCACCATGAAAAATGTAGGCAGCATAAAATGCATCAAAAAAGCTGTTTTAAGATATATAAGATATAATAAAAATAAAATAAATATTTAATTAAAAAAAATAAAAAGATTAGACTAATTTATCTTAATTATTAGTTTTTATTTGTTCTCATAGGTTAATTTGTTCTTCAAAATTATAAAATAATGTATAAAATATAAGTTGCTCCTGAAAAAAAAATATTTTTTATAGATAAGATTTGAAGTAAGATAACTAATTTATTCCTCCTTTTTAAATTCTATAATATAAATTTTATCACTTATTAATACAGAAAATATAGTATCAAAGAAAAGAGTATCTACTAGTTTTTTAAATTTTTTAATCAATATTTATATTTTATTTTCACCATCAATATCTAATATTAACTTAATTGCTAAATAAATTATGCCTTAAAAAAAAATAAAAAATTTTTTGTTAAAAATATTTTAAGTAGAAAGAATTTTTTTAATCTAAAAAAAATTTTTTACATTCAAAATTTGAGAAAGGGCATTAAATGCTATCAAAAGTTTTTTAAAATATAATAAAACCAGAATGATAAAAAGAATTAAAAAACAGAAAGAGTAAAATTAGCTTAAAATCATAAAAATCAAAAATATAGTTGGTGATATCAGGATTAGCAATTAATTATTTAAAATTTAAAATGATTGTTTATTTAATAAATAAAATTTGTAATGAATTAAACAAACATAATTATTATCAATTATTTTAATTTATTACATAGAAAAATATTTGAATTAATTCTATAAACATTTAAATATAAATTACTTTTATAAGATTTTCTTAACTTATTGTATATAAACATAAATATAACTACTTCATTTCTTTCTTTAAATTTAAATTTGTTTAAAAAGAGTAAAGGTAAAGATAAAACAAATTATAGTTTTAATTAGATTAAATCAATTTTGATAAAAAATAACCTTATAAATTTTGAGAATTAATTTAAAGATTTATTGATAAAATATTAAATAAATTAGAATTATTTCAGTCTCTTTTTTCAGCAAATTATATTTAATTTTACTTTAATTTAAATTCAATGCTATTATCGTTTTCTAAGTTGTTTGGCTTCAAAGGGGAATTATAAATCGTTTAACTTTGCCTAAGCTAGTCTGATGTTTGTGATTTAAAACTAACTATATCATAGCCTATCATTTCTTTTGATATTTACGACTATGCACATGGTCCTTTTGAAGATTTATCAGAGTTAGAATTATTCTAACTTTCTTATTCTTCAATACTATTATTCCTAAAAGAAACATGCTCAGATTTATTGCTATTATTTGAATTCAATTCATCTTCAACAATTTATTAGGAATTAGGAGCTTTTATATTTTAGCTTTTCTATATATTTTTAATTTTATCACTGCTTTTACTATGATTCCCATTAGTATTATCATTTTCAACATTTTTAATATCATTATTGCCACTACTGCTGCTACAGTCTAATTCACAAGATGGAAATTTTTAACTTATATCTTATTCAGGGTTTCTTATTCCTGTAAATTCTTAGTTTGGCAAATCTTACATTTAGGTATTATTTGGGATAATATACTTTTAATTTTAATTCTAAATTTGGTAGCTATTAATATAAAATTCATTTGCATGTTGATCGCTTTAAAAATGATAGTTGCCATCATTACTATTTGCATTTTGAGCATTGAAGATAATGTTATTATCATCTAGCACAGGTAATTATATTTGCTAATTATTGTTATTATATTTTTTTGAATTATTTTTTTAGAAATTGTTCTTATTACTTTTGAATATATTTGCTTAATTATTTTATTGTTCTTCAGTTTAATTAGATTGCATATTTACAGAGGAGGGATATGACTCATTACTACTATTGTTACTGCTTGTATTAATTGAACTACTGGCTACTTCCTTAGATAAGTCTTTTGAGTTATCTTAAAGTAGTAATTGGTAGTGGTTTTTCATTCTATAGAAATATATGCAGAAAATTATCACTACAATTAATGACAAAGTAAGCCCTACTGAAAGTCCAACTACTAATGCTACAGTGCTGTTTTAAAATATGTCCCTGAAGATTGTGATGTCAAGACCTTCAGAATAGGTTTAGAGTTGGATGTTTCCTGAACTATCTTTGGAACTAAATACTTCTAGAGACATAAAAAATGTATATTCTTTATTTAAAACTTTTTCATCTTCTGGCTAGCAGATGAGATGAGATAGTTTTTCTTATATTATAATTATCGAAAGAGAATCTTAGTTTTTAACTAGTATAGAATCTACAGGATTTAGTAAACTATCATTGTCTTATAGAGATAAACGTGGGGAAAAATAAGAGCCACTTGAATCATCAGAATCTTAATCCAAGTATTTTGTAGACTCATTTATTGTATCTTAGCTAGAACCGCTACCTCTAACAGGACTAGATTGATTCTATGTAAATTTAGCTGGGAAATTCCAAAAATCATCAGCTCCTTCACTATACTAGATAGATATCTATTGTTTAGTTTCTTCTTCAGAGTTTAATTTAAATGGAACCTATCTGCGAACTATGCTTATTATATTTTCTTATAAAGAGTAGCTTAGTGTTTCACTTACTAAAATTTTAGAGATATTTGAAGTCATAGGATAAGTTTGACGTGGGATATAATTGCCCTAGGATGTAATTTACTAAAATTCAACAAGAGAAAAGTTATCCCTGATCCCTTTTGAAATAGCTTGATTTGCATATAAAAAGTTATTATTTATCAGAAAGTTAGATATTTTTCCTGCAGTAGGTACTTTTTAAATAAGCAAGGCAGACTTATTTAGCAAGTCCACAGAAAATATGCATATAGCTTTACTAAACTATTCATAAGCAAATATGTTTATAGTTTAAGTTTAAACGAGTTTAACTTATAAAGATTTAATACTAAAATTAAACTCAAAAATATCTTGCCCATTACTTGTCTATCCATTGTTTGGATCTATGTTACTATTATTATCTTACTTATTTATCATATCTTAGATTCTCTACCATTCTTATAACTTAAAAAACTAAGAAATGGTAATATTCAAATGCGGTTAAAGAGAATAATTATTTGAAGGAGAGATGCTAGAATAGCTGTAAATTTGTATACCAGTTGAGTCATCTGGAATTATTAGATATTAATCCTAAATAATTATTTTTGACAAACTTTAATCGTCAAAGCTTGAAAAATTAAATTATGAGGTTTGAATGGTTCCACTTTAATACCAATAAAATTTGTACTAAGTGATTAGACTAGCTTGTTTTAGAGTATTGTTTTGATTAAGAATAAGCTTAGCTTTAGATAGATTTTGTAATTTTTGTAGATCTTCATCAATTTAGTTTCTGGTTATCAATTTACGCGAGAAGTAAGGTATTTTGTAATTTTAGTTTGTGCCTTCTTCCTACATTTAGAAAACTATAAATTAACTTTTCTCATTCACTATATAAGCATAATAATCTTATGCTTAAAAAAGGCAATTAGTATAACACAAGTCAGAAATATTAATTTATTGAGCTTCGCTAGCTGTAAAGCTTGATTATTTGATACTGCAAAAAGAAGGAGTAATGTTCTCCTTATAAGTGTTTTCCTAAAATTCTGTCCTAAAAGTCTATTAATACAAGAAAGTTATTGTAGTAGGAGATCCAAATTTAATTTATAGTTTTGATAAGCGACTTTAGTCATCAGTGCTACAATAAACAATACTTTGCAAGGCCTTTTAGTTTACAATATAAAAAATAGTTAATAAAAATATTTTGAAAAAGATAATTTGAATTTATTATTATTTTTATTTCGTTTATTTAAAATTGATCATTCATTTATTTTTAAGTAGTCATTTAAATACATTTTTTAAGTAAATTTATGTTTAAAAGAATCTATTTAAATGATTTAAATTTCAATCTATGCCCTGAAAATTTTATGAATACACTATCTAACTTATGAATATATTGTGAGGAATGATCATAATTGTAGTTAAAAAGTTTGAATATAAATATTTTCGTCAAATAAGTTAGCTAATGATACTATTTAAACATATTTATTTATAGTTTCCTTTTGAATGAGAATAACATTAATAATATTAATTATTACTATCATAGCTATTAAGACATAATTTAAAAGAGAAATCTTCATGTTGCTTTGATGTACACACTTAATAATTAATATTCCTTAATCTTATAAACTTTAGAAAAGGTTTCCTTTAATTCTATTTTTAATATTATGGTTATGAGATAACTACTACTTAAGTCTTAGTCTAACTATTAATAATTTTTGAATAAATTTCTAATATGCTATTTCAAGTAGTTCTTTACTCTATTTTTATAATTAATATATTTTTAAATCAGATTTTTTAATTAAGAACTTTATATTTATTTATATTGCTTGTAAAAAACTATATATTAATGTTTATAAACAAAATCAAACAAATCACACAAGGAATTCACCAATTACTTGATATCAAAGAAATTTTTATAATTAATTCTAAAAAATGTTTTGTAGTTTAAACAGAAAATACACTATTATTGCTTATCTTATTTAAAATTTCTATTCATTGCTTAAAGAGTAACTATACTTTCAACCTTATTTAAGAAGGTTTAACTAAATTTCCTTTGGAATTTCTCTAAATGATTTATTTGTGTTTAACTTCAATAGAGAATTTCAATATACAGATTAGAATTAATTAATTTAATATAAATAGTTACAGTCTTTTTTAATTAATAAAGATTAAACTTCGTTGTTACAACTTATTTACCAAAAAACAAAACAGATTTGATAATTTGATTGACTAAAAAGTTAATTAAACTTCAAAACATGAAAGATGAAATATTTTTTCTATTAATAAAAAAATGAAAATTGCTATTAATTTTTTTATGTTAAGGTTTATTAAAATTAAAGACAAATATTAAATACCAATAAAAATTTAATATTTTTATTTAAGTTCAAGTAAAAACAAAAAATTTATTTAAATTTTTATGTTTAAAATTATGAATATTTATTTTTATTATTATGGTAGAGAGAAAAAGAAAATATATGGAATATAAAGTTAAATATTGAAATCCGATAATATTAAATATTAGTTCAACTTGAAGTTTAGGGAAACGTAATAAATTATTCATTTAAAAATAAAAGTATCTTTATTAAAAATTCAAACAGCTTGAGTGACTGACCGAATATTATTAATAAGAGTAAGAATTTATTTAGATAATCTTATTAAATTTTGTTTAAAGTGAAAAATTTTTTTATATTAATTATTAATTATAATTATTATATTTATTTGTTCATTATCAATATTCTTCTACTAACCTGTCAAGAATATCTTAGTGAAGTCTATTTTTTTTTATTTCCAAACCATATTTATTAGGTAGATGGAATAAATAAAATGCACTTGTCCCCCCTATAATATCTTCATCTTCTTCAATAAAATTATCTTGTAAAGCTTCTCTTATCTCGTTTTCATCATCTGTTGGCTTATATCCATACTTTTATTCAAAGACCTTCCTTTCTTCTTTGATTTGGTAATTGAGTTATTTTAATATATTTTTTTTCTTCTAGATTTTTAACTATTCTTCTTGTTTTTCTCTTTTTAAATAAGATAGCTTGCTATTTTATTCATCTTACATTTATTAATCAAATTATTTTTTAACATTTATCTGTTAACCATTTTCTTCAATTGTAATTGTGTTAATGTTCCAATCTTTTTTAATCTTTATTTTATCACTTCTATCTGTATCCTCATTGTTTATGATATCATTTGGTGCTAATCCTGACTTAACATATTAACCTTTTTCATTATACATATGTAACTATTTTGGTAGAGCTTTCCTCCTCTCAATTTCTGCATCATTTATTGGTTCGTCTTCATTTATTTAATAAATTTTAAGACTTAATAAACAAAAATAGAAAATGAAATAAAATTTTAACAAGGTTTAGAGCTTATATTAATATTTATACTTTAAAGTGAATATTTTACCAGAATTTATGTATAAATTACTATTTCCAGGTTGAATATTTTCTTCTATTTTTATAAAATCATCTGTACTAGATTAGCCTTAATTTCCTTGACTATTTTTGTTACCATCTTAACTTTTATATTCTAAGTTAAACTATTCATAACTAAAAGTGTCTTCATTATCATTTATTTTTTTTCCTTGCTATTGTCTTTCCTTTCTACTTTCGAATACAATAATATGCTCAGAGAAAGCTGCATTGCATTATGGGCAAATATAATTTGTTTGGAATCCTCTATTGCAAGCTCCGCAATTCAAAAAAGTACATCTTCTAGAAATAGGGTCATGGAGCTTATGACTGTGTTTGCAATTACATTTAAAATCTAAATTTCCTTGAGATGGAACATAAGAATAATTTCTGCAAGGACAATTTTTAACTTTGCAGTGTACTTTACTCTTATCTTAAGGATTCAAATATTCGTGATTTTTATAATCATGATCGCAAAAACATTTTGTGTTAGCTTAAATTTGCTTACATTCCTTATTTTTCTTTGGATTTGTCCATAAGGCATATAATTTACTGCTAGATTTCTCAAGCAAATGCTTTCTGAGCCTTTCATATTATTCATCTTCTAACTTATCATTTTGTAATTATTTTTTTTACTACTTCATAGTTTTAAGTAACTGATAGAATTAATTATCATAGCTAATATAAGCTATTTTGAAATGTATTATAATCACTATCTAGCATATGTATTCTTCTGTAAATTTATAAAATAGTAATAAAATAATTTTTAATTATCAAACATTCAAAAATGCATCAAAGCCTTTAAAAAACAAATAACAAATTAAATTATTTTAAATTTAAATATTTTAAATTAATAATGAATTTGCTATTAATAATGATATAAATTAAGAATTTTCTAAATTAAATTAGAAAAATAAAATATTAAGACTATAAAATTTACTTTGATGGTAATTTATTTATCAATTATAAAATCCTTTGTAGTCTTTGCTATACATATGAGATCATTTTCTTTATATTGCTCGTAAGTATTCAAAGATATTTTAATAAATTAGTAAATCTTCAAACTTAGCTTGTAATCTTTAGTGTCAATTCTGATCTTGATTATTATTATATTAGTAATATTTTTAATATCAATATTTACCATATATTTGTGTATTAACAAATGATATCTTTATTTTATCTGTAAATTATTTGTAAATGAAAGAATAAATTATTAATAATTTTAGAATTCACAAAAACAAAATTAAGTATAAAAGTTTTTGTTTAAATTAAAAGAGTAAAGAGATAATATATACAAAAAAAAGTTAACAGCAAAAAATATGAAGAATAATTATTTTTTATATCTGTTCTCATGCTTAACAACTCTTCTTACCTAAGGTATTTCACATTTCAATTTAAAACTGTTATCATTTATTTTATATTTAAGTAATAAGCTAAGAAATATACAAATTTCCAATCAGCCTTAATAAAGACGACATAAGTGAATTTTAAGATTTCTCTAAGAAATATACAAATAATAATATGCAAGTTTTTCACTGCGATGGATCTTCATTATATTTAAGGGGTGGTTAGAGTTAAAAAGTTTAAATAGAATTTAAATATGAAAAACCTTACTATTAAGTAGATGTCTCCATGAAATTCTTTAGAATTGACTCGTAATTTTTATTTTAAATTTACTAAAGAATTATTTTATATTTTTTAAATAAAGGTGGGATAAGAATGAGGATTACTTTTATATAGAGGTGAATAATATATTATTGTTCAAATAAACTTATTCTTTCTTTAGAAGAATTAATAACAATTGTGCTAATTAATATTATGATGAAGAATTTTTTACCATAAGTAAATCAGTAAAGACTAACTAATATCCAATCAAAGTTACTTTTTACTCTAACCTTGACTCAGATTTGAGTGACGAATCTTGGGGATTTAGAGAGTAATTATTTTATTTATTTGTTTTAACTTAACATTTTTTTTAGATTTTAAGTATAAATTAGTTTATGTCCTTCAACTTGCTCCTAATGCACTTCATTTAACGAGTGTACATCATGTATTCCTGGATATTACTTGGAAAGAAAAATGTGTAATAAATGCAGTGATAGATGTTAGGAATGCGCTTATGGTTCAGAATAATGCACTAAATGCAAAAAATAGACTTATCTTTTTTGTATTTTATTTGAATTAAAATAGTTTAATAGTAATTTTTTAAATAAAAATTTTAGAAGCAAGTTGTAAAGAAGAATGTCCTCCAGGTTATTATAAAAATTAAAATGAATAAAGGTGTGATTAATGTAGGTAATATTGCAAAAATTGCTCTGCTAAAGATACTTGTGATCTTTGCTAAGATAATTATTTCAGGTCTGAAGTATTAACTTGTGTCAAATAATGCAATTCATAGTTTTATGGAGACCCTGTAACTAAAAAATGCTAACTTGAATGCTCAGATTCATATTTCGCTAATAAAAAGACAAATTTATGTGAAAAGTGTGATCCAAACTGTTTGACTTGCTCAGAAATTAGTACCAACTGTACATCTTGCCCTCTTAACACTTATTTAATTAATTAAAATTCTTCAAATAATAATTTATTTTTAAAATGTGTCCCCTAATGCCCAGAATAATAATTTTATCTAGATAATGATAAAAAGAAATGTCTCCCTTGTTATAAAGGATGTAAGATTTGTTCAGGACCGTCCTTTGATTAATGTACTGAATGTAATAAAGATTTTTTATTAGATAAAAATAAATGCATAAGGTAAGATTGTGGAGATTATTATTATGCAAATCCAGATAATAATGAATGTGCAAGATGTTAATTGAATTGTATTAAATGTAAAGATTTTAATTCATGTGAGAAATGTGTAACAGAATAGGAATAAGGAAAATGTAAAAGTATATGCGATAAAAATGAGTTTTAAAATGGAAATGAATGCATAAAGTGTAACAAACTTTGTGAAGAATGTTATGGTTAAAATGAAGATTAATGTTTGAAATGTTAACCTGAGAAATAATTAAAAGATGGAAAATGTTTTTGCAAATAAGGATATTACTTAAATGGTGATAAATCATGTATTTAATGTGATAAAACATGTAAGAGCTGCTTTAAGGACGAATAAGGAAAAGTTTAATGTGAGTAATGCATAGCAAATTTAATGTAACCAAGTAAAGATTAATAAGATTTGTGCTAATGTAAAGAAGGGTTTATTTTAGAAAACCATGAATGTAAGTGTAAGGAAGGTTAATTTTTATACAATAATTCTTGTTTAAATTGCCACTTTTCATGCAAAGAGTGTAAAGGTCCTGGAATAGATGAATGCATTAGTTGCAAAGATTAAAATTAGGAAATAAATAAAGATACAAAAAATTGCACATGTAAAAAAGGTTATTATTTTAATAATAATGATAATTCATGCTAAAAATGCTATTAAACATGCTAAAATTGCCTTTCTAGTGGAGAATCAGATTGCTATAGCTGTCTTGATAATAGTAATTTGATTTTGGTAAATCCAACAGCCAATACATCTGCTTGCTAATGTTAGCCAGGATTTTATTTTGATACATATTAACTTAAATGTCAAAAATGCTATGATTAATGTAAATAATGCAGAGGAGAAACAAAAAGTGACTGTCTAAGTTGTAATGATGATTTTATGCTGCTTTAAAAAGTTAGTGGATAAAATTTTGGAACTTGTGAATGTTAAGATTCATTTTTTTATGATGAAAAAGAAAAAAAGTGTAAAAGTTGTCACATCAGCTGTAACACATGCTCAGGGAGTTCAGAATAAGAGTGCTTAACTTGCTCAGATCCAAACTCAGAACTGTTTAAATAATAATGCAATTGCAAATAAGGGTTTTTTTAAGATAAATTTAAATGTGTAAAGTGTCATATTGATTGTTAGATATGTGATGGTCCTGAAAATACAGATTGTCTAAGTTGTAGCTCTGAGAAAAATAAAATACTAATACCTTATTAAAATAAAGGTATTTGCGCTTGTAAAGAAGGCTATTATCAGTATAATGAATAAGGATGCATTAAATGTTATTAAAATTGTAAGAAATGCAGTGGATCTGAGTAAAAAGATTGTTTAGATTGTAGCGAAGGTCCAGATTTTATAAAAGATAAAAGTGGAAAATGCGTTTGCATAGATGGATTTTATGAATCTGTTGGTTCGAATAAGAATAGAATTTGCTTAAAATGTAACGAATTATGTAGCAAATGTGATGGTTAAGGAAAGTGTTTAAGCTGCAAATCTTAAGTAATGAAATTAAATAGTGATAATTCAACTTGTGAATGTATTGATAATTATACTCTTTATAAAAATAAGTGTATGTAATGTCCTAATTTTTGCAAAAAATGTGTTTTCTAAAAAGAATAACCACTTTGTATAGAATGTAATGATCCTAGAACAATGGAAATATCTCCAGATAAATTAAGTTGTGTATGCAAATAACAATTTTATGAATATGTAGATACATGTAAAGCTTGCTCTTTAAGTTGTAAGACATGTAAAGGTGGAGATGAATAAGACTGTATTTAGTGTTCAGATTAAAATATGATAAAAGATAGTCAAACAGGTATTTGCAAATGTTAAGGTGATTTAGTTTTTGATTAATCTACAAGGAGGTGTGTATTAAGCCCAGAATTGAAATGCAAAGATTAAAAATGCCTTAAATGTAATCAAAACCAGTGTTTTCAATGTATTTCTAACTATTAACCTAAAGGAGATAGTTGTATCTGTAAAGATGGATTTTATGATGTGGAAGGAAACTAAGGATGCTAATATTGCCAGCAATAAAACTGTTTAGTTTGTAAAACAAAGGATTCTTGTGAAATTTGTGAAGAGGGTTTAATTAGATATAAAGGTATGTGCTATTGTCCTGATTCTAAATATAAGGATGATAATGGAAAATGCAGTCTCTCATGCGATAAAAAGTGCAAATTATGCTTAAGTTTACTGGAATGTCATCTTACAAAAGAAGAATCTGATAAATATGATTATGAATATTGTGATATTTCTTGTGATAAATGCTCTGGGCCACTTTATTATAATTGTTGGAATTGTTCTAGCTAAACTAGATATTATGATGAAAATTTAAGAACATGTATTTGTAAAAAAGGATATGTGGAAATTTATGAAAAGGATTGTAAGGAAATAAATTCAATTTATATTGAATTAGCTTAAATTTTTTCTCTTTCTTCTGGTTCACTAACATTTTTTTTTATGGTTCTGAGTTTGTTGACAGATTCTATTTTTTCTAAAACATCAGTTTATGGATATTCCTGCCTATTTGCATATTCTTATGTATAATTTTAGCAATTAGGAAACTTTCTACTTGTAAACAAAGTATATCCTTTGGGTCTAGAATAGAATTTTTTATAGAAATTTTTACAATTAAACTACTTTAATTCAATTCCTAGCTCATTCACACCTATTAGTTAGAGCTAATTAAATAGGGTTTTACAATAGAGCTTAGCTAATGATAGTATCTAAGAATCTTTAAAAAATAATTTTAATTCTATTTTATTTAATAATCCTAAATATAATATTTACAAATTAGATACTCCTTTTATAATTTTAAGTTTCTATCCTATGGTGCTCTCTATAACAGCTTTTATAGTGATTTTTATTCTTTATTTTCTATAAGCTAGGTCTAACATGCTGCAAAAAATATATTTGAAAATAAAATGGAACTTAAGTATAATTTTTATTTATTTATTCAGCAATTCTTGCCTTTTAAGTGCTATTACAAATCTTAAATACTTTCACGACTATTCCTCAGATAATCTTGTAAATATAATTGCTACAAGTGTTTTTTGCTTACTTTACTTTGGAGGATTTATTTATTTATTTTACAAGATTAATTTCTAATCTATTTCATATAATAATGAAGATTTCATGTCTTATTTATGCTTACACTTTTAAATTTGTTAAGAAAATATGTTAGCAAAGAATTTTTGGTTATTAATAGAGCTCAGAAAAATGGTTTAGATTATATTATTAGTTTCTGAGTAAAATTTCCTAGCTAGCTTAATCAGTATTGCTTTCTTTTCTCTTTTAATATCTCTGATATTTATGATTAAAAAGCCTTTTATAAATAAATCTTTAAATGTATTTTTGATAGTACATGAAATAATCTTAATTATTATCTATATGGGATTTTCACTATTTGCTACATTTTCTAGAATTGAGCTATATTCTGTTTATGTAATAATTATAGCTGTTTGCATATACTAATTTTTTAATTTCTTCCAGATAATGTTCTATTTATTAAAAACTTTTTTACACTGTTTTCATTTAAGAAGTAAATATGTTGAAAATTTGTAAGCTTAATAAGGTCTAATAAAAACATTCAAAGAAGCTTCGAAAGAACTGTCAGTAAAAAATTCGTTAGAGTTGCATAATATACACAAAGATAATTCTTAAAGTGAATTAAATATAAATTTATCTTTAGATTAAATAACCTAAAAGCAAATCAAATGGAATAATAATCCTCTATTATCTCCTTCTAAAGTGAGTAATAACCGTAAAAATACAAAAACTGTTAACTTAACTAAAAGAAGTACCCATTAAACTTCAAGCTCATAAATTTAAAATATTAATTTTAAATAATTTTGAAAAAAAGATCCTAAATTTTCATAAAAATAATAAATAAATAAAATTAAAATATTATAAATTAGATTAACTTAAATTTATATTATATATATAATTAGTAATTGATGTAAATACAAAAATCTGTAAGTAAAATACTTTTAAGATAAGCTTCAATCAAATTAAATTTAACTGTGAATTTAAAATTAAAATTTATAAATAATTGAAAAATAGCTTTTTAACTTGAACTGAATTTAATCTTTTTTTATGTTTTTAATATGTATTTTATTTTGCTTTTTTTACTAATCTTATTAAATGAAAAATGATAAATAAAATATTTTTGTGATAAAATTCTATTATTTTTATCTAAAATTAGGTATATGTTTTACCAATAATACTTAAACACTACAAATTTTGATTTAGTTTGATAAATTTCAAATATAAATTTTCATGAAAAATTAATTTAATTAGTTTTTATAATAAATATATTATTTAGAGAATATTTGGTATGTTGAAATATAAAAAGGTGCTAAAGTTTTATTTGGTGACTTTAGTATTTGTATTAATTTATTGAAATATTTGATACTAAGGATTTTGTTGATGCTAATAAATAAAAGACTGTAAATTATATATTATTAAATTCCAATCTTTTTTATCTATAATTATATAAAATTCCAAATAAAAAATAAGTAAATATTACAAATTTGTGTTTAGTTTGAAATATTTCAAATGTTCATTAATATATTATTAAAATTATTAGAGAAAAAATATTATTTTTTTAAAAATTAAGAGATAAAAAAATACAAAAATGGTATTAAATTTTAATTAAATTATTTTTTAATTTGATATAAATGTAAATTACTATTTTTAGAAATTTTGTTTGTTTAAATTTAATTTTTAACATTAATATAACTGGTTTTATTTTAAATTATTTTTATCATAGACCATCTGGATATTTTAACTTAAACCAAGGATGGCTAAGAGCCTCTTTAGCTGTAGGACGACGAGTGAAATCTATTTAAAGGCATTATCTTACAAAGTCTATAAATAAGTGATCTTCAGTTCTAAGTCTAAATTAGTATGAAAAAAAATTTCAGAATAATTTTTAAAAGGAATAAATAAAATTAATTTTTTATTACCTTGCTTTTAAATTAGAATGTTTGGGTACTAAAATTTATATTTTTCCAGTTTTAATCTTTTGTCTTTAGCCATCTTATTGATCACCGATAGCTTAACTTTAATCAGCCTCTTCAAATACCTATTTAAAATAGAATTAAATTAAATATTTTAATTTATATATTATAATTTTTTACTTCCATATATAATAATTTTTCACGAGTGAAAAAGTTTTGAACCAAACGTCCTTCTTTCATCATCCATTCAGGGAAAGGACCAATTATACCAATAACTCTAGCGAGCAAACCTTAAATATTGTCATTTTAAAATAGGACGTTTCCAGTCCAAAGTTCTGCTAAAATACAACCTAAGCTCCATATGTCTATTCTATAATCATACTTGCAACCTATTATAACTTCAGGTGCACGATAAGATCTACTTTACACATAAGAACTAAGGTGATCATGAATAAAGCAACTTGATCCAAAATCTATAACCTTTACTTCACCTTTTGGTTTAGATTTCATGAGGATATTTTCAGGCTTCAAATCACAATGGATTAACCTAAGTGAATGGATAAAGTCCAAAGCAACTAAAATCTATTATGTAATTTTCTATAATCTACCTACTGTGAAGTATCTTTGTTGTTCATTTTCTCTATTAAACTAATTAATTTATTAAATTTTATTATTATTCAGTAAATGCAGACAAAATTTTTATTTTATTTACTTTATAGAATTCATATAAGTTTTCTTCTAGAAGTTCAGTGATTATAAACAAATGCTCTTTATGATAGAAATAATCAAAATAGCGGAGTACATTTTTTTCATCCACATCTCCATTGTAATTAATATACCTAAGAAGCTTTATCTCATCGATACTTTGATCAAAGTAATCTTTATTATTCTCTATTATTTTCATACACATTACTCTGTTTGTAACTAAATCTAAACATTAAATAGCTTTTGAAAATGCTGCACTTCCTAAATATTCCATAACCTAGTATCTACCAGCTATGATAGAATTAATTACTATAGGGAATTCTTTAGTTTCTTCAAAACCTGTTCTCTCTCTATCAAAAATTACTTTCAGATTGAATGCATCGTATATCACCTTATCATACTTAATTGGATAAAAACTATCATTAGATTAAGGGAATTTTATGTGGTCTGGAAGGAATATTGATGCTTTAGAGACTTACTATTAAAAAAAAAATAAATTTAATTTACTGAAATAATTATTTATATTTTTTACATTTTTCTGCTAAACAATTTTTTACTATTATTAATCATCAACTGCTTAACTTGATGATTATTTTTAAATATCTTTTATCATAGCCTAGCTATCTTCTTAGTTTGGATTTGCATTTGCAAATGGATTTGAATACTCTTTATGAGGATCGTATCCTTCTTCTATTATAATAATTTAGAGAATAAATATTTAAAACTTTAATAAATTATTTACTCTTTGGAATAGAAGAAACTGCTCTGGCAGGAAAGTCACTTTTTTCTGCAAGTTATTGTGCCACTCTCACAAAATCTTTTTATGGTACTTCATACAAATCAAAACCTGGATCATCATCATCAGTATATTCATCTATATTTGGCATGAAGTCTTCTTAAAGTAAAATCCCTTATAGTAAATCATTTTAGGCATCTGCTTAAACGTCCTAATTTTACAACTATTCTAATTTGTTTTATGTTTCTTTTAATTCTTCAGTTTATTTTTCACTTTTTTAACTTTAAGATAAAATGTTAATTTTAGAAGAATATCCAAATATTACTTTAAATCTGACTAATTATTGTGAGGAGAATTCATTTAAAGTTATTAAGGATATAAAGGCATATGCTCTGACCCTAATAATTTTTAATTAAAATTTATTTATCTTAAAGTTTAAATATTTTCAGTAAAAATGTATTACCATTATTCATGTCAGTCTATTAATTTTATACATTTTATTGCTATTATAACTAATTGTGTTGTTAATTTGTTTAATTTGATATAGTTTATTGATTAAATTAGTCTAGTTTAAAGTCTTGATTTGCAAGTCCTGGAGCATTCATGGGTTGTTATTTCACTTTCATAAAAATATTATTGTTAAAATTTAAATAAAATACTAATAAATTAAAATAATACTCCCGAAATGAGGAGGATTTTCATCTAAAATGCTTTGTTATTCTTGTTTCTTTTATATTAAAAATATTTCAGTATTTGATATTTATTAAAAATGTATATATATTTTATTTGATTTAATGTAAATTATTACTGTTTTTTGTAAGAAAGAGTTAGTGAACGATAAATTTGAAATATCTTGCATAACATCTGTAGCTTCAACCATTCTTTAAAATGTTTGGTTATCAAAAAATTTTTCTATCTTAGAATTCAACTTTTCATCTTCAAGTAGACCTGGAGATGCTACTAATTTATTCATTAATCTTTCCATAATTTATTCAGTCTCTTCTTAACTCTAGAAATATATTTCAAAATATCAATTAAATCCATTTATAATCTATCAATCAATCAATTTTACGAATAGTTTCTAATTTATATTTTAGACTTTATTCTAAAAATCCTATGCACCCTAATTAAAGGTAGGAATAACATCTTTTTTATTGTTTTGATGTATGGCCTTTTTAATAATTTCTAAAAATAAATTGAACTTAACATTTGAATTAAAGTATAAATTTTTAATAGTTTAATAGTGAGCGAAATAAAGTATTTACTCAATAAGTTGGAATTTGTTTATTTTTCTCCATCTTAAGGATTATTTTCATTTTATGTTTTCTATTATTGCTGACTTTGTATATAAATTTCTAATTTTATTTTTAAAATATTAAGATAAGAACTGACTGCTACTATTTTAGTCTTATGATTTAAATATACCCATATCATCTTAAAATGCTTTTAAAGACTTCATTAAACCTGCTTAGTTTAAGAAATTCATTAACTGTCCGCATGTTTCTAACATTTTTGGTGACTATTAATTTTATAAGTTATGTTATTTGTTAAACTATCACTTAAAATAATATGTTTGTTTTTTTTTTTTAATTTAAGATTTTGTAATAAACACAAAATATTATTTGAAAACAATATTTGAAATCATGAATATAGTATATAATTTATTTACTTATTTTATTATTTATTTTTGATTTTAAATACATCTAAGATTGTAAAGAACCAAAAGATTTAATATTCAAACCAAATCCATTAGTAAGATTATGGTATGATTATTTATTTATTTTTTTAGAATTTAATAATTGCATTTTAAAATTTACTCACCGTTTGTATTTTTAAATATTAATTTTTTAATTGTTTAGATAGATAAAATATTTATCTTAAAAAAATAAATAAATATTTTAAATAAATTTTAGATTATTAATTTCATAAAAAAAAAGTTTATCATAGATAAAAAATACATAAAACAATATTTTTTTTTCAAACATTATTCTTTTATTGAAAATAAATGATATATTTTTTCTTTTTATTAAATTTCAAAATAAATAATAAATTAAAACTTATCTTAAGTAATATTTTAAAAAGGGGAAAGTCATTAAGATTTTTTAGGGGAGAGATGAGGTAAACATATGAGACAACCCATACTTTTTTAAAAATTATATTTATAATATTTCATTATTTTACCCTATTTTTCATCCGCCAAAATAAAATAAAATTTAAAAAATTTGTGTTTTTTATTTTCTTAAATGAATAAAATATAAAGTAAATATGCATTTAAAAATAAATAAATATAAAATTTTTATTTTTTTTATTTTTTAATTTAAAAAATTTTATTGATAGTATAAACATAAAATTATAGATTTTCTGTTTGAATTCTAATCAAGATATTTTTTTTATGACATTGATGTGAAAAAATTTAATTCAATTTAATGATTGTGAAAAGCATATGTTTAATTTTAAAAATTTAATTTCAATGGATAAAGATATAAATTAACAATTAGGAAGTTTGTCACAAAAAAACATTTTTTTAAGGCACTCATAACTAATTATTTTTAATTTTTGTTGAGAGTAATTTTCTTATTAATTAAGCTTTGATTTTTGATCCCCCAAATATAAAAGCATGATCTAAACCAACCTCATCATCAAAGCAATCTACAAAATTAGAAAATTTATCTTTGAAATCTTTTTTTATGTATTCTGGGGTATATTCATCTCCCTTAGCGTAATAGACAGTCATTTTATTTGAAAATTTTTTTATTTCTGATTCATTTAGTTGTTTAATTTCGTCAAATTAAAATTTTGTTAAATACATAAAGCTTAGTCCTGTTTCATATCCGATCCATTAAGCTATGTTTTCAGCACAATCGTTAATGTCTTCTCCATTTTATATCCTCTCATTCTCATATGCCTTTAAACTGATAAATCTAAGCAAAGATAAAGGTATAAAGTAATCAATACATTTTAAGGCTATTTTTATAAAAAATGTATATCTATGAAGGTTGTTTCTCTCTTAACCCAAAGGAGTTTGAACAAGCCTGTCTATTGTAGGATGTATCATTATTACATGAAATATTCTTTTTTAGTCTATGGCATTAATTAATTTCAAAGTTGTATAGCAACCACATGAATGGCCTATAAAAACAAATTTAGAATTTTTATATTTATCTTACTTAATTAAATCATTAAAATATTATATTTTATGGTCAATTTATTGTTTTAGATTAAAGTATCTTTTGAATGACCCTTCTTTTTTAAATTATCCTGCTTAGCCTATTCCTATTACGTCGTATTATTTGTTAAAAGCTTAACTCAAATGAAGCAAAAATCTATCATAAAATTTAACGTATCCAGGGTTTCCAGATTAAAACAAGAAGACAATAGAATGATCGTTACAGCTAGATGGGTAATAAAGGGTTTCAGTATAGTATTCTTTATTTTTACCATGATATGTATATTTATATTACCCGACATGATTATACAAAGGCTTTTCATATTTTTTTAAAAATCTTTTTATTAAAAATGCAAAAAGGATCAAGATAACTATTCCTATCATTTTATTAAATATAAATACTTTTTATTTTATAGTTTAAATAATTATTAAATTTGTTGTGAATTTAACTGAATTTTATATAATGAGCAGTTTACACATAGATCTGATCAGATAAAATAGACATTAATTTTGATAAGAAATGACCTTATGTAATACAAATATTTAAGTTTTATACCTTACTAACTTCGTTTACACAATGTTTAATTATTTAAAAATATTTATAATCTAAAATTTAATTTTATGCTTTATTAAAAAAATATATATAAATCAACACTTTTAAGAATTTATATGCCAAAAAAAAATACTTTAAGCATCTTAACAATAAATTTTAAATAGTATAGGTGTTGTTTGAATAAAAAATTAAGAAATACTTGTCAATTCAAAACATATTTATCTATAAAAGCATTAAAGAATAAAATATGGAGTAATCTTAAAACTAAATTAATTAAATTGGGTCTACTTCTCAATAAATATTCAAAAAATATGACGTTAGAAATAATCTTATACAATAAAACTTTTTTAATTAATAAATTCTTTAGAATTTTATAAAAGAAATTTTTTAGATTTTAAATATATGATAAAAAGAAAAAATTACATTAACAAAAATTTCAATTCTAAATCAAAGACATTACTTTAAATTATTAATAGTATTATTTGATAAAATATCTAAATTTTAAATATTTAGAGCTATTTTATCAACAATTTTCAAAAAATTAAAGTCAATTTAGTTTTAACTTTTTATTATTGTTTAAATTTAAAAAATTTCATTTGATTGATTTTAAAAAATAAATTAAAAAATCTAATAAAGCCTATTTATTTTATTTACAAATTAAGAATTTTTCTAGAAAAACTATATTATTCTAAATTAAGAAGATTTTTATTATATGAAAGCCATTTTATTTATTTTAGATAGATTATCCTCTAAAAATATATTTATAATTTATATATTTAAGTAAATTGTCTAATCTATTATTACTATTTACAAAAAATGTATTCTATGTATTTGCTTACAGTCGATAACTAAATAACTAACATTTTTAGAAGTAATTTTTTTCATATTTTTTATATTAGGTTAATAATTTCTTCTTATTTCTTATCAATAGTGTCTAACTTACAATTTTTAGAATTTAATAGAAAAAAATATTCTTCTTATAATGAAAAAAATTTTAAAACCCATAATTTGATCTAATTAATTTCATCTATTTTTATTAAAGTTACTTAAAAATAAAAACAAATATTATATCATATTTTATATTTTAGTTATTTTTTTCATTTTAATTTAAAATTTTTAAATTAAGAGTTTTGCGTTTCTAAAAAGGTTGATATTGCATTATTATCCATATTCTATATCAATTCACAAGTCATTTTGGAAGATTCTTTCATTATCTTATTTATCTTTCTGTTACTATAGTATTTTAATGCACTTCTTACACCTAAAATAACCAACCCAAACAGTCCAATTATTTTCTCAGCAATACTTGTGATTTCAAAAACTATTATTTTTATAGATTTTTAATATTCTCTTAATTAAAAATAAAATATACCTTAAATCAGTAAAATCATTTATTATTGCAGTAAAAGACAAACAAAAAGAAGTAAAAATGTCTAAAATACTTGAAGAGTAATTATAACACCGTTTAATACTCTAGAGATAAACGGTCTTAGTGATATTAAATAAACTAAAAATAAAATCTCGCTAGAAAGACAAATCCAACCACTAATTATTTTATTTTCAAGTATGAAAAATATAATAATTTGCATTATTTTCTTTAATTCTAGAAAAAGCCAAAATGATTAAGAAAATTTATTTATATCTTTCAGCTAGCCTATAAGTGCACTAAAATTATATTAAACTTAATATTCATATTTTTCTTACGAAAATATTAATTTAATGCATTTAGCTATCATAAATATGTATAAAACAAGTATAACACACATAAATGTTAAACTTGTTATGCAGATCGTTTCAAAGCTACCCATATCTTTTAAACTCATAATGTTAATTAAGATACTAATAATTATCATGTTAGAGCAAAGCATGCAAGCTCTGATAGGAAGATTCCATTTAGAATAATTATAAATTTTGTTTGCAATCTAGTTATTTTTTCCAATGTAAAATAAAACTGGTATAATTAAAAATGAAAAAATCATAGCAATTGACTAATATAAGCAATTCTCTATATAAAAATATCTTAAACTCTAAGCATCCAAAAGAATTCTTAATTATTAACTTTGCTAAATAGTATTTTGAATAATTTTAGTATCAAATTATAATATCTTTGACTACTAAATTGGATCCTGAATAGCTACCAGTATGTTATGCATATAAGAATTTTGAAGGAAGTAAGAACTTACTCCTTATTTTATAAATGGGATTGTGAAATAAGTATTTCCTCTCATCTGTTAAGTTTATAGATAAAACCACATCATACAACCTATTTAAGGCACAAAAAGGCTTAAGAAAAACCCACCAGAAACTAATCCTATAGTGTTTATTTAGTTTAAACTAGAAAGTAGATCTATTTGTCCTAACTCACTCTCACAATCACTTAAACTTTGAGTTTGTACTATTCATTTTTTTAAGTATTTTAATTATTATTTTAAATATAAAACAAAAAGTGTTTACTTTACAAATCCTAGCATTCTTAGGATTAAGACTATTCTGATTCGATTTCTGATTTTGTAGTGCAAATTTTATTTATTTAATCATAAAATAATCCACTCATGCAGGTAACACAATCATATTTAGTTAATCCGTTGCAGTACTAGCAAGATGAATCACATTTTTTACAAGATAAATAATCAATTGTGTCATTTTAAATATCTTGCTACTCATTCTTTTGATAAAACTCTCCTTAATATTTAAAATAATTTATAATTAAAATTAATTTTAAGTTATTAGATCCAAAAAAATTTATTCAAAATAAAATTTTATGAATTATTTACCTTCGTCACAAATTGTGCACTTCCCTATAGAACTCATGGTTAATTTAGGTGAACACGATAAACAATTTATATTTAAAGGCCCATTACATGTTAGGCATGAACTATCACATTACATGCATTTAAGTGTTTATTAATCCCTATATTATGATTTACTACATTTTTGGTCACACTAACCATTTATAAGATCATAATTTTACTCACATATTAAACAATTGTTTAGAGATAGGCAAGAAGAACAATAAGTTTAACATTATTGACAAATTTAATTTTAATTATAATAACCTGTTTGGCATGCATTGCTGCAAATTTGCTAAGGTGTTAAAACATAACCAGAATTGCAATAAGTACAAACCAAAGAAGAATTACATGTGTTGCAATTAACGTCAGAGCATAAAACACATTAAAATGTTGTAGTATCTTAATAATATCCTTTCGGACAAGTTTCAACACATTTATTTTAAGAGTTTAACATTAAAGTGTATTGACAAACTGTGCAATTGGTAGCAGTTCCTTAGCATTCTTTACAAGAAGAATCACATGCTTAACATTTACTAATATCTACCGATGAATTTTTTAAATCAGAATCTTCATTGCCATTGTAAAAATAACCTATGTTTTTTTAATAATAAATTCTTTTTATAAAGATTAATATGTAAACAAATAAGAACCTTTTTAGCAAATATGACAGATTCCATCAGTACCAATATTAAGATTTTATTAACAAGTTAAACAAATATTACCACTAATACCTTATTCATTACAAGTAGCACATCTGTAATAGCAATTTTAGCAAATTTAGTTTTAGTCATCACGATATTAATTTGAAAGACACTGATCTTGATAACAAACTGAGTTATATAAATGAAAATTTTGATTACATGTCTGACAAATTAATGTTGAATCGCATACACTACAATTAGAGTCTTAGCATTTCTAGCAATCATAAGTAGATGAGTTTGTATAATAACCTGATGGGCATGTAAAAGCACAAGCGTTTGTATCCGAAAGTTTATAGAGGCACTAAAGACACTATCCATTACTTGAAACATAGTATCCAACGAGACAAGAAGCGCATTTCGTTGATGTAGAATCATATTCAATACAATAATCAACTATTTAATTGTACTCAGAGATAAAGGATGATTTTTGCTAACACTATCCATTATTATCGACAATATAATTAGTGTTACAATACAAACATGTATTTTAATTACTATAAACTAGGCAGGAAGAACTTACTTAACACTCAGGGCACTGATCTTAATATAAGCATTAGGAACACGATTAAGGTAAAAATATCCCGTTTTATTAAACTAAATAATAGTATTATTTTAATGTGCAAGTTTTATCAGAATTTATTTAAAAGTAACTTGGGTCACAAATTTAGCAAATAGAAACATTTTTTTTGGTAACGATGTTATTTTAGCAATTTGAATTAGCTACGCATTAATTATCTTACAGATAATAGCCAGAATTGCATAAAATGCAAACATTATTACTGTTAATGTATTAGCAAGTAGCACAATTTGATGTACAAATAATTTTAATGCAGTTTTATGATGAATCTATTAAAGAAGTACTATCACACTTAACACATAGTTTATTTTAAGTTTAAATGCAATTATTTATTCCGATACTCTAGCAGTTAATATTTTAAATATCAGGTTAATAATAAATAGGACATTAGCTAACACAAATTTAATTCATTAAATAACCATTATTACATTAGCTGCAATTTAAATCGTTAAACTAGTCATAATTATTATAATTACAGTAATTTATATATTGATCTGCCTGAGAAAGAGTACACAACTATCCAGATGTAGGACAAGATACACATTCATTTTGGTTATTTAATTAATATCCTTTTAAACAATTTAGTGGTATTTATTAGATAAAATATTAATTATTTGATATCTTTAAAATATTATTTATTATATTATTCAAAAGATTAAGTATATTTAGTTCCTATACGCAGATATTATTTTTGATGTAGTAGCCTTATATACAGTCTAAGCATTAACCCTAGGAATTACACTTTGAGCAATTTTGATCACAAACAACACATTAATTTGTTGAAGCTTGAAAATATTCATTTTTATTACAAATCATATCAATTTATAGGGATGGCATCTGGCAAGTGAAATAACCTGTTTTAAAGCCAACTAATAATTGTGATGAAACATTATTTGTGTAAAGATACACTAAAACCTAGGTTGCATATGTAAGATCTACATTAAGAGATATTTGTTCTAAATTATTATTGCAATAAAACTATTACTTTTAAGAGAAAGAATTAGATTAAGTTGCAGCAATTACTGTCATTTATACTGAATTATTAGAATTCCTTTATAAAAATATATCAAATTGTATTACATAATTAATTTACATTGTTAAAAATTAATTTTTTTCCAATCTTAGAATGTTTAATTCTTAATGAAGGAAGTCAATATTGACTATGCTAAAATTAAATAAATATTAATCAAACTATTTGCAAATTTACATAGGTGAGTATATAAATGAGCATGAAAAAGCCAAATTTAAAGTAGTTCTTGTGCAATTATACTAATCTAAGAAAAATATAAATTTGAAGTTTTAGGGTTAGCTATCTGTTTAACTAGTAATTAATATTTCCATATTTTGCAAATTATTGGCATAGCTATAAGATTAGATGCTTGTAAACTAAGAGTTGTAAAATCCTTCCATTAATATGTATCCGCCATATTTTTTTATTAATACTATAATTAAAATAAAATAAGAATAAATAAAGTAATCAAAATTAATCTACTCTGCTTGCTCACTACGGTTTCAACAAATAAAAATAAGGAGAATATATTTGTTAAAATTATTACACTGTTTAATATTGATTTTTTCATTTTTATTTAAAAATTTTTGAATTTAACTTTTTTAATAAATAAATAAAATACAAATTAAGATCAATAATACCATAAATAAAAAATCAAGTTAGAATCGCTTTTATTTAATTTACATTTTCAATTTTAAAATTAATTAATTAATTTGTGGTTATAAATTTACTTAATAGCTTTTAAGTTATTAATAAAGTAACTTTCTTGCAATTTAGGTAAAAACTAATTTAAAAAAGTATTAGTTTGTTTAAATTACATTTTATAAGATTGTTAATTATTAAAACAGCTTAAATAAATTTATTTTTTGAAATTAGATTTCTAAAAGATTTAAAATTTATTTTAGAATTCTAACTATTCCCATTTAAAATAAAAAATAAATCTAAAGATAGTTATTAAGCTTACAGAGATGAGTTAAATGTTAATTGACGCTTAAAGAACAATATCCAATTTTTATTACATTCTACATTAATAAATTAATAATTCAATTAGCTAAAATAAGGATAAAAGTGCATTAAAAAAATAAATTACTCATTATTAAAATTTTAATCTTTGATAAATTTTCTAAGGCTCAGAAAAATCTTTTATTAAAGTTATTTAGTTTTTAAATTTTTAAGAAAGTAAACATTTTTAAACATATCTTTGCCTTTAGAATTAAATGACATTATTAAAACTTTATCAACTTTTATTAATCTTCTCCTTATTATTATTTTGATAATAAATTATTTTAAATTAATAAAATAAAATAACAACAACTCTAAATTAAGTTTATTTAAGAATAAAATACCCATATATTATTTTAATTTTAATTTTTTTATTAATAACATCACTATTTTCTGCTTTGCTTGGTATTTGAGGTTATCAAGAAGGTTAAAAATATTTAATAACCAAAAAAATATGTTTTATAAAAGTTAAATTTCTCTGATTTTTTCAACCATAAGATTTTTATGACTTTTTATATATTCTTTTAAGGAGAGAGTGATTAAATTTTTGTAATCAATATAATCTTTAATTAGCTGATACTTTGTTTTATTAAAATTAATTATACGATACTTCATATTATTTGGTATTTTAATATTAAAAGTCTTACAAATAATTATACTGAAGGGAGTATATTTTTTACTAAATATTAATATCTTAATTTTTGAAAAAACTATAATATAAAACTATTTTATGGTTTGTTTGAAGAAACATGAGAGTGCTAATTTATTAGGACTAAATGTAACTAAATAAAATATTAATTAAAAAAGATATTATGCTCTAAAAAATTAGGGGAAAGTATGATAATGTTAATTTCAAGAAAAATAAAATAAATTGAAAGCTTTTATTTTTAGATAATTCAAATTTTTTTAAATAAACTAAACTTATAAGACTCAAAAAAAATAAAGTTTAATTTTATAATAATTTATCATTTTGAAGATTATTTCCCATAAAAAAATTTATTCATTTTATTTTTAATTTTTTTCATAACAAACAATCAAAAGGAATTCTAAATATTTTCTATCATTTCCTTCAAAAAATCTTTATAGAGGTAATCAGGTTTTACTTCTAAACATTTTTTAAATGAGATTTTTGCCTTATTATTTTCACCAGTTAGCAAATAAATGATGCCTAGATCATGATATAAAAAACTATTAAGAGGATCTAAAACTATTAATCTCTAAGTATACTTAAGAAGTCCATCTAGTGAGGATATTAGTTCTATAAAATACTTTGTCTCTTATTATCTTTTAAGAATGTATAAACAGTTTATAGTATTTAAGAGAGTTGAGTCTATTGTTTTGTCAGCATCAAAAGACTTAGCATAATAATCTAAGGCTTATTCTATATTTCCAAGTAAATAGCTTTACCAGCCAAGGTCAAGCAAAGCCTGTGCATGCTTATCATTTATTTCTAAACACTTTTTATAAAGTGGTATTGATTGATCACTTTGTCCCTTATTTAAATAGCAATAACCTAAATTAAAATAGGCATCAGCATTTAACGAGTTGTTTTCAATAGCTAATTAAAAGTATTATTATGCTTAATCTATATCCATAAACTCATATAGATGAATTGTACCTATTTCAACATATGCTTAGTCAAAAGAAGAATTTAACTCTACTGATTTTTTGAGATGTCTCAAAGCAAGGTCTATTTTGTTGAGCTTTTTATAAGTAATTCCCATTTCATATTACATAAAAAAATCACATGGATCTATTTATATTAAGATTTATTGCAATAAAGCCATTCTATTAAACTCGCCTTTTGTTCTCAAAAGTTCTATTTCTCTCATTATGTCTTTAGATTTCTTAGCAACATAAATATTTAAACCATTTTAAATTGATTGCAGAGTTGATTAAAAGTCATATTATGTAGATTATATTTGTAAATTTATTTGTTTTAAATAGCAAATAATATCTAATTGCAAAATATTAGTGTCCACAGTATCAATATTTTATCTTTCTAAAATATCAATAATTCCTTATATAAAATTTTAGTAGATTTCCTTTTTAAGCTCTAATGATGCATCGTTTTAGTTTTAAAGATTAAAAGGAGATAAATAAATACTATGGTCATTTCTAACTCTAATATTGCTAAAGTCATAAAAGGAAAAGTAAAATCCTAATTTCAAAAGTTCGCAAAATGAGAACGTAAATTGTTGAATAATTTATATAACTCTCTCAAAAAATAAAGGGTTTTCTTAAGCAAATTATTGCAATGGGATACCAGGATACTCAAATTAGCAAACCAAAATATTATTTTCTTGAATATGTTTAACAATTTTTGGTACTAACTCTATATGCCTATTAATTAGTTGCTGTTAAAACACTTTACTGAAAAATTGATTGTAAACATTTTAGCTATCACAGCTATCTTAAACTATTAACACTTCATATTTTTTACCAGCAAACTTATCTTAGGCTATATATATTGGAGTTTACACATTTTAACCTAAAAAATCATTTTCATTAATAATTTCTAATGATATTTTAGATAAGATGTCTTAGATTTATTTACTACTGCTTTCCATTTTTTTTAACTAAAAAAGAGCGGCTTTTAATTTTATCAATATAACTAAAAAATACTTGACAAGATGTTAAATACAAAATTTTATTTTTTTATTTTTATAACCTAAAATACTTTCTCAAAATGCTAGATTGAAAAAATTTCAAATTATAAATTTATTTTTTAAATATTTCGCTTATACTATCAAAAAATAAGAAATTTTTACATTTAATTACCAAATTTTATATTATTTTAGTTATGAGCCAATAAATTAAATTTTTTATTGCAATATAAATGTAATAACAACATTAGTAATAGATTCATAATATTTTTACTTATTAATGTAAAAATTAATAAAATAAATATATATTTTTAAACAAAAATATGATAATAATTTATTTAATCTGATCTTTTTGTGTTAATTTAAGTATTTTTATCTAAATTGAAATTATTTATAGTGAAATATTTATTATCATCCATTCCCATCAGAAATTTCTTTTAGTCCGAATTTGCTTTTATAATAACTAAAACTTTTCTATCTAAAGTTATCTAAATAAAGAAATTTATCATTATCGAAATTAAAAATTTAATATATTTTGAAATGAGAATATAATATTTAAAAAAGGAGAAAATTAAAGTAGAAAATTTATTATTTTTTAAATATGAATCTTTTTATATGTTTGTATTTTTAGATAATTTTTTAAGTAGATATGTATAAAATAGATAAAAATTATCTTTTAGTGATTAAAAACCATCTATAAAAATTTATCAAATAGAAAAAAATTAAATTTTGATTAAAGTTGCATTTGATTGATTTAGCTTTTTTTATCTCTTGAGAATTGTTAATTATTTTTGTTAAGGAAGAAACATCTATCAGATACTAATTATATCAACTTTGATTGAAATATGCAAGCTTTTAATAGATAAAATAACTATCTATTTCATAAATAATTATTACAAACTCTGATTTGCTCGTAGCTACAAGGCTTAAATTTCTCTATAACTCTTAAATTAGTTTTTTATTATCGAATAGGCACTTTAGAAATGATTCATTATAAAACAATTTTATGGCGCCTATTCCAATTTTTTGTACAAATTTTAGTAAATTTTTGTTTTGTATTTATTAACTAATAAACAGATTTTACATCAGGAAAAGCATCAAAAAACTGAGAAAAGTAAAAATAAAAATGGCTTATGAATTTTTAAGTGTTTATTTAGTCTAATTGAAAAATGGAAATGCGTAAATTAGAGTATAAAAATTATGAACAAGAGTTTATATTTCTATTTTAAAGATATTGAATAAAAGGTAGAGAAAAATTAATAAAAGAAAGGCTAGAAGAACCAGCTAAATGGTGGTTGTGTACTTGATTGATATTTAGGGATATTATAGATAAAATATGCAAATAATTAAAAATTGCATAGAGAAAGAAAGAAAGCCTTTTATTTTATCTAATGATTCAGAAATTAATATGAACATATACATGAAAAAAGAAAGAGAAAAATATGAAGAAGATTTTTTATTAATTAAGGTCAGCAATTTAGAGAGAGTTAAAGAATAATCATTATGTTCTATTTTATTTTTTGAAAGTTTCTCATTTCAATTTGTGTTAGAATCAAATATTATAAGATAGGATTTCTATATAAGAAACCATCAAAAGCCTTCATAAATATCCTTATAATAAATTATAATCTTATAAAAGTAAATAAAACAAAATCAAAAGAAACAACTAATATAATAATAATGAACAAAAAGCACGCCACTTTAAATAACTATATTTTAGGCAAAACACTTGGTGCTGGTTATCATGCCAAGGTAATACTTCAAAGATTTACTTCAAATATTCAACTCAAGCAAAGATTATTAATTATACTGCTTAAAAAGCCTAATTTTTGCAAATTCTATTTCATTTTATCCAGGAGCTTCTTTTATATTAATATGCGCTGCTATTAGTTTTTATTTTTTCTTTTCTATCTTTTGTTTTGTATGATCGATCTAATTGATTAGGAATGCTCTTGTTAATTTTTTCTATTTCATCTCTAGACATAGAAATTATGAATTAAATTTTGCAAGGTTAACTCTTTAAAAGTATTGATATAATTCAGAAAGTTAAATGTCTAACCCAAATAGATGAACAGCATTCTGTTATTCAATAACTTAGAGTTCCTTTTTATAGAAATAGAGAGATAAAATATCATTTTAGCATTTTTTTACTTATTTTTTACGTTTTACAAAATAGGTTAAATTAGCTTCATTCAATGGCTAATAAGTTGCTGCTAAGATTTTCAAGAGCACTCATAGCTTAGCCTCTAACATGAAAACTTTGAAGCACGAAATTGGCGTTATGCAAAAACTTAATCATCCTAACTTGGTCAACCTTGTTGAAGTTATTCCTAACGGAACTTACACCAAGAAGAATGGTTAAACTTATGAAGCATTAGGTATTATTTTAGAATACTGCGCTGGTGGTGAACTCTTCGAATATGTTGCCAATAGTGGTCGTTTCTCTGAAGAAGTCGCTAGAGCTTACTTCCATCAATTAATTGATGCTTTGGAATATCTCCATAACAACAATATTGCTCATCGTGATTTAAAACCTGAAAACCTTCTTTTTGATAGCTAATTCAATTTAAAGGTTGCTGACTTCGGTTTCGCTACTTTGATGGAAGGAAAGGATGGAAATGGTCTTCTCAAAACCTGCCTCGGTACTGAGAGCTACATGGCCCCTGAAATTCACGCTAAGCTCCCTTACAATGGTTCTTCTGTTGATTTATTTGCTGCCGCAATTATTCTTTTCATTATGTATGCAGGTACTCCTCCTTTCTCCAAGGCTGATCCTAAAGATCCTTATTACAAGCTCATGTGCACTAACAGACATGACACTTTCTGGTAAGCTCACTTGAAGAACAAGGGTTCTGAAAATTTCTTCTCACAAAGCTTCATGGATTTGATTAACTCTCTCCTTGCCCACGATTCAGTCTAACGTCCCTCCCTTGCTGAAGTAAAGAGCCACCCCTGGTACAATGGTCCCGTTGCCTCTATGGAAGAAATTAGACAATAATTCCTTGTTAGATATAATGCTGTTTAAGCTGCTATTGAAAAGGAAAGACTTGTTAAATAAGAATAAAAGCTCAAGGAAAAGGCCAAAGAAGGTGGAAACATGAGTAAATAATTAATTAATTAATATTTAAATTAAAAAAAGAAAAATTATATCTGTTTTTTAAATTAACTACTTTTCTATTTTAATTTTGCTTTCGATCAAAATAATCAAATTTATTTATTGGTGATTAAAATAACTTATTTAATTATTTAAATTTAAAAATAGTGTTTGCAGGTGCTAATAAATTCAGATCTGGAAACGATAATGTCGATGAATTTGCTGGACTCGACTAAGCTTTCAATTTATTATCTGTTCAAAGATAATTAAGAGATGCTGAAAAGGATGAAGAAACTACTTCTTAATTAAAAACAGTTGCTGATGCTGAATATGTCTTCAAATACTTGCTTAAGAAGCATGGTGAATTCTGTACTAAGGCTGAACCCTCTGATAAATACTATAAAATTAAATTTGTTGGTGTTGACAATAACAGTAATCCTCTTGAATTCACAGCTGAAATAAAGAAGGTTGATGAAGAAGTCAATGTCTTAGACTTCCAAAAGGTCCGTGGTTCTGCTTTACCTTACTTCGAAACTATCAATAAAATTAAGGAATAAGTTGCTGCCTTCTGAACTATAATTTGATGGCTAGATTAATATTATTTAATCAAAAATTCTCCTTCTCATTTCTCTTTAGAATACAAATAAAAAGTACTGATATAAATAACGAAAAAACTGATATGGGAAATAAAAACTTTTATAAATGATTTTTGAGATAAAATAAATAAATAAAGTAAATGAATAAACCAATAAAATATTTTAAATTTATTACATACATAATACATATACTATATATCTTACTCTCAGTTAAATAAAAGTTTTGTTTTCCTTATTAAAACTCTTTTTTTTTTACAGAAATGCAAATAAAAATTGAAAACTATTCCATGCTTATTTACTTACTTCACATTCAATATTAAAGTTTTTTATAAAATGATATTTTTTAGAGGCAATTTTGGTGTTATAATTGAAAAAAAATAATATAAATAAATACATACATTTACACAATATCATAAAAATATTAAAAAAAACATCAACAAAAATATTTCTAAGCATACACATGTTAGTAAACAAAAGTTAGAGTTCGTTTTCAAAAGATTTTTCAGTTTTCCAGAATTTTTATTCAATAATTAAGTGTTTTTATCTAATCCAATATCAAGATCGTTTAAAAGCTAAACTTAGTCATCTACTTCTTCAACTATGTTTTATCCACCTGTTTTTATTTTGTTAACAGTACTGAGCATAACTTATATTTATTTATCTTAACTGTCCAACTCTTATTGTTAGTATTTATAAATTTATTTGTTTGTCTGTCCTTCAATATCATATTTTTCTTAAAAGTTAGCTGGTTTTTACATTTTTTAATTTTTAGATGCCATTTTATCTTATTATATTAAAGTATCTAACTATTGTTTTTTTTACTTCTCAAGTTCAACTATCATGCTTCTTCGTTGCTCAATTTCTCTTGCAGTGAGTCCCAAGTTTTAAAGATTTCTTTCTTAATCCTGTACGAGTTAAGTAATTTTTAAGATATCAGATTCAAAACTTTTTAGTTATCCTCTGATTTCTGAATCAATAGAACCTAGAGATTTTCCTTAAATTTTCATTTACTCTCGCTTTGTTATGTCTCTTGTTATTGATAGCTATAACTTTTTTATTTGGTCATATTCTTATCTAAATTAATCTTTCATTTTTAAGCTAAACTTTCTTAAATTATATGTATTTTTTAATATTTTAAATGAATTTTAATTAATATCCTATCAAATTTGATCAAAAAATAGTCAAAATGAATTTTAATTTTTTAAAACAGAAATTTTCAGAAAAGAGCAAAAAATTCTGAAATGAAAAATTAAGTCATGATTTAATTCTTTAAAATAATTTCATATTAAACAAGAATTAATTTATTTTAATAAAGATAAAAAATTTTAATCAAAGTTGACACAAAAAGATCTACTTTTTATAAAACACAAACCAAATAATTTAAATATCCTTTTTTGCCTAATTTTTAAATTAAAAAAATAAAGTAGATGATAAATAAAAAATATTTTAAACTTAAATTATTTATTTTTTGTTATATTTTGTAAATAAGTTAAATTAAAAAAATAGAAGATAAACTGAAAGATATATAGAGGTATGTAAAATAATTTATGTGATTTATCATGAATGATATTTTTTTGTTTAAAATTTAGTATTATTTTCAAATACGATATTTAACTTTTAAAATGATTAAATTTATTAATTAAATTATATATATAAAGTCTTTTAATTTTAAAAGATGTTATTCTAAATTAGTATTAAATATTTTTAACATCTAAAATCTTTGTTACTTGTGAAAGTAAAAAAATAATAGAATGAAAAAATTATAAGATTTTTATATTAAGATTAGTATTGCTAAATAAAATTAATCTAAAAAGTTTATGGCAATTTATTAATAGAGATAAAGAATAAATCAAAGCCAAATATTAATACAAAATATAAATATTCAAATAATTATACAATTTATGGTATGTGGATAATAAGGACTCAATAAAAATAATGAAATAACCATTTTAAAAAAATTGTGGAATCAGTCATAATAATAATTTATGCATTACTAAAATATTAAATTCACAAGATAAATATCAATCAAAATTATTAATAAAAAATATTAAATTTCTTATTGAAGCTGGAAGATTGGTTATTGTCTTTTATTATAATTGCAATTAAATTTAGAGGTTACGAATACTTATTAAATAACAATTCAATAGTTTCGCTCAGCAAATAGGAAATATTTTATAAATCAAATTCTATTATCTTGTCAATGTCTTCTTCAACAAACAATGCAAATGCAAATAAGCAGTCTGATGGGATGCCTAAAGGCTAAGTAAATTAGCAAACCTCATCACAATCTAATTCGTTAGGTTTAGCATAACAAGTACAATAGTAAAAGGAATTGCAGTAAAGTGGAGGTAGAGTATAAGCATGCCCTGATGGGAGCCAACCAGTTTCTAGAAGGAATTCAAATAATCATTAAAATGATAAATAATAGCCATAAGCAAAAAATGGCAATCAATAGGGTTCTCACGTAAAAGAAGTAAATGTCAATTATTCAGATGATGAAATTCACATCAATCCAGATTTGGAAAAATTTTTCAAAAAAAGAGAATTCATTGAATAAATATAGAAGCCAATGCTACGATCAAGCTAAGATAGATTTGGTGATGTTAAATCTGCTGGTTCTAGTGTTGGAGCATAATAGTCAGTTAACAATTAAAGAAGAGCTTTACATTAAATGGGATTGATAAGCAAATAGGAATCAAATAATGAAGCTACTAAATTAAATAAACTCAAACGCTATTCAGATAAATTAAGCAACGCCATTAAGTCATTACAACAATGGGAAGAACCTTTAGTTTAAATGGGGGTTGCAAAAACTCCTGATGAAAGGTTTGAAAATGCAGAAAAGGTATTAAATCGTTGGTAGGATTTGGGTCTTATTGATGGGCCAGATACAGAATAAATGATGATGAAATACCCTGAGTATGAAAATGAATTATAAAATGAAAAAATAAATCCTAAAATTAAGAACAATCACAATTCAAATCATTTTCATAGCGATAAATATAATTAAAGCTTAAATAATTTTAATAGAATTAATAAAGATGATGTTGACTAGGATTAGGAAATACCAAAGACAAATTTTAAGATAAGGAACAATAGAGATGGTTCGTAAACTAACAGATATAAAAATGGAACAGGAGATTTGCACCGCTAAGTTTAATAATCTCCTAGATTGAACACAGAAAAGAATTTAAAGGAAGAATTATAATAACATTCACTTTAAAATAATATGTTCACTCCTTAAAATAAACTAAGAAAGTCTTCTTAACAAAACCCCAAGAGAAATCTCAATATGCTAGATGAATAGATAATAAAGAATCTTAACGAAAATAAATTTTTGGAAGATTAAAAAAATTAAATAATGGCCAATAATCTTAATCACCAACATAGGCCTTAATACTAGTAAAAATTATTATCTAACACCTAACCTATAGCTTAAAATAATTTAATGTCTTCATCTTAAAATGAATATGGAACATCTCCAAATATAAACAATTCAGTAAATGGTCATATACTTCAAGCTCGTCCTAGGCTAAGAACTCCTAAAAAGAGTGAAAAATTAAATGCTCCACCTGAATATAACGAAGCTATTACAAATGAAATAGAAAAATAATATAGAATGCGTTACTCAAGTGCAGAACCCCATACTAACAACTAACATAATTTATACGATTCTACTCCAGGAAACAGCTACTAAAAGTATGGTACTTCTTTCTTGTAGCCATAAAGCACAAGGAAGGATACCTATGCAAATACACATCGCAGTGGAGATGAAAATGAAGTTTCCTCTTTGTTCCCATAAATCCACAATTTCTCAGAAACATTTAGACTTACATCAGGAGGAAAATTAAAAAATTCAATGAACCAATCAAGAGCTGAAACTCCTAAGAGAAAGACAAACTACGTATCAACAGCTTATCCACATGCTACATTAATGGGAAATTAAATACGTGGAAGTACTCCTAAATATTAAAATAGAAACCAATTATGATTTAAATGAATATGTTATAGAAGAATTAATTTCCATTTCTTGAATGTTTTATATATCCTTTTAATTATAATATTATTATTTCTTTACATTTAAATATATCTTGTCAAATATTAAATTTACACTCTATTTAAGGCTTCTTAACATTTTATTATAGTAAATGAGATTTAATTTAACAAATCAATCTATTCTTAAATTTAATATTTTATTTTTTTTATTTAAAAAATTTTTATTTTGAAAAAGTGAAAAATAATAAATTTAAAAAGATTAAAATAAAAGGTAATTATTTGGAAAAAAACTGCTTCATACATGAAGGATGTAATAATAGATTATGAATTCCTACTAAATATTAATCTACTTCTTAAGAATAGAAAAATTTATATGGTTGTTGTAGCATTTTTATAATTTAAAATACAAGTAAAAATAAAAATCAACAAACTGAAAAAAATACGTTATTTTTATTTAGATTAATGATGATTGGTATCTACTAAAATTTCTGATAAGCAAATAAGGAAGGTTTATTATGTGACATCGTAAATTATTTAAAAAAATCCTTAACAAATTTTATATTTCACAAACTTTTTATTTTTAATTTTATGAATTAAATTTTTTTTGTTATTGTAAATTTTTATTTAAAATATTTACTAGATTAATGCTTTGTTTCTATTTTATGAATCAAATAGCATGAATATATACAATCTTGTTATATTTAATAGATATCTCTTATTTTATCAGAACCAGAAATTTGTATTTGCATAAAAATTAATAAAAAATTTAATAATATTTATATTAAAAAACCTAAAGATAGCAAAGTAATAAATAACTAGCATTTATTTTATAGGATATAATGCCTAAGCTAAATTAAGTTAAGGAAAGATATATTTACCTCTCACCAACAGTTTAAGCTGGTTGGGAAGATGAGTCAAACATTAATGACTTTGATGGATAAAAGGTTTTAGGAAAAGGTATATTTTTTGTTGGCAATTAAAGTTATTATTAAGATTTCATTTTTTATTTTAATTTTTAAAAACTAAATTATTAACTTAATTTAATGGATTATTAGGTGCTTTTGGTAAGGTCATTAGAGTATTACACAGGAAAAGCTAATTAATTTATGCTATTAAGGAAATCAATAAGAAAAATCTTAAATTAAACAATATGGTTGAATAAGTCACAAATGAAGTTAAAATTATGTACTCTTTAAATCATCCTTACATTTTAAAGCTATACAACCACTTTGAAGATGATACAAATATATATTTAGTATTAGAATATGCTTAAGGGGTAAGATATCAAAAAATTTATACAGATATCAGATTTTGCAAAAATTATTTTTAAAAATTAAATTAATTAGGGTTAACTCTATGTTCAACTATGGAAATAGCCAAATCATCAATTTGAAGAAAAGAAAGTAGCAAAAGTAAATTTAGTTAATGTATCTCAATCGTTATTTAATTTAGTATAATTATTTGAATAGTACATATTTTAGCTTTGCAAGGCACTAGAGCTATGTCATTCTAAAGGAATTATTCATAGAGATATAAAGCCTGAAAATATATTATTGGATAAAGATGGAAACGTAAAGTTGGCTGATTTTGGATGGTCAAATTTTAAATAAAGAGAATCTGATATTAGAACAACATTCTGTGGTACATTAGATTACTTAGCTCCTGAAATGTTATAGAGCAATCATTAACATGATTTTGGTGTAGATATCTGGTCTGTTGGTGTCTTAGCATATGAACTTCTATCAGGTGCTAGTCCTTTTGCTCCTAAAAACAATCAAAACAATGCTGATTATGTCGAAAATACTACTAAATAAAATATTAAAGTATATTTTTTATTTAAAAAATCATTATTTAAGTAATAATTAAATAAATAAAGAATCTAAGATATGAATATCCTAAAAATTTCCCTATAATGGCTAAAGATCTTATAACTAAGATTTTAGTTGTAGATCCAAAATCAAGACTTTCTTTGAAGGAGATACTAGCACATCCATGGATTTAAAGTAATTAAATTTTTAGCAAATCATATCTAAGTAAAAAATATTAAAAAGCCAACTGCCAAAATGAGAATATCTAACTTTTTGAAACAATTGATAGTGGAAAAGAAGTCAAAAAAGGTAAACTAACTGATGAGACTGGATAGGAAGTGAAAACTGTTTTCACTAATGAGGAAATATATAAATATTCAAGACCTGATAGCGTAAAATTCTTTTATTTATGAGACTTTAATTAATTAAAACGAATAAATTAGATTATAAACAAAGACTATGATGAATCGTTTACTAAAAAGGAAAATTTTTAAGGCAGGTAAAATCATATAAAAATATTATTGTTTATTAATAAAAATATTTTTAAAATTTAAATAAATAGTTCAAAAAATATTTCGAATGCAAGCTTTATTTAAAATGCAAATTCTGGTGATTTAAATAAAAAAATTATTGACCAACTGCAGACTCAAATTAAGAAACTTCAATCTGATTACTAAGCAGCAGAATTAGAAAAGTAGAAGAAGAATAAAGAAGTTGAATCACTGAAGTAGCAGTTAAACTATATGAGTAATAGCAGCTAATCAGGAATGGATTCAAAAATGCTTGAAAAGCTTAAAGAAAAAGATGAAAAGTATAATTTACTCAAAAAAGAGTATGATTACATTAAAGAAAAATTTACAGAGTAAGAAAAAATCATCGAAAAAATGCAAAAATCTTCCTAGTAATCTACTTAATACCAAGGAAATTCAGATGAAATTGATAGATTAAAAGATGAGAATTTGTTTTTGAGAGCACAAAATGACTAGTATAAAACATAACTGGTAAATTACTTATTCCCTTAAATTTAATATTTTAGAATTATAAAAAATATTTTAATGGAGATATATTAATTAACATTTTATAATTTTATTAGAATCAGTAAAAGAGCGTCTCAGATAGAAAAAGCCCTATAGAAGATATGATGTAGAGAATAAACGAGTACAGAGAAAAATACGAAAAGATGAAAGATGAGTTATTAAAAGTATAATTTTAAATATTAAATTGAAATTTTATTTATTTATATTTTTTGATTAGTGTCAGTAAGAATTAATAAAACTGTAAAGTTAAAAATCTGGAAACTTATAAAGTAGTGTTACTTCCAACTCCTCAAGCCAACAATTAGGAGATTTAGATGTTTATCTTGAAGAATTAAAGTAAAAGTAGCTCAAATAATTAAATGAAGTAACTAAAAAAAAGTGAAAATTTGTTAATTTATTTAAATAAATTTGTGTTTATGCTTACAAAAAATTAAATTGGTAAATTAATTATAAAATACAATAAAAAATAACTCAAAAAAATTAGAATTTAAATTAATTTCACAATTTAATTAAAAATAAATTTTATAATGTGTATTTATTTTATCAAATTTTGTATGTAAATCAAAGTAATTAAAAATGATAATGTGTAGCATAATAACGAACTTAAGTTTTTTAGTAATACTTTTGATCAAATTGAGGGTGCAACCTTATCAGAAACATTGAAAATTAAGTTGGATTTCCTTTATAATTTTAGTTTTTCTACATATAATTATTTATTTGATTACTAACAAATTAAAATTTATTGACCGTCCAAATGAAAAGATTTTTATTAATACGTAATTAATTATTTAAACGTGTAAATAAGTCATATCTTTTGATTGTAATATTAAAAGAAATTAGAAAACTTAAGTAATGTTCGATAGGAAAATATGCAAAAATATCTAAATAATATAAAAAAATTACGTCTATCTCGACTAACCAAGGTTATATATGTAGAACTTAATAATATAAACAAAAGTATTTATTTTTAGTTTAATTTTTTGATAAACCACATTTATCGTCATTTCAGCTCTCAGAAAATAAATATTCAATTTCGTGGATTGAATTAATTTTTATACTAACATTTAATACATTTGGTTCTATCGCAAAAACTAAATTAATGTTATTCAATATTCCAACATATTGTAGATAAAATTAAGCTTTATCAAATAATTTCACTTTAAGTATGATTATTTTCCCCCTTTGTGTTAAATAATAGAACTTAACAATAAACTTTATTTAGTGCTATATATAGATAAAAAGTATATTTCAGATAAAAGATATTAAATAAAATCAATTATCTCAAAAGAACTTTCTAATATTTTAATAAAGCAAAATTTTATGTCAAGTAGTTTTCACTTTAGTAAGATGAATTTTATTTTTCAACAAGAAAAAGTGAAATGATTGAGTTGACTTGACTTTATTAGCTTTTTTTAAATAAATCAGATTAGATTGAGTGTTTTAAAAAGAATTCAGCATTGAAATAGAGTGATTTGTCAGAATATCGTTCATTGAGGTTTTTGGATTAAAGAAAATAAGCACTTATTATTCATTTCTATTACAAACAATTTTAAAGTAATAATATGTGTGACGATATTTACGAACTACACTTTGTAGTTAACGAAAGCTAATTAATGCACAATTTAAAAATAAAATCAACTATCAATAGTTTTGAGAAAGATATTAAAAAAATTAGTGTTTGTTTTGTTTGTACTTTTAAATTTTGATTTTTACAAAATTAAAAAATTGTTTAAAACAAGTTAAAACTAATTAGAACTCCCTACCTACCTACCTGTAATATTTTTGTTGCTTATTTTGTTTAGGAGCTAAGAAAAATAAATATATAAAATTGCCTCTTTGAAACTTTCTTAGACATTTATTAGTAATCTTTAAATTTTATATTATGGTCAAATCTTCTATTTGACTGCAATTAGCATGGATTAATTTATTTGATAATATTTTTAAGCTCTATCCCGATATGTGTATTCATAGTGAAAGGGTTGATTAATATTTAATTTGTTGTTTTGAGTAATTTAAAGAAAATTAAGATAAAAATAATATCAAATAATAAAATAACTAAAAAAAAAATTAAATATTGTTTATCTTATCAAATTATTAAAAAATTCAAATAAATATAAAAGTATGGGTAAGGTATTTTAGTTTTATGAAGGAAAGACCGTTTTATTGACTGGTATAACTGGCTTTTTAGGAAAGGTCATTTTCGAAAAGTTTCTCAGAACCCTTCCTATGGTCAAGAGAATTTACGTGTTGATTAGAAGCAAGAAAGGTAGTCCCGTTGAAGAGAGATTCAAAAAAGTTATCCATGATTCTGAAATATTCGAAAGATTGAGATAAGAAAAGGGAGATAATTTTTTCAACTATCTTTTCAGCAAAGTTGTTCCTATTGAAGGTAAATAATTAAAACATCTTTTTTATTGCAAAGGCTTTGATTATCACCATTTTTATAATCAACACTTATTGAAATTTAAGTTATTTTCTTCCAAAAGCTCTTTGAAACTAACATTTTAATGAAACTAAAGCTTCTAAGTATATAAGATAACATTTACTATGTCGGATATTAAAATATTATTTAATATTTAAAAATATAGTAATAATATAATTTTTACAATTTAAAAGAAATAAAGCTTGGATTCAATTGTTAAAGCATTAAAATTTTATACCATATTACCAATTCGCTTTTAACTAAATTTACTATTCAAATAGGTGATTTATTGAAGGAAGGATTAGGATTATCAAAGCAAGATTATCAAACTATCACATAAGAAGCAAATATTGTTATTAATTGCGCTGCATCTGTTGATTTTAATGCTAAATTAGAGGAAGCAATTAATATAAATGTAAGAGGTTCTCTAAGAATGATGGAATTATCAAAACAATGCCTTTAACTTGAAAATTTCGTCCACGTTTCTACTTGTTATGTCAATAGTGATAAACGTGGCTGGATTGAAGAAGATATTTATAATACTGAATAAAATGCACGTTAATTGATGGATGATTTGATGAAAATGCCTCCTGCTGAATTAGAACGTTAGACCAAAACAATTTTAGGCAATTACCCTAATACTTACGTTTTCACAAAAAGTGCAGTCGAGCGTATTATCAAGGCTGAACGTCCTCCAAACATGACCATAACTATAGTGCGTCCTTCTATTATCGGAGCAGCTGTAAGCGAACCTTGTGTCGGATGGGTCGAAGGTGTAACTGCTGCCTCTGCTGTCTTCTTACTTTCTGGTATTGGTATGCTTAAGTATATCCATGCTAATCGTAATGCTATTGGTGATGTTGTTCCTGTTGATGTTGTTTCTGATTAAATTATAGTTACTGGTGCCTTATGCGCTAATCTTAGAGATTTATCAGTATTTAATGCATCTACTTCAAGTAGAAATCCAATGCTTTGGGAAGTTTCAGAAAGAAATACCGTCTAATATTGGAGAGCTAATCCTCCTGAGAAACGCTTGGGTAGTTGCGAAGCTTAACTTATTAAAGATGAAAGACATCTCAGATTTAAGCAAATTATGCGTCGTATCCCAGCTCTAGCTTATCTTAAATTATCTAATTTCGTTGGCAGCGAAAACATGAAGAAGAATGCTAACCGCTACTTGAAGGTAATTAGATTAAATTTTGATAATTTTACAAAGTGCAAATAAATTAAAAAATATTTATTTTTTTAAATTTAGTTTCTAAATAGATATTTTTTAAATATTTATTATCAATTTGAAAAAGTAAAAAATAAATAAAAAAAATAGCGCTTTTTATTTATTTCTTTTTAATTTACTTATTTACTTACTTACATCTCTAGTACTCATACTTTATACTTTGATTAATTTATTAAAAATTAGCTACTAAAAAAAGTTAATTAATTTATATAATTAAATAAAAATTAGATTATTTACAAAGCTGAATCAGTAAGCGCTACTTTTAGCCATTTCGCTTCAAATGAGTGGATTTTCGATAGCAGAAAAATCGAAAAAATGATTGATTAGTTGGATGAATAAGAAAAGAATGCTTTCTATTTGGATGTATCTGGTATTAATTGGGATAACTACATTTTAATGTTTAACTGGGGTATGCATAGATATGTCCTCAATGAAAAAGTTGAACCTCCTGTTTCAGACAAAAATGATATTTTAAAAATTAACAATTAGGCAAAATATCCTTACTTCTCTGATATCAATTGGGCACTTAGCTCTGGAAAACCATTTAAGCCCCGTTCTTATGAAGAGTATAAATCACTTTTATTTAATTCTTCAGCAGTTCAAGATGCTATCTCTTTAGTCATCGAATAATAAACTAAAAAGCAAGGTTTTTCTTAAGGATTAGTTGAAAACGTAAACAAAGAAGCTCATGCTATCATTAAAGAAATGATTTCAAACTATAAAATGTCTACTTTGAGAATGATGGCATGGTTTTTACACAAAGTCTTTAAATAAATCTATGAAAAAGTAGTTATTGACGATGTCAATCTTAAGGCTCTTGCTAATCATAATGTTAAAAAAGATGGACCTCTTATTATGATTCCTACCCATAGATCCTATATTGATTTCCTCCTCGTTTCTTATATTTTCTTTGCATATAAAATGCAATGTCCTCATATTGCTGCTGCAGAAGATTTCTTGAATGTTACTGTTGTTCATCATATCCTCAGAGCCTGTGGTGCTTTCTTCACAAAACGTAATCAAAAAGAAAATCCTTTGTACAAAGCTATTTTCTACGAATACGTATAAAGATTATTGATGGATGACTGTATGCTTGAATTCTTTGTTGAAGGTTTCAATTATTATTATTAATAATATTTCAAATTTTAATTTAAAATTTTTTAAATTTAGGAACAAGATCTAGAAGTGGTAAAATGCTCCATCCCAAGTTTGGAATAATGGGTATAGTAGCTGATGCTGTCTTCGACTCTAAAATTCCAGATGCTAAAATTGTTCCAATTACTTTGAATTATGATAAGGTCCTTGAAGGAGATACTTTCCCTTATGAATTATTAGGTGAGGAAAAGGTCAAAGAATCCCTTCCTCGTTTAATTAAAGCTATTAAGACCCTTAGCATGAATTTTGGAAGAATTCATGTAAATATTTGTGAACCAATGAGCATTAAATAATATTTAGCCACAAATTATCCTACAGCTGATTTAACTAATCGTGTTTAAAGAAAAAGTATTATTGAAGACCTTTCTTATAAAATTGAATATAAATTAACTGATGCTCTCGTCTGCATGCCTACAGGTATTGTTTCAGCTATTATGCTCTAATCAAGAAAGGGTATTACTGAAGATAAACTTATAAATAAGGTACACTGGGTTAGCTAAAGAATAGTTGAAAGAGGTGGTATCCTTGCCTTTACCCCAGATGTATCAGGATCTATGATTGCTACCAGATCATCTATGAATTTGCTTGAAGGTATTTTGCTTAAGACAAAGAAGAATGTTTTTGAACTGGAAGTTACTTCAGATACCGAATATAAAAACGTCTTAATGCTTTCATATTACCGTAATTAAATAGTTCATCTTTTTATATTAGAAGCTATTGTCTGTGTTGCACTTACTGCTTTTGGACCTAACGTTGCTTTCAAGGAAGGAGTTTCACTTGAAAGAATATGGGAAGAATCATCCTTCCTTATAGAACTTTTCGAGCGTGAATACGTTTTACCAAACGTCCCTAAAACACTTGAACAATTCTCAAAAACTTTATTAGCAAAGATGATTGAATTAAAGGTTTTAAAGGTTAACGAAAGTGGTAAGATTTGCATTGTTGATGAAAACCAAGTTTCTTTCTATAACTCCCTCATTTATCCTCTTGTTGAGAGCTATTGGTCAGTCCTTTTGAATTTCTACACATTATCTCAAAGCAAGACTAAATTTATGCCATTAAAGAAGTTCTTATAACAAGCTTAATGGTTTACTGAAAATATGCACGATGAAAGAATTATCTAACATCATGAAAGCTGTTCTCTTGACACAATTAAAAATGCTATTTAAAAATACAAACATTTCAAATTAATTCGTACATATACTGATGCTGATAAATCTGGCGCAGAGGAGAACATTCTTCTCTTAGTAAACGAAGAAAAGCTCAACGAACTTGAAACTCACATATAGAAATTCTTAAAGAAAGGATTCTCTTAAAGCGGATCAGTTAGTGATCTTGCTAAACGCACTTTACTTTCTGAGTATCCAATCTTAGCTAGATTATGATTTATTTAAATTTATTATTTCATTATTAGTGTGTTAATTGATTAACAACTCCAAAATATCCATTCGATTATTCTAATTCAAAACATTTAGTCTTATATTATGTCATATTTAGATTTATTTTTGTAAGATATCAAAATTAATTTTAGATTAATTATTCTTTCAATTTGTATTTATTATTTCAACATTTTTTTTCAAATCATTTTGAAAACATTTTTTTTTTCATTTAAGGTAATTTTTCTAAACAAAAAAAATACTTTTTAGAAAATAAAATTTTGGTTGTGAGAAAATTTTTATTTGTTTAATTTTTTATTTTAAGTGTAAGTTAAAATGAAAAACTAATTAGTAAATATTCATTTTTTTGGAATAAAATAAAGCTAATTTTAATTTACGAGCTAATTTCTTTCTCATGGTGTTGTAAATACTTATATTTATTATAATTAATTGAATGGTGAGATTATTAAAATAACTACTTACATAAATCAATCTAAAATTCTAAAAATTATTTATTAATTTTATTCATTCAATTAAAATATCCAGAAAATAAGGAGCTATAATCGATAGATGTAAGAATAAAACTAGTCATTAAAATACAATGAAGAAGAATTATCATAGATTGATGAATAGCTTTCAAAATAAGACATTTTCTTATAGCATTTAAAAAAAGTATATGGATATAGGAAATATAGATGTAAATCAACAGGAAAAATTAAAAATAAGTAGCTTTATGAAAACTAATTTATGATCTAATAAAGGACTGATTAAAAAAATCCCAGTGAAATAGATTCATAATAGTACAATAGTTTAATGGATGCCCAAATATAAAAGTAAAATAATAGAGCTACATAAAATTTTTTAGATATCTCTCTATAATCCTAAGAAGAGCACAATAATCTATCAACAAATGAATGCGAAAATAAATCTATTATTGAATCTAATGTTGATTAAAGTATTTCAAAAAATACGGACTCCTTACTTACAAAAAGAAGTAATTATATTGAGTTACTTCGTTAAGAAAGAAGTAAATTGCACAAAAGCGAAGATCAATAAATTAGTATAAAGAAGAGAATTAATATTTTGAAGCAGCATGAAGATAATTTAAGAAGAGTAAGATAAGAATCAAAAACTACTGCTTTTGGAATATATTCTACAAAAAGACGTATTTTTGAAGAAGAATTAATTGTATATTATTTACTTTATATTTCTAAACATATTGTAAAATTTCTCAAGAGTGGTATTGGATTGGTGGTGTAATATAAATATCTAAAATTTTTAAAATTATCAATTCAATGAAATACTAAACATTCCAAGATTATTACTTATGGAAATTTTAGTATAAATAAATATTTTATAAAATAATAGTATATTATTATGTAAATTAGAAATAAGATATTGAGGATGTGTCAAAGATGCAAATCAGTATAAGAAATGAGAATGCAAAATAAATAAGAGAACAACTTGCCAAAAGTTTATATGATTCAAAATAAAAGTTGAAAGAAAAAATGGTTTAAGATGGAGCTTATGTTCGTTAAATGACTAAAGCTAATGAGGAATAAAGATAAAAAGAATTAGAATAACTCAGCTTTATATAAAGAGAAAGAGTATAAAAAGTAAAAGAATAATTAAACAAAAGTCATGAAGCAATAGAAAGATTTAAAGAATAAAAATAGATGGATTATAAAAAATCATATGAATAAAAACTCACTATACATAAATACTTAGTCAATGAGAAATAAAAAGAGCTAAATAAATTAAAATAAGCAGAAAAACAACTTGTCAAGAAGCTTTCAAGTAGTAAAATTTTAACGTTGTAATAAAATAAGATGCTTCAGTTTTCGTATTATCACAATATAATTTAAGTTGGAGAATAATATCCTTAAATAAAAAAAGAATATGAATAAAAAAATCATGTTCATGACTTTAATGGATTAAATTCTTCTAAATCACCTAAAAATAATAAATCTTTAAATTCAAGCTTCGAAAAATCTGATAGCAATAGTATACTAAGAAGGAGATAATCAAATTATTTTACTTAAGCCAATACAAATCAAACCTCTACAAAAAACTCCTAAAAAAATTTATTTCCCTACTAACAAAACTAAAATATTTTTAAATCAAGTGGAAATTCTCCTAAAAGGTCTAGTTCTGTTGTAAGTAGCTCTTACTTGAAAAGTAATTATTTCTCTTTTTATACATTCTTTTAATTTGTTTTAATTACACTAAAAGATTTTAACATTAAAAATAAGTAAATTAAAAACAAATATCATAAAAATATATAAATGAAATTAATTAATTAATTAATAACAAAATTAATAAATTCAACTTTAAAAATGTAGGAATTTTAGAAAAATACTCTGAAAAGCATCAATAAATGATTTGAGTCTATTAAAAATAAATGGATGATGAAATGATTAGTATATCATCAATCAACAATTAATGATTAATTAAATTTATTTAAACAAAGTTTTAATATAAAAAAATTGCTTAAATTATAAAATACACCTATCTAAATTATTGTTTATGTACATGCATAATTACTATTTGGTTTATAATATATTGCGTTTTATTATATTAGTATTTTAATTCAGTAAAACTACTTTATCAAAGTAGAGCTTTAAATTTGTTAAATTAGAATTCTAGTCAACTAGCTACAACTTCTATTCACATACTGCAAATAAAAATTAAGAAATAGAAAGTTGTTATCAAATTTTTATATATTAAATAAATAGCTTGTAAAAAACAACAATTACTAGAAATGAAATAAGGCTCAGGGAAATTCCAGCCCAAAAATTAATAAAATGCTAAATCCTAAAACAATTCTCAGTTATCAGCAAACCGTAAGGGAAAAATAGGGGGAGGTGATGGCCAAAAAACCGAAGAATAGCTAGATTAGCATCAAAGTATTAAGCAATCAAATTATTTAGATGAAAGTAAGTTAAATTAGAATGATAATTAAATCCTTGATCAACAAGAAATGACTGAAAGCTAATAATACTACTAAGACAATGATAATTCAGATCATAATTACAGGTATGATGACGAGCTTGGGAATTAAAATTAATCTTATAATTTATCCTAACATGAAAATAATAATCATATTATTCATGCTTCTGAGCTTTAAAGCTAGAATAATTTTGACAATTAATATTAAAATGGAGATAATGACCATAAAGATTTCAATAATTCATAAAAAAACAACTTTTCTTTCAAAAATTCCAGACAATCAGGCAGAAAGTAATAAACGGTCAATGGCGATTAGGATGATGACAATAACTATCAAAATCAAAATCATGATTAAAATTAATAACACTAGAACTTAGAAAATTAAGAAATATATGAAAACCATAAATCGCTAGCATAATCTAGTAGAAATAGTAGTTAAGAAAGGAATTCTGTTCATTAAAATGATTTGCACTAGAAACAACATAAAAAGTCTGAAATACATGGAAATCCTTAAAGCTGGAATCACATAGAATATGATGAGTAAGGAGAGCCGATAGTAGTATAGTAGGAAGTCAACCATTACACAAGTTAATTAAACAACTCTTAAAAAAAATAATAAGCAAAAGTTAATTCTACTAGCTAAAAATAAACTGATTAAGCTAAAAAGCAAAAGAAATCTGAAATTGATGGAAATCCTACTAGCTGGAATCATATTGAGTTTAATGAAAAAGGTGACCCAATAATTGTTTAGTAATCGCAGAATTCTTATCATGATTATGTTAGTAAAAATTAAAATAAAAAGCACATAAATAGCAAAGAGACTCATATTGAGAATAAAGAAACCTTAAAAGTTGATCATATAGAAAAGAGTACGAAATAAAGTTTTGTTTCAGTAAATAGTAAATAAGACATTAGTTAATCTACTACTGAAATAATACCTCAGAAAATCAACTTGACCTATGAAGAATACATGAAATAAAATAAAGATCATTTTAAATAGATAGAAGAGGAAACCAAGGAAGGAATTCATAAACCTGATCAAAAGAATTAAAATTTGAACACTAAAAAAGAACAAAAAGCTCCAATACAATAAAAAAATTAAGAAAAAAATGACAAAAGTAAAAAGGTTGTTGATTAAGGAAATCACAACAATCTCTAGGTAGAATAGGCTAATAAAAATTCAACAAATAGTTTTTTGAAAGTAGATCATTCGGATATAGATCAGAGAAGTGCTTAAGAACACTCAGTAATAACAAACAACATGAATTTTGGTAATTTAATTAATAATAATTACTTAATTTTTAAATAAAACTTATTTGTATAGATAATTAAACTATTTAAGACGAGGAGTTAAGAGGTGAGTATGAAGAAGACACAAATATTAATTCTTTGATTGATGACCGACTATCTACTAAAAAGATGATGATTAGTGACAAGTCTTTTAAAATTGATTTAATACTTAATCATCAGCCAACAATTAGCCCAGAAAATTTGAAGTATGCGGAGAATAAAGAAAAATTTTAACTTTTCTTTTAAAGGAATGCTGATAAAATACTTAAATAAATTTAGAAACAAGGTATCTATAAAGAATCTTAAAATGAAAGTGTGATTAAATTTTAGGATTTCCAATAGTTTATTAATAAAATATTTGAAAGCGATAACTTTGTTATCATAGAATCAGAGCAAAACAAGCAAAACATCATGAAGAATAAAAATATTTCTCTAATATTATCAGTATTTAAAATTTCAATAACTTTAAAAATTATATCAATCTTTTTTTTTAGACATTACTTAAAGAGTTCTTAAAGACTGTAAGGAAATTTGATGAAAAAACAATGGTTGATGAAAAAAACTTTGAATTAGGTATCGAAGATATGATGGATTTTTTTGAGTTTTGGATTAGAGTTGATGATTAAATATAAGTTAAATATGATTACTCAAGCCAACAGGAACAATAGAATGAATCTATAAACAAATCTTAAAACACTTAAAAATAGCAGAGCGCCAACCCAAGTGAAAATTAATCAAAGTACTTTTTATTAGAAATTTAAAAGAAAATAAATTAAAATAAATTTTGAAGGGAAATGTAAAAACCACAGTAGCCAGCTTTTGCATAAGCAAGGTTAAAAAGCCTTCTAGAAGGGAACATAAAAAAATTGGAGACTATCTAAAATGAAAGCATGTAAATCGATACATAATAATAAAATATTATTAATCAAACTCTCCAGTTTTTGAAATCGCAATATAAAAAATTTGAAAAAAAATCATTGGAAGATTAGTAGAATGAGAAAGTTTAAACTATTTTAAGTGATAGCGATATATAGCTTATATAATAGTAGATAACTTCTGTTTTTAAGGACTACTCAACAATGTTTTCTGCATAAAGTAAGAAATATACATTTGATGAGATTTAGCAATCTTAAAATTTTATGAACATTAATAATTATTTTAAATTTGTGAAGGAATTTGGTATCCAAAATGAAAAAGTCTAGGGTGCACAAATTATTGAAATATTTAATAGAAATTGCACAGGAAAACAAATGAATTATAATTAATTTTTAAATTCCTTACTCAAAATAGTAGAAATAAAAGAAAATTGCGTATTTGTGGATTAAAAAACTTAAATTATTGCGATTGCAAAAATGCTGAAGTTGAAAATTTAATTAAATACAAAAGATAACAATAAAATTAAAAAGTATACTATTGATAATTCTTCAAGTACCAAAAGCATAAATAGTCAAAACAGATCTTTATCACCTAAAAATGAAAGCTAAAACAGCACTGAATCGAACAAATTAAATTGGTCTGATTTAGAAAAGCTTTCTTATTAACAAATTAACAACCTAGGAAACAAAAAAGCTCCTAAAACAGAATAAAATTTATCACCCTAAAAAGTAAATAAAAGAGAAGTAGTGGTGAAAAGAGGAGCTGATCCAAAAAATAACCAAATTAATAAAAGTGAAGAGTAAAACAAAAATAAAAAAAATACAGATGATAATTTTAATCCTAATGATTTAATTGATGCAGATGATGAGCACGAAACAAATGAAATACTTGATAAATAATACAGAATAACTAAATAAGCTATTATAAGAAAAAAATCACCTGAGAGAGAAGAAAATTCTCCAAAACTTCCTCCAATAAATGGCTACAACTCAGATTTAAGCTCCAAGCCTCTTTCTGAAATTAGTTTAAAAAAAGATTCAATTACCAATGTGAGGATGATAAGGTAAATAAATAAAAGCCCTAAAGCCCAGTCTACTTCTCCTCCTCCTAAATAAATTTAACCTATTACAAGTAACATAGCCAAATCACCAAGATTAAATGGCATAAACGCTTACAGCATGAGATATAAAAATGGAAATGGCATATAAAGTGTTAACAGAGGTTCTTTAAGCCCAAATATTAGGAATACAATACCTTCAAAAAAACCATTAATAAACGAAAGCGCTGAAAAGGGTAAAATTCCTACTAAATTATTAGCAGAAAGTAATGTTTTAAATAACAATGTCCCTTAGCAGTAACTATCACCACCTATGTTTTAACAATAAAATAACCCATAAGAGGAATAGGCTATCTAAGATGCTATTATGAAATCAACATAGTTTAGAAATTTTCTTAAAAATAGAGCAATGCAAATATAAAATGATATGGTAAATATAAAACAGACTCCAAACCCTTAAGATTTTAACACTCCTACTAAATTTATAAATGAATAATAATAATAAATGCAAAATGCTTAATTTGCATAATATTCACTTCCACCATTTTCATATTAGTAACAACAACAGTAATAATAACCATAGCAGAATTTCTCATATAAAAAAAATAATTTGTAATAATAACCTAACTAAATTTAACAATAATAATATGCTTCACCATAGCTTCAGCCATAAAGCCCATCAAATATTGGTATAATACCCTAAAATATCATGAGTGGTAACTATTCATTTGGTAAAATAAATCAATACGCAAACAATCTAAACAATGATTAAAATATTCCAAATCAAGCCTTTGCTAGAGGAAGCTAGTTGCTATCATAAAATTAGCCAGATAACTTTTAAAATTCTGGTGTACGTGTTATACCAGTTATAAATCACCAAGGATTTAGCTAAGATAAAATGTAGTGAATAATAGTAACAATAATTATGTAGAAGCTAATTCTCAGAATTTATTCAATTCAGATTTATAAAATTTATATGTATGTATAATTTAAATTATTAAACTTAAAGTTATAAATTATTAATATTAATTGTTGATTATTTTTCTTGCTTGAAATACTTTACTTTCATTTTCATTAATAATATTTCTAGTTTCTCTTTAAAAATTAAATATAAATTTAGTATTGAAAAATGTTAAATAATTAAAACACAATTATAAAAATCTATTGTAAGAATGTTTGTTTATCAAGTATATTTTTTAAAAAGTTACATAAATAAAAAATTTAGAACATAAAAGAAATAAATATTTCTTAGTTTTTTTTAAAAGCACAAAGTTTCAAATAAAATTAGTAATTTTTAGGAATTTCCAAGTTTTTTAATATATTTTAATTTTAAATTAGTAATGAATTTTTTATATTGGATTTAATTAATTCTTTAGATTATTATTTAAGTTAAAAGAGTAAAAATTAATTTAGTTGTTTATCTTATTTTTTACATCTTTCTACTAATAATTTTAAATTGTTTATTTTTATTTATTAAATAATTTATTCAATCATAAAATTTTATTTTTAATTATTAAATCAATTAAATTTTTATTGTTAAATTTATTGGCAATTAATTAAATTTGGTTAAATAATTTGATTATTTTTAATTTAATTTGAGTGGATTTTTTCATCTCTAGTTGTTAAATCTACACTTTTGAAAATAATCCTCTTATTTTTATGTTGATTAGGATGGTTTTAGTTTTTGATAGTAGGTGGAAGCTTTGATGCTTGTTCCAAAGAATTTATCGATTTAAATGGAGAATACTTTTTAGCATTCAATTATCTTGTGATTCCTTAAAGCGGGGAAACAAGAAATTATCTATTTGATTATTAATTTTTTTCATCTTTTTGATTGTTCATTTAATTAAAAATTTCAGATTAAATATTTATAGCTAAGATAGGTTATGAAGGACTTCTCACTAGTTAGTTGATGTTAAATAAGCTATTACTATTCAATTTTATAGGAGACTAATCTAAATACTAAAGACTTTACTATTAATTAATTTATTTTTGGCTTATACTTTAAAGATTAGCTTAAGTTGGTTAAGTTAATTCTGTGTGATTTTAAGTAAACTCCATTATCGATGTTTACCCATTATTTGTGGTTAAATTACTTGGTATTAAATTAGTTAGGCTACTAGCGAATCTATAACTATTTTAATTAACTTAATTAAAAGTTTTGCTGTAATTTATCATTTTATTTATTTTGTTTTGGTTTAATTACTCTTACACTTAATTTTAATGAAGAGTAGCTTCACTTATTAGATTGCTTATTAGTTCTTACTATTCTAAATGCATTGGTGAATATACATCAGATTTTCTATTTGATTTCTAAGATTAGATTTATCTTTTTTAGCTTTATTCCTGTTATTATTTCAAATCTAACTAAAATTTGTAAAATCTTTAACCTGTTTTACTAAGTTTATTTTCACTATACTATCTCGTTTAAGGAGATAAAAGAGGGCGAATTTTCAGTTTTTAATTCTAGTTAGAGTCACTTCTATTTTATTAAATAACTTCATTCATAATTACAGGCCTTTCTTGACTATTTGAGGTTATTTTTAAAGGAGTCTGAGCCTCCATATGTAGATTATGTAAGAAATGCTAAATTGCTGCAGTTTAAGTTAATTCATTTTATGTTTATTGAGGAGAATAGTTATTCATACTTTTATTTTATAAATTCTGCTCTTAATTATGAGAGTTATTTTAATCTTGAGTTTACTTTTGATGGCTGCTGAAAATAGCTGAGGGATTTCTTTTGCTTTTTCTCAATATATGAATAAACTCTGAAGCATTTTATGATTTGGGTTAAAGCTGTTTAAATATTGAAGATTTTTAATCATAATTTTAATTAAGTTTTTGTTGGTAAGTCTAATTCTATTCAGGATATTCCTCTGTTATCTCATTTATTTTTTTCTGCTCATTTCTCTCAGTTTATATAGAATGAGGTTTATTTTAAGAATCAAAAAATGACTTCAAAGAATTAAAGTCTAATTATAAATTTTTGAGCGATGATTAATGTTAGATTTAATTAATAATTGAAGTAGCTTAATTATTCATTTTAATGCTTAAACTCTTTTTTTTCCTTATTATTTTTTTACCATTATCTTAATCTCTCCACTATTAAAATTTATCTTCAATATCCTTTTTGAGTACTTTCAACTTTCTTGAATCTTTTAATTAAAATATTTTTAAAGGCTAATCAAGCAGTAAAACATTTGATTCTTTTTTATTACTGTTTAGATGAGATTACTCAGAGCTACCTCTAGCAGTATGAGGCTTTAAACTATCAAATATATTCTATCTATGTGAATGATTATTATTATTATTTGTTGAATTAGGTAAATTTAAGGTTAAAGAACTTCTTACAGGAGTTTGCTATAGTTATTTAGTTGTGCTACTTTACATTTAAAGACTAGAATTATTCTCTTAAACTTAGTTTTATAGTGTGTGTGTACTTGATAGTGCTGGTGTCTAAAGTTAACTGTTAATTTCTGAGGTATCATTATTTATCTATTAAATTTAAGCAGGAGATTATGGATTTTATTTACTCGGATAGATATTTGGAGATAGAGCATGAGTCTAAATTTAACTGCTCTATAAATTCTGTGTTGGAGATGATTAGAGGCTAGGGGAATTTGGAATTTAGTTTTAAATTGTTAATGTTTTATGTCTTTTTTAACTTCTTTGAGATACCTGTAAATGAACACAACTTTTTCTTGGAGAAACCGTATCTAAGTTTTATGAATACTTTTAACTAAACGAATCTTAATTTGTAAACGGTTCGCTTCCTCTACCAGATATAGGAGAAGAAGCTTCGAATAAAGAGTTTTATATTTTGCTAAGCCTTTAAAATATAGATGGTTGTTTAAGGAGTTGATTTTATTGCGCAGCTTGCAACAAAAGAGGATTTGCTTAAAGATTATGAGAAGGTGATAAATACCCATACGCTCCTCCAGAGGGACTTAAAGAAGAAATATTAATATTCAGGTTGATAGAAGAGCTTCTTTTTGCATAAGAGCTATTTATTGGTGATCCTATTAAAGTAGTTAAATCTGAAGAAGCGGTATCATTAGATTTGTTTTTTGAACTATTTTAAAGATTTAATTCACTTTTTCTATTAATTTAAGGTGTAAACAAATTAATAGGATTGCTTGTACTTATAGAATATTTTTGCTTTGGAGTTGAAATAGATCCTTTCATCAATTTCTTAATATCGCTACTTTATTAAAAAATACTATTTGTCTATAGTAGTTCACTGATTTAATTGATTTCTTAGTTTTGAATGTTAGTATTTTAATAATTATCAATCATGCTTTCGATTTTATTTATTTTCTCCAACATATTTTTTCTTTGTACTGAAAAGAATTCTTAGTCTTATGGGTTGTTGAATGCCCAAAAATTCAAAAAAAATAAACGTGAATCTATTCTCATCAGCTTTACTTTCGTTTAGCAAACAGCTTGTGTTTCTCTAAAGGGAAGTGCATCATTAGATTTGCTGTTGAAAAGAATATGATTTTTTTTCTTTGGATCAAGAAGATGCAATATTCCCTCATATTCCCCAAACATTCTACCCTAAGCCACTCTCTGAATTACTTACCTTTTCGTAACAATATTCTTCTTTTACAAAGTATTCGTATCACATTTGTCAATCTTAAATACCTTATTTAATATTTTAGGTTAAAAATAAAATAAAAAATTTTTTTGTCGATTAAATTTTGAAATTTTATGGATTTTATTTTTTATTTGTTGTGTAAAATTCTATAAGCTAGATTAACCACAGATTCTTTTATTAATTTATTTTTATTGCTTAAAAGATATTACAGAAGGTAGATTTTTCCAATAAATTAATATTTTTGTAAGGCAAATTGATTTAAATGAATAAGCAAATTATTGTAAAATTTATAGAATTTACCTTACTAATTTCAATTTCTCCTTCTTTGATAAAATAAACATATTAGCATCTCTCGCCTTCTTTGTAAATTACATTATTTATTTAGTATTCAATATCTTCGCTATTATTGTAAATAACCATTATACCAGCATTGGGCCAGTTGTTAAATGGAGGAATTTCCTTTAGAAAGCTTCTCTATTCATTTTAAATCCTTTCATAAATTTTACTTAAAAGCTTGCGAAAGCTATCATATGATAAAGTTGCCAGCTAGCAAGGTGTTATTGTTACAGCAGATGCTGTTCTAGGGATTCTTTATTCAAGAGCGACTTCACCAAACGAGTTTCCAGGTTAGATAGTGTTAACTTATTTAAAATTGTGTAATTTATATTGCCTAAAATATTCAAATTCTTACTCTTCACTAAGATTTTCTAACTAATTTAAGCCTACCATTTTTAATAAATAGTCTTTGAATGAAGATACAGTTTGATTGCTGAATTAAGAAGGAGCATTTTATACATTAGAAATAGATTAAGGAGTTCCTTAATTTGATTATTAATTTACAAACCTAGGACTGGGTTATACAGAATTATTTCCAAAAGTGCTTTATGATTGCTGAAGTTATTACTACATTTATTAGGAGTTTGAGTTACTTATTGTATTATTGCTATTTAAATTGTTGTTGTTGTTGCTATTACTACTAGTAGTATTTTCAGCAGGGAAAAAAAAGGATCCTCTCTTAGTATTAGGAGTATTTAATTCAGAATTATTTGGTTTAGAAGGTATTAAAATTGATACTCTCCCTGATAAAACGAAATACATATGACGTCCTACGTCGTTATATTAGAAAATGATTTATTATTTTTTATATGTTTCCAACTTTAATTCAAATATAATCTGCTTTAATAGATCTTCAGAGAGTTATCTCATAATCTACTTAAAGAATCTAAACTAACTAAACTGCTCAATTAAAAATTCAGCTGCTTTTTTAGTTCTTTTTTGTTCTTTCAGATACTTAATAAGCTTTAAGTGTTTATCTTCTTAATCTGCTATATCAGAGAATGCTCCATTATAAGGATTTATAGATTCCTTTTTTTTCTAATTTATTTACGCTGACACTAGCTACTCATCGGGATTGCCTCTTAAAATAACTGTTGAGAGTTTTCCAATTTAGTTGTTTTATTTTAAGCTATCTTCTTCATTATTGACTAACACTTCTTTATTTTATAGATTAATGTTGCCACTTAAACTATTTCTTATAGCTTATCTTAAACTTTATTCACCATTTTGCTAAGCCATATTTTAGTCCTAAAAGTTGATATTAAATAAGATAAAATATAAATAAAATTTCATGAAACAAAATACTTACTATGATTTTATTTAGTGAAGCTAAAGTTTTTAGTTTATAAATGTAAAAAAATGTAAAGTAGTTGTGAATGAAAACTATTGATCCTTATCAGAATTACAAGTTTTTTTTTTCAAAATCTCCTCGACTAATTAATTTAAAAGTTTTAGGTTTTTTTAATTTTTAATTTTTACCAAAAATTAAAAAGATGATTTGATTTATTTATCTAGTAATGTTAATCTATTTTTATGGTTATTAAATATAATTTAGTTTTAAAGTAATACAATAAATTAGGAAAGATACTTCAAATTCACATTTAATTTATAGATATAAGTATTTGTTACAACATTATATAGAATTTTCATCCACAAAAATTTTAATAAATTTTAGGTTAGTAAAACTTCTTTATTAAGCGTTAGGCAATACAAATTTCTTTGTTATAAGATTTATTTATATGTAAGATAACAATTATAGGCTAGTAAATAAATATTTATCTTTATTTTTTAATTAAAATCTAAAGTCTCTATATTTTTTGTTTAGAAAACAAGTAATGATGCTTTACAAGTTTTTCAATTTAACTTTATATCTGATTCCTGCTTTGATTTTATTTTCTCCATTTAAATTTTGTGTTTTTTTTATTTTAAAAATTAATGGTATTTAATTTATAAATAAATAAAAAGATTTACTACGTAGTTTTAAAAAATTTGTCTATTTTTGAATCTTTAAAAAAATATTAATAATTTAATTATAAGCACAAATATTGTTGAAAATTTTGAGAATATTTTCTTTTGTTATGGAATTTTTCTTAAAATTGTTTTTATACTATTTAAAAGTCTCTTAATAATGAATATTTAATTTAACCAAACAAAAAAGTAAACTATTTTCAAGAATAAATTTATTAATACAAAATAAGAATTAAAATTCATAAATAATCAAAAATATTTATTGGAAAACAAAATATCTTATTTTAAATTAGTTTAATTAACAATTAATTAAAATAAATTTAAAAAAATTAATTATAGTTATTCTATTTTAAGAAATTAAAATATTTAATAGATTTCATGGATTACCTAAGAAATTTATTTTTAAAATGATGTTGATTTCTACAGACTGTTAAATTAAAGACATAATAATTTGTAGATTATAGTTTGTTTCTTAAATTTATATAAAATGATTAATTTATAGATAATTAATTACTAAGATAAATACATAAAAGACATATTAATAAAGATTATCATGCATGTAATTGTAAATAACTTAACATATTAAAAAATTATTATAAATCATCTTTATCAAATTTTAGTATTACAAAATAATTAAAAATAGAAAACTGCTTGAATTAAAATTCATTGATAAGTATTACAAATCAATTTTAAGCATTAAATTTTATGAGTCAAATTAGAAATTAAGGTTCAAAAAGTCCCTTTAGGAGAGATGAATAATCATTAAACAGCTCTGAGCTTTATCTGACAGATTAATTCAATTAGGAAGAAAGAAAAAAATTGTAGTAATAAGCCATTACAATATCTGCCTTGACCTAAAAGCTTTTAATCTATAGTGAAAAAAATGTAGCAGTTTACATAATATTATTTCATTTCTACTTTTGAATTTATTAGGAATAATCAAAATTAAAAGTTCAAATTTATGAATACTAAATGTATTTAATTAAAGGTGTTAATAAAATATTTTGTTTTATAGGGTATTGATAAGTATTTGAAGGTTAATTTAGTGAAACTAGCTGAAAAATTAATCTAAAAGAAATAGTTCCCTAAATTTATAGTCGAAAAAAGTATTGATGTGCTAAAGTTGTTAAATAAGACAGCTTCCAAACTTGTTGAAGCCAAAGGTTAAAAATATTTATTTAAAAGTTCTACCAATTCATTTATTATAATTGCTGAATTTTATTCTTATTATAGATATGTTTTTAATGACTAATAATTGTTTTTCTAAATTTAATTTCAAAAAAAATAAAATCCATTTTTAATTGATATAGATTATAATTCAGGTATGCTAATTTTAGATTTGGCTTTGAGAATAAGTACTTCAGTTAAAAATGGGTTAGAATCAGATTTATAGTAGTATATAACGTTAAATAATATTGCTATACTATGTAGCAAGTACATATTTATTTTTAGATTAACTTTTATTTATATTTAAGAATTCTATCAGTTTTAAAGTTAAATGGCTTTATTTTAATGTACTATTGTTATAAATTTTATAGAATCGGAAAAGTTACTCTTTCAAAAAAGTATTTGAAGATAATTTTAGAGAAAATAGCGAGCAATTACTGGGATAAAAGAACAGATATGCTAGATATTGTAGAAGCTATAACTTTAAATAATTTATGTAGCATTTATGTTAAAGAAGAAAAATATGAAAAGGTATACTATCACTCTGAATTGGCATTGATTTTAATTGAAAACAAGGTACTTACATAATATTTTTCCTTTTTACATTTAATTCATATGAATAATTTATTTGATTATTAGAAAATTATTTTTTTAGCAAAGTTTAAATATTTCATTTAATTTAAATTCCTTATTTTATAAAAATATAAAAGTTTTCTTTATTTTATGTTGTAAAAACATTAATTTAAATTATACTTAAAGCTGTTTAAGAGAATTAAGGAGGAAGGAGAAAATAAATTAAAAAAGGATACCTAGTTTGTTAGCGATCTACACATTCTTCTTTAAGGATACATTTACAGAGGATGGAGTTAAGATGAAATAAAAAATCATAAATATCAAGATTATATTTTGAGTAATTCACAAGGGGAGGAATCATTTTCTGATAAATAAAAGATTTACAATAACGGATATAGACTCTCTAGCACCATTTTAGGAAAAGACCATATGATGACTATAAGCTTTTAGCGATTACTAAAGTAAGCAAAAAGCGAATAGTAAGAAATTTTAAAGAATATGGAAAAATAAAAGGATGATGGCTCATCTGATGAATAAAATGCTCATTTAAGATTTTATTAAGACAGAATTAAAAAAGTTGCTATAATTTATGAATAAAATTATATTTAATTAAGCATGGAAGATAAGCTCTATATTTTGAAATAAATATTTGCTAAAACTGTGAATTAAAACATCTAAGAATCTAATAATAACATTACAATAGTAGATAGCTAAGAAGATATTGAAGACAGTCTGGAATTATAGGGATTAAACTTCGTAAAAACCGAATATATTAAACCATCTTAAAGCAGATCTCAAAGAACGTCTCCTATTAGTAGCAAGAAATTTAGGACAATTAAAAATAATTCAAAAAATTAACCAACCAATAAATTTATTTTTAGGAATTAATCACCCAATTTTAGGGTTAATTAGAACTATTTAAAGGGAAAGCGTCTAAATAATTAGTAGTTTTATAATACAGATTTTCATTATGGCATGAAAGAAAGAGCACAGTCTTATCATTCAGGTCTGAACTAATAATACTTCTTAAATTAGACAGCTAACAATATGCTTCGTGGTTTGAATGATAATAATTATGTAGGAAATGATCCACATTAAATAGGTCTCAATTAAACTAATACAGGCTATTTGTAGTCACAGTAGTAGCATTTAAATAGTTTATATCCAAATGAAACCAACTTAGATCTGATGACAATAAATAATGGCTTAGTTGACTATCAGCCATAAAGTTTAAATAGACATCAGTAACTTTAATAATAACTCTTTATGTAAAGCAATGGAAACGGCTTGTTGTATTAAAATAAAAATAGATTCAATAATCCAGCAAGCTATATTTAAAACCCTAACCATTTAAATAACACTACCGATTATCAAAATAATAATCAAGTTATAAATCAACAAGATTATACAATAAATTAAATGGCTAATTATAACTTGTAAATGCCTCAATTTAATTAGCAACCTAATTTGGGAGCATCTATTCAGCCTAATTAGTATGGTCAGCCTAATCGTATTAATTCTGCAATAAATGGATTAACTCCTCAAAATCCTACTCAACAATAATATTTACCTTAAATTTAAACATAAGGTATGACACCAAATCAAGTAATTAATTAATTAATTATTTACATATTTAATATTTCCTTAACTTATTTACTTTATAAAAATATCTCAAAATATTATTTATTTTTATAAATAGGTTTTGTAAGCATAATTAACAAATTTAAGCAATGTTAAGTATCCGTTTTAGAATGGGTTAGGAATAAATAATTAAAATAATGGTGGTGGTTAGCTTTAACTGTAATAAAATTAATTTAACTAAAAAATTATAGCATAAAATAATAACTAATAAACAATTTAAGATGAAAATAATAAAATTTCTTCAAATTAAATAAATTTCTTTCACTAAAATAAAGATAACACTCAAGGAAATCAGCCAGTTTAATAAATAAATGATTAATTATCGTATAACAATAATAATTAAAACAATATTATACTAAATAAGATTGTAGAAAGCAGTAAAAATTCACCTTAAAATTAAATTACTGATAATTTTAGCTTGAAAAAATAACAATCAAATCATGGTCAAAAAGAAAAAATTTAACTGATAAATTAATAGAAACCAAATCTATTAGATGCTAATGAAGCTAATTCATAAAAAGAATATTTTATTTTAAACAAAGAATATAATGTACCCGAAAGTGCAGCCTTCCCAAACTAGCATGGCGAAAATAAAAACCTTAATGAAAGCAAAGATATGAATCAGCAATAAGCTAAAATATATTAAGATTATGCAGGAAAACTTACTGGCACTTTTAATTCAGAATAGATTAAAAAAATCAATGACAGTTAGAGAGAACTTAAAACTAATCTAAATAAAAAACCATAATAATAATAATAATAGTAATAATAAGATGTAGCTAGCCCATAAGTATAATAATAATATAACATTCCACTTCACTTAATAGATAATAAAAATAATTTATCTTAAAATGGAGAAGTAACAAAAAATAACAAATCGACACAACCATCATCTTAAATGACACCTTAAACTAATAACTAAACAAATAACAAACCTTTATTTGAAATAAACAAATTCGAAGACAATTCATAATAAAAAAAGATCACTAATGAGCAGAAGCGCCAAAAATATTAAGAATAATAACACACGAAGGAAATTGTTAGCCTTAAAAATATTCCTAACATTGGTTACTCGTAGTTAGAATCATAAATGATCGAGAAGCCTAATGGGACAATAGGAGCACCGAATTTAAATTCAGGAGCTGTTAATAACTAAGTAAGCAATAATGTAATAAAAATAATATTAGGTTTTCTCATTCGAAATAATTTTATTTTATAAATAGCATAAGGAGGAAGAAGGAATGAAAGATGAAGTATTGTAGAAGCATTAAATTATTAACACTGTTGGAAATTTAAAGCTCAGCGAATCTACAGCATACAACCCATCATCTCCAAAAAACTTATTAGGGTAAAGAGAAAATACTCACCAAAATTAAAATAGCCCTTAGGTAAATCCTAGTAATCCAAATCATGTAACTAAGCATACTGGTGGCACAAGTGTATAATCTCCAACAAACTATATTAACAATGTTATTATGATGTAAAATCAACAATTCCAAAGTCCCTAAGTAACTAAATTGGCAAGTAATTTAAAGAAAATCAAAGACGAAGAAATTATAGCTAATAAAATGGGATCTCCTCAATCTTAGTCTCCTTAAAACTACTCCCATGCAAATAAATTTTAAATAAGCACAAATTAAAATGGCATATAAGTAATTGGAAGCATGGGCAGTGGTACGTTAAACTCAGCTGGAAATAATATAAGTAATAATGGGCAATAATTTGTTTATCCTTAAAATAACCAAGCAACAAACAATAAATTACCGATGACTTCATACACAAATATAAGTTAGTAAGCAAGGGGATAATCTAAATAAAGGATTCCTTCTATAAATGCTATGGTACAAAACATTACTAACTCATAAAATACGTAGATGTTTGCATCAGATATATCTCTAACTAAACATTAAAAGTAAAGTGAATTCGATGTATATACTCCTATAGGTTCGCAAAAGTAAAATTAATGGGCTCTTTTCAACGATGGTGAAATAGACTATTTGCGTCACATTAAAATAGAATCTCTTATAAATTCCAACTGCTCTGTTGCTAAAATACTTTAATTTAATTCAGTATAATATCTGGTTGAAGTAGGAGTAAGTAAGAATACCCAGGAAATAACGTTTTCAGGATTTTAAATACATGATAAAGTGCAATTAATTACAGAAAGCCTTACTCTTCCGGTTTTGTAAATAGAAATTATAGCTTTTTAAATTTTAATTTTTATTGGTGTTAAAAATTTTTAAAAGGAAGGGAATTCTAAATTTTTTAGATTTGAATGAAGGAACTCCGTATAATAAGCCTTTTAAAACAATATAGGGCTTTAAGGATTTATGTTAATACTTAATATTCCCTTTTATAAGAATAAATCCATAAGAAAGAAAGATAGAAATGAACTTCTCTAATTACAGTATCCTCTAATATTAGTAATGGTCAATAGAGTTTTTAAAAACTACATGCCATGCTACATTTATTCATTTAAATAACAATGAATTTAAATTTACTTTAAGATAGTAGTAAAGTTCTATATTACTTTTTTATTGATTTTAATACTTTATTTTTATTCAAACAGAGCTGGATCTCAACAAAGTAATATTGACAAAGACTTTATTCGAATTGACATTAAATTTGATGAAGCCACAATAAAATCCTAATTTCAAAAGCTTTAGTATCCTGATGAGTAAGGAAATGAAATAGTCGATAATTATGAAAGAGACGACATAAAATATATTGTAGACATATCAGATCTTCTTGATGAAGAAGATAATAAAAAAGATTCATTGCTGTAAGAAATTACCAGCATAATGGCAAACTCAAAAAAGCATTAAAAAATTCATTTAACTAATTATTAAATCCCAAATACAATAATATTTTGCTAAAAGTTAAATGATTTAATGAATTTAGTTTAATCTTACTTAATGAAGAATCACAACATTACATCTTATTAATAATATGTTGAAGATTAATCTATAAAAGTGCTAAGGATACATATAAATGAAGACTTTAAGAAAGGATAAATTTTTTTCATTAGAGAATCTCATCCCCAACCAAAAACAGTATGTGTCAGCATTTAAAATATCCATGAAACACACGGTATAAACAAACAAACATTCATTTGAATTTTAATAAAATTTTTTTTTAATCTTTTCGAATTAGCTCCTCATGGCAAATTGGTACAATGTGTAGGTAAAAAAGAAGTACCTTTAGAAGAATTCTGGAAAACGTTTGGAGTCTAATATGATAATTTAGATAAAGAAGAAAGATATTACTTCCTCACATTAATTGGTCTGAAATATAATTTGTATACACACACAAAGCGTAATCAAATTTCTTTATTAAATTAAATTAAAAGTATTTTTTTTTTTGAGTATGAGAAGAGAGGGAAATTTTGTGTTTTTCTTTCTTCAATAAATTTCACACAAAAAAAAATAAACCAAAGCAATCAATTTATATAATTTTAAAGACTCTATTAAATTTTTTATTATGATTAGCGCTTGAATTAGATGATTACGGAAGGTATTAAGAAAATCCTATTATAACAAACACATTAAGCATAGGTGGTTTTTCAAGAACACTAAAAGGTAAAATTTTTTTTGAAATTCAATTTTTTTAAGTATCCGCTATTTTAATTCAAAAGGTACTTCTTACAAAACTCCAATGACATGTTAATTGATAGGAATTGATGATGTTCCGTTTGGAGTTAAGGTTGTACTTCATGATTTAGAATAAAACTCAGAGTCTGGAGTATTTTATATCATTGATTCAGTTAATTGGACTAAATTTAAGAGATAAGAAGATCCAAATGTAAAGAAGAAGAGGACGAAAAAATATAAAGACGAGTACGATATTATCAAAAACTATGAGCTTACAAATATTTTGTATTCAGTTGGGTTCAAGCTGCTTGAGAACTCTATTTAATTCAGAAAATTTTAATCTAACTAACTTTACATAGCAGGAAGAAATCTGTATTCAGGATTCATTTCAAATGTAGATAGATTCGAAAATGTTGTCAATCTAGCAGAAATAGCTAACCAAATAGTTCAATAATAATGATAGTCAGTCATTGAAATAAAATAAACAAATTACATCTAAACAATTAATTTTCTAAAAACTTGTCAAAATAATTCTAAATGAAATAAATATCTTACTTTAGGTGAAAACTTTAATGTTAGATAGATATATTTATAAATACCATAAAATTAAAAATATAATTTTGTAAAATAAAAAATAAAAAACTTTTATTTTTATGTGTTTTATTGATTATTCTATTAAATGAAATACAAACAAAAAATTTTATCAAAAAGAATCTGTTATCAGAAAAAAGAATGTAATATTTTAATTAAAAAAAAATCCAAATAAAGAATTTCAGAAAACAAAAAAAAGTAAAGAGCTTTAAAACAACACCAATAAAGAAAAGGTTAAGAAAGTTATTCATTCAAAGATGAACTTTAATAATACCAATAATAACAACAACAACAACTACAATAATAATAGATAACACAACTTTAATTTCGCACAAAATTAATAAGTTTAGAATAATAATAATGTTGACAAGTTTCCATAAGCTAATTAGTAAAATTAATAAAATTATTAATTTAGTAGATTACCAACTTTTAATAATAATGCTAATCCAATCAGATAAGCTAAAAGTCCGGAAAGCTAGAAAGCAAACAACAACGCTTTCGGCAATCCAAGCTTGTAATAACCAGTAGTTTCACCATAATAAATTTTCTCAAATTATTTTCAAAAATTTCAAAATAATCCTCAAAATGAAACAAATTAAAAAGATCAAAGTCCTATCCATTAGTAAGATAATTAACCAAAGTATTTTCAGTAAAACTATGAGTAATAGTAATAAAATTATTAAGTATAACAGTAAAATAATAACTAGTTTGCTGCATAGAATTATGGCTAGATGAACAACTTGCAAAATAACATATAAACAAAAAATTATCAACCACAATAACAATTACAAATTGGTAATTTAATGTCCCCCTAAGTACCTGTTAGTAATAATGCCTAAGGAATTTAAGACTTTAAGTAAATGTAACTTCCAATGAAATTATAGCAATAATAACAAAATAATTAATTAGGTAATTAAGTTAACTTAAACTCTAATGAAAAATAATAGGTTATCACTCATTAAAGAATTGGTAGTAACCACAATTTTAATAGTCTTTAATACAATAATTAGCCTAATTAACTTACATAAAACAATTTAATAAATAATAACATTGAATATAATCAAAATAATATTAATCAAGGAAATAATATAAATAAGTTTCAACCATAATTAATCACTGTTTCACCAATTAAATAAGCTTAATCTTATTAGCCAAACCAAATAGTTTAATAAAATATAGGAAATTAATAATATATAAATAATGAATAAATAAACTAACAGTTTTAGGCTTAATAAATTAGCCATAATTAGCCAAAAAATATTCTAACATAGATGGGAAATTCAAACGAAATTGGCGAGATTAATTAAAATAATAATTTTAGAAATTAACTCTAAAATCCTTAAAATATGTAAATTAATAATTAAATAAAATTAAATGGTAACAGAAATCAATCTGATTAGAGTCCTATTACTAATCTTGAGAGAGATAGTTTACAAAACAAAAAAGTTTAAAGTAATAGTTAATAACAAATGCAATACTAAAACAATTTCTAATAGGATGAAATGAACTAATTTAATAACAGATTTCAATAAGGTTAGAATTATAACAACAATCTTAAGAGAGATGATGAGCAAAATATTCCATTTAAAAGCAATAGCTAATAACAAATGCAATAATATAATGGTTAATAAGATGAACTTTATAACAACTTTCAATATGATTAAAATTAAAACAATAATCAATAGAGAGATATTTAGCCAAACATACATTTTTAAAGCAACAGTTAATAACAAATGTAATTCTAAATTGGTATAGATTAGAATTAAAATGCTAACCTTAACAGAAATAGCTAGCAAGCTATATAATTTTAAAGCAACAGTTAATAGCAAATGCAATTCTAAACTGGTCAATAAGACGAAATCAACTAAGTTAATAATTAACTAGAAGGCATAAAATTTAATTCATAAAATAATTTATAAGTGAAATAGCAAAAAAATAATCTTTAATAATAATAAAAGGACTTTAAAGATGATTTATCTGATGAATAAGAAATTCAAAATGAGAGTAATCCATAGTAGATGCATTTAAAATATTATAATGTGAAATTTCTTAGCTAAATAAAATTACCAATTCCAAAATTTATTGATCAAAGTTTACTTTAAGAATTTTAAAACATTTGTAACAAGTTAAACTAAAAAGTTGAAGAGTTCTTAAAAGACAAAAGTAACCAAGTTGAATTAAAGGATAATATTAAAAGTGAGTTTTGTATAATAAATGGAAAAATATTTGAACAAAATTAAAAGAAAATAAGTAATCTACAATAATAAATCTAATAAAAATAAGACAATGAAGAAGAAAAAAAATAATGTAAATATGGTCCTCATTCTGATTCAGTTAATTAAAACATATAAAATTAATAAACACCTTAAGTTGAGATAAAAAAATCTAATAAAAATAAAAATAAAAAGAAAAATAAAAATAAAAAGGAAATAGAGAAATAAGATATTTAAGTGTAACCAAATGTATTCTAACCTCCTCCAGCAAATACGAATAATATCAATACCAATAATAGAAATTAAAAACTTAATTAGTTTTTGAAATAGTAAGATATTAAATTTTAATAAGATAATCCACCTAAGGAATCAGACATTAGGAGTTAAGGTAGTAGGAGTGATGTTTCATATTAGTATGGATCCAGAGAAAGTTTTTTAACAAAAATTAATAATAAAACCAACAAATTTCACAGTGAATTGAAATAATAATTATAAATTATGATAACAAATATAAATGAGTATATGGGTTTAAAAATATATTTAAATGAATAAAAAGAAAATGAAAAAGACCAAAGTAAAAAATAAAATATTTATCATGAACAAGATTTTACTGCTAACACCTAAAAAGAATTTTAATAATATTTAGAAAATTTTTGTTAGTAAGGTGCAGCAAATAAAAACCCTAATTAACTTTGTGAATTTAATGATCTTAAAGCTTACGGTAAACTTTTTGATTTCAAATAACATAATTAAATGAAAGCAATCGCCATATCAATCCTAAAATAGAAGATTTGCAATCAATCAGATGATGAAAGTGTTAGAAGATTTATAATAAAAGATTTAAAAAATATTAAACCTAACATAACAAATTTAGATGCTATTATGATGAGATAAATTTTTTTATTTTGTTTAAAAAATTAAATATAAAATTAATAGAATTTAAATACTCAATTCATTGATAATATATGCTAATATGAAATTGTTTGCGATTTAATTCATAATCATTTTAAATTAAAAGCTATTAATTTATCTAGGAATAAAAACTAAGATTCTATTCTTTAACAGCTTGCTGATACAAATAATATCTAATTTATTTTTATAAAAAAGGGACAATTCAATTAAATTAATTTTGAAACGATAAGACCTAAATAAAATAAGAATCTAGATATTACTTACTTTTACGAAGAGAATGATAAATAAATTTTTTTACTCTCTAATTTAAGTGATGTTGATAAGCTTTTAATCAATAGAAAAATTAATGATTGATTACATAAATAAATATATTATATACTTTTAGCTTAATTAGCAAAATAATCAATAAATAAATTAATTAATTCATAAAAAATTAAAAACTTTTTACAATATTAATATTATGAAATTTGTGTTTTAATATTTGTAAAATATTTTTTTTTTGTTCTGCTTATACAATATATTTTATTTTGATCTAATTTAATTCAACGTTTAATTATTTGCATTATAAAAATTGATAACTTTTGTAATTAAAGATTTTTTCTGGAATGTTGGTTATTATTTTTAGTTAGTTAAAAAGATACAAATTAAATTCAAAAGAAGCAAAACAACATTGAAAAATTTTTCAGATTATAAAATGATAACCAATGTTGCAAAAAAGATTAGATTATAGCTAGGAAGGACATATAAGTAGAACTCTTTAGCATTGATTCAATAAAATAAATGTTTTTTTGGCATATTTGATATGTTTTCTAGAAAAAAATTTTAGTAGAGCTAAGAAGACTCATAAAGATAATACGAGTAAAATTAATTATCAAATTTATTTTGTTTATAAGTATTTTTTTTTGTTAGAGAAAATCTAAAAAAATCAGAAGAAGCTAGAAAAAAAAGAGAAGGAGAAACCATTATTATTTAGGATGAAAAGTTCGATGAGGAGTAAAAAAAAAAGTTAGAGGATGAAGTTTTTGATCCTGAAAAATTTACTACTAAAGAAAATTATATTAGGATGCTCTAAAAAGATAGAGAAAAAGAAGAAAATGAAAGAGAGCTATCCAAAGAAACTATTTAAGAATTTGAAAAAAGAAAATAAAGAGAATACGAAGTTGAAGTATCTTAAGTAGATTTCGCTAAAATAGCTGCATAAAATATTAACATTAGGTATTATAAATTAATGATTTTTTATTTTACTTACATAAATTTCCATTTAGATGCTCATTTTTATTTTTAATCTCAAATTAATTTAATTAGGCCTGTAGATACCTTTTAACATCCTGAAGAATTATTTTACTTTGTTAGTAATCTTTCAGTTTCACTTACAGAAGAAAATTTAAAAGCATGCTTAGAAGGTTTTTTAAGTTTAGCTGAAAGAATAAATGAAGCTGATATTGAAAGTAGTACTTTCTAAAAATTTTTAAAGATTTTGTTATCAAATATGAAAACAATTGGAGATGTTTAGAATTTACTCCTTGTTGCAAAGTTTGGAGATTTATATTGTATTACAGATCCTAAGTTTTGGGAAATCTTAGAGTAATTTTATTTTAAATAAAAATATGTGCTTTGATTAATTTTTATTTTTTAGAATGAAGGTTACAAAGAAGTTAGAATTAATAAGTGTTAATGATTTGGTTGAAATTTTAGAGCATTTTTCTCACTAAAAAGAGGGAACAGAATATTTTTTTGATAAAATAGAAATGGTGTTTTAAAATCGCCTAAACGAGATATCCATAAACTAGCTGGCTCGTATTTCTTAATCATACTTTAGTGTTGAAAGAGGAACAAAAGAGTTTTTTAATTAAGTCCAAGAAGAAATTGAAAAAAAAGTTCACCTTGGCAGTGCATAAGATCTATTAAAAATATCAAAGGTATATAAAAATTCTAAACGTAAAGATAATCTATTCATGCTACTAGAGTAGAGTTTAATGAAGTATCTAGATGAATTTGATTTTTATACTACATGCTAGGCAGCAAGTGGGTTTGGATTTATGTTAGGATCTATGGAATTGTATAGAAAATTAGAAATTAAAGTACAAATATATTTAGCTTAAAATCTCGAAAATCTTACATTTGAAGAATTCAAGCTTATTTTAGATGGATTTTTGCATACTTATAGAGGAAGTTAGAGTCTATTTAAATTATTGAGATAAAAATTTATTGTATACCTTCCACAAATGACAACTATTGAAGCTGCTCAAATTGTGAAGGCTATTCATTTAGTAGAGTTTGATGATAAGGAAATATATAAATTGTATGAAGAAAGAATAATATATTAATTATAAGGTGTTGATGAAATCACTTTGGAAGAGATTGCTGAAATAAGCAAATCTTATACATTAACAAGAAATGGATCCAGAAAGCTTTACAAGTTGCTTGAAATTGTTATTACTCACAGATGGTAGGAAATAGCTAAGGACCATAAAGTAATGAAAGAGTTGTATGTTTACTTTTCTAAGAGTGGGCTTTGCTCTGAAAGACTTATGACTCTAATGGAAAAGTTCAACATAATAAATAATTGAGTATTTCAATAAATTAACCATTTTTAATAAATCTTAAATATATTTATTTATTCCTGTATTTGATTTCTAATTAAACTTTTATTTAAAATTAATTAACTAAAATATTTGTTTGTTAGAAAAATAATTTCCAAATAAATTAAATTTATTTCAAATAATCAAATTTATATTTTATTTATAAATAAAATATTTATAAAAAACAAATATATAAATTATTAAATTATAAATTGGAAACAAATTGGAATTTGCCAAACAAACAAATAATCAATAAAAAAAAACAAAAGCAATAATTTATTGACTGATTGATTAAAAGAGGTTTTATATTTAAAATAAAATATTGTACTATTTATTGATATTTATTATTTTATGATTATGGAATGATAATAAAAAATTTTATACTTAGTAGACTAAGAGTCTAATGTAACATCTAATATTAAAGGTATTTTACAATAATTACATAGAATCTTCAAACACTTGATTGATTATCATAACAAAAAATATAAAAACGAAACAGTATTAAATAAATTTAAGCTATTTATCGTTTCTTCAATTTTAGAAAATTCTCTCAACAACTTTAAGCAAACTTATCTGAGAGAGCTAAAAATATTACATTTAGCTTTAATTATAAGCAATACATTATTGAAACTTAAGTCTGATTGCTAATTCATATTTAAACTACTTGAAAAATTAAGAATTAAAAAATGCAAGTTGCGCCAAAGAATTGGGAGAGCAATGAATCTCCTGGAAAAAGAAATTAAAAGCTTTCACTAACGTAAAAGCAAAAGTCTTTAACTTAATCAGTACCTCAACTATCAAAAACACTAAAGTTGCCAGGTATCGTATCACCAGCAGCAAACGAGTCCTTAGTAAGTAGCACAAAGACTTAAGCAATATAGCCATCAAGATATGGATTGAAAGAAAAACTAAAACCAATAGAATATAAACCTTTAAAAGTTTTAGGGGATTTAGAAAACAAGGTGGAAGGAATAGATATCATTTTTAAAAAATAAGATCCAACAAATGAAAGTTTGCAAAGAAGGATTCATCAATATACTTAATCTATTGAACCTATGATGATGAGAATAAAATAACCTAATGAATTTAAATTAAAACCTCTTAGGAGAGTAGAGAGTGATTTTTAAATGTTTAAAGATATATTTGTATAGCCTTAATAGTAGAGATTGAACCAATTAAATTAAAATGCAGAAGATAAAGAAGAAAATGATGATTTAAAATTTGCAGACTCTGCCGAAAAATTTTTCCATAACTCAAAAAACGAAGCATCATAATTGTAACTTTCAAAAAACTAGAGCTCTACTTAATCGCAATATATTTCCAAAGCAAATTAAGATAAAAAAAATGTTATTAAATTTAATTAATCCGAAGTATACTCGCTTTTAAATAATTCTATTAACCTAAACTAATCATTGAAAGAAGATCTATTGATTAAATAGGGAGCAACTTCCCCCAAAAAAAATAAAAAAATGGAACAAAGTATTTAATTTAATATTAATATGCTAGAGTAATCTTTGAATATGGATACAAGTAGTGAAACTTAAAAGCAATTCTTTGATTAGCTCATATAAGTATAGCCTCCAGATTTACCTAACTCTACAGTAGCATCTCCGATATCCCCTGGAAATGGGTAAAAAGCTTATATATTATTTCATTAAAATAGTATTCAAATAGTTTAAAAATTAGCATAACATATTATTTAAATGCATTTTAAATAAAAAAAACCAATCATATTATCAATTATTTAAATTATTTTTATTTTAGATATGCCCCAGCAGTTCCTTTGGTAACTAACTTTGATGAGACTAGTAAGCACATGTTAAAGGATTTGCTTGTTAGAGCTAAAGCAGGCTAGTAAGCAGGAGATGTTTAAAAAGAAGCTCATTTAAGCTTTTATCTTGGTATGGTTTATGACAATCAAAAAAAATATTAAGAAGTAATTTATAATTTTGATTTAGAGTTTTCTTAATACTTTAAAATACTAAAAAATAATTTTTCGTTGAAAAATAAATAATTCATTTTGATATGCTCAAAAAATTCATTTTGTGCTTTTCATTTATAAGCTTTAACAAACGGCATTCTAAAATTTATAAATATTATGAATAAAAATTTAACTAAAATTTATTTTTATAAGCTTTATCTTTTTTATAATTAATCTATTTCTAAAAATTAGGCTGCTAAACATTATAAAAAATTTTACACTTGTGCTAGACTTATGGAAGATAAAATTGGTATGGCTCTTGGAGCAAATAGAATAGGATGTGATTATTTTCATTTAGGAGAATATGATAAAAGTATAGAGTATCACTAGATTAATGTACAATATTCAGATGTAGAGAATTCTTTTGCAGGATTTTACAACTTAGGAATATCCCAAAGAAAAAATGGAAGCCATCTTGAAGCTATATAAAATTTTAAAACTTGTTTAAAATGGGCAAGAGAGAGAGATGTATTTATTATTTAAAAATTATTAAATTCTTAAAAATTGATTTTTTTCAGGAACTAGAGTCAGAGTGTTTATCATTAGGATAGCTTGCAGTTGCTTATAAAGAAGTAGGATAGACTGAAGATGCTTTATTCAATTTTACAGTAATAAAATTTATTTTTGACTTCAAAAACTATATGATTAATTATTAAAAAATTACTCAACAAGGATTGCTACGAGATTAGCAAAAAGTTGAAAAAAGTAAAACTTTAACTTGACTGTTTATTGCACATAACTAAATTACTATCATTAACTGCTATGAAAAATTCAGATAATTCTATTAAGGTTCTAAGAGATGCAGTAGAGGTATTTACAATAATACTTTTTAAATATCAATCAAATACTTTAAAACTATTCATTTTATTTAAAATAAGTGTGCTAAACTTCTAGACGATAAAAAAACTGCTGCACTATGCCTTTGCAATTTAGGTGTTATGGAGGGATAGAAATTATATGAAACGTATGTCGAAGAATTTAGAATTTCACCCTCAATTGAAGATTGGGAAGATGATGAGAACGAAGAAAATGGGATTGATGGTTAATAAAAGTAACTTTAAAATTATGAATAAATGCTTCAAAGCTAAGTAAATCAGTATTATGATGTAGAATATTCTCTTGAGCATTAATGAAAATTTACTTAAAATAAATATATTGTTTATCTTAAATTTATAATATTAGCAATATTTACATATTCATTAACAATATTTTATGTAATATAAATATTTATTGCACTAAAAATTTCAAATCATATTTCTAAATAATTAATAAACTAATTTACAAACTAATAAATGACTTACAAGCCTACTTGAGTTTAAAAAAACTAATTTAATTTTAAAACAGAATATTCTTAAAAATAAAATAGAAAATTCAAGTAAACATTAAAATATATTTAAATAAAAAGTTTTTATAAAACAAATAAATAGAATTGAATCCTTTTTTTAAAAAACCAGTAAGTTATTTTTAAGTAACTTATAATAATATAAATTAAAATTTATTTTTGAATAATGTAAAATATAAATAAAAATCTTGATAAATAATGAAATAGACAACATAAAATCATTTTCATAAAACTTATAAATAATATTGAAGAGCTAATTTAAAAAATGTTAAAATTGAATTGAATAAATGAAGAATAATTACTTAAATAAATAATAATATATAACAATTGTATATAATATATTATATATATTGGAAAATACACTATAAATTATATGTTTTTATATGCTTGTAAGCAGTAAATTAATTTAGAATATATTTATTTTAGAAGTCATCATACAATCAAATAAAGTTATTTTTATATTAAATTTATTAATAATCTTAGAAATTAATTTTATGTTTTAAAAAGATGCAAAACAAATTAGTAGAGAATTAAGAAATAAATAATTTTGCAAATCCTCTATTATAAAATAATTTATATCTTTAAATGTAGTGCTTAGTGGGATAGTATGTTCTAGCTTTATTGGCTCTGTTTTACTATAATGTAACAAATAATTTAATTTAGAATATATTTTTTTTAGAAGTCATCATTCAATCAAATAAAATTATTTTTATATTAAATTTAATAATAATTTTAGAAATTAATTTTATGTTTTAAAATGATGCAAAACAAATTAGCAAGGAAATAAGAAATAAATAATTTTGCAAATACTATATTATAAAATAATTTATATCTTTAAATAATTTCAATGCTTAGTGGGGTAGTATGTTCTAGCTATATAGGCTCTGATTTACTATAATGTAACAAACATACAAATATTCCAGGTAACTATTCTTTATGCATTAGCATTAAATCCCTAATTAAATATTTTAAAAAATAAGCATTTCCTTTATTTTGATTAAATGTAGAAATATTTATAAAAAAATTAATTTTTTTACCTTATAAAATGCCCTAATACCATCTTCTTAGTAAGTTTTTACAATACAATCTAATACACCATTAAACTATTTACCACCAGTTCCTGACTTTATTTATTTTAAAAAATTCATAGTAAGGTATAAATAAAAATATTAAATTAAATTACACTAGCATTCATAATTCTTGTCTTTAAAACATCTACTGGAGAACCTACAACAGCAGCAACAAAACCAGCAACTGAAGAACAGAAAAGATGGCAAAAGATATTATCTTTCATCAATTTTTATCTCAAGACCATTTCTTTAACTTAATCGTATCTATTTATTTTGAAATGCATATTATTGTTTGGTTTTAAATTATTTTATAGTCTTACGTAGCTAACTCAGTTGCATTGATGACAGAGTTTCTAACTATATTAGGTGCCAGACCTCTCCTTTAATTAAAAGGTTAAATATTAGAAACAAGCATTTTTTTTAAAAGAATTAAGATTACCATAAACCAACAACACCTTCTGTTCTAACAATTTTTGTGTAAGCATCCCAAACACCTGTATATCTTCTTTCTGTGATGGGCTTTTTACCTTCAGCTTGTAATCTAATCTTAACTAAATCCTTTTTAAAAATTATTATAATGTAATATTAGTTTAAAATGTATATTTAATTTACAGTTGGGTTAGCGACTGTAATACCAATAGCACCAGTTGTTAAACCAGCTAAGATCTTTTTATAAAGAGGAGGGCGTTCAAGCTCATCTTCTTTGCAGTATAAGTTTCTGACCTATTTTTAAAATTTAGCGATTAAAGAACAAATTATGCAAAAACGACGATTTTTTTATTTGTTAACAATAAAAGTAATAGAACAGAGTCTTTACTTTGTAATTACTTAAATAAAAATCTTTTTTCACAATATTTTTTTTTTTTCATTTTAAATACTAAAATATACAAATTAAATGCAAAATAATCTAAAAATTTTGAATATTACAGGAACGTATAAACCTATACGGAGAGATGCAAAAACAAGTTGTCTTTGGAAACCAGCATTTAAGCCTGAAAAGAGAGATAATACACCTTCTTCTGCAATTAATGTTTTAATAGTACCAAGTAAACCATTATATTTTTGAGGCTTTCCTGGTACAGGTTCTCCTTAAATTTATAGTCTGACCTTAGCTGTGTCAAGAGGAATAGTTAGAGCCTATAAGTTTAAAATATTATATCTATAAAACTCATTCCTTGGCAAGGTATGAAAAAATAAGATAACAATTATAACTCCAATTATTGATTAATAGTTAGAAAAATATAAAATAAATAAATAAAAATATGATAAATACTTCAGCAACGCAACCAGCAATACCACCTGTTATCATCATAACTGGTAAGGGAAGATTATCACCCATTTTTTTCTTTAAACCTAATAAATTTTTTGTATTTTTGTATATCTTTCTTTCTTTAAATAAGAAACAAGGTATGGATTTTGAATTAGTTTTTTTTAATATTATTAAAATTTTATTGTGAGCAAAAGATTTAAATTGGAGGTAAAGAAAAAAAATAGAACATCGTTTTCATTCCTTTATCTGAGGTAGATTACGTATTAGAGACTTATCTTTAATACCATCATCCTATTCAATTAATCAAAAAATAAATAAAGAAATATTAATTAATTAATTAAAAGCTTCTTGCACTTTCTTTGGCTGAATGAATGACTGGCTGATTGACGTATATTAATTAATTAATTAATTAAATAAGTAGCAAATGATAATTTCCTTTAACTTTTAAATAATATAAAAATACTTAGTTTTTAATTTGATAGTTAAGCTAAAAATAATATCTTGAGTGATAAAAACATCTTACTACTCAATAAAAATAATTGAAAGAAATAAAATTTAAAAAGTAAATATCATCTTGATTCAATTAAGTTAGAAAAAAACAATTTTAAATTAAAGTGAATTCAGATTATCATAAGAAAATCCTATTAAAAAGCAGATGACCTGAGACTTACTTACTTAAAGACATATTCATATATCCTTTTCAAAAGATTATGAGTAATGAATGTAATAGAATTTAAAAACTTAGCTTTAAGAAGTTTGATTAAAAAGTTTGCAATCTTTATTAGTTTAGGTATTCTTTATAGTACCTATTCCAGTCCGATTGCGACATTAAATTTAACTATATTTCTGCATTTAAGATGCTATAATAAATTATGGCATCTTGTGGAAAGATAGTACATTGCTTTTATAATCAGAGAGTCAATTTTGTAAAATATATTCTAAATTAGTTTTATAAAATAATTAAAGGATTGATTTGATGCACCAAATAGATGATGAGCAATAAATATGAATTAGCTTTACAACTAAATAAAAAATAATTGAAGAACAGGAGCGCCTATTTAAAAAAAGAAATGGTAATTAACATAGTTTATTTACTTTCTGTTTTTGCAAAATACAAAACATTTATCTCTATCTCATGAGTTATGATGCATTATTTTTAATATAATACATCAATCAGATGGAGATTAAATAAATTTAAGAGGATTTCGCAGAATATAGCATCTTCATATCTATACTCTTATAGTAGCCTCTTTCAATTTTCAATCTAATTAAATATTTAAAGATTTAGCATTTTACTTAACATGTATAAATTGTTCTTTGAACTTATATAGCATCAGTAGCTAACTAGTTTATTTTAATTTTTAGAAAGTGAAAAACATATAAATTTTATTATGAAATAAATTTTTTGAAATAACTCATATAATTTATATGATTAAGTCTATTTCATTTTATTAACTTTTTTCATTATTAATTAAAGCAAAAAGACGACTAGAGACAAAAAACCCTTTAGCTTCAAAGCATTTTAATTTAAATATGATAATAGCAAAATATAGTTGCTAATTATGATACTTATTATGCATTATCACTAAGAAATACCTTTAATAAGAATTATTATAATTCTGAATGCTTTGTTTTCTGATCTAAATTGATAATAAGACATATAATATGTTCTTACAAGAATCCTCAAACAAATTTGCAACATATGTTAAACAAAAGATTAAAAACTTTAAATTTAAATAAAAAAAATTCCAGTATGATATAAATTAATCTACTGGAGATTCTACATAATTAACATAATTATATTTATAAAATCTAATTTATCATCTAATAAGTTAGCTTATTAAGCATGTATTCGTTTTTTATTTTATCGAAAGTATTAACTTTTAATTTTTTAGCAAATAATCCGCTTTACTTAATAAATTATTCTTAAATGTTTTAACAAATTAAAATTGAAACAATTTCTTTATCCATCAACTGATAATATTATATTAATGTGTATATTTTAGTGAATAATAAATAGTTGGTATTCAAATATTTTTTAATTTATGATGAACCAATTTTTAAGTTTTAAAAAATAAAAGTCTTTTATATTTGATTTTGCTAAGAATGAGTCTATTTATGTTTTAGTATCATCTTTACGAGTTAGATACATACATATTAACTAAAAGAAAAATAAAGATTAAAAGACAATATAACAATTTGTATTAAAAGATTGCTTAGCTAATATTTAGTTTTTTAGATTTAAATTCTAATATTGAAAGAGCATACATAAATCAATAAATGGGAAGGAAAAGCGAAATTGAAAATTTGAAACTAGGCTTATATATAGCTTGAGAAAATACTATAGCAAAGAAGAATAGAAGCTAAGTGAATAACAAAAGCGCACTTTAAATTTCTAACATTTAATTTAATTAAAATTAATATTACCAGAAAAAATTAGAAAAATTTTGATAATAAAATAATCAAAGAAATATTGGCAGCTAATTAAACTCAAATACTTTTAATATCAAAAATCATAACAATAACAACAACAAAAAGCTTGAGAGCAAAATCAAATTAAAAAATATATTATTAAGTAAAAAGCAAAAATAGCTCAGCAATGGAAACCGCAATAATGTAGCAAGAGTAATTGTATCCTAGAGTACATAACATTCAGCAAACTGCCAGTAATCATTCTGAAGAAGAAGATTTAAGCACAATCCCTTGCTTAATATCAGTGAAAAAGTCGCATTCGACTCCTCAGAATAGCTTGGCTGATAAAATTAATCAATTTTCTGATCGCCAATAGCAGTAGAAAGAAAAAGAATTGCAAGAGATAAAAGAATGTATTATTTCAAATATAAATTTATCATTAAGCATTTTCAATAATCGATTTTATTGTAATAAAAGAGGAGAAAGTAGAAACATCAAATGAAGAGCAAGTGATCAAGTAAGATTATTTATAAATTTTGCATGAATTTTTGGTTAGTTTCAGCGCAAATATTTTCATAGATGTTAAATCTCTTTTGCTATTTTGTTAGTATTTAGAGATCATTTATTAGATTTGGTATTGGTTAATTCATTAATAAATTGAATGGAAAAATTAATTGAAATCAATAATTGTGCAAAACAAAACATAAGAGAAAAATTTATTAATTTCTAATACTAAATTTTGAAAAATTAAAAACTAAAGTAGAAACAAGCAAAACTCAGCTCAATAATAAAAGAAGAAATAAGAAAAAGATGTAGAAATGAGAAAAATTTCTACTGCAGCCTCTGAAGAATTAAAAACTGATTACCCTCAGCAACTTAGCAAAAGCAATTCAAGTTCTTAGTAATAGACAATTTTGTTTTTATTTTTTTATTTTCTGCATAATTCAAAATAGTAAAATAAGCAATTAGTGTAGCTTTTCTTAGCGACATTAAAAGCAAGCGATTTCTTTCCTCCTTTTTTTCCTGATTAATTTTTTTAAAGGAGACTCCTTATCTAATCCTCCTTTCTCTTTTCTCTTCAAAATATATTAGAAAAGATCGGCTCTTAGTTGATAGAATTTGAAATCATCATTTTTCAGCTCTTCTCATTTTCTTTCTCTTTTTTCACCCTACTTTCTTTATTTCCTTTATTTTTTTTGCAGCAAAACTCAATCATCTACTTTGACTTGATTTTCACTGATTTTGAGTTTAAACTAGAAAACCTTTTATGTCTATCATTTATTACTTTAAATACATTCCTTTTGCACACCTATCAGGCAAATAAGCTTTAGGCGCAGAATATTCCCTCTTTTTTAAAGTTTTATGAATTTATAAAAGAACTTAAAATACCATACAACTTCTATTGTTCTAATTTCCAAAATTTTTTCTTTCCATTCTGTTTTTTATCGAATTACTTCATTTTTCTAAGGAAAATTTACAAAGAAAACTACCATTTTTTTTAAAAAGATCAAATTCTGATTATTTCTTATTACTATTAGCTCTTCAATTTATTTTTCAATTTTTTGACTATTACCTACCATAAACAAAGACAAAATAAATTTATATTTGCTTATGTTATTTTACTATCCAATTTAGATGCAACTTGTTGGATTACAAAAATACTTTAATTGACTCAAATGACTAAAAGAGTGATATTATGGCCAAACAAGAAAATCAAACTAATATACAAAGACAGGAGGAATCTAAAAAGTTATAGACGCTATATCAAGAATCAAGTGAGAAAAATAAGCTATTTGAAGAAAAAATTAGAAAAAGCATAAAAGAATTTGCTTTGGATAAATACTCCCACTTTGTTTTAATTCTTGTTTTAGATATAGGTATAAAAAAATTATTTTTAAAAAACTATTTTATTAAACTTACATGAAAAAAATAATTTCATAGGCTCTTCCGGTCATAAGAGAATAATAATTGAAAGTACATTAAAAGAGAAAGAACTATTCAGCCATGAACAATTTGGTCACAAGATTTTAAACAAATGCATTGAAGTCTCTAAAAAAGAATTCATTGATTAATATAATGAATTCATCAAATATATTTTAGACAACTAATCAAAGACTTATCAGACTCTTCAAAATGATAAATTTGGTAATTATGTTATTTAAAAATGCTTAGAAATTTTTGATGAAGACCATTTATCACAGCTTCTGATTCTTCTGAATGCAACAGTAACTGAAATTAAATATTTTAATATCTTTATTATTCTTTTTCTAATAAAATCATTAGCTTCTAATCAAACCTGAGCAAAAGCTTCCTAATTTACCAAAAGAAAGTTAATTAAAAGATAGTGATCTTTGCTCTGATTAATATGGTTGCTTAATAATATAAAAATTAATTGAAATATATAAGACCAAGCCTGATTCAAAAATCAAAAAACAAGTAATTTCTTAAATCAACTAATTATTATTTTTATTTTATGCTTCTTTCAAATCAAATTAGGTGGGACAAATGATTGAAAAAGTGATTAATGATTCACACCGCTTAGCATAAAGATAATTTTCCAATTATGTTGTACAGCAAATAATTGAAAAAGGTGCTCCTGAACACAAGAATATGTTATATCAAAATGTGATTTCAAAACACTTCATAAGCTTAGCTATGGATAAATACGGAAGTAATGTAGCTGAAAAAGCGATAAAATATGCTGAGCCAGATTAAAAAAAATAAATTTGGGGTCTGATTTCTGCTAACAATTTTAGGTAAATTAAATTACATTTTAAATTTTTTTTTTAGGTTTTATTTTATTTATTGTGTAAATTTAATTAGGTTTTTATCTATTTATTTTTGATTGATTTGGATGATAAAAATTTTAATTTTTTTTTGCTAATAAATAGTGCTTTACTTAACATGGTAAATGACCAGTATGCGAATTATGTAGTCTAAAGAATTTTTGATTCATGTTCTAACAAAGAATAAAAATAAATACATTAATAGCTAAATTTATGGAGCAAAAAAAATCTTTTAAAAGAAAATGGTAAAAATTATTTACTTTTAATTAATTAAAATCGATAAATAATTCAATTTAATTAAAAATTAAATTTAATTAAACTATTTAAAGGTAAGCATCCCTTCAAATATATTGATGACCTTCTAAGACAAAATGAGTTTCATAATAATTCTAACAACAGCTTTAGAAGTAATCAAGGCAAGATGGTAGCTTAGGGCAATTTCTCTACTAATAATAACTAGCATAGCTATTAAAATAGAAATAATTAAAATATGATGCATAATAATTAGAAATAATCTTAACACTTTAATAATTAAAATATGAATATGGAATACAACTAAACAATGAAGCAAACCAACTATGGTTTAGTAAATAAAAATAATTTTAATTAAAAAAATCAAAATTAACATCAAAATGTTAATTAACCGAATTTCAACTAAAAGCACAGATAAAATAACATCAACAACAGTAGTAACAACTAGATGACCTCTTAAATGAAAAATCCTCAAATTTAAAACAACTAAAATTAAGAGTCACCTTCATCTAACAAGCAAGTTTAGAAGTATGATTAAAATAATTTCAATAAAACTAGCAATAGAAAATAATCAATTCATAACAACTAACAACAATTTTAAAATGTAAATAATAACAATTTCAGCTATAACAAAAACTAAAATGTTGAACCTAACTAAAGCTAAGGATAATAAAATAATAATTATGATGTGTAGATTAAAAATGGAAATACAAATAACAATAACTATAGCAGCTATAATAATCAATACTCTTCCCATGGAAAAAGAAATCAATAAGGAAATTATAACTCTTAATAAACTAACAGCAACAGACCTTATAGGAGATAAAACAACCATAGAGGAAATTATAATTATCACAATCCAATTTATTACCAAAGCTATCCTTAACAATACTTTATGTAATAACCATATTTTGGATTTACTCCCTACATTTATGTCAATTAGCCTTCTGAATTTACTGACCCATAACTTTTAAACTATTTCGATCCTAATAATTTAATGAACCCTCCTTATTTTGATTTTTTATAAGGTGCTCATATAAAGGTCTAACAAAATAAAAACAACTAAAATGACAACAACAAGCAGGAATAGCAATCAGAAATTACAACTTAACCAAATTCTCTTAATTCTCCGCAAACAAACATTGATAAAAAGTAAGATGAAAATTAAGAAAATCAAACAAATTAATAGGACGGCAGCGAACCAAGCAAATGAAGCAAGTAAAAAAAATGCTAGCAGTGTCCTTTTTTACAATTTAGTAATTTTTTTATAACTTTTAATTCCTCAGTTGTGGGTTTTATGACTTAAAAATGTTTCTTGGCAAAACAATATTTTCTATTGATAAAATTAATATTAGCTTATAAAAACTATATAAATATTCACTTTTAAATAGAAATAAACTTAACTAAAAATACTTTTCATATATATAATTATATTTATATACATATATTATCATCAAGAGTAAAAAACACAAAATATACATATCTTAAAAAAACAAAAGGTATGTTTCTTTCTCTTTTTTTCTTTTTCTATATCTAATTTATATATAAAAATATAATTAATATCATGTTAAACATACTTATTTTTTTGTTTATTTGTTTGTTTGTATATTTCTTCTTTTTTATGCAATTTTATCTTCCAATTCTATTTACCAAATACTGTTTGTACACACACATATATTGAAATTATTTATTTATTTTTCGAAGTTTGAACATTTTTAATACTTTTTTATTATTAAATAAAAACGGCATTAATCTACTCTGGTAAAAGATATTTTTATGCTACCAAATTTTTTATTTATTAATTTTGATCCATTAAACATAATTGAATTTTATTTTATTAACTTTTTAGTTTAAAAATGCTAATTTTTTCATAATTTTAAGAAAAAAACTAGTCTATATAAACTTTTGACTTATTTTCAAAATAAATGGATAATATTAAATTTTAAAATGTTCTTTCTATTATATTAAATTAAATTAATTTTTTAAATTGGAAGTGTATGTATCAATCAAAATGAGAAAAATTGCAAATTGAAATAAAAAAATATATTTATTTTCTATCAAGTTTATTTTTGATTTTAAATTAAAAATGAATTATATGGATAAATTTATGTTGATTGTTTTTAGATATTTGGATAGATTCTTTTCTTAATACTATAAACCAGATATATTTCGTTTTTGTGAAAAAAAATCTAGAATTACTTTTTTCTTTAAAATATATAAATATTAATAAATTTTTACTTTAAAGTATAAATAAATAACATGAGAGTTCAAGTTAAAAAATAAAATTTTTTTATTATTTGATAATTCATTTTAATTTAAACAATTTATCATAAAAATAATTAAATTATAAATTATTTTATTATTTTTCAATATTTTCTAAAAACGAATAATTTGGAATCGTAAAAACGGTATTTGATACTGATTTCAAATATTAACAAAAAATAAATGAGAAGAAAAAGGAATTGGATAAGTTAATTAATTAAATGCAATGAACTTTTTTTCTTCAAAAAGCAATATTAATTTATTCAACGTTTTGTAAAAAAAAATAAATCAATAAATTGATAAAATTAATAAAAAAGATGAGAAAATCTTGGATCATTATTGCAGCACTACTAGTTGTATCTGCAGTTGCTGATGTAAAATTAGTAACTTCTGAATTCTCTGCTAAGAATTTCGATAGCTCAGCCGTATCTGGTTGGTCAGTTACAGGAAACAAAAATAACAATTTAGTTTCTACTTGCGGTGATCAATCTATTTTTGGTGGTTATGATGCTTTTGGTGCTCGTGCCAGCGCTAGCAAAGACTACAATTCTGGAGTCGATCATTTTGAACTTACTTTCAATTTCGATATATACACTGTCGATTCTTGGGGTAAATTCATCTTAATAATACAAAAAATATATTTTCAATTTTTTAAGTGCTTTTTAATACTTAATCATTAATGAGTTGCCATATTTGTGAATAATAAATAATTGCTAATGACGATTAAGCATAATATTAACAAAAATTTTTAATTAATTAGATAATGAAGTCTTTTCTCTTTACGTCGATGACTAGTTAGGTAATATATTTATTCATCAAACTCCAATTTTTAATATATTTTATACTTAAAAAATACAGTTTATAGTTTATAAGCTTAATTCAATACAGTCTCTCCCAGACCAATTAATGGTGCTTGCGGTTCAGCATCATGGTAAGATAGATGGTAATCCGTCACTGTTAAGCTTAATCACTACAGAAGATAATTCAATGTTAGATTAACCTCTACTCTTGATTAAGATGCTAGTAAAATCAATTTTTTAAAATTTATTGTTTCTATAATATTTTAATATTAATTTATCAGATGATGAATCTTGGGGTGTCAAGAATTTCTAGATTCTCGCAAGACACGGTGGTGGTAACATTTAAGTAATTAGTGAAGAATTTAGCTAAGACTCATTTAAGAGCGATGCTTCTTCATGGACTGTTGTCAACGTTTCACCAGCATTTACTACATGGTAATTATTATTTTTAAATTTTAATAAATTACTCCATCATACTAATATATTTATTGATTCATTCTTCATCAACGTATTGTTTAAATTGTTATATTTTATTTGCAATAGTGGTGATGGTAACAAAATTTTCGGTGGTTTCAATTCTATGGGTAGGGATTCTATTGTTTCTAAAACCTACAATAATTTACCTTCTCATTATGGTGTTTTATTTGCCTTCGATCTCTGGCTTATTGATTCACCTGATGGCAATGATTACGTTTAAGTCATAGTTGATGGTTAAATATCTAGATTCTACAGACCTGATTGGAACTATGGTGACCCTTAAAATTTCTTATGCGGTGTTTAAGGATGGTCTGAAAGAATTGTTAAAATTAACCTTTTCGTCCCTCACAAAGGTCCTTCAATTAATATTGCATTGAGAGGTGTTTTTGATGAAGCAAAAGACAATGAATCCTTCGGTTTCAGAAACCTCAGAATTGTTTCTCTTGGTTGCTCTTCAGCAAGATGCCAATAAGTTTCAAACGAATTCTATCAATAAACTTTTGCTGATCCTTAAGGCTGGACAGATGAAGGTGGAAATGCTCTCCCTTCTCCTTTCAAAACTTGCTCTGGAGCTACATTATTTGGACCTTTCTCAGTTCCTATTGAAAAAACCTATGACTCACTCTAACCCCACTCTGGTGTAAGAGTCTTCTTAAGAGTCTTTGCTCTTGGAGATTGGTCAAACGCTAACACTAATTTGAGATTCTTCGTTAACGATGTCTTAACCACTCCTAAAGTTGCTGCTGAATTCGCTAAGAATAAAATTTGTGATGCAGACACAGAAAGCGTTAGAAACTACTTCATTGATGTTCCTCATGCTAACTCTATCTTAGATCTCGATATTAAGCCCGTCAACTTTGCAGGAAACACTAAATATACTATCAGAGATTTATCCGTAACAGCTTACGTTGAAGAAGGTCAAACTTTGATTTCATCAGAATTCACCTAAGTCAACTTCGATAGTGCCACTGGTTGGACTGTTAATGGAAACACAAATGGAGTAACTACATCAAGATGTGGTAGGTTCTCAGTCTTTGGTGGATTTAATGCTTTTGGAAGAAAGACATCTGCCTCTAAGTTATATAACTCACTTCCTGATCACGACTTCGCTGTCATCGTTTTCACCATTTACTTCATTGATACTTGGGATGTAAAAAATTATTTAATTTCCTAACTTCATCTTAATATTAAAAATAATTTTATATATAAAGAGAGAAAACTTTAACGTCGCTGTAGATGATGCCATCATAAAGAGAATGACTAAATCAGATACTTGGTCTGGACATTAAAACTTGTGCGGTAGAGGTGATTCCATGGAAGAAACCTACACTGTCTAACTTTATGTACCTCATTCTGCTGCTACCCTTAAGCTTACTTTTAGTGATGAACTTGATCAAACAACCGTAAATAAGATATTCTTTATTAATTTATCATATAATTAAAAAATTTAAACTAATAATAGGATGATGAATCTTGGGGTATTAGAGATTTATCCGTTCTTGTTGGTAAGAACCAAGGTGCTGGTTATGTTTCTAAAGACGATACTAACTGCATTTAAATTTTCACTGCTTGCAACTACGACGGCTAATCACTTTCTGTCTGCGATGATATCCCTGATTTATCTGCTATTGGATGGACTAAGCCAATCAGATCTATTAACATTCCTTAAGGAAAGAGTATTAAAGCCTACAAGTCTGCTAATTACAAAGGAGATTTCAAGGAATTCACTTCTTCTCAAGATTGTTTAACTGGTCAAAACTATCTCCTTATTAACAGAGCTTTCAACATTGACGTTGAACCTGAAACAAAATTAAAACACTAAAGAAGAGTTTGAAAAAACAAGCTTCTTTCAGATATTTTTAATATAAGTATGATAAATGTTTGTATTGTATTTATTATTCTTATCCACAAATATAAAAAAATATATTGTTTATATTCACAACATATAATTATTGTTATATTTTGCCTGTTATTTCTCAGTTTTTATTTTATCTAATTATTACTTCTTAGATATTATCTTATTTATTTTAATTAAATTAAAGTTTCTTCCCCTCTCTATTTTTATGGAAACTCCTTTCTTATTATTTTTAAAAATATTTTAGTAAAGGAGGGTCTAAAACTATAAAAAATTTTTTATTTTTAAGTGTAATCAATGTTAGCTTTATTTAGAAGCTAATTAGAAGATAAAATTTTAAAATAATTGTAAGTACTATTTAAGTAATAGATTTTATTATATATTCTGCTAAAAATAATAAAAAATAAAATATTCTTACCTAATTTTGAAATTCATTTTAATTATTTTCATTGTGATTATAATAAGTAATTTACTTTTTTTTTAAAATTGTAAATAGTAAATAAAGATTTCATAGTCAAATAAATATAAAACTGAAAATTTTTGATAGCATTTTAATTCTTTTTAATAAAATAACTTTGTAAAATGAAGTAAAAAATGTAAACACTGCATCATATTTCTGCTAGAATTTATTTTTTTTGTTTTATTAAATTCGAATATCTTTTCTTTGCTCCTCATTCTAACTTCTCGAAAAATTTATTTTATATTTATAATAACCCCTTTTTAATTATTATATTTTTCTTGCTTTACTATTATAAAAGTCTATAATATTTCAAATATAATAAAAAATTCAAGAAAATAGTTTACTAATGTATTAAATTTTTTATTTAGATCTTTGAAAAACTAATTTAAGATTATTAAGCATTTCTTTAGAATATTTCAAAATATTAAAATTTAAAACATTATTAACTATTTTCAATTCAAAAAAAATTAGAAAGTTTCAATTAAAAAAATAAATTAATGAGTTTCAAAGCGATTATTAAATCTTTATAACATCTAGAAAAAACATGACTAAAAAATTAAATTATCTAAATATTAAATTTTTAATGCAATCAAAATAACTTATTCGTTTTAATATTAATATTATAAAATAAATTACCTTATATTTTTAAATTTATTAATAATTACTTAGAAGTAGTAAATAAAGAAAATTACAAAAGTTATTACCTTTTTTAATATTTATTTACGATTTATTAAAAGAAAAAGAAAATATTTTCAAAAGCTCTATATTTAAAGAAGGCTAAATCCTAAAAAATATTATCCTCTTTTTTATTATGGTTAAATATATTAGATTAGTTTGTAATTTTACAAATTATATCCATTCTTGATATTTATAAATTGTTTTTAAACTACAAAATTGAAAAAAAAATTATGAAGCCATATAAAAGACTTTTGATATTTATTTATTCTATTAAGAAATATTTCATTCATATCATAAATAGATTAATTTAATTAAAAATTAAATCGTATTTTTATTTGTTTTTTGACAAAGTTTTTTGCATTATCATTTGTATCAATAATTGACCGCATTTTAAATTAATAAATAATACTAATTTATATCAATTTTATAAAAACATCCATGTGATTTTATAAAATATAAATGTAAAATTTTAAATAAAATTAGAAGTAACTTATAGTAAGTAATTTATTGTAAAAAATTAAAATTGCATGATATAACCTACACTTGAAGCAAGAAATTGAATGAATATATACTTTTATACAATTTAAAAATAGGAAACCTCCCTTTTTAGAATAGTTCCAAGAATATTTTTAAAAACTTTTGGCTTATTTCCAAATGAGGTGTACAATATTAAATAAAATATTATTTAAATTAAATTAATTTTTTAAATTGGAAGTATATTAAAATGTAACATTGAAAATTGAAATAAAAAAATAAGAAAATTAATTTATTTTCTATCGAGATTTATTTTTTATTTTAAATTATCAATTAGTTATTTGGATAAATGAATGTAAGTAATTTTTTGATATTTGGATGGATATATTATTTTCTGGATACTTTAAACAAGATAAATTACGTTTTTGCTAAAATCTAGGATTATATTAATTTTTTTTTATGTAAATTTTAATAAAAGTTACATTAAAGTCAAAATAAATAACATTAGAGTTCAAGTTAAAATAAAATATTTTCTTTTATTTCATAATTAATTTAAATATAAAAAAATTAATATAAAAACAATTAAATAAAAAACTATTTTATTATTTTGCAATATTTTCTAAAAATAAAAAATTTTTAATAATAAAAACGGTATTTGATATTGATTTCATTCAATTATTAACAAAAAATAAATGAGAAAGTATAGGAATTGGATAAGTTAATTAATTAATTAAATGCATCGAACTTGTTTTCTTTAAAAAGATATTTATTTATTCAACTTTTTGTAAAAAAAATTAAATAAATAAATTGGTAAGATTAATAAAAAAGATGAGAAAATATTAAATCATTATTGCAACACTACTAGTTGTATCTGTAGTTGCTGATGTAAAATTAGTAACTTAAGAATTCACAGCTAAGAATTTCGATAGCTCAGCCGTATCTGGTTGGTAAGTTACAGGAAACAAAAATAACAATTTAGTTTCTAATTGTGGTGATCAATCTGTTTTTGGTGGTTATGATACTTTTGGTGCTCGTGCTAGCGCTAGCAAAGACTACAATTCTGGAGTTGATCATTTTGAACTTACATTCAATTTCGATTTATACACTATCGATTCTTGGGGTAAATTCATCTTAATAATCAAAAAAAATATTTCCCATTTTTTAAGTGCATTTTAATACCGTAAAACCTCGTTAAGGATAACAAACGAGTTGAGAGGTAAGAGGTAAGAGTCTTAAAATTCTAAACCCCGATAACTCGAACATTTTTTGAATTCGAGGGTTGCTAGTTAGCGAGGTCTTATGGTATTTAATTATTAGTGAGTTACCATATTTGTGAATAATAAAGAATTGCAAATGACGATTAAACATAATATTAACAACATTTTTGAATAAATTAGATAATGAAGTCTTTAATTTATACGTTGATGACTAGTTAGGTACTATATTTATTCATCAAACTCCAATTTTTAATATATTTGATACCTATAAAATATAGTTTATAGTTTATAAGCTTTGTACAATTAACCCTCTCCCAAACCAATTAATGGTACTTGTGGTTAAGTAGGAATGTTAGATAGATTGTAATCAGTCACTGTTAAGCTTAATCACTACAGAAAGTAATTCAATGTTAGACTAACCACTACTCTTGATTAGGACCCTAGTAAAATGAATTTTTTAAGTTTATGGTTTATATAATATTTTAATATTAATTTATTAGGTGATGAATCTTGGGCTATCAAGAATTTCTAGATTCTCGCAAGATACGGTGGTGGTAACATTTAATTAATTAGTGAAGAATATAATTAAGACTCATTTTAGAGTGATGCTTCTACATGGAATATTGTCAACGTTTAACCAGTATTTACTAAATGGTAATTATTATATTACTCCATCTTACTAATATATTAATTCACTCATTGATTCATTCATTTATTAATTATTTATCAACTCATTTGTTAAATTTATATATTTATTTGCAATAGTGGTGATGGTACCAAAATTTTCGGTGGTTACAATGCTATGGGTAAGGATTCTCTCGTTTCTAAAACCTACAATAATTTACCCCCTCATTACGGTGTATTATTTGCCTTTGATCTCTGGCTTATTGATTCACCTGAAGGTAATGACTACGTTTAAGTCATAGTTGATGGCTAAATATAAAGATTCTACAGACCAGATTATTAATATGAAGACCTTTAAAATTTCATATGCGGTGTTTAAGGATGGTCTGAAAGAATTATTAAAGTTAACCTTTTCGTCCCTCATAGAGGCCCTTCAATTAACATTGCATTTAGAGGTGTTTTTGATGAAGGAAAAGACAATGAATCCTTCGGTTTCAGAAACCTCAGAATTGTTTCTCTTGGTTGCTCTTCAGCAAGATGCCAATAAGTTTCAAACGAATTCTATCAATAAACTTTTGCTGATCCTTAAGGCTGGACAGATGAAGGTGGAAATACTCTTGTTTCTCCTTTCAAAACTTGCTCATAAGCTACATTATTTGGACCTTTCTCAGTTCCTATTGAAAAAACTTATGACTCACTCTAACCCCACTCTGGTGTAAGAATCTTCTTAAGAGTCTTTGCTCTTGGAGATTGGACAAACTCTCAAACTGGTATGAAATTCTTCGTTAACGATGTCTTAACCACTCCTAAAGTTGCTGCAGAATTTGCTAAGAATAAAATTTGTGATGCAGACACAGAAAGCGTTAGAAACTACTTCATTGATATACCTCATTCTAATTCTATCTTAGAACTCGATATTAAGCCAGTGAACTTTGTAGGAAGCACTAAATATTCTATCAGAGATTTATCCTTAACAGCTTACTTCGAAGAAGGTTAAACTTTGGTTTCATCAGAATTCACCTCAGTCAACTTCAATAGTGCCGCTGGATGGACTATTAATGGAAACACAAATTCAGTAACTACATCAAGATGTGGTAAATACTCTCTCTTTGGTGGTTTTAATGCTTTTGGAAGAAGAACATCTGCCTCTAAGTTATATAACTCACTTCCTGATCACGACTACGTTGTCATCGTTTTCACCGTTTACTTGATTGATACTTGGGAAGTAAAAAATTCTTTTAGTTTCCTATCTTTATCTTAATATTAAAAATAATTTTATATATAGAGAGAAAACTTTAACATCGCTGTAGATGATGTCATCATAAAGAGAATTACTAAATCAGAAACTTGGAATGGACATTAGCATTTGTGCGGTAGAGGTGATTCCATGGAAGAAACCTACACTTTCTAACTTAATGTACCTCATACTGCTAGTACAGTTAAGCTTACTTTTAGTGATGAACTTGATCAAACAACAGTATTAAATAAGATATTCTTTCTTAATCAATAATTCAATTTAAAAATTTAAACTAATATTAGGATGATGAATCTTGGGGTATTAGAGATTTATCCATTCTTGTTGGTAAAAACCAAGGTGCTGGTTTTGTTTCTTAAGATGATACTAACTGCATTTAAATTTACACTTAATGCAATTACGATGGCTTATCTCTTGCTGTCTGTAATAATATCCCTGATTTAGGTACTATTGGATGGACTAAGCCAATCAAATCTATTAAAATTCCTTAAGGAAAGAGTATTTAAGCCTACAAACTTCCTAATTACTAAGGAGATTCCAAGTAATTCACTTCTTCTCAAGATTGTTTAACTGGCCAAAACTATCTTCTTATTAACAAAGCTTTCAACATTGATGTTGAACCTGAAACAAAATTAAAACACTAAAGAAGAATTTGAAAAAACAAGCTTCTTTGAGATTATTTTTAATATAAGTATTATTAACGCTTGTATTTATTTATAAAAATTACATATAGTCCTATCTTTAAAACGAAAATCATTATACAAACTATTTTACTTTAAACAAAATAAAGTTTTTATATTTTATTATAATCCAATAAATAAAAAAATATACTAGGTTTTTTTTATTTACATCGATTATAGTATGACTTATCTTTTTGATTATTAATTTTTAGATAATATATTAAAATCAATAAAAAATATCTTCTGAATGTCTTTCTGTTGATGTTAAGAAACTTCTATTGTTTTGTATTGTATTGAAAAATAATGTGTTAGTATTTATTATATTGAGATAGATTCAATTTAAAAATTAAGTTTTTTATTTAAAAATAATATCCTTGTGAAATAAACACATAATTTTTTATAGTGAGCTGAAAATATAATATGATAAATTTTAGTCAAAAGCTTTTCAAAAGCAAGAGATTAGAAACTCTTAAATCGTTAGCCCATTTTTCTAGATAGAAACCATGTTTGTAAAAAAAAGTAGCCTGATTAATTATTTATATGAATTGCTTTTTTTAACTATTTAACTTTCATAAACTAAGTCTTTGTAACATTTATTTATGTTTTTTAACACAAAAAAAATTCTAAATTGAAACAAAAATGCCAAAAAAGGCGAACAATTATTTTATTATAATTTTGAAACTCTAAAATCTTTAATTTATTAATTCTTATTTATGTATACCTATAGTTATTTCTAATAAATCTATTTAATATTAACATAAGATGACTTTAGAAACTAATCTTAAGAATAACTTTTTGAATAGTCACAAAGTTACTAATAAAGTGTCTTTCTTACCTATTTATTGCAATTCTACAAATCAATCTATTTTATCTACATAGCAGGTATATAAAAAATTTTTTTACTTTAATTTTACTGTACTTATTAAAGAACTAATTTTTGTAGCATTTAATACTTTATGTATCAAATGACTTCTAACACATATAATAAATACATCTTTATTCCATACTAAATTACTTTCTTTCAAAGCATTTAATTTAAAAGCTTTAAATACTCTTAAAATATTATTCAATCGAAAAAAAAAAAACATTAGTTTAATAGAATTCTAATTCTTTAGAATAAAACTTACAACATCATTGAATATAATATTACCCTATTGACGTCAATATATGAGGTTCATTAAATATACTAAACGAATTTATCTTAATATCAGATAAAGAAAGAATGAAGTGGGTGGGAAATGAAAATAGAAAGAAAGAAATAATGATTGATTAGTATTACATTAAGTAGAAAGATTTATATTTCATCTACTCAAAATTGTTAGTAGGTAGGATGTATTGTTACTTGTAGAGATAATGCCAAATCAGATAAATAAAAATAGAGATATTTCGTATTTTAAAAATAAGCGAGGAGAAGAAAATAAATTTCTCAAAAGTAGGCAAAGATATATATTTCTTTTTTATCAAATAAATTAAAAAAATTAAAAATTTAAGAGTTTTCTTTAAGAAAGACTTAAAACTATAAACAAAATCATAATAGTAGCAAAAGATTCAAATGGAAAATTTTGAAGAAAAGGTAGAAGAAGCCACATTAGTTGCTGCCAAGACTCCTAAGGTATCCTTACAGATTTATATATTTATGAGAGATTAAAAAGATTAAACTTTAATCAGCATTTTTGCTAATTTATATTTCATTTAAAAATAGGAAATGAAGGCTATGTACAGACCTGAATTCTAAAAGAACCCTTAAAAGTATTATCCCACTTAAGTTTTTGCTAAGTTTGGCTACTCTAGACACCAATGTCCTAAATGCCAAAACTTTTATTGGAGATTCTCTGAAAAGCAAGATACTTGTGGTGACTCTGCGTAATATATTATTCTTACTTTAATTATTATCCAATAATACTAAAAAACTCTTTTAAAATACATTTATATCGAGGTATCTCCATATTATTATTAAAATTCGACATGTATTTTATTTAAGGGAGAGCTATTTAATTAAGAAATAAATAATATTTTATTAAATAAATTTAAAACTGAATAGTATATTTAACCGAAGAAATTTTAACAAAGTATCAATAAAATAGCATTAATTGTAAATTCATTTTTATATAAATATAGTTGTGTTGGCAAGTACACTTTTATTGGTGAACCCACTGGTATTGGTAAGGAAGAAAAGTTGACTTATGATGGAGCTTGGAAGAACTTCGAAAAGTCTTTCACTTCTGCAAGAAAACCTTGCACAGCTATCAAGAGATATCCCGTTGTTGCAAGATGGAGGTAAAATTTATATTTATAGCTATTTTTTTAAACTTAGACATAATCATGTTTTATTAATTTTGCTTATTGAAAATGTTTTATAAGCTGTTTTTTGTTAAAAAAAATTTAAAAAACGAATTTTTCGAAGTTGTTAATCAAAGTTGGAATTATTATAAAATCAAGAATTAAAGTTTGGCGGAATTCTTTTAAAAGAAACAAACGATAATAATTTATGTCTTTGATTTGTGTCTTAAATATTGATAGATTATACTTTTTGCTAACAATAAAAAATATCTTTTTGATTTTAGAATTTTAATTAATTTAAATTAAAAAACAAAAGAAATGATGTTGACTTTGTTGCTGCTGGTATCTACTGCTTCTAACCCTACTGCATGACTGGTGAATTATAACCCCCTGCTAATCCTTTGATCCAACCTCAATTCTGCGTTAGATTCAATGATTTAGATAACATTGGATTAACTGGTAGACATTACAGTGGTTTCATTATGATTGGTATTCAATCTTTCTGCTATCCTGGAACTGAAGATAAGACTTTCTTCAGTGAAGAATGTGTTGAATTCAACTTGAACTGGCTTATTGATGGTCTTAAGATTCCTAAGGATGAAATTACTCTCATTGAAGATATCTGGTCTGGCGGTGGTAACTTAGGTTCTTGCGTTGAATACTTCGTTAAGGGTCTCGAAGTTGGTAACATGGTCTTCACCATGTATAAGTATTACCCCGATGGTAACATTTAGCATTTTATAATAATCAATATTTTTTAAATAATTTTTATTTACCAAACAGGTAAGCTTGAAGATTTAGAAATTAAAGTTATTGATGTTGGTATTGGTATGGAAAGAATTCCTTGGTTAATTAATGGTACTCCTACTTCATATATGGATGTTTTCGATACTTCCTACAAATATCTTTAAGAAAAGTTATAAGTAGAAACAAGCACTGAAATTTGGAAGTAGATTGGTCCTTACACTTGCCATCTTAATGCTGATGAATCAGATGATATGGAAAAAACATGGTAAATGGTTGCTTCCAGCATTGGAAAAACTGTCTAAGAATGCAAGCAAGCTATCACTCCTGTTAAGGATCTCTACATTGTCCTCGATCACACTAGAGCTGCTTTAGTTCTCATTTAAGATGGTGCTGTAACTAAACAAAAAAATCTATAATTTAAAAAATATAATAATTTTTTCATAAAATAAATAAATAAAGTTACCTTCAAATACTGGTGGTGGTTCAAATATCAGAAATATCATCAGAAGAGTATTTGCTATCATGAAGAAAAATGGATGGTGGGATAAGTTAGGTAAAACAAAGGAAGAATAAATGAAGAACTTCTTGACATTGTTCGACATGCATCAATAAGATTTAGAAAAACTTTATGGTAAGTTCCCTGAATACAAATCTTTCGGAAGCATTATTGAAATTGAATATGAAAAGTGGAGCAGCACTGATAAGGCTCAACAAAAGAAGATTGTAGACTCTTTCAATAAGAAGAAAGCTCTTACTCTTAATGATTGGATCGTAGCTATCGAATCTTGGGGTTTGTCTCCTGATACTATCACAGAAGTTACTGGACTTCCTTAACCTGATAACCTATACAATGAAATGGAATTAAGAAAGATGAAATTAACTAAAGCTCCTGAACAAATTCTTTACTAAACTGCCAACATTTAAGAAACTGTTCATCTCTTCTATGAACACCAAAATAAATTTGATTTTGAAGCTAAAATAGTAGAAATTTTCGCTGATTATAAGAACGTTGAAAACCGTAACATCGTAATCCTCGATTAATCATGTTTCTATCCCACATCTGGTGGTTAACAAAATGACATTGGTGTCATGACCGTCGACGGTTAAAAGTATAATGTTGTTGATGTTATTAAGGTTGGTAAATGTGTTCTTCACATTTTAGATAGATCCCTCCCTAATCCTGATAATTCCCATTACATTGGATAAAAAGTTCATGCTGTTGTTGATGAAAACAGAAGAAAAATTCTTCGTAATCATCACACTTCTACTCATATTGTTTTTGCTGCTTGCAGACAAGTACTTATTTATTTATTTCAATAATAAAATTGAATTCCATTAAATTCAAATATCTGAATAATTTTTTTTATTTAGGTTTTAGGTCCTCATGTCTGGTAAAATGGTGCTAAGAAAACTGTTGATATGGCTCACTTGGACATAACTCATTATGCATCATTGACTGAAGAATAAGAAATGGAAATCGAAAAAATTGCTAACACTATCGTTTTCAGTAGCAAGAATATCAACAAAGAATTTGTTAATAAAGCTGAAGCTGAAAAAGAACATGGTTTCCGTCTTTATTAAGGTGGTGTTGTACCAGGTGATACTTTGAGAGTAGTCAATATTGAAGGAACTGATGTTGAAGCCTGTTGTGGTACTCACTGCGATAACACCTCTGAAGTTGGTATTATTAGAATTTTAAAGACTAACAGAATTTCAGATGGTATTATCAGATTATACTTTGTTGCTGGTGAAAGATCTCTCCAAAAACTCTCAACTTAAACTAAGGTCCTTGTTGATTTACAAAATATCTTCAAGGTAAAAGAATCAGATCTTGTCAGCACTTCCTTAAAGTTCTTTACTGAAAGAAATAAATTCATTGAACGTCACAAATCTGCAACTTAAAAGGTTTTAAATCTTCAAATGGAATTATTCCTTGCTAAGGATAAATACAAAAACATCTTTGTAAAGTCTACTGAATCTGAAGCAACATTATATTTCTCTTTCATGGGCAACTTTATTAAAGCTCAAAAGGTAATAATTTTATTTTTTTTATATTATTTTAAATAAATAATATTAAAATCTATTTAGGATGCTGGTAAAGGTATAGTTTTTGTTGGAGAAGGAGAAAAAGGTTTTGTCTTTGGTTAATTCGGTAATAAATCTGACTTTGATCAAGAAAAGTTCTTAGCTTTATTATAAGAAGATAATCCAGGAGTCACATATAAAAAATGCTTAACTTCAATCACTGCTAACAAAGTTAAAGTAATTTTAAATAAATATATTTTAATACAATAAGTTTTATTTTTTTATTTAACAAAAAAGCTTGACAACGTTTTACAATTCTCTTTCAGTGGCAAAGTTAAATATGAAAAAGTAAAGAAAGATTTAATTACTCTTGGTCTTATTGAAGCAGATCTCTGATTTTGATGAAAGCACTAATTTGCAAATAATTCAATACATAAAAATATTTAATATAAGTTGTTCTTTCGTTTTATCAAATTTCTCTTTTAAAAATAGTTTTTTTAAATGTAATTTAGACTAAAAATTATACAATATTTCAACAAATTATTTATTTATTTTATTAAATATTTGAAATAAAAAATTATTTTCAGTAAATTTAAAAAATGAGCTAAATATTAAACAAATTAATATGCAAATGCATTCATTTACACATGATAAATTATTTCCATTTTTGAAAAAATTCTGAATAAATACTAAGTTTTGATTTAAAAGAAAGGAGGAGGTGATGATAATTGAATAAGATTAATGATGTAATAAATATAATATTATTCTTATGCCATTAATTATCAACATCAATAAATATTTATTTAATTTTTATATTCGTATCTTCTTTGTTGATGGTTATAATTTATTTTATATATGGAAATTAAAGAAATTTAGTATTATGCTTTTTTTTGAATCTAAATAGAAAGCTTTTATTTTATTTTCTGTCTAATTGGTATTAATATTATTCAAATTATTTATTCTTAAGGGTAAGAAACACCATATCAATCTGTTTACTTAACTAAACACCAATATAACTGAACTTAAATAAATTAACTAATAATTAAATCCATTAAAAATATAATTTATTTTATTTTATGAGTTGATAAAGAATTGTTGAAAAAAAAAATAAGAAAAAATTAGTTTATGCTTAAAACCATTTAGTTTAAGAAAAAATACTTATATATATATTTAATAATTGGAAAGAATTGTAACTGGTCTTGGATTTTTATCAAAACAGACTATGAAGTAATATTTAACTAAATATGAATTTCTGTTGTTAGAAAACTTTTAATAGTAGGTTTATATTTACTAATTCGATAAATTGGAAATAGAAGAAATCGCTATTCACAGGAAAATGAATCATTTGTTTGGCAATTTTCGGAATTAAATATTTTAAATACTCCCATAACACCTATTTGTATATGATTCTAGCTTTTAAAAACCATAGTAGAAATACATTTTTCTCTGATTCTCAAACATTATATGAGTTTGTAAGTGTTTGAAATTAAAACTTAATTAAAATCTATGTAAAATATAAAAATCCTCATTAATTAAGTTCCTATTAAATTAAAATATAATTTTATTGAAAATGAAATCTATAAAAGATTTTAAAAAAAGAAAATAAGTAAGAGAAGGGCCTTAATTGAGGATTTACAGTATAAAAATATGTAGGTAAACACAAAAATTATTGAGTTTAACTATTTCATAATTACTTTTATTGTTTCAGATTAACTTTTTAAAATTCGTTGTTTAAATAAGAAATTATTAACACTTTTAAATAGCTTTTAGATAATTTAATCTTCTTTTAGTGTTTAAATATTATAATAGCTTATAAACTATTATTATTATTTTTTTTTTACATAATTATTGGAAACAACAATAAATAATTATTTAATTAATTTATTTTCAAAAAAACTCTATTTTTTATTTCTATTTAAATATATTGAGCAAATAAGTTTGAAAAAATATGCTATTAAGAATAGATCTAAGAACTTATCTAAAACTTAAAAACTCTATCTTAAAGTTATAAATTTTGAAAAAAAATTATTTGATTTATCTTTTATGTAAAACAGAATTTTTTTTTTTTTTTGATAATCTATTTATTCAGTTTTTATTAGAATTAATAAGAAAATTTCCTATTCAATTTATACCCCAAAATATGGGTAACGCTAACAAATTAACCAATTAAAATATACTTTTATTAATATTTTAACTCAGAATTTGTAAGTATTCTAAATAGAATAATTAAGGAAATTTGTTTACATTAGAAACCATAAAAGAGTATTGATAGTTTTTTGTTTTAAAAATTATTTAACTATTTTCAATTTTTTTTAAACATATGCATACAATTATATAAAATTACAATTTTTATTTAAAATATTTTTAAAAATGGTTTTATTTCATCCAAAAAATGGTATTTTAGTATTATTAAATAAAAAACATAGATTTAAAAAAATACTAATCATTTTGTAAGTAGATTGGTGTTATATAAAATTTAGTGGGGGCCATCAAAATTTTATCCTAATACTAAATAATTTTAGTCAGGTTAAGTATTTAATGATTATAACTTAACAAAAGAATGTTCATGCAATCTTAGTATTTATTACTCCTAAAATACCAATAACCTATGTAGGTATCTGACTATTCTAGTACAGTGAGATATTTGAAAGTGAGTATAAATTTAAGATGACTTGCTAAATTTTTATTTTAGTTGCAATTTGATAGTTGAAATATTTCTTTTTTAAATTTATAATATATACAATACAATTAATAGATAGCTAGATCGATTGATAATTATATTTATATTTTATTATTTGTTCGTAATTAATTAAAAAAAATTGTTCATTTTAAATATAGCTTGTGTTGATTGAGATCAAAAGTATTATAATTATTATAAAAAAAAAACATAAACTTCTAATTAAATTGTTTAGATTTACAAAAAGTAGAAAAAACAAGCATATAGAAAAAAAAGTAAATGTCTAGTGAACACCCTATCACTTTATAGCATAAGATCACATTCATTTTGTTGGGAATTGCTTCTCTTATAGGATGGAATGCTATTTTGACTGCTTTAAGTTTCTTCTCAACATATTATCCTAAAGATGAATACGGCGGTGATGTATCTTTCTTATTCCCTATCCCTCTCTTTTTTGGTAATTTTATTTGGGGTTTACTAGTTCCTAAGCTTGGTGAATTCATTTCTCTTACTAAGCGTATCTCTTTATGTTTAGCTGCTATCTGTGTATTTATGATCTGCTTACCTTTAATTACAATTGGTCTCTAAAACAAGGCTGGCTTCGCACTTTGTTTGATCTGTACATTTATTATTGGTAGCTTCAATAGTATTGCACAAAACTCTTGCATTGGTTTGGCTAGTTAAGTTGATGGTAGTTTGACTGGTAAATAATTTTATTTTTAATTCATTTATACATATTGATTTAACTTTAATGACTCTATCAATTTTCTTAGTAAATTATTTAATATTAATAATTGTTTATTATATGAAGGTTTATATTGGGTTTCTACTGGTATTAGTGGTTTAACTATGAATGCTGCTAATGCAATTACTTTAGCTTCTTTTGGTGATTCAGATGATGGTTTAAAAATTGGAACAATTATTTATTTTGCTATTGCTGTCATCATCACTCTTTTAGCAATATGGTCATAAATAGCATTTGTAAAAAGCGATTATTACTTGGACATCAAAAAGTAACATGAAGAGTCTGGATAAGATAATGAAGAGGACAATACAGTTTCTGCTATATCAGGAGAAGAAGAAACTCCTCTTGTTGGAAAAAAGAAATCAATTGGAGAATAGCTCAAGGCATATGGCAACAAGATCCTCAGTGGTATTAAGCTTGCTCGTTTTGTACCCTTTTTCATATACTTGATTTATGTTTAAACCTTCATGCTTTTCCCTGGTGTGTCTGTTTTTAGCAAACCTTCCTATACCTACCTTCCTGGCAGTTGGCCTACGTAATTATTAGAAAATATATTTAAATTTCCTTTTAATTAACAGTTTTGAAATAACTTATTCTTTATACTTACATATTTGTTTATTATTAAAATAGTCTAGTTATGTTAACAACTTACAATGTTGGTGATATTATCGGAAAATACATTTGCAACTTCAAATTTTATAACATCCCTATTTTATATGGTGTTGTTATATCTAGATTTGTTTTCTTTGTCACATTTTTAATGACTATGCACTAACCTGACAATTCTTTCTTTAGTAATGATGCTTTTGCTTACGTTAATATGCTTTTATTTGCTATAACTAATGGTTTTTGTACAGGAGGTTTAATGTTCTTAGGACCTACCAGAGGTAACAATAAGAAATAAGCTGAATTGATTGCTTTCATTAACTCTTTCAGCTTGACTTTTGGTATAGCATGTGGATCTTTCCTAGCTCCAACTCTTTCTGGTTGATTTATTAATTAATTTTAAATGCTTTCAATATTCTTATTGTAATTTATCTATTTGTATTTGTATTATTTTATTATTGTTTATTTCATCTTCTTCATTCATTTACATAAAATACAATTTAAAATTAATACTTATAATGTAAAATATTTAGTGATTTATCATTTTATAATTTAATAAAAACATGAGTAAAATATAAATAAATATTTAATATTTATGCAAAATAATTTTCTTAATTAATTTTTTTAAGTTAATCACTCAATAGTTGTTGTCTCTAAATCGTTAAAAACATCTTAAATATTTTAATCAGATATTAATGATTAGATATTGTTTTAATTTACAGTAAAAAAAGCATAAGTAGCAGAAGCAGTAGAAAAGTATAGTTTAAAGGCTATTTCGCTAGATATAGATGGTATATGCCACACAGCAACTAGCCCAATATAATAAAATATATTAAGATATCCTTTTGTCTTTATTAAAATACTTCATTAATAAGTGAGTTAAATATCAAGAAATTTATTTACAAATTTTATAACTTTTGGATTTTTGGATTTTGTCAAATGAATAGACTGCTTTATAATTTTTTGCTAAAGTTGATGCAAATTGTAATATGCAATAGCAAATGCAGCGTAACTTCCCAGGTGCATTCTACCAAATCTAAATTTCATATTCCTATTAAAATTGTAGCAAATTTATCATTGTTACATTATTTAATATTTTACCTCTCTTCGTCAAAGTACTAAATTTTAAAAGCTCTCTTTGCATTTTCAAATCTTTGTTTGACAGCTAATTATTAAAATTCAATTATTTTAAAATGAATAACTAATTTAAAGTGGTGTTAAATATTAAAAATATTTTAGATACTTTCCATTAAAATACAACCTATATTACCTTAAATATCTTTAAGAAAGGAAAGATCCATTTATGAAGGCTTTTATAAATAGAAAGGATTAATGGGTTTATTATTTGTAATTTTGGTATTTTATTCAATTGGAAATATATATTTGATGCTAAAAATCTTTTTAGATTTTTCTATTAGTCTTACAACTTTCCAAAATCTCTTAAATAAATTAACACTTTTTAAATGTCTAATTCTACTATAAATATAAATTATTGAATATAAATAAATCTATATATATATAAAAATGGCTAATCTAAATTAATCAATATTATTAACTCATTATTTAATATAAATTTAATTTTAAGGTATTTAACATTATGGAATTTTAGGAGAGAAATCTTAATTTATTTCAAATATAAACTCAATCACATAAAATTAGAAATTAATATTAAATTAAAAATTATAAAATATTTTTGGTATGTAGTTAATATTTTAAATAACTAGGCTAGATTTTAATAGATTATATGTATTTTAATATTCTAGTTTTAGTATGATGAATGTTAGTTAAAAATTAAGAATTCATTCATTCATTAATATATTTATCAAAATTTTGGGTAAATATATATTCAAAAAAAGAATATAATCTAAATTAAATTAAATTTTAGTCAATATATGCCTTACATCAAGTTACCTAATTTTAAGATGGGTATTAACCCATCTTTAAGAAGCAAATTGAATCCACTTGCTTTGACTGGTACCCAAAAAATTATGTTAGCTAGCTCTAGAATTTTCGGTACAAATATTAGTGGTAATTTAAGAAGTGGTAATTCGGAACTTTAAAAGAAGTTTAGTCCTGAAAAAGAACTTGTAAGCAATCATTTTATTGAAATGAATTTTTAGATATTTTTTTAGTAGTGTATTAGTTTTTTAATTACTTATTTAAAAAATATTTAGGCTGAATTTAATACTTATGCACACGATCTTTCTAGCGGTTTCCCTTGGGTTCAATACTATGAATAAAAGGAAAGACATAAAATGATGATTGAATTGAGAAAAATGAGAATTTTGATGAGAGGTATTAAAATTGGTAAAAAGAAAGGTGGTGGTAAAGTAACTTTAATGGATGTCTTTGAGACCAAAGCAGACGAAGATTTTTGAAAAATAAAATATTTAAAGATAAATAAAGCATTTGTTAATTTAAATTGATATTCTCCTAATTAGAGAAAGAGTCTAAAAATTATTTTTTGATTCATGAATATTTACTATTTACCTATATACTTTGGTATTTGTTTGGTTTTTTAATAGCAAATTCTAGATATTTTTTTGTATAAGCTTATCAAATAGTTAGTTAATTTGTATATATTTATTTAAAAATAAATCAAAAGATTTGTATAAATCAGCTATTTTTTAGTTAATAATTTTATTTATTTAAAATGTTTTAATTAATTTGAAAAAAATAATAACTTTCATTTTAAATTAAATCTGAGAGTTATTTTTGCTTTTTTTGAAATCCTTCTATTGGCAAAGAATATTTTAAATATCAGCTAATAGAATTAGTTAAAAACAAAAGATAAATTAATAAATGAAATATAATATTTAATAACATATTTAAAATAAAATATATAGCAATGATTTATTAATATATATATCTTTATGGAAAGGTGGATGCATCTTTATTATAAGAAAATTATACTGCAACTTTATTAAATAAATCTATTAAAAGCTGCTAAATAAAAATCATATTTGTTACAAATAAGTAAGTAATTAAGTAAGTAAGAAATTGAGTTAGCTTTTTAAACCAAACAATTCAAACAGGATCTTCTCTAAATAAAATTTTGCAAGCTTAGAAAGTGTTGAAGAACATATTATACTCATACAAGTTGCTTTCTAATTTTTTAATTGAAAGACCGTTCTCCAGTTGCATCTATTTATATAAAAAAAAAATAAAAATAGGTTTAATTTTTAATTAACATTTACCTATTAAAGCCTATGAGTAGAGATTTAGGTAGTATCAGCCTAAGAAATCTCTTTAATAGATTCCAATTCTTCTTTGTAAACCTTTCTTACTTCTTCTTACCAGTGAATTAAATGGAATTTTTCTTCAAGATTGTATAGTTTTAAGATATAAGCAATACCGATTATAAAACCATCATTCTAATTTTTAACATATTAAATAATTTTAATAAAATTTGCATTTAAATATAATAATTAATTATGATTACACATAAGAAGGCATTCACATTATTTTTAATTGGTATTTTATCTTTGCATATTAATGCATGAGTGACATAATTTAATGTAAGGCAAGGAACTAAAATGTGGAAGTTAGTGAAATGATTTTGAGATTCACTTTAAGCATATTTGCTCATTGTTGATACTATTCTCTTTAAATAATCAGTTCCAGAAGAAAAATAACTCTTAAGTTAGAGTAAAATGTCATCTAATTCTTTAGCTGCTTTAGTAGTTGCTTAACCACTCATTGCTTATTTAGCTAATTCTAAGAATGAATCTTCTGAATCAATTTGATATGGTAAAAATTCAATGCTCTTTGAACAATAGTTTAAACTTGCTGATCTCAACAATCTTATAAAACTAGTAATATTAGAGGGAAAATTTAACATATGCTATCATAAAATAAATCAAAAAAATTACCCTAATGCATTACCAATTTATGTTATAAATATTCTAAACTAATCAAGATAAGTATTTCCTTCTTTAGATACACCTAGTCTTTTGAGAGTGCTCGATAACTTTTTAGCTCTTTCATAAGGGTAGTATCCATCAATTTACATTTTATTTTCTTAAAACCACTTTTCTTCTCTGATTAAATTTTAAAGGATAAGCTCATCGTATAGTAAATTACTGAGAATTTCAATTTTTCTATTTAAAATATAAAAATTTATTTAAATGTCTCTTGAAGGAAGCTAAAATTTACTTGGCAACATATTTAAAGATTGAATTAACAGTAGTATTTAAAATACCAAGACCATGAGTTCTAATTGAATCAGAAATCTGCTAAATTCCAATTGTTTGTACTAATTTACTCTCAGTAGTAATCTGAGTAAACGTTTAATTATGCAAATTATAAGTATAAGTATCTACGAATGTGGGGATATTTCTTAAAATTTGTAAAATATCAAGCTATCCTTATTCTATTGTTTAACTTGGAATGTAAACATTGATCAAATTAACATCAAAGTAAAATTTGGCTAGGACTCTCATTTACTCATAAGTTTCCATATCATGCATATTCAAGACATTTAAATTGTAGAATTTTTCATTCAGCTAATTCTAAATTTCCTTCTTAATATCAATTATAACATCAAAGAATTATATCTACTCTAATTCGAGTAGTTTTTTAATATTATTCATTTCATCTTTAAATGGATTTTTTCCAACAACCTTATCAATAAGCATAGCATGAATTTGAATTCTCAAAAAGTCTTCAATTTATCTAGTAAGAGGGGTTAAGTATTCCTATATTTTTTAAATGAATATAAATAAATACTTCTTTTTTTTATTGAAATTTTACATCTTTGAAGGTAGTGATAACTTCTTCTTTAAAAGTCTCATACATATATAAAGGATTTTATAGATGAAGAGTTGCTTTAACAATAGGAAGGGTATCACTGATAGCTTAAGATAGATAAATTAATCTTTTAGACTGGCTTGGATTTTCAAAGAATTATTTAATTGCCAAAGGAAGTATATCTTTGCACCAGAATAGGAAAGAACAGTTTGTTGCTTTGGAAATATTATATTAGAATTAAGAAACTGTTTTTATTTTCCAAAATATAAATCTATTTTGTTAAAAAAAGATAAATAAATTAATATGATTAAATTTTCAATTTTTTGATTTAAAAATTTGAGTAAATTATAATCAAGTTTCTATTTAGATAAAGTTAAGCTTTAAATCAATCAATAACTTATATTCAGTTAGATTGAATTATATAAAGTAGATTAATTAATTGGTATTATAATTATCTAAATAGAGTTATTTTTGAAAATAGATCTAAATAGTAGAAATTACTTAATATCTTGTCCTTCTTTTTTCTCTGTAATGTAGTTTGAAATAATAAAATTTAAGGCAAATTCCATTGTTGAGATCTTTAAGGAAGTTATTGGCCCACGTAAATTTTTTATGACATTTTATATAGCTGCTCTAAATTCATTATAAAGGGGTTTCTTTTATTTATAGTCAGCTTTAGTTAATTTCTCATAAGTAGCACCTAAAATCAAGAGGAGTTGCTTTACTAAAGTTTTGAGTAGCATGTGTGGTTAAAAGGCTTCTATTTTTGATATGTATACTGATTCAATTGCTTTAAGCATAACTATGCCTTTTACTACATACTTAATTAGTTATGGAGTAAAACCTATTCCTTCATTGATATGAAGCATCAAATTTGTTGTAATCATTTACTTTATCTAGCTTGCCATTTATAATCTTTTTTAACATGAAATAAGTTAAATAAAATAAAAAAAACTTCTAGTTTAATTTAAATAAAAGAATGTACGCTTTTATCAATAATCTAACTCTGTAGGAAGTGTATTCCTCTACAATCTTGATGGATCTATCTCTTTTACTTTTATCACCTGTTGCTAAAGCAGTGTTTGATGTTAATATTGACTCCATACGAGATATCCAATAGCAAAAGTCCTCATAAAAAGTATTTATTTTTTTTGGAATTTAAATATCCAAATCTTGCACATATAGTTTAGTGAATTATTCAGGCTCTTTAGGGTCAAGAGTAGTACTCTTACTGAGAGGACAAACATATCTCAAAAACTTATAAACGTAACAGAAGATGTGAGTGTGTCCTTCAAGAACAGGTGACTTCTTCTATAATGTCCAAAGAGATTTATATATCTTTTTATCTTACTCTTCTGGGAAAACTTTACGGAAGAAAGCGTATGTGCATAAGAAGTAAAGCAAGTCTTTTCTTTCCTACACTTCAGAAGTAGTGTCTAATATATCATTATAAAATACAACCTACTATTTGAAATAATTTTCAAATAGCTCAATTAAATCTTTGTTTTTAGCTAAAAGACACAAATTTTATTATTTAAGCTAATCGGATGTAAAGCTCTTGTTTGCATCATAATTTTGTTCAAGCACTGCCTAAACACAAGCACCACTGAGTACAGTTTTATCTAGACGTGCGATATTTTTTTCAAATCTTTTAACAGTTTTAGGGTCACTTCCAAATTTTGATGGTTCTGTTTAAATAATTTTAATCATACGTTTGTAAACATTCCAATGGTCACGTATTTTCTTGTTTTAATTAATCGCACAGTCAAGAACATAGACAACTGATAAACCCTTGCCGATTGTCTAGAAAACACTATTCAACTCAACATTTTTGAATATATTTTTATGCAAATCATTCTTTTTGTAGTAAATTATGTTTAACTAATTTATTAAATTGTGGAGAATGCCCATTATTTTCTTTATCAAATCTAAACTCTATTCATTTAACCATAATATATTTAACAAAATTTCAAATTTTAAAAATACTTTACTTATTTAAAAATTGGAGATAGCTTTGAAATTTCAAATTCAGCTTAACCATCAAGCAAAGGAAACTCTTCTTCATCTTAGAAATCATCTAAAGCTCTTTCACCATACATAGAAATCACATTAAGTATTTTGCTTTCAAACTTATTTTTTATCAAAAAAATAAATCATTAGTTATTTTTAATTATTAAATGCATATTTATGTGATCTTTAAAATTATTTTTGAAATTCTTTTGTACAATTTTTTTAATTTTACAAATTTATATTTGCTTGCTTTAAAATATTATCAAATAAGTAAGCAAATAATTAATTGGCAATCAATTATTAATAGATTCGCGAATATTTATATTTTATTGACTTTCCTTAAAATACTCTTGCTTTCCTAAAAATTTTTTATCTTATAATTAATAATAAAAGATATTTTGAATATCAGTATTTGTATTTCTGGTAAGAGAATTAAATTATTGATAATAAATATGACTGCCTTTTATTTTTTTATTTTTTGACTAAAATGCCAAACTTTTTTTATTTTAAACTTCAATATTCATTACGACTTCTGTAATCTTTCCGATTTCTGTATCCAAGTAAGTAAAAGTAGCTGAAACTTTGTCATAAAATGGGTTGTCTGTTTGGTTTACATCGAATAAACCTTACTTTTGAACTTATTGCTATCATTATTTTAGAATATTATATTAATATAAATAAAATAATAAAATAAAATGATATTGATTGATATGCTGAGCAACATTTTATCTTGAATATTTAATTTAATAGTAAGGTTTTACATTCACATTTAAATGGAGAATGTTAAAGGGTGTATCTCCAAGAGGAATTTGATATTTTTAATCTAAATCTTTTGTCTTTTGAATATAATTGTTGAATTGCTAACTGAACTTCTCAAAATGTTCTTCATATGGCTTAGCTATTAACAAAATTGATATAGGTGAATAAAATATTATAAAAAAAATATATCAATCATTTTATAAGTTGATATTTTTAGACATTGCAATTATGATTAATATATGTAATTTAATATTTTTAATATTTCTTATAATGTGTACTTGTCTAAATATAGTCCTATTGTTTTTCCTCATCGTCAGATATGTCATCATCTGAGCTAAAAGGGTTAGAGCTTCTTATACTTTACGGGGCTTAGCTTCTCATCCTATACGTTTAATCTATCTCTTTATTTATATATTTATTACTTATTCAAAAATTATTGAAAATTAATAATACTTTTATTCCTTATCAAAAAATTAGGCTTAATACAATAAATGTATCTTTGTAATATAAATTATCTTATTTTCTCACAATTTGATGAGGAATCATCATTTATCAGCTACCTTATCACCTCATTCTAATCAGATTCTCAATCTTTATTTGCCTCAAACCTTTTATTTAATATTAAGTACCTTTAAATTTATTAAATCTTAACTAAATATTAATAGCCTTTAAGCATATTATAAACATTTAAAAAATATTCTAAATAATTAATTTCTTTTTTAGATTGGTAAAATACTTTTTATGCTTATTTTTTATCAACTGATTAATTTGGAAAACTATAAAAGAAACATTTTTGGCAAAATTCAACATTTTATTTTATAAATGATAATTAACATTGAATACTTTGTTGTATAAATTTTTACTAATTATGATATTTCCATAGTAAAAATATCTAAATAAAAATTATTTATCTTGTTTTATTAAAATATTAAAAATAGAATTTGAAAATATTTAAATAATCATAATCAGATATGTATTTCTTTTATTGTTATTATATTTATTAAGAATTATTAATAAGTTGAAGCTGAAAAATTGTTAATTTAATGAATGTCTGTTATTTAATCAAATCTATTTTTCGAGTAACTATACTTAAATATGCAGATTAAAAAATTAAATTAAAATTTTTATTTTTTAACAAAAATATTTTTATCACAATAAAATCTATTTAAAATATAAGTAAAAGTTTTTAAAAAATTATTTATCATTTTTATTAAAAAAATTAAAAATATGATGAGAAAATATTTATAAAGCTTTATCTCAAACAAATATAATTTTGATTTTAATTGTTGAATATATTCATATATTTATTAAGAATTACTAATAAGTTTAAAATAAAAAAGTTTTTAATTTTAATAAAAGTCTTAATTTCAATTAACATATTTTTTTTTTTGAATACTTCATATTGTTTGAGTATACTTATTAAATTATAAATTATTAAATTTATATTAATATAACATCATAAAAGAATTTATTAAAAATAACAATAAACTTTTATAGATAAATTTGTTTTCTTTATGGTTTAAAAATTTAATTCAGAAATTTTAACAATCAAAATAACATAAAATTATGTAATTTAATAGTCTTCTAATTTTTCATTACAAATTATTTAAAAAGTAATAAGCTGTTAAATCACTCTTAATACTTTTGATTATAATTTTATTCCAAATTAAATTTGTATGTATTAAAATATTTTGATTAAATGTACTCAAATAGTTAATTAAAGTCAAAATCATTTTTAAGTTTTGCTATCTCAGTTTCAAATTTTATCTTTAAATCATCTTATACATTATTGTAAATAACTATTAGTCTTTAGATACATTATTATCTATCTTGAGCACTTTTATCTTATAAATCAATAATTAGTTTTTATATAATTTCAAAAACTTTTTACATAAATTTATTATAAATTTCATCATATTATATATTTTTTTTTAAAGCTTTTGAAAGTTTTTATTGAATGATTTTTGGAGGGTGTAACAAAAATGAATTCTCTTAGGTATTATACTATTCTAAAAGTCCATTTATTCTTTATTAAATGCTCAATTAAATTTATTATATTGCTTAACTAATCTCGTTATGTTCATCTATGATTTGTAAAATCTAGTTTATTTCTTTAATATGCTCTATTTAATTTTCAGCTTCATAAAATTCAAAGTTAAAAATTTAAGCCCTTATTAATTCTAAAAAACTGTTTATTTTTTCCATATAAATTTATTTTATTTTACTTTGTTATCTTTATTGTTCAATCATGTTTTGTTCAGTTTAAATTTTAATATCTTTTGAAAAAATTAATTATACTTATTATATTTTTTTTAGATTCTCTACTAGTGAAACAATTAAATCTTTTTCAAGCTTTCTACTTAAAGTAATTGCTTATTAATAAGCATGATCAAGTAATTTATGTATTTAAAAATGAATTTCAGTTTTTATTTACTTATTTAAGCTTTCATTAAACTCATTATTTAATAATTCTTAATAAACCTAAATAAAATTATGTTTTTCAATCTATAGAAAAATATTTTCTTTATCTTATTTGTATTTTTCATTTAGCAAGCTTTAAAATTCAGAGCTTCTGTCAAAGATTTTGTTTTCTCCTACAAAAAATTCTATAAGCCCTAAAGATTTTTACAGCATAATTTTTAACTTTACTTCTTCAACATCAAAATAAGGAGGATAAATGTCATCAATATTCAATTTAAATATAAATTATTTTATATTGCTCCTATATTTTTTGATAAGATTCTACCCTTTAACTAATTTAAATACTTTAGGATACTCCTCAAGATCGGATAAATCCTACAGTAGTTAAGCCAATTTTTAGCAATTATAAGGTATTTCTTTAATGTTTATAACTTTAGCGTTTTCTATTTTCTTAAATGTCTTACTTATTTCTTAATTTAAATCATCTCCATATTATTATATTTGTTTATTGAGATCTGTTTTGATTTAAGACGCTCTTTCTTCACAATAGTTTCCTTTCAGACAGAATTTTAAAAAATTTAGATATCTTTCAACTAATTTTAAGTCTAACTTTTATAATGAAATATCATTAGAATTCTCTTCTAAAATTTATCTTTCTTGACATGAGGTATTTTTTAGATTTAAATTTAAAAATTACTAAATCTTAGTTAAATTTTAATCAATAGATTCTATAAATTTTTGTTAAGAATATGTCCTATACTCAATTAATTTTCCATCTAATGCATCTAATGGAGACATTTTAACAAGTTGCTAAAGTAATTGTGAAGCAGTTTTATAATTTTACAAATTTTTTACATTTAAATTTAATTCAGTGATTTATATTTAAATTGAAAGATAAAACTATCTCAAATTTTCTGAAATTTCTTTGATCATATTATCATACATTTTAGATTTATGATATTGATCTATCCATTAAGCTTCTTTTAACTAATTTACAGTATTGCTAATTTAAAAAAAATTAATATTTAACAAATTCTAATCTAAAATTAGATTATTTTTTATATTTTGTTTTAGGAATTCAAGTTTTTATGAAATTTTTTCTAAAGTATTTTCAAAAATTTCAGATGTAACATTTTCTAAACCCTTAATTTTTTTAATTTTATACATTTAATCTATTAGTATTTCACATTCTTTAAAACAATTGATTGACTAATCACTGAGAATTTAATAAATTCTTTAGCTTATTTTTTAGTAGTACTGAATGACATAAGATAACAAAATCTATCTTAACTTTTAAATATAATTGACTTTTATGTGTTTCTTTAATTCTCCTATTGATTATAATTAATCAATAAAAGAAAACATTTATTCTATTTTATCTAAATCTTCATTTTCTAAAATATATTTTAGTAGTAATTGGCTTTAGCTTTTAATTAATTCATCTAAATGGTTTTTGAAACTATACACTGTATTTTCATATTTATCTAAACAATACTTTTCATTTAAATAATTCTTACAAAATTCTGAGAAGGTTTTTATTTCTGTAAGAAGTGATATAATTTAGTGAAAATTATTGTTTTTCAAAACTTTTTAACAATCTATAACTAAATTTTCTATTTTAAATTATACTTCTTAGCAAAGATCTGTCATTTTTTATTAAATTTCAGGAAATTCTTAAGTAAAAAATTTAATATTTTAAATTTTGTTGATAGTTTATTGGCTATTAATACTATTTAAATTTAAATCTACTTTTACATTTTTAAGAGTATCTTTTAAATTTTTAACTGCAGCAGAAGCATTAATAGAAAGATTTTATAAATGGTCTTGCCTTAAATTTTCTACCTCTTACAGTTACTAAATAAGTTATTTATAGCATAATAAATCTTCACTACTTAGCTTAATTTAATTATTTAAAATATTATTAAATGATTGAGTTACTTTTGTATAATTTTAAGTAAGCTCACTGATCAATACCTTAATACATTCTTAGTAAGTTTGCAGTGCAAAATCTTATAGTTAGTTCTTAATTAAAAATTTTAATTAGTTTAATCTGTACCCAATTAATTTATAATCATTCCTATTAATAGCAGAAATTATATTTTCTTTATGAAGCTTAACTTGATTTAAAATGTTTGTTTTTGCATTTTCAGATAAAGAAAATTTAAATATTCCAAAGCTATTTTATATTTCACTTTCCTTAAGTAATTACTTTAAAATTAAAACTTAAGGATTATTTTAGGAGTCAATTCTTAACACATCTTTCTTTGTTTTTTCTATCATATCTTCTAAAATTAATAAAGCGTTCTAATTAAAATTTTTATTTTCCTTGAATAGATTACTTTCTTTTAAATTCTTTAAATATTCATGTATATTTTCATTTATAGGGAATTCTGTGAAAATATAAGAAAAACAACTTATTTTATCTGGTATGTTATTAACTAAATTTGATAATAAACTGCAAAGAGAAAATATTTCCTCTCCATTTTCTTAGTTTTTTTGGTATAAAATGAAAGGTCTAATACTTTTACATTTCTTCATAATTAAGTCAATTCCTATTATACAAGCTATTTCTGTCTCAGTTTCAATTAATTCTTTGAAATTAGGTATTTTACATAAAATTATTGATTTTTCTGTTAAACTTTCTCTCTCCTTTAATAATACTGGCTAAGTTAAAAACTGAAAAGCCTCAAGCTCTTTTTTAAATTCAAAAGTTATTTTTTAAGCTTATTTTTATATTAAATTAAAAACTGGTTACTTTTAACCTTTATTAAATCTTATCTCATTATTTTTTTCTTATATTTTAGAACCAGCTATTTATTAAATGACTTTAGATTTGTCAGATTCATTTGTTCCTAAAAATAGGATTATATCTTAGCCATAATATAAATTTGAATTGTCTTAATATTCTAACTCAAATTATTATAATATATCTATATCTAATGGTTTTATTATTTTCATAAGACATTAGCAGCAAATAAGAATTTATTCAGAATTTTAAGATTAAACAAATATTTTTAAATTTTCAGCAATTTTTCTAAAATCTAATTGATTATTATAGTCTATTAAGAGTTATTCTTCTAATTATTTTATTATGTTTAATAACAAATTTTATTTTTGTTCATCAATGCAGTTTATTTCTCTTTTAAGAGTTTAATTAGTTAATTTTATTAAAAGTGATTATTCTATCAATTCAAGAAGGATTTTTTCGCTACATAAAGGTAACTATGAAATACTTTGCATAACTTTAAGTAAATCCTAATTTTTTGGAAATTCTATGTTCAATTTATTATTCTGCGAACCATCAAAACTTTCTTCCTCAGAATACATTTTATACATATTTATTTATAATTTAAAAAATGATGATTTAATTGTTGTAATTATTTAATGAATCCCTATTGTAAATAGAGTTTCTTTCTCCTTTAATTTAGCTAATATTTATCTAAACTCTTATTTAGCAAGTATTTTAATATAACTTTCAATAATTTTAAAAGGAGATAAACTTAAAAGAAACTTAAAATGGTGTTTTATTTATGAAGTCAAATTTACAAATATTTAGAAATTCTTTGTAGTATTTATTGTCTTGATTATCTTAATTATTCTAATTATTATTATTAAATTTCAATTATGAATTACTTTTATATTAAATTTTGATCAAAATAGCAAACTGTATCATAAAAGATAAAATAAAAGTATTTTATTTATTAATATTTTTTTTATTAACTCAAATAATTAATTATTAAAAAATAAAATAATGGTAACATTCAAAAATTAGAATAAATTATCATGTCTTATTTTTATTTAATTTAAAAATGTATATGATTTTAGAGATTATATTGATTTATCAAATAAATAAATAATTTGCAGCTTATTAAATATTTTTTTGATATTTTAGAAAATTATTCAAGTGATTATAATTTCAATAATTAAAATAGAAAATTATTAACTGAATCCCTTTATTTCTATTAGTTTTTTTTGTTTTCCTGGTCTATTTCAAAACAATAAATTTTATGGTAAAAAAGTATTATGTGATATATCAAAAAACTTAAGGTTGTGATAAATTTATTCATTAGATTTATAGTAATATGAATTTTATATAATTAAATACTGTAAGAATAAATAAATAGACAGATTAAAAAGATTGAACAATAGTATTGGTTTTTATGAAGTATTTAGTAAGTTAATTATATAAATTTTAAATATTTTTTAACAATTTTAATTCTATATTTTTTGTTGGTTCTTTATATAATTTTGTATTTTTTAGAATTGAAGTAATTATTATACAGAAGAGAAAGGAGAGAGAGAGTCTAATGATATAAGTAGTTTATTATATAAAATGTTATCAGTTAGTCTATAGATGAGTTAATACTTGCCAAAAATAATTATAAGATTCAGTAAACGTAATTATTACAATCTATATTAGAAGATTTAGTTACAAGATTTAGATTAATTCTTCTTTGAAGCAGTTTTGAGGTTAATGTTAAATTCTAATTAATTTTCTTGGCTTATCTATCTTATACTTTTGATCTTACTACTTTAACATCCAATAATTTTTTTTCTACATCATTAGATACTTGATAGGCTTTTTATTTATTATTTTTTTTATTATGTGAATAATCTAGACCTTCATAGTCTAAATCGTTAGAGCTATTTTGGCTGGATTCTTCTCTATATTAAATTTCATTAAGTTCTATTTCCATTTTTTAAAGGGTTTACATTCTTATTTTGTGATAGAAATCGTGAATTATGTCCTCTGGACTCACCATTTTAATATTGTTTCTATCTAACCATTCGTTTATTCTCATTTCAACATCATTAGATTCATCTAAAATAAATTATTCTGATTTCAAAACATTTGTATCGTCATTTTATTATATAAAATGGTTATTATTTTAGAAATCTTCTCTTGAAAAATAGGACACTTTTTCATGGATTGGAGAGTTAGTATTAGAATATGAGTCACTTTAGTTATATAAATGATCATTTTGATTAAGCTATAATTAAGGGAATTGAGATGCTTAGGATTCAAAAAAAAGACGATTAAGTTTGATTTTTTTTCTTGGATTGGTCATTTTAGATTTGTTTAAAAAAGGTGTTTATTAATATTGATTTAGAAATAGACAAGATTGAGTTTTATTTAAAATTTTAAAATATTAAGTTTTTTTTGATATTAATTTATTATAAGCTAGAAGAAAATAAAAACCAAATTGTGCTAAAGTTAAATAACAGACTTAAATTAAGAAAAATGAAATTAATTAAAATTTGTTCATTATCCTAAATTATTATTATAGAGCCGTAATCAGAAAATATAGGAAAGAAAACAAAAAACTGAATTAATTTATCAAGTAAATGACTCAAATAAAATAAATTCATTCATAAGGGATATATATGAAATCTGATGGACAATTAAAGAAACCAAAAAAATATTAACTATTTGATGAGAAAAAGAAAGAAAATATGTATTTCTGTTTCATCTATCAACTTAGTGATAAAATAAGAATAATACTTTTTTTAATTTCATAATTGAGAAGTGCTTTGTATTTTATAGACTTAAAAAAAATCCCAGATTAAATAAATTTTTGAAAACAAGCACCATTTAATACCAAATGTGATAGAAAGGACCGAGTAGAAAGAGAATGAATTAAATTGATATTAACAAATTCTGTTATGTTAAATAAATTTTGAATTTTAAACGTGCTTTATTATTTATAACAAATACTCGATTTATTAATACGTTTTTTCAAAGATTTAATTTATCCTCAAAAAACCTCAGATTTTGTAAAGAAAATATTAAATTAAATAATTTGATGAACAGGAAATTTACAGAAATTGTATTTCATATATTTGTTATTTTTTATGTTATCAAAAAATATTTACTGATTTTACTGATTAATTGTCTATCAAATTGTATTATTAAGATATATTTGTTATTTATTAATTACAGATTAAATGCTCCTTCTATTTTGAATCAAAAAGTAAGATAGAAGAAAAAACTAATTTTTTTCATGCTTATTTGAATAAATTGTGAAAAATTTCAATAAATTTATATGAAAAAAATAATTTACTCTATTAATGTAAGAAAGTAAGCAAAATGTTTAATAATAATTTAATTTACATTGATTTTAGTTTTATGTATTATACTTTCAATTTATATTCAAATACGCTTTCTATAATTTAGATAATTAATAAAATTATTTGAATTTAGACTCAATAAAGGAAAGAAATTAATGAAAATATTTTGTTATGTAAAGAATATTTATCATTCATTTAAACATAAAGACAAGCACTCTTAAGCAGGGCATACTTAATCTATAATTAGAATCTATTTTTTGTATTTAAGTTTTATTAACCCGGATGTTAAGTTCTCTTTTAAACAATTTGTAAACAATTTATCCTCCTTGAAAAGAAACAATAAATATAATTTTTATTTTATTAAATTATTTTAGGCATATTAATTTTTATTAAAAATAAATAAGTTTAAATAATATTTTTAATTTATTAAAAAATAATTTTCTTAATTTTATAATAATGAATATTACAAATATTTATTATTTAATTCACACATTTAATTATGCGATCATCTTAAATATAATTATTTTATTTTTTCTATCCTTTTAAAACAAAATTTCCATTTCTTTCAATATGATATCCTGATAATTTAAGCTATTTAACTTTTTAGTATTCTAGTAGTTGGTAGAATTGTAGAGAAGAAAGCACAAATAAATGATGCGACTGACATAACAGCAAGCATCATATAAGGGAATACAAATTAAATAGGGAGATCAGTGAATAGAGCTCTTTAAATACTCATTGTAAATCCAATAGCAACACCTACTATGGTTCCTATAATGCAACTACTAAATACTAAAGTGAATGCTTCAAAAAAGTATATTGTTTTCATTCTAAAAGTAGTAATTCCAATCGCTCTCAAGACAGCGATTTCTTTCGTTTGTTCCAGAATATTTGCAGTCATAGAAGAAACAAGAGAAAAAAATGATAGAATCATCACTATTACACAAATAACTGTAAAAATAATATTAATTAGCTTCTTTTGTTGTAATGTGCTTGACAAAGTATCATTATAATCCCATACATTTGCTTCAATTCCTTTATGTTTTAATTAAAAAATTTTCAAAATTTAAGTGTTTTTATCATAAAACGTTCTTATTTAAGTTAATTAATTAAATATTAAAAAAAACTTATATTTAATACTTAATCAGTAACTTTTAATATCTAAAATCTTATAAAATCTAATGTAAAACATTAAACGAAAGATAATTTGTTGTTTATTTCAATTTATTTAATCATGGTATTTAAAAAATATTTCAAAAATTATTTTTTTATCTTGCCAAATTTTAAAATTACTTTGCATATTAATTTCTTGAGTAAGAGTCTCATAGAGTTACTACCTGCAAGAACTATGAAATTTAAAGAGTAGCTTTTGCATAGGTATATCGTTAGAGCTGTCTATTAAATCTCCTATTATATTCATGAACGAAGGAAGTGAAATAGCTATATTTTGTCTGTTGACTGATGGTAGGCCACTATAAGTTAATCCTGGCATTTATTTTGATATTGCTGAAACTCTTGTTAAGAAAGCCAATGAACCGGTATGATTGTAAGCTATATTCAGTAAAGGATTTTGATGGTCTATAGTATTGTAGAATATTTTCTAATAGGTCTAACCTAATAACATTGACTGAGAACCTCTTGGAGTATATAACTCTCTTACCACATCTAAATCTGAATTAGATGATTGAACTGTTTCTTCAAATTCTTCTCTAAAAGTAGTATCCAAAAAGTTTGGTGAAATTCCAACAACATAAGGATAAACTTCATATACTTTACCATAATGAGTTAGAAAAGTTCTATAGTAACCTAATTATGTAAATTTGTTTTAATTAAAATAATTAAAAATGTAATATAATTTTATTTAATTCTTAAGTCTTTAACTTTATATGATTTAAATTATGATATCTGATAGAGATATAAGTTTGAGATTTACAATCTAAATGTTAAGACAGAGATAATAAGATAAATATAATTAGATTTTTTGTTTTTCTTAAAATTATTCAATATTTAATTAAATAAATGAATTCTTATCAAAATATATTCCTAAAGAAGCTATAAAAAACTCCTATTTTTAAAAAAATAAATAATGACTAATAAATTTTTTTTTGTACCTTTTTCATTCAAGTATCTGTTTAAGTTTACAGTTTACCATGAATGAGATATCACGCAATCACTTAATTTTTCTTTGATAATCTTCTCAAAAATAGGTACACTGAGATAGTTACTATTTTAATTCTAGACTGTCATGTAAGCTCCCCTTGACTGTCTCGTTACAAAATCAGCAGACTCTATTTAAACTGTCATTGCAGTCCAAACAAAAATAACAAAAGCTATACTTAGACCATAAATTATTGCAGTTCTTCTGTTTTTTAAGCGATGTGAAGCTAAATTTTTAATGACAATTGTTTTTATAGCACTTTTGGCCCAAAAGAGGCAAAGATGGACAACAAACCTTTCAATTAAATATTGTACATTAAGAGCTAATAGAATGCATCCAACAAGTAAGCCGATTAAAATCCAGAAAAATATATTTATCAAAAGAGCAAAATCGAATGATAAAAGAGCAAGCGGTAATAAGTAATAAATAGAAACTCCAAACATTGAGCTTATTAAAGCAAAAGAAATAACTCCCCAAGGGAACGATTTTCCTTCTACATCAATCTCTATTTTAACAGCTTAAGATTTAGAACGTTGTTAATCAATAGCAATACTTAGTGTTTGTTAAAGAGCTTGCTTAATAGGAATGATAGAAGAAACTAAAGGAATCAAAATACCTATTATTAAAATTTCAAATAGTAAATTAAAAAAAATCTTTATTAATTTTCAGTTATATTATTTAACATAACTTAATATTCTTTTTTTGAATCAAAAATAGAATAATATTTATCTTTAAACAGATACTGTTAGATACTAAAGTAATTTCTAAATTTTTTTTTTAATCCAGCCAGAAAATTTTTAAAAATACAGTAAAAAATCATAATAATAAAAATTTCTAATTTCTAAACAACATCTAAATAAATTAAATCATAAGCAGTAGCAAATTTAGTTCAAGAGTTGAAAAAAAATTTTAAATTCTATAAATTTATTTAAATTTGATCTGAAAATTAATTTCAATTTATTAAATGCTTCTTTGAAACTAATCCAATATGTTTTTATTTTAGTTAAAAATAATTTTAAATGATTGTTTAAAAATTGTTAAGATTAATATAGAAACTTTTAGCTTTGTATGAATTTTAAGTATTTTTAATAGAAAATTATCTATTTTTAAAATTAATTAAATAACTTGCTTAGATTTTTAATGATTTTTATTTTTAAGAAATATAAATCAATCAATTATCAATTGATTATTTTCCAGCTCATTTTGATAAAATCTATCTAATTGAATTTTATTTAAATTTTTAATTTTCTGAAATAACGCAAATAGATTTTTATTGTTTTATTATATTAAATTACTTATAAAGTTTAATTTAAATTTTAAATGAATAAATAAATTTTTCTAGTAATTTATTTTCGTTTATTTATTCAAATTCTTAAAATCTTATTTGATATTTTGTAAGTTTTTATTCTATTTTAAATATTGTTTATGATTATGTAATTTAAATGTTACCTAAACATAAGCCAAATATGATTGCATTATTAGTAGGATAAATACTTATTACTGCTCCTACAGCACTTTATAGCTGATCAGAAACAATAAACAATAGTGGAATTGTCAAAAAGAATCCAAATAAAACAGCAGGAAGCACAAAGGATAAACTTTGTATAATAATTAACTAAATAACTCCAATTTTATTCAAACCTAATACCCTTAAAACACCAAGTTCGTAAGTCTTTGTTTCAACAGAAACAAGTAATAAATTATAGAGCAGCATTACACTCAATATAAATAACACAAATATAATTAAATTGAGGACTATACCTAGGAACATTCCAGCAAATCTTGTCCCGTATAATTCATCCAAAACAGGCCAATACATATCAATTGGGTAAACTCCAAGATCATATACAACATTAGAAGCAAACTTGGTTATTGTATACTAAATATTATCATAATTACTATCTATATAAATTGAATCTCTATCTTTTAAATTCATTTTTATCTTAAAAGAAAAAATTTAAATAAAAACGTATGGAATAACAATCAAATTAATTTACTAAAGTTGTATAATATTCTGGTTTTTATTGTAAAACAAAATCATAAAACTTTTTCCCTTAAGTCTACATAAATGTTCTCTTTGGTGCAGCATATTTTGTAATATAAGTAAGTAGATATTTAAAATCAGCAATTAGAAAATGATCTAATGTTTCGCTACCAAACTTTCCTCCTTCACTTGAAAATATATGAGCTACCTTAAATGGCACTACCATAAATGTTTGTTCTATCCTTTAATCCTATTTTTAATTCAATTTAATATACTTTAATTTTTTTGTTTAAATTATCTTAAATTTTAAAAATATTTTTCTTTAAAATATATATAAACTTAAATTACCAATACTGAATGTAAAAATTTATAAGTAAAAACCTAATTTTCTGTAGTTTATTAATATTATAAATATATTATTTAGCTAAATTATCAAAAATAACAAATCAAACAGGGCTAACCTGTATTTTATTAAGTTTAAATATTAATCATAATTTATTTAATTCATGATTTTAGATATAAATTGAACTTTTATAATGTATTTATTGAATTAATAATGTCTTTTCAATATTAATTTAATAATATTTTCAGTTAAAAATTTGCTAACTTTTTAAAACATAATCTATGCTCAATTACCTTTTATTAGCCCTTTATTTCACTCTTTAAATTTTAACAATAAATTGATTCAAAATGAGGAGAGCACATTTATTCAACTAAATTATAGATAATTTGCTAAAAATCATTTGTCTTAAAGTAGACTGTCTGCCCAATTTCTAGTCCTTTAAGTAGAATTTAAAAATGAGTTACATTTTTACTTCAATAAATATAATAATAATTCATTATAGTAAAAATATTACCCATTTGTATTTAGAGATTTTTATGAATAGTAATTTCTCCTTCTTTCATTTCTTTTATTTCCCAAGATGTACCTAAACCTATTTCTTTTTCCTTTTATTAATCTATAAAATGCAAAATTCCTTTTTTTTACATTTTACAATCTTAAGCAGTGTCATATATAGTCTATAAAGAGCTATTGTCTATATTGCATAAAATTTAAGAAGAATCTGCCACTAAATTTCCATTCATTATAAATCTTGGAGATGTTTATTCAGCTCTATAATCTTTTAAAATTTCATTAACTCTAGTAAAATTTAAAAACGATGATTATGCCAAAGGGCCAGCTATTTTATATCAATAATAAAATGTTTTAAATATTTTCCTATTTAAAATAAACAAATAAATGAATAAAAAAACTGCTACTAAATTAGCTACTAATATTTTTTTAAAACAATAAAATACTTTCTATCTTTATCTTATATTGATGTTATATTATTTATAAATAACTTATTAAAATGTATGTTACGATTAAGAATCTGTGAAGATGGTCTGATTTCAAAATCGCTTTAACCATTATTAGATTCAGCTGCTGATAGAAATATAATTGGAGCCCTATCGATAACACTTTATGCTACACCAGCAGCTGCGACAACAATAGTTACTGAGAAAAAAGCTAAACAGAAATAGCATAATCTTCTTTTGAATTCTAAGTATGCATTCCTTAAATAATATCTAATAGAGCTTTATAAGCTTTATTGGACTAATATTTATTTATAAAATTCTTTGCTTGACTCTTTAGTCATGGTTCCTCAATATGAATATACAAAGCTTTAGAATATATTCCAATTGAGATGTCTATAAAAACTCTTTATATTAAAATTTAAATTTTAGTTGAAAAATAAATTTCTATCAAAAAAATAATCGATATCAATCAGAAATAAACACGAAATAAACAAGATTATCAATCTCTTTTTATTTTAATAAGATTCTATTAATTAATCAAATAGTAACTAAAAAGTTTATTTTCAAAAAAGGACTTCAATATTATCTTAATTTTTTTACTCTTTTTGATTACATATAAAACACTCCTTTTGAAATCTGATATAAAATTTAAAAATAAAGTAAATTTTACATTAATATTTTTTTAAATTTTAATCCAATAAATTCTATTTTAAAATTGTTTAAAAATCAACAATTCTAATGCAATTATTTTCATATTAAATAGAAATTTATTATATTAAAACAACCAATAATTGAATTTTATTTAAATTTAATTGTTATGATATCTTTAATATTTAATTGAAAATTCTTTTAATGTGTTATTCAGCTTCATGGGGTTGGGGTTGGGGTTGGGGTTGGGGTTGGGGTTGGGGTTGGGGTTGGGGTTGGGGTTGGGGTTGGGGTTGGGGTTGGGGTTGGGGTTGGGGTTGGGGTTGGGGTTGGGGTTGGGGTTGGGGTTGGGGTTGGGGTTGGGGTTGGGGTTGGGGTTGGGGTTGGGGTTGGGGTTGGGGTTGGGGTTGGGGTTGGGGTTGGGGTTGGGGTTGGGGTTGGGGTTGGGGTTGGGGTTGGGGTTGGGGTTGGGGTTGGGGTTGGGGTTGGGGTTGGGGTTGGGGTTGGGGTTGGGGTTGGGGTTGGGGTTGGGGTTGGGGTTGGGGTTGGGGTTGGGGTTGGGGTTGGGGTTGGGGTTGGGGTTGGGGTTGGGGTTGGGGTTGG